CTGGTTCGACATATTCCGTCTGCCATACCTATAATCATAATGACCGCGCACACCACCACCACCACCGAACTTCTTCGACCGTTCCGTACGTCCCGTAACCTTGTCCTTCTCCGCCCTCCGCTTCTTCTTCTTGGCTGCATCTTTCGCTGCGCTCTGCTGCTCCAATAACTTCTTCTTCCCACCCTTGCCTCCGCTTTCCGCGCCGCCTTCTTTCCGCTCCCGCTTCGCATCGAGCCGCTTCTTATCCTTATTGGACAATTTCTTTCGCTCGACTTTGACCTGCACTTTCAAGCCTGCGGGGTTGTTGAGTGCCTCGAAGCCACGCTTCTTGGCATCCAATTTCTCCTTCTCGGTCTCGAACCATGTCCGTTTGGGTCGGGCGAGGATCTCGTCTTTGTGCTTGAGGATGTTTTCGCCGCGGGTGAGTTCGTTCTCGGTCTGGGCGAGGAGTTTGGCTTCCTTCTCCTCTGCTAGGATGGCTGGAAGGTCATCCTCTGTCAGTATTTCGAGGCGAGCGTGCATGGCCTCGACTTCGTCCTGGGGAAGGGCGCGGGAGATGACTTTTGCGCCTTGAGTCCTTGCAGCACGAACGGCGGATTTGACGACTTTGCGATCTGGTTCGGCGGCGATGGTGCAGGCGCGGCCCTCACGGCCTGCGCGAGCGGTTCGGCCGACGCGGTGGACGTAGATCTCGTGGGTTTGTGGGGCTTCGTAGTTGAGGACAGCGGCGACGTTTTTGATGTCTAGACCGCGGGAGGCGAGGTCGGTGGCGAGCAGGTGGGTAATGGAGCCGTCTTTGAAGGCGTTGACGGCGGAGATGCGTTGGTCTTGTGTCATGCTGCCGTGGAGTTCGCCGGCTTTGAGGCCTAGGAGGCCCAGGAGGATGCGGGTTGTGTGGGCGGTTGATTTTTGGCGGAAGAAGATTATGGTGCGGGTTTTGTAGTGGTTTAGGCAGAGCAGGGCGAGGGAGGCGAGGCGTAGGTGTTCGCGGCCGGGGCGTAGGCGGACGAATTCTTGGGTGAGGGTTGTATTTGTTGTGGTGGCGGAGGCGATGGAGACGCGGACGGGTTTGGTCATGCCGACGCGAATGAGGGTGTCGATGCTGGAGGTCATGGTGGCGGAGAAGAGCATGGTTTGCCGGGACTTGGGCAGGGTGCGGAGGATTTCGTCGAGCTCGTCGGCGAAACCGGTCTCGAGCATGCGGTCGGCTTCGTCGAGGACAAGGATTTCGATGGTGGAGATGGTGAAGGAGGCCGAGTTGCGCATGTGGTCGATGAAGCGACCGGGGGTGGCGATGATGATGTCTGGGCGTTTCTTGAGGGTGGCCTCCTGCTCGCGCAGGGAGAAGCCGCCGACCAGGGTCGCGAGGGTGATGTCGGTGTATTTGGTGAGAGCCACGGCGACGGAGTGGCATTGGACTGCGAGCTCACGAGTGGGCATGAGAATTGCGACGCGGGTGGTGGGGACTCGGCGTGGTCGGTAGAGAAGACGCTCGAGAATTGGGAGCAGGAAGGCGGCAGTCTTGCCGGAGCCTGTTACGGCTGAACCTACGACGTCGAGGCCTTGAAGTGCCATTGGGATCGTGCGTTGTTGAATTGGGGTCGGTGTTGAAAAGGCTAGCCCGGCGACCGCTCGGAGGATTGGACGTGATAGAGAGAACTGTTGGAATGACTTAGCTGCTGAGAGGTCGCTGGGGTTCGCTTCGGGCGCGAAGAAGGCAGCTCTCTTTTCTCGCTCGTCGTCGTCGGATACTGGCGATGTGTTGTCCGTGTCCGCATCGGAGGCCGACCCGTCGTCATCGGGATGAGCAGTCGGTGATGCTACTGACTCGTCATCGTCTTCTTCGTCGGTCCCGGATGCTGGCTCCTCTTCATCTGAGGCTCTTGCGCCATCCTCGTCGGCTTCCGGAGCCACAGAGGCGCCAAACGCATCCTCTACGACGAGCTCATCGTCGTCAAATGTGATAGGCGCATCTTCTCCATCACTGCTCTCGTCGGACGCCACATCTGAATCCTCATCCGACTCGGCAGCCTCTTCATCAATCCCCTCAACGTCGTTGTGGTCTTCGGAGTTGTTCGCGGCGTCTACGACAGCGTCCCCGTTGACTTTGGCTCTTCTTGCGATGATAGCATCTAGATCCACGCCTTTCTTGGTTGCGGTCTGTGTCTTGGTTGTCGTCGCTCCCCAGCCATCGAAATCCTCGATCTCTTCAGTCAGATTGTTTGTGCCTAATTCAAACTCGAAGTCAGAGTCAAGCGCATCATCTTTGATCCCATCAACCTCCTCGTCGCTATCGTCCTGCTCCACAGCCTGCGTTTTCTGCTTCTTGTTTTTCTTTACGGGGACAGCCGCCGCAGTGAGGTCTCTTTTTCGTTTATTTGAAGTCGACCGGTCGGTCTGGGGCTGCTCGAGTTCACTTAGATCGCCACTGTCGTTGTCTGAGAGGGTGAAAATGAGATCGTCGTCTGCGGACGGCATGGCGGGCGCGAGTCTGCTAGTCGGTGAGATCACTGCCATAGGACATATTCACGGCGTCCATCTTCAAATTCAAGAAAGCGCCGCAACTTTTTTAGTGGGTCGGCGGGTCTACTCCGGGTAAGGTAAGGGTAAGGCGAGGCGAGGCGTCGCAGATTTCTGGGCTATCCCCCACTTCAGGCAGTGAATTTCACCACGGTACGTGGAATCCTATTCACGCCGATGTCTTCTTGCTCTTTGGTCCTTGCAAGAATTGCCGCTGGACACCGTTACTGCGGAGTGGATAGTCGTCGATAAGGCTAGACACGTCACCATATCCGGCCAGAGATATCTGAGCAGTACCCAGGCGGCCAGGCGAAACCCTAGCGTTTAACTTGCTTTGTCCACGTTCAAGGGAGGCTTGCAGTAGCCCTGCCGTCGTTGAAATGCCAACTGTCAATGCCTGGAGACTGTTTGTGACAGGCTCACAGTCAACTTTCGCGGAGGGTAGAGTCTCGACAACGTGTGTCGTGGTCAGAAGGCGACCAGTAGCCACAGTGTGAGTCACGACGACCATATCGCAGTTCGCGATAACCACGAGGTGATATTCTAGAAGCTTTCCTGTATAGGGGCGGCGTCGATCGCAAAAGTAGCGAGGACGATCTTCCGATTAAGAACATCGTTTGGCTCGGAGAACTGCATGCTGCACCCCATCCTGTCATGTAGAAAAGCGTCCGAAGATGCAACGCATTGACCCGTGAGCCTCATCAGAGCTGGATCCGAGAACGATCAGGATGGCCCCAACAACTACCCAACACAGCAGGAGCGTACTGCAAGAATGACTGTGCTGCGTCAGCTCTCTTAGACATGCTCCTTTGTTCGAGACATCAAGACCCAAGATGAGTGATACCTCCTAAGCACTCGGATGCAACGGTGGAGAGCCCGCCGGTGGTACAGCAGACGTGCCTGTATCACGCCCACTCGACTCCGATAGATGAGAGGAGCTTGGTCCCTCTTGCAGACTGCATGTGAAAAAGCAGGGTTCCCTTACAGCAACCGCGAAGCATATGCTATCTATAGATGTCACCATATTGCGACATCTCGATTCAAGACTCACGACTGCGCGGCCAGGATCCACGAAGCTTGCTATCGAGGACAATGAAAGGGAGGACCTGCTTTCCATAGAGATGTGACACGGGTTTGCTTTGGAAGCTTCGAAGAACAAGAACAAAGAGCGAGTCCTGAGGGAGTATACACCATCGTCGGAGTAGTGACTCGACGCGGTTTGATAGCTAACCGCGGCGGTGGCTTTGCGTGAATATCCGGCCCAGAGACGCGGCATGCCAAAGTGATTCGCCTACAGCACATCAGCTCATTGTCTCGATGGAACCCGTAGTCCACTTGTTCTTGCTCATGTCAGGTCGCGTCAAGCAGAGAGGGCACAGTTGGTGCCTTAGAGAGTGGAATCCTAGCCGCTCGTCTCGGCTGTAATCTTTTTCACCTGTCACCAAAATATTTTTCCTGCGGCTGCCTCGCTTGCTCCTGTTGTTCTTATATGCTCACCGTCTTTTTATTATTCTGGTTCTGATTTCTTCTTCTTTCCTGACCATGACTGATCAACCGTCCGCCAACACCATCCCACTACAAGATGGCACCTCGCGACAGCAGTCCAATGCCTCCGCCTCCGGTAAGCCCTCAGCACCATCTACGAAAGCAAAATTCTGCCATGATAAGAAGCTAATCAATTGCGTGATACAGCCACCCAACTCACCGGTTCTGAGACGCTCGTAGATTTACAGAAGAAGTTGACGGCGGGGCTCAAGCAGTATCCAAATTTCCCTCAGCCTGGCATTCTATTTGAAGATATCTTCCCTCTCTTCGCCGACGTCCACCTCCACCGTGCCCTGATCAAGGCCTTCCTCCTCACTATCAAGCAACAATTAGGCTCCGAGAAGCCGGACATAATCGTTGGACTCGATGCCCGTGGCTTCTTGATTGGTCCCCAGCTGGCCGAAGCTCTCGATGCTGGTTTCGTGCCAGTGAGAAAGCCAGGGAAACTGCCAGGACAACTGGAGACAGTAGAATACCAGAAAGAATACGGCACAGACAGCTTTGCCATCCAGAAAGAGTCTGTCAAGCCTGGCAGTAGGGTCCTTGTGGTCGATGACCTGATTGCCACAGGAGGCTCTGCCGCGGCTGCGGAGGCTCTGATTACGAAATGTGGCGGACAAGTACTGGGCTTCTTGTTCCTCATTGAGTTGACCAAGCTCAATGGCCGATCCAAGCTTACGGCTCCGGTGTTCACTGTCCTCGAAAGCCAAGCAGATTGAGCCACCACAACCACTATTATACGTTACCGCACCACAGCGGCTACAACTTAGCCGTCGACTGCACTGCCTCCAGAGCAGCAGCCGGATCGCCCATGTCATCCGTGGTCTGGGAGGGATGAGAATATTTGACTATTCCCGAAGCATCGATCGCAAACATGCCGCTGATCTGCCAACGGGTACCAGTCTCGGTCGGGCGGTTCTTGATCTTCTCTTGAAAAGCCAGGCGGAATACTTCAGCCATGCTCCACGGGTTCAGAACGTGCCAGAAGCTCGCTACTCCGAGTCCATATTGCGCATAAATCTTCTTTTCATTATCGACAATGATTTGGACGTTGCCGGCGCCGCCAATTGATTCGGTCCAGTGGTCGGTTGAGATCTGATCACTGTGAGATACCGCGATGAACTGCACATCCTGGCGTTCTTCGGCGAGCCGGCGGAGATTCAAGAAGATCTTTTCAGCAACTACTCTGGCGTCAGCATTCTGAGCATTGCCGATTCGATTTGCGGAGGCTCGTACAAGGACATCCACAGTGTCGAAGGAATGCAATCACAACGGGCTTGCCATCTTTGCGAGGAAACGAAATCTCGGCTACTGATGGAGCAGGTGAGTTGACGTCAGGGGCAGGCTTGGTGTCCAGACGGGCAGGGAATGCCCACGAGGCGAGCTCCCCTCGGGCAGTCATCTTCAGAACTCGGAGGGAGCTTTTGATTGAATTGCAGTCTGATTCTAAGAAATTGATACTGATCACCCGTCCATGACGTCCATTTAACCACTATATATGTGCCCCTCTTCTTCAATGCGGTTCAAAACTTAGTATCGGCTATGCCCATGACGCCGCGAGCTACCGCCCGGGCCAACGCCTGAAGTACCGAGGAACAAGCTCGTAAGCAAGTGATGGCAGGGGTGGATCGAGTGTTCAATTCAGTGGGGTAGAGCCATCAAGCCACAACCGCCCATACAGGAAAAAGATGGGCAGCGAGTTCTGAAACACACTGCAGCCGGGACTTCAATGATGGTTGCCGTGGATAAGAAATGTCGCTACGTAGAATATTACCGGCACTCAACAGCTGACTTACTTCTTTTCCTTGCACATTCACCATCTTGACGTGCCCGCTGCCTCTCCAGTCACTCGCTTGAACTTCCGATAGTACTTTCCGCGCATCACACCGACTCTGCGCCTGCCGTCCCAGACCACGCGCTGCAGCTGAAGCCACGTGCAACGCTCAACACTCATGAATGCGGACTAGAGGGAAGGCGCCATGGCGACCGGAAACCCCGACTTGGATGCCCAACTGCAACAGCTCGACGCCGAGCTCGAAGAAGGCGACATCACACGAAAGGGCTACGAGAAGCGGCGCACACTGATCCTGTCCCAATATTTGTCCCCACAGGATGCCGCTGGTCCGTTACGAGGCTCAGAGTACACTCCGCCGAAGACAGCGACCACCCCGCCGCCTCGAGTAGCAACGATGGCTCCCGCGCTGCGAGCCTGGCTGCGTTGCAAGGCAATTCGAGAGGTAGCACTCCTGCAGAGTCACGACAGATGACTTTCGCTACGGCACGGACAAGCTATGAGGATGCGTACAGTAGCAACAACGGTAGCACGAAGCCATCGATGGTGGATAGATTTCAAGATCGCGAGATGGGCACAACCTCTATGCGGAACATGTCCATGACCAACAGCCGCTCCAGCATGCTCATGCCCGATCCACAGACACAAGACAGTTCACGGACGCACACCCTTATGAGCCAGAACTATGCTTTCAATCCAGATCAGCAGCAGAGCTACCAAAGCAACGGCGGTGGTGGCACAGACACACGAAACTCAACCATGCTGGGCGATTCTGCCCAAGGCTATTTTTCCGATTTTGCTGGCCAGCAGCGCATAGACGATACCCCGCAAGAGGCCTATGGCGGCGGCGCCGTGCATCGGTATTCGCAGTCCGAGATCACCAGTCCTACAACGCAAGTTGCGCCCCCATTCCTGTCTCCAGGTGAGCTTGCGGGCGGCGCGGCCGTCCACCAGATGCCCTTGGAGCCGCGTGAGGTGCCATTTGCGATATGCGACCCGCATGACTCGACGTTCGAGATGTCGAGGTTCGAGAATATCGCCATGGTGTTGAGACACCGCGCCAAGACGAACCCCAAGCAGGCTGCGTATTGGTTCTGGACCAAAAGGGCAAGGAGATCGTGAGCATCACGTGGGAGAAGCTGGCAAGTCGGGCAGAGAAAGTGGCGCAGGTCGTGCGAGACAAAAGCAGCCTGTACAAGGGAGACAGGGTTGCCCTGATCTACACCGAGAGCGAGGTCATCGAGTTTGCGGTCGCCTTAATGGGATGCTTCATCGCGGGTGTCGTAGCAGTCCCGATCAACGATCTGAAGAACTATGCACGGCTGAATGTGGTCTTGACGAGCACGCAAGCACATCTGGCGCTGACGACCGAGGCAAACCTCAAGAATTTCCAAAGGGACATCACAGCGGCGAAGCTGAGCTGGCCTCGAGGCGTCGAATGGTGGAAGACGAACGAGTTTGGCAGCTACCATCCCAAGAAGAAGAACGAGGAGCCTGCTCTAGTCGTGCCAGATCTGGCCTATATCGAGTTCTCGACCGCTCCAACGGGCGACCTGAGGGGCGTGGTCATGAGCCACAAGACGATAATGCACCAGATGGCTACTCTCAGCGCGATGATCACATCCGCGACCAGCAATACGAAAGGAGACACATTCAACCCAGCTCTCCGCGACAAAGCAGGCCACCTTGTCACTGGCAGACGCAATGGCGAGATTATGCTCTCGTACCTCGATCCCCGACAGAGCATCGGCATGATCTTGGGCGTGCTCATGAACGTCTACGGCGGCCATACGTGCATCTACTTTGACCAAAAGGCAATCGAAACGCCCGGGCTTTACGCAAATCTGATTACTCGATACCGCTCTACTTTGATGGTTGCAGACTATCCTGGCCTCAAGCGTGCTGCGTACAATTATCAAGCTGACCCTTTGACAACGCGAAATTTCAAAAAGAACTTCGAGCCCAACTTCAGCAGTGTCAAACTGTGCTTGATCGACACTCTCACCGTGGATCCGGAGTTTCACGAGCTAGTTGCAGATCGCTGGCTCAAGCCACTCCGCAACCCGCGGGCGCGAGAAGTCGTTGCCCCGATGTTATGTTTGCCCGAACACGGCGGCATGGTCATCAGCATGCGCGACTGGCTTGGCGGAGAGGAGCGAATGGGTTGTGAACTCCTGCATGAGATGGACCATGACCAGCAGGACAATGACGACAAAGAAGGCGAGAAGACCCTGACGAGCAAGAGTGGAAGCGCCTTCGGTAGCAGCTTACTTGGTGGCTCCAACAAGAAGCCTGCAGCCCAGCGAGAACGGAACACGGAGGAGCTGGGCGAGGTTCTCCTGGACAAAGAAGCACTCAAGACAAATGACATCCATATCCTGGCCATGGGCTCGGAAGCTAGGTCTAAAGCCGCCTCTTTTCCGAACGCCGTGCGCTGTGGCGCTTTTGGCTATCCCATCCCAGATGCCACTCTTGCCGTCGTCGATCCAGAATCTGGCCTGCTCTGCGGCCGCAACACGATCGGTGAGATCTGGGTCGACTCGCCGTCCCTTTCTGGCGGCTTCTGGGCGTTGCCAAGGCACACCGAGACAATCTTCCATGCTCGTCCGTTCTTATTTGCGGAGGGGAATCCTACGCCAACAGCTCTCGATCTCGAATTTCTTCGCACCGGACTGCTGGGATGCGTTATCGAAGGTAAAGTCTACGTCCTTGGCCTCTACGAAGATCGCCTGAGGCAGCGCGTCGAATGGGTCGAGCACGGCTTGCAGGTCCAAGAACATCGTTACTTCTTTGTGCAGCATCTTGTGATCAGCATCATGAAGAGCGTGCCTAAAATCCACGACTGCTCAGCATTCGACTGCTTCGTCAACGAAGAGCATCTTCCTATTGTTCTGCTCGAAACCAACAATGCATCAACAGCACCGCTGACCAGTGGCGGGCCACCACAACAATTAGATATACCACTTTTGGATAGCCTGGCCGAACGAACAATGGAGGTGCTCTATCAAGAACACCACTTGAGAGTGTACTGCGTCATGGTCACTGCTCCTGGAGTGCTACCTCGCGTCACAAAGAATGGCCGTCGGGAGATAGGAAACATGCTCTGCCGCAAAGAGTTTGACAATGGCTCGCTTCCTGCAGTCCATGTCAAATTCGGCGTCGAACGGGCTGTACAGAATTTGCCTTTTGGCGAAGATCCTGTTGGCGGCGTATGGTCCCCTTCCGCCAGCGCTGCCCGTGCCGAGCTTCTCTACGACCAGGAGACGCAATGGTCTGGCGTCGACCACCGCGAAGTCGTCATAGACGATCGCACATCGACGTCCTTGAGCAACTTTAGCAACATTTTCGACCTAATGCAATGGCGTGTAGCACGGCAAGCCGACGAGCTGGCCTACGTCACGATCGACGGTCGTGGGAAGGAAGGCAAGGCTCTTCCTTGGAAAAAATTCGATCTGAGGGTGGCCAGCGTCGCCGTATACCTAAAGAACAAAGTCAAGCTCAAGCCTGCGGATCATGTCATCCTGATGTACACGCACTCGGAAGAGTACGTCTTCGCAATCTACGCATGCATGGCGTTGGGCGTGATAGCCATTCCATGTGCGCCACTGGATGCAAATCGTCTGTCCGAAGACGCGCCTGCGTTCCTGCATATCGTAGCGGACATGAGGGTCAAAGCTGTGCTCGTGAACAACGATGTTGACCAGTTGTTTAAGCAGAAGCTGGTATCTCAGCACTTGAAGCAGTCGGCGCAATACATGAAAAGCCACATCCCACATGTTTACAACACGAACAAACCCTCGAAACAGCATCACGGCTGCCGAGACCTTGGTCTAACAATCAACAAGGCGTGGGTAACGCCCAACAACCCTGTCATAATCTGGACATACTGGACACCGGACCAACGACGAATGTCGATTCAGCTCGGGCATGATACACTACTCGGGATGTGCAAAGTCCAGAAAGAGACCTGCCAAATGACTTCCTCGAAACCGGTCCTGGGCTGTGTTCGTAGCACCATTGGAATTGGCTTCATACACACATGTCTTATGGGCGTCTACAATGGCTCGCGACATACCTTATGTCGCCCCTCGACTTTGCGCAAAACCCGATCTCCCTCTTCCTCGCCCTCTCGCGCTACAAAGTAAAAGACACCTACGCCACCTCGCAAATGCTGGACTTTGCAATGGGTCACGTTGCCGGCAAAGGCTTCTCCCTCCACGAGGTAAAGAACCTCATGATCTCCTCCGAAGCCCGGCCTAGAAAAGACCTCTATCCCAAAGTCCGTGCCCACTTCCAACAGTCCGGCCTCGAACGCACCGCCATCAACACCATATACTCCCACGTCCTCAACCCTATGGTCTCCAGCAGGTCATACATGTCCATCGAGCCGATCGAACTCTTTCTAGACCAGCGCGCGCTACGCCGAGGAATGATCTACCCAACCGACCCGGACTCGGACCCTAACGCCCTGTGCGTCCAGGACAGCGGCATGGTTCCGGTGTCAACCCGCATCGCCATCGTGAACCCAGAAACGAACCAGCTCTGCCACGTAGGCGAATACGGTGAGATCTGGGTGCAGTCGGAAGCATGTGCGAAGTCCTTCTATATGTCGAAACAACCCTTTGACGAAGAGCGCTTCAACGGACGCATCCTCGGCGGCGATCTGAACGCCCCAGCATACGTCCGCACAGGCGATCTGGGCTTCTTACACAACGTAACCCGACCGATTGGCCCAGGCAATCAGCCCGTGGAAATGCAGATCCTGTTCGTCTTGGGTGGAATTGGAGAGACGTTCGAGGTCAACGGCCTGAGCCACTTCCCCATAGACATCGAGAACAGCATCGAGAAAGCTCACCGGAATATCACGCCTGGGGGCTCTGCTGTATTTCAGGCTGGAGGCTATATCATCGTCGTGGTCGAGGTGTTCCGCAAAGCCTACCTCGCGAGCTTGGTGCCTGTGATTGTCAATGCGGTGCTGAATGAGCACCAAATAGTGGTTGACATGGTCAGCTTTGTCGGATCAGGCGACTTTCCGCGCAGTCGGCTGTCAGAGAAGCAGCGCGGGAAGATCCTTTCCAACTGGGTTACCAAGAAGCTGAGGACTATCGCGCAATTCACAATTCGAGACCACGACGTACAAGGCCAGTTCACGCAGCACTCGTCACAACACACGCGTAAGACCAGTACGGGCATGCACTCGCTGAACAAGACATGGAGCAATCAAGATTCCCAGAATCCTTCGCCAAGCCCGGGCCTACAGCAACAGCACGCCCGCCGCCCCTCCCAGTCCCAGCGTGACGATGTCAGCCGCAGCAGCATCGTTCCAGAGATCCCTCTCTCCCTGCCTCAGAACAATTGGCAGATGGATATGGACGGCGGAGTCATGTTTGAAAAGAGCGCAGAGGGCGATACACCGGACACGCCTTCTGTAGCGGTGAACAACCGCTTCGTTGACATGGGTCCGCCCGAAGGATACGCTGAGATGTCAGCTGAGAACTCACCGCACGAGAACCGTGGGCCTCCGAATCCCAGCGATGCATTCGGCGGGCGCGGCAGACAAGGCGTACCAATAACAGGCGATGGCACAGCGAATCCGTACCTCACAGACGAGAAATTTGCTTATGGCAACGACGACAGTGAATACTTCGATCCCGAAAAGCCATTCGGGCGGTCTCCCAATCGGTCCACAGAAGACTTCTTTGATGACGCGGGACAGTGGAACGACGATTTCGCCACGCCTCTCGCAGACCCAGCTAACGGTCCTCCTCGACTCTCGCTTGTAAATCCATCTAACTTCTCGAATGACGATGAATCTACGCCCGAGAACACACCCACCACCTACACCGCCACACCGACTTCCGCAGCCGCAAATCGCTTAGCGCAGTCCGATACGCAGCAAACCGTGCTAGGCACAAGGGCTGAATCACCATACGGTGATGTGGGAAATCCGTTCGGAAGTACGAGTGTTGGCGGCGTGCCCAGCCATTTCGATGTTGGTAGTCCGACTTCTGCAACCGGTGGTACGTCCAGGTTCAGCCATATGCTGCCAAGTCAAGCCGCTCGTTTCGGCGGCGCTGCCTCCAGGGGCGACTCAGGTGATGACTATGGCACCTACACCAGTCCGAGACAAGGTTGGAGTGCTGCAAGTGAGATGCCCTCTGGCGACGAAACACTCCGGCCAAGAGGACTTGTCGTGCGGAATGTCTCGTCTGAGGCCACCGTAGGGCTTCCATCCTCGCAGTCGCAGCCTGGCGGGCTGAAGACTCAGGCTCAGGGACAGCATAGACGGAACGTCAGCGATGGCGGTCAGAGCATTTCCGGCGCAAGCACGACGGGCGGTCCCGGGAGTAGCGTAGCGGGGAGTGTGAGGCGCAGGTATGATGGAAGTGGTTATGATGGATATGAGTACTGAACCCAAATGAACGATGAGAGACTGCGATGATGGACGAGGAACGATGACGAAACACGAAAAGTCTTCACTCATCGTACAGCATCAGGGACCTGATAGGCAGTGAAAAGCAATACACGTATGCACACAGGCAGGGAAAATTTGGGCGTGGGAAACGCATCTATCTACCTGTGCATTTATATGTCTGCGAAGCGGAAAAGGACAAATATCCATGATGAAGCGTCAATCGAATTCATTCAAGGTAACTGCGCAAGCGGCGATGACCTGATTGCTACTCGAGTATGAAAGCTGCTCATATCCTAAAGAGACGTCCCACTTACTGCACATCGTGAGGGTACAGCTCAGCCCAAACATCACTCAGCGGCCGGGTCATCACATATTCCCACCACAAGAAGCCCCTAATGATGTCCAAGAACTTCCCCCTCGTCCGCCGCACTGACCCCTCCAGCATCCTCGCCTCGTGCCCTCGTGGCTCGTGCCTTCCGTCATCCGCCCAACGGGCCTCGACCAGCCCTCTCAAACCATCCAAAAACCACCTTCCGACCTCGTCCTCTCCAGATTCCATCCATGGACTGTGAAATGGTGCGCAGGCTAGCGACCCCATGGTATAGACCCAGAGCTCGAACTTGGGATCCAGCTGAAGGGCTCGAAAGTCCTCGGCATTGGAAGAGAGAAGGACATAAAGTTGCCTCGCCGCATGAAAGCGTACGCGGCTGGCAAAGGACACAGGGAAGAGGGCGAAGTCGTTGTAGATCAGGGTGGTGAGACGGACGACCTGCAAGAGCAGTGATGCTTGGGCAGACGCTGATGGCGGTGGTGTGTCCTGATGGGCGATGGGAGCAGGAGCGGGTAGCATCGACATCTTTGATGATGTAGCAGCAGCAGCGGCGCCGCCCTCACCAAGCCACAAATCAGCAACCACCCTGTCCCCGTCCCTCCAGCCCATCCGAAGAATATGCCACTGTACGTAATCTGCTGTAGCGATCAGCCCAGCGACGTCGCCACAGCCGCTTGCGCGGCGTCGGTAGCCGTCAAGGGCGACGGTGAGGTTCTTTATCAGTGGGAGGAGGTTGGTCAGAAAAGGCTTGATGTCCTCTCGAGTAGCGAGTGTAGGTGCTTGAATGACTGCGAAAAGGATGATGCGAACGTGCCGCTGAGCGCTGCTGCTGTTTCGTCGTGTGGGAAGGCGGCTGTCAGAATGGGATGAGAGGGGGTCCAGTAGCAGGAATACGCTGGGTGAAGAAGGCTTGTGGTTGCTAGCAGTAGGTCACCTCTATCGTTGAGAGCCTGTCAGCGGGGAGCGACCCAGGAAAGGGGGAGGGGGTGGACGGTTAGGCCACTCACATTGCGAGCACGAATTGCGTGCCTGTGGGCGTGATGTTATGTAGGCCGCGCTCAAGGACGGTGCGGTACATGTACCTTGCATGGGCGGGCTCGACTTTGCGATAGCCCGCTGTGCTGAGACACTGGTAATCCGACAGTGGAGACCTTGGATAGCTCGGAGCCTTGATGTGGAGGGTCTCGTAGTTGATCTCCTGAAAAGCAAGGGAAATCATGATGCTGAAAATATGGTCCGGGATGCTCTTATCACCACACGTGGCAAGCTCTTCCTGGAGTAAGCGGAGTGCTTTCCCTTTCACCGTCAGCCGAGATTTCGGAATGTTGGCCAGGCCCGCTGTGCCAAAGCGGGCGTAGACAAAGTATGGCACCGCGCTGTATATCAAGGCGTAGTAGTGTATGTCCTTCAGGTTGATGCGCTCGATGTTGAGGTCGACTACATAGTACATGCCTTTGTTGTTCCGAAAAGGGGCTACTTGTTTCCACTGCGTTGTGGCCACTGCTCCGTCAGTCGAACGTGTAGTGGCGTCAAATTGACTAGGGACTTACTGGCATGGATGACCTCACGGATAAAGGGATCATCGTCTTCGGGTCGTAGAGGACGGAAAGGATTGAGTTGCGAAGCGCTGATCGGTTTGTACAGAGTACCACCCTTGGTAGTCGTCGAGTTTCTTTGGCTCACCTTCCGAAGAGAAGAACGCTTTCGTCTGCGCGATTCCGAGCGGTGCTGGTAGTCCGATGCTGTCTGGACTATGAATGCCATCTTCAAGCGGACGAATCGTTTCCAGCCTCGACGCTGTGTGGGGTGGTCCGCCTCAGGAGGGAGCTGTTTGCTGACGAGACAGCTTGTTAAGACTTGTCTGTGAGGAATCGAGTTAGTTATACAATGTTGAAGTCCTCAAGAAGCCATTCCCGGGTGCAGCCCCCAGAGGCGGCAATCAGGTCTCATAGTCGCTATCAGCCTTGCAGGGAGTGTTGAACAGTGACAACGGGCGTCTTGATGATCCCAATCGTGACACGGCACATCGTGCCAGATGGTGTATCGGAATGCGTCTTTCTGGCATAAAACGACCGTGCAATGTGTGAGCTGTGCAAGCACTAAGCGTGATTGTGGTGACTGGCTATGATTAGGTCCATGTTGCTCATTTTATGCAACTCGCGTGATTACTAAGGCAGGCCGACCACGTCCTTTTGACTTTAACGAGCGCATGGACTCGCCTCTTCTCATCGATCTTGACAAAGGCTTAGGTAGAGCTTGTTCAGCTCACTCAATGCAAGGCTGTGGACTCTGCACGAGTATGCTGGGTGAAAAGGCATGTCAAGCATGTTCTAGGAAGCGTGGTGCGTACACAGACGAACAATTATAGGCTGCATGGTCGTGCCTACCATGGTCTGTTAGCACCTTCTGCTTAACGCTGGAGCCTCCGAGGTAGGTGCAGGGGTGTATAAAGTACGTAGAATACATATATCTGCTGAAGTCGCTCAAACCCAACGCCATCTCACATTTCCTTCTCTTCTGCCCAAGCCAAGAAGCCCAGCGAACCAGCCTGCTCCGAGGGCACAACATGCCCAAATCTTCCAACATTTGGAAGTGACATTAATATGGTTCGGTTGCACTTTCTCGCGCAACGAGAGTGTCTCTCCCGTTGGGGTTGGCCACTCTGTTCCCCGCTTTATTAGACACGGTCGGGAGGCTTCGTTTGAAATCAGAACAGCTGCCCAACCAAACTCCCTCCAGCGCCACGCTTCTTCGCATTGCCCTTCTTTTGCTTCTCCAAAGGGTTCCGTCTCTCCCACTCCTCGTCCGCCTTATACCGCTCCACAGCTTCCTTTACGACCCTATCGTCCTCCTCTTCCTCCCGCTGCGTCTCGGTGACTGACTCAGCAGCATGAGCATGGACCTCCTCAGTCCCAACAGCCTCCGCTGCTCGCTCGCCGGCCAAATCCACGGCCACCTGCCGCAGATACACTTCCGCAACCTTGTAGTCTGCACACTTGCTCCCAACCATGAACCTTCTCACCCTCACCTTCCGCCTCTCCTCGGCCGGATCAGGCGGATTGCTCAACGGCGGGCCCTGGTAGTGGCTGGCGGGCACACTCAGCGTCTTCCTTCCGGCCAGCAGATTTGAAGAGTAGAGATTGTTGTGCTGCTGAAGGACTGAGACAGGGACTTTATACGCCAGTGACAGCGACGTCAGTGTGTCATTGGGCGAGAGGTGATGTATCGTGTCCGCTGTCGATTCTCCCTCTGCGGAATCAGAGGTGTCTGAGGAGTGTCTTGAGTGTGTTGCAGTCGAAGTCGACGGTGTAGTCATACTGGTGGGCGTGTACGGAGGCGGCGCATCTCCTTCCGCAGCCTGCGCTAATTGTGCCCGTAACCTCGTGTCCCCTCCTTCCTTGCCGGTCTTGGTATACGCGGGAGGGAGTCTTAGTCCATTCTTGGGCAGCGCCGAGGCCTCAGAACTTATCTGGCAAAATGGGCAGTAGTCCTGGAATCTCGGATTTTTGTATTGACATGCGGCACAGATGATTCTTTCGCAGCAGTCGAGGTGTCGGTCGAAGGCGAGGGGCTTCTCTGATTTGTAGTCCCGCGGTATTTTCGTGTCGGAGAGGAAGGAGGCGCACGTGCAGCAAGTTGAGGTTGGAGGCGGCATCCTTCCTTCCCGCAAAGCTGGAGGTTGGGGTTTCCGTTAGCAACGAACGAAATGTCAGCGAAGCGATGTTTAATCTTTTGCAGTTGGAGGCTTTCTTCGTCGACCGAGAATGTTGTAAGTACTGAACCGCAAAGGTACTGTGGTGCATTGGTAGCGCAGGCAGATTCAAAGAGTCGAGCCGAGTCAATGACCTCAAGGTTCCGTTATCGATTGGCGCTTGTTCCCGTTAAGTCCGGGCCAGTTGAATCTGCCAGTGTAGATCCCGGTTGCCTTGTGGATGCCTTTTTCACAGCACGCTCCCGTCGCCATCGAAGCCGTGAGCGCCATCGAAGACTTGGTTGTGGTCGTAGTCGATATGAGCCGTGCGAAGTTAACGGCAAGTAGAGAAGGCGCGTCCGATTGTGACGGCGTCGCGGCCCCCGGCGAGTCGAAGCAGCATTCGATACCGACTCCACTCTGCCAATGTTACCAGACGGCTCGGGGGTTTTGTTCGGATTTGTCCTTGCTTGTATTTGCGTGTCCAGGAATTTGAAATTCATCAAGTGTGCCTCGTGCCTCAAGCTTATGAGATTCGCTGCTGTCTCTTTCGTGTGCGGCCTCTGTGTGATCTCGAGCTGCAATGCTGTTTTGACGCGCTTCGCCCGTTCAGCCGCCTCGTAGGGTACGACCTGAAGCCCACGCTCGACTAATTTTCCCCACACGTCGCGTACAATATCCTCGTTGTCCGCATAGCGTGCCCAAGAGAGCAGGTGAGTCGCAACACGCAGAAATTCAGGGCCAGAAAGTCCTCCTTCGGTGGCCAACTCGCTGTGGAGGAAAGCCCCCGCCGCTCTACGAGGGTCGTTCTTCCATAATAGTAGGAGGCGATGGTACCACCATACGACTCTCATACGACCATGCGTGGCGTTCTCCTGCAGTTTCAACATGGTCCAAAGCGCCTCTAGCTCTGCAAGATTGTCCGACGTGACGAAACCCCTGACGCGCGCAGAGATCCATTTCCGTCTGTCTTTCCCGATTTCCTGTCGCAAGGCGACCCACAAGGCCTTATCATCGGGCGACATCACGCTCTTGAACAGCTGTGTAGTTTTCATCAGGAGTCTTTGTTGCGACTGCCAAAGAAACAGAGTCCTATTAGCCAGTCTCAATGGCTGAATGGTCGTGCCATAAGACGAGGGGTCTCTGATCATGGGTTGATGGTCTCTTATTATGTGAAAAACACAGGTGTCGAAGCGACCAAAAGGGAAAAATCGAAACGCTCGCTCGGCATCTGCAGTGAAACCGCGAGGGTAGTCGAATACAGCGCCACGTCTGGTGAGTCTGGGCAGATTTTGTTGCAAAGCTGCACCTGTGTCGAAAGACACATTGGCTTTCGCCAAAGTGAGCCTCAACAGAACTCGATTCATCGGAGCAGCTGTTAAAGCACGTCCAACCCATCGAAGAAAGTACCAGTCGTCGGGCCTTGTACTCAGGATCGACCCATCACGGAGATCGGCAGTCGACTCTTCAGATTGCCCTGTGCTAGTATCTGTAGTGACAGTGCTGTGCCGAGAGTAGACATCCACACAGCCCGCGAGCTTCCAAGCATCCAGCAGCATGTTACCAGTCAATAGGCGGCAGATGCTAGCTCATTCTTAGCCTTATCATCCAGTTTTGAGTTCCATGTCGTCAACGGAGACAAGAGAGCTGCGCCAAAAGTTTGAATGGATTTTGAGTCTATAGCACGATCCTTTTCCCAAGAGTCTTTGGGAAAGATCGGCAGATTGTGGTTGACGATGGTGCCTGCATTCGTTGCGTGGAAGTTGCGCCACATTCGAATGAGAGAATCAAGCTGCAACCCGACCTTGTAGAGGCGAATGTAATTCAATTTCTCCAAAGGCGTTCCTGCCAGCTGTTGCAAGTATGGCATTGCTGCAGTGGCTTCGAACGCGTCACAGTACGGCCCAAACTTGAATTCACTCAACGCTGCGATTGACTTCGTAAGAGCCGCCACCCAGTATGACGACTCTAGCACACCACGTGAGTATAAGTGATTCAGCAGCCACTCAGTTGCACCATATCGAGGTAAGTTAGTCATAGCCCGCATACCATGATTCAGCAGCCACTCAGTTGCACCCAACTGAGGTAAGTGAGCATTATGCAAATCTTTTCTGTGCCTCTTCGCTATGCCAAACTCGACGGCTGCAAGTCGCCGGATCGTTGCGTGCAGAAGATCACGCTCTTCAGTCCCCAACGTCGTAGCGTCGATATAATGATTGAAGAACTCTGAAGATCGTAGCAGAGTCATGATGTGGCTCCCATATGCGTAATTCTCTACTAAGCGGCTAAGCTCCTCGAAGAATTGCAAGGCGCTGTGGCGCTGTGCAGCGCGGCTCAGTGTTCTGCGACCCAGGGGGACTGACGTCGAAAGACTTCCCTCCGGAGAATCTCGTGCCCGCAAGCCTGACTCGAGCCGGTCCTTGTCCGGGCCCATGGCAGCATCAAAGAAGATGTCTCCTTGAGTCATTGGAACATCGGAAGAAATGTCCTCTGCGTCAGGGCTAGAGCTACCGCGATGCACTGTCGCGCTCTGACGATCATCGAACGATCCGGAACGTCCATTTTCGGTATTATTGGCGGTCCCGCCCAACAGAGGCGAATTTACCTCAAATGCTTCCAGAGCAGCATCGAGTTCAGCGCGCCTGACAGGGTCCAACGAAGCACTGTGCGCTCTCACGACCTCGTCCGAGCCTGGGTCCGCCTTTGACGTTGTCGCCGCACTTTGCAGAGGGCGGACTGATGTGGAGCCATGGCCACAAAGAAGCTCGTGCCGACAGAGGCGCAAAAACTGCAGCGGTACATTCGATGAGCTCAGAGAGACGCGAAAGCGACCTAGACACCGGTACATACAACACTTCTCCGAAAAGTTGTGTCCGGCGAGAGAATTAAGCTGGAGAGTGCTACCAGTTGAATGTTGCTGTGAAGTCGATCAAGCTCCAGTCTTCTTGACGTTGTCGTGTGGGAAGGAAAACTGATATGCAAGGATTCCTAGAGCGATGAAGGAAGGTGGGTGTGGTCTTTCATTGAACACGAGCGCGATGGTTTGGCAAGACAGGGCAAAAGCGATTGGTAGAGAAATTCGGGTAGAAGTTCTGTGTTTCCCAAAGGGGCAATCTGGGACAAAGTATGTCTAATCCAGGAGGCATGGATAACTCGAACTTGCCCAGGTGTGTTCCAAGGTTGATACTACGATTGGCACAGTGGCAGAAGTCCCTTTAGTCGAGAGTTCCTAAGTATTAACAGATAATACAATATGTAGTTGTCTCAAAATGGTATCATGCTGCCTGACACATAACAGTCCAACGATCAACGCTCCCTGCCGCCCACCAGCATCTGTTCGTCCTCATCGTCTTCGCTGTGTCCCTACTAGTCGCCGAGCCAGGGATGCGCGCGCTGCATCTGCAGTGGACACAATACTATCCTTGCCCACCACCTCTTTGCTGCGCCTGCTGCATCTGCTGCATTTGAGCATACATCGCCGCCTGCGCCTGAGCCTGCGCTTGCGCATTCCCATGCCCACCCTGACCCTGATGCTGAGCCGCCTGCTGCGCGGCCAACATCTGCTGCTGCGCGTGCGCCATCTGCATCCCCTGCATATGCTGCGCTTGCTGCTGCTGCTGGGCCTGCATGACGGCCATATTCTGCTGGCCTCCACCCATATTCATGTTCATGCCGCCACCTTGGCCGTTGACCATTCCACCATGAGCCTGTGCTTGCGCCTGGGCGGCTTGTTGGGCGCGTTGCATCTGGAACTTAGCTGCATTTGTTGCCGTCGAGTTTCGAGCTCCTGCTGAGCAGCCTGTGCAGCCATCTGCTGGATCTTGACAAGCTCGGGCTGGGGCAGCTGCTGGGCATTGCCAGACAAGCCGTATCGCTGCATGGCTTGTTGGGTAAGTTGCCGCGTGTACTTGTTGAGAGATTGCTGATGGAACGCTTGCATCTGCTGCTGCATCGAGGCACGCTGTTGTTGAGGCTGCTGCATTTGTTGAGCTTGCATACCAGGGTTGCCCATCATCTGGCCCTGCTGCTGCGCCTGCGCTTGTAGCATTCGCTGCTGCTGCTGGTGTGCAAGAGCAGCCTGTTGTTGCTGTGGCGTCATTTGATGTTGGACGGGCGAGCCAGCGTTGCCTCCAGCTTGAGCGAGGCCTTGCATCTGCGCTTTCATCTGCTCTGAAAGCTGCTTGTTGTACGCTCCATGACTTTGCGCGGGCGAGCCAGCCATTTGTTGCTGATTCTGGGCATGCATCTGTTGTTGAGCCTGCATGGCGGCTTGGCGTTGCTGCATGGCGTTCTGCTGGGCGAGATTGTGTGCTAGTTGAGGATTCCCAGCCATCATGGCTTGTTGGTGTTGCTGTTGCATTTGCTGCATTCTCATGGCATTCTGTCTTCGCTGCATTTCCATTTGTTGGGGCGTCATACCGTTCGGCATCTGACCATTCATAGCCGCCTGAGCTTGCGCCATCTGTGGCGTCGGAGCCATCATGCTGCCGTGGGGACTCGCTTGCGTCATGTTCATGTGTTGCGCTGGTGTGCCCTGCCGCAAGATAGGAGTCGCGTTGCGCTGTCCAGGTGTTGCATGGGCTATTTGCGGTGTGCCGTTCCTACTCTGGTTGCTGAGTCCACGAGCCATTGGATGGCTATGCTGTAGTGCGGATCCAGGACGAGCAGGTGACCCAGCCCCTCCTTGACCCTGATTGACGACAGGTGAAGATGCAGCATGTGGCGTTCCTTGCCGGATAACGGGACTGTTCCGAGCCTGATTACCCATGACTTGGTTCTGCATTTGCGGTGGAATCGCACTGGCCTGTCCCTGTTGCTGGGCAGCCTGCTGGGCGGCCTGTTGCCGAGCAGCTTGTTGCTGCTGTTGGGCCTGCTGAGCCGCGGCTTGTTGTTGCAAGGCCATTTGATGGGCTTCTTGCTGTTGCTTTCGCAGCATAAGAGCATGCTGTTCCCTCTGGCGCAGAGCCGCCTTTCTCTTCTCGTCTTCAGCCGTCCGCTGCTGTGACTCGCGACGGGCTTCATCTTCCTGCAGTTGTCGGTCTTTATCCTGCTGCTTTTTCTCAGCCATATCTCGCTTGATAGTTTCCAAGGCGTTGAATTTCTCAAAGCGAGGCTGAAAGATGACGTTTGCGGCTGGTCCGTCAACGGCAGCGTTCGTGCCGCCGGGAACCCCAGCATTACGCTCGTCCATGATGAGCATGAATCTTTCTTGTTGCTTGGCGTGGGCGTCATCTGCTGCGAGCTCGGCGATGGTCCTCTTACGGCTCTTGGGTGAAGGCGGAGCAGCATTATGAAATGGATCCATTGTCATCTCCAACAAAGCCTGGGCTTCCAGAGCATTCGCGACGGGCTCAAGGTAGAGTGGCGGTGCGGTAGCATTTATGATGCGTGCTTCGTACTCCAGCAGATCTTTGGAGTCGATCTTCATCTTCTGCTTCTTCAGAGGCGGCCCTTTCTCCGTCAAGGGAGTGCTGGGCACGCCCGAGGTAGGGGTCTGAGGCACTCCACCTCTGGCGTTGATCTGTGACTGTTTCCTGTTCAGTGATTTGGGATCCGGAGCGAGCGCATCAATGCTTGTGTCTGCGTGGCGTGAGAGTCCTGTTGGCCGTAGACCGACATGGTAGATTCTGGGTTCAGGCTTGGATGACTGCGGTCTTGCATTCTCCTTGTCGGACGATGCACCATCTTTCTGCTTAGAGGGCGAAGACCTCTCTCCGACTGACTGTTTTGTTGGAAAAGGTGCATATGGTGACGGAGTTATGTGCGGATTGTAGTTGTGGACCGAGAACGGCTTGTCATTATCTGGGCCGTTGCTCTCGACGACAGGCTTCGAGGTATGGCGGTGGTCAATGACCTTGACAATGAGCCAGCCGTCGTAGAAAGTCACGCCAGCTTCTCGAAAATCTTCCAGCATATCGTGTGGTATTGTCTGTTTCTGCAGGTGCTCAATGAACACACGCATTGGCGATTGGTAGCTGAAACTGCCATCCTGCGCGTCGAACCTGAAATTTGTAGGATGTAGATGCACTATGAGCGAAGGTGGTCGGCCTTTGAATTTTCTAAGAATATGTCGTTCACTGGCAACTACGACGTTGTTAGCAAAAGACGCGTGTAAAGCTCGCCACATCGACTGACCATATGGCTCAGGAAATTTCCTCTGCACCCGTTTGTCGGCGGCAGCGTTCTCAGCAGTTCCCGTCCGCGTCGTTATGCGATGGGGTCTTCGATTCGCGCGGGCGGTGTTCGCTGATGTTGGCGTCGGCGGCAGTGGCTGCGGCGTTTGACCAGGAAGGCGCTTAGTGGCGGTCGATGGCGATGAAGACGGTAGTGCCGGCTTGGACATGTTGCCATTGGTCTGAACGAGTGGTAGCGAAGCCTTCTTTGTCTGCGGCGTGCTCCCTGGGCGGGATGCTACCACGGCCGCCATAGCGCTGGCGGAGGTCTAAGAACCTCCTCGGAAGCGAGAGTGGATGTTCTGCCTGCGAGGGCTTCGCTATAAAGCGACCTCGGGCATCGCCAACTGAAGCGCTGCTCGGGGAGCGAACGCGCAGGCTGAGGGGTAGAAAGCGAGCGCGGATGACTGTCGCTGTCGGAGTGGAGCCTAGTCGCCAGTCGTTCCTCCAGTGAATGTGATGGTTGTGGCCGTGAGTTGTGCGTGTAGAGATACGTGCGATGTAGTGAGTGAGGTTTGTTCTGGATGACTCGAGTAATGCATGTGCTGGCTCAATGTCGCGCAACCAACATCGACGTAAGGTTAGGTCACGCTTGGCGCCGGCCTGTCCCGCTTACCTAAGCACTTGAAATGCGGAGTAACAAGAGTACCTTGTAGATCAACCCCTACCCTATGACCACTCCAGGGCAAGCAGTCTATTGTCCGGCATATGCAGTTGCAAGACTCGTACGCAACCGGCGTGACTGTTGCGAACGGACTTCCTGATTGGAATCAACCGTTCAGTACGATGTTCAAGTACTCAGCCACAGCTACCATGAATGCTTCGAGAAATGCTCGCTGTATGACTACACAGGCTACAACTTGCGGATCGCTACCAAAATATTTCAAGTCAACCGCTGCCACCATTATGTTTCGTCGTCGTTGTGTCCTCAGTCTTGCTCATTGACTCTCCTCCCCCAATCATCACCAACCTTCACGCCCTCCACCACAGCAACCCTCTTTCCCAGCCCAGTCCGTTCCTCCTTCATCCACCAAACGCCCGTACCGTCCTTTCCGCCCATTCTCTTCCTCTCCACCTCATCATCAGTATCAACCAACCCTCCAGCGCCGCCTTCATCACCAACCACGACCACAATCTGCCTGACCCACCCACTCAGATCAGCCACAATCTCGCCCTCGCCTGCGTCGCCACACAGGGATTCTTGAATGTAAACGATTTCCGGCGACAAGGACTTCAGAATATGTTTGTGCCCCGCGGGAGTCGTGAAGGGCATGATATGTGAGTCACGCTCGACTAGGGCACGGGCTTGGTTGTGGAGTGTCTTGAACAGGGTGGAGCTCGAGAAGAGGCTGGAGTCCTCTGGTGCTGGATCGAGCTCCGTGAGACCAGAAGTTGGGAACTCGCCAGGTGTCTGTGCTGGAGTTTCGGGAGTTTGATCGCCGGGATGGCTGATGTTGCTGAAGGAGGAAGCCATCGATTGGGAGCGCATCGATTGTTGAGAGGCACTTGTCGTAGCGAGCGGATGAGTCTTTAGATCAGGTGCATAGATCAACACAAATACTCTTGTAGTGTCCGGATCCAGATGCTCCGGCAGATGTGCAAGAATCGACTATCGCATGTTAGCAAAATCCTCTCAATGCGTACGACCTCCTGAAAGAACTCACAGCATGATTTCCCAGCTCTGTAGCCGCAGTACCATTCTCCACCGCCGACACAACGATAGCCACTGTCCTCCTCTTCTTGCCCTTATACCCACTCATCCTCGTCGGCAACTTAACCTCCCCCGAAAAGTACTCGTCCGCCGTCCCCCTCCTCTTCAGACCCTGCTTCACCTGGCCCCTCTCCCTCTCACTGTCCCTCTGCTCAGCCTCCTCACTCCACCGCTCATGATCCCGATACGCGCCCTGATCACCTTCCCTTGCAGCCCCCAACGCACCACCAACCATCGCACCAGCCGCAGCAAAACCAGCCGCAACCTGCTGGGACGCCCAATTCAGCGTCTGATTCGGCGTAGACGATCTGCATGCCCAGCGCAGAAGACATGCGAGCTACCAACCCGGCTCCTGCTCCTGCTGCTCCACCCGCCCTCCGGCCCATCAACACCCCCGCGAAACCCGCCCTGCACAGGCGGCATCCCCATCCCCGGACCAGGCGGCCCGCCCTGCTGCATGCCCATTGGTCCTGGCCCGGGCGGCATTCCCATACCACCTGGAGGCGGAGGCCCCATTCCTCCGCTCATGCTTGCATAGCCTGGTGGTGGGACGCCACCGCTATAATGTTCATGATCGCTATCCTCATCATCTTCCCGTCGCTCCGACCATACCCAGGCTGCGACACCGACGACGGCGGCGCCGACTGTAAGGACTAGAGGAACCCAGTAGCCGAAGGTGGAGCGATTGGATGAGGCACCGTAGGAGGGAGAGGTAGTGCGCCGGCGGCGCTCGGTGACTGTATATTGGTAGGACATCGTTGTGGTCGTGGACTATGCACGCATTGTAGAGATGACCGACAGCTGCCCAGTGCGATTTGAGCGCTATGCGCGGTGTTGCCGAGTGGTGGCTGCACTCTTGGGCCGTAGTAGGATGATGCCGAGGACAAGAGGGAAGGGCTTTGTTTACTGCCTGATGCGCTTGATCGTGTTGCGCTTTTCGAGCTACTGGCGACAGCGGACTTGAAAGTCTTACGGGAGAGACGACGGTGAGAGGAAGAAAACGAAGCTGCTCTAGGTACGCGATCAATGTAGAAGTTTGAGGTGGGTGGCTGGAAGGTGTCCTTCGTCAAGAACCATGTGGCTGGCGATGACCACTCGTGGGGGCGAAAGGCGTTCCCCACGAAATCGTTGCACAGGCCAACGAGCACATGCGAATTGCAACGATCTACCATACGTATCAGTTCCCATTGCCAGCGTCGTTCTTGCCGCACTTCCAGTAGTCATCCTTAGCCAACCAAGAAGCCAACACCGTCTATGTCAGACAATGACGGTCTACGACATCGCGGTCCCTCGAAGGCCAACGATACCGTCAAACCAGTAAATTCGAATCCCGCGCAGCGTATACAGAAAGACGATGATGGTCCGGGCATCTCCCTCCTCGACATCCTCCGCATCCTCCTTACACTCGTCATCCTTTCATGCGCCTTGTCCTACTACCTAACACCAACCTCCTCCCTCATCTGGGGCTACTCGGCCTGGTTTACCAACCCAAAGGCTGTCGTTCAATACTTCCAAGGCCCGGTGGTGCTCACACTCGAAGAACTATCACAGTACAACGGCACGGACTTCTCTAGACCCATATACCTAGCAATAAACAGCACAATCTTCGACGTATCCGCCTCGCCCCAAACCTACGGCCCCGGCGGCTCCTACTCTGTCTTCGCTGGCCGCGACGCCACACGCGCCTTCGTCACTGGCTGTTTCGCCGATGACACTACCAGCGACCTACGGGGCGCTGAAGAGATTTACTTGCCCGTGGAGGATGTGGAGGATGAAGGTCTGAGCAGTGGGGAGAAGAAGGTCAGGGCGGAGAGGGAGAGGAGGGAGGCGAGAAGGAGGGTGAGGGGGGAGGTTGAGCATTGGGTACAGTTCTATAAGGGGAATGCGAAGTATTTTGAGGTTGGACGGGTGGTGCAAGAAACGAAAGAGGATGAAGGTCCTCCACCGGTGCTGTGTGAGGTCGCGCAGAAGGGACGGCCGAAACGGAGTAAGATGAATAGTGGCAAGAACAAGAAGCAGGCAGCGCCGGGAAAGCCGGTACAGTAGAGCAGAGGCGCCGGATTTCAATGACTTAACTTGAACCAAAATGACCAACGACAATTTGGAGTTCTGTGCTTGAACTTTGAACTGTGTGTTGCGAATGCTGTAGACTTGTGCTTTCATTGTGGCTGCCGTGTCTCAAGTCCATCATACGTGCTCCTGAAAGCTCATATGTCACGCCATGTCTGACAAACCGTCATGACTTCGCTCACACGATACCATCGAGTCGAGTTCTGCACTGTATGGAGAGCGCTTTCCCTTGTCGAGGTCCTTGACCGCAAGATCTCTCGTTGCAGACAAGTGGCGTCATAGTTTCAAACCGTCCACTCACATCCCGATCACTCTTCCGTCCTGGTGGAAGCACTTAATCGCCACCAGCACCAGCCCTCGTGTAGATGCTTCCCGTGCTGTGCGCAACAACCTTCTTGATCGTGCCCTTCTCCTCCAAATCGTTGAGTGCTCGCCTCGCGAGACTGCCGTTAATCTTCAATCTGTCCACTAAGACGGCGACTGTGATGAGTTTGTACGATTGGACATCCTTGTTGAGCTTGTCGGATGTGGCTTTGTCGAGCACGACGGCGTGGTTGGCCTTGTCCTTGACTGTTCGTATTTGTCAGTAATGTCCGACTTTGCATGTAGGCGAGGATCTGGAGCCTAGTGATGATTTTCCGTACCCTTTCCCTTTGACCACTTCTTCTTCTGCTTCTTGCCGCCAGACGACGCTGCCGGTGCCTAAGTATGTCGTTAGTAGTTGTTTCTCGGGCGGGCAAGATCTTGGGGCGGATTGTACCATATTGAGTAGATTTCGCGGTGACTTGTCGGGGACGCGAGATCAAGTCTTCGTGGGTTGGGAGGGATGTAAGAGGATGAGAGTCGATGATGAGTCGTCGGTAACTGCGCTGCGGAGTGCCCGCACTGTGGCCGAAGAATTCTAAAAGCTTGGCGATCACGTGATCTCTATCATGATGGAAGTGGTCGTTGATCCGAAGTCGACGACGGCGACGACGCAGCTGTAACTACGCAGAGACTCGACACAGGCATGGGATTGGCACTACGTGGAATGTGTAGCTTCGACATTGGATCATGGCGGTACTTTTTGGTATCTAGTTGAGGCTACCATAAGAGCAGTCTCTCACCGCTCACAAATCATGGGTATCATTCATGTGATTCTGCTGACAGATGGCGACCTCGATTAGATTCTCCTTTCCCCTAGTAGAAGAACCCAATGATCTTGCCCGACACGTGCTTCCGTCGAGCCTCCTCGTGGTCCATGATACCCGACGAAGTCGTGAGAATGATGTAGCCGAATTGACGAGAAGGCAGCAGCTTGACAACCCACTTCTCGAGGTCCCGAAGAGCAACATTGTAACGGGGAGAGATGACACCAGTCTTGTTGAGGCGGCCGTTGAGTTGGACGACGATCTTGCCGTTGCGGTGGTCATCGACCTCTTCGAACTCGCCGATGTAGCCTGGATCAACAGTCAGATATTGCTATCGTTGAGTGTGGGAGATGTTGCGATCGAATAAACATGAACAGTCCACAGAATACAAGGAAAAGCTATGTGTAAGACCGACCGCCAATATTATCTTCTTCTTTCGGGCCATTAAAGGGTCAAGGTTGTCGCGCAGGTATCAAACCAAGGCCTAGTTAAACCCGAATAACAATGAAAATGCGAAATTATTCTTGCACGTACCGTGTCGCTGCATGACCTGGAGGAACTTGACGATGACCTTCGAGCTTGGTCGAATGAGGACCTGACGCTTGCCGGCCTTCTCGGCGTTGTTCATGCTCTTGAGAGCGTCATTGAGGACGGAGGTGCGAACCATCTTTGCGGTGTTGTGTCGTTCGAGGAGATTCTCAAGTCGAGGGAGCTGGGACTTGAGGTGTCTGCAGGAAGATTATGTCAGTCTTCAGTAGCCTCGAGCGTGGAAGAGTGCCCAACAAAGGGTTCTCCAGCTCGTGTCGCAAGAAATGAGCGTGTCTGCGCGGACGTCGTCGACCATGTTACAAGTCTCTTTCCGACGCAGAGTGCTCATCTCAGGCTAGCTGAAGAGGGTGTTGGATTTCGACATACCTCAAATGAACGTCGTTGAGATTGTTGGTGGTTGAAGGAGAGTGTGGTCGATAACGAGGAAGATCGATAGTCGCAGGTGCGCAAAAATAAAAGCCAAGATTTCTTCGGATAAGATCTCCGACTCCCAAGCATTTCTTAGAGATGGCCGGCAGTGGGAATCAACCCTCGTACAGGTGTAGATACTCAGGCACATTGGATTACTCACTCTTTCAAACATCCTAATGCTGGCTTTCAATTCAGTCTATGGTCTCCGGTACTATACAATATGCACTGAGTTCGTGATCTCGTGATTGCGGAAAGGAAATTCGAGGTGGTCTGTAAAACCATCGACGCTGGCAGCTCTTCGTCTATCCTGGTAAGTTGTGGTCCTTTGTACGACTTGTCTCGGCAATCTTCAGAGCAGATTGTCTTGATAGTGATGAGCTCTGGTGTCTGATCACAGCTCCTTCTTCAAGAAATGCTCGGGCTTGTGCGTTGTCTCAAAATCGACATGTACATATGCCCGCTCCACATCCGGCAGACTCTCCAGTTTCATCTGCAGCTCCTCCGCCACATCATGGGTAGCCCGCAATGTGTCCTCGGGATCCATCACGATGTCAACCTCCACGACTAGTCGTGGTCCAGAATGCCACGCTCGCACAGTGTCGATCTGCTTGATCGCATCGCTGTGCGTCATGCTCACGTATGTGATCAGCTGCAGCGTCTCCGTATCCGCGGTGATGCCGATGAGAAGCTGGAACTCTTCGTAGGCGGTGTGCAGCCACAGGCAGGAGATGAGCACTGATAGAATGATGGCACCCATGGGATCCAGCCACCACACGAGCTTCGACCCACCAACCGAGGTAAGAATACCAAAGCCGTTGATGAAGAGATCATTGCGGTGGTCTTCCCATAGGATGCGAACTTGCGAGTACTCGCCTTTGATGCCCCAGCAGTAAAAGAAGAGGCAGAGCTTGGTCGTGAAAGCCACTGACACAGCGATCACCGAAGGTAGGTAGAAGGACTTAGTTTCCGACTGTCCAGCGTGCTGCACAAGATCCTGGATGGAGAAGGCGATGAGTATGAAAGATACGCAGACCATCAGGAAGGCAAAGACGATGTTGCCAGCGTTCTCTATGCGCGCGCGACCTGCGGGGAACTTGCGAGGATCGACTTTGGTGACGGCCTTGTTGCAGAGGATCAGAGTGACGTTGGAAAGCGGGTCGAAGACGGAGTCGGCCGCAGTCGTGAACAGCGACAGCGATCCAGATGAGATGGCGGCATAGAGCTGTATGATCGAAAGGGCAATATTTGCACCAAACGAGCCATAGACAGCAATCAAGTACTTGAACTTGGTAGACTCCTGCGAGTCCTTGGCCTCGCGAACATGCTCATGCACTGGCTTCAACAATCGTTCGATCTGGGAATTTTGCGACTCGTAGAAACCCGCCACTTTCGAGGCAGGCTTACGGCCAAGATTGACTGGATTGCAGTATGCTATGTTGTCTCTTTTGCGAGCGCTGTTGGCGGTGATGCTGTCGAGCTCGGCTTGTGTCTTCACTCTTCTCGATAGATCGAGTGGATCTGCTTGGGACGAATATGCAGGAGCTTGCGACTCGGTGTCGTAGCCAGGAGCCGATCTATGGCGCGAGCCGTCGTCCATGGCAGTATGCTCTTCCACCGCCGAGGTCTTTGCTTGGCCGTAGTGTAGGCCGCTAGAAGACTCCATGGGCTGGTGTAGCATGCCCAAGGTGGCATGCGTGGGATGCGTGTTCATGTGAATGGACTCCATGATGTGAAGGCTTGACAGCTAGGTCCAGTAAGGATAGTCACAACGGAGAAGACAAAGAATATCAGTACAAGGCGCGGATGCCTACAAAACGGTGGCGGAAGACATGCTCATCGAGATATCGCTCTATGCAAGCGCGGACCGAGGATTGAGTTTGTCCTGTAGTCCAAGGCGGTCAGTTAGGTTGAGAATGGCGGGAGAACTCTACGTGGAAGCTTCAACCCCACGGGAATGCACAGCCACACGCGAGGCGATCTATGCAGTGGCGGCATCGAGTGACGTTCCTGATCGCCGAGGAAGATCCATGCGTCGGTTTTACGACTTTCATCAGTCTGTTGGCAGTAACATCCGCCCGCGCAGTCGTCTGTAAGACGCCGTGAAAGAGCATTGACTCGTTTCGGCTACGAAGTACTATGAAACCATCGCCTCGCGTGTGCTCGCAATTCGTACCAGATTCGATATCTGCCAAACGAAGTATCAGGCGTCCTCGTACCTAGCTAATCCGCAGGTCTTCTTGTATATAATTTCTAAGAACACTTCCGGGACCAGATTGCAGCTCAACAGGTGCAGCTCCTTTCCAGCAACATCGTGGACAGCGGTTCCGGCGCAAAATACCGGGCCTCAAGCGCAATGGAAGCCTCTCAACTCAAAACCTCTCCCTCTACGCCGTCCCCGCTGCCTGGTGGATCGCCTTCTTTCCCCATCCATATGCCTTCCTCCGCTACAACGCACTGATGAGGCCGCGCAACTCTGATGGTAAAAGCGCTGTTGCGGGCTCGAGTCCAGATTGGCGGTACAGTACCGCAGAGCCCAAATCCTTTCTTGGCAAAGTCGATGCCAATCCACATCCACGGCTCACCCCTGAAGCCAAAGGCCAGCTACGTCGCGCTGAATATGCGTCGTCGAATGGGTTTGAGGGACTGGGCTTTTTCTCGGCGGCGGTGGTTGCTGCGAACATCGGGTTGATTGTGGTGCATGCGAATGAGGGGCAGGCTTATGGTGATGAGTTGTGGTATGCGAACGTCTTCAGCTGGGGATACTGTGTTGCCAGGTGTCTCTACAATGTGGCCTACATCCGAGGCGTGACCGGAAACGTACGGGGCGTATTCTGGTATACAGGCATAGCTTGTGCGACGACCATGTACATACGCGCCGGGAATGCTCTGAGGTTACTCGTGAAATGAAGAAACTTTTTAACATTTCTCACCTCATTTCAGCCCACCTCCGATCACTATCGACTGCCCTGTCAAGTATCCAGTCTTGACCAGCATCCCTACAACGTTGCCTACCTCCTGCGGCACACCCAATCTGCCAACAGGTATGTTCTTAACATCACCCGGACTTCCCTCCACAGCCTTCGCGTCCGGAATCATGCCCGTCTCCCCTATCATCGCCGGCGCCACATCATTGACACTGATGCCATCCTTCGCAAGCTTCTGCGCCAGGTTCTTGCACATCCCCATCAACCCAGCCTTGCTCGCCGCATAGTGACACCCGTTGATCCCACCACCATAGCCGGCTATGCTGCCCATGAGGATGATGCGGCCCCAGTGCTTGGCGATCATGTGTGGTGCGGAGAGCTTGCACAAGATGAAGGACGCCCGCAGGTTTATTCGCAGTGTGAGGTCAAACTCTTCGACTGGAATGTCAATGATGGAGGAGATGCGGGCGCCGCGGCCAGCATTGGACACTAAGATATCTGGGCCTGGCTGACCGTGCTCTTTCTCTAATTCTTGGAATAGTCGATCGAAGTCTTTGTCCTCGCCCATGTCAACTTTATGCGACGATATTCGCCGTGATGAGTCGGACGGAAAGGAGGCAATGAGTTCGTCGACTTTAGCCTTGGAGGCCGAGTAGGTGAGAGCCAGGTGGCAGCCCTGGGAGTAGAGCTCGCGTGCACAGGCGGCGCCGAGTCTGTTTGCATGTAAGTAATGCGTCTGTGGCAGCATCGGGACGCGCAACTGACCCTCCCGAAGCGCCAGTGACAAGTGCCAGGCGGCCTTTCACCTCATTGTCAACCTGAGCTTGCGCCGACATTTTTGTGGAAGACGTGAAATGGTGCAAGCCTCCACACGACCTCCCAGCAAGGACTTCCCAGGCCACTGTTCGCCAACACTTCTCAAGACTCGGAAGTTCCGTCGTGCTCGCACAGTGAGGGGGTGGTCGGCGTTTGAACAGCAGTTGGAGAAAAGCGCTCCCCCGCGCATTGCCTCTCTAGGAGCTTATGGGCCCGGCTGGAACAGCGGCTGCCTCGCCCCAGCCATGTCAGATCAGCCTCAGAACAACAAATTTCCATTGAGGTCGATAAAACCATTCGAGTTTGGCATCTGGCCCCAAGCCGACGCGTCGATTGGCACGAAAGAAGAGCCAGCCCCGTTCCAATCTGGCATATTCGAGAACATATTTGCGTTGCTGCCGGATTGAAGCATCTGGTCATTACTCACGAAATCGCCGACGGCCTCCAGATCGAGCCATGAGAATTCATTCGCAGGACTGAACTGCATGAAACCCTGCGCGTCCATCTTCAAACTTCCCGTAGACATCTGAGTGTCCGACGCAGCGGCTGGAGAGCTCATCGGTAACTGAGCCACTGCAGGAGCTGCGGGCGTGGCATTGGGTCTGCTTGTGGTGGTGGGGCTCTTCAGCCATAGAAGCTCCAGCAGCCGGGCATACCGTGAGCCTGGGTCTTGTGCTGATACAGAAGCCCGCTTCAATACCTCTGTGACGTGATACACCAGCTGCCGGACTTGTCGTTCTTCCATCTGATCCATTACGCCGAAGGAACGGGCCTTGTACAGGAAGACAGCAGAGTAAATCCCGTAGAGATAGTAGCGCAGTGGCATGTACCGCAAGTGGCGAACTGGATCAACCTGTGTGCTCAGGAGACTGAGGTATGTTTTTGCAGCAGACACACTGGAGAAGATGAATCGTGCATCTTGCATGGTAGCGACATTCGAAAACCAGTCTTTCAGATGGTCTCGCAACGATGTCTCTTCTTGTTTCGGCTTTGCCGCGATGGCCTGGCTGATAGCGGCTTGGAACACGAAAGCATTCGTGTACAGCGACAGGTATTCGTAAGACATCTGAAGGGCAACTTTGATGTGGTGTGAGCACGAGAGGCCTCCCCAACTGATGTTCCAGCGGGCTATACCTGTGCGAAAGTCATCAACATACTTGACGTAGTCGCCGAGTAGCATCATCTGGCCGGATGTGCGCATGCCGGAGTAGAGAACGTCATGCACATTTGTATAGATCTGGACCAAGTCCAGCGTGGCCTGGAAGATCTTCGCGTAGTCCTCGTCTGCGGAATTGACTGGAGCAAGTGATGGAAAATCTCGTGACGACAGTCCAGTCATTGGGCCTGGGCCTCTAGACCAGAAAGCTTTGCCAACCCTGCAGGAAATCAGTCTGTCCGATATATAGCAATTGGCCCATGCAAAGCGCTTTCGACTATCGACCTTGGCCTCTTCCTCTGTCTCACTCCGAAAGGCCGTCCGGTCCAGACTGAGATAGTAGCCAGTCCTTAAGGCAATGCCAACATGCATCCATGCTGCTCTGTCTTCTTCACCTCGTCCGACGGCTTCGATTCGGTTTCGCAGGCCCTGTGGTTCCCACTCTGCCAGCAGTAATAGTGCTTCGACCGCCTCCACCTCACAGTCAGCACCAGCTGCGATGCCTGAGATGAGGTCATGCATATATCGTGAGCAGCATACGTGAATATGAGGTTGCTCGATCAAGTCTTTTGATGAGATGGTCAGCACTGCCGTCAATAAGTGCTTGTCGTTCACGGCGAAGGCGTCCAGTTGAGAGGTGTCGAAGTATTTCCTGGGCACAAGGGGAAGATATGGATGGTAGTTGTCAAAGAATCGATGTACCAGCATCTGGACCACGTCCACAGTCAAGTAGCCTTCACGTACGAGGCGATACGAGGCGATACCAGCATGCACTCCGTTGACAGATCCTCGTGCGTCCTTTGGTGCACCTGGTGCAGAGCTGTTCTGTCCTGAAACGTTAGACACTGATTCTCTTTTCCTTTCCAGGTTGTCAGCCTCTCGCGTTGCTACATCTTTGAGAAGCTGCCACGCGTCCGATGGGTTCCTTGGAATGGCTGTCGCGATCGCGCTGTCGGCCGTCGAAGCATCATCGTCATCGTCCGCATCGCGGTCATCTATCGCGCTCTCATGATCGGTGGCCGTTGCTGTGGGCGGTCCCGGGTGGGCAACTTCGGGCGACACAGGAGGAAAAGGTCTCTGAAAGGCAGGAGTGGCTTGCGAGATAGCGCTGCTCGCGTGCGACGCGGTCAAGGTGAGAGGAGCATGGTCACCAGACACATTATTCTGGTCGACCTTCTTCTTCCGTATGCGTGAGCCTCCACGGTTCGACGTAGCAAGGACGCAGTCCTTGTTCTCTTTCAGACATCTCCCGCATGGCGGCTGACCTCCAGATGCGTCTCTGTAAACGAGATGCGGTCAGTCAAGATGTCGAACGTATTCATTGATGGTCAGTGCAACAAAGCCGTTCTTGTTGTTGCGCAGTGGTGGAGATCGAAACGCCGCCCAGACACCGACAGCGGCGATTGAACAGCCCTAGAACTCTGGACGTGAAGACGGGTGACTTACAGGTCGCATTTCGATTTCCTCGCGCGACACGCGAAACATGCACGGGATACTCTCTTGTTTGGCGTGTTCTTCAGTTGATCTGCCATTTGCCTATCGCCGCCACAAGGCGCAGCGTACAGAGCAGGAAGAGAAAGGTCGGCAATTGAATGAAGGCGTCGCTTTGGGGTGCCGCCACCAACAGGCGGGGAATCCCTGTAGCGCCCCAGAGTCTAGGAAGCTCCCCACCATTACACGACATTCAAGTACTACATGCAGCTCGTCATCATCAACTACATTACCGACAGGTGACTGGATTTCAAGCTTCAGTCAACATGCTGCGAACGGCGACTCGTCAGATGTACTACGGCTGGGCACCGTACATTCAAGGTCGACATGACTGGCATAGGGGTGCCTACCGTTGGGCAGCAGCACTCACCATCCCCTTTCTGATCGACTACATCAGTCGAGGCTCGGGTGATGGTGGAAGCGGTGGCAGCAAAGACAGGAAGGGAGCAATGAAGGAAGCAGTGCATGGGAAAAGCATGATTTCGTTGCCTATGCCGACCGGAATCATGGCTAGGATGTGAATATACGGGATTGATATGCAACACTTCGAGTTCTGGCTCTCTATCGAAAGGGGTTGGGAAGGTGTACTTACTCTGCAATGCACGCCAGTCGGCCGGTACGAGGCTCCCGGAAGCGGACCTTGAGGCTCTTTGCTGCTTCAAGCACGACTTCTGGTACCTTTGCTACCGCTGATGGCTTCGCGGGTGGCTTTGGCGGTGCTGGGAAGTCCCCGAGTGAGATATCGTCAGACGAGACCGACGAGATCGAGGAGAGCGACGACGCCACAGATCTCGCTAATGACTTCGAAGACACCGTCGAAGATACCGTTGAGTCAACGGACACCACGGACTCGCAGCTTCTTGATGTGCAGGACAACTTCGAGGCGTTCAGCTTCTGCATCTTTGTCTTCAATACCTTACCGGCCTTCCGCCAAGCTGTGGTCTTCTTGCCAGACCGGAGATCCCATGGCAGCACTCGGCGTTCACCCTTGTCAGTGTAGAGGTCAGTTTTCTCTTTCAGAAGGTTCAGCATACCTGGTGAGCTTTTCTTCCTCAGCCGCGAAGACCTCCGCAGACGCTTCGGCTTCCCTCCACGAGCGTGGAGCTCCTGGCCGATGAGCTCATCTATCGAAGGCTCGGGCGCTTCTAGCATATGAACGTCTTCGGTTTCTGTCTCAGTGTCGACTTTCGGCTCGGCTGTCTGCTCGTTCAGCTCCTTCAATGTGGCTTGCAGCTGGCATCTCTGGTCACGTATGTCTGCTTTGGCAGCATCGAGCCGTCGGAGATACTGAAAATCTTCCTTCGCTCCAGTCCTAAGCTTATAGTGCAATATCTTCAGCGCCTCGGAGTGCTTACCTGCAGGGTTCCGGACTCGACTTCTTCGAAGCTTCTCGCGTTCAGCAGAGGGCAGCGACAGATCCCTCCAAGCTGCCCGTCGATTTTGCAGCATGCGAAATGCCGGCTGGAAGATAGGGCCAGCAGCCAGTTGACCTGTGTAAGCGTTAGTGTCAACGCGGCGATCGAGATTGGTCCGCATCTCCTGTAAGGCCACGATCTGTTTCCAATCTTGAAGTCGTCTAACATCGAGAGTGATATCGATCTTTTCCAACAGTGTTATTCGAGCGTCTTCCAATCGCGTCTGCGATTGCGGGTTGCTATCTTGAGTCACCATGGCGTCGATATCAACTCCTTTTCTGAGAGTGCCGCTTTCAGCAGCATGAAGTCTAGCTGGAGCAGTGGGTGGCAAGGATTTAGTCATGTTGGTGCAAGGAGGCCTCTTTCGAAACGGACTATGGTATGCGTATGGTCGACCGGAGCTCAGGACACCTCTGTATTGAAGAGGCATCGTGGCCCAGCAGGAGTGGATACCGCAGACCACAATGTCAGATGCTGTGACTACAATGGTCTTGGTCTCCTCAAGTAGAAATAGATGATGGGACGAGCCGGAACCAAGGAGATGTGGGGAGCTCATTGTGATCTTGACAATGTGCCTTATCGCAACTTGTAGACCTTTCTTTGTCCGCAATATGCGCCTTGCTCTTTGTCTGAGCGATCTCGAAACTGCCGGTCAGTATGACACCACGACCATCTCTGAGGTGGCCCTGGGCACTCAGACTAGCGCGAAGGTCACGCGAGCGATCTGGAAGGAGCTAACACTGACAGGACGCAAAGTAGGCCAGGCGCCGAGAATGACAGTGATTTTCAAGGCTTGGAATAGTAGCATCGGGAAAGCGCTCATCGCATGTTCATTGAAATCGCATGGGTCATGACTCTTCGTATTATGCAGCCTCGGCGGGCTCTATGATCATTGTGGCACAGTAGCACCATGTAATACTTCGGTGTATCTCTCTCTGCTCCCCCAACGTCACAGTCCATTACCACAGAGGCCCACTGCCCGCCGCTCGTCGTGGAAGGTACGCTCCCGCAGCTTCGCTTGAATTGCTGTCCGAGTAGTCCGGACTTGGTGGCGAAGTACCAGAATAATTACCTGTCTGCGTAGTAAAGTGATCATCAATGGTCGTCAGATTATCGATCCGGCCCAACAAGAACTCGAGCTGTCGGTAGGCAGCACTCGGGACGTATTGTGGAATTTCATGTCCAGCCAGATCGACCGTAACCCAGGTCAGGCCTCGTTCGGTGTGCGTGGTACCCAGTGTGCCACCGCCAGAGACAAGACCGACAGGGATTGCCGGAATGGGCTGGGTTGTCGTCTCCAAAACAACTTCGCCGATAGATGGGTTGTACGGGACGAAGAACTTGCCAGAGGGCGCCTCGGAGAAGCCTTGAGCACCATTCCAGGTCATGTTGTTGAGTGTAGCAAGCGTGCCGTTGGCTATGATGAGATAATCCAAGAGCCCGTTTCCGACAATGACGTTGTTGGTTCGCTCGATCACATACGGCAGGGCGGTGAAAGAACTGGGCAGAGACTCATCGCCAGGATCGAGCAGTCCTAATGAGTTATCACCGCAGACAGCGTAGTCAGCCTTAGCGTGGAGCGCTTCCTGGACGTCTGAGCGGTTGAAGTAGTTGTTTGGGCCGATTCCGAGAGACGGGAATCCCATCTCGTCCCAGAGGAAGGGACAGTAATCTGTGAGGTGGTAGAAATTGAAGCACGGATTGACGTAGATCGAGGCGGTAATGATGTCGTCCCAGATAGAGCAGCCCTCAGCACTGATATTTGGGGCAGTGAACTTGCTCTGGGGCGGGAAAGTCAGAGCTTCCTCCATAAAACTGAAGTAGCCGCATTGCTCTGCGCGCTGATTGACAGACTCAACGAAAGTGTCGTTCAGACCGAATACCGGGAGATATTTGTTCATGTGCGTGACCGACGGTGCGTAGATGAGCACAGCGTCGTCTCCAATCGAAGGATCATTGATCTGAATGCCTTTGACGTTATAGTATTCAGTGTCGTTCTGCTCAAGCATGGTCTGTGCGATGTATGGGATGTACTGGCCAGCATAGGATTCCCCAGTGAGGTAGACATCGTACCCAGTCATATTGAACGTATCGATGAAGTTCTTCCAGAAGCCTGCGAAGTTGGCGCCAACGATCATCTCGTTGGTGATGTTTGCGGGATAGCCTTCAGCATAGGAGCCGAGTCCCGTGCCAACAGGTTGATCCACCCACACCATATTGGTCAGGTTCTGATTATATTAGCTATACCCACATAAGGCCTCCGCGATACTACTTACCGTCCAACTGAACGGATTAGGCTGCGGCTCGTACGTCCCGCTTTGCCATAACACTGGGCCATTCTCTTGGAAGAAGCCATCCAGTGACGAGCAGCCAGGACCGCCATTTAGCCAGATTGTGATCTCATTGGAAGCATCTGGGTTATCAGATGGGAAGAACCAAAAGAAAAGCGCGTTCTCATTGCTGGTGTCGTTGTTGATCGAAAGGGTCCCAGCATATGACTCGCCGACGTCGAAGTTGATCTCGGGCAGTCCGGTGCCATTCACGGAGAATTCTGCTTGAGTCAGTCCGGCTCTAGCTCTGGAGATCCCGATCACTTACGCTCTGTTTTGTTCGTTAAGAAAGGACTGGATGCACGCTTATCGAGCCTTCGTGGTTCAGGTGTGCGCGCAACGACCTTAGGTCGCGCATATTGCTGCGCCTTGTGGTGAGGATTGCTCACGGCTCCCAGAGCGCAAGTGGCCAGAGCGGCCAGAGCGAAGGTCTGTATATACATGATGAAGATGTGAGGAGAATACCAATCGTGGCAGAGAGAGAACTGGTAACGGCGCACACCCACTATTTAGAATCACGCGCTCGCACGAGCAGCGTGGCAACAGAAGCTCGAAGCCGTACACTTTTTGTCTTCCTATGACGACGTTCCATCGTCGTCCAGGATCTGCGTATCGGCGACGACCAATAAGCGAACCATGGTCAGGTACCGCAACGGCTGGAGGCGGATCTTCGCATGACTTAGGTAAAGCTTGTGAGAGCTTGTGCGAGCTTCTCCATGCTTGAGGTGCTTAGTGTGAGGCGTAGTGTCGACTTATCGTGCCATCTAAACTGTATGGAGCAGGTAAAGAAGGTGAGGTAGCATCCTCGCATGAACTTTAAGAATGGGTACGTAATCGATAACCTCGGTACCTGGTCTGTTAGAGGAAATGCTTCTTACAGCTCTGTAGGATGGTGGCCGTTATCTTTTAGTATCGCAGAGCGGACCAATGGTCTCGCGGATCTGATGACGGTCCCTGTCACCCAGCGACACAAACCGCATCAGTGTCGAGGAAGCAGACGTGTATCCGGGGAAAACAGTCTACCTCTTGTGGCAAAACACCTTCAGCGGAACATCGGACCACGGAAGCTTGCGGGGCCTGCCGATAAGAACATCCCAGATACCCTCCATAAGTCCTAGCGACAATGCTGTAGGGTGAACTCCGTGATGACAAGCCCCATGCCGCACAGGGTCGAGATCCTTCGGTGAGGCAGCTTCACGACAAGTTGGAAATGAAGATTGAGGTTGCCTTAACGTCAAATATTGGCACCTGACTTTAGGAAGGCGGCCTTCCATTTTGGGACAGATTCTCACTTCTATCTGATTTTCCGTTTTCCGTTTCGTTTCCTGTCACGCCTCTCAGCCAAATATGAAAGTTCTCAACGTCGTGAATCAGCAAAGTCGGATAACCATGGCAATCGGACCTCATATGACAAGCAACCAAAAGGCCCCGGCACCAAAAGTTGCTTTCATCTAGCGACCCAGAACCCCTCCGCTTGAGCGGCAGCGAGGTCACCTTGACAGAAACGCTTCTGATCACGAATTGCACTCTTACTCATCACGACCGTCCAGACTATGGTTAAAAGTACTGGATGGTAATCCCTACAGCGGCCTCCCTGGCCAGAAAGACCACGAGCAATCAGGATTTGGGATTGACGCTCGAGTGAGGCTCATCTCAAGCACACGAACTCGATCATGGTCAGAGTGCCAGGGCATCAGCAGCACCCTCCCTAGCCGAGAAATCCATGATGAGCAACATTTGTGGCTCGGTAGCGGCAGGTGATCGACTTCGTGAGAACACCCACAGAGTCACAGCTCACTGCCTTGCAGTTCCTGTCGAGCCTTGTCGAATGCCTCGCCGATGTCCTCCGTCCATATCCAACGCATGCGTGTTGAAATCTTCTCTTTCACGATCGGCAAGCAATCCTCGAAGTCTTTATCCACCAAGTCCGGCGTAACCATCTCGTACACCTCACCAGCCTCTTTGCTCGTCCTTGCTACCTTCTGTGCTCGTGGTAATCGCACGTTCTGATAGATCTGCATCCACTCTTGCAAGCTTGCATGCTTTCCCTTTCCGTTGACTGACTCAGAAGACTGGCTCAGATACTCATTCAAGCACCTCGCAAGCACATAGTCGTCCTCGGTCGCCTGTCCCGCTCCAGCACCCTGATGCGGCATCATGCTATGGCTCTGCACAGTGTTAGCATTCAAAAGTCAAGGCTATGATGTTTATAGGTCTGATCCTTACCGCGTCTCCTATCAGCACCACCTTCCCTGCCATATGAACCCACTCGGCCAGAGGCTCGCGATAATTCAGTCTCCACTTGCTGGCTGGGTCTGGCATCTGCGCGATGATATGTTGCACGGTGCCCTCAAACCCTGCAAAGTCTTTTTCGACCTCGCTTCGCGGACAAGTCGCTGTCCAGGACTCAAGTGTGTCGGTGATCTCGTCCTCGGATTTGGTGGCGAAAGCCACGATGTTCAACGACTTGTTCGCAGAAATAGGAAAGATCAGGAAGTGTCGTTTCTTGCCCATCCATGCCACAGAATACGACGAGAATGGCCAGGGGTCTGGCAAGGTGGAGATTGGTATCACACCACGGTATGCAATCATACCACCATACACGGGCTTGTCTGTAGCGAACTGCGAGCGGACTGCGCTGTGAATGCCATCGGCAGCGATGACGAGATTGGCAGTTGCAGTCGTGTCATCGTTGAAGTGTAGCGTCACAGTGTCGGCACCAGGCTCAGACAGCTTGCTGCAGCGTTTCGCTGTATGTAATGTCGCGGCTTTGCGCTCCCGGATCGCGTCCAGCAGCAAGTCCAACAGCTCGCTCCGTGCCATAGGGACGTTCCTAACAGCTCCCTTGTCGATCGAAGGGATGGTGATGACATCTTCGCCAGTGTCGAAGCGCCGGAAAGAGATCCACACGCCCGCTCGGTCCCCAGATATAGCATTGATGCGTTCACCGAGGCCGACTTCGTGGAACAGCTTCGCAGCATTCGGGCCCAGACCTATTCCAGCACCAATCTCGCGATACTGTGCAGCTTGCTCGTAGACGTCGATTTGGAGGGGATGCTTGACGTGATGATGAAGCGACAATGCGCAGAATAGCCCACCAAGACCGCCTCCCACGATGGCAACGCGGAAGGGAGGCTTGCTCATCTTGTGAGATAAACGAATATATATGACTTACCTCGGTGTGCCGATTGAGGTCATCGTGCTCAACAACCGTTATATGCACTCTGTGACAACGCAAACAATGAGTGGAGGCCTCCGACAGCGCCAACTTCGATCGCTGACCCGGCAGATCTCATACGACATGAAAGGCTCACCACTAGTCCTCGGCTGACGACCTCCCTGATGAGTAGGTAACATGCAGCCGATCATGCAGAATATGAATTTAGGCTACGTGCCCCCGTAACTGCCCCACCCGAAAGACGGGGTATCATCTCCAAATGACCTCGACTCGGTCGCAAGTCACCAGCCTCATCTCCATGCTGTGATACACGGAATTATCTCCTCTGTAGCAGAATTTCAGGACAGCATAAGGAACGTCCCACAATACAAGCATGTGCATATCTCGATACAGCATGTCCTCACTGGCGCCAGGGGCCGCCCGAAGGTGAGTGCCTAGGTAACCTGGAAGATACACACGAGACGGAAGGGGACAGGGCATATCTAGCGCCTTTGCACAACAACTTCCAATTTGCCACCAGCGGGCTTCGCTGTGAAGTAGTCCTTCCTTCGCATGGACGTCTCGTCAGCACTTGGTGCCAGCTCGACGTCAGGACAATGCCGAAAGAATGCTTCAATGATGAAGAGAACTTCCATTTTAGCAAGGTTCATGCCAACGCATGCTTTGATCAGTCAGTGAAGGGCTCAAGATGATTGCCAACGAACAACTTACACCTCATACTTCCGCCAAATGGCATGAAGTGATCTTTCATCAGACTCGTGGCGCTTTTCCACCGCTCCGGCACAAAGTCATCGGGGCTGGCGAAGACTTGCGGATCGCGGTGCATTGTCAATGCCTGGCAGGAGACAACACAGCCAGCTGGTAATGTGTACTCTCCGAAGGTCGCACCGCCAGCCGGCACCTTCCTCGGCAAGCTGGACGGTACTGGCGGATACAGCCTCATGCCCTCATCAATGACGTGCGACAGGTACTGCTTGGACTCCAGCTCTGCCAATCCGGGACTAGCCGAGCACGTGCGCAGCTCTTCAATCAACTTCCTTTTGACTGTTGGAGAGCGTAAGACACCATAAATGATGTAAGCCACAGCCGCCAGCGTAGTGTCGCTGCCCGCGACGATATCCTGCACAGCTTCTTGCGCTACTATTGAGTCCGAGAGTGGCGGCTCTGAGCCCTCATGCTCCGAGGGAATCATTTGGGCGAACATTGTCCGCGCAATACCCGATGAACCGGACTCACGCGCGGTGCGGGCAGCCTCGAGTCCTGTTTTGTCCATGCGGGAGAATATGCTCTTCACCCTACCGATGCCTGGGATCGGAATATACTGCAGTAAGAGACCAATTCCAAATTCGTAGCCTAGCCCGACCACAAGCATGATCTTCTCGACGTCCTGTACCATCACTGATTTCTATGCTGCTGGGTCAGTGGTTTTGAGACGATAACACATTGCCAGGGAGTGCCTCCTAGCAAAAGACGACGCACCTGTCCTGACTCTAGTGAGCCGAATGACTTGCCAAATGCAACTAGGGCAATCAAGTCTGTGGCCAAAAGTTGGTACCATGCCCAGAGATCCACGACTTCGTGCTTGTTGAGCTGGCATTCAGTCAGTGGTATGATCTTCCGGGCGCAAGTCACAAGGGCTCCTTGCGCACCTCCTCACGAATCTTGATCGCAGCTGCTTCCGCCCCCTGCGCAACAGCAGACTCCCAGACGAGCAGCTCTTGTCGACGCGCCGCACGATGATATAGCTTCCTCCGTCGACTCGCTTCAGCTGGATCCTGAATCTGGAAGACTCCAAGTTTCTCGTTGTCGTCCGTATACACAAGATTGGTCTCCGGGTACCAGTCTGCTTTCATAAATCCTGTGCCGCTGCGATGGATCCGTTTGTAGGCTTGGAGCTCTGATATCGCAACTTCGTTGGGCGCGATTCGGACGAAGTGGCCGTACTGCTGGTGGAGACGGTCGATGTAGTTAGCACGCTCGCCCATGCAGATGGCGAGCTTCAAAGGTAGGCGTGTGTATCTGTTGAGAACTGGACCTGGAACCGATTTGAGAGGGTCGATCTTGAGATACCAGCTGCTGCCACGCCACATGAACAACGCAAGAGTCACAGCGCCGACCACGAGGAGCGGCGTGAGTTGGTCCATCGCGCTGGAGCGCACACAATCCCAGAGCCCGCCCGGTTCTTGCCCTAGAATGTTCTCTCCTACCACTTACCATCAGAACAGGCGTTTGACAGTTTCGTCACTTGCTCGTGCAGCTGGAATTGGGAATTCGGCGATGAGGAGACATCTTCAAGTTGCTTGATGTTAATTCTTGAAGCACAGTGAAGCTTTTCAGGCCACCCGGATCCGCCTGTCTGATTCGCGCACTGTACAAGATACCTGGAATTTGCTCGCTTGATCGAGTAATATAATGGCAACTTGCGAGGTCACTTCGACTGCCCGTTCGTATTCCTCGTACGCATGAAGCTGCTCGCAAAAACAAGCACATGGGGGCCACTTTGGCATTGCATGCATGCCCATACACCAGACCTAGACAGGCCCTTGAACGCTGATATTCTCGACGATCGTACGTACAGCGTTGCTGCACAGTAGAAAGCTCAGCCAGGCAGCGCTGTCCCACCTCCTCAGCTGTTGATACGACCCCGGACGATGCCACATCGGGCCAGGGGAGCCCATAGTAGAAGTTCATATGAGCAGTGTATTGCAGGCACTGCGATTAGTGTTGGGTACCTGTAGGTGGGAGGTAGTAACTCGCAGACTCGAGGTTTGTGCCTTCGGGGTTTCCAAAACCTTCCGAGAGCTCCACCTTCAGAGCGCCAGATTGAACTTCAATCCCTAAGTCGCTGAGACGTCCCTTGACTTTCTTCCCATACACCATGGCAGCTTCATGCCCCCCCTTTGCTGTCGATGGACCACGACCACGTGTGTCGAGCAAAATCCGACTGAGCGTCCCGTGTCTCAAATCTCTCCAGCTCGTATTCCTTCCTAATATCGAAAGCCGAAACGTGGCACATCCGCGAAAACTCCTGCGACAAGGTTTGCGGCTTTCGATAAGTCTTGAAATTTGTGCCTACATTTGGAAACCCGTGGCCCGGGCGATTGAGCCGTCGATCAACAATGCTTATTCCAACCCTAAAGCCTGCTAACCTTCATGTTCTTTTGAGAAAACGTCGAAGCCGTGTTGTCCAGTTGGGTGATCTAATCTAACGCAGCCCGTGCGGCTCTTTGCTATAAGTCCCAGACATGATGACTGCCACAGAAGGCAGTGATCTGTTGTCACAGATGACAGGACGCGCAAGGATACCGCCATGATGCTGCTACTCCTGGCTTTCGCTTCAACGACTTTCGCGGCGACGGTCCCGAGACGCGCCAGCCCGCAACCTGCTTCTGGACTCCCAAATGGGTGGCAATATACTGGCTGTCACACAGATTCGACGTCTGCTCGGTCGCTAAATGCCGCCTTCTACTACGACAACAGCGGCATGACCCCTCAGTCATGCATCAGCTTCTGCAGTGCCAAGGGCTACCCTGTGCAGGCGTAGAATACTCAGCAGAATGCTATTGTGGTGCCACAGTTTCTTCCTACACTGCTGACGGATGCAATATGCCATGTGCCGGAGATGCTAGTACGGCTTGTGGAGGTCCAGACAGGCTCTCGGTGTACCAAAACTCAGGGGCTTTTGTGTCGACAAACCCAGGCCCTGCGGGCTGGACGTCAAAAGGTTGCTGGCAAGACAGCGTCTCGAATCGTGTACTCGGCTATCGAGCCAATACTCAGGGAGGACTCTCGATCCAGCAGTGTACGACCGCTTGCTACAATGCCGGTGATCAGATCGCTGGAGCCGAATACGCAGGCGAGTGTTGGTGTGGTAAGCCTCGGCCATCACATTACTACTACTTCCTCAAAGTGCTAATGTATTCTTAGGTGCTTCACTGAACGGGGGGCGCCCCGGCCTAGATTCTCAATGCGACATGGTTTGCAGTGGTAACAGCAGCGAGTACTGCGGAGGTTCAAATGCACTCAACCTGTACCAACTCAGCGCTGTTGCCGTAAGTACACCTCTTGTATGTTGAAACAACGCTGACCCGATGAAGCCAACAACGACAATGTCCACAACTACAACAACAACCACTACCACTACCACTTCCACTACCACCACTACAATAGCAGGTCCCCCAACCTGTGCGGCGACTACTCTCGGCTCTGGTCAAGTTTACAATGGAGGCTTCGAACAAGGTCTGTCATATTGGAGCACGTCCAGCAACGGCGGCGCAACCGGTCAGGCCTTGCTTTACCACGATGCACCCCCTTTCGAAGGCTGTGGGGTCCTAGTCGTGTCGGCCCCAGGCCCGGGTACTTCTCGCCGTTTCAGCATCATGTCAGGAACAACCATCACCCCCGGGCAGACACGCACCGTCTCATTCTACGTCGGCCGCCGGTCCGCAAGCGGCAGCCCGCTACAAGGAGCATCATTCTACGCGTCAGTTCAGGGTAGCAGCGGCGGCCCGGTGTCTGGTGGTACGTTGATAGCTGCTGTGTGCTCGGGCGCGGAGTGCGATACGGCGGGCGCTAATGGGAGTGTCTGGAAGAAATATAGCTTCTCGTTCAACTCGAATGCGAGGTATACATTGAGTCTGAAGATACAAGTGTCTCTTGGGGATGGAGCGCCGGCGGTGGACGGTAGTGATGATGTTTTGATTGATGGTATCCAGGTCTCGTGATAAGGTCTTGAAGGGTGTTGGGATGCTTTGTGATATGTATACACAGGCATTCATATGTAGAAGGCCTGGACTCCGCGTCGGTGTGGTCCATCAATTGCGCAGTACCTACGGCACCGACTAATGAACGTACCGAGCCTGAGGTCGGAGAATATATCGGTATTTGCCTTGCATCTGCGCCTGCAGTCGTCCTCCCGGGAATCATGATCCGAAGGCGCACGTCATGGGCCTTCCTAGTTGCCCCTGCCAAAGGACCAGCTCTGAGACCTTCAGATGTCGGGAAATGCACACATGCACTGCTGCAGCATGGATCTCTCAATGAGTTCTGGAAAACCAGATCTATGATAGAAATGATGGGTGTCGTCGAGACTGTTGCCGTAGGGCTGAGGGTAGTGAAGATCACCCCCCGTGAATTTTGCCGGTGCATACGGGAAGCTTCCGGGCATCGGGGCTAAGCGTCAGTGCTTTTGAACCTGGCATGCAAGTGTGAAACTCTTCGAGAGTCTTGCCGCGTATTGCATCATATCCCAATTGAATAGCCGAGTCTGATGACTTTGCCATCTCACTTCGTCACTCTGATAACGTTGTCCTGCATATCCCGCACACGGCTCGACTCGCGCATCTAGGCCTGCATGTTGCACGTCAGATCAAAGTGACTGATCCTTCATCACTGCAAGCTTGCGCCTGACCGGAGCACAAAATCCGTGGCGGGCCACTGCAGTGCGCAACTTTTAGCCACTTCAATCTGCGGGTTCCACAACTCCACCCCAAGTCGCAATCGAGACCTCACGCGAACAACACATCAGATATCCATCCCACCAGCGACGACTTCTATCACTACAGCCGTCGTCGCCATTCGCCGATGGTGACGCGGTGTTTATCGCAGTATGCAGCCCCAGCCCGGTCTTGCAAAAGACAAGAAAAGGGTCAAGGTCTACGAACTGCGCGACAATGACTGGTACGACCGCGGCACCGGTTTCTGTACCGGTCAGATTCTCAATGTGAGTATCGAGCACATCGTCGCAGGGTCGTGGTTGACGCGCAGCAGGATGAGCCACGAATATTCGTCGAGTCCGAGGACCAGCCCGATCGGATGCTGCTCGAGACCAAGATTCAGAAGGATGACGGCTATCAGAAGCAGCAGGATACCCTGATAGTATGGACCGAGTCCAATGGCACCGATATGGCACTGTCTTTTCAGGAAGCGGATGGATGCGCTGTGATATGGTACGTTGAGCCGGACTGACGCGCCGGACAATATCTTGGCTGACACGCGCTAGGGACTTTGTCCACCAGGTACAGCAACAGCTGCAACAACTACCAGGTATGTTCGAGAGACCAAAAGCATCACCCGTCACTAACAGTCGCAGATGACGGTCTCTCGGACGATGCGCTCGACGCGATCACGACCTCATTCACACTCAGCGCGCCTGCACTCAGCAACCTCGACGAGATCGAACAGAGTATACGACACGCCAGCATATCCCAGGCCGGCCGGGAAGCGCTCGCTAAGTTCGTCCTTAGAGAGGAGTACTTCGCGAAACTCATTCCTCTCCTGTCCACGGCCGAAGACCTGGAATCCCTACCAGATCTGCACCGTCTATGTAACATTATGAAGGCTTTTATTCTCATGAACGACAGCGGCATCATTGAGCATATGGTTGGCGACGACACTATACTGGGCGTGGTCGGCGCGCTCGAGTATGACCCAGACTTTCCCACGCACAAAGCAAATCATCGGCAGTATTTGGGAGATCAGTCGCGGTATAAAGAGGTGGTAGAGATCAAAGATCAGCATATCAAGAAGAAGATACGGCAGACCTGGCGATTACAATATCTAAAAGACGTCGTGCTGGCACGGATACTGGATGACCCGACATTCGGTGTGCTCAACTCGCTGATCTACTTCAACCAGGTCGAGATTGTGTCTCATCTGCAGTCGAATACCGCTTTTCTGAAAGACCTATTCGCCATATTCACCTCCGACACTGAACCTCCGGCCCGAAAAGATGAGGCAGTCCAGTTTCTGCAGCAGTGCGCCGCTGTTACCAAGACCTTGCAGATCCAGAACCGAGAGAGTCTGCTCAACAACTTCGTGGCCCACGGGCTCTTCAATGTCATCACATACGCCATAAGACATACGCAGCCGTCGATGCGGACTACTGGTATCGATATACTCGTCGCGCTGCTAGACCACAACCCAAACATGATGAAGAATTACATGTTGAAGGCTGTATCGGAGAAGAAAACACCAATGACAGACATTCTCATCGATCTGCTTCACAACGAAGCCGATCTAGGAGTAAAGAACCAGTCGGCCGACGCTCTCAAAATCTTACTCGACCCGCAGCCTCCATCAAACGAGCCGATGGGCAACAGAAACAGCTCAGAGTTCATGACCAAACTATCGAGACCGCCTCAACTCACTCCCACACAAGCGGCAAATGAACAGTTTGCGCAAGATCATTTCGACCGGTCGTGTAGGAAGCTGTTCCGTCCGCTGAAAGACCTAGAGAACAACCAGCCGACCAGTTTCGGATATCAGGATGTCGCACTCTTCACCTATTTGATGGAGATACTGACGTTCTTCCTGAGGCAGTATCAGGTGCGCAGCCGGCATTTTGTGTCCTCCGAAAACCTCACAGCACGAGTAGCTCAGCTACTGAAAGTAGCACAAAAATCCGTCAAGCTCAGTGCGCTCAAGTTCTTCCGGACAGCGATCTCACTGCAAGATCAGTTCTACTCACAACAAATACTCAAGTCTGGATCTTTCGAGCCGATCATCGACATTGTTCTCGAGATGATGCCACGAGACAATTTGCTCAACTCGGCATGTCTGGAAATGTTCGAGTTCATCAGGAAAGAAGCCATCAAGCCTATCATCGTACATCTTGGGGAGAATTACCGGGAAAAGCTGCAGCAGATCACGTTCGTCGACACCTTCGAGAACTTACTGATCAGGTACGATCAGCTTACAGCCGACCGACCAGAATCAGAGCACACTCTGTACAGCCAAGATGACGATAGTCCCGGCATGAACCGCCAGAACATGAGTGGGCGTTGGCAGGGCATTCCTGAAATGGACACATCAGAGGAAGACTACTTCGCAACCTCAGACGATGACGAGGATGAGCTACACCTTGACGATAATCGGGTTAACCGACCTCCTCTGGTCAGGAATAGCGTTCTGACCGGAGATTCATCTGGCGCACGCTTAGTCGACTACCCAGACGACGATGATGATGAAGACGAGCTTCTGATGGACCACCCGTATAACACGCTGCTGTCCCCTATCGAGTATCTTGTGGGTGGAAACAAAGCGGCCAGCGACGGTACCGAGGCGGAGACAGCGTCAAAGACACCGCAGACACCACTCACCCCTGAAAGCGAGCCGGAAGATGGAACAGAGACAAAGACGCCCGTGAAAGGGAAAGGTATGCGAAGTCTTCAGCCATCACCAGACATACGCTCCTCCTCAGATCCATTTTCAGAGCTTCAGCACCCGCCTGAGCGACTCGCTGAGAAGCGTCGGCGGCAAGAAGACGAAGAGGATGATGAGCTGGGTAAGCTGTCGACAGGCGTGAAGCGCCGCAACTCTTCTAGCGGCAACAGCGCCAGTAGCAGTCTTACAGGCATCGGCGCTGGCGTCAACGGCCCGAGCATAAGACGGAAGAAGAGCGGATTCTTGCGGAGCAAGCAGAATCGAAGTCCCGCGCCTACTGGCGAGGAGGATGATAGCTCGACCATAGCCAGCCTGACGGGCGAAAATGTCGACGCTGCCAGTAGAGGCAGCGGGGAAGCTGGATATGGGCCCATCCGCAAGAAGATGACCAAGACCAAGGTCAACCTCGGTCTTGGTGTTACTGCTGGGACGCCTACGCCGCCGTCTTCGGATGAGTCCAAGGCAGAGCCGAGCGACCAACCGGACGGCAAAGAGAGCAGTGACGACAATGCGAAGTAGGACTCGCAATCGAGCGAATCACAACGATCGAAACGACATAGGCGACCTTCTTCAGTGCATAGCAGGCTGGAGCCCCCAGGGCTGTTCATACCAGCTGCAAATCCGCGCCAGGAGCAATTGCGAATCCCAAATGATTCCATCAGCGAAGTGGTCAATGCCACGAGGGCTCTACAGGGGCTGGTCGACGCTAGCCGCTATTTTAGCAGTACCAATTCGTCGGACAAGGAAAATCAGCCTGCAAATGACCGAGAACGCTGAGATGGCTGCATCCTGATACTCTGTTTCGTCGGAAGCAGTGCTGGAAGAGGCCCTTATGGTAATGAAGCGCTCTGTTTGCTCTGGCTGAGCAACCACAGTCACAATGTCGACGTGGGAATTACCGAAGCAAAGCCTGAGGACAAGTAGCTCTGTCGTGGCTGGGTTCGATTGTAAGAGAACCCAGAGACTCATGTCTCAAGTCACGCTACGGAGAGAGATGTCAGACATGCCCACACCGCGTATCATTCCGCAGAAGAATGCAATATCAATGCAGCCCAGAAGAATCGCTTATCTGATCCCATACTACTGCCATCTGCCAGATGATCTTTGACTCGATGCCGTCCGCTGCGAGACTCCCTGCAGAATGCCATTATACTGAATCACACAGCATGGCTGATACAGCAGCACAAGCATGCGGTATGCAAGGTAGGTATGTCCAACGCAGTATGGTCTTTCATTTCCTATATGCTCAGTATGGAATTGCAGGAAATTCGCTTCTAAGTGTGATTGTTTATTCGCTCAAAGTGACATCTACTACGATATCCAACGTCTCTCGTTACACATGCCTCTTCCCGGCCGATATCGCGGGGAAGGTATACACCATTGCGCCTGCCTCGTCTTTAGTCCCGATATCTGGCAGGGACCTTCCGAGTCCTCGCTTCCCGTAGTTTCGGTTGGGGACTCGAGTCTGTTCTTGCCCTCTTCGAGTTCTCATCGGAAGCATCGAAATCTGCAGGACGCTTCCTATCGCCTTCCTGCTCGATGTACGTCCGTTCACCCTCCAGGCCGTGCCTTTGGCCCCAAGCAGCCAGCATCACGTCAGCGTTATCAGCGTCTGTCTGGAGACTGGGATCGCCAGGCTGTGAATCCGTCGGGCGTGTTTTGAGCTGGGTCGGCATCAGCAGCCGGAGTCGTGGATGTTGCGGGTTGTATGTGGGTTGTTCGTCTGGCTTAGTCGATGGGTCTGATGCATCGTCAAAGACGGTGAAACCTGTCGGCCGCAGGGGCTTGCTGTGCCTCGACAGAAACCGAGGATCAACATTAGAGCAGATCGGGCCAGGCTGTGATGCGGCGCGGCGTATCTTGGACTGAGTTGGCATCAACAGACGTAGTCGCGGATGTTGTGGCTTGCGCTCGAGTTGTTTGTCAGGCTTGGTCGTAGGGTCTGATGCGTCGTCGAAGATGGTCAAACCTGTTGGCCGGAGGGGCTTGCTGTGCCTCGACAGCGATCGAGGGTCGAAGGTAGACCATATGGCAGAAGAAGCATCTGGAGCGGAGAAGGCTTCGTCATTGGCGATGTCAGTGCCGGCAGTAGTCACGCTGGAATGCACAATGGACGTATGCCTCTCGAGGATATCAAAATGGGATGCCGCTGCCTCTTCCTGAGCTTTGAGGGCTTCAGCGGCGACTGCCGCATGCTTTTCTTCCCACTTGCGACGTCGTCGTGCTTTCGCTTCTTCTTGTTCACGCTCGTATGCTGTCACGAAGCCCATAGATCCCGGTGGGAATGATTCCGAGGGCATTGCAATTGATGGCTTTTGCTGATAGAGACGTAGGAACCTTTCGTGTTGCTTGATCGCTCTGAGGAACTTCTCTTCCTTGGTCAGACGTCTACGCTTCTTGGGCCTTGGAACGCTGGTTTCAGTTTCTTCAGACGTAGACATAGACTCGGTAGGCGGAGAACTCTCCTGAGTCGTGATTGCCGTGTTTGTCAAGTCGGATTCAAACACGTTCTGCCATGCAACCTTCTGTGGTGAAGCCTCCCACCGAAGCATGATTTTCTTTTGCTGTGTGATTCTGTCTTGGGCGGCGGAGTGGATCATCTGTTTCATCGGGAACCAGTGCCGCTCCGCGGCACCGCCTGCGAATTGCTCCTTGGGTTCGATGGCTTCTAAGGTGTATGCTGCAGTGTATACTGTTGAGCTGAAGCCTGGTATGGCGGTGGCTTTGATGCCGTGTTTGTGGAAGTTGAATGTCGTCTTCATGGCGAAGTGTCAGAGTGAGCTGAGTAGTTGAACTATGGCAGTTTGCCGAATGTGTTTGCCTTTCATGTGGGACGTAACTCCGGGTCAGCTGAGAGGCCTTGCTTAAGTACTGCATGATAGCTGGATGAGTACCTTGACCTCAGATAGACTTTGACTGGCACAAGCAACACATGTGTCTCGCAGGCTGTGTCCAAAGAGTCAGCCACGAACCTTTCTGGCCGCCTCTCGGTTTCGTTAGGGCAGTGTAGCGTTAGTACAGTACATGATTCCTATCGATTGATCAAAGTGGAAGGGTAGTGGGTGCCTCCCGCCAGCGGGGTGTCATGGTAATGGTAGGCATGATCCGCACAACGCCAGGTGGCACTGTATTCCACATATCGGTTCATCGGGTCCCTCCAGACGTGTTGGAGGACCTTTGTGGGCCGTCAGTGTCATCCCGTGGTCCTATCGAATGATGTGCCAAGGCGCGGCAGAAACGAACGACGCTTTACTTCCACTCAGTCATTATACATCTAAGCTATGGTGCTTTAGATGAGATCCTTGTCCCCCCTTGAAAGTCGTTGAATGCTCTTGTTAGTATCAGTACCTTTGATCGGTCGATAGGACGCGCTTCCCGGTATGTAGATGGACCTGGAAACGATGATAGGGTATTACTGATGGCAGTTCGAGCGGCTCGCAGTTCATAGCTACTAGGGTGTTGTCACAGTGCGTGTTGTATAGACAGTAAAACTGCGTTGTCCGAGTACCCGAGCCAGATGGCGATGGGACCTATAAGTCAGCGACGGCCAGGATCGCTGCACAAAGACCTCACAAGGTGTTCACGAGGAATACTTTAGGGATGTGCGTTAAGGCACCCACGTGGCGCCCTGCGACCGATGTCAGCAGCAGCATAGCGGTATGTCTTTGAACGGTGGTCACTGTATAGGAGATAGCCTCGAGTGTAGTCAGCAGTTCAATCGTACCAGACCAGACGCCGGGTTCAAATGTAGTAAGCAGCTTAATTCAACGAACACATGCTTCTAGAACATCGTCCTCCTCCAAACTGGTACATCTTCGACGTCCTCGATCCGACTAGGGCAGAATACGCGACTGAATGACTGATAGCCTGAAACGCAGACGACCAGGTCTCTCACTCGGATGCGCGCCATCTCCGGAATTCCCCACGTAAATCATGCCGTATCCCTTTGGTTCATGGTGGCTGCAGCGGCAATTGCGATGAGACGAGCAGGAAACCCGTCCTTGATCCCCAAGCTCATGGCGGCGGGAGAACATCACGACAGACGAATTTGTCATCATCGAACCCCAGCACACAAGGACTGAAATGAGGCCGACAAGCTGAAAGTATCAATCCATTCTGACGGCGTCGCCGCTTCAGCGATCGACCGAGTATGCTGTTCCCGGCTGTGACGCAACCATTCATAGGGCAGTCCTCCCAGCTATCCTGGCCATCATGACTGTGCATCCTGGCATCAATTCAAGACTTCCATGCCCCCTGGCCTGCATGCCGATGGTGCTAAGGCGAGTCTGGTTCGGCTTGACTGCCGGCCTGGCATGCCTTTACGCCTCTTCCAGGATGGCTTACCTCGCAAGCACCACTTAAAAGTCCAAATTTATTCTGGCCCCAGGAAATCTACTGGTCCGCTAGCGAGGCAGATCATCCAGGGTACGCAGTACGTTTCAACCCACTTAAGACGTTGTGCCAATATCAGGGGCTTCATTTAAGCACCACACTGAATAGCGAGCTGCCCGGCGACTTATTGACAGTCTTCCCGAGCGGGAACGCCCAAGAACGTGGCTTGTCGATCGCTACTGCCTCCATTAATACTGGCATCATCCACTCTCGCGCCAGCCCTATGTGACTCAACGTTCCTTCTCGTCGTCGTTTGTACTCACGCCGTTGCGAGGTGCCGCATTGGAAGAAGCAACAATGAAGTCAATCACTTTGTTAATGCTAGCGGTCTCCGCAGCCTTCTTCAGCACAGGTTACACCACACGTTCTGCCAATGCTGCATTTGAGCTTGTGAGCCGTGGCGTTGAGTTTGCTGAAGCTGTGAGGATCGCCAGAAACGTGACAATAGCTTTTCAAATCGGCGCCGTTATTGGTGCTCTGCTACTCTGGCCACTGTCGGCATTGTTCGGGCGCAAGACGATATACATCGGCGGCATTGGCGTCGCAGCACTAGGATCGATCATCAGCATCTCGACCCCGAATATTTCAGCCTTCTACATCTCTTGCGGGTGTGCTGGCATAGCCATTGTCATCTCCCTGATTATCGGCAACTTGTGGGTCGCCGAGAACGTCCCTGCGCGATCCCGTGGCCAGTATGTCATTTCTTACAATATCGGCGGCGCCGTAGGGCTCGCGACATGCGAATGGATCAACTTCGCCATCGCCTGGACTGGCAGCGACCCACGCATTGGCATCGGCTTGCGCTTCTTGTTCCTTATACCAGCTGCAGTTCTGCTCTACATGGCGCCTGAATCGTACCGCTGGCTGCTCAACCACAACCAAACCGAAGAGGCACGCGCAATCCTCAACTCCCTCGACCAAAACCTGCCCAGCAATGGCTCGGCCACCAAAGAAACCTACTTCGATGCGCTCGTCCATCATCAACAGCGCGCCACGAACACTCCCTCAATCTTCAGCCTACGCCCACAGGCTCCACAGGGCCCAACCAAGCTGCACCTCCATCCTCGCCGCCGCCTCATCCTCGTCTTCGCAGTCCAAACCCTCGCGGCCCTCTGCGGCATCTCCTCCGCCAACTTCTACATCACCCGCGGCCTCACTAATGCCAACACCAGCCTCACTCTAGCGACCCGCGTCGTCATCTCCCTCGTCCCCACGCTCGACGTCATCTTCCAGATCCCACCCTACCTCCTCATCTCCCGCTTCGGAGTCCGCAAGCTCCTCATGCTCTCTGCCCTGGGCATGGCCTTCTGCTTCACCGTTGCCACTCCTGTAGCAAGCATCCGTGCGAACAGCTTCTCGCGGCTATTCTTCGCCGGCACCGACGGGCAGAGCGCCGGAGAGGAGAACGACCTGAACGCTGTGATCATTGCCTTCGGCATCCTCACCTACGTCTGTTACGATTTCGGGCTTGGCTTGGTACCGTACATCCTCATGACGGAGTTTACGCCGTCCCTGCAGAATCCACTTTCAGGGGAGATGGACTTGAGCACAGCTATACCCGCAATCACAACAAGTATCCGCTTCGCCATCGATCTGGGCATGATGTTTGCACAAGCGTCCGCAGTCAGCATGGGCGCCAGCTACCTTCTCGTGTGGCTGCTGGTGAATCTGGTCATTGTGGTGGTGGTGTGGGCGATCGTGCCGGAGACGGTCGGGAGAGGGTTGGAGGATATGGATCGCTATTTCGCTTCGAATCCTCTATGGTTTGTTGGGCTCAGAGATAAGGCAGCGCGACGGGTTTGGGGCGTGCAAGGAACCGGAAGCGCAGCGGGTAGGGATGGAGAGAGAGGTTATGTACCGGGCTCATGGGCCGGGAGGCATCAGTATCATAATGAGGAAGACCAGGACGAATACTGGCATGGAGAGGCAAGGGGGAGGACTTACAGCGCTGGCGCAAACAATGTAGAGATGACCTCGACATCGCAACGCAGGGAACAAGAGCAGCAGCAAGAATACACGGGTCTGCCAAAAGGCGTGGCGATGGACGTGAGGCGGTCGATATACTGATGAAACGACCTATCTGATGTCAAGCGATGGCGCTCTTTGGCCCGAACATAGTTACGACAGACAGCTGGAAGCAACCCCTCTCAGCGAATTAATTACTACATGCGATACTACCAATGTCACCACTATGTACGTTCTTTCTCAAGGTGGACCCCCTTCCACTCCTATCAACACCATGCTGCCCAGCATTTTTTGTACCTTTTTGCACAAGAATCGAAAATGGTGTTTGAATTGTAGACAAGGGCCACCCTGCCTTTTTCGCCGCGCAACCAGAAAGACTCTTGTGCCGGCTGTCCAGTGTTGCCTGGCTCTCAAATGCACTGCTTTGCTTGCTGCCAGATTTGCTTGCTACCAGAAACGGGTGGACTCCTGCCTGCTTCGAGTATCGGCCGCTACCATGAAGGCCCCCTGGTAACTACCATATGCAGTTCTAGCCCGACGTTGCCGACAGAATGGGAAAACAAGAGTTCTGTGCCGAATGTGCATGGGAAGCCTGGCCCCAGTAAGCACCGTGCATAAGTGCGGAGCATATCCAGACAGGATCGGCGCGGGTAAGTCAGCAGCGAACGGAGCCAAGACTCGCGCCAATGTCGGGAGATCTTCTCGCAGTGTAACAATGTGGTCAGGACTTTGGCCAGTAATCAGAACAGGTGCAAGCACTCGTTTCAGAGACGCGTTTACCGCGGAGGCGGCCCTCCAGTGCTGCCGCTAACGTAGCTGGTCCTGCTGGGACTGGTGCGAGGCTCTTCAATGATGTCACTCAGACGTGTCGGGTGATAGTTGATCGATGGCGCTTCCCAAGTGCCGCCATAGCCACCACCTTCGTAGTCTGCTGGCGATTGTTGTTGTGGCTGCTCAGATGAGGTCGGCGCAACGACTCGACCTTGTGGGATCGGCGGAAGAGCAGATGGCGCGGAAGTACGTGGAATGTTTCCTGACGTGGTCTGCAGCGTCTCTCGTGGCGGCTGGTTCTGTGGTATGGGTGGCCGAGCTGGCGAGGAAGACGCTTGAGCAGCTCCAGTACCGTATTGCTGCGCGTACATACGTTCTCGCGCAATGTCGGAGGTATAGCTCTCATCATCGTCTGACTGAATATCCACTTCACTTGGACGAGTACGTCGAGGCGGAGAGACTTCGCCAATGACAGGCGAGTCCATTATTGGCTGGTTGTATGGTATTCGCCGACCGCGACTGTCGAGGGTGTAAGAGCCGTCTGGATTGATGTGGTATTCTTCCTCTCCAACGGACGATCCTGTCACCGAAGGGATGTAGCTTCTCGTCGAAGGTGGCCCGGCAGTTCGTGACGGCTGTGCGGTCTGGCCGATTGGCGGAAGCGGCTGATGAATGGAGGTCTGTGGCGCCGACGGCTGTTGATAAAAGTGCGATCCGCCGTTCGTGGTCGGCACTTGAGCTGCTGCAGCCATGGCCGCGGAGGACGTGGGAGGCTGTGATGATGTTGGGTAGAACCTCGTGTCTGGCTCATGCCGAAGCTGATGTTCACCGCCTGCTGCAGGTTGCATACCTTCGTTGAATGGGTCAGGTGAAGCTACTTGAGGTTGAAATGTGAACTGTCGATGTTCTTCCCCGGGAGAGTCGAGAGAGGTTGTCGTGGTTTGACTTCGCGACGGTGGCTGTTGAGGTGGCTGCAGACCGCCCATGAGGGTCGCTGTTGGCCCACCAGGGTATGTACCATCTCTTGTTTGAGGACGCTGGGCAGAGCTGACTTGGCGACTGGCGATGCCTTGCATAGGCACGACTTGGACACCACCGATCAGAGTCGGCTCACCGCTTCGCAAAGCGATAGTACGATCTCGTTCCTCCTGCTCTCTTCTTCCAAGCTCCTCCCAGGCACGTCTGGCTTCTTCCTTGCTGATCGTCAACTCTCTTCGCATTTCTCGCACCATCTCTTCCGCCTTGGCCTTTTCAGCGCGAATAGCTTCAGCAGACACTGCGGGTCCCGTAGCTTCGAGCTTCGTGCGCGCTTCTCGCTCTGCTCGCAATTGTCGCTCAAGCTCCGCTTGACGTTCGGCCGCCTGCTCCTGTTCATTCCTGGTCTCGAAGAACCATTTCTGGAATTTTCGTTCAGAAGACGCACGTAGCCGTTGCAACTCCACGACAGCATGAAACAGATTTGCGCCAGCGGCAGATAAGTCAGTTATCTGCCTAGAAAGCTGCTGATCCAGAGGCTTTCCATTCAGCTCATTTGTGTTTTCCTGTAATCTTCTTATCCAGTATGAGGTCAGACCTTCCCAGTGAGATGATAGGGTCTCCCATCTCTCGAATGCATGGGGAAATGCTGCTTTCGGTTGACCGCCTGCAGGCGCTGTTGGCTGTGGGTTTGACTGTGGCGCTTTCGGTTGCGGCTGTGGCGGCGCTTGTTGCTGCTGGGTGGGCCGTGCCGTAGCTGGAATATTGAGGGTATCATAGGCCTCAGTCCGGTTACGTTGTGTATTCGAGGATAGTCGGGCGTGACCAGGAGCATATCCTGTCTGAGGCTGCAATTGAGCCTGTGACAAGGGTTCTGCGATAGGCAGGCGGGTTTGTTGTGGGACTGGGACAGGATCACGCCGCCTTGTCGATGAAGGTCCAGGCTGTGCTGAAGGAGTACCGCCTATCGTATAACCTTGCACATCCGGCCGCGTTGACGACATCCGCGACCCCAAGGGACCCTCAACGCCAGCACTTTGTTCCTGTTGTAACCGTAGTTGTTCTTCTTGAGCTTGTCGTAGCCTGTCAGCCTCCTGTTGTTCAGCTTTTCTCTGCTCGCGGGCTCGTCTATCTCGCATGACATCGGTAGGCGTTCGGTAGCGTGGAGGCTCTGTCGGGACTGGCCCAGCACTCTGGGCTGTTCTACTGGCGCCGCCATTTTGTGGACGACCGGAGGGCTGTGAACCAGCCACCAGGTCGGACATTCGAGCTCGCTCTTCCAAGAGATCCTCTGTCAGAGGCTTCGCATCAACGCCACGGCCTGTCCTTATGGCCTCGAGAGCAAAGAGGATGGCGTTGTGGGTGCGTCGTGAGATATGAGTGCTTCTGGCGGGCCAATAGGTATCGCCTTGGACAAGTCTCTGAAAGTCCTGCGGAGAGGTGGATCCAGAACCGTCAAATGTCACGGCTTGACCTGCAGTTCGCAGCTGTCGAGGAGCCTGGAGCTGCTCGCGATATTCTGGTCTGTCGTGCAACTTCGGAGTGCGTCTCAGGGTATGAACACCACTAGAGTCTGCCGAGGGCGGTCTCTGGATCTGAGAAGATGTAGAATTTGGTTGCTGGCGTTGAGGTGAGGTGGTCTGTTGGAGTCGTTGGGCGTCGTAGGTCTCGTCAGGTCGTAAAGTCTGCGGGTAATACAGATCGTCAGGTACGGGAACGGTGGACCTGAGTTGAGCGGACAGAGCGACTATGCTTCACGGACCGGGATTTCGAAGCAGCGCTGGGCAGAGGCGAGGCAGCACGATGGATGCACGTCTCTGCACTTCAGGACTGTGGTATGAGGAGGCAAGCAGCAAAGACGCTGCGCTGCATCGGGATGAAGCCCAGAAAATTAATCGAGAGATGGCTGGGAGGTGGTTGGGCTTTAGATCTCAGTTTGGCTTCGTTTGGTGCGCCGATGAGATTCTTGTGAAACAGCCCTATACTGAGCGCACAATTAATGCCTTCTAGGAATATGACTTTCGGCTGGCGCCCAGTGGGTTGGCGGTGCGACTCTGATCTGGTTGCTGGGCAAGGTCCGAGTCGCGAGTCCGACTGCGCCCGTCACTTAGACTGCATCTCGACTTCGAGATAAAATGCCAGTGACCTCGGAAGCAGCAAACAACCACGCACGGCGGGCGCGGGGCCCAGCCGTAGTGTTTGACGCGATCTTACTTGACAGGAGCAGTGCCAGCAGTATCGCTTCGACTGGGGGTTTACGTTAGGATTGTGGCGCACACCGACGATGATGTTCGATTTCGGGTGGAGCCGCAGGCCGACGGCGCGGTGCGGGCGGCGAAAACTTGGACTTCAGACTGGGAGCTGTGGTTAAGATCAGAATAGCTAAGTTGTGGCAACAACAAGGTCTCAGGGGAATGGCGGATGCGATCGATCCTGCTGCAATTACCTGGAGCCAACTTCGAGGCAAGACATGGCGATTTCTCAACGCACAAAGGAAATAATGCGAGTGGCTGGGAAAGTTGATGCGCTGGCACGATGTAGCTCTCCCACTCAACTTGCCGGGCCACGATGATCCCTGCATCATCTCGAAACTTGTCTCTTGTACTGTACACACCTACTCATGACCTTTCGACGCTGAACGCTGATCAGGCTTTCATCTGAGCCTTTCATAGTCTGTGTGTCGTCGGCGATTTAAGTAGTGAGTACTCAGGGTTTCCTCAGGCACCTGCTGCCCCGCGTTTGCAAGGCATTTCAGGTACGGGATTCAAGGATTGCTCCTTACCGACGAGGAGAACGTGCCCTCCCTGTTTGTCAATTGGTCAATACAGCTGCAGGTGCTACTGCACACCTTGCCGTTCCAGAGAGATGGTCTTCGGCACTACCAGCATTTGCCACGTAGTGTGGGAAGCCATGCCACAGCCGATCGCCATCCGTTCTGGCTGTGGCTGAGCAGGTCCATATTGCTCATCCAGTGCGATGATCCCGTTGAACCAAGGCATTGTCGTCCCGGAAACTTGGTGCGGTCAGCAGTACCAGCCTACCTGGGTACCCTTCTCACCTCATATCCTGGTTGCTTCGAAGCGACGGCACTTCGACGCCATCGTGGACACTATCAGTTGTCAGATCGTTAGGACCTCGCATGCTGCAGGCAGTCGGCTGCACGGTATCTGGGTCCGCCGTTCGGATCTGAAGTCTTGACCATTGAACAGCCTTGTCTCGACGCCTTGCTGCACCTTTCCTGCAAGCCCGTATCCCTTGGTCCCTTTCGGAGCTTTCAACAACGGTTTGACGGCTGCTGCAGCCTGCAGGTGCAGACAACATTTGATTGCTTCTGCTGGCCACCGGGGATGTAGTAAAGAGGCCCCGTCGCTGTCAGATTGAAACAGCATAATGTGTGCGTCGCTACAATTCTGCAACGCAAAGCCTGCAGAGACAAGCGTAGCAGGATGGCATACGCCGACCACGCGTGCCATGCATACCAAACAAAGGGACTCTCGGGACTTCATCAGGGTCAACATCAGGGCAAGGTGGGCAAAAGGCTGATCTTCATAAGATTTTGCTGCTTCAGAGCGAAGCTTGTTGGCCCTTCATACCGGAATGCTGTCACTCTTGACAACTGTTTCTGACATCAAAACACTATGCCTGCATATAGGTTCGCAACTTGCAAGGAGATCAGGATCGGAGCTCTCTATCCTCAGAAGCCCGCTGAGTACCGGCGTCGGATGAGAATTGATCATCGCTGGGATACGAGCTATAAGCACTCCGACCCTCTGAGTTGCAGATTCCACTAATGCCGGGCTTAGCAGGTCCGTCTAAAGTACCAGCATGGTTTTCGGATTTCTGCGAGATGCTGTTTCGGATAATGGAAGCGTCCATGTACGCGAGCACAGTGAGTAATGCTATGGCTTGGACGAAAGTCAGCCAGATTGCCACAAAGGCGCTCCGGTCCACTGACATGGTTGTTGCGGATCGATACCCCTTCCGGCCAGAACGCTCCATGAATGCTGGCTTGACAGATGCGGGTTCAACCCTCAGGTTGTTTTGATGTGGATTCCTCCGACATCCTGTCCCCACAGAGTCCGCGCAGCCTTGCCCGTCACCCCTTGCTTTCCACCCCATCCCTGACTTGACAATTCCGAATTTGGCCAGGCGTTCAAGCCTCAGATGTGTCAAGATAGTCCAGCCTGGGTGTTCTCCTGGCGGACGAACATACGGGTCTGGAGATATAATCTCAATGGAGCCTTGCTTTTGATGTCTCATTTCATTTCAGATTGTTTACATTGATCAACAACAACAAACCATAGTGTTTGAGTGAAACTCAGTTTACCCAGTCATCATGGGGGACTATCGCATCTTCCGTCACCGAGATCAAGTGAGATTCACAGGTACAACTCGAAGGAGCTTCCGAGCCTCCCGCAGAGTCGTCCCAGCCAAAGGTACTTTACACAGCAGAGCTCCGCGTCGTATGAGTCCATCAAGTTAGATCCCAATTTTCCGGATCCAACATTTGAACAAGACCTGGTTCACCAGATTTGGTCTCGGGCTTCACAGCAGACACTTCTGTCAGACAACGGCCCAAGGCCGGGTTCATTGGCTACCATATCGGAGTATACAAGATATAGGCATCGACGGTCCAGTGCTCAGCTTCCAAACCCACCCCAAGCGCCATACGATCACAGTGTTGTGGATGTTGTACCCTGCCGCTTGTCGTCAGCTTCCACAGAAGACAATTTCTCCCCGTCGCCTGTGGCTGCCAAGCGAAGCGCAACACCCGAGCTACTGCTGTCACTCCGCACCGACCTCGAGGAGGGTCTGAGCTTTGCGGATCGAGCCAAAGCATTATCAACAGCACCTACCACACCCGACGACTCTTTCTCATCCTTCACATATACTCCTTCGGTCGTGTACCAGGAGGTGAACTACAGCGGACGCTCGTCGTCAACTACCTTGGACATCACAGATATGTCGCCTCCACCATCGCCAAAGACCTTGGTCAGGAAGTCGAAGCCAGCCAATATTTTCACAGCCACTGTTCCTGGTCATCGTAACATCTCTTCGCCCGTTCCCTCACCTTTGTATTCATCAGGCCATTCGCCCCTGTTGAGGCGTAACACCAACGAAAGTGCTGTGGATCCTAGCTACTGTCCCGTGCGGCCAGCGCCCTTGGCACCAAGTGCTCCGATCGATCTTCCGCTGGCTGGGGAATCTTTCATGGAATGGGATGATGACGACGACCGAGCAAGCAAGCTGGCACGTGTCAAGAAGTCGATTGGCGACTTACGTGCTGCGGCCTCGAGGACACCGAAGGCAGGCTCAAAAGACCGCAAGGCGGAGAAGCTTGTTGGTGCATCCGAGCCTCTCACTGTCGCAATGCCATCTCGACCTCGAGCTCAACGCTCTATGACAGCTCCCATCCAACCACTCATGCCTCAGCCGCAGTCCCAGCATCATCAGACAAGTGCAGCACGGCCTGGTCTCCCGCGAACTGTCTCGTCAGGCAAGATCCGAACTTCGCTTCCTCCTCTGCCCGCGCGAACCTCATCGACACGTGCTCCAACTGCGACAGCTATGTCACCGCCTACCACGTATTCAAGTGCTGAGAAGGTCTCGCACAAGGTTTCTGTACGCATCGCAGCTGGAACATCGTCCTCTTCGTTGAACAGGCAACGGGCCACCTCAGACGCAAAAAGTGCGCAGAGCTTCTCGCTGTTTCCCTCAACGCCTGTCTCAACTTTAAGCAAGCGCAGCAGCAAGACGACGACCCCGTCTTCGTCTCCAAGATCAGTCAATACCGTTGCCACCACAGTTTCATCTGGCACAACTGCCGTTGATAGCGCAGAGTCCCGACAGTCATCCATGTCATTGGGCGACAAGCCACTGCCGAATCCGCACGCTGCGAACGTAAAGCCGACTAAGCGAAAGGTCGTCAAGCCGGCTCTTGGCAACAAGCGCTTCTCTGTCCTCAGCTTCGCATCCATTCGCAGCAGCGGAAGAGGCAAGCCTTCCAAGAAAATCTCCTCGGCTGCACCTCGTCCTCGAGTCGTTGGTCTTGGAAAGTTTCGTCGCTGGTGGCGATGGATGAGTCGTTGCTCAACGCTTCCCGCAATGACGTCCGCCAATGCTGTGCATGAACAGTCCCGGACACGTCAGGTGTCATCGCCAGTGCCGAGTTGTGACAGCACGCGCGCATTTCGTGGGCATTGAGAGCATAGCGAGCAGTAGATGCCAGCTATATCTATATATCATCGAGTATGAAAAGCGAACAATGGCGCCTTTCTAGACCACGTCCACATTTCAAGTCCGGGGAAGTTTCGCAAAGATCTGGAACACTCAGTGGCGTTTCTACAATAACGACCCTGGTGGCGTTGCACGATTTGCAATTGCAAAGGCCGAGACAACCAGCCACGATCCACAGCAAGCATCACGATCAATCACTTGAAACTTCGGTCGCAAGACACATCGGCCCTGGCTTCGCACAGAAACGATCGACCTCAACTTGCACATCATACCTGGTCCACGGCAGAGCAGCACCAAACACAGCACAGCTCCGTGACATCGCTTGCTATCATATCACAACACCTTGGTCAGGGCGTTTCTATCACAATCACCGCCAACCATGACGACTCAGTCTCTAGGCAAAGTCACCCTTATCGCCGCTACGAGATAATGATTTGATTTGCCGGGAGCATGATGCCCCCTAACGACTCATGTATGAACACGCCTTTACGATATTTCGGGTTATGTAATGCCAACACGGCAGATCAATGAAGTTTATGAATGATTATATGGATGCCGTATGAGCGCCTTGATGCTACAGATGTGACAGAGGGCATGGGCACAGGACGGAGCATGTGAGATACCTGGCATCAGATGGCATGGTCCCTGGTGTGCACATAGACAAGTTGCAGCTGCGAAGCGCTCAAGTCTCGTTGGCTTGGCTACAATTTAGGACTGACAGAACAAAAATGCATCTACCTCGTCGGCATGCGCAAACCACCTTTCCATGCGAAACACGGGCGGTCGTTTCTGCCTTCACCGCGGTGCTACTTTCCTCATCCCCCAAGCCTGGCCCCTTTCCACCTTCCTCACCTGCTGCAACTCTTACAAGCCCGCACTTGTAAACAAAAACCCCAGCGAAATTCGCATCTCCGTGAAATGCCAGCCTCGAAGTCTTTCAGTACTCCAAACTCTCCCGAACAGCTGGAATGGCAGGGCAAAAGCCTCGTGGCTTCCTCTACATAGACACGGAATGACCACGCACTCTTGAACTCTTTCACGAAGTCACTGACCCTGTAGGGTCAGAAAGTTGTCGGTACGGGGAATCATGGACGGTACCGACGTGGGCATTTCTAAACTGTCTCTTCATTCCTGCTACGAAGTAAAGGTCTGGTCGGACCCAGGCAGAGGGATTGGATGCAACGTAAGCTAGTCGCACGTGCGTGAGTCAGCGCGTGAGGCCGTGTGCAGGATTCTTACAGCAGACCTAGTAGTGTTAGGATAACAGAATCGGATACGTCTACCTGCCTGTCTGCCTCGATCATCTCGATCATCTCGATCACAGGCCTCGCAGAGCGCGACGCCCGTGTCCTTTGAACCAATGTCTCCAAGGACTTTGAGCAGGAGACAAATGTCCAAACGAGCAGAGTAAGATAATCGGTGTACAGCCACAACATTGAGCAAAGGCCACAGAGCACGCACGGGGGCAAACTCTTGCGGAGTTGGGACATGTCAACATACTACCCATTGAGCTTTAGTCGAGCCTTGCGGCATGCGCCGTCAACAACGATGAAGCACGGTGGCTGATCAGGGACAACTAAATTTTCCCTCGAGCGCAGGGTCGAGACTTCCAGGGACTTGAAGGGCTCGAAGGGTTTGAAGGGCAGAACTTTATAAAGGTGTTTCGACTTAGGGAGAGAAAGACGTTGGGTCCCGAAGCAAGGGGTGAGAAGACTCGTAGCCGAGCGGAAGGCTGGAGTGCATGTGGTATGGTCAGTGCTGTATCGCAGTGTTTGCACGTGCAGTCGTGTCTAGACCGTCGGGTCAGTGCACGGGGGTGGAAGCGTGTCGAAGTGGACTGATCGGAAGCATGAACCCGACCGTCCGTCGGCGACCGACTCGTTTGGTAGCTATCCTCGGACGAACGCTGAGAACCGAAGCAAGCAAGCAAGCCTTACAGTCGGCATAGTGAATGGTACAATGGTTTGGCTTCTTTCTCTAGTCCAGATGAATCTGTCGTCCTGACCAAATCATGCATGACAAACAAATAACGCAGAATCGGGTATCCTCGACACTTCTTATCGTTCTCTTGCTCTACCTGCTGTAGACGACCAACGATATCCTTGTTCCTCTAAGAAGTCCTCTTCGCGATGTTGTGGCGAGCGACAAAGCTGCGTGCGCGCTTGCCGTAGATGTACATCGGGACAGTGACCAACGTACACGCAATCGTGATACCACCAATCGTGAAGAAACAATCCCTGACTCCCTGAATGGCGATCCAGTTGTTGATGTAAAACGTCATGCCAAACGCGAACATGTTCTTGACGAAGTTCATGACCGCGAATGCCTCGCCAGCCTGCTCACGATGGCAATCGACAACGTACGCAACGACACCAGTCGTGCCAAGTTGAATGCCGAAGTTGATGATGCCCATGCAGAGCACGACGGGAACGGCCCATGGCTCTTGAGCATAGGCGGATTGACCCCAGCCGACTGTGGAAGGAGTTGTTAGTGAATATCCAGGAAAATTAGCTAGAGGCAGACTTACAGAAACCAGTAGCCGTGAAGAGCAGGTAAGTGACCATGACGGGCAGACGGAACTCAGGCTCGAAGATGCCCTTGTTACGCTTAGACATGCGCTTGACGATGCCGTCGATCAGTGGGCCGGCGACGAGTGTGCCGAGGACAGAGGCCACGAAAGATGACAGGTTAGTGGCGCCGACAGAGCGGACGGAGAAGTTATAGGGTGGTGCCGAGAAGATCTGGGAGAGCGTGATGGAGATTCCAACCAGCCAAGAGATACAGGTCGTGAAAAGTAGAGTAGCCCAGGCGACCGCAGGAGATGCCAGAAGGAAGAATGGTCGAACACATGTATCCCAGATGGAAACGTGATGGACGTAACCAGACCATGGCTTCATCTCCTGCCAGAAGGACATTTTTGGCTCGCTGGCACTGAGCTGTGGGGGACTGTGGGTAGCAGTGGTCGTGGAGGCGGCGCCCTTCTCGTCTTGCTCAACGTGCTCGGAATCGATCATCTTGTCGGTGACGACATTCTTCTTTCCGGTATCGATGTTGATGGTGCCGGTGCGGTCGAACGCCGATTCGGGCATGAAGAAGAAGGTGAGAATGAGCTGCAGGATAAAAGCCCCGCCCATAGCGTTCATACAGGTGCGCCAGCCCGAGGCCTCAATGATAGCACCAGCGATCGGTGTAGCCAGGTTGATACCGCCGAGCACACCGAGGTTGAAAATGGCAGTGCGGTAGCCACGCTCGTGGACGAACCAGATATCGGCGATTGAGGCGGGGATCAATGCCTCCATAGGAGACATGCACAGACCCTGTACGACGCGAGCAGCGACGAAGTTGCCAAAGGTATTAGCGGCAGCGGCCCAGAAACAGGTGACGGCGAGGCCAACGCTGGTGATGAGGTAGACTGGTCGCTTGCCGTACTTGACAGCCAAGGTGTTCCACAGCAGCGAGCCACCGGCGATGGTAGCAATGACACCACCCTGAGCACCGGAGATGAAAGTTGTCAGGTCGGTGTCCCACTCTTTCGCAAGTGGGACGAATGCAGCGCCCAAAAGAGGACCAACGGCTCCAACACATCCGCAACCATACGCGAATGCCCAGGTGAAGGCTTCCTTCTTCCATCTTGGCCAGTTGTACGGGTCGTTGGGCGAGTCCGATGGCTGTGGCACGAGAATGATCTCGCCAGAGGCATCGTGCTTCAGTAAACCGGCGTCAACGCCAGCAATCTCGGAGTCCTCACGTCCAATTTCATTGAGGGGAGCTGTTCCCGGCACGTGCTCGAGCTTCCGGTCTTCTAATATACCGAGAGGCATGATGAATGATATTGATGTCTGTCGAGAGATAAGGAAGGAGAAGGAAGATGTTGGCGACAAAGAGGTTGAGAAAAACTGGCGATGTGGCAGCTGATCCTTTCTTTATAGAGCTTCTCCGCCTTCGCCCTCAATACTCGACTGGAGAAGGCTTCGTGGGTCTGGGACTCTGGGGCAACTTTGGATGGCTGTATACTTTGCTTTCCATCCACTCGTTGATTCTAGATCTAATTATCAAGAGCCAACGCCGAGTAAATGCCCACTTTGCCATGTCTTCGGGCGCGCTTGTATCATGTAGAGTTCAGCGCCATCCCCCAATGGCCCGGACTGAACCCATCGTCCAGCCGAGATTGTTGGTGAGGGGGCTATCTCTTCACTGGGGATTCTCCTCAACCCCGGTCCGCCACCCACGGTATGGATGTCGGGGCTCGCGGGGTCAAAGTCGTCGGCAAACGAGTCGTATGAAGCTTCCAGCTTGCAGCCGCGACGCTTCGTGGACGTTATCGAGGTTCGAAACTCGCCTAGGGAGACGGCAAAGCCCCATATGCAAGGTTGGCACGTGACTAACAGCTTTTAGCCCTTGAGTCGACTGCGTCGACACAGTATGTGTGTACGCGTTCCAAAGTGCTGCTGGATCGAAGTATGGGACATTCCCAGCTCAAGGGAAACGTCTTCCGCTTCCTCACATGAAGTATCACTCGTATTGTGCCAGATATCTTGAACGGAACATGCCGTGGTCGGCCCCACGATCAAATCTGAGGCTCGCTTGATTTTGCGGGGCGTTCAGCTGCTGGAAGTCTGGGAGAACCCCATCTGTTCAGTGTGTAGGAAGGCTCACAGCATCAGAGCCATCTGAAGCACTCAGTCCGATCGTTAATAATAATGGAGCACGGCGATTGTTTCATGACCGATGCAGACCATTTCCGGCATGGAGGTGGGCATCAGAACCGGAATTTCCGGAGTTGCCTGAGCTTGCATGGCCCAGTGTTAGCCAACCATGACGGCTCTTCTGGACCGTTCGTCCCATATCAGAGCCTTTGCTCCTGCTCGACAACGCGGCCAAATAAGCAGTCGACCGAACCTCGATGGCTCTCGCAGTGTGGCGATCATGTATGGTCCTTCCAACCTTGAAGGAAGGTGCCAACGTGAATTGTGAAGCCCTCCCGGAGATAGCAGGATGTAATTGCTGGTCGCCAATTGGTGTCCACGACCAACCGCCAAAATTTTGATAGTCACAAAGCGACCACTATGAGTCAATACCAAATTCTTGAGAAGACATTGTGAAAGGCTTCGCGAGCGGCAGTGAAGCTGCGACTGCCACTCCAGCAACCATGAAAACAGCTATCCGCTCAGCTGCCCGACCGCTTCAGCGGCGAGCACTCTCCACAGCGTCGGCCGCGACGACAGCGACCACCACAAAACCACCTCGACATCTCCTCTCAATATCGAATCTCACGCCCACAGAGCTATCCACACTAGTCAACAATGCCACCCGTCACCGGTCACTTGGAATTAACAACTTTCCTCTCTCACCTCTCGCCAACGCCCTCTCCCACAAGAACATCGCCCTGATCTTCTCCAAACGCTCTTCTCGGACCCGTGTGTCTACCGAGTCCGCCGTCGTCGCCCTCGGTGGGCATCCCATGTTCCTAGGATCGGGCGATATCCAGCTGAACGTAAATGAAAGCCTTTACGATACTAGCCGGGTGATTTCCAGCATGACCTCCGGCATGGTCGCTCGCGTTGGTCCTCACTCAGATATCGTTGGCCTAGCCAAGGACAGCACTGTTCCCGTGATCAATGCGCTCTGCGACACGCATCATCCCATGCAGATCATCGCGGACTTTGCAACATTGACGCAATCGTACGCTACCACAGCTGAAGGCTTAAAAGGCCTGAAGATCGCATGGGTCGGCGATGCCAATAACGTCCTCTTTGATATGTGCATCGGCGCCCGGAAACTCGGGATCGAAATGGCAGTCGCGACGCCCTCAGGCTACGAGCTACCGGCAGCGATAAAGGCCGAGATCGATCAGGCTGGTGAGGGCAAGCTCTCGGAGACCACGTCGCCTCTCGAAGCCGTCAAGGACGCAGATGTGATCGTCACGGATACTTGGGTCTCGATGGGCCAGGAAGAGGAGTCGCAAAAGCGTATGAAAGCTTTCGCAGGCTACCAGGTGACAGAGGAGATGGCGAGGAAAGGTGGAGCGAAGAAGGACTGGAGGTTCATGCATTGCATGCCCCGGCATCCGGAGGAGGTCAGCGATGAGGTGTTCTATGGTGGGAGGAGTTTGGTGTTCCCGGAAGCAGAGAACCGCTTGTGGTCTGCGATCTCGGTATTGGAGGGATTCGTGGTCAATGGTGGCGACATCAAGAAGACCATTGTATGAATTCGTCATGCAGCATGTTCAGGACTAGCTTTTTGCAGAGCGCTTCTATGACATCTGCCACTAAGCACTGGTAGCTCGACATCAGCTCATTTCCAACGTGAAACTATTCCACATCGACCAGATCAGGTATGCCAAAGCGATAACAGGATCCGACTCCAGATTCCTCCCTAGCCTGTGACGCCCGTGTCATACAATCATTACAATCCTGGAGTCCATAGTACAATTTCTCCCATCCTGATGACTCGTGTCGAGACAAAACAGTCACTGTCCTATTGCGCTCTTGTCCAGCATCTGAATTGGTCAGAATCCCAGCTTGTTGATGAAGGAGCGCACGCGGCCGGACCATCCATTGCTGACCTCTTCCACGTATGTGGGGTCCTGGCACCAACAAGTGCGAGTGAACTGGTTGTAGACGGCGGGCTGATTGCTGTTGTTGATACATCTCATGGCAGCACAGGCCTCTGCGGTCATCATAGCATCGCCCACATCGGGCGCATAAAGCCCACGAGTGTTCCACTTCTCTTGCTTGGTTCGCTCTAGACAGCCACAAAAATCCTCAATTCCCTGGATGAAAGTCTTCGAGGACTCCGAGCAACCCTTGCGACAGTCAGTCGGGAAGATCTGCGTAAGCTTCGAGATCGAGCAATCTTCAGGCTCCGGCATCGAGACAGAGCGTTTGCTCGAATCAGTCGAGGCATGCAATCTCAGTTCAAGTGGACCACCAGTGTAGATTTGATTGATATCGTGAATCCGATTAGTCCCAGTCACAGAAATAGTCTCGCCGTCCGCGGTTCGAACCCAGTATGTGTAGATATTCGGAGTGTACATATTGATGGCGATGACCATGCAATCAGCAACGGTAGTCTGATTTGTGCCATCATTGACATATTTTGGCACAATCATGATGTCGACATTGTCTGTTTTGCCGATACCACCGCAGGGGAGATAGATACTGGCATTGATAGGGATGATGGTGGCAACCATACCATCCATCTGCACCATGAATGTCAAATTGCCATTGATGAAGTCAGGTATGACTGAGTTGGCAACAGCCTCATTCTGTGCCTGGCTGTTGAGTGACTGGTTCATGAGCTCGGGCGTGATGTCTGTTTTGGGCGGCGGCACGAATGTGGGAGTTGTCGTGTCAGTGGTCAGGAGAGAGGAGACAGTTGACGTGGGCTCTTGTCGCTTCTGGTTTGCAAGCTTGGCTTTAGTCAGATGCAGTTCCCGTGCGATGACCGCGGATGCAGATTGAAGCTTGCTCGTGAGCAGACGGATGTCGCGTATGGTGGCGTTGACGGTCTTCGAAAGCTCGAAAAGCTCCTCGTCATCAAGCTCGAGAGCGTTCCAAGCGGTCAGAACGGCTTTCATGTGGTCAACTCGGTCTTGGATTCGCGTGCTGTTGCGGAGGATCGCGCTCTTGAACGAGGTCAAGGCCCGTCCGTGGACATGATTGACGCCGATGAACAGAGATTGCTCGATGCAGCGATCAGGAGCGGCACAGAAGCAGTCGCCTTGAGAGATATCGAAATGAACATCGGGCTTCACTGCTGGACAGGAGAAGTCAGGACAGTGCTTGGCAACCTGTCGAAGTTAGCTCGTCCGATGGAGTCGCAAATTGAGCACTTACGATGTACTGCGAAGGCAGATCTGAACAGCGGCAGGGTCCGACTTTGCTGGAGGCATCGTACACGGCATATTGAACCTTGTGGCCATCCTCGCTCGTACACAGAGTCGCACTCATGTCCAAGCACATCTCTTCAAGGATCGGGTTCAAGATCTCAGTCTTGAGTGCTGCCAACGCTGTGAAGGTTCTCGCAGGTGCTGCAGCCACGATACCCAGACCTAAAAAAGAAACCCAAAGCAGCCTCATACTGGAGTTAGGAAGTGAATAAAGAATAGACAGGTGAGAAGTAGGTAGCTGTAGGTGATGCTTTGACCTCACAAGGGATGCAGATAGGAATTGATACGGGTGAGTATGGTAGCAGAACACCAAAAGTTGACGCGAATCACATCCTGATCGCGTTTGCACTTTCCCTCACTGCCTTGCTCGGATAAGCTGCCAATCTGAAGACCATTGAGAGAAATGTCCAAGAATGGAAGGAAGCCCGAAGCGTATTGTGAAGTGTGACATTGACTTTGGCTGTGGAAGGAGTCATGATCATCTGTGGACTTGCTGTTGCCCCGTAACAACATCGCCAAGGCTGCCTCATATGTTGCAGGAACTGACTGAGATACCCAAAAGACCTACCTGACACTGGGATGCGTGTTACATGCATGATCCCGTTGTCATCAGCACTTCCAGTTGAGTGGCAAATGAAAACGGAGGTGCTCTTTCTTCGAATTCATTGCAGCAGGCTGAGGCTCAGACCTGGAGAGGGGGAAAACCAGATGGGAGCGATGGCCGGTCGACGACCAGGGTCGATAGTGGTGAGAATGCTGTCAGCATCACGCTCATAATAAGAGAGGGTATCGTCAACAGAATCCCATGCGAACCTAAGTTATATTGATGACAGCTACGCATTCTGTAGTTGTGAGATTCGAGTTCGACAAAGTGATGTTCGGAGGCTGTGGCTCTCGAGACTCAAAGCCTGCTGATTGGCCAGTTCTTCTGCGCTGACCTGGGGTGATCCACCCTGCTACCAATGTCCTGGGACAGTCAAGCTCTGGCTCGCACAGTGTGCAGCAAAGGGAAGCATTGTTGTACCACATTGACCTTTTCACTTGCTGTGTGCATGGCCATGTTTATGGCTCACTGTTCACAGTCACATCAGACAATGCCAGTGCCGAGGTGACGTGGCACTTCGGGCAAGTCTTCCCTTCACCATGACCCCTCCAGATCCCCACACAATTCGAGATCGCCGCCCATAAATTTTCTGCCTTGTGACTTTGCGAGTTTATTTCCTCCTACCTCGTACACCGCCCTCCCGGCACCAGCACCATAACAGACTCGCTATCATCTGTACCAGGCTTCGCGATCAGTTTCGCGCCGCAGTTTCGAACGACGTCGATACAGTATCATTCCGCCAGAGTATGAACAAGCCTTCCACCAGCAGCACTGGGCGCTTCTGCGAGGCGTGCGACGAGCCTGGGTAATTGGGGTTTCCAGCACGTTGGACGAGGATAGATCTGGGCGGCAGACGGAGGCAAGATTTACAGACAGACAAGATTTTGGATATGCGAATGGTGGCAAAGATCATAATCGAACGCATCCCGCAGCGACAGTGCGGCAGTGCATACTAGAGCGCAATAGAGGCGGAACATCGGATACTCATGTGGACAAAGTGAGCAGAAGTGTCTCAGTCATAAGGTATCTAGATCAGGTACGTGTACGAGAAGGCCATGCGCTTGCTAGCAAGATTGAGCCGAAATGGACCACGAGACTGACTCCAACCCCAGAAATTGCTGCAACGACCATCTACAGCAAAGATGTGTTTCGAACGACTGACGCACCTCAAATGCGGCCATTATGAATCCTATCAGCTGGATACAAAAGCCTGCGGCGGCGTTGGTGGACTCGGACGAGCCTGCAAGAACTACGTGCAGGCAGTGGTGCGAGTCGAGAAGGGCAGGAGCTGTCGCAGGTGCAAGGCTCTCAGTCTTGCGGGCTTGGGTGTCGCAAGTCCGAGTTTGAGAGATTGTTGAGGCGCTATTGCAACTGACCGTGGATGAGAAATGGGATCTGTGATACAACATTATCACAAAGTGGACAGTACTGTAGTTGAAGGGCAGAATTTGATGCATGATGCCCTCGACCATTTGGACAAGGCATATTTGACAAGAAATGTGAACAGAGCTGGCTCCATAGATTGAAGACTAGACGCAGGATATGTAGATCGAAATGCACGGAGAATCGGAGACATGTCTGCTATGATCAGCAAGACAACGATTGAACGGCGTCCCGCGACATTGGACGTCAGGAGCTACCATGCACGCATCCCGTTCATCCTCAACTCGGAGCTCTCGCAGGAAGATGCATAAGCACGAGCAACTGTGCTGCCTCGTGCTTGCTAAGTTGCGGCTTCCCTCTTTTAGCCGTGCAGATCACGGAATATATATGCGGCTCCGTACAATTGCACAATGGATACGTCATGCCTTGCCTCAGATTCTTGGTGGGCTGTTGCTTCTCAACATCTCCGTGGGGCTTTTGAGATTTCTGGACGTCCAGTTTACTGTTCTTTCAGCGATCACTCTTCTCGAATTGACTCTGCCCAAGAAGGTGAAATACCGACCCAGGAAGTAGGTATGCCTCCACCGCTCGATCGCGCGGAAGAAAGCATTCGAGGCTCACATGTAGCAGACGCCCAAGCTACATAAAAGCACCCATAGACTCGAATAAACAACGCAAATATGTCTGCTCCTAACGCAGGTCGCCAATCTCCTGAGCCAGAGACGCAAACCGGTGCTCAGCTGGGAGATCATCCCGCCCAGCCTGGTAGTGGAAAGGTGAGCTTGCTCTTTTAGATCAGTCGGGACACGGCACGGAGACTCTTAAAGGCAGCCCTGCTACTTTAGCGCCGTCGACCTTCCGATCGACTGCGCGGAAGACATCCTAATGCCGGAGAACGGTCACCAACTCAGCCAAGATTTACTGACATGTGTTCCGCCAGGTCGACAACTCCAAGGACAAGAATGAGGGCAAGGAGGATCAACTCGCAGGTCTGGAGAGCAACCCCAAGCATATCCTTGAGGATGAGTCGAAGACGAAGTCAGGTGCTACGTCGAAGTAGCGAACGAGCGAAGTGAACCGAGTGAATGTGAGGTCACCATATGAAGGCCGGGAGCATCGAGAAATTCAGACCATGATCGAACAGGGGCCGCAACGTAGCACGCAAGACATACCTATGGCCTGATTTCATCGGAAATGCTTCGTATCAGTGTACACAATGTCTGCATACAACTTGCAGCCCAAATATCTACGCTCTCAGCCACGTTTTGTGTCCACTTGTACGGAAAACATATTGCTTAAGACGGATATAGTGGCATTGATCATAAACAGTGCTCCATTACGTCCCTTACTACCATGCAGGGTTTGTGGACCATAGTGAGTTAGCAGTTCTTGTCATATGAGATGAACGACTAGCTCTCGACTGGTACAGGAGACCCCCAGTAACGTTTATATCATGTCATTGCGAGGTCCTGCAGAAGCGCTCTCCTGAATCGCCTGTCTCACGTCGCTCTCGCGGAACACAGGCCCATGGCCGTCATCACGAGTCATATGCTTCAATCGTTCCGAGACGTCTCCGACGTCAATCAAGCTGAGGCGAAATTGTTCGCTGCGTTGGATGTAGTCCCAAGCGCTGCCAGCACTCAAGAGCCGATCTCCATGACAGGCACCGCGATCTATACTGCCTTCCGCAGCATACTCCGCATAGGATCCTGTGCTGCGCCCTTGCCTCTGGTCCTGATCTCGATCTTTGCGCCATTTGGCGCTATCCTTCTTCAAATCGTCGATAATTGCGCTTGTGAGGGCCGTGTAGAACCGAACCAGGAAACCAGTACGGCCATCTTTGTTCTGGTAAGGACGCACGGTGGCGTCGTTCCCGAAATAACGACAAATCATGTGTTGTATAACCTCGCGGTCGATTCCTGTGCCAGGCACGAAGTAGTCATTGTAGTACTTGGCCTGCACCGGCTCTATCTCGTTCACAAATGAATCAACGTTCGGGAAGTCGCGTGCGCTACGGGTATAGTATTTTTTCTGAGGGGCCTGTTCATCCAAATCGTAGTTCCTCAAGTCATCCATAGCTGATTCTCGACCTTGCTCTTTAGAATACTCAGCGTCCTTTCCCTGGTCTACCTCAGTAGATTTTCCAGTGCGGGGATCAGTGTAGTATCGATGGTATCCTTCCACACGGGAATTCCCAGAAGCGCTGATGTGATGGTCTGATCGAGGCTCGTACGAGACAGGTTGATTTTGGGGAGCACCTGGATGCCGTTGCCGCTCGCGCATAAAATCGCCAGCGATACCGAGTATGCTCCCTGCACTCAGTCCAGCAGCAGCCATCTTTGAGTGGAGGCCACTTCTCGCAATGCGGGAAGTATGGCTCATTTCCCCAGTCGCTGTCGGCAAGTTTGTCTGCGCCCGACGGTATGTAATGGCTCTATCCTCAGCAGTGCTCTGATTCTGACTAGGTCTGTATGACTGTGTGTCCCCCGTCGAGATGTGCGAGACACGGTTCTGTATGGCCGACGACTTCTGTATCTCTTCTCTCAATCGTGCAAGAGCTTTGTCACGTTCCCCGTAGATTAGGGGCATACTGACGTCGAAGATGCCCAGAAGGCAATACGCCTTGTCTTCCTTGCGCTTCGTTTGTCGATTCGTTGCCCAGGCCATCCGCTCCTCAACAGTGAATCGCGCGAGCGGGGTTCCACCGAGTGCTTGAGGAGGAATTCCAGTGATCCCACTTATCTGCGACCGCAGCTCTTCTTTGGTCCCCAATATGTCTCCTTCGCGAAAGTAGAACTCTACAACCTTGGGTGCGATGAGCTCCTGCAAAGTCCAGCCTCGTGTAAACCTGAGAGTCGTGTCAGGGAACAGGCTTGAAAAGATATATAGACCTCCTCGATGAGCACGAACAACGGGAATTACCACCGGCATTCACAGAAGTCGTACGGCCAGCTTGGATCATAACGCATCGTGACTGAAACGTCTGACACGTAAACATAGCACTTCTGGGCTTCTTGATACCAATTGAACATGGAATTGATGGCCTCGGACAACTCTGCGCTGCTATTACGGTCGATGCAAGCCGAGTCGATCCAGGAGTGGTCCAGACCATCCCTTCTGATCAGTCGTGCACAAAGTTCAAGTTTCGCATAGCCGCCGCACGTTTTGTTGATGCGGCCGGTCGTGACATGCTCGAACAAGACCTCGTCATCGTCCGAGCCCCAGGTGTGCGATAAAATGGAGTAAGGAGGGATTTCGCCATCGAATAGCTTCCTTGTCAACGCGAATTCCCACTCGCATCAACTTTCAGTAGCCGCATGCTCAGCTCAGCTATGGCGGATCGCACCGTCCCAGGCGATCGGCAGATCGAAGACACAGTCGATCATAAGTGTGACGATTATGATTTGTTCGAGGCGAGGTTTTGGTAACAAATGGGCACAAAAGCACGCTGTTGGGTGGCTGTTGTGGGTCAGACCAGATCGCACGCAGTATGTCAAGGTTATGTCAGAGACAGTATAGGCCTATGGGAACGTTATTGCTGATAAGGTGAATGGCAGAGATCCTGTCGAGATGTTAGTCGCTGTACAGAGCCACGCGAAAGTATTCTATGGAAAGTGAGATCTGTTGAAAAGTTGAGCAATGACTGAAACAAATAATGGATGACCGACAAGTCCGGAACATGAGGCTGTCACTGTGCCTAGCAAGTCCAGGACACAAGGCTGTCTCTCAAGTAAGAGCTGTGAATCACAGAAAGAGGGGAGCCCGCCTAGTGCCCAGCTCTCATAGGAGGAAGGTGATGGCCATAGCCTGATCGCGTGGAGGCTATCGGCAGGCTAAGATCATCAGACTGCAGGATGAGAGGTCTCAGAAGACACGCCAATGAAGGCTGACACTTGCTGAGTGCAGAGTAGCCATAAGATAGCTTTGCATCAAGCTCATTGCAAGACACTTCCTGACGATGGTAGTCGTTGACTGTGGCTCGAGATAGTACATAAGTACTAGGTACAGTCGGGTAGGTTGGCCTCCACTTACAAGGCGACAGAGTGGAGTGCAGTGGAGTAAGATCGGGCTCGCCCCAAGGTTCCAACTTAAGCCAGAACTTTGGCACTGCGCGATCAAAAAGTTCCATTGTCAGCTTTGAGGTCCCCTTTTGTGGTCTGCAGTGGCAGTCACGATAGGGACCACGAGGTTACGGCTCATCCACGCCGTTGTATTGCCATCAGCATGTATCGCGTACCTCTTATGTTGCGCGTCGTGCCCATATTCTTACTTTACCTCTCAGCATCGCTCGCCGCTGACACCCAGAACCCCTTGGCGACGCCCAACGAACGTCGCGGGTACAAGACTGGCGACTCCCTCCCAGTCTCTTGCTTGAACCGAACAATAGACACGGGCGAACATGTCACCGACTCGCATGGCAACCTCCAGTATATACCATTCACGATTTGCAACGAGACCGCTCTCCCGTTGTCCTTCCCTTACAATACACCTTTGACCCAGACCTGCACAATTCCTGAGCTGCCGGACGAGCTATACCACCTGATAGAATTCTTCGTACACAGTGACGTGCCTCTGACATGTCGAGTGCCAACGTATCCGCTCGACAACATAATACCAGGGTCTACGGACACCGCGGACTCGACAGGAGTAGGCAGTACTGCCGATGTTGACACCTGGACGCCCTTCACGATCGCGGTACAGGGGACTCTACAGACGTCACATCTGCATTTACACACGAACATCAACGTCTTGTTCCACACGTCGCTCGAAGCGTCAACAAAGGAGAAGAAGACTGTGCCCCCGCCATCACATCTGATCGCGAGTTCGGCATATAGTGTGCCTAACCCAGCGTTATCATCGCCCAAGGAGGGAACGAAGATCATCAGATATGAGCCATTGACGCTGACATTCAACGTGGCGTGGATAGATGGAGATGTGCTGCCCGGTATGGTCGGACGGCCGGTCTTGAGCGTGACGGATCATAGGGTTGGATTCTCGCTCATCAGTCTGCTTGGATTGGCTGCTGCAGCTGGATTTGGTGCTTTGGCTATGCTGTTGTATGAGCGAAAGAAGAGTGGAAGGGCGAATGCAAATGGCTTACTGGGCGGAAATGTTGGTGGTGGACTGCCGAACGGAGGCGTAGCGAGAAGCACTGGATATGGTGGTTATGGCGGTTACGGAGGTTACGCTGGACCAGGAAAGCGCGACTGATCGCAACGAATTCTTCGAGCAGCACGCCTTCCTTTTGTGTGTCGCTCAAGCACGTACATCAAGTCGACTGGGCTCTAATGGGAGGTATGCCGCCTTGACAGGGGACCTATTCTTGCGATGCTTTGCTCGCGCCATCTGCATGAGCTGTTGGCATCAGGCAGCTTCTGTGAGTGACCCTTCTCTCTCTGTCACCTGCTGTGTCGACACCGGAAACGCCGCCTCGCTCCTTCCCAACGACATCCAAGCTTGATGTGTCTGATTGGGAGGAAGCTGTGCAGCTGAATTCACGCCTTGTGCTCATGCTCCGTCTCATTGCAAGAGGTAATGCAGTCTCAATCCACGATGCCGCCTTCCCGGTGTGAGCGCCTGCCAGACTCATCAAACCAGACGGTTCCTCCTTTCTCCAAGCTTTCCTGCAACGCCAACGCAATCTCCAATCCCATCCTGACCTCCGGCAGGGTAATGCGAAACTCACGTTTGTCAAGAATTCCATCCACGAACTCCACGACTTCTGACACAAAACCTTCCCGATATCGATCGTACCAATCATCTGGAGCACGCCAGCCGACTCCGTTGCTATCATGGACACTGACTCGATTCTTCCGAGACTCCAAGTTCACTGATATCTTGCCGCGCTCACAACGAATGTCGGTCGAGTTGTCATAGCCGCCACCCGCTGCAGCAGTCCGACTGTTGAAGTATGAAGCGATCTGGCCGGAGCTGAATTGAACCACTCCGCGAGCATTATCCGCGTCGCCTCGGTGTGATGCATGCTCGGCCGGTGAGCGAAGAGACGTGAACTACCACCAGTCAGAACACAGAATGCAGTGCACAATTCGATAGTCCGAGCTCGATGCGCATTCTCTGATGCCGGCGTACCTCACTGACCGTTCCAACCGCAAAGCATTGCCTTGGTCGCAGAGGCTCAGTGTTTCGAACACTGCCCGAGGCGTGTGCCCCAGCACTTGGTTGACTTGTGGAGAGGAACATTAAGCTAAGGTCAATGTCATGGATCGCACTATCGAAGAAGATGCCACCACAACTTTTGAAATAGTTGTGTGAAAATTCTGAGTGTGATAGCGGCTCGGCGGCCTGGGAATCGAAGGCTATGGGCGCGCCATAATCACCTACAGGTCATCAAGTCATCAGCTGAAGAGCAGCAGTTCCCATCTCCGAGTTCTAGCGAAGCCTACAAACTTTGTTCTCTCGGAGGGGGCCGAGCGTCCGATGCTTTCTGGTTGCGTAGACGTACCTGACTTGACCTTCTGAAGAGCCTCCTCGTACGACTCGTCGAATCGGCGAGTGAATCCGATCATCAGGCAGACCTGGGGATTCGTGGCGGCAAGCTCGATCAGACCATCGAGCTTAGGGACCGGAGTCAGTCTGAATGCAACGAGAACAGCCACACCGTTCAGCTGGCTGTGGGTTCGGAGTCATACCTCATCCACTGTATGACAGACTGGCTTCTCGCACAGCACGTGAATGCCACGCCTGAGGCTTTCTAAGGTGTGCTGGTAGTGGAGAGTCGTCAGGCTTGAAACGACGACTGCCTGAAGGCCGGGAAACTGGATCATTTCGTCAAAAGAGCTGAAAATCGACACGCCTGATTCGGTAAGCACAACGTCGATATCTCGAAGGCTGGACGGCCAACTCACCATATCGGGCCAGCTCTCTCTTTGCCCACTCGAGGTCTGCCTGGGCCGGCGAACATACGCAGACGAGCTTTGCCTTTGGTACTCTTCGAAGCAGATTGAGAGCATGTCGCCGCCCAATCCTGCCTATTCCAACGACGCCGAATTTCAGAGATGGTAGAATGGGGACGGCCTCATCAGGAGAGCTGCCAGGCCTGCTGACCATTGCTTGACGTTGATGCCTTTCTGCGGGATGATGTAGTGGCTGCAGATGTCGGAAGTACCCTGTCGACGTTGTGTAACCATGGATTGCAGCCGCGGCTCGACCCAGCTTTCTGGTATATGATCGGTCTCAAACAGAAGTGCTCACCAACTATATATGGCTCGCTCCTGGCTGATGCTGTTCCACAATACCCACTAGAAGATCTGAACTCAATGATATTAGATGATAGCTAAGAACTATGAAAGTGGGTGGATGAGTGCGATTGATATAATCGCACTCGACACGCTAATCCAAAAGGAGATGAAAGACGTGTTGCCTTTAGGCAACACTCTGTCAAAGAGAGAGAGCCTTTGTCACTTGAGGTTTGTGTAGGGCTCTTCAAGTTACCCCAACTCTGGCTGATTGTACACCTCTTGAGGAGATGATGCAACTATACAATTCGCGGACGTGGCACCAGCAGATGGTCAGATGATCCCAAAGACGCTGTGTCTGCCCAACCACCGTTCCTCCAAAGACGTCAGACTCTCGGTCAGATCACAATAGCCGTGAGTATAGTATGCCGTCCCTCATGATGAATAGAGCCGGAAGCTGAATTGCATCCCACGATCGCGTGGGGAAAATTGCCGTCATTCGCATGGTGGGGCAGCTATGACCGGGGCGCTTTGGGAAGCTTCCTTTTACTGCCTTCCATCCCTTTGTCATGGGCCGACCAGTCAAATGCGCGTTAACAAGAGCGACGAAGGAATCAGGCAACGAGGCAATCTCGACTGCCCGTATTTGTGCAGCGCAGAGGTGCGTCTGGCGCTTATGACATCAGGCTCCTGGGCCAGACAGACCAGGAAATTCAACCTTGGAAGCTGTGTACATGACCCTATTGGGATGGAGCTTGCTAATGTACAAAGACCTCCCAAAGTATCGGATGGAGGGTGAGCTGAATGAACCTCCGAAGGGCGGCTTAGGTCAACTTCGGCTGGCCAAATACTGTACATGTAGGCTAAATTACAATCTCATCTGATGCCCATACGTTTGAATGGAAGGGGCAATGAGCCTTCATTCTTACGTCTTGAACGTCCTCAGCTCCTGATACGTATGATCTTCGTGGTAGGTTTTTCCGAGAGGTCGGAGACGTGCTATGAAAGCCGCTGGCGTCTTCGCATTTCCCGGCTGCGGTTCTTTCCAGATGGAAGAGCACTTCGCAGGTCGTGACTGCCTTTATGTGCATCTCCCGAACACGTCACGGGAGCCTGCTTGGGAACTCGAGCCCGTCAGCTTCCCTGTGCAATTGGGCAAGAGCACTGCCTTTGCGTACGCAATCGGCACATGTCATCGGCCGCCAACGTGCATCCGCGCTTTTTGCGCCGCTCTGTTGCAGCGCTTTGCGTCTGATGCGAGTCTGCGCACTGTCCGGAGGATAGACGCGTGCACAGTTGCGACGACTGGGTTACGCGGACTGAAGTGCGTCGACGCCGGCGACCTGTAGATTCTGGTAGCATGCGTAGCTTCCCTAGCGTGTGCACCGAGTCTTGCGGTTTGCGTAGTTGGTTTCACAGATAGGCCTATTTCTCACTCGGTCTTTCAGGATGACCAGCGTTTGCGTCCTTGGAGGCACCGCCTTTCGGAGACGAGTCGCCATTGTCGTCAATCGCTGCTTCGGCCCATGGTGCGAACATAGCATCTGTCTTAGCCGCCCAAGCACGAAGACCTCGAGCAGACCTTTCATTCACGGGCGATTGGTAAAGGTCTGCGTCAAGTGGATCATTATCCGTCTCCTTCGGAGTATCAGCTTCGGAAGGCGAGCCGGAAACTTCGTTGTTAGTTGCTTCGGCCCATGATTTGCGCCATGATTTGGAGGAGCCATCGCCTAAGCCAGCTTTTCTGGCTTGTTCTAGCCTGACTCGTTTTCCGACTTGTTTTCCGGCTTGTCTTAATCCGGGCCCTACTCGAACGCGACTACGGGCACTGGAAAGTCTTGTCATGGGCGATAGTGGGCGTCCTGAGTCCGGAATAGCGGCGGATAGTCGTGACTGCAGCCTCTCCGGAGGACGTGGCTCGATGGGATCACCGTCAGTATCTCCGGTAAGAGACCTTGAACTCGTTGTCTTCTCGATTCCAATTCGAAAACGAGCCACTGACGGTTTTTCCTTCATGAGCATCTGGAAGAGTTCCTCATCAAGGTGATCTCCTAACACAGTTGCATGGCAGTAGTCGCCGTCGTGAGAGATGGATACCGCACCGTGTTGGCGAATGCCAGTCGTCTCATCTGCTGACGTTGTACGACACTGGATGGCTATTGACGGCTTTCCAGCATGGGTAGATGAGATGATGATATTTTGCCACGAGACCGCTTGGCCCCATGCCTTAATGGCAGCCTCTTTCGCGGCAAAACGTCCAGCTAGATGATGGCTGAGCATGCGAAGTTGTGGGGACCCTGGCTGATGCCATGTGCTGTCGACCTTTTCGCTGCCAGCTTTGAAGAGAGGAAAGCGAGACTCAGCTTGTAGCATTTCGGACGGCGTAAGAACGCGTCGCATAAGGCCGCGGGCACGGTGAAGATTTGGCGCCTCTGGATCCAGAATCCGTTTTGCAAGGCAGATGTCAGTCCCAAGTGCCAGTTTGCTGCCAAAGGCTATATCGCGCATTGGCATCGTGCGGATTGAGATACCACTCCAGGATGTAGATGACAGGGATGTTGTGGAAGGGCCAGTATCGACCTGTGTGTATATGAGATGTTCAACTGCGTGCAGATGTTAATGAGCTTTCAGGGCAGCAAGCCAAGATGTTGGCCCCTTTTTACTGTGCTTAGATTGTGATAGACAATGAGCTTTATATACGTGTAAATCCGGCGAAAACCTGAAATTCGTGCTACTTTCGCACACAGATGAATTGTAGATCAGAATTGAATTGGCATGGCTCAATGGTCTAGTGGTATGATTGTCGCTTCGGGCACCGCCTACAGTTGAGTCCAAACAACTGCGAGAATGTGACAGGCCTCGGGTTCGAATCCCGATTGAGCCCCGATGGTTTTTGTTTTTGTCTCAGACTGTCCTGAAGGAGGCCGGAAAGAAAGAGTGCCTAGGGGATACTTTGGTGAGGCAGATGTGGAAGGGAACCTCGGAACTCCGAGCCAAGGCGTCACCCATGACATACCACCTTCTCGCGCTATTTGAGACATATCAGTTAGCAAACGTCTCGATAACATCTCACCGCAACTAAAGTCTGGCCTACAATTCACAGCTGCCAAACAGTCTCTCAGGCTCTCTAGATACTGCTCGCATTCTCAAACATGTCTGGCACTGACCACCGAGAATATGTGGTTGAACACAGTCACGTCCAAGCGCTCACGTAACCCCTCCTCCGTACCACACCCTCCACTGCAGCGAAGCCGTTCATCGAACACGTTACCCTCGCGCTCCAGCTCGCCTTCCTCTATACTCGCCGAGACACTGCGCAAGAATGCTTTCCGCCCGAAGAAGTCCCCCCCGCCCACGGAGGAAGATGCGCAAACGACATCTCTAAACAAGGACTTACATACGTTAGCCGACGTCTTCCCGGACATCAAGGTTGAGGTCTTCCGGGAGCTTCTACGGCGTTTCGACGGCGATAGTCGCGTGCAGATATGCACAGAGCAGCTGTACAAGTTCAAGGGAGAATGGGCAGGTGGTCGCGTAGAGAATCCTCCCAGAGAGCCTGGCAAAGCCATTCCTGCTGAAGAGCTGTTCCGGTCCAGCAGTTACATCAGCGCTTCTACGAAGGCACTGATGCTCGAGTTCCGGTCGTCAAGCAAGAGCTCCGTCGACGCCGTTCTCGCAGAGGTCAATTACTCGTACTCGAGGGCCCGGCCCATTCTGCTTGACATCGCAAATAAGTCTAAATGGGCCATGTTCAAGCAAGCCATAGGATGGAAGCAGAAGCGCAATCTGGGTGACGCACCAGCAGTCCTGTTCGAACGAGTGGTGGATGGTAAACCGCAGCAATTGATAGCTACCGAATCGGCTCAACTGGATCAAGAGCTGGAGTCGATCTATGTGAGGGCCGAGCAACAGCGACAACATGAAGTGACTGAGTCTGCAGATCACGTGCTGGCAGCAGAGATCAACCATGAAGAGGCAGTCGAAGCTGCAGCCCTCTTCGAATGCCAGGTCTGCTACAATGACGTTCCGTTCGAGGACGTAACCTGCTGTTCCACAGGCGACCACGATGTCTGCTTGGACTGTGTTCGCCGCACGCTTCATGAGGCTATCTTTGGGCAGGGCTGGCACCGGTCGATCGATGTCGAATATGGCACGTTAAAGTGCCTCTCAACAGCAGGCTGTACAGGACGCATTCCTACGTTTCTGGTACAGCGAGCAATCTTGACGCAGCCGTCCGGTTTGACCACCTGGGCCACGTTCGAATCGCGACTCTTCGAGGCCAACATTCAGTCTACAAACGTGGAGCTGGTTCGCTGTCCGTTCTGTAACTACGCTGAGGTCGATCGACGGCTCGATACCGCGGCAGCCAGGTCTCTTCGTTGGTCGCTTCGCAAGCCGGCCGTGCCTGCATTTGCTCTGCTATTACTGCTAGCGTTCCTGCCGGCCCTGGTCATCTTCCTTGGCCCACTACTTTTTCTCTTTCCCTCATGGTCGCAGCGTCTGTTCTACGACGCTCTGGCACAGGTGGCTCTGCAAAATAGACGATCGAAATTCACCTGTCTCAGTCCAGCATGCGCTCGGCCATCTTGTCTGACCTGCTCGAAGGCCTGGCACGACCCGCATATCTGCCATGAACCACTCATCGTGTCCCTCCGGACAAGCGTCGAAGCTGCTCGAACAGCTGCGATCAAGCGGGTGTGCCCGCGCTGCGGCACCGCCTTCGTCAAATCAAGTGGATGCAACAAGCTCACCTGCGTCTGCGGCTATTCTATGTGTTACCTGTGTCGCGCAAACATTGGCAAGGCAGGAGCAGCTGGCAACGCTGAGGGCGCGGCAGGCTATCGACACTTCTGCGAGCATTTCCGACCGACAGCTGGGAAGAAGTGCACGGAATGTGAAAAGTGTGATTTGTATCGGGAAGAGGACGAAGATGAAGCGGTGAGGCAGGCTGGCGAGAAGGCAGAGCAGGACTGGCGGCACCGCGAAGGCATGGTTGGGGTGAAGGGCCTCGAGGGTGCGGTTGGCAATATTGGTGGCGCGGGCGGCTGGTGGCATGAGTTTCTGCGTGGACAATGGACGGTGCAAGGTATTGTAAATTGGTCGGTCGGCAGGTGTGTCATCGTCGAGGAGGTTTGACTTGATCATTCCGGTCCTCCGTGTTTCTCCCTCGCGTAGCGAGCAATTGCGGGATGCCAAGCCAGCAGATTCACTCGATATCTTCACCTGAGAGACAGCTCAACGGCGCTTCACGCCAAGCCTTGTTGCCGGCAACCAGACAATGCAAGTGTGGCTACTCGAGGAGGACTCCGTCAGTCCAAAAATACTAATCTTTTTCCACCATCTCGCAGGCTCATGATCACGCAGCCTCATCTCAATTGGCCAAATCTCGCTCGTTAGCATCGTCCTTCCAGCAGCATGGCTCCATCCGGCGCGGTGTACTCGGTCACCGAAGCTCATGACATCCTGCAGTCTGGTGAACTCAGCGACTTCGAAATCCGTTGCAACGACCACGTCTTCCGCGTACACCGATTGATCTTGGTTTCGAAGTCCGCCTTCTTCAAAGCCGTAATCACTGATGACTTCAAAGAGAAGGCTGATGGCGCGTCAATCTTCATGACTACACTCCTGGAGTAGTTGCTTGCATGATCTTTCACTGCTACACGAACGAGCTTCCTGTTCTCTACTCCGACACACGCTCCTCCGACACACCGTGGCCACAATACTTTCAAACATTCAAGGACTGCGAGCCTGCCCCTGAACGACTCATCCAACATGCTTCTGAAAAGCTCGATCGGCCCAGCTTTGGACGGCTCATCAAGCGCTTTGCGCTGCTGGTCGAGCTCTACACCATCGCAGACTTTCTGCTGCTTCCAGACCTCAAGCGACAAACGGCACTAGATATCCTTACCGGTTTCGATAAGCTATCCGAGGGAGTTCTCAACAACTTATGGCACTTGTTTCTGTTCTTTCTAGAGCATTGCTACGACCGTATTCCTGAAACGGACTCCCACTTGAAGCCTTTGATCACCGCTTGGGCGTTGTCAAGTTATCAAGCAAGCAAGCACAAGCGAAAGGAGGAACTGCAGGACCTTGTCAAGCAGAAAGATCAAGCAACCTGGTTGGCAATCAAATCTTTCTGGTTCCATGTAGATAGCTCTCGTTCTCCAAAGCAGAACTGGGAAGCCTTGATGGAGGAATGGTGACCTGTCGAATTGAATCGGTAGCTGCTGAACACTGGACACGTCGTCGTGATTGTCAGACATACCGCCCGCGACAGCTTCAGCACATGGCGACCAGTCACCACCTTCCACGAGATCCTCGAAGACCGGCGGCATGCAACGAAAGGAGGCCACCATGATGGATAGGAGGAAGTTACCAGGGTGCGATCACACTCTTCACCGGACAGAGGGCCCCCCTGTCAGTCTCTCGTCAGGTCTCAAGCACGAGTTTCAGATATGGACAGCAAAGATATCATAAATCGCTGCCACAATTTCTGGCATATTCTCTACTTTCCTCAACTTCCGGCCTGGCGTCTGAATTACGCACTCTGTGATCACTAACATGAGCATTGGACGTCTTGCACCATGTCTCGGCCTACCACGTTACAACTGATTCTTGAGCATAAGGAGCGGCACCTCTAAACGAAGGACTCCATCAGCATGACTTGGATCCAGGTGTGGACGACCTATCCGACCTGAATCCTCCATTGAACCATCTCATGACAACATATCATTACGACAAGTGAACTTGAGGAAATCGTGCCTGACTCCCTGCTTGAATTTTTCCTGACTCCGACCTGACTACAGGCGGATCCCACCTGGTAAGTGAAGGCACCACTGTCACCAATCTAGTAGTGACTGCCCCGTTTGCCACTTCTCATGTTCCTGCGACTTTCTGGACTTTCTGCGCTGCCAGTGCACAGCCATCTTTTTTTATGTTTTAGCCACACCTTTGACACTACCATTGCTGCCAGAGACCAGATTGCGCAGCCCTTCTCATTCCACATCAACTTCCAACGTCCGAAATCGCTCGCAAACATGTCGACCGAAGACGCCGACTATCCCCGCGACGAAGCGTGTCAGGCGCTGCGCGAAGCTCGGTTCGCCGATTTCACCATCACATGCGATGGCAAGATCTTCAAAGTCCACCGCCCGACTATCTACTACAAGTCTAATTACTTCAAGGCGCTGCTCGACAACGACTTCAAAGAGAAAGCCGACGCTACCGTAGACCTCAAGGAAACCACACCAGTCGCTGTTGCAATTGTTCTGCTGTACTGTTATGCTAGAGAGGTCACCGAACTCTGCAAGTGCCCTTACAAATGGCTCAGCAAGACGTGGCCCCAGTACTTCTCCGACTCAGAGGGACCGTTCGCGGAGATGGATGCTCTGCTCGATGCCTACGTACTGGCAGACCGACTGTTGATGAAGACTGCAAAAGTCGTAATCGCCTGCGAGCTGTTACGGAAGTTGACTGAAGGCCACGCGGCGAGTTACTCTATACCGACGGATGCAAAGCAATTATGGAAGACCGGCATGATACAGCTCATCGACAGAATCTACAACAAAGCGCCAGTCGGCGATGGTGGTCTGCGAAGCGCCATGAGCGGTCTGATTTTCAGGAACATCTTCAACACGTGGGGAAATTTCGATCAGCTAAAACAAATCGCCCGTGAGAAGGATGCGGATGCGTTTGTAGCTCTGGAAATTCTAGCCAACTACGACTACAAGCAACAGTCCACCTTCACTCAGTGTCTGAATAAGACAATGGAATGAGCTCCAACCACGAAAAAGGACTCCATGCGTTCCACGCAACAACGGTGTGTCTGCGGAAGGAAGACGGCGCGCCCATAGCTGTCGCCTGGTGGCTATGCGAAGGTGAGACAGCTACTTCGTCCTTGAAGCACATGTTGCTGACAGCAAGTAGCGCCCCGGCTCAACACCACGAATAATGGCTCGATGAGTCGAACGGGTCATGCGTAGGGTCTAATGATGATGCCATTACACCTCTACAGTAGACCGTCGGCTAGCTCGACTGCTTGCTTGCCCCTAGTCGTCGCAGACCACTGTCAATGTCCAAATGATGATGATAAGGCAGAAGTTTTGCAACATGCCACTCCACGTCGCAGCTCAAGTGCTCTCGCGTCCTTTCAAGCGTCCACTCAGCCCACGAATCTCTTCAAAACCAGTCTTGCAGCACCCACCAACAACCACTCCAGCCCAGCGGCCCCTCTCCACCACCTCCGTTACAATGTCCGCCATCTCTGCATCCCAACTTTTCTGCTTCGTGCCATCATCCCCCTCCCGCTCCTTCTGCACCCATTTCTGCAATGCCGTATCGTACACCTCATTCCCAGCCCCGTCCGGATAGAGGACTAACATAGGCGCTTGATGACCGCTGTATCTGATCGCAGCCTCGAAGTCTTGAACTATTCGTCTGACCTTCCAGATCTTCGTACAGTTCAGCCCAATGCCCCATGGCTTAGAGACACTGCCCGTCCATGCGCCTCTGCTGCCGAATAGCGCTTGGACAATGTCCTTGACTGTGGAGCCGTCCGGTAGGGTGTAGGAGCCGTCAGATTTGGCATCGTTTGGGAAGACGCAGGTCAGCCACCATGGTTTGGCAGAGGCCCCTTCAAGTGCGACTACGTTGTCCATTATCTGTCGGATGGCTTTGATTTCATCTAGTCGCGGTACCGTCTCGAATGCATAAAGGTCAACGTCTTCATGCGTGAATAGGTTCAGTCGTCGTTCATGCCAGTCTTCCAGCGCTTCTTGCATCGTTTGCTGAAAGTTCCGTTCAGGGCCCGCCCCGTAATCACCACTGTACTCTGTCGAGGGGATCGTAGTCGCTCCGTAGGGACCCAGACTCAACGCTACGAGGCCCTCTCTGTTGATCCCGTCTCCATGGAAGGCGCGTCGAGCAAGATCCACAGAGCTCCTCATGAGCATCTCGGCCTTTGCGTCGTTGATACCCGTTTTCGCGAAGCCCTCATAGCTGGCCTGGTAGGTCGCTGTCAGGACGATGTTTGCACCTCTTTCCACGAAGCGATGGTGCACGTCGGCGAGGGCCTCCGGATCGGATATTAGCAGGTGCGACGACCATAGTGGTGTCTCCGAAGAGGTAAAGTTGTAGTTGTATGGTGGTTGGGATAGTGTTGTGCCGAGTCCGCCATCTAAGATGAGGACTGGTTGGAGAGGAGTCTTTCACGTTCATTGGGAGGACTAGACATATCGGGCCGGGTGAGGTTGACAAATGCCGCTCATCATAGGTTTCTTGGCCAGACAGGGTGCTGAGATACGGGCAATGTTACGCTGATCGAGTTGGTGTGCTTGAGATGGGCCTCATTTGAGTGTCAGTGCGAAAGATTGGTACCTGTTGGCTTCGCTAGTTGGGGAGGCTGCTGTCAGAAAAACGCCCAGTACTCTCAGTAACAGCCTGGGCAATCCTTAGCATAGGGAAGGAGCGTCGATCAAAGTTTTTGAGAAGGTTAGCGCCATATACTGGCAGCCACCACTTTGGCAGGCACGAGGCAACCATTCAGTTTTCAGGCAACCGAGGAAAGCGCCGCCGTGCTGGGTTTTGCCCCGGCACAACCGTCCAGCTTGAGCCTCACTCTGTAGATTACGATCTATGCGATGTACATATTCTACATAAGGTTCTCCCTGATACACTCGCCAACATTCCTGTATGACAGCCAACACCAATTCGCCGTCTACCTAGCCTGTTCCTTTTGAGCGACCCCGTTTCCAACGACCTCAACGCCGCCTTCTCTCCTGGCCTCTGATTCAAATCCACCAATATCATCAACCTCCACCCCCGCAATCAAAGCCTCGCTAACCCCCTCCAACCCGGCCACAAACACCCCAATTAAGCTCGCAATCACAAAATGACTGATCGTCGTCCCAATCTCCAGCCAACTCCCCTCATCCCTTACCACCCAAAAGAACTCCACCGTCATCAGATCGCTAAACGCCATGACCACCATGAATAGCGCCGAGCTTTGTAATCCTACCCTCCTGTTCAAGATCCCTAGTGCGGCGGAGATAAGTGCGAATGGTACGAGGATCTTGTAGATTAGGAGAGCTGCTTGAGAGAAGGGGTCGAAGACAGGGATGAGGCGGTTGACGGCGTCGAGACTGAAAGCGGAGACGGAAGCGATGTTTCCGGTGGAGAAGAAGGCGGATTGCAGGAGGACGTAGAAGAAGAGGGAGGTGCGGAGATCGGCGAGGGTAAGTGTGCGGTGGGTTTTGCGCGGGATGAGGTCTGTATTTGCGGCGGAGGTGGAGTTGATGGTGATGGCTGTGGGTGGGACGGCGGTGCCATTGGATTTTGTCTTCTTTGTTGGCGTTGTGTCCTTGTGAGGCGTGGAGTGGAACATGTAGATCGCGTGCTCGAGCCGGACCCAGGTGAGCAAGAGCGCGCCAAAGGCAAAGTAGAATAGTCCCTCGTATGACAAGGTGAGGAGGATGAAGCAAGGCGCAAAGGTCAAGAAGATGACCATCAGCCGGTGGAGGTAATGGTTGTTGGGAGCCAGTCGATGCACAAATGGCAGGACGATTGAGCTGATGAGACAGAAGAATCCCAGCACTTGGTTTCCCAACGGCAGACCCTTCTTTGCCTGTAAGCTCAGCACGCTCGAACGTGTGACGATGATCGTCAGGAGGATAACGCCGACCTGTGCACCCATGATCGTCCTGCTGAGTGCACTGGTCTGCATTCCCGCCGTCTTGCTCGACCTTGACTGCGATGTGATCGTATGCTCGAAGTACAAATACCCACAGCCGGCCAGCAGCATGAGTATACCTCCATATGTGATAGTATTGGCATCCTCAATTTTCAACACTGGCAACATCGTAAAAGTGCTCAGGGTGATACAGCCAGCCGCCCACGCCAGTAAAGTGTTCGAATTTTGCTTCACAAACTCCTGTCCATACAGACTCGGCCAGAACGCTGCCAAGCCGTAGATGACCGTGAAAATGCCGCGATGGAAATATGATTGCACCATCGCTTGGATAACGCCGATGAAAATGGCTGCTTGAATCGCAAACGTAAAGTAGTCGGAAGAATCCTTCATATCGCTGAATAGATTTTTGATGCCAGAAAGACAGCCCTTGCGGCGGGCGAAGACCTCCTCCCAGAAGAAGACGGGGAAGAACGCGTAAAGGTAGTACATGAATGGTGAGCGGTCGACGACGAATGATGCGTATAGTAGTACAAGAATGGATGAAAATGCTGCAATGGTCGCGAAGTTGCGGTGCGGGACGGCGCTGCCCTGGGTGACGTGAAGGTCGATGACGGTGGTGAAGGCATAGGCGATCCAGCCAAGGTAGCCAAGGGTGATGATGGCGCGCAGGAAGAGCCAGTCGTAGGTCTGTAGGTAGCGAAGCCCTTGTAGGATGTCCTGGAATAGGATCGAAGACAACTTGATGGCGTCCTGATGCCTACCAGCAGAAATACTGCGCTCGATCTCGGCGACGCGATCAGCTGCTGTTGCGTTGACTTTCGCAAAGCCAGTGTAGGGTCGGTACTGCATTGCCGTGGCCTTCTTCTCCTCCTCTTTGACATTATACATCTCGAGCACTTGCTTCGTGTTGACCAGTGCCGCTACTGCCTTCTCTTGATCCGACGCCGCCAAGTAGCTCAGCGGCAGCTCGCCGACCGAGTTGACAGGAAACTCCAGTCCGACAAGATACGCCATGAGTGCAGCGACATCCGCCTGATTCACATCGTGCCGCTGCACCGTGTCCAGACCCCAATCGTGACTCACGCCATCCTCATGGCCCGGCGCATCTCTGTCTTTGTACAAGCTGGGCTTCGCCACGCCACTGCCCCAAACCACCAAAGGCGTGCGGGTGTTATTCGGATGCCCATCGCCATGACTCCCGAAGTCACTCATGCCATGATCAGCAGTGAAGACATATGCTGTCTCACCATCATCACCGTAGAAGTCTTCCATCAGCTTCGTGATCTCCTCAACGCCCTGATCCACCACTTTGATATTATGCAAATACTCTTTACTATACGGCCTGAACCCATGTCCCGTTGTATCGAGCCCCAACAAATGCAAAAAGAAGACAACCTGCTCCTCCCGCAACATAGCATCCAGCGTCTTATTCGTCTTGGCCTCGGCGAACATCGCCTTGACTTTGTCAAATACCCAGATATCCAGCGCCGTGGCATCAGACGAGAAGTCTTCGAACTCAGGCGGGTAGTGATCGGCATCGACCCGACCAGGCACGGCGCCGTCGGAGAACATAGGCAGGATGTCCGGCGAGCCCCATGACCACGTGTGGCGTGAACGGTTGAAGACGGAGTCGAAGTCGACTGGGTTGTTCTTCCACCCGGTCGTGACAGCGGAGACATCCTCGTAGAGGCCTGCGATCAGAGCCACATGGCCAGGTCGTGATTCAGTCGGCACACGCGTGTGACTCATGCCAAACGTACCGTGCTCGAGCACTCTCGAACGAATGAAAGGCGCGAGTGGTCGTGGCGTCAGATCGTCGGCGGTCGGTGGATCGTTGGGAGGACTCGGGTCGGGAAACGACTGGAATGCCTTGTCGGCGCGCAGACCGTCGCCGACGTAGAGCACGAGGCGCTTGGCGGGTGCTTTACCGTTGACATGCTCGACGCGGTGGGCGGTCATGCCATGGACAATGGGACTGACGAAGTAGATGTCGAAGATTGACCAGATGTACACGAAGTGAAAGACCGCGGCGAGGATCAGGAACCCGCCGCGTCCGAGACGAGCCATGGTCGCGGAGTGTGAGGCTCTATTGCTGGTGTTTTGCTAAGGAGTGACTGTGGTAAGGAGTGCCATGTCCAGACGGAGCAAAGGTCGTGTCTTAGGAAACAGTCGTGAGTGAAAGTGAGGACCCGCATAACATTTTTTGAGGGCGCAGTTCGTCACCCCGGGACCCTCGGAGACTTCTTAGGGGAAGGATAGCCGAGAGCTGCCCCTGAAAGTCAGGCAGTAAAAAGGGAGCCTCGCCAGATGCTGACAATGAAGTGTGCAATCGAGTCTCGATTCGCTCATCTGCTATATCTTGTCTATAGCAGTTCACAAACTATCCTCCCGCCACCTCGACCTCACCCGACTCCAGCCCTCCTTCTCTGCAATCCCTCCCAACTTCTCTAATCCCAGCCCTCTCTCCACCCACTCCTGACTTCCCATCTCGCTCAGCCTACTCAACGCGCGCGCAAAAGCAAACCGCTCTTCATCACCACTAAACAACGCACTGTTCTTCAACATCGCCATATTCATCCCCAAATCATCCATCAGATTGCGCATCACATCATCCACATCATGCCCCTCGTCCACCTTCTGCTTAGCTGCCTTCTCATCCGCTGACGAGTCCTTGCCCACAGCCTGCTGCGTCTTCTTCATGCTGTCGTCCAGCTCGTCCTTGCTGAGGAACAAGTGGCTGAGAGGTACGGCCGTGGTAAGCACGAGTTTTGCGTGGCTTTCGTATACGGCGTCGATGAACGTGATGAAGCGGCGCGCCCAGTCACGCTCGCGGTGTGTCATGCCTGGGACGTCCGTGACGATGAATGAGTCGAAGCTGCGCATCATCTCGATGTAGTCTGCTGCGCCGGTTGCTCGGCCGATAAGTTCGTCAAAGGTGAAGCGCGCTGCTGTGCCGCTGACAAGCGGGATCTGGACGTCGCGACCCCACACCTGGATTGTGGACGAGTGTGGAGGATCTTTCTCTGGGTCGCCCAGGAAGTTGAACCACTTATCGGCGTGGGATTTGGCGGCACGGTCGAGCGGATGATGGTATACTCCGGAGGGCGGCCGAGGGATCTTACGATAGTCGGTCGTGCTGTCGAGGTTAATGACCCGCATGCGGGACTTGAGCAGATTGATGCAAGGAATGAAGGATTGGCGCTGTATGCCGTTCTTGTATAAATCATCTGGGTGCCGATTTGAGGTAGTGACGATAACAACGCCATGAGACATCAGAGCCTCAATCAACCGCCGCAAGATCATGGCGTCTGCCACGTCTGTGCACTGAAACTCGTCGAAGCAGAGAATTTGCGCGCCCTCCGCGATGTCTGCTGCTGCGAAAGGAACAGCGTCGAAGTCGGTGCCGTACTGCATTCGCAACTTGTGCAAGCGCTTGTGCACATCCTGCATGAAGTTGTGGAAATGTATTCGCGTTTTGGAAGTGATGTTCGCTGGTAGGGTATCGTAGAACAGGTCCATCAACATAGTCTTGCCCGAGCCCACGTCTCCATACATGTACAGGCCCTTTGGCATATCTGCTGGCAGTTCCGCTATGACTTTCTTCTTCTCGCCTCCCCCAAAGATCGATCCAAAGAAGGACTTCTGCTTCGGCTGCAGATCTGCAATGCATGGGTGGACGACCTTCGGCGGGTGGTACTCTGTGAGCATGTGGTGGAGGTCGTCCAAGTGCTCGACAATTGTTCGTTGGTGCTCGTCATCGCGCAACTTTCGCGAGTGCACTCTTTCGTCATATTCTTCTAGTGGACTCAGGTTGGCAGGCGCATCTGTGACCGTCGCCAGGCCTCGTGCAGGCAGGCGGGTGCGCGCTGTGGTCCATGGCTGAGTAGTGATCTCGGCGCTGCAATACGCGAAGCCGATCGTAGAGATCTCGCCGGCGATGTCGACAGCTGTCGTCTGGGTATCCTCCTCCAGCAGCTTGCGCAGTGACTGTCTCGTAGCGGTGTGGGCAGACGGGCCTCGGTATTGAGAGCTTTCAGCGTCGCTCGAAAGGCGCCAGATCGAGGGGGTAGGGCGCCCTTCATGGCTTAAGAATAACGGTGGGCCAATGTCTATATCTATATCGTCATGACTTTGTATCTGGAGCAGGAAACATTGCAGGAATATGCCAGGGAGAACTGTGGCGTAGAATCGTAGGAGTTAGTCAGTGCCACGTGCAGCTGTTCCAGTTCCTCGGAGGGGGTGCCGCCCAGCCGATGTTGCCCAGGCCGGGCGGAAATCGGCCGCGGCCATACAAATTATGCCGTTCTTTCACTGCCTGAAGCCAGAAGTTGCATCTGCTAGAACACAGAAGCCATACAACGGCAGGAGCACTCGTCGCCAGCACAGAGGCAGTCGCAGCACACATTACCACGGTGGCAGTCACTGTATCGTGAAAAGGTCTTGTAATGAAGTAGCACTTTTCGACATTGGCTGTGTAATTTATCCTGTCTACTAGGCTTTTCGTTATTACATTGTTCTTGACTCTCCGAGGTCTCGAAGCAACAGTCTAGACAGCTCATCAACACATCCCGAGGTCACCACTGCCAATCTTCAGAAGAGCACCCTATACACTTGTCACCTTCGAGCCAGTGTTTGCCGCTTCGATTGGACATAACAAAACAACTCTATTCACGAAGCCCGGAAATGGGTATACTGGTAGACCAGAGCAAGATTCGAAAGCAGTTGCATTTCTCGGACATCAGATTAAAGCCATCTTTACCACTCAACAGGATCAGTCTTGACCTCCCCGCGGTTCGTCTTCGGCACCGGCGCCGCCTCGACCTTGGTGGCCTCGCCCTTTCGCCACTTCTTCAGATACCCACTACCATCCAACCACGGCGTGTCCATCGTCCGTTTCCTCTCAAACTCGGTAATCTGTGCCTCCTGCTGCATCGTCAAGCCGATATCGTCCAAGCCCTCCACCAAACAGTGTTTCCGGAACTCCTCGACATCGAACTTGGCCAGTTCTGTTCCGTCGGCGGCTTTGATGACTTGACCAGGTAGGTCGACTTCGATCTCCTCGCCTGCTCTTGCCCGGTCTGCGATCTTCTCTATGGTGGCTTGGTCGTCCGGGATAGCGATGGGGAGCATGCCGTTCTTGAAGCAGTTATTGAAGAAAATGTCCGCGTAGCTGGGTGCGATGACACATTTTATGCCGAAGTCAAGCAACGCCCATGGGGCGTGCTCGCGTGATGATCCGCAGCCAAAGTTGCGGCCTGTCACGACCAGGAGCTTAGCTTTTCGGTAGGGATCTTGGTTGAGGATGAATGACGTGTTATCGGAGCCGTCTTCGTTGTATCGGAGAGGGTGAAAGAGGGCGGTGCCAAGGCCAGTCCGCTTGATAGTTTTGAGAAACTGTTTGGGTATGATGGCGTCGGTGTCAACGTTGGCTTTCTCGAGAGGCGCCGCGATACCTCGGAAGACTGTGAACTTGGGCATGCCGCCAGACTCGGTCGGTTCTGGATTCTTGTTTGTGTGTCCGGCGCTTTCTGTTGTTGGGATATCCAGGATTCGGTCAAGCTCTTCCTCGGAATCGACTTCGGCAAACTCGGGCTGTACGTCCAGCTTCGGTGAAGCTTTCTGTGGTGTAGCATTGTCGACCAGTTTCCTCACGTCCGTCAACTTGCCCGTCAACGAAGCTGCAGCCGCCATGACAGGTGACATCAAGTGCGTCCGTCCTAGAGCACCTTGCCGACCCTCGAAATTTCGATTTGAGGTACTCGCGCAGCGTTCCCGTGGCGAGAGAATGTCTGGGTTCATGCCCAAGCACATACTGCATCCGGCCTCTCGCCATTCGAAGCCAGCATTGATGAATACCTGGTCCAGCCCCTCCCGCTCAGCCTGGTTCTTGACATTACCAGAACCTGGCACAACCATCGCTCGCTTGAGACTGGAAGCAATCTTCTTGCCCTCCACGATCTTCGCTGCGGCCCTCAGATCCTCGATGCGCGAGTTCGTACACGAACCAATGAAGATCTTGTCGAGCTCAATATCCTCCATCTTCGTCCCAGCCTTCAGTCCCATGTACTCCAGAGCCCGCACACAACTCGCCTTCTTGTCCTTGTCGCTGAAGTCATCCGGACTGGGCACCACACCAGTAATCGCTACCACGTCCTGCGGCGACGTACCCCAGCTGACCGTCGGTGCAATATCCTTCGCATCAATAAAGACTTCCTTGTCATACTTCGCCCCATCGTCCGATCTCAAACTCAACCAATAATTCGTCGCCTTCTTCCACTCATTACTGTCCGGCTTAGGCGCAAGCGGCCTGCCCTTGAGATAGTCGAAAGTGATTTGATCCGGCGCAATCATTCCAGCTCTTGCGCCACCCTCGATACTCATGTTGCAAATACTCATCCTCGCCTCCATACTCAATCCTCGAATGGCACTCCCACAGAATTCGATCACTGCACCCGTGCCACCCGCTGTCCCAATGACCCCAATGACGTGCAATATAATATCTTTCGAGGACACGCCCGGCGCCAGCTTCCCATCCACCTGCACCCGCATATTCTTACTCCGCTTCGTAATCAAACACTGCGTCGCAAGCACATGCTCAACCTCACTCGTCCCAATCCCGAACGCCAACGCGCCAAACGCGCCATGCGTGCTCGTGTGACTGTCGCCACAAACCACGGTCGTACCAGGCAGAGTAAAGCCCTGCTCAGGCCCAATGACATGGACAATTCCCTGGTTCTTGTCGCCCAACCCGAAATACGTGAGGCCGAATTTCTTGACGTTTTCTTCCAGGGTGACGCATTGCAGACGTGAGTCTTCCTCTTTGACGAACTCGGCGACGGATTTGATGTTCTTGCGGGAGGAGGTGGGGACATTGTGGTCGGTGGTGGCGAGTGTACAGTCGGGTCGGCGAACCTTTCGGGAGGCGTTCTCGAGGCCTTCGAAGGCTTGTGGGGAGGTCACTTCGTGAACGAGGTGGCGGTCGATGTAGAGGAGCTGGATGGATTGGTAGTGTCAGTGGCAATGGCCTATATGAAATATAGTGTGAGTGTCGTGCGGTCAGTACTCACCACTGTGCCATCCTTCTCTGCGCTGACGACATGGCTCTCAAATACCTTGTCGTACAGAGTCTGGGGTTTCTTGTCTGCGGAAGGCATGTTTTTGACAACTACAAACAGTGCAGGCTTGGATTAATGGTAGCAAATGAGAGGAAAGTAACAATGCCTCACTCTGGAGGGGTGTGCAATGTATACCTGAGCGACCGAGGCAGACCGATGTCGGGCGACTTTTTGGAGACGCAGTGCCACTTGGATGACTTCACATTCTTTAACGGCGCTGCAATTGGTCACTTTGCGCGTGGATAGGCATGGATAGGCACGGCTGAGGCGGCTTGGGAGGCCTTCTCAAGAGTGTTGTTGCATGGCGAGCATGGTCAAGGTTTGGCACAGATGGGGCCGATCGGACGTGCAGTTCATCAGTAGCATTAGAGCACTTTTATTCATGGGCTCTATGGTGTAGTATTCCCTTTTGTGCCCTAATTCCAAGTCGAAGGTCAATCTTGGCCAAAGATATGGTCGGGCTGGACCTACAGTGGCATAGTAGTGGCGCCTTGAATATCTTATCGCACGTACGGTAGCAGTACCAACCTTGCACCGCTCACACATGATGGGGACCCTCGCGAGCCATCAGGACAACGGGCGTCCCGCCACAAACGGCGCCGTTGCCGTCATTGCTCCATACATGCTCGCAGAGGTCGCCCCGATATGATTGCCTGAACCGAAGTACCTTTTCAGTCCCTACCAATGGCTCAATCGGCCTTGTCATCGTCATCGTCTGCTGCATCCGCGTCAGTGTGCCCATTTGTGGCAACTCCGTTGGTCTCTGGCTCAGCTTCTCCGTCTATATCGACCAGCGTGCCAGTCTTCCCTTCTGATTCCATCTTTAGATACTCGTCCCATTCAGGGAAGAGATCTTCATCCTCGCCTGGAACACCAATCAGACGACTGACTTTGCTCTTGCCCTTCTTGTCCAAGCTCTCTTTCCATTCCTTCGCCAGCTGCTGTGTCTTCGATGGTTTGTACGTATGACTGAGTAGAACAGCCTCACTCGTTCTGCCGGTCCGCTGGAGCAGCCTGATAGCAGCGTCAACATCTCCAGCAGACCACAGAGCGCCAAAGGCAATGTTATGACTTCCAGCATCTTCAGCTTGTTGGGATAACTGCAGCAGCTTGTCCTTATCGCCCGAGCTGGTGTAGAGTAGGAGCAGACTGCCGATATCCTTTGCCAGCACGAACATCTCTTCTGCTGTCTTGAGGTCCCACGCGGCCAAAGCCGCATCGCCCACAGTCTTGTACTTGTGCTCCGTGTCTTGTTGCCGTGCGATCTCCAGTGCAATCGGCAGATTACTCAGAGCCAGCGCCAATTCGAACCGATGCTCCGCGTCAGTAGCAACCTCAAGAGCCAATTCCTTATGGCCTTGGCCTTCCAAGAATCGCGCGATCTTGTTCATCTGCGCTTCTGGTATATCGGACAGCAACGCTTGTGCGGCATCAAGGTCGCCCCTGAGGACTAAAGTCTGGTACTCCACAACGTTTGTCGAAAGAGTGTATGAGACCAAGGCCATGTCCTTGTCGCACAGGTAGAGCCGTCCATCTCGTGGCAGGTATCTGAGCACATACATGCCCTGATCGAAGTGAGCAATTGTGTCTGTTTGCTCACCAATGAGCTGCTTCAATTGTCGTGCTTCGGTTGTGTAGACCAATGAGTCCCCAACCCAGTGGGCTGTGACCGCAACGTCTGACATCTCATGCAGCAGCTCAAATGCGGCTTCAACGCCATCTTCATCTGCTTGCCCTTCATTGACTGCCTCAGCATATGCTTCGCGGTTGAATCGCAAAACATAAGTTGAGTCAGTACAGCACAACGCTACAAGCTCGCCTGATTCGCTCCAAATGACCTGTCTTCACGTTAGTGCACTTTTCGTAGTAGGACGAACAAGAACTCACCTCTCTTGAATCGACCTCTATCCTACGAACAAGCGAGCCTGAATCCCAGTCAAAGAAGCCGATACCGCCTTGACCTTTGACACCAAGCAGAGTGCCGCCGGAAAGCCCTTCTGCTGAGAACCCAACATCCAGTGGCCCCTTCTCCTTCAGCTTCTTGAATATTTTGACGCTTGTGCCCGATTCTCTGATCGCATAGTCATTGTTGCTGCTTGCACTCCACACGAAATCGAGGGCTTTTCCGAAGCCTTGTTGTCGGAACGCCAACGCTGTGTAAATGAGGTATTCTCCGTCGCCGCAGATGGCCACAAAGCGGCCTGACGGCGAGTGCTGCAAAGAGCTGGCGTACACTTCGATGTTGCCTAGCTCTTTCGGTGCTACAGCTATGGGGGCGCCATCTTTCAGAGAGGCATCATCGCCTCGGACCATTCCAGATAGTACTTCATTGACTTTCGTCCAGATCAGCTTGCCGGTACTGTCCATTGACACTGCAGGCTCTTCGCGGCCCATCTTCACTACGACCGCACCATCGTCGAAGCCCATTGCAATGCTCTGCTTGCCGCGTTGTACGCTCACACACCATGCACGTTCGAGGCCATAGCTTAGCGACTGCTCTAAGCGGTATGTGTTGGCATGCCATATCTTGACTGTGCCATCTTCTGAACCGGACACAATGATCGGCAGTTGGGGCGAGTACACAGCGAACGAGACATTGGCAGTATGGCCCTCCAGAGAAGCCACCAAGCCTTTCGTCTGGTAGTCCCAAATTTTGCATGTCTTGTCATCGGAGGTTGTGATCAGGTAGGGCTTGTCAGCATGTGGATAATAGTCGACGTAGTTAACTCCCTTAGACTCGTGCGCCTCGATAGTCTGATTCGGGGTGCCCTTGTCCAGACTCCATATTTTGACTGTTCGATCCAAGCACGCCGAGGCGAATGTATTTGTGTCTTTGGGATTGAAGGCGAGTGACATGACATAGTGGGCATGGCCGACGAACTCCCTCTTCATAGCCCATCCATTGTCCCAATCCCACATTCGTATTGTCATGTCATCTGAGGCTGTGAGGACGTATGGCAGGGAGGGGTGGACGGCGATCGCTCGAATGTAGTCGGGGTGGCTTCGAAGGTCTTGACCTTCTCGCCGGTGTTGTAGTTGGTGATCCGGAGTTTAAAGTCATCGCTGCCTACACAGATCCAATTCTTTCGGCAGATGAATCGGCCTGCACGTATTGGAACATCCGTAAGTTCGTAACTTTTGATGATCGATTGTGTTTCGTACGACCATATGTGTGCATGGCCGTTGTATAGCGTCGTAAGGATCCATGGCTCGGTGTCGTGGAAGTCGATGCCCTTAACGCGCTCTGACCGAGCAAAGAGCTGCCGCTTCACGTCCAACCTCATCTTGCACCAGTCGTCGCAGTCAAGGGAGGGGTTGCTGTCTGGGGAGTCGAGGCAGCCACGCTTGATCGATCGCTCAAGGATTTGATCTCATCGCTGAATGAAGGATGCCCGGTCGTTCACGACCACGAATAGCGAGCGAGGTCAATCCAAGTTGCGTGGTTGTCTGGTTGTTCTCGGCCTGCTGCTCCTCATGCACTTCAGCCAACGTGTTCCTTGGCAAGGAACTTTTGACCGTAGACTACGGTGGACGATGAAGGCAGATCAATACTTTTGAAGCAGCCGAAGGAATTTTATTTCCTCTCCTCACTTCTCTTAGCTAACCAGCTCGCATATGCTCAGCCTGACAACAATGCATGTTACTGACGACCCTGATGCCGCGGCCTTGGTACATCCTTTGTGTACAAGCTTCTGAACTCGTGCCATCTCATGATCTCTTGCCCGCCCAGCCACCTAGCGGATGATCTACAGCCCGAAACTCGCGCTGATATCTCGATCTGACTCTTCCTGTCTTACACGTACTTGTAGGCACCGTATCTGTGCCTTCATACAGAGCACCCAATCCTCTTGTTCCAAAGCACAATGAGCACACTCGGCAAGCCGACTCTGCATTATCTCAACGTGAGAGCACGACCATTACCACTACTCACGACCTAACAGTGCTAGGATTCCGCATCACACCGAGTACTGTGGGCGCTGGAGGAACTCGGCGTTGAGTACAATCTCGTGCTGCACCAACGGATCAAAGGCCGTTCGCCTCCTGAACTCTTCAAGACCCACCCGCTTGGGAAATCACCCCAGCTCGTGCTCGCTACCGGACGAGTTCTCATCGAGAGCAGCAATGTGATCAAATATCTGCTCGATACGTACGATACCGAGGGAAAGTTTAGGGGCGACGGAGTACGGAACGATGCCATTCGAGAAGACGAGCTTTCAGACCTGGTATCTTCGAGTATGAATGGTATTATGGGAACTGGTGTGATCGTAAGTCACTCTGCGCGTTGCACGTGGCTATGGCACCTATTCAGCTGTCGAGGCTACTTACCCTGATTGTGTACTTACGCTACGACAATAGTTCCTCGCGTTGGCGCACGCTTCACCCTTCTTTGCCAGACCCATTATGAACGGGATCTGGAAGGGTCTCCGCTCAGCTTTTTTCGATGCCGAAGTCGAGAAATTTCTCTCGTATCTGGACGACCAGTTGAAGGGGCAAGAGTTTCTGATGGGGGCCCTCCCTGGCCGACCAGATTTCTTGCTTACATTCGTCTATGACAACTTCGAGCAGAGAAAGTTGATCAAAACTCCTTCCAACTATCCTTTGGTTCAGGAATGGAGCAAGCGCTGCAAGGCACGACCGGCCTGGCAACGTAGTATGGAGAAGGGCAACGGATATGACTGCTCCACGCTCGGATTTTGAACAAGACTCCCGGGCAACGCGTCGGTCTCCGAGACACTATACCACAGTAGAGGTGCGACGACGTTCATGCTGTACCGGACGAGGATGAATGAGCTGCAGATGATACAGCATGATGCACTCTTGCATGCCGCACTTGTTGCTTACGCCGTGCATGCCAGGAGAAACTCCAGGCCTCGGCGGCAATAAAACCCTGGGCGCAACGGCCCTGATTGGATTGACAGCACCCATCTGCCGCAAAGCTCCAAAAGGATAAATCTCGTTCTCTTATACTATGCCTGAATCAGCTACATCCGCCTTCGCGTAGCATTATTTATTGGGGTCATCGAGTTTTCTTTGTCGCATCGCTTGCATCAAATTGAACTTGGGTGGTGTTCGGTGCCCAGTAGAAATGGTCTTTGCTCCTATCGGTTACGAAGTCTTCCGGGCAGACATCCCGTACATCTCTCAACGGCTTTTCTTCCTTCTAGAACTTCTTGAATGTAAATTGCTCTCGCAACCTTCTCTCGTATCGCCTCTCTTCACATTTTTGACAACCTTCAGCTTCCACGTCACCAAATTTCTTATTTTGATTCTCGCACTATAGAATTTCCCAGGAAAGGGCCCTTCGAAGATATCTCTCAGCATCATTTAGTCAATCGCAGATTCAGCAACATCAAACTCCTCGAAATTCAAGATGTCTCGACGAACGTGTGAAGAGGTGTCGCTCACATGTCCTGTCGATTTGACTCTATACGGTTACCGACCAGTCCTGGGAGTCAATGCATTCTTCGTTGCGCTCTTCGGCCTCTGCTTTATTTCACAAGTAGCCATGGGATCAATACGGCGGACATGGACATTCTTGTTGGCCATGGGCTTCGCTACTATCGGGGAGACACTAGGATATGCAGGTCGAGTTATGATGTAAGTCCCTTCCCGGTATGCTCTCGGAAGCGTGTGCTTTGTTGGCCATGACCTGAGTGTTGCTGTTGTCACTCTAACTGCGCTTATCATTCGTGCTTCGTTGGGATCTGTGACTGACCGTTTTCTCAGGAATGACAATCCTTGGGTGAGTCCACTTCGAGATTCCAACAGCCCTAAGCTTTTTCCGCTTCTCTTCGACATATACCTGAACGATATGTCCCTTTACCTGTCCTCTTCGCTAACTTCGCCATTATAGAGCGATGGTGGCTTCAAAATGCAGATCTGCTGCTTGGTACTCGCCCCCAGCTTCCTGGCCGCCGCGATCTACCTGACCTTGAAACACGTGGTCCTCTATTGTGGACCCGAGCACTCACGCTTGAAGCCTCGGCTCTACCCCTGGGTATTCATCGGCTGCGATCTTGGGTCGATTGTTCTGCAGGCGTGCGGTGGTGGTGTGGCTGCCGCTGCTCCCGACCAGGGTTCAGCCAACGTGGACGAGAAGAAGCGACAAGCCCTGCTCGACGCCGGTAATGGGCTGATTATCGCTGGTATCGGTTTCCAAATCGCCACCATGACAGCCTGCGCTATCCTGATGGCAGACTACTACCGCCGGTTTAGCAAAGCAAAGAAGCAAGCGCTGAGATCGAGTGGCGACTTCTCGACTGAGTCGAATTGGGAGAAGAATCGCAGCAATCCGGCCATAAAGAGGAACTTCCGACTATTCATTGGGGCTGTATCTATTGCTTTCGTCACGACGCTTATTCGCTGTGTCTATCGCATGCCGGAGATGGCAGGACTCAGCAACGACGATAGGGGCTGGGGCAACAAGCTGATGAGGAGAGAGACGGAGTTTCTTCTCTTGGATGGTATGATGATCGCGATTGCGTGTGTTTGCCTTACCGTCTTCCACCCTGCTATTTCTTCGAGCCAATGAGGATGTTCAAGAAGTGAATGGGAAGCGTACAGGAAAGCACTGGGATGTGAATGAGAACAATTTGGTCAAGGCCGATGTAGATAGACGGACTTACCTAGGTAGAGCAGCGTAGGACGCCTTGGACGGAATGATGCTCCTCGTCGCGATCATACATCCAATCGCGAAATCTGAGATTCGAGGAACAAGTATCGTCAGTCGATCTCGTATGTTTCCACAGAAAGTGCGACGCTCTTGCGAAAAGCGGAATGTGATCAGGCTGTCCCGACAGTGCCGTAGCAAGAACTCGGAGGCGATGGCTTTCATCCCCGCGCTGCGTGGCAGTGGAAGTGTCGCGACTTGCGACCCCAGCATCGCACGTATCCTGAGCGGGCGGCCGAACGACTGCATGGGACGAAGCGAAGAGGATGGTAATCGCCCATACTAGGACTTCCTCGGAAATCGACAGTATACGAGCGACCAAATGTGTCATACGAGTTCGAGGCGCGCCCGAAAATTGAGAAAGGCAAAGATGATCGATGGAGTATCTAGATCCAGACCGGGCTCGTGTTTGGGGATCAGCCCCAGCCGCCCACTCCTCTTGTTTCGTGTCCAGCTTCAAGTTTCTCGTACATCTTTCCACTTCCAACCAACTTCGGTGCGTCTTGCAACTATACTCTCTGTCGCGTTACAAAACTGATGATCATCGAATTGATGAGATGAACATGCGATCAAGATGCCGTCACGGAGATCCCACACAAAATCGCATCATGGCTGTCGCCAATGTAAGACTCGGCGGGTCAAGGTAAGCCTTTCGGTCGGATCTCACTGGGCCACTTACCGTGGAAAAGCGGTTTCGCACTCTGTATCTGTGTCGCTAACACGTCGACTGTGCTAGTGCGATGAGACAGCACCGCAATGCCAGCGCTGCGTCAAGAGGCACATAACATGTTCTTTTGTGACCGATGGAACTGATGGATTCGTCGATGCTTCAGCGCCGGCGGCCTCACAAACTCTGCCCACGCCTGGCCCAGACCATATCGGCCCCAATAACGCCAATAATGGCTATCATACACCAGATGCTCAAATGCACCGAATGGATCTGAATCAGCCCGCAATGTATCAACATCCAGTACAGAGCATCTCCCCTGCTCCATCACCAAAGGTCGTGGACTCCCTAGATCTGGAATTGATCCACCAGTACTGTACACGAACTTACATGTCTATATCATCACGACTGCCCACGCATGCTGTTTGGAGAGACAAGGTTTTTAACGAGGGCCTCCGGCATGGCTTCTTAATGGAAGGCATCCTAGCAGTAGCAGCCCTCCACAAAGCTTCCGCCTTCAAGGAGAACTCTGATGAGTATCGCAAGTATGCCAGCGCCGGCTCATCCATCAGAATGCTGCGCTTCAAGAATACTCACCCCTGACAGCGCATCCGACTGCGGACAACGCAACCGCTCTCTTCTCGTTGTCGATGCTGTTGACCCTCATCACGTTCGCTGTTGAGCGGTTACCGAACGATATGAAGACGCCTGGCTTCTCGTACCTGGGGTCTGCCGATTCTGTGCCCGACATCAACTTGCCGTTTGGATCGTCGACCAGGAATTTCATGATGGTCATCTCAACATTGCGTGGCATTTTGCTCGTCATTCACCAAACGCAGCAATACTTTGAGGGAGACATCGCCGAGTTCATGCGATATCCAAGAACGGTAGACTTGCCCGAGCATCGGCCTGATGTCGCAGACATGTACGCACAATTGGCCAATGCCGCCATGAGCTACCATCCTGAAGATGTAAGAACGAGCATGCAGGCAGATGAACTCCAGCAGCTCTTCCACCAGCAGGTCATTCGCCTTCGAGATGTCACAAGGTGTACCAGTGTCATTGAATGGGACAGCCACATCTTCTCCTTCCTCGTCTCAGCCCCGCCAGAATACATCGAACTGATCAAGAGTGGCGAGCCTATGGCTCTTGTCATCCTCGCACATTGGGCTGCGTGCTTCCGGTGTATGGATCATCACTGGTGGGCTTCTGGCTGGGGAGAGAAACTTGTTGTGGACATTTCAAATCTTATCGACATGAACGCTTGGTCGAGATTGATGGAATGGCCATTGTCGCAGGTTCGACGTGGCGTAGCGGACTTTGTTCCTTCCTCATCTTGGATGGCTGGGTGAAATACTTGCGACTTCCACCTCCCAGCGGTTGAAGTTCGCTCTTTCTGGCTCTGCAGAGACAAAGCAGGCAGGTGCACTTCTAGGCTCTTCCAACGCATACCTTGAGGTCCTGGACATCTTCTCATATCCTAAACGCCACATCCATCATCAACGCTCGTTGTTCATCATTATTACTACAACGACCTCTGTACTGATCTTGCCTGGTACGAACATCTATTGTATGCGGATCGGGCATGACTAAGCCGCCATCTATGAGCCACGTAGAGGCTGGCAATTCCAGCTTCCACGGTCACACGTTGCTCACGCCACCCCTCTCACCAGCCAGCTCCGAAGATGTGCCCTTCAAACCTGCTGACGACGATGTGACTAGCCTCTCAATGAAGAGAAGGCATTTCGTGCCACATAGTCGCGAAAGACGCCGCTTGAATCGGGCATGTGCTTCCAGCACTGAGCTGCGTGGCTCATCTATCACCTACGATGATATGCCGATTGCAGTACTTCATCATTCCAAATCTCTATCACATCTGGCTTCTACTTCTGGTGTACCGATGTTGAGGAGCGTGCGCATCAGCAGGCGCGGTAGCGACCACCCAAACATCAGAGGACGCCGTTGGACGGTCTCCTCGAAAGGTTTACCCGCGAAAGAGCTGGCAGACAAGACCGCGGCAGAAATTCGACCTCCTGTGCCTGAGCCTGTTCATCAAGACAGTCCAAGTCCGGCAATGATCACGCTCCGCCGGGCTTCAATTACGCGGCAAGTGAACAGGAAGACTTCACTGACCTTCTTCCCACCTCCAAAGTTCGAGAGCTCTACGTCCGGTCTCGTAAGAGCGTTTTTGAGAACCCTCACAGGTCAAGAACAAGCTGCACCCACATTTGAATCGAGACGCCAAAGCATCTTCAATATACGTGCACCTCCTGTCCTGCCAGCTGAAGAGCCTGTGCCTGAGCAATCTTGGAAGGCCAGTGCCAAACCAGTGTTCACAAAGGTCTCCGGCATGGCTCCTGAATTGTTGCAGCCAACCAATACATTTCGAGCCAGTGCTGAGACAAGAAGATGTTCGACTCAATACGTTTCTGGCGGTTCTGTATACGAAGTCATTTGGGACGAAAACATTTCCGACTCAAGTCGAGGCTCAACATCGACTCAGCCACTACGGCGCCTGATAACCGAAGACGCTCGCTAGCAATGGACAGTCTAGAGACACAGCTGTTTCGAGCAGCTGCACAATCCCGGCGGGCCTCCGCGGACAGCGCAGCGTCGAATGGAAAAATGAGCCGGACGGAATCTTTCTCCAGCATGCTGGCTTCGAGGTTCAACTGGTTGTCGGAACGCCTCTCGTTCAGCTTTCCGAGTGGCAGCAGGGGCAAAAAAGGCAGTCTTCCTATCGACACTGTCCCCGAGGATGCACAGTTGCCGCGGCGAGCGTCCAGGGAGGGCTCTGTAACCACGGTTGATTTCTTTCCACCGTTGCGAAGTCGCAAGGCCTCAAACGTCGACGAGTCTGTCAGGCAGCCTGACTCAAGTGCTGCGTTGTCGCGGCATGACACTTTGAGCAGTGTAGATGTCTAGCAGTCAACATACACAGCTCCTTCCCTTGCCCCTCTGCACAGACACGACACTCCGATGGAATTTGCAGATACTGGGGTTGTTCAACACTATGGCAACAAACTAGCTAAACGCAATCGACCGGCTGCACAGCAGTCTAGCAACCCATCTGAGGGCCGCCTGGCGGGTGGTACCGCAATCACCTGGAATCTTGGGAGGAGAGGGAAAAGAGCCCCGAAGCACGACAAAACGATGCTTGACTCGTCGCTCGACGAGACCGCTCCGCTGCTCGCAGGCCGATGAGTTTCATCTGGGTAAGAGCAGGCGCAGTAAGACACGAGAAGCAACGATGTGAGCAACCATCGTGCTTGAGAATGGCTTTTTATTCGACTCCGAGAATCTGTGAATACGAATGAATGCTGGGACCCTATAAGAACGATTAGAGAGAGGGGATTGTTACACCTGAGGCCTTGGTGCTGCGCAGGGTGCGGAGATTGTACAACAATGCCCATCCTGAGACCTATTCCAAGCCGTTGAGATAGTAGCACACGAAAACCTATCATTCCACTGCCACTGCTTTCCACTTTTGAGACGTTATTCTCTCTCGCCAATCTCTTACTCCAGTCTGTGTCAAAGTCATGTTTGAGTGTCACAAACAACTCGAAGTCGTCCTGAACACCCGTGAATTGAGCGGTATTGATTACTGCCCCAGCATTAACATCTACGCACCAAGGAGGCCTCTGCGTCAAAAACCTGATGACATCCATCTTCAAGACGTTTTCTGTGGGGTTACACGATCTTTGAAGCAGCTATCAAGCAAGAGGTACCTAAGGACCTACCTTGAACTCAGACGCACTATGTCAGTCGGTCCCCTTTGGTGATTCTTTCGGTTGTCATTCGGCGTGGCGAGAGCTGGCCATGACTTCCGCGGGTACGTAGGCATTTTGGAGGGTATGAAGGTGGCCTGGCGCACTCAAAGGCATCGTGGTCACAACTGTTACGGTCGTTGTCACGAGCTGCGAGACTTGCTTCCTTACCGTGATCTCAAGCAGCATGACCGTCCGATAGGGCGGGCTTCAGCTTTTCGAAGCTTCAAAGGCATTCCCCACGATATTACTTCATGCCTCACGGTGAACAATGTCGTCAAGCTCAAGTTACAGGCTGCCGTCTGGTCGAGTCACGGAGGCAACATGTCATACTGCCTTAGCCTTACAAAGAGTCATTCCTCGGACGGGTAGATGGTCCAGGTCTGTCAGAGGAAACCCGTTGACTGTTTGTAAGCTCGGGCGAGTACAACCTGTATTAATTGTCGTCCGCGACATGAAATTGTGACATAAGGCCTTGCCGCAGAAGAGGCCGATATGTCCGAGGACCTTCCCAAAGAGCTTTGATGTCCAGCTGAAGAGGCGCGCTCTTTCCAAAGCCCGGCTTTGAAGCTGAGGGATTTCGCCCGAAGAACACTCAAGCACTTAGTTGTGCTTCGGAACAAGGTGGTAGTCAACAGTGTACGTAAGCGACAGGCTTGTGCCTAGCGGCTTCGCCTTTGACCGGCGGCGAGTTTGGGGGAGAATATCATGCCTTAGCGGCGATGTTTCCGCCGAGCTCGAATCAGTAAAGTGAGTGTTATCAGTTTGAGGAGGAGGCGAGTGATGATTTGTCTGCTGAGTCGTAGAGCGAGATCATTGCACGAATTCGGGAATGCATTCTACTGATTCCGAGCTGCCGTTTGGTGCGAGGTCGTCCATTGCTCGGTGCTCTTGGGCCTTGGGAAGCTGAAGAGAAATCAGGTGTACGTACCGAAGAATTCCGGTGAATTGACGGAACTCGGGTGGGGCGCTGAGAAGCACTTACATGTACCCGCCGGGACGTACCGCGGGTGAGGCAATGATTACGATGTGGCGGACAAGGGCCTGTATAGAGCAGCAGCAATGGTGGCAGCGCAGAAGGAAGGTCACCGCGGTCTGCTGTGACAGCTCAGCATGCAGTAGCAAGGTTGTCAGTGTTTCGACTTGGATGATTGACTGCTTGAAGCCTTCGTGCAGGTTGCGTGCAGTGACCAGGGAGGGGAAGTCCGCAGCTTCGAGCACCAGCCGAGGCGGAATGATAGCAAAGGGCGATGCCCATTTGGTCGAGGAAGCAAGAATTACGAAGTGCGATTTGAAGCCGCAGTACCGCAACTCAATTCTTGTGAAGGTGTTGTCCTTTGCTACTGGTGACTGCATCGTGATGTCGTGTCATGCTGTCACTTGATGAAGGGCTTCCTGCGTGTAACGACTGACTCGCAAGCTCAACTCAGGCTTCCAGGCACAAACAAGAGATCGAAGATGCGCTGGCCGATCATAAGATAAGATCCGCGTTGGGCTGGCGCGGATGGTGAAAACAAGAGGTCTCGGCCAGGTCTGTCCTCACGGCTATTCGCTTGTTTCAAAATCTGCCCTTCGCAAGCATCGGCTTTATTCTGCCTAAAGCTACGGCAGGGGAGAGCTGTTGTGCGCTGATAGTGAACGAGTGTACCCTTACGGAGAATCTTCAAGAGTCAAGATAGAGCAAGCCTTCGTTGATAGGGAATGACGCGGAAATGAAAAGGACTGTCTTGCTTTCGGACCTCCTGGATAGTGGATGAAGCAGTTGTGGGTGAGCACTTGCTTGCCTCGACGGTGATTGCCTGGAGGGCACTGTTGCAGTGGTGCTCTACTCAGCCGGCCGCAACAGTGACAGCACATTCGATAATGGCCGTTAGTGGTCGCTTGATCGGTCGAAATCAAGAGTACGAGGTCTTTCGCTTATTAGGGTCATCAGGTCGCATCGTTGGCGACTGTGCTTTCCCTGTTCTCCGATTGAGCTCGGCCTTTCAGCTCTAGCGTGGGCAAACTTTGACAAACGTCAGTGATACGGGCTCCTCGGCTTATCCTCATAGGTGGCGGTATGGAGCTTCTAGGTGGGCGCCATTGCCGTTTCGGCGGCAGCAATAGGCGAGCCATGGATGCGATGGAAGGGGACATGGGGGCGTGCGTGCTCCCGGTAGCCGACTTCCGCTGCTTGTCAGTCCGGTGAGTGTGGTGCTCGAAACTGCGCTCAAGCCTCAATTCGCATTCATTCATTCACCTCAGTCCCATGCGAACTGCACCATCCCTAGCATTTGTGTAACATCCAGCGACGCTATCTCCTGTACTCGATTCTGCAATTGTTTGCTACTATCTGCAATATATCTCTTCTTTATTCTAGGCTGCAACAGAAACGAAAATCATCCTTCATTGTCAGCGGCGGTGCCCGGACGTCACACATTATAAGCCACTGTTCATTCGGCTGCGAGCACGCGACCTATGCTGTATACCTTATAATTCCGCTATAAGTCAAACAATCTACATGATATAAGGGCATTGCTAGCTGCCATTGGGGCTCGACATCTTCAGCGAAAATGCCTTGGTCATGACATCTGCTGCTCCGGCCAACAAAAGGCCTCCCCTATGTCCTCCCGACTCCGAAAATCCCAGTGCTTCGGGTCTGGGATTTCCCCAGAGCCGAGCCATTTCTACTGGCTTTCTGGACATAGACGAGAGGGCAACAAAGAGGCGGAAAGTCGATGGCACCGAGTCGACCACGAATGATGCTGCGACGTCGCCCCCAGCCAGTGCCGATGCACCGGCCCCGAAATACACTTACCCAGGCGACCTTCGAGTGCTTGCAGCTATCATCACAGCCCGAGATAGTGCTGAGGGAACGCGGCCTGACCCAAAAGATGCCGCTCTTCCTCTGATGCCAGCGCACCCTTGGAGGACCGGCCCCAGAAGAAGGCAGCACCGGAACGGAAACCAACGCATCGGGCGCGAAACCCACGCCAGGTGCCGTGCACGCCGGATGCACTCGTAACGCCCCGAGGTGGACCAGCTCTAGTGAACGATCGACCTGCAGGATACTTCCCTTGGGGTGTACGACCAAGTGCTGAGGACCAACTGAGTGATATCAATGTGAAGCAAGGCTACCAGGACCGGCCACCGAACCCGCCAGACAAAGAATTGAACACTGCGAGAGTGCCCTTGTACAATGCTTTCAAACATCTCGCTGGTCTCGAAAGTCTGTCGACAGTGTTCTCGATTGCGCTGGAGGCCAAGTCCAAGCATAACATGCTCGATTCACTTAGCGCATTCAAGCCACCTCCGCGGGTCACGCTGTCCGAACCTAAGAAGAAGACTTGGATAGGTGAGTTGGCGGACCCGAATGTGCAGCTAAAGAAACTCAGTCGAACGATCCCGCAAGGTATACGAGGGCTCGGGCTGCTGGAGCAGTGTCTGCAAAATGTGGTACCGCTAAGTAGAGCAATTTGGTTCGTCAAATGTGTTGGAGCAAATGAGATCAGAACTCTCAAGCGCAAGGGCACCTCGCAGGCGCTTACGGCCGGCGGTGAAAGGGCATGGCTGAAAGAATGGACTTTCAACATCGAGCAATTCGTTGAATCAGTCCTCAACCAGAATGGACAGCCATTGTGGAAGCAGAACCTTCAGTATGCACTCCGACTCACAACGCGGCTGTATCTGGAAAACTTGCTGGATCGAGATCACTTCCTGGACTGGATTGTCAATACGTTAGCGACCACCGGGCATGACCGGATACCTTTCTGGTTGATGATGGCACATGTCTTCAAGCAAGATTTAGCAAAGTTCCGCAAACGAGGCCGCAGGCTAGCAGAGACTCTGCTTCGAAGATTTATTATGTTGAGGGATTCAACCAATGTTATGGTGCAAACCGTTGTGGTCAAATTGAAGGAAGCCATTCGTGGCTTCGCGCTCCACAGGCCACAGCTCTTCCTCGCTCCCGACTCCTGGCCTGAGCTCAAGCCTGCACTACAGTCTTGTTTGCGCAGCGACAATTTTCTGGAAAGTCGTCTTCTCCAGAGGCTGGATCACGTGAACGAGCGATCCATGGGCGCGAACAAGCGTCACTACCGCGCCAAGCCAGACACTCGAGACTCCCTGGTCAATACATTGGATAGTGCTACCGCTCCCTTTGACATTGATGCCTTGTCACAGAAGTTGTTCGCTCTATCCACCGACTATTCAGTTCTGGTCCCAGCGATCTCGGAATGGGCAACGAGTAGGTATCGTTACGGTTCAGAACGGGTGTATCTTGCGTGCCGTCTCTTACGGAAATGGCAGAAGACGGGCCTAAGATCCGAGGAAGCTCTGCTCGAATTCGTTGGTAAAACGCATGGCTCGCCAGAGTTGTTTGATCCAGCGGCACTCCGGCATTTCGCAGCCGAGCTTTCGCGCTCCAGAGCGTTCCCCACGAGCAAATACCTGCAGTGGCTAAGTGTACGCGGATTACCATGGCCAAAATCTGTCTTGAGGTCAGAGCAGACCGATCTTCGGAACGAGAAGTACATCAGACAGACTTGCAAGGACGGCAGCCTTTTATTAACGGACTTGCTCTTCTCTGAGGCAGAAGGTCGCCATTTGAACTTACGCAACTCACTTCTTGGCCGGGCCGGCTTCGATACGGACCTTGAGATTCAGACAACGCAGCGGCTGCAAAGTCTTGTGCGAGATCTCATGCAACAGGCTCACGAGAATCTGCGGCTATCCCATTCGACTCAGCAAATCACGGCTTTACTGAAGGACTGGAACTGGCGAGTTCGATCCGCCCTGGCCCACGGTCTGCGCGGATTCGTGGTTGCCAAGGTAAAGCACCAGACTCTCTTGAGGCAACAAGGGGCACCAGCTGAGGTGCAGGCTGCCATTTCCTTGCAGCAATTTGAGCTCATTCGTACCTGCCTTGAGGCGATTGGTGATGAAGCTGTGCTTGCCGATATTGTCGGACTGTGCTCACAGACATACACGGAAGATCTGCAGGCAGCCTTGGTCCTCACTGTTCATCGCCACGCACGCACATTCTCCGCTGTAGGAGCCCTGGAGCCACTGCAAACACGACTGGTGCAGAACTACTTGTCTTTGCGCAATGTCAAAGTGACGATGCCCTTGTTCGCGACAGCTCTCTTGGGTCTGCAGACTGCCTATCCTACCAGAGCCGGCTCTGTCAAGCTCTTCCAGTCCGATCTGATCAGAGGTGATCGCAGTCGCGCGATCGCTGCTTGCTCGCCCTTTAGTGATGGTATCGCAGAGTCGTTGCAGAACGCCGAGGAGACCTTCATTAACGATTTTGAGGCTGTGCTTCAGTCGGAGCCGAGCATGACAGAGCAAACAATGAGCCGTCTCTTCTCTTTGCTCACAGAACGAATCGATAAGCAGGCGGTCTCCATTGATCAAGACTTACTTTTTACGCATTGCCAACTCATGGCTCGCTTGAGGCTGTGTCGAAAGCAGCAAGGCGATCAACTCATTCGCAACTGGCTGGTCAAGCTGCTCTCGATGAATCCGACTGGTTTTGCTCAGACATTAGTGTCATACCTTCTCGATGTCGGCGCTTTGAGTGTGCAAGCGCTGGTCGATGCATTCGCTGGCCACAAGATGGCCGCGCCCATTCTCCAGCACATGTTTCCTGATCAGCCCGCCCTTCGGCGATATGCTGTGTTGTCAAAATGGGCCGACTTTGCAGACTTTCACCCGCATCAATTACTGAACCTCGCTAGCCAAATGCCACGCAACTCAAGCTTCAGCATGGACGAGCTTTGCATCAGGATTGTATTGAAAGATGGTGACGAGTTGACTAGGCCTGCACAGCTCAATCTTTCCAGATATCTCAATGGACTCGTTGGACACGGTCCTGGAGGTGATATTGGTGCCACCTTGGAAAGCATGGATGTTCTCTCGCTCCCTTTTGTGCGCCATCATCTACAGCTCAATTCGATTCACACGATTGCAGGTGCTAGTCTGGCTGATACCATTGTGAATGCTGCAGCAAAGGTTCAGGCGAAAGTATTGCGAAGCTGCTGCATGTCGCAAAGTCTGACTTGACTTCTCAGGTACGGCAGATCCTAGATGATAACATACTTGAAATGCTGCCTGTGGCGAGCAAGGCAAGTTACTGGATGTTAGCCTGGATCTGGAGCGGATGGAACGTCTGCAGATGCTCGTCGATCAGGCCTTTCTGCTGTTCCCCACAAATTCCTCGCCGGCGGCCAAGAACACAGCGCAACTTGTGGAGAAGCTGCAACAATTCCTTAAATTCTTAAGCAGCGCGGCGGGAGCGGCACAGGCTACCTCACCATCAGCTTTCCACAGGCAAGCCGTAGCATCCCCAGCGACACCTGGTCTGGGCACACCGACCTTCGGAAGCCATCTCATCCCACCCTCCTCACCAATGGATATCTCATCACGAGCATTACCGTCTACCATCATCGATTATTTCAGGATACTCCTGCAGCTCTTGTGTCTACAGAGACCAGTGCAATTGTCCAACCGAGACCAAACTGGCAAGACACAATCTCACCCCGATCATATCAAGATATTGGCTTATGTTGCACACATTGCGAGTCATACGGCATTCATGTTGCCTGCTGTCACTTTCCCTGACAACTTGCAGCTCCAGCAGCGCACTAGGGAGGTCGTCGATTTCGCTTACGATGTCATGGCAACCTATGTGGACGATCTAACGGACGAGAACCGTGTCACTTGTGCGAGGATCTTGAAGGACCGCCTCAGTCCTTCCGTTGGCGCAAATCCTGGAGCGCTGAATGGCGAGGGCACGTCGAACAGCATCGCAGCCTTGCGAGATTGTCAAGCCAAGACGAAGTGGTTGTTTGGCAGCGTCAACACCATGGGCAGTGATCTCCCGAACGCAGCAGAGATGGGCTCAGGCCTGCTAGTTACCAAGCGAGCCTCAGACGGGAAGCCTGTAGCCAATAACGCTGGCAACGTGGCGACTCTTGGACTTGCAGCCTTGAACACGGGCTTAACCTCATCACAGCCAACATCTGCGTTTAGTGGAATCACTTCAGAATGGAAGCCACGCATTTGGGAGGTGCTGGAATGTCATGGCCGACCGGATGGAGAGACTAGCCTCGGGCTGGGCCTCTTCGGTGCGCGTAGGCCGATTCCAGTTGCAGCCATACGTTGATTCAGCAGCAGGCTGGTGATTTGCTACGACATTGAAGGCCAGGTCAACTGTTCAGTATGGGTTCGAGAGATGGTTGTGCACGATCTGAGATTCGAAAGAAAAGGTGGTATGAGCAGAAACGATCATTGTAGACATGGCACGAGCGAGCGAGTGCTCTGGGTACAGGCGCATTGGGATCTTGTGACGATTTAGCATGTGCATATTGCATGTTCGTAGGGGAGCTTGGAGGAGATGGATACTGTGGTTTAGTAAGACTTAGGGCATATTGAGCGAGAGAATATATTCGTTCACTCTCCACCCCTGCACTTGCACCTGCGACATCCAACCCCCAACATAAATTTCGCCCCATGGGAGTCAATGCGTTGACATCGCCGTAGCGGAAGTGAACATCATGCATGGCGCTTGCGTACTCCTGGAGGAAGATCACTCGGGCAAGCACGAGGCATCCCATGACTCAAGGCAGTAGCGAAGGGATGAACTCGAAGTGCAATCCCGTCATCCGGTCTGAACAAAAGCTCCACGTCATCCGGTGACAAGTATGGTCCCCCGGGCAGTCATCCGGTCCGGTCTACGACCATATTTCAACCGGCCTCTCGAAGGGCATCATTTGATCCAGGTCAAGCTAACAAAATCACCCGCCTTAAAGACTCTGCACTTCACGTCAATCCGTTAGGTAGGGGCTCCGTGCGGTGACCAATCTGACATCACAGACAGGAAGATGAGAGAAGCGGCACTGGCGCCGGATTTGCATGGCTATTAGGGAGTTCATAGCGCCTCTGACTTGACGGACAAGGTCTCCACGTTTCAAAGCAGTCAAGTCGCAGAAATTGGCCGCCAAGTCGTCTCGATTGTGATGCATGGCATGCATACCGGGATTCTAGCACGGGCTCGACTGTTCGGCAGTGGCTGAAGCGCACATGGCAGCAGGGAGGGCCGAATGGTGAACACTGTTGTGAAATCGCTCTCGTCACGATATAGAGAAGTTCGGGGCCTCGGAAAGCACCTCTGCTCCGCGAAGTGTAGTAGGTCCGGTACGGTGGGAAGCGATGATGGATATCGCATTAGCTCGAAAGTTGCGACAACAGTGAGGGATTCAGAGCTCTTTCGTCGTACGCATGCATTTCTCTATATTCCGCCCGCTTGGACACAGCTCGAGTCGTTGTCTCTCCACGGGGTGTAAGATGCTGAGGGTCCAAATGAATTCAGCCCGACATGCTCCCCGCCAGTATCCTTTCTATTGCGCTTCGTTTACTTCTTCTCCGAATCCTTCAAGAAATCTCTGCAGTCAACTGTCAGTCCAGTCCTTGGCCGTATGTCGGCACAGTGCAGAGCAGAGACACGCACGATATGAAGTCCTCCTCGGCTTTACTTGAAGCATTGATCGGGGGTGTGTTCTTCGAGCCAGGCTCCGTCTTCTTGCCTCCGAACAGGAATGGGAGGGCGGCCGCTGAGCCAAGGGTCGCCATTGAGAGCTACGCATGTGTCAGATCAGCATTAGTCTCAATCCTGTATGCGTTGAAGACCATCTTTCGAGGAGGACCGGGAGGAGAGGACGGGCGTTCGTACCCAATGCGCGCCCACCTGGCGGCCGAAGATATTGTACATTGCGACACCGGCCATCTTGACGAGAGTATGAAGTCGAGTGAGTGCTGAGGGTGTAGGAGATTCGAGAGCAGAGGTCGTTGCTCGACCCGTTCTGTAGGAGCTCGCAGTCCGGAGCTTCAACTTTCGAGCCAAGAGACTGCGCTTGTTGGTCTGCTACCCCTACCGTATTGCTCCCAAATAGGTACCACGTCATAAGCTACTTGCGGGTGTCTTCGGCGGCGACGGTTCATGCCTAGGGCAGAGCCGCAGTTTGTAGGTGTCGTGTGAGGTTCTCGCTTCGCCTCCGCCGCTCTCTACATATGTGATCAGGCACTCGCACGACTGGACAGTCCGTCCAGCAACAGCCGGCCATGGCGAAGGACAACAGCAACAAAAGCAGCCCGGCTGTATTTCCGCGCGAGAAGCTCAATCAAGATCTCCAGAAGATAGTTGACCGGCAGGATGACTGGATGGATGACCTCTACGAGGGCCAGTATGCGTTGATCTAGTCACATCATACGCGACAAAGCTGACACACATGCCAGAGGCGCCGACTCAATCGACACCAACTACAGATATGCCGCCTATGCCGCCCGAGCGCGCACCATTTTGCTTTCCGCCCATCGCTACGTTGCCTACACCTCAGACATCGGCGAGTCATTCCGCCCCATCGCACATCCATGGCTTGTCCGCGGCGCATACGGCGTGTCATGGGCATATTTGATCGGCGACGTGTCACATGAGGGCTGGAAAGCATATCACCGGAATCAGAGGTTACTACATCCGGAAAATAATGAGCATTTTGATGCAACGACACCGCAGAAAGATATGCCGGCACAGAAAGCATTACCAGTGCCGGGGCAGAGTATAAAGATACCAGCGATCGAGGACTACCGGGCGATCATGGTGCAGAGGGCGGTGTTTCAGAGCGTGGCCAGCATGGGATTGCCGGCGTTCACGATACACAGCATTGTCAGGTACTCGGGAAGAGCATTGAAGAGTGTAGCGAATCCAATGTTACGGACGTGGGGTCCTATAGGTGTAAGTGTTGTCCAGCGGTGAGCTTTTGTGGTTATGTTTTGGCTAACGGTCTGCCTTTAGCTTGGTCTGGCAGCTGTACCGGCACTGCCGTATATGTTTGATGAGCCGGTCGAGTACGCGGTGGAATGGGGCTTCTGGCATGCTTTCAGAGCCATTGGCGGTGAACAGGCCGTGGGGAACCGACCAGTCACGGGCAGGTCACATCAACTGGTAAAGGAGAACCGGGTCGCAGAAGCGATCAAAGAGAAAGAGAAGCAGTCATGACACATTAACGTGCAGCGTCGAGGACTAGAGGTGTCATTGTACAGGCTGGAAAGCGAAAGACAAAGAGATCACCACTCCGTGACCTGGGCTTAGGCAAGGCATCAACCTAGGTAGGTATAATCTACCATCTCACTCCGACTATGAAGGAACAATATCGACCGCATGATCCGACACACTCTCCTGCCGTGAGCCTGAGCTCGGCGCCCGACAAGTGCGATCGCAACTGCCTGCGTTGGGATTCGAAGATGGCATTATGCCTGCAGTCGCTCCCAAGCGCTTACCTATGCAGAATTCGCCGATCCAAACAGCAAAAACTGCTCTGATTTCAAGGTCTTACTGCATCAGCGCAACTTTGAGCCACACAGTCCGGTGAGACTCAGCCATCAAGACTGGTGCAGAGCATGATTTCGCACGATGCTACGCCTTTGAGCAGGTTTCCAGTAATCGGACTGTCTTCCCACCGAGCATTCTTTCCTATTCAGGTATATTTGCCTTGCCGAGAATGTAAGTTTGCCCAATGGCAGGTGGTTGCCTTGTTCGACCGTCGGGCAGTCTGATACCTTGGGCTGGAATCTGACACCGCGTACCTTGCTTTCGCGCCTTTCTGCTGCATTCAGGGTTATGGGCGCCTGGTTTAGCTGTATCTGTACTGCCGCGATGGGTCACTAATGTGGTATATAAGTCGAATTGCATCGTCAGTGCAGTGCCTGCCTTCGGACACAATCACACCCTGCAACAGAAAGCAGGTTAGCAGAACAGCCCAGCGATTTTCCCAGCAAACTCTTCAGCATGTCACAGAAGCTGCAATTCGGCGTGCTGATGCACCCGTATCAAGCCATCGATTGTGTCGGGCCCCTCGACGTCCTTTCGTCATCCTCGAAACCCTACCTCGAACCACTTTTAGGCCTAGGACTCTACGACAAATCCGTGCCCGAGCACGCCCTGGACTATGACTTCCACTATATCAAAGACACACTCGAGCCATCCACTCACACCGCCGGCCTTCGACTCGTCCCTACAACCACGCTCGATACCTGCCCAAAGCTCGACTACCTCCTCGTCGGCGGCCCCGATCCAGCATGGACGCAGGACCCCTCGTTCCCGGCATACGCAAAGTTCGTGCAGGAGCGCCTCCCTGAGCTCAAGATAGTCTTCGCGACCTGCACAGGCGCCATCATACTTGGCGCAATGGGCGTCCTCGATGGACTCAACGCAACGGTCAATCACCAGCTCATTGGACCTGCGAGGCAGATGTGCCCGAAGGTGAAGTGGACGGATGAGAAGCAGTGGATTGTCGATGGGAAGTTCTGGACAGCGGGAGGAGCGGTCGCGGGGATGGATATGATGGCGCAGTGGGTCATTGACAATAGTACGAGGGATGCTGCGGAATGTGGTTGGGGCTTTCTCGACTATGAGCCGAGAGATGTGCACGGGAGGTTGTTGAAGAGGGAGAAGTATGGGTTGCGGTTACAAGCGGCGTAAGGATGGGTTGTGCCGGTCATGGAGGAAGCGCTAGAGAATGTTGTAGGGTAACCGGGTGCTCCAGGCGGGCTTTGGCGGGATTCGGAAGCGAGGCGCGCACATGGCGCCCCAAATCTAAGCTTAAAATTGGAGAAAATTTTGATAAAGTCAGGGTGAGGTCGGAGTGAGGTCAAGGTCATCTTCGAGTACGCCCTAAGTCACTTCTTGTCACTCACTGATCAAGTCACTGTAGTAACAGCACTGTGCCTCCTTGGTTGTCTGTCATTCACTTAGCAACTACAATCACTAGCGTCCTTGCGTTCTGGTTCCCTCAGATGCACCGTAGAGATCTGTTCCATTTGAAGCCGTTGCGGAGGAGTGAACCACTATGCGGGATCACACGATCAAGAACGACTCGGTAGCGCTGTCGCTGCCGCCAGGAAAAGCGGCGATGTCAACCTCAAAGACGACAGCGAAGTGGAACACGAGCAGCCTGGGATTGCGCGTGGGTGCAGATGCGGCATCAGCCGCGATATCAAGTGTTCTGGTCGCGCCGATTATCTGTGTGATTGACAGGTACGTTTACAAGCCTTGATTGACACAGGGAGGCCTCTAACATGTTGCCAGATCCATTATTGAGAAAGCAGCAACTGGAGAATCCCTCTCGAGTTGCTTCAAACGCTCCCTCGCTCCGCTGACGCGACCACACTCCTTCCTTGCCTCGAGACCATTCCTACTCATCTTCGGCTTGTATTTCGCTACCTACTTCACCTCAAACGCTGTCGACACAGCCTCTAGCACACTAAAGGACAAGTCCGCGAGTACAGAACACCCCGGCACTCCCAAATTCCTCGCTGCATCACTTGTCAACATGACCTGCTGCGTCTACAAGGACAGTCAGTTCGCGCGCATGTTCGGTGCGGCATCTGCTTCACCTGCGGCAGCAATTCCGAAGCTCAGCTATGCTCTGTTCGCCGCACGAGACAGCATGACTATCTTTGCGTCCTTCAATGCACCATCCATGATTGCTCCGAAACTCAACGAGCTCTCCCCCGAAACCAAGCAGCGCTTTTCACGTATTCTGTCTACGGAAAGTGGTCGTCTCAACACTGCACAATTCGTTGCGCCGGCAGCTATGCAGATCTTCAGCACGCCTATTCACCTACTAGGGCTCGATATTTACAATAGGCAAGGTCGGATAGGGGTTAATGAACGGGTCGCGAGAATACTACGGGACTGGGGCGTCAGCGCATTTGCGAGGATGGGTAGGATTGTGCCGGCTTTTGGATTTGGCAACGTTGTCAATAGGAAGGTCAGAAAGGACTTTATGGACAAGCTTGATGCTTGACGACGGTATCATGACACTGGGAGGGCACTGGAGAGCTCTGTACAACACTATCGGCACAGCGCGGCGCATACGGCATTCAGAATGAGCATTTGCATTGGTCCAGGAGGGCTTCAGAAGGTCAGCAAGGGATAGACCGGCATTAGAGACAAGTCAGATCACCAGAGCGCATGCATACGTGCACATACGAGCCTATCGAGACCGATACGGCACACAGAGGGCGCCTCAGGTATTCGAAAGTCAGAATGAAAGCATTCTCGAAATTCCCCACGAAGATCGGCAGGATCGTCATCTTTCTCCAAGAAGACGATATGGCCTTATCTGGTACCTCAATTTCTTGTTCCTTTACTTGCTTGCCCTGGGAGACCTGATGCACTGCACAACTCTTCTAGCGCACTAATCTGAGCAACAGTCGTGAAGATGAAAGGCATTGCCAGCATCAGCAGGTCACTGCTAAGAACTAAGCCACCGCGCCAACTCCTCCATCTCACTCCCCAAACCTTTCGCCCAGCATCAACCCTCCAAAAAGCGAAGCCAACCATAATCGACCTCTCTCGCCCCCTCCAACACCGCTCCCCGTGCCACCCCTTCCACCCGCCCTTCGTCATGACAGCCTGGGACACCCACCAGCCCAAAATCGCCGGCAAGACCACCCTCCGCTCCGCCTCCTACTACATCTCCATGTCCGACCACGCCGGCACACACATCGACGCACCCAAACACTTTGACCCTACCCCTGGCGCTCTGTCGGTGGACCAGATGCCGCTCGAGGATTTCTACACCGAGGCGATCTGTTTGGACTTGTCGCATGTTGAGCTCAAGGCGTCGATCTCCGTGGGGGAGATGGAGGATGCCCTGGCGAAGTCTGGAGAGGAGATCAAGGACGGCGACACAGTGCTGTTGTACATGGCATTCAACAAGCGTGTTTCCACCGAAGATACACGCTGGCAGCATGACTTCCCGGGTCTGGCGCTGGAGTCGGTGCACTGGCTGGCGGATAAGGGTTGTAAGATCTTTGGCGTCGAGGCGATCAGCCCGGCGCCGGAGGGGGAGCTGAATTTTCAGGCGCATAACGCTTGTGGTGAGAGGGGTATCACGCATATGGAGGGGTTGGATAATTTGGAGGCGGTGGTGGGCAAGGGGAGATTTACGTTCATGCGTTGCCGTTGAGGTTGGTAGGCGCGAGTGGGAGTCCAGTGAGGGCTGTCGCGTTGTTTGACTGATTGCTGGAAGCGCGAGGTTTAATTGCGAACAGCTGGAGTCCTCCCTGGTATCTGATGTGGGCGCAGGCACGCTACCTGCAAGTGGAGACAATCACAGGGCAACTGCACCTGATGGGATATGTGATGGACTGTTGCAGCTTCCTAACACAAGCGACTTGTGTTGAGTGCTGCGGCAGCGAAGCCGGTGACACAGCAGATCAAGTGACTCGCGGCGCAGAGAAGATTTCCGATATTCTCGCGTAGCATCAGTCAGTATCTACCTAGGCTCACGCTTTGCTCACTATTCGTACGAAATACATCAGTGGAATCTCATGTCGCTCACTTGAAATCTCGAATGCCGCCGTCGCCGAAATGCTGAAGACCGGTACGATTACATGCATCGCCATGCTCAACGCTCAACCTCAACGCCATGCAGGTGAATTTCTGAGCCCATGCTGAAGTGTCCATAGCGCGAACTCCTGTGCAATGCCAGACTGACCATAGAATGACGGTCCCTCACATCTGCACCTTCAGCAGATATCGCAGCCGCAGCTGATTGACGTCGTATGCAATATACTCATTGTACTGCAGATAGCCGGCCTTGTCCAGCTGAGTGTTAGGACCGACTGGACCTTTCGGCATCTTGACACCTTTCAAGTCCTCGTGGACGCATCCGGCGTCCTTCCAGCTTGCGGTACTGTCTGGCCAACGCCCTTGGTCGAGATACAATTCGTCTCCTTCGCCTTCTCTTCGGCGTGGTAGTCTCCGCTGCTGATCTCGTACATTGGATCTGACAGCTCGGCTTCGACGAGAAGCAGGAGGCCAGTGAAGTTCGAATTGTAGGAGGCGCAGTACTGGGCCGATTTGGATGAGCAATCTGCAAGATAGACACCCTTGCCGAAGGCGTAGCCACTGACGGGAGCCTCGGGCGGCGCGATGCGTAGACCTTGTGAGAGTATTCCGCCAAAGTTGGTACTGCGAGAACCGTGCCATAGGAGGAGCTTATTCGAGGTTGTCAGCTTGGCGTATTTGGACTTCTGAAATCGCTCCTTCTCGCCTTTGCGCTCGATGCGGAAAATGTCTTGAACCTTGTAGGTAAATCCATGGGTAGCGCCGACGGTATCATTTAGGTAGTCTCGAAGGTGCTTGAACTCGCCTGAGTCGTTCTCAAGTGGCGTCATCTCTGACAAGTTGAGTCCGTCAAATTGCTTGTCGATAAGGGCAACAGTCGCTTCATCGGGACTACCCTTAGCGGACTTGATCGTATCGGACACACACATCTCCGCCAATGAATCCTAGTAGCATTAGTAAGTACACAGCAACGTTGCATTTGGAGGACATACCAGCATGGCTGCCTCATCGCTGACCTTATCGAGATCATCAATGCTTTCAGGCTTGGCTCGGCCCGTGATGTGAGGAATGGTGGTGTAGTATTTGCTTGATATCTCGTCGCACACCCAGGACCAATGTTTGCCGTACTTCTCCATTGCAGTGTCTTTATTTCGAAGAACTTCATCGATTTCTTGGAGGATATTGAAGCCGGCCTTGAGTGTAGCCTTGGACAATTTGCCGAGTGGGAGCTTCTCGTTGTTCTAGATCGTCGTCAGCACTTCCAGTCTCAGTAAGAAAGACGGCTAACTTACATATCCCATCTGCCGCATTGTGGTCTGGAAGTGGTCATCGTTAAAGATGAATTTTAGCAGTTCCTGGCTCTGGGGCGGCAATTTGCTCTCCACGACAGGGTTGTTGTCCTCCACTTTGACTTCTGGTTCCTCTTGCACGTCGTAGCTCTTTTCGAGATATGTGTACTTCTTCTCCTTGGGTGGGTCTTTTCGATTCTCCCACTTCAGACCAGTCTTGTCTTTGAACTTCTTGCCGAAGTCTGCCATGGCGTCCTCCAGAGAACCATAGCTATTTGTGTTGGATTTGCCCGTTTCGCCGACTCTGCCCCATCGTGTATGACAATAGTATGATGTGCCTTTTGGCGCTTTGATGAGCTGAATGAAGTAAAACTGCTGAGTCAGTAAACAGTGGGGGCAGAGAATCGTTGAACGCACTTTGTTGTTATTGTTGTTGCCGGTGATATTGGTCTGGTTGAGACAAGCATCGTAGACGAGGCCTTCATCGTCGACGTATACGACACCATCTTGAGAGTGTCAGTCATCGATCGCCATGTTGACAGTTGCGCACTTACTGCTGCTTGCATAGAATTGCTCGTCCAATTGGACTGCAAGATTCTTGGCCTGCTTCGGATCTGGCGCCGGCGATGATGAGAGCGAGTTCAAGAACTCGGCGTCTGCAATCTTTTGAGTCTTCTTGGTCGGTGCAGAGGACGTAGCGGCATCTGCTTTGCGCTTTTTGGGCGGCATGTTGGTGATTGGTTGATGAGATTGAAGAACAATTCAAGGGAAATCGAAAGCTTTAGAATGTGCTCGGATCGAAGATAGTGGGTGGTAAGAATTACAGTGAAGCTCGGAATTGCATGAAAAAGTTGACCGAGCGCGATCTGGCATGACGCGTCGGCGTGCAATCGCAAATTTCAACAAAGCAGGTGAGACGAAGGCAGGTGCAATTGCCTCGTGGCTTCCGGGAGCTTTGGTTTCACCAACCAATTGGAGATGCTGCAAGACCGAGTTAGTCCCAGAAAGTGGAGTCGTTTGCCTGCTGTGCCTGCCTCAGTTGCCTAAATCTGCCTGTAGGATCCAGAAGTTTCAATTATTGGTCTCGGATGCTCTGCGACAGCAACGACCGTCCTGCGCAGGTTGCCGTATGATCTCGAACTCTGCCATCTGTTCTGAAGCGTGAGCTACGATAGAGCGAATGCAATGCATCTTGCGGAGCGCTTTGTCTTGTTGTTGCCCTGCTTGGTGGCAGCGCCTTTCAAATAGGTAAAGGGTAGCGGCGTCCAAATGGTGCAGCAATTTGTATGGCGTTGTGAATCCCACAAAGCACGACAACAAGAGATAGTTAGGTACGGGCTGCAGTAAAGCTCGACGTACAACTTCACATACGTTACTCAGGCGGACCTGGGGTGAGTGTGATTGGCTCGGATGGACATTTCCTGCACCATGAATCATTGATCAATTAAATTCTCTGGTAGAAACATGACGGCCCGCTGCTGGAGATTTTAGTGGAAGCATGATCTCACATCCGATATGGTAGGTAGTCATTTGTGAACCAGCTGGAGCGCAAGCAAAGGCTCTGTGATTTATGACGTCGTGTTGATGTCGGTAGGTCATCGATGCCCGAAGCAGAAATAAGATCCATCTTTCATCATCAGTCGTTGTTTCGTGTGTTATATTCACACTGTGCTTTGGTTTCGTCTCATTCCCACTATTGTAGAAACAAAAACCACCATTCTTCCCTGCCTGCTGTCGAAATTTTGATAAAGGCCCATCTTCGGTAACCGATCGAAGCCCAAAATGGCAGACAACCGAGCAAACAAGAATCCGGAATCGCTGACCAACCAGGGCGAATTCATGCCTGGTCCTCCTCAGAGCGAGCCGCTCACCACACAAGGCGTATGTTGATCTCCGTTATTTCCATCATCGTAGCCAGCGAGGGACCCATCTCGTCGGGTTTTCATGAGCCAGTTCATCCTCTGAGTGCTATGAGCATCGAGCCTGCTGACACACCCCATAGCACCAAGTCGGCCTCAAAACCTCCCCAGCAGACCACGCCCCTGAATTCTCGGCCACCGCCCACCCGCCCGGCACAGCCCCCAAAGCCAACACCTTTACACCCAACCCGCAGGGCGACGACGCCATCCCAGGACAAGCCGACAATGACTCCGCGGTCATGCGTGCTGACCCGCTGGATTTCCCCGGCGCGACATCTGGGGACGTGCACACCGGCATCGGCAAGCCGAGCTCTGGCCAGACGTCTAATGAGCTGCACCGGGGCGGCAACCAGCCCAAGGGTGGTGGCGGTTCGCAAGGTCTGCAAACTGGGGACAGAGGCGTAGATTCGGAGCTGAGGAAGTTGGGAGAGGAGCGGAGTGTCAAGGACCAAGGCAGTCGGGTTGAGAGGGAGCATAATGTCAGTCTGGACGGCGCGGAGACTAAGGATCCGGTTGTCTTCAAATAGGTGGCTGCTGGGAAGCTTTGTCGCTCGACCGACACTGTACTGGGCCAGGAGTATTCTCCAAATTGGAATAACTGCGCCTTATGTCAACCAGGAGAACTCTGTCGTGTGGAAGCTGCGGTTCAACGGCCGTGTGCTGGGAATCGAATTGCTTTGTCAGTCACCTCTGCGTGAATCTGTCTACTTCGTGAGAAAAGGATGTAACGATAACTGGTGCTGTGATTGCGCTCAAGTAAAATTGACGTCCCATCGATGGACGTGCTCCGGTTTCTGTCCCTTGATCGCGACCTTGAACTTCAACAGGATCAGTGGAGCTGGCTGCTTCTTTGATCCACGATGATTATCAGCAATGTGCGTGGCCAACGCGCGACCAGTCGAGAAACTGTTGTTGGATCCGTGCGCTAAACAGAACAAGCAAGCATACTTTGACGTTGGCAGCGGCGGCGACGCTCTAAGGTTGCCGCCGCGGGAGCTGTCTCGCCGCCTTGGCACGTAGAGATGCGACTTGACCAGAAAGGCCGACTTGTACTCCACTTTAACATTTGGATGCGATCTGATTTCCTCTGTTGAATGAATGCTGCTGTGTAAGGACGAGTTGACGTGATAGCGAAGCCGGAAGTCGCAGCTCGTGCATTTCCACCACAAGTACACGCCTTGAAACTCTGCTAGACGAGCGATGTTGTCTGTTAGAAGTTCTCGCTCCGAGACGTGGGCAACATCGCCGCGATCGCGGCCGTTGATCATCTGAATGGCGCCGCGACAGATCTGACCAACCTGATTGTCGCGCCTGTCCTCCGGCTTGAGTTTGTAGCGGTCGGTCAATTGCGCTACCTTCGTTTCTTCAAGCTGCTTCTCCCGGAACTCAAGCAGATCGTAAATCGTGCCAAATGGCTTGCGCTCCTCCAGGCGTGGATCATAGTGATTGACGAAGAGCTGGTCGACACCATGGATAGCGTTGAGGAGCTGGACGATCATGTCCATCAGATACTGCGCTGCCAGGGCATCGGAATCTTCGATGAGGTATCCGAGTTCCGTATAGTCGATCTTTTCGAGTACCGTCAATCTGTTGTCAAGCTTTGCCAGACGCGGGTCATATGCAGCCAACGCCGACGGGGTGGGCTCTGGGTAGATGTAGTAATCAATCAGCGTGTTGGTCTTGCGACGAATCGCTTTGACTTGGGTGCGTAGGTCCTGCACAGCGACTGAGGGCGCGATGCCCCGCGCTATGTCGCCCATTGTCGATAAATTGCTGAGGTGTTGACACGTGTATTGGGCAGTAATGCGGCGGCGCTTCTCAAGGGGAAGCGAACATGCGACCTACCACGTTGAAACAGAAGTATTGAGGTGCAGTTGGGCGCATGAAATTGTTATTATGTCTTTCCGATAGGCAACACCTTCGTCAAGGTGGAGAGATCGATGGCCCATTACCTGCATTTATGAAGCCGCTCGCCTGCCTTACCAAAATCACCTTTCTTGCGGCAATCGAAGAGAGGGTGAATTGGGCAAACGCCTAGCGAACTTGACCCAAAGGGCTGCATTTTGGTCACGCGGTGAGAGCCGCGCCGCTATCACACTCGAGCTGTCTTTAACGAATCATGGAAGGCACAGAGACCGGGTATGCGACGAAAAGGCGGCAGAGGCCTCCAGAGAGGGGAGAAAGGGAAAGCTGCTAGGGACGAACACCGCCACCCACCTGTTCACGCTAGCCCAGAATGAAGAATGTGGGAGAGGATTTTTGGTTCATACATTTTTGCTGACACCAAAGTTCCTGTCTCTTTGCATACGCGCTGCATTTGTAATTGAGGTCATCGAGCATGCCGACAGAACTGGAAGAGGTAAGCTATCAGCGCTCTGGCAACCGCGACGCCGCTTTCTCTAACGACGTCAATCACAGCTGGTCGAGTTCCTGCACCACGGTAATACCCAGATTCGTCAAATAGGTAGGCGTCAAATTCCAGCGAAGCAGGCCGGAGCGACTGACATGGTATTCGAGCGTGCGAAAACCTGGTTGGATATTCGTCACAGCCGGCAATATTCAAGGCACACCAGTTGCTGCCCATCAAAGATCTCAAATTGCTTATACGGGACTATCCGGTAGGTTTGCCTGATCTGCCTTGTGGCGGATGCGTCGTTGTGACACAAGCCCAGTCGATATTCTGACATCAGCCACAGGCGATAGCCAAGAATGCTCTCACAATCTTGATCAACTTGAGTAGCCATGACGAGGAGATCAGGGTAAACCTGGCCCAGGACGATAATGTGGTCAATGACCTGGTTCGGAAAGTCGCAGTAAGGCGCTCATTTCACTGCACGCCAGAGCTGACGCAGCATGGTAGGATCCCAAAGAGCCCAATCCGTCTGAGCTGTGCGAACTTCTGGCGAACCTCAGCGCAGAACCTTCCCTCTCCCGTCTCCTCACCATCAAGCGCCCGCCGACAACCACATCCAAATCCGACATCGCCCTCAACCAACTCCTGGATCTATTCGTCTCCAGCCCGTCCAACACCGCCTTTGATCACCTCAGCTACCTGCTGGCATCTCTATCAGGCACCTCCGAGTCTGTCAGGAAGTACTTTGTCCAGCCACAATCCTACGACGATGTCACTCCCCTATCAAAGATATTTGTCTTCACGGATCATCCCTCTCTGATCCGCCGCCGAGGCGTGGCATCCACGCTCAAGAACGTATGCTTCGAGATCAGCGCGCATCCGGCTCTGCTGTCCCTTCCTTCTGCCTCGCAAGCAGAAATGGACATCCTGCCATACATCCTCCTCCCCCTTGCCGGCAGCGAAAGCTTCCCAGACGACGAAATGGAGAAGATGCTACCAGATCTGCAGCTTCTGCCGCCAGACAAGGAACGCGAGTCGGACAACGAGATACTGGTGACGCATCTGGAGAGTCTGACGTTGCTAACGACGACAAGAGGGGGCAGAGATCGATTAAGAGATGTGCAGGTGTATCCTATAATCAGGGAATGTCATGCTCATGTGAAGGATGAAGCGGTAGGGGAAGCAATCGAGCGATTAGTGAATGTCTTGATGCGAGATGAGGAGGGTGAGAATGGACAAGGTAGGATAGACGAGGATAGAGAGGTTGAAGAAGTGTTGTGACAATAAATGTACGGCAGACCCCCTTTCAAGATCTGGTCGTCTTCAGGCGTATGCAGTCATATCTGCGATCCAGCCAAGCTACGAGAGCAAGAGCTGAGCAACGTCGCCAACGTGCACTTGTCAACTTCTGCAGCGTCCTCCCTGGCTAGGGTTTCCCGTTACGTCTTTCCTGGTGTTTCAAAGCTCGAGCAAGGCTTATCCCAAACTTGGTGACTTGATCAGGGAAATAACAATAGGCTTTCAGCGCCCTCCCCAGCTTGAAAATCTACAATGAGCAGCACAAAGGCCTGCAGGTGGTCAGCAAAAACGCCCAACCTCGCAGCCTTCTCCAACCCACTGTCACCGAGTTCAAGCAAAAACGGGTCAATTCACCTGCAAAATTGAATCCATGGGTGCGGTGCTGGGGCTGCAATCAATTGCAGCATACATATGTTGAACGCCGCTGCCCTAGATCCCAGTCGACAACTTCTGATCCCAGCAGAACATGTCCACCGAATCAGTGCCTCACGTCCTGCTATTCACCTAGACGCAGGCCTCACCAACACTTACAGCTTCGCCTTTGCATCTCCCCTCAACTCCGCCCCAGCGCCCGCAATGCACAGCTTCCCAGTCTCCTTGACCTTCGTCTGGAACACAACCGTGCTGCCCTCCTTCCACATCTCAGTGACCAGCGTCTGGCCTGGCAGCACTGTGCCCGCGAATCTGACCTTGATGTTCTTGAACTGCCCGTACGTCTGCACAACATGCTTGCCGCTGAACCCAAAGAAGCACAGACCGTGCAGGATCGGGATCTTGAAGCCACCAACCTTGCTGAACTCCGGATCGATGTGCAGCGGGTTGCGATCGCCGTTCAAACGGTACAGTGCGGCCTGATCATCAGTAGTCTTCTCCTCGACCACGGCATCAGGTGCACGCTTGGGCGGCTGGTGAACAGTCGTGGCCGCGCCGCGGTTGCTGCCCTTCTTGGGACCACCGAAGCCGCCAGAGCCTCGGATGAAGACGGTGGACTCGTTGTAGAAGAGGTCTTCGCCAGTGTTGGCGTCTTTCGTGACGATGCCAGTGACAATGACGCCGGCAGCGCCTTTGTCCACGACCTCGACAAGTTTCGGATAGGAGATGGTCTTGGCTTGTGTTGGGATGGGGAACTTGCGAACTTCAAGGTATTGTTCGCCGTGCAAGAGCATCATAGGCGAGAAGTTGGGGACGACTTCGTCCATGGAGAAGGGTGAAGAGGCGCCAAAGAAGGGAACGACACCGAAGGTGGGCAGGACCTGGAAGTCGCCGTTGTTCTCGTAGACGAGTGGCAATTCGGTGCGTTTGGCGCCGAGGGAGAGGTTGTAGAGGATGACGTCTCGGTCGTCGTAGGAAAATTCGGTGCCAGAAGATTTGGCGTTCTTGGCTTTCTCGATCGCGGCGAGATAGTCTGTGCCGGAGTCGGATTTCTTCGACTTGTTCTCCATGTTGGCCATGATCGATTTCAGACCATCTTGACCACCTTCTGGGTAGTCTGCGCGACCATCATCGAAGTCGTTGATCTTCTTCCAGTACTTGACGACCTCTTCCGGGACGAGTTTGACATCGACAGGGAAGCCGTGACCACCGGACCGTTGCCAGCGAGTGCGTGCTTGCCAGCCGCTGCCGACCTCGAAAAGGTAGCCTGTTGGTGGATCGGGCATACGGTCGGAGCAGAGCAGCAAGACTAAGGGCGCAACGTAGTCTGGCTTGAATGCTTGAACAAGCTCTTCCGGCAAAATTGTGCGAGTGAGAGCCGTGCCGGCATTAGGCGCGATCGTGTTGACGAAGATATTGTTCTTGCGTCCCTCGAGGGCTAGGGCACGAGAGAAGCCGAGTATGCCAAGCTTGGCGGCAGCATAGTTGGCCTGGCCGAAGTTGCCGTAGATGCCACTTGTGCTGGTCGTGTTGACAATTCTGCCGTACTTCTGCTTCAGCATGTATGGCCAAGCAGCCTTGGTGACCTTGTAGGTGCCGTTCAGATGGATGTTCAGAATGATATTCCACTGGTCATCGGTCATATTTGCGAAAGCCTTATCGCGAAGTATACCGGCATTGTTGATGAGGATGTCAACGCGGCCGTAGTTGTCAATCGCAGTCTTGACAACAGCATCACCATCCTCAACTGAGGCTTTGTTGCCAACGGCAGTGCCACCAAGCTTCTGGATCTCCTGTACAACCGTATCGGGGTTGACGAGATCATTGACGACGACTTTTGCGCCGAGTTTGGCGAAGTGCAAGCAGTACAGTCGACCAAGTCCGGCGCCTCCGCCCGTCACGAGGACGACCTTCTCCTTGAATTCGATTTTCTCGCCAGGCTCATTGCTGGGCAGCTTTCCGGCTTCTTCAAGCTTAGCAACCATATCAGCGACGCCATTTGGATATTCGGGCTGGGAGAAGTCGACAACATCGTTCCACTTGGCCAAGATTGCACCTGGAGTCATCGAGTCATCCGCTTTCAGGAGTGCGCCCTTTGCTCGCTGCCACCGAAGCTTAGCCACGTGGCCGCCACCGACTTCGTAGATGCGCCCAGTCTCAACATTGGACTTGTGTACAAGAACTGCAACGAGTGGGACAACCCAGTCTGGCTTGAGGTTTTCGAGCACGTCTGGTGGCATGACGGTCGCTGTCATGCGGCTGGCGGCGATTGGAGCAATGACATTGCATAGAATGTTGTATTTCTGGCCTTCCTTTGCCAATGTCTCGGTGAAGCCAACCTGAGCCAATTTTGCTGCAGAGTAGTTGCATTGTCCGAAGCTACCGAATAGACCAGCTGCGGATGCTGTGTTGATGACTCGTCCATACTTCTGTTTCCGGAAATGAGGCCATGCTGCTCTTGCGCATTTATAAGCACCTTGTACGTGAACTTTCATGATGAGATCCCAGTCATCATCTTTCATGTTCTTGAAGCTGATATCCCGAAGGATGCCAGCGTTGTTGAGGAGGACATCGATGCGACCGAAGGCGTCGATGGCGGTCTGAATGATGCGGTCACCATGCTCGACGCTGTCGTAGTTGGCTACGGCTTTGCCGCCAGCTTTCTTGATCTCGTCAACGACTAGGTCGGCGGCCTATGGTAAGGTAAGTAGCAGACCCTTGTATGTGGCATGTGATCGTACCTTTGTGCCCTGGCCCTCACCCTTGAAAGAGCCTCCAAGGTCATTGACGACAACGCTTGCGCCTCTTGAGGCGAAGAAAAGGGCGTATGCCTTACCCAGTCCACCACCGGCACCCGTCACCACGACTACCTGGCCATCGTATCTCAACTCAGACATGGTTGCGGTTTAATGTATCTGCATGCGGCTGCGGGGAAGCTGGATTTGGCCTGGGGTAGGATGTCTTATTTGTAAGTGATAGAACCAGCAGAAGATTGATTATGGCTCAGGAGCAAAGAGTGTTTTGAGGCCAGAGCTACGGCCGTGTAAGGTCTTCGGATCAGAACACCTGTGATGATGGACGACGACTCGCGACACATCTTCACCTGGAACCGAGCGTCACCTGTTCAACAAGCCGAGGCATTGGCATGAGCACGAAGCCGAAAGCTTACTAATAAGTATAGGGCTCAAAGCGAAGGCAACTAGCGTTTGGTAGGCAGCTTTGGAGAATGTCAATTGAAAGCCGCTGCAAATGGCAATTCGCACATGCTGCTTGTTTCACGGGATCACTCAGCGGCACCTGGACACTCAGCCCCGTGATCCATGCTTCCGATGAGCACCGCTTCCCCATGCCCCAGACTGTGGGAGCGGCATGTGCATGCTCACTTAAAAATCCTCGCTGCCAGCACTCGTGACCGCATCAAGTCTATCTGCAAGTATCTTGTCGTATGGTGAGAGTCGTCGCACAGCTCAGGGAGCTACTAATGTTGTGATCGCGGTTGCTTTTCGCCCAGAGCACAGAGCGGACAAAGTCAGTCCGCCTCCATCGGCAACCACTCCGACGAGAAGGACCATAATTGAGGCGTGTCTCCTTCTTCAATTCCAAAATTTGGCACCAGGTAGGGCACCTCGAGATTAGCGTCTGTCACTGAGCTGTACGCTGTCATGGCCGAAATAATTGACGACAAATCTCCTGTCGTAATCCCGTTCATTCTTTCCCATCTCGCAAAGCACCGTGAGAAGCAGCCAAATAAACCCTTCTTCATCGGCCTCAATGGTGTACAGGGCGCTGGCAAAACAGTGCTCGTCACTGAGCTCAAACGCACACTCGCCTCGAAGGGGCTCAAGCCTGCCGTGTTCTCCTTAGATGATCTATATCTCACGCATGCTGATCAACTAGAGCTTGGAAAAGCCAATCCGTCCAACCCATTGCTCCAGCATCGCGGTCAGCCATCGACTCACGACATCGCGCTCGCATTGTCAATATTTGAGGATTTGAGTCACAATCGACCGACCAAAATTCCGCAGTACAACAAAGCCCTCTTTTCTGGAAAGGGCGACAGACTGCCTGAAGCAGAATGGGAATCAATCACGGAGCCTGTAGACATTGTTCTGTTCGAGGGCTGGTGCGTCGGCTTTCAACCGCTACAAGTCGATGAGCTCACGCGCAAACATGCTTCAGCGGCTAGTGCTGCCGCCAACGACCAATATTCTTATACAGGCCGACTCGGTCACAACACTGAGGAGTCAGTGACAACGATCAATACAGCATTGGACCAATATTCACGACTCTGGTCTTACTTCGACGTATTTGTACATATCGATGCAGCAGATCCATTGTTCGTCTACAAATGGCGACTACAGCAGGAGGCGACTACTAGGCGCGTGCGAGGTGGCGGCATGACCGACGACGAAGTCACTCACTTTGTTGACGGCTACTTTCCTGCATATGAGCTCTATACCGAGACGCTCAGAAACGGTATATTCAAGCCGAATAATCGAGTCGCTGGCGGTTCGGGAACAGCAGATTGGAAAGGCCGTCAATTGAGACTTATCGTCGATGAGAACAGAAGAGTGAAGGAGGCAATCACCATATAACAAAAGAGCTGGTGAATCAACTAAATACAAAACTGCGACAAGAACTGCGTGCCGGGACACGCTGCGCAGACACAACGGTAAGGCCCACTATTTTGTGTTTCTAAGGGCCAGATCATCCAAGTATGCCCACCTTCAATATTGGGGGCTACTCGCACAGCAAGGCCTCCCTATCCTCGGAACCCTAGACAATAACGTCTTTTCGCCGTGCAAATATATGGTCGGACGAGAATCACTACCTCTGACCGCTGGGAATGACAAGACAGCACGAGCCGCGAGATCACACAGCCCAGGAGCATGTCTTTCGCTACCTTCTTCTCGACACTCTATAATTACCTTGTCAATGAAGTACTTGCGGGCTACTATAACCTCCACTTCCGCCGAACTAGGTCACAACCCAAGCTCCGACCACTCCCACCGCACATCTCTCGCCACTTCATCCCCAGCCTATCCTCAGCCGAGGGTCGGCTTGGTCAAGACTACCGACTCGAGCTTCTGGTCTGCTCGGCAAGCAATCCAGACCCAGATGCCTACCCCATACTATTCCAGCACGGTGTTTTCGGCCACGCCTCCGTCTGGCTTGAGTGGATGACTTGCCTGCGCGCACACAACTACAGCGGCACGACTTATGCTCTTTCCCTCCGCGGTCACGGCGCTAGCTGGCTGCCTAGCTCCTGGTTTGGAATGGTCTGGGGCGTGACACACCAGGACATGTGCGATGACTTGCTCGCTGGCATCAACGCTGTTCGCGCATTCGAGTCGGGACGGCCGCCAGTCCTCGTGGGCCACTCTGCTGGTGGCGAACTCGTCCAGTGTCTCCTGTCGCGGTCACTTATCACTACCCCAGCCCTCGGACTGATCGGAAGTATTCCTCACTTCGGCGCCGACCCATCTTCGACAATTGGGCTAGGATGGATCCTTTGGTCAATCTGCGTCTAGTGCTGCATGCCTTGCATCCGAAGAGTAACATCTCCACGCCAGAGCTGATGAGAAAGGCTTACTTCGGATTGGATACTAAGCTGGAGGATGTGGAGGAGTTTGGGAGATGGGCACCGGACTATGAAGCTATGCGGTGGCCGTTTGCGACACTGGGCAGAAAGGACGGTACCGGAGTGTTGAGAAGGACGGAGGCTGCAGATGTGGTGCCTAATATCACGGATGACGGAGGCCGCTAACTGAAAGGAGACAGAGTATTGCTGCTGAATGGAAAAGCGGATATATTAGTCCAAGGAACGGCGGAGAGAATGGTGGCGGAGTACCGGATGGCTTTCGAGAAGATCAAAGGTGGTAAAGATCGCGGTATTGCTTTCGTGGAGATCGACAGAGCGGGCCACCATGTGCAGAACGATGTCCAGCTTGGAGAGGGCGCTGAGGCGTTGCTAAGATGGTTGCGACAGATCTGAAGGAAAGTGCTCTAGCTTCAGTGCTGGTGTGTAGGCTCCCCGTCCTCACGATTGTATGGTAACGTTCTTATTCAGCACGATGCCCATGTGCGTGGTGCGTCGTCAGAGTAGTCAGAAGTCGCTTGGTCGCTCAAGTTTGCAGAGTAGGCCAGACTGTGTTGTGTTCGCTCATGCTTCCCGTGCCACGTCGCTCGACACGAGGTGAAGAGAGAGATCTTCAGGAGAACCAGCGCCAAGGGCTGCCAGCCTGGAGACCTCGACTAAGCAGCTTCTGGCACCGCGTCCGGAGAGCTTTGGCTCTACCTGGATTGAAGAAGCCGGCGGAAATGCTTGCACCGCACGACGATCTGCAATCGGCAATCTCCACTGGCCCGAGGGATCAAAAAGACAAAAAGCGAAACGCAGCGTGTGCTGCTTGAAGTGCCGAGGAACATGGGACTCGAACCCACAGCCTTAGCTTGCCTACAGGTGTTGAATAGGAGAGCCTGAACTACTGATTAGAAAGAGTATTTTAGGTCGTCGTTTTTGCACTCACTACGCGCTACCATTGCGCCAATTCCCCAAATCTGTGTGCGAAATTCGAACGGATTTTACCGCAAAAACGAGGTCAATAAATATATAAACTTCTTGAGTGTTTAAGCCCTACAAGCGTCGGAAACAGAACGCGCTCGACCTACTCAGAAGAGGTTTCGTGTTGCGCTGGGACTTTAAGGCGAGGACGACACTCAAAATTGTGCGTATGCGTGCCGCCGTACCCGACCTTGGGCATTGCCTTTGTTTCTCACGTGAACCGGTACATGATGCGTGGGTCCAGACTTCGATACTTGATGGGTGAAGGTAATCTGACCTGATCTAGCACCTGAACTTCAGATCGCGCAAATAAGGTCTGAATCGGCTCCACTGTTCCCGATCGCGCGACTTCCTTCTAGAGTCCCTGTTGCCTCTTTCCTTTCTCTAAGTCGTCGTCCTCACAGTCTCTGAGTCCAGTACTCTGGGTTTGCGCGAACGAGAACAATTCCCGGCTCGAGTGGCAAGGAACGCGCATGGCATCGGCCCGCACCTTCTGGCGCACATCCCTGTCGTCAAAGTCCGATCGCGAGGATCTCGCATGTTGATAGGTCATATTCAGCAGGCATGCCGTTCTCCCACCACAGCCACTCAGGGCAATTCTGCCCTGGACATGCCGTGAACACGTTGGAGGAGGTTGTTCAGACTGCCATCACCAAAGGGTTGCGCGTATTTGCTCTGACAGAACACATGCCCAGGCATGAGATTGACTTCTATCCAGAAGAGAAAGATGGCAATTACAGTCTCGAAAAGCACTACGCAAATGAAAGCGCTTATTACGCTGAGGCAAGTCGGCTACGAGACAAGTACAAAGGCCGCATCGAATTGCCGATTGGCTTCGAAAGCGACTGGATCCGTCCAGAATCCCGGGATCTCATCGAGCGGAGCATCAGCGGTCATTCATTCGACTTCTTCGTCGGCTCTGTCCACCATGTTCATACCATTCCTATCGACTACGACCAGGGCATGTATGATCAGGCGAGGGAGAAAGCTGGCGGATCAGACGAGCTCTTATTCCAAGATTACTTCGATGCGCAACTCGATATGATGCGAGCAGTGAAGCCTCCGGTGATAGGGCATTTCGATCTCATTCGCCTCAAGAGCGAGGATCCCAACAGCACCTTCACCAAGATGTCCGGGGTCTGGGGTCGAATTGAGCGAAACCTGGATTTTATCGCTGCCTATGGTGGAGTCTTAGAGGTCAATACCGCAGCTCTACGCAAAGGCATGCGCGAACCATATCCGGGTCGAGCCATATGTCAGGTGAGTTGTCGTTTCAGCTGATGATTTGACTGACCGCCTTGACCAGCTTGCATTAAGCAAAGGCATTCGTTTCTGCTTGTCCGATGACAGCCATGGTATCGACCATGTGGCGTATGGCTTCGTCGAGGCCATCGAATTCGTCAAATCTTGCGGTATCACCCACCTATGTTATGTCAAACATGTTGACAGTCCGGCGAAAACAGTCGACCACAGGTTCGCAAATATGGAGTTCGGTATAGCCGCCCTGTCTGATCTACGAGATTCGTGAAAGTAAAGTATTGAACGGCAGTACTTCTGCGAGCTAATGCAGAGCGGGCATGTGCATATCTTTCTCACCAACCCCAACGAGAAAATGCTTTCTGCAGTACCGGAGCACCAAAGTCCGCCCTTTTCGTGTACAAAGCCGCAAGGCTATGCCGTGATCAATCACGGCCTCTGTCGAATCTGTCAGTTCTGCACGATGATCCAGCGATCAAGCTGTATGTGACGAGCGATTGACGTGGAAATGTAGTTCCAGTGAACTTAGCATAAAGTTAGAAGGTCATCCAGCTACGATAAGTGATACGGCTCAGAGATCGCATTGGCAGCAAGTGGTGCATGGAACTTGTGCATGCCCAGCAAGTTGGCAGCAACCAGGTCCGCGAGTGTTAGGCACTTGCATGCTCGAATGCATCAGCGGTCACAGTTCTAGGGAGGTGTGGTGCACATAAATGATTGCTGATTGGGTGACGACGGGCCGGCTCCGGCTCTTCAGTCGCACGTTGCAGCAAAATGAGTGGTTACACTCACATGTTCGCCAAATTATTTTGAATACGATGTGTGGCCTCGCCATGTGGTTTCGGATCCACGACCTTGTCAATCTGCATTCTCGGATGCTCAAACATACCCGAATTGGTCTGGCTTCAGCCTCACTAGAAAATAAGCAACAAAACCAACCCCGGAAGATAGAATAGCTCCAGGGAGCATTTTGCTGTCGTGCAATATGGAATTTCCTTCCGAAGCGTGACCAAAGACTGTTCTCTCCACATGCGACTCGCATTGATTTGCACCCAAGGGCAAGTAAACTTTTCGCCCTGGAAATCGGAACCAAGCTCTGAGTCGCCCCTGTTTATGGACTAGTAGCACTGTATACTGACGCCAAAAGCACGAAGTTCAACTGACGGCTCTAGTGCGGGCAACTGGGCAACTGCCATTCCTCAGACACGATGGCTGGCAGGGTTAGCAGTGTCCACCGCGATTGCGTACCGAGCAAGCTGTCACAAAGGCTCTCGCTCGGCTTAGCTTCACGCACATCATTGTCTTTCGCTCCTTCCATCATCGAAACCTTCCGCCGACTTCCTTCTCAAGCTTATATCTCTACCCCTTGCCCCTCCAAATACTTCTTTTCTACCTCAAGATCACGCGCACTCAAGACCACAAAGCCTAGTCTTCAGTCAACCCTCCCGCAAAGCGTTTCACTACCACGATGGCCACTGAATTGAAGAAGGAGATTATCAAGGAGGGCAACAAGACCGACAAGCCTCAGAACGGCGACACTGTCACCATGGAGTACACCGGCTGGCTCTTCGAAGAGGGAGAAGAGAAAAACCGTGGTAAACAGTGAGTTGCGAACCTACAGCGGGTATCGTGCCTACTGACCAATTCAGGTTTGACAGCTCTGTCGGACGTGGTGACTTCGAGACGAAAATTGGAGTTGGTAGAGTCATCCAGGGTAAGACCGCTTTTCGAAACCTGCTCGCACTCCTGTTTGCTGATGCTATACACAGGCTGGGACCAAGGCGTGCCGACAATGACCTTGGGCGAGAGAGCTGTTCTTACCATCCCGGGGTGAGTGTGGATAAATTCCAAATGTGACGAGCATCGGAGCTAACCAGTTTTCCTACAGTAAAATGGCATATGGTGACAGGTAAGCTATACGAAGCTGTCTTTGCGTTACACAGCATCTGCAAGATCTGGTTCGGAGTGTTTAGATCTCGTCCAACGCTTCGATCGAGGTCGCGTGCTTTCCAAGGAACTGGGACTGACACTTCGTGCTCTCTAGAGGCTTCCCGGGTCTGATTCCCCCGAATGCTACACTGATCTTGTGAGTAACCCAAGCATTTCCCTCTCATTCACGTTTGCATCTCCGTTGCATTGTTGCTAGCATCGATGCAGTACCTTAACCATGTTCCCTCCCTGCGTCATACCTACGCCGCCAGCATCGTCACTAACGAATCGCAGCGAGGTCGAACTCAAGGGCATCAACAACAAGCGTGCCTAGATCATGAATAAGGCTGTTATGCACAAGTGGCGTTTCACATATTCTTTACAGCACATTGGGTGTAATGACGGCCTTGTGCTGGGTGGTGGGCTGTAGCGGATTGATGCAGGTTGGCTCATGGCGTTACAGCCAAGGGGATATGGGTTCAGTATCTTAGATGGATCCAAGGTCACTGCCTTGGGTCCCGGACATATTTTCTGCTCGACGGCGTCATTCCCTGCATATCAAGAGCGTGGTCCGCTCCAGACCAGCAAGGTTGACCATGCGCCTTGACCGCCCAGAAAAGTCCCCAGCTCTTACATGCTGGGACTGAGAATGTTGTGCGCTTGGCGGCAATGTCGGACTTTGCCCCTCCTTCTGCAGATACTACCCCGCCATACAGCCACACAAGCATAAAAGGGGAGTACGATTCGATGAATGTCGGATATACCTGCCCTTGTGAAGAAAAAGCGCATCGTGTTCGGCAGGTACCTAGGGCTCTTTGAGGTAACGCTTAACGTCAAGAGCGTCCCTATTAGACACAACACCGGTTGAACATTGTTCGATCGTGTGCCAAGGGCATGGCTTCATGATCACTTGCAATCATACTTGGAACAATTTTGACCTTCGCTTTCTGCAGCTGACTCCGCTCTCTCGCACATCCCTTGAATCACTTGATCCGAGACTTTATGCAGCCCGGAACTCGGCCGATCATGACGAAGTCATCAAGCTCATGAATCTAACCGATTTCATCCTGCAAGGGGACTCTGCCTCATGTCAAATCTCGGAGATCTATTTCCTCAACCCAGGCAAGACAGCCAAGACTTCAAGTACACGCAATCGAGTATTACTCGTGGCAAAGCGTAGATTTACCAACCAGGTCTGGACTCTGCATTCTACTCTTGGCAAACTCACGACTTCGGAGGCAAGTAGTAGATCGCTCAGTTAGGTTGATCTTGAGGCCTAGATGGTTTATGGTGATCGAAAACAAGTGCAGGTCTGTCGACGAAACGATGTTGCGCTGTGCTCGCAGTACGATTGACATCCTCTGCGCATCTGGCCGTTTACCTCGGAGACTCCTATCAGCTGCGGTGATTCGATGCTCGAGTCGATGCGCATCAAGAGGTTGGCAGTGTTCCAGCGCACGGAGATGCTGCAGACGGAATTTGATAACATCTAGGCCCGTGAACTAGCACAGAGGCCTCCCTGTGCGCATCATTCAGAAGATATCGAGCCAGCGTGCTTTCCCAGAGCTTTTCCGTTCTACTCATGCTCCGAGCATCGTGATGGAAGAAATGTGGCTTGGACTCTGTCGAAGCCGTTTGAGCTCAAACAGCACGTACGCCAGTCTCCCAGAATTCCCAATCGATCAAATCAAAATCAAAATCGTCCAACCCATCCACGGCGACCTGCTCACCCTCCTCGCTGTGTTTTCCACCGTCCAACATCTGTTGGAAGGTATCAACACACCATGGCGTCTCTAGCGTCTGCTCCCTTGACCCATCGCCTGAGAGCCCCTTCTCCCAACTCTCCCTCCGTTCCCTCCACGCCAGAACCGCCAACCTAGCCACAGCACTTACCTCCGGGAAGTGAATTGCCGTCATCAACTTGGGGTGAACTTCACACACCTTGCTGATCAACTGCCACAAACCCTCCGCTTCCCTCGTTGCTGCTCTATGATGCGCTTCGATCAGAATATAGACTATCGCCGTCCACTGGAAGTAATTCTCAATGTTCCATTTGAACCTCCCCAGTGCTGGTGTCGTTTCGCCCAATATGTAGTAGTCCATGCCCTTTCTGCAGATAGCGAGGAGCTTATCGCGGTTGGCTTGTGGCATGTCTGATATTCGTGAGCTGCGTAGGTTTGGTTGTGCGCCCACGCGTTGCATGGCCAGGAGGAAGACCTGGATTTGAATCTGCATGAGCACGTGTAAAGGGTTAAGGATCTCGCAGTATTGCAGGAACCGGTCGGCGAGCATGGAGCGATAGCCCTCGTAGATGGTGGCTTGGTTTTCGGGCCCGGAGTCGTTCAGGATGATCCAGGTGGCAGATGTGGGAGGTGTGCGCATGCGGCGGGTGTAGTCGAGGACGAAGTAGGACCAGAGCGCGGGAGACATGCTGGTAAGGCCGACGCGACTGGGTGGGAGAGTGGTCATGTCGGAGGAAAAATCCTCGTCATTGAGGTTGGCAGGAAGCTTCACGTCCCAGCCTGCGTAGAGAGTGATTGAGATGCAGCCGATGAGCTGGGAAATGGAGATTTCGAGGTATTGGATCTGCCACCATGTACGGCGGCGTTCTTCGGCTTTGACGACCGGAAGTCCCAGAATGTCGCCGTCTCGGTGTATGCCGATGCGTTGTGAGATTCGAAGGATGACACCAAGGAGGGTGAAGAGGGTTGCGGGCCGGGCGCGATTGCGCATGGAAAGCTGTAGACGCATGAGCTCGGGAGGAAAAGTAAGGTGAACTGCCCACCATGTACATTGTAAGAGCTTGGACTACAAGCAAGGATCTCGTTGAGACATAATTCGCACTCCTCAGTGCTGCTTCGGTGGCCAATTGAAGAGTCCGTAGAGTTGACTCCCGCGATGCTGCGAGCAGGGCCTGACATTCTGGGTCGGACAGACTTAGTGTTGCGAGAGCATATACAGAGAAGCAGAAGCTATGCTCCCCTGCGTCCAGGCCTTCTGTGCCCGCAGAGGCCTTCTGCAGGATAGGCTCCTTCTCCCAGGCAAAGAACATCTTTGTCAATGGGTGGACATTGCTGAGGAACGTGCGCCATAGAGACTGTATTTGCGGGCCAGGAGGGTGTCTTTGGTGCAGGGGACTGTTCTCATCTGATATTGGTGCGCTCTCTAGTATCGTGCTATGATAGCCAGTCGACGGTCCCAATCTTGCGCCCTGATGAGCCTTGACCGGCTCCAAGCTCTCATTTCCAATCGTCCTTGCTTCGCTCCAAGAGTACCATACCGGTCTGCTGCCGTTAGTACAACGTCACATAGATTTCTAGGCCGGTTCGTACGCTTCAATATAGGTCGACTGCTTCTCGTAGTCAACAAGCCCAGCCTGGGGTTGTCGATCGTGCTGGGTACGAATAGCCCCATCGTTGTTTCTCTTGACACCGTAACCGTTATGTCCCAAGGAGGGTTCCACTTGGAATATGGCTGCAGTGATGCTAGGACTGCCTTCGTCTCGGCGCCTTCGGACTAGCGGCACAACAGCCTGTGGGTATTCGCAGACATCACCCTTCCTTCTCTTGCAGTGAGAGCATGGATCGAGTCGATCACATCTTACCTTCCGCGTAGCACATGGAATGCAGCTAAAGGCGTTTGCTTTAGCCTGTGCTGGGGAAGTCATAGGCTTGATGTACTGTATGGGTAGTTTAGACCTTCATAGCCTTCCCTGGCTGGGAGATCCACAAGCAATTTCATGTGACCCGATGCTCAAATGGGACTCATCTGAAGCCTGTCGAACTGATCAATATAGCGACTCAAAATCAGCGAGATTGTCTTGTTTTTGCAGTGATTTCGCCGGCTGGACAAGCAACGACTGATTCTTCATCCGGACTTGGCCACTTTGACCGGGCCATGTGTAGGAAACAGCGATCGATCGAGCTTCCTCGTCTGACGGACCCGAAGATGATGGCCCTAGGCCTAACCTGAAATAGCCTGAAACGGTTCATCAGATTGGTGCCTACTTCCCGCCGCTATAGCATTATACACTCCGCAGACCCTTGCTTTGCCATTCGTCTTCATCGCTGCTTCTTTGTTAGTTCGTGATTCGGACGCTAGCCCGTGCCCGAGATTCGGTCTAGTCTGTTCCGTGCTCTGCCAGATTGCCAGATTAGATCATAGAGTGCCCTTAGATGTCATGTCTGATCAGAGAGTCTCAAGACATAAAGGTGCGAGGAGAGCTCACCACGACACAGCATAATGAGATCGCAAGCACAACTCTTCGCACAAACAACAACATGTCTAATATGGGCGAGAGCAAAGAATGCCAGCTTCAGACGGACGGCGACGTCGAAAAGAATGCTAAAGTAGCAACATCCACACAAACTGAGTATCCTCCTCTGAAAGTGTCGATACCAATTGTACTATGTGTCTATATGGTCGTATTTCTCTGCGCTCTGGTGAGTTCGCGCGCTGTTCGTTGAAGGTCGAGCTGACGCATTTTGCAGGATCGAACGATTATCGGAGTTGCCATTCCTGCCATCTCGAACGAGTTCCAATCCTTTGCAGATATCTCCTGGTACGAGTCAGCATTCTTGTTGACTTCATGTGTCTTCCAGTTGCCAATGGGCAAGGTGTACAGATACTTCAATGGGAAGTGGACACTTGTTCTGATGACAACAATTTTCGAAGTCGGCTCGATCGTTTGCGCTGCAGCACCCACATCGAATGCTCTCATTGTTGGCCGTGCTCTGGGTGGTATTGGCCTCGCAGGAACCACGGTTGGTGGACAGCTGGTCATCACAAAGATATTTCCCCTGAAGGACAGACCAAAGTATCAAGGCTTTATCGGTGCAGCCTTCGGCATTGCTTCAATCATGGGTCCTCTGGTTGGCGGAGCCTTCACCTCGAATCTGACTTGGAGGTGGTGCTTCTGGATCAATGTTCCACTGGGTGGCGTTGCGCTGGCAGGCTTAGTACTCATACTTCCGGCCTCACCACCATTACTCAGGCTCGAAGGCAGCTTCCTCGACAAAGTCAAGAAATTCGACCCAATCGGGAATCTTCTTCTCATACCTGGCGTGGTATGCTTGCTATTGGCAGTACAGTGGGGAGGAGTCGTGTATGCGTGGTCGAGCGCTCGCGTCATCGCGCTTATCGTTCTCGGTCCCGTCTTGATGATAGCATTCGCTGGTACTCAGGTTTGGCTAGGAGAAGAGGCCACAATCCCTCCTCGCATCATTCGGCAAAGAAGTATAGCAGCCGCCACAGTGGCGACGGCTGGTTTCGGAGGTCCCTTGATCCTGACCTCATTCTATCTTCCGATATGGCACCAGGCCATCAAGGACACATCCGCAGGCGCTGCAGGTGTCAGATTGCTGCCATACTTCCTCTCAACAGTGTTTGCAGTCATCGCATCAGGACTTGCAGTGTCAAAGCTCGGATATTATACACCTTTCCTGATCATCGGCTCGGCAATTTCGATCATTGGATCCGGCTTGTTGACGATGTTCCGTGTCGATACATCCAAGGCGGAGTGGGTCACATTTCCGGTAACACTCCTTTCTTCACACACGGTGACATAGCTGATGTTTTAGTTCATCCTTGGTATAGGACTCGGCTGCATCCTCGCACAACCTCAGAATGCCGCTCAGACCGTGCTGTCAAATGCCGACATCCCCACCGGTGTATCGATCATCACATTCGCGACTTCGATTAGCGGTGCGGTGTTCGTCGCTGTCGCTCAAACAGTGCTTTCCAATACCTTGGTGTCAGAAGTCTCCGCACAGCTGCCAGGTTTTGATGCTTCACAGATCACCAAGACAGGCGCAACAGACTTGCGCAAAGGCTTGTCATCACAGCAGCTTCCTGTTGTACTAAGAGCGTACAACAAAGGCATCGACAACATCTTCTATCTGTCACTGGGCCTTGCGTGCATTGCCTTTATTGCATCCTTCTTTGTGGAGTGGAAGAGTGTACGTAAGCCAGAGGACGAATTGTCAGAGCAATCACCTGAGGAGGCTGCTGCCGAGCAAGCTGCAAAAGCGGATGCCAGTGTCAAAAGGACCGAGAGGACTGATAGCTAGGTTAGTGATAGCAAGTGAGAGTGTACGAATTCAGATCATTGTAGCCAGTGGTGTAAGATTGGCCACTACCGCTGGAATCCCCTCGATCACTTGTCCAGGATGTAGGCAAGATTTGTTTGCAGTGCCCGCTCCTGTCTCTGTCACTGGAGAAGCTTCGGGAGGCCTCTGGCAGTGAACCTTTCTGAGAGCCGAGGAGGTGTTCCCATTCCTGCGTCGCGCGGGTCACGTTTAGCCTGGAAGCGCCTCTGCCTGGCTGAGCAGCAGAAAGGACTGGGCCTGCCACTGCTTCACATGTAATGTCGAAACGTGGTCGCAGACCGTCTGCTCGGCCGCATTCGGTACAAGGCTTCAAGCATCCTTTCGATCTGCCCGTCAGTAATCACCTCCTTCCTGTTCGATGCTGGGCGCGAAATCCGATCTTCACATTATAGGTCTACGACCAGGCCGCCGGTGTATGCAAGACACATCCCTGCCATTCAGGACCTTGCGACCACTGAAGGAACCTAATTCTGGGAACAGCAGCCACGACGATATCGCAGCGTGTCCTGTTCGGCATGTGTTGTTTCGAAATGATGCCAAGCTATAGGCGAAGACGATCAACTTGACCCTGACGACGTCATACCTCTGCGCACTTCCAAGTTCTCGTGCGACTCTTCGAACCCAAAGATAATGTTTGTTTTGACGATCATGGCCAGAGTCGCGTCTTTGTTCGTGTAGGTCGCGTTCTTGTGCGATGTCTGCCTATGAATTCCTTCTGCCAGAGCCTGGTTGTTGCCTTGATGCCTAGAAGATCGCCAGGCCTGTGATGTCACAGGGTGGTACAACATCACGAGGAAAGCGACAACACGAGAGTATCTCAATACTGAGTTCGGTGACTGTGCCACCGATCCTGCTGCGTTCAACGATTCGCACGCACAGCCACATCCATGTCAAGGTGAGGCCGGTTGCTGTGCCATGACTGGCAAATCGTGGTCGCAACTGCCGTTGAAGTGACAGGAGGGAAGTGAAGTAAAGGTATAAGAACGACTCACGTACTTCGTACCTTCCTTAGAAACCCACCAAAGCTACTTCCTTCAAATAAGCAGGTGAACAAAATTCGGAACCAGTGACTCAATCGAACAACATCCCAGCTTACATAAAGGCATCCTCACCCTCTGCAATAACGCCGACACACGCCAACGAAAACCGATACCCACAACTCATCGCACACACATAAGTCAAGCACGTCCCAAACCGAAGTCAACTCAGACACAATGGCCGCGTCCCTCCGCTCCAAGCTCGACCTCTCTCCCGAAGCGCAAGAAGAGCGCGTTCTTGGTGACAAAGCTGTCGGCGGTATCGACAACGACGCTGACCATCTCGCTAATGTTCGTGGTGGATTGAAGGCGTGAGTATACTTGCACCTCGCCTCCACCTCAGTCCGACGGGTTGAAGGCCTCCGTCTGTGACGTGCACTGCTCGTCGACAGTCAGTGTTCTCCTCGCTGACATCATTTCGAACAGAGCCATAAGCAACCCGAACACCTCGAATAAGGCCAAGAGGGAAGCTGAGGAGAAGCTCGCGATGCTCGATGAGCGCAAGAAGGAGGGCAGCCCTACTGCCTGAAATTCTGGCTTGGTTGCACAACAGACGTGTGGAGCACAAGGGGACGCAACGAATGGACATGACGAGGCTTTGACTGTCAATGATGCCACGAAGCAAGCGGAATGGAGGGGAAATCTCTGTCGCGATGGACCGCTAATGCACATGCTAGCTTTGGCGTCAATATCGTCGGTAGACATATGTACCATTAATTACGATGCTGATGATAAGTTCGCAACTCGTTGTTCTCCTCTACGCCGTCGTGAATGCCGGCCAGTGCTGCCTTCAGCCCATTCATCTATGGTCTGTTGTTTACCTGCGCCTGGAAATCGCCGAGGCCAGGACGATGGGCACCGAGACACATGGCCCAACGGAAAGCAAAGCCCCTTGCGTTGCGACAATTCGTCCTAACGAGCCTTGAAGCTTGAGGAGTGTCGGACGCAACAGCGTGACCGAAGATGGTTTGACGGTGCAGCTGTGAGCGAAACACAGGCGGTGCTGTGAGTATCTGGTTTCCTTAAGCATGCGCATCTCCTAGCAGCATGAAGTACCGCAGTAGAAGGGAGGACTCTGTCAGTCTTCCTTGCCTGCCACGGACGATCGGCCATTTTCTCGTGGGTGCTCGGCCTGCGATCTATGCCTGTATACTGGCATGGGGTCATACTGGATCAACCTTTCCCGTTGTGAAACGGACGACTGCGGCGTCGAAGCGGTGATGGGCTTGACTAAGAACTTCTGCTGATCATGCAGATACTGGCGCGAACTCAGAGCTCGTACACTGTAGCTCGGGTCTTAGAGGCCAGCCTCATGCGACGGCGCATTGACGGATGGCCCCCGGCACTTAAATTAACATCATGTGCTTGCCTGTACATAGGACTCGGCAAGCTCATCACACCGCCCTGGAGCATACACTCTCTGCGGCTCGTCAGAGCATCCACGGCATGCGATGGGCCTTGCGCCGTCGCCAAAAGTACATACAACCAATTTGCAATCGAGTCATGCGGAGGGGAAGGCATATCTTGTTATCAGCGAGAAATGCAATCCAGATCTGAGCTTTTGCCCAGGATCTGCGGCCATCTTCGAGGGTACGGAATATCCATCCGCTGCCCAGGTGGAAGCGGGGAACACGACGAACACCCAAGACCTTCAGGCCCTGTAGTGGTCGCCAAACAACCCTAGCGCCACCACAGATCCGCACCGAACCCCTAACGATTCGCAATGGAACGCCGGATGTTGACAAACTTACTCACCGGGAGAGCTTTCCACGCGAGGCCTAGGTCGTACATTGCGCCTAAGATTGTGTTCAATCAAAGCAAATTCAGACGACATTCCTTAATACGAGAACCCTGAACGTGTTCGTGATCATCATGCTCCCCCGGACTTTGTTCTCAAGATCCTCGTTCAGAGACTGTCGCTGCGATAGGAAGGTAGTTGTGACTATTCCAGCCACCCGTGTTCTTTCCCAGGATAGTGCTCCTTTTCTTGCGGTCGATCAGTGGAGGGCTGCTGGTCTAGGGCGAAAAGCATCATGATGTTGAGGCAACCACCGATTGAGGTCCGAGATATGGCTCAGACCGATGCTGTTTGATCCGACAGGTTGTTAAAGCAGCCTCGTCGACACCGCTCTCCTGTCCTGCAGTAGCTCGTGCCGTCGGTTGGCTGACATGGCAAATGCACATTGGACCAAACTTCGTACTCGAGAGTCACGACCTCGTTGAGCAGAGTTAGCGGTCTGCCACGGACAGCTGTGATAAGCCAGCCGATGTAATGGCATGCAGCACAGTAACGGAAAGCCGGGGAAGGGTTTCTACCACCTCGCTACTCGATGAGATGGTCGATCATCATGCGGGAGTATTTACAATGTGCGGTATCGTGACGAACGTCCCTGGTCAAATTTAGCGGCCAGCTACGCCGCCACCTTCCTATCTCCTCGGCAAATTCGTACTAGATCATGGCTTCGTTGGTGGGTGAATATATCGGCATCGGCATCGTTGATGACGCTTCCAAAGGTCGTTTTGAACCGTGCAGAGCATTCTCCTGCACGACCGGTACTCACCTACATGATTTGGTGAGGTCGATCACGCCGTTAGAGCAATGTTATGTGCCTTTCTGGGGCCGCTTTGTAACGCTTTGTGACTTGCTAGCGTCTTTGTCGTGGCTTACCGTAGGATAGGCTCGTAGAGCTGTCAAGTATGGGTCGCAGCTCGCTAAAGTCATCGAAGGGCTGCCTCGGGCGCACCTGAGCTGGCGTCCTGCGAGCCAGACCTGCTTTTCCATCCTGCGCCTCCACGTAGCGAGCTCGATTGCAGCCGCCAGAGCAGGGCTGCTGCAAAGTCGCGGGCCAGCTATCTACTATTCTGTACTGACACACGCCTAAGAGGGCTACCGTATGCCTGTGGCGAGGCCGATCAACCGTGCCGATTTCATCAATCATGTCTGGGTTGACATCGCCTTTGTTTGTAACGCAGGCAGATGTATGTAGGTCGTCAAGGACCTGTCAGAGACTCTGGTGAAGTAATAGTGTGCGGATGCTCGACCGTTAAGCTACAGGGAACGACTGCCTATTGACTATACAGTAATCTTCCGCTCCAAAAGTGGCCGTTGCCCCTGCCTGCTTCCGTTTTGGCGAAATCCTACCTCTTCATGCTTCAGGAAAGCGCCCGTCGGCACAACTTGAAGCTTTCGTTCCGTTCTTGTTCTCGTAAATGCTGCGCACCCTCGGTAGTCCCAAAACCGAGGCTTCTATTGGCGAGTGCTTTGCGTTCGCTAGGCCTCTTCGCTCATGCCAGTGTATCTCATACGCCCTGGAAGGTCAAACGTCTTGCTTGTGCAACATGACTGCGCCAGGCTCCATCTGGGGGTATCTCTTTGCCCGATCATGAATCTGTGATCCCGTAAGTCCTTAATCATTTACCTGCGTTCCACTTACCTACGTGAAATGAAAATGTCGCTCCTCCAATGCCATGACTACCACAACTCCTGCGCCTCGACGCCAGAATCCGCGCCGTTAAACCAAAATACAATTTGCGTTCTTTACAGGCCGTAACAAATCGAACAATTTCGCCGGTCGCTTGAACGCAGCGAAGTGACTGGATGCTGCAATGATTGATCTGTTGAGCGGATGACTTCATCAGGGTCGACGTCCCACGATCGAGTGTCTATCAGGACGATGCGACAAGTGCTTTCGACCGAGCAAATGTGGGATAGTCCATGGTGTGGGCAGACATGCTATCACAAAGAGTTGGACTGAAGCGATAAGCAGAAGCCTCGTCCGGGTTATCATCCTCATGCGGTCGCTTGCGGCCAAGTGCAAACATTGTCTCGTCCTCAGTCTCGGACGGAGGTGTCAACTGTTGACTGTATACGTCCGTTGAGCGCAGTGTCTCATTGTCTGAAATGGCGAAGCCTGCCTCCTCGGGTGAGCCGTTCAGTCTGGTGCCCGATCCAGCGCTAGGCGGTGAAGCATGGGCCAAGTAGGTCTGCTGGTAGCTAGTGCCACTGTAGCCACTATGATGGCCACTGTGCGAGCTCTCATATGATCCGACCGGGGCGCTGCTGTATGGATTGTATGGCATTTGACCACGGTCCCCAGCTCCACCTGCGGCACGGTCGTGGTCCATGTGGCCATGACTGTCACGTCGATGATGGTTGTCTTTATAATGGCCAGGGGAACGGCCTCGCACCACCATTGGCTCTGACTCCCGTGTCGCGACGACTACCCAGTCATCGCGGTGGCTATTGGGAGGACTGATATTCACCGAGAGCTCGACGATGACATGGAAGAATTGCTGCTGTGCTCGACGCTTTCCGTTGTTTGCTGTGGCCTTCTGGAACTGGATGCGTTCGAAGGTATAGCTTGCCGGAGTCTGAGCTGCGCTGTCGAACCCAATTCCACGAGACCCGAAGTTGCCGAATGCATGTCCATGAGCATAGTATGGATCAACGGCGCCTGGAGGATGCTGATACATATGCCCATGGTGCTGATGGGGGTTCTGATGGAGCGCAGTTTGTGGTACGACGGCATGTTTGGTTGGGACTGTCTCCTGCTGTTTCTGTCGTTTGGGTGTATGTTGGACAAGGCCTCGAGCCTCACCTTCTGTGCTGCCCGACGGCCCAGTCTTTGCTCTGATCGACACTGCATATCCATAGACCTGCTGGTGCTGGTCGTTCTGTCGAAGATAGACGTGTGAGTCTTGGTGGCTTTTGAAGGTGAACCCGCAATTGACCTGGAAGTAGTTTCGGCGGTAACACGTCCACTTATTGTCGACTTGGAAGAAGCCTTTGTGGATACTAGCGATGATCTCGGGCTTCATGTGAGTGCCACTCCTGTTCACAAGCTCCGCCAGCGGTACGGTCTCGCTGAAGCCAGGCCCCTTGACATCTGATGATTCTGATTGAGGCATATTGACCCCATCTGAATAGGTGTTGTCATTGGCATAGTATGAACCTCGATATGGTGAGGTCGGCGTCCTCATGGTGCCGGACGGGTTAACATAGTTCTGTCCAAGGGAATGGCCCGATGTGTGGTATCTTGGATCTATTGATCTTGTGAAAAAGGGATTCGATATGCCATTAGCCGAGTACGGGGAAGTGGAGGGAAGCGTTGAGCTGTGTCACAAATGTCCGTCAGTGTCAAAGCCTTGCACAACACTGTCAGGATTGTCATACAATTTGTGACGATCAAATGTTGTCATCGGCAGGCCACTCCAGCTGGACGAGAAGACTCCTCCGGGTATGCCATTGAAATGATCAGATGAGGCATTGCTCAAATAGGGTTTCGGCAAGGTGCTGTGTATATAGCTCGTTAACGGGTGTTGTAGGCTGGCCGCACTGGATCCATTCACAGAATCTGGAGGACTCAGTAGAGCTTGAGGACTGGTATGATACCTGACGGATCCTGTCAGTAACGGTGTCCGATTTGCAAAGTACGAACGTGAAGTCAACTCATTGCCTTGAGAGACGGTGATGTTGAGTTCTGACACATGAGAGCCCCGCTGCTGTGTCCGCCGCCAGCCACGAGTGCGGCAAGGTGTCTGAGATGGAGGCTTTTTGCCGGTGGCAGTATGTGAATCACATGCAAGTAACGTCTCCAGGAACGTGGGAACAGGGACTTGAGAGAGGGAGACTCACGATCCGTCTGGCAGGAGAGTGTGTGGCGTGGTTTCGATGAAATTCGATCCAAGTGAAGGATTGCTTAGGCTGGTGGCACGCTTTGCGCCATTGAACGTGTAATCATTGGCGGAATAGTTGTTGAGATTATTTGAGTAGGTGCGATCGGTTGGCGGGTATTTGAGGTCCGTGCCTAAGATCTCAAATGGCGGATGTTGAACTAATGCTAGCACAAATCAGCAGCAGCACGAGCACCTGAACAGTAAGGCGTCAACTGCAAAGACACGAGGGCTTGGTCCATCAGTTGGGCCTGAATGGCTAGGGGGGAATTGCCCGGTTAGGTGGTCGATGTGTGACCAAGCGGGGGGCGGTGTCCCCCTGCTCGAGCCATGCCGTCTGGCCTTTTTCCTCCAAATCAGAGGACGGCACATGGTCAAGCCAGGAACAAAATCCTTCGTAGCCAATACTTGTGGGCTACAAAGTCCCTCTGACCAAAGACAAAAGATGCTTGCTAGAACATTGGGCAGGACTTGGAGAAGAGACTTACTGGAATTCATCATAACCCCATCAACTTCGCTCGTAGCGTCAGAGCTATCGGACTGAGAGTTCTCTGCAGCACCCTGTAGAACTGGCGATTTTTGGGCTCTTGGTTCAGGTCGATCTCCTGGATTATGACGACGAATCACCATGTGAAGATATGCCGGGTCAATGGCCCGGCTCGAGAGAACTGCGTCAATCAAGATGCAGGTTGTCCGGGTCTGCTGCCAATGACAGATGTGGTTTCGGACCAAGTTAAAAGGTATGCGATTTGTACTAAAGCAGGCATCGTCCGAGTTAGCAACAGTTCCGCATTATCTGCTCATCCTCTCAACGCGATTTGAACGTCCGAAGAGCGTAGGGTCTTCATTCAGTACGCTCTGAAAGTGCTTGCAACTCACCGTCATAGAGACTTTCAGCGTTCCGTTGCACGTTTCCCGTTTCGAATCTGATCCGCGACGTGGGCGTGATGTCGAGAAGAGATTGTGCCTAGGGCTCACCAAGCGCTCATCCGCGCGCAGGTGCTCAGAGTTCGAGGATGCAGCGCAGTGAGATCGGACGAGGTGCCTTCAGCGGTGTTCGAGGTGCTCTTTGGTGGCTTGGTGATGTGTAGTTTGCAAGGCTTTGGTCTCGCCGCACGAGCTTGCTCTATGGTCGCGTGTCGAAGAAGAGGAAGACAAGGTCACAACAGTATAACTTATCGCAATAGCAGTGAGGCAGAGTGTTGAATCAGCGGCTTTGGCATGATCAGCAGATTCCTAAGGTATGGAGGCGCTCCTTGGTGAGAATTTGCTGCAACAGACTGGAGTCAGGCTTCGGAATCGGCAGCATCAATGTAGGAAGCAGCACATCCTGTTTCTCGCATTGTCTTCAGATCTCATGGTCAGACCTGCAAGTATTCGGGGCAAGAAGTGCGGATGCATGAGTAGGCATCGCGGCCAGGACCACGCTGAAGGGAAGCTGCATAACGCAAAGGCCAATGAATTACCAGGCTGCATGGACGAGCCTCGACGAGGCTCCGAGACTTTCTGCAAGCAGCCATACGCATCTTCCGTGAATCAAAGTCCTAAATTTGCCACGACATGGGCCGTGACCATCGAAAGTCGTTGGTGCGGAATCTGGGTAGAAGCTAGTATGGAATATGGAGGGCGTTGAGCTGCAGGAACGACGACGTGTGAGGGTCACCCGTGCGCAGTCTCTGTTTCAGCCCAAGTTCCACGTAACTCGAGGAGGGCCGAGACTGACGGACGGACTCCATTCCTCGAACAGTACGACCGTATATACCGCCGTAGCAGCATACGCAGGGTGTAAAACGTAATGGCCCATGTCTTGCTTTGTCTTCAGCGTCGAGAGTGGGTGGGTACCCCATGTCGATCTGATGCCGCTAAGCTAGGCTTGGAACAACTTGAGCAGGGAGGAGGCGGCGGCAATCATGATGAAGGTCGATCTTCAGTCCATATGACAATCGCCTATCATAATGAAATCTGTCTGCAGATGAGCGAACGCCACGTCAAGAGATTGATTTCGGTCGTCGAAGGAAATGTTCCGACTGGTCAGGTGTTGTCGATAACACAGGTCTTCATAGCTCGAGGAGAAGGTATTGACGGCATCAAAGGCGAAGACCGCTTTGTTTGCAAGTGGGGCTTCTCGCTTCGAGTAAGCCCTCTGCCTAAACAGGCGACGAAGCACCGAGGCGGTGGCTAAGCAGGTGGCAGATGGAAGTGGATAGCGGCATGGGCCGAGAGAAAGGTCTCATCCAGGACTCGGCGCAAGTGTCAGTTCTGCAGGAATGTCATGCATATCCGAATGGGCTAAGGACTAAACCGAAGATACCCCCCTTGCCCGGACCAGGATCAGCTACACATCAAATCCACATGGTTATTGAACAAATGAGGAGAACAATGGCTGGTCGTATCGATGAAGCAGTCGAGATGAGAAGTCAGCTGAGACGAAAAGACCGAGGCCAGGGCGGAATCAAGGTAGAGCGACAGATATTGATTGCGTTGAGGTAAAGGCAAGGTTCACTTTGTGGATATCAAATGGTGGAGTCGCGTTAGAACAGCGCTGCAATTGGCTACAGCTACGGCCTCCTGCCACCGTGCCCTCGCTCGAGGTCTTTTGAAGCTTCTTCTCGACCGCTGCTTCGCTGTCGCTGTGCGATCGCTTGGCTACTCGCATTGTAGACGACTGCGTGCGGATCAGCTCATCGGCGTTCGATCACCTTGCAGAGCGACCGTACCTGAGACCTGGGCCTTGCGGCAACCATGAGCTGATCATTAGGCGAGCAGGACAGTAGTGACAACTTTCTACAGAGCTGTCAGCCACGAGATTGGGGTATATCCTTGCCTATAGCCACGAGAACACTCCGGAGAGTCAACCATGTCTCTGAATGAAGTCTTTGTCACGACATCAGCCCCCTGATAGCCTTGTCTGCCACGCTCATTTCGCGCCTCAGACCTTCTCGACAATCTCCGCGATTGATGTTGACATTCTTGACATGACAAATGCCCATGGAGCATGACAGGCACCTAAAGGACCTTCAAGTCACGCTTGGGCCAACGGTTCGTCAAAGCAGGGGATATTCTGGTTGCACGAGACCAGAGATCGCTATTCACGCAGCAGTCTGATGGGGCTGAATGAAGCGTCAGAGCATCATCGAAAAGCTGTGCAATTTGGAATCCTTCTCGACGATCTATTCTCACCGAGATAGTCCACTCAGCATGTACGGAGCCACAACGATCCTATCGAAGTTGTCATAAGGTGTGAGACAAGCTGCGGCAGCATCCCTGATTTGCGCAACGGCTTTTGCGCGGATCTTGCTTCCCCGACGCAGGTTCGAGCAAGTGACTTCCTTCCAGAAGAATTGTTTGGTCCACGCCACGGCTGTTTTGACGACCCATTCATGGCTCGCAGCATCATCCAATGACCAGCAGCCAGCGTCCACCAAAGGTATCTTCCGCCGCTCCAATGGGCAAGCCAAGCGTCATGTGCTCGGTGGGAGCTCTTCAACCATCTCCAATCTCGAAAGCGTGGTTGCCTGGGAGCTTCTCTAGACAGTAGTAAGGCAGCACTGGGACCACGCCTGGACCGGCTCTTGGGCACCATTTGCTGCAGGTCAGCATTCATCGGGCCGCATTCCCCGTTAATCGTCAAGACATGGCTCACGATCAAGCCCTATGAAATCACCAGATTTAGGGCTATACCTCTCTGCGACCCTCAACCGACGATACGAAACCTGACAGCTGCCTCGCATTCAGCAGGCATCGGCGATAATTACGGGTCGGCATTGGCCCATCGTCAACTGCATTGTCACCTCCACTTGGTTCGCAGACAATCAAAGTACATGTGTGCACACACCAAACGAATGGCGAGGCAGGCTGCACACCTCACGAGGCAGCCACCCTAGAGCCACCTCAGCAAGGCGTTGAGACGGCACTTTGTGGTGCGCTCAGAAAGGCGCCTGGTGATGAACTTTCCTTCCAACTTTGCTGTGCCTCCAAAGTCAGGGCGACTCCTTTTCCGGTGCGCTCATCGTGCATGCTATGGTCCTTAGCGACACCATATCTCATGATGAAGCTCTGGAAAGCTCGACCATGGTCCCTTTCTACAGTGTATAGCAGCAGCACCTGCCTACATGCCCCAAGAATTCCTTCTTCTACCGTCCCTAACCTGTTCTTGCATGTGCTCTCTACCTTCCTGTTGAAGCGACCGCAACCACTAAACCTCAAGTCACTGCAGACTACCGACTTAGATTTCCACATCCATGAGCAATGCGAGCTGAACTTGTACTTTCTGCAGCGTTCATTGCAAACTGGCTTCAAGCCTTCAGCCACCGACCGTCCAAATCCATACCCACTCTCCGTGGTTTGGTACCAAACAGTGCATGGTCTTGCTTCCCCTGACCGCCGAGCACGGGGAAATATCTGTCCTACTAGCTGATTACCACGAACACGGCCACTTGGAAGTGTAAGCCTCCAGAAGTAAGAGTATGGTAAATCACTACGTACAAGCTTCCATGCGCTCCATTGTCTCGAGCCCTTCAGCGATTTGACAGAGCAATGACAGCGCCATCGATGGCTGAGATTGGTGCCTGACACGAGGAGATGAACCACTGTATGCCTAGGCTCGCGCTTAGCAGAGAACCTGGCCTCGGACTAGTTGTCACAGTCCCATCTCTGCCATGCTTCCAACCTTTTGCCTCAATGGTTGTTGTTTGAACAGCCGCCGTTCTCGGCGATCCTCTCTGATGTGCGCCCTATCGCGTGGTGAGCTTCGTCCTCGCGTTCTTGGTGCCCACTCTGAAAGACACCTGGATTGCAGAGGCATTTGGTAGAGCAAGTGCGGTGCAGTATGAGGCAAGGGCATGCACTTCACACCAGCGATGTTCGCAGTCGAGGAGTGGCAAAAAGGATTCAGGAGTTGCCGTCTTTTCCATTTCAAGCTGCCAAAGCCCGCCTCGGCAGGTAGAACAACATGTTCTGGGTATGCAATCTCTTCGGATGAGCCTCACTTGAACCTCACTTGAACCTCACTTGAACCTCACTTGAGCATAAACCCATGGAAAAAACTCTCCTAGGAGAGATGCATGAGGAGGGCGCTGACGATGAATTCGTTGATTCTATCTGAAAACGCATGATTCTCTGCCGGAGAGCCAGGGAGGCCTTCAATGCCTTTTCCTGCAGCAGCAGCTGCTGGTCCCGCTTCCGCTTCCACTTCTGCCGCTTTCGTTCCAGCTGCTCATGCTCCCGTTCCCGCTCTACTACGTCTGCTTCTTCGCGAATTCGACCTTCAGGATCAAGTGCTTGTAGCCGAAGCCGTCTAGACGATCGCAAGCACGCGCAGCATCGGCTCTGTCGACGAAACTAATGAAAGCAAAGCCCTTGGCGCGTCCTGTCTCGCGGTCTTTGGCCAGGAACACCCTCGTGACGCGTCCGAAACGCTCGAAGATATCTCTGAGCTCATTTTCTTCAGCCATCTCAGAAACCTGTAAAAGTTAGCAGAGGGCTCTCTGTGGGGCAAAAATGAGATTGCTTACGTTGGTAACCCTCAGAGTGGCGAGATCATCTCTCTCGTACTTGCCTCCCATGCGCTCGCCAGCAGCAGCACCCCCACCATTTCGCAGGTGGGGTGGAACGTAGCTCGAGCCGCCTTTGCCCAGTCCACCAACCTTGCTAACTTCTTCTCCGTCTTCGGCCATTGGATCCGCGGCCGGTGTCGTGCCGTCGTCTGCTGGGGCCATTGTGTCCTTGAAGGGACATCTGGCTGTGAAATGTTCGCCTTGACAGATTCTGCATTTGACCTTCTTGTCCCGTAGTTGCTCCTTCAGACTCTTCTCCTCGGCTTTGCCACCACCCTCTTTCGCTTCTTGTGCTTGCACATTCTTCCAGTCTCTTGAGGGCTTGAAGACAATGTTCTCACCGACTGTTGTGGTGTCTGAGGAGGGCCCTACAGCGTGTCCTTTCTCCAGCCCAAACTTTGCGCACGAGCGCCGTTCTGCAATCGCTGGGTTTACGGTGTGTCTCTTGGTGATTGTGCGGATCTTCGTGGTGACTTTGACCTTTTTGCCGTCATCGTTGATGCGGTATGACACGGTGGTCTTGATACCAGTCTTGGGATCGGTGGTTGTGACTGGGGCGGGAAGATCGGTTGTGGGCTCAGCGTCGCTGAGGTCGTCTGCCCAATCGGGCCTACTGGCGGTTTTGCTCATCTCGTTCGTGATTACTTCGTTCGTTCGTAGCGATAGAGTCCTCCCTGGCGTCTTTTTCAAACGCAGCGAATTCAGATTTTGGAATTATGAAATGGAAATTTCGAGATGGTCATAGAGACCCTCGCGGTTGAGGCAAAAAAGTGCCTAGTGGCGATTTCTTTGCCAAGACCGGGGTATACGGTGACCCAGGACGCTAAACAGCGCAGATCTGTAATCCTTCGAGCTCGCGCTTTGCAGTCAAATTGCCGCCTGGACTTTACCTACGCAGCAGCTGGCACATGCACAGGAGGCTTGCTGAGATACGCTGTCTTGATCGCGTTGCTACGAACTCTACCTATCATCTAGCTAGCCATGGACACGAAGGATCTGGATCGTGGTTATCGATGTCTGGACATCCGGTATTGCTGGCCATTCGATACCTAGGTAGGTTGGCCTTGCTCTGACGCGGTGTGCCACTGTCATGTCGTAAACTTGAGAATCCTACCCTCAACATAGACGCAGCAGCATGGTCTCCCTCGCACCTTCCCAGTCTGGCATCAAAGCTGACGTCGTTGCTTGAGCATGGAGTCTGCTCAGCGTGTGCGAACACGTTAGCCTTCACGATCGTCCAATAGCTCTTCACCCTCACGCTCGACAGGGTGATGAGTTGGCTCGTAAATGTGGACAAGCACCGTTGGTTTCTTCAATACCACGTCCTCGTTGCCATCTTCACCTCTCCGCACCAGGCCTGGAACTAGGATAGCTAGTCTCTGAACAGTCGAGCCTTTCTCTCTCGCCCTGGCCTGCCCCCGTGGACGAAGTGGTGCAGCCGTGGCGACGTCGATGATATCGAATTGGTCGAGTTTATCAAGGGCAATGAAGACATCGTGGCCCGCACGGTCTTCCATGGACATGTGATACTTTCCCGGGAGTGAGTTGAGCGTGTTGGAAAGGTTGATGGCTTCCTGAACAAGGTCATGCGTCGATGTTGGATCGAACGAATGTCCAGACACATGTTTGAATAGCGGCCCGAGGACACGATTGGTCAGCGCGGAAGCTTGCTTTCGGCGCTCTTCCTGCAAGCCTTGGAAGAATTCGACCTTGAGCATGGCTCGAAAGCACTGCGCTGTCCAAATGGTCACTGTTCGTTCTTCTGTGTGTTGTTAGCGAAGTTCGACTCGTGTAGTCGACGGCGAGCGCTAACCTGGAGCCTTACGCAACTCATCAGCACCGTCCTCGACCATGTCTAGGAATCTTTCGATATCGCTATGCAGCCCAAGGAAACGCTCGCCTGTATCGAGGACGAGGTGATGCAGCAATCCGAATATCAGTAACTGGGTGAGATATACTTCGACGTCCGGATTCGCTTCGAGAACGTTGAGGAGCTTTTGACCAGCGATGGCAAAGATGATAGCATTCTTGCAATCATCGTTCTTCCACTCCCGAAACCAGACTTCCTGAAGGAACTTCTCTGCGTCGTCCACCTGTGTGTCTACCCATCGTTCAACTGTGGTGCAAAACTTATTGTACGCCGCTTGCACCCGGGTGTCTGTGGCGGCTGCAAGCTGTTAATCTTCATCTTGCATTCAGCCAACGCCTGGCCGAATTGGACGTTCTTTTTCGTCGCCAGTTTCAGCTTTTGCTGTAACTGTACGTAACCCTTAGCAAGATTCCGATACTTGTCGTTCGCTTCCTTGAGAGCCTCCGACACCGTCTCGAATCGTTCCTGGAGCTCATGGTACTGCAGGCTGGCGGATCGCAATGTTCGGGGCTCGCCGACGGTGTTCGCCCGTAAGTCATCGTACTGATTCCTCAGATGGCGGATTGTTCGACCATCGAGCACTTTCTGATTAGCGAGTTCATCCTTCAATGCCTTCAACTCGGTATCCTTGCGCGAAAGTTGGAGTTCAAGGTCCTCGACGCTTTTCTTGACTGGCTTGGGTTCATCGGGTCCTGCGCTGTAGCGGAGGTCCGAGTCATAAGGTTGGTCCGTCGTATCAACTGCAGTACGCATGTGGCTGTCGGCATGGGCTGATTGCTCCCGTTTCTTCTGACCCTCGGTCATAACGATCTGAGCAGAAACGGGCGTACTCATGCTGCTATCGATGGGTAGCTTGTTTCGATGATCGGCGACGTCAACATTTGCAGCTTTCCCATTCGACTTTTTGTGCTCAGAGCGCTGAGATTTCTTTGCGTTCTCTTGTTGGCCCCATAAAGAAGACGCGAAGTAGGACATAGCGATGCAAAGTGAGCGGTAGGACTGTGAGTGCAGAAGTTGGAAACGACTGGTCGTCGAGAGAAATCAGGTCTTCTCAGCCTTGTCCTTCGTTCTTTCCCGTTTGTCACCGAATTCACTAGGCAACAGTCACCCTTTGCCCTTTTGCAACAAATCTACAACTCACAAGTTCTTTCCCACGCAGGCTCGCCCGCACTTGTATGCTCTCAAGGCCTCGATCACCAGGACTTGCCTTCCCGGACGACACCACAAAAGAATTCCTTCATCATGGGTGGAGAGCGCGACCAGCTCGTGGTCGCTGTCGACTACGGAACCACGACTTCTGTGGTTGCCTTTGGCTATGCTGCACAAGTAGGTTGCTGCTGTCTCCGTGCATGAAAAAGCGCCTCCTGACCTATCTTACAGCAAGACATAATCACAGTCGTCGACGAGTATCCGAATGTCACTTCGCGACTCACCTGCGAAGTCTACCCAACCGAGATCGTGTACGACAGCAATGGCACGGTTCGCATCGGTCACCAAATTCAGCAAGACGAACCAAGATTTCAGTTTTTCAAGCTGGACTTGAACGAGAACAGAGGCTATGAAGCGTCATACGTGGCGAAAAAGTACCCCAATGCCATGGCCAAACAGCCGACTGCACAGGACAAGAGCGCCCAGGAAATGACGACCGATTATCTCCGTGAGTTGCACAAGATTACCCAGGCCTACATCAGCGGCAAGCTTGGAAAGGCAGTCCTTGCCACTACCCAAGTTCAATACGTTCTTACCGTGCCGGCAATGTGGAGTGATAAGGGCAAGGAGCTCACTCGCAGCTGCGCAAGAGCAGCCGGCTTCGGAGCTAGAATTCACCTCATTTCAGAGCCCGAGGCTGCGGTGACACACGCTTTGGACGCGATTCGTAATTCAAATTTGAAGACAGGCGACACATTCGTTTGCTGCGATGCTGGAGGTGGTACTGGCGATCTGATCTCGTACACCATCGTCAGCCTTGGAAACAGCCAGCCAATACAGGTCAAGGAGGCCGCTAGCGGAACTGGCGACCTGTGTGGCAGCTCATTCGTCAACAACAAGTTCCGACAGTGGTTCATTGAGCGCTTCCATGGCGAGCCTGGCTATGATGAAGACGCACTCGAGGACGCGATGCAGGAGTTTGAATTGTTGAAACGTGATTTCACAGGCGATGGGGACAAGTTCGTCATCAGAGTCTTTGGACTCGGCAACATTCCGGATAAGAATATCAAGAAGAATCGGCTAAGTCTGACATTGGCTCAAATGGAGACTTTCCATTCCGATGTTGTCAGCACCCTCACAACTCTGGTGAAGAGTCAGATCAAAGCAACCAAATCCGCTGTCAAGGCTGTGCTACTCGTTGGTGGCTTTGGCCAGAGCGAATACCTGAAACGCCAGATTCAGAATGTTGTTGGTCCTGGAGTTGAGGTCATTCAGCCACCGAAGGGGCAGGTTGCTATTGCACGTGGTGCCTTGTTGCAGGGATTCGCTTTGACAAACAGCAAGCCCAGTCGGGTCATGGTCGGGTCACGCGTCGCGCGGAAGGCTTTTGGCGTGGACTGCATGATACCATTCGATGCGAGGCTTCATAATTCGGCAGATCGGTAGGCTCCCTGTCGACTCTATGTTCTGCGAAGTTCTCTAACATTTTCACAGAGAGTGGTGTGAATACGGTGGTTATTACAGAGTCAGCGCCGTGGAGTGGTTCGTTCGCAAGGTCAGTCTGAATGGGTTCAGCATGATTATAGCTGACACAGCACAGGGTGATGAACTGCGTCAAGAGCGCCCGGTGACTTATTCGTTCTACAGATACGGGCTGCAGAGTCATGGGAAGTTGAAAGATGCCGCAGACCACATCCAGGTCTATGACGACAAGGGTGCAGAGAGTCCTTCCAAGTATCCTATCCCAGGTAAGCCTTGTTTTGCACTAATTCCCTGCCTCGGAACTTGCTAACCCGGCGCCCAGTCGGTACACGCAAGCACCTCACGATCCAGTCCAAACTGTCGAGTATTCCTGTGAGGGCACTGAGAAAGACCACCGGCAGTGATGGGAAGAAGTACTACCATCTCGACTACGAAATTCGCTTCACCTTCTTCTCAGCTCACACTGAGTACTCGCTATGGTCTGACGACGTCTGCTACGGAAAGGCAGAGGCTGAGTACGAATGAGAGCACCCCCCAGCTATGATGTCGACGGTCCTTCGCAGTAACTGTGCCTGACATGCGCCTGGCTATGGGACCACATCAGCAGCGGGTTAGGAGAAGCGGAAGAGTGAGTCGATGCAAGGCTGGCTGCAGAATGCTTCGAGGTCGTCAACACGCCGGAGTTTGCGCAGGAGAAGTCATAGCTTCAGTACTGCTGTCTTGCACAGCTTACGTACACTCCATAGGGCCATGCAGCGTCTACGATGCAGACATATGATGGCGCTCTTATTATGATATCATTGGATCGCCCGAGTCGCACGAAGCGCTGGCTCCAGCCGTAATGTCGTTCATTTTGCCCACCTTTCCGTCCTAGATCTTGGGCACCATGAGGCTGCTCAAGACGAGCGTTGATCTTTCGGAACTTAGTCTGGGCTGGTGCTCAGACATGCGATATCCTCCGTAGCAGTTAACAGCCAAGCGTGACACAGCGCACACGTGTATGCTTGTTCTGTGCTACCTACAACGCGAACAACCGGCCAATCTCGTCCAAGCCGCTTAGTAGTAGGATGGAGCCCGCGAGCCAGTGCTGCCAGGGCCGATGAGAGCTGACGTCATCAGCTCTTGTTTCACTGCCTCCGAGTCTAGACTTCAACACCAAATTCTGATCAAGCTTCATTACCCAACCACAACTGGCTTCCTAGCACATCGTTGGCGCGAGTTCGCGGTCTGAGACGATCCGCCATATGTACCGTCGTGCTCTCCACTGCCGCCGACGGTGCCGTCCCAAGATGTAACGTCAGTCAACCACATCAGAGCTTCACCCGCGGTCACCAAGGAGATCCTTCTCAAGGTCTGCAACGTTCCTAGGTCTAGATGAGCCTGACAGACTCTGTGTTCTTTGGCCTCGTTATCCGCGTGACGGGATGATCGAATGCGACGACAATAACTGGCTTTTGAAGGACTAGAGGCACCTCATCTCTTCGGCTTTGTCGGGTCAGACCAGGAAAGACAAGGGCTGAGCGCCTACCAACGTGACCGTCTTCGTCTGAAGTTATATCAGCTCTTCTCGGTATTGGTTGCCCTGTCGCACGATCGAAGATCTCGAATTTCCCTATATCGTTGGAGAGCATGACATTGCCGGATCTTCTGTCTGCATTGTATTGGCCGAAATCGAAGTCGTATTTGATATGAGACTCTCTCATGGTGAGCGCCAATGTACCTGCCTCATTGATCAATTTTTCACAAGCCTTCCAATCAGGGGCGACATTCGAATGCTCTGCGAGGAGGCTGGCCATTTCTTGCATGGCTTGACGAGCAATCTCATTCAGTCTGGCTTGCATCTGGTTTTTGGTGAGTACGAGCGTGCTCAAAGCTCGCTGGAGATCGCCTTGCCACATTTGGATTGATTCGAGGCCTAGCGTACGTTAGCAAGATCTGGCTAGCCATCGGGCTGTCCTTACCCTTCCTTGGGCTGATCTTGTCCAGACCATGAATGATGTGGTTGAGAAGCTTTTCCATCTCAGGATGCATGCCTGGCCAGATCCGCTGAGGATGAAGCAGAGCAAGGTATATGAACCCAAAAATGTGACACTGCAACAGTAGAGCCTCAAGCGGAGCCCAATTGAAGCCCTCAGGACATCGAATGAGATAAGGCAAGCCATTCCTATGCAGTTCCACGTCGAACGATCGACCAAGAAATCCATCATCAAGCTCTTCGACAGTACCAGCCACCCAATCACTAATGCTTTTGCGAAGACAGGCGTACGCGTTACTGATTTCTTCATCTGTGGCGACTTTTGGGGGCTGCATCTGGAATATACGGTCTGTGCAGCCTTCGAGATTGCGCATGAGCTGAGCATTTTGGGCCAGCAATCTCTCTTCCTCTTTCTTTCGCCTCTCGCTCAGCTCTTGAACGCTCGCAAGATCTTGCTGTGCTGTCTTGAGTTTTTGTTCCAGATCTGCCTTTACGTCCCGCAATGTTTTGATCTCCGCATCTCGCTCAGCGGTATCTTTGGCACGTGTCTCGTCACGATCGGTAGCTTGCTGACCGACGACAGTCCACAGAGACAAGTTCTCTTCTTCAAGTTCAGTGATTCTGCTGACCAGCGAGTTCTCGGTAGCCTGCGATCTCTGTGTTGTGTCCTGATCATTCTGAGTCATACTTGGCGAAGCCTTCTCCTTAGTATGGGGTCTCTGCCTTGAGCGCTGGAGTCTTCAGGCGGTGAGTGGGTTTGATCACCCTCGGGACGAGAGTTGCGGAGGTTGTATCGCATGTCGAGATCATGCACTTCGTCTTCATGAGCTGAATCTGGACTGCCTAGGAGATGTAAGAAGATGTCCATCTCGACGTGGCGTATTGGGATGCTCTGCGTGGTGTCAAAGTAAGAAAGGTGCCGTGCATCATTGGCATGGTAGCAGACTTGCCTTGGAAACAAACAAAGCGATGGTTGTCTGGGAAGCGCCCGAAGATTCCACTTCTTCACTTTTCGAGATCTTGCAAGTGAAGTTTGCTTCGTGCACAAGGAAACCCCATAGCATGATTTGCTATTTCAGCAGCCCCGTCTTCAAAACCTTTCGACACTTTCATCACGACACGCGAACCATATTCTGGTCAACGACGAGCATATCTGCAGTCATGGAGCGCAAGATCATCATAGCTGTTGACTATGGCACGACCTACAGCGGCGTTGCATGGGCTCAAACTGCTCGAGTAAGTTCGATGTGCCATAATCAAGGACCGCACTAACAACACAGCCTGATGTCAAGTACACAATCACACAATGGCCTAATTCTACCGACACCTTCGAGGGCAAGACCCAAGATAAGGTTCCAACAGAGCTGTCTTACGATAAGAATGGTCACGTCAAATGGGGTTTCCAGATCTCACAAGACGAGTTTCGTTTTCAATGGTTCAAGCTTGGTCTCGATGAATCGCAGACAGGCGGAGTTTCGCACCTAACAGTCGAATACCCTGATCCGAGAGCACTGAGCCCGAGTTCCACACACAGCGCCACCTCTCTCACAACCGACTTCCTGGCTTGCATCAGAAAGCATGTGTCCGATGTCCTCAAGGTGAAGCTGGGTCAGGATGTGCTTGAAATCACACCACTTGGATTTATAATCACTGTTCCGGCGATCTATGATGATGCTGCAAAGGCACGCACTGCTGCTTGTGCGCGGCAGGCTGGCATGGGAGACGACGTCCGCATCATCACTGAGCCCGAAGCTGCCATAATCTACACTCTCGACGCCATGGACCCTCATAACTTGAAGTCGGGGATACCTTCGTCCTGTGTGACGCAGGTGGAGGCACTGTTGATCTCATCTCTTATGAGATCGAGGCTCTGCATCCTCAAGTCAAGGTCCGTGAGGCTGCGCCAGGCTCCGGAAGCGCTTGCGGTAGCACCTTTCTCAACCGCATCTTCGCCAAAGATCTCGACGTGATGTTCGACGACAATGAGCAGTGGGATGACGATATCAAGCAGCAAGCCATGGACGAGTTCGAGGTATCCAAGCGTGACTTCACTGGCTCCGAGAACAAGATGATGCTTGCGGTTGGTGGTCTTGCTGATGACACGCTTACTGGAGTGCGCCGAGGTCGCCTCAATATTCCGGCCAGCAAAGTCAAGACTGCTTACTTTCAGCCAGTTGTCTCAACGATCATTACATTGGTGCAGTCACAGATCAAGCAGACTAAAGCGCCCAAGGCAGTCTTGCTTGTCGGTGGCTTTGGTCGCAATCCCTACCTACGTCATTGTCTCCAATCCGTGGTCGGTACTGAGATCAAAGTGCTCCAACCCGGCCGTGCATGGACTGCGGTGGTAGAAGGTGCGCTCATATGGGGACTCAACGACCACTCACCTACTGATTCACGCATCAACATTGCTTCTCGTAAGGCTCGGAAGGCGTACGGGATCAAGGTCGAAATTCCGTTCTCTAGCTTCGAGCACGAGGATGCAGATAAGTACGTGAAATGGCTATCTGATTCGGAATGCTTGCTGACAATTGCAGGTACTGGGACTTTTATCACGGTACCTTCTTCATCACGGCGATGCGTTGGTTCGTCAGAAAGGTCAGGAGTCTCGCGTATGGCACGAAATTTTACTGATTCTTTTAGGGCGATGACATCGATCAGGACGAACCATTGATATCACACTACGTTACCAAACGTCGAGTCGTTGATGGGCCCCCGATCGTTCATAGCACACGCCTTTACTCATTCAACTCGATCACCGACGCTTCTCCACCCGACTTCCCAGAGACCTGTAGGCTTCTCTCTGTCCCCAAGTAATCTAGTTGCTGACCATACGACTGCAACAGCTATGAAGCAACTTGTCAGTCTTGTTGCGGATCTATCCACCATTCCCGTCTCTGAGATTCCTCAGAAGTTGGGCAGCGATGGCAACATGTGGTACGTCTTGGAGTTCGATATTCGGACCAAGTTCTTCTCTGCCCACACTGAATATTCACTGTGGCATGATGGTGAGCAGTACGGTAAGGTCGATGCAGAGTACGCCTGACCGACCAATCGAGCCTCGATCCTGGCACAACGAATGTGATTGGGAACCTAGGATAGAGGGCCGTGGTCTTTAGGCTGGTGTCAGTGGGTGCACCACGGGTCCGGATACCGACGTTCGCCCCCTACTAGGATTACCACTGAAGAGGGCAAATAAGGCCTTGCCAGCAGAGATGTCCGCGAAGCATGTGCATACTCACGGGAAGGGCCCTGAAACGATGGCTTAAAAGGCACCGAGATCTGGGCAACGACGTCAATCGTCTGCCTCATGCATTCGGACGTCCGGTCAGACACTCGTCAGGGCTGCCAATGGGTGCAGAAAACATACCTTACTTGTGCAGCAATACTGCATCGAACAGAGAAATCATCCGTGAATTCGAAGAGCTTCGACTCCGAAACCCAGTAAGTGTGAGCGCTCGGCGCACTGGCGACGGTGATTCACCAGCTCACTTGCAGCCTTTGGTCCCTTCGCTCATGCGCCAATGTTTAGCCCCTATCGACTTCGGAGATTCTCGTGGAGGTAATTGGCAACTTCACTGCGTGTTCCTCTTACTATGCACTGTCTTTCAGGGTAGAGTTGATGGCAACATGACGCGTCAGGTGAGAAAACCCATGGCTCTTATGCACGTTGGGAGGACTCCGTGCCGGCCCGTATCACCATCCGGGTTGCCCGACCCTGGTCGGAGGCATACAGTAAGGAGATAGACAGCATGAGAGCATGGTGGACCATCCTCCGGAGATACAGGTTTCAGGCGAACACTCGATTCTGGTAAGCCTCGTGGCCTGCGATGCTTCATTTGCTGCCTCGCGAACGTTGCAGCCAGGTCCGTGCCATCAGCCAAAGAGGCCTGATGTCGCGCTATCGTGACTACCTACCTGCTGACCATACAAAAGCTATGACCAGTCCAGGTGTTCTGGCACTTCTTCGTCGAGTCCGACTGCCACGTACCTTAACGAAGACGGAGGAAGGATCCTGCTCATCATGCATTGTCGAAGATCCTTGTCCTGGGAGCGACAGGCACGCAAGGTCTTGCTGTGGTGCGCGCCATCATCAGCGAGTCCTTCACAAGCTCTGTCCATGCTCTGACTCGCGATACCAAGTCAGACAAAGCACAAGCTCTCGCGGCTCTCGCATCCCAGGTCCAACTATTCGAAGGGACTTTCGACGACATCAGCGCCCTCGAGACTGCCGTTAAAGGGTGTTCGGCTGTCTTCATAAACACTTCTCCGTCTCTCGCCGACCCAGCGGCCGAGACGCGGCATGTCCGGACCATTCTTTCAGTTTTTGCCGCCAGCAAATCAATCAAGCGAGTCATCTACTCCTCCACAGCCGGTACAACGGACCCTAATGCACCTGGAGCCTTTGGCAGCCACCCAGATATGACGCCCGGAAACCTGCCATACCACGTTACCCTCGATAAGTACACCAATGAACAAGCAGTCATGAGGGCAGCCAAGGAGAACGCATGGCAAAGCACGATCCTTCGACCTGCTGTCTTCCTCACGAATCTTCTGGAGCCGATGAGTAGCTTCAAGTTCCCAGAGTTGAAGAAGCAGAAGAAGATTCGAGGCATGCTCCCTCCCGAAACCGAGTTCGATTGGATTGATCCTAGGGACATTGGTGAAGTCGCCGCAAAAGTCCTCCTTGGAAGAAGTCCTGACTCCTCAGATGTTCAATTCGTCGAGCTTGCAGGTGAGCGTGCAACATTACAGACTGTCGTTAGTGCGATGGAGAAAGCGGCGGGTGTGAAGATTGAGATTGAGCAAGTGGACAGAGAGCAGGCGAAGATGTCGGAAGATCCGGTGACGAAGGCTATGGCGGGCATTTGGCTTGTTGATCACCATGCAAGGGTCGGGGATTGGATCGGCGCGAGGAGGTTCGGCTTCGTACCTGGAAGCGTTGCGGACTTCTTCGAAGGCTCGAAGGAGGCAGTCAGAAAGGCAATTGGTGCGTGAGGGTACACATGAGAAGGAAACATTCGCGTCCTGAGTCGATGACCTTGTTTGTGCTATATGTGTCGTTAAAGGAATGAGCGAGTCGTCTCGAAAGACCGACTGTCGGGGATCGATGGCGTCGACAGATCGTACCCCGATGTTGAAAAGAGTGGATGCTGGGCAGATCATCCAGCGATGAAGTATCCTTACACTTAAGCGCACTCCTCCTTGCGCTGTTCCCAAACATTTAGAGCCTCTTCTGCGGCCTTCAATCCACTAAGGACCATGGCGCCGAAGGTAGGTCCCATCCTGTTTCCACCATCCAACTCGCTCAGCTCCATTCCTGCCATGATCAACCCCTTCACTACCTCTCGAGTGCCTTTGACGATCGCATCTTCGGCAGTCACCATGTCGAGAGGTCGCATGCCACCTAGATTGACCGCACCGAAGCCGGCTAGGCGCTTAGCAGAGAAAGCACCAAACGGTCCGTCGTGGCCGGTGGTCGAGATAACGAGCGGGGCGTTGATTGTGTTGGGATCCATGCAACTATGATCATCATGGTGCAAGGTGACGAGGGTCCAGTTGGTGACGACGCCGGCAATGCGGACGCTATTGTCGGATGTTGGCCGAGTGATGAGGTCTTCGACAGCAGTGGCGTTGAAGAGCTTCACGTTGGGGAAGGCGAGGACCTTGGAGAGCAGAGTGGACATGAAGTAGGCGGCGTGGTGGACGACGACGTAGTTGCCTTCGTCGGCGTACTTGACCTCGAGGTCGTCTGGTGGAACGCTTTCATTAGCATGATCGAACACTTGCAAGCGGCTTGGAATGTACAAACCCAAGAATTTATCGGCAGGCTTCCTTAGCACCATAGCACTGAACAGCTGTCCACCGAGCCAACATCCACCACCAGGGCTGACAGATGCTCGATGATCGCAATCTTGAGATCGGGACGTGCCTTTGCCAGGACGTAGGCTGCAGACAGTCCAGCAGAGCCAGCACCGACGATGACAACGTCGGACTCGGCGTAGGTGTCCAGATCCGAGAAGTAGCGTCTGGTCATAGCACGACTGACCGTAGACTCACGGATCGGTGCGAAGGTGAAATCATCCCACTTGCCGGCGAAGGTTTCGAGAAGGACGCTATCTTTTGCTGGGAGATCGTTGACGCCATTGAGACCATTGTCTTTGAACGCATGGGGGAGAGTCTTGGCCTTGACGGCGCCTCCCACTTCGAAGCCATGGACTTCATTTTGATAGATAGCGGATGGTGGAGACATCTCGTTGGTTGACGGGATTCAGTGTTCGATCTAGACGGTGTTAGAAGCCGAGGAGGGCTCTGTGGGAAAGGAGAAAGAGAGCATGTTCTTTCGCTGGTATGATCCAAGTTCAAGTTCAAGCCGTATAATCTCAGGACGCTATGCTTCTCGCCAATCCAACAGTCCAGTCCCTCGTGGTCTTTTGGGAACCAACATGGGACCGGTTGCTGCGGATATCGTAGTAGAGCTGTGCGAACACCGGCCATGCTCATCTAGCTGGCTCTGGGACACGCAATGTGCCCAGAATAGCTCGATGCATTTTGTGGAAATACCTTGATCACATTTCTGTGCTTGGGAACATGGTCACCCGCAATCTGTGGGTAGATAGCCGGGTTTCCGAGCGAGAGTAACAACATGACTCTCCATCCTTTCAGAGATGGCGAGATGTACTTCTTGATGTTTGTTGGGCCTGGGAGTATTAGACGTGCTCTCGACCTAGATGATACATACCACTTGACTATGCAGAACCTTCGACAGCTTTTGGAAAGTTGTGTCGAAGAAGATAAGAATAAACAATGTGTGCTCCCGCTTATATCACGACACTGGCATGGGGAGGGGTATTTGTGGAACATCACATCATGGACTGGAGGACCGCAAGTGGGGGTGCCGATATGCACAGTCATCCGGTCTGCGGAATAGAGTTTCAGCAATCCTCGAGGAAGGTGCATCGCGTTCTGCTGCTTGTCTTTCGCACACGCAGATCCTATCCAGCAGATGCATCAATATACGGTGTAGTGACAGAGAAGTTGAGTGGACACTAAATCGTAAGTTGCATTCATCATATCTGCCATGATAGTACAATACATACCAGGTGATCGCTCATCTATGGAGTGTCTACAGATACCAAAAGTGCTATCTCCCACGGTCGTTGTAAGCATTTTCCTGTCTTGTCAAACCCATGCAGTTTCGAGCCTGTCAGACGACACCCCACAGCCAAGAAAATGCAACAATAACGCCGGATGCTCCCAGAAACACATGCTTTGGCTTTCGGTGACCACAAAGACTCCCTTAGGAGAGCCTGACACCAAACTTCCACACAGCCTCTACCCTCAGATCACCTTCACCGTCTAGCTCAGCACCCTCACCAAGACCGCCAAGGACGATCAGATCTGCATCCATGCCGGCCTCCAGGCCACCTTTCCTGTCCTCCACTCCTAACATTCGGGCTGGTCGACTGGTGACAGTCTCCAATGCTTCGCCTACAGGCACTCCTGTGAACCTGCGGAAGTTGTTGACACATTCAATCAGGCTGATCGCCACGCCAGCCAGTCTGCCCGTGTCTTTGCCTCGAATCTCGGGTCCTTTCTTGATGATGGTGGTGCCATTGGTCCAAGGATACTCGCCGTCGGGCAGGCCCGCAAAGGAAAGAGCATCGGTCACAAGAATGGCGCCTGCGGGAAAAGAGGTGTAGGCTATCTTGAGAGAGGCAGGTGAGAGGTGGACACCATCGCTGATGAGGCCGAAGTAGGGACGGAGAGATGCTCGGTCAGGTAGCGTAGGCTTATGGAGGTGGGTTGTCAGTGTTGGTGAGTCACAGAGGACATTCGTGTCGTCTTCGGAGATGGAAGAGGTGATACTGAGTGAGGAACGAGGTGTCGAGGAACGCTTCTGTGCGCTGTGTAAAGTGGGTGACGATGGGTGCGAGCTCGGTCGGGATGAGATCGGCGTGGACGGACGAGATGGCGCCGAGCCGAGCAGACCGAAGATGCCCGGATCACGATGGCCAAAGGGCCGCATCGCGTTGAACATGTGTGTGACCATGGTGGCACCATGGATGACGGCAGAAGACGCTTGGGCGAGGTCAGCGTCGGAGTGCCCTATGCTGAAGACAATCCCGCGAGAGGTGAATTCGGGAATCAGGTTGATCATGTTGGCGATTTCTGGGGCCGCGGTGACTTTGCGAACTGTGCCATTCGACAAGTTGTCTGCGCCGTACACACGTTGAATGTCAGACCATGTCTCGGCGTGTTGCAGGACTGTTTTGTTGTGGATGCCATTTCGACAGGGCGCGAGGAAAGGTCCCTCCACATGTGCACCCAGCGATTCGGCACCCTTGGAGCGTCGCGGTCACGACCGGACGGCCCAAGATAGGGTAGAACCGATTGGTAGACGTCCGGATTGGCGCTGATGACAGTTGGCAGGTAAGAAGTCACGCCAGCTTTGGCGAAACGGCGGTTAGTGTCTTCGAGCTTCTTCTCAAAGTCGTCGTCTGGTATCGAAAAGTCGAAGCCGTGGCCGCCATTGAGCTGGACATCGATCAAGCCTGGTGACAATAATTTGCCTCCGAGATCTATAGTGACGTCGGGCTTGATATGCGACGCATAGAATGTGGACTGAGAGTTGAGTATACGACCTGTCTCTGATGAGATCCACAAGTCGCCAGTCTCAAGACGTCCATTGCGGAGAAGGTATCCGTTGACGAACTTGGTAATTACTGCCTGAGCTTGGGACTGGGACATGTTGTGGTACAGAGTTATAAGAGTACACAGTATACAGGCCAAGCTGAGGCCTTGAGAGAATGGCTGATTCTTGTGTACTGCAAGTCGTGGTGACTGTATAGACAGGCCAGAAGAAGGCAAAGACAGGAACCAGCCCACTGCGCTGGTACTGAAGTATGAGGCGGGTAGGAAGGGACAGGGTCGCAATGACCAACGCGTAGAGCAGGAATCGAAGAATCACAGTATGAGGTCACCCTTGTATGGCGCGCTGTTCACTAGCCGTACAACAGTCGTGATGGAAGGCGAGTATTACCGAAAGTCTGATATAGTATCAGAGGTTGGTCTATCAGCAAGTCCGAAAGAACGCCTCATCACGTCCAGGAAGAAACGGTTGGAGTAGAGCAGCGTCTGGCAGAGATCGCAGGGCGAAAGGTGGCGGCAGTAAGTAGCTACAGCAGCATCAATCAGCAGCCAAAAGAGTGCAACGTGCCCACGCAGTAAGTCAGTCGATGGTTTCCGGATTATCAAAGCCTGAATGGGTGATACGGAGAAGTCCTGACGGCCTATGAAGGCTTTCCGGTAGTACTGGAAGCACGGGAGGGCTGTTCAGAATCGAGATAGCATGCTTGTAGCCACGAGCGGGTGTAGCGTACCACAACCATGGCCTGGGGTTTGACGTTGACTGTACCTCCGACGACACCGGGCATCGTCGCTGACACTGATGTTGCTGTCGTGGCTTCCTGCATCGAAGAGCTCGCGGCTCTGGCCTTATGAACCGCCAAATACTACCGTTCCATAGCGATTTGAGGTGGATGTAACGTTGCGATGAGGTCGCAATCATTATCAACGGAGACAGCCCGCACGTGACTTTGACTATCTGGAACAGCAGGGGGTAGCAGCGTCGAGGCGGGGGAAGCTCGCTAGGCATGGGTTTCAGTGGATTTGGCCCATCTGGAAGCCTCGTTTAAGGTCCATTTGACTTGCTTGTTCAGACGCCACGCCTGGAAACGGCACTCTGACCGCAGCGCTATCTCGGAGCGCTCCCATCGCCCGCCCAATAGTTGCCTGGGCTTCTCGCGAGCAATCAGTGAGATCCACCCCCAGTGGCAGGTGAGACCCTGCCCATTGAATATCTCAAACACTTGACTCTTTTTGCTGTGTGACACTACGCTGCTATCTCGAATCTCGTGTGCTTACTGGTACCGCTGGTCAGCAACGATGCTACCACTCGGCCACGTAGCTACCTTACTCCTCTAGCAGTCGACATCAGATTGAGTACTATATGTGTCCCACCTTGACCCAGTCTTGCCGAAAATCTATTCCTCTTCTCCAGACCGCTGGACCTCGAACCTTCCGCAAGGCACGCGACAAGAAAAAGCATCTTGCTGCCGCCGGGCGCAGATCATCCGCAGAGCCCATTTCCCCCAGAGTGCAGCTTTTAATTCACAGGCTTAAGACCCCTGGCAAGCTAGCCCTGCAAGCTACTGCACCTCCTCTTTCGAGTCTCGACTGCGCTTTGTCACTTGACTGCAGACTGCTACCTTATCATCCTCTTCATAACATACCACGTTCGTCGATATTCAACTACAATAATGGCAAGCGAAAAGATGGCCTCCTATAACGAGAAATCCGGCTCCGATACGCCTCCTTCTCTCGAAGCAGCAGACGCTCACCATGACCGCCCTCTCGGCAAACCATGGATGTACAAGAGGCTCTTCGGAGTACTCCCACCCTACGCTTCGCCCGAATTTCAGATCGTCTTCGTCGCATTCGTCTGCTTCATGTGCCCTGGCATGTACAATGCGGTCTCTGGTCTCGGCGCAGGAGGTGGCATGGACCCATACGATGTGAACAGGTCCTCGATTGGCTTGTACGCCACATTCTCCATCGTCGGCTTCTTTGGCGGTACAGTCGCAAACACAATCGGGCTCCGCCTGACTTTGGCCTTTGGTGGCTTCGGCTATTGCATCTACCTCGTCTCCCTACTGGTCTACAAGCACACCAGGAATGCCGCTTCCTGATCTTCGCCGGCTCTTTGCTTGGTGTTTGCGCAGGTCTACTATGGACTGCCCAAGGTGCAATGATGATGGCTTACCCGCTTGAGAAGCAGAAGGGTCGCTTTATCGCTGTCTTCTGGGTCATCTTCAACTTGGGTGCTGTCATTGGCGCTCTCGTGCCTCTTGCACAAAATCTGCACAGCACTGCGCCAGAAGTCAACGACGGCACGTACTATGCCTTCATCGCACTCATGCTGTTCGGCTTCCTCCTCGCCTGCTGCGCCTGCAACCCTCATTTCGTTGTTCGCAAAGACGGCAGCCGCGTCATCCTGATGAAGCAGCCCACCTGGAAGTCCGAGTTCATTGGCCTGTTTGAGACTCTGAGGTCAGATTGGTACATCGTTTTCCTCTTCCCATTCTTCCTGGCGTCCAACTGGTTCTACACATACCACTTCCAGGACGTCAACTTTGCCTACTATAACACCCGCACCCGCGCTCTCAACTCGGTCCTCTACTGGTCCATGCAGATGGTCGGTGCGCTGATCTTCGGTACCTTCCTCGACATGGGCCGCTTGTCTCGTCGTACTCGCGCCAAGGTTGGCTTGGCTGCGCTCTTCACGCTCACGATGGCTATCTGGGGTGGTGGCTACGCCTTCCAGAAGACCTACACCCGTGCAATGACCGAGGCCGAGGATTACCAGAAGAAGGACTTCCAGGACTCGGGCTATATCGGCCCTATGTTCCTCTACATGTTCTATGGCTTCTACGATGCTGCTTTCCAAACTACTGCTTATTGGTAAGTCGTTGCCTTTGAAATGTGTCGCCTTCCATAGCTGACTAGTGCACTAGGATCATTGGCTCTCTCTCGAACAACGGCCGCAAGCTCGCCAACTTCGCCGGTTTCTACAAGGGCATCCAGTCCGCTGGTGGTTCCATCTCTCCCTCCATCGATGCCGAGAAGGTTGCCTTTATGACCGAATTTGCTGCTAATTGGGGCCTCCTCGCTGGTTCGATTCTCATTGCTGCCCCAGTGGTATGGATGAAGGTCACAAACCACACTGAGCTCGAGAAGGATCTGGTCTTCACTGACGAGACGAGGGAGGAGGTCGTCGCCACCGACCCCACGGCAACAGACGCCAAGCACTGATATGCTTGGCTGATGCTGTTACGCAATGAATGTATCAGTCGCATATTCTTGTCGATACTGCTGTGGCGAGCAAGGCGTGGTTACAGACCTGCTTTCAGATACAGAATACGGAGCTTCAGTGTGACACCAATGAGCGAGCGGTCTTTGTTGCTGCTAGCTTACAATACCTATATAGCTATGGCTCTTTCAGATACGAAGTTCATGAATTGATATCCCCTGATCCACATATTGGTCAATACTTTCTCGTCCATGGTCTCTCAGGAAGTCATGCGAGCTACTCAGACCTATGATGCTGGCACAGGCATAGCGAAGCCATACCATAAGCAAGGAAACCTGAGCCCCGGCAACGTGAGGCCAGAAGTTTGGAGTCTCGATGTGGTTCTATGCCAAGAATTTCGCAAAGCGGGAATCTTCTCAGGGCACGCCTGACTGAATATTGGAAGGTTCCGACACATCTGGTGACGCTGATGTCGATATCTTGCGACCTTAAGGACAAGTGCTGCGTGGTCATTTCTCGACGATGGTGTCACATATGAAATATTGCTGCAGCTGACAGCGCGATGGCAGGTTTGCATTGCCAACAACAAGGACTTCAGCAAGGTCAAAGCTGGAGTACTTCGTGTCCTTCCCTGCGGCTTGAGAGAGGTGGTAGTCGAGGATGCAGTCGACCATTTTCACTCGAACCTTCGAAGCCCGGGACAAAATCCACTTCGACGATTCACCTAGCTTCCAATCCTGGGATGTTGCATGCAATGGACTGACGTCTTGGAAGAGCCGCCCGATCCATTAAGCAATCAGACCATTGACAAAGATGGCGCAAACCATAACTCGACAGACCAAGGCAACTCATGGTTGCTGTCAAACCTTCCATGAAGGTCCCAGAAGGGGCCAGAGCATCCCTCAAGTGACTTGCAAAGAATCAATTGCTAATTGTACGCATCTGTTGCGAGGTCACCCTGATCCGTTACCTTTGAGCAATCACGATCCAGCATTCACTGCTGAGCGTGAATTGGACACTGTGTTTTGGCGCACCTCATTATTTGCAAAGTCCTAGTCTAAGATGCCTCCTGGAACACAGAGCTTGCTTCTCCTCGTCCCTAAACCTCGCGTTGGGCTGCTCATTGTTAGAAGGCCTTGTCTGGCATTCAGCAAGCACTCACGTCAACTAGAAAGGTTGGCACAATTTCATGAGATAGAGAGAAGATGGAAAACTTGCAATTCCAGACAATGAGCCAGCGCGTACTGAGTACCCAGAAAGATCTTGTGGTGAGGCTATTACGCACGCTATATAGTCATCAATGCTCTGCTGATATACCATGGCCGTAAGACCTTAACACACCTTGTCTTCCTTACAGAATCTACGGTTAACTCCCATGAGGGATACTACGACGACTACCCTGCCACGAGGCCCCTTTTCGCTTTTCCATGATGACATAACAACGTCCAACGTCCGCAGACGCGTTTAGCCTCAATGAGCACCTCAAGAGAACGATCAGTGACTGAATGTCTCCACAGATGGCCGTGGCAGTTCGATTCACGCAGCTCTTGAGGCTCCTTCTCGACCAATCTCCTCCCCTTCCCTCAACTCCACTGAGCCCAACAACGTATTCACGACGAGGGCTTGCTTCTACCACAATCAGAAAACACCAATTGAATGTTATTTTGACACTATTTCTGGCTGGCAGTACGCGCGAACTTCAATAGGGACTTCAGCATCTTGCCTATAAGTACCACCAGCCCCCCTTCCGAAGTTGAACTTCTTGCTCATCATCCACATCAAATCCATCTCGCCAAAGCGCGCCAACACAATCATGAACAACGTTCCAGGCGTAGCAGGTCACCAGCAACCTGCTGCGGCTGGTGTGCCGCTGTTTATGCCTCCATATCCCACCCTCGCGCCACTCCCTCCACCTGCCGCTCCTCAGCAGCCACCCCACCTGCTGCCTCCTCACTTGCAGTACTACCAACTCCCGCCTCTATATCAGGAACCAATGGTGTTTCTGGATAGGGACACTTATCAGATCCTAGTCGAAGCTCTTGCAAGGGCAAGAGATGCGAATGGCGCTGACTGGGGCGCCAGAGATTTCGAGGACTTCCATATCGAGATTGAGTATGCCTACAATCGTCTTGTTGGTATGAGCGCTGTGTTCGATGTTCCAGGACAAGATACCATCGCCGAAATGGCTGAGGATCGTGCCACAAGAATCGAGAACGCTGGTGCGCGAAGACAAAACGCTGCGATTGCGGAACAGCAGCAGGTCAAAGCGAAGGAAGCTGTTGACGAGTATCTACGCATCGTCCACGCCAACGGCAACGCCGAAGCTAGTGCTGAATCAATTGAGCGTATGCAAAGACTGTTGTTCGAAGCTCGTTACCGATCCGACGTGGCCGCATGGTACAACAAGCTTGAGAGAGAGCCCGTTGAGCAGCTGCGCCAGAGACGACGTTTGGAAGAGCAGTAAGTGCGATATCGAGGGTGGTTGAAACACGGCTAACGTACTTCTAGGCAACAAGATGCTCGTCAACTTGCACAATCGGAAGCATCCGTTCAGCGTGACTTGGCCAGAGCCTTCGACCAGCAACCATAGAAGGTCTTGGTGCCCGTAAGATCCGCCGCCCAGGGAGGAGATAAGTTGTGGTCAGATACTTGAACATCTCTCAGGAGTCCCAGGTCGTCCGATTAGCACAAGGAAAGAATCTTGGAATACGCAGCGCGTGGATAGCAAGAGTCGTGGCAGAAGAGCGAAGTCCATGAAAAGTAGATATCAAGGCACTGCCGTAATACAGCACGAGCAACTAGCGGACCATCTGTAGGACCGTATTTTTCGCTGCAATCCAGCCTTGGAACGGTCTTCGCACCGGGTGCCCTTCATATTGCGATGCTCGATCGTCTTACGTGTCTGTGGCTTCTTTACTAAGTAGTTGGGTCTCTCATTGCGTGGAAGCCTTCGTATATCAGGAGGGCCTGACTGAGACAGCTCACAGGTCATTGCTTGAATACAGCATGCTGTGTTGCTAATACTTTTTGGCTGTCAAGATTGCTAAGTATGCACAGTAAAGCATAAGCCATAAGCAACGTCGTTAGTTGCTGCTGGTACTAGCTGCCTGTTTGCCTTGCCAAGACGTTAGTGTAAGGCGGCTTTCCCTTCTCAACTACCTAAGGAGTGCAGAGCAGGCACTTAAGTCTCCAGCACAATTGTTGTTGGTCTGTGCGCCCTTGGTTGTCTCGCCCTTGGTTGTCTCATGTGCGATTTGTAGCTCCTAGGGAAATTGCTGCTCCAACAATGCTCGTTATCTCCTGGGGCAGCTACCGGTGTCGCATCGAGTGCTGACTTGGCTCACTATGGCGCGAGGAACGACATGCATGCGTTCAGAACTGGACAGCCTCAGCGAGCACCGGCTTCTTCGATTGTCCCCTCATTCGCGACTTCACTGTCTACCTTGGAAGCAGCATCTGCAATGTGTGGAAGGCATAAAGTAGCAGGCTGAAGGCCAGCCTGACAGCTGCCAAGCTGCCATTGACGTCACGAAACTCATAGAACGTCTGTCCTGCACTACACTGCATCCGGATGGCATTTCCATCTAGCTGAATCTGCAATTCTTGATCGCCAGATAGCATCCATTCCCCTCCCGTCATGCTCTTCAGGTTGTTATGTAGTTATGTGACGCTTGAGCCGCCGCCCTTTTCACCTTGGACTCTGAATCGCCGTGCATATGGAGTGTACTTGAGGCGGAAGTCCCAAGTTCACCTTCTCGGCATCGGGGTGAGATGCAGCGGATACTAAGGTGAAACCTGTTGCAGCGTGCCCCCCTCAGCTCGACAGGGATGAGACCCGATTCAGCTCGCATGTCATCAGTGGGGAATCGTTGCTGGTCGCACAAGTCTGGACCGTGCCCTCGATTTTCAGAGGCGGGATTGAGTTTGCCATCGTCATTAGTGGCTTATTCGTACTCCACATTCCATCAGATTGCCGATTTCGATGTCCATATGTGTTGTTTACCATTCGAAAGGAGTCCAATGTGTCGCAAATTAGATACAACAGCAGAGCATGTTGATCAAAGCTCGTCGTGGTCGTTGATTGTCCAGTACCAACGTGAACCCGTCAGTACGATTATCCGAAATATCCATCAACAGAAGGCCAGGAAATTCAGTGTCACTGCGGGAGTGGCTTGCAACCACCAAACTCTACCTGAACCTCTGCAGGATGACGTCTGGCGCCCATCAATAAAAACAAGTCCAACTTATCAACATACTTCTTAGATTTCGTTCCACTATCATTATTCACCCGCACATTACCTTGCTGTCGCAAAGATGGCGTCTTCCACGCTGTACAGCCTCGTTCGGCGACAGCAGAACAAGCAAGATGCGGCACAGAACACCAGCAATTCGGCTTCGAGTCTTGTATCAACTCTCGTGCCAACCATCTTGATCGCGGCTGCGATATTCATCGTTTTCCTGGTACTGCGGAATAAACTTGCAAGAGTCTTCCAGGCACGAACTTTTGATGGCCTGGTTGCCAAAGAGTAATGCCTTGCTTGATACTATTCGGCTCTTGCTGATGATGAACAGTGCCCAAACCCCAGCGCCCAAGACGAGTTTCTTAGGCTGGCTGTCTGACTACCGTCAACTGTCCGATGAGCACATTCTACAGCACTCGTCACTCGATAACTATTTCTTCGTCCGATATCTGAAAATGCTCATGGTCATCGCTTTTGTCGGCTGCTGCGTTACATGGCCAATCTTGTTCCCCGTCAATGCTACTGGTAAGGGCGGTCAAAAACAACTCGACCTCCTCAGCATGAGCAACATTGCCAATCCAAATCGCTATTACGCACATGCCTTGACGGCTTGGGTATTCTTCGGTGCGTATATCGGTCTAGACATCATGCTTTTGCTTACAACCCACAGGATTCGTCCTCTTCGTTGTCGTCCGAGAATCGTTGTACTTCATCGGTGTGCGTCAAGCTTACTTCATGACCTCCTTCCACGCTCAGCGCTTGTCATCGCGCACGGTATTGTTTCTCGGCATTCCAAAAGAGAGTCTGTCCGAACAGGCACTCCGACAAGTCTTCGGCCATCATGTCCGCAAAATCTGGATTGTGCCGGACTGCGAGAAGCTCGAAGACAAGATTGAGGACCGCGATGATCTATGGAACAAACTTGAGACCGGCGAAATGAAGCTCATCATCAACGAGAACAAGAAAGCCCAGAAGCAAGCCAAGAAGAAGGGAGCAAGCGCCAATCCTACCAATCCTTCTGATCCGTTAGCTTCGGTCGGCAAAAAGGACTGGCCTACGCACAAGTTGAAGTTCTTGATCGGTAAGAAGGTTGACACAATCCAATACGGCCGTGCAGAGCTCCCCAAACTCAACAAGGACATTCAAGAGATGCAGAATGAGCATTTCGATGGACGCGGAAAGAGCTCATCTGCCGCATTCGTTGAGTTCTCGTCCCAGGCCGCGGCGCAAGAAGCTATGCAATTCACCGAGAACAAGAAGAAGAAGACGAAGTTCTCACCAAGATACATCCAAGTCCATCCCGAACAGGTCATCTGGAAGAATCTGGCCATGAGCAAAGCCTCGAGGAAACTTAAGATGGCCCTCGCAACCACGGTAGTCACTCTCATGACCATATTCTGGGCCATTCCTGTCGCGTTCGTGGGATCGTTGAGTAACGTCAACTATCTCACCAACGAGTTGCCGTGGCTTGGCTTCATCAACAGCATTCCAGATGTGATACTCGGCGTCGTTACTGGTTTACTACCCGTTGTTCTCCTTGCCGTACTGGTGGCACTAGTCCCAATCATCTGCAGACGTGAGTCTCCTGCCCTGAAAATGAGCCTTACTGACATAACCAGAACTCGCCAAATTCGCAGGTGCACCAACCCTAGCAGTCGTCGAATCGAAGACGCAGAGCTGGTACTTCATCTTCCAGGTGATCCAGGTGTTTTTGATAACAACATTCTCTTCAGCTGCGTCTTCAGTCGTTACACAAATCGTCCAAAACCCTGGATCCGCCGTCAACTTACTCGCCAAGAACCTTCCGAAGGCATCCAACTTCTACATCAGCTATTTCATTCTTCAGGGTCTCATGATTTTCGCACTACAGATTCTCAATATAGCCGGTCTTCTGTCGATCTATGTGCTCGGCAAGATCTTGGGCAAGACGCCGCGCAAGCAGTACACCCGTTGGATGCAGCTTATTGGACTCGGTTGGGGCTCAGAGTACCCCAAGATCACCAACATGGGCGTCATCATGTTGTCATACAGCTGTATCGCGCCGCTGGTTTTGGGCTTTGCTACAATTGGCTTCGCTCTGATGTATCTGGGTTTCCGCTACCAATTCTTGTTTGTCTTGGGTCTCAAGGTCGACATGAACGGCGAAGGATATCTCAAAGCACTCCGCCAACTGCTCGTGGGTCTTTACTTGGCGACTTGGTGCCTTATCGGCCTTTTCGCGATCAGTGTTGGCGATTCGAGGGCCGCTATCGGCCCACTTGTCCTGATGGTGGTGTTCCTTGTCGTTCTCATCGTGTGCAATGTCCTGGTTAATGCCGGTTTGAAACCTCTGGAAAGCAACATTCCGCTTGATCTACTCGCCGGCAACCAGGCCAGCCGAGTGCTAAGCGCTGAATCGACAGAAGAAGGCCACGGCTACGACTCCGACGACACGAGAGCCGATCCGAACGCTCTGCACAACACCTCCAATGGCGCGCCAATCGTGAACAAGGGGGAACGCGCGCAACCTCAAAATGAGTGGCAACCCTCCGTCCCGAAGGACAAGCGCAAGAGCAACTTCCTCACAAGTCGCTTCGAGAACGCGATCGACAAATCGCGAGCCAAGGCCAGTTCCAGGCTCTCTCACGACCAGGTTGAGAAAATGCCACTTACGACGCTGAAACTTCGCAACAAGCATACATGCACCCGGCACTTGCGGCGCCGAAGAAGGACATGGTTGTATGGCTAGCGCAAGACAAGCTGGGAATTTCGAGGGAATTGGTACGGGGCAACAAAGAGGCGGGCATCAACAGCACGGATGAATTCGCTTGGCTGAACGAAAAGAACAAGGTGGAATGGGATACGACGCAGCCGGAGAAGGTGCCGATTTATGACGAGGTCAGGTATTGGTGAGAGGCTTCTACTCAGACCGGAATCGTGATTTAGCGGGCAGCTGCAGCGACACTTGTTTCTGAAGCGCGGCGCTGTCTGCAGGAGGGTAGGGGGAGTTCAGGATCTCAGCTACCGGCGGCAATTATTCCTAACCTTTTAATTCTTATTGTTATAACAGCATACAGAGCACGCAGCAAATGCAAAATTTCTATACCTTGCACGAATACTGGCAGTCGGTCGCCCGAAGTACCTCCTTTAGTGGTCAGCCGCCCGTTCTTGCTGCATCCATCGTGATTGGCTGTTGGCCACCACCCGCTGTGCAGGAGCGCGTGCTCATTGCCCACAGAAATGCGTCGCTGCCATTCCAGTGCCAACGTCCAGAGCCCCATTGCTAGTTTTACTCGATGCAGGTGACTTGCGTCGGTACTATGCAGTACGCAAAACCACCCCTTGCGTCCACACCACACGTTCTATCAACGATACTACTCTAGAGGGCGGGTTCCACGCATTCTATGCGAGTTTTTAAGATTTCCCAGGCAGAGCACAACTATTGTGTAGCCATGTTAGGGACGGGATCACCGACCAGGCCCCGAGGCGGTCTCCGGCACGCCTTGACCACAACGACGCTTGCCATGCCTTCGCTCTGCTGCGAAGGGCAGGAAGATCATGAGCAAATTTACTAGCGTGCAACCGTGAATGTCGACCGGTGGGGTGCCTCATAGGCAGCAGGCAAACATCGCTGAAGTTTAGGTGTCAGCTCGAGGCTTTATTTAAAATGACACAAGCTGAAGGCTGCAGGCCGCCAGGCTGCGGTGGAAAGGGGGTCCTCCCAACCCGTACTCTCCAGCTGTTCGGTGCTGCTAGGCGGATTGGTCACCTGATTCGCTTTTGGTCATAGTACGCTGCAGAGTTGTTGCTGCTGGTGGACTGATCAGAGACATTTCGTGCCCTTTAATGCCGGTGGTATGATGCTGTTCCTCAAAGGCGAGGTGGTCGGGTGCGTGCTGTAGCTGGCTTCGCTGCGACGTTCTTACCAGGACAACCGGGCAATATCATTATTATCATTGTTATAATTATCATAATTATTGGGAGTCCGATTATTGTTATCGTTGTTAACCAAGGAGGGCTCCCAAGTAATAAGTAGGATTTCTAGTCCTGTGATCGTGTCCGTGTCTAAATTTGCGACTGTGACCGTGCTCCGCTGACCCTTCCGCGATGTCCAACGTTTTCCATTCCATCTCCTTCCCATCACTCGTACGCGGCCCTTCTGCTACCCTTGCACCAGCCTCATGGCAAATATCGACCAACAATGTGTCGCCTGTGCAGAAGGATGCGGAACCGAGCCAACTCACCACCTGCATGCGGCAATTGGTCACTCGGTCGCCACTCCCCAGTCTGCGGGTCCCGAGGAGGCTGTTCCAGCCCTGTGATCCTCCCAATCCCAGGAGGAGGCCGACACGTTTTCCATGACTCCCGACCTGAGCGTATCCCTTTGTCGAAGCCAAAGGGATGGGTATGGCAGACTGTGGGAGTCACGCCGTGAAAACCGTCGTAGAAGAAGTATTGACAGCGGCAGGCCGAATCGCAGTTGCGCAGACAGCAGCATGGGCCAGATGCGTAGCACTTGAGGTGGTGGGCGCCCTTGCAGCATCTTCTTACGGAGGGGGCCGCCGGCAAGGGGCCTGTAGGCAAAGGCTGAGTTGGGACGAGACCGACGTTGTTTGTACTGCGTTGAGCGGCAGTGATTGCGCTGTGTCTGTCGTTGCCTTGCTGCTGCGACGAGGATGGTGATTCGCTCCTTGTGTTGAATGGTGACGGTTGAATAGGGGCGGAATTAGCTGCTGTGGGGAGAAGTGCTGCAGAGTGACGGGCCGGAGAACGAGGCCCTGTAGGCGAGGGGCTGGTCCAGACAACACCGACGTCTCTCCCACTGCCGTCGACAGAAGTGACTGGGCGGCCTTCGCCATTATCCCTATGGCGACGAGCTTCTTCGGCGCGTTGTTGCAGCCTTTCGTCCTCACGCAACTGGGAAGCCGTGGCGACGGCGGCATCCAGTTGGACTTGTCGCTGCTGCGACGAAGACGGCGGCTCTCCGCTTCCGTCAAATAGTATAGGCGGATCAAGGTCAGGACGAAATGCTGTAAGCGGACTTCCTACGCGCGGAGTTGCTGTAGCCAAGGATGCTATTGCTACTGTTGAGTAGTTCCTGGAATGAGGAGGCTGGTAACGACTTGGAGTTGGCGCAAGCATATGCCGAGTAATCTAGAGGGCGGTGTTGGCGTAGATGCAGTGCGCGGAGACGGTGTAGACGCAGGTTGTACAGCGAGCGACACTGTAGTCGAGGATGAAGAAGGTATCGTCCTTCGGAATGCTTCACACGCCTGGAGGTCCAGTAGCTTGCTCATGTGTGGTGTCTCTAAATGCGAGGGTTGTTTAGCGATTGCTGCTCTTGAAGAGCCTTGGGTGGACATACCTGGTACCGAGGTTTCGATCAAGCGACGCAATGGCAATAGATCTGTAGCTGGTGGACTGTCTTCCGGCGGCGGCGAGGCGTTCTGCGTAGCGTTATTCGCTTCCGCGCCAGTGTCGCGGTGGAAGTCGTTTCGGAGACTTTTCTGCTCCCAGTCCGCCCCTATATTGTGATGAATGTTGTCAGGAACCGAGTTGGCATGAGTGCGGTGGTAAGGACAAGGGTTGAGATGTTTGAGACAGCCTGGGGTTGGGCATCTGAGCAGTCCAGATGGTGTATCCTGGATTGCTGTTGTTGACTGTGTACCAATTAAGGATGGCACGACTGGTAGCTGGTGACCAGTGAAAAGAGGCCTCCTACGAGGAGTGATGTCGAGAAACTCTGAGCCACGGTCGAGATCGGCGAAAGGACGATAAGTCGGTGGATTGGCTGTCAGAGACGGGCTCGATTCCACCCTATGGGATGGTCCCGCTCCTGGAGCAGCAGACGAAGAAGCCGCGTTGTTGTCTTCTGGCCGTAAAATTTGGCGCCACATTTCCCTGGTCAAAGGTCCTGTTCCGTGAGAAGGTGTCCGTGAGAAAAGTCAGTATCGCTCTCAGTGTCGCTCATGTTTGGTACCTCTATAGTGCTTCTATACACGTGAGCTTTGCTGCAGCTGGCGACTTTTTGGAATTCCAATATATACATTTTCCGCTGCGGTTTTCGCCGAGTTGACAACGATGGAAGACAGTAGATGTATAGTCAGCAGTTGCTGTTGCCGTGTGGGATACCGGAGAGAATTGATTCTGTCCAGGTATTGAAGAAGACAAGTGGCTTTCGGAAAAGGGATTCTGGTCGTTGAAATTATGGAAGACAATAGAGCGGCGTATGGAAACGACAAAATAGAACCGCAGCTGAAAGTGGTGTATATAACGACGAGCAGGTAAAGGTAATCAACGTCTAGCCGGTAGACTTCGAGAAGCCGTCGCAGTACCAGACTTGACATAGGGACAAATCCTCGCCGGAGGAACAGGTGGATCCTCCAGTAGATAAAAATGACTGCGAGCTGAGCTGGTGGCTTCTGTATTCGATTGATCCGTCGCATGAGGAACCTGTCGACCCTCGGCACGAGCTTTCCGGACGCAGGAATCACAGTGCGAGATCGAGCAGGTAACAATGGAACAGGAACACAAGTGCAGACAATGGTGAAAGACTCTTGTGTGCAGCTATCCAAACTCCGGCTCTGCGATGGCGGTCAAGCTTGCTATACCTGACGTTTCGCATCATTCGTCCTCCATGGCGGCTGATGGAGGAAAGTCTAACGGGTGCGGAGCGGATACCTTGGAAGCTTGGCTGTAGGATTCGAGCAACTTGAAATGTTGTTGTGTATTTCAGCTCCGAGTCGCACGGGTGCATCTCCGCAATCTTTCCGCGCCTTCCAAAGGCCGCCCAGAGGTGCTGAAAATCCCTCAAGACAGAGCCTGATGTCGATCTGCGCGCGGGAATCCTGCGACTCTGAGATAGTATTAGCGGAGCCCTCCTGGATGGCGTGAATGACTTTCCTTAAGTTAATTCTTGCTTGTACCTGGAAAGCTGGTAAATGGCTTCCTGCAGACACATGATCTGAACGTTGCAATGTTCGATGATCTGAACTCGATTTTGTCGAACATGAGTCGCATCGCCGACAGAGTCCTCCTCGTGCTGCAGGTCAGCTATGCGTGCTTTGTCCGCTTCAACCTGCTTCTCAACCTCCTCATCCAGCTTATCGACAACATTGCGACCGAGTCTAATAATCTTGGCACTGACATCTTCAGGCGTGTGCTCGGTGTCGAGCTTCATGCTGCCGTCCTCCAACTTGGTCCAGGTGAGTTGCTCGACGCCGAACTTCTCGAGTATGACTTGGCTCTTACGGACGAACTTGGGGTTGTTGCGGCGTGACGTCTTGCGTTTGAACATCTTGCAGAGGGTCATTAGAGTGATGAACTCGCCGTAGCTGATGAATAATTCGATTGGTCGACCTCCGCTTGCAGGAGCCGGGGAGGCTTTTGCGACAGCATCCTCCTCATTGACTGTCGAAGCCATGACGAGCTGTGATGCAATATGTGGCGCTGCTTTGTCGAGATGTCGATGGACGAACAGTGAAAGAGGAGGTGTAGTGTTGCTTGTGAAAGGCGAAATCGTTTGTCTGGACTTGCACCTCCCGTAGCATTGTAGTCACATTTGGACACAGAGGGCGCCGCGGTGACCAGCGTGTTGCAAGTCGGGTGGTAGAGGCCGTCTCAAGGTGACTATTCAATGTGGGTGAATGTGAATCTGGGCAGAAATCCAAGCCACAAGAGGCCAGTGATCAGACCGTGTACAGAAGTTGAAACGCGGCTTGTGTGTGTAATTTGAGGTGAGTTAGTGCTTGATGCGATTGGGAATCCTCTGCAGGCTGATTTGCTCGCGATGCCACCACTCAACGTACAGGGGCGGAACTCGATATCAAAACAAAAAGAACGCAACATGTTTGTGGCAAGTGTGGGTATCACCATGCTATCAATTCATCGTTTCTACACAAGTTATCGTTCCGTGTCCGTTCTTCGTTACCTCTTGAGAGGTGTCTTACCAGCCGATATGCAATGAACGCCGTTCTGGTGCTAGATGTGCGTGTGCAAATGCCGCTCAACGTGCGTAGTCATCAAACGAGGGATCTCTGATACTGCCGCCAGCATCGCCGAGACCAGCCACCGGGCGATTGTATGACCAGCCAGCAAATTGTTGCTGCATAGTCTGGGACAGAACCGGACCCTCAACGTACGAGTCCTTGGGCACTTCGGAGGTGAATTCTTTGTCAAAGTTTTCGGTATCACGAGCGTCGGCCTGGAAAGATCAGCAGGGAACGTAATCTGGACAGGGAACCACATACCACATTGGGCTTGAAGCTTGGCTCGTATTTGCGCTGCAGCAGCTTCCGCCAGTCGATGTTGGCGAAGAAATGATGCGCTTTAATTTCGGAAGCGCCGTTAGCACCGAGACGCTGCTCTGGGTCGCGGTCGAGTAGCTTGGTCAGAAGATCTTTGGCCGCTGCAGGGACGATCTCTGGTCCAGGGAAGTGAAGAGGCTCTTGCAGAATCTTGCGGTACATCTCGTTGGTGTTCTCGTCGTAGAAAGGTGGCAAGCCTGTCAACATCTCGTACAGCAAGACACCGAGAGTCCACCAATCGACTGATTTCGTGTAGCCGTGACCAAGGAGCAGTTCGGGAGCTAGATACTCAGGAGTTCCGCAGAACGTATTGGTGCGATCTTCGTCCTTCATATCCAATTTGCAGAGACCAAAATCGCATAGGGCAATGTGACCGGAATAATCGAGAAGGATGTTCTCAGGCTTGAGGTCTCGGTAGATGACCTTGAAACCGTGCAGACATTCTAGTGCACAAAGAAGCTCGGCTGTGTAGAATCTTGATCGATTGATGTCGAATCGCTGCTCTTTCTGAAGGTGGTGGAAGAGCTCACCGCCGTTGACAAAAGCAAGGACGAAGTACAGCTTGTCTGGTGATTGGAAGGAGAACTTGAGGGGTGTGATGAAGGGGTTGTTGATCTGGGCCAGGACCGATCGTTCGGCGAGGGTGTGAGCGACTTCTGATCGAGAGATGATGTGTGCTTTGCGAATAGTTTTGAGGGCGTAGATTCGGCCAGTGTCCTTCTTCAGGACCTGCATGACTTTGCCAAAGCTCCCTCTGCCGACAACCTTGAGCAGGTCGAAGTCATCGATCTTCAGGCTACCTTCGCGGTTCTCAACGTAGTTAACGCCAATCTTGATGGTGCCGCTTCCGAATTGAATATCGCGCCACTCAGCGCCAAGTTGGCCAGCCTGTGCTTCTTGATGACGATGAGCCGCCTCAGCCTTCTCGTTGTCCTTCTTGCTCTTCTTGGGATCTGCGACGAAAGGTCGGGCTTCCTCAAATCTAGCTGTATACGCGCGCCACCCAAGAAGATGTCTTCACTTCTGCCAACACCTGGTCGTGCAGCCGGGTTTCGCAGGTACAGTTGGACGCTCAATTCGGTAACTCTTGATACATCGAACTTGAATGAGGTGTTATCTCCAGCCCATAATGGGTTCTCAGGGCTGCCTGAGACTGCATCGACGAAGACCTGGACCTTGTCGAAATCTAGGAGAGCGTAGGGAAGGTACTTGCTATTGTATCGACCATGGATCGTAGGAGCGGCATTGATCCCGCCGTGCGTTGAGACAGGACGATTGCTGTGAGCATAGGAACCAGCGACGGAGTTTGCGGAATATGAGGAGTTTGGTCGGACAGAGCCGGCTTGAGCACCACCGTAGTAGTTGTTGAACGCCTGCTGGTATTGCTGCGGCAGAGAGAAGCCCTTGCCTTCGTGCAGGGTCACGATCAGGATACCTGGCTTGGTCGTCTGTACAGGGGGATTGCTCATAGCCTCAGAGGCAGCTGAGATTCGCCGAGTCAGCCAACACATCTTGTTACCATAGCGATTGAGTGGTCTGCTTCACTTACCAATTCCATTGGCAGAAGTTGTGCTCACATTGCTCGGCGTTTGTGACATTGTATTTGGGGGTGCATCTTGAGGTGTAGGTGTGTGCTCCTCTTCACCCGCTTTCACTGTTGAAGTCGAAGTTGAGCGACTAAACCCACTCGTGAGCGGCGCCAGGTGTGTTTCCTTCAATTCTGTGTTGGTATTAGCAATCACTCCCGAGGTCGATCAGCGCGAGGGTCTCGTACTTTTCGTGAGTTTCCACGACATCTTGAGAGAAGCGAAGTCAGCCCTGTTACCTCCGCAGTCTTCCTTCCCTCAAATACTCCGAGGTCTGGCGGCTTCTGGCGCTTCGATTACGCCAGTGGACAACAACCTCAGGAGTTAGCACGGAGGATCCAAGTGCGATTGCGATCGTTCGGTAAGGAGCGAAGTGGTGGTAATTGGATAGCGACAGAGCGAATGATCCGAGGCAGAGGAGGCGACAAAGAAGTGTGAGGGTGTACAAGAGTGTGGCTGTGAGTGCAAGAAGTATCTTGCTGGATACTTAGTACTTCCTGACAACAGGGAAGACCGCCGTTTGAGACAACCCCCGCATCACGTGACAAATCAGCCCTCACGCGGATAATACTGCCGTCAGGATGGCAAGTCAACTTCACTCAGCCTCCAAACCCTCGAGATCATCGACGAAGCGACGCCGGTCATCGCCACCATCAACCCCGGAAGACGCGCCTGAAGTCACAACACGTCTCAATCCTGCCCGTAGCACGCGCCGAAGAGTCAACTACACATATCCCGATCAGCTCGCTGGTTCCGAGTCCGACAGCGATCGCGACTCTGCGGCCCCGCCTACACCGTCTCCAGCACCGCGACGTATCTTCAGCGCCAACTTCACCAAGAACGTTGATAAATTCAGACGGATCGTCGCCACAGAATCGGAGGAAGAGGAAGATGAGCGGATCGAGCGCAGCATGGGCGTAATCAGAAAAAACGCTGCCTCGAGGGGCTCTGATGGTGGAACAAAATATCACTGCGATGTCTGCTCGATCGATATTACCTCAACAGTGCGCATTTCCTGCGGCGACCCTGCATGTCGGGAGTATGACCTCTGCGTACCATGCTTCGGCGAAGGCAAGAAGAGCAAGAATCACGACCCCCAGACACATGCATTTCATGTAGTCGAACAGAACTCGATCCCTATCTACAAGGAGGACTGGGGCGCCGATGAGGAGCTGCTACTACTCGAAGGCTCGGAGAGATATGGTCTTGGTTCATGGGCTGATGTTGCAGAACACATTGGTGGCTATCGCGAAAAGGACGAGGTTCGAGACCACTATATCGACACATATGTTGATTCAAGTCTATTTCCCCTGCCAGATCTTGCGGACCCAGCAGATACCGCCCTCTTCGACGAAATTCCCAAAGAGACATTTCAGGCTCGCAAGAAGCAACGCATAGAAGAACGCACTGAGGCCGCCAAGACCGCTCCACCAGCAACCCCAAAGCAGAAACCCACCGCTTCGGTCCCTGCCTGTCACGAAGTCCAAGGCTTCATGCCTGGTCGCCTCGAGTTCGAGACTGAATTCGCCAACGATGCCGAAGAAGCAGTCCAACACATGTCCTTCGAGCCCGGCGACGGCATAGATCCAGTCACCGGCCAAATGGACGAAGAGACACACCTCAAGATGACCGTCTTCGACATCTACAACTCTCGACTCATGTCTCGCACAGAGCGTAAGCGCATCATCTTCGAGCACAACCTTCTCGACTACAAGAAGAACCAACTCCTCGAAAAGAAGCGAACCAAGGAAGAAAAGGACATCCTCCACAAGGCCAAACCCTTCGCCCGCATGATGAACCGTAAAGATTTCGAAACCTTCAACAACGACCTCCTCCTCGAGCACAACCTCCGAGTCGCCATCGCCCAGCTCCAAGAGTGGAAGCAAATGGGTGTCAAAGACCTCAAAGAAGGCGAAAAGTATGAGCACGACAAACTCGTCCGTGCCCAAAAGAATCAACCACAAGGCCAATTCGACCGCATGCCACAGATCCCTAAGAAGGGCCAACAGCAGCAGCAACCCGATGGTCCTACCGAAGCCTCCAAGTTCACTACCCCAACCCTTCCAGAACGCTTCCAGAAGAAGCCTCGTACCGTCCCTGTCTTCGCCGACAGCAAGCCCGTTGTCGAGAATGACTTCGACAAGATGTTTGCAGAAACTACCGGCACCGATACTCCATCTCAGAAACCCAAAATCCGCTACGTGGTCCAGCCGCTTAACGGCGTCACCCCATGGAAGCTTGAAGAAGACAAGTCCGTCGCTCCTGACCTGCAGTTGCTTAGCGAAGAAGAGATCCAGTTGTGCAATGCTGTTCACGTTCGTCCGAAGCCGTATATCGCGCTCAAGGAGGGCCTGTTGCGGGAAGCTCTGAAGCAGGGCGGCTCGTTGAAGCGCAAGGAGGCCAAGGCTGTGTGCAAGATCGAGAGTCAGAAGGCGAGCAAGATCTATGACTTTATGATCCACAGTGGATGGATTACGAAGGGTTGAGGATACTCGACAACGTCGAGACACAAATACGAACAAAGATCGGACGGAATAGACCCTGCAGTGTGGTCTTACCAGATGGATATGATACCAACGAAGGAATGATGGAGTAGGATGGCAACGGAAATGGGAACGACGCCGGCATCGGTCTACGGTATGGAGATGATCTGTACAAAAGGCGCCATAAGACGCGTACATCAGGAAGGCCTCATATGCCGAACGCAGGATTCAGGAGAATTGGAACACATTGGGTCCAAAGATTTCAGGAGGCGCCCGTCACTGCAAGCGCATCCGGCAATAAAGAACATGGAAGGCGACTTCCGCCACGATAAGCTGCTGCAGTATCAACTCCAGCAGAGCCTTGAATAGCAAGGCAATGACGATGGACTTTGCCCACCTGTATCAGTCGTTCCTGGTCCAGACGCATGCGCTTGTATCTGTTTTCACCATCGTCCCTTTCAGTTCAGCTCACTGCTGATATGACAGAGCTGGCTCTCAGACCTCCACCAGAGCTTTGCGATACCTTGACCCTAGATAAATATCTATGCAACGGCGTGGTTCCCGAGCTCGCATACTGGATATCCTGTGATTGCCTCGCTGCACTGTTTTAGATGGATCAAGAAGGGTTTAGTTATGTTGGCCTTGCGGAGCAGATAGTTGTTCAGTTTCGTATCGGCTCTATGCCTAATGTCTATTTGCTTACATGTATTCACTCTGAAAGTCTGAGCCGCGGGCTTCTCTGTATGACAGTCATAGATCCCATTCAGCTATGGTACTGCTACAGGAGTATTGGTTTGCTCGCAGACCTTGACCGGCCCAGAGCGGGAAGGGTGGGAAGAGCCGACGATGGACTTGCCCTTGTACAACAGCCTCAGCGATGCTGTAGAGCTCCTTGGGCACCCGAATAGTCTGACAGCCATAGCCTAGGCGCCGTGCTTTGTCCTGAAGCCTGATTCTTGAGACTCCATAGCACCGATCGATGGCGTCGATGTGCGAGACCCTGATCGTACAGAAGCTCCTCTTTGGCTTCATATCTGGTGGAAGGTCAGCGAACACACCCCATCTGCCTCGCCTCTGACGTCAATCCGGCAGGAGAGGACCACAGCGCCTCGACACTGTGTTTGTGTTTCTTTATGGAACCTCGGCGATCGCAAGGATCCGTCAACCTTCTTTGCAGTCCTCCTCTAGCCCGCATCCCTTGGCATCCTGCCATTCTTCGTTCGCTTCCGCTAGACGGGCTGCTCGAGTCGCTTCGGCCTCCATTACTTCCGTGAACGACATTCGATGATCCGGGGCGCTGGACAAATGGTTCTCGAAATCTTGCATGGATCCAAAAGTGCGCTGACAGTCTATATTGCATTGGGGAACCATTTGGCGTCGACCTGTCAACTCTCTCACATCCTTGATGTCGCTCTCCAGGAGTCCGAAGGTCATCGCCGATGGTGTTGCTGGATTCTCGTCCAGGAGTTCTTCATATGTGAAAGGGCGTTGCAATGGATCCTGATATTGCACATCGGGAACCGGTACTCGATCTTCGACACGAACACGCAGTTCTTCCCAGGTCATTGGGCGATTGAGGAGTGGATCCATCAGCCTCGTTATAAAGACCCCTTCTCGGAGCGCGGCCTGCACCAACCATGGTACTACAGGATCATCATCGTGGCTCTCCAGAGGCTCCCAACCGTTACCGTACCTCTGCTCATCCAGGTAGGTAAAAGCACGACCGACGAAGACCTCTCCACCCTTACATGCCACCTCTCGTACGATTGCCAGGAGCAAATCAAGAATGCCGTGCTTTCGATCGAGTCTGAAATGCTTCTCCCAGTCTCCAAACTTATGAAGGTATTCAGATCGACGTTCGATGAACAGACGCAGCTTCCGAATATCCTTCGCCTGTTTCAGCGTTCGAAGCACATCGCCAAGCTTGAATTTCGCCGTACAATTCTTGTAGGATAGCCGGTTGTGTCCGTCTGGATGCTCGAGCTGACCAAGGTGAACGATCACAGCGACGTTGCGTGCTTGTCGGACTTGAATCTCGCGAACGCATCGGATTGCATGTGCACCACCTCCCCACGTGGACGGATAGGAGTCGCACTCGAAGACGGGAGGGCCTCGGTAGGTCAATTGGACGATGAGCTCTCCGTTGTTCCGGAGGAGCACCACGGTCTCGTTGTAGATCGTTGAGCATAGCACCAGGATTCGCCATCGACCGATGTTTTTATCACGGTGACAGTGAGACTTGAGGCATACGTTTGGTCCAGAAAGGAACATGCAGTCTGGCCGTAACGCGAAGTGCCAGATGCGATTCCGCACTTCCTTGGGTAAGTCGAGCAGTGACGTTGGGTGGGAGATTTTCTCTGTCTTTCCGGTAAGCAGCGACGATGTCGTGATCTTCGTGAATACCAGGGCATGCGATAGCGAATTCAGCTCGTTGCTGATCGCCGATGCGGTTGAAGACATCGTGGGCGATAGCGCTGCGTGGTCGATGTGGTGGTGACAATGCTGAGTCGATCGGTCGAAGAAGTTGGTTGCGCTGCCAGCTGGGAAGGGTATGTGATATATATAAGCGAGCAACTGTGAGTAGGTCCGTAAAGCACATGCTGTGACTTCACTGCACTGGTGGTAGCCATAGGCTATTTCACTTGCACGATTGACATAAAAATGTCACGCTGCCTCACGTCAGTGAAGACCAAGTACTTGTTGAAGCGTTCCAGGCTTTGGCAAGTGTAGACTGTGTGTCAAACCCGTGTGAAGCAAGTGCCTGGCTGCTTGAGCCATGTTTGAACATCACAACATCAACTCAACCCACGCGAGCAAGCGGACTTTGAGCTGAAGAGCCGTTGCATCAAAAATGGTAGATTGTGCTCGGGAATCCTCTGGTTCTGCCGATCTTAGCGATGTTCAACTCCCATACCGCCACACACAAGTAAATCTGTCTCTACTGTCGCCTCATCAGCTGTTGGATGTCGTAGCAACGGAACGACTAAGGTCCGAAACGCTTATTGCAGCTCATGCCGCGGAGCCTCTCTCCCATTATAACGCCCCCCATCCAGCTCCGTCACCGGCGGCGGTGGCCTCTGAGACGAAGCCGCCATCTCCGCTGGGGCCGTCATGGTCGACTTGTAGCCCGGCGGCGGGCTAATCCCAGCACCATTCGGCGAGAACGGCTCACTCTCGACCATGTCCTTCCCTTTCAGCCCGTGCGATTGTCTGGCCTTCTTCATGCTCCACCTGTACCAGAACAAAAGACCAGCGAGCAGGGCTACGCCGCCCACGGCGCCACCAACTGCACCTCCGATGACGGCTGAATTGCTGCCCCCGCCGCCGGAGTTTGCCTGCTGCGCCGCCTTTCCTTGCACCGTCGCGACGTGCCAGTCTGCTTTGGCAGTGACGTTTGAGAGCGCATACTTGAGATAGCAGTTGAGGAAGCCACTCTCTGCGTTCGACTGATATAGAACGCCCGTGCATTCCCTGTTTCCAGAGTCTTGAGGATCTTTGTAGGACGCGCAACTATCCATGCATTGTTCAAAATTATCTGCGTGAACCTGTTTCAACGAGGGTCCATCGGCGGTATAATCACATTTTGGTTCCAGGATTGCGCTGTTGTTGGCTGTGTAGGCTGCTTGTGTGCATGTGCTGTTCACTTGGAACAGGCCGAGTGCGACTGTGTGCACCTTGTTCGGCTGAAGCTTGCTCTTGCCGCCAGATAGAGGCAGAGTGCCGTTGGCCCTTTTCGCGAAGCAGTTGTGATAGCTGAGGTTGGGGTCATCGGTATAGCGAACGCCGTAGCATAACGGAGATTTCGAGGAGCAGTACTCCAGGCATTCCTCAATGTTGTTCGCGTGAAAAGCCATATACTCGCTCTCGTTGGATCTATTCGGATCGAAACTATCACCCGCCGACCAGAAGGTTTCACATAGTATCTGGTACTGATAGCCATTGACATCTGTCTTGATTGTGCCGTTCGCGCCGGGACAGATATCCTTGCTGGCATCGTAGTCGAATTGACTGGAGAATGCGAGGGCTGTTGCGTTATTCGTGGCGGACACGAAATCTGCCGTAGTCGTGTTTCCATCTTTCTGCTGGCAACGGCTTTGGCTGAAGTCGTATGTGACAGCACGGCAAGCAGGGACGTCGTCTGCCCAACTCGTGGCACACGCTTCTATGCAGTCGGTGAATGTTTCGGATGTGTGATTCCGAATGTTGTTTCCTGGGGCGCCTGTCTTGCATTTCACGTTGAATTTGAGACCAATGTCGGTCGTGTAGTCCTGGTTCGCGCAATTACCTGAAGATGTCAGTGAACGAGAGAGGCCAGTGGCTGTAGAAAGTACCTACCTTGGCGAGGCAGTAGCGATGTTGCCACTGGGGTCACTACTAGAAATGGTAGTAGCGATCGCCGCATCGTAAGTTCTGCATGAAAGAATGTGGGTGAACCAGATCTGAGGGAAAGCAAGACTATTGAGCAGAATGATTGAAGGCAACTGTGTATACTTCGATGGGTGTGCGTTCAGTCCCAGAACGACTCCTAGGGGTCACCCATTGCATATAATCGCGTTCCAGCACGCCTGTCTCCCATGCACGGGCAGGGCCACGAAACCAAGTACCTGGTAGGGCGATTTCAACATTTCGACCTGATTGGGCGACTAAGGATCAATACAGGGAGGCCGCTGCGTATAACTCGCTCTTGAACCTGATGCGGTGGCTCAAACGATCGCACCGCCCCATGTCTCAATTTAGCATAAATCGCTTGGCAGGGTATGGTTCTTTTGGCTGCGAATGAGCCTAGTGGCGTTCGCCCCTGAAATTTTGGGGCCAAATCGTACGCTAGAGCTGCAGCCTCGACGGCCTGGAGATGCCGTTCCGGGCGCAGCGGGCGGCTTTCTCGCTTCCGTCGATCATGATAACTCAGCTGGCGCAGCGACACTGCTGGTGGAATGGTCGCTCGCGATATGGGAATTGGAATTGAAGGCCGGGATCGTAAGAACATAGACACTTACTATACTTTAGCACGGATCCCAGGCCGTGGGGTGCTATCCGCACGCTCGGTTTCTGCCCACCACGCAGCAATCCCGAGATTATCGACGTTGGTCAGATGTCGCAGCTTCCATAACGTGAGGTAACGCGGCAGAGGCCGCCGTGCATGCAGTCTCAACAGTCGTGTTCGGAAACGGCATGGCTTCTAGTCTAAAAGTCTATGGCTGGCTCATCGACCGGTATGTAGGTGGATGCTAGCACTGGCTCGGCTGCCCTCTGTCTACATTGAGTGAGTATATTGCCACACCGCTGTGAATCTCGCGAAAGGGACTTACTTTGAATCATTTTCCTCACCGCTAGCACCGAACTCGTTACTAGCACTGCGGTCCCAAATACTATACACATAACAGCCGGTATAAAGCGCCAGTTCCTCGTACTCAGCTTAATGTAACACAACGGCGGCAAGATGTAAGCCAACGCACAGGCGCTCGTCGCACCCACGAGCTCAAAAACAATTCCCAGATCACAAGTGACCAGACTGATACCCATGGCACTTACCACAAGCGCGCTTGTGAAAATCAAATGCCGCTGCGGATTGTATGGCTCTTCTGGGAACCAGTAGTTGTTCATTACTTCTCGGCAGACGAAGCATTCAAGGGGTAATGTAGTGAGCATGTTGAGGCCGAAACACAAACGAGCAATCTGCACCATCAGGTGGCCTTGGGATGGAAAGTTGTTGAGAACGTTGCCGCGGGTGAGATCGCCGAAGGTGAGGAAGCCGGATAGGGCCATAAGGAGGCAGGCGAGCAGGGAGGCGAAAGTACTGTAGTGCGTCACAGTAGAGAACCGATCGAGGGTCGGCTTGGACAGAGAGCCGTAGATGAGAAGTGAATTGTGGTGGCAGACGAATGCTAGGAATGACGGTCAGAAGAGTCCAGATTGTGTTGTGATGAACATTACCGAACGAGATGACTCCGACGGCCTGGAAGAAGCCGCTGTTGACGAAAAGCAAACCCTTAAGACTGCCGCGGAGATTGTTGTCGACCAAAGGCCCTTGCGTGAGAACTGTGATCACAATGATGAGCATCGAGAACAGAGCAAGCGTAGACGCTTTCGCAAGCTGAGTTGCCAGTTAGCATTCAAGGCGTTGGGAGCTTCGATTGTCCCGTACCTTCGCAATATCACGATACAAGCTCAAAGGCCAGCTTACTGCCAGCACAAACAGGACAATGATCGCCTCCCGGTTCGTCAGTAGCCATAGGAATCGCATTTCTGTTAGAGCCGGGAAAACTGCCTGCATCACATGTGGTATGGTATCTCCCACGATGATGCAAAACGCCAGCATGCCACCGAACGCAAATGCCCATTGCGCCACAGAGATTGCCAGTAGCCCGCTTCGTCCGAAACAGTGCTGCATAGTGCCCTGAAATGAGTCGGTTCCTGATAGCTTACTGTTGATCACGATGAGACGGATCGTCCAGTCGACGGTGATGGTAAGACCTATCAGCAGTACGATACCCATCGTAAGTCCGGCCTGACGGAAGGCATAGGGTTGACCGATGATACCTGATGATGTGTTATCCTCTGCTCTTTGGATTTGACGTTGTAGACCTACCAGCGCCGATGATCGAGTTCGCCATGTTCATGATTGCGCTCCGCATTCCGCTTTTAGGCCTGGCATTTGGTAAATGATCTTCTGGCTGAAAGGCCTCTGACAGAAACGGCGAGTCGGACGGAGGCGTGATATCTGTGAGCAGCGGCGCATCTTGACCCGGAGTACTCAGGTAGTCCTCCTCGTCTACCCATTCCTGCGACTGTTGGCGTTGATCTTCGATCTCAAAACGTACACGATTGGTAGTTCGGGGTGTGCCCGGCGGCCGAGGCTGCGACAGAGATGACTGCCGCTGCGGCGCTGGAGGGCGTGTGATATTCAGCCTCAGCTTCGAAGAGGGTAGAGCAGGCAGCTGGTCGTTGTCATCTGATGAATCTGTGTCGCGGATGAGAGGCCCGCTCTCGAGAGGGTCATTCGAAAGCCCAGGAGGGGGCGATCCAACATGGCCGTTCGTTGCAGCGTCATCGTTCATATCGGATGGTGCGCATCATGAAAAGCGAAAGACTTGCGCCGACCACAGAAGGGCAGGTCAGACCTGCAATGTCGGCACAGAAGAGGTCGAGGCTCAGGTCAGAGATCGCGCCAAGCCCTATGCAGTCTTCCGCGTGTCTCTGCACCCAGAGGAATTCAGTGATCTACTTGCGGCTACGAATTGCATCATCAATCTTAGGACCGAACCAGAGTAATAGTACCATTACTAGCTAAGGTATACCGGATAGCTCGAATACGACCTATGTGACCATGCCCGTGGTGAGAATCACGAGTGCCAGCCAGCCCCCGCCAGATATAGCATACCGGGCACCTGCAGACGCAGCCGTTGAGTTGCTTCCCGACTCGTCGTCACCGAAAGGCGAAGCATTTCCGCTTGGCGTTTCGCTTCCACCGCCTGTCGATGACGCAGTAGATATCTGGGTCTCCATGCTTGTTGCTGTACTACTCGTACCCGAGCTGGAGGGTGCCTGAGTACTTGTTGAAGACGTCGTGTTGGATGTGGTTGAGACGGTTCCTGACATTGTTCCAAAGCCTGTGCACGTTAGCTACGATCAAGGAAGACAGGCATGCTGCTCACCTATCCGATCTTTGTCGAAGTCGAACACTGAATAGACATTCTTCAGAAAGATATCACCCAGAATCCACTGATCTGGACCGAACGGCTGGTGGCCAATAATGTTACTCGCGCAGACATTCCCGCTGCCCTGCTTTCCGACGTAATCCTTGGGCGAGATGCTGTACTTGATCTTTGAGAAGGATACTTCCACCGTCGTGCTCGCATCACATGGCACCGTGTACGACTCGCCGCTACTGGAACTACCTGGAATGAGGGCGTGCAATACTTTGGCGTCGCTTGGTGGCATCAATGCGTAGGATGTGCCAGTATCGATGATGGCGCTCTTGCCAGAGAACTTGCAAGCTTGGCCGCCCACGAAGACATCGTCGACTACGATCTCCCAGGAGCTCCCAGCCTTGATGTTGGTGTACGCGATGTCGCCCTTGAACTTGCTATTGTCGAGACCTCCAATGGTGATGGTTCCATCCTTCGAACCGTCTTTGGCGCGCTGGAGATGTATGCCAAGGATATTGGAGGGCAGGCCGGCCTGGTCATCAAGAGTCTGCATTACTGTCTTTGATCCTAAGTCATTCGATGAAGCAGGGCCGAGTCCCAAGATTCCGTCCATGGGATAGTTGTTGAAATCATTGCTAGCAGTTTGTGCCAGTCCGAATGGAAGCTGCAGACTGTAGTTTGCAAAAACGATCTTGTCTTGAGCCATAACGCCGTCGACTTCTCCTGTGCCATACGCAAGCTGAAAAGTTTTGGAGTTCGTGGTAAGCGTGGATGAATCATCCTTTCCAAAGGTATTGTGTATCGAACACGCCGCGGACTTGCAGTCTGACCCAAATACCCAGGTATTTGTGCTTCCAGTGTCGATGAGCATATGCATCTCTTGGCCCTTTGAGCCGAAACGAAGTGTTGACAGGTAGCTGTAGTCCTGGCCATCCTGGTGCACCGCGAGAGAATGCGGCTGGGTCGGGTCTGTGGACTCGACAATGTTGAAAGCATTCTGCCGTCTGACTCTTCTCACATCGATTGTGTAAACATCTTGGTCATCGGAAGGCCTTTCTGGAGCTAGAGGGTAAAATCTCTTGTCCTTGGTCTCGGAGTCCTGGTGGTAAGGATAGAATGCTGAAACACATGTCGCTAATAGTGGCAGAGATGTCCATCTCGTATGCATAATGTGGCTCTATGCTTCGGAGGAGAGGGAATCGTTCTGGTTGCGCTGAGGATCCCGCCCTCGTGCTGATGATAGAAATAACGATTGTCTGCTTCGGATTCCAGCCCGGATTACTAGCAATAGTCCAACCACAACCGGTCCCAGTGCAAACGACAAGCAATAACTTGAATGCACTGCAGGAACCTCAGTCAAGAGTTCCTGCTGATGACGTTACGAAAGAAACTGGATGATGGTAGATGCAATTGTGAAGGAGGCAAGGGAATGTCAAGGACTCGAAACATGAAGATTGCAAAGTGAACTGAAGTTTCGTTGTTGAACCCCATGCGCCTTGCACCCACCTGGGCAGGCTGGCCTCGCAATACCGAGCATAGGCGACCACTAGTGCAGGGGATCTTGAGCATCATGCACTACTGCGGCACGCCTATTCGCTCATGTTTGGCGGGAGCGGCTCGTCATCGCCGGACGTGGCGTCCAGGGGCGATCGAACAATGGCATGCCTGTCAGTGGCCCGGAGACAGCTTCAAAGGAATGTGGCGGTCCATGGTCAATGCAGCGTCAATCCGTAAACACGGCGTTGTTACCCGAGTCCATTGTAGCTCGAACATGTTCAATGGAAGTTATGAAACGTGTTCGCGCGTGAGGTGGTCGCGCGTGATAAACGAGCAAGATCCCTGGCAAAGAGAAACCTTCTCCAGGGAAACTGGAGTGCCCAGTTTGCGGTGGGGCAGATCTTCAGGTACGGCACCCAGTTCGCAAATTACCTAGGTACCCAGCTGCGTGGATTCGGGACATGCTGCTATCCGTGACATCGTCAAAGCACGTTTATCACACTTCACAAAGGGTGATACACGCCAGCAGAAGGAAACATATCACAAGACTCTCGATGGGCACACAGTGTCTGTTGAGAGCTACCTGGCGCTACTTATCATATGGTTGATGGTCCCGGTCATTGGTTTGACATCTAAGAAGCCGGGAGCTGTCTCGGGCAAGACGCGGGACTCGTCATCTGTATTCTTGAGTTGTACTTGTATCCCCTGAGCTCAAGCCTTGGCCGATTTAGGACCTAGCAAATCATCCAGGAACCCGTTCCAGACCTGACTCATGGTGGTTTGCTTTTGCGCTCCTGCATCGACGAATTGACGAGCACTCTTGCTGACAGTCTCGGTGAGATTAGTCAGTGCATCTACCGTCATCTCGCCAGCACTCTGATGTCCGTCGTGGACATCTGACATGGCAGACACACCACTCGAGTCGATGGCCGAGATCTGGGGCTTCATCAGGTTGTGTCCAGCTTCGGTATCCTGGTAGCCCCCTGCAGCTGAATCGAGTTCTGGGTAGCGCTGGAGGTTGGCCTCTGCATCATCGCTGTGGACATTGGGCAGGATGGGCACTCGGATCGCAGCTGGCTCGGGATTGAACTCAGGCGCGAAGAGCTTGGGGAAATAGGCAAAGTCGACCGTAGACGTGTCACCGACCGACTTGTTGGCTCGGGAGGTATTGAAGTGCCGGGATGGACTTTCAGGTGTGCTGCTCTTTGTTAGCGATTGTACTTGACATGTCCGAGACATGCGTACCTGCTCACAGGCTTCCTGGTCTCATGCCGAGCAATCTTCCGCATAGCCATAGAGAAAGCGCGGGCTTGGAGGCTGTCGTGGCCAGCAAGCCGGTCGATCAACTCATGCTTAGTACCCGAAGCAGACAGTGTCCGCTTGTTGCACTCTCCGCGTAGATCTTGTAGAGTCCATGGGGTGTACGTTGTTTTGTGGGTAGGATCGATTGGACTTGGGGAAGCTTGGGCGCCAGTCAGGTGCAAGGAGCGTTTGCTGGTTGCGACGGTGGTGCCAGAAGCCTTCTGGAGGTTACGCAGGGCCTTGAATGAGGAAGCACGTGGAGCAGCCATGTCGAATAGTTCGGTATGGAGAAGCTCAATGGATAGTATATATGATTGTGTGGTCGACGTAGTCTTGAGGAGGGTTCATAGACTGGCAGAGTCCTGAGATTGGGGGGATATATTTGATTGTGATGGAAGAGCGGTGTCAAGGAACGGAAACAATCGGTGAGGAAGGAATGCAGTCCCAGGGACAACTGCATCTGTTATGCACCTCTGGCAGCGCGTGCTATCTAGACCATCCATATCTCCTGTTGCCCTGCGTCAACGATTAGCCACGTATCTGACGGGCCCCGACATCTCAACAAGCTGCTTTAGCTGCATCTTCCCCGCTTTCTGTGCCGGATCATTCCTTGATCTAGTCCTGTTGAGAGACAAGCGGGCTCTCTCAACAGCGCTATCTTGTGTCAAGCCTCTGTCTAATTGCTTTCCCTGGCCTCACTACCGCCCATCCGCTAGATTGGAGCTCCGTCGTGGGAGAGCGGTGACAAAGACGAGGAATTATTGGCTTCTTCAATGGTCACCATCCATTTTTATGTGCTTCAGTGCCTCGCAGACAAAGCCAAATCGCTCCCGCACACGATCGTATTTCGTGAACCGTAACACACCTGTCCTCATCACAAGACTCCTGGTGAGACCAAACCGTTGGATGGAATCTTGGTTGCTATAAATAATCCATCCATGGATCTCGTGGCTTGGCCAGCATCAGCCTTGCCGACCCCTTATTAAAGTGCTTCCATTTCTGAGCATGCCATTCTTACCTTGCTGATAAGACAAGTATCGGAGTCCGTCGAGCCGTCCGAGCATCCAATTGACAGTTCCTGCTGCACGCCCAAGTCGAGTCTCAAAGTAGTACTCTGACCACGTTATGATGGTAGACATCTTGAACAACGCGGAAGGGGACGTCCGACCAAACATGCGCTTAGCTAAGCCGACGGGACAGGGACAACTCGTAAGTGCGACTACTCGATGCAGCATTACAAGTGTCCAGCATGGGACGACTGCCGTCGACACGAAATCATCGAAAATAGTTGCTTCGCAGCACTGGTGTAGTTTGGGCACATAATGGTTGCGCAATTGTGGGAGTAGGAGCGAAAGAGTCGTACGCTCACCCAAGGTTCCAGGCACGTAGCATCGGCGAGCACAACTGCCACGCAATTGTCGCCAGATCGCCAGCTCAAGGAAGCTATGACACTGAGCGGAAAGGGTCTTTCAGGTTAGAAGTCGATGGCAGCACCAGGCAATGCTAGTACGGCGATGGAGGATGGGCAAGAGCAGACAATGTCAATACACCGTTGGGGCATGCTCGTCCATCGATTGAGTAAGTCTATACTGAAGGGAGGCAGACCTGGCATTTATGACTAGGTCAGGTAGGCACAAGTCAAGAATATCTGCTGGTATTGTGAGCTGAGCTAGAGGAGGTTCAGTGCTGGCAAGGCAGTCACTCCAGTTCTCCTTCCTTATTTATCCCAACGCAACTCATTTTGCTTTTCCACACCATGAAGCAGCATCCAACGCTCTCTTGACCACACGATCGTCCATTCTTTTGCGCACCCTTCGGCACTCTACTGTCATAATCTGCTGGTCAGTCACTTGTGGTTGCTAGGCAAAATCTCTTCATCATTTTGCAAGCGCTTCCCCAAACCCACAACGAATTTCTTCTCATTCGTCCTTTTAATTTTCAATCACCACGCTCTGCCTCGAATCTCGTACGATTGAGCCGCCAGGAGCCTCTTCTTCTTGCGCGCAGCGCTTAACAGTAAGTTGAAGCCTCGATAGTCAACTGCATGACTGACTGTCTCAAGGTTCTCGAGATGGCTCGGCCGCCTCGTCGCCGGCCTGCCAGCGACGATGACTCGGACAGCGACGAAGGCGCCTCAGTCTCTCGGCCTGCCGTTGAAACTGAGGCCGAGAAGTATCAGAAGCTGATAATGATGGTATGCTAGAGTCCTCCGGGCCTGGGTTGACACTTGCTAACAACAAGAAGCAAGACCTCGGCACGGAGACAAGAGACTACATCACATCCAGTGACAAAGGTCCACGAGCTCGACACATCAGCCAGCGCATGATCCATGAACTGAGAGAATGCAACCAAGAGGGGACTGATGCTGCAGGTCGGGCCGCTCAAGATCGCAAAGGATTGACCAACTGGAGCAGTATGTCGACTCACTTCATCCAAACTTGTAATTAACCAAGCCAGATTTTCATCGGTCCGATGACGCAGATGCTGGCAACGAAGCTCTGAACGACCTTGGATCTGGAAACACTCATCGTATAAACATACGAGAGGGTTTGCGTGAGCTAGCTGCGCTCAACGGCGGTAACCTCACTCTGGACGACATCGATGATAGAGGAGGTCGTAGACGTGGCATGCCGCCGCCTCTTCGCAATCATGCTGGTAACTCTGCCGCATTCAATGATCGCGGTGCTCACGGCCGAGGTCGAGGCGGCGGCTTTGCTGGCAGAGGAGTCCCTCGTGGTGGCGGTTCGTCAACAAGGTATTCCAATCACCAGTAGGCGATCTGTAACTTGTGCATGACGCTGACGATAGGACAGTGCACGATCACCTCGCCCGCTAGATCCTGCAGTCGATCCGGATCGCGAATATGTCTACAAAGATAGCTCCCGAAAGCGACGTCCGAATGTCCAGATGGTCAACAACAAGGTCACAATGGGCCCTGGCAAAGCTCCGGCCGGTTCTAGCAAGCGCAAGAAACCTGGTCATCTTGCTACACCGCCTCAGTACCACGGGCCCATGCCTAAGCTGGCTGAACCGTCCACCTTCATGGATGTTGCACTGAAGAGATTCCGGCAGCAAAATGATGCACAGGCGAGTGCCCCACAGGCACCACCTCCTGCACCGGTCCCGGGTCACTCTATCAAGGCTCAGGTCCACCAACCCACATCTTCCTCACCGAAGCAAGGCTTCAAGGAGATCCAGACAATCAGTCGTTCTGAGCTCGTTCCGAAATCGAGACGTCAGAGCGGCTTCACTGACGGTAATATGACGAGTACAAGTCTCTCAGGGTTTTCTCCCAGCATCAATGGGGACGAGTTCACCATGAATGCTGCCAGTGAGCCGACTAAAGGCCTTGGCATCACGGGTGTCGCTTTGCCCAGAGCATCGACAGCCTCTGCGGAGACGCTGATGGACGTTGACATTCCCGCCGCTAACAACGCTGTGTTGACGCCATCTCTGCGAGCAAGCCCTGAGGAGACAACCATTTCAATCCCGAAGTCTGACTTTGAACAGTATCAGGCGTTCAAAGCGATCATGTCAGGCTCTCGGAGCACCCAAGATCTGCTTGAATGGCTTGATGCCCACAAGAAGAAGACTCTGCAGGCGGAGAAGGAGACGGACATCTCTGGGAACAAGAACCCTGAAAAAGAGCCTTCGATCAAGAAAGAGACGGTCGTCAATATAGCGGCTGGCTATACCATCGGCTCCTCACGACTCGAGAGCATCATAGGCGATCGCAATGCACTCCTACCGGCCGTGAAGTCGACTCAAACCACCCCAAGCCTATCACAGTCGAAATGGGCGACAACTTCTGTGAGCAGCATGAGCCGCGTGCCAAAGCAGCCATTCCGGTCGTTGCGAGCTCCACTACGAGCGCAGCTCCGGTCACTAGACTCGTGCGCGAGACACTGGCCAATGTCTCTGGTGCAGTCCCCAATCACGCGATTCAGGCTATGCTGTCAGCTCCCGTGCAAGCTGTTCAGTCCATTCGCAGCAGCACAGCAGGACAACAAGAGGCCGATCCTGCAATTCCCAGCACTGGGCCAAGCACTGGTGATACCGAATCAAAATCTCGAGCTCCGTCTGTATCTTCTGGTCGCGATGTACGAGATCCTAATGCTGACGACCGCACCAGGTTGCAAGCCCAGATGCAAACCGTGACTAAGTCGATGGCGAGGACAAAGATCTCCGCTGACGGCGTCTCTTCTGCTGGTGTGAAGGCTAGCTCGGCCGGCAAGTCCAGACTCTCCAACGGTCACAGTGCTCTACCTGTCACCAACGAGCCTAAGAGCAGTCGAAGTGTTCAAGAATCTTCATCAAGCATCGGAGTCATTCCAATTGGCGGTCAGGTGTCAACGGTGCCGGGCAAGAGAGACAAACGAGTCAATCCGTTCGTTCCTCGCGAAGCGGGCAAGGCGGAGGACGTGACACTCGAGAGCACGCACCAGCCCGTGAAAATCGATGTTGGCAGCCTGGCTGCAGAGATCGACCGTCGCACTGTGCCCGATGAGGACAAAACCGGACTACCGTGGCCACGCATTAGTCGACCTTCATTTCCGCAGGTTGACCAGGTCGTCTCAACCAGTCCTCCGCCTGAAGCCAAAGGGCGCGCTTCGATTCTCGGCAAAAAGGGCATCACTGATTCCAAGTGGGCTTCCTCAACTTTCGGTGCTAGCACGGGCTTCCCAAAACAGGCTGCAAATTCCAACGTCTATCATGCTGAAGCTGAACACGTTCCACCTCTGAGAACTAGAGCCGGCAACCAGGTTGTTGCTGGTGCCTCGTTCGCTGCCCGCCCGGAGACAGACAAACTGAGCCGTTCTGCTTCACAGAAGCCCGCCAAGAGCACGAAGTCGCCATTGAAAGCATCTGCTGCGCCGATCTTTAGAGACTCCAGAAACCTGAAGCACAACTCAAGTACTCTGAAGAAGTCTGGCCCTCCAGCTCCGAAGAAATTCGTTCCTCCAGGCCTACAATGGATCCAGAAGGAGCAAGAAGAACAGCGTGAGCTCGCACCCGATGAGATTCAGCAGGTATCGAACAGCACCGATCTGTCCAGAGAGTCTCGCGAAGCTCTGGGCCTCGCTAGTGATATCCTGCGCAAATACCGCGATCTCGACTAGGACTCGGGTGAGCATGAGTCTACGCAAGCTGCCAACAACAGGTATCAGAGCCGGTGGAGCGAGATCGACTGCGAAGCGCTTAGTTCGATATTGAAGGCAACGACGGCGAAGGCCATCCGCCTAGGCAAAGGGAGGTCCTTAAGGACAAAAGCTCAGGGTTAACGGAACAGGGAGGACTTTCCTTGCGGAAGCATCATGGCGGTCGTACTCAAGCGCGTTTGTCACTGGAGTGAAACTCGTCTGAGCCAGCACATATCATGATGGGTGAAGTGCCGTCGAGATGGGAGTCGGAAGGTGCGCTAACTCATATGTTGTGGCATCTAGCGACTTCACAACCTGGCCATTGAGAAAGACGATAGCTTCTAGATGGTTCAATCTGCACGCTCTGATCCATCTTGATGCTTGCGACCGCCTTTGCGCCTGCTTTGATTTTTACGCTGGCTGCTTCCTTCGTTGTTTCATTCTGGCCAGAGTGACTGCCTATCGCTGCAAGGTCGCCGACACTCATTGATCGTTCCTTCTTTCTAGCACTGCTGAGCAAATGCTGACTTGCGAGGCAGGCGCGATGGATGTGACCAAGAGGTTGGTGATTTATGGCTGCCCGATGATGTGGTTGAGATATGGCGGTCGTTCTATCTACCTGACATCCTCTCGGAAGAGGCCGTTCGTCGGCTTCTTGGGCACTTCTCATCGTTCTATGGACCCGTGAAAAGTAGTCTTCTGCTCGCCTAGCATTGCCTCTTGCAGGCGTGGGTACCCATCTATGTCCAGTCCTTTGTGCATGCAGTTCAGCCATCGTGAGGATCGTCCATGCCATATCGTCGTCGATGTCCAACATCCAATTCATGCGTGATAAATATCCCACGACCAGGTCAAATTGCCGTCGCCGTCCCTGACCGGAATCAAGCATCCAACCCCCTTCTCACACTCTCCACAACTCCTTTACTGTCTCCGCCCCTCTGCTCCACCATCCCCAACACCCAATCCCGCTGCTTCGGCCTCAACAACTTCATCCTACGCAAATACTCCGCCATAACAGCATTCCCAGTACTCATACCCGGCTTGAGCTCCGCCAGACCCGAAGTCAGCAGCCACCTCTGCAGTCGTTGAGGATCATTGTCGACCATCTCGCGCTCTTCTTCTGCTGTGCGCTGTGGCTCAGTTGCCGTGGCACCGCTTTGCTGGGCGAGAGAGGATCGTCTCCGTTGTGAGGCTATGATTGGCGCGGTGGTAGGTGCATTGGTGGAGAAGAGGGTGTGCGTTGGGCGGCGAGGGTGGGGAGGGATACCATCGGAGTCGACTGCTGGGTCTTCTGTTTCGGAGTCGGAGTCGACGTGGCGGAGGACAGCTCGCGCCGGTGTTGGGTGGTGTATTGCGGCCTGGTCGTCCTCATCGATATCTTCCTCGACCATTGCGGCGCGAGGATGTCGCTGTTGGATGGGTGGAGGGGTTGGAGCGGCTGTTGGCCGTGTCTCAGCCGTCGGAATATCCTCCAGGCTGGGCATATCGCTTGAGTCGTCCCTATCGTAGTCAGAGGGCTGCTCAGCCATCTCAGCATAGTAGTCCCATCCACCAGGCGTCGGCATGTTGTTTGCCAGCCTCTGGCCCAGACCAAGTCCCTCCGGATCTACGGGCTCGTGCTGTTCGCCGTTTGAATCTTCGAGATGGGTAGCGATAAGCTGCTCGATCACTTCATCGGGGATGTCGTTGCCAAACTGTGCTCGGAATGCCGCCATCGCGGCTGCTCCCTCCTCCGGATCGACGGCTGCATTGTTGTTGACTGGTGTCTGAAACCAGTTCAGTAAACGCTGGATGCCGCCAGGAATGCCAAAGACATTTCTGAGGCCGCTTCCAGCTGGATCATTGGCACCGTCGCCCGCCCGTGGAGCACGCGAGGTGAAGTCTGAACCATCTGTGTCTGGTGGTGGCAATGGATCGTAGCCTGAATTAGGCATGCGCGTGAATTGTCTTGGCAGTAGAGCCAGGAGGTGTGGATCTTCAAGTAGGATGATGTGTCGAGCTTCTTCGAGGGAGATCTCGAGCTTTGGTGGCACTGGAGCTGCCGAAGTGACATCCTTGTAGGCTTGCAGCGTCTGGGCGACTTCGACGACCAACGCAGTTGTTTCCGGGGTATTCCAGAGATCTTTGGTACGCGTGACGTACAGCTCTGTGTATAGCTTTTCGGCGTCTGTGGAGGGCAGCTTTGCCCAGAGTGTCTTCGGAAGTGGCTGAATCTCTAATGCAGAGGCGAGAGCGGAGAGGATGTATGGGTACTGGTGCATGGCAAGCGCAAGCTGTCTCCGGGCTTCTCTGGGTTGTTTCGCGCGAAGGTGAGCCAATGCTAGGGAGATTGCGATGTTTGGCAGGTGTGACCAAGCCGAGCCATAGGCATCGTCGGCTGCCATAGCGATGAGCTGGTCGTGGCAGCGGCCGCGGAGGGCCATCTGATCGATCATTAGAGTTGCTCCATACGGATCTGAAAGTGTGTTGAGCTGTAGAAGAAGTTTAGTCCACTCGAAAGCAGTTTTGAACGTGCCGCGCATCTCCAGGTTACGGATGTAGCGCCAAATGGCAAGATAGACTTCTCTGTTGGCAGCCTTGTCAAACGGCAGTCGTGCAGTACCTTCCCGCATGGCGGCTGGAAAGGAACTATGCACTGACTTGCCAATTGTGTACAAGGCACGTTCCAGAAGGTCGCCAGAAACGGAGTGGTCGCCCTGGTGTCGAGCAATTTCAGCCACTTGAAGTAGTGATGCGATGTGGTATGGCGTCAAGACGAGCTGGCTCATCATTCGCTGAGGGTCCATCGATTCCACCGCTTGCCTGAAGCGCCATTGTGTCTCTTCGTACGCGGAGTTGTGTAATATGTTGTAGCGTCTCTCAAATGATGTGGAATCAGATATGTTCTCCATGCTGAGCCCACCACTTGATGCCAGCGGCCACTCTTCTCTTCCTCTCATCAAGCAATTTCGGCGACCCGCCAGGGCTCCGAGTTCCTTGCCTCGACTTGCGACGTTATTGCGGCCTAGCAGGGCGGTACCCAAATCCATGCCACCTTGATCATTGACTTCACGTTGCCGTGGATTCCGATTCGCTGGACGTGACTCGTGCTCTTCGACCGCTACGTTTCCAAATAGACTCTTCATCTCATTAATTGGATTGAGGTTCTTCGTGTCGGCGCTCAGTAGTCCTGTGGCGTGGATCTCCCAATTTGATGCGGATGCTTGCTCGTCTGACGGGGTGACCAGCGTTGGATCTTTGGCCCGCAGAGCTTGATGGCTCGGTCAACCTCATCTTCGGATGCGGTCTCATCCTGCTGCGCCTGAGGAGCCTTCTCCTTGGGCCTCTTCTTCGGCTTCTTTTTCTTCTTTTTCGATTTCGCAGGAGTGGTGTCTAACGGCCTCGATGGGGAGGGTTGTGTTCTTGAAGCGTCCGTGGCAGGTGTCATGACGCCTCCAGTCGTCTCTTCATCATCTGTGGGTTCGCTTTGTTCTTCCTCCAACATGTCGAAGGCATTTTTGGGTTTCGTGCCCGTGACGGGTACATCTTCACTCGATGACCTGTCGGCTTCTTCTTGAGCCTGTGCAGCGGCCAGTCGTCGCTGTTCTTCCTGCTCACGCTGGAGCTTACGCAGGGCTCGTGATGACATGGTGAGCGTTGACAAACCTCTCTTCGCTGCGAGAAGTGGGAGATCTGCAATGAGAGAAGAGAATTAAAAATTGTCGACAGGCACATAACGGCAACGATGTCATAGCGCCCGCCCCATGGAGACAATGAGTCATTGCGAGGCATCTCCGATTGGTCTACGCCTGACTGCCCAGGTGACTTCACTTCACGTCCGGGGGTGCTTCATCTCTCCAGGGCTGCTTTCGAATTGCAAAGCGGAACATTGCCTTAGGAGTTGTTGGTCAATCATCCCATATGAAGCTATGACAATCATGAAGGTCACGAAGCACTGTAACAGCGCGGATCGCTTTGTCGGACTCGTACAGCGTCAGACAGCATCATGATTCTTTTGTTCATTACGACAATTCTATGCAGTCACCTCAACTCCTCCGCTCGCTTTCGATCCTCCCACGATAGTTCTCCCTCCATGATGACATGGTTCGTCTCATAAATCATTCAAGCATTATCCTGCTGACTGTGTAGTAACAAACTCCAAATCTGACTGCGCCATCATGCCCCTGTACATTCTGAAGAGACCACGCTCGCTGAGGTCCCATGATGTGTGTATGCTTTTTGTTTCCCTTTCGCTTATGCCCAAGCAGAAGCCACGATCTAGTCTGTGATCATGGCCGGAATCCGTAGAACGCGGACCCTCCAGCATGACCGGCATTCGAGTCATCTTTTCTCATTCGTCCGAAGTTGGCAGTACCCTCCCGCAAAGGTGCTAGGCGAGGAGATGCATTCGACCATATCGAAGTCGATCGCTTATCGTCGTCCATCGAGAAGATTACGCCCTCGCCATCCGACTCGTCGCCTAGCCTTCGAGCAGGCAAACCAGGACTGGATATGGTGCGGTCCAACCGCTGCACGTTGCTGGATGGGATTCGCATAGTGCTGTTGACAGGTCGGCCTGCATTTGATTCCGCTGATTCTGTGCGGGTGAGTTCCATTCGGGCCATGGCTTGCGAAATACCCGAGATCTGCTGACCTCTTGGAGGATGTGAAGACCCTGGCATCCATGACTCCTTCAGAGGCGAGCCAACAGCGCCCAAGTTCGGTTGCTTGTCTCGCTGCTCTGCCCATATATGGCTGAATCGCGACGGACTGCTCCCAGAAGGCGGCGAGCCGACTTTGCTGGAATGTGCGCTGGGAATTGCGACCCCGAGACTATCTTGATCAGCGCGAGACAGCCGCCTCATTTGCTCGGCTGGCGTGAGCACCTCGTCATGTAGGCTACCAGGAAGCAGTTCGTGACCCAAATCGGCATTATCTTCCAGGTCGGACTGAGCATTGTTGCGTGCAGCTTGTGGCTGACGGGGCATACTGGCTGATATGATGCCGCGAGGCTGGGAAGCGTTGAGCGTCGACTGCATGACTCTGTCTATCGAGTCATCAGGAGCCTGAGGAGACAGACCTAGTGGTGATGGTGCGTTGTTGCCTGACATACCCCCAAAGCCGCGGTTCAAGCTTGTTTCTGGTGGGCTACCGAGCCGCCTAGCAAATGAGGTGGTGGCATTTGGTGGAGAGAATAAAGCTGGTCCTTTGACTGGAGCTGACTGTCCGAGGATCCCATATTTTCGTGAGGGCTCATTTGGGTCGAATGACTGAGGCATGGGTACGTTCAGCGCTGTTCGCACGTTGTCCATGGGTGACTTGGCGAAGGGCGACTCGTTTGTGGGAGAGCCGAAGTGCGAGTTGGGTGGACTGTTGACGTTCGAGTCGAAATTAGACATGTTTGTGTATGGACGCTGGTACCGCTCAGTTGGGTAAGCATCGGGGTCTTCTGCTCCATAGAACCCGTTTGCACTGTAGAACTCGGTGCCATATGGTTGCTGGCCCAATTGCGGGTTCATCGGCATCTCTGCTGGTCCGAATGGAGCATTGTTCTGTCTTGGATAATACTCGTTCCGACTTGGCATTGCCGCCGCCGCCGCATCGATATCATTGCGGTTGACTCGACGCCCGTCAGGGAGGTAGTGAGCCAGCGCACACTTTGCACCGAACTTGCAATTTCCCTGGACCACCTCTTAGTCTTATACGACGGGGCCACAATATGTACATACCTTGGAGAAGTACTTGCATGGTGCCTGATGTGTCTGAGGATCGAGCGAGTGCGAGAATGGACAAGCATTGCCAGCCTGACACTGCCCTTGTCGAAAAAATTTGCAGGGAACATGCTTCGTATCTATCGTCTTGTCAGTCATGACACCTGCCAAAGGTAACATTGGACGTACTCTTGTTCGGTCCGCCGGGCGGACTTCTAGCCAGGTCGAACATCGGCGGCCCCGACATCATACTTGGATTCCTGTAGCCACCACCGTTCGGTACTGGCATGCCATGCTCGGTTCTTGAGAATGGCTCATCGCTACGAGCAGCGCCTCGCCCGTTTCGCTGTGAGGAGTTGTTGTGAGGATGCTCGGACAGCGGTCGCATCTTGACTAGGCGCCGCCGTCATGCCACTGTGTATGGGTATGTCGCGATCGGAGACGATATGGAGGTGGTCGCTCCGACGCGTTCGAGGTTGTGAGAGAGTCGAGAAGAGTGTGTCGTAGTCTGAACTGCGTACTGCTGAGTGTATCACCAGGTCTGCGGGTGACTCGTATCTGTTCGCCCCACGCGTCGTGGTTCCGTGATGCGATCGATGTGTTCAGCGTGGGGTGACTTCGAAGGGGAGAAGGATGAGTCGAGTCGCAAGGCTAGTTCGGCTGAGGGTGTCTCGCGCTTAGGGACGGATCGAGGTCAAGCGGTAATTTGCCGGAGTGAAAGGCTTGTGAATGTGATCATGGGTACATGTCTATGTGACTTGACAGTGCATGAAGCATCACCCACGCCGCGGGGCGCTTGATAAGGGTGTTAAGCAATGATCTATCTCCGAGAGGCCCTGAACAAGGCAATCAGGCGGCCGCTCCTGACTCTCATAGAAGATTTTCATATCGAAATCCCAATTCTGTTTTCTGCGATTCGAGGTGTGTAGTTTATATCACATTGCGAGGCTCCTATGGAGCTCGCGTTCCTTTACCAAACGCGTACCATACTTCGACTCCGTCCTGAGGTCGCTCGGACAGCCCAACGCCATGCGAAGAGACCCCTATCAGCATCGGCCCTGGTCCTCTCATCCTTCCTCCAACGGAAAGCCGCTGCGGTGGCCGCAACCAACTCAACCCGCAATGACGATGTTACGACTCTAAGTGCGCAGGAAGAACGGATCTTTCAACGGCTGCAATTGTACAAGGACCCCCAAGAGCTTAATGCTCGGCTTGGCGTGCCAGCTCCTGAGACAGATCAACTAGACATCAGCCCAGAAAGGCTCCTTGCCCTTTTCACACCTCGGCAGAAGGCATCAGTCGATGATGACACGTTGCACCCAGACCAGTCATCTGGAACATCCGAGTCAAGTCCCGGCAAACTCAGAGCACCACCCATAACTACTGAGAGCATAGCGCAGCAGATCTGCTTGGGCGAGACTAGGGAGTTCGCGAGGGCCGCGCGACAGGCACTCGAATCAAAGACCGAACCTGGCGACCTGGCCCTGTACAAACTACTTGAAGCCCGTGTGTTTCCTCTTATAGAAGTGCTCGGTCTAAAGGGCAAACTACGCAAACGCGCAGCACAGAAGTCGGCCAACGCGGCGACAGACACACCAGCCGCAAAGGTGGACAAGTCCCATCCACTACTCAACATTCCCGCCCTCGTCAAGAAGCACGGCTCTCACCTCACAGCACCCTCATTTTCCGTGTCCAAGCCCTCCGTCCCTCCATCGACCTCTCCATCGACACCGAACACCACAACTACGACCAGCAAACACCAAGGGCCCCCGCTGCCCTCGCCCCTCACTGTTCTCACGCGCCTCTACCCAACACTCTTGCTCCTCACCCTCCGCCTCCTGGTCCTGCACCACCCACTCTCTATACTCACCTCCTCACTCCTCCCTCGCATCCGCCATCTCGGCCCCATAACATCCTCGGTGCCACCACGCCCTTCTACAACACGCACATTCTCCTACGCTGGCGCGTTTATAGCAGGCTCAGCGAGGTGATCTCGTTGTTACAGGAAATGGAGCGTGGTGGGGTGGAGTTTGATCTTGGGACGTTGGGCGTGCTGAGGGGTATGACTGACGAGAGGAGTGCAGATCTCTCTGGTCAAAGCGAACAAGGAGGGACGACAGAGGGGCGGAACCCAGCGCACTACAGGGGCAGGGAGTTCTGGCTGGCTCCTACGCAGGCCGAGTTGTGGCCGAAGGTCGAGGAGTGGCAGAGCATAATCGAGCTGAGGCTGCGAGAGAGCGGGCTAGGCGAGGTAATGCGCGAGTCTGGTGGCAGCAGTTCTGCTATTGGTGTGGATGGGAGGAGCGTGAATGTGGGTATAGGGGCCCAGGAGATTGAGGTCCCACGGGTCTGGCTGTGAGAGTCTATGGCTCGAGGTTTAGGAAGCTCTGTACAATGTTGTAAATAAAGCACATGTAATAAGAGATGGCTTAGCGGGGCATGATCATATGCAACAACAGGGAAGAACGTGAGCTACCGGGATGACTTTTGAGCTAGTGAGCCAATTCGAGTGAAATATGCACCGTTCGTTTTGAGGGTGTCTGTGACTTGCGTCTGAAAGAAGAAGACCACGACGGCTGCTGACTGCTGACAGCCACGGAACTGGCTACATATGAATGGCGATGATGTCGTCCCGAAGCTTGAGCTCTGCTGACTTGCGATCTATCCAATTTTTCGGCATTTTCAAAGCACTTAAGACCGCTTCGTCTGCTGTTCTCTTCTCTTCACCGCGACTTCACATAATGCCTTCGAGCGATGTCGAAAAGTCGCTGTGTCACCAAGCGCCCTGTTGGCTGTCGAGTTTGTTGAAACCCCAACCCGGCGTACCCTGTCTCACCGACGATTCCTCTTGACTGGTTTTCGCCTTCTTGGGTGGGCTGCCACCATCGCTCTTTCCAGAGCTCGATCTGACGCGCCGCTCCGACAGGAATTGGACCTCATCATCACTATTATCGCTCAGAACACGATCAGGGGAATACTGCCGCCAAGCAATCTTGCGCTTCTGGGCTGCCTCGGGTGGGTTTGAGCGAAGCTGCGGCACATGGACGACAGCATCTACCCGTGTAGCGAGCGTCACTTGCTCATCGCTATCCTGCTCCGTTGCCGTCTCTTGCTTAAGGACCTCCGGCGTCTCTGGCACGTCCTCATCCAAGTAGCGTGGCTGACTGGCCGCCCACGCCTCACCGATGCTCCTACCCAGCGCTTGCGCCACCTGCCACACCACCCCATTGCCGATCTGCGAGATCACATCTGCGACTGATCCAATGAGGAGGAAGTCGTCCCGGAGACCTTGCGCTCGACGCAACTCCTCAAGGGTCAGCGTTCTATGCTGGAATGGGTGCATTGAAGGCGATCCTCTTGAATCAAGCGGAACCATTAAACGCGTTATTGTTGGAAACAGGCCTTCGGGATTGACACGCTGCAATGTCGTCGAGCCTCGCCCCTGTTTCTCTTCTGTCAGATTTCCAAACCACTTCACTTGCCTCCTGTTAAGGTGCCCCTGATCCCACGCGCCGTACAAGTTCCGCTTTTCACCAGTAACAGGCACACGTTTGAGGATGCCGCGCAGCGATACCTTAGCGTCAAAGTCGTTGGCCAGGCGCTCGAAGGGAACATGATCTGGACGATGGAGATTGATGACATCGTCGTTGTGAACTGGAGGCAGATCTTCAATGACGGACCACGCTGTCTGCGGGTCATCGGACTGCACTGGGGAAGGTTCCGCGGGTAAGACTAGACCAGGAGCAGCTGCAATGAGAAACAGTCGAGTCCGCTTGGTGGCAGCATTGAAGTCACCACCTTTGAGTACCATCTTGCGTACTTGGTATCCCATTGAGACTAGTGAGCATATGGCTTGTGCACAAGCATTAACTTTGCCTTGCTTGGAATTCATGCTCTCCACGTTTTCGATAAGAACATACTCCAGGCGTAATAGGTCCACATAAGAGAGCGTATTGGCCAGCATGGAGCAATTGCGCTGCCCCTCTTTGTTGTGCTTCGCTGGGTTGCGCCTAGAGAATCCCTGGCAGGGGCATCCAGCCACCAGAAAATTGAATCTGTCGTACGGCTTTCTGCCTGATGCAAGCTCCTTGAGATATGTGTTTGTCGACCCATGGTGGTATCGACAATTTGTGTTGGACTCATTGACTTTGTGTGAGAGTAAAGCTGTTTGGTTTATCTCGATGGCAAGCGATGTCTCGAAGTACGATGTAGATGCGAGGGCATGGTCGAGGATTCCACAACCAGAGAACAGACTCAATGTGTTCAGCTTTGGTGTTCTCGGTCTGTATGGCTCTTTTTGGTGTGTGTCCGATATCGATGTGTCGCACGACAGGCAGCCACCATAGATCTGTGATAGATCGGCAGTATGGAATGTTTGTGACTGGGTTCGATAAAGCATATGAACGAAGAACTCGCCTGGGACTGTGCCTTGTTCTGCAGGGACAGACGCTTCAAATGCTGCCAGCACGTCTCGGCAGGCTATTGGGTCGCAGCAGCACTCGTCCGAAAAGAAAAGCTCATTCCCGATAGGGTAGAACGTACCCTCATCTGCAGAGCCACAAATGGTTTCCTTTGGTTGTAAGAGCCAAAGAACATTGACACTGTTATCATTAACGTCTTTGACATATGCATATCGGTAGGTATTGTGACGCTTGACGATAATAACCCGGCCTTGTGTCTGCTGAGCTGACAGCTCAGGTCGGTCTGGTGAGTCTGCCTCCCGAGCAGCTTCTTGCAAGACGATGTCGACCTTCGATTGGCGGCTGCCTTCAGCATCAGTGAATCCATCTTCGTAGCGGCTCGACATCTTCTGTGGAAAGTGCAGTGCGTCACATCGAGCTTTCCGAGCACGAGTAACGCGAGGCTGATTGCGAGGACTTCCAACAAGTCAAAACCGTCGGAGCCCCAGGTTGGAAAGCTAGGCAAGAAAGCAGTTGCGACATCCTCGGTCACAGTTGTAAGGTCATGCTCTGCCTGCTTGGCCTTAGGCTTAGGGAGACCGATCTCCTCCCATAGTGGGTGGTCTTGCAGCTCTGTGAAGAGACCATCTTCAGCGACTTCAGCAGCTCTCTCATAGAGGAAAGAGCCGTAGTGAATGAAATGTCTCCGGAAGTCAGTCACATTGTCGCAAAGCTTATGCCAGTGATTAACAATATTCGACTGTACTGCCCAGTCAATAGAACTGGTGGATTGCCAGAAATCATTGGTGAAGTTGGCAAGATGAATTGGTTGTCTGCGCTCCGAGGCCGCCTGAAGGAAGCGGAACACATGCTTCGTGAAATCAGCTACCCAAAGGAATGATTCGAATAGAGGTGTGTATTGTCTCGAAGCGTTGATTAGCCGATACTCGATGCCTTGCTCACGGCCTTTTGAGGTGATGATACTGATATCATCTGTAGTAGTAGCGGAGCTCGGGTCATCAAGGCCGCCAACCAGCACTGAATCAAGCTCTATTGCTTTCACTGTCCGTCAAGAACCTCTGTCCAGGAATACCCCATCAACTAGGTATTTTACCTTCCGAGAACGAGTTCCACTTGAGGTCTTGATGACAGTAAAGAGAGATGTGAGCTGCCCGCCGTATCCTTTTCCAGAGACCTGGGGAGCCTGGTATATCGAGAAGTCCCTCAGGTCAACATAAGTGGCCTTTGGCCAACCTGGAAGTAGACTTTTGAGGAGCTCTGTTTCACTGACCGCACCAAATTCGTCGCTCGCCACAGATGCGACCTGTAGGCTAGCAGGGTACAGAGACGCTAGATCCTCTGGATTCTCGATCTGCCGGAGCAGCTTTGCTGCCTCGTTGTAATGGTCGTCCTTGTCAGTGGAATCGGCTGAGGCAGCAGGTGATGGAGAGTCCGCAAGATGCTGATCGTAACCGTAGGTAGTGTGTCGTAGGAGTTCTGACGGCTGAGCACGCTGTGGCTGAGAACCAAAGCCGTCGTCGTCGTCGTCGTCGTCAGATACTTCCAAAACTACGGTCTCATCTTTGTCAGAGACAATGAAGCCGTTTAGACTTTCTGACTCCCACCTTTCAGACCCATAATGGGATCTGTCAGGAACAACACTCGCTCTTGAATTCGAGCTATGTTTGATAAAGCCATCAGCGGGGGTCGCCTGCCGTACTGGTAGTTGTAGCTTATGATCTGGCTCTTCCGAGATAGACTTCATTCTCTCTGACAGTTGTGTGAGGTTGTTCCGCCGGTGCCGGAATTGCTCTCTTGCATCTGAGGAACTAGGTGTAGAGCCTTGACTCGAGCCCGAGGAAGGTTTTGGAGAGGTAGAATCTGCTAACTTCGATCGTGGCAGGAAGATGTCGATCAGGTTGCCTTCACTGTCGACTTCATAGGAAACGGGAATGTAGGCACACGCAGAGCGACTTGGGTTGGATACTTGTCCTGGAAGATTACTTGACAACAATTCAATAGTCGGGATCGGATCGCTGTCGAGAGGGGCGGTGGTCGCTCGTCTGCCGTTGAATGCCAGTGGCTCATCATCGTCGTCTGTCGCAGCAGGACGCACCACCTCTATGATATCCTCCTCTTCCGCCATCTCTGAAGGCGAGATGGCATGTAAAGTTGCTCGAGGCGATGAAGTTCAGACGAGATGAAGAGGACAGAGCTGGAAGAAAGCTGGCGGAGTGGAGTCATGGACACTCGGGTGGCTATTGAAGAAGCGCATTGAATGAAAAAGGTGAGAAGTCTGTCATTTACAAAGCTGCTAACTCATGCCTCAGAGACCGCCTGACAGCGTTTTCATCTGCCCCAATGGCACTTACTGGCCCAGGCAGCTCGTCAGAGGGCATTCTGGTTGACTAGAATGCCGAACATAGCAGGCCGGTCGATTTGTCGAGGAGGTCCCGCTAACGTCTGTGACTAAGAGTCATCGCTCATAATTGCGCAATTAATATGGCAGCGACTTTCCAAGAGAAATGGAGAGCGTCGTCACATAGACCGCTTTTCGTAGGTGTTGACCACCTCAGACTACCTGTGGACCAATTCCGGAGAATCAACTTCCTGACGGCTCCTGCTCTCAATGTCCACAGCAGTGAACCCAGATTTTTGCGTTCTATTGGCATACTTCCGTAGCCGGGTCTGACCTCTGGCTCGCATATATACCATAGAAAGTACCTCGAAACAGTGTTTGACATTTGGACCATACTTGCCGAAACGATGTGATCTTCCGTCGGAGCTCGATACGTTGTATCTGCTGCTACAAATCTTCAGCTGAGTCATCTCCTCAGACTGCACAATATGGTGAAAGACATCGCCGAGGACAAAATTGAGGCGAGACAGCGGCAGGAAAGTCGAGATCTGAAGTGAAGATGAAAAGGCAACCACGCTAGTCCCTTGTCAGCCGGGTGGATACAACGCGAAGCGACTGTCACTGACTCCAGCCTTAATCGTGTTGCTTCTATACGAATAAATTTCGTCAAAGATTGATCAGGCACTTCAGTTCGGTCGTGCTACACAGTACAGTACATAACACCTGACATGGTCCGCGACTGAAGGCGCGAGGTGAAAAGAACCTTATAGCCATACCAATCACCAAAAGTTCGATGAATTACGTGTCAACATATATATTCAAAGCTCAGAACAGCCACGCATGCAAATGCTCGCTTCTTTTGCTCGCTATGACTGAGTATCATTTCTTCTTCGCAGCAATGTCGTCATCTAAATCAATGGTCATTTCCTTCGTCATGGGCGTAAGCTCTGTCACCGACTCTGCCTTTCCTCCTTCCGAAATCGAAAAGTCGATTCTTAGTCGACCCATCGCGACTACTCGTCGCACGGGTCCTGGTCTCGTCCATTATATCAACTGATGCACTTGACGAGTTGGTTGAATCAGTCATAGTCTTGAGGTTCGCGTGAGCAAATGCTGATGGACGACGGTCCCACGGCGGCGGTCCATGATGTGCCTCTGGCTCAACAAAAGTGCCGGAAGGTTCGTCAACAGGTTGAGGCAGGGCAGTGAGCTCTGGATCTTGAACAGGTGCAGCGGTGTACTGGCTGGCGTACACGGGCTGCAATTTCTGCTGCTGTTCTTTCAGCACTTGCTGCCACTTAGGCTCAAGCTTGCCGTTGGGCTTCTCTGCCTGTTCAGCACTAGAAAGGCAGTCCTTGGTTTTGGTCCGTAGGTTAGTGCAGAGAGTGTGGAAGTCTTTCACTGTGGGGTCTAGATCTGGCTCGTCTGCCAAATTTGCGGGCGCATGTGACATCCAGAGCTCAGTCAGATCCGATAGAAGCTTGCTGGGATCAAGCAGGAAGGGAAGTGTCGGTAGACCTTCTCGGGCCGCAGGGGCCAAGCGATTTTTGATCTGCATGGGCGTAGCATACTGAGGCTCCATCGTCACAGATGCTTGCGATGTGCTGACATCGCAGATCTTGTCGATAAAATTTCTGAAGTCTGGTGTAGCTGATGTCAAGAATTTGTTCATCGGCTCCATCCATGTCTCCTTAGTGCCAAACTTCGCCATGTTGGCGAGGGCGTTGAGAGATTTGGCTATGAGGGTGAGTGTTCGTTTCGTGCGGTCCGGAGGAAGATCTGTGGCTGATCAGTAGGTGGCTCAATGCTAGACAGAATGACATACCTGTAGTCAAGCCAAAGAGCTGTGGGTTCAAAATGGCCGGACAGAAGAACCTCAGGAAGAGAAATCCGGAAACACTGGTATACCTCACCGTACGAATGAAGGAGCCATAGCGATCTTCCGCGCAAGACCGGATGTGCCTGAACAGCGCCCTGAGACCATAGGGACATAGTTCAGCTGAATCTGAGATTGCTTTCCAGATGGAGCTGGTCAAGTTGAGGAGAGTGCTCCAGTTTCGCTCGCCTTGTTCTGCGGATCGCACTCTCATGGGATCAACTTCGCAGTCGGGATCCTTTTCAGCTATCTTGCGAAGTCTTGAACCGAGCACATTTTCCAGATATTCGCTGCCGAGCCTGCGCATGTGAGAGTCTAGTGCTTTGGTGACTAGTGAATTGCCGCGGAAAAGTAGATTTGCTTCCTGGTTTGCAGATCTGTTCAGATCCCGAACGAGGAGCTCTCGCTGCTCTGCGTTCTCGTATGAGTCGGTCGACTGCAAACGACCGCTGAAACGCATGCGCAGAGGAGGTGTCTCCCGGTGAATGCCGTCGATTTCTTCCTCGATCAAATTGCTCAGCCAGTCATGCACGTGGTCAGTGGACTGGAAGATGTCGAGTAACACGTCGGACAGCTGACGCAGCTCCGGTCCAAGTAATTGCGCAATCTGCGTAGTCAGACTGTTGTCGAAGTTATGCAGTAGCGCGGACAATTCCTTGTACTCGTCCTGCATCAGCACTACCGTCTCCTGCAGACTCAGCCGCATTAGCATTTGCCCGACGACTTTGTTGCTATTATCGATGATTGGCCACCACTTCTCAACACTCTCGACGTCTTCAAGTTCCTCCATGGTCACATTCACCTTGCCAAGGACAGAATCGTGCTGGAGATTTCGATACCTCCGACGCCTGTGAGTAGGGCCGCGTCTCCAGACATATCATACGGCCCATGCGCAATCATCGTCCATTCTTGTTCACCTGGGTTTCCGATGCGTGCAATGATTGCTATGCGGTTCAGCATCGAAGGCAGATCCTTGAAGATAAAGTTTGTCGCCCACATAACGTTGTTGGTACATGGCTTGATCGCTGTGCGTCCTCTCAGATCTTGGCCGCACACAACGTCAATGTAGACATCGGTCGTGCTTCGCGGTGGTCTGGCTGACTTGCGCTTCAGCTTCGCTCGCTCAAGGCTGTCGGCTTCGGTTAAGACGTGCGCAAACTTTGCCTCTGTGATTTTGACCAGCAACTGTTGCTCGATGCGGAACATTCCGTTGGTATCCTGTCCAGGTTGTAATCCAATCGCATTCTGTTCTGGTCCGTACAGCTCAGGCACAGTGAGAGCTCGCAACAGAACATACCAAGCTTCGTACGCGACCCGTGTTTCCAGGCAGAGGATCATGGGTCGTTTTCGCCGTGAAGCTGCGACCTGGACTGTATAATGTGGGTAAATCGCCAAACAATACGGCATCTCGAGGATCGACTGATCGAGTCTTTGCACAGCACATCTCGATAGCTGCGACAGATACGTCGTCGAACTCGATTCCTGCTGACCTTCATTATACAACCGAAAAGATCCATTTTCATGAAGGGTGCAGCTCACACGCCGCCACAAAAGATTATCGGATGCTTCTGAGAAAGCACTTGGCGTTTTGAACCCTGATATTTGAGATCCTGACGGCAGTGGTCCATCCCACAACAACATCTGCCCAACTTTGATTATCGCCATACTCCGGCCGCTGTTCAGATCAGATACACGTCGTTGACCACTTGGGCGACTATCCTGAATCGAGACATTTTGCGGCTTCGTCATCTTATTGTGTACACCGCGAGGTCTCAATGGCTGCCAACAGAGCAATGCAGCCAGCCACGAATCAAACGTTTCAGGCACGGATGGCCGCAGCTGAAATCCCGATCCCGTGGCAGCGGTGAGGACACTAAGAAACGTGCTTTGTGTATCTGGATCAAAGTGGGTCTTGACACTGCAGCCACGGAGATCCGAGATGAGGGTCTGGTTTTGTGTGACGTCGCCCTTTACTTGACACATTAGACTTCCAGAGGCAACCTGAATGGCACAGTATCCTGAAAGCCAGGCGTTAGTGTGCAGCGGTCGAAAGAAAAGGATCCCATGCATGCGACCACACGTAGTCTTCATCAGGTGCAGAATCCTCGTAGAGTCTGACTCCTGCCAAGTGGGAGATTTGATTCCTCCAGAAGCGAATGTGCTCACACTGTCCGGCGAGAACGTCCTTCGTGGCGTCCGCGGAGGGGCACGTTCTTCGCCTTCGGAAGCTCCTGAGCCTGGCGTCACGGATGGAAAGCCAATTGATACAGCGGCTTGATCGTCCACCTTCGGGCTCAGCGCTGCACTTGTCGTGATTGAGCCGATGCGTTTCCTTGTCTTGGATAGCAGTGACCCTGGCGAAGCGTCCGAAGTGGCTTCTTCCTTGGACCAGAGGCCGTGCGGGCTCTCCGACCGCGACTGTCGATGGTGTTCAAGTTCTCATCGTCGGTGGTGGAGAAGGAGCCGGAGTGATCTCTGAACTGACCAACTTGTGTGCTTCTTGCGTTGTCTGGTCGCGCGGACACAGCGCTATTGCTTCTCTCCGGAGTGACAGCGCGGATCGTACGACCGTTGGAACGCTCGAACACCATGCCATTGCGGTCTTTGCTCGAGGCTTGTTTACTTGATCTCCTTCGAACAGTCGGAGGGGCTGATTTGCGCGGTTTGGCAGGCTGCTCTTCCGTTGGGCCATCCCCTTTGGAGGAATTCATCTTGTTGGCCTGAAGTGGACTTTAGACTCAGAACGCATAGCAATTATCGACAGGGACCCTGGCATGCCGTCGGCAACTCTTGTGTACTGTATCGCTTGATCGCGTGAGTCTCGGATGTCCTATGGCAGCGTCAACGTGCGGCCTGGCCTCACCTGGGCAAGCGATACGACTGTGTAAGATGCTGATGATCAGCATCCGCACGGACAAGTTCGTGGAGCGAAAATGCGCATTGCGGATAATGACTGGGAGGCAGTTGAATCACTCTTGTAGTTGATGTGTTCCCCCATCCGGACCTGTCGTCGCATGTAGAAGCGGACCGAAGCAAACTTGAAGCAGAACCTGGGAAGAGGAGGAGTACGAGACTAGCGCAGGAACACGATGCTGCTGCTGTTGAGCAAGCGACTTGTCGCTGCACTCATCCCACTCGTCCTCGACAAATGCCGAGCTCCCCCAGAAGCTCTTGGCTTTCAACTAGAATCCCTGCCTAAACTCCTAAACTCAACCAAAACGTGGGCATCACGTCACTCGAGGGTTGATCCCCAATGATGCCCTCCGCGGCGCGTTCCCGTGACTTTGCGGCTGCACTTCGAGTTCGTGGCTTTTGATCGACATCCTCAAACCTGTACCAAATATCACAGAGCTATTGCTTGATGCACACGCGGTTCGACAGACTCGGAAGGTGCTGGTCGGCGAGATAAGAGCGTTTCACCTTTTGCACAAGTGAACAGCGATCGGGGTCACAGCCACAGCACAAAGGGCGACAAGGGCAAGAGACACGTGCGAGTCAGAACGCGCAGGCAGCACCAACCACTGCATTGCCACTGCCGCATGACTTGACACGACACTGTGCAGACATCTCATCCTCGTTTTGCACAGACTCTACGGAGGAGACGATTGCAATGAGCCGAACTTCCTACACGACGGCCGCCTCTATCCGATAGCGAGAGACATCTTCATGGCATCGAGCCTCTTCTCTCCCCCGAGAAACATCGACAACCCCGCAGCCTCGATTTATGAGACTATCCGAAGGCACGAGGAAGACGATGAGGACGAGTCAGAAGGAGAGACATTCCTAGAGGAAGGCCTCGAGCATACAAACTCGCCTGCAGCGACGAATATGTCTCTTCCAGTTCGAGGCCAGACTGTTACAGCAGACCAACCACGTCAGTCACCCCGTGGAAAGCAGATCAGACCCAAGTGGATGACTCGGAGGCGGAAGCTGGCTGACATAGAAGATCTTGACGATGATGTGCCCGCCTCCCTGCTCATCGAAGGCGAGGATGTTGGTCTTGGCCCGGGTTCCATTGCTCTACCTCCTCCTCCAAGCCAGACAGCTGGCACCGAGCCTTTCGCGCCTGTTCCGTCAATTTCACCGCCCCCTCGGCATACAGGCGACCCGTCGTTCCTGCGACCGGGTCTTGGGCTTGCAGCCCGGCCGGGCACAATCGCATCACCACTCGCAACAGCGGATCCTCGATCTATAGCTATGTGGCGCTGGACCAATGTCGTCAACCTTGACAATTTTCTCTTGGATGTCTATAATTACTACCTTCTTCATGGCATGTGGTCGATATTACTACGAAGGCTTTTCGGTCTACTTACTGGCGCGTTTCTTGTCGGCTTCTCGGTCTTCTTGACACAGTGCATCAATTACCACTCTGGTCTTTCCAACGTCGAGAGACTTGACCAAGTCCTGGTCAAGAACTGCACAAGAAAGATGTCATTCTTTCCAAGCTTGTTCTTGTGGATATTGGTAATGCTGTGGATCCTCTGGGCATTCCAGTATGCCTTCGATCTGCCACGGTTGAGACATTTGCATGACTTCTATTACTATCTCCTCGACATCAGCGATGCAGAGCTGCAGTCTATCTCCTGGCAAGAGATAGTGAGCCGCCTGATGGCGCTGCGAGACACCAACCCAACTGTGGCGGGCAACATATCAGCAAAATCACGGCGGTACGCTCACACTCAGAGCAAGCAACGAATGGACGCTCACGACATTGCTAATCGCTTGATGCGAAAGGAAAACTACATCATTGCCATGGTCAACAAGGAGATCCTTGATTTCACGTTGCCAATTCCGTTCCTTCGCAATCGCCAGCTCTTCACAAGAACTTTGGAATGGAACATTAATTGGTGTATCATGGATTTTGTCTTCAATAAGCGTGGCCAAGTGCAGCAGACTTTCCTGAAGGACACACATCGCAAAGAGCTATCGGAAGCCTTGCGTCAGCGCTTCATCTTCGCCGGATTTGCAAACCTATTCATCGCTCCTTTCCTCATCGGCTTCTTCCTTGTGCAAAGCTTCTTCACTCACTTCAACGAGTATCAGAAGAATCCTGGAGCCATCGGATCGCGAGAGTATAACGTTCTGGCTGAGTGGAAGTTTCGAGAGTTCAACGAGCTCTGGCACCTCTTCAAGCGCCGCATCAATATGTCGCACCCTTTCGCATCGCGCTACATCGATCAGTTTCCGAAGGACAAGACCATTCAATCGGCCAGATTTGTTGCATTTGTATCTGGTGCAGTAGTCTCAGTACTGGGCATGGCCACTATTTTTGATCAGGAAAACTTTCTTGCTCTGGAGTTGACCCCAGGACGTACCGCAATATTCTACCTCGGCGTCTTTGGCGGCATCTGGGCGATTGCTAGAGGCATGATTCCCGAAGATTCGCTGGTATACGAGCCTGCATTCGCCATGACGGAAGTGATCGACTTCACACATTACTCCCCAAGTCATTGGCACAATCGACTCCATACTGTTGAGGTGAAGCGGGAATTCGAGCAACTCTACCAGATCAAAATACTGATGTTCGTGGAAGAAATTCTGAGCATGATTTTCACACCATTTGTCCTGTGGTTCAGCCTACCTAAATGCAGCGACAGGATCATCGATTTCTTCCGCGAGTTTACGGTGCATGTCGATGGTATCGGCTACGTCTGTTCCTTCGCGGAATTCAAGCTCAACAAGCCTGTCGAGAATCCTACTAGCACTCAGGTAGGCCGTGGCAATGCGAGCAGACAAAGGAGCGAGGATGGCCGCGAGAATTACTTCTCCTCCAAGGACCAGAAACTTGAACAAAGCTACTGGGGCTTCATGAACGACTACGCCAGAAATCCTAAGGCCGACGTAAGATTCCATTACCAGGCAGCTCGTAAGCGGCTGAATCTGCCCCCGCCTGTACCCGGACTTCCATCTCCAACCTTACAAGCTGGGTTCGGCAATCACCATCTGGCTTTGCGCAGTGACTCCACGTTCTCACCTTCGCGCACCGCGACAGGACCGGTGAGCGCTTCCCAACATGCAGGTCAGAGTGCAGGCACGCCACTTCAGTCAATGCTACTCGATCCTCACCATCAACCATCCGGCACATTTGGTAATGCTGCAGCAGCTAGGGAAAAGACACGGGCACTCTACGCGTCCCAAAATCTTCCTCAGGGCGTGAGAAATGCCCCATTTCGTCCAGAGCAAGTCGCAGAAGCGAACGAGGACGCTGACGGAGAGCCCTCTTACCCAAAGGAGTCTGCGTCTGCAGCAAGTCATACGGGTTCATGGAGGTATGACGATGATTCTGGCGATGATAGTCTCGATGAGCATGAGAATGCTGTGCCACACGACAATGTTGGAGTCATTGGTCTCATCAGACGTTTGCAGAAAACACAGGGCGAAGGCAATCGTGCTGGTTCTGGGATCTGATCTTCGTTCAAACATCTGACGTTGGAACATTGTTTAGCCTATGTGGACCACTGCTGATGCCATCTACCGGCCCCCCGCACACCTATGCAATCATAAAAGGCCGGGGGATCTGCTCATCCGATCTCCAGCCTTCAGGCCATCCCAGACTGCGAACGGGCCAGAGCGCGGCGATTTCTCTGGAGCATTTGGGCAACTTCTTCCATATCTGATGAGCATTGGGGAAGGACTTACAGTATTACGCCCCCGAGTGAAGGACTAGCCGTGTGAAGTACCACAAAAGGACAAGCGATGATTGGAACGAGCATAGCCGCTGCCCCGATGCGTCATCACATCGCTGCAGGCGAGTTCTAAATCGGATAGCTCCACGTCTTGAAAATTGTCCCACGACATATGCTGGACACAGTGTTCTCGAACACGCAGGAAATCGTCCGATGGCTCATGTTGAGCATTGTCGCACAGTTTCCGTTCATCGCAACAAACCACATTCTGTGTCACGTTGAGCGTCGACGGATTCTCGCAGGTCATGCTCGAGTAGATGCGAGGACCACCGGCCGACCATGCTGCGTGACACAGCCTGGCAGCACCGAAGTCAGCACCGAATGCTTGACGACGAAACCGCCCATGGCTTGCGTTGTCTCCGCAAGACGACTGCTCCAGTGGCAGGAGCATCTGTTCTGAACGCACTGTGCACAGACAAACGCCACAAGGTGCCTTGTTCAGGCAGCCAAGGTTTGCAGGCTGGCAGCATCTCGCAATGTGGGACTAAATTCTCACTGCCGCTTATCGATGTTGATAGACGTTAAGACGAGGCCAAGTCACACGTCTAACGAACGAAATTGTCTACTAAGCGAACCAATATGACTACGTAGATGCCAGAGTCTTAAGGATTTCTTAGGCCGCCACACTTGTTCTTGAGTCGTGGGGGACAATTATCACCGCTTTCGCAGATTGTCGACGCTTAGTGAAGCGATCTTGTTTCGACGGCGCCTCAGCCTCGCCTGATTTGTGCTCGTACCGTAACTGAAAGCCGAATGCGAGATATGGAGAGCAACATCCATTGGAACCGCCAAGACAGCTGCGGCGCTGGCCTCATAGAAGCTATCTGGCATTAAAACAAATATGGGTCCTCGAACGAGGATGTACCTACGGTCCTGCATGGGCAAAAGCACATCGCGGACTGACAATAATCTCAGCGACGGCAGATTTCTCGACTCTTAATGATTTGCAGGTCACCTTAGCAGTGACACTGGCAAAGTCGAGTCAAATAGAGATTACAGTGGTATCGATCTTCAGCTATACACGAACATGTAACGATATCGCGGGTTGCAAAGGCAGCACTTTGATGAATACGAAGGAACGAACCTTGATCGGGCACACTATTATTGGCTTGGGGTGAATTGACAGCAAAGCCCTGGCCACTGCCACGCGCAGTCCGACCAGCCAACACGAGAATGGTTAAACGATCCGCCCAATTTGGAACGCTCAAGCTTCGGGATTTGGCCCCTGAAAATTCCGACTCTTGGTTAAGGCTGTGGTGGAGCAAGGGCACCAAAAGGATTACATGGCCACTGGCTCTATGGAGACCAGCAGTCCTTCCCCCTGGCACTCTACCCCTGTGTGCAGATCACAACAGGTACACAAGGCCTGAGATATTCTTGCTAATTGGCCTTACCATTCCTCGAGCAAACTCGCACTTTGCACTTTTGCGTTTTCGACACGAAGTTCTCGCTAATCGTCCTCTATTGTACACGGGTCAACATAAAACCACGGCATACCCGTCTTGAGATCTGGATCGGTCATCGCATCACGACCAAGCCTTGCCAACGGCCGGACAACCCTTCAATACAACCTGTTAAACAACGACTTTCCCAACCATGCCGACTTCAACGTCGGATTCTGTTGCAATTTCACATCTACCACCGTAAGTCCTGCTCATGCTGGCGTATGTACTTCAGCTAACATCGCTCAAGCAAACAAGTTATAGCGTCCCCAGCTACGGCCAACCTTGTCACCTTAGGGCACGACGGCAAGCCGCTCAAGCTCAGGTCGGCGTGTAATGCTTGCTTTTCTGCGAAGGTTCGATGTGATGGAAACAAGGGAGGTTGCAAACGTTGCGTGGACAAGCGCATCATGTGTGTGTGTAAGTTGTTACGCCACGCTCATTCTCCGCCAAACGCTAAACGACATCAACAGACAGCGAGTCGAGAGTCGGCAAAGTTGTGGGAAAGCGGAAGCGGAAACAACCCGAGGACGACTCGGTCGGATCTGTGAATTCCGAGTCCTGGATCCTCACAGAGCAGCAGCCTGCTTCAATGCCCTCGCCGGCAGCTACAGCGTCGTCGTCGGAGTCTTTCACCAAGAGACATTGTCATGAAGACAGCTGGACTTACTTCATCGCTGACGAGCAGGCTGCTCAGCAAGAATTCAATGAAGCGAGTGAGGCTCTTCAGAGCATCGACATGGGCAATTACCGCAGCTCGTCCGAAGCGAGTGAAGTCGAGTTCCACGTTCCTGGTGGCCTGCAGACGCCAGATCTAAGCCCTCCGAATGTCTCACGATACCTATCACCTGCCATTCTCGAATCACGACCTGTCTCGCGAAATGCTTCGATATCGACCAATCCGTCCGTCATCCAACGAACAGCAAGCGCAGCATCTATGACTCGAACGACAGATCTCATCCATCCGGAAGACGAGGAGACCGTTTGCATCAAGCTCCTAGCTCACCTGAAGAAGTATTCCGCTTCCATCAACGACCACGGTCGCGCATTTCAAATTGACCTTTTAACAAAGTCAAATGCCTCCGTACGCCGCATCCTTCGTTCTGGGAGCGTTCGTGCGGACTACAGCTGTCAACTTCTTCTGTCTAGCATCTTGACTCACCTCACAACAGTGTGTGAAGCCTTATGTTACACAAGCTCAAGCCAAGACTCGACGGTATTGCAAGACGTACCACATGCTGTGCAACAGGACTCAGACTCTCGGCAAGACCGCAACTCAGAGGCATTTGACATGCGCACAGGCCTCGTGTACCAGTCGACACTAAGTGATGCGCTGCGTCCCTTGGTCCTGGAAACGAGCTCGCTAACGGTTGATGTTGGGGCTTTACTAAAGCGTAAGCCCCTTGATGGGTTCCAGACTCTGGGTAAATGGGAGATGGGCATACTCGAGCTGGGCTACAGGTTACAAATTGCGCTGGAGGCATTGTAAGGACTGTGAAGAGGAGGTGCCTCAAGATGCCAGAGAAGCGCACTGGTGCTATGACCATCACCAAAAATGCCGTTGATACCCCATACAGCGATACTAGTCGTAGTCGATTCCAGGTCAGCATGCCTTTATTTTGACGTCGCTCATCTACAGTGCTTCATTGTATCACAGTCGGTCAATAAGCTCGGCTTGTTACTGTTCGGTCTTCTTACTGTCAGAGGGCTTCATGGACTCATGCCACGAAGCACGATTGACGAACGAGCTCACCGCGTTTTCGATGCGGCTTCGACAGAATCTTCGACACACGCTCTCTGGAAGTCGCAGGAACTCTACGAAGTCTTGATGACTGGTCTCAGCTGTGTCCACTTGTCCTTTTGCTCGGCTCCTCCCAAGGTTATGGTGAGTTGCATTCCAGATAAACCGATCGTCACACTCCACTATGATCATGGATGGCTCGTTCCGCAGTTCAATCGCACTTTCTCATTGTGAATGAATAGTTGCCACCTGATCTCGATACACTCCTGCTATTGCTAGAGTCGCACTGACTCCAGAAGCTGCAACGAAAGCAACCATATACAGACTCCAGCGCCCTAATCTTGGATTGAATCGGAGCACATGCCAAGGCAAGAGCCCCGGACTTCAAAGTTGCGTATCCGCAAGCCGCGTGTTGCGCCTCCACTGCTTCTGTACTGTGGTAAGACCACATGGGATAATCCTCGGTAGGTGGGCACCTGGCCAGATATCAGTCACCCGTCGCAATTGCACGCATGGCTGCTTCTTCTGCTTCTCCTTCTCCAGCACTGGCAGTTGCCCATTCTTAGTTGCTTTATTTGTGGCAGGTTCATTCGTCTGTACATAATATTGTAATACACTAGGAGCAGGACGGTTTGCGGGGAAGGCCATCTGCCTAGTTCATCGCCACTTCGCGCAACGCAGCCCACGACGAGTCCCTACCATCGACTGGAGACGGTTCTAACCTTGTCTCGACTCCATTATTGTGGCATAAGGGCAGTCGTTGTCAGGCCGTTTACACTGTGGGGGTGGGGGTCCATCATTGTACAACGAAAGACCTTCGTCTAGGAGCACCCATGACATCTTGGAGTGGGAACAGACGATCAACCACACGAGTGCGAGGCGAGCTGGCGAGGACAGGAGGCGAAAGCTTGCACCTGCGTAAAAATCGATAGCCACCTTTCCGGAGTCATGTTCCGGCTTCGTCGGTTTCGGGCGTTCCTGATCGTTGCAGTCGTGGTCTTCGTATGCGCATATGAATTCTATCTGAATGATTGGGGCGTGCCTAGCATAGAGACGCTCGGCTTTTCGACTCCCAGGAACAAGAACGAGAATCAACGATACGAACCACCGAGTCCTGGTCCGCCAGCAGAGCATCCCCAAAGCCCGCCTGAGCCTGACGCTCCCAACAACGATAAGCACGCTGAGCATGTTCCTGAAGCGCCAAAGAGCAAAGCCAATCCGACGTACGCACGCACAGCAACACCAGCTGCACAGACTGTGACAGGAGAAGAGCTGTTACAGGAACAATCTTCGGACAACTTTGAGCTCTCACGGCAAGCTCAGGGTCGACTGAGCGTCCCAGCTCGTCCGGCAGGCAAGCCCAGCGCTGTATGGGTCGAGCAGCCAGAGCACTTTCCTGTGCAAAAAGTCACTGAATTGCCCGTAGGTGATGGCCAGCAGATTCCACGCATTCAATATGACTTCCAGGAAGAGTCTGCCGAACGGAAGAAGGGCACAACTGCTAGACGGAAAGCAGTCAAAGAAGCCTTCAAACATGCTTGGAAAGGATATAGCGCGTATGCTATGGGACACGACGAGCTCCGGCCTTTAACGAATGGCTCGGCCGATGGTTTCAATGGCTGGGGCGCTACACTGGTCGATACTCTTGACACTCTATGGATAATGGGTCTGCATGATGAGTTCGAATGGGCTGTTGGCAACGTGACCCAGATCAATTTCAAAACATCACCTCGCAAGGATATCCCCATGTTTGAGACAACCATTCGCTACCTTGGCGGGCTGCTTGCTGCTTACGACCTCAGTAACGGCAAGTACACGATCTTGCTTGATAAGGCCGTCGAACTTGCTGAAGTCATGATGGGAGCATTTGATACTCCTAACAGGATGCCAGACCCCTACTACAAGTGGGCACCTTCATATGCGTCTCAGCCGCACCGTTCGGATACGCATACAGTTCTGGCTGAGCTCGGTAGTCTTGCAATGGAGTTCACTCGGTTGGCTCAGATTACCAAAGAACACAAATACTACGATGCCATCGCACGCATAACGGATGAACTGGAGAAATGGCAGGATAAGACCTCCTGGCAAGGACTCTGGCCAATCAGGGTCGACTCATCGGGTTGCAAGAAGTCATCTCTCCGCCCAAAGGACGCTTCGAAATCAGACGGTGAATCTGCCAAAGGCAATTCTGGTACCCTTGGAAAACGTCAAGTGGATGATGCTTCGGACAATGAAGCGGCGCCGTTGGTCCCCAATCCCAACGATGAGGCGTTCGAGGCGTCTGATTTCGTCAGTGCTGAGCTGTTAGATGATGATGTCTTTGCAGCCGATTGCGAGTCCCAAGGTTTAGCGCACGAACCCCGCGAAGAGACACACATGTACAGCATCGGCGCCATGGCCGACTCAACTTACGAATACTTTCCAAAGATGCATGCTCTCCTCGAAGGCCGCAATAGGCAATATCGATCAATGTATCTGAAGGCAGCAGACGCAATTCGCAAGGATTTCGTGTTCCGTCCTATGCTCCAAGACTCGAAACGCGATGTTCGCTTTCTTGCGAAGCATGAACTCACGGCAGATAAATCCGGGAGAATTACGAAAGACTGGAAGATCTACGAAGGCAGTCATCTTGCGTGCTATGCTGGTGGGATGTTCGCGCTGGGTTCGAAGATCTTTGATATACCGGCCGATATGGACCTGGCTACCAAGCTGACAGATGGCTGCGTGTGGTCGTACGAGTCCATGCCGGCAGGAGTGATGCCTGAACTGTTTGCCCTCACCCCTTGTGAAGACGAGAAGCATTGTTCACCGGATGAATCAAAGTGGCATACGTCCCTAGATCCGAATTTGCAGGAGCGTTTCGATGCTGTTGCACGTTTTAATGCACATCAGAAAGCACTCGCCGAATCCGCTAATGTCGATGCCGATGCTCTGGCTGAGGAAGAGGAGGCTGAGCGTAAGTTCAACCCTTCGGACAAGCGCAAGCGGGCAGAGGCTCCGGCATGGAAAGCGCCAGATCGAAGCACGATCGCCAGGGAGAATGAGGAGCACGACGAGCCGGCGCCGACGAGCGCCACGGTCGGCCTGTCGGCTGATGGCTCCTTCGCGAGCTCTGACGACAACACATCACCGGCGCCTGTCGTCCCAAGAGTTGCCCTGTCGCATCAGAAGTTCGTTGCGGCTCGCATCGCCGAAGAGCGCCTCACTCTGCCGTACACCGAATTGCAAGATCGAGCATACAAGCTCCGGCCCGAAGCGCTGGAATCTGTCTTCATTATGTATCGGATTACAGGCGACAGCACTTGGCGCGAGAAGGGCTGGAAGATGTTTCAAAGTATTGTCTCGGCAACGGAAACAGCTAGCGGGCACGCGCAGCTTAAGGATGTCACGAGCGCTTTGGGGGAGCAGGCTGATAAGATGGAAAGCTTCTGGTTGGCGGAGACGCTCAAGTATGCGTATTTGCTGTTCAGTGAGGAGTCGCTGGTGAGTCTGGATGAATGGGTCTTGAATACGGAAGCGCATCCTTTCAGAAGGGAAAGGGGAAAGACTATGGCAAGGGGAATGTGATAGACGTCCAGGGACGGTGTACCATACACAAGTACAGGATATCCAAATTTAGGCGTTATGTTACTAGGGCCCTCCTTCAGATCCTACCCAGTAGGCGAGTGCGGGCAGCCGGGCGGGCGCCGGCTCGGGCACTTCCTTTGCTGATTGTGGATCTGTATTTTACTGGACACGTTGCGCAAGAGCGGAGTGAGGTCATTTGTCATCGCTGATCACTGATCAGGCGTAGTGCTTTGGGGGAGCGGAAGCTGGGGTGGCTCAAGTGGCGGGCCTAAAGTCGATGCGTCGAGGTCAGGATGAGGCGGTGGAAGAAGGAGTACGGGCGAGAAGAGACCGTCAATGCGATTTTGCCAGATCTAGATGGGTTTGCGATGGTAAGAGCAAGGCATTCGCAGAGGCTCCCAACAAAACGTGGGTGGCGGTGCAGATCGAAAGGTATCGGCTGGCAGGCTATGGACTTCGCGGAACAGGCTGGGTCCCAACCGCACGGCTGTCCTTCTATCCGTTGGATGTACAGTGTCACACCACCCTTCTGCCGGCCGAGTGTACCGTTGAGCTAGGTCAACGCCCATACGTTGCGCGGATGACTCTGTCCGTCGCTTCCGGAGCTCGACATAGATGCCACTTCCTCCACAATCCATGCCTCTCTCTAGTCCGTCCAAGCTTCCGATGTGGACTATGAGATTGAAACCGTCTACTGCGATGTTGTCTGCGGCATCTTGAACATGCTAAACTTGGGCTTGAGCGTTGACACGAGTTCGAATTCGCCTTTTGACAGCAGAGGACAGGATAAGTCAGCGAAATTGTTCGTAGAAGTGTGGGTGATATCCTCAGCTTGCTCGGAGGAGCTCTTCGTCTCTCTGTCGTGGGGGTGTGGTGAATATGGGAGAGGCTTACGGGGCTTGATGAACATGGCCTCTGTCGCCTCATAGTACGGTGCATAGTAGTCTTTCGTGATTTGATTCTGTTTGTTGTCGCCATCGTCAGCACATCTAGGATGGGTTGTATGTGGATGCACGGGAAGATCGAGCACCTGCTGCGATGTAACGGTAGACGCTGGCCACACTACTCACCTGCATCAACCACTCCTTGGACTCAGACCAGCCTTCTGTCCACCACAGCTCACCGGGCTTGTCGTCGACTTGGCCTGTGACGAAATATCGACAGGCAGGTTCGGCCATCACCTTCTGAAAAAGCTCCTTGGATTTCTCAATCCATTCGTCAACTCGGTCAGGCTCAATGAAGATCCGTACGTTCAAGATAGTCTTAATGTCGTCTTCGATGTAATTACGCTTGTTGTGGTCGATGGTTTGTGACATTGCGTCGGGATTGTTTATTGACCTGGACTGGCGCTGGCGGAAACGGTGAGGCGGAGGATTTTGTGCGACAGGCAAAGCCTGTGAGTTGAATCATGTACCGACTTATATACTCGTTGCATTGCTCATAGCCTAGACGACGTTGAGCTGGCTTGGCTGGAAGCTAATAATTCGTCCGTGCTTACCCATCGGATCGCCGAGCCAGCTTTCTTCGTTGCGAAGTTGCGGCGACCCGTGCCTACCTACATACGAGGTGTGTCTACCATTGGTAGCCTCGGGTAAGTTAGCTTAGCTGGAGCGGTCCATACAAGCTAGTCATCCGAGCGCTGCCATGCAGCAAGCAACACATTAGCATGATGCTCGCGGTAGAGGATGTCTGCTTGTGAAAATGCACCGTGATCTTGTCTCGGGTTCAGAAACGCGCCTCGGAGTGATTTGCCTCATTAATAGGTTGAGCGGCGGGTCGTACCTGCAGTGCGGCAGACAAATGAAGTCATCGGGCTTGGCAAAGATTTTCGGATGACGCCTAATTCCCGCCGCAGCCAGATCTGGTTGAGAGCAATGTGAACGCGAGGCAGAGTTGCGCCGGTTGTCTTGATGGAACGGTGCTCACCATTGAATGATGATGAACCAGGTCAGCACTGGGGCTCGAGCATCGACTGCCACCTCCGGTTGTGGAAGGAATTCAAAGCATCAAGAGCCGTCTGCACTTGCCCAATTGCTGCGATAGGTGCGGGACATTGAATCTTTCCCACTGTCAGGTAATCTGGCGGGAGGCGATCGATACTCAATCTTGAGGCCTGCGCACGATCAGCTTCATGAGATAGGTACGGCGACAGCATGTCGGGGCTTCGGGTTGGCTCCGGTCAACCACAGCCGCCCAGGAACATTGAACAGATCACAAAGACGGCGCAAGATTACGACTACGATGCTTCGATAAGTCTGCGGCGTTGGCTTCAGACGGCAGCGACCTTGGTGCGAGAGGTATGAATTGTATGCCAGAGCATTACGGCGACTGTACTGATCCCCGCCACAGGCCGAAATCTATCAACGTGATGGCGACGATGAGATGACTTACTTCCTCCTCTTTAGGCATGCCCACCTCGTACTGGCCAATCTACAGTCGCACCCCCATGTCAAAGATGCTGCGACGCGAGATGCGTGGAAGCAGGCGAACGGAGCTGTGTCACAAGAATTGGAGCTGCTCGAGCATCTGAAGCCAAAGATCAATGAAAGGTACACTCGATACCAGACATTCCTTCAAGAAAGAGAACTCAGGGCGCGAGCACAGCAGAGGCGCACGTCACAAGATGCTGCGCGGAATCACGAGACAGACCACTTCGAGCGACCACGGACACGGCAGGTCAATGCACACGAGCACAAGGAACTCGCGGCCAAACTAGCACAGCGAGAGCATTCTCGCCGCGCAGCCACCGTCATCGCACCACGGTCCGATGGCGATGACCTTCAGCGTCGACTGCAGGACATCAGATCCCGGGTCGACAGCTCAAGTCAGGGACCTGGTGCTGTTCCTGCTCCGCAACTTCCGAGACAGGACTCCAGCTATCAATACCCTTCCGTGCCTTCGAAGAGGGGACGACAAACCTACACATATCACCAGCAGCCACAGGCCTTTGATCACCGACAGCCAGGCGTCTTGCCACCTGCACTTCCTCCCAAACCCGCGCTGGCCGCAATATCGACCTCGGCTGCAGCGCCTCGACCGCCAAGACCCGACAAGGTGCTCGACAGCCCGATAGATCCGCCCTCCAGAACAAGCACGCCAGGAGAGGATCGCATGTTCGCGTCAGCAGCGACCCTCGAAAATGGAACAGCACTGCGAACAATATTCCTGCCTTCAACACTTCGGACCACGTTTCTGCGCATAGCCCACAAGAACACGTTGGCTAACCTGGAGACCTGTGGCTTCCTAGCGGGAACGCTGATGAAGAATGCCTACTTCGTCAGTAAACTCGTGATACCATCACAGACAGCTACCTCAGATATGTGCGAAATGACGAACGAATCTCAACTGTTCGATAACGTGGACGAGGCTGGACTGATGATTCTAGGCTGGATCCACACGCATCCGAGTCAGACATGCTTCATGAGCAGTCGGGACCTGCACACGCACTCTGGCTATCAGATGATGTTGGCTGAAAGCATAGCCATTGTGTGCGCCCCAAGCAAAGGAGATACATCCCACGGCGGCGACTATGGAATCTTCAGACTCACTGATCCACCTGGGAAGAAAGTCATCCTCGCGTGTGACAAGCCCGGGATCTTTCACCCTCATGAGGTGGATAACATCTACACCGATGCTCTTCGACCCGGTCACGTTGTCGAAGTCCAAGACATGCCATTTGATGTGGCCGACCTGCGGTAGTGACGCGCTTGTGTGACACGATCGCCTGGACTTGCGATGTTTATGAGATGCATAAGATGGTAGCGGATCGGGTTTCCGGTCATCATGGCCTGCCCTACGACGTAGGCAGATTCATTCGCAGGAATGAGACAAACATAAATTTAGAACTATGTGGCGTCGATAGCGAAACGTCGTGGACTCGTGGTATGAACGCCATATAAAACTGTGAACTTTCACACCGGAACTGCCGACGCAAGCTGTTTGGGGTGCCCTCTGGAACAGTAACTTATCTGTGAAGTGGCAGACTATTGTGCGACAACAAGCAGCAGCATTGCAGTACCTTAGGAGCACTATGGCCTGGCACTGGCTCGTGGAGGACTCCCGACTTCTCGCCAACAATATTGCTCACCCCTCATGAGTCGCGACTCGCGAGTTGCAAGGGAACGCGCAAGCGGAGCCACTGCAAGCAGCCACGTTTCGCGTATGGATTTTGGTGTATCGATAGGCCAAACCGATTCCCGAATAAGGGCGAAGTTCAGGCGATTCGGGGCGAAAGATTGCCAAGTGTTCAAGTCGTTTCAGACGAGACGCCGCTTCTCAGCGACAGAAGCCGCGAGTTTTAACAGGTCACTGGGGAACGATCCTACCCATTCACACACTAGCGATACCAACAAGAACCCGCGACTTTGCAAGAACTGCACAGAGAACGAACGAGTGCTGCACTTTGACTTTACTGGCCAATGCACGGCTAATGCAGGTACAAAATGCTGATCCTACGTAGTTTGCAGATGTTGTCACACCTTTCATGCCAATGTCAATGTCGAGGCGGGCTCGTCCAGATGCCACGATTGAGCGGTACAAGTCGAAAGTCGTACAGAAAATTCACGCGACGACCATAGTGCCGGGAGTCGGACAGATTCTCATCTCGACTGTGCGCTGTGGCAGTGAGAACAAGACGAGATTGTTCCTATATCATCGAGAACTGCACAGCCCCGACTTTTAATCTCTATACAGATATCGTTGACTTATGGTTCATCATCTCCCGTGCAAGCAAGGACCAGAGAGTCCTAGACTTCTGGGATTTTTATGTGGGTGGATTTATGTGCAGGCATCAGCAGCGATTTTGTCTCGGACGGAGAGGGAGAAAGCGCGTGCCGCTAACGCTGAAGAAGTCTAGTCAGGCACAGTAATGTGGATCACAGAGTGTTTGGGAAATTGCGTCTGGCCCTGACGAGCTCCTCCTCGTCCTCGATCCGCGCCAGCCTGGGCGAGGATGACTTGTCGCTGGCCCTTGCTGGGCTTGGTCTCGCTATCGGCGCCGCGTCTGGCGTCTGCTTCCTGCTCTGCTGCTGTGCCGCTGTGGGTGCACGCTCCACCCACATCATCCTCTTTCCCCCTGGAGTACACTCCTGCTTCCTTTCTTCGCACCGTCAAGTCATTCCTTTCACGTCGTTATTGTCCTCTGTGCTCCTTTGTCTCGACACCTCAACTCGCCACCGATACTTGCACCACCGAACTGACCTGTAGACTGTCTTTTGACGACTATACATTCTATACACTCATTTGTCGCGAGTTTGGCTCACAGGAGAAGCCCTGAAACACTTCACATTCCACAGATCCAGACCGCCAACACAACCTCGACGACGCTCGTTTCGTCTTCTGCTCTACGCAAACAGTCCCTCAGACTGCCTCCTTCCGAACCCCGAGCAGTGCAGGCACTGTTCCATTTCCAGAATCTAGAAGATCGGGACGTATACTTCGACAACAACGATCTCCGTCGACGTCAACACGATATACAATCTCAACAACATTCTCTTCCAATAAGCTATCTACTATAACGTCTGCTGGGAGCGCGGCACCTGGACAGCACATTCTCGAGTGCTGTAGACTACTCCCTGCGTTCTCAAGGTCCTACCAATCGTCCCTTCGACACCACACAGACACATCCAACATGACGAGGATACTACGAGCCACAATAGTGGCATACGCCTTCTCTGCTTTGACGTCACTGGTGCTTGCACAAGATGACTCGTCAGCAGCAACAGCTGTCGCAACAGGAGCTGCACCTGCCGGCCCGATCGAAACGCTCGACTGCTACAACACGTTGGGTTCGAATTCTGACGAAGAAGACAACAATACTTTTCAGAGCTCGGGTCACTGTCAAAGTGTTTGCACAGCTAAAGGTGCGAAGGTTATGATCACTTCTGGTGGCATGTCGTGTTATTGCGGCGATAGCATACCACCAGCTAGCGACAAAGTCGATTCTGATCAGTGCAATATTGGCTGTGGAGGTTACAAGCTCCAGACCTGCGGTGGCTTGGGCACCTACCAATACTACTTGACAGGTCTTGGAGCACCAACAATCGAGAAGGACAATTCAACGACGAGTGCAAAACCCTCCGCTACCACCTCGGCCGTCGACACCGCGCGTCCCGCAGTCGTCACCGCAACTGCTAGCGCGAGCCCAAGCTCAAGTGGTGGTGGCGGTTCCTCAAAAGTTGGCATCGCAGTCGGTGTAGTTGTTGGTGTCATTGCTGTTGCGGCTATCGCTGGCGTCGCTGTTTTCTTCTACAGACGGAGAAGGAATCAGAAGCTCGAGGAAGAGCATGCTCGCAACGCTGCCATTAACGGCTTCACCAAGGGTCCCAAGTCCGAGGCAAGCTCAGCCAACGACTCGCGGCTTGACCCTTCGATCTATTCGGCGCGTCGAGACAGTCTAGGCAGCATTGCTGATGAGAGGGATTTCTCAAGGAGAATATTACAGGTTAGTACAACATACCACCATCACAGAACATCAGCTGACTTCGACGCAGGTACGGAACCCAGACCGAGAAAGCAGAGCGTCACACGTGTAAACTTCATGGGTCCATCGAGACCAAGATATCAACTCGACTATCAGTCGCACCCATGATGATGTTCACGCCGATCCGTCCAGCACTGCACGCCGCAATCTCGTCGATCATGTTCCCACATGACTACGGCTATTGCGAAAGGCCCCTGCAGGCGCCTTGACGCTCGATTTTCCTGTACTGTCACCTAATAGATCTCATATCACGTCAACGATCAGCGATGAAGGACCCAACTGGTCATTGGACAACAAGCCAATGCTGTTGTCCACCTACATTCCCTTTGAAGAAAGCATAGCAGTGGAGTTGGGACTGGATACTCTGAGCACACGTGTCACAAGTTGACATGCCCAGTCTATGGAGAGGAGGAGGAGCCAGAGGTCTGAACGACGATGGCCATCCAAGGATTTCGAACATGTCTCAAAAGACAGATCGAGATATCTAGGATATGAGAGGAGAAGATTTGGACACCTGAGATAGAGATATGGGAGCAGACAGCTGTGAATGAAATGTATCACCATCAACCGAACATCACGGGTCGTGCAATTATCGTTGATATCCTTGTCCTGGCCTCTGGCTCAACTTCGCCTGATCTGATCTACACCTTCCCATCGACATAACATCACCTTTGACGCGTTCTTTCACGATTGGCAATTGTGTTTGACATTATGCGCGGCCCCCAAGTCAATCACACATGTCTCTAGTAGATATTCTACGTCAATGTGCGGTATGAATGTTCAGACAAGGCCTGCCTAGGGAGCGGTCAACGAGGAACAGATGCTCTCTCGTGGATAAGGGCCTACCCCTTTCCCAAGGTATTGTATCTGAGAAGCATTGAAATCTCAAGATCATACATGAAAGTTTTCCTCTCTGCCGGCTGCGGCCTAGAACAATTTTGGGAGTCATGCTCTGTTCTGCATGAAGCTGCAATCCGCTGTGACTTACGCCATCCCTGTGAGCAAGACCTGGTCGTGACTACCGACCAGTTGCACCAATCCCGACACTCTTGAGGATATCATCAACGCCCCAACCTGGTCCACCAGGCACGACTTCCCGCCAGACCTCCTCCGGTACCCGTTCGGTGGGCGGCAAGACGGCCCAGTTTGGACTCGGTTCTGATTTGAGCCATTTGAAGTCGTCGACTTGATCGTACATGTTCTTTGAGTCATATATTGAACTCGACTCCGCAGCTGAAGAGTTCTCTTCCGATCGTGCCAACTTGAGCAGGTCCAGGTGTGTTTGCGGGAGGGTTGTGAATTTCACGCCTGAACAGTCCTCAATGATGGGTCTCGAGGTGCAGTGGAGGTAGACGACCACATCATGGCATTCGTGCATTCTGAGTTGTCGGCAGGTGATGACTAGCACGCTGTTCTTCAGGGCGGTGACATGTGCTGGTCCGGTGACTGTGCCGCAAGAGAGGAGCGAGTTGGTGACGTGGGTGATGGTGAGCGTTGCAAATGAGGAAGGCGACTTGGTGCTGCTGACGCCAGATGTGGAGGATGCGGCGGAGGAGAGGTCGAGTACGCAAGAGGTAAGGCGTGAGATGGTGCAGGGCGTGTTGGCGGACCGTGAGGATGTGGAGGGGAGAATGATGTGGGCTTTGCTTGATGAATTTATGCTCATGGACGTTGAGGTCTGGTGCAAGATCGGTCGTGAAGTCGATGAGGAATCTGACGCTGGATCGTTGTTCTCCTTGTCATTATTGGAAAGCTCTGCTGTGGTTGTGGACTGGGTCAGGGATGAAGAAGGTGGAGGTGCCGAGTCAGGAACTGGGCGATTGCCTGTTGACCGCTCGTGAGGTGGTGTCTGCAGATAGCCTGGAGTGACTGAAAGTGATGAGCTGGGAGTGTTGTCATTGGGCGAGAGGTATCCAGGGATGTTCCGCCGCTTCTGCGCGGCTAGTTCAGCGGCATCAGACAATGAGACGGCGGAAGGCGACTTCCTTGCTGACTTGAAACTGAACTTCTGCTTCGGAGCAAGAGTGGCGCGGGTGTCCTGGAGTTTGTCCTGTAGTGCTTTGACGGCCTCAGCGTAAGTCCTTTGGTCGTATGGTGGCAGATAGGTTGAAGCGTCCTTCACCTCACTAGACAGCCGGCTAATGCCAGCCAGACAGTGATCTGCTGCATCGGCGCGCTCGCCAGCTATGGCGGGACGCTCTGAAAGCCGGTCGATCTGGTTCTGGAGCTCAGTGATCTCATGCTGGAAGTATCGGAAGAATTTCTGCTGAAGCGAAGTCTCGCCCACCGGAGGATCGGCGTCCTCGGGACTAGTCATAGCGGCAACGCTCGCAGACACACAGAGTGAAGGGACGTCAACGAGAAGCCACGTTAAATCCGCCGCGCACGACTGTACTACCGCAATTCTCGTGTTGCCATGCAAACCAAACAGGTCCTTGCACGTATGTCTATGTCGCGTGCTCGTCGAGGCACCCTACCCCAGGTTGCAGTGGGGTGCAATGGCACCTGCACTCAAGTTGGGGGGTGGGACGACGTCATTGAGAAAGAAGGCTCCGGCGCAGCCTCGCGGGCCATCCTGAGGTATTCCAGCAAGTAGCGCCTTCCTCACTCTACCAATCTCTGCACACTATTGCACTCTGGGGAGCTGCATGAGCATCGCTCCCACTGCGGCGGAAGCGGCGAAAGTCGCCAAACAGCTGGGCTCATACATTTCTGAGGCCAGCAAATACGGCCTGGCCAAACGCACCCAGATCATCGACCCTCGACTTTGCAGCGACGTGTTGACGCGCCTTCGGCCGTCTCTTGAGAGACACAAAGGATGTATCTTGATAGATGTCAACCCAGGCTTGGGCCTGTGGTCCGAGTATCTCCACAAGCTCGTCAAGCCTCGTCAACACATACTGTCCAATCCCTCGAAGCACTTCTATAAGCCATACATTGAGCCGGTCATTCGCAGACACGAGAAATCCATGTTGACGAGTGACATGGGACTGGGCGAGATCCTACACAGCGACCGCTTCTTTGGCAAGGCTTCCGCGCAGGACGAACTCGAGCGTACGACTACAGTCAACAATGACATCCTTGTCACCATAAATTTGGCTGGACCAAGTCAGCACAATCTGAAATCGATTCGCGGACGTCAAGATCAATACTTTTGGAATAATCTGTGGGCTTCTCTCGTCGATGGCATGCGGGACGACGTCTTCTACCGGGGCCTTATTCGCATACTAGCATGGGTCCCTGATGAAGCTAAGTACAGCATCGTGCCTCGCTCTGCCGAACCCGTCAATCGTCAGAGCGTGCAGGTTCAAATGATTGCGAATGTGACGGAAGTAGCAGGAGGCTCAGTTCTTCTCGGCGATCATGCGCAGAGACACCGCAGGCCTCATCAACTGGAGATGGAAGACCTGGTCGATCGTGGCAAGCCGCATGCTGAGACGGATTTCTCGGCAGCACGAATCGATCTGCCTCCCTTACCAGCGGCCGTGGAACTTCAACCCAATGTAGCGACTCTCGCAAATACCGACCACATCGCTCGCTTTCCCTGGCTTGATCGGCTGATCGAGCTTGATCGACAAGTCTTGGAGATCGATCCGACACTGCACAAGGACTTAGAGCTTGCAAAGTCATCTCGTAGGACTTGGCTTGTCCGTTCGAAGGATCCAGTGATCAAAGAATGGTCCCATCACTATAGCGTGACTCGGACCAAACACGCCGTCTATCAGCGTCAGCTCGATTTGATCAATGAGCAGCGCGCCATCGAGGCAGAGTGGCGTTCCACACCAAACGACGAGGACCCACGCGTTGCACCCCTCAAGGACCGTGCTGCCGAAGTTGTTGCTCAGACCAACAAAATGCGCAAAGTGGACGCGGCCGGTGTCCGGAAGCACATCGATAGCTACCGTCTGTACGACAACAAAGCCAGTCACTGGTGCAGCCGCACCTACAATCCTCTGATTACGCATCCCCGTGAGTTTGCGCACGCAACGCCAACAACGCTGGCTTTGCTGGACATTCAGCCCCGGCCCGAATTTCGCCAGGTCTTCGATACCGAAACCAAACATGCTTACCTGAGTCATGTCCTGTCGCACTTCTGCAGTCGGCCTGCTACATCAATGCACGAGTTGATAGAGAGCCTGCTCAACAGCAGTGGGATGGATGATTTCATCGCAACGGTGCCGAATCTGCGCAATGTGCGGATGGGTGGCTGGTATAATCTGCATGACCTGAGGCCCAGAACGCTGAGCTCGAGGCTTTGGCAGGACTTGGCACTAGCATATGCTGAGTGGCCTTTCCGACTGAGCATAGACACTCTGACGTTCGGCATGAAGAATGCGAAGAGAAGCCTCGAAGAACATGATCAGATCTAGGCTGAAACAGCGCGAGAGGCAGACGGTCACGTGGGTTCTTGTTGTTCTATCGGCCTTGGCCTTCGATGAGGATGGAAGTAAGACACCAAATGGATAGGAGCATCGTTGGAAAGCTGTTGGATATTGTACAAACCCGTTATATGATACAAAAGGTGCACTGGAAGCGGCTCTCTAAATGCGGAGTCGTGCTTCTCTGTACTGGAACGTCATGATCATCAACACTATCAACCATTCATGGGCATCATTCATAGCAGAGCCATCGACTCGTAGTTTCATATCAGGTTCCTGACGGCGCACCACCTGGCCTTGCTGACAACCATGCGCCCCTGTGACTTCGCCCACTGTGCTTTCTGGAGCACCTCTGGATATTGTTCGACCATTTGCCGCAGGTCACCCTTCTCGTTGTAGGCCAGCGATAAGCACTCCGCGGTGTATTCACCTGCCGGGCCCCAACGCTTGATTGCTGCACAGAGCTCTTGTTTGAACCAGTACCTGCACTGGTCAAGCCTGCTCATTTCGGATGCCATGCGAGCAAGGTGCTGATATGTGTAGACACTGATCTCGTCCGGGATCCAGGAGGATTCGGTGTCGATCTGGGTTGCCCTGATGTCGCCGTCATGACTGGCAATGACTCTGGTCTTCCGGGCGCTGTGTTGAGGATCCTAATGAAGGTGCACTCCGCTTCTGCCCAGCGTTTCTGCTGCATGTATAGGTGCCCAAGACGCCGAAGGCAGCGACGTGTCTCTTTGTGGGCATAGCCATTGTACCCTTCGCTGTCTGCGATCGCACCGAGGAGCAGCAACTCACTGTCATGAAATTTCTGTTGGCGTCGCAAAATAACCGAAAGCGACCGTTTGATGAGGAGGATATCCGGATCTGCGACACCAGTTGTCCTCTCAAATGCAGCAATCATGGCGCGAAGAGCGGGCTCCGCAGCAGCAAATAGTGTGTCGCCCTCTTTAACACACTGTAAGATAACCGTTATAGGGTGCGTATGCCCAAGCTTGTACACGGCCATCATAGCGAGGTACTCAAGTATCCCATGCCGGAATCCTTCATGTCGTTCCCAGCGGGAGCTGCCAAATGCCATGACAAGGTTCCTGATCCAGAGTTTTGAGGGGGCAGAGAGGAGGAGATAGGCCAGGCGGCATCCCAATTCGAAGCTAGATACCGCAACGTCAGTATGGCCATCTTCAAGCATGGCGAGACCGAAGTCGAACTCGGCCCATGTACAGCGCTCACATTGTTTGGGACTGGCCTTGTGAGAGCAGTGACCCGGATAGTCGGCGATGATGTTGGCTGCTTCTGCATCGTTGTACAGCATTTGTTGCTGAGCGTCGTTAACATTCAGCTCGCCGTACATCCATGTGTCAGAGAATTGGTTCACACAGTGAATCACTTTCTCGACAGACCCGTGCCTTGGGATCGGCATGTAGTTATAAGGCGAAGAGCCTGATAAAGGATGACTGGTAGGCGCGACCTGGACTTGAAATTGTTGTTGCTGCTGTTGCTGCTGCTGTAGACCTGAGAGGTGGGTCTTTATGCAGTGCCGGTGAGCACATGCGGCTGGCTCTGGACAGGAGTATTGGAGACAGCCCCACCCATTGCCAGCGAGGTCGTAAGGTTCGATGTCGTCCATGAGATGATTGCTGAAAGACGTGCGGTTCGATGTGTTGGATGACGTCCGGCTCATGGATGCACTTCCAACCAGAGGCGGAGAATCGAACATTGGAGGTGCCGGCGCCGATGTCAGGCTTCTGTTCTTCTCGACGCGCTTGATGCGAGCCCTCTCATACTTGAAGACTCCCCAGTCATAGAAGCGCTGTTTGTACATCCTCGGTCTGAGCACATTAGCTTTGCGCTTCGAGCAAAGTTCGAGCAACTTACGTGGCCTTGAAGGAATAATGCCGCTCCATATGGTCGACAAGCTTTTTTACGGGCATATTGGCGCCGATGTAGTGTTCGAGAATGATCTGCTGGAACCGATCCCAGTCCTCTCTGGAGGGTGGGTCGAGCGGCGGTGGGAAGGAAGACACCGGATCCAAATCAGTGTCGATGATGGCAGTGGTGTCGTACGGACTGGACATGGCCGAGAATGGAGAGGGTGCGTAGTCTGAGTCCATCCCGGCGCCGTTGTGGAAAAAAGCCATTATGCTGGTAGTATTGTGCGTCAAGATCTGGTAGCAACTGCGATGGTGACAGCTCTGGGTGACTGAGCGACAATAATATAAGTGGTCTCAGAAAGCCGACAATATCTCATCAGGACATAATTGTAACAATTTGTGCCATATGAAGTGCTAGGATGCATTCAGGACGGTGAGTCGGAGGTACTGAGTTATAAACCGATTGGGAGTCACGTAGGAAAGTGCCTACCCAGCCAAGTGACGCCCGGCCATCAAGGAAGGCACGAGTGGAGGTAGAAGGCGCCCAGGGAAGGAGCGCACCAACGTGATCGTCTGCCACAAGCAGCTACGTGTTGCTTCGAAATGCAGTGCCGTGCGATTTCGGTAGTGGCTTTGCGAAGGCAGGGTGCCTGCTCATGACGGATACCAGAAACTCACCTGCAGAGCTGATTCGCACTAGAAGCAAAGGAGCCACTCATCAGGAAGAACCGTTAGAGGCAGCGTGGGGTGAACAAAACATCTGTGCAATAACATATTGTTCAAGGAACGGGAACGGAAGCATCGTCTGCGCAAGGCGGAGTCGAAGCTGCGCGGACGAGAAAGAGTTCAATGAATGTTAGGACCGCGCATGTGAGTCAGTGGATTTTGGACAGCAACAATGGAAGACCAAAGCCCCATCCCAGTCAGCCGTGCCACCCTAGAAACGCGCTAGAAGCTCGGTAGAAGGAACTAATGCATCGAAGCCCAGTAGATTTCCAGAAGGTTTCCTTTCCGGGCTGGACCTGTGTGACAGAGCAGGGGAGCGGAGAGGGTTCACGGTCAGCTGCTTGAGCGGTGACTGGGGACCAGTACTCCTGCCGTCCATCCATAGCACTTTGCTGGACGCATTCCCCCTAGCCAAATGACGAAAGCGACAACACTAACAGTATGGACCTTCAAAGTGAGGCCGACTTAGCTGCTGCCAACCTTTGAGACTGTTGCTAGTAGACAATTTAATCGCTCACTGAAGCAATTCGTGCCGGGGCATGTGGACCGGATACGAATGAATGTGCGCTAGGTCTGGGGGCCGCCAGTAATCGGTGCGCAGGCAATTGACAACGAAACGCATCGAACGCTGATTGCAGACGAACGTTCCGGCATAGACGTGCCGAATAAACGCAAAAGCGATATGTTTTGAGTTAAGAATAGCAGGCTCAGGAGCGCTTTGTCGGCGAATACAGGCCCGAATATTGGCGATCGAAATGTGGATACTTGTGAACAAGGCAGATTTCACAGTCTGCTAGGCGAACCACGATCCGGTCTCCTTTCTCTCCTTCATGTCATGCATCATAGTCGTATTACTCGCCGTCATTTTGACCCGCCAGCAAGCCCATCACACGTCTATAGTTCGCGATTTTTCACCGCTCATCTGCCATCAAGATCCAAAATGGCGTTGTCTGCGTATCTGCGTCCATAGCTCCACTACTGTGCGCAAATCGTCACTCAAGATTCAAGAAATGCTTCCATCATGCAAGGGACGTGTTCCCTTAAGCATCACTGCCGTGCGTTACTATTGTGTGCTATCTGGCATGCGGCGGTGCAATGGATTGTCGGAGGAAGACTAACCTGACGCGGTCAATATCCAGACGACAACCTCCCCGCCATGTTGCACGCACGCATCCTAGGTCTGCAAACGCGACGTATTGACGACTCGTGAAATACTCGCTCACCGGTCCATCGCATCCCTAGATCATGCCCCCACACATGTGCCTAGGTACTTTATTCCCTCCCGAAGTCTTCAGATGTCTCGTCGACCTGATGTCTGGGCTGAATTGTGATGAATCACGGGTCCATGGGGCCGAAACCGACTCTGCCACAATCGAAATCTTTCGGCAGTGGCCATGAAAGATCAGACCAAATCACTTGACGAAGCTATCTTTCAGCAGTGCTCCATAGATGATCGGAAGTCTGTCCCTATGACCCGGAGCCGAGATGCTATCACATGCATGCGTGATAAGAGTCTAAGGGACAGTCATGGGTACTCGAGACAACAGTATCTGCCTGTAGATCTAAAGGTGTTTAGTGACGATCGCCTCTGTTTCAGGCCTGTTCCTTCCTGTTGGAGTTGATTATAGCAAGTTCCCAGTCTTTAACTTAGTTCTGGTACCAGCGCTCACATGACCAATATCCACCTCATGGATCTCTGCCACCCCGCCCATCATGCATCTTGCCTAAACATCACCTGACTGCGCGAGTCACTGGCTCCTCAGCGCGCAATTGCGTTAGCCGAGCATGACGTACCCATCGCTGGATTCCCGAAACCCTCATTAGTACCTTCGTGCTCGACGAGATCCGTTGACCCGCAAATACTATACACGGTGCACAGAAAGCCTCGGTACTCAGCAAAAGCAGGATAGTAGTCGTCCAGAGTATCCCGCTCATCAGTGCTAAGGTTGATGGGCTTGATAGCACCCCCACGCAGTCCGTGCACGCCCTATGATATGGCTGTCTATTGACATCCTCGACTATCCGTGAGTACTTTCAGACCGTTCATACAACGCGCTACAGAGGCATAAACGCAAAATCTTTCCAAGTTATCGGCTTGACGCGGTCTTCGAACATCCGAGGTCGTGAACGCCTTGCGCGACTAAATGTGCTCATGCATTTCCGCCGAAGAAAGCGGACGACACACAACCAACGGTAGATGGCTACTTTACCTCTACTCTAGCAAGCAGCAGCCTGAACCCTTGCGACGACCAATCTGGTAGCAGGCGTGAAAAGTACTACTTGAAGTCCCACTCGTAGCTAACAATACGCTGTCAGAGCGGGAGCAGCGAGGTCGGGTACGAATTCGCGACACGAAGTCGTCACCCCGTTTGTTGAGCAAGGCAGGATGTGCTCAACCTGCGCCCCTTGAAATGCCAAACATAGCATAATATGCCACGAGCTGCTGGCAGGGTGGAAACCAAGTTTCGAAAATTTCGGGTCTGCGTCGCAGGAGCTCGCAATGTTGGCTGCTCATCGATCGTATCTTGACAACCTAGTTGGTTCGAAAGCGCGCCTTGCTTGTCTGAGGACCGCTTGCAAGCAGACGCTTTGAGGTGGCACAGGAGGGCAGCAGACTCGAGTCTTTCAGTCAGAACAGACGGAAAGCCGCTGCGCCCGTGGCCGATGGCTTGAGGTTCTGCAACATGCTTGCCCCTGCTCAAGCCTGCTGATCCTTGTCTGTTCTGTTTGGTGTCCTCGAGTCACCGAGTCGATTGTCCCCAGACTCCCAGTAATATCTCATGGCTCCGATCTTATCCGTGTCATGTACAGAGTACACTGTCTCTTACCCATGCGCAGCACTTCTTCATGATTGAGCATGTCGTGTATATGTACCGTCCGTCTCTTTTCGCGATCCGCGAATCACATCAGTGCAACGACGCAGCTTCGCGGGATATGCGTGAATAGCACGCAATCAAAGTATCAAAGCCACTTCAATCCCTCCCTCGCTCCTGCGCTACGTTGCCAGTCCCATTACCGTCAACGAAACAGAACCTCTCCAGTTTCCTTTGCCATTCGACGCATCTGCACTCAACCTCTCGCTGCCAAACATCCGCCGCCCAGAGACACATTGCCAAAGTGATCAGCCAGCCAAATCCCACCGCACATACCCAAGGCAGTCCCTCCATGTACCTCAGCTCGGTTCCGAAGGTCCACGCCACCTTGTGCGGCAGCATGTAGCCCAAAGCGTGCATGATCGGTCCATGGACTAGAAACATTGCAAAATTGATCTTCCCTAGATACTGCGCCATCTGAGAGCTTAGGACCTTCCTCCAGCGCGATGTGGCTGGATCGGACCGGGCAAGGCACAAAAGCAATAAGAAGGTGCCGATGTTGGGATAGAATTTGTCTTTGCGAACCATGGAGCGGGGTATGAAGTGGTTCAGTAGTAGATATCCGGGTGCATAGGCAGAAGCTGCGGCGACCGGATACGACAGTAGATAGAGCGCGGCGATGAAGAGAGCATAGCGTGCAACACGCTTGAAGCGTTGATCCTTCGACGCCGTGGCAGCGGTCACTACTAGGCGATGGGAGGACCACCTTTGTTTCAGCGTCGGTCGGTTGGGTCGGGCCAGTGAGGGCGCTGGCTCGAATGAAGTATCGTCATCGTCTGTTTTGCTTCGTGGAAACTGATGTTGAGGTTCTCGACGATCAAGTAGCAGGTCAATCTGCACAACCATCGCGCCGAGGATGAAAACCCACACCTCCCAATGATTCCAATAGAAATACAATATGCTGACGGCGCCCATGGCGACCAAACGGCTCTCCGGACTGAGCTGCGAAAGAGCGGTAAGTACGCCATACAAGTGCACTGTGCCTCGCATCTCAGCTAGAATCGCCCATAGGTGCTGATCATGGAACGGGTAGACCGTGTTTTCCGTCACAACATTGGTCAAGTCGAACATCTCATGCCCCCAATAACTCAACTGAGACCATAAGGACATCTGCTTTGGCCTCGGCTCATACCAATCACCGGGAAACAATTTTTCGTGGTTCAGAAGTGGCTCTCGATAGCTTTCGTAGAAGCCGAGCCACACGTATATCGCTGTACAAAGCGTGATCGCAAAAACAGGAAGGTACAGTCTGAAGACCTTGCGAAACAAATCAATGGATATGCTGGCGAAGATGTCCTGGTGTTGGTGCGCCCCGACAGAGGATCTCCTATTCTGGGCTTGCAGTACTCGCATCGCGACCAAGAATCCTGAGATGCCAAAGAAGATCTGCGAAGAGAAGCCGGCATACAAGAGTCGAATGATGGGTAGCTGAAAGAAGTGAGTATGTCGCTCGTCAACACCCCATGGCTGGAATCCGAAATCGCAGAATGCCATAACGTAGTGGAAGGTGACCACTTTGACCGCCAGGACGCCCCGCAGACCCGTGAGCCAGCTTGTTGCATACGTTCGGGTCAAAGGTGCAGGCTCATCCCATATCAGAGTCCTGCCGAGTTGTGGCGTGCACGCGTAGCCAAGTCTCCTGAGTTGGCGAACAATCTGGGCTGGGCGAAGGGCATGCCGGACTGAGACCGACACCTTTGCACGGGCGTCGGCTGTCCGCTCGTCCAGATAGCGTACGTACTCATTCTGACCGATTGCACGGTTTCGAAGCTCAGAGAGCTCGATCGAGCTGAGCATGGACATGCTGCAATACCGAAGCTCGAAGTGCTGGATAGCTGAATGCGCGTAACGGGGTTTCAGGGGCTGATCGAGTGCTGGAAGCGTGTGCCATGGCTACACCCAGCCGCAAGCCTGCATAGTCTCCAGTATAGTCTCAGTGCGTTACCAGTTCGATTGATTGTAGAAGGCACGGACGCCTCGACTTGTGCTTTGAAGGCGAACGCTTCACTGTGGGAAAGAAAACAGGAATCGCTGTGTCCAGATCTCTTAGCGGCCACAAGCGAAGCTAGCAAGGTCAATCTCATTTCAAACCTTGATTGGCATTGACATTGTGTGCCCGTTGGGACTACGTGCAGCACCAGTCCCCATTATTACTGCACTGAAGAATGCGCGCAGCGATAGCACTACGAGGCTAATAGCAGGGACGGTCAAGATAATTGTAGCTTTCCATAAACGGAGTTGAGGCAGCTCTTTTAGATACCAAGCGGAACATATCATATCGCGGCGGGCGGATACCCCCGGGGCCGTGCCCGGCACGGCGTCTCCGGCACCCCTGTCCTGCCGTGCCTGCCTTGCCTACACCTCTGCCTGCTCGAATATCTGCAGCATGCTCTATGCTCCCCCAATGCACGATTATGGCAAGCCGGATTGTCCACTGCTAAGAGTGTTGACTAGAGCACACCGTGTCTAGGTCACAATACACAATCAATTGTTGCTTCACGTAGTAGTCATTCCCTAGCAAAATGCCGTCATACATCCTGTGCAGATTCAGAATCTCGCCCATAATGTTGCCCGTCGCTGTCATCTTCTCGTAAGTGCTTGAAACGCTGTCAGGGGTATCGTTTGTCAAAGGCGAAATATTTGAAGTCGTCGGTCGACGTTTCTCGGCAGTCGCTCATATCGTCAATCACGCGCGCTGATAAATGGCAGGAGCTGATACTTCAGGCCAGTTGCCCTCTCCTGCCTTTGCTGCTCGAGTATGGCCTGCTTGTGCCAATAGAGCTCAATCGATGTCCGCTTCGCATTGAAGACATCAAGCAGAGCCTTCTCTTTACTGGTGAAGTCCTCCTCGATCACATTGACTTCGAATCTGTACTTCGCTTCAATTCTTTCTCCTTCCTCACGCTGCTGGCATAGGAAGGCTTCCATCTTCCGTTGCTGCTGGCCACGAAGCACATTGATCTTGCCGCCGTTCGAGTGCTTGAGCGAGGTCTGTTCGCGATACTGTTCCGCCAAGTGGTTGTACTCGCTCGGTCCGGCTGCCGACCTGATAGGCAGCACCACGACCTGCTCTACATTCGGGGAATCAGGAGCCTGAACAGCGACTGCAAGGTTCCCAGGCGTAGGTGGTGGCGTTGGATTCTGGACCCGTTTCTCGATGTTGCGAAGTCTGCTGTGCATCATGCGTTCTCGAAATTTATGCTCTTCGGCCATTTTCAACTCTTCTTGGAGCTGCGCTTCTTCAAGCTCTTCAATAGCCTGGTCGTCCTGCATGACTGTCAATAACCTATAGCATGCAGCAGATCGCACAATCTACTCACAACTATACGCTTCTCTGCCATCACTGCATCATACGCAGTCTTTCGCTCACCTTTTGCGCAATCTCGTTCGTGCCGGAGTTGACTTATCAGCCGTTGCCGGAAATGAAGAAAGCGGTCACGCTCGGCCTGCTGCTCTTTCTGCAGCTCTATCATTTCTCTACACTCCATGGATCGCTTCAGAGCCGCAGGGTCTTGATAATACTCTAAGCTTTGCTTCGGCGCGACTACCTGGCTTGACCACGCGCTTTTGAGAGATCGTACGGAAGACGGGCTCCTGGGAGGCGCGTTGTTCTCCAAGTCCTTCGAGTCTTGGTAAGAAGGGTCCGGGTCATGGGCATCGACAGTGATAGTTCCAGCACCGCTGTCGGAGGAATCTTTCCTCTTCTTCCCAACAATCCTTCTCATGCGTGAGCGAAATACGGAATTGCGCTTCTTCTGGGCGTCCGAAGAATATGGCCTGTTTTGTATTTCCATCGAGACACTGGTAGATACCCTTGAATTGCTCGTCTCTGGGCGTCTCTCGCTAGAAGAACAGGACGTCGGCGCCGTAGACTGGGACATTATAGAACCTTGCATATTGGTTGACTCGGAAAGGATTGTGGTGTCTGACGTGGAGGAGGCGACAGCTTCTGTCTCGTCGATCGAGTGTGGCAACTCGATACCTTCGCTTGCGGCTATCCGGTCCAACTCTTCATGATGCTCTTTCTCACTCAGAGATGCTGGTATGCGGCGGACCTGGACTCGATATGCCTCTTCGTCGAATAATGACATGATAAAGACAGATGCCGCGATATCTGTCGTTGCAGCGCTCTTCGAAGACATGACAATCGCAGTCGAGTGCCTGTCATCGCCTGAGTCGTCCATGTCAAAGACGACAAGCTACCGTCTCGAAGAGCCGCACCTTATGATCATCCTTGGGTGGATCGATCTCTGACGCGCGACCCGATGATATGTCGACGATAGGGAAAGGCTCATGCAGAGGTCGTCGAATGGTTCTCGAGCTGGCTGGCTATTACAGGAGGACCACAATCGGTCGTAAGCACGCGAGGAATATCGTGCCTTCGGGAAAGTGAGGTTTACTATTGAGGTCATATGAGATAGCAGGCGCGAATGCAATAAAGGTCTGTGTCGAGATGATGATCATTCGCAGAGGTTTCGGATGAGAATCAAGCCCCACCAGATGGGCACCGACAAAGACTGATCGAGGATGGAAACCTTACACAAACTCCCAGACCACGATCTGGGCGCTTTCAGACCAGCAGCACCGTCGCAAGGGGGGGAAGACGTAGGTCTGGATGTTATGCCCGAGAGGAACACGGGAGGGAGTCTACCTCGTTCCTATCGCGAATGCTTGCAGTGGTAATGATGCATTGTGCCCGTATCTGGGTGCACGATGCCACGCCACATCCTCCGGGCGGTTGTGACAGGTGGGGAGACCGAAGCTTATCCTACTTATTACGAGCTGGTGGCGGCGCTGCTACCATTCATGATCCCTCCCCAAAATCTGGGCTGATACGCGAGCTCATGCTCGACAATATGAACAACGCAACATCATCACATATCTGACCAGCCTTCTTCTTCTTCCGACGTCTAGCAAAGAGTGATCACGACTCGGAGCCGTCAAGAAACCCTTTACATATCAACCCGAGGCAATGGGTGACAAGTGGGCATAAGCGAACCTTCATGGTCAACGTTCATCTCAAATCCCCATCCTCCGTCATCGTGGGCGAAGCTTCCTCGAAAGAGGCGGCGGCTCGAACCTGGCTTCGCCTTGCTAGCCGAGAAGAGCACCAGATCTGCCTGTCACAAGGCCATTCTAGCTCCATTGAGCGCTGTTAAATGCCCGGATGCTGTACGTGGCTTGCACCTAAGCACGCTTAGGGGACCTCGATGGTTTATTGGCATTGTTCATTGCCAGGCAAGCATTAGCTCACGATCAGAGGCTCGAAGCTCGGGGTAGGCGAGCGTCAACAAGCCAGCGCTCCGCTGCATCAGCGTTGTGTGGGCTGTTACCAGCGCCTCAGCCTAAGACATAGATCTGTTGCAGATATCTGCGTTGATAGGTTTCAAATGATGGGAAAGTAAAAATCCGGTCTTTTTATCCCTGGCTTGGCGAAAGTACGTCAGGTAGAACGCGGTCATCGCACTTGCCGTGGAGTTCAAGGGACGATTTTCCCGAGCTGGCAGGTACCAAAGACGTCCTTCGAGCCATGATCGATCTGCTCGAACATGCGACTAAGATATGCCTTGCTGATGATGTGCTTCTGGGGACTCTAAAGCTTTACGCTGTTGGCAAGGAACAGCCCAAGGCCAAAAGGCGGTGAGTGGTTTCAAACACAGTGGTGATCGAGAGGTCTTCTCGTTTGCAGGGTAGACTGGTGCTTGATGCTTGTCTGTACTGACCACAGGAGTGATCGGATCCAGTTCCACGGCGCGCAGAGCATCACATCATGGGTCCGCGAAAAGGAATGAGCCCGAACGGTACCGGAAGCCGTGAGGAGTTGTGGGAGAAGTACTTTGGACCAGTTCAGAAGCTATCAGAGTCCGCCCAAATCGAAGGGACGTCCGAAGTACCGGCTACTAAACGCAAGCGAGCGGACACCGTGGGAGACACAGCTGAACCTCTTGAGGAACAGGTCACTCGCCTCAAGAAGCAGCTCGATGAAGCATATAGGTTCATCGCGAAGTCAGGCGATGGATTAAGTAAGTATTCACAGGGGCGAATGGCGTATCTTACATCACACAGGGGCTCCGGAGTCGATCCGAGTCCATCTGGACACATTTCTTGGTGCAACCGCTGTAGCGAGCATGATTCGTAATCGCACCGACCGCATTTGTGGTGCCATGGAGAGCAAAATATTCAATGCCAAAAAATCAGGCGTTACGTCGGACGATCTATCGAAGAAGCTCGAGGAGGTGCTACCAGACATTGCAAGGCTTAGTCGCATGCCGGAGGCAGAATCAATGAAGCTCGCATGGGATTTGGTCGTCGATGCTTCCGAGCGATCGTGGATTGATGCAACGGGAGCCTCGACTGGCTACGGAGACCGTGGGTTCGATATACCTGCTGACCTTCTGCTCGAGCACATTGCGATAGTGTGGAAAGACACGCGCCCTGGATGGAACTACAAGCAGGATAGAGAGGAACTAGCAAGGCATCGAAGGCAGGTGGGAGAATGTCTGGACGAGGAGGAAAACCATTTTTATACTCGTACTTTGGCGCTCATGAAATCATGGTGAATAGTCCACGAGAATCGTTTCAGACCCTTGTTGAGCTCTGCGCCCTTGGAGATTTATCTAGTGTGGTCGCACCTCGAGCTCTGGTCACTCCTGTCACATGAGCGGCCCTGCCGTTCAAACTACACCTTCGCTCTGACGCCGTCCCGAGGCCCATCCGGAGGGCGTGAGTGGTCGAGGTGCTAGTTGCTAATCAAGGCGCCACCGTTACTTCTGCGCTCAGCGATCACCTCGTCGTGTATATGTTTCAACTCCGGGATAATGAGTGCCTCGATCTCCATGCCTTCAGTCACAGTACCACCCTCGAGATCTGGCTGCTCGGGTTCCCGTTTAGTGTCTGCCAGTCCCACCATGTCCGCCACACCAGAAAAGCTCTTCGATCGTCTGGCTTTGGGAACTCGGATCCAGTGCTCGTCATGTCTGGTGATGAAGACTACTTCCCATTTGCGCGTGGTGAGTAAGTTGCCGATGACCAAATCATGTTGATACCGATGCAAAGACTGCTGCGCCTTGCTCACCAGAAGATCTGGATCTGTTTCTAGCTTGAAGCTAACCACCATACTACCCTTCGGCGCCCAATTGTCGACCAAAGTCTTGAGGAACTTGGGAATAGGATCGAGATCGATGACCAATTTTGTGCTCGATCCCTGGCCCTTGCCGCCGCCACGGGACTGGATCTTATGTTCCTCCATTCGATCTAATGGAATGAAAAAGTCTGACACGGCTGCAGCAAGGTAGAATAGTGCCCTCTCACCGACTGGATGCATCAACTGGGCCAAGCTGCGTAGTTCGAACAGGTACTCCGTTACCGTTGTATACGGAAGCAGCAGTAGCAGGCGATTGCTCTTCGCATGCTGATATTGCTTTAGTACTCTTCGCATCTTAGACTGGTACTCTTCGGCAACAAGTACCCGGCCATCTGAGGACTCATCCATGAAGTCCAGAAAGCAATTGGTACTGTGGCTGTAATGTCTCGAATACGGCAGCAGACTGAACTGTCGGTGGAGGAATATGACCGCATACCCAGCTTGTAAGAAGTACTCGGCTGAAGTTGCTCCTCTCGTGCCGGCCGAGAAGTTGTCGATGAAGCGAACAGTCTGACGCTCAAGCGGTACTGTTGTGCCACCAGATGTTACGATGGCTATTCGGCGCTCCGAATCGGTCTCAAGATGGTACTGAATGAACTCCTTGGCCAATGACTCATGCTTTGATAGCTGCTTGGGATCTGGGTTGTTCTTGAAGTACTCGCTGGCGCCATCGACCTCACTGCCTGTATGGTCATGTACTTCGGGAGCCATGACCAGGCTTACAATTGCCGACTGCTTTGTTTACAATGTTCTCATACGTTGTCTAGGAATAAGCTCTAGTAGATATCAACTCACCTCTTCCTGATGACTCACAGGAAAGATAGATGGCAAATTCCTCAAGACCGAGCGACAAGACACGACTTGACGGCGGTGATGAGAACTGCGGCGCAAGCATCATCCTAAGGCCAGCTCGTCAATGCACCCTGATGCAACAACGAGGAGGTCTCCGGCTAGACTTCTGTGAACGACTGTCGACAGCAACACCAGTCACGCGACTCAAGAATGATTTTGGTGCATCGCTGCTGCTCTGCCAAAACTGCAAGTCCAAGTATCGAGCTCCGTGCTGACGTCGAGGGGAGCTGGATTTCCGCTAGGACTTAAGGAGTCGCTATCTCCCTCGGCACCGAACGCGAATACGTGCCCAGCTGATTAGAGCTTCATCAGAATAGCATACGCTAGTCCATATACAGGGAGAATTCACGAAGATGCTGCTCGCTCAGACACGTCCTTTCGTCGAACTTTCATTGCCGTCTGCCGGAATCGTCAATTCCAGGCGCACTGGCTCGGCCAAATGCCCATTCCAACGTTCGTCAATGTATTTCGCGTTACAGGTAAGCCAATGATCGTGCGCGTCGAAATCAGATCTCCCTATAGGATTTCGTATTCGTGGCACAGAGAACGTTGGGCTAACTAGGCATCCTCGAACCGGGTACAACGTCGATATGAATAACAAGATATAAACATCTCCCTTCGTGATGCTTTTGACTGCTGTCTACGCAACCCACAGCAGGTTCTGCATCATCGGCAATCATACCAAGGTAGCTCAATATGTCTGGCACTGTCGGCGTTCATCCTGTCCAGGGATCCTTCTATATCTATGCACCGGTGAAGGGAGTTTCCATCGTCTTTGCCATCTTCTTTCTGGTCTCTGGCATCGCCCATATATATCAGAACAACATCCAGCGTCGATCGTGGAGAATTGGCTTCCTCCTCCCTTGGGCCGCACTGCTCTTCACGGCAGGCTTCTCACTCCGAGAATACGGCGCCTACCATTACGACAAGCTCCCCGAATTCATCGCATCTACCGTGTTACTATTTGTCGCCCCTCCGGTCTATCAAGGTGCCAACTACTTCATTTTTGGCCGAGCACTGTACTATCTGCCCTACCTCTCAATCATACATCCAGGCCGTGTATGGACTACCTTTGTTGTCCTCGACTCCATTGATGGCGCGCTGGCTGGGAACGGCGCAGCTCTCGCCGCCAATCAGGACAACTCACCATCCAAGATCCGCCTGGGCTTTACCCTCGTCAAAGTCTCCCTGTTCCTTCTCCTCGGCATGTTCTGCGCCTTTCTCGCGCTTGTGATCAGCTTCCACAGAAGAGCTGTAGCGGCTGGTGTATTCAACTACAAGATGAAAGTCATCATATACGAGATGTACATCTCATCGTTCCTCATCTGCATCCGGAACTGCTTCCGCGCCGCGGCGGCTTTCTACTCCTGGAACTCGATTGCTAACGGCAAGGAGTGGCCCTTCTGGGTTTTCGAGGCTCTACCGATGCTAGCGAACACCGTCATGCTCAACATCTACCCGCCTGCGAAATACTTGCCGGCTGATCATAAGGTCTACCTTGCGGTCGATGGGACGACGGAGCTCCATGGACCTGGAATGGTCGATAAGAGACCGTTTCTGGTCACTCTATTCGATCCTTTCGATCTCGTGGGTTTGTTGAAGGGGTCAGATAACAAGAATCGCTTTTGGGAGAAGGATGGGATAGGCGGACCCAAAGACGAAGCTGCTGGCGTGAACGAGGTCACATCTCAGGCTGCTAAGCACAAGAATCGATTCTGGGCAAGATTCGGAACAGGCAGACCCAAGGAAGAGGAGGCCGGTGCGACCGAGGTCATGTCTCAAGCTACCAACCCTAAGACTGACGTATGAGTGCATGATGTCGCCTACCCATCCTTGCCATGCCACCGTTGATCCGCCGCAGCAAGTCTGACAGCTTCTACACGGGTACTCGCAAGACCGGTCGACAGGTAGATTTGAGGTCCAATGCGAGCTCGGCTGGCGCGTGCAGTACATAGCCTTAAGGGAAGTGTTACGGGGAATACACATTTGTCGGCCAGGTATAGGTCTGTATCCGAAGTCAACCGGTCTGGGTAGAGCCTGGGTAAGACCGGATGACGAGCCTTCAAATACACCAGCGCCTTCCTTTCCAACGTGCCAAGTAGGTGACGGAAGCTGGAATTTGCAGAGACTACTCCTTCCGACACACGCGATACGATGCCCGCCTACGGACGGTAGGCGCTTTGCACGGTTGATTCCCACCACTACCCAGTCAACCGGTCTGATCAGCGCACTCACGAGACCGGAAGACACTCATGGCATAAGTCAACCGGTCTGCGCAGAACGTCCGCGAGACCGGATGACAAGACATGTCTCGCCACCGACCGGTCGCCGGTCAGAATGCTTGTACTCCTCTTGCTCAAGCAATGGGTCCTCTCTTCCAGTCCATATACCATTCTGCGAAAGTCTATCAAGGGCAACACCGAAGAGGTGGCTCTGACTGCTATACTAAGGGCATTCCCCTACAGCGTACATAGGAGCAAAGGCCATATATTTGCCTAGGTATATGTGACCCGGGCACACTGCATACAGAACAGGAAATCGAATTCGTCTTTGAGGAGTTATACTAGATATGTGTACTACCATGGCCATGACTCGCACCGATCATCCGTTTGTGCACCCGGGCTCGGCATTTTTGAGGTATTACGTGAGCAGGAAGTCGTACAGCAGCTCGCCCATTCAAGGCACACTCACGTTCCATACGCTCAGCACGCGATCCGACAATGCGCATTCGAAGTTGCTGTACGTCATATGTCTCGCTACGGCTCGTGCCCACCAAAAGATGGAACACCGCATGAATGACATCGGCTTATATGCTACGCATAACACCAATATTTCTTCACTACACATTATCACTGCTTCATTACCTAGACAGTCAAACCTGATCCCGCCCCGCAGTGTAGTCGTTCCACCACCTAAGCAGCAAACATGGCCTCCAAACTAACAGACCTCGCACACACCCTAACCCAAAAGACCTCCTCCGCCGTTCACGGCGTCCACGGCATCGGCGAAGTTACCCGTGGCACCATCAACTCCACCCTAGACGGTCTCGTCCCGAACAAGGAGTCCAAGGAAGGCGGCGGGCGTGCGCGCAATGACGAGATCGCCGCCAAAGGTCTGAGCGAGATGAGGGGAGCGGAGGAGCATCTTCACGGAGGCGGGTATGCCGGTGGGGGCGATAAGGTTGGCGAGGGCGCTGGGAATTGGGGCGCACATAGTGGCACGCATGGTGGTGGTGCTGCAACGAGCCGGTATTCTGGTGGTGAGTCGACGGTTGGTGGGACGGATGTCTCGTATGTTACCCCAGCGAAAGGGGAGGGCGCGCATTTGGGGCATGCTGGTGTAGGCAGTGGTGCAGGGCCGGCCAGGAGTGAGTATCCCGGCTCTGCTGCGAATGACACGCTGCGTCAAGAGCGCGAGCAGGAGAGGTTGTGGGAGGCGGAGCGGAGGGAGCGGGAGGCTGGGTTGCAGCAGCAGGACGTGCCTGGTGGGTTCCCTGGCAATGATGCTGGAGCGCACTCTCATCAGCCGCAACAGCAGACCGCCTCTAATATCCCGCCCTCGTCCAACCCTCCCATCTCGCCGACAATGCGCAACCACAACACCTCAAACAGCAACCACCATGGTCTCGGCAGCTGGCTGCATCACCATAAGCCTGCTGAGCGCGGCGAGGGCAGTTTCTTGAGCCAAGGCAGTGTGCGAACTTCGCCAGAAACCCAGCCGCCGGTGTCCCAGCAGCAGACAGCCGCGTCCGGAGGTGCGAAGGGTGGCAGAGACGTTGGAGCGGAGGCTGCGAGGCTGGCTTGGAACTCTGGACGGAGCTGACGACAGAGCCTGATGGTGTGTGGATGACTGGGTGTTTCCAATGGTCAGAATGCAGAGGTAATGCCTTAGCTCAGTAATTGACTCAAGTGATCGTGGAGCACAGCAATGAGAAACGACTTCAACTATACTACCTGCGCACACACCTCGTCGACGTTGTGAACGGTGAAATTTATCATCCATTTTGGGAAGGAGTCCTTCCGAATGCGGTAACCCTCACTTCTATCCGTCTTTTGACAGACCTCCAAACACAAATATCGATTCTCTGCACGAGACATTGCCGCCCCAGTCGTTTCGACGGCTGAGTTGTGATCGCCATGTGACGGCCCCGCCTTCCTGCCAGGGGAAGCTCGGGGCAGTAAAGGGGAAGCGAGGGCAGGGCCGTGGGATTTTTGGTGAGGTTGACCATTGTGACCAGGCTCAGAATCGTGCCTTCTTCGAAATGCTGTCCGCAGAGCTTGCTCTTGCCTCACCCTCGTGTCTCAACCTGACGGCGCACCTGTGTGATCGTCGCTCCAATGCAGACTTCCAGTCTGGTGTGCATTCCGTGTCGGGCATGTAGTTGTCGTGATCGTTAGAGGCATCATGTATTCATGTACATTATGACCAGTCAAATCTTCACACATGCACACGATGTTTTGGCGATCCTTACTATGCAAGCAGCTCTACTTCTTCCTTTGGAGTTTACTGCTTCGCCTCCGTCTTTCGTCCACCAGCAGTGTCCCTCCGCGTACCGTCTCCCCTCACCAGTCCGCCGCTATTGCCTTTACCCACTGGTCCATGATTACTGCCCACGAATAGACTTCCGATTGTCACTGCCGCAACCAACACCAGACTGACCATGACAAATCTCGCCCAGAAATCACCCTCTTGCTCTGCAGCCTCCTGCGCTTCCGCCAGGGCAGCCGCGCGCCTCGCATTCCTTCTCACGTCCTCTTGTGACTGCGTCTTGTACACTGGCGCGGAGTCAAAGTCCGCCGACGCTGTGCCAGGAGGCGCATATCCGCCCGGATGGTAGTCGTAGCCCGTGTTCGCGGACGATGCGGATGACGATGCACTCGACTGACGGGCATGAGGGTTCACGTTGGGATCATAGCTCCCACCTTGGCCATTCCGGAAATAGCTGGGAGGAGGACCACGAAATGCAGATCTTCTTCGACTCAAGCCAGTCGGTGCGCGACTTCCTGCATACGTTCCGCCCCGTGTTTGTTCGCCGTAGTCTTGTTGTTGGCGGAAGCGGAGCAGGTGATCGCGGTCGTAGCGCTTCCGTTTCTCGGGATTGCTTAGGACTGAGTAAGACTCGGAGATCTCTTGAAATTTTTGGACGGCCTGCTTGTTGTCTGGGTGTAGGTCTGGGTGGTGTTCCTTGGAGAGGACGTAGAAGCGCTTCTTCAGGTCAGGTTGCGAGATCGAAGGGTCGACGCCCATGACTGAGTAGTGGTTCGCTTCGGCGCATGATCGGGTAGATGAAGTGAAGTGCCGATAGGGCGAAAAGAGATCATGACGGCGGAGGGAGCGGCACTGATGTGCGAGGTGACTGCGCGATACGGATTGGAAACTTGGTTGGCGCCATACATGCAGGTTTCGGTGGGAGATGTGAGGAGGATGGGGGAGATAGGAAAGGTGTGGGCGAAGGCGCATGCCTCATGCTGCAGGTTGGCAGGAAGTCAGGCGTACGTAGTGACTCCGCTCGCAAGATGCAATGCTGGTCGTTAGTAGCGCTGCAGCGGCACAGAAGGGGTGTTGTAGAAGTGTAGTAGCTCCAGGTCAACAATCTTTGGTGTGCTTCAAGAAGTTTATCGTCACTGACGTCTTTGACACATGGGATCTGGCGGATATATGGACTTTATCCCCCGGCCTTGAAAGGCATCCGCCAAACGTCCATGACCATCACTCGCCTCCTCATCAAATTCTCAGCATTAGTCGCCACGAATGAGGAGTCAGATACAATGGTCAGGCGAGCTTGAAAGTCACAGGCTCTTCGAAATCATACGAAGTGTTTAGGTAGGGCAAATGTTGGAATTTCTCTAGAACGGATGGAAGCCGTACAGCCTCACAACTGAAGAATTGAGTAGCCTGTCTCGACACTGTCATCGGCAAATGCTCCTAAGCGACCTCTCCATCTGTCTCAGTACATCCGTCCTGAGCCCAATCCGCCTTCGCTCGCGCTGATACGTTAAGGACTGCTGGCTTGGAGGGCCTTAACCCTCGAAGGTGAATGACGCTCCGACCTTGTGTGCCGTAGCATTCAGGTTTTGCGTATCAAAAGATGCGCCCAGACCCAGGGTGCTTCCCGTACCGAGCTTGACGTTGTATGCGAGGGCAGCGATGCCACGATCGTTGATCTTAGCCTGCTCAAAGGTTAGTAGACGCAACAGGTTGATGAATCAGGCACGAACCTTGGCGAACGAGCTGGGATCGAGCTTGTACTTGGTGGCAATCTCAAGACCAACATTCGAGTTCTGCGTCGAGTCCCAAGTGGCCTTCGCGCCAGCCTCAACCTCGGTGTTGACCTTGTGGTAGTAGCTAGCAGTGAACAAGCTCAAGTTGTTGCTGGACGTCACGGCGCAAGCATAGGTAGGCTGGCTGTAGCCGACAGCGAGAGCGTACTTGGTGATCGCAGCCTTGGAGACATCATAGCCAGCCTCACCACCAACGAGGAAGCCATCTTGACCAATGACCAAGTCCAGTGTGGCTGTGGGACCCTTGAGGACATCGGTGAACAGGCGGGTGTGGAGGGATGGTTGCTTGTAGAAGATATTGAGCTTGCCACCGAAGGTCTGCTTGGCGGGGAGGTAGTTGGAGAGGACCTCAGCCTTCAGGCCTTGGGTGATGGAGTTGTCGAGCTCAAGCTTGGTATCAAGGCTGTTCGAGGTCGTCCATGTTTGTGTCAATGTGAGACCTGAGGCAAGTCAGCTGGCCTGCGATACTGCGATTACAGAAACACCCACCTGAAGCCTTGTCCGCATATTTGCCCTCGAGCTTTGCGCCTCTGTTGTTAACGTGTGCTCTGAAATTTCTTCTTGTGATCGTTGTGCCTACCGAGCCTGAGATTGGACCATCATGAGCGGATTTGCCCTTGACGTTGAACCTAGCAAACTTCAGAAGAGGCCCATCCAGTTGTCACCAGAAGCTTACGCGACACCGTTGGGGGCTTTCGACTTGATCTCGAGGTTGGCAGCGGTGGTGTGGTAGAAGTCCTTGTTCAGGAGCTACATTGCTGTCAGTTGCGGAAATTCACGGAATTGGAGAAAGGACTCTGCTCATACATCGTTGGCGGGCTTCGCGATGTCGCTGAAGGGTACGGGGACAGCCATGATGTGTGATGGGAGTTCGTGATGAAGAGAGGTCCGCAGCAAGTCTATGGCGCAAAGGTCAAGGACGGTGATAAAGCTTTCCAAAAAAGATGCCGGGGGATGCCCGTCGTGAAGCGACCTCCGATTGTTTTCGTTCTCGACGCCTTGCCTCTTCAGGAATGGTTGCCGCGGGCGTTGCACGTTGCCAGAATGATTCGCTTCAACCTGACCTTCAGATCATTACTTCACTTCACCGGGCCTTAGAGGGTGCTATGAATAGCGGAACGTTGTCGTCGGTTGATGATCAGAGAGCAGGATGGGCTATCAAAAATATATCTAAGAGGGCAGTCGAATATTGCAGGATACTCTGTTCATGTGCTTCATTTCATTACTACCTGTAGTTACACCGACCACGATCTTCTATGGCCGTCGTTAGAGGTTTGTTCAGAAGCCAAAGTTATCCCTATATCCAGTCATGATCCATGTTCCCCCATATCCAAGCCCATAGGAAGTCTCGCGCAACCAGGATTGGGCCTGCTTATCCTAGAGCTGTCGATCGCCCGCCATCTTCAACATCAGCATCCGCCTCAGCTTTTGTACTGCATAAAAGGGATGCTCTTCCTTGCGGAGGCGCTTGCAGCTGTCCACATGATACTTTTGGTAAGCCGCAGAAGTCTCAAGGCTGAGACCGATCAAGATTTCTAGCCAACAGCGCCATGCATGCTGAACGAATGCAATAAAAGCAATCGTACAAAGGAAAATCAAGATCCGGGGTTATCGTAGCGAGCCACGTGGGTTCCAATTGCTCGTCCGCTCGGATCGGTTTGGTTGGACCAAGTAGGCGTCCATCGGGAGACCGTGCTGGCGCAATATTGTGGGAAATGCTGATCGAACATCAGTCGGAACCAGTAGCCTTCCTTGCTATCAGGCACATCGTCGCCCCATTCTGGTTTCGGGTTGCGCATCATTTCGTCGCTGACCTCGCGCTCAGCCTGATCCTTGAGGCAGTCGATCCATCCATATCCAACACCATCTGAGAATTGCTCCTTCTGGCGCCATAGGATATGATCCGGCAGGTACGGCTCAACATCTGGCTCGTCTGTGGTGTCGAACGCTTTGCGGAGGATATACTTCTCCATGCGCTCCTTTGTGATCATCTTCTCTTTGGGATCGATGTTCATGGAGACCTCCAAGAATTCCTTGTCCAAGAATGGCACGCGAGCCTCAACGCCCCAAGCCGAAGTCGATTTGTTGGCGCGCAGGCAATCTGCCAAGTGCAAGTTCTTGACTCGCCGGACCGTCTCTTTGTGGAAAGCAGCCTTGTCGGGCGCATTGTGGAAGTACAAGTATCCGCCAAAGATCTCGTCTGACCCTTCACCTGAAAGCACCATCTTGACACCCATCGCCTTGATCTTTCGGCTGAGGAGGTACATCGGCGTCGATGCTCGGATTGTGGTCACGTCGTAGGATTCCAGGTGGTAGATCACGTCTGACAGTGCATCGAGACCTTCTTCTAACGTGAATGTAAAGCTGTGGTGCTTTGTACCGAGGAACTCTGCCACCTCTTGTGCTGCTTTTGTATCTGGCGCATCTGGGAGACCGATGGAGAAGGAGTTGAGCTGAGGCAAGAGTGTGACCGTGGTCAGCTCATTCTCATTGTCGATGCCCACCAAATCGCTTCGATGATGCTCGGTATGACCGTTGGCATGGCCGTTTGTCTGAGCGCTTGCTAGTCTTTTCTGACGCAACGACTCTCGCTGCGCAATTGATGCGGTCAAGCTCGAGTCGAGGCCTCCAGAGAGCAGGACGCCATATGGAACTTCGGCCATGAGACGCTTGAGAACTGACTTCTCCAACGTCTTTCTGATGAGCTTGTAGTCGAGCGGAGTGTCCGGAACCCGATCGCCTTCCCACCATGTTGGCTCGAAATATCTCGTGAGTTTGTCGGTCTTCGAATCGTAGACGTAGCCTGGTGGGAAGGAAATGATATTGTCGCATACTGGTGCCAAAGCCTTGAGCTCCGACGCAAAGAACACCGCTCCTGGAGTTTGACTCGATCTACCGAGGTAGAAGGAGGTGATGCCGATCGGATCCCGAGCAGCTATTGTTCGATCCCGCTCCTTGTCGTGTAGCACAAAAGAGAACATGCCATCGAGGTGTTTGGGTGCATCAATGTCATACTGCTTGTACAGTGGATGATGACTTCGCAATCTGACCGTGTCTTGAAGTCGTATGGCTTCTTCAGACTCTTGCGGATGATTCTGTGGTTGTAGATCTCGCCATTGACTGCCAAAGCCAGAGCGCCATCTGTGCTAACGATTGGTTGTGCGCCAGAGTCAACGCCGACAATGCTCAGACGCTCGTGACATAGTATCGTGTTGTTGCCTGTCCAGTTGCCCGACCAGTCAGGTCCACGATGCCGAAGACACTTGACACACTGTAAGGCTGTGGTCTTGAAGCCAGCCACAGAGGGATGGTTGTGCGCTGCAAAGATGCCGCACATCGTCGGCTAATGCAAGATGGATGCAGGAACAAGGCAGGTCAGCGTCTGGGTCAGTGATACGAAGGTCAGACAGAAGAAAGAGAGGTTGCAGGAATGCAGGAATGGGAGCAGAGCGTGGGGATGTCGTTGATCTGGGAACGTCAACGAGTTTTAACACATGCATGGGGAGGGGAAGCCATGAGAATTCCGTAGTGAATAATTCCAAGTCATTAATGAAAGCGTGGGATGACGCCTCAGTAGTGAATCCACAGTCGATAGTGACAAACTAGTGGAACGTCAGCCCAGTCTCAGAGAGCTCTGAGGCGGCCCTCGGAATTGAACTCGCCACGAATGAGCTGAAGGAGAAATGAAAATATCGGATGAGCGTGGTTTGTGTGGGAAAAGTTGATCTTCTGGACGGCTTTGCCGCCACGGCGCGTGGGAGGCTACCGGGTCAGGCCCGACCTCGGTCACGTTGCTCACCATACTCATTGCTTTCACGTCGCACAAACCCCAACATCAAGCTGAGTGCATGTGTCACGTTAGACGCCGGTTTCCGGGGAGCACGCGACATTTCAAGTCAGCCGATCTATGACAGTGAGCCTGATGCAACACACTCAGAGCCCCATCATGCATCTTGGAGCGATATGAGAGGATCGGTAAGGATCTGGCTGCAGCATCGTCCAGCATTGCGCTTGGAGTGTACCGAGTACTCGCTAGATTCCCCGCAATCTAGCTGCATGGTGACAGGACGTGGGTGCGTAGTTGAGCGCACGGCAGGCTCATAGATGCAGGTGCAAGGTGTCTGTGGTGGACGGATGCATGTTGTAGTGTTGGATCATTGAGGCCGGACACCCCCACGCTACTCTGTTTCGGGCTACCAGTTCCTGAATGCGCCGCAAGTTGCCACTGGAGACTGCCCAGTGCCCAGCAAGATCGCGATGTCGCCGATGGTCAAGACTAGCCACTTGCCCTGAATGCAAGAAGCGCAAGTGCTACGTAGAAGACCGTGATCAATGTGCTTCATCTCATGCACTCGGCACAAGGCCCTGCCATACTCAACCATGTCTGATAGAGGGGATGCAGTCATGTTGGCTACGAAGAGTGACATGCGAGAAGCCTCCCTCGTGAAATGCTGTCTATTCTCTGAACACGTTTGGTATCATGCCTGACCGAAAGAGCCCCCAAATTGAAAATACCCCAACGCCATGCTCAGTGAACGGAAAGCCGTCGTGTCAATCGTCATGTTGGTAGTCGTCCTTTGTGCAACCCTTGACCATATTCCCAGCACTAGTGAGCCGGATTGTCCTTGACGATGTTCTTGATCTTGCGCTCGTACGCGATTCTGTCCTTCTTGAAGAGGTTGTATGCTTCAGCCTGGGCAGGTGACTCCGGATTGGGTTCGTTCAGAAGCTCTTGAATGCCCAGGACAATCTGCTTGATGGTAATTGCCGGCTTCCACCCTTCCTCTTCGTTCAATATCGACAAGCAGACCGTGCCAGAAGGGTAGACGTTGGGGTGGAATAGTGGCGGAACGAATTTGCCTGTTCTTCATGTCAGAAATTGTCATCTCGTACCTTGAAATCACAACTAACATTTCGGGGGTTTTGTAGGGTACTCGTCAGGGAATATGAGCGAGAGTTTGAAGAGACCACCTTCCCATATCGTCTTGTCTTTGCCCGGAATTCCCACGTCCCAATTCTTGAGATCAATGACTCCGTTGGGATTCTTGACAGGTTTGGCGTAGAATCCAAACGGATGGTCTTTGCGCCTGCGATAGTCAGACATCTTAGATGTACCAGCGAGTAATTGAACCTACCACTGCTTGCGCTCTTCTGTCAGTCTCGACTGACAAAGCGACATGGCGCCCAAAATGCCCTTCGAGGGGTGGTGGTGTTCGACGATCCTCTGAAGGCGCGGAGATGACTTGTGGAGAACAGACAGGAGGCGAGAAGTAAAACAAAATTTATAGCGCAATTTTATGTATTCACATGAAAGAAGTTTGTGGCATTGAAAGCGCGAAGTGAATGGTTCGCGGCTAGAATTCACTCGTCATGAGGCTGAAACTGACTCGACTCGGAGCCTTGTTCTGCGGAAACTCCGCCAAGAAAGAAAGCTCTCGGCGCTGGCTTTCCACGTCGGCTTGTCCAAGCTCACTGCCAATTGAATTCGAGCAATTTAAACCTCCCTCTCTTAACGACTTGGACATGACGTGCCCACTAGGTCGAAGGGGCCTCCCAAGATTCTCGGCTTGATGCAGTTGAGAAGGATTCTTGACTATATCATGGCAATGGCGCTGTCTCAGGACACGTTTGGTCATGCTCTCCCAACTCGTGCGGTAGGTCTAAATCGTGTGGCTGATCTTGCTCGCATTGCCCATTCTTCGCCGTGATGTGCGACAACACGCAATTCCTCACAGACAGAGAAATCGCAGACTTCGTGTCAGCTCTCGACAAGGACCAAGATGGCTGTATATCGTACAGTGAGATTGAGAAGGGCCTCGATGACGCTTACAAGGAACTGGCACCACAGGCAAAGTCGCATCAGCTTCATCATGAGGAAAGGGAGAAGGAGCGACACGAATTTCTGCGTGGCTTGATGCCTTCGGAGAAGAATAGGATTCCGAGCGACGACTTCAGAAATACAGTCAAGACATGGCAGATTCCTTCCATGGAACAGGATAAGCAGGCCGCGAAGGACGAGGACGACTTCATGCAGAATTTGCCACTCGGTCGGAAACTCCGAGCCTATTGGGAGGTACATGGGCCAACGTACGCGTTCATGGGAGTCGTCGTGGCTCTACAGATCGGCTTCGGTGTCTGGCAATGCTACAAGTATGCAGCGGGCCCGCAATATCAGGCTGCATTTGGCTGGGGTGTTGGATTTGCGAAGCATGCGCCGGAGCGTTGTACCCAACCCTATTCTTCCTCGTGTTGAGCATGAGTCGGTGGACGGCCACCTACATGCGCCGCGTTCCCTACATCACCCGTTTCGTCAACTGGGACCTGAGCCAGGAGTTTCACGTCAAGATGTCGATCGTCACTCTGGTTCTTGCTACGCTCCACGCGATTGGACACTTGAGCGGAACATTTGTTTTTGGTAGTAGACCCTACAGACAGGACGCTGTTGCGGCCCTTTTAGGACCTGAGGCTGTTCCCAGGCCGTACAGCGCATACATCTCGAGCCGACCAGGGTGGACAGGGCTCACAGCGTTGGTCTCCTTCTATCTTCTGGCGGTCATGTCTATGCCGCGGATCCGGAAGTGGTCCTACGAGATCTTCCAGCTCGGCCATCTGCTCATGTTTCCGTTTATCGCCATGCTCATGGCTCACGGCTCTGCTGCCTTGCTACAATTCCCAGCTTTGGGCATCGTTCTGGCATTCCCGACTCTGATGGTTGTCCTCGAGCGCGGCACCCGCCTACTGCTCGGCTTCCATCGGGTGCCCGCCTCCCTGGAAATCCTCGACGACGACACAGTATGCATCACAGCAACGATTCCTCGCTTGCGTCTATGGCAATACAGAGCCGGGCAGTATGTCTTCATACAAGTTCCACAGATTTCCTTCTTCCAGTGGCATCCATTTACCGTATCGGAATGCATTGGGAAAGACTTCAAGCTACATATCAAGACCGACGGCGACTGGACAGCCAAACTCCGTGACTTGACCGACCTCAAGTACATTGGTGTTGACGGGAGTTACGGGGCACCAGGTACGTATACATGCCCTTGTCTGTAGTCCTTTAAAAATTGGAACCTAATGTGACCTTTCTGCACAGCGCAACGATTCTACGACTTCGACCAAACCATCATCATCGGCTCCGGCATCGGCGTGACCCCCTTCTCTGGAATCCTAAACGACCTCCAGAGTCGCGAAGACCACGCCTGGACACGCCGCCGCGACTCCACCTCCTCGCACGAGTCCGACTCCGAAGCCCCTCCACCACCCATCCAACGCATGCCCACCATCATCAACCACAACAAAGAGATCGATCTCAACCTCTACCGCCGCGTCGACTTCCACTGGGTAATCCGGGACCGAGTCTACCTCGAGTGGTTCTCCACTCTCCTCAACAAGATCTCCACCGGCACGCACAACCCCAATCTCGATATCCGCATGCACAACCACGTCTCCAAGAAGCGCAAGGACATCACTACGCATGTCTATCGCTTCCTGCTCGAGAAGCACCGGACGCCTGCCCATCCGTACTCACCGCTGACTGGCCTGATCGCGCCGACGCATTTCGGCAGACCCGATTTTCCGAAGATCTTTGCGGAGCACTATGAGCAGATGAGCAAGCTGTTTGCACGGGACAAGCAGCGGAAGAGGCGCGTTGGTGTATTCTTCTGTGGTGCGCCTATTATTGGGCATCAGTTGGCGGATCTGTGTCATGAGATGACGTTGAGGGGGAGGGAGGATGGGAGTGAGATTGAGTATTTCTTTCAGATTGAGGTATTTGGGTAGAGGAAGGGATGATAGAAGACACTGGTCCCAAGGATGTGCTTAATCAAGTCAAGCGAAGCATATAGATACGGCATAAGTAGCTCAGAGCGCGACTCTTCACACCGTCCTCTCGATTCAGGAGGCATGCCGTAGACCTACACCGGAGATGCCTTTTGCACCTCAGCTCTTTTTTCCTGGATTTATCTTCCTTTGCAGCCTCACCAGCTCCTGCATATTCTTGACCCAACCATCTCTGAACACCCCCTCCCCGAATCTTCGACTACTTGCCCTACCCCGTGTCCTCATCGCCAATATAGCATCACCGTCCATCCCCGCAACCTTTTCAAACGCCTCCGCATACTCTTGCTCCGTCTCCGCATGAAAACCAACCTCCCCACCCTGAAAAGGCACCACGATATCCAAATACGGCCCTCCGCTCCTGTGAACGACAGGTATCAGCCCAGCAGCAAGCCCTTCTACATTTCCAATACCGAAATGCTCCGCATACATGCCATTCACACCAATACTCGCTTTTCCTAAAAATTCCTGAATGGTCGAGAATGGTGCGTCGGTGATGAAGGTCGTTCGCTCATTGATCCCCAACTCACGCGCCTCGATCCTCAACGCGTAAATGTGCTTCTCGTCGGGTGTGTTGGCGCGAACGGAGCCGATCATCACGAGTCTCGCAGGATCGCTGTTGTGGGAGAGGTGGTGAACGTAGCGGGAGAAGGCACGGAGAATAAGGCTATGGTTCTTTTCAGGTCGGAATTGCGCGATGTAGAGGATGATGTTGTCGCGAGAGCGAGCGGCGGAGGTTTGGGGCGTGAGGGCGATCGAGTGGATGAGGTCTTCCACTGGACAGGAGGGTAAAGTATTGTTGGTGCCTTGTGATGGTCACTGGCTTTGGCGGGTTTCCAAAGAGTACTGATATGGTTGTAAGTCCAGGTAGAGTTGCACATGACGACGTCGATATGTCGGCCCACCCAGCCGTACAACCGAGCGAAGAAGTGCCAGTAGTAGCGCTTGACTTGTCCCCGCCGTCCTCCGCCGAGTCCGGAATGAATGCCTCTGGTCCCGGTCTGGTCGTCAAGGGATGCTAGCATATCGGTAGAGATGGTTGGGTAGTGTACATATGCCGCTGTTGGCACTGACGGGAAGAGCAATTTGCAGAATGCCACGGCAAAAGCGTAGCCCATGGTGTCAATGAAGATGTCGGGAACAAGGAGATGGAATGCATCCCATGCTAGGACCAGTGAACCGAGAGATTGTCCGAGAAGCGTAAAATAGGGCCAGCTGCTGGGGAGGACAAACTGGCGAGTGGTGAGGTAGATGAAAGTGACCGTCTCTTCGCGAAGGACAATGTCAAATCGTTCTTCGACTTTGGCAACAATAGCAGACTTGTCGATTTCATGGTCGCCGGTATAAACTGCACAGATAGCGTTCGGCCACTGTCTTTGAGTGGCCGCTATAGCTGCCCATAGGACTCTTTCCCCTCCACCGCCGGCATTGCTACGGGCGCGTTAGTTGATGAAGTCAGGCGAACACTGAACCAAGCCTCACCAGAAGGGATGAAAGAACCCAACAATTCCTTCCCATTCAGTGTCCTTCGGCACACCGCCATTCGGGGCACTTGCGGTGTTCTCGACCTTCTCCCAGTCGTCATCACCAAGATCCTGTGACTTCCTTCGCTGTTCCCTCGCAGCTTTGCGTTCCTCCTCGACATGTGCGCATATTGCGTGTCGTCGGTCGCTACTTCCAGCGTGGAGAAGACTGCCCCATAGTCGAAGCAGTAGTAGCGCAAGAAAAGGCGTCAGTAGAGCAGCGACCGGTACAGCGGCAATGAGGCCAAAGAGCAATTTCTTGCTGGACATCTTTGCTGTGCCTGCGGTCTGGCCAACATTGTTCCGCAAACTTGAAGCGAGTGACGAAGTGCAAAGATGGTGGACAAGGCTCTGAAAGTTGACCGCCCTTCCCTGAGAGTTCAAATAGACACGTTGTTGCCTGACATGACATGTGCGGGGACTTGCGGCTCAGCCTTAAGGAGCACTCTGTCACGATCACATTCTCCAAAACGTGCTGTCCTAGGTGTGAGTCGAAGTATTACAGCCAAAGGACACCTGATCAATTTTTCGTTGTGTGCGACGGTCAAGTACCTACTAAGTTGTTGCAAATGGATCTAGTGGTCTATAGGAAAAGTACAACTCTGAAGCCTGCTAAAGTCCTCACACATCGACCTCTGTGGCATCAATCACAGTTTCGCCTTGGGTTCACTGTCGGTGCCATTGGTGGTGGCTTCCTGGTTAATGGCAAGATCCCCAGTCCCCTCACTCTCGCCGAAGAAGATGACCTCCACCGTCAAATCATCCCTGTAGCGTCGACTATAGGGACTCGGCAGAGAGAGCAAAGCGCAGACCATATCTCTATCCTTCCCGCCTAGGGCATTTCTGACCAGGTGAGTGGCAGCGTTCTTATCTTCCACAACAAACCTGCCATTATCTTCAGATGGCAAGGCCCACTGCTCTTGTCGAATGGGCTTATCCATCTTGCTTTTCGGGTCATTCGCATTGCTGACTCGGCCGGTCTTGTCCATGTTTCCTCCCTTTTCTACTGGTAATGATGTTGGTGCTGATTTGAACCAGTCTGTCAGCCATGCGGTGCTTGATGATTTCTTGGCTTCTCTGTTCTGTTGTTCTACCACTGGCCCACCAGTCCGACCACCTCTTCGTTAGTCAGCATTTCCCAAAGACCATCTGTCGCGAGAACCACGAAGTCACCTTTACCAGGCTCAATGCCTGTCGTGGTGACAACGGGCTCCGCGGTCACATAAGGCGGCGTCTTCAGCAGTGGATGCACATTTCGACCAAAGAAGTGTCGCTTGATTCTGTCCTGTGTCTCCCGTGACCACTTGTATGCCGCATCTCCGAAAGCCCTGGTCGGCTCAAGATTGCCCAGAACACGACCAGCGTGGACGACTCTGTCCTCACCCGGGTGCTCGGCGCGCATCCGCTTGGCTTCGTTGGGGTTTGAGCCTGTCTGGTCTTCCGAAAGCGGTGTGGCAGACCACTTTCCGGTCGATGGGTTTCGCCTACCGAGCACTGCTCTGCTGTCGCCAGTACATGCCACTCTGAAATTTCGACTGTGTGAGTCATAGAAGCTCAACAACGCACACGAGCCAGAGAGAGCGGGAGCTAGCAGCTCCGATGCACGACTCTTGCTTGGAGCATTGCCTAATTTCTTCACGCTTTCATGGCAGATTTCATTGTCAAGCTTGGTGAATGCAAGCTTGAGCGCCTGATCAATCGCCTCAGGCGATGGCGACGAGGCAATTTTGCTGGCCAAAGCCGCGGTGTATGTGGCGTTAAGCTCGCGTGCAGCGTACTGAATCAGAACTTGTCGCAGCCTCGCAGAGGTTGTCCATCCAGAATGACCATCGAACACACCCCAGAACATCCAGTCCGATGAAGAATCGTTGCCAGCATGTGCCACATTGTCCGAAACCTGGATCGTCTTCTCTGCGTGATCATCCTCGATCGGATCGTTACTGGGAAGCTGCACGATATCGTATCTGACCACACCGCGACCCCGATTCACGAGGATTGACTCTTCGTTCTTCCGTAGACGCTCCGTAGCTTGCTGCGGTGTCATCATCTCCAAAACCTTCCGGCCATAGTCATCGGTATCTTTCGTTAATGGACCGTCACCAACAATGTCTCCAGTAAAGAACTGATCGTCATCCACAACTAATGCCCGTCGCGTTGGTTTGTGGCCAGCAGTCACCGGAGCGGGCTTCGAGGGCTCGGCCGTTGGCTGTGCGATGTCTGGGGTGCTAGACAGACTGCGGGTCTGTGCAGAGGAGACAGGATCTCTGGCATGGATCTCGGTAGTCTGGCCGTTGCCGTACGCATACCAAGCACCGAAGGCACCAACAGATGCAGCGACAGCAAGTGGTGTCTTTGGCAGCCTCATAGAGGATTGAAGGATATATCTGGGCGTGCTGTATCGGCGGGCGGCCAGGAAGTAGGGTGAGGCTACCGCGGCATGGCTAGATGTTGTTGATGACAAGGGAGTCTTAGGATGATTTTACGGAGTGCAGACCGGCGCGCTGAGCGGAGTGCAACCACAGCCGCGCGACGCATGAGAGGCGGTCGCAAAAGGAGGGAGGCGTGGCGCAGATTTGAGGTTCGCAGCAACAGCAAGACGGTGTTCGCGTGCACTGCAACAATGATCGCCTGATAGATCGTGCCGCTTATATCCGTCTAAGGCCGAGGCGACTACAACTTTTTGGCAACTGCTCGTCTCTCGAGAAAGTGACAGGAACTGCGGGCGAGTTTTCTAGCTGCACGTCCGAGGCATGTTGAGCAGGACCTTATGGAGGTCATGCTCAAGATGCCTTGGTCGACTGTTGCACACGGCAGCTAGGCCTCACTACCACGGCCTGAGGTACCAGAGCACAAGTTCGTCCTTCCCAAATGCTGCCAGTGTAGCACTGATCTTGTCTTAGTTGCGAATCCTCAGCAGGGACTATCTCCCGTCCTGTTGCAAAGAGCCCAAATCCTGGCCAGCGAGCATGCGCAGCTCTTAGCATCTCAAACAGACGACTACTCCGTTGAAACAGCGAAACGCATCGGCGAAATCTCTCCTGTAACGTCAGCACTGGAGGCGTACAAGGAGACACAGTCTTCCATATCCGAGCTAGAAGCATTATTAGTCGACCCATCCACAGATAGCGAACTCCGAGAACTCACACACGGCGAGATCGACACGTTGACGGCATCATTACCAGGTCTCACTACGAAGTTGAGCACTTCTTTGATACCTCCGCATCCCTTCAAATCGATGCCATGTTTGATCGAGATAAATCCTGGGGCCGGCGGCTCGGAAGCCTCACTGTTTGCTTATAGCCTGTTGTCCATGTACCGCGCCTTCTGCACCCGCAATCGTTGGCAGCATGAACTCAAGGCTTACTCCGCCGACGAGACGGTCTCGAATTCCACCACAGGAATTACGAATGCCATTCTGGAGGTGACCTATCCTGGCTCTTACGATATCTTCCGAGCTGAAGCAGGCGTCCACCGTGTTCAGCGTATTCCGTTGACCGAGAAGAAAGGCCGGACACACACCTCCGCTGTTTCTGTCTTGGTCCTGCCGTCCTTCCCAGAGTCGGCGGAAGACTCCAAGAACAACTACGAGGACCCTAGCTCGGACTACTACATTCCACCCCAGGACGTCCACACTGACACCATGCGAGCATCTGGTGCGGGGGGCCAACACGTCAACAAGACCAACAGTGCCATTCGCTTGACTCATTTACCTACCGGGATAGTCGTTGGCATGCAAGAGAGCCGTTCTCAGATGGAGAATCGCAAGAATGCCTGGCTAGTGCTGCGTGCTCGACTTGCACAGCGACGACGCGAGGAGAGAGAAGAAGAAATGCTGAATCTGCGAAAGAAGCTCATGGGAGGTGCCGTCCGCAGTGGCCGAGAGGACAAAGTTCGGACCTATAATTTCGCCCAGAACAGAATCTCTGATCATAGAAGCGGGTGGAATGGTTCCAATGTCGACGGATTTCTTGAGGCAAACGAAGATCTTGATGCTTGTATGGAGAGCGTACGGGCGTGGATGGACGAGAATGAGGTGCGAGGACTCATCGCGGATGAGACCGCAAAACAGCAGGTCAAGGGTGGCTGAAGATGCCGTTCGATACCTTTCAACTGGGGTTTCCCACACTGGTCTGGCGTGTTCTGGCGCAGAACACGGAAGCGAGACCGATCTACGTTCTCGACGAGCTTAAATTGAATCATCACATACATTTGCTGTATTGTACATCTGTTGTTGGATGCAAACTAGACCTTCCTGTATACAGATCCTGAGAATGCGGCAGCAGTGGTCAATTACCATTCCCAGCAGACCGTCCTGGTCGCGTCCAAATTGGGGTATCATATCATCATATCATCACATCATCACGGTCGTGTCCTCGTTCTGTTGTGTAATCGCGCGTGCTGGAAGCAGTCCTGAGGGCGAGACTCATAGATCGACCAGTTGAATAGTGATCCGAGTCGAATCTATGCGCGCTTGATCGGACCAAGGAGCGGCTCACCGCACCCGGCCACGTCAATAACGAAGCCGCCGTTGTCCGTCATCGGCACCAACACACAGCAATACTCGAGTAAGTATACGTCTGTCCGCATCGCCCATGTCGGCCGGATCACCCATTTACGCTCCAAGCACCTCTACCGTACTGCAATTCGATTCGTCCTACCAACACTTCCACACGAAAATCCTACCAGCACTTCCACAAAAAACGTTTTGATGCCTAAGTCTTCAATGACCCCGCTTTCCCTGTTCGCAACATCCAGGTCGAGCCGTTACTTCATCAAGTTTGCCATGTTATCAATCTGCCTTCAATCTGCCTAGAACCCTTCCTAACGATAAATGAAAAAGAACTTTTGGATCTGCCGTAAAAGCCCATCGACCAGTCGGCGATTGAGCTGGCCCAAGTATCGTGAACTACACCGGAATTTTGTTTCGGTGCTCAGAGAACATTGAGCCTCCGGCAGATATCCATGTCTGCAGGAATCCCCGAGATGAGCTGTGCCAAGCCTTGTATGGCATGTCTCACATCATCTGATCCTGAGAGGCGCCGCCGGTGGCCTCTTGACCCTCCATGGCTTCGCCGCCGTTCGCGTTGGTGTAGCGAACATTGGAGAGACCCAGAGGACGGCCGCCATATTGGTAGTTGGTGAATTTGGAGATGGCAGTGTCGGCGTTCTCAGCGCTGTCGAATTGGACGACGCCAGCACCCTTGGAGCGACCGTTGGGTTCGTATTGGATCTCAGCGCGCTCGACCTTGCCGATGGTGGTGAAGAGTTCCACTAGATCCTCGTTGCTGGTCGACCAGGGCAGATTGCGAACGTAGATCGTATCGGAGTGCTCGCCTCCTCCGGTGGCGAAGTCGGTGAACGGATTGGGTGCAGCTGGCTCCATCGCAGGAGCACCGCCACCACCACCACCACCACCACCACCACCACCATAGCCCCCACCGCCGCCTCCATATCCTCCGCGACCTCCAAACCCACCACCATAGCCGCCTCGTCCGCCGAAACCACCTCGTCCTCCAAATCCGCCGCCGAAGCCACCTCGGGCGCCAAAGCCTCCTCCGTATCCTCCGCGGCCACCAAATCCACCACCACCGCCAGCATAGCGATCTTCGCGAACCTCGAGGGCACGACCCTGCCAGTCGTAGCCGTTGAACTGCTGAATAGCGTTGCGAGCATCGTTCGGGGACTCGAAGGCGACGATACCGGTTCCCTTGGGGCGGCCTGTCTGGTCTTGGTGGACGTCGGCGCGAATGACACCACCTTCTTGAGCTGCGCACGTTAGATGTGTCCTCGATGTATGCGGAGTGAACACTGACCAGCTTGACGGAAGAGATCCTTGAGATCTTGCCAGCCTACATTGAAGGGGAGCTGATACTTTTGTCAGTACTGCCAAACTGCACATCATCTTTGGACTGGAAACACGAACGTTAGAGATGTAGAGCTGGCGGCCACCGCCGCCGCCACCACCACCCATGCCACCATGACCTCCACCATAGCCGCCACCACCGTAGCCACCACGGAAGCCGCCGCCGCCACCGAAGTCGCCACGGGATGGTGGGCCAGTGAATCGAGGTTCGGTCTCGCGATCCTGACATGTGATTAGCATGAACTGTAGCGTGAGGAAGATGTCGACTGACTTCGCGGACGTAAACGAGACGACCCATGAGAGTTTGGTTGCTGAGAGTACTGATAGCATTTTGAGCTTGATCTCGGGTTGCATATTCCACGATTCTGTCAACGATTGTTAGCCCGCGCGACTTGTGTGGTACAAGCATCGAGAACTTACCCGCATCCCTACAACACCAATGGGCAACAGGTCCCTTCCGTCAATCAACCGTCCATCAAAAAAGCAACCAAAGAAAGACGACCAGTAAAACCAGCCACGCGTCACACGATTGCGCCCACCTTCGACATTCCATTAGGAAGTAATAAAACATCAGCGAAGAGAACTTCTCCAGCTAAGACAAATGTCAGTAAACGCTCTCGCGGGCGATGACCGGAGGACTGCTCACCTTGTCTCATGAAATCTTTCAAATGGTGCCACTTGACGTCGTATGCCAAGTTACCGACATAGACTCGACGGTCCTGCTGAGAGGACTCTCGCACTGATTGCATCATCTGTTCTTTGGCGACGGCGCGATCTTCGAATGATCTTGGTGGACCTCTGTCTCCGCGATTCGATCCTGAGTATCCTCCAGATGCGTTTTGAGGAGCACCGCTCATGGGACTTCTTGATCTGCGTTCACTGCGACGATAGTCGTCACCTCCACGACTGCGCGATCGGCTGCGAGGAGAGTATGATCGTCGACTTCTGCGAGGGCTGCGAGATCGACGACGCGGAGATCGAGATCGGTCGCGCTGGTAGCCGTTAGAATGGTTGTTCGAGTCTCCCATGATGAGAGTCTGCGATGGTCGAAATTTATAATCGGATATTGGTGGGGCGCAGATGAGTCACTTCACTGTGACAAGGGTTTTTGGGCACAGATGCGGTGAGATGAGTATGGGGATAGTGAAATGTGATGCTCAAGTGAAGATAGGTTGCTGAATGTGATGGAAAGCGCAGGTTCGATTGACTGCTGCTCGTAGGGCAGAGGGTGGAGCCGGTTACAACCGCGCTCAATTGCGCTTGTGGTCCTCTACTCTCGCCCGAGCTTTTGCAGAGCCTGAAGGGACGACTTACTACTAGGTCACTCGGTCAGTAAACTATCAAAAGTGGCGAGTCAATGGTCTGACGACAAATATCGAAAGAAGGAGCGTGACAACAGTGAGGAAAGCTAAGGCAGAAATTGTATCAATTGGACTCAGTCAAGGCGGACCAATGTGCATGATATGTTGGGCAGGCTAGTACTGGGGTGTACTTGAGAGGGGAAAGAGAATACTGACCCATGGTGTCCGAGCTTGACTCCGTTGCCGAGCGTCCTTGCAACAATGGATACAGAAGGGGATTTCTACGTGATCAGAGTCGGTATGCACGAGGATGCACGGGGATGAAGTCCAGCTAACAAGGTTTTGCGAGTGGTACGAAAGGCCGTGCAGTTGTGGAGTTGGATTGCAAGGATGCGACTGAGCGCAGAGTTGCAGTGGCTTGAGGCACAACTGGATGTTCCTTTGGACGGATGGCTTGCTGAGAGAACACATGTTAGCCCAGTGTTCATCAGTGGTATGGCGCAAGTGGCCCGATCACCGTAAGGCGCAGCGTGGAGCAGTAATGCCTGTAAAAACATGTCCCATCTGTGCCTGGTTCGTCTCGGAGTAGACAGCGTGCTTACGATTGCTTGGAACAAACAGCCAATTGAGCCGGCTATGTGGAAATTCTGGACCGATGAAGACTGTTCACGGCATCGCTAGCCCTTGGCAAAGGGAGGAAAGTTGGGCAGAGTCGAAGTATCTGCCCGGAGGTTTTTGCTCACAACTGTGTACAAGCACACTGTTGGAGCAAAGTTGTCTGGGCACTGACAGCACACAGCCTTTGGCAGCCAGCTTAAGGGCAGCGAAAAATGCTGGACTTGCGTGTGGCTTGATAGTTGATGGAGTCGCTAGGATCTTGAGGACCAAAAGCTTGTGAGGCAGCCTTCAGATACGAACTGTCAAATGTGATAGCGAAGGGTGGTCCGAGTCATGGGCCAGGTGCAGCGCGCCTAGGACGAGAGTTGCAGCGGGAGCAGGAAGGAGCGAGGTGTGAGAAACACGTTCGAGTGCAACTTGATCGGACTTGTCGTCTGCGATTGGTTTGCGGTATTCGCGCTAGCGCATGCCGCCAAGCTACATCGATTCTCCGTGACAGACGGCCCGCAAAGACTTTCCCCACCATCAAAGTCATGTTCAGAAGTGCGATCAACGGTCGCCGGAATATTCTCACATCGAATGCCTAGGTCTCATGAGCCGCTGCTCGCAGATAGCATCGAACTCTGGGTTGCCCGGACAGAGCCTAAGCTATTCACTTTGCTGATATATTCCTCAGGTAGCGAGACGGCATGCCGCCGGGCAGTAGCTTCATCCTATGCCCCGCTTCGAGATCATCTGGTGGCAACTGCAACGCGCTCCTCGCTCCTCATGCCGCTCTTGGCCTAAGATAGCGCCGGCTTCAGCACGTTCGGCTGCTGCGGAAAAGTTGAGCCGCCGTCTGTAGTTCAACGTGCTTCCAAACTGCGATGCCTGCTTCTGCTGGAAATTGTGGCTCTTGAAGGCCCTCTTTTTGACCACATGCCCAAAAAACCAAGGCCACTGTCGCAGAGGCTTGTGCTCTTGAGCATGCAAATTCGCTTAGGCCAAGTACCTGTTCATCGATGGACTATTCGGTGCGGCAAACCTTTGACCATTCGTCAGGCAGCCACTTGCGGCTGATTGCGCAACTCTGAACGCGTCTGCTGATCATCGTCGATCCGGCAAATTGTAGATTTGTGGCAGTTGTTACAGCGCTAGTCCTTGACCTCGGATGTTCAATGAATAACTTTCTTCTCACGTCATGCGTAAGGCCATGTAGGTGCAGTCTGGACAGCAGTTGAAGATCTCAACGGTATACTGACGATTGTGCTCTGCCGGGTTCTGTGAACTTCTGCGCCCATGATGGCCAGTCTCTTGAAGCCGACAAGCACTTCCCAGCCTCGTTCGTGCGTTTTCAGAGGTACTGTAAGGCTGACCATAAATTAAATCGCGACTGCTTGAGCACTGGATAGAAACAGCACAATCCTGTCATTAGCTTAAATATGACTGTCCGCACCTCGAGGCTGTTACAGCGGAACCTGAGTTCCTCCCATCACACACGACGCGCGGCGTCCGTGCAAACGTACTACTCGCATCACCATCCCACACCCTCTCCATTTCCGCCCTCACAGGAGGCTATCCTAGCCGCTGCTCTGAAAAGAGTGCCTCAATATGGTTTCAGCGAAAGGGCACTCTCACTTGGTGCGAAAGACGTCGGATATCTAGACGTCTCGGTGCAACTCTTCCCGAGAGGCGTGTTCGACCTAATCAACTATCACCTTGTCACTAGTCGACTCGCGCTTAAGGACACAGTCCAGTTCAGTGAGGACTCGAAATTGGGCGTGGGGCGCAAGGTCAAGACATTGACCATGGCAAGACTGAGAGCAAATAAAGATGTCATCCGGCATTGGCAAGAGGTATATCTACAATTGAGGACCTTGAATCGTTAGGATGTTCGACTGACCTGTGAGCAGGCATTGGGAGTCATGTCGCTTCTCGAAAACATACCCGCATCACTGCAAGAGCTCGGCAATTTGTCCGACGAGATCTGGTATCTGGCAGGAGATACCGCTGTTGACTTCTCGTACTACACCAAACGTGCTTCTTTGTCCGCGGTATATGCAAGTTCCGAACTCTTCATGACGACAGACACTTCGTCTGATTTTGCAATGACGGAGGAGTTCGTAGAGCGCCGCCTGGAAGCTGTGCAGAAAGTCGGTGGTGCAATAGGAGGTCTGTCACAGTACGCAGGATTCTGGGCCGGCAACGGCCTCAATCTAGCAAGATCGTGGGGAATGCGGATCTGAGCACGGTGAAATGCCTTGACAATGGCATACTTCCACTCCCTCGGCCCTACATGGTGTACTCAACAGCACCGAACGCTATCGGGAACGAACTGGCGCCTTGACGCCGTCTCGCCTGCGGTGTACACACGTCTGCGCAAAGTTCGCTACCATTGCTTGAGGTGTGCGGCCGTCGAGAAGCGTCCGAGACTCCAATCGGCAAACAACTACTTGATTCCTACTGCCTCCAAGCAAACCGTCATGTTTGGTACCGACCATCTGGCTCTGTTGCGGAGCGTCCAAGAAACACAATTCCACGTGGTGTTCTGGCCCACACAGAATCGCCAAGTTTGTTGTGCGGTTTGCCATCGATCAATCAAATAACGAAGCGGAAGTTATTGCGTGGTGAGGGGAGCTCATCAGCTTGGTCTGCCGCACATCGCCATTGACACCAGAATCAATACTCGGAAGCATCTCGCTATAGCCAAAACTCGTCATCGTCCTGTGTACATTCACGATGCCCAAATCAATGAAGCCGAGCCTCAAGATCTACATCGTCAACTTGAAAGTGGTCTCGAAGGAAGAGTTCCTGAAGGCTAGAAGCCGACGCCTTGCGTATGACCAATTTCCATACGGATCATTCCTCATGCCGCTGACACATTACATAGCGAAGAAGCAAAGGCCATTTGTCGAGTCGCGCAATCGACCAGGTCGAACAGCACTGGAGCACGCAGGTCGAAGCGGAAGCACTCCTCAGCGAAGAAGCACAGCTAAGTGGCATGGAGCGGGTGCCCGTCCTGAGCTCTGTACCGCGATTTTCCATCATGAAGGTCCCGGCATGCTGGCCTAGCTGCGAAGGCATGATTGCGATATACTGCGCGCATCGAAGCTTAAGGTCGGAACAATGTTCGGCATGACATCAGCCATGGCAGTCTCTGACGGACCATCGTGCCTTATGAAGCTGTGATTATTTGAGCGTGCGAAAGGACAACCGCGAAGACGAGCTGGGTCAGCGACACCCGTCGCGACCAGTACACGAGTCGTCGTCAGTGTGCGCGCACACAACGTCAGCAGCCACACAATCCGCCAATCCCACGAGTTAGCGAGCAGAGAAAGCCACTGCTTTCATGCATGGAGGCTACGGCCTCAAAAAAACCTTTATCGACCTGTTCTTCTCTCGGGTCTCTCCTCTCTTGCTCGGACTTGTGCCACAAAGACCCTCGTGCCCTCTATTACTTTGGCCCCTCGTAACCCGTCTTCAATGAAGTATCTGTTTCTCCTCACTGACATTCACATGCAGACTTGACAGGTACTCTTACAGCATCTCCGGCGTCATCCATACCAGCTCAGACGGTTGCTATCAAAATTCACGACGTCACCAAAGGTCTATGGTCCCTGTGCGTATTGCTAAAGCCATGGCTATCGTGGGAAAGCGGGCCCCGTTATGAGCATGCTGGGGCTGGCAAGCAGATGCACACCACATGGACACCACGATCGAATGAAGCTTTACAGCAAGTGAGGAGCCTATACGACCAGCAATACATCTCTGCTGCCTGATCGGCCAGCCACTTTAGCATTTGGACTATCTGAGGTGCTGTGAGACCTCATATGATCTCCAAGAACATCTATCGTTCGGGACCTGCTCAGTCAAAATCCACACTGTCAAGGAACCGGTCGGCGTCTTCTCCAACCCGCTTCGCATACTGCCACAGGAATCCATGGGAGCTCCGAGGGTAGAGGATTAATTGCGCATTGTCGACCTTCTTGAGCAGCTCATAGCTGTGACTCGTTGGAACCACCATATCAGCATCACCGTTCAATACCAGGACTGGGATCTTCAGCTCCCCCAGCCGATCGAACGAATTGTTCGGCTGAGGCGTGAGGGCATCTACGAGTGCAACATACTGGTTGTTTCCCTGCGGATCCATCGGCAGCAGGTCCAGTCGCAGTGGCTCGGCTGTACGGGTTGAGATGCGTGCCCAGTACTCGTTGAAGGCAGCCTCTCCTCGATCTGTTTCTGGGAAGCAGGCGTACTTCAAACCTTCCTTTCCTTCTTCAGCCGTGACTGCGTAAGCGAGCTTGGTGGTGTACTCAGGTGGATTCTGCTCCTGAGGCCAGATGATACCTTCGACAGGGCCCTTCTCCGGCACGGATGCTCGTGCGCCGGCGATGACAAGCTTCCTCACGAGCTCTGGGTAATCGAGCGCGGTCTGAAGAACTGCGATGCCGCCCATCGAGAACCCGAAGAGATCCACCTGCTTCAAGCCCAAAGCTTTGATGAACGCAGCCAAGTCGCTAGCCCAACCCTTGAAGGTGGTAGGCACATTGCCCGAGCTTTGTCCCGTGCCGGCATTGTCGAACAAGATCACCTCGCGATATTGCGCAATCGTATTCACCAGCAAGGGATCCCTGGGAGTTGTTGTAAGTGTTCTGCTTCTTGTGCTTGATCACATGGATCCTACCAGAATTCCATACTTCCTCGGAAGTGAATATGGTGTACTATGGGCACATCGCTAGCTTTGCCGAACCTGCGGTAGGCGAACTTGACGCCATTGTCGGCAGTCACAAACTGCGTTTTTGCTGTTTCCGCCATTTCCTTCGTCGAACTTTCTTGGTGCTTTGCGAAATCGCGAAACAGGTAATACTGGTATGGTCGTGTATTTGTAAGTATCGGTCTGGAATGAACGGTCGAAGCGTCCAGAGAGAGCCAGCTTTAATGTTGTGAAGATCCTGGGAGGTCGTTGTTGCAATGCGTTGCATTGAATCAGCAAGCTACTGTCTACCATTTCTGAAATTACCCTATTTGGACATTGGCTTGGCTAAATCCGCCTACTTGGACCGACCAGCGTTCATAAACCAATGCGACAAAAGTCGCTCAGAATGTTTTTCAGCACCTCGATGAACAATCAACAGCAAGGAAGCATCTGGTAGATGTCACACTAGGGGGTCCAGGGATCCGCCACGCAGCTCACTGCATGTTTAGCTCCAGAACACAGCTTCGAGTGCGATGCGAGATGACCAAGCACTTCCATAGCCTCGTCATTTGCTCTCAGAGCCGTCGCTTGGACTGCCCAGCAGCTCAAGGAATACTACAACGGAGGCCTCTCGCTGGAAGCAGCAATACCATGATCTCGAAGCAGAAATCTCGAACCTCAATGACGCTACTTCAGGTCTGTGGAAATGCCACCGAAATAACGCGGTTCGCGACACATAAAAGGACCAAAGCCTGTGCCCTTAATTGACAACACTTGCAAACGGCACACTTGATTCACTGACTTGAACGATCCAACTTCAACCCAAAGGAAGCTCAGACATAACATTGACCGACACAGCCTCGTCTTTCGACCCTGTATGCGATTTCTTTCTTCGACTCGTCAACGTCTTCATCGAACACCGCGCGAAGCTATGTCTGTCACCACAGTCCTGATCACGGGAGCCAAGTCCGGCATCGGCAAAGGCCTCCTCACTGCCTATGCGGCCAGACGCAACTATCGTGTCATTGCGGCCATTCGCGATGGCACTGCCTCTAGTTCAGCGAAGGACCTTCAGTCGATTCCTACCGCCGAAGGGAGCTCCATCCTGGTGGTCGCATACGACGCGAGCAATCCAAATTCAGCGGAGCTACTCACTAAAGGTCTTGAGACCGAGCACCACATAGATGCACTAGACGTGGTTATTGCGAATGCCGGCATCTTGAAGCATTTCGGAAAGGCTGCGGAAATATCAGCCCAGACTCTCACCGAACATCTCGAAATCAACGCAATAGCGCCCATTCTGCTGTATAAGTCCACCGCTTCGCTTCTCAACAAGTCTCAGCAGACGCCCAAGTTCTTCATCATATCTTCTGTGATTGGATCCAATGCGCTGCAGGATACCTACAACCTGCCCTCTCTCGCTTACGGAATCTCCAAAGCCGCCGCCAATTACGCGGCCAGTCGCATTCATCGCGAAGAGGAGCGAATCGTCGTGGTTCCAGTACAGCCTGGTTGGGTGCAGACGAACATGGGCAACAACTTTGCGGCATACAACGGGCTTGATGCAAGTCAAGTCCCTGTCAAGCTGAATGATAGTGTCCAGGGTCTCATCGAGCTCTTTGACGCAGCAACCAAGGAGAAGCACAGTGGCTTGTTCTGGGATTACGAGGGGAAGCAGGTCCCATGGTAAAGGAGCGAGGACTAGTGAGAGGGGGGACGCGGTCAGTCTGGCCAAGTAAAAATCTCAACAGCATGGCCATCATAGAATGAAATGTTGGCTTGGAATTCCCGACTACTTCTTCAGGCAAAGTGCGCTTTTCATGGCACCGAAGAATTGTGTGATTGGCTGCATTGCCAGGTTGCCAAATTCTAGCCTTTACACAGTATACGAGTTCAATTGCCTACGTAGGCGACTGTGCCACAGGTGCTGCGCAACGTGCGGTCCTACGAGTATTACCGTGTGGATCAGATTGAAGCGTGTCTGCACATCATCGTTGAGCCGCAGCTCTAACAACCGTGAGCACGGCTGTGGAAGTTTCACCTCGATGCTCGGAGTATTCATGAAGTGAAATGGTCTAAAGAACGAGGCAACTACACTGGGTAGCGAATGTCTTTGGGGTCCTTCCATTCCAGTCACAGTGCAACGACACTTAGAACCGACGAGTCTCTGATAGAAGGGAACTTCTATGCGTGGTATAGTCTGCACCCAACTTTAGTCAGCGCAAGAATGCACAACCAATAGCATCGCACCTGCCTCGTGATGCGGCACATAGCAGCCGTGATCAGTAAACTCTATGTATCGCCCAACGTCGGTCCTGTCCTCGAATTCATATGCTTTAGTTCTGCCGGCGAGGCTGGATCAGAAGCCAGACAAGACCGCTGACCATCAAATAGCCCGACACGCCCGTACGCAGACAATATGGCGACTCTTGTGCTGACGATGACCACTCCTTCGCGGTATGAATTCATTGACTACTCAGATGCAGCGTCCGGCAGAGAAAGACTCGCCAGCAATGTGCGACGGCGCGCCAGAGTTGTGGTGATGGATGATTTCTTGAGGAAGCAGCGACAAGAACGAAATGCACCTCTGAATGATGCTGGGAAGGAGGCAACAACACCGAGACCTAACCCAGTAGTGGCGCCCATCGCCGAAAGGAAGGGACGCTTTCGACTTAAGCCCCTGCCACAACGAAGACAAGCCAAGCCCCAGAATGACGGACAACCCCAAGGCGTACCGCAAACCATGAACAGCGACTTCGTCACCCTGGACGGCACAGACGATGGGGCCACCGCAGCATGCTCCCGCACAGGCACCCTCCTGTCAGATATCTTGGTCATGCCTCCAGCATTCAGATCAACCATCCTCGGCATTCAGAACCCCAGTCCAGCAACACAGTCCTTGGTCCACTACTACCTGCAGGATTACTGGACCAATTCAACAGCCGTCAATCCAGATGGCGTCTGGACATCGATCACCCTCACAGACATGGCCATGCTTCACGCTAAATTGAGCCTTGTCGCCCTGCACCGACTCGATCGATTCGCAGCAGCATCGAAGAGCTCTGATGTGCAAAAAGGGCGGCAGAGCAGCTTGGACTTGAGAGCTGCACATCTCTACCATCGAGGCCAAGCCATTTCGCTCATTCAGGCTCGTCTTCCGCATTTCAATACGTCTCGCGACGACGACCATCGCGTAACACCTGCCGTGTCTAATGAGTGTAGTAACCTGATTGCCGCAATAACGCTGCTGACGACTTTGGATGACCACTCGCAATGGGTTGGTGAGACCGGAGACAGACATATGCGTGCGCTCGCAGCGATGGTCGATGCAAAAGGCGGCATGGATGGCCCGTGGATCAGTGACGCTTTGAGGAGAGTTGTCGGATGGGTGGACTTGCTGAGGGCTAGTATAGGTGAAAGCCGGCCTTTATTGGGAAGCAGGATTCTGACGACCAACCACGCTGGTTTGGATGAATTGTCCACCGAGATTGGAAGAGCGAGTCCAGACTTGAAGTCACCGCGGAAAAACACTGACCACATGCCATCATGGTTGCGAGCTATGTCCAGCAATGCAACGTTAAGGAAGCTTCAAGACATGCTGTGTCGTCTGACCAAGCTCGGGCAAGTCAAGGACGGCCTCCGCAAAGTGGCCGACATGAATACTCAGAAGAATCGACTTCTCTTCAGCGACGCTGTATACAACCTCGAGTACGAGCTCGCCTACATCGAGGACTTTGCCTTCAACTCAGACACATCACCAGAAGTGACCGGATCCTGTTGGAACGGTCCTTTCGCACTTCGCGCCTTCCGTGATGCAGCGGTCGTCTGCTCCTACGCCATCCTGCGCGAGCAGAACTCCAGACTTATATTTGGCCGGCTGGCGTGGAGAATCCGCGGGTACGTGGGATTGATGCTGGAGTATTCGGGATCGATCATCGGCTTAGACTATCTCGCAAGGCCGGGGGACATCGCCCTACTTTCGTGGGTGCTGGCTATGGGCTGGAAAGCCGCGCTGTTTGCGGCCAAGGGCATTGATGAAGGTGATGGTGTTAAGAAGGGTGGACGAAAGTGGTTTGCATTACGTATGGCGGAGGTCGCTGCGCTTGGTCGACCGCTAGGCCTAATAGCGCAAGAGGAGGATCCAATGAAGCGCCTGATGATGGAGGAATATCCGGCGAGCACAGCTTCGTCGATGCTCCTGCACTCGGATTAAGTCCGGCCGAGCTAGGTCAGCTACGCGGGGAGATCAGAGGGCCTGGACGGTCGGCCCATGCCGCTGGAGCGCGGGCAGTCTAGGAGTGCTTCAGCACTTAGGTTCTGGGACAAGCTGGTGCAGAGAGACAAGCAAGCAATGCATCGAAGAGCAGACATAAGTGTGTATCGTGCAACGCCACGTGCGTCATCGTAAGCGCCGTTCAGCTACTTTTTCGCTAATAGAAGTAAGACATTGGCTGGCGAGACTCTATTCCAAACCGTCAGTCGCCGCTGAAGTGAAATGAAGTGACAATAGTCATACTGGAGATGATATGACCAAACCCCTTGGTCATTCAAACCGAAAATTCCGCAGGTGTTGAGTAAACGGTAGCTCAACACCTCCCTCGCACCTGAACTTCAACTCTCTCCCTTAGATCGATCTCTTGTGCGCATGAGCGCTCAGGTGCCTCCTGACTGCTCGCTTGTCAGCAGTCGCCTTCACCCACAAACTCAACACGCCTGGCCCACCACACTTCTCCCCGCTCGCACCCGTGCATGTTGTGCTGCACTTGGACTCATCCACGCTCTCTGAGCCTACCAGTCCCTCCCCGCAGAAGCACTGGCCCGCGTACTCGGTGCCCGCATACGGCTGGCCCTTGGCCTCGCAAAAAGCCATGCAGGCGCCGTTGGTCATCTTGGGCCCGTTGAAGTTCGACCACACGGGTAGGGAGCGCGGGAAGACGGTGTCAAGGTAGCAGCCTGCGTAGGCCCAACCAGATGGGGTTGTGGCGTTAGATGGGAGGGGAGATGAAAGAGACGGATTCACGCTGGGGTGAATTGTTGCGACGGCTGCTGAGCTGGTTGTTGCTGGGCTGCCAGGGGACGGTACCTTGGTCGGAGAGGAGGAAGATGGCGGAGGCGATGAAGGAGGACTGGAGTCCGAATCAGAATCGGAGTCGTCGGAGCCAGAGGGGAAGTCTCCGCTTGATGGGTTGCCGGTGGACGCATTGCCGGTAGATGGATTGCCGCTGGACGGGTTGCCGGACGAGGGGTTTGAGGAAGGCGAACTGCCGCTTGCAGGGCTTCCACTCGATGGGCTGCCATCGGATGGGTTTCCATTCGAGGTCGTACCAGCACTGGGCGTACCCTGCGTTGGCTGTGAAGCCGCGACAGAGCTGCTGGAAGGAGACGATCCGCTCGCTGGGCTGCTGCCGCTGCCACTGCCACCAGTCGAAGGGACAGTCACCTGGCTTGGCGTCTTGATAGCGTTCACACACGTGGTTCCCGAGCACTTCTTATACAGAGTGATTGGTCCAGCACCACCACACATTTGAGTAGCGTCACCAGCACACGGCATTTTGCAGTTGCCAGGCAGACCTGGAATCGGTGCTCCGACATCCGGAATGCTGTTTCCGCAGTAGCACTCCTTCGAGTACTCGGTTCCAGCAATACTGAAGCCTTTGCCGTCACAAAACTTCACACACTGGTCGTTGGTCATACTGCTCTGGCTAGTGCTTGCACCTGTAAGAATGCGGGAATAGTAGTTGTCCTGTCCGCAGCCGACATACGACCAGCCGTCGCTGGTCAAATCAGTGAAGTCGGGGCCGACATTGTCGTTGATGACCGCTTCTCCGCCAGGCAGCTTGTCGAGGGTACCACTGACGACCTCATCAACGACAGGTTGGACTGTGCAGCCTTGGGCTTGACTGTTTGGAATCAGCTGGAAGTGCTGGCAGTCTTCAACACGGCCGGACAAGTTAGTGCAATCGTCGACAGCTGACTGAAGGTGGGCCTCGTCCCAGCCCATGATGAAATCACCATGGAGACCATAGCCGGTATTGTCACCATTGCTCCAGACGAATGGTTGCTTGCCGCCGCTCCACTGGCTAGCGAACTTGTTGGTGTCCCAGATGACCTCGTAGAAGATGGAAATCAGGTGCACTGGATGGGTCGACGGGCACTCGCCGTTGTTGTAGGCACCCACTGGGTACGACATGTGCGACTTGTGGTCAGCAGAGTCGAGATTCTGTCCATCCCAGCAGGAAGGAAAGAAGACCTGGGCTCGGAGGCCAGATGGGCAGTTGTAGTTGGGAAAAGCGTTCGTCTCTGGGTTGGAGGTACCGAGGCAATTGTAGCTGATAGCTTGTGAAGCAAAATCGGTGCCAGCAGTTCGCTTGGCTGTATCGCCAGCTAGCATGCGGAATCCTGGAGGGAATGCCTTCAGCTTCTCTTCGTTGCCACCACGCTGCAAGTAGTAGACAGTTGCACCGCCGACCTGGTTGACGCTCGTGAACTTCCCATCTGAGCCTTGGTACCACAGGTTAGGAATCCAGTAGTTGGAATTGTCGCCGATAACGGTGCAGGATGAGCATGTGGATGATTGTGTGGTGTTGTAGTCCATCACTTTTGCAAAGCCATTTCCTCCCATAATTGTATGGACGTGACTTGACACTGCATCAGTGTTGACGATGGGATCAAGTCGTTCAAGCACAATGGGTGACACGCAAGGCAATCGCCAGAAAGCCGTTGCGGGAGAAGCGGTCAGGGCCAGCCATGCCAATGTTGTGAAGCCAGGCATCTTGATGTAGTTGTGATGCGAATAGGCGATAAAAGAACGACAGAAACCTCGATGCAATCGAGTAGAACAATGAATGGACGCAGAGTCACAGACTCGCTGTAGTGAACGTGTGTGGCAACGACGGTGTGGACGAAGCTCGAACTGCCTTGCAGCGCAACGCAGGTTGAGGAGGTACTCACATCTTTATCGGAAGTATACTTGTGTACTTTGCGGGAGTGAGATTGCAGGTACCCTGCATGTGGACGCGTTCTCTATCAGAAAATTTTAGCGCCGTTGTTAAGCATATTGTGGCGGTTCGAGCTTTGCTCAACACATCATAGCGGCAAGGGGTGAGGCTGCTCTCCCAAGCACATCAAAGATCCGCTATCACAACGACAGCCGCACGGTGATGGTCTCCCATGCTGATTACCTGAACCAGCCCCTATGACTGAAAGCTTTGCTACCTTGGTCGGACCTAGGCTGGGCGACGGTGCGGTCCTGCGGGCGAGAGCCCAATCTTGCATTGCAGAACCCACTGACTGAAGGTAACATTAGTTTTCTTGGAGGTCCAGATTGCCGATAATGGTGTAGACGATCCCAAAGATGGACAGTCGAACGAAATTAGCAGGATGAAGCTAACCCGTGCGCAGTTTCAAAACAGCCCATTGCAATGCTCTTGGCACCCCGAAGAGGAATGGAACACGGTTAGCGCAGAGTATCCGAGGCTCGCCTCGATCCCCCTATCCTTCGCTTAGTCGCGTGGACCTGGGATATGTCCTTCCCAACCCACGTGTGATGCAACGGTCACAGAGACTTGTGCTTACCGCCTGTGTTGACGCCGATGGTCGAGTCGCGGGCGGCAGGTCTATCGCGGAAGTCTCTGCGAATTCGTTCTCGGATCTTGCGAGCACTGTTGAAATGCTCATGGACGACGCTGAACGAGATCAGTCCTATGCGAGATGTCAAGTGCCAATCAGCTTATGGGGGAGTTGTCCCACCTGTATCAGGTTGAGGGCTGTCTCGCAAGATCTTGACACTTCAATAAAGAAAGCATGGCATTTGCATCTCGTGCTCCCTGAGAACAGCATCGTTCGCTTGACGGTGGTGGGTCACACAAGTTCGCAGTCCTTTCAGTGCTTTGACCTGCTGAACTCCCGTGTATGCTGATAATCTGACCCATAGTGAAGTCCTCAACTTTCGTCCTGGAATGTTAGGCCTACACGTTGGGTCTGGCGACATGTCTGGAGGGCCTTCCGTGGCCGGTCTTCACGGAACGAAGGCTAAGGACTGGCGTTCACAATCGCGCTCAGGGAAACACCCTGGAAGAGTGTCGTCAAAGTAGCGGGACTCATATGACTTCAACGAGCTGCGCCAGTGGCTCTCAAGCACCGTGTAGCTATCGCAAGCACGCAGCCAGTCTCATGTCCGCTGCTTCCTTTCATGTCTATCGAATTGCGACTGCAATCCTGCCAGCGTGATCAGCCGCCTTGCAATGGCGAGTGACGGGCGTCATCTACATACCTAGGTAGGTATCGTTAATCGGGGATGCGAATTCCGGGCTGCGCAGGAACGGCCCCCCGATAGCCGCCAGTCCCTTCTCAGCTAGATCAATGCCGAGGACGAGCACGTCAACGCTTCGCGCGCTTTCACCACCGGCCTTCGCTTCCTCAGGAACAGGAGACTTTCCTTACTGTAAGTTTTGCTCGCTGTTGGTTTCATGCGATGAGCGGCGATCGCATCTTCTCGAGCAGCCTCAGGCTTCATTGATCCGATGCAATCCTCAAAGGTATCCAAGCGCTCCAAAGACACTTGCTCCGAGTGCCGGGCTCGCAAAGTACGATGCGATGCCCAGAGGGATGTTTGCGGCGCGTGCCAACGTCTCAATCTGAGCTGCTCATTTCAAAGACCGGATGGGGACAATGAAGCCACTCCCGAGAGGCGACGAGCGAAAGCAGCTTGTGAAGCCTGTCACTCTCTGAAGGCAAGGTGCTCCGGGGAGGTTCCGGAGTGCAAGAGATGCCGGATCAAAGGTGTCGCTTGCGTCTACCCAATTTCAAGGCGCTCTACAGCTACAGGCAGCCGGTCCGCACGACCCTCGATGACACCAGAAACTGTGAATAGTCGCAGTCCATCTCTAGCTTCTCACACTCTCCCTCGCGTGCCTTCGATAGTGCAGCCGGTGTTTGATGTTTCGTAAGTGGCTCCAACGATCTAGTCCCCAGGCTGACAATACATAGAGCTGTCTCTCTCGATGACGGTCTAGTAATGAGGATGTTCGAAGCCTTCTTCCAGCATGTGCATCCTATACCTCTCTACTCTTTCTTCCACAAAGCATCTTTGGTGCAGCGTTTCGAAGCAGGCCAGCTGGACACCTCACTCATTTTGTCAATGATTGGTATGACCTGTCAACTACTTGACATGGGACCGGGACTGCGCGAGTATGGAGCCGCTTGCCTCCAAGAAGCAGAAGCTCTTGTTTTGAAGAACATCGGCACCCCATCCGTTGTCATGATTCAGTGCCTTGTGCTCATAATCCGCCATCATGCCCACCAACGGCGATTTCGAAAGGCATTCATGCTCTTCGCCATCGCATCCAGGTGCGCATACGCCTTACGGCTGAACTATGAGTCGCCTTCGTTGTGCTTTCTGGCGCAGGAATCTCGCCGTCGATTGATGTGGTCGCTCTACATCATCGACACGACTATGGCTGGAGGCGCTCGAGAGCTTGTGATGTGTCCAACAAGCTCAATTCACATTCAGCTCCCCTGTCAAGAGAGGAACTTCGAGTTCGACCTTGCTCAAGAGACAGAACCTCTGCAGCCCGAGCCAAAGAAAGCGCTTGCAGAAAGCGTCGGATCTCTGGGCATGTATGTTCGACTCTTATGGCTTCGCCATCGCATACTACAGACGACTAAGGATGCTGTGCTATTCGGTGGCTACCACGTCGAGGAGTTTCCTACGAAGGTACATCAGCTCGAATCCGAGCTCGAAGACTTCGAAATGTCCTTACCGCAGTCGTTCCGCTTCTCGGAGAAGAATCTACTCCTTCGCGCATATTCACCTCGTCTTTGCCCTTATTTGCTGATACATGTATGGTACCGTCAACTATACTGCGACTTGTATCGAGTCACTCTACGTGGACTGGCTGAAGCGATACCTGATCCGGAAATGGATCGCATGGATGAGGGCTTCTTAAGAGACTGTCGGAAGAAATGCCTCCAAAATGGGATCGAGCTCGCTGAAGTTTTCAAGAGCTTCAAGCGCTCAGAACTGGTTGTCCGATGATGGAATCAGAGGTCTTCGTATGCGCTTATCAGTGCTCTCGGCTTCTGTTCCATTGCCAGACTCGATGGGGTGACTCGTTGGGCATCACCGGTGAACATGCGCGAGAACTTGTTCAGCACTGTTTGGACGCGCTCGACACCATACCGCTCTCGTGTCCCACAGCAGCACGCAATGTAAGCCTCCGAGGCTCGCAAAGTAGTAGTCGACTAATGCTTCGCAGGAACAAGATCTCCGAAGCCTGCTCGACGCCTCGGCAAATGCAGCTACAGCGATGTCGACCTCTAAGCGTGGCCATGCACGCCACCACGCGCGAGGCGCTGGAACAAGTGCCCAGCGAACTCAAGTGACAGCAATGCCAGATGTCAGAAGAGACACTGAGGCCAGCAAGCCCCGAAAAGATGTTGATGCATCTGACTTTTCAGTGAGCAATGCATTTCAAGGTGAATTTGATGGTTTGAGCTTCGACAACGAGTCTCTTGCAGCGGATCCCTTCAGCTGGTTTACTTAAGCCAAGAATTATATATGCAAGTCGGAACGACGCGCATAGCAGCGATGAGGCCCTCAGGCGACGCATCTACAGCTACGAGTATACTCACAGCAGCGCAGAGTACGAATTCCCCAAGAATCTAACTGAGCGACACTACGTTTTGTCCAGCCGATCGATAGAGATCATACCTGATGTTGCGTCACGACGCGCAACATGCTCGCACTCTGACCGCCTGTGCGAGCAAGAGTTGAGCAGCAGCCACACTCTATTAGGCCAACCCAGTATTTCAGGCCGCCAAGCTCCAAACTCAAACCGTGGGACGTTGGGCTATATTCATCAATTGCGACACCTCCCGTGAGCACGAGGCTTTTACCGATCTTCACACCCGGCAGATATGTCTGGAACACAGACAGCAGTCATGGAAGCAAAGCTGGCTGGATCAGACACATGTCTGAAGTCCAGCAACGACCTCATTGCCAGCTTCAATTTCTACGCCTCACCTGACAAGCCTGACATTTCCGAGATCGCCTCCATCTTTGGAGGAACATCTCGGCGTCTCAAAGCAGTTCCATGTCCGGTCGAGGATGTGCGCAGAGCAGACCTCGAGTCATTCACCTTGTCCGGGAACGGCTTCCAGGTCCTGAGACATACGTCATCTCTCCTTCCGCCGCAGCCTCTTCAGTCCCGGACTTCTTCGACAATGACTACGTACAAGAACGCTACTGGCCGGAGCTCACCACTGCCTTGAGATCCCAGCTCGGTTTGCGAAGTGCGATCGCCATGAACACAACAACTAGGGACGTGAGACCAGAGACAACAGCAAGAGAGATCAACCACCTTAATCCGCGTGAGGACAAGAAAAGTCTCGGTGGCTTTTTCGTTGTGCACGGTGATTACTCGCCTGCTGGAGGGCGAGCTCACCTGCGGCATGTGCTGCCAACATTCTTCGACGACACGAAATGCCTGGAACCAATCACAACTCCAGAGGAAAGGACGAAGTTCTTCCAGTTGTGGAATTCGATCCAAGCTGCCGAGCAGCAAGCTATTCTTGAAGAGCAAGGCGGCACGGAAGAGCAACACATGTGGGCATGGAGTGGACGCAATTACACCGGTCCTCGCTGGGCGATTTTCAGCGTCTGGCGGCCATTGGAAGTCGTGCAAAGTGATCCTATGGGCATCATGGATGCGCGCTCTTTCTTTTCTTCATCTAGCCTCCACGAAGATGGAGATCAGTATGTTATCTACGATCGCACTTACAAGGATCGCCCTGGCTTTACATCAAGCTACCGAAGCGAAAACATTCTGCCAATTGCACCTTCAGCGACAGCTCCAGTGGAGGCTACCACCCAGCAAGCCTACCGTTTCTTCTGGGTTCCCGATCAGACGCCTGAGGAAATTTATGTTCTGAAGCTGTTTGATAGCGAAGCGCAGACTATTCGAGGTAGGCGGGCTGGCGTGGTGGAGTGTGCGCCACACAGCGCATTCACGCTTCCAGATCAGGACGGCAAACCGGCGCGGAGGTCGGTCGAAGTTCGCGTCTTTGCGATTTGGTGACTTCCTGGACAGGTGTGGTTGAACTGATGGTGTAGGATCAGCATCTCCTCGCCCAATTCAGGCCCAGGAAGGCCGCGTCCCAGGAAGAGCAGCCATCAGGTACTCATCTCCATTGCTGCAGGACAGTGCTGTGGCAGTAATGAAGTATCTCAGGCGCACAAACGCATGCATAATGAGCAACGGGCTTCCTGCGCCACTCAGTTTGCAGGCCAAGCACGTGAGACTCTGCTTTTCGTCTGCTGCGGACTCTGCTGCTTCAGGCCCGTGCTCACGGCACAGTTTCTAGGAGGTTTCCTCCACACATCCAAGCAGCTCAAACACTCACGGCGCCCAGGCAAAGTGCTTACGCTCGAAGTGGCGTTCGTTGCCCTCTGTGTCACCAAGCGTAAAGCAGCCAGGCTTGCGCAATGCAGCGGGATTCTCAGGCCACGCCATTTCAAGACTGAGTGGTCACTTTCTAAGGCGGCAATGTCTTCCGCCACTTGGGACTGAGAAGCCTTCCGAAAAAGAGAAGCTCGCAAGACCTTTCTGCGAAGACATCGTATCAAAAATTGTGTGCCCAAATCTGGTGTGCATGGTAATTGATTACGTGCCGGAAATCATGTCCCTCCGAACTTCATCGTTGGATCAGGCTCGGTGGCTCCATTCCGGAGGCGGAGTGACCTAGCAGACCTTGGCAACTCTGAAAATAGGCAGCCCTGAGTGGCCAGTGTCCAACCCCCAAGCTTTTACTGCCCAGGACTTGCAGAGGAAGGCGTCCACAGCCAAGAGTGCTGTCCAACACCGCCTTGTCAGCAGTTACTCAACCTCATGATTTGGCCTCGTTCTCACTTCTGAGACAGCGCAGCATCCAGCCTCGTTGTGGGTACTGGTTACCTGACCAAGTGCGCTGTGATGGTAATACTGACCACTTGCAAGCCAGGCTGGGCCGCTACCGCCTCGTGCACTGCAGTGGCCACAACACTTTTCGGAGGGCTTCCTGCTGGTCATTTCATGGTATAAGTAGAGGCTCTGTCCTCACAACCCATTGCTGTTAATAGCGTACCAAACATCAAGCAACAAGCATCAATCATTTCACGAGTTTCCTTCGTTTTTCCTTGAGCAGTATCACTTTTCTTTGTTCTCTGTTTCGCCGTTCCCAACCAGTACACCAGAAGCAGTCTTTCGACTTCGACACATAACATCGCCGCACTCACCAATTTCACCTCAAATCAATTAAATCTAGCAACATCATCAATATGAAGGCGACCACATCCATGATGGTCTCGGCTCTTAGCCTTACCACTATAGCGTCTGCTCGCACCATCAACAGAATCCGCTCTTCAACCCATTCCCAGGAGATTTCGTATCCAGTCACAACCAATCAGGCCTTCGAGCTGGATGTCACGACCGACAAGCTCGGCCTCAGCGACTACTACTCGCGCGAAGATGGCTTCATCTTTGTCAACATCGATCCCACCAACAACATCGCCTCAGCTGCCGTACGAAGTGTCAAGAACGACGTCACCTGCACGCTGAAAGATGTCCGCGGCTACGTTATCCGCTCATTCGGCGGTGTCGGAGGCCAGCAAGAGTACGTCCGCCAGCCCTGGGAGGAAGACCACGCAGCTAGTATCGGCTGTTTCTTTCCTGGCGAGAGCGAAGCCACGTATCCTGCAAAGTCCCAGTCAGCGACATTATTCCCCGACAGGTAGGGCGGCCGTTCGAGATGGACCTGATGTATGCCACCGCAGGTGTACAGGATTTCTATAGCCGTGAGGATGGCTTCATCCGAGCGGATGTGTTAGCCGGTGACAAGTTGACGGGTGCTGCTGTTCGAAGTATCGAGGGTGACGTTGTTTGCACTATCAAGGATGCGGAGGGTTACCAAGTCAGGAAGTTTGGAGGCGAGCATCCTCAGCAAATCGAGCTGAGCGAGTATGAGGGATTGAAGGCGAAGACTGTTGGTTGCTACTTCCCTGGCCAGGAGCCCTCCATCTGATGGCGTTGACGGAGCAGAATTGGTGGAATTGGACTGAGCCTCCTCTCATCAAGACGAGTCATGGCTGATGTGACGCTTATGTATCCGTAAGTAATGTATGAACTTATTGTGCGAAGCCTGCCTGGGTACCAGGACTCCAGAGCTGTGCAGGTCTCTGCGTCCACAGTTTTCAGTGTCAACCGGTTGGAGATAGGCCTGGAAATATAATAGTGCAGATACTAGGTACCCAAATAGATGGCCGCAGCCCTGCGGTATGCTCAGATACGCAGACAAGAGGAATTGATCTGTTCACGTCTTCCTAATTTGAGCCTCGACCATAGGCCTCACGAGCTCGCACTCACCGCCTAATGGGAGCGCAAAATGCGACAGCGAGCCTCCATCAGTCTCACATGCCTTGGAGCTTACACCCCGCAGGTCTCACAGATTCCAGTCTCCCCATACTGCTTACGTATACACTACGACTTCCCGATCGCGCACGATGCTTGACGAAGTCGGACACAACATATCCACTCCCTGCATGCACATGCAGAACAAGATGCACGAGATAGCAAAAGGTCCAGTGGGTGATTGGCCATCTTGGTTGCACTACGCATTCGACAAACCTTAATCGTCGGATCCGTTGAAAAGTGCTCCTATCTCCATATCCTCGAGGCCGACCACTGCAGAATGATGGAAGGTAAAGACAAACCCCAGACTGGTCAGCATGTGCTTGCCGTCGCATAAGACTCGCTCCTCCCCCGAAAACGAGCGGCGCAACTGCCCTGCACCCATCCTCCGCTCTAACACGATTCACAACGATGGTCTGCCGCGACTGCTTCCGGGGCACGATCCATGACTTTGCCACGCCCAAAGGCACACTCTCAGATCTGTACGGCTCCAGCTACAAGACCTACGTCTCGTTGCCGCCAAACGATCCGAAGCCCAAATCGACCATAATCTTCTTCTGCGATGCCTTTGGGCTGCATTTGCCAAACAACAAGATTCTTGCGGATCACTATGCTGAACAAACTGGCTGTCGTGTTTTGACTCCGTGAGTGCTCCCCAGTCGCCGAATAGAGAGCTCTTTTGCCGAGAGTATGCGGGAGCGGACTGTCTTGTGGCACATTCGCGCAGCTCGGGCCACTTCATTGCGCCTCTCGCATAGCAGCGAAGTGTTGTCCTGTTCTAAGCTCGACTCCTCCGATCTCTGCTGGTTCCTAGTGACATACTTGCTGATCCTCCTTCTTCCCAACAGTGACATCATTCCCGGCGGTGGATGCAGCGAGAAATGCATGCACGCCATGAACGAAGTATTCAAGCCGCTGCCCAGCTGGTGGAGTCTGCTCGATCCCCGGATGTACTTCAACAAAATCTGGGGAATCTCGACGTTCGCACCGACCTTCATTCCGTTTTTGATCACATCGAGCGCGCCAAAGGCGTACCCAGAATGCTTACGGTATGCAAGAGCGGTCAAAGCTGACTTACCGGCGGGTGGAAAGCTGGGTGCGGCTGGGTTCTGCTGGGGCGGGTACCCGTCGACGAAGCTCTGCGGCGAGTCGGCCTCTGCTGAAGGCGAGGGCGCGACCAAGCCGCTGCTAGACGCAGCGTTTTCGGCCCATCCTAGTAGTTTGGACGCCCCGAAGGATTTTGTCGGGGCTCTTGGCAGGTTCAAGACACCGTATTTCTGTGCAGTGGCAGAGTTCGATTTCCTGTTCAACAAAGGGGCCGCAGAGCAGACAGAGGCGGCGTTGAGAAAGGAGCTGGGCCCTAGTGGCGAGGGCAAGGCTGGTGTGTACGAGTTCTTCATTCACAAGGGAGCCCATCATGGGTTCAGTGTGAGGGCCAGCCCAGACGCGCCGGGCGAGGTTGGAAAAGAGAGCTATGAGACGGCAGCTGCGCAAGCTGTCGAATGGTTTAACAAGTACCTGAAGTGATTGGGACGAGTTTGGAGGAGGACGGTTAGCGGGCAAAGCGAAGAGCTTCACATCGGGACTGCTATCGTCGACGACGCAGATGGATTTTTACTGGCTCTGGCAGGCGCAGTCAGCGAGAATATGACCAACGCTGTCGTCTTTCAGCCAAGACATTGCGACCAGCGCCCGAGGCCCCGAGCAGTGCCTCACTTGCGATCACCTCTGTCGTATGTATCTACTGGTCTATTGTGTGATCAGAGCCAGATCTCTTCGGCGATATACTGACCGCATCTTTAAGAGAGATCACACTTGTGGTCCGGTGGGGTGATCTGCAGTACAAACGATAATGAGCGTACCGATGACGTGTGTTCCTCGTGCTCTTCGCACTTTGCACCTGATCCAAGTCACTGATCACCCTACACAGAGCTGCTGCTGTCGTCGTGGCTGCTCAGTACCGATGCATACAAACATCACTGTAGCAGTAGGAACCTGTACATCCATTCTTCGCAGAGTTTCATGAGCGAAGTCAAAGACACAGCCCTCCCCAATATCCAGAATTTTCTCGCAAGGGGCAGCAACCAAGTTGGAGTGATTTTCAGGGGAAAATTGACCTCGTTCGGCCCGTTAAACACGCGTCATGCGCCAATACGGAGCCATTCCAGGTACAAGCACCAACCAAGGCGGCCGGAAGCGACCAGCCTACGTCGTAAGCGGCCCCCAGAAAATCTTTGACAGCGCCAAATAACCTCGAAATATCAACAGCTCAACGCATCGATCACTTTCTGTCTTTCCTCACATCACTTCCAACCGGGCATCATTCATTCTTTCATCAATTCTTCTTTTTCGTAATCTTCCATACTAACGACAGTCATTCTTTCTTACGCAAACATGAAGGGCTCACTCATTTCCCTCGTCGGCGGTGCCTCCACGGCTCTGGCTGCGGTACGCGGTTTCAACTATGCCGCTCAAGAAGCCACGCAAGAAAACTTCGAAGCATCATTCAAGCTTGCAGGCAGCTTGAGTGGTCTCGACAACTTCAACGGCGCCAGATTATATACTATGATCCAAGAGGGCACCACCAACGAGCCCATCCACGCGATACCCGCAGCCATCGACACAAAATCCACACTACTTCTCGGTCTATGGACCTCCGTTCCCCAATCCGCCTTCGACAACGAGATTACAGCTCTCAAGAACGCCATCCAACAATACGGCGACGACCTCAAGAATATGGTCACTGGTATCTCTGTTGGCAGCGAGGATCTTTACCGCATCTCAGTCACTGGTCTCGCCAATGATCCCACCGCTGCTGGCCAGACCCCAGATCAGTTAGTTGACTACATCGGCCAAGTCCGCGAAGCCATCAAGGCACTGCCCTGGACGGCACACCGATCGGCCACGTCGACACCTGGAACGCCTTCGTCAACTCTTCCAACGACAAGGTCATCGCCGCCTGCGATTTCCTCGGTCTGGACGAATACCCCTACTTCCAAACCACCGACCCCAACTCGATCGACAACGCTGCCAATCTCTTCTTCGAGGCCTACGACAAGGTCAAGGCCGTCGCTCAGGGCGCAGAGCTCTGGGTCACAGAAGCTGGCTGGCCAGTTTCAGGGAAGCAGTCGGGCGCTGCGATCACTGGAGTGGACAACGCGCAGACATTCTGGCAGGAGGTGGCCTGCGAGCTGATCAAGCGCAACATCAACTTCTGGTGGTACATGCTCCAGGACAAGGCCAGCCCAGACTTCAGCGTTGCTAGCGCCTCTGGCCAGCCGCTGTACAATCTGGCCTGCAATGCCAGCTCCGGATACCACCCAACCACCAACAACTCATCCTCTTCCTCCACAGCTCCATCTAGCAGCAAAGCCACCGCTTCCATGACTACCATTTCCGGCACCATCGTCACCACAATCCCAACCGAGACCGGCGAGGCTGGCAGCCCCGGTGCCGCTAATGCCGGCGCAGGTAGCCAGACTACAGGCGGCAGCGGCGCAACAGGCTCGAGCAGCAGCGCTTCAGCTTCGGGCTCGAGCTTCGCCGGCGCTGCAGGAAAGTCCCAGGCCAGCTTCATTGGTCTCGTCCTCGCCGCAGCAGCTGCTGTGTTCGCCTTGTAGACGTGTCAGATCAGATCGATGATCGCGGATTTGGATTTCTTGCATAGTTTGGGATATAATGGATAGATATATCTGTCACTAGGTACCATTCCTAGGCACAATGACGAAAAGTCTTTTGCATTCAATACTTTGACTCTGCTTGTCCTTCTTCTCACAAGCTATCATCATCATACTCGCAGCGTGCCCTCCGCTACTCTGCTCAGATCTGAGTCGGGCCATTTCTTTCCGCAGCGTGTCATGAGCTGCTGCAAGCCTCCTAAATTTGCCCACTCGCCCAAGCAGGAGCGCTAGCTGCCATGGAATGCATCGCACTGGGCGCAAGCTGCGAAGGGAGGGGCCGCTAGCGTCTGACGCATAAGTCCAGCTCTGTTACCTTCACGCTCTTCTTCTTGCGCTGCCCTCTTCTACCACCCGACTCCGCGTCGCTTCACCACTGTTGCCACTGTCGTAACAGGGCATGCCACTCAAGCGAGATCGAAGACTTCTCAGATAGACGTTGTCCGTGATGCGTCTGGAAGAGACAGGCGAGGTCTTGTCATGATTCGTTGTTTCTGTCCGCTTGTCCATGCCACTGAGTCTTTGCCCGTGCACGAAAGGCGGATAGCATCTTCGGCGGAATGTCTGATGCGTTCGACTGATCTTTCGGGATCCTGGCTTGTCACATCGGTGGCTATGAAGGACAGAGCACAACCACTGAAGTTGACAAGCTGCTTGGTGAGATTGCCAGATCTGTGAATGGGATGTCTAGCCAGCGGATGCTGGCCAGGACGCAGCTGCGATTGATGCTGGGCGCTCCTTTGCGCCACTGCTCTTGCCGTCTTTCAGCCAAAGGATGTAACAGGTGCATGCAGTGCTCTGGGCAGTTTCCATCCCCAGTTTATGGCAGTTGAGCCGAGCTCTGCGCGAGCACGCTCGAGTCGAACGACAGGGGCAACTTCATGATCATCCCTGGAGATAAACTCTGGGAAATTCTGCTGGGCGAATTCGAGGAAGAACGTAGCTTCAGCTGTTCGACCTTGTGACAAGGACAGCTCGGCAGCGTCTAAGACCACAACTGAGATAGCTCGCTTGATGCGCAGTGGTTTGAGCGATACCCATGTGGCAAAGCCGCGCGCCATGTCACTTTTGCGCAGTTTGTTGTACAGTGTCGTAGCATTGGGCGTTTGCGGATGGTATGTACGGAAGAAAGCACCTGTGAGGTAACTGTGGCGCCCTTGCGAGGGTACGACGTCCAGCAGCGAGTCGAATGTGGCAGCCGGTAGCCCATGGGAGCCTCGTGTATGCAAAAAGTATGACGTAAGTCTGGCCCAAGATTCCTGTAGAGGTTCGTGGGTTTGCATAGACGGTCCTGACAATGACGTGGGTGCTGGGGAACCTGATGACATGCGGTGTTTGGTAGCAGCGATGAACTGCTGAGCGGCGGATATGGGTTCCTTATTGATGATCGACCAGTGCATCATTTTTGATATGAAATGGTCCTCAGCACGTAGCCATGCTGGCTTTTCGCTTGCACTTGACGCCCAGGCTCTTTGGTACAAGATCTGGAGCCAGCTCCATACAGTGTTATGAGCGTGATCTGCATACAAGGCGTCGATGACAGCATCTTCCGTTGCCCAAGTTCGGAAGAACTCGTCCTTTGTCGCCGGACTTGCGGCATCAAACCATGCGGCAAGTTTGGGTGCCAATCTGGTCTTTGCTGGTTGGTTACGTTTGCGCTCGGTAAGATATTGTAGTGCACACTTTTGCAGACTGGACATGGTGAGTGTGCCATTGCGTAGATGACGCTCTAATGCTGACGCCGCTGTAGGCGTGCTGTCCAAGGCCGAGGTCTGGTTTCCGGACACTGCTTCGCTCTCAAGGAGGGGATGGGCAAGGATGCTATCCACGTATGTGCTTGCCGGTCTAGGGCCACTGCTTGGCCCGTCGTCCTGGTCCTGTTGTTTGATAGAGTTCGGGGCCGGATGGGCTGCGTCGAGCCTGCTCTGGAAGCGCGCATCCAGCATGCGAAGTAGCTGTTTGGACTCTCGGGCGGTGGGAGGCGCTGGTGGGTGCAATTTCGAGATCAGTGACCTGATCATGAGAGCGCTGGTTGTCTTCATGGTGACTCGAGACTCAGTGCACACCACGAAGAATGTGTCAAAGGGCAACACGACATGCAGCAACCTCCACAGTGCTGTTGCCGGTAGCAAGTGAAGTCGTGCGACGTCAACGAGTCACGGGCAGAGTCGCGGTGTGGAGAATGACGATTTGGAGTCAGTGGCTGAGAAATCAGTTCAAATGACCGAGAGTGCTTCGAAAGCCTTCGCTGTAGCACGCAGAATAACGTCTGACACGATAAATGATTTGTGCACTTCACATCACATAGACCACATAACTCGTTAGTGCCTAGGTAGCAAGGCTCAAAATCTCGGTGGGCAAGCCTGAGCATATTTGCATAACAAAATGGCAGACAGTGAGGGACCAGATCTACCCACAGAGAGCAAGCGCGCTGACAGGGAGGAGCAACACTCAACGCCTCAAGAGAATCGACGAAGAAGCCAGTCGCCGCGCAGAGACCGAAAGGATGAGCGACGACCACGAAAGGACAAAGGCTTCAAGTGGAAGGACAAGCGTCGCGACGATGACGATCGTAGGGATCGTGATTCAGGATATCAGCGCGGCTACAGAGACCACTACAAGCCCCGATCACGGTCAAGATCACCCAGGAGAGATCAGTCTCCACGACAGCCACGCTCACCCAGACGCGACAGGGATGACAGTGACAGGATAGATGATACACACAGGAAGTTTGGCAACAACGACAAGCCGGAGCGCAAAGAGAGAAAGGAGAAGAAGGAGAAGAAGCCTACGCCAGCGGTGCCTCAACAGCCGATGATTCGGGTCACGGTCAATGACAGACTGGGCACGAAGCATACGATTCCGTGCTTTCCATCAGATCCCATCGGCGAGTTCAAGAAGATCGTCAGTGCTTACATTGGTCGTCCTGCGCACGAAATCCTACTCAAACGGCAAGGAGAACGACCTTTCAAGGACCAGCTCACGCTCCAAGATTATGGAGTCAGCAATGATGTTCAGCTGGATCTTGAGGTTGATACAGGGGACTGATGCATGTCTCGTGTCGTTGTGTACATGGACTCATCAACATCTAGGTCGTCGAGAAGCGCCTCTGACTGCTGGACCTTCCCTCCCAGCCTACTTTTCATCGTCACCTGTGAAAACTAGGCAATAACCAATTTCTTCGAGAATAGGCGGGGTATCAATGCCCGGAGCTGGAAGGAACAGACATTATTTCGAGATGGCAGAGGAAGCCACCTGCAGTGCACTTGCATTAGGACCCAAGCCAAGTCATTGTGCAGATTGGGCTGCGAATGTAAGAGCAGTGTGGTTGGGAGCATTGCTAGAAATTATAGCGTGGGACACATGCGGGTTGTCGCAACGAGCTAGCAACAGGCAGAGTAAGAGCTCTTCACCTGAGGGCATTACCTGAGGGATGACAGTGAGCAACATCCCAATCCAGAAGGTGAGGTGTGAATGTCGCGTGCTCTGGTCCACGGGCTACTGGCAAGCTGGTTGGAGATCTGCTGCCCCGCACATGTCGTGCTGCAGGTTCTTAATGTGGCAGGTTAAGCGTAGAAAAATGACCTACCCATGCCCTTCGGCTCTTTTGTCGCGAGTCGATGCCTCTCTTTATGTGTCCCAAATTGCTCGATTAGACGTCTATGCTCAGACGCGAGGACTACCTCACTATGATCTCCTACGACAACCTCTAGTCACGGCTGCCAGGGTCGTACCCGATCTTCTGCAAGTCTGCCGTCCCTTGTTCCGACCTGGCCCTTCGCTGTCCACATCGAGTCGCGATTTCTGCTTGCCCTTAACCAGTCGAACGTCTTTCCTGACAGGGCTCCACCGCGACCATGGTGCGCAACATCGTTGTCCTGGGTGGCAACTCTCACCCTCGCCTGACCGAGTCTATATGTGAACAGCTCGGCATTACTCCAGGTCAAGCCCTCTTCTCAAAATTTGCGGTCGGAGAAACCCGTGTTGAGATTGGTGAGTCAGTGCGAGGGAAAGATGTATACATTGTCCAGTCCGGGGGAGGACCCGTGAACGACTACTTCATTGAGCTTTGCATTGCCATCTCGGCGTGCAAGACGGCTTCGGCTAAGAAAGTCACCGTCGTCCTCCCGCTCTTTCCTTACTCTCGCCAATCCGACATACCCTACAACAAGTCTGGAGCGCCCTTGATCCGCTCATCCAGCGTCTACAAGCCCAACATCAACGGCGAAAGTGGCTACTCTTTTGATAGCGTCCCGTCCACACCACATCCCGAGAGACATGAGACCAATGGCATCCTGAATGGCACTAGTCCGCAACACGGTCCGCAACACAACACCCTGCACAGAGCAGTCTCGCGCACTCAGCTCGAAGACATCGACTCAGGCACTCAACCTCATCAGAATCGATACAGCCACTACAAAGATCTTTCCAAGTCTGACACATTGTCCATCAGAAGTAGGAACAATTCTGGCACCTTCCCCTCAGGTGTCAATGCTCACGATTTCGCGCCCAATTCAGACAAGTCTCAGGACTCACCCAATTCCAAACCCGTGCAGGACGCCTTCAAGCCGCGACCTGGCTATAGGCAATGGGTGGCGCAAGCGGGCACTCTCGTGGCAGATCTCCTCACTTGCGCTGGTGCGGACCATATCATCACTATGGATCTTCATGACCCACAGTACCAAGGCTTCTTTGACATTCCGGTTGACAACCTGTACGGGAGACCAATGCTCAAGAAATACATTCAGCACAACATCCCTGACTACCGAAACGCAGTCATCGTCAGCCCAGATGCTGGTGGAGCAAAGCGAGCTACTGCAATAGCCGACTCTCTGGGCCTTCAATTCGCTCTCATCCACAAGGAACGTCGTCCCACCAAAATCACAGACCGACAGAATGCTACCATGATGCTCGTTGGCGACGTCGCTGGCAAGACAGCGATCCTGATAGACGACCTGGCTGACACGAGTAACACGATCACACGAGCCGCTAAGCTGGTGAAGAAGGAGGGTGCCAGCAGGGTCTATGCTCTTGTCACTCACGGCGTGCTTAGTGGCGATGCTATTGATCGGATCAATGCCAGTGCGCTCGACAAAGTCGTCGTCACCAACACTGTCGATCAGACCGAGCACAAGAAGCGATGTCCCAAGCTGGAGGTGCTCGAGGTTGGCAATATCTTCGCCGAGGTAAGTCCTTACATAGAATTCGCGCTCTACAGCATCTGACCCTCTCACAGGCTATCAGACGCGTTCACTACGGTGAATCGATCAGTGTACTGTTCCAGTATGATTGACATACCATCTGTACGGTCAGGGAAAGGCAGGTCTAGTCATGCATTCGAAATAGTAGAAAACACACACAAAAAAGCTCCATACCAAGTGCTGGGAAGGTGCTGATAAAGGGAATGGGATGGTCTGTCTGCTCGTCGTTTTCTGCATGCATACCTACATAAAGACTGAAATGCAAAGTCTCTCAATCTGCATGCTAGAGTCCTCCCTGGGGACAAATATCAATCTCAAATTTCAAAATCGTCAAAGTGCTCCTCATGCGCCGGGTGGCCTCCCGCCAGCTTCCCGAGGAGCGGCAACTTCCACCGCACGACCTCCATCGGCGGCTTCTCCTGCGGTTCCTTTGCAGACTGCGGAAGAGGAGCAGGAACAGCAATTGGGGCAGAAGCAGGGACTGGGCTCTCGCCCTTCGCTTCCTGCTGCTTTGTCTCCGTTCCCGGCTGCTTCACCACCACTGCCTTTCCACCTCCACCAAACTTCGGAATCTCCTGCACAGCGAATCTCTTCATCTCCGGCTCCTTCCACCTATCCTCCCACCATCCCACCGCCTTCCCTCCGTTCTCCAGACTCATCTTCGCCTCCCACACGTGAAACGCAGCTTCGTACTCGTCCAACAGTTTCGTGTCTGGATCTTTCTTCTCTACTTCCTGCTGCTGCTGATCGGTCTGCTGCCCTTCTCGCTTCGCCTGCTCCGCCTCCGCCTTCTTCTCGTCGCTGGTCGGACTCCTCACCCAGTTCCTTCCACCAATCGGCTGCTGATGCATTGGAAGCCTGCTTTCCTTCAATCGCTTGTACTGAGCCTCAGGGCCCAATCGCTTCTTCAGGCCCGTCATGATCCCGCCCAACCGACGCGTGGTTTCCACTTGCCGCTCGCGTTGGCGCTGCGCGTGCTGCGCGGCATGTTCACGCTGTCTGGCTGCGAAGTCGTACATTGGGTCCTTCGGGCGGGAAAGGAGGGTGCTGTGGGCGGCGATGGAAGGGAGGTATTGCGCTTCTGGCCTGGAGTAGTAGCGGCGCGTTGCGGTGGAGGGGATCTTGAAGGAGCAGTGGAGGAGGAAGGCGTGTTCTTCGGTGTTGGCGGGAGCGCGGTGGCCAGCATGATTAGGGCGGAAGGGGGCGAAGTTGCTGGGAAGGCGGTCGCGGCAGTTGGAACCAGGAGCAATGTTGCGGGCGGCTATGGTGCGAAGGTCAGGCTTGTAGGTGTGAGCATATCGCACTACATCGTTACCGTTGTTCAGAGCAGCAGCGACCAAGGCGTCGAAGGCGCCCGGGGCGACCTTGGGAAGGCTGGCAGGTGGAGGACGAGGGCCAAAGGGACGGTGTGAGCATTTGGATTGGAGGTCGAAGACGTCGCGCTGGACGGTCGAGCGGAGGTGTCGAGGACGATGAAGCCGTCGACGGAGAACTCGTCTTTGGATGCGAAGGCGGTCTCGAGCTTGGGTCGACGCGTCCATTCGCTAGGTATGACGGATTCGGGGTCGATCGCTTTGCGGACTGACTTTTCGAGGAGACTGTTGCGAAGCTTTTTAGGTGCAAGAGCGCGGAGGACAGGCGGTGGCATTGGGTGCTTGCGGCGTTTCTCGAGGTCGGCAAGTTCTGCTTGCAACTTCTGGCGTTCGACGTTGCGCGCCGCCTTTCGCCTTGCTTTCTCTTCTTTGTCCGAGAGCGCGCCTTGTGGAGCCAGGGCTTTGGACGGTGTTGAAAAGCATGTTCCCATTTGGCTGTCCGAAGTTTGAGCGGATTCCGCGAAGTCAGGTCTGGTGCTGGAGCCGAGTGATGATACCCAGACTTCTTGGGATCTTGGTCGCTCTACAGCGGCAGGCTGTTGAGATGGGCGGTTGTTGGTCGGTGGTCGGACGTCGTAGACTTTCGATGGCTTGATAGTAGTCTTGACGGGCTCACCAACTGGTTTGCGCTTGATGCTCAGGGGTTCAACAGCATAAATTTCAGGCCACAATGTGCGAAGTGATTGAGGTTCTGGCTCACAGATGTCCATAGGTTTTTCTGCGTCCGCGGCAACATCTGTGTTGTCCTGTGGCGTTAAGGAGATCATATTGTCATGCTGTTGTTGTGACTGCACTAGCGCGACACAATTCAGCTGCGATCTTGAGCGTGCTGGCGTGAACTGTGGCAGTTGGTATTGGCCTGGTGGATAGCCAGAACTTACGTCCTGGTCCAACATTGTGACATCTGGCATTCTGTTGCGCAGGATATGTTTCGCCTTCCTCGCAAGCTGTCCTATTTTAGCTGCGATGCGGATTATCAGTCGTACCTCGAAGTCGTGCTTCAAACGAAGCGATACTTTGTGTGGTCGCATGAGTGGATGCGAAAGCCGGTGGTCGCAAAGGATACCGTCGGGATAGCAACGGAGATAACACAGATGGCTGGAGTGTGGGTACGCAGTGAAGTGAAGACAGACATGTTGCTCTCCTACCTATTGTTGGTGGTGGCATATCCGCCATCAATTGCCTGAGCTGTTGCGGCAGCCTGGAAATCATCAAGTGAAAGATGTTGTATTGCCTTGTGGTCCCCCCTGAACGCCTTGCATCCCTGACCGTACATAGGTATATACTCATCTTCTCTAGTGACACGCTTTACTGGTGACCAGGCAAGGCAACGAAGCGACGAGAAGGTCTCGACCTGTCCAGGTCAGATTCGACGGCGCACAATCGGACAGCGGAGAACCGAGGATCAAGGATCGACGTTCCTGATCAGAAGACGCTGATGTAGTTGCCTATCCGGTCCTTCTGGTTCTGAGCGATGCATTCCGATATCCATTGCACGTTTCTCAGCTGTGGCGAAGGGTTAGCTTTGATGCCTTCGAAGAACGACTTGGACTTATCTTGTTCCCTCAACTTCACCCAGGCATAGATGACGGCGTGAGTGAACTGTCTGGTGAAGACCAGCTTGGACAGCTCAGCCTCCTTGAGGTAGAAGAGATCCTCGAGCGACTTCTGGTCGCCTCCGGATCCACCTTGCATATTTCCCGCGCCCGAGCCACCTTGATTCAGTCCGACTTCGTCAAAGAAGCGTTTGTAGTCGCCCACGCCGCTGACAGCCAGTGATACGCTTTCTATATCGTCCGCTCTCGACAGCATAAGCATTCCTTCGGGGTACAGTTTCCCAAATTCTGGATACAGCTTTTTCCGTTGATCTTTGTTGAGCTCTGTGCCGAATGAGTTGATTGTAATGTTGATTGCTCTCCGGTCGGCCTCGAATTCCAGAATCTCGCTCATGATCTCTCCAGTTGGTGTCATTGCCATTTCTGGGTCGTTGTTGACAAAATGGTGGAAGTCCTCCAAGTAGTTCTTGTACAGTGTGTTCCGGACGATTTCAATGTTGAGTTCATCAAGGTCCTGATGACTGAGGCTGCCTTTGAAGTAGGGTGCCAGGGGTGTCTCGATCAGAACTGAGTTGTACAGCTCTTCGATATTGGTCGCAACGCAAAGTACAGGCAGGGTTTCGAACCAGCCCAGTGGATGACACCTCTCGAGCAACTCTTTAGTGTCTCGTTCGTGTAATGTGCCGGTGATGAGAAGTGCGACATTGTCGATCATGTATGAATAGGTGAGATATTCCATAAATTTGGACAGAGAGCCGGTGCACTGGCCCTGGAGGTATCTGAAGTCCTGCACCAACTTCTCCGTCATCTTCGACGTGAGCGCCGATGTCGATGGGTTGGGTGGTAACGCAGAGAGAGCATCACCATAGGCGGGACCGAGCTGCATCTTCACATCGTCGATGCTTTCGCACTGTGTCAACTGCGGGATATCAGTGGCTGCTGCGATTCCGCTTCCAGATACATACATTGCCATAATTCTGTGACGTGAGCAGAGTGTTTCTGTATCCTCGGACAATCCCCTCCATGAACCCGCCATTGACGTTGAAGAAGAGACCTAATCCAGAGGTTAGCGTATATAGAAGTCATTGCTTTCTGCTGCGCACCTTCCATGGCGACTCCAGGTCTCCGTGAGGGACCTCGATGGAATGTAGGTCAGTGTCGCTGGGAGTGAGACAGGACGCCTGCAGGTTCACTTGCGATATGCTGCACTGCGCACAAGAATTCGAAAGGCAGTGATGGTACTCAAGACAATGTAGGCTCCGGCTGATCTATTATTCGGGCGAGCTCCAGTTCCCGCATTGATCAACCTTGGAAGTCGATGACCTCGTCCAGGACTTAGCGGAATTAGGACAGGTCTTGGTAAAATTTTTGGACAGCCAGCGTAGAACTTCACAACCAGCATTGCATACAACGTGTCCATATCCTTAAGCCTCAGCATAGTAAGAAGATCATCGATATGACGCTTCTTGTGCTGCAGGAGACGCCTGCTGGATACGCTCTCTTCAAGGCCAAGGACAAGAAGCTGCTCGCAAAAGACGATATCGCAGAATCACTCCAAAATGTCGAAGCCGTCTGCAACCAATTGAAGCTCAAGCAGTTCGCCAAATTCGATAGTGCTGCCGCTGCCCTCGAAGAAGCCGCCGCCCTCGTTGAAGGAAAAGTCACTCCACAGCTGGCATCCCTGCTCGACACCGTCAAAGATGAGAAGAAGCTTAGCCTCGCCGTGGCCGACCCGAAGTTGGGCAATGCTATCGGCAAGCTTCCTGGCCTCGACATCAAGCCTGTGGCCGACTCGACGACCGCCGACCTCTATCGCGCCATTCGAGAACACATCTACTCCCTCGTACCACAACTCGCGCCCGAAGACTCGAAGCAATTATCGCTAGGTCTATCACATTCGCTCGCACGTCACAAGCTCAAATTCTCCGCTGACAAGATTGACGTTATGATCATTCAAGCCATTGGCCTCCTCGATGACCTCGACAAGGAACTCAACACATACGCCATGCGAGTAAAGGAATGGTACGGCTGGCACTTCCCAGAAATGGCCAAGATCTTGAACGACAACCTGGCATATGCAAAGGTCGTGCTGAAGATGGGCATGCGAGAGAATTTCGAGAAGACAGATCTTGCAGACATCCTTCCGGAAGAGATCGAACAGGCCGTCAAGATGGCCGCAGACAAGTCCATGGGTACCGAAATCACAGATGAGGATCTTGAGAATATCCAGAGCCTGGCTGAACAGGTCGTATCATTCACCGAATACCGAACACAACTAGCCAGCTACCTAACAGCTCGAATGACGGCAATCGCGCCCAATTTGACTGCTCTCGTTGGCGATCTGGTCGGTGCCCGCCTCATTGCCCACGCTGGGAGCTTAATGTCACTATCGAAGAATCCTGCTAGTACCATTCAGATTCTCGGAGCAGAGAAGGCTCTCTTCCGAGCTCTCAAGACCAAGCATGATACACCCAAATATGGTCTCATCTATCACTCGTCTCTGATCGGACAAGCCACCGGCAAGAATAAGGGCAAGATGGCGAGAGTGCTCGCTGCGAAAGCCGCTCTTGGACTGCGTGTCGATGCACTGCATGAGTGGGACGAAGGTGAAGAAGTAGGTGAGGAGGAGAAGGCTGCACTCGGCACAGACGCGCGTGCTTATCTCGAGCGCAAACTGTCAGCCATCGAGGGTCGGCCGCTGAGACCCAAGGGTGTCGCTATCGCGCCGGATGGAACTGCCACCACCACTCAACCAAAGAAGTGGGACATCAAGGAAGCTAAGAAGTACAATGCTGATGCTGATGCACTGGACGGTACAGAAGACGCTGCGACCAAGCCCAAGAAGGACAAGTCGAAAGGCAAGAAGCTGATTGAGGAAATCGAGGACACACATATGACCAACGGCGTCGACACAGACTCAGCAGAGTCACAACCCGATGAGCCCATCAATCCTGTGGAAGAGGCTGCCATTGTCCCATCAGACGACAAAGCTGCGCGGAAAGCTGAGAAGCGGAAGAAGAAGGAAGAGAAGCTGCTCAGAAAGCTCGAGCGACAGTCGAAGCGAGAGTCTAAGTTGGCTCCCGAAGTCGACATCGAAGCAGCAGCCGCCAAGGCAGGCATGAGTGCGAAGAAGTTGCAGAAGAAGCTCGACAAGGGCGAGATGGTCATCAACGGCAACGGCGAGGCTGTCAAGAAGGGAGGCGACGCGGCGCCAGTCACTAACGGCACAAATGGTGCAAGCGAGAAGAAGCGGAAGCGGGAAGAGGAAGACGTCACATCAAAAGCCGAGAAAAAGAAGAAAAAGTCAAAGGCTTGATGTGCTGATATGTACGATTCTTCTACGTTCGATATCCTGCCTCTTTCGGCTTGTTGGATTTTGTCACGAAAAGGCATATGCATGGCGTACTCGGGTAGTGGGACTTGTGTAGCATGGCGGAGTTGAGGCACACGGTCGAGATGTACAGTCACGTTTTGCAGATATCTCTCGACAATGTAAGTTCCGGGCCGGCGTGGGCCGCTCACACAATGAATACTGTGTAAATCTGCTTGCCAACCTTGTGATCAGGACGAGTGGTGATACACGCTACCCTGAGAGACGGCCGATACGTCTTAGATGTCGCTGTTGTAGTGCTAGCTATGCTGATGCGTGCAACCACACTGATGTGTTGAGAGTGGGAGCGTTGCAATATACCAATGTGTAAGTGTGAGTGGGAAGAGTGGAGCTGTCGTGGTTGCCTTCTTTTCAAAATTCCACTACAAAGTTTCAACCACATTGCTGCAGTTGCCTTCTCGATCACGAACCTCTACCACGAGTCGTGAAGCACCGAGCATAAATGCTTTTGAGGTCGATTGTCGGATCCTCAGGAAGTGACTGCCGCGATCGGCCGTAGCCAATATGAAGGTGGTCGACCCCCAGTCAGCGCTCATCACCAATATCGAAGTCTACGACTTCCTGAAATCACACACTCCACGAAAAGAGACCAAAAAGATTGGCGCATACGAGACTATCGATTTGAAGGGCTATAGAGAAGTCCGACAAGACGTAAGTCTAATAAGGTGTTGCCGACGGCTAGTTCTCGAACGGATTAACCATATTCCTTACCAAAGTATTCTTAAACTGACCACGACTCGCAACGAACAGGTTTTAAGATATGTCGAGAAGACCACACCGAGCTTAGCCACCGCTCCGCCGCCGGAACAGTACATCAAGGACACAGTAAAGCGTCTACGCTCGTACGGACTTACCAAGCCTGAAGTCTACACTATCATCAACCTAGGACTAGGTCTTCCGCGGCCGCAGCCCACAAGTGATGATGGGGAGGAACTTAATGGTACGAACGAGGAAGCGGAGGCAGAGACAGCCGAGGACGAAGTCGATCGCGGTCATGCTGTTGCTCAGATTCAGGTTCCTGGCCCAGGCACTTCTTCCGACGTGCCCACAGATGAGCAAGATACCGAAATGACTGTCGCCAGTGGAGACAACACGGCGCTTGCGCTAGTGATTGAGAGCATCGAGGAGAGGTTTCCTGAGGATGTTCGAGAAGATAGGGTAGAGGAAATCTTGGCTATTCTACGACAGTGTGTTTCACAGGCTGGTCAGCGTGCTGAGGTAGGCGACGAGAAGGTTTGAGGGATCCCGACATGCGACGTGCGTTCGTCGCTAACGCCACCACCATCAAAGAACGACCACAATCCGCGAGCTTGCGCCGCCTCGACCCCATCTGACGGGCACATAAGGCCAGCTACATCCATGATCACGAGCCAGCAGTATGGCCCTGTCCTTCTCGGTCGCCGAGACGGAGTATCCAGTCGTATGTTCAAATTACCCTGGACCTTGCATGAGCAGTCCGCCACCCAAACTCTAGCGATCTAGCTCAGCTCTCTGGCTAGACTGAGGCTTCAGCAAGTATCGCGTCTACGAGAGCTCTACACGACGGATGCGGACGACGCTGCCTTTTACGGGAGATAGTGGACCAGGTCTCAATGAGGGACACTGCTGATGGTTCAAAGATAGATGGTCACGACAGGTCTCGCCAAGATAAGACTGAATGTTGGCCCAGGTGATATGCCGAACCATGGCTGCTACACCGGTAGCTGTTGGGCGTGCAGGAAGATGCGATTCAATCGCCAAGGATATCTTCGCAAGAAGATTGATCCGGAGCAAGTTGAGGAGCATGATGCAGGTCGAGAAAGATGAGGAAGCAGGAGGGGGCGCTTCGTCGGACTCAAAGGCGAGGTGGGAAGCATGGGAATCAACACCATTGGAGCAGGCGGGCCCGATTCACGACCTGGATAGTGTAGACAAGAATCATTTTCGAAGTCTTCATTGCTAGATCGAGCCTTACTTAGGTGTTAGCTACGTAATCTGTGCTAAAAAAGGGACTATTTGGGAAACCACAAAGCACAGGGCTTTCCCTCCCGCTCTGGTAGAACATCTTCCTTGCTCCTCCGCGGCGAGCATCGGTGGTAGGTCGACATGACTCGCTACCGAACACTGATGACTCTGGGTTGTTTTGAACGGAGGACGGAAGACGGAGTGGGAGTATCTTTCCCTCATCAGTGCTTTTTGATCTCAGGTGTGTTGAGGTACTGAGGCGGTGTGTGAGGATCTAATATGGATGGGAGGTGACAGTGCTCGTCGGGTAATGGAACCGGGGTTGGCCCAGCGTCGATCTGAGGATGAGCGTTGCCTGCACCTGCGACCATAACAACGATCTTCTCTTACCAGCCAGCAGCGGGCTGAGCTCCGGTGGCAGGCTGAGCCGTGCCATCAGCCCAGTCACCACCAGTGCCAGGATCATTCCAATTGGCATCAGGAGCCGGGGCGCCCTCGATACCTGGAGCGGCACCACTCTCGCCAGCCCAATCAGCCGTATCAGTGAAGCCACGATCAACTGCACCAGGACCAGCCTCCTCAACGCCCGGCTTCTGCTCTTCATCCTTGTTCTCCTCAGCCTCGGGATCGCGGTAGAAGTACAGATCGACCACGACATCCCAGTCGACCTCACGGTTCGCAAGTGTTCCGCGCAGGCGAAGCACCTCGCGAGCCAACAACCACCAAACCAAACCAATGGCATGACGACCCTTGTTGTTGGTAGGGATAGCCACATCGACGAACTCGGTTGGGGAGTCGGTATCGCAGAGAGCGATGACGGGGATGTTGACGTAGGAGGCCTCCTTGATGGCTTGGGCATCGGTGCGCGGGTCAGTCACGATGATGAGGCGGGGCTCCTTGAATGAGCGGGTGATGTAGTTGGTGAAGTTACCGGGAGTGAAGCGACCGGCAATGGCAACTGCACCGGTGTGTGCGGCGAACTTGAGGACAGCACGCTGGCCGTAGGGGCGGGCGGAGATGACACAGATATCGGCTGGGTTGTCGATTGCGGCGATGATGCGTGCGGCGAAGACAATCTTCTCCCTGGAGAGGACGTGTTAGTACAGAACAAAATAGCCATGATATGTGCCGGTCTCTTACCAGGTCTTGGACAGGTTGATAACGTTGATGCCGTCAGGACGAGTCTTCCACAGGTACGGTTCCATGTGAACCTGCAAGTTCTTGGACCCGAGATGGGACTGAGCTGCGAGGAGCATCTCAATGTCCTGGGAGGTAGGGTTGAAGATGGGGGGGAGATTTGAAGGAGCGGCCATGTTTGCGGTGTTGGCAATGACTGCTGGGTATGTGAGTAGAAAGAGGGTCGGCGAGGTGGTCGTAGCTGTCGAAGTTCGAGCAAAAGATCGCAGTTACCAGATTCGCGGTGCGACGCCAAGATTTCTTGGAGCTATTCTCAATTCGATCTAGCCTAGAAGTCGGAGCGGAATTTTGGATCCGCCGTAGAATGTCGCGACCTCGCGACCTCATCCTCCGAATTTAGTAGGCGAGTTATCTAGCTCGACAGCCTTTCGAGCAGTCCCTCCATCACCGTCGACAACGATGCCACCTCGACCTACGGCAGCCGCTGCCGGCGGTCTGTTCAACCGTACGAAATCTCCACCACCATTTCCCGGACCATACTAACGAGCCGCAGTAACCTCCCTCTTCCAAGCCCTCCCTCGCCTCACATACACACCGCAACCACAGTTCCTCCCAACCCGATCCATCTGCCCATCCTGTGCAGCGCCATTCTCAACCACCGCGCCCCTCGAAATGAAGCGCAAGCGCAAAGTCCGGAAACGCATCGACCCCTACCGACAAGCCCAAGCACGACAACGGCGCGCGGCCAACGTTGCCCGACAAGAGTCTCTACGCAAAGCCGGTCTCGACCTGGGACACCCAGTACATTCCCGCCCTACGCCGTTCATCGAGTCTCTACATCCAAATGCGCCCCTGGCGGAGCTGAAGACTTCTTACTTAAACTACTTTGTCAAACCCAACGAGCTCTCTTCTTCGATTGAACGGTCAGCCGCGCTGACCAAACCTCGGGAAATTGATGGCGACGACAGCGCTAACGCGGACCGCCTCGAGATCTTCGAAGCTCAGCACGAGAACGCCGTCAAGGCAATGAATCTGATCACCGACCTGGGGAACTCCTCCCAGAAAGACCGCACCAGGGTGAACGTGATGCGCTGCATAGAAGAGTTCGGCCGGCATCGTACCGACGAGATCCTGCCAGCGAAACCTCGTTCTTCACAACATCCATCGAACGAGGGATCATCATCAGAAGCCATTCCAGCACGCGCCGGGCCAGACACGGGCTCTTCAGAAGTGCAAGTCGCAATTCTGACTGCCAAGATAAATGTCCTGGCGGCGAATCTGGGCGGGCAGGATAAGATCAACAAGCGGAATTTGAGGTTATTGGTGCATAAACGGCAGAAACATTTGAACTATCTTCGAAAGCAGGATCGTGGAGGTCCCAGGTGGAGGAACCTGGTCGAGAAGCTGGGCGTCAATGACGGGATGTGGAGGGGAGAGATTAGTTTGTGATGGGCGCACGCAGCGGCAGGAGGGAATGGTACGCTCGGAACGGGAGCAGCTGTATGAGTATGTCCGAGTTGTCTGGACGAATATGAGTAGTCTCTGTGTGCAGCGAAAGCATGCAACGACGGTGTGTCTGAAATAGAAATTAGTAGGCGCCAAGTCTACCTACTCGAGCCCTCGAAACCCAATACTGTATAACGGCCAATACTCGGTATGGTCCTCGATCATTCCACAGATCCACCGGCACAGCGTGTCTGTATAGTCCGTGCAGCACTATGTATACGTTTAGTTGCCCAAGCGCTCTGATCGTATACCCCTGCCTAGGTACTATTCACAGACACCTCCCCTGTCCCTCCACTACTTAAGCCTCTGATGGCCCATGACCAGCCGAGGCAGCAGTAGATGGGCGAGAACTGACCGCAACGTCGCCTCCAATCGTAGCATGAGCAGCGGCCAGCGTCAGCGCATCTCGATTAGCCACAGCTGGCGCGAGACCTGACCGCCGAGCCCTGATCTACGTGCTGACGAATAAGGCCGAGCTCAGTGGCACTACTGTTTCCACCGGGTCCAACGAGCCTGCCGGACGAGATCCTTGGTCGTGCAACTTGCTGACCATGACTGGCAATGTTTCCGACCGGCACGGCGTGGCTTGGGAACGCCGAGTCCTCATGCGCAGCTAGAGATGCGATGGCTGCTGGACCTCGTCCGGTCGCACGGACAATGTTTGCGCGTTTGAAACGCGACGTGGCGAAGAACTCGTCTTCTTACTCCTGATGCGTTCAGGGAATGAGCCCATTCCGCTCTGTGCGACAAGCAGCAACCGTGCCGTCGCTCTGACTGCGGTACACACAGAGCAGCAATAGCGTGCTCAATAAAGCGAGCTTCGCGAAGTGGCGCACTACTTGTCGATGTCACCAACATCTTGTTGCGCGGCGCGCACGAGCATGGTGACGCTGTCGAAAGTCCGAAGCGGAGGCAACTTTCTCATGTTGTGCGCATGAGCTCTTCAATATGTGTGTTACTCCAGTTGCCCTTCGTCCTGAGATATCCCTCGGTATAGCCTGAGTAGTACATGAGTGCCAAGCTATCTTCGAGGAGGATAGAATTGCCCCGAGATGTCGCAGATACAATGTGTACTATAGACACCCTCGTTCTCAGCTCCAGCTCTTGAAAGACGATGCCTGTGCTGTGCTGGTCGTTGACGATGTATCTAATCATGTCTACCAGGATGTTATCGAAGGGCGATGTCGTATACGGCGTACGGGCTTGCGCCGCGGCCCATTTCGCTTCGTCTATTCTCATACGAGTTTGATCTGACCACGAATTAACCAAGAATCGTATTTCACGAATTTCTTTGGTGAGGATGCCGTCCAATTCGGCCTGATGGGAGTGTGGCTCAACTCGATCGCGTAGAAGCTCCAGGCATAATTCGAAAGTTGGCAGGGCGGCTTTCAGATGGTGCAATGCGTCGGCAGTTCGGTCAATAAAAGATTTCTTCTCTGGCGTCTATAGGTTCAATCAGCTTCGTATCGAAACGAATGGTATAGATTATGAAATGGTCTTGCATGCAGTTAGGAGAATTCTTGGTGTGCAAAGAACATATCCTCCAGGGAGAATCCAAGGTGAGACGCCACGGTCGACGCAAGGTCGTTTAAAACTTACAAAGCACGTTACTTCGCAGTCGAGATAGTCGGCCTCAGCGCCATGCTTCGGGCAAGGGCCTCTGGTCGTACGAAAGTATTTCAAGCCGATGCTGGCCAGGGCCTCCTGATACCGTAACTGCATCTGATCAAATTTTGAACGATCCGAGAGTCCTTTGATAATTCTCAGACAGTAGTAGAGATGCTGCATACTAAGTCCCCAATCGCCGAGGACCATCGAGGTGATCCAGAATGCCATGGATGTGTTCAGTACTTCTGACAAGGAGGGGCTGCCCTGGCTCAGAGCGCCCTCATAGCACGGCCCTCGTAGGCGATGCAAGAAGCGGCTGCAGATGCCGAGTCCGAATTCGTGTTGAATATGCCCCCGGACGTCGAGTGAAAGGCAGAAGAAACAGCGAGGAGACAGTCTCGGACTGACGAAGTATCGTGGGCAACTTGAGGAAAGACGCCAAGCCAGTAGTAGGCGCTGATCTTGCTCCTAGAAACGGAAGCCGCCGCGACCTCGATAAAGAATTTGAATAGATACTGCTCTGTCTTCTGTCGGTAAGGACTACTGCTTGGTCTGAGTATGGTAGGTGTCATTGGTGACGGGCACAGTGCTGAGGGATGGGAGTCACCACAGTGGCGGCATTTCTTGGGCCTGTGGATGAGATCCAGGTCGTACACGACGCCGTTCTCACCACCACTGGCATCTTCAGGAAACCCAGGATTGTACTCATCTGACGGCGTGTCGGATTGCGGCTTGGTCGACTGCTCTTCGTAGCCTTCACATTGCCGGTTGCCCGCGAGACATCTCTTGCAGAACGGTTTCTCCTCACCACATTTGACCCGACCTGGCGCTGACTGTCAGTGCATTTGCAACGTATTTTGAAGCAAATGCCGAGGTGACAGAGAAGTTTTAAGTATTCCACACAACCTGGAGGGCACAGCATTTCTGCGGATGACATTGAGGGTCACTCACGTTTCTTGCAAGTTAAGCATCCGCCACGAGACTTTGGTGCAAAACTACGCACGCGCGGGCCTCCAAAGCGGGGAGGCTTTTTGACGGGACCTTCACCCATCTGAAGTGGATGGGGATTCGCTGAGCATCACTTTCCGAGCAAGTATTGGATCGTTTATGAATATCGCGCTTGCCTCAAACCAAGGCGATCGTAGATCCGGTTGACGCGCTCAAAGTGTCGTTTGCCAGAGCGTCAGGCTTGCGGTAGCGCTGTAGGCTGCAACACGGTACAATGGGTGGCAGCACGTGTACGCGGCAGATCATCGCGCATGAGAGATTTGATTGGCAGTGGTAGGACACAACTTGCATTGAGGAGGAAGAAATGAAAGCGTGGCGCCTGAATAGCCGATCCTAATGATGTTGTACCTAATGCTTGGCGTCAGAAAGAGAAGCGGCGAATCAATTTATCCTCGTTGGAACATAACTGCCTCTACTGCGTTCTTTTCGTCGCTGCCACGAATCCTGCTGTGACGAGGAAAGTACGATGACGCGCCAGGTGAGTCGCATCTACGGGAGAGCCTGGGTACCCTTCACGGATCCTGTAGCCTCGCCTCCCGTAGTGGCGTGGTCTCGGTGCTCTCCTTTGCTGAGGAATCAGTTTACACATCGAGGCTTGGCGCAAAGCTCACAGCCGGCGCATGCGATCCAGCAGATGCGATGTAGTAGCTCTGCGACCCCAGCAACGACTGCAGCATCCTTGCCGAGGATCTTACTGCATCCTCAGCCAGATGGCGAGTCAGAAACATCAGTCAGTAAATCGCGTGTTGCGGATCATAAGCAACAGCTCAGGATTCAACTTGGGTCCGAGCATCGTGAACTGTTTCCATCCTTCTGGCTTCGGGATCACTGCTTGTGCGATGTGTGCTCACACCCGTCGACTCATCAGAGGCAGCACAACACGTTTGCTCTCGATCCTGAGATCAAGGCCAAGGATGTCTCCGAGACGGCAGATGGTGTGAAAATTACCTGGGAGGGGCCCGATGAGCACGTGTCCATCTTTCCGTGGGACTGGTTGAAGCAACACCTACCACTCCCTTCCCGGAGCAAACCGAAAATGAAGCGCCACGGTCAGACACGTCAATGGACCAAATTCTCTAGTAACAGCCCCAAGCCGCAAACACCATATCCAAGCCTAAAAGGGCCCGACGCAGCTGAGGGCCAGAAGTCTCTTTTCTCAAACATATGGGAGCACGGCCTGGTGTTCCTGCCAGAAACACCACCCACAACCGAAGCGACCATCGAAATACTCAATACACTGGGGCCTATCCGCCACACACACTATGGCGGCTTCTGGGACTTCACAAGTGAGGTCAATCCAATCGACACAGCCTACACGAACCTGTCCCTCCCCCTCCACACTGACAACTCCTATTTCACCGAGCCGGCTGGGCTTCAGCTGTTTCATCTTCTCTCACACATGCCATCCACAACCGAATCACCCCAGCCAGGAGATTTCGATCCCTCGCTCGGAGGTGAATCTACCTTCAGCGACGGCTTCGCTGCAGCCGCAGCCCTATATCACATTGACAAAAAGGCCTACGAAACCCTCGCAAACACCGGAATTGTTTTCACTGCCGAAGGATCCCCAGCCGGCACATTCCGTAACGATCTGAGTACACGACCACGGGGCCATCCGGTCCTGGGCCATAATAGTACCAGGGCCCACTATTCACCAGATCACCTAACGCAAATTAGGTGGAACAACTGCGACAGGTCAGCGTTAACCAGATTTTCGGGCCATGACATCATGCTCGATTGGTACAGGGCTGCGAAGTTGTGGGATGAGCTCCTGAGTAGCGGAGATTTCGAGGTGGAGGTCAAATTGCAGCCAGGAGAGCCAGTCGTGTTTGACAATTGGAGGATTCTGCACGGGAGGAAGAAGTTTGAGGGAAAGAGGAGGATGTGTGGTGCGTACATCGGTATGGACGATTTCAAGGCTGGAGCGGGCAGGCTGGGTGTGTTGTAGTCAGCGATCTGGGTCTTTGAAGGTAGAGACAACTCTTGATGGACGCAATGCCGCTTTCTGAGGTAGCTCACGTCCTCAGTATTGATGGTCTCTGCAGGGGTCATCCCTGGGAAAGGCCAAAAAAGATTCGCATAGGGAAGCGCGATCCTGGGGTTTGATACTTTCTTAACGAAGTGGCACCGATGGGTCTGTCACTGTGGTGTCCGTCTGCTGCGGTCAAGATATCCATGGCTCCTTGAACCACGTGTCGGATCCGAAACGGATGTCCGACTTCCACGTTGGAACGCTTATCGGGTAGCGCTTGTGAGTCCCACCACCAGTGTCAGATCTCACGCCCATACACCCAACGTCCAACTTGTCCTCTCTCCAGCCTTCCCACCTCCTACCGCGCCAGCTCCGCCACTGGACGCCCGTTGCCCAGTTGTCACAGCATCGGTCTCTCTATCCCTCGTGGCACCCGCGATACCGCTTTCCAAAAATCGGCTCCGCTCTATCTCCACTACCGCCTTTACCTTCAAGCTCGTGAGGAGACTCGCACCTGCCCATGCACCTAGACTTTCCACGCAGCGAATTTGCCCTTGTACTGTCTGTTGAGCGGACTGCTGAGAGGAGTCTTTGGTGAGCTGCTTTTGGAGCTTGTCTTCGAAAGTACTTCCTTCTGCCGTTGTTGGGGCCGTGTCGTTTTGAGGATGTGAGATGCTTGCAACGCCATTATTGTCATCTGCCTCCGGGATGCGCCTCCTGGATCGATTCTGGACAGTGAGAGTGAGGTTCTGGCGCCCTTTAGCCACGTGCGTGCCTCGAACAGGTGTCCAACCGTGACGGGCGACGATAGCCTCCAGGTTTGTTACCACAGCCTGGCGCAGGTTGGGAATGGTCGATCCGGCGCCAACAAAGGTGATGCGAGCCATGCAGATGGCGCGGACGTCTGGCGGGAGATGCAGTAGAGCATTGTAAAGGAGCTCTGGGAGTGGGAGTTCTTCGTCGTCGGGTTGGAGCTCCGAGCCGCTGGGGAGGAAGCATTCATCCACGACTTCTGTGACTGTCGAAAGTGGGAATGACACTTCCACAGACGACGAGTCTGTAGGCCAGTCGAGCGTGACGATCGGCGACTCTTCCAGTCTCGATGCACTTTTTTCATTGGTTGGTGTTGTTGCTTGGGACTCGCACCGCGCCATTCGGTATACGAAGTCCTCGACGAAAGGTAGATCAATCTGTAGCGCCTCATCGTGGGCAACAGCCTGCTTCTCAGCGATGGACTCCAGCATCCGCCCTACATGCAGAGTCAGCGTCTTCATGCCGCGTATGCTCCGGCTAGTCTTCATCTCTCGGTACTCGTAGACCGGCGTAATTGTGGTTTCATGCCAGCCAATATCAACAACGATGCCCGATCTCATGCCGGCGGCAGCCAAACAAACAGTCGGGCGGGGAAGGAGCGATATCGAAGGAAACTTCCAGCGTCCAAAGAGCATGCTAAGAACCGCAGACAGTATTGGACGCGGTAACACAGAAGGCAGTACAAGTACTAGGCGTGCAGTGCCGGCATCAGTCAAAAGATATGTATTGTATGCGTCGCGCACAGCTCTTTCCAATTTGTCCTCGAGGAGGCCCAAATCGAATGCATCGTCCTCAAGACCATGCCCGAGATCATCTCTCCAGAGCTCATAGTCACTCACGCTATCCTCAAGGCTGCCCTTTGGAGGTTTGTAGCCTGGCAGCCATTCTCGGTAGTCGCCGACCCTGCGCGCGCTCTCAGGAGTGAAGGGTATAACGCATTGTGGTGCGCTCTCGCCTTCGAAGCCTGCTTTTACAAGCCGAGCATCGAGTTCGATGATTACAGCGTCTTCCTCCTGACGGAACGTAGAGCCTGGAGAAGAATAGTTGGAGGATATGAAGCGGGAGGTCGGTGTGTGGGGAGAGCCTGAGAGCTGTCTGTTGTCGCGAAGACCCGGGCGAATGGCAGATGCTGTCGCGGTTGCCATGGTCGGTGGCCAGCTGCGACTATCTTGGGATCAACAATTCGGCAGGCGGTAAGAACGATGGTGACTAGTGGCTTCGCAGCATCACACCTATGATTCTGGCGATGGGAGAGTGAAGTGGAGGGAACTTCACGCGCTAGCCGTACTCGGAATATAAACATCGGGACCTTTGGTCACGACATCATCACAGTGACTCCCCATGAAGAGCAAATATATCTTACATGCCAGAGCCATCTGCTCATCATGGGGATCCCGGGGTAGGTTAAGCACCTCAATGCATGGTATGCCTGCTGATGGACACTGCACAGGGTGTTGAAGGAGATTGGACGTGGTGACCGGGTAGCCTTGGCTAAGCTGGCCGTCGAGCACCTGGAACGAACGCAACGACCACTCCGTATAGCGATAGATGCAGCCATATGGAACTTCCAGACTCAAGCTGGGCAAGGCGGCAAGAACCCTGCCCTTCGAACCTTATACTATCGGCTGCTGAGAATACTGGCACTTCCAATTCATCCTCTTTTCGTCTATGACGGTCCAAACAAGCCACTCAGTAAACGAGGCCAGACAGTGTCCAGGTATGGGACTTGTCTGGCCAACGAGACTTCGAGGAAGTTGGTGGAGCAGCTACGCTTTCCATCGCATTCAGCGCCAGGTGAGGCAGAAGCAGAATGTGCTCAGCTACAGAAACTTGGTATCGTCGATATGGTCATGAGCGACGATGGTGATGCTGTGATGTTTGGATCAAAGCTCACATTGAGGAACTACTCCAAGGAGGGCGCCCGTGGCAACAAAGAGCCAACCCATGTCGATCTGCTTGACTTACGGCAGATCAAGGATGGCCCTAAGCTTGATCCAGAAGGTATGATCTTGGTGGCTCTTCTCAGTGGAGGCGACTACGATCAGCAAGGACTGCCGGGCTTTGGAGTGCACGTGGCCTGCGATATTGCTCGAGCAGGGTTCGGCTCAGATCTCATTCATGCTGTGCAGAACAACGACGAAGACGCTTTACAGGATTGGAGAGAAAGACTGGAGTATGAGCTGGAAACTAACGAGAGCGGATACTTCAAGAAACGGCATAAGACCCTCAAGATCCCAAAATCGTTCCCTAATCGCACTGTGCTAAGTTACTACACCAATCCCGTCGTTTCAAGTCCGGACACCCTCAAAACAATGGAAACGAGTGGTCGACAGACTGGCAAGGTAGCATTAACGTCCAATCTCTGAGGTCATATGCAGCGGAAACTTTCGACTGGAAATATAAGCCCGGGGCTTGGAAGCTGGTGCGGTCTTTAGCTCGACCATTACTTGCGGACCGGCTACAGAATGGCTTCGCAGACCAACTCATCCGGTCCGCGGGCCAGATCCATGAGCGTCGCGAGCATTACACGATGGGCGGCATTCCAGAAGTCCGTGTCAGCGCAGCACCTGTCGATGTTGTTGGACTCAACCTCGACATCGAGGAGGACAGTCCAGAGTACCTTGCCATGCTTGATGCAGAAAAAGATGTCGACGACGAAGCTCCCGAGGATGATGTAACGACGGCGGTGCAGAGTCCCAGCAAGTCTAAGAAAACAACATGGACCCCATATCAATTCGAGCGAATGTGGATTCCCGAGACACTGGTCGAGCTTGGCGTACCAGCACTGCTGGAAGAGTGGAATCAAGCCCAACGAGACAAGGCGGAACTGAAAGCGAGACCGCTGAAGAAGTCCAATGCGTCTAAGCTGCCCAGGGAGGTGAATCGAATCGACCAATATTTCGGCGCTTCGCGGCCCCACGAGCCACCCGTCCCAGACCCATCCCGGGTCCCCGAGCCATTGAAGCAGGCTGTTGCAGACACGAGTGCATCTAGATTGGTTGCAGCAGCAAAGAAGCCTCCGCGAAATCCGCTTCGACGAGCCATCTCTGAGATCAGTCCTGACCTGAAGCAATATTTCAAGCCTGCGAAAGTGATCCCTGGCGTCAGGCAGGTTGCCCTTAACAAGAGTAAACATCATCTGGATTCGCCGTCTCCATCACCAACGCGAGAGCTTCCGACGACCCTTCCTGGCAACACTGCCATCGTCATCGGAAGTGTTGCAGATCCAATCAGCATAGACTCATCCCCATTGGTGTTTGCAGACGTTGGTTCGGTCTCCGCCATACCAAAGACACCAACTAGGAATTCTTCTAAGACCAACAATGCTCAAACATCCCCACCAGTGCGAGAACTCGAGCAATCAGTAACCCAACGATCGTCAAGACGCGTTCGTAAGAAGCTGGAACGTGCCAAAACGGAGGGTGACCTGCCATCGAACGATTTTGCGTTGCCTCTAGACGAGGTATCTTCACCAAATGCTGTCGACTTTTCTGTGAAGAAATCGGACTATATGAGAGCCACAAAGACTGTGCTCCCTCCCGAGCTGACGACTGGGCTGAAGACGGACTTCGGTCGTAAGAAGGTGCTAGCGGCGCCCCGCGGCAGTCTTGCGGGTACGTGGAAAGAGATTGACGTTGATCTTGTCGATGATGTCGCCATGACCAAAAGTCGCAGACCACCGCGCGTCAGTTGTGTTGATCTCGCGGCAGAGTGAGTGGATCAAGGACGTTTGACCTTCCAGAAGTCCTTGTTCTCAAAGAATGTTCTTGCTCTAGTCAATTGGACGGCAGCGGTCTCGATCGTGGCAATGGCGCTGGGCTTTTCGACAAGAACAGTCACTATGGGTTGATTGTGGTCCATTGTCACGACCTGGGCGATTGCCGTTCCTAGAGCCTCGACGGTCTGATAAGACGATCCTTCGATTCGCTAGCTAGAGTTAGCGGAAATTTTGCAACCCCTCACAGAGACTCACCTCAACGAGACTCTTCACCATGTTCTGCAAACCAGGATCAGCGAGTTCATTGCGATCTACACCAGTTTCGAGCGACTGCCTCCCACGATGAGGTCAACTGATATTCGTTGCTTGTGCTCCCGCTCGTGTGGGTTCACACCAATGATGCAGGAAGCACCGATGCCCTTCAACGCCATACTCCAGGACGCATCTACCTTCTCGGAAGATCTATCGATACGCAAGTGGTAGTGAACGCCAGCATGAGCCTCCAGGATGGCTTTGGGCATCACGATATCGATACCAAGCAGCTTATAGCCATTGATACATGACGCCAAGTCCAGCATCAGACCCTGGACATTGCCGTAGATTTGGTCCTTGATCTTGGTAGAGACGGTCTTGTACAGTTTGCCATAGTCCAGGGTCAAATTGACATCGTCTTGCAAAGCAGCCGCCTCAAAGTTAGAGGATGGTTGGAGATTTAGTGTTATAGACACAGGCTGTGGTTTGCCTGGACGGCGCCAGGCATCTCGGCCAACGACAAGGTCAAATTTGAGGTCCCGAAGGATAACAGTGTCCATGGTTGATTGCTCTGGTGATGCTCGCCTGATGCTGACGATGCAGAAGGACGAGAAGAAGTGGCGGTAAACGCATAGCAAACAAATTCGTGGTTGGGTTGTCACGTGATGTAGTGAGCGAGAAATCGCCGCTTCAGGCCAATGAGCGGCCCGGGCCAGGCCAGGCTTTATGCGTGCGGATCAATATCTTTTCAGCCTCAGTCCGGGGACTCTTCCTCTTCTCTCTGTCATCATCGCAATCGCAACATTGAAACCGTTCCAGTTGTCTCGTCTTCTCTCAACAGATCTAGTCTGTGTCTAGTATCTCTTATCTCTTACATCAATGGGTCAGAAGTTCGCCCATACCATTAATCTTTCACATGCCCGAGACTCCTCGCCGGATGTCTCTACGTCCATGACTATTGTCGGATCAGCACTCTTCGCACTCTGTGAATATATCTGGCTACTGGCGTGAAGTCCGCCTTGAACTGGGCGGACGGTAATAACGCGGCCGGGCGCACGCTGCGCATTCTCAAAATAACAAATCGACACGATGACCACCATGACTCAGTCACTTCCGTCAAATGCTCTAGATGAGCCTGATGCGTCTGCAACGCAGTCCGTTGTGACTGGTACGGGCGTCATGGATCTAGATGAGCCTCAAGTGACAGACATGCGTCCGCGACAAACTTCACTCGACACTCCTCCTCAACGCGTTGGCAATGCTGCGCTAGTCGACGACCCATTCGATGACGGCAAACGCGGCAGATTGCCAGAGCCCCGTGGCAGCGCGATTCTGTCGGCCAATGCGGCTAAGAGGAAGAAGAAGAAGGCAAACAAGAAGAAAGCGACACCCCTGGGGTCGGTGAATGCGGTCAGAGGCTTCACACCTACCGAGTCTGGTGCTGAATCAGAGATCTCGACCGCGAACACGAGTCCGCGCATTGCCTCACCTCAACCACGTTTCCCGCCACTAGCTGGCGCGAGTCCCCTCATTAGGCCTGCCTCGCCTGGTATCAGCAACCTGAAAGCTCAACTAGATGCCCTAAATCTGCGAAGCGCCGCAACAAGTCGCGAGCCTTCCAGAGTGCGACATATTGAGTCTGGCGCTGAGAGCAGCGCTGCAAGCGCCGGGTCTGACACTCCCGCCGAAGAGGTGACCGAAGACATGGAGAGCTATCACATTCATATCGACCACGACTTTGTCAGTCAGGATGTGGCTGCAGAGTCCTCCGTCTCGACTGCTACGATGACCCCAGACCAAATCGCCAGCTCTCTCATTGCCAGAAAGATGACGGCTGAAGACTTCACGCCCATCAAGTACCTCGGAGACGGTGCCTTTGGCACGGTCTTGCTCGTCCGTCAGAATGCAACGGGTAAGCTATTCGCTCAGAAGCAGCTGACAAAGGCGTTCTTGAAAGTTCATAAGAAGAGGGTTGAGAACACGATGTCCGAGCGGAGCATCTTGGAGCTGGTCAACCGACACCCTTTCATCGTCAATCTGTACTACGCATTTCAGGACCACGAGAAGCTCTACCTCATCCTACAATATGCATCTGGCGGCGAGCTATTCAGGCATTTGGAAATGGAGAAGTTCTTTTCAGAGGAAGTCGCAGCATTCTATATCGCCGAAATTGTGCTGGCGTTGGAATACTTGCATGAGGTGGTAGGCGTCATCTACCGAGACCTCAAACCAGAGAATTGTCTTCTAGACGCCGAGGGTCATCTACTTCTGACCGATTTTGGCCTCAGCAAGGTTGCAGTTGAGGACGCAAGCACGCCTGGCGGAAGTCGCTGCAATAGTCTGGGTGTGGGAACAATCGAATACATGGCACCCGAGATCATCAGAGGATCCGACGAGACCTCGTACGGCCCAGGCTACGGCAAAGCATGCGACTGGTGGTCTCTGGGAGCCATGGCCTGTGACCTGATGACTGGCAAGCCCCCGTTCGGTGGGGGTAACTGGACCAAGATTCAGCAGAACATTTTGCACGCAAAGCTCGCCCTACCGTATTACCTATCACCCGACGCTAAGGACTTATTGACTCGTTTGCTACGCAAAGAGCCTCGCAAACGACTTGGTGTCGGTCATGGCGACATCAACATCATCAAGAAGCACAGATTCTTTCGCAAGATCGATTGGGCCAAGTTGGAAGCCAGACAGCTCGAGCCGCCCATCGTACCGTTGGTCACGAACCCAGAGCTGGCAGAGAATTTCGCCAAGGAGTTCACAGACAGGACGGTAGATCCTGTTCAACGGCGCCACAGCAGAGCTATGAGCCAGTCAGACCCCTTTGGCGGGTTTTCCTACGTGGCAAGCTCTTCCCTGCTGCAGCAATCGATGCTTTCAGACCTCGAGGAGGCTGTTGATGACTAGTGAACAGTACTGATGACGACATCGAAGAGAGAGCACATATAGACGAGAATGCACGAGCCTTCATGATACCTTCCAAGACAAAGAAACTGGGATTGCGTTGCGTGAAGTGGTCGAAACTGCCGCGCCAAGGCCCGGGCGGAGCAAGGTCCGGTCAGTGATTGCCGAACTTCTTGTTTCTGACGATCTATCGGCCTGATCTCGCATCCGCCTCTCTGCTTTGAAGTCCTCCTTTGTTGATGCCATCGAAACTCGTCATGTGCCGTGATGGTCGTGTCCTCGTATTCAGCTGAAGCGAAGCATTCTCGTACATGTCTCTTCGTCGTCCTTCTGCCTCGTGATCGCTCAGCTCTGGCGAGCGAAAGACCGTAGCGATCATGAGAAGGCAGCCGCATGTCTCAGCTCCACCACGAGCATTCACGAAATACGGACCATATGACACCATTGGTGGATTCGCTACTTCTGCCCGATGATCTGCTCGAAACACAAGAAACAAAGCTGTAACTGGCTGTGTCTACACGAAAACAAGGACGAACCAGATGGATAGCCGGGGCTTGTCGAGTATTGGCTTGCAGTAGCCGCCCAAATTCCCCTCTCCGCCCTGCTTGGCACACCTAAGGTGAGCACCTGCACTGCCTAGAGTGGACACATGTGCCCGGGTGGGCTCTTAAGAGGTAAGATATAAGAACAAGGGACTCGCGAGAGCTGATAAGACAATGACCATCGATTCAATCATCTCGATATGGGTCTCATTCAGATCAACGGCAACACTTTCGACCCGTCCACTGCTCGCGCGTCAGTGCGAACTCAAAGCGCGGGAGCAGCAGAAAACGAAAATGCTTCCAAATCCAAATATATTCTGGTCCAGAGCAATGGACCTCTGAAGAAGGCTGAAAAGCAAGCCCTTGCTGACGCCAAAGTTGCTATCAAAGAATACGTGTCCGAGAACACTTATCTCTGTCGTTATGAGCCCGAAGACATCGCTCCTGTTCGTGCACTCGACTTCGTCCAGTACGCAGCCGACTATTCAACGGACTTCGTCGTCAACCCATCTCTGCGTGTCCACACAGTCGGACCACCTGGACACATCTCGAGCCGCACCCATACCGTCGATGTTGTCTTCCACAAGGACTGTCAATTAAGCGGATGCAAGAAGGAGTTGTGCGAGGCCGCCCATCTCGATCCGGAAGATATTGATCTGGATGGCTCGAAGGGAAAGATCCGCCTCACCGTGCAGGAGCAATTCCTCGACGCTCTTGCCGCGCTAGACGATGTTGCGACCATCCAGGAGGTCAAACCCAACAGGCTCTTCAACAACGTTGCTCGCGGTATCTTGAAAGTTGAGAATGTGGACGTCAACGGGACCACACTCGATGGCAGTGGCCAGATTGTCGCCGTCGGAGACACTGGGGTAGACTCCTCCCACCCGGCATTTGCAGGTGCCAATCGGATCAAGAAACTGATTGCTCTTGGACGCGTCACGGGCAGCGGCAAGACAAACGACCCCGATGGGCACGGTACTCATGTATGTGGATCAGTTCTTGGTTCGGGCACCCTGTCAAACGGCGAGCCTATACAAGGATCGGCTCCCGCTGCCACTCTTGTGATGCAGTCGCTGCTCGACAGTCGTGGTGGGCTAGGTGGGATTCCTGACGACCTTGACGACCTGTTCGGTCCGGCCTACAAGGAGGGCGCTCGAGTCCACAACAATTCATGGGGTTCTTCTCAGCCGGGCCTTGCGTACGACCAGTCGTGCCAGGAGATTGACGACTTGTGAGTATCCTCAAAAGCCAACTGTAATCTCGTATTGACATATCACAGCGTTGTCCGTAATCCTGAGATGGTCATTGTCTTCGCAGCCGGAAACGATGGTGTGGACAACGACTCGAACGGCAGCATCGATCTCCGCCAGATTGGATCACAAGCCGCAGCAAAGAACTGCATTACAATTGGTGCCTCCGAGAACGATCGTCCTGACTTGACAGTCGCGTACGGCGTGTCGGGCAGTGGTCGTCGTGATCCTCGATACGCTGTCGAGCCCATCTACGGCGACCAATACGCGGACGACCCGAACGGAATGGCTGCTTTCAGCTCTCGTGGTCCGACCCGTGAGAAGAGGTTCAAGCCTGACGTCGTTGCTCCTGGCACGTGCATTCTCAGCGCGCGATCCTCGCTTGTGGCAGACAGTGGCTTTTATGGACAGTCGCCCGACCCAAAGTACATGTACGAGTCTGGCACGAGCATGGCGTCGCCATTGGCGTCCGGTTGCTGCGCCCTGCTCAGGCAGTTCCTCGTGGCCAATCCGCCGGAGCAGACGCAGAACGCTCCGCCTTCTGGGGGCAGTCAGCAGCCAATCGCAGCCCCTTCGTCCTACTCGCCCACAGCCGCACTCGTCAAGGCCCTGCTGATCAATGGCGCTGTTGAGCTCCCTGGTCAGTACACCCCGTCCGAGGCTGGTACATCGCCGAATCCAAACTCTGGCTGGGGCCGCATCTCTGTCGCTGATTCCGTTGGCGCCACTGAGGGAACCAAGATCGGCTACGGTGAGCACCCGGGTGTGGACGAAGACGATGTTGTCGAGATTCCGGTCACAATCGATGCCGCCGGAACTGGAACTCAGACACTAAAGGTCACACTGGTCTGGACCGATCCTGCTGGCGCCATGCTGCAGAACGACCTGGACCTCACGGTCACTGCTGGAGGCTCGGAGAAGCATGGGAACGTCAGCAGTGGAAGTGCTTTCGACCGTGTCAACAATGTTGAGCAGGTCAAGTGGGAAGGTGTCCCTGCCGGGGAGGCGAAAATCAGGGTTAGTGTTCAGCGCTTGACCAGTGACAAGCAGGCCTTTGCTTGGGCCTGGAAGGTTTACTAGAGGTTTTTGTGGCCTTGAAGGTGATTCATGACGGCTGCGCACTGATTGGCGAGCTTGAACTTTGGTGTTGTCGACCGAAATTGCTTGATCAATTGTCCTACTCTTCCTTGCTGACCCTTTGCGCCTACACTTGCCGTGAAAACTCCAGTTCAGGAATTCCAATCCGTTATATGCAGCGTCAGTGACTCAACTCAAGCCCATCCATCGCTCACTGATGGCCGCAACCCCAACTCGTGAGGGGTGGATGGCAGTCTCACCTCGGACGAGACCACTCACCCGCCCGACATGCCAACGGCCGAGAAGTGTTCCGTAGATTTCCACCATCCGGACAGATCGAGAAGAACCGGAATGCCCTGACTCACGTAGTCAAGAACAACAACAAAGGAGTACTTGACCTTCTCTACATTGTTGCGTCGAGTGCTCCGACGACTTGGCCCCTGAGGAGGCAATACGCGCGGCTGATGAGAGCGTTCCCTCAGCACAAGCATCACAGATATTGCGTTGGTCATCAGTTTGCTGTTCCATGCGAATGCACGAATCGCCGCGTCTTCGTCCAATAGAAGGTGCATGAGGTCATAGTGCTCTCCGGAGCGTAGCGCATGGTATACATCGGTCTCAAAACTCACGGACTTGACGTGTCGTGTGAAGCGCTCGTCTTGGAACAGCCAGTTGTCGCGAGGCGTGCCCATGGCGATGTACTTGGGCTTAAGGTTGCCTTCGGGGACGTCATCTTCGCGGTAAAGCAGGAGCGTTGGTCCGGCTCGGGCCAGCTCCTCTTTGATCTCGCTCGCCATTTGGCGGCAGGTCAGGAATGGCGCCGCGCCATGGGAATGTGATGCTGCTTTTGAATTCCTGGACCGGGTTGTCCTTTATGACGAAGAGCCAGATGTGAGCGCGGATTTCTGGGGCGAGGTGTAGGATGTGGTGCGGCATGTTCAGTCGTTGTGAGCTTCAAGGTATCGTATGTGCTAGGTTCGACGAATATTCACGGTATGCTGGTCATTAAAGTACCGGCAATGACCTGCCGGACCGACTGGCTGCTGCTGGAGTGGTAGCCGCAGTGGTGTGTGCGATGAAGATTGCATGTTTGGCCACATTCACGTTCGCTTCTTGACAGGTGGGCTTGACGAACTTGGGACTGTCATCGAATTGGGGTAACAGTCTAGAGGCAATGATCGCTGCACTGTTGGCTCAAGTCGAACACCCTACGTCCAGTACTCTTAACACTTCCAGTTTCCTGTCTTAGGGGCACTTTAACTACCTACCGAATTTTCAGCTCCTGACATCGCAGAGTGCAGGCCGTCAACCGTTTCGACATTGCCTTTGGATACATCACCAAAGGGTCCAGTCGGCGTCGTCATACCAGGCGAAGACCAGCGCCTCGGAAAGCTTTTGGTCTACCTCCCTTGAAGGCCCTTAGGCTGCCTAGAGCGTCTCCTGCACCAAAAGTCAGTAGACGCATCAAGTATCAATGCCAGATACACCGACCGCGAGAGCGGCGAAGGCGCAACCAGGATTTCGTCCACGTACTTGGGAGCGAGTCAACACGAATTGAGAGTTGTTCATTCCCGAATGGCCCGTCCCATGCCAAAGGTCAATGGAGACCTGCACTTGAGAGGCTTCCTACTCGGGCCCACCGGATGGACCTTGTTGTCTATCGAATGCAGGCCGCACAAGCTGGGTGCGTCTCTGGCGAGCCATAGAAGTGCCGAGGGGACTCGAGGCTGGGTTCGCGGCCACAACTTTGCAGCTTGAAGCCAGTCAAGACCCAAGGCAAACGCGATTACTTGTCCGGATGCGTCTGAGGCTTCAGAATGACCGAGCAACTAGGCCTGATCGCACTACCTGACCAGAGAGTCTTGCTCTGCAACTGGGTTCAAGCACATGTCTAGGTCCCGATAATGGCCTTCAGTCAGCGAGCATTACACCATGAGCCCGAAGCAGCAGGAGGTGTCGCTCAATGCAGTCATGCGTCCAGATTCTGAAAGCAATTATAGCCTCGGGTTTTCCCTCTGGGCCCTTCCACCAGCATCATCAGTCCGACGGCATTTGCGTGACAGAACATACGAGCCGGTGTAGCCACCTGGTCCTGACACCTGCAGATCAAGGATCTACGATCCTGTGCATAGCGGATCCGACGGAGTCGCAGGCCGATCTACTCCGGAATTTGTTTCCAGCTGCAACAAGACTAGCCGCCAGCCTTCTGCCATCTATTGTCACCGGGTTTGTTGGGTGCGATGCAGGAGATGTTGGGTGTCGACCACCGGCACATGGCCTCCTCATACGCTGCACCGTCGGACCTATTGGTGTACTAGCGTTTCTGCTTCTGTACTGTTGCGATCAGAGGTGCAGGCATGCTGTCTCTTCGAGATAACGCTACATCACTGCTTGCAGATCCGCTGAACCCTGTGACCCAAATTTGAGCAGCATATTTACGCATCACTGCATCATCCGAGGACATGGATGAAAGACAAGGCCGCCGAGAGCAGTCTTTCATGCGCACTCTAATTAGTCGCATCGAAAACAGCCGTCCAGGTCGATGATGCCCGACGGCAAGTGGGCGAGTACTCGTCGTTGGCAGCATGCGGTAAATACAGCAAGAGATGTCCAAGTCGCTCGACTCGTAGCATGCACACGTTATCTCTGATTGTCCTTGGAGATGTGCTCTACGGGGACGAAAGTTTGAATCGAAGCTTGGGTCAGCTGTTAGAAGGTGCAGAGTCCCCTCAAACTTCGAACACAGTAAGGTGAGTGTATCATCAACACTCGTCGAAAACTTCATACGCACCTGTTGGGTCTACGACGCTGGCTATCCTGCTCTGTGTTGCCTTCAGTGCGACCTTAGGGCAACATTGAGATCCATCACGTAGGATCAAGTGGCTTTTTGCTCCAGTTCTTACGCGGAATATGCATTATATTACTGTGTACGGCTCTCGGATCGATGGATCTGCTCCCACCGCCACCCTGAGATCCGCGACTCAACAAGAGAACCAAGAGAAGCCGCAAGGAGTCATTGCTATTCGTGTTACTTGCCCGAAGCATGAAAGATTCAAGATAACCCCTACGATAAGTGCCGGCATAGCTAGGATCTTACTCAGGTGGATATTGAGTGGTCTGATGCCCACTAGCAGAGCAGACGAACAACGACTCACTCGGCCCCAGCATGCAACGAGGAAGGAATGGTTTGGCCGCGGACAGGAGAATCCACCGTGCCTTCCAGAGATGGCTAGATCGTGCAAAGATCTTATTGGTTCAACGCCCAGGCTGTCTGTTTGCCTCGTGGTCGTTCCTTCCCAAGCGCTGATTGGCCAGCTGAAGACGGTAAGAGCATGCCTCGCGAGTGACTAATATGCTCGCAGCAAGAGTCAGCGGCGCGGTCATTCTTTCAACGACGCACGTCGAGCCGCCATACCGAATCGCACACCCCAGTCTGCGCGAGCTGTGGGCTATACTGGAGAAATGGCACTTAACGGACCCATCTAAGCTTTTTTCGAGCTTGCAGACACGTTCGGAGCTGAGGCCGAAACGGAGATGCTCAGATAGTGTCATGGCCAGGTTCGTTCTCGTCTGTCATAATCTACACCGCCTGGATCTGTGCTGGTGTGACATGATGAACTCTGCTTGCGAGGTATATGTGCCCGTGTACAGATATCTATCATCCGTCCCTGCGGGAGATCGACAGTTGCTGATTGATTACAAGCGTGCTTTCCTGCCATCATTGGCATGTTTCGAGGGCAGATCCGGCTGCATCGCCGAGATCAATTAACCACAGGCCTCATTGGATTTAGCCTAGGCCGCCACTTGCATTACGAGATATAGCCTGGACAGCAACCTGCGTTACGAGAATTAACCTAAGAGCAGCTCAGAACGAGAGCCTATTGCCTCTTGAAGGTTGCCATGGATCTTGCCCCGCTGCAGCCTCGCCTTAGAGGTGGGTATGACATGATCTTGCTCGTGTGTACCTGGCTCCCATCCTTCGCTTGTGGCTTCATTTGCGGGTCGCGATAGTCGCCACGATTCGGTCAGCCCTGACTGTCCTCAACACTTCCAGGTGCTCTCCAAGCCGCCCATGCATAATTGCTTTCAAACACAGAGATCGTCGATCCTCGTTGCGGTCCGATGAGTCTGCCATCGGTACGGTGCTGAGGAATCGTGGAATCGCAATCGAACTTTTGTCTACCAATGTTTCTAGAAGACCATGAATGGAGTCCGTAGCTCGGATTACATATGAGATCAGCGACATGGGCAAATTCTGGGATCCCGTCTGATGCAACTACTGTGGGTCTAAGGAACGGATGCCAGATTTACTGAATTGATATATTGCCGTCGGATCATCTTATGGGTTATAGATTCGAGTTGAAACTCCAACACACTGAGTACTGAGCTTCCAGCAGCGACTTCCACAACATCACTGTCAGCGACTCAACGTTTCACACGCTCGAGATCAACGCCCAGAGCCCTGTCTAAACATACGCCAGTACGTTGCTCCACTATCATTGTGAGCACAATGAGGTCCATTGGCTGACAAGATGCTGCACAGTCACCGAAAATGGCTTCTTTGGAGCCTGAGCTCTCATACTTCTACCCTGCGACACCAACATCGGCTTACATACCAGTTACCGCCGCAGCGCCTTACATTGGTTGGCCGTCCGCGCCACACTACGCCATGTCTGAATCGGGGTGCCATTACAGCCCACACTCAACCCCACCACCGTCCTCTTGGAATTCTCCGGTGGACTCGGGCTCAATTAGCAGCTCAAACTCATCAACATCCTCAGCGTCCATTAGCAGTACAGCGTGTGACCGGAAAGAGGTGAGATTACTCCTGGGCTCGCCAAAATGCCATGAGCTTATCGTGATGACCATGAGCTAACGTGCTTCGTCTTCACAGCGGCGGAAGCAACAAAACCGAAAAGCACAACAGCAGTACCGCGCCCGCCAAGAAGCTGTAGTCCAGAGACTGCGTATCGAATGTGCAACTTTACGGAAAGAGAACAGCCAACTGCAATCCGAACTTAGACGAAGCTCAATGGAATCGCCGTCGTGCTCTGGAGGTTGCTACTCGGAAAGCCCACGTGCTGACGTTGCAACATCAAGACGGCCGTCACATGAAGCTCACCACGACCGAAAAGGCCCGCGGCACCCGCAACTCTGCAAGCGTGGGTTGTCTGCAGACGACGTCCGCCAATGCGCCACGGACTTGAGAGCGTGTATGTCTTCGACAAGTCCTCAGATCATCGCCTTAGAACTCGATGACATAGCTTACGAGATGGACTTCTACGATCCTCGTAAGCTGTGACAAGGCCAGGAACGGGTTACTGTTGTATTGGCACGTACGGGTGAGGTATCGAGGTTTCTACACAAGAGTGTACTGAATGCATTGTCACACCAAAGCCAGCGTGCCGTTCGCCGATTCCTGCCGCGCGCCACGCTGGTATGCTCTGCTGCCATTCAGATCATTCATTCGCTGCTGTCTTTCCCATCTTTTCCGAGATGTCCCTTCCCAATCGGCTCTGGCAGTGCGTCCCTCTTCTTCGCCCCAGCGCCACCCGCATCCTTCCCTAAATGACCCTTTCCGATGGGCTCAGGCATAGCGTTCCTCTTATCCTCACCACTGTCAGAGCTGTCGGCCTTGCCGAAATGCCCCTTGCGTATGGGCTCTGGCGCTGGTGCAGCTTCACGCACGGCCAATGCCGCAGCTACAGGACCAGCGACCGCTATCGTGCCATCGACTGGGAGGGGTGTTGCTGCTGCTACCAAGAGGATGGTCGTCAAGGTGAACAGGAGGTGAGTGAGTTGCATGATTGGCGGAAAAGTTGAGAGGCTGTCTGTGACAGTTGCGTCGCGTCTCTAACGATGACGATGCTGGTACCGACGACCGTGGTAAGAATAGGTAAGGAGATTCTGCTGGAAAATTCGAGAGAGGGAGGTTGTCTGAAGCGTATGAATTGTTATGGCCCGTGGCTTCCGTCCTCCGGTGTATATATTTACACGTAAGACCCGATTCCCCCGTAACAACACCAACATCCCTTTCTTCACCACTCAATCTATCACAGTACGAGCCATCATGCTCCGCCCCTGCCAGAACCTGAATGCTCCTGCAATGCCAAGTCCTCCAGCGCCGAGCTACTTGGTCAGTGGCTGCCTTATACGAGGCAAACAAGCCCAGAACACGAAGGCGACATAGGGGCGAGAGTACATATTGCTGTACAATGACGGAAGCAGTCTGCCTTGCGACAATGTTGCGTATGTCAGTACCGGATAAAGCAACAAGCGGAGCGGGACCAGGTATATATAGAGCCGTATCTGCAGGATTGCTTTGGCCAGGCGCAGACGTGGAGGCAGCGCCTCTTGCCCAGCAATCACCATTGTGGTTGAACTCTCAAATCGGCGAACGGACTCAAAACGGGGACTGGAATCTTACATGCGGGATGCGGACCGTGGGTATTTGTGGCGAGGCGCTCTCGTCTCTGCGATTGCTGTAAAGCTTTGTCCGTGGACAGATCTTGAACTGCCCATCTCTTGCAATAATTCAAGTAGCGACGCATACGGTATCAGCACTTGGAAGGAACAGGTATCGGCCAGGACTCAGTAGAATTGAATTTCGTTCGGCTTATTAGTACTTTCGTTTGCCGCGCTATGCTATCATTATGGTATGCTTTGTAAATGCTTTTTGATCCATCCGCTATGCCGCTGAACGCTTTGTTGCACAGTTCCAACCGCTACTCATCATCCACTTTCCACCACAAATCGTCTTTAGTATTGGCCGTAGGTAGCGTAGCTCTCGACCTTTACGTCCTTATAGTCGCCATAATCGCTATAAGCTGAGACGCCCTCTGGCTTTGGTGCTGGTGGAGGAGGTGGAGGGGGTGGGTAGTAATCATAGTTCTCGACCTTGACATCTTTGTAGTCACCATAGTTGTCGTACTTATCGACACCACGCTTGTAGGTCTGGTAGTTCTCGACCTTGACGTCTTTGTAATCGCCGTAGTCAGAATACGCAGAACGCCCTCTGGCTTCGGTGCTGGTGGAGGAGGTGGTGGTGGAGGTGGGTAGTAGTCGTAATTCTCGACCTTTACGTCTTTATAGTCACCGTAGTTGTCGTACTTATCGACACCACGCTTGTAGGTCTGGTAGTTCTCAACCTTGATGTCCTTATAGTCGCCATAATTGTCGTATTTCGACACACCCTCGGGCTGAGCTGGAGGAGGTGGTGGTGGAGGTGGGTAGTAGTCATAGTTCTCCACCTTGACGTCCTTGTAATCGCCATAGTTATCGTACTTGTCGACGCCACGCTTGTAGGTCTGGTAGTTCTCAACCTTGATGTCCTTGTAGTCGCCATAGTTGTCGTACTTCGACACACCCTCGGGTTGAGCTGGAGGAGGTGGTGGCGGAGGTGGGTAGTACTGATAGTCTGTGACTTTCACATCCTTGTAGTCGCCGTAGTTATCGTATTTATCGACACCCGGGTTGGCGACAGGGGCGGCGAGTGCCAGCTGAACGGCAGGCATGATGGCCAGAGCCATGAGTATGGATTGAGGGATCTGCATTGTGGATAGTTGTGTAGATTATGTTAGGAAACAGCAAGAGACTCGTGAATTAGTGTTTGACAGATAGGAAATAAACAGGAAAGAAAGTCGTAACAGTGCTATGTATTAGAGTGTTGTTGATAATGGCAAACAGTGCCTATCCGTAGGACGGCATCGACCTCTTATACAACTCACTGCAGGACACGACCATCGGGCTGAAGCCAAAAGCGCCATCGTTTACAAGTCAGGCTGTGAGACATGGTGTATCCCAAAATCACCAAAATGGCAACGGGGATTTTGTGTTAGCCTTGCCGTGCTGTGTAGACCGATCACTGATCAGGCTGGTGCAGCGTCGCACTCTCGCGCGGACCGTCATTGCCGGTACAGGCGGTGGGGTTATTCCCATTCGGGAGTGGTCAGAGGCAGTGAGGGTTGGTTGCGAAGTGCCACACTGTCAGTAATTGGTAATCGTAAGAACACAATAACCTGGGGCCGCGGATATCGTGTGGGCGGGCGACGCCCGCAAGCCGAGCGACAGTGGCCTGAAAGAGCTTGAACAAGCAAAGCTTTCGGTGGGCAGCGGGGCGGAGGCGGCCTCACAGTAGTGCTTGGTCGCCTCGAAGGGTAGCTGCAAACGAAGGTATACGGGAGGTACTTTGAAACACTGCGATAAGTCAGCGAAGATTGTGTACCTCCCGGTCTATTTTTAGGTGTCTTGCCACCCAAATCAAGCTTAGCAGCTTGGCGGACTCGAATGTAACCAGACCTCGGGAGCTTTTTGACTTCCGTTATTCGTGGACAGCTTCCCAAGACTGATGAGCACACAGCCTCACACTTACAGGGCACCAAGTTCTACTGTGTGATGGGCTCTATGCAACTATACCGCCTCCTCCGCGGCCATGGACTTACCTCTTTTGTCATCGTCCATGTCCTGCGCATTGCTTTGCCTCACACCACCCAATCGCGGCTGTGCTGAGAATAGACAGACAGGTAAGCGAGAATGTAAGTCAGTCACTCATATGAAGCCTCGTCCTCGCGCTCTTGAACGCGGACACGGCCTCCGAGGCACTTGACATTCATTCTTGTTCCGCCACCAATATCAGCACCCATCACAATGAGCAATACCCATTACACTAAGCTCGAGACCGACAGCGAGAGCGGCGACCAAGAAGCCCTCCTCTCCAACAATACTGCCGCCCAGAACAGACCACAAACATCCCGATTCCCATCGATACCCCACTCACTCATCACTGCCGTCCTTGTCTGCCTCGCCTTCGGTGCCGGCACTTTCATCCAATCCCTCCCTTACTTCAACAAAGACGCCCTCTGCGCCGCCCACACCGTCCAATACACCCCACCTATCATCGCCTCCGGCAGCCCCGCCATCACCTATTCAACCGTCTCCTACAATGGCTCATTCTTGAAAGAAGACGTCTATCGCCAAGACGCCTCACCGAAAGTTGACGCCGCCTGGGAAGCCCTCGGCGTGAACTACCGCTCAATCAAAGTCCCGGACTCGCAAGCCGCCGCCGCGGGCCTCACCAAGGACCACATCCGCATAAATTCCAAGTACGGCGGCGGCTACCCCGCCAACGTCGAAGGCTTGCACCATCTGCACTGCCTCAACCTCCTGCGCCAGACCTCGAAGTACAACTTCGACTACTACAAGGCTCTTGGCCAGGGAGCGTTCAAAAACGACGACACGATCGTCAAGCTCCACGTCACGCACTGCCTCGACATACTGCGGCAGCAGCTGATGTGCCGTGCGGATGTGGGCGTGTTTGGGCAGGTGTGGACACAGCCGGAGAATCCGAAGGCGTTTGTGGACTTCAACACCGACCACAAGTGTGTCAACTATGATGCAATAAGGCAGTGGGCTGAGGAGAGGCAATTGCCGGAGGATGTGCCCGAGGACTATCTGCAGGGGCCGGTACCGGGACAGAAGATCTATGCTGGTACGCCTTGAGGGCTCGGGAGAAGTGTGACGATATTAATGACTTGTATGACCACTGTATATCAGCAAGAGAAGAGCATAGAATTTCCCAACGTGGCCTCAAAAGCGAAAATAGCTAATGGTAATCGATTCCAAAATCGCTTGACAACAGAATGTATCCGATGACAGTGCCTCCAAGTCACATGAACGAATACAGTACTTTGGTCACCATCTCAGCGACCCGACCCTGAACCTGGCATAACCCCAGTAGCCTGGACGCTGGATTTTGCTTTTGAGGAAACCGGCAAAGCGACGAGAAGACGAAATGTATCGCGTGAGCGAATATGCCAACTCTCTTTTTTTGCTGCCCTCCTGACCGTTTCTTTCGCGCATGCATCCGTTTCTCTGATACCGGATCCTTATAACAACGACGGCAAGCCGTTCGAAGGCCTTGACACATCAATATTGAGGCCTTGGCCTCGAAGTGCCGGAGAAAACTTCGGCTACTTGAGACTGTCCCGCCAACAGTAAGTGGACGACTTTCGCATGTGGTCTGTCACTTATGGCGGTAGGTTGCCCGATCGCACTCGATCCCTGGCCTTCGCAAAATATTGAGGCCGCTTATCTTGAGACTGATCGCGGAATCAAGCGTCAACCATGCCGTAATGTTAGTGACCCCTACTGATCGCCTTGAACCCCCCCTTCCGCTCTGAGGTGAGCGGTTGAATGGACTGTCGAATCCCCCTTCGTGGCGGGCCACGACGTCCCCGGACCACAAATCAATATTTTCGTTGGGTTTCCTTCTCTTCAACGACTCCGGCATGGCCCCATCAGCTTATCGACTGCGCTTGAGTCAGCCAAGCTGTGGCCGAGGTGTCCCTACGCCACTTCCCAGTCATCTAGTCAGCCTGACCCTGATCCACCCTCAACATGAATCTTCAAAGCGCCCTGACTTCGATCGATCGCCGCATCCAACGCCCTATCGTTGTCCAGCTCCACCAAAGAATTGCCACTACCTCGATCCTCATACCTCACACTCACTCTTTCAGCATTTCCGATCTTGAATCTTTGCTTCAATCTGTCTTTCAGCTCCATGAATCCTATATCCTGGGGAAAGCGCATTACAAAGGTATCGTTCTGGAACACGACTTTCACTTTTAGCTGTCCACCTGCGCCACCAGCGGCACTAGCGTTCATGCCGGAGGACTGTGATGCTTGCGGATTGAGGTAGGGTCGGTCTCCTGGGTTGACGGGAGAAGTGAGGCCACCGTAGCCGCCGCCGCCTACAGAAGGCTGCTGCCGCTGGTGTGACATGCGTGCGCCTGGGCCGACAGGCGGCGGAGGTCCCATGCCACCATAGCCTCCGCCGCCATTACCCATTTGTGGATTTGAGGTTTGGCGGGTCGCTTGCTGTTGATTTGATTGTATTCGTTGCAGTGATTGCTGGGAACCGCCAGATAGTCGGTAGTCGTCATTCAGCGCATTCGGGTCAATTTCGAAGTCCTGCCCTGGTTTCGGCTTGAACAAATTCCTCACCAGAATGCTCTTTGATATGTGTGGTGGCATGGCGATGATCTGTTTAATATAGTCGTCTAAGTTTTGCCTTCGGCCGTTGGAGATGGCGTCTGTGACGTGCGCCACTGGGCCAGGCATGAATGGGAGTGTTCGCGGCTCTTTCCTGTTCCCAGCCTCGACAGGAAACGCTTCAATCAGGGCGATTTGTAAGTCATAAAAGTCAGCGTAATATCGTGATAATTCAAACCAGCGGCCGTCGTCAAGCTGGCATTCGATGATGTACCAGTACATGTCGTTGTCAAAACAGTATCTTGGTACAGAGGCTTGTATTGGTGCAGGCGGCAGGTTGGGGTCTGGCCCTGACATTGAGGGCGGCTGTGAGGGTCAGTGACGCCCCAAGTGACAGGGCAGTGGCACTTACGTATATGTTCTTTCCCTGGGCGTTCTGTATGCTCATGCGACCCATGTCGTTGGTCGCTTGCTGTACACTTCCATCAAATTTGCCCAGGCTGATGCTGCTGTTCTTGTACTCGGCCGCGAACTTCTTCCATTCTTCCACTCGTGGTACTCCAGCCTTGCGGACTGCCTCTAGTGGATCCGGCACCGACTGCATGGTTGCAGTGTCTTTGATGTCGACAAAGGACACTGGTATCAACCCTGGGCCTCCCAACCGTCCTATTGGCTTCGCGACGAACCATTCGGGATTCGACTGTGCAACGACTATTATGGCCTCTCCTGCTTTTGCTTCCAGCTCGTCTGCTCTTTCGGCATTGAAATCATATTGAACCACTCCATATACCATAGCGCCTGTAGTCTTCCCACCCATGATCGCACTCAGTCCTCTCTGATGTGACGGCTTTGTTGTCGCAGATGACGCCGACCGGTGGTGTTGTGAATTGGTGCCAACGTCCGATATTCCCGAGTCGTCCGTCCGCTCACTGGCCGATGCGATAGACTGTCCGCTCTGGCGCTGTGTCTTGCCAATCTCTTCGAAGAATGCGACAGGCACCAGGCCGCGCGCGGTCGGGATGAGAGGATTGCAGGCCTCGTACCATTCGGTGTCGTCCTCTCGGCTATTGCGCGCGTTAGGATGAACATGTATCGAGAAGAACAAATACAGGGAGGCTGATGTCTCGTCGGATTCAGGGTCATAAGGCAACGTACCTGAGCACGTGGAAGAAGTCGCCCTTGTGAAATGCTAGCTCTTGACCATTTTTATTCTGGGGCTCGTAGTCATACAGCGCCTTGATGACCTTCTTCGGCGGCACTATCGAGGTCGCAGTTTTTGCGGTAAGGCTGAAATGCGGCGGCTTGCTCTGATCTTTGTCGCCTTTGAGCGACCTGCGTATAGCCTGGTGCGTTGAGGAGGGGTCAGCGAGTTGCGTCGTGAAGATGGTGGAGTCAGCGGCACGTTTTGCGGACCAGGAACAAATAGTACGGGGCGCCAACGTGTTTCGGAGGGGCAGTAGTCAGGAGGAGGACTCTTGTTACTCACCTTCATGTCCGAATCTATGCGCTGAACCCAGGCTGTGCGTTGGCAGTGATGTTAAAGGGGCGAAGTCAAACACGTGTCCAGGCCCGCACCTGTGCAAGTGTGCTGCTGGGTATGTGGAAGGTCGGACACGGAAGGAGCAGAACGGGAATGGGACGGAATTCGATGCAGGGGGGTGGATGGATCGAGTTTGAGGTTCGCAGGAAGTCGTTGATGGTGGGCTTTCCGCGTGGCGGCTGGTGCTGGTGGGCACCAATGGCTGCAAAAGAGCCCGGGGAAACAAAGGCCTTGTTCGTGTTCTCTTTCTTCCTTGTCCTCGTGTTGAGTGTATAGATGATGAGCTGAGAGCCTGCGGGCCAGGAGCGAAGAGATCGTCCCGCTCCAGCGTCGCTCTCAAGTAGTAGTGGTGTTTATTCTGAAGTCGCGCCTGGAATCCGCTGCTCATACGCGAGAAAATTGGCAGTCATGCCTACTGGCATGCCACTTCGAGCGAGCCGACTGCCGGAGTTTGATCGAGCCAGAGGCGTTCCAGGTAGTCGCAATAAACCTCTCGCTACAGGCGAGGTGCAGATCAGCCGTTGATCGGCCACGAGGAAGTAGATCATCAATCCGCAGAGTATGATGCATCTATATTGGTGACCATATATACCTACCTAAGGTCAGTCAAACGCGTAGCCTGTCGACTGCGGGTGGGTGCCCGGAAAGTCGTCGATCCGCATTTCGAATCCTGCTTTAAAGTCGCTTTTCATCTGGGTAGGGTCTGTGGACGACGCAGAGAAAATTGAAATAGATGGTCAGAGTAGCCTCACCTCAATGTCAATCAGACCAGACCCTGTGGTCTGGCCTGTAATTGTAGCGCCTTGCGAGTAATAGTAAGCAAATCAGCATCAAGTTGAGCATGAAATTTGATTGTGCTCCAGGCTCGTCTGGAGAGGGCGCTGCCGAACTACTACGACGCAACATCTCCTCTGGCCTGATGCAGGCTATGTCTAAATCCACACACTGGAAGCCCAGTCTGCCCGGCAACGCTCGTCATCTCTATAGACTCCCGCTGGGACCCATCATCTTGTTAAAGTCGAACATGCTCTTTGAAACCCATTGATGCAAATACCTCCCAGCGCCATGCTGAAACGTCCATTGCAGAAAAGAAATGAAAGATGTGGTCCAGGTGTGACCCATCAGAACGACGAAGAAGCAGGAATATGCGTTAGTGTATTCGGTGCCGTAGTGCAGGCATCAAATTTGGCCTTTGATGTCGACTGATCGGAATGCTGCAGCCCTGGCGCTTTCAATGACTTGGCTCATCTTGCCTGTTGCGAGGCGGACATGACCATCCTTCTCTTCTAGAAGGTCAGCGGCACCATCGCCGCCGTGCTCGAGAACGAATTGTGCAGCTTCTTCGTCGGTCTCAAAGGCGAGTTCTTCGGTCACGAATCGCAGCTTGACGTCTGGCTTGTACCTGCAACGCGTTAATAATCCGTAAGGCTTATGCTAGAGGGGCGCACTTACGTTTTGCACATTCGAGCAAGAGCAGCTAGACGCTCGCGTTCCACAAACATGTCCATCAGGTATGCACCCATATTAGGGACCTTCAGGTACAGTTGGAAGAACTTGTGATAGTTGCCGAGGGCCAGGGCTGATCTCACGTCGAGGGCATGCTTGATTGCGTCTTCTTTCTTGTCTGCTGGGGTTAATTCGGAGAGGACGTCGTTCATGTCAGTCCTGTTACATGTGTGAATGAAATAGAGAATCCGGTACGCTTTGAACTCCACTGGTCGACCCCCAAGGCCCAGCTTATACAATGCCCGTAGCTGTGTCTGGCATTGATTATACTCACCGAGGTCGCCTTTCTCTAGTGCTATCCGGGCGTGAATCTCGTAGACCATAGTTGTGAAGTCGTTCTTGATGTGTTGCACTGTCAGGTCTTGTCGTAGCGACTTGAATTGATCACAAATGTAGACATAGTTGCTTTCGCTTCGCCACTTTTTCTTGAGGAGCTCAAGAGTCTGTTTGAGAATGGGGAGCGGTCGTACATCATCCGGATTTGGAGCAGATGTGAGACGAAAGTAGTTCTTTTCCAGCTTCTGTGACCGTCCTATGATTGGTCCTACTTGTTCTGGTTCCGGAGAGTTGCTGTGGGGTGTATGGGGCGTGGTGGGCGAAGCGTATCCAGAACGACCGGCATCGAACCTCTTCTTACGGGCTTCCAGATTTAACTTACTCATCGCTTTGGGCTCTTCCATCTTTTGACGTTTGTCCACAGGAGCAAAGGAGACACGATCTGCGAGACCTGTTGAAGCCTTGTTGTTTTTCTGCCACGGCGGCTGCGTAGTCTGCACATCAGGCTCGTCCGACATGTCATTTGACTTCCGTTTACGGTTAGGTGTTGTCGAAGGGAAACGATGGCCGTTGGTACTAGGGGAGCTCGATTGATTCGAGGTAGAATTGGACGCGACAACAAAAGGTGTAGTAGCAGCACGAGTTCTTTCCTCCATGATTATCTGCTGGGGTAAAGGATAATTTGGCCAATCTATCGTATCAAGACGACCTGAAGCGGCCATGTCGGTGATGATGGATCTGAGTCTGACTTCTAACTCCGGCTTAGAGACTTCTGGAATAGCATTTTCTTGTGCAAACGACCGGCTAACGTAGTCACGGATTGCAGGCGACCACTGTTTCTTAGCTGGCGATGGCGCTGCGGCTTGCGACAAGGACGGAGGTGGGTTAGGCGCTTGCGCACCAAATGGAGGCGGATGATATGTAGGAGGTGGTGGTGGCAGCGTTCCAGGCGCAAATGTCTGCCGCGCGGGTACTGCAGTGTAAGCATTTGGTGGTGGAATGTAGTGGCCATTCGACTGCCAGGGAGGGTACCCTGGCGTCGCTGAATACATGACGAAGTCTTCTTGCTCGTAGACGCTTGGCTTCGCTGCTTGGACAGGTCCACAGTTGTCTCGACTTCAGAAGGGAAATGTGTCGATGACAGGAGATGTAGTGAGATGAATGAAAGGTGTGGGAATGGCGGGAGAAAGAGTTGGCAGGTTGAAATAGCGGTGGAGATTACCTTCTTGAGTCACGTGTTTGTCTTGGCAGTCTAGACCAGATGCAAACGAATCTTGGACACTGCCTGATATCAAGCATGAGTCAAGCTCTGAAATGCAGATCAGCTGCACATGACAGTGATGTGTTCAGAGAAAGATCACAGAGACTGACAAGAACCTAGATCCTGTCATGACGAGAAATCACCGAAGATGACAGGGTCTACAGAAACCTCTCAATGCCCGGATGTTCTTCACCAAGCCAGATCTGACCACTGGCTCACGCCCAGCTCTGTTGCCAGATGAGACACTGCTCTTTGTCCAGGACAGCGTTGGTCTATATGAAGGGTGAGTCGACTTTGTCAACTTACAGCCGAGCAATGGACTGATAAAAGCAGCAAATTCAAAATTGCGTCTTGCCAGAAAGGCCATGCCTATCTGACATCGCATCGAGCATGCTACATAGACGATGCTGATCCGCGAAACAATTCACTAGCTGTCGAGCTGAAGGATGTTGAAAGGCACGAGTACCAAGCTGGATTTCTCCGCTCGTCAGCCAAGGTCACCCTCCATCCGAAGCCTTTAAAGCGTGGATATGGCACTCTGCGACAACATGTTGCCACATCACCCGCTGTGCAGCGTGTGGCATCCTCCTCCTCTCCAGGTTCCCGAAGCTCGAGCCCGTTTCCCGATGCTTCGACCCGGATTTCATCACCACAAATAGACCGAGGGAACTGGGTCTGCGCGATATGCTCGTTTACAAATCCAGTTCCGTCAAATTTCGATGCCACTATTGCCACCGAAGCTTTTCCGCTGCCACCATGTCTGACCTGTGGCATTGTGCCGGACTTTCCCCGCGTCATGAAGGCGGCGGTCGCAGCCAATGTGAAGCGCAAGTCTACCTACAATACGGCCCCTCCACAATCGCAAAGCTTGCTTCCGCATCAGCAAACACCAGTCCCAGTGTCTACGGATGGCGCCACAATCACATGTCCTCGATGTACATTCCACAATCATCCATCGCTCAGAACATGTGAGCTTTGCGGGGCAGACCTCCCTCGCTTCACGCCCACCAGTACTGGCGCTTCCCCAGTGGAGCGTGCAAGCTCTCCAGGCCCCGAGATCGCAAGCTTAAATCTGAATGAGGATCACGGCGACCAAAGCGTTAAGTTCTCATTCCGAACGGGAGGAGACAAAGCCTTCTACGAGAAACTGAAAAGCGCTCTCCTGCAGAGAAAGTGGCTTTTGCAGCAAGCACCCCCTATACCACAGGGCGAAACCCCCTCCCGCACTAGCACTCCTGACTCGTCCGGTCCCCACAGCCGGCCGCCATCAACAGCTGTTGGCATCAAAGGCCTGGAGCAACGTGGCCTTCAAGCACGCCGAAACAATGAAGCAGTCTTGGGCTCTGCATTTGAGGATCTGGAAGCACTGATGGCCTCCGCCAAGGAGATAGTAGCTCTTGCCGAAAGATTTGCCAATGAGTCCGGAAGTGGCACTGCAAATCCTCTGCTTGCGGAAAGTGCCAGTGCCCTAGGTATGATCGCGACCAAGGATATTTCTGGCAACAGCTCAAATACGCTCTACATCACCGAGCTATCCCGCAACCTGGCTGAATACGTCACAGATGAGAAAAGAGGCATTCTGCGATCCAACGGTGGTATCATCGGACTAGTCGATTTGTGGGCAATCGTGAACCGTGCTCGGAATGGTGTCGAACTGATCAGTCCCACTGACTTTCACCAAGCGGCCGTGGCGTGGGATCGACTCAGCTTGCCGGTTCGCCTGCGGCAATTCAGAAGCGGCTTGCTTGCTGTGCAGCCCAGAAATTGGACAGACGAGAGGGCGCTCGCGCAGATTACCAGCTGGTTGCAATCGTTGCGGCAATCGCCCCCAGAACAGGCCATGCCGTGGGACTGGGTGACCTATGGCTGTGGTGTGACCGCTCAGGAAGCAGCTTCGCGGTTCGGCTGGAGTGTTGGGGTCGCGACTGAAGAGCTCGAGATGGCAGAGGAGCGAGGAGTTGTCTGCCGCGATGAGGGGATAGAAGGGCTCAAATTCTGGCTGAACTTCTTATTCGATGGCCAGATGACTGACACTGTCAACAGAGCCTTGTTTGCCGAGAACAGCCAAAACTCGTGGTGGCTTACTGTGAAGCAAGAGCTTCACTTAACGCCAATGACCTTGAGAAAAAGCTCACGTCTGGATTCCTCAACGCATTGTACCGCCTCGGCCATCGTTTCCACCTCTCGTATGCCTTCAGCGAAGTTCCACAACTCGCCTTCTTCATATCTGACAGCAAATGCTTGCCAGTTCTGACTCTTCAGCTCAAGGACATGGTTGTCAACTGCAGACTTTTCACCTGAGAAGAGCAGAACCCCGGGATAACCAGGCTTCGTCAAACCACGAATCTTGTCTGCAGAGACAGACGGATGTATGGCAAGCTTGCGCTTTCCGGTCGCCAGAAGATGATGCAGCCAGATGATCACGGTTTTTGGCGTGTCTCGCTGCTCGTAGGCAGGTGACACGAGCCGTTCGTGGTCGTTCACCTCGGCTGAGCCAGCGATGCCTATGTAGTCCGCGATCACGGCGTCCAGAACTTCTCCAGGATTGTCTGAGTCACCTGACGAAGCACAGACCTCCTGTAGCAGCTTCTTGATCTGCTGTCGCAGGTCTCTCCCTGCGGCATTTCGTGCTGAAATGATCTCAGGCGCTCCTTGGGTCGGATACGATGGCCCCATGCGAAGCACTAGTTTGTCGTTCGACTGTTGATCAATCGAGAAGGATATTTCGCGTGACTTCGCGTCGAAGACCAGTGTGTCGGGATACATGGATTTCAATAGTTCGAGCTCCAAGTCCAGACGCTCACCAGATGAGCCCTCCATACCTTAGAAGATTGCCAAAATCGCTGTAGACATTCTCTCCCCCATCCACCGGTCCGCCAATGCAGTCAAGGCCTCGTTTGGGGTCCTAGATCATCCAGGTAATTTGTTTTATCAGCATACCTCCGCTGCAGGCAGAGCTGGGATTCTGAATCTCTTCACTGCCATGAAGACTTATGAATGGACTTGTTGAAGTCAATCATCCGTCAGAGAGGACTCCACCCAGCCTTGGCAAAGATTCGGAGCTGCAAGTCGCGATGTTCCTGAAAGTTGTAGTTGATCATTGACTGATCTCTAAATTCGAGACACACAAAGCCCTTCGACCTGTCACCTGTGTCGCTCACTCCGGCTGATATGGCATCATCACAGCGTCTCTCGCCTGCGGTGCTATCTGCATCAAGATCTTCCGCGTCCCCATACATCTGTGCATCCTGCCGAAGCCATGCCCAGTTGACATCGCGGAGGCGACACAACGCGCAGCAGACACGACACAACTCTGAATTGCCATTTACAGAAAAGTTACGGCGGAAGATATGGGGGACAGACAACCCGCCAGGTCTCAAGGATCCGTATGGCGGACCGAGCTTCTTGGAGCGAAAATTGCAACAGCGACAACAGCGGCAGCAGCTACAACAGCAGCAGGAGCAGGGTACACAGCAACAGGGGACGGAGCAATACCAGGAAGAGCAGCTGCGACAACAGCAAGAAGAGTACGAACGGCGGGCTGAAGAGCAGACTCAGTTGCCAATTCCACCAGAGCGGCACGCAATCCCGGCTCAAAACTATGAGCCACCTCAACCACCGGAACCTGTGGCTGAACCTCAATCATTACGCGAACGAGTTGTCAGTGTGTTCAAGAGGAAGCCCGTGCCAGAGGTAGTGCCCAAAGTGCAGGTAGCCAAAGAAACTTACAAGCCTGCCGAGACCTGGGACGGCTTAGATTGGTTGGGAGACGATGGTGTCTACCAGCACAAGACGCCCACTGCGTCAGAGCAGTACGTCCCGTAAGTCGCAGATTCCCTTGATGAGCGACACCAACTAATCCGGCGCGTAGATGGAACGACAAGACAAGAAAATTCAAAGGTGACATCTGGTACGCCGTCCACCAAGCGATTTTCACAGTCATGTATCCTTCCGAACCATATGACCACCGCCAACCTCTTATACTCACGCCTGGTCATCCGTCGACCGCAAAAGAGTTCGCCCGGGGCCAGAGCACCGGCGAAATCAGCGGCGATCCGATGTCTTTCATGAATGCCCCCTTGAACATGAAAGACCGCCGGACCTTCGAGGCAAGCAAACCCGTTACTCAACTCATTATTGACTCGAACTAATGTTCCCGCCAGTTTCTGAAACAACTCACCCTCATCACCGGCAAAAAGATCCCCGATCCAACCCTCTCCTCTCTCGCCGCCAACCCCGCTGCCACTTACACCGACCTCGTCACCGCGATCCAGAACATCAAGCCCGCCAAACCACCAAAGACATTCGATCTCCTCCAGAGCAATGAGCAGCTCGTCCAGGCGCCGAACGTGAAGATGCACGCGAAGAGAATACACGTCAACCAGAAAGACAAGGATCTAGGCCGGTGGAAGGTGATTGAGAAGGAGTTGAAGGAGAGGGGCTTGCCGCTGCCTTTCGGTGCAAGGGGCATTGCGGTAGGTGAGGAGAAGGCCAGAAGCAAGAGAGGGACCGGCGAAGCTGGGCTTTGAACCAGAGGCGTGGGATGGACTGTTGGAAGGAGAAGCAAAAGGAACAGAACAGAGACAGAGGGGAGGGCGGCATAGGCACTGCCGTCAACATCGGTATGCCGGATCAACTTGAGCACGAGTACGGCACTCAGTGGTAAACTGACATCGGCAAGTGGGCTCGCCCCATCCGATAACAGCAGACGCTATCTTGACATGACGAGCGATGTGTCGGCGATGTTTTCGGGTGAAGAGAAGAAAGAGAAAGTGGTTGAGGGCAGGACACGTACTTATACCTCTTCAGCACAGCAAAGAGTCAGGCGAACACGGAGCAAGCACTCCGATGACTCGGTCAGGACCTATTCACTGCTGCGTCTATAGACCAGGATGACTGCTGCCAAGCGTAAGTGAATGGAAAGGCATGTTGAAGAGTTCAGATAGCTAAGTCGTCCTTTTCAAGCAAATGAAGCTCATTTGAAGCTCAGCCGAGCATCGAGCTGAGGATTGAGGACTCGGAACATCCGTTTTGTCTACCTAGCAAACCACCCTGCCCTCCATCCAGCAAAGCAATCCACCCTCCACCTCACACCGTCCCCGGCACCCCAGTAGCATGCTGAAACGCCGCCTCCGCCACCCCATTCGCCAACTCACTATACGGCGCCAAAAACGCTTGATCATATCCTTATTCCCCACCGGCCTCGTAAAAACTCCCCTCGGATTACTAAACTCCCTGAACCCTTCCACCCCGTGATGCCTTCCCATCCCGCTCATCCCACTCCCGCCAAACGGCAGACTCGGTAGTGCGCCCTGCAGAGCCACGCAGTTGATGGCTGCGCCGCCGGAATTGGTGTTGTTGATGATGGCGTTCGCGGCGTTGACGTCGGGGGAGAAGACGTATAGGCCTAGGGGCCGCTCGCCGGCGTTGATTTCGTCGATGGAGGTGTCGAGGGAGTCGTAGGGGAGAATCGGGAGGACGGGTCCGAAGATCTCGTCGGTCATGGCTTTGAGGTGGCGTGGTGGATCGATTAGGAGGGTCAAGGGAAGTTGGCGTTTGATGTTGTCGGTTGGGGAAGGGTCGCCGCCCAACGCGATGGACTGTACACCTGCAGACTCGGCTTCGGTGACAAGGCCGACGAGGCGCTCGACGTGACGGGAGGAGATGATGCCTGTGTTGTCGAGGGAGTTGGTGTACCCCGAAAGGGGCGCGCCTTCGGCGAAGAGGTTCTTGGTCAAGTTGACAAACGTGTCAAGGTCAGCGCGGGGGACGAGGATATAGTCGACCGAGATGCACATTTGGCCGTTCTTGAGGAGTTTAGTGCCGATGATGGTGTGCACGTTCTCAGGAGTTACAGCGCCAGGCGTCAAAATACATGGGCACTTCCCACCGAGCTCCAGGGTCACGGGCGTGAGGTTCTTGGCGGCTTCGCCCATGACAATCTTGCCGACGCTTGGGGCGCCCGTGTAGAGAAGATGGTTCCATTTAATCTGGGAGAAGCGTCGGGAGAGGTCGAGGCCGCCGTTGACGACGGCGACGAGATCCCGCGGGAAGGTATCGGAGATCATCTTGGCGAGCAGTGCGCCGGTTGTGGGCGTAAATTCCGAGGGCTTGATGACGACGCGGTTGCCCGCCGCCAGCATTTCGCAAAGTGGGCCTACGGAGAGGTCGAAGGGGAAGTTCCATGCTGGAGAGAGGGTTGTCAGACGCTGCTTGTGCGTAGGCCGTGGTGGTGAGTGGACTTACGGACGATATTTCCAACGACGCCCTTCGGCTGGTAGCGTACTTCCGCTTTGGACTCGCCATACATCTGGCCGTCCACGTCTCGGTACTCCGTGGCCAACCACTTGTCAAGCTGAGACAACACATATGCAGCTCGACCAGCGACGCCGAGGCATTCGACCAAGTCGCTGGTGGATTCGGGGTGGTTGCCGAAGTCCTTATTCAGGGCATCACGGATGGCATCGCGGTTCGCGATGAGCATGCCAGGAATCTTGCCGACGTTCGACTTCCGTTCCTCGATCGATGGATACTGATTCTTGAGAAAGGCGGCACGTTGCAGCGCAAATACTTCCTCCAGCTCCGCGATGGCGGCAGTATCATCCTGGTGAGCCATGGTGGACGTGGGTAGAGTTCTGTCCGAGGTTGTGGTGCTGAGATCCGCAGGCTGCCTTTCGTGAGGTTCGAGTGGTACGAACAGCTGGAGCTGATGAAGAAATAGAGTTCGTATCCTTCCTCAAGTCCAAGGCAGGCATCGGATGCATGGCTTATATACAGCCAAACCTACATGGACCTAGGCTCGCAGTCTCGAGCAGTCCATGGGTTCCAAACGAGGCGTCCTCCCGCGCCCGTCTGCGATTGGCTGTGGTCAAACTCTTCGACTCGAGTCGCGGGGTCCCGAGGTACAAGCCCGCTCTGTCTGGAGCAAGGCGCGAGACACTGGAGGTTGCCAAGTGCCGTCAGTGTACTTTTACGCACGTTGACCTACCTAGTAGGCATCAGGCCCGCTGTGCGTAGATCAGCAAGTCAACACGTGCAGCCTAGTCTCCGACCGTACGAAGGATCTCCCTGGAATCCACAGGCGGTATAGGTGAGAGTGACTACTATATGTCGCTGCGAGGTTAGTCGTCCTATACCCTGTCTGTGCATAGGGCTGACGGCACCTTGGAGCCTCGCAAGTTCGCAGCGCCAAATGCCTCCTGTCTGGAAGCGGCATTTTACAGCGCAAAAGGTTCCGATGTATGCGGTCAAATTGAGAGCTTTTACGCTGAACATGAAGATGCCGTCATTACGGGCCATCCCAGGCGGGTTTTCAACACACATTCTATTACTCCCGGACAAACATGCCTGCCATACCCATGCCTGTGCCTATGCACATGCTCACGACACCAACCTCTCCTTCACTCAGCTGCGGCATCAGCGTCGCCAGCTGCCTTACGCCCGTCATGCCCAACGGATGACCCAGCGCGATACCGCCACCCCTTGGATTCACCTTGTCCATCTCGTTCTCCAAACCCAGCTTTCTTATCGAGTACAGAGCTTGACTGGCAAAAGCTTCGTTGATTTCCCATACGCTCACATCATCCGTCTTCGTGCCCGTGAACTCGAGCAATTTTGGAATTGCGACTGCGGGCCCTATTCCCATCTCATCGGGCTTGCACCCTACAGTTTGAGTCGCAACCCATTTACCGATGATAGAGCTAGACAGCCCCAATTCATTGGCGGTGGATCGTCTGATGAGCAGCGTGGCAGCAGCACCGTCGCTCACTTGACTGCTATTCCCGGCCGTGGACGACCCATCCTTCGCGAACGCGGGCTTCAGCTTGGCCATCTTTTCGACAGAGATGTCATGCCGGATGCCGTCGTCTTGGCTCACGGTGATCTTCTCAGTCGGAGGTGCCTCCGGGTTCTCTAGGTTCGATTGTAAGACGGAGACTGGCACAATCTCACCGTCGAACAGGCCAGTCTTCTGGGCGTGTGAGGCACGCTTGTGCGACTCAGCCGCAAAGGCATCTTGATCTGCTCGACTGACGTTGTATCGTTTCGCAACGTTTTCTGAGGTCAGTCCCATGGGCATGATGCAGTCTTGTGCATCTTGCCGAGGGGACATCCGAAGCTCTTCCCAAAGATTTTCTGGAATGGCACGACTGCCATAGTTTCGTGTCATGGATTCCATGCCAGCACCCACGCCCACGGAGATCTGGCCTGAGGCGATCATGTTGCCGATCGAGGTGACAGCTGCGAGGCCGGAGCTGCAGGCACGGTTGATTGTGTGCAGAGCTGTTCTATCTGAGAACCCAGCGTGCAGCTGGGCCATTCGGGCAGCTTTGCTTCCTCCTAGCTCGGCCAGTACGACGCCGACAGCTACGTCGTCTATCAGTGAGGGATGGAGGTTCGGATTTGCTGCTAGCGTGGCTTTGAGGACGTGTGATAGTAGTTCATGATCGTAGGCTGAGCGGAAGCCGCCTTTGTATGCTCGCGTCACTGGTGTTCGTAGTGAGGATAGTATCACGACGTCTGTGGGTAACTTCTGACGGATCGAGGACAGGCCTCGTGCTGTCTGTGCCATATTTGTCGTCGCCGCTTCGCTCCTTTAGACTCGGCCAGGGGTTTCAACCACTCCTATGCTCTGCTTCTGTCCAACCAGCTTGACGAGACTGGTGAGGGGAAGGTTCTTGCGGTCAAGGTCTTTCGAATGTACTGCAGTGTAAGTCCTCCAAGCTAGCGGCGGAGATCAGGATTGTCGATGCTGCGCTCAGTAAGTAACAATGTAACAAAAGAACCACGATGCGCAATGCTATACAACGGAAAAGAACATAACCCAACTGCTATGCTAGAAATGTTTGGAGAAGACCGAGGGCGAGAGTATGCAGTCCCTCGGATGTGTTCCTCTCGGATAAGGGCTTCCGACACCAGGCGAACTGATAGCGGTCAGCAGCATTGTTCACGATTGAAGATGCCTGGGAGGGTCGTAGGTGAACCGAGTGCCACGCGTGGTCAAGCAGGTGATCTATGCCTTGAAGCCTGCAGGCTCAAAAGTCTCAGACGGTCTTGAAGCATGGATGCTGAACGACACGAGCGACTGTACAATTCCAGTAGGGTCGCCAGCAAGGACCGACACAGGCGCTATCGGTACTTTGTTCAGCGAACTTCCTTTCCTCTTCATTCATTATTCATCCGCAGGTATGCTTACGAGGACGGTCATCACCTCAGGCTTCGAGAGCCTCGTCAGCGATAGAGGCCTCCCTCAACCTGCGGGCGTTCCTTTTATGGTAAGTCGGCACTGTGCCTTCGCATGCAAATATGCTTGCATGCCGTACGGTACCTGGCCCCCTTGACGAAATGGCGATAAGCCTGTTCTAACCCGCGTTTTCAAGCCGACCTCAACGTCCAATGCAAAGGATGTGATGTGACTTCGTCTAGCACGGCAGCCTGCTGAGAAGACCACACGACGTTCCAAGCTATGAGGCTGAAATAGCTCGGGTGCTCGTGCCTGATTGGTAAGAACAAGAGTTCATGATAGACGCCACTCAATCTCTTTTCAGCACCGTGATGGAAACGTGGTCAACAACCAATCACCACTTTCGCATCATTCACATTCTGGTCTTTTGCTTTTCACGCACCTTACTCGAACGGTTCGATGTTATCTCAACTCTTGTGGTAATTGGCCCCATGCATATCAAAGTGCCGAGGGAAAGTATACATCAGCCATAGCTGGGTTCCAGGCCAGACAGATGCACAACATCCATGTATCGTCAGTGGTGACCAGGCAAGGGCTGGCTGATATACATAACGAAGACGCCCGCCGCATACTCAGCCGCGAAAAAGCTATGCTCATGACCACGAAGTCTGTCTACATCGCCTGCGGTCGCGACAAAGACCTGCTTCCACTCATTCAATCCTCGGGTTCGCCTGTCCTTTTGTCTCCGAGGAGAGGCAACTACATCAGTCTCGCTCTCTAGGGCGGCCCTTGAGGGTGCGAACCCTAAGCTCACAGCTGCCGAGCACCATAATAAGTGCTGGACCTCACGCAGCTCAATACTGAAGTCAGCGCCTTCCGTCTGCACTACGATCGTCTTGACGGGGCCTTGTGATGGCTGTTGGGCGAATTTAGAGGGCCGACCAGCAAAACAACCCCCGAGGTCGTCAACATGCTCAACATCTACCATTTGTTGGGCGTGCCAGCATCTGGCTTCAACTCGAAGCCATTTGTAACCTCATGGTTGCTACCACAATACCCCCTCGCTCTAATACGTCTCATAATATCAGTCTACATAGTCACATCAATCAGCTACTCATACGCTTACTTTGCCAAGCACAAGGTCACGTTCCATTTACAAGATATTGGACTCAAACCGGTCACTTTTCAGGTCGGTGCTGAAGGAATTCGCCAGTCGTTCAGCTATTTCACCTACGAGTCCTACTGGAGCCAAGCCTTCTACTTCTTCTTCGCAGCGCTACACACGTTCGACTCGGCTCGAAAAGGAAATGCGTTCCTCGACTACTGGCCAAGGCCTTTGCAAGCCATGCACAGCGTCTTCTACTCATGCGTCACCGCCTTTCCATTCTTGGTGAGCGCGGTGTATTGGGCGTCGATGTATGCCGGCCCGTGGTTTGATCACGACTTCGATCGCTGGAGCGCTCTTTCAATACACGGCCTCAATTCAGTGTTCGCATTATTTGAGGTGATTGTCACCAGAACCAAACCCCAGCCATGGGCTCATCTTGGCATTTTGCTCTTAATAATGTCACTGTACCTTGGGGTGGCATACATCACCAAATATACGGAGAACATATACCTCTATCTGTGGCTAGATCCAAACAATGGAATCCCACAGCTAATTGCGCACGTCGTTGGATACGCCATGACAATAGTTGTCATCTTCAACGTCGTTCGAGGGGCGATCTGGTTCCGATGCTCGCGTCTCCGCGAGGCACCTCCGCCAGACGCAAGCGATGACCATTGGGAGGCGAAATCAATGAGCCATGTCTCGCTCTTCTCCAGCCAGACATCGACGCTTGCAGCAATTCAAGAGTCGAAAAGTCTAGGGGTTCACCAATACGCAGATATCGAAAAGATTGGCGAAGCGTCAAGTGCCAACATTCCCCTCTACGCTCAATCAACGAAGCGGTCAAGTCTCTCGTCATACAATGATGCAAAGTCCCGAGCTTCGACCGTGACTATAGCGATGCCCGAGAAGTTTCACGAAGCGTCAAGCATCAACATACCGCTTCCGGAAATGCCAGATGCCGTCCATCGAGCTGACGGTTTCCCAAAGCGAAACTCGAGCTATCATGTGAGGAACTTCTCGAGGCCAACTTCTGCCTGTACAACGTCGCCAAGTCTTAAAGGATTCTGGATGTGAGGCGCCTCACCTGAGTTGGCTTATGTTAGGAATCTATAAGCTCTAAAGTCAAGTTCGACGAAGTCATGCTATGATGACGGACCTTCGTGTTCTCTCGTGACTTTGGCTTCGACCGAGGTCTAGATCGGGGTCTAGGAGATCGAACAAGCAACGCAGAGCAATGCCCTGCATAGTTGCCTCGTATTTGGGCAGCTGACCCTACTATGCGTGCGGCCGCCTTATTCAGCTGGAGAGTTCAGTCGGAGACTAGCACCAACATAGATCTGCTGCGATCTTATATGAAGCATGACAAGTCGTGAAGCAACTATGCTATCTGTTCGACCAACTCTTCCGTCCATGTGCAGAACTCAATCTGGACGTCAGTCACTATGCCTACCGGTAGCTGCATCTGCGGCGCCATCAAGTATTCCTTTGACGTGCAGCCAAGTGCAAAGGTGAGCACCCATACCACGCCCGAACACAGCCATCCCCAAGACACCCTTCGCGTAATTACTCACACTCCCCTAAACCATCAGTGCCTCTGCCATTGCCTCTCCTGCCGCAGAATTACCGGCACCACCGCCGCTTCCGTTGCCCTGATCCCTAAGGCCGACTTCCAGACCACCGCCAGCGCCGAATCCGTGCCCAGCTTCAGGCAAAACACCATCACCCACGAAGCCGGCATGCAAATCACCTATGTCTTCTGCAGCGACTGCGGCACCACGTGCTGGAAGACGGCCAATGCGGGCTGGCCAGACCAGATCATCGTGTTCACGGGCACGTTGGATGATGCAAGTTTCGAGCAATTCAAGCCGGACGCGGAGTTTTGGGTCAAGTATCGTGCGCCGTGGTTGGAGAGTCTTGAGGGGAAGGGGGTCGCGCAGGTGCAGGGGTTTCCGGAGGCATGAGGTGAATGCTTTGGTTTGATTGGGTGGGCTTCGAGGTTGGTGAGGTGATGTTGGTTGTGCCTGCCCAGTCTTGTATGTCGACGTTCCTGACGTCCAGGGAAAGCACAGTCAAGGGAGTAAACGGCGAGGCGAGAATTTTCCTTGTATAGAGAAACCCCGAGGTCAATCCGGACGAAACGAGGCCAGCAGTTGATAGTTGACAAGGTAGTCACACAGAACCGTCGTCGTCTTACCGTCCTTCGTTCAACTCTACATTCCACAACACATCTCATAACTTCAAAAACAACATCAGTTCAACGTGATTGCGCCAGAGCGTCTTAATCAGGGAACAGTGGCAATAATGATATACATATATATGTCCATGCGCGGATCGGTATTCCGCACTTCCCCTGCAGATCCCCAATATTGGCGTTGATTTTGCGAGAACCGAGGGCAGAATAGTGCCATCGGTGCCGACTTCCGGGCATCATGCACGACGGACAAGCCCTTCGCCGCCGTCGATTTCCACCCACTGGTTTCCTACCTGAACGGGTGAATGGCTAGCCATGATGAAATTTCTAAGGGTAGGTTTGCGGTGACGAGATGTCTTCGCTGTCTCAATCATTTTGCCGCTTGGTATGCCCTGGAGGCTCAGTGCGAGATTCGTTGTAGACATTTTGTGTTATTCGTGTGTTATATACAGCGCTACAAAGGACCTTACGCGGTGCCCACATGATCTCATAGGTAATCTTGATAGAAAGGCCAACATTTGTGGGGGAGTATAGAGTCGACTTCGGTACTCTGAACTCTTGAGAAGCTTCGATTTTGCTTGACGCCAAACAGAGGTACCTTGAATCATTGTTCCTGCCTGGAGTATACCTCACGCATAGCTATACTGCTCGCAGTCCTTGGAGGCTCTTCTATGGACACAGCAATTCGAAACGACCCATCACCGACTTCATGCCAGTCAGTCCAGGTCCTGGCCACGATGAGCCAGCCAACGAGTCCGGCCTCCCTGGCGAAGGCGCAATGGCAACAGGAGAGCCAGAGCCTGTGAACACCGCCACTGCGATCGGAGGGCCCACGGAATTCGAAGCAGAGAAGGTCGTGAGCAACGAGCCAGAACCGGTCACTCACCAAAACAGCGGGCTGTGGCGCCACGATACTGGAGACAGCTCGTACACGGACATTGGTTCGCCATCGTCACCATGTCCACCCACGAAGGCCGAGGACGACGAAGTCCAGCGAGAAGATAACACGAATGCTTTGACATCAGTCCAGTCCCACCGACGAAACTCCAAGGAGATCATATCGTTCCTCCCATCCTCGCCAGAGCATCCCCAGAACTTCTCGCGCAAACGCAAGCTCCTTGTCTTTGCAACTGGTATTATGACCGTATTGAACTCGACGCTAGGGTCATCCCTGCCTTCGAATGCAACCGTACAAATTACCACTCATTTCAACGTCACAGATGATCTCCAGTTCTCCCTCCCGATCTCCTGCTTCCTGATGGGCTATGTCATCGGACCCATTCTCTGCGGACCGCTCTCAGAGAACTATGGGCGGAAACCCATCATGGTCGGAGCCTTCTGCGCATACATCGTGTGGACGATGGGCTGTGCTGTCGCGCCAACCTGGCCAGCTTTGTTGGTCTTCCGGTTGCTCTGTGGCATCTTTGCCAGTGCACCGATAGCAATCGTCGGTGGGCTGTATGCGGACATATACGGTGATCCGAGGAGTAGAGGGGCTGCGATGGCGTACTTTATGGTGGCAACCACATTGGGCCCTATAATGGCTCCAATTGTAAGTGGCTTCATTGCGCAATCGACGAGTTGGCGGTGGGTGTTTGGCGCCGGGACCTTCTTTGCTTTAGCGACGCTACCGTTACCGATCATATGCGAGGAGACATATCTACCTGTGTTGCTGGAAAGAAAGGCAAGACAGATGAGGAAGGAGCAAGGTAGAGACGACATCATCGCGGCGACATCGTTGGAGAAGAAGAGCTGGAGTTACGTCTTCAGCGTAGTGATGACAAGGCCATTCAGGATGCTCTTCCAGGAGGCCATCGTGAGCTGCGTGTGCTTGTATGCGATGCTGGTCTACGCAATATTCTACCTGTACTTCGGGGTTTATCCACTGATCTTCCTGGGAGAGAGCAGCGTTTACAAGTTTAGCCCGGGCATTGCCGGGCTTACGTTCATAGCCATCATGGTCGGATCCATGACTGGTCTACCTATTTTCATCTGGTGGGACCGGTTCCTTGCTCGGAAGCAGGAGGAAGGCGCCGCGTGGGCAAAACAGGAGGAATACAGACGTCTTCCGCTGGCCTGCTTAGGGGGGCCGATGTTTGTGGTGGCCATTTTCTGGCTTGGATGGTCTGCAAGAGCGGATGTGCATTGGATCGTGCCGGTACTGAGTGGTGTTCCATTCGGCTGTGCATACTTGCTCATCTTCATGGCGCTGCTGAATTATCTGAGTGACGCTTACCTGACTTTTGCCGCGTCGGCCCAAGGTATGGCGAGCACGTGCCGCTCCCTCGGAGGCGCCACGTTGCCGATCGCTGGGAGAAGAATGTTCACGAATCTGGGGATCGCCTGGGCCTGCACTCTACTGGCTTTCGTAGCGTTAGGGGTCGCAGTCATCCCATTTGTCTTCATCCGGTATGGCGAAAAGATCAGGGCCAACTCCAAATTCTGCCAGGAGCTGAGACGAATTCAAGAGGAGGAAAGGGAGGCGGAGAAAAGAGAGGAGGCACGCCAGAATCGGCACGAGGTCGATCCGGGACACGGTGGTGACGAGAAGCGAAGGGCAGACGCCGTTGCTGAGGTGTAGCCGAAAAACCTTAGACTTGGATCGTCAACCACACGAGCTTTCTGGCATCGTCCGTCCGCGTGTTGTCTTCAACTGCATAAACATGCATGTTTAGCGAACCCTAAGTTATCGAGGCGTGATGTGTTCATCGATGATCCTGGATTGTTGGACGGGATTATCGTAGATACACGGGCATTCTGATCCCGATTATGGCAATCGCGAGCGACAAAGTGTGGTGACAGGCGAGTGACCATCCTGATAGGATCTGTGCGCGCATTGAAATTGAAATGCTTCGGCGTGGTCAGAAGTACCACACTCCGAGGGTCTTGGTGGTATGCGAACGTCTCAAGGAGGTTGTTGTCACATTTGAGATATTTTACCCTCAAGACACCCCTGTTCAATTTAACATGAACCCGAAATCCCTTCAGGTTTCGCTTATCGGGCAGGGAACACCCCCAAAGCAGCAACCCCACGCCGCGGTGAGCGCCGAAAGCAGCATGCTTATTGGCGAAGACTCCCAAAAGCGTGCGGAGTTCCAGGCATCCGGGATCATGAGTTGGCCAAGCATTGTGGGAGGACCACCACTATCAAACGCGAATGGCATCGAAGGTCTGCTTTCGCACAATTCTTCTCTTGCATTGTACTCCCACGAGGCTGCTGACCGCGGCTGCAACAGACAATGCGCCAGCTTTCGCTTTGGAGCATCGATTGAGATCTTGGCAATCGAGTAGCACTGACCGACCATGGCCGTTGCAACGGCAGCGATCTCAATGCTGCGGCATCTTCTCGTCCTACGGCCCAGGTGGTTTGTCTGTTCACGCAGCGCGGGTGGCATACATTCTTCTCTCCTCCTACGTTGAAGGCGATGGCAGGCCATTCACCTTCCAGCGTAATTGTGTTGTGATACTACCTAGCCGTCAGTCGTTTGTTTTCCAGGGGTGATATGGATTCCAGCAGGATTCGCCGCTCAACCATTGCCTGTCCGCCTGACCATGGGCAAGAATGACACCATTCCTGCCCAATTAAGCAGCATCAGACTTGTGCCTTCACAAGACGACGAAGGGCACCGACGTGAAGATCCAGCCAAATTGTCTTCGGAACCAACTGTCCGTCAGATTGCCGCACCCACACCTCGACGGAAAATTCCTTCTTTTCAATTCGACTTCTCATCCCCAAATCTCGGCGAGAGTGCAGTCACTCCTCCAGAGCCATCACATGAAAGCTCCGAGACAGAGAGACGCCGTCGGGACCATGCTCGGTCCAGCTCGCACGCTGTGCCGTGGTCGCTGCCAGGTCAGCCCCTGCGATCGAATCCAGTCGAGCCAGCAGGTCCATCAGTCATTCCCCAGTATTCACCACACCCCTTCAACGAGTCACGCTTTAGCAGAAACACCAGTAGCCTGTCGGAAGGTGCATCACCACCTTCGCCAGCAGCAGACAAGTCGTTCTTTAGTCCCACCACGGCCGAAGATGATAGCCCTCAAGACGATTCTTCGTCAAGTGAGGCGCGCTCTGCAGTCCAGCCCATCTCGTACCATGCTTCTGCGGAAATCGATAGCAGTCCGCCACCACTTGCTCTTCGTCGAGAGGAAAGGGCCATCTCGTCCCCACGGACTCCACCAACGCCTTCAGCATGGCGCTCATTCTTCGCGGCACCACCACTGCCACAGTCCAGATTTAGTGCTAGCACGACCTCTCCAGCTGCTGGAACTCAAGAATTTCCAGAAACGCCGAGCCCGCCGGGTCTTTCTGGATCCGATTCCGATTCTGACGACTCCTTTGACGGAACCTCGCTGCCAGGCCTCGTGGCTTTACCCGAGACAATAGCCACAACTATCCCAAGGCGGACGAACTCATCATCATCGGCACTGTACGGGCACTCATTTCCAACTACGCAGCTGGAAGCCATCGAGGAAGACGAAGTTTATCCTTCTTCCCCGCCCGCTGTGCCTCCACCACTTCCGACTCGAAGTCCCAAACGCCCAGGCACTAGTGAGCTGCACTCACCAACGTCTGTCCGTTCTTCCACTTCGACTGACTATGCCTACCCGATGGCCATTAGCACTGCCAACGCATTGGCAGCGGCTGCTGGAGGACTTGATCCAGAGTCAGGTCGCTCAAGTTTGCGCTTGCACACACCACCTCCCGTCGCAGGCCCACGACGACAGAACCGGCTGTCGACACCGCCCCAGATACCACCATTGCCTCCTTTCGACCATAACACATCGGCTTTGCAGCGTCTTTTCTCGTACTACCCATCGCCCAGGCTACCCACGGAAACGCCGCATCTAGATCAACAGCCCTTTCCACGAAGTGTTCAGCTGTGGTCCCCAGCTTCCTCCATCCTCACCTTTCACTCTGTTCGTGGACCACAAGGAGAACGATTTTCGCAGTTGCGAGATAAGCGGCAGAGCCATGGAGTATACTGGGCCGATGGAACAGTCAAGAAGCCGCACAGGTGGTGCGGAATCAGAGGTATGAGCTGGAAGATGTGGGCGGTCATCCTGGTCGTCCTCGTTCTGGTCTTTGGTGTAACTGCTGTTGGTGTCGGGGTCGGTTTGAGTAGCCGCAACGGCGGTCACGGCAAAGGAGGGAGCAATGCGGGATTTGATGATCTCAACAATGGAGGAGACCAGGGAGCTGGGAATGGCGGCAACCAAGCACAATTCCCTGCTGGAGTATTTAAGATCATGACAAACCTGGCAAATGTCACAACCTCGTGCACGAATGTCTCCGCCACATGGAACTGCGCGCCGGGAGCTGGGCAGACTTTCTGGGATGCTGGTGCCAATTCTAGTGCCGTCACTGTGGTCTGGAAAATCCGCCAAGCGAACCTGACTGAGGGTCTTGAAGGCAATGGATTTGTGGTGACAAGTGCAGACGATCCATTTGCTTTACGCTTCCGAAATGTGTCGATTACACTCCGGGAAACGGGCGGGGAGAACGAGCACTGGGGCTTCGAGACTCGCGTTCGAAAAAGAGTTCGTCCTTCTGTAGATATCACTGGTCGGAATGTGGCCGTCGAGTGTGACTACAACAGCGTCACCCTACGTGCAAGACTTTTCACAAGACGACAGTCTGACGCTGGCCTTGCTGGTGGAGAGGGCGCTTGGCCTGGAGCTGTTGAGACAGAAGAGAGCAGTGAGATCGAGGGCTCGTGTGCTGAGGTTCGCAACGGCGTCCGGAGCGACGATGTTGATGTTGGGGTGGGACCTGGACAGTGTTCGTGTGCATACAGAAATTTCGACCCAGGCGATGAGTAGACGTTTTCTACATTCAATGACCACGGCAGCCCGTGTGTCTCAACCAAAGTCATGCCAGTGTTAACATTCAGCAGTCTGGCCTCTATCCGATGAACTCCGCGAGAAGATAAGGAGCTTGGAAGCCTGGCCGCTGGTCTTCTGTCCACGAAGACGATGAGAAGGAGCAGAGGAGCGTCATGCTCGTTACTCGCTCCTGCAGCGAAAGTGGTGGTGAGTATTACCTGAGGCGTTCTTGCCATTGACTGTCGCTGCCTGCCAATATTTCGTTGCTTTCGATCGTACCTTCCTGAGCCAGATCCGTGAAAGCCTTCTCTCGAGTCAAATTCATTCAACTTCTCCTGTTACATCTTTCAACATTCACGGAAACTAGACAGACCTTATCCGCGCCTGACAGGAAGACCGAGGGGTAAGATACAACAGAAAGTGAGTACTGCTCGCTTCCTTACGAAGCTGAGAAACTAATGCACCGCAGACGATAGTCAACCATGGCCACTACCGAAGCACAACCAGTCGCCATGCACCAAGACTCTGTGAAGGACAATCAGGTCTCCACGGCTGCAGGAGACGTGCACAGCTCAGTCAAGGAGGCAGCCGGTGCCACAGAGACAGATCCACGTCCAGGATCGTCCGATCACGGATCTGGTGGCGATAGCATCCTGAGAACAAGCCTAACACGAACGTCGTATCTCCCTCTGAGAAGTCCCGCAACGGCGTGCCATCCGATGCCACGAACAAAGATGCAAGCCCTCGGGTCAAGGCTGCTCACGAAGACACGCCAAGCCCAGAGAAAGCCAATGATTCTGTCTCGAGCAAGAAAATCCCCAAGCAATTCCAGTACGATCCTCACATTGAGCACACGATCCATGCTACGATCAATCAGGCCAACAAGACGTACAAGACCTATGGAAAGATCCGACCTGAAGAAGGAGAGATCCGTCGTCTGCACAAGACCCTCGCTCAGCTGTCTCAGTTGTTGGCAGCCAAAGGAGACGTAAGTTTTGTGTTCACATTCACGGATATCGCTGACGCACTGGCAGGGTGTTAACACGCAAAGCCGTGCTCTTGCATATCTCAATGGTCCAGATAACTTGGATGCCTTGGGCGCACTCAACTGTGCTAAAGCAGACTCAGGCCGCTCTGGCAAGACACATAGCCAGGAGTCTCGTCGACAGGAACGAATCGCAAGTGGATCGTCAACTACCAGTGGCAGCAGTGCTCCGAAGACCGCTGGCAAGAACGCAGTCACTTCCTCTAACGGGACTGGTCAATCAAATGGCCAAGATACCAGCGTTGCACACACCGATGGAGTCCATGATAATAGCGGCTCTGACGGTGCTGTCGCTAGAGAGCGTAAGTCCCGCAACAACGGTCTCGCTAAGACGGGACGGCGTCAGAAGAGCACGACTGACGACACACCGCTCTCCAACACATTCCGTAAGGCCAAGGGGGCATTCAGCAATCTGCCGAGCTGGAAAAACAAGCGTAACAAGGACAAGCGTCTCGGCAAGACTCAGCAAGGCGGCAATGGCGATGTGGTCACGAATGAGTCCAGCGGCAAAGGTCAGCAAGGTATCAGCGGCGATGGAGTCACGAACGGCCAGACCCAGCAAGACAGCAACAGCGACAAAGTCAAGAAGGATCCCATCGTCACTGACACGCAAGAGCTCCAGTCCGGAGTCGACGGCAATGACGACAAAACCACAGATGGCGCTCCAGTCCCCAAAGTAGCTCCAGCAGTCAATTCAGCTGCATGATTACTCGCCTCTCACTTCCGGCTCTAGTCGTCACACACAGCACACAACGCGAAAGAGCCCGAAAAGCTGCCCACTGGCTGGTATGGATGATAGCAAAGCAATATGGCATGAAAGCAAGAGCGGCAAAGGCATCTTGACAATATGATATGTCTGGTCCCACCACAGCAAAGGTGACGACAACAAGCGAGAGGAGAGTCTTATTCGCCGCGCGAGACATCAGGAAGACAGATTAGAAGCACACGTCAGCAAAACTGCTCGTATTCTCGCCAACATGGAGCATCAGCACACGTATGTAGCATCTGAACAATTGTTTTTGATCACTTGTATGGGTCTAGGCCCTGGTATCAGATCGACTCTCTTCCTCGAGTATAACATTCTAGCAGCTTGGTACACATGAAATTCGTAGCATTGTCTCAAACTTTCGGTGCCCAGTCTCAGGACTGAAGACTGGAGCAGTGCTCTCACAATCTTAGAACGGAAACATGAGTCCCCAAAACCTCGCGTTCTGCGCAAACTTGTCCATGACTGTGAGGCGACATAGTCAGCTATTCATTGCCAGAGAGTACTCAGATGCCCATCCAGAAACAGCGCATCACTGCGTCGTTCTGTCAGCCTCGTGCTTCACCATGTCGAAGATACTGCAGGTGTGGTGGAAAGACATGCCTCAGAAACAAGCCCACAGCACAAGAGGATAAGGCGGGAAGATCGAGGGGTCATGCTCACTGTTATCGTCCACTGCTCTCGGGTACCCCAAGTGCTGGCCCGGTGTGCGGCCCTCGGCCCAAGCCCACGACTCGTCTTCCTCGTCGATGGTGGTAGGTGCGCGTCGACGGCCCTTCTGAGCAGGTTTGGTGTCCAGCTCGGCGGTGTAGGCGAATGGAGGTGGTGAGTCGTCCCGGGATGAAGAAGAGCCGTCGGAGGCGTAGCCTGCGTCGTCGGAGTCTTCAAAGTGCACGCGAGTGGACTTTCGAGGCCTCCGTGTTGCGTGTTGGGACGAGGCGGCGGAGGAAGTGGTTGTTGTCGTTGGTGAGAGGTTATCTGATGGTGTGGTCGACGTGTTGGTGCCGCGAAGGCGCGAGAAGGGGTTGAGACGCGAGAGTCTGCTGCGCTTGCTTTCTGAGGAGGAGGTTGATGAGGTCGAGGAGATGGATGAGGAGGTTGCTTTGCGAGGCGTGTATGCTGGTGGAGTGTCGTCGTCGACGTTCTGGCCGCGGGAGGAGGACTTGAAAGCTTTGCGGGAGGCGTGGTAGATGGCGAGCGAGGGCTCGAAGGTTGAGCGATGGTCAACTACGAAGGGAAACATGGTGGTGGATGTGGGGATGTGGTGGCTTATGGTGGCGGTGCTTCGGTCGGTGGCCTTCTTGGTTGTGCACTTGTCTGGGTCGGTAGTGAGGTGGCTCAGGTGGCAGAATGGCTTTGGGTAAGAATGAGTTGATAGAGTGTTGATGCTTGGCTATGGTCTTCCTGAGACTGTACTGGTTTGGTCTGTAGGTTATGTGTCTGTTACACTTCACACGAGCAGGTGTTTTCGAAAAGGAACCAGTCCAAACCTGAATGCTGGCACTCGGTCTCATCATATATCATTATTGACAGCAAGCTCTCACCAACTAGCACATCTGCCCGTGCCAGGATCGGGTTACGCCAACCATGTCTAGCATCCCTTTTACAGGTGTCAGGTAACCCAATTTGTGCCATCTGAGGTTCCAGCTCGAAACCTGAGTGGCTAAAGAGTAAGCTGACATACACATTGCGAAGGTCGATCATTCAATTCGTATGTCTCCGCATGAAGCATGTGTTTAGTCTAGCGGGACCGTTGGAGGAGATTGTGGCTTGCCTTCCAGGGCGGGCCTGACCGCCGATCGCCTTCCTGCAGGGGCGATGAACCCATCAGTTTGGGTGCGGAGTTCAGCCTGGAGGGATCTACTACATGTACTGCTTCGAGCTTGTCGTTTAGTGGTGAACCCTGGGGTCTTTTTGTCGTGATGGGTCTCGTACGGCTACACTTCTTTGTTTGACGGCGGCAGGGTTAAATGAAATGGGAGTGCGCAGTTCTGACGATTCTCAACGTCATAGTGGTTTTACCAGAAGTTCAACTTGTCGTACCGCGAGCAGCTCCATCGGATCGTGCACGCAAATACTCAGCGGTAGCATACATGAACACGACTGGCGTCGGCGACATACGCGGTGCTCTTGAGTGCACGAGAAGAGCGATACTCGCACCTTGGCGCTCTGGCATTCAGCTAAGTTCCGCGGCTGATACCCTGTAAGCCGTTCTTAGGCGAGCAGACGAGATCGACGCATAAAGGAATTTCGCGCTGAGTTTGATTGGGTAGCAGGAAAGCTGCGTCCCGTATTGGATGTGGTTGCGACTGGGTCTGCAGGTATAGACTAAATGCTCTCCAACGATGATTGAGGATCATCTTGGGGGCCGTTATGCGTTGTGGTGTCTAACAACACGTGTCTGACTGCGACTGCGTAGCATCAAATGCCGAAGCTGGATGTAGGCACGTAACACAAGCTTCCGACAATCAGCCTTGCTCACACCCGCTTGGTAGTGCCTGATGTCAGCTTGTCATGCCACGCGAGCCAATGAGTGCGCCTCCCGTGCGACAACAGAGGCAAGCAAGCTCTTTCCACAAATACTTGGGCCTGTCTCAAAGAGACGAGTCGTCACAGTCCTCGCGGAGAGCCGCCTTTGTCATAGAATTTGAGCATCACCTGGTCCACCTCAATTTCCTCGTCTTATCTTGTCGTGATCAAGATCATGCGGCTTCAAGTTGGAGGTATTTCGCCGCAACTATCTCAAGTTGCCGCAACTTCATGAAGATTGTCTTCACGACGAGGACTCTTGCGAGCTGTCATTCTGCCGAGCGCAGTTCGAATTGAATGCAGGAGCGCTGAAAGGTGCCGAAAACCACACTTGACAGAGTGACCTGTCGATTCCTCTGCCGGCGAGGACAACTTGTCGTCGTTCTGCCTCGATGATGCCTTGACCGCTGTCTGGTGCTGCGTTTCATCTACCATTGAACCATTATCATTCGTCAAATTCCGATCTGCCCCAGCCTCAAGAGTGGAAGCCTCCTCGTCATGCAGAGGGAACACGGAAAGCCGGTCAATGTCCACTCGGCTTGTCATAGGGTGGTCCCTCTGCCGTTTCAGGGAGTATTCTGCTCTGATGCGCATCATGGCATCGCTCATACGTGCAATGGTCTGACGCAGCGCTTGTACCTGCTGAGGGGCGTACTCTGCGAGGTCTGGAATCGTCCACTGGTCGTAAAGTCTGCCATGGGTTGGGGGCGGGATCAGGCCGCCATGAGACTTTAAGCATAGAAAGCACAAGAAGCAGGCACTCTTCGAGGCGCCCACTACACGTGGTGGTAGGTTTGTGGTGTGCCCTGATCTTGGACCCCTTGACCCCGCGACGTCACTCTGCCTTTCCATTTCGAGATAATGGCAAAGGAGCTGGATCTCTGCATGGACGTAGACCCGCATTGGACGACCCTGAATAGAGGGCTCCCTCGTCACAGACACGTAGGGCTGGACAACCTCCATAGCCAGAGATAGGGGTCCTAGACCCGGCTCTCTCTGACTGTGTAGCCATTGGAATATCTCGACCAGGGAGTTCGCTATCCTCCAGTATGCGCCGATCTTGTCAACTTCACCAACGTATTTGCTTTTGAGCCAGAGATGGGCGTTCAGGCCGCTTTCCACAAGCAGCTCCTTGAACGGTGTCCTTCCCTTGTCCGTCGTGACTTCATAGCAATTCCGGGAAATGTCTTGTAAACGATGAAGTACGTCATCTGTTCCGTGCTGTGTGTCTTCGATAGTGATGTCCTTCAGAAATGCTAGCAGGGACGCATTCACCTCCAGACCACGCTCGATCAGTCGATGACCGGCGCTCGTGAGCTTTGATTTCTGCATCCTCTGGAAAGCGCGGAGCAGTCTGTCGTCCGGGTTGGTTCTGGTTCTCCCCTTCTCCCGGAATATCGGTGGGTGGCCTACAGCCTTCCGAACCCGTTGCAATACTCTTGATCGGTTAAGGGAGACAATCTGCGCGAAAACGACGTCTACAGCCTGATCTCTAGTAATGGCCGAACATGATAGAGCTTGCAAAATGCTTTGCATCGAGCCTTTTAGCTCGTCGTTAATGCCTTCGTTCGCGGCAAAGCGCAGGGTAAGTCCAGTGAGATGGCCATCTGAGTCAAGGCTCTGCTCAATACAGACAGCAGTGACGCTGAACACGGCCTCCTGGTTTGCGGCAATGAAAGCACAGTCACTCGCCAAACGCGCCTCAATTGTATACGGCAGCTTATACAGCGAACGATATAGCTTCTGGTTCAGTGGCAAGACCGACTCAGGGAGTAAGTCGGCCTGCTGTTTGCCGTTAAGTGGTATGAGTCCGATGTCCGCATCCCATGGGCACTCACCCGTAGCCAACGCTAGTTCCACGGCAACTTGGCGGAAGGTGTTCTCGCCCAGCGGCGACCATATTGACTCTTCTGGGCAAGCAGTGTTCAACAGCCGTTGGTTCATTTTCAGAACCTGCCCAGCCTCGATCTGGTCTGTGTCTGATAGAGCGGACGCTGACTTTCTTGGCTTCGTACCTGGGTGCTCGCGTCCTGTTCATTTTGGCTCGCGCGATGGTAGCATATGATGTCTTCACTGGGTGTTGTTCTCTAGAGAACTTTACGTGACTGGACACGAAAATTGAATCTATGAATATGGCTTGGCGGCGATCTACAGCTTAGTCATCCACGTTTGCCTTGCATGAAGCTGTGGTGCGATATAGCTCGTTACCACCACACATATAACCCATGGTAGAACTAGCGCTTGCGTACTTCCTCACTCGATCATTTCTTCTGACCGAACTTGCCGCCATAGACGAACAGTCGCTCACCTTCGATAGGCTTGAACGACTTTTCACCGGGCTGGCTGGCTGGCTTGCCGAAAACTAACTGTCCCTTTAGCGACCAGGTCTTCGGTATGCCCCATGTGCTTGCAACCTTCTCGTCGATGAGCGGGTTGTAATGTTGCAAGTTTGCGCCTAGTCCTTCCTGCTCGAAGGCCGTCCACAGAGCATATTGGTGCATAGCATTTGTGTGCTCGCTCCACTGGGGAAACTTATCGCTGTACAAAGGGAACTTTTGCTGCAAGTTTGACACGTCTTGCGGGTCTTCGTAGAAGAGAACCTTGGATCATTAGTGTGTGGAAGACTGGCCAGGTACAATTGATCTTACAGAGCCGTAAGCGTTAGCGAAGCCCGTTAGCTTCTTCTCCGAACCTTCCCACGCTTCTGGTGGTGCGACAGCCTTGACAGCCGGCTTGACAATCTCCTCCCATAACTTCTTGTGCTCGTCGGCGAGGAGGACAAGTACCCTCGTTGACTGTGAATTGAATGAACTGGGAGTGTGCTTGACAACAGCATGAACGATCTCATTTATCTTGTCATCGGAAATTGTGGAGGACGCCTCTAGAGCATAGAATGTGCGGCGGCTCTGGAATGGCTGAAGGAGCTGTTCGGCGCCCATCTTGCGTGAGGATGAGGTTAGGTATCGTTGATGATTTGAATTTGAGGAATCTGACACGATTGAAGGTCTGAAAGGCACTTGAATGCGAGAAGCACCTTTATATGATAGTGGAGAAGCGAGTGTCGGAATTTTTCGAAGACGTGATGCCATTATCTAGGTTCGCAGTGGATAGTACTTGCCGATAGCTGCAGAATGATGGAATGTACCGGACCTCGTACATTGAATATGAGGAACGAGGCGAGGTATCTGGGGAAGGCGCGCTTCGTTCCGCGTAGCTTACGAAAGCATCTGTCTCGCGGTTTCCTGGATTTCCGTGACAAGCGGCTGGTCGAAACCATCGACTATGCGCTATTGCGCGGCTGGGGATTGATGTCGGTGTCGTCACGGGATCACGGCCAATTCGAGGCATTCGCACGAGAAATGCGTCGCATTATTATCGCATAATTCCCCTCCACATGTCGTTTTTGGCCACGGGTGGGGCTCGGCGACACAGCGGCGCCCACTTCATATTGCGTTGTACAAACTTTTCAAGCACAGGAAGCATCAGGCAGGTATTGTTTGGTAGACTGATGTTGCGAACAACGACTCGACCAACACGGTGGCGTCAGGTCGCGATACCTTTATCGTGGAGGTGTTCGTGTGGCGCACGTACCTAGATAGATCCGATACCTTGCCCTTGACCAGCCTCACCTTTGACTGGGATGTACTGCATTCGCGAGTGACCAGATTCTGACCAGGCTATGGCAGCTCTCATATGCTTATTTGATGATGTCCATCACTCGTGAAGACCAGCGCTACAAGGACAATTGGTGCTGTCAACGTAAGCGAGATCTTTGAGTCCAGACCTCCAGACGAGATATAGCTTGGCAGTGGCGAGCAGCGATGCTGCCAAGCTCGACTCTGCATCATAGATTTGAGATCAGTCCATGACCTGTTTCCGACCGACTTAGACAAATCGTCATTCTCTCAGGCAGCCCAACAGACTCGTGACATTGACCAACAATGGCTTCACTAATTCTTGGAGCTGGAATCCTGGTTCACGATAAGATCAAGAGCAGCAAGGCCAAAAAGCAGGAGAAGAAGCGCAAAGCATACGAGGCACGTTACAACGAACTTGAACAAGAGCACAAGTCACAAGAGGCGACATTTCTGGAACGTAAGATGACCGGTGACAGCAGTTCTCGTGCCAAAGATGCAGCAACTGCCGAGAAGCAATCAGAGCTCAAACGCCACAGCTCAGACAGCCAGAGAAGCATCCGCAGCCATCACGACGAGGATAGTCCGGCGCGCTGGGTTGAGGAAGCGCAACGTGAGCGACAGCGGGACAGACAACGCACAGGGTGAGCAGCCGCTCATACCTTGATGATCTCCATTCAGCAGGGCGTTTGAGGGTGCTTATGACTGTTGGAAACATGATTTAATGGTACGCAAATGTGCGAGTCACGTTCGAAGTATAGGATAGCGAGGCGACTCGGTATGTTGATGTATCGAAGAATTTGGTGCAGTCAGGCAGATGTTCAATTAGTTGTTAAGTGCTAAAGAAGTCAATGCTCTCGTTGCAGTGGATTGCCAATGCACTTTGCTTTGCTCCGAGGAAGTGCCAAAGTCACGTGACTGTTCCCCATAGAGCCTAGCGTGGAACTGGAGCGCCAGCTCGTCCGAGTCATCCTCAATTTTCTTGGTGAAGTTGCCTGTCTACTTAGGTACATATAGGCCAAAACCCCTCTTCGAGCTTATCACTCGCTACACGCAGGAGCTGGCAGTGCTCAGTAGCAAGCTACGATGGCAGATCTCGATGTAGAAGCGCTGCTCGACTCCACAGCGACCAACGGTAACCAGGACGCCGACACAGACCGTCATCAATCAGAACGCTCCGAGCGACGTGATAGAGATCATGACCGCGATGGTTCCCGTGATCGTGACCGCAAGCGACGTGATCGAAGTCGTGATCGCCGTCGAGACGAAGAAGACCCACGGAGCCCGCGAAGCGAGCGTGGCTCCGCTAATGGAAGTCACAGAAGTCGACATCGCAGCCGGAGCCGTGACGGAGACCGACGTCGATCACATCGCGATGATGACCACCATCGGCGGCGCTCTAGATCCCCTAGAGATGACAGATACTACCGCCCCGGCTCCCGCCGTGACGATGACCGTAGAGACCGAGACCGCTACGAACGCCGTCGGTCCCGCAGTCCGCGCAAAGAGTCCAAAGCTAAGAGCAAGACACCAGAACCGCAGCTCAATGAAGATGAGCGAGATCGCCGTACTGTCTTCGTTCAACAGCTCGCAGCTCGTCTACGCACCAAAGAGCTAATTGCCTTCTTCGAAAAGGTCGGGGCTGTGAAGGAGGCTCAGATCGTCAAAGATCGAGTCAGTGGACGTTCGAAAGGGTCAGTGTCCTCCCGCCTCCACTGCTACTCTGTTCTAACGTTCTCTAGTGTCGGCTACGTTGAGTTCCGTAGCGAAGACTCCGTCCCTCTCGCAATCGCGATGACTGGTCAAAAACTTCTAGGCATACCCATCATTGCCCAGCTTACCGAAGCAGAAAAGAACCGACAGGCTCGCAACCCAGAAACTACTACCACGACCCATAGTTCGGTGCCCTTTCACCGTCTCTACGTTGGCAATATCCACTTCAGCATCACTGAACAAGATCTACAGAACGTCTTTGAGCCATTTGGCGAACTCGAGTTCGTGCAGCTGCAGAAGGAAGAGGGCGGCAGAAGCAGAGGATACGGTTTCGTACAGTAAGTCCTCCATATTCTCCATCGAAGCTCAAATCGCTGACCACACCAGATTTCGTGATCCCAACCAAGCACGTGAGGCCCTTGAGAAAATGAACGGATTTGACCTCGCAGGACGTCCAATAAGAGTTGGACTAGGAAACGACAAGTTCACTCCCGAATCTACGGCAAACCTTCTCCAACGCTTTCAAGGACAGAATCAGCCCACCAACTTCCAAGGTTCGGCATTTTCTGGCTCTGGCGGTCGCGGTGCACATGCTGGAGGCAGTGGTGGCAATTTCGATCGCGCCGGTGTCGTGACGACAACAAAGGATCAGGCGGTGCCAGTGCTCTGGACGATACAGATGTCGCCGGTGTCAACTTCTCCAACTACAGTCGTGATGCACTGATGCGAAAACTTGCTAGAACCGAAGATTCCAGCGCCGATGAGCCACGCCAAAAAGCTCCCACTGCAGCGCCACGCAAAGAGACCAAGCCACTGCCAGTCACCGTAGCTGCCGCCAGCCGATGCGTCCTACTGCGCAACATGTTCAACCCAGCCGAAGAAGAAGGAGATTCGTGGGTTAAGGAGCTCGAAGACGACGTCAAGGCTGAATGCGAGGAGAAGTATGGCAAGGTTGTGCACATCTCACTTGACCCAAACACGCAGGGCGATATATACCTCAAGTTCGAGAGGGTTTCTGGTGGCGAGAAGGCAATTCAAGGTCTCAATGGACGCTTCTTTGGCGGTAGGCAGATCTCTGCTCAGCCAGTAGTTGACGCGGTTTACAGCAGTCTATTCGCCCGCACCAAAGCCCTATGAGGGCGCCGATCAATACGACTCGAATGGCACGACCATACCATCACCGAGACGATCACCATATCGATCAAGAAGTGGCAGAAGGGGCTGCTGACCTGGTGAGCAAGGGAAATCGACATTGGCGCTGACCGGAGCAGAAATCGGACAGCCGACAGATCTTCCCACAGACGGTGGCTGCTACGTTCGATCACTTTACTGACTTTGGCAGACGTTCTGTCATCGCCTCGACAACCAGTACTGATAGTGCTCTAGTCTCCTGAGGGCCACCTCGCCGACGTTGCTCAAATGAAAATATCAAAAGTTGAATCCGGCCCGTTTTCGTAGTGTATGGTCTCTCCTTTCTCCTTGGTCGTACGCGAGCTGGCGGTCTCGCGTCATGGAATACTGCACCGCTATCGTCTGCAGGTCCAGTTGCAGTGATCAGGCAGTGCACCACAGAGCAGATCTCGGATAGTCTTCGGCGCCCCTGAGATCTGGCCCCCCGAATGCTGACATCCTATTGGGCCGGAGGCTTGTAATAGCAGTCCAATTTCGTAGACGACTCCTACATCAAACAGACAGTAGGCTGAAACAAGCCGTTGCAACGGCTTTGCGAGCGCCAGCGCTGGAGATGTCAAAAGCATTGTCTATCTGAAGATCATGTCTCGGTGCGACTGGACTGCACCTTGTTGTGATTCTTATCACTTCGGCCTTCCCATTACCTAGTCTTTCTCGCTACTACCTTGTCTATATCTCCATCAAGTACTATAACTATTCAAAATGCATCTACGAAACAGCGTAGCAGCTACCGCGCTTCTCGCGTCACACGTATACGCACAATCGAGCACAGCGGATGCTTCCGGGCGGCCCATCGTGAGCGTCCTGGCCATCGGAGCAGCAGGAGATCAAGCCAATCTTCTCGCATCGGTCGTCGACAATGTAAGTGTGTTTCGAACATTCCTTGCCCATCTCTCCTGTCGTCCAGCACGGCACTGGCGGAGCCCCGCCTCTTGCTGCACTTCTCCCGCTGCAACACGCGACTCTCCGCTTATTAGCACTGACATCCACCCTCCCCTACCACAGGACGCAACAGCAACAACCCTCCTCATAGGCTGCGACCCTGCCCCAGGCGACGACTCAACAGAATTGCCAGATCTCTGCAACCTCTTCTCCGGCTTTACCGTCATCCAGGGAGCCTCTACATTCGCCGCGGGCTACTCCTACGGCGTTGAGTCTATGACCGTGGGCTGCGAACTCACTGGCAGCCCAACGGCCACCACCGGAGCCTGCAAGCAGACTGTGGTCGCGTCGTTGGACGATCTGGGTGTTGGAGACGGGCTGACTACGGATGAGGGTTTGACGGCGACTGGGGATGCGAGTGGCAGTGGGACTGGTTTGACGACGGAGGTTACGACGACGACGTTCGCGGGTAGTGATATTACGTACTATCCGGTGACGATAACGGCGGGCACGCTGAAGAGTGGCGGTGGAGGATCGGAGTCGGCGAGTGAGACAGGTAGTAGCAGTGCAAGCGAGTCAGCGAGTGGAACTGGTAGTGGCAGCAGTGCTTCGGCGACCGGCGGCGGCAGCTCTACGACTAGCGCTGCGGCCAGCGGGTCTGGTGGGAGCTCGGGATCTGGCTCGGCGATCGTTTTGGTACAGGTCTCTGGTTTGGCCTTGGCTGGATTTGTTGCGGTAGCTATGATTGTACTGTAGGAGCATAACGGTGCAGCAAGTGCAGCAATGGACACAATGGGCCTTGGCTCTCGTAATGCAACAATCGTACGTTTGAGAGCATCAATCGAAGCCTTCGAACGACTCGTCCTCTACACTTTTGCCCACCGCCATCTCCCTCTCTTTCCGCTTCTTACTCCCGATCACCATCCCTCTCCTGTTGTTCTCCTCTCGCTTCTCGTAGCCACTCTTCGTCCCGATCCTCGCTTTGCGCTTCCTCCTCCGCTCATCAGCATCGTCGCTCTCCTTGATTGCCCGCCTCGTCTCCACGCCACGCTGCTTAAGCTCTTTCCGGGTGTTCTTTGTTAGGTCCGGCAAGGATTGTAGTAGCCAGGCAGGAATGCCTTCCACTTCGGCCGTGGACGATGACTTTGTGCCGGACGTAGTCGTAGACGACTTGATGACCGAAGCGATAGCCTTCAGGTACTTCACGTCCTCCCTTGTGTAGAAAGTCACGCAGACACCGCCTTCTCTGCCCGCTCTCCCCGTCCGTCCCGCACGGTGGATGTAGCTGGCGGAGGTGGTGGGTATGTCGTAGTTGACGACGGCGTTGACTCCACGGAAGTCGACGCCTCGGGAGAGCAGATCGGTCGTGATAAGCACCCAGATCTGGCCGGCGCGGAAGCGTTGCATGATGCTTGAGCGGACAGCGAGGAGAGAGAAGCGTGTAGGACAGCGATTCGTGGTGGCGTGTTGGGAGCAGTGGGGATGTCGTACTGGAGCTCGGTGAAGAGGGCGGTGGAACGGTCGATTGTTTGAGCAAAGACCAGGAATGGCGGGCGGATATTTGCTAGTTGCTGAGTGGGTGTTGTGCTATTGTTAGTGGGCAACGGACGCGAGGGACGGAGTAGCTGGCGCAGTCCAAGCAGCTTCCCGGGCTCGGTGGCAGCGTATATAAGTTTATGCGTTATGTGAGGTAGGGAAGAGTCTTTGAGACCGATAACTATGCGGTAGAGAGGCGCTTTGTCTTTGATGGATAGGGCTTTCCGACGATCGGCGATGATGGAGATTGCAAGTTCCTCGACATTAGAACCAAGGGTGGCCGACCAGAGCGACACGCGAAGGAGGGTGGAGGTGCAGGCTGTCCAGATAGACTGAGTCTGTTCTCGGAACAAAGGGTCGAGTAGGACGTCGGCTTCGTCGAGTATGAGAGTCGTGATCTTGGCGAGCGGTGACGAACCCAGAGCATGGACAAGGGTGAGTGGCGTTGATACGAGTATGTCAGTCTTAATGACAGCAGCGGCCGAGCTCTGCTCGTGATCGTCGCCATTCCGGCCGTCGTTGTCATTGTCTGAGTCATATTCGTGTGCTTCATCTTCGCCTTCAAACTCTTCCGTGGACTCTGCCAGCTTCATACCTTTCCTTGCCGCAGTGATAGTAACTCCAGTATTCGCACACAATTTCCGTCCCTCATTCACGATCTGACCAACAAGTTCTTTGGTGGGAGCTAGAATAATGGCCCTCGTATGCCTTTCGCTTGACGACTTGTGCTCTCGTCTGATCTTCTCAATGGTCGGAACGAGAAAGGCGAGTGTCTTGCCGCTTCCAGTCGGAGCCACAGTCAACAGATCTGGTGCGTTCTCAGGGTCTGAGAGCAGCACAGGCAAGGCGGCTGTCTGTACCTCGCTAGGCTCATAGTATGCCTGTGCCCTGACATTGCGCTGAATCGCTTCGCAGACCTGGCACTGAGATTTCAACAGCTCAAAGCTGGTAAGTGGCTGAGGAAATACTCGAGCATATTCCTTCTGCTGCTTCTTGGTCCGTTTCTTCGATGTTTTGCGGAGTAATCGCAGATCAACAATTCGGATCTTGTGCTTGCTTTGGATTTCTCTGACTTCCTCCGGCGAGAGATCCTGAGGCTTCTCCTCGTCGGCTCTTTTCCGCTTCTTGGGATTAATTTGTTCCGATGGTAGTTCTTGATTACCTTCCGAAGGAAGAGGCGTACTGTTTGCTGTCTTGGCCTGATTTGGTCTCAAGTTTGTCGATCTGGTCAGTAGCCTCAGCGCGTCCATGGTGCTGCGTTATTAGACCAAGCGAAGCTATCAAAACATGTGTGAGAGCATCTATAGACCAGCGAAGTCGAACATCGAGAAATTTACGTGGATCAAGAGATCAGATCAGGCCGAACATTAGCCGGCGCGAGGCAATGTTCAAGACGCGGCGTCATCGTCCTCAAGCTGCTCTTTCACGAATTGTGCTACTCCCATATGCGACGGTGTTGAGCGTGCTGTTGTGCTACGGCTCTCGGTACGCTGCCAATGAACATGCGCTCATGCCTGATTGACGATCCGCACCGCCACGATCCTCCTGATTGAACGCCACTTCCGCACCAGCGACCGCAAAGATGGTTATTGGACTTATGATTATTATGGCGATTCCGACCATCACAGGGACTGCACAGGCCTATTCTGCGCAGAAGACTCAGGAGGATCGCAAAAAGGAGGAGAAGCGCATGAAGAAGTTCTACATCGACGTAGGATGCGACGCCGAATTTCGAGGCGTAGAGAACATTCGTGGTCACAGAGTGGTGCTGCGCAATGACAGGGTCTATCTTGGGCCTACAGAGGCCACAAATCCGTCGCGCGATGGCTATGTTGCGGAAGCGTTCTATATTGAGTACCCAGACAGCGAGAGAAACCCTGTGCCACTCGGGCTCGTGAGTCAGACCCGTGCGGAGCCGCCTCTTCTGAACTGGATATATGTCGACAAAGAGACGGCCGAGCTGAAGTACGGCAATAAGACGCAGAGCATAGAGCACATGGTTGGACCTTGGGACTGGACGAAGGACGAATCGAGGATAACTTTCACCAAGAAACAGCTCTTCATTGCTGTTGAAGACCCGCGGTCAAAGGTCTGGCAATTGTACTACGATATCGATGATGATGGACTGGCTAAATTCGTGACGGGTAAAAGACGGAAGAGGATGGTCTACGTTGACCTAAACCGTACTGAGATGCCAGAGACTTGAGTCGGTTGCTCTGCGGGCGGCGAGCAGGAGTGTCCTCCGCTGTCCGCATCGGTGCATTGTTGCTTCTCTTACTGGTCGACGACCACGAGCACAACGATACCTGTCTCTACATTGTTGACGGTGAAAGGGGTGACAAACGATGCTGCAGCTCTGCTTCGATCCGTGGAGTGTGTCTCGTGCGCGAGACCATAGCTGCCACGCCTCTGGAGTGCGGACCGCAGGGCTAGACCAGCAGTTGCAGAAGGTTTGTATCTTGCACTCATATATTCTGCCGCTTTTCAAGGCCATCGTCGTGTACCCATGGAATCAATAGCAAGCGATTTGGAGATGATCGTCGAGCTGCTAGGTATAATTGACTAAATCCAGAGATGAATTGTTTTCTAACTTACTTCATTAGTAGAGATTTGTAGATGCAGGCCGCCTAAGACGGGCTATTGACCTCAGTGGGTGACTCGCATTTGTGAAGGAAAGTGCCCCGTGTCCTTGCCCCGCGTTGGCAATTGCCTTCTTCGCTAGCGCCTCAAGGCAAACGCCCTTAGCGCGTTCGTCATTCAAGTCACGATAGTCGATTTCATTGTTGTCAGTCAGTCTTATACCATTCAGTGCATCATCAAATCGCCATGGACTCACTTGGAAGCGCACCATAGCGAAGGTCATTCGAAGGTACAGACATGGCTGCTAGCAACTCATCTTTACGAACAATCGTGTGCGACGCAAGCAATTGAGTCTATACCTCCTCGCAATCTCGACTAGCGTGTAGCGCCAGACTTCTCAGCACGACAACCTTCACACCTCTGCATGCTTGATCGCCAGGATCATACCATTACGGACAGTGGTTAAATGACAGAAACTTAGGAATTCGGGAAGCCCTCGGCATGTTCCCATCTACATGCAAGAAGTAAACTGGATCTGGGAAAAGCAAACATGTCTCGGCTCGCATTCCGTCCCGCGAGCAAACCAGACGGGTGGGAAGAACTCAAGTTAGAACCTTACACAGATGGCGACCCAAATAAGTGGCCCCAACATCCGTACAGAACCAGCGACTCCTCAAACTACCAGAAAGATCTGGCAGCGGCATGGAAAGGACGAGTGGGAGTCTACTGGCTTGAGAAACTGCCTGATGGGTACGGTGTCTTTGAAACTGATCAACCAGGCGGACCTCAAACATACAAACGTCTCTTTGGCCATCCATCAGGACGATTCTACGACTCAATAAAGAAGTTCACGCCTCATTTCTTGTGGTTGATGGGTGGCAAGCAGGGAAGCTGTGAATGTCACATGTGCTCCAGAAACAACAAAGCACCCGTCATTCCACGACCGCGCCGCCCACGAGAACTGATCGATACTTCCCTCCTGAGTCGTCGCCGGCAGGCCAGTGGTACAGGCGACGAGGACATGAGTGACAATGCCCCAAGAAGTCGACGTGCTCGAAGAGAAGTCAAATCAGCGGGGGCTCCGGATGTTGTTGACGAAGAGGGTACAGAAGATGTCTACAAGAAATTCGTCATGAGATTATACGCTGCTAAAGACGCCAGCAGGGGTATCGACGACGACATCGTAGAGCTCAACTCGCTCGATTGGCGCGCCGAACATGATGAAGAGAGTGATGCCTTCCCCAGCCTTCTACCCGGGATGCTTAGGCAGCTCGAGCATCAACCTTCTTTCATACCTCGGATGGGAGAAGTCGTATTATGGGTTCCCGATTTCCTGGATGGCCACTACTTAATCGAAGATAAGAAAGATGGCATCACAAAGTTCTTCTCGTACGAACACAGACGGTTCTCCGCCGTGCCTCAGTGGCGAGCAGGCGTGATTACAGCTGTCCCCAATGCCGACCTTGAGAACGGCCAAGTGGACTTCCAGGATATCCTGCAGCTACCAAAGAAAACGACAGATCTGAACAGATCTGGCTTTCGAGTGGAGACCTTACCAGATCCGAACGATTTGGAGGGCAAATCGGTGTCAAAGCAATACAAATATGTTCCGCTGAGATCTGTACGACCACTATCACAGTGGCAATCAGTACTGCGTGGCATTGACCCCGCAAAGTTGCATCGTTCGATCTCTAATGCGCTCACCACTTGTACGAGCTTCACCCTCGTCGAGAAGCTGAAGTGCACAGGCCAGTGGCCCAATGGGATCATCCATTGCAAGGCCATCTATCTTGGTCCCGAGCTGATCACCACGGGCGACACTGTTCGGTTGTCATCGCCTATGAGCCCAGCGCGGTGTACGCAAGTCCTCAAGCTGGAATCCGTGCGGCTCCACCTGGATGATATGAAGGAAGAGCATGGCAAGAAAGAGTCGCCAGGCCTGGCAAGCCGGATCTGGGTATCATTCGTTGGAAAAGCCTACTCGAGAAATTTCCGAGAGCACTACGAGTTCCAGACTGGGGCGGAGGACAGCCCACTTCCAGCACCAATCTCGAAGTACGAAGCTAAGGAGATATTTGAAGCAGTGGGTGTGGTAGACTATGGTCCTTGGTATCCAATGCACCATCCTGGACTTCGCTTTGAGGTCTCGCTCGAGCAAGTGCTCGGAAGGCTCCATGAGCCGAAGGCGGTCAGGCTATGGAATGGAGAAATCAGGAGATCGCGGAGACGTAGTGAGAAACAACAAAAGCCCCAGCTCAACTACGATACCGAGGCCATCATCTCAGCTCGCCAATGCTCTACACGGATGGACAGGAGGACCCCGAGGCCCGAGGGTGACGACATCCTTTGGTATTGGGCTGATACAAGAGCATTGGCGCTCGGTGTCGAGTCTTTCAATGGCCTGGAAGTCGACAATTACTGGGAAGTCCGAGACAAAACTACGCTGAATTTGTGGCACAATCAGCTCAAAATTCTCAATGGTGTGCAAGTGCTACCTGGAATCGACAATCAGTTCGTGCAGATACCGGGCTTGCCTGGCGAGAGACGTGGTCGCAAGAAGGGCAGTAAAGTGATCAACGGCAAGCTTGTCAATCCCGGAGATCCCGAGTATGATGCGGTGTATGGAGAAGGACATGCTGGCAGCGATGAGAGCAAGCCCAAGCCTAGCAGTCAAATGGCCGGGGCAGCAATGGCGTCCACAGACGAAGAGAGCAACGATGATGAGGAAGACGCGGACGAACAGCGGGGAGCTGATCTTAGTACGTGGATGCAGCCAGCGCCAAAGTGGAAGTTGGTCGACAGCGATGATGACATACAAATGTTGGAGCCAGTACCCGGCGCATCGGCGGCAAGACCACCTCAGCGTAGTATGTCAGGTGCGGCCGTCAACCATGGATCAAAGGGTGAGGTCAAAAAGGCTCCGTTATCGAAGGCAGAGATCATGGAAGGGGAAGCGATGCCGAGTATAGAAGACTACGATGACGTTACTTCTGAAAGTGAGGATGATTGGGACCATGTGCCTCCTGCTAGAGGTGGCACAGAAGAGACAGAGGGTGGTGATTACGATCCAAGGAAGGAGGCTCTACATCGAGGAAGACGTAGCGTTTCTGATTAATGCTGACATTGGAAACACTTGGTCGAGTCGGGGACCAATACTAGACAAGCTTCTCCTATAGAGTGCGAGACCTTTGGAGAAGAGAGCCCGATTTTAAGTAGCATCGACATGAGTACCTGGGTACGTACCTATTCTACTCAGTAGCAGTAGCAGTATGGGAAGTTCGAGTCAGTCCAGGTCACGTGTGTCCCAATATTGAATCGCTTTTTGCTCGTCTGATGCCAAGAGTTCGAGAGGCTTGGCAAAGCCCACGCCGACTCGGATTTTCTAAACTGCGCATTTCGACCTCATCACGGTTGAAGATCACGACCATTTTCTTCTCTCAAGGACTCATCTTACCTCAACACCGACAAGATGGTCCGCTACGCCCCCCAACACATCACACCTGCGAAGTCCGCTCGCTCGCGTGGCTCGTACCTGCGTGTCAGCTTCAAGAACACTCGCGAGACCGCCCAGGCCATCAACGGCTGGAAAGTTCAGCGCGCAATCAAATACCTCGAGAATGTGCAAGAGTTGAAGGAGTGTGTGCCTATGCGTCGGTATGCTGGTAGCACTGGAAGAAGCGCTCAAGGTACGTGAAACTGGGTTGAGAGAATTCTACAAAAGAGCAGGAAAGCCGCTGCATGGATCATCGCTCGCATGGCTCTACTCAGACACTCTACGAGACAATCGAGAAACACTTATGCTGACATCGCGATTGCACAACAGGCAAGAACTTCGGCGTCTCCAAGGCCCGTCACCCAGTCAAGTCCGCCGAATTCCTCCTCGATCTCCTCAAGAACGCCGAGGCCAACGCCGACACCAAGGGTCTCGACACCAGCAACCTCGTCGTCAAGCACATCCAAGTCAACCAGGCTCCCAAGCAGCGTCGTCGCACATACCGTGCCCACGGTCGCATCAACCCTTACATGAGCAACCCCTGCCACGTGGAGTTGATCTTGACTGAAGGTGCGGAGGAGGTTAGCAAGACAAAGGATTTGGTCAAGGAGCCGAGATTGAACTCGAGACAGCGGGGTCAGCGGGCACGACGGGCTATTGCTAGCTCATAGAGGAGTCGACGAGAGTGGTGAGATTCTTTTGACGGTCTAGTCTTGTGGCAGTCGATGAAGGAGAACAGCCGGAAACACTCTCGCACCCGAATAGTGCTCACTGCCTGCTGCGAAGTTCGCTCAGATTTGGGTCCACAAGGACGAGTCGTGTGTTCAGCGGCTACCGAATGATAGGGACAACGCCATCGCAGTGAGTTCCTGTCATCAACACAGTCAAAGGTCTTCGTCTGCGGCTGGGCGACTTTTCGGAAGACCATAGGCATTTGCGAAGAAACGATCAAGGCTCTTTGCACTTAGCGATGGTGGCAACCGTGTAATATACGGTTGCGTGAAAATGATAACACAAATCCACACTGAACCTTTGAAGTCAAAACACACTGTCACACAAGCAGAAACGCTCGCAGACGGCTTTGACATCATGTGTAGGTATGTAGAAGCCATGCACGACCCGCTCTCTGCCTCGCACGGTCATTCCACTACTGCCCTGCATTATGTCCTGTCCTGCCCTACCCTGCTCTACACACGTATGAGGATCGCAATCAGCCTTCCCCGTACCACTGTCAGTCGCTCCTTCCTGGTGACTTATCTCATGGAAATGATCTCAAGTCCCGAGGCACCTTCCGTGAGTAGTTCAGCGTCCCTGCCTCCCCTCCTTCCCTAACCCCGTCATCGATTGTCCCTCCTGCCCTCGTCTTCCGTGCAAGCCGTCGTCGTCACTGCCTCTTCTCCTCCCAAATGACTGCGGCAGACAGCATCCTCAACGCTGCTGCCTTTGACCGTTTCCTCCTTTCCTGGTTGAAGCTCAAATCCGGATTGTGCAGCTAATTCCCTGTCCAGCTCGTCGTCCCGTTTCGCAGCTGGTCTCGCAGCTCCTGCCGTCTTAGACCCGGTTGGATATATCCCTCGCATTTATGACCAGACTTCAGACAGTTGTCACCTAGTAGGAATGACAACGGTCAGGCTCAATTCATTGACACGACCAACCGGCACAGAAAGCACGAGACTTACAGCTTGGCTTCGCCTCGTCGCATTTCTTCTTACGCCTGCGACAAGTCTTGCAACCTGTTTTAGTTCTTCGTGCGAAGCGTCGTCCCCAACTCAAGTTCCAGTTTGCTGAGGCCGCGTCAGGTGTGCCTGGTGGGGTGGGAAGACTGTCTTGACTGTTTTCCGGTCCGCCCGCGGCAGCGGTTGACATAGGGATTCTACTGGTGGTGGACGAGCAATTGAAGGGTATCTGATCTGGGGCTGACTTTGATATTCTACAATCTGTGCGAGTGCTGGATGACTGTCTCGATCACGTCTACGATTGGGTGTTGAAGTTGGAGGAAGCCCGAACGATGACGGTGGAGTGCATGAATGCTTAACATTTATATTCCGGAGCCCTCCTCACGAGTGCACTACCTAATTGAACAGGTACCCTGCCACGCATACTATCCTGGACATTGCCATAACTTCCCTCATAGCGCTCGCGACATGTGAGATTCAGCCCAAAATTCTAGTCGCGCACGACTTGCGTCTGTGTTGTAGACCATTGAGCCTCCGGCTTCCTGAACAAGCTCACTACACGCTCAAACAGGTCGTGCACACTCGGCACCTCAGTCGAGCTCTGGAATCCGAAGATGTTGTCAATAGTCTTAGGTCTACCAGCTGTAACCTCTTCGTCAATTTCCATTACATCAGTGTCCAGTGCAGGTGGCTGGCTCTGTGCCTCGGACTGTTCTGCGGGTGAAGACTTGCCAAAGATTGCGTCCAGCCCCTTGAACGAATCCTGCTTGTAGCCGGGTCCGGACTTTGATCTCCTGCTGCTGGAGAAACCAGCCCGGACTTGTCTGATCTCGGAACTGCTGTCAATGACAATGTAGCCAGGCGATGTTGGCGAGGCGAGCAGAGAAGTGATTTGCCCGTCAACGAGTCCGTCGAAGAGTACAGCAGGAGAGGTAACGTCGTGGAGCTCACTAGTTCCAAGACTCGGATCTAGGTCGTCCAATGCTGCCCGTAGATCGAACACGAGTACTCTACCGGGCAAGATGTCTTCTGATGGGTTCAGGCCGAGCGCGAATGTCCCGTCAAGGGGATTGGCGGCCAGGTGGTGGCATTTCGATTCGGACTGTAGTGACAGATCGCCGCCCAACGAGATGGATTTAATGATGCTAGAGTTGACAGTGTCATATACGGTGAAGCTTGTCGACGTAAGGGTAAGGAGGTGTTGGTCGACAAAGGTCGTTGCAATGCTCGATCTGATCGAGTTGAATAATGCAGTCACACCGTGCATGGGCAAGTCGGCTGCGTCCGGAATCAGGTAGGTCCACTGCGGGCCAGCAGAAGTCATGTATGACGCTGCTACAACACTGCCATCTTGAGAGTACGACAGTGCGGCCGCGGTTATATTGGACCCAACGACACAGGAAACAGCTCGGGCGACGCCCCAATTATACAGCTGCTGTCCGCTCTGGTTCCTCACTGGAACGCCGTCACGTCTCCGGGCCTTCGGCGTCCAATACAACACAGTGCCATCGCTAGCTGTAGTGGCAAACTCGACACGGGCAGGATTTTGTGACAAGGCCAGAATCTTGCTGGACTCGTGAGGCTGATCTACCCGATTGACGAGCTCCCAGTCGTTCTCATCTTCGTTTCTGGACCAGAATCTCAAGGACGTCTCGAAGCCCCGGCGGCTAGAGTCTGCGTCCTCGGCGAGAAGGACACCACTCGAATCACGAACGGCTGGGCGCCACTGCTCCGTAGTCATAAGCCACCGCCCTTCATAGCTCATACCAAGATGTGATATACTGGGCTCTTTGATCTGCTGTCCTTCGGGACCGACATTGACGGTGGTTGTCAGATTGCGAGTCAGAGCTTGACGTGAGATCTGCATATCTGACGAGAAATCGTAGGTCTGCAAAATGGAAGTCTGATCTGACGACGTATTCGCTCGTGGCACTGCTGCTAGCAGATGGCCGGCTTTTGTGTGGTCTGCGACCGTTGGCATCCTGCCGTTCAGAGCACGACCGCCGGCCAAGAGTGCTATATTGGCCGTTGGTGACAAGTCTGACGTCGAAAGAACCATGATGGAGTTGTCGCCAAGGTGAAGAGCATACGAAGAGCCTCTCTTCGACACAGTCAACCGCACGATGTCGGTGGACAAATGAGGCAGGAATTGCTGCTTGTTGGTATCGAGCTGCCAGATGACAAGGACGGTCTCGCTGCCACCAGAGATCACATAATTGCCGTCGCGAGACCACTTGGCTGTATTGACAGCAGCTCGATGCCAATTCAGGGAACGAGCATTGATCGACCCTTCTTTCTTCTTTTCCTTGCTGACAAGCTTGTGAAGCAAGTCTTCGTAGAGCAAGATGGATCCGTCATTGAGGCCGACGACGACATCCAGTCGCTTGCGTGGTGGTTTGGCTTGGACGTCAGAGACTCTGCCATCGACGCATGAGACGTTGCTCGGGAGAGGGAATTCCCGCCATGTTGGAGTGGACTGTGTGTAGTTGGGGATCTGGAAGCTCGTTGAACTGCCAATAATGAGACGGCTAAGAGCAGAGACGATAATGATGCCTGCCTCCTCGAAAAGCTGGATCTCGGGATTGAGTCCAGTCCTCGACATGAGTAGCTGTATGTTCGTCGCCTTTTTGTTATCTGGATCAAGTGCATAGACAATGAGACGTCGGTCCTCGAAAGTCGGGTCATGGAGTGCTATGACAAGTTCGGAATCGGCAGGTCCTCTTGAAATCATGGATATCAGACGTCGCAGACCTTTGGAGGACTTCCATTGATGCAGTAGTCGACCACTAGTCCAGTCCCATTGAGTGATTGTTCCGTCGGTATTCCCAACGAAAAGTATGGCTGGGTCGGATTTGGCGAACGTGCATGTTGAGATTGTTCGATGACCCATGGAAAGTGTCCTGACAAGTAAGGAAGTTGCTGCTGAGTAGATGCGTACTCCGTTCCGAGTAGGCAGTATGACATGCTTGTCGTCATCTGTGAGAAGAGGATCTTGGATTAAGAAAGATCCAGCTGTGGCGTCTGATAACGACCATTCTTGATCGCTGACGAGCGCTTCGTCTGGCCTTGACTTGGGCCTATGCTTCCTCCTCTTTTTGGGCACCGTAGGCTTCTCGATTCGGTCTTCGAGCGGCCTGGATTTGGCAAGTCTTTCAACAGATGCTACATCGTCTGAAGAGTTGCTCACGCGTTCGAGTGCTTGAGCGATTTGAGCAAGATCGACCACCTCTGGGCGTTCAATTCGTGCTTCAAGTCCAGCAGAGATGTCCTTGTCTTGGTCGGCGTGCTTATTCAATCTCTTGCCACCCCTTCGGTTCTTCTTCCTTTTCCTCTGCGATTCCGGCTCCTTTCTGCCGTGCATATCATCATTCTGTCGTAGATGGTCGTCTCCTCCAAGCGGCTCGGTAGGCTCACCATCCCGTCGTTCGTCTGAAGTCTCCACCGGTGGGCTTGCTTCAGAGGATGGCTGGTCCTTGCGTTTGCTTTTGCGCCTCTTGGGCTTTCTGACTGCGGAAGTAGCGAATGCCGGGTCGCCGACAGGTGAAGGCGAATTGATCCCTGACTGCTGTGATTCCCGCTGAAGCTGTTGGGCAGCATCGTCGTTGTCGCCGGATTCCTGGCGCTTGTGCTTGTTCTTACGATTCCTCCGCTTCTTTGATGTTTGCTGCTCGTGGTCCTGAACGGCTTCGAAGGCCTCCGTGGCCTTCCTCTTGCTACCCTGCGACATGGCAAATTGGCATGCAGGACACAGTAGTAGATTACCCGTGGCTGCCCTCTATCACACACAAGCAGCAAGTCACTGCTTCGTATTCATCAACTTTTCAAATATTTTTCTCCAACTTTGCATTCCACTTTTGACGTTTGGTGGCTCAGCGGGTCTCCGCATAACCACCATGGAATTGGATACGGCATACGAGACGGGGCACATGCGTCAACGGTCTTTAGGTGTGCCTGCTGCAGTGGGGAATGACGATATGCAGCTGCCAAACGCCGAAACACATGGACGACCGCGGATGACCTCAACCTGGAAGGCACATCCCGCGAACTGCAGATTCCCGGCGCAAACATTCAGTCAAGTCAAGGTTGTCACTGACAAAAGTTTGCGTCCATTGTATTCAAGTCCAGTATATCTCAGTCTCTGAAGTGTCCTTCAGCCCACGACACTCAGCTCGACCTCCACATCTGATTTCCAAGCATACTTTGCCAATACTAGTATCTCATCGCGCACGTCGACGGTCTAGTCCAGGCCTGGTTGTTGCCGCCGTAATGGCAGACACTTCCGCACCCTCGGAGGACGCCTCAGTCTCGTTCAACGTCAAGTCCACTGGCAATGCCAAATACAACTTCTCACTGCCACTGTCCACCACCGTCGCCGATCTCAAGGCCAAGCTTGCCACTGCAGAGTATGCCAACGTTCCTGCCAACGCTCAGCGCCTCATCTACAGCGGCAAGGTTCTCAAGGATGGCGATACTCTAGCCATGTACAACGTCAAAGACGGCAATACCATGCATTTGGTCAAGAGCGCCGCAAGCAACCAGAGACAGAACCCCGCCACGTCACAACCCTCAGCCAACACTTCATCACCAACGCCAGCTGCTGTGCCAGGTGTACCACAGAACCTCGCCGCTGGCACTGGTAACGATCCTTTGGCTGGTCTCACAGGCGCACGATATGCTGGCTTCGCTGGTCTCCCCAACTTAGAACAGCTACGAAACCCTCCCACACAAGAAGACATGATCCGCCAACTGCAAGATCCCCACTTCGCAAGCACAATGAGAGAGGCTCTGAACAACCCACAATTCATCGACATGATGATCAATTCAAACCCCGAATTCAGAGCTATGGGCCCGGCTGCACGACAGATGTTACAGTCCGAACACTTCAGACGCATGATGACTGACCCGGAAACCATGCGAGGTATGCTACAGATGCAACAGATGATGGGCGGTATGGGTTCGGCGCAAAACGCTTTCCCTGCTCCAGGTGCTACCACTACCACAGATCCAGCGCAGCCTGGACAGGGACAAACTCAGCCGGCCAACCCATCGCCATTCGGTGGTGCTCCTGGTCAGAATCCTTTCGCTGCTTTGATGGGCGGCGGTGCCGGCGCCAATCCCTTCGCTGCTCTCATGGGTCAGCAGCCACAGCAGCAGGGTCAAGATGGTCAGAACACGAACAACACGCCTTCCGACACGGCCAACCCATTCGCCCAGAATCCCTTCATGGCAAATAATCCCTTCATGCAGAATCCCGAAGCCATGCGAAACTTGTTACAAGCATTTGGCGGTGGGTTCAACCCCAATCCCCAAGATCCTTCCGCAACAGCAGGTACAGGTGGAGCCACCGGTACGGGCACAGACGGCAATGCGCAGCAGGCAAATTGGATGAACATGCTTGCACAGATGGGAATGGGAGGAGGTCTTGGAGGAGGCTTTGGTGGCCCTCCGGATAATCCTCCACCAGAAGAACGCTTTTCAACGCAGCTGCGACAGCTCAACGAGATGGGTTTCCACAACTTCGATCAGAATATTCAGGCATTGTCGAGGTCAGGCGGTGATGTGAATGGTGCTTTGGAGTGGTTGTTCAGCCAACCTTCGTAGGTAGAGGAGTATCTGGAGACCAACACTTCTCGCCAGTGATTTGGGGCAGAACATGACTACTATGGAGGTTGCATGAAGATCTTGCATTGAAGGGTGACGATACGAATACCACGGCGCATTGGCTTGACGTGATATGTTAGTTGCTGACAGGGGCAATCATCGTTACCACTGGGTTCAGAACCATACCGGGAAGGCCACCCATTCTGATGACAGCAGGCAATCCACGTGCAGTAAATGAATAGAGCAATGGACACACCCGACACGAATCGTCTAGAAAGTTCTTGCATTCCTGGTGGTGATCTTGACCACCGGATATAAGGGACTTCCTCAGGGATCTGGTCTCAGCGTAGTCTCTGCTATTCCCCTCTGGATAGCAGCAGTCCGACCTCATCACTCCTGCTCTTACGACAACCAAACAGCAGTAGCTGCGCCTTCAACTTTATCTCCACCGCCTTCCAATCTCACTCTTGCAGCCTCCTTGATCTCCCGCCCATCCCAGCTCAACACCATCACATACCCCTTCTCGCTATCCGTCAGTGCCAGATACTCCACGCCATCCACCGTCGGCCCAGGCTGGACCGCGTTCGCCCAGCCGCCGGACGTAGGCGTTTCCCATAGCGCTAGGAGACCATTTTGGTTGTGCTCGTCTTTCGAGTCTTCTGCTGTCTCCGAGCCAGTCGAGGTGATGAGCCCATTCACGTCCAGCGCATAGACTGCCACCCACCCCGGCGTGACCCCCTCCTTCAGACCCCGCGTACTAGCATACAGATACTTCGGACTCCCACCATTCGACAAACTCGTCCTCACCTCATCCGCCCAAAACAACTCCTTCCCGTGCTCCTTCGGCACAATCCTCCTGCCCTGCACCCACGTCAACTTCACACCTGCCTCATCACACTCAAACACGTCCACAATGCTTGTATGCTCCTGCAAGCAATACACCACCTTCCCATTCGGATGCGGCCACACGTGTCGCGGCCCGTCGTCCGGTCGCGGACTGATGTGTTTCTCGCCGAGGGTGAGGGTACCGTTAGTAGGGGAGACGGAGTACGTCCAGATGCAGTTGCGGCCGATGTCGGCTACGTAGAGGGCATGTTCGCTGGGGGAGAGGTCGGTGGAGTGGGCGCCGTGGCGGAGGCCGCCGAAGTCGAGGACCGCGTTACCTGCGTTCTGCTTGTTCTCTGCGTCGATGAAGGAGAGGGTTTGGAGTGGTTGGATTTTGGATGAGGTGTTGGTGCCGTTTGGATGGTTTGAGTCGGGCTTTTCCGATGACGGTTGAATGATGGCGCCGCTCTCTGGGTCAAGCGAGAAGACCTCCCCGGACGGTCCGCCAGCGGAGAACAACGCGGTCTTGGTGGCGGTTACGTAGCCTGATCGTGTTGCCGTGTGGGCCAGCGAGATCTGTGAGACGGATTTACCTGCTGAGTCGTTGATCTTATAGGCGGCTACGGATGGTGGCTCGGTCCAGGCTGTGGCGTAGAGGTTCGTTTTGGATTCGTTGAGGTGTAGCCATGAGTGTGAGCCGACGGCGTTGTGCTTGGCTAGGATGGTCAAGGTTGATGGAGGGGTGAAACTCAGGGTGTATAGATGGGGTGTGTTGAAGGTGCCGACTATGAAGTTGTGGGAGTCGGGCATGATGGTGATGGTGGTGGTGGTGAATGATCTTCTGTTCCTGACGAAAGTTGTGGTGCTGTCTGCCTGGGGCTACGTACTGCCGCACTATGTCTATGCCCTCGTGTATCAGGATGAGTCGTTAGAGGCGACTAGCATGTCTTTTTGCTTTCGGAGTGCGTGATCCGAGAGGGCACATCCGAGCATGCATTTAACGTAACACGGGCCGCTGAATGGATAGACTGTTCACAACTTGTGCTTTTCTCCACTGCACCTGCCTTAATGGATGCGATTGTACCTACGCGAAGACGCCGTGGCCATCCCATGATTCCCGGAGTCCCTTCAGTCGCTTAGGCCGTAGAGCCTTTACTCGATGTCGATGCGGTCGGCAACGATCCCGAGTCTTTGCCCTCCCCGCCGCTTGGCCACGGCCCCGCGCAGTCGCCGCTCGAGCCAATGGGAAATCCATCGGGGCGCGGAAGTTTCCCCAATGACAACTCGGCGCTGTAGCGCTGTAGGAGGGGTTGAGTTGGGGTAACACGACTGCTTGATGCTGAGAAAGCCGTACTCGAGGTCGACGTAGAGAAACAATTGTGACTGCTCGTACTCACAATACATAGCTATATAAGAGCGCTGGTCCCAACGTACATGCTCTTTCAGACAACAGCAGTCCACCAAACAAGCTCTTACCACAAGGACCACCCAACATGCCCTCCAAACTCACAGTCGGCGTTGCCCAAGTGCACACGCAATCCACGACACCCAAGACCCTCTCGCTTCTCCGAAAACACACTCAAGTCGCCGCCGAAAAGAACATCAGCATCCTCCTCTTCCCCGAAGCCTTCCTGGGTGGCTACCCGCGCACGTGCAACTTCGGCGCGGCCATTGGCAGCCGCACGACGCAGGGCCGCGAGCAGTTTCTGCAGTACTTCAAGAGCTGTGTTGACCTGGGCGATACCGCTAAGGGAGAGGAGGAGCGGTGGCTGCGGCGGGAGTTGCAGGTCGATGCGGAGAGTGGGAAGAGAGGGGATGGGACGAGGGAGTATTTGGAGAATGTGAGTCGGGAGACGGGCGTCTTTCTTGTCGTGGGTATGGTGGAGCGTGCGGGCGGGAGTCTGTATTGTGCTGTAGTGTATGTTGATCCTGTCAAGGGCACGATTGCGAAGCGCCGGAAGGTGATGCCAACGGGGACGGAGCGGTTGGTGTGGGCGCAGGGCCAGCCGAGCAATCTGCGGGCTGTGGTGGCGCATGTGAAGGGCGTGAGAGTGGTGATGGGTGCGGTCATCTGTTGGGAGAACTATATGCCCCTGTTGAGGTATGCGTTGTACTCGCAGGGTGTTAATTTGTGGCTGGCGCCAACGGCTGATCCCAGGGGGACGTGGGAGAGTTTGATGAGGACGATCGCGTGTGAGGGGAGGTGTTGGGTTGTCAGTGGCAACCAGTGTATCAAGAGTGCGGACTTGCCAGCTTGGGTTACTGGAAAGGAGAGCAATGGCACGGCAGGTGGACACGATGGAGCTGTCAATGGGACTGCGCCACCCAGCAGCCCACCGGTCGATGGAAGGAGACGCTCGTCCGTCAGCACGCGCACGCAAGAGAACCACGAAATTGTCTGGCGTGCGAAGAGCAATGCGATAGACGAAAGTCCGCTCGAGGAGACCGGGGCTGGTGCGGTGGAGGAGGATCCGAAGGAGTTCGCCTCAGCTGGCGGCTCATGCATTGTCAATCCCATGGGGGAGACGGTCGTTGGACCGGTCTGGAACAAGGACGAAGAGTTGCTTTACGCGGAGATCGACTTCGACGAGTGCGATCGTGGAAGATTGGATTTCGATGCGTCAGGGCACTATTCACGTATGGACGCTTTCCAGCTTACTGTACAGGGTCTGGACATGACGCCACCTCCCTGAGCGAGGGAATCTGTGGTTGTTCTGCCATATAATTACGACCGTCACCAGGGTGAAGAACGATGTGGTCGTACTCAAAAGTCGGCAGATGGGTGTTTGATCTTGTCTCGTACATGCCCAGATTCCTTGAAAAGGATCGAGCAGCATCCAGCTCAAGATCAATGCGACTGATGACAGCAGACCGAGCAAGGCGTGAGACGTACGATCTCAAACGTAGTCCGGAAAACAATGGTGGCAGAAAAGCTTTTGAGACTGTGGCACTTAGCCGGGTAGGGGTATATTCATGCATTACTCATGCACTCGTGTCCGATATCTCTTTCCATAGTGTACAAGTTCCAGCTAGTACGCCACGCGCGTCCTCATATCCGAGATTTTGCGCTCGATCTCCCGAATCGTCCGATCAAGCTCGCCAGCAATCATTTGCTTTTTGTCGCTGGGAAGGAGGAAGAATGTCTCACACAGATCCCCGTCGATGGTGCCTTTGCTGGGAGCGTAGTATGATCGATACATAAGGTGGTCTCTGCCCAGCAATGGCGGATTGCCGGTCGTCGAGGAAAGCTGCATCTCCAAGCTCTGGAAGAAGTCAACGTCTTCTCGACTGACAAAGGGCACGAGCATGCCGAGAGTGCCTTGCAGACCGGTCCAGAAGATGACATCTCTGCCACCTGCTACCAGACTCGTTTTCTGTATGCTTGTTGGAATGTCTCCAGGGAAGTAGTGAGTTACCAGACTCAGCCGATTGGGAGCGCCTGATAAGTATTGTCGTTCGTGTAGGAGGTGAGCGCCAGAACCCTCTTCATCTGCCTCTTCGGACGCTTTTTGAGGACAACGTAGCAGCCATATGTTGCCAAACTTATCGCCTCCTGCTACTGTCTCGTAATCGACCATGGCGGTCGAGGTAGTCCACCGAGCAATCACATCGTCCGCGAAAGGGATAAGCTTGTTCTCCTGATACTTGTAGACGCAATATGTGACACTTTCCTGGCTGTCGCTCACAATGATTCGACTGCCTTGTGTCTGTAGGCCTACGATAACGTTGGTTCCGGCTTGAACCTGGGCCTTACGAAGCATCTGCTTCATTCCAAGGTCGTATATCCGGAGATTGGCTCCGACACCTGCCAGAAGCTTGCCCTGGAATGCAAGAAGTGCTGTCGGAGGTTCGTCAACGCTCGTCTTGTGAATAAACTCCAGCTCTTTTCCATCTTCGTGAAATCTGTAGACGTGTAGGAAGCCGCCCTTGTGTGATCGTGGATTGACGACAAGATCTTTGGCTGTTCCGATGACCAAGAAGGCTTCGTTGTCCTGCCCAGCGAATGGTGCGATGGCTATGCTCGTGGCGCATTCATTGTTTTCGAGCTCCAGAGTGAATAGGACGTCTTTCGCTGACACTGGGTCGATGATCTGCACGCACGATGCCCAGTGGCCTGTGCCGCGGGGGTACCCGAATTCTTGTGGCGGTAATGGTGTGGCGTCACCATTGACTGCGTTGGAGTCGGCGATCAATTGAGTACGTGTACTGAGCGCAAGAACGTTGTTGTCTGCTTCGATGACGTAGAACAGGGGCTGATCTGGATGTCGGACGAACTTGCGTGGCGTGTATGCTAGCGAAATATTGTCTTGGAGTAGGTTTCGCGACAAATCCTCGATCGTGAAAATCCTAAATTATATTCAAGTCAGTAATGTGTTCAAAACTGAGAAGCAGCAAACATTTTGCAAAGAATAATTTTCAGAAGGAACAATTGGAATTTTTAAAGAGTCTCCGCAGCGACGGTGCTGTCCTCGGAAAGAGCATAGTGATGATCATCATGTGAAGTGTGAGAATGAAGGAGAAGAACCTGACGTACCTCAAATTTTGGCCTTGGATGCCAACGATACCCTCGACACACTGTTCGCTGCTAAACGTCCAGGCGAATTGAAGCGGAGCATAGTCAAGCGGTGTGAGCATAAATCCGAGCGTTTGCGGGTCGCTGTATCCCAGCCATGGTCGTGAGCTCAGCGCGAGGACCGCGGGCTGGCTAGCTACTGTGACCCGGAAGAGCTTCACAGGCCTGAGACCTAAGAATCGAGTACGAGTGTCGGATAATTCACCAGTAATTTCGTCCAGCACAGTCCTGAGGTAGACGCCTGAGTAGAGTCCGATGTGCAGGTATAACGTCGTTCCACCTGATACAGAATCTGTCATGGCCAGAATCGAAAGAGCCGAGGGAGCTGAAGTCAGGGCTTGGACAGATTTGTTCTCCAAGGTGGAATCTGGGTCCAGGCTGAGGATGCGGACGGTAGAATCATCACAGCCGACGGCCAGGAAAGAGCTCCGGACACGTCCTTCCGGGACCTCGCCCAAGCTCAGGCATGTTACCGTACCAGTCATTTCTCTTCTTTCGTCGTACTCGGCTAGCGATCCATCGCTGTCGAGCTCGAAATAGACAATCTCACCCGAGCTTAGTGCTACCACGACTTGCCTTTCGTTGGTACTGGCAGTGACGATGGATCGGTGCTGGGGAGCTGGCCACTCATTGACTTTCTTATCGGCACGGATATGTCGAATGCCTTTGGGATGGATTTGCAGCAAAGCATCCTCGCCAAGCTGTTGAATAGCGAGCGTTGGTGCAGTGGACAGAAATCCTGTATCTGTGACTTCTTCGACAGTCTCGCCGATGCTCAGGACCAGCGTTCCGGTCTTGAACGAGAGGACAATGTACGCATCGTATTCGTCGTCTCTGCTAAGCTTTGTCGTCCATACAGCTTCTGGTCGATCTGGCAGTTCTGACTCGACTATTTCGGAAACCGAAAGACCATGCTTGAGTGTCTTGAAGCTACTTCGTGCGCCGGTTCCGCATACTGAGTAGATCTGTGGGGCGTCTTCGTCAAGAAGATTTGCGACTTTGGCATCCATCAAAGGATTTGCGGAATCGATCATCTGTGGTGGAGCAAGATTGATCAGTGACCGTGCATGGAAATAAGCCGGCTCGTATCTTTCGGTTGGATCTGAGGGATAGTCATCACTTGAAAATTCGGTCTCATCGTCATCGTCGCCTAATTTTTCGAATTGATAGAACATATGGTTGCCCCCTTCCGCGGTGACGAATAGAAACCCACTCTTGAGGATGTGCAAGCTGTTGGCAACCGGTACAGTGTCGAAATATTTGACCTTCAAGGCTTTCACTTCGCCTGTGGGCTGACCATTGTCGTCCTCAACCATGTCGATTGTGGCTTTGAACATGTCTCCATCTTCAGTCTGTAAAAGTAGGAAAAATTGGCCCTTGAGCTTATGCATGACACCAGCGACGATGGAACGTTGCCGATCAGGATTTTCCAGTATACCCCGCCGTCGTGGAATTGGAACACGAAATGCGTCCTGATTTGAGTTTCGATATGTTATGTTGTCCTCGGCGCATACCAGTACACCACTCGGTCCATCTGCTCCACCAGGCACTGGGAACAGCCGGCTGGCACTTCGAGCGACTGGCTCAGCCCACCTGCGAACGACGTGATTAAGGCCAAGATCCAGTTCGTAGAAGACTAGCATCTTCTCGAGTTCGTCGAAGGCCTGTCCTGAAGGGTCCTGGTCGGATTCGGTGTAGTCGACCTCGAGGGCAGCAAAAATGGGGTTCTCGTAACCGACATCCAGGGCGATCAGGTCATAGACGATCGTCTGGGGTCGGTGAGCCTCGAGGGGCGAAGATATTGTTAGCTCAGCCTGAGCGTTCCTGTTCAAAACATAGACGATCTTGTTCTTCTCCACCGAGGCAACCATACAGGCTCTGCCTTTAGGGTCGACCGCAAGATATTCGCCGGGTATGACTCTGCGTATGCCCGATTTGCCATATGTCTCGAGATGGACTCGGTTGAATCGGTTCTGCTCACGGACATACTCGAGGATGGTTATGCGACCGGAGTCGGACGTGGCGATCAAATAATCTGCAAATGTTAGCCTCTGTTCTTCAAAGATAGACAAGACTGGTTGTACACTCGCGTGTGTGCTATGTCGCAACAATCACTAAGTGCTCGTTTGGAGAGGAGTTTGGAACATACCTTTGCTGCTGCCAGCTACTCTGAAGACTGCCAATCCTCGAATGATGCCGAAGCAGTCCTGTGTGAAGAGCGGCGAGATTTTGCCTTGGTTGGCATCGGGCCTGTGTATGGTGAGCTTCGAGCCCGACGCAGTGACGATCTGCTGCTCTTTTGTACCGGAAAATTGACCCAAGACTGCAGATGTGATTGCTGATGGCGGCTGGATAGTCAGACTATACATGAACATAGAGCTCGTCGTCGCCATGGTTGCGGTCTTGCCGGTGGCCTCGATATTTCGTTAGATCGTGCGCGAATGGGCGAGGTTTGTGTCCAGAGACATCGCGCAATCGGCCGGGTGTGTTTCGAGTGTCGATCGCGAGCTGTACCAGTGAGGAGGCTCTTGTCGACGCGGTGAAGTGGTAGACTGCGAAAAGTATTGTCTTCACGATGAATTGATTCAGGTGGGCAAAAAAGTCGCCAGATGTCTCGCCGATTTGTTGCCTAAGTGATCCTTCTCGTCTTCCGTAGAACGGGCCTTGCATAATTTATCTGATCAACTTCGCTCGTTCTTTTCAAAGCACTCTATGCTTGATACCGTCTCAACCCACTCGACATAGGAAGTACTTTCGCTGTCGACGGCGCGATCACGACAAGATGATCATCCCAATTCGCTGCTTCTCCTGCGGCAAGGTGAGTCTCCGCTTTCCTAGACTCGTGAACCAGGCATACTGACGACTTCTTAGGTTGTCGCAGACCTGTACGAGCAGTACATCGCCTATCTCGAGCAGGGCATATCTGATGGAGACGCAATGACGAAGCTTGGGTGCACGCGCTACTGTTGCCGACGTATGCTCATGACACACGTGGACCTCATCGACAAATTGCTGCAATACGATCCCACCAAGAAGAAGGCTGGAGAAGGAGGCAGGCAAGCGCAGGATGCATGAATGAGCTCGAGACATGATTGAACGACACACAAAATCGTCCTCCGAGCGACGATGCCTTGTTCACGCCGCAGCTCTGCGGATTTCTAAGACGGCATAGTCGACCATGAGGCCCATCAGCTATCACTCAATGGGATGAATGTTCGGCCGAAAGCTTGTGGGAACAAATTGGAAGGCGAGGACAACGGCATCACGATCACCAAGAAACCTATGGATCTAGCCGAGTCAAGCACTAGCAAAGGCATACAGACTCCTTGATGTTGATGCACAGACGGAACAGCAAGGGCAGTCCCTTTAGAGCTGCGCCAGGGGTGCATCAAGGCTACGGCGGAGGTGTGCGCGGACGCCGCGTTCAACGTGCTTCGGCAGAGAGTCAATAACACCAGACATGCGAGCAAAAGGTCCACAGAGCATAAGGGCATCGTCGAGCCCGCTGCGTACGCTGGCTGGCGTGGCAACAGATGCGCATAGGTGCCTTGGCCATTAACGTGTCGTGGTGTTCACTCAGCCTGAGCCCTTCACCGCAGCTACGAGGTCGTACCTGCCTCTTCACACTATGACGTGGGAAGTACCTTGAGCATGAGTCCAGCCTGAGGTCGGTCGCACTTTCCTGATCCAAGCTTGTGCTGTGGACATGTATTGCAGGCGCCTAGCACCTTCGATGAAACGTTCCACGGGTGTCACTCGCTCCTCTCGCGTTCCTATCAATACCAATTCATGTTCAAAACACAGAAATAGACTCATCAGCGATTCAAGTCGTCATCTTTACAAGCACTGTTCTGCCGCGCATAAGTGCACCACTGTCCAGTCCCCGTCCCGATCATGACTTTCTGTGCGGCTACTACGGCCTACAGCCCGGCCATATTTGCAGCTCCCATGTTCTTGATGACATCTTCATCGTCATCATCAGCAGCAGCAGCTCGACGTCGGTCCCAAGAAGCATCAAGACGGGCATCCATAGAGGCGTCACGACGGGCATCAATTGAGGCGTCAAGAAGGGCATCGAGAGACGCATCAAGGGATGCATCAAGACCGGCATCAAGGCCAGCGTCAAGGACTGCATCTAAATCGGCATCAAGACAGACATCAAGACCAGCGTCCCGAGCAGGTGATGCGAGTGGTCAAGAAAGGTGACTAAGGACATCCCCAGACTTGCTGAAAACGCGACAGCTAATGATGCTTAGATCTACATCTTCCAATGCGGAGCTACAGCAATCGCAACCCAACTCCAACATGCCGCAGCCCATGCCCGAGATCGCCGAGGTCAACACACGGCCTCCCAGTTACAGAAGCAAGGCCAAGAGTACCCGCAAGCAATCGACTGGATCTCGGATCAAAGCCCGTCTCAGGTCATTGACTGGAGGAAAGGACAAGAAGAAAGTCAACGAGATGGAGGAGTCGCGAGCCACTGCAACTCAAGATGGATAGAAGGGGAAGGTCCTATTTCCTATGTTTGTGCTTTGAGTCTGCGTTGATTCTTGGAAGGCTGTTGTGCTTTCATTCAAGCCAACGGCCGTATTACTACTTACCTAGGTACTGAGGTCTGAGGCAAGTTTGCTCAGGCCATACTATCCATAGAATGACCTAGAAATCCTCCATCTCATCATCATTCGCCTTTGCGGCCTTTCGTCTCCTCTCCTCTTCTCTCCGTCCCCTTTCCTTCACCTTGACCGCTTCATCCCTCAACTTCCGCTGAGTCACGACATACGCGCCCAACGGCGTCTCCTCCCAACTCGTCTCCTTCAAGAATCCCTCAACCTCCTTTCGATCTTTCGGGCTGAATTGCACCTTACTCCGCCGTTCCTCAATCCACCTTGCATTCGCCTCTGACTTTTGCACCAGCAACAGCAGTGCCTGATTGAACTTCGGATTCTTGTTGTTGGTTGGCCCGGGGCGACTGGCAGTCTTGAGCCAGCGTTTCAACATCACGGTCAATGCGAGGGCGAGTTCGGGGTAGGCTATGGACTTTGCCCAGAGGACGAGGAACTCGGAGAGGAGCTCGAGGAGTTGAAGGCCGAGTGAATCTTGGTAGGTGCGGGTTTGAGGTAGCTGGTGGGCGCGCGGAGGGAGGTAGTGAAGTCGAGAGGTTTGAGTGGGGTAGTAGAGGATGGCTGTTTGTTGGTGGCGGGTTTGCGGAGCTCGGGCGAGGAGAGCACTTCTAGGAGGGCGGAGGCTAAGGGGATGTAGGTGCCGGTGGATTGGGAGATGCGGAGGAGGGAGCGAATTAGGTGAAAGCGGAGAGGGAAGTAGGTCGCGGTGGGAATGAGGCGGATGGTGGCGGTGGTGATCTGGACTAGTGGGTAAATGAGTGGACGGAGGTGGGACTCGTTTGCGGACTTGCCGGATTGGGCTTCGGTAAGGGCGTTGCAGTGCGTGGTCAGGACACGAGACCAAAAGTCGAGTGAGTGCACGTACTGCCAGTTGTAGATTTGTTTGTAGGAGTCCTTGGTGGGCTTTGCGACATGTGTACGCAGGTGCATGGCGAGCTGGCGGATGTGTTTGAAGGCGGTGGTGTAAGACACTTTTTGGTCGATGCCGTAGAGCTCGGCGGCAGAGTTCTTCATCAGGTTGATCCCAGGTAGTGTTGTCTCGGTTGGAGAGCGGGCGCCTCGAACGAGTGACTCGTATGTTGATTTGAGGATTGTTTCGCGTAGGCCAGGATCGCCAATGACGGTCAGACGGCGCAAGATGAGGAATGCTGAGATGCGGGTGGCTTCGTCGGATGAAGTGCTGGACCAGATTGTAGATATTGTGCGGATGATGATTTTGAGGAATTTCCGATATTGAAGGAGATAGGCGAGGAGTGGCTCGAAGGAGGCGAGGGCTTTGCGTAAGGTAGTGGAGTCGGAAAGCTGGTTCAGAAGAGTGTGTAGAGATGATATGTGGGACTTGATCAGGGGGCTGAGAGTCTTGAATTTGGGCGTGTTGGTTGAGATGTGGATCTTGCCAGATGCTGACTCTTTGACGGGCAGGTGATGGGCGAGGACTTTGGGGACGTCGTCGAGTGCGGTGATGAGAACTTCATGGTAGACGTCGGAGGATGGTATCTTGTACTTGGTGTCCTTACCCTTTTCTTCCTCTTCGTCGCCAGCGACAGCAGACCGGAATGCAAGGACAACCTGGCGAAGTGATCGGACGGAATTCTGCTCTTCGAGCGCTTTCTTCCATTTGCGCACTGTGGCGAGGTCGAGCTCGGTGTTGGTAGCAGTCTTCTGCTTCTTTGACGGCCGCTCGTCTTCTCCGTCACTAAGCGCATCGACTTCAGCCAGATCGGCATCCTCGTCAAAATCCAGCAACTCTGCGTCATTCTCCTTGAGATACTTGTAGAACTCTGGGTCTTTCTGGGCGAGGGCGTCTAGTTGACCCTTGAAGTCTGCGTCCTCGTCTTCTCCGTCGAAAGAGCCGCCTTCGGAGCCATCATCCTTCGTAGGCTTTTCATCCCTCTTGCGCTTCTTGTTGCTGGACTTTGCAACTGGCTCTGGAATGGCAACACTGTCCTGGAAGAACTCATCACGGTCCATGTCCTCGACATCCGGCTGGTCGTCGACCGCACCACTGTCCGAGACTTGCGCTTCATCCTTCTCAGCTCGTTTGGCAGCATTTCGCTGTCTATTCTCTTTTTGCTTGTGTCGCTGTTTGACTTTGGCGAAATCTTTTCTGCGCTCGAGTGTGCCTGACAGCTTCGACTTCTCGAACTTCTTGGTCGCTTTCGACTGTTTGCCCATTTTGATGGTTCCTGGCGAGCGCGGTGGGCAGAGTGTCGGTGGTCAAGTTGATCGGTCTCAGCACAGAAAATTGAATGCGGTTCTCAAAAAAAATCATGGGGTTCAGCCGGAGTGATCCCGGCACTGGACTCCCCTCACTGAACCTCCAAGTCGGTAACCACATCTGCCTGCAGTGGTGCTATACGTCCTGGATCGTGAGAGCTGCTTCACTCTGTTCGCGTGGGAGCTATTCAGCGTAGCCCTGGCTCGCCATGTACAGCCATTCACAGAGTCCGCGGCCACTGTCGTACGCTCCCACGCCGTATGGCTATACCCCAGGATTCTCTGCTTCAGCGAAGATCAACCTCGACCAGGAGGTCAAGGTTGCGGACTCGGCCGCGGAGAGAGATCTGGTAGACTCTTTGGCAGAGATCTACAGTATCATCCGCACCCTCGATGGTCTTGAAAAGGCATACATTAAAGATGCTCTGCCAGAGCGTGAATACACCGACATATGCTCCAAGCTGCTGAAGCAGTATAGATCAATACTGAATGATGAGACGGTCTCGAGAGAATTCGTCGACCTCGATACCTTTTGCCGGTCCTGGGATGTACGTACGGTAGGTGTCTCTGAAGAACGTGCGACTGACCTAGCACAGATCGAGTGTCCTCGGGCAAAAGAGCGCCTGCGCGTTGGACTGACCGCTGACGAAGTTCTGGTGACCCGCAATGCTCCAAGCGGGCCAGTACCAACATCAACAGCTTCTGGAAGCTTGATACTTGCTGCCACCGAGAATTTCATCACGTTCCTGGACGCGCTCAAACTCAACTACAATTCCAAGTCTGCCTTGCATCCTCTTCTCTCCGATGTCATACAGTCCGTGAATAAGGTCACCGACCAGGATTTCGAGCATCGAGGCAAGATCATACAATGGCTGATAACACTGAACCAAATGAAAACGAGCGAGGAATTAAGCGATGAGCAAGCACAGGATCTAGCTTTCGACATGGAGCAGGCATACAATGGGTTCAAATCCGTCATCACTTAAAGTTACAACTAGCACTTATCGTTGCGACGCCAGATGCTATATTCGCATTCGACCACCGCTTGATGACCAGATTCGTCCTTCCAGTCGTCGTAGCCAGACTCGACGCCCTGCACCACGATTTCGAACTTGGCTTGTCTCATCAGATCCTCCAAATGAGCTCTTTCGCCTGTGTAGTGGAATCGTCTCGGAAGCTCAATCACTACTCGAGCATCACCAGTCTCCTTGAGCCAGCGGGCTATTGTGTCAACCAGCATGGGGGGATGATCGGGCGAGTAGATGGGGTCCGCAGCGATTACGATCATATACTTTTCCTCGTCTTTCGTGGGTGCCGAGGAGAGATCCGACCAGTCCAAAGGCATGGCTGTGGCGTTACCGCGCCAGGAAGATATGGTCTCTCTGTTCAGGCCCAAGTTGTGTTCGAGATTTGGCACGATCTCCGGCAGATCTGTAAGCACAACTGAAGTATGCCATAAGCAAGCCGCGCTGACACCTACCAGCCCTGTTCCAGCGCCGAGTTCCAACACGCTAGTGGTGTCAGGCAGATACTTGGAAAGTCGTTGCAGCTGCTTGGAAAGTAACAGACTCGAGGCCCATGTCTTCAAGCCCAAATTATCGCCCACCAGTGAAGGCTCGTGCAGCTGAATGGCAAGGCCTTCCGCGATATCGAAAGTGCGTGTCATTGCCGGCATGGCTGTGCGTCCAGACCGCTCGCTCAACCGCAAACTCGCAAGCTCCCAGATAGACTCACGAGCATCTTCGTCATCAATCCACACAAGCTTCGATGCGATGATCGATGTCAAATATGCTGGAATGCCGGCCTCTTGGATGGAGCCCTCCTGGGCAGCCACCTCTCCGCTATCCTGGAACCCGTCCGGGGCTTGACGGAGGTCACGCAGGACTTCCATCATCTCGTCTGCACTGGGTTTCTGCCATAGTTGCGGCAGATCAAGTACGTGCAGCGAATCCTCCGCGGATGGCCAATGACGCACGTCACCAGCTTTGTTATCCACGGATCGCGCCATGTAGTCGAGTCACTCAGTCCACACATGCTCTTGCCCACTGACATCCATTATGTCATCTGCTCGGGGATCAGATCAGCCGCAATGAGCCCGTTCTGAAGCATGCCAGGAAAGCCACTGGTTGCGAGAACGACGTTCAGCACGAAGGCAGTGGGAAATCTCCAATGTTTAAGTTTCTGGTGCCTTGGCGCCAAGATTGATGAGATCAGAGAGAATGCAAGTTTCCATGTACGGATAATGTGTAGTAGGTACTGCCATGCCTGCCAGGACATTACGGTGACAATAGTCACAAACTCGCAGCAAACGCCCTTCAGTCCACAAATGACCGACACTTTGGGACCGAGCACATCACTGTCAGCCTGTGAATTCTGCCCTCGTCTGCTGAGGTACCGGATTTGGTGAGGCCCTGGACGCTGCGAGGTCTATCGTACATACGTCAGTACATGGGGGGTGCCCTGCTCCATTTACATTAGGTCCAGCATGCTCCTCTCACGGCGAAGGTCGCATGCAGCAAAGCCAGTACGTGCACCGAAGCATCACCTACAGCGTGCGTGCACATGAACATCGCAGGGTTTCAGGCTAGGTTGCCACTCTCTAGAGATGGTCCATTTTGACCGAAGCCGGACTTCCTGCAAGTCCAAAAAAGTTGACGCGCGATCTAGGGAGGTGCGAGCGGGACCAAATGCTGCGACGTTGCCGGGCCCCAGAAGGATCGTCGGCTTCGATGTCTAACCCGCGAGAGGTTACTGCTTACTGTGAGATATTCACTCGACATAGTGGCGACGATCAACGAAGTATGCTCGAGACATCGTCGCCGACATCATGACGGCGTCGCGAGTCTAAAGTCGGAGAGTTGCTTGAAGGATTGCTTGATACAGATGATGTCTTGGCAGAGTAATTTCCCACAAGCGACTCTGTCTTGGCTCTTGGATTTCCAGATTGATGGGTCACGCCTTGTGCAGATCCACATATCGTACTGCTTTGGCCCAGAATGGGACATCTACACGAAGAAATCGATAAAGGTCTTACGACGCACGGGACGAAGATGACACGAGATCTACTCTACTCTTCATATGCTTCGTCTGCGACGAGCCAACAGCGTACGTATAGTCATGCCTGCCTGTCAACAGTAGATTCTGCAAGAGCGTCACAGATTCACAGTCCAATTAATTATATGCGGTTCTGCGAGGTGCAGACTCTTGCAGTTAATTTGAGTGCAATTTCGGATGTCGTATTGCCCCTTGCGCTTCCCACGTTGGCGGTTTGGGGCGTCTGAAGTGGACTCAACACTCAAGCCAATGACACCCATGGGCCCAATACTACGGCTCCCCACTGACAGGAACAGGCCTAGTCCCTCCACCAACGATCTCTAGCCGGAGCTTTTCTTGGACCATTACCCCTGCGATTTGTTCATCAGAAGCGCGAGTCATCAGCAGGGAGTTTGGGACTGCAATCATGGCCTCGCCGCCTCGACCCCTATAGGAAACAGCACTCTAGGCTCCAAGCCGTCATTGAATAGGCACGGCGGTCGGTGTGCTGCGCAGAACGCCTGAAAACCTACAAGCAAAATTTCCATGACATGGTAGAAATCATATTGTTCCTCCCGATAACTCAACCCCAGGTTCTGCATGTCAGCAGCCAGCCAAAATGTGGATGTAAGCATCATCAGGCCCTGCTGGCTTCGCAACGGCTGTGCGACAACAAAGTCTATTCAGACGACGATGTAGAGATACTATATGGAGTGTGAGGCAAGGCAGCTGCTTCTATCTGTCGCAGGTCGCAGTTCTTCTATGTTCCTTGCATCAGGAGTCACGACTTCTCGTACCTTAGGCTCGTGATGTATGCCGACTCACCGCCGAGGCGGCCCAATAATCTCGCGTTATGTAACGGGTGTTCTCCTTAGCTCATGGAAATCTGGCATTTATTTGCGCGGCTGGGGCCGAACACGGGGTTCTTCTCTCATTAGGGCTGCTGGGCAAGCGCTTGCTCCATTCGAGCCGTTCAGCGTCGTGTTCCTGAGACCAGCCAGTGGCCGAATTGCGCTGGCATTACATTTGTTTACTACAGTCCCGGAAACCTTTTCACGGGTTCGATCATAACGATGTTTCATGTTTCAGCAGCCAAAAGCGGTACGGATTGACCGTGATCGGTAAGCTGAGCAGGCAGATTCACTGAGTGACTCTTCGCGGCGGCACCGTCCCAACATGGCTACGATGAGACGTACTCTCGCAGAATAGTGCTGATGCGCAGTGAGATCTTCTCAGGTATATATGTTCATTCAGAATCTCATTCTCAAGAACCGTCAGTCCTTCTGTTATCATTCCATGGGAGACGTGGACGACGAAGTCGCAGCGAATGACTGCTCGGGACCTGTTGCTGCAGCTGCATTCTGACAGTTGATTACTGCCAAGCTGTAACAAGACAACCACTTTCCGATGGGTGAAAACCGCTTATTCAGGGGTATTTCCAGCGGTAATGGGGTTCGCTGGACAGCCCTTTGCTACTGGACGCACTGCACAATGTCAACACGCATTACACTGTGTTACCACTCGCTTACTGAGTTCCAGGCCGTTCTCAGTGTTGATGGATGTCAAACACCTCTGGGCCCGCAAACTGCCCGTCATCCTGGAAATTGCTCTCGGTCTGAAAAAAGAAACCAGAGCGCCCCGATCGCAGTGTGACTGGCCCTTCCATGGATGCTAGGAGCTGCTAAGCCCTTCCGAATCTCAGGACATTACTGTCGCGCTCGGAACCGTCCATGTGGCTGTAACCTGATTGACCCCAGACACTAGTGAGTGATGAGCCGGGTACGGCTCCTTCTCGTGTGGGAGGAGTCCTCCTGAACAAGTCGCGGTTGCGATGTCCGCCTTGGGCGGAGAGTCTTCATTAAAAGGTGGTCCGCTCGCGTTTCTGGCGGCATGTTCTTCCTCTAACTATCCAGTTCGTACATCTTTTCCAGCACTTGATTGAATTTTCAATCGTCCACTCACTTCGTTGAGCAGCTCCCGCCACCTCTAACCACAGTCATTCGTTATCTAATAACCACCTCCTCCATCATAATGAAGTACCTCACCCTTTTGCCTCTTGCAGGCCTCGCCATCGCAGCCCCGGGCTCTTGGGTTGACGAGCCAGTCAAGGAGACTACTACCTCGACCACCACAACCACCACCGCTGCCACCTGGGCCGACACCGAAATCCCAGTTACCGTCACCGAGACCACCTCCGCGACTGGCACCTACTGCCCGAAGAGCGGCAAGTACACCTACCCTGCCCCAGGCAACGATGTCGCCAAGTGCACGGTCACAGTCAAGGAGGTCACCGTGACCAAGGCCACCGCTACCGTCACCGTCACCAAGACCGAGAGCTCCAAGCCCACTGGCACTGGCAAGAAATGCCTGTCCGACAAGGAGGCTGAGAAGATCGTCGACAACTTCCGTGACCTTCTCGAATACACCAGCTTCCAGCCCACCGCGGAGCGACCAGGTCTGCCAGGCCGCGGCTACCACTTCAACGTCTCCGCCGCCACCCTCGCGCCAGACTTCGTCGATATCTCTGACTCCATTAACTTCATGGCCGGCTTCCCTCTGGCTCCGTCACCTTCCCCAACAAGACCGCTTTCGACTACGGTCAGGGTGTTCTCCAGCCTGAGGTCAAGACCGAGACCCTCAACATCTTCCACGAGTGCAACACCATTGTCTGGCGCTGGAAGATCACCCCCATCACCCAGACTCCTGCTTACCCCGTCGTTGGCATCAACTACATGATCATCAACGACAAGGGTCTCATCCAGAAGAACTACGCTGAGTTCGACAATGGTGCCTGGATCTCCAGCTTCGGTCCCCAGGCCAAGTGCGGTCAGGCGCCGATCTCGGTCGTGCCAGGCAAGTTTGCTACCAAGCACTAAGCTTTTTCAACTTTGTGGGTGTGAGCATAGGGGATGAAGGGATGTCTCGTCATCGATGATGTATATTCTATGTATCTAGCCGATGACGTGGCGTCCTCGTGGAAAGATTGTGTTTTGCATATCTTCGGCGGTCAAGGAAAAGACTAGGGAGCTTCACAAACACCTTACTGGAGCGACAGACATGAATTGTGTCTATATGTGTATTGTTATCCTGTATGCACAGCGCTACCGGTTTGAGGGTCTGCAACATCGACCTTAAAAATCAAGATGTGAATGAGGGAAATTAATGAATGCTTGTTATGGCTCTTCACCAACTTGTCTTCCTTACCTACTGTACGCTTCCGTAGCGTATTATTTCGATTCTTGCCCGGCGCTCTTTGGTGATGCTTCTTGGTTGGTGATAGCGTTCATAAAGTGTTCCGTCGGAGGCTTCCGACTAAAAGCTTCGTCAGCTTCGCAGCCTTGCTGTTGTCCTTTGTTGCTTCGAGGTCTTTCATGCGCGTAGGCTGTACCTATCATGACTTGGGACTGCAAGATGATGGAATCGAGCATAGCTGCCGTTCAAACGAGCTAGCCTTCCGACACGAGGGTGAAAGTGCGGGAGGCGGGTCCTGCAGAGCTCCGACAAATGCTTCGTACGTGCTCACAGCACCTCCCCAGAAGCGGCTTCACGGGCGACTTGCCGATATCAGCCTCAACGACAGTGTGATGGAGGATCTCAGAGCCGCTTCGGCAACATCAGTCTTCTTGCTTACGTATACGAAAGTGCACAACAAAGACAGGGCGTGTATAGAACGAACTCCATGCGGTAAACCTCGGTGCACATGTGCTTGGCATCGAAGACGTCAGTGCTACTACTGTCGCCTTCGTGGCCGAAAGTATCACCGCGTTCGGGACCGAACAATGACTATATAAACATCCTGAGGGTCTCCAAAACTCAGGTTGCTGTCCAGCAATGATACAAGGCACTTTCCGGACATCCCACAAGATCATTCGCGCAGCCCCGCACGTGTATCGCAACATGGCCACTGCATCTGGGAAGTTCGACATCAACACGAGCTACAAACTGAATTCAGGCCACCAGATTCCCGTTCTAGGATATGGCGTCTACCAAACGTAAGTCCATCGTTGAACGAAATACGCTTCCTACACGTTCTCTATGCCCCTGAAATTCGGGATCTTCATCGCTCCCCAAGCAAGGCTGACCACTTGCAGTCCAGCAGCGACTGCCGAATCCGTAGTCCTGCACGCGCTTAAGAATGGCTATCGACATATCGACTCAGCCCGAGCATATCGAAATGAACAGCCGTGCGGCGACGCCATGCGGGCATCCGGGCTCAAACGCGAGGAGATATTCTTCACGAGTAAAGTACCGCCTAAGAGCATGACCTACGATGAAGCCAAGAAATCTATCGCGTCTACCTTTAGCCAAACTGGACTGGACTATGTCGATTTGTATCTGCTTCACGCGCCGTATGGCGGCAAAGAAGGACGTCTCGGCGCGTGGCAAGCACTCCGGGAAGCACAAAAGGAAGGCAAGATCCGGTCAATCGGCGTCTCGAATTATGGAGTGCATCATCTCGCGGAGCTGGAGGAGTATATCAAGAGCTCTGGTGATGGCTCGAAAATCGATGTCAACCAGTGCGAGGTCCATCCTTGGCTACCTCGAAACGACATTGTCGACTGGTGCAAGCAACGTGGCGTGGTCGTCGAGGCATATTGTCCCGTCATCAGAGGCCAGCGTGCCGAGGAGCCGGTCTTGAAGAAACTCAGCGAGAAGCACAACAAGACATGGGCTCAAATTCTGCTGCGTTGGAGTCTGCAGAAAGGCTATGTCCCATTGCCGAAGAGCGAAACATCGAAGCGGATCGAGGAGAACGCTGATATTTACGACTTTGAGCTGGACGAGAGCGATATGAAGGAGCTGGATATGCCTGATTCGTACGAGCCTTGTGCGTGGGATCCAACGACCAGCAAGGACTAGAAGAGTAGATGCGATGTTGGGTATCCATCGACTTCAGATGCTATTGCAAGTTGTACTTTCCGGCCGCGATCAACAGCCCATCCTCGACCCTCGATTCTCGAGCAGCATCGTATTTCTCTTTCCAAAGACCTGCTATTCCACAACTACCAATAACCCGCTAGCGATGATCTCTCGCCTTCCATTGTGTATGGACAGTCATCTGATGATTTGATAAGTTTCTACCTAGGTAACGTCAACTCCAGTACCAGTTCAAACAGGCTTCAGACTTCAAGCGGACCCATCTATGACTGAATACCTCCACGCTGCCTCGTCTTAGTGCTTGTTGCGATGTCCAAGATCAGCACTCCAGAGGAGAATTTGAGTACACCAGCGACCTCTCCTCGAATCTGCTTGTTTACATCTCTCAACGAGAAGCTGCCAGTCACTGGAGGCAGCAGCAGCCCTCTCGAGAGGCCCTGTTCCGTGTCAGGTCCTGAATCGGTTCTCCGGCCGGGCGATCACCACTGCTGGGAACTGATTCGTTGGAGGCAGACTCAGGTTGAACTGATTCGTCAATGGCAGTCTCAGGTTCAGAGCGGTGTCGGACATTCGGCTGCTCATCATTGGGGCCTAACGGCTCATCGTCGCTGTACTCAGTATCGTGGCGCTCGGAAGAACTCTCCTCCACCACTTCGTCTTCATCGCTTGGTTCTGCGTATATGTCAGCTTCCAATCCCCTGCAGTCAAGATACAAGACTGACCCTCACCGTAATCCGCAGTCCACTCGAAGTGACCATCCTCGATTTGCACGACTCGGTCCTCTCGCCAACGGTGATGGCTATTGCGTCTATAACGAACTCCAACAATCTGATCTCGCCCCAGACCCTCGAGTTGGACGGCTGAAATGGTGTACTCCTTTCCCCCAATCGTCGCCGACCCGTCTAACAGACATTTTGGTGCAAGGATGACTCTCTGGCACGAAACTTCGCAAAGGATTCTGGTGGACAGATGACGGACGATGACTCGGTCGCGAGACCATTGGGAGGATTGCAACACTCTGTGTACATTGTTTCTAAACCAGCCATTGTACGTTGGATCGGCTTCGTTTGTGAGGAGTACTTTGTCGTAGCAGCGAATTGACTCCCCGTTCTGGCAGACCGTCAGTCAGGCAATGTATTCGCTGCAGCAGATGACTTACAGGATACCGAAGGCCTTCGTCGACCCGTGTGTGCGCGCGGTCAGGCCAGTGAGACATTGTTTTGGTGTTCTTATGCGATGGGCAGGACGACATCTGTGCCAGAATCTTGATATTCCGCTGCATATATGGTAGAAGGTGGTATTTCCACGTCACGTAGCAAACATCTCTCTTGTCCGACAGCTTGTCTGAGACGATCCTGCTGCACATAGGCCGTTCAGCTGGGACAAGCATCATACATTGAAGCTTTATGATGTGGCTCCCGTCCAGCATCTTCTCGGAAATGCTCAGGAACAATGAATGGACAAACTACCTCGCTCGACCGTGGGCTTGCTACATTGTGACATCTGAGCATTATGAACAATCTGCATACCGACGTCAACGGTTTCTTGACAACGAAAGCTTCCACCAAGACATGAATGCTGTCCTCATTGGGTATGGATGAATACTGCTTGCCACTCGGAAGGTCAAACCCAAGGGATGAGGCAATACCCGTGAGCAAAGGAGCAAAAAGTCCAGTGAGCCCCTGAATGAAGCTCTCGGTCGTGCACCTGCATGCCCTCCACCTTCGCCGCTATCTACGATGCTCGCTTGTTTGACGCTCCGTCACTGTAGCTGTGCGTCCTACTTCGGCTTTGAGAGCTCCCTGACCTTCTCGTACCGACCAGCAGTCATCTCAACTCTCACCCTCTCAACGACACCATCTTCCATCGGCTCAAGAATGTCGAGCAGCACCGATTCCACCATGAAGTCATCCCCGTCCGGCTCACCCGGATACACGAACTCGCCGTCCAGCTTCTGGAATGAAAACAGCAGAGGCGGTGCAGGTACCAGGTTATTGTCTGGCTCATAGCGTCGCTTGTTGGTCTTGACGTTGTCGATCAGAAAAACGCGTGCATTAATTGATGATTCCTTGATGCACCAGAGGTCGTAGTCGTGCGTCCAAGCATCGTCATGGTCGAAGCCGCGTGGACGGAAAGGTTTGACACGGAGTATGACCTCGTCGCCGACCTTTGGCTCGTATTGGACTCTTGGCAGCTGGAGACTGGGTCAGCGTGCTTCGCGCGGATAGTTGCATGAGCATTTGAGACTGGCTTACCTTGCCCTCTCGTTCGCGATCGATATACCCCTGAACCATTGCGCGATACTCATCTGCTGTCATATTGTCATGCCTCCAGTATCTTGGCCGCGATCGTCGCCGCGGTGCTGGCTGAGCGACATCATCGATTCCAGTAGCAACAATCTGCGTGCCAGTCTCGGTGGTCTGTTCTCCCTGTCTGCCCGTCAAACACATTACATCGCACAGATAGAGCATATGACGTACTTCGACTCCATTCGCATTGCCAGTGTAATCTTCAGTGACATCTACGCGGGACTGCTTGCTGAGATCCTCTGAGTCTTCATCGACAGGGTCGAGAGACCGCTTTTCCGCCATGTTCGCAGAATTAGATGGACTCTGATATGAATTTGAGAATGTGAGATGTTAGAAAAAGAAAACAGCTTCCTCAGGCTGGCAGCTGGCAGAAAAGTTTGCGTGCCTTGGCTCGCATTAGGTACGCTTTCGTGGTTGATCAAGATCATTTGTTGCGCTGGAGAACTCTGGCGTATTTAGCAAGGATGCAGAAGGTGTGCTTCCAAGGTCTTCTGCACTGGCATAAGGAACTCATCCTCATCAACACGGTAGATAGTCTCTGTGGACTGGTGCGGAAACAGAAAGAAATCCTCTAGCCGTTTTCCATACTCCAAGTGAAAGCAAGTGCTCTTCGCACAAAGTTGGAAAGACAGTGCCGCATTGTGGTGCCGAGCCGCCTTTGTAGAGAGAAGTCAAGTACAGCGACAATGGAACGGACTCGCGCCAGGATCAGGCCGAAGTGTGATTGAGATGGGTTGAGATGACCTGTTGCAACGATACCGCTGAAAGTAGATCAAGGTCTGCCAGTTCTTCTCGTTCACTCCCATGTGCTGATGCAATGCTGCGTACGTCTTTCCAGTCGATGGCTCCCTGCTGACGACTCTGCCTTCATCTCAGCGGACGCAGCCGCTGACTCCCGTTCTTCGAAGTCCATACACCGTGCTCTTTTGCAAACGCCGAAAAATCGCCGCTTGCTTCAGCTCGCTCGGTAGAAATGACTCTCGACAAATGGCAATGCCCTGACCTCAGCAGCTCTTACTTTGCCGCGTACTTTGACACCCACTTTCGTCCCCTTCTTGTGGTAGCCGTTCTTCACGTAGCCCATCGCGATGTTCTCACCACCCAGAGAAGGTGAAGGGAGGCCAGAGGTGATCGTCCCTATCGATGAAGTCCCGTCCTCACCAATGATCGCGGCGCCTTCTCGGGCGGCGCCACCTTTCTCGAGGAGAATGATGCCTACGCGTCGCCGCGACATAGACGATGGTTTGGCGAGTTGCGGGAGAATGGTCTCAGAACCGTTGAAGGCGGGATCTGTCGGGTGAGTGTCAGTTCACAACGGAATGGTACGCTACCAAAGGCCATCAACTGGAGTAGATGATGGTCAGACAGCCGGGAGGAGCAACTCACTCGGGCTTTTCCTTCTCGACTTTGCAACTACCCAACCCAGGGCAGCCATGGGTGGTGTCACAGTTGTATCGATGTCATGGCCGTACAAACACATGCCAGCTTCCAGCCGCAGACTGTCCCGAGCAGCGAGACCCGCCCACCGCGCATACTCACTGCATAAGATTGCCTTCGCGATTGAACTCGCGAGTGCAACCGAAGAGCCCTTCTCGGGTGGAATGGAGATCTCGAAGCCGTCCTCGCCGGTATAGCCTGCGCAAGATCTCAGTCATATGGTCTGCCGTATTGTGACCGTGCTTGGTAAGTGCGGCTTACCTGTTCGTGAGATCAAGAGCGAAGGAGTTGACAATCGGGTGCCTTCACCAGTACAATTCTCCGGTATTGAAAGCTGCAGCCATCGCGATTGACCGAAATAGAGGGTGGATAGGTCTGTGTCTGCAGGAGCTGTCAGAAGTTGTGGCGTCAAGGGCGCATCTGACGCAACAGTTGAAGACGAGATGGGTAGCCAATCACGCAAAGATTGCTTCTGACCAGGATCAAAGGCTCGGGGAGGAGCATTAAAACTCCAAAGATTGTAGAGGTAGCGCCCGGGAAGCTCAGGCTCGATATGTGTGGGGTTCACAGGATACGAGGATTTCATACCAAGTTGATCATCGTCCGGGTCACGGAAGACAAGTGGTTGTAGGACATCGACAGCCTTTGGGCCCTGCAATGCTAGCAGGGAGTGGTGGTCAAGTATGTGCCAGTTGATCTGATCTGACTTGGCATTCTCTCGCTGCAGGAACTTGTCCATCTCTGCATTGAGGAATGCGAGGTCAGTATCTCGGCAGCCCGCATTAGTGACGAAGTAGAAGCTATCGCGACCGAGGCGCGTAATGACTGTGTCGTCGACGATGCCGCCGTTGGTGTCCAGCAGGGTGGATAAGGTGGAATGGTGCTTCTCGAGAGAGCTAATAGCGGAAGGTGTGATGGTTTCAAGGAACCGGCATGCCAACGGGCCGGATAGCTTGTGCTGCACCATGTGAGACACATCGAATAATGAGGCATTCTCCCGAGTCCATTTGTGGGATTCCGATTGTGACTGATCGGGATATGTGAGTGGCATAGAGTATCCGGCGAATCCAACGAGCTTGGCACCGGCATTTGCATGCATATCGTACAATGGCGTCTGCTTCAGATCGCTGCTTGTCGATGCATACCGCTTGCTGCAGACATTGTAGGCCGGTAAAGGCGCTCTAGTCGCTAAAGCCGCAGGTAAAGTTGGAGAGAAAGAGCCAGTCCCTGGCGTTGCCGGCGTCGGGGTCCTTCGCCGCGACACATTGCGACCGATTTGATGTGCCGCCCGTAGCACAGGACGAAGATTCTTTGCTGAGGCCATGTTCGCGGCCGCCCCTTCCCACCGAGTTTCGAAGCTTGTTGACCAAGCGTTCAGGGAGCGAGGTTCAATCTCATCCCAGACCTTTGTTGTGGCTCAGGTCCTGTCAATTTGAGATAAGAGAGCAAGGCAAGGCAAATAAGGCAACCTCAGGAACAAAAGAGGAGAAGTTGCGGCCAAGGCTCGGCGGTCTTCCCGTGCGCCGTGAAAGCCGCGTGCAGTGACAACCAGATCGAAGTCACAAGGCGCGTGAAGCAGACGCGACTACCAACCCTCTTCGTCGGGCTAAAATGGCCAGGCGGTCTCCTTTTGCTGTTCGGATCACTTGGGATTGCAGATAAGCAGGTATCTATCTCAAAGCTCGTGAAGCGGTTAGCTATCACGTGCTTACCAGCTACTGCTGCCCATAAAGATAGCCTGTGCATTTGGAATTCTTTTTGATCCACCAAATAATTTCAAGTGTTTCGTTCTTACTTGTTACAAGTCAAAGTCTCCGCGCTCAAAGAATCGCATTCGAAGCTCACACACAGCGACGGCGTATATCAGCGCTCGCTCTTCTTCGCTTCGGGAGAAAGTCCCCGGACCGCCTTTCTCGCTCACGCAGGAAAAGGACATGCCGAAAGGCGCCGCCATAAAAGCATCTTCCGCGGCTCACCTCGCCGATTCACCTACTCTTCCTCCTCGAACCCCGTTATGCGACTTGAAAGCTCTCTAAGGTCCGACCTCACTGCCGTTTGTATCCTTCTTGCTCTAGCTCTTGATGGGGTCTTGGTGAAAAGATGGATGGATGAAGATATGAGTCCGTCAGGGTGCTTTGCGCTCGTCTGGAAGGTAGGACCCATGCATCATGCAGTCTCAGAGCCTGAGGAGAGGCGGTGAGGGTAAGCAAAATTGGGATCCGAGTTGCTATAAAGCTCGTGGGACCAGAGGAGGTTTGCAGGCTGTCGGTCGCGCGATTTGTCGAACGTTGATAGTTATGCGATTGTCTCTTGAGGAGATAACTCGACGGGGCTTATTCTTGAGGCGCGGAGATCAAGACTACCATCATTTTGGGCCTGTAGCTTATGGCAAAGCGGCACACCACTCTCGTCTTGATGTTGACTTGGTGGAGTGACGATGTCCTGTCGAAGGGACCAGGCTCCGGTATGGATGGAGGCAAGGCAGCTCACATGATGATCTTGACAATCTATAGAGTCAAGCACTTAGGCGAACATGATCCCAAAGCGGCATGCAAGCCATTGACGAGAACGATTGAATACAATTCTGATGAGCACGGTGGATTTTCTCTTGACTTAGTCAACATCCGGTGCAGATGGGATGCTACTAGGCCCTCTAGCTGGCATCGCAACCTTTTCTTTCTGCGGCTGCGCGCTCTTCTGCATGACGGACATGATCACGTCTCCCACGAGGGCTATGACTATCCCACAAGAGTTGCTCCAAACATTGATGCTCACGCCTCCGTACGGACACCTTGGGAAGCCCAGCGCAAATTCGATCGGCCAGGGAAACCATTCGCGCGGGTATGTGTATATGGGGCTCTTCGCGTGCCAGAACTGGAGCGCGAATTTGACGCCGCTTGTGCATGTCCACCGAAACATAGTCGCTTTGCTGTCGAAAGATGTCCGGGCATTTCCAACAGCAGCCGCTGTGGTTTATTAGCATATATTCTCTCAGGACGAATGCCTCAAGTACCTTTCTTATCGTGTTCTTCCATCGCCTTGTCGTGTTGCCGCCGCAGTTTCGCCCATCTTGCAAAGTCATCCTGCGCACTGATCCCACCGAGCTCACGCTTCATGCGGACGACCTCTCTCCTCAAGCGGATCTGCTCTTGGACGTCTTTAGATGTGCCGAATGGTGTACGGCTCCAGAGTTGCCATAACTGAACCCTCAATTTAGCTGTCTGATTTCGGTCGTGAGCAGTATGAGTATGCACTCACCAATTCGTTGATCGGCTTTGCACCAACTGTGGTGATGAGGTAAAGCGCAAGTTCCAGGAAGAAGACGACCACCAGGAGCGACATCGTTAGTGTGCCGTTGTTCAAGCCCTAGGATCTGTTCTCATTTGCAGTCGTGCTGGAAGGGGGGGAAAGCGGTACAAGTGTCGTATAAACTGCGATATGTGTTCCAAAGTGGCAGAAATATAGTATGACGTAGGGATGCGCTATTGTGTTGTGAACCCAACCGTACTTCAGATGGAGTTCATTCAACTTGAACTTGCATTTCGGGGACTTCAATCCATCCTTCTTTCCAATCTCGTCATGCCACTCATCGACATGAATGCTGTGCTTTGCACTGGACGCATGACAACTCCTGCAGTGTCTGGACCATCGTGCAGGAGCAGAATTCTGAAACATGGGCTCTTCCATCAATGTTCTACCATTGGCTGCCACCACATGTCAGAAAGCTCGAATGTCCGAAGAAACACCTTACTCTAGGGTTTCTGAGCTGGCTCGCATGCAGCTGGACAATACTTGTGATGTATGTCGCGCCATTTCCTTACTCTGTGTGGTGGTCGTCCGACTTGTCGGAAATGCGGCAGTGGGCGCACTTCAACGGGGGTCTCGGTTGATCTTCCTAGATCTCATGGCTTCTCGGCTGCTTCTCCTATTAGCTAACCATCGACTTTGCTATGGGGTCACTAGCAGAGGCGGATGCCATCTCCAGATTGCCGATGCCATTCGCTGAGTATATTCCCGATGGTCGCTAATCGTCTGGAGTGCCTCATCAGTCTAGCTACCTAGCTACAGCACCATGGGAGACACAAGGAGCATGCGCATAGACCATGGATCGATCTGTCAAGTGGCCCTATCCATCACCCTCGCGTTGTTGCAGCGCTACGCCCTGTGCCAACTTCAGTGACGGTACAGAAATCTGACCCTCCGCAGAACACGACATGCCCATTCTTTCCAGGGCCACGAGTGATGTGGGGAAGTAGCCACGAGCGTCAAGATCCGTGTGTGCGAGCTAAGAGCTACTTTGTGTCAACAGCTGGTCTAGTCTCCGCCGACTGTGGCCTCACGACTCGCAAGTTTGAGGGGACTCATCTAGTCAAATGCACTGCTCACTCTCCAGCTTGCCTTGCTTCCATTGTCAAAATGTAATCAGCTGTTTTCGATCCCTACAGTCTATGTGTCCAGCATGAACAGGCCTGTTCTCTCTTTCGAACGTTGACTATCAGCACGAGAACCGCATCCGCAATTCCATCTGGCCAACATGCGCACTCTTCTGGTCTTTTTGCTGCTTCTAACCCGAACTGAAGCGCAGGTGGCAGCGATTTCTGAAATCCCAACATGTGCGGTGTGTCTCTTTGACTTGAATGACGCGTTGAGGTCGTACTGACTGTCACAGCTTCAATGTATGATCAAAGCACTGCCATCGACGGGCTGCACTGCCACAGATGTGGGATGCCTTTGCAGAAGCGAGGCGCTGTGGTCGCAGACCCAGGCTTGCGCCACGACAGCATGTTCTGTAAAGGACTTGTTGAGTAAGGCCTTCCGCTGTGCGAGTCAACTGACCACTGACTCCTTTTGCTAGCATCGTCGCGTGTTGGAGCGGAATTGTGTCAGCTTCCTCAGCGAGATAGGACAACACTCGTCCCCATCTTGTCCACAATTCTGTGCGTACTCGCATTTATCACGCTCGTCATACGACTGGTGTCTCGCCGACCGGAGCTCACAGGACCATTTGGCTGGGACGATGCCATCGTCACGCTTGCGTACATTCTCGCAGTCCCGGTTGTCGTCTTCGCGCACATCGGCTGCCCGAAAGGACTCGGCAAGGATATTTGGATGGTACAATTTCCGGAAATTCCCAACATACTGCGCTTGTTCTACTTGTGCCAGGGCTTCTATGTCAGCTCGGTCAACCTTGTCAAGATCGCGTTGCTGCTGTTCTTGTTGAGAGTGTTTCCAAACTACTGGTTCAGACGCCTATGCTGGCTTATGATCGGCATCGTTGCCCTTTTTGGCACCGCATTCACGATGTTCTCCATATTTCAGTGCAGTCCGATCAATCACGTATGGAACCAATGGGACGGACTCCATGAGGGCAAGTGCATCAACATCTACGTTGGATCCTACGTCAATGCAGCCATCAACATGACGCTTGATATAGCCATACTTTTGATGCCGATGCCAATGCTCATCAAGCTGAATGCAACCTACTCTCGGAGACGCAAAGTTCACATCATGATCATGTTCAGTGTCGGCATTGTCGTTACAGTCTTCAGCGCACTGCGCGTACGCACCCTCGTCAGCTTTGGCAATCTGGTAAACCCTACATGGGACTACGTCGACGTGGCAATCTGGTCTATATCCGAAATGTTCTTTGGGATCATCTGCTGTTGCCTGCCGGCGAACAAGGTGTTCTTCATGCGTATACTACCACACTGGATCGGCTTCACTCGCCTGGGGAGTACCGCCCCATCAGGGCCCTCAAACGACAAGCTTGAGTCTACTTCACGCGGTACTTCGAAGTTCTTACGCAAAAGTGGTAAAGCCCCCAGAATCGCCACTGCGGCGCTAACAAACGTGTCGGCTTTTGGTGACCCCGAGGACAATCGCGAATTTACACCACTTCCCAGCCACTCGACTGACCAGGTCCCTCTGCAGAATCGGGGACATCGTACGTCAACGACGGCGTTCGGCACCACGAGCAGGCCACAGAACGTGTATCAGGGTACTTGGGAAAAGGGTCAATTCAATCGTGGTGGCGCCGTAGTGTCGACCAGGCAATTTTCGTGAACGCCGAAGAACGGACCATGATCATGCATAGGTACCTTGGGTAACAGCGCTTGCAAGCATCCGCTCTAACGGTGAAGCGGATTGCCGTCGAAGATCACAATATACTAGTGAAATAGATGTATATATACTTATAGCCAGTATTGGTGCTCCGGGAGGACTAACGGACAATGGCAAAGGAAATCAGAATAGTTCAGACCGCTGTGCATCTCCAACCTTCCCATTTGCCTGCCCTTCGACCGCATGTAGTAGGTAATGTGTCTTTGAGCCGCCTTGCCGCCGTTGCATACACCACCGAAGCATGTAGAATCTGGTGTCGCCCCACCAACAGTACTGCGGGCCATTGCAAGCCCACCTCCTAAACCGGCCTAGGATGTGGCATGCCTTTTGCCGAATACGGTCTCTATGCCTTGGCTCTTAGGCCACCACACGTCTCTGCGGTATCGTTGTGGACGTCCAGGATCCTCCTGTCCATGAAACTCGAACCATGAGCCCAAGAAGCTTCGATGACTGCCAGCTTATGCTACCACGGCGAATTCGCAGCTACAAAGTGGCTGACAAGCACGGCTTTTCACCTCGGACCTTATTCGGATGTTGTACCATGACTTGTGAAACCCTGCATCGATATTTGCCTTTCAGGCCTTTCAGGCTGCTGGGCGAGAATGAACAGCAACAAGCGCTCAACATTCGTCTTCTACAGCAATAAGCCTGGCGATCGCGCAAGTTCAAGACGAACTATCAATCGACATATATCGAAGCTCGAGAAGGAGAAGCGTGATCGTCGGAAGCTTGCAGCAGGAGCCACTGAACCTGCTCTTGCCGAGAGCGACCTCGAAGCTGGCAGTCACGTGAATGAACGTGGCGATGTGTTTTCGAGGCAGCCACAGCTTCCGTTGGCGAAGAGTATGGGTGCCTCATCGTACTACCCATGTGTGCCGACGTCTGAGAAGCCACCGGACGCGTGGGCAGCTTGCCATCGCTGTTCGTGCTTGCGTTCTCGCAGATGTGATAATCTTGCTAATCTCGCTGCAGATCTGAACGATTTGATATGGCACGACAATGGCACACTGGGTCTGGATATCAGGAAAGGCCATGAGCGCACAGCAGCGATGACGAGGTGGGCTCTCTCATACGACCTCATCTTTCACGCTCTCGTCGCCTGGACTCTGTGCTGTCTGCCTGAAAGTCAAGACAGTAAGACTTTCGTTGGACAACGCTTACTTTACCATCGTGGACAGACACTCAAGAAACTTCACGAGCAGCTTTCTAAGGGTGTGGTAGATGACGTACTCATCCAAGGCGTCGGTCTGCTCATACCTATCGACGACCATCTCGGCTATACAGACTTCACGCAAGCTCATTTGAACGGAATAGAGCGAATGATACAACGGCGAGGTGGACTCGACAAGGTCGGAAGCTCGGAACCAAGCATAGGCCTACAGCTAGCAATGATGGTCTCAATCAGCACCACGAAGCTGAGCATCAACACTGCGCCAGCCACACATAGCAGGTCACTGCCCATGGATAGTGCCGATACGTCGTCCTTGTCCTACCCAATCGGACCAGCGCTTGCGCCCTCGCTCGCTTTTGAAGTGTCCCGTCTGCCATCAGGTTTCGCCAACCTGGTCAGCAAGGGCCTCCTCTCCCTTGAAATGATCGCCATCCTCGCGGAATTTGAGACCTGGCTTGCCACCCTCAATCGGCTACCAGATGACGGGCCAGAACCAATGGCATACAGATTCGCTGTGCCGTCCGGTCTGACGGATCTAGAGAAGCACATCTGTACTGCACTCATCTGCCTGACCGATGACTTGACGTCCATGGGCACGTTCTATGCAGCACTGGTCTTTAGGAAGCCACTAAAGCGCACGAAAATGCTGTTCGAAGACCTGCCGAACCTGTGGTTTTCGCATGGCAACGACCACGAAGATGTTCTGGTATGGCTAGCAACAGTCATCACGACCCCCAGACGGCCAGATCTCGCACCTACGGAGATGCGAAAGACTTTTTACGAGCAGCTTATTCTGAGGAATACACGCCTGAGGTCATGGAACAACGTGGAACAGATTCTCGGCCGCTTCTTCTACCCAAAGAGGCGTGCGTGGGCTTGGATGGAAAGTTGGGAGGACATCTATCGTCAACACTCCGAGAAAACGACTCAAGTCGGGTCTTCGACAGCATTAGTATCTAGCACTCCAATACTAGCATGCGCATGAACCCTGCTTGTCCTTCGAGTCCGCGTGGCTCATCAAGGTTGTTCTGTGTCATGGTCCAGCTGGTGTATTCTACGAAGCCCAGCCCGCAACGTTGAGCTTTGTGTACCTATTGTCTGTGGTGTCTTTCTCGACTGCTTTTTGGCCCGGCCCTCCCCTTCCAGCCGCAACTTGCTTGACAATTCCTGCCTCGGAACGCTCCTTTTCGAAGTGGCCCTTCCTCAAGCGCCGCTTTCTAGAGCGTGCCGACCTTGACTGTGCCTGCTCAACCATGCCTGCCAGAATCGCGACTGCCTTGTCCGCTCCTTCCTCAGCTACTATTGTCTCGAACGTTCCTTCCTCGCCGGCAATCACATTCTGTCAGTCGCTCCTTCCTTGATCACTCGCTTGGCCTAAACGGTCCTTCCTCAACAGCTCCTCCCTGTTCGCTACTTCCTCATTTACTCCTTCCCTGGCCAGTGCTCCCAGAGACGCAGCTTCTCTGACATTATGGTGACGTGCAACGGCACTGCGCTGTCAGCGAGGCCGTCTCAGCGGATGTGCCTCTGTATTGAACACCCACTCATCCAAACTACACATACTCTCATCACTGAATATCAAGTAGAAGTACTTCAGCGTCTCGGCCAGCCAGAAGCTCTCCATGCGATCATCTTTGATGGGCGTACCCGGAGTAGTCACATCGACCAGCTCGGCATTCGCCAGTTCTGTCCGGGTGACCGAATCAATTGCCTGGAACATTTCCCATGCTTTGTCGCGGTATGAAACATCGCCTGTGATGCGATACATCACGAACATGGACTCAATCGCTTCTGGCCGGAGGCGGTACTTTGGATCGTCGATCTGCGTGAAGCCTTCAGGGAGGTTCTGGGCGCGAGCACTCTCGGTTGCATTGTCGGACGACTCATTGCGCTTGAGTACCTCCGCAAGCCATGCTTCCCGGGCCCAATTGCATTCGCTATTGGGCTCGCAGGGTACGAAGCGGGCGCTGTCTGGCATTACTCGCCACGGCATCGCTTGATATGCCCAGACACACCCATCAGTCAACTTTCTGCCGACGGTAAAAAGGTCGGGCATGTTGAAGAGGCGACCACCTAAACCTAACATGCCGCCGCTGAAGCAAGTGAGGTGCTGCTGGCGAGGATCGAGGTCAACTGTCCCATTGTCTTTGGCGAACAAGTCACCTGACAGGAGAATATCAGCGTTGCCTGGCGTCATAGGTCTGAAGAACATCCGCTCCATCGCGACAGCCATCGACCCGGTATACAGTTGTTGATATGCTGATTCGAGCCCACCAAGTAGAGCATACATTTTAGGAAAGTACTCGTAACATGAATCAGACATTGCCCCGAGAGTGAAAGTATAATCCGATGTCAGATCCTCATCCCGAACATTGACAGAGATCGGCCACATGCCTGGGAGCTTCGTCGCATTCTGTTGTGCTAGAAAGAGATTTGTGACTCGTGCTATGGCATCGTACCAGCGCACGTCGCCGGTAATTTGGCTCAAGCGCGTGAACTCGAGTGAGAGCGAGCCCAGCTCAGAAATTAGTGCCGAGACAGGCGCAACTTGTGGTTGGTAGTGCTCTTTAGCTGCTCTCCAGTCCCACTTGGCAATCGGCATGTGATTGGGAGTATCGAATGCCACAAGGAGCATATTGCCAACCTCGACCGCTTTCCGTAGGAGAACGGCGTTGCCACTGAGGTCGTATGCTGACAGGAATCCCCCCAGATATCTTATCGTGGTTTCAAAGATGCTTATGATTTCGTCTGTCGAGTTCGAGAAGTCAATACGACCAGCGTCCAGAACGGCAGTCGCGAAATCCTCCTTCATATCCATAATCCACAACGTATCAAGAGAGTCGACTAGAGTTGCAGCCCAGCCGCCGAAAGTATCATGACCGCCGCCAGAGATCGGATAAAGCTCATCATACGGCCATGCGCGAGTTCGGTAAGAGGACCAGCAGCGCTCGAACACGGCTTTCACCTGTCGGCGACGATGAAGCCACTTCATGCCTTCATTAGTGGTTCCGGAATCGAACGTAGCTTGCACTTGAGGAAGTTGTCGTGGCTTCCCGGCTGGCAGCAGTTGGTATGTGCTGATAGGGTAATCCGGCCTCCGCTGACTCCAGTCCCATGTAGTGTTTGGGGAGCTTTGCAGAACTCTCTTGGACAAAACTCGATCCACCGAAAGTACAGTATGGCCGTCATATCTGAGGATGTAGGAAGCAACAACGACCATCACTACCATGGATGCGCACGTCACCATGAGCAGCCAGCGGCGTATGTCTAGCCTCGTTGCACATGTTCTTGAAGTGCGAGTCATGTTGCCTATCGACAGGGAGGTAGGGACTTGCGTGCTCCATCAGTTGGACGGACTCGCAACTAGGCGCCATGCTTTGTACATTAAAGTGAGCACCTACAGCTGTCGGTCGGTCATGCTTCTTGACAAGTCCTGGCCGTTGTGTGGCCACTCTGCAAACAGCAGCACCTGCATTGGTTTGCTTCACAGCAGTTTGCCGCTAGTGACCCCTCGCTGTGCGAGATGATCGCATTCCTCGTGCATGGTCGGGCCCTGGACCCTGTTATAACGGTCAGAGTCGTTCTCGCTACAGAAACGGCTTTGCTAGAAACCACAGTAGACTGTAACGGTGTGAAGAACGTCTCTGGCCTCTGTCTGCAACCAGCATCTGCATCCAGTACATTCCAACATGCATCGGCAGACGCGACACCATTGTGAACGTTGCACAGGCCGCCTCGGGTACTTGCGCCTGGCTGTCCACGTCTGCACGACGTGCGAGCTTCCTCGGTGCGGCTACGCAGATAATGCTAGCATCCACAATGAAAGCGTTTGCGGGACTGTTGCACCGACCGAGTCTCGTGGTCTGGCTTGAGAGTTGAGGATTGTGCTTTGGCCTGCCGAATGACCGGGTCTATTCGCAGCAACGCGGAGCGCGAGGAGAGATCGATGATGGCCGGCACAGTGTTCCAGTCAGCCATGTACGCCTCTATTGTAGGAGTAGTTCTCAATCCGCGCAGGCTTTCGCTTTTGAGACCAAAGTTCATCGAGGAAAATCGGACGGCCAGTGGGAAACATTGCACGAGTCGCGCGATTTGCATTGCTAAAGATCTTTTGCGCCGCTCAGTTGATGTGCTCCAAGTGGAATATACCATTCAGCCCGTTACAGAGTCTGCCTCCGTCTCTGACTCAGACGAGAGCTCCCCGGAATAGTCCTTGACGTCGATCTCGAACTCGGGATGTAGGTGCAGCTTCTCTCTGTATGTTCTCGCCTTTGCCTTGAGCATTTTCTTTGTCACGCGTGTAGTGCTACCTGGGTCATTGTTTGCACCGAAGACCAGTTTGACTCGCTGGAGTGCTGTAAAGGGCGTGGTTCCAAGTTCAATGCCTTGGAGCAGTCTCGTCACGCATATCTCATCAGCTTCGTAATCGCCGACGTGGATCTGTACCCTCTGCAGTGTTTGACGACTGTTTATCAGAAGCTCTTCGAGCTTTGGACATGACTGTGGGCCAAATTCGCTTGGTGTTTGATTGCTGATGTATGGATCTTGCGCCCTGTAAAGGAAGCCGGTGAATATCTTGATCTCTTTCAGACACCGGAAACCATGCATTCCGCGGATCGGATCGTCGTCCAGCCAATCGCCACGGCACGGTCGCTCTGTAGTCAGATGCAGTATCTCAAGGCAATCACCACATGTGGCTTCAAGGCGACTTACCAGCGCGGGAATGATTTTGCGAGGTCCAAGGTCAAACCTGGTGACGAGTTGCAGCTTCACTGAACGGAGACTGCCCATGGCACGCAGCAGCAAGTTGCTCGATAAAGCGTCCAGCGCCACACCACGAAGTGTCGCTTCTTCCAGATTCGGCCCGAGTGGCTGATAACGGACGAGCCAGTCTGCATTGGTAGGCCGTCCGCAGTTGCGCGTATATGACGAGACTGTGCGCAACGACTTGAGTGACATGAATGGAATGATGGAAGACTGATCATCTCTCTTGTGCTGCGTAATGTCTTCCGAGCCGAGTGTCTTTAGCTTGCTTAGCGGTTGTCCCCTAAGAGACTCATCATTTGCTCGCGCGATGAGCATATCGATGAGATTATAGACGTCAGGAAACGATCTGTCAATGTGGTCACTCTCTCTCATTTGATTCTCGAGGCACTGCGCATGACCACAGCAAGGCCGGAGCTCTCGGTATGTGGACAAGGTCCCAGGAATATTGCGCGGGGACCTGGGACGATAGCGACACCATAGGTAACTTGGTGGCAATGACAATGACTCCAGGTTTGGCAGAAGTGAGATTAGCAGAGCAGCAGCCCAGTCACTCACACTGTCCCAATTGGTGCTTAGGATGCACTGCTCGACGTGAGCAAGCCACTCCTCGGGCTTGATGTTCAAATCTCGGAGGTGGACCGAATCTCTCGCACACTCTACCAGCAGCCCTCTAGCCTGGTCCGAGGGCTTTCCGTTAGACATTATGCCAGCATCTCGATCCTCCCTGTTGCCATTGGCGATGGATGACAGGGCGATTGACATCTTTCCTAGGTCGAGGTGGGTGATGTACAATGCAATGACAGGCTCCTGGGCAATTCTGACCAGGAGCTGCAAAGCCGAATTGAGCTCGATGCCCAGGAACCGCTGTGGACCTGACCGGTCGCCGAATTTTACTCTGTGCCATTTCCGGCGGATGTCATTGTGATGTACTAAAGACGGCTCCAGTAGCCTGTACCACGCTTTGCAGGTGAGCGCTGCATGCTCGAAGTCACTTGCATGCAAGTCGCCAAGAATACCGTTGAGGATCTCGTTGGGAAGACATTCCAATAGCATTTCGAGACTTCTGTGAGTGTGCGGTGTGTGGTCAAAGTCGACAGCACTGAAATCTTCTGTGTTGGATGTGACGAGTAGGTCAGGGGAAGGCAGGTACAAGTGCCCGGGCAGCCACGCTCGCCGGATGTATACGGAATTAAGCAATGAGCGACCCCTCCTCCGCCCTGGCTTGCCTGCAGTTCCGCCCCCAAGTTCTACACAGGCCTGGCAGTAGGGGCTCCGGAGTGTTCTTTCCTGATCCTACACAGTACTCGCAGATCAGCAAGGAGTGCGTACTTTGAGACTATGCCTGCCTATTAGCGATCGGACCTTCAACACCGACGGGTGACTCCTGGCAATCATAGCACTTCTATGGCTCGGCGCTAACGATGCCGCGCTTCTACCTTGGTAAGAAACGGCAGCTCTTTCGCGAATGCTGATTCGAGGTCTGGATAGTCGTATGTGCTTGCATAACACTTTCGTACCTAGGTTACATCCACCCCAATGCATGAGTGGTGCATTCCTTGAATGACCGACCCTGACTGGGACACTCATCGAAAAGCGTCGGCAGTGCCATCATGTTCGACGACTTGCCGACAGCTCACCAAAGGGCCTCATATGGTAGTAGGACCCACTGCTACGATTATGTATTATCTGAGCATCTGCTGATGCAGCAAAATCATCTCACAAGCTCGTCCATTGATCTCGCAACAGCGTCTAACAGCATCCAGTGCCTACGACTCGTGATCCAGCAGAGGCTAGCTCCTTGTAACAACCAGCCCCGACCACCCTCTAGTCAGACCCAGCAGGACAATTTCAAAGCAACTCACCTACACGCGACCTCACCAACAAGGAACCATGCGCCTCTCCCTCCAACACTGCTCCCCAACCGACATCGACCAACTCACGCACTTCCCCTTCCGCCTCCTCGCCCGCCTCCCACCAGACCGACTCATCAACCTCTTCTACGGACCAAGCACTCCCCAAGCCCACCTTGCCAGCAAACGAAACTTCACCTCCCGCTTCGCGGACCCCACCATCGTCCTGCTGAAAGTCATCGACCTCGACAGCCCCGCCGACTTCGAGGTCCGGGGCATCGACGCCAGTACAGGCGAATTCACTGGTGAGATCAGGAAGGAAGCGCGAATCCTGGCCATCTCCCAATGGAAGGTTGTGCCGAAGTACACACCTTTGACTCCGCCCTACGGAAAGGAGCTCAATGATGGTGGGATGCTGATCACGCCGGAGATGATGACGCATCTCCCCACCGCGGCAGAGAAGGATGAGTGCGCGGCGGTGCTCAACGTATGGCTGGAGCGTAGGCGGCGGGAGCAGAAGGAGGCTCACTTGCATCTAGCGCTGATGGTCGTGGATGCGGATTTCCACAGAATGGGACTGGGTTCCATGATGGCTGATTGGGGAAACAGAGTCGCGGATGCGCTCGGGGTGGCTTGTTGGCTGGAGGCGAGTGATATGGGAAAGGGCTTGTATGAGAAGCATGGGTATGTGCATATGAAGGAGAAGAAGTGGAAGCTGGAAGGTGATGGACTAGGGCACGGCCTCGCACAGTGGGTCATGAGGCGGCCGCCGAAGCCGCTGCCGATCGTTGAAGTACACAGTGACAGTAGGGACGACTCGGCAAAAGGGCATGTCAAGGCTGTTGCGTCTGAGGCTGCAGGTTCTGGAGTTTGAAAGTTCGCCGACTGTGTATAGATCTTGACAGTGTGTATATCGAAGAATGCAATGATGCTCATCGAGGTTCTGAGCCACCTTATCATATTTGAAAGGAGACTGGCAACAGCGATCTGAAATCATCGTCCGTCAATGGCAGGCGTGGGACGTCTGCGCAATGTGCCTTCCCTATAACGCCGACCATACATGACACCCGTGGGGCATTTAATGCCAATGCCGCTCCCCTGTCATAATGCAAGTCCGATCTATCGTCACATGCCGTCGTTTCTTCATTCAAGTTCATGGCAATCCTCGGCAACTTAGCTTCCTGCAGGTGAGCCCGAAACTCAGTGCACTACCTGCCGCATGTAAATTGCAAAAGCTTCTCTAGCTCAATGCCGCTTGTATTTCTGTCGGATCAGTCAGTGATAAACCCATCAATAGCTTAAGATGCGGATCAAGAAACTCACGTCTTCAATTCTCCTCAAATTCTTCCGATCCAGCGTATTTCCAGCACCCATTAACGTCTGCCCCACCGCCTTCGTCGCACCGATAGCCGGCCGTAGGATGATGGTCGGACTCTGCTTCAGCACCGCCTTCGCCGCCCCGACAGCGGTGCCACTGGCCATGACCTCACCTGGCACAGCGACAATTGCATCCTTAGCAAGTAGCAAGTCCCGCTCCAGGCTGGCGTAAGCACCTCTCAGCCCCTGGACGATACCAACGGGTTGGTCTGCGTACAGCGAGATCTGCCTCGTGGCTTCGCTATTAGGATCATCCTCGGTCTGTGCGCCAGGCACCAGCACGCCTTCGGCATTCTGGAGGATCTGTTGCGTGCCAATAGCTAGCTTGGCACCTAGATTGACAAGCTCAGTTGCGGTAGTCTTCGCAAACGCAAAGGCGCCCTTCTGAATACTGCGCACAATTCGGCCATCTTTCTGGTACTCGCGGATCGGCACAGCCACAAGCTCTCTAACTCCACTTGCAACGTCGACCAGTGGACGAACAGGGGCAAGACCGGCAAGGACGGTAGGCAGTTGGTTGCGTCGGACATCAGGCGACCAGATATTGTTCAGCATGATTCCCATGCGGTCGAATCCGGATACACCGTACAGAATCACACGCCGAAGCACCATATTGGTTCGCTCAAGAATGATGAAGTTCATGAACTCCGTTGTGCGGCCGGATCGTAGCCCAGCGTAATCGACCTTCTTCGGCTTGTAGTCAAGCTGGAGCCTGACAGGGTTCACCTCGACTCGCTGAATGAACGGAGGCGCTGATGGCGCCGAAGAGGTTGTGATGGTATCATCCTTGAATTCGAAGAAGCGTGTCATGAAGTCCAGAGCATCCTGATCGACGTGGAGTCGCAACGGAAGTATCGTAATCTTCATCACGATCTCAGTAGCCGCCAATTCGGGAACCGGTCGAACGTTCAGCATTTCGACGTGAACCATGCTCGTGTCAACTTCTCGCTCTCCAGCCTCGTGCAGGTAGGTAGCGAACTTTTTCCAGGTAGACGTTGGCACGTTGTCGAAGATCTCCAGCTTATGTACGCGTACGTCGACCGAGCTCTGGACCTCGCCGCTGTCCGGCGGTAACGCAACGAAGTCAGCCCCGACACCTTGCAGCTCAAAGGAGATCTTGTGGTGCTTACTACGGCTCAGTCTAAGCTTCTTGGGTCGAGGTCTTAGACTGGACGGGCGCCGTGTTTGTCTGGAGGTGGTCGCTGTGACAGTAGTAGAAGTCGCATAGCTACCAGTCTCCGAGATCATATCATCAATGTCGTAGTTAATGGCGCTAGTCAGATCACGAGGGTCTTTGTTCGCAGGGATGCTAATATAGATCGAGTTGAAGAGCACATCGCCGACGAAGTCCTCGTCATCGTCGACTCCCGGAGACCTGCTACTCCGACGACGTGACAGAGCTTTCTCCTCAGCATCTCTGACAGCTTGAGATATGGTTTCCCGAGTATCTTGCCAATCATAGCCGTCGAAGAGGTTCCAAATGACGTGCAGACCGCGCACTTTGACAGTAATAGGCGACTTTTTGTCCGCGACCTCATTGGCAAGCTCGTAGGTGTTCCGGGTAGAGTTCCATCTATGTGCAGTTCCGCCGATATTGGTCTTGGGTGCGAAATGCTCATCACGGAAGTCAAGCATACTATGTATCATGACTGATTGCGTGAGGTCTTCGGAGCCTGGGGCTTCAATGTCGACAGGCGCCACATGAAGAGACGACGCTGCCGATGTGGTGAGATCAGATTCTGCATAGCTTTCGGCTAGCATGTCATCGTCTGGATCCCCTTCCTCATACATCGCGCCTAGTAGGCCAGAATCATCCATGTCGAGGTGCTGGCTTACCGCTGGTACGGAAATCTGCGATGCCTGGAGGCCAAGCTCCGGACCAGGTTCCGTCACAAAAGCCTCACCAGTGAAAGATGCTAACATGTTCTCAATCGGTACGACCTCCGTACGATACTGCGCCTGTGTTGATGGTGCCGTTGGAGGGCTCAGAGCGCCGAGAATGCCGAAGAGGGTTTGCGTCGAGTCGGCACACGTCTCCATGAAGAGTAATGGGTTGCTCAAAACAACGTCGATGTGCTGTGAAGAGTTCTCTTGATCGTCAATGAGCCGTATGTCTGCAGCTGCGGAAGATATGGAGGCCACAGGTACGTATCCTAGCTTCGCCAACCTCTGAATCTGATCGGTCTGGTCAAAATAGCGCTTGCTGTCAATGCCATCAGATTCTTCCTGAAGCATTCCCACATTGTTCACAATCAATAGAGAAGCTTTTCTCATGCTCAGATCGAAATGCGACCCCTTCTTGTGCGCTTCGTAGCCCAATGTTGTATCAATCAGCACAAAAAGCCCTCTTGCTCGGCTGTTCACTGGATTGAGAGCAACAGCAGAGTCTCTGAACGTGACTGACATTTTCACCTTGCGAGCAAACTCTGACATATCGCTTGTTCGTGAGGACGCAGGCTCATCGTCTTGACTGGCTGAGCTGATGGAGGCCTGGCACCCTCGAGCTTCTTAGCCAGGTCTGTCAGAGCTACCAGTGTTGGCACTTTGTACTCGACACAGGTGTTTGTGAGCTTCAATCGGACGGTTGGCTCCATCTCGTCGGCGATGAAGCGGAACATGAGCATAGGCGAACCCATCGCAGAGTCGTCTTGGGGCATGGCTTCGCCAATGAGGACGTCGTCTTTGTTTCGGGTGAGTGACCACGACGACACTTGCGCTGCCGACAATGAAGGGAGACTGATTTGGGCAGCTTCAATGAGATCGGCACGTAGGGCAAGCTTTCCAAAGTCGTCGTCGATCGTACATTGCAAATCGAGCGTATGAATCAAGGCGAATGTCAGTATCCCAGGTCTATCGTCTTCAGGGAGGTACTTGGTCACCGCAGTCAGCTTGGCAAGCTCATCAGAGAGCTGAGCTATGTGCTGTTGCCAATCAAGACCAAGCACCTTGAGCTGTATTTCTTTGATGTCCATACGGATGACGCCACCTTTCCGGCGTTGCTTAAGTAGGGTGTCCACCATGATGTCGTCCTCTTCGTCGTATTTGTCATTGGAGGGCGTGATCAGAGAGAGCAGACGGTCGAGATCTTTCTCCTCCGGCGTCTCATGGTATACAAGATCGAGACTTTTGATACGTGCGTAGAGAGGCGGGCTTTGGGTGCCCACGAGAGGACCTTCAATCATCGTGCCATCAATAACAATACGTGTCATCGCAGGCCTCATGACAAACTTGATGGCAGACGTCTTGACTATTACAGATGACTCGGAGCCGTTGAGATGGAGGATGGCTCCGTCTACGCGTATGTTTAGCTTGCCGATCGATGCAGAAGCGTCGCTACCAGACCTTGTGTGCTTGCGGCTGCTGTCGGTGAATCTTACGCTCCTGGTCTGCTGCTTGCTTTCGGGCTTTTGGGACGGGCTCATGCTGCTGTGAGTAGACATGATTGAGTTACCCAAGTCGATCAGGGAGTCCAGTCCTCCACCTCGACTGAGGACTTCGTCCACAAGCAAGAGGTCTACGACGCCTTCGACCGGTTTGGTGAAGATCTCGGTACGTTGACTGTCCATCGACAGAGTCAGGTCATGCTGGCGAAGCATCGCGCTGCTCGCTATCGAATCGCGTACATTCACTCTGTCTGTGAATCTCAGGACGTCACGAGCTGCGTGGCGGAGCTTGATGGCCGAGATCGTCAGGCGCCGGCGCGAAGCTACATCGTCAGCAATCTCCATGTCACGCAGAGAGAGAGACAGTAGAGCATCGTCGGTCTGCGGCTGGCCCGATTTCCCGTCGAGGGTTGCCCGGAAGTTGCGACCCTCGTGGAAATTGAGCAGAAACTCTTGTGCTTCTACGCTGAAGTGTGGGAAACCTGCTGAACGAGAGTCGGCGGACGACTTTCTGCTGTTCGAGGTGCCTGTTGGCGTCACATGGCGACTGATACCCGCCGCAATCCTGACAAGCAGCTTGCAAATACCCAGGTCAGCATCGATCCGAAGCTGTCCTGCTCTGATCTTCAGCTTGTTGGCCGTAGGTGTATGATGCGCATGGCTCGATGGACGTAGCTGAAGCCTTGAGGCGGCGACGGATACGGAGTATGCTGACTCCTGAAGACCGCCTGCTGTGATACTGTCGGGGACAGGTGCTGCAGGACCAGCGTTTGCCTGAGTTTCAACGGCATCTTCAGACACTGTGGGAAGTACAATATCCACAGATTCCAACGCAAGGAGACGAATGAAGCTGAGAGAAGCTGGCGAAGAAGCCGGACTTGCAGCTTTCTCGTGGTTGGATCCACCTCCCGTAGGCACGAACGTAGGCGTTGGTGCATCTTCTCCCCTCTTGACCCCAGGCATCGCAATGCTAGATGTCTCTTCAAGAGGCGCGACAGGTGCAGGTGCTGAAACACCTTTAGAAGACACTGCGTCTGCATCCGACGGAAAGACCGAGTCATTCCAGCCGCCAGGCATGAACAATGACTGATCGGTGCCGGTCGTGGCATGGCTGATCGCGCTCGCGTACATGCTCTGTGCTTGGTCATGAGTGAAAATAGTCGATTCTGTCAGTCTGGAAGCGCCTGTACCAATGCCCAGCCCGTCATTGGCATCGAAGTGATCTGCATGAGGTTGTCTGATGGTGGATCGCGAGGCACCAAGTCGGCTCGCCGTCGGATAATTATCGTACTGGCTTTGCTCTTCACCCAGAACTCCCGAAGGAGCCGACGTAGATGATATCTCCACACGCGAAGACGAATTGTTCAGCGAATGCATGGAATTGACTGTATTGCGCTGCTGGTTACTTTCTGCCGGTTGACTGGCGTTTGACTGCGAACTGCTATCCGAAGCCAGATCAGGATAGTCCGCCAAGGTTGCGCGATCACGATATTCGGTGCTTGCCATGGAACTGTGTAAGTGAGAGGACGATGACTTGAGTGAGTGTCTGTCGAGTCGGGGCGAGCTTGGGTGCGAAAAGATCTCTGGATCGACCTCGACTTCCAACTGCAACCCTCGCAGGGCAAGCCTGCGTATAGGCATGACAGCCTGGTCGGACGAAGTCGTCGCAAGCAGAGAGCCAGCATCGAGTTCTGCTATCCGTAATCTGACAGAGTGCTCGTTCGCATCTGATTGTTCTGCTGCGTCGACTTCCAGTGTCACATATACTTCGACGTTAACAATTCCAACAGTCAGACGATCCGCGACACCTTGAAAGAAATTGGTCAAAAATGTCGGGAGTGCGAAGCCACCCGGAAGGCCCAGCCCAGCGTCACTGTCACCAGATGATGTTGACGAGGAGGTTGATTGATCCATGGAGATTGACTGAGAACCGACTATAGCCTCGAGCTGCTCCCGCTCGGCCTTGGGCTCGCTCTCCAAAAACGACGCCGCCAGATCTCTCGAAGTTGGCAGCATATGAGGCGATTCCGCGAGCGCAGAGCCTACAATATCGCGTCTGCGTCCACCTGGGTCGTGTACGGAAGGAGTGGCTAACCGCGGTCGGTTCGCAGTATCTTTGTGTGAAGGACCCGCCTTACCACGCGGGCTTGATTTGTAGTCCTCATCTTTCCGCACTCTCGCAGAGATCTTGACACCCTGGACTTCGATATGGATGGGATCCACGGCCAGATCGGCAGGTATCGTGAGGCGCAGCACAGACACAGATGCATGCTCGACGAGTATCGACGGAGGCAATTTCGCGCGCTCGGCGAGTGTTGCAATCTTCAGGGATACGTTCCTGAGTTCCACCACCGAGCGTCGTCCCCAAGTCAGCCCCCCTAGATTGTCGAGGTCGAGACCCTGCACATCGATGAGGTCGAGTCGTTGCAAAGCGAATATGAGTAGACGCTTCTGCCATGAGTAGGGAATCGAGACAGGGATCGAGGTCAGATACGACGCATGATGGCTGGCGAGCTGGCAAGGCCGTCACGCAGCCAGGGACATCGTCAATGTTGTTGTTTCCGATATATCAAGGATTATAGAGACATCACGTAGATATCTGCCTCAGCCGACCCGAGAAAGATAGTTCATTCGAGAGGCAGTTCAAGCGTTTGCTTGCCAGGGCCTTCGACTCGTGGTGGGCTAAAGCGTTGGACATTCAGGTCGATCGCGCGTGATCAAACAGTTGCTCAATGGCAAACGTCGTCATAGACAGATCTCAAAGGCAGAGCGATGGGGTAGAACGAGCATGTGAACAGGCGACGTGGTGCACGAGGTTCAATTGAAACAGGCAGCGAACGCATGCAGTAGCGGGGACCAAACAATGATGCCATGCAGCCCCCGGGTGTCACAGGCTAAGATAAGGCGGAATTCCCCGCGGAAGGCCGTTATCACCTTAGTGGCGGGAGCGGCTCCAGGCATACCCCCTCTGCCAAAGCTGAAAAGGCGTCGGGCAAGGCAATTTGGCCGTCAACCAAGACCATTTGAATGTCTGGATATCAAACGTACCATATGGATCTCATCTACTCAGAAATGTTGTCGTGATGGCTGAAAGTCTCATTCTGCACAGGTGATGCATATACAGTATATTCCAAAACCAAATCAATAACACTTTTGATGCCACCTTGTACCGTTCCATACGATCCGAGGTCGTTGTTTCTTCTTTTACCTAGCTCAATCCACCATCTTCCGGACGCCGCCGTCGCTCAACTCCTTCCCATCTGCCTGGCTCTGCATTGCTTCCAGTCTATCATAGCTGATATCATTCTCTGGCATAGGTTCTGCAGCATGATCCGACCCACCCTCCGCTATCTGACCGGGGATTGGGGCACCAGCCAGCCCGTTGTTATTGCTCGTGTGCTCAGAGGTTACTGCAGATTCGTTGTTAGAAGACTGTTCCGGCGCAGCGTGAGGAGCGGTTGTTTTGACTGAATCGGGAGCTGATGCACTGACTTGTTCATTGCGGAGCTCAATTGGCTCTTCCACAGCTTTTCGTTCAGGTGCTGTCAGGTCACTGCCGATGGTGTCTGATCGGGCTATGGTCGTCTCGTGTGTGCCGACCTTCTCCAGCTCAGGCCCCGAAGCTTGGGCAATACTTACCGTAGTCTGCTGCGACAAGAAGGCTGCTTCATTCGTAGCTTGGTGAATCAGTGGATTGGGCTTCTCCTCTGCTACGTCGAGGACTGGGTCCGCGGTCTCCGCTGCTGCATGCTCTGCCACCTCAGGCACTGGCTGCGCTGGAGGCTCTTCTGCACTTTGGCTGGTGTCCTCGATCGACTTCTTTTCCGCCGTAGAGTCGATAGTTGGAGGTAGAGGTGCTTGTCCGACAGTGGCATTTTGCATGAGCTCAGCAGTCTCCGGGTCTAAGGATGTCGACACCTCTTGTTCAAGCTTGGATGACGCTCCTGCCGAGGATGGGACATTGAGCAGACCTGTGTCGTCTATGTGCCATAATGACTGTGGCGTGGATATCGCAGACTTCGGTTTGGCGACCGTGGCAGTTGCAGGAGCAGCAGAGGGTGATTTGGCAGGTGCGCGACGTTGTGGACCCCGAGCCCTACCCTTTCGCGCGTCTTCAAGAGGCTTCGCTTCTACTTCAGGTTGTGGTTCCGGTTCCTTCTCCTTAGGAGGACCCAGGCCGAGCTTCTGGTTCAAGTCATTCATGAAGTTGCCTTTGAGTCCAGCGATCTTAGCGGAAGGACCGGGACGGGCAGGGATCTGTGGCTTGGCCTTGGTGAGCGGCGGAGACGTAACGGGAATTCCTCGCTCGGTCTCTATGCTCTGATCTGAGCTGGGCGAGATAGTCTTCGTCAGAGAATCGCCTGAAGGCTTCTTAGCTGGTCGTGGCGGAACTGACGGCTTCGGTCGATCCGGTATGCTGGGGACTTTCTTAAGGTCTGTTGGTGAGCCATCACTTGTCTCCGGCTTGCGAGCAGGACGAGCTGGGACTATAGGTGCTGGTTGTGTGGCGGATGCTGCTTCAGCCAATTTGGACTTCTGTGGTCGGGGAGGAACCGTAGGCTTCGCCGGTGCTTCCGTCGGAGATTCCTCATCTGCAACTGGTGGCGTGCTGACCGTTGTCACCAGATGAAAGCTATCGGGACTGTCCTCCCAAATATCTTGACTCGGAAATCTCGGCTGGAGACCAGGTCGTGTAGGGATTTCGTCCTGAAGATGCGAAGGCAGGATGGACTTCTGTGCAAGCTGCTTCTTGCGATCGGTCTCCGTAGCTTCTCCTTTTCCGACTGCCTCCTGTTCTGGAGTCTCGAACATTGACGTCTTCTTCTGATCTGACTCGAGAGGCAGATCTGGGGTGGAGACGGTAGCTTGGTACATTCCATAATCGGGTGCATCTTCCCAGATGTCATTGCTGGGAAAGCGATGCTTCAGTGCGTCGGGCCTTTTCTTGAAGCGCTCTACGTGACTGACAGCCTTCTGCAACTTGTTCTCGTCTTCTGGGAACAGTGGCTCGTATTCGTCCACGTCTTCGAGAGGCGTATGCATTGATTCTCGCTCGTCATGGTGAGAGGTGAAGCGTGCCAGTGAATACGAGGCGCTATGCATGCCGTGAATGCTGCCTGGTCGGCTCGAGGGCCTGGACGTAGGTGTTGCATCACCGCTCCGGTATTCATATTCGCTTGATCGTCGATCGACGCGCGGCGAGATTGCTGGCTGGAGCCACTCGCCAGTGTGATGCTTTGCGACCTCATCAGCCGCTAAAATTGGCACGCTATAGTCAGAGTCGCCGTGGCCAGTCGCAGGACGCGAGATTTCAGGACCAACATCCGCTGTTTCGTTTATCGACTCCTCGCCGCCAGTAATTTTATTGTACCGATCCACGGGCGCATCGATGTGGACTGGCTTTTGTAGAGGACTATCTAGCGCACTGTCAGACGTACCGGAAGGAGTCCTTTTCGAGACTGATACGACGGGATCCATGTCTACCGCCGGAAGACTCGATTTACGCAGAGGCGACTCGACCGCGGGCTGGGAGACGTTTGTGAGAGACTTTGTCAGAGGGTTGGAGTACTGGTCCGATGCTAGATAGCCGATCTGCTCGTCCGGGTAAGACTGCGTATTTCCTGTAGTACCTGCGATGGGTTAGCCTGAAACGCCATGGTCTAGGTCAAGATCGTACCAAAACCAGCACCACGACTTGCAGTGTTCCGAACAATCTTGTTCAGATCGTCGCTGCTGAGGGCGAACGCGCCTCGACCACTCCCGATGCCTTCGTAAACTCCATGGCCATGGGCTTCCTCGTGCAGAAGCTCCTCCGGATGCTTTGCGTACCAGTCCTTCTCAAATGGATCTGAAGGAGCGACTCCGTGACCATGAAGACCGTAGCTTCCGGGAGGCAGGCCATCTCTGCTCTTTACTCGGTTGTGGTGACCGCGACGCTTCTCGCCGGTATGCGAGGGTGTGAAAGGTGCTGGAGAGGGGGCTTGGACATCACCAAGTAACGGATTTATCGGAACGCGGATGCCCAGCTCAGCAGGACCTTGTTCGTCAGGCTGGACTGATGAGCGACGATGGCCTGAAGCAGAAGAACCTGGTCTGGAGAAGCTGGCTCTTGATCTTACTCTTCCGACGTGCTCTCCTTCGTCTTGTCCCGGAGTTCCAGGTTTCCCGATGCCATGTGCTGCAGCCTGACTCGAATCTGTCCTTGTCACGGCCTGGACCTGCGCGGTCGCAGCAGACTTCGGAAGCGAGGGCTTGGGCGCATGCAAGTGGAGATCCTGAGCAACACTTCTCGTCTGCTCGGTTGGGAGCTGCTCAGTTTTACGTGCATCGATATCGGCATATTCCATGCCCTCTTGACCTACGGAGGGCAGATGCTGCACCGATGGGCGTCTGGGAATGGCAGGCTCGGTCGAGCTTATCTTGGTCAAAGGCTGCCATGGTTCGTTCAGCGGCGAGCGAGGGAAGTTGCCTGGCGAAACAGATCGATCGAGTCGTTTTGGAATAGGTCTGGGAGGAATCTCGGGGAGCTTGTTGGCACCATTCGCAGCGGCCGCTTGTTGGGTCCGAGCAGGGCGAGGCGGAACAGTGGGTACAGCTGTGGCCGTCATGGCAGGCAAATGAATGCTTTGTCCAAGTACTAGTAATTGTTCAGCGAGTGTTACCAGTACGTTGGTCATCGAAGGATCAGCGGTGGGATGTACTGCACTGCAGGGCAAGAGAATTGGAGTAAGATAGCAGCACCATAGAATGTTGTAGCTGCGCCGGCCGTTAGCACTCACCTGAGGTATACGAACGAAAGGAGATAAGAGACTGATGGAAAAAGACGCGAAAGACCAGGACTAAATTATTGGATGTGAATATCCAGCAATGTTGTGAGTGAGAATGAAGATGAAGTTCGAGGAGACCGTGGGGAAGTTGACCAGGAGTCTGAGGTCTGCATTCTGATGCTGCTATCTGCTCACCCGCGGGCATACATCATCGGGGACCCAATTCTAGGCACCGTAGGCTCTGTAGCGCCCCCCAGACTGGTGAGTGCAAGCCACGACTAACCGAGCGTAGCAAATCGAGCTACCGTGATTGGTCTGATCGTCCTCGATCGCGCACGCAACGACTCCGTCACGAAAACTTGGCCTCATGGGTATTCCGGCTTCTTTGTACATCTGTAGTGCTAGAGCAACAGCTCAGGGATAGCAAGAACTACATATGCTGAGGCGGCAGGCGACCTTCGCCTTCAGATCAGATCGAAGTGTAGCCAGAGCTCTCCAAGGGACTGAACAGCGCCCGACGTCTCCAAGAAGCCGTCAACGCGAAGGTACTCGTACCTTTTGCGCGACTTTTCCTCATGCATATCGACTACTCCAGAAAAAGCAGGAAAACCTTGTCTCTGGGATCTCACGTGCTGTGGAAAATAACAGGAAAAGCTGCTTTCGTGCATGTTTGAGCTGGCTGATTCGACGGCTTGCAACGACATCGTCGCCGGTCCATTGCATGAAACGCCATGACTACGCCTGCGCCGCAAGTTCGGCCTGGAACTGCCAGATTGTCCCCGCAAACAACTATCGTCAGATGCTAACATCCTCGTGCGTTGCGCTCTAAATCTACCGCACATCGCTCAACGTCTATCATCAATGCAATATGGCTTTGTACTGAAATCAATTCGTCGCTGAGAGAAGTCGCCCATCTGCATGCGTGTCATCCCCGACGACACCTTTGCCTTGCTCGAATCCACCAGCATTGGCGCTCTCGTCCTTCACCAAGCTCTCAAGACGTGCCATTGACGGTAGAGATGTTGTTCTTGGTAGGAGTGAGTGTAGGGAGTGTCCCGCCCAAAGTGCCCTTGCCTCCAGTCATGCGGCGACCGGTGGTGACATTACCCTTCTCCTTGGCGAACAGGCTGCCACCCTCGACCAGACGTCTTTCATCGTTCTTGCGGCCGTTGACGAAATCGGGATAATTGAGCGTCAATTCCGCAGCACCGTTGACGATGTTATCTGCTGCTTCTACACCCAACATGAAGCTGTGATCTTGGTTGCCAACCTCGTACCGCCAGCTACCGAAGCGACCACGACTGTAGATGCCCTTCGCTTGCAGAGCAGGGAGAAGCTCCTTCAGAACACCTTCTCTCTCGAGGGAGGGTGTCGGATAGCCGTGGTCAAATCGTCGATGATACGTCGAGACAATTTCGTCTTCCGGCTTGATCATCTCGGTGTTGACGAGACCTTGAATGCACTCCTTAAGCAAATTGTCGTTGTCGACAGGCTTCATGCTAGACTCGGACACTTCCAACATGATTGACCAGTAGGGACCGGCCTTGGCTTGCATGCTTTGGCGACGCGATCCATTACCGAGCTGTAGTGTGGGAAGCTTGACGTCGTCTTGCGGCTGATTGTATGGTGAGTAGTTGGAGAAGATAGTGGCACGATAGAAGGGGCAGTCGTCCTCGGGGAAGTAGAGCCAGCACTTGTCGCCGATGCGCTCCGGCCGACTGCCACGAATGCCGACACCAATGACATGGGTACTGCTGTAGAAGAGTCCTTTGCTGAGGTCGTGAAGTTTCTGGTCACCCATAGCTTCTGTGAGGTAGTCAACACCCATGGTGCTGATGAGGCGCTTGTAGCCGATCGTGGATCCATCCTCAAGCAGGACACGTTTGCCATCGGCATCGACTTTCTTCACGGTGTTCTTCTTGCCAAATCGAGTCTTCTCCTTGGGCAAGGTGTTGGCGACAGCGATCCAGATTCCGCCTGTGCCATCACGCGCAGGAAAGCGGAATGTTGCGTTTGGACCCCAATTACCAGCAGTCTTATTGAGGATGACGTTCTTGGTAACGTTCTTGAGATCGGGCGCAGCAACGCGCTCACCGAGCCACTGACACTGCATCTTGGTTGTTGGTACAGCCCAGACCTTGAAGTTGTAGGGCCGCATGAAGAGATCTGCAACGCCTGTGCCCATCATGCGTACAATCCACTCATCAAAGTCCTTTGGCTTTGTATTTGCGACTCTTGCCTCAAGAGCAGCATCGATCATACCATCAATACATTTGACTTGATCTTCCTTGGGCAGCATGGAGATGTTGTTCTGAAACGGGTATGGCACCCACAGGTTCTTGCATCGTACGTAGGAGATACGTTGATGTGTGTACCAGTCGTCTTCCTTGGGCAGGGCCTCGTCGATGCAATCGTCGAAGTACTTGTAGTGAGAGAATATGACGTGTCCGCCCACGTCGTATAGCTGTCGCTGTCAGTCAATGAGCACTCAGCGCGCAGTAGAGACTTACGAAGCCTTCCTTGGTGACATCTGTAGATGCGAGACCACCGGGGATCTCGTTCGAATCAATGATCGCCCATGACGGGCCGTTCTGGTGAGCGTGGTAAGTACATAATTTCGTGATTGATTGACATCTTCTTACAATTTGGTTCAATCGCTTTGCAGCACCTAGACCTGTGGGACCAGCGCCAATGACAAGTACATCCACGTCGCTGTACAATCAATCAGTCTCCCAATTTCCAGGGGCGGCACAAGAGCACGTACGTGTGAGGCATGATCGCGGCGATAACGAGGCAGCAGGTGGAAAGAGTGAAATTGGAACGCTATCAGTTCCTAGGTACAACGAGTGGATTTGCGCAGGTGGTGACCAACTTCGAGGGAGTGATCCGAGTTGGGATGTCAATAACCAAAAAAGTTCGAGACGACTTTGAAGTTGGAGGAAGGTGAGATCGAGGAGGGCAACAATCCACTCCGATTCGTCACTCTGGTCTCCACCAATGCCCATTCCCGTTATCGATTGTGCTTTTCTCCCGCCAGATTCACGGCCCAACCACCGTGCCACGTTTTTGCCTGTCCGTGCACCAAGCCTCATCAGACCCTGCAACTTGCGTGTTCAAACTCATGCAAATTTCGCTAGGAAGATGGTACGGACTACAGGACGGCGTGTGTGGTTTAGTCACTAATCGATCGTCTCGCCGACTTCACCTGTACACCATTATTTTCTTTGGCTGAACGCTGACCTGAACTTAGACTCGATGTGCTGTGGCGCATTGCGCCGAACTTCAAAAGCTTAGGAGAATCTTGAGGGTCCAGGGAACCTCAGTCAATGAATCATGCAAGGACATTGGCAGAAATTTTGTACGGATGTGTGCACCCGTGGGCGCAAAGTGGCAGGCAAGGCAGGCTGTTGTTTTTGCGAAATCCGCCTCTTCCTCCGGTCAAATGCTCGTCCCAGTGGTTGCAGAATGCCACTTCCATTGACGCTTACGGCTAAGGAATATACCGATCATGTCATCCTCGTACTGCGAATTCCAGAAACAATGCAGAGCCAGGGCAGGTTGATGTACACAATCGCAGTAGCGGTCTCTTGTAGCCATCGCCAATCTTACGCAAGCCGGAGTTGAGTGGGGTGAAAAGATAGAGAAACCCATGAAGGGCAGGCGAAATCTCGCACTTGATGAGCTGGAGTTGGGGGGTTCCAGAAATTTGCCCTCCCGCTGGCGCAGCTGCAGATGCCCCATCCATTTTGTCTAGCCCGCCCCTAAACTGAACCACTGTCCATCATGACTTCGAGCAAGAAGTGATAGCCTTTTATTATTTTCTCTTCTCAAGCTTCACTGCGCTATTGCCACACCAGTCTCACTTTCTAGTGAGCCATCGAACAACTGTGAATTTCTACCAGACGTCGACGGCTACCTCGTGCTCATTTCGAGCCCCCATCATCTTGCGCACGCCGTCAATCTGCTGAACACGCACGCCTTTACTCGCCCTGAGCGGCCTTTCTCCTTCCACGACTTCCTCACTCGACCTCCACACACAGAAGACATCAGCATGTCTGATACCGAGAAGAAAGTCAGAGTGTCTGGCGAACAGCAGCGGCCTGCAGAGGCGGCACTGCCAACTACGAGTCCTATTGCAGAGAAAGCAGAACCTCCGAAGCCATCGCTGCATCCTGCCGCCTACGTGGTGTAAGTCGCACACTACCACGGGCCACACAGACGTCTGACGAATTCTACAGAACATGGATTGGCTTCAGTGGTGGTGTCATTCTTTTCAACAAATGGCTTCTGGACACTCTCGGATTTCGTAAGTGTCGCATCACGATCACGGCGAGCGATGCTGACCACACTAGACTTCCCCATCTCTCTAACTGCCTGGCACATGATCTTTGCGACTATCATGACACAGATACTTGCTCGAACTACCACTCTGCTTGATGGCAGGAAGACTGTCAAGATGACTGGCCGGGTCTACATGCGCGCCATACTACCCATCGGCTTCTTCTTCAGTCTCAGCCTGATATGTGGCAACCAGGCATACTTGTACCTTTCTGTGGCTTTCATACAAATGCTGAAGGTAAGTCGATGTCGATGAGCATGAGCAGCAGATCTGACCAATTTCAGGCCACTATGCCCGTCGCGGTGCTTATCGCATCTTGGTCCCTCGGCGTTGCTCCAGTCAACCTGAAGCAACTCGGCAATGTGTCCTTCATCGTCGTTGGTGTTGTCATCGCCTCCATTGGTGAGATTGAATTCAACCTCACTGGCTTCCTCTACCAAGCTGGTGGCATCACCTTCGAGGCGACCCGATTAGTCATGGTCCAGCGTCTGCTTAGCTCTGCTGAGTTCAAGATGGATCCTCTGGTCTCTCTGTACTATTTTGCACCAGTGTGCGCCGTGATGAACTCACTCGTGGCCTTGGCGCTTGAGGTCCCGAAGATGACTATGAAGAACATCTTCGACGTGGGGCTCGTGATGTTGGTCGCCAATGCTATGGTCGCTTTCCTGTTGAATGTGTCTGTTGTATTCTTGGTAAGTTGGCAGGCCGTGATCATAGCGAGCTTTACTGATATTGAGGATAGATTGGCAAGACCTCATCCTTGGTGCTCACTCTTTGCGGTATCCTCAAGGATATTCTGCTGGTGATGTGCTCCATGCTTATCTGGGGAACACAGGTCAGCTTGACCCAGTTCTTTGGCTACTCAATCGCTCTGGGAGGCCTTCTCTACTACAAGCTAGGCGCCGATCAGCTCAAGCAACATGTCAGCCAAGCTGGCCGCTCATGGGCCGAGTTCGGTGCCAACCGACCCGTTGCGCGGAAGCTTGTGATCGGAGGTCTGGTGTTCACTACGATCCTCATTCTACTCGGCGGACTTGGTCCAACAGTCGCTCCAGGCCAGACTCAGTCGCTCAAGGACTATCTGAGCTCTGCCGGACTTCCAGGACGCTGAGACCGGGACGACTGGGGAGCGAACGCTTGCATTCGATGGTGGCTCAAAATTTTATTTGAACAAATGCCGGCAATGTACTTTCAGCAGGATCATGTACAGTATAATTCTCAGGGCAGCGAGCATCCAACATATGGCATTTCGGTGGCGTCAGGATAGAGCAGACTGTCAGATAGACCCAAAAGGCCAGACACGATATGAACAGTCAGCAAACTTGTGAATATGTCAATCGTTCAGCCGCGCTTTCCAGCAAACCAACGGCTGCAGACTCGGGAGTCGAAGCACTTCTGGATTTTCCAGCTGGACCTGGTGAGACAGGGTCCTTGGATCTGGGCGTGCAGGAGCTTTGACCAATCATGTGCCATCGATCAAGGGCTGTCTCGCCTGAAGGTGGTTGGTTCTTTCCTCGTTCTGCGCATTCCGTCTGCTCCACCGTGACTTGCAGACTGCAATGCAAGAACACTGGCAGAGGGCAACCTCGCCCTATGCCTGTATTGGCTGTCCTTCTACCGCATCCTTCTTAACCTTTGCCTTTCCTTCTTCGACCTCTCTCTTTTCCATTCATTCTGCCTTGGCTTCTCGTATCTATATCACTTCAGCCCCAAATTTTCGAAGTCAGGCCATTCTTCTATGCATTGATCTGCAATAGTACCTCATTTCTGCCTATACAGCCATTTCTTGGCTCCTTGGACCCTCGCTACCACCACCTTCAGCTCCGTCACGATGTTTGAGCATCAACTACCAACACCCACCGATACACCCACACGCATGGACTTTGATGAACCATCGCCAACCTCCTATGCACACAACTCCACAACATGGACCCCAGTGGACAGCATGACGCCGATTTCTACGAATCCTTCGCGGAAACGGTCACGTGACGAATCGGCATTTGACCTCGTCGACGGAGGCTATTTCCACGCCGCAGAGATAGTCAAGCCGCCCGAGCCTATACCGGAAGAGCCCATTTACGGCGAAGGCATGGTCCTCATCAACCCTAGCACAGGAGCAGCGCTCGGTGCCGAGTCTCAAACTGGCACGTGGTACGAAGAGAAAGCCGACCATGAAACGCTCAAGCGCGAAGTCGAGGCCGCCAACTTCCGACCAAAGCTGCCAACGAGCCGCAAATCTATCAGACTATCGCAAAGCTCCATCAAGACCGGCTTCGAGTCCTTCAGTGCGCAGAACAACGACGTTTTATCGTCTACGATCACCGTGCCGGCCAGCCCACCCAAAACCTCCTCCAGCGGATCGCATCCTGAAATTGACGATGCGACACTCGCACTCGGCATTGGCTGGACGAAGATCTCGTCAGACGAGAATATCCAGACCGCTGCTCGAGGCTGGGCGCGCTACCTCGAAAACCACTACGCGCGACACGTGCATGGCGCGGAAATCCTGCTGCAGAGCACCGGCTTGAATGCCTACCTCGTTGGCTGTCAGGAGGGCTTTTACTTGTTTGCTGAGAATCTGCTCGAGGGTCGATTAGTTAGTCGTAGCTGGGATGGCTGTCTTGCTAATTTGCGCGCCCCTGGAGGTATAGTGTTCGAAGGAGAACACACGTTGAGTGCGGAGCGGACGCCTGGACCGGATCTGGCAGTCTTCGCGGGGCAGCAGCAGCAGTCGCTGGAGCAGGAACCAATGGCGGCTATGGCGGTAGAGACAGAGGTTGCGGAGCCGAAGGCATCGTCGCAGCAAATCTCGTCGAGGACGCCTCAGAATTGGGCCGAGTATAACCGGCTGCAGAATCCGAATGGTGCTTGGGTCGCGGGAATGGAAATGGATTAGGAGTCCTACATGCAACCTTTGGCGGATGCATGGATGCTGAAGTCGCAATGACAACGTCCGGCATGGAAAAGTCATGACCGGGAAGCGCCAGGCTGCATATAGGGCGTGTATGATGGGTTTCGTCTCCCTAGGAGGCCGGAAAAGCGATTTCTAGTTCGGGTGTACAATAGAGCAAAGGTCATCAGCCACGTACAGCGCGATGAGAAAATGACATCTTTCTTTTCGCTCATCGCGAACCACACCACTTATGAAAAGACGGATCTCTACAAACCCTGTCCTCAACATTTACCTCCTCGCCTTCTTGCCCCTCTGCTGCGTCTCACTCGCCTTCAACACCTTCCTCTGATCCACCAAACTAATCTTTCCCTTCTTCTTCGCCTTGCCCAGCGTCATCATGAAATTCTTTCGCCTCGCCTTCTCCTTGTTCGTCGTACTCTTGCCCAACTCGGCCTTGCGCTCCTTCTTCCGCGCTGCCCGGCCTTTGTGCTCCTCGCGGTCGTCCTTGTGCTGCTGCAGGAGTGCCATCTTTTGCGCGCGGGTGGCTTTGCCCGCGGACAGGGAGGACAGGCCTTCGATCTCGGTTGCGGTGAGTGGGTCGTCGATGTGGCGGTGGGCGTTGGTCTGGGCGGTCGTTTGCGCTTGGTGGTGGGATTTGTGGTTTTTGGTAAGGAGGGAGGAGACGGATACGTGGTGCGCAGCTCAGCGAGTTTCGCGAGGTCGGCGGGCGTGAGAATGCGGGTGGTCGCAAGGCTGGGTTTGGAGGGTTCTGGTGGTACAGTAGTAGCGGCAGGTTCGTTCTCTTTGTCTTCGTTGTCGAGCTTGGGCTTTTTGGGGGTGTGTCTCTCATCTTCGCTGTCGGAGATGTTGATGTCGTCGTCACTCTCGACGTCGATCCAGCCGCCGGAGTCGTCGCTGTCAGCGTCTTCAATATCCCAAGCATTCCAGTCTTCCTCTGGGTCTTCCTCGTCGGAGGCAAGACCCTTCTTCTGCCGCTCTTCTTCCTTCCATTTCTCCAACAGTTCGAGGCCTTCTATCTCGCCAGCTGCTTCTTCGCCATAGCGGTGCTGTACTTGGTCACCGGTCTTCAGATTCATAGCTGCATCTTTGCCTCGGTCTCGTTTCTTCAGCATGTCCGCTCCAACTTGGCGGTATAAGCCCAGCAGGCCTTTTGCTGCCATCATGACGCCCTTGTCCTTGCTTTTCTTGTACATGACCAGGTCCTGCAGTAAAGTCTCGTTCATTGCCAGAGGTTGCCGGACACAAATCTCGCGGATAGCGTTGAGCCCGGCCGCCGCTACCTGACCAGCTGCTGCTTCCGACACGAATTCATTGGCGATTTTCTGCACCAGTGGCTCAATTACGTCTGGTGGAACGAGATTGTGCGTTGCCTGTGCCAGAGACGCCAGAAATGATGTGACGGACGGCTGTCGCGGAGTAAGATATTTGAGGAAGTAAGAGTAGAAGCTGATGACGGTCAATTTGTGCAGACCGATCAGTCGTGATACTAGTTGCAAAACCTGCAGCTTCTGCTCCAGATTCAGCTTCGAGCGGGTGCTTTGCAGATGTCTGGAAAAGAGTTCCTCTGCGAATGACTGAGGATCGTGGAGGAGATGGAGCGCAGAGAAGTTCAGCTGGTGTGGTTGGCTCTTCTTCTTCTCTTTCCGCTTCACAGCTGCTGCTGCATTTTCCAGCCTCCGTTCCGCCTTCTTGCTCTTCTTGTTGACTCCAACCTGATGCCGCAGTTGGCGCATATCGATCCGTTCTTCGTCGGAACTCTCGTCTTCCAAGTCCTCGCGCTCTTTGTCTCCGCCGAGAAAGAAGCGGACGCCACCAACAACAACTTCTCATTTTCTGCAAGGGCACACTCTTTCATGATTTCGACAGCCTTTGAGTCTGTCCATATCTGTCGCTTCCACATTTCCCTGGTGATCTTGACAGCCCATAGCGCCCGAGGGGACGCTTTGTCAGCGGTGACGAGATTGTGCAGGTCCGTCTGGATGATACGATTCAATTTGTGATTGATAGTCGGTGTGTTCGCGGAGCGTAGGTCACTCAAGATCTTCTGGAAGAGCAATGCTCGGAAGGTCTTGCTGGGCGTTGCTGTCAATATCGGAAATAGGCACTGCAGCAGAGCGATTGAGGTGATCAACTCTTTCTTCCTCAGTAAGACCAGGCTGCCCACGATCTTCTCCCGCAACTGTGGTTCGAGTTCGGCATGGTATAACGAAAGGATCTCGATGAGATGGGCGGGGAAGTCTTTGGTGTGTTGCTTGTAGCAGTCGGAGACGTGTGCAACGAATTCTATGAGTTCTCGGAAGGATGCGAGGCCGCTGTCGGTGTCCGATCCAGGCGACTGGAGGTAGATGGTGCGCTGGTTCTCATACTGCATGTATTGGTGGAGGAAATCATTTTCGTACGATCTGGGATCGCGCTTGATCTTGTTCTGCAGGTTTGGCAGGTCCGCTTCGACTTTCTCGAGTGCTGCCAGTTTACGCTTGACCATCTTCGCGAGCCTGCTGTGGTTATGGAAGGCAGGATCTCGCGCTGTAGTGCACAGCACATTCTTGCTGCGGGCGCAACTTTTCTCAAGGAACTTCTGCGGAGAGCCTATCGATAAGGAGACCCCCGGATTTAAGCACCGTAGTGTCCGCCTCAAGCTTGGTCCGATCGTCCAGCAACCTTGGAACCCTTTCGAATCGCCTCTACTCTACATACTAGGTGCTACACAGCAGGCGCGGATGAACGGTTCGCTGCAGTCCCGCCAGAGCTTACGATCCCTTGTGAGCCCAATATGTCTTATCCCGAAGCCTATATACCGGATTTATATGCATATATGTCATTGTCATAAGGTACAGTCGAGATCGAATGGCGGTCTCTATTCTAGTACAATCCACACCATCGCACCTACGAATCCTACGCAGGCAAGAATGGTCAAGATGGCTGCGCCAGCTCTGTCTGCTGTCGTGATTGGCGCGAGGACTCTTACTCGCTCCGGTTCCGGATTCGGTCTGCTCTCAGATGTGGCGCCCGTGTTCAAGGTCAGGGGCGCCATCGCGGGCTGAGCGAGGGTTGAGCCGACAGCTGACAATGCAGCCATCTACTGCGATGTTAGCACTGACTTCAAAGTCTAGGAAGTGACACACCTGTTCGCCAGCACCGGTCTTCCCAGTCGGTATATTAGTCCACCACTGCATGCTGCACCATGTCCCGGTATCGCCACCATTGCACTGCCTTGCCGCGGCTTGTGCGCTGGTCCTGAGCTTTGGCATGATGATGTCCCACGTCTCTGGCACCAGCATCGCAGTTACTGTCATCCATCTGGTCAGATAAGCCTTGAAACTTTTCTGATCTTGGTTGCAAATAAGGTTTTCCTCGCACAAGTACTCGATCATCACGTTTCCATCCGACGGCGGGGTCGCAAAGTACAGGTCCAACGAGCTCGACAGTATCTCATCGATTCTACTCTTCCATTCTGGCGACCCATCGGTGAAGTTGTACATGTAAGCCGCTCCAGCCAGAAGTACACCATAGTTGTAACTCCAGATGAACTTGACCGGCTCCTGACAGTCGTTGTCTGCATCGAGGTTGTCCCAGATATACAGCAGTCCTTCGTTGTCGCGCTCGAACATCTTCGATTCAGCCATCCAGTCCCACACCATAGTGGCCCAGTCAGCATACGTTTCATTACCTGTGATGTACGCCAGGCGCGCCGCTACTTGGAAGTTTCCACCGTTCGATATCATGCTGCGGGCGTGTAAGTTTGGAGCACATGGACAGGGAGGGATTCCTACTTCTTCAGGTTATAACCATTGTTCACCGACACAACCTGCCATCGGAAGCCGCCTCCACATGTCCGCGTCTCCCACAGACTCGTCTGGAAGTTGAACAGACCCTGTGCTAGTGAAAGCCAGGACGGATCCTCCTCGTTCGGCGACTCAGGGAAGTTGGCCTCCACAGCGTCGAGCGCAGCGAATGCCCAAAATGCTTGATCATCGACACCCATGCTTCTCGAATGGTTCTGGGGATTGAAGTCGTTCTTCTCGCCGCGCTGGTGTAACAGCGCTTGGATAATTTGGTCGTTATACTGATCGTCCCCTGTGTACTGCCAATAATTGATCATCTGACCAAACATCGCACCGGCCTGCCACCAACAATATGACCCCTCATTTTGGGGATTGCAATCCAGACCACCAGGCAATATCCCAGGTATTTCGCCATACTGGTCTCCAACGTATATGCTCATCAAGTCTCTGGCAATGACTCCCGCTCCATCTTTTATCGACTCTGTTGAATCAAATGATATGTCTATTGCTGCTAACGCAACCGGTGCGAACAGTATTGCTGATTTCCACATGTCGCTGGCAAGAATTCGAACAAGGAAAGAATTTGTGTCGTGAGATTAAGCGAGTGATTATCGTGACGGCATTATCTGTAGAATGAGTGTATCATCGGTCAACGAAATGTGAAGATGTTGGTAAGTACAGGACAGGACAGGAAGTTGGGTCGGGGCGCCGTTGAAGTCACACAGTGGGAAGCCAAACGGTCAGATGGAACAATGCTGCGTTTTAGAGAACATTGGCAGGGGTGGATGCCAGAACCGCTTGGTCCGGGGCGCAGCACGACGTAAGGCATGTTGCGTGCCAACTTCGATCAAATTTCGACCACAAGAAGACCAAGAAGACAATGCCTCCGCTGTTCAATCTTAGCGGCGCCTGGCTGCGCTCGCAACATTTGGCATGCGAACTCGTCAGAAGAAGCTTGCTCGACACGGAGGCAGTGGGATGTCCTTCATTGCGACGCTCTGCGTGAGTTTGCCTACGCTACAAGCATCCTCCTAAGGCATGAAGCGGGAGGAGAAACTGTTGTTTCGAGGCTCGCCAAGACTCCGCCCAGATGCCGAGCTACTTGGCAGGGATGATTTACGTATCAGGCCCATCATTGGTCGTAGCAATCCAGCAAGAACCCACGTGCAGAGCGCCGAGGCGGACCGGCTCCAGCAGCATCTCGGAACTCCAGACTGGGTAGCGGTCGTTCGTGCTAGGCAGACTGGTGACCATGAATTGGTTCCGTGGCCACCGGCCTCGTCGATGAGCTCCCTGGGGTTGACCTTGACAAATTCGTATGTGTTTGTCTAAGAGTACTGAAGCCGCCGCTCCTAGTACGGCGCGCCGGACGCATGCTAACATGTCGCGGCTGAGGCGACACCAATCTCAATGAGCTGTCTTTGCCCAGCTTGCCACCAAATCTCGCAAAGTGTGATTCTCTCCGACATTTCCGGGGAAGACCACATAAGGGATGCCGGCCCACTTCGAGGTAGGCTCATGGCAGCGCCATAGCGGCACTCCTGAGGCTGCTTGCCCTGCGATCTCTGCTCTTCTCATGCGCAACGATTTGCTGGCAGCGTCCGATGACGTTATGCCGCCCTAAGAAATCGTCAGTACAATTGAGTCAATCAGGTAGTTGCTTACCTTCGCAATAACGTATCGCGGTCGAACTTCCAGCAGCTCCATGAAGTCCACAAGCGACTGCGCTACAACGCTTCCGATTTTCAAGCTGGAGACCTCATCCTCCGCCGTGACTAGCTTACGACTTGTCATGAGCAGGACATCCTCGCCTCTGGAAATGAAGTTTGCTGCGTCTTGAGCAAATGTCTTTGTTGTCTCCCGCACGTGATCAGGATCTTCCAGCAGCTTCTCGACATCGATTGTAATTGTTTGGAGTTTCTCGCCTCTTCCTTGGACGAGCGACTCGAGTTGTGCCGTGGTTTTGGGGACATATGAGCCTGCAATGATGAGTCCACCCGGCGCATTTGACGAGATATCCATGTCTAAGTCTGCTGGACCAAGAGGCTGAATCTGCTCGATACCCAGCCGAGTCGACACGAAGGCGGCACCAGTGCGGTAGATGTACCGGTAGCCTTGCTGTGCAGCTTCCAGCATACCCAGAACGAAGACTTCCATGTCTTCATCCACGACCGCGTTGATGATAATCACCTTCTTGTTCATCTTGAGAAGCTTCTTGGCTACCTCAGCCGGACCACCACTTCTGATGTCGTCAAGGCTGATGGAGCCGACTTCGCTCGAGGTGATTCGGCCCTTAGACTTCTCCTCCACGTACTTGGCCAGGTGCGAGTTCTTGTAGCCGAAGGTCGCGTCCCTTGCAAATGGCGTCTGCGCCGCCGGGACGAGCTTATCTCCGTCTGCCACATAGTGTACATCATTGATGGTCAGACGGCCACCTTGGCGAAAGAAAGGCGCCAGTATCCAGCCATTTGCTTTCCCGACGACCTCTTCGGCGACCTCAGGTTCGTCTGGAAAGTGACCTCTGAGCGTTGAGTCACCTCGAAGGACAAATTCAAACTCCTTGCCGGTCGAAGTGGCCGCTTTTTTGACAGCCTGACAGATTTCCTTGATCAAGTCTCTTGCTTGTGGTGTAGGTAGTGCTCTGGAGTTGGTGAGTATGAAGAATCCGCTATTGGTTGAGTTGAATTCGTCGGTCAATGTCTGCTGGTCCCACACGGTAAGAACGTTGATACCATGGCAGGTCTGTGTTCCAGTCGGGTCATCATCGAGCACGACGAGGATGGGAAGCTTCCCCGAGTCTTGCAACTGCTTGACCTTGGTCGCGCTGCCTGTGGCTTGAGGTGGTGGTGGGAGTGCTTTGAGCGTCTCCTCACGCGGCAAGATACTGCTGTCCCCCATCATTAAATTCGTCCGAGCCCGGAGCCATGTGCAATGCCCTCGAAGCCTTTGCCTCGGGTAATGGCCTCAGACTTTATGAAGGTTATTGAACACGGAGACCTACCGTCATGAACCGACGCCCCGCAATAGCGATCGGTCGCTCGACCCGACGCACCGCGAAAGTCACGTGCTCAACTCCTTCCACACTGGACTCGGAACTTCCGAGCGGCCAAGCTCGAAGTCTCCTTACGGAATGTCTTCGATCATCAGCACAACTCTGCACATAAGGACCTGAAGTCCCCTGTGTCAACAGCACGGCCAGATTTTTATGAGGCAGAATGATGAATACGCTTCGCCGCATGAAAGCTCACGCCGTCGCCAATAGCCATTCGCACCGCGAAATCCCGTCTACTCAGAACACAATATGAATCATTCAATCGTTAGAGTTCAGACACGCTCCAGGTACCACATAATCAATCTTCGAGGCCCGCCCTGGCCATCCGACCGGCCCTACTGCGCACCACTCCTGCCTCTCCCGGAAAACTTGAGGCCATGTCAGGAGTGTCAGAAGCGCTGTCTTTTCCCAGGACCGCGGCTCGAGTCCGCCTCTAGCTCAGGAGACTTCTTCTCTATCTGCTCGAACTGTGCACCAAGCTTCTCGTCCGCTAGCGACGGAGTAGACGGTCGATCTTCGACGATGGGTCGACCCCGCAACTGTGCCCAGACAGCCTTGTGCATTCGCTTCATGAACAGGGCATCCATTTCTTCGAGCGTAATTCCTGTCATCGTCAGCACGGTCACTATGCAGACATCCAGTCTGCTCACCTTTGGTCTCAGGCACGAAGAAGAATGACCAGATTCCCATGAGTACGAGAATGGTAGCGAAGAAAAAGTATGCCCCGTATCCGAGATCGGAGATCATGTAAGGCGTGGAGCGTGCAATGATGAACGATCCTAGCCAAGTGTCCGCAGTGGTGAGGGCGACACAGAGCATACGGATGTCGAGAGGGAAGATCTCCGACGCATAAGTCCAGGTGATACCTTGCTGCACATGCGATCAGCAGGGGCTTCTTGCGTGAAACCAGCACGTGTGCCTAAAACAGCCATTCGAAGGCCTGTTGACTGCTCTAGCTCGATAGGAGAGGAAGACTTACCCAAGTTGCGCAGATGATGAATGCGTTTACATACACGCAGACCTGAAAGGCGAGTCAAAATCTGATCTTGTGAGATTGTGAATTAGGCTTACCATTGCCAGATAACCCCATCCATTGCGCGTCACATTGCCTGCAGCGGCAGCAGCAGCGGGGTCCGCCTTCATGACATACCCGCCGATGTAGAAGATGGGGATGCACCCAAGCGCGGCGCCCCAGACAAGACCCTTGCGACGACCGACACGTTCAACGACGATAAAGGTGAACGCACACATGCCGAGAGTCTTGGCAATACCGTAGAAACCGGTTGAGAAGAGCTTCGTCGATGTGCCGGTGACACCGAGTGTTTCGAAGATCCGAGGACTGTAGTAAGTGATGATGTTGACTCCAGTGAAGCTCTGAAGGAACATGAGAGCTAGTCCGATGCCCATACGGTTCCTCGTGCCACGTTGGAAGAGCTTCTTGAACTGATCCTTCTTTGACATTTTCATGGTCGATCGGAGTTCAACTTGTTCGCGAATCTCACCCATTTCGCGTCTTATATACGGATCTGTTGGCGGCAGCATTCGAACATAGCAGAGGATCTTCTCTGCTCCATCAAAATCGTCACCCCTGGCTTTCCACCGAGCTGATTCCGGACACCACATCATGCCGAGGAACAGGAGCACGCCTGGTACCAGCTGGAGCGCCAGAGGGATAATCCACTGCGTTTGCGAGTTGACGTCGATGGTTCTATCCGTTGCATAGTTGATCCAGAAGCCCAACATACCACCTCTGATGACGTCAGTATAGATCGGCATTACCGATCATGGCTACAAACCCTTGACTTGCGATTTCGAATATACCGATCAGCCTCCCACGGATAGAAGGTGGCGCTGTCTCCGATATGTACACCGGAACGGTCAGAGAGGAAGCACCTAGCATCTGTCAGCATTGCCAGGGATGATCGGAGATGATCGATCGGGCTCACCAATTCCCAAACCCTGTGAGATGGTCAGTCTTGCGTGCTGGTGCAGGCTGGATGATCTCTAGAAACTCACAGCAATAGCGCGGCCCGCATAGATCATGGCCAGCTTTCCCTGGGCGGCCGTCATGATCGTTCCTCCGAGCAAGAAAATGAGCGCTGCCATCATGATGGTCTTTCGGCGGCCGAACTTCTCAGCGATTGGGAAAGTGAGAAGGCGCCCCAGAAGCATCCAGCCTGGAAGGTCGAGACAATGTTGCCCTGGACGGTGTCACGATGCTTTGTCGAGACTTGATCGAGTCCGTAGTCGCGCCGGAAGGAGTCAAGGGCCATGGTGCCACCAATAACAGCGGTGTCATATCCCACTAACCAGTGTCAGCCAAGTCGTGATATACTCGGAACATCTTACTGGCCAAAGCGGACATCGATGCCACCAGTGCGATCAGATGGATCCTCCAGTTGCGAACCTCTGGAGGGTCCTGGGTCCCTCTGGCGTGCGTGCTGAAGAACCCCATCTTGGCTAATGGTCGAGAATGCTATGACCTGTTTCCCCAGCGAGGGAACCTCCATATTTATCTTCTTGCTGCCCATGGGTTGACATCGTCTGTACGATCATGTGGACCCATACGACGCTCGGGGAAGGCGTGGGGAGAGCCCTGTTCAATATTGCTTGGCCGCTGGAATTCCGCCTATGGATCGTCGCGTGAGCGCTTGGCTGTGAGACCGGATTGTTGAAGCAAGGTCAGTATGACGGCAACCCTTCCCTTGGTGCTGCTTAGGGTGCTTGGTTCTGCATGGACGGTCTTGGCTGGCGGGGAAACGATGTGCAGTCCGCCGATCGTCGCCGATGGGCCACTTCTTGGCGACGATTCGTTTCCACTACCTATGCCGAGGCTAACACAAATGTCGGCGTTGTGATTGGTTCCTTAGCGAGCATTAGGAAGCTGCATCTGCTCAAGTTCACTACCAGGATAGCATCATAGCGGTGCACCGGCAGGTCAAGAGGTTCTCATGGCGGAGATCGGATCGGCTCATATCAGACCTTGCCGTCTACTGAAATGAAGGGTGCGCAGGGGCGGGCCGATCATGCCCGTACGTGCATACATCTTCTTAGAGATGGCGGACCCAGTGAATTGTCGCCATGGCGGACCTCTGATAACCCAAGGGCCTGGATCAGCAGTCTTGTATGATTGCACTCGGCAGTTGCTCTCCTTGCACGTACAACATCGACCGATTGACACAAGTTACAGGGTCCGGAGTCTTCAAATCTTACGGCGAGCTCGACTGGCAAGAATGGGAAACCACAATTGAGAGCATGTGTATTGCATGATCGTCGACATTGTTTGCGCTTGATTCAGCTATGGCTAATCATCTGACACCTTGAGCACTGCCCGACCGGCGAGTTGACCTTTGTGCATCTTGTCGAACATAGCGTCCAAATCACGGAGCTTACCTCTAAGCAACTTTGGCTGTATTATAAGGTCAGTCACGTTGCTGAATCGGGGTATGCCTTACATGAACCAAGCCTCTGGCTGTCAGGTCCAGGGCTTCCTCAGCGTCCTTCATCGATCCAGTGCAGCTGCCCACCATCGTCAACCGGCCAAGGACCATGGTGTTTGGGTAAGCACCAGCCAACAACTTTGAGTTGTGAGGCAAGCCAACAACGACGAATGTTCCACGTGGACGGAGTACATTGGGCGCGCTCTCATATGCTGCCGGAGTGTATGCGGTGATAACCGCGCCGTGGGCACCATATTCGGTGACGCGCTTGACCTCGGCGCCGACGTCGGGTGTCTGCTCGAAGTCGATAAAGACTTCTGCGCCGAGCGACCTGGTCAGAGCCTCCTTCTCTAGGCCAGCATCAATGGCAATGACACGCAGGCCCATTGCGCGAGCGTACTGGACTTGCGAGATGGCCGAGACCTCCACCACCGCCGATGCACACAATCCACTGGCCAGCCCGCAAGTTCGCACGTTTGACGCCAACGTAGGCTGTGATACCACCACACATGATCGGTGCAGCCTCTTCGTCAGGAACAGCGTCTGGAATTCGGGTTGCGTATTTACCGTCGCTGAGAGCGTACTGTTGGAACGTTCCCGGCTTCGTCAGACCTGAGATGTGTTGCCTGGGACAGTGCACTTCATCAAGTCCGTTGCTGCAGAACTCGCAGTCCAGACGACGACACACTGACCAGAACCACTTGATGCCGGCTCGGTCGCCGATCTTCCACTTCTCGCGCATGTTCTCGCCAACAGCCACCACGTCGCCGGCGCCTTCGTGACCGTGGATGCCTTTGTGCTCGGGCGTGACGTCTACTCCTACAGTCTTCCAAGCGCCGTGGAAGAGAGCATCGTCTGAGCCGCAAACGCCGGTCCTGGAGGTGTGAGCAAGGAATACCATGGTGTCGGTGTCCTACCAGTTGATCTTGATGAGAATCTCATCGGGGCCTGGAAGCTCAACGTCGATCTCCTCCAGAGATGCTCTGGCCTCGTCGCTGGGGTTGCCTATTCTTACAGCTGCCCACTGTCTCTTGGGGACTGCCATGGTTGTGGCTTTCGGGAACTCGGATATGCTTGAGAGTAGGCGGAGCATATGCGGGTGCCTTGGACGCACCACGCTCGAGATAGGGTCGTTTTATACAGCAACGAGGCTGTACGGTGGCCGGCTTCAGCCCAATCAGATTTCACCCGAGATACACCAAACACGGGCCTTGGCACTTCGCGTGTTCAGAATTAGCGGTGTTCGGCCGGGTTGTCATAGCACTGGTTTGACGCTTGAACACAGTCGCTGCAAGCTTTGTAAGTCGACTGCGTTGCGAAACGCCCAAATGCGTTCCACTTGTCTGCGGTACAGACTTCGTCGCGGGCTTTGCTGATACGTGCACTATTGGAAATGCAATCTCGCACGCTCATTCGATTGGAAACTGCAAGCCAGGCTCATTTGTCTCCTCTGGCCGACAGTAAGGTGACTAGACCTCAGAAGGTGGCCTGTTATGGTACGCTACACCTGAGTCTGCTTAGCGCATTCAGATCATCGAGACAACAGGACTGCCCGAATACACTCGGCATCACAACTTTTCCCCTCGAGGAATTCCCAGTGTCCGCGGCCGACTGGGACCCGGAGAAGTAAGTTGAACGACACGACGTGCTGCCGCAGATCCCGCGCCACGCAGTTGTCGGTGCTCGGGGCGAAATGCAGGTCAGTCATCCATTGATCCAAAGCTGCCGATATGGTTTCCAGTCAGGGAAAGCCTCCACTTCGCGTTGACGACCCTCGCTGCCCACTGTTGTACGGCATCTTTCCTGTCTCTCAGTACCAGAGGTGCGGGCAACGATAGACCGGCCGAATGGCGACGGGACTAGTTCAGACCGGATGACCAGGGACACCTCTCCTCGTCCATGCCACCAGAAGCCAATTTGTGTGTCTATGCATCCCCAGCCTCGCCATCGCCCGGAAGCGACTCTTGCGTGCGCCAACACTATCTCGATACCTTCAGTGTCTCCAGGGATCGTGAGGTAGCTCCGGCATAGCAGGTCAATGCAATCAGTTCCTTCATGAAGCTGTCAGACGGCCGATGGTTTCAGTCAAATCGATCCACTTCATAGGCCAGATAGAGGACTTGAGCTTCAGAAGGCGCGGTCGCTTATGGGGAGCACTGGGATATGTAGACTGAGCCTGGTGGAAGGGGTTGGAGGTCCAGAAGAGGGTGTCGCCTCGACAGACAAGGGATCGGAGTTTCAGGGGATAAGGCGTAGATTGATTTTGCCAAGATCTGTCTGCCACGTGATCAACTTTCGTTTCTTCCTGAAAGATGCAGCCGCAACTCGCACCACCGCGCATCATCTGATGGCTATTTCTCTTCTAGCAGCCATGTTCATCCCCTGCATGACCCTAGCCAAATGAGTGGTGGGAGTCATCTGATGCTCACGGTCACTTGACTTCTCCAAGTCCTTTGCCCATCGGCAAACCCTAATTGAGCCTGAAAGACTAGCAATGTGGTTCCAAGCTCCCCTCACGCCAGCGTCGCCGTCGCCGATTCGTCAGAGGCTTGACGTGCAGAATCCACAGACGATCCAGAAAAGGAAATCCCACGGCCACTGTTAACGACGCTCGCTCCATCACTATTGACCGCTATGGCTTCTAAGGTCTGTGACCCATGAAGCTCGAACAGTTCTCGCGCGTCCGACAGAATACCAAAAGAGAGAGGTGAGTTGCTGTTTTCGCCATCGCTGCTGCCTCGATACCAGCGACGTGTGCTGACCTGACCGCCTGTAGACCGCCAACAGGAGTGCGGCCGAAATGGCGGATGTCTCCTCGTCGCCACTACACATCCCACGAATCATGACCACATACACAAGGCATTCAAATGTGAGTCAAGTCCACCGGAGCTGATCACTGGACCTAGCCTTACACCCACGCAGAAGACTTCACAACGCCTGGGGACCGGCGGGCCGGAGTGATGAACCATATCGCCGACGACAACACCACAAGTTGCACCGAGCGAGTCTTCATACCCCGAGGGATATCTCCTGGTCAGGTGCCTGTTCATGGTGGCTATGCCGTTAATAAATCCAACACTTGCATCTGTCTCCAGGATGAACTATGATTGGCTGTTCGTCAGCTTTGATCTGGGTTCGCTCTGACTAAATCCCCAGAAACCGGATGAAGCAAGCAACGTGAAACATGTGGTCATTGGAGTCGGAGGTGGGAACGTTGCTTCGCGCAAGTCGGATCCATCCAGCGTAAGTCGAATCCATCCAACGCAGCCCTGCACACGCAAGACGAAGCCTTCCAAGACCAAAGGACGCACATCCTGTCCGGCTAATCACCGTCCAATTGAGCCGACGATGATGATGACCTCCGGATCGATCACACATTTGCCGTCGAGGGCTCACGCTCGGCGTGGTCGACGACCCACCCAGACGGGCCTCCAGGGCCGCCCTCAGCCATGCCACCAATCACACATGTCGACCACCACGGCCGACCAAGATCCACGCCAACAAGCCCAGCCCAGCCCATCTCCGACTGCAAGAGCCTTCAGGCCAAACACCATCGCCGCCGACCAAAGTCAATCAAGCTCAGCTCTGCCCGTCTCCAGACGTTAACACATGACCAACGGCTCATCGATTCCTGACCTGCTCGACGTTGCCTCTTCTTAAAATCCAGGGGACTCTCTTCCGTTCATACCTTGCACATGGTGGCTAAGCCGTAAATGAGAATCCAACACAAGTACTTGATCTGAAGATGATCGACCCAATCTTGTGAAAGGCATTGTTGTTCAGGTCCGTTACGTGAGCTACAGGTCCGTGTCCCCAGCTGGATTGGGGCACATCTGCTCGCCAGGTGATGCGTCGGCATGTGCTCGAACTTGATGGCCTGGGACAAAAGTCGTCGGAGCGGAGGGCGAGCAACTGCGAACAAATATATTCCACGACCGATTCACGCAATCATCATCGATTCGTCCTCATCCTGCTATCACTTCTCACGTCGTCGTCATCCTGCTCGCACTTCGATGGCGGCGCCACGTTGCCGTCACTGTTGCCACCACTGCTCTCGCTGCTCAATCGCATCAACACTTAGCTTACCTCCTCGATCTCACGTCGCTTCACCTTCGCATCGCCATCGTCCGTGCTCGCGTTCAACTTCGACGACGACTCGGTTCTCTCTTCTCGTCCCAGCTGGATTTCGCTTTCTCGTCGTCATCCGGCTTGCTGTTCAATTGTAGCAAGGCTTCGATCAAGCCGGGGATAATCGCTGTCAACCAGATCGACGTTGCTTGGCTTTCTCGCTGCCATTAGCCGGCATCCCGAGGGCCATCACTGCTATCATCATTCGTCATTTGCAACAACGCTTCGGTCATCTCATTGTTGCCAACCACATGGAGGTTGCTGCACTTCCCGGCACCCTGTAGGTCGTCACTTGCAGCAAAGCTGAAGTCATCTCATCGCTGCCGACTAGCTCGACGCTGATCTACTTCCCCGTCACCGTCACCTGCCCTGCTGTCGCCAGCTGGCTCAATGTTAGTTGCTACATCATTTGGCCTCCGCTCGCGTTCGCTAGCTTTCATTTTGGTATCGTCCACGGCGCATCGCACCGTTGCCTCTCTACAGCAGTACTACCCGGACGAGCTCTTTCCTGGCGCGACCCGCGGCTTGCGATAATGGACAGTAGTTTTCTGCTTAGTTGCTCGCTCCACAACGTCGCCACCATCTGCAGGGACCAATTGAAGCACAGACTACCAGAAGCCACTCACTTGCATGAATGGCCATCCACTGCTGGTTTCGATCGCTGTACTAGCTCAGCGTCAATATCTTTGTCAATACAAGGCTACCAACGGATGCAAGCGCCCATACCAATGCAGGTGATGTGGCGTCTCGACAAGCTCACACTGCGACGGCAATACTTGTCGATCATGAGTATGAACGTTCGCAACCCGATCTTTGCTCGACCGCGAGTGCAGCATGCCATGCTCAATACAAGAATCTTCTTGATGGTATTGATCATGGCCGACTTGCGAATGATGATCTCTCGTCTGCATTGCCATTCCACTACATCGCATTCGATCAGTCGCGCCCCGGAACCGACTTCTCCTTTGCTGAGGTGGTTGCCGCTGTCTCCGTCTTCTCCTCGAGGCTTTCGCTTCCACCGCAACGTTGACATGGTCGAATTGCGACCGAAGTGCTCTGGCAAGTCGGTTCTGTTCTCGGCAACCCAACATAGAATTCCAGCGTCCTCAACCGGTCAAGCCTTCAAGTGATTGCGTGGCCCTATGCCATACGGTGGCTGTGGCGTGCATGAGTCCAGCACTATCAGACTGTCCCGTGGCGGACCACCTGCAATGGCAATTCTAATCGATCGATAGCCTCGATACATTCCGTTCAATTCATCATGTTCTCAAAACAACTTGCACCTCACTCTGTCTGACCACCTTGCTGGCCTTTCAACACGGCATGTTATTTGTCGTTTCCGGCCTTTCGATGGCTCTGGCATCTGCATTGCACTTGTGCCTGGCTATCGCTCTAAGCCGTGTTCCCGCCACCGTCCACTTCCAGCCGTTCACGACATTCGCGCGCACAACCTGGGGAGCTCGAGAGGATTGTTCGACTGCGACCTCCGGAAACGCCTTTCCGGCAAAGAGCAATTCATACGTGTGCAGCTTTCCATAGGAGGGTTTCGATACCTAGCTACCGTGTCTGAATGATCCTCGTGTGACAGTAGCTGATGTTTGGAGAAAAGTTCGCAACAAAAGACTTGCAGCCAGACACAGATGATGCTGATGCCAATGTGCCGTGCAACCTCCCGCCCACAATCTCCATCATCAAGATCACCATGGCCCAGCGAATGCTTCCGCCCGAGGTCGTCAACGACATTTCAGACCAATGGGCAGCTCGCCATGGCGTGCCGACCAAATCCTAAGCCCAGATCGACCGCTAGCCGGCATAGCACCCGCAACAACTCGGGCTCAGTAGCATGTTGAGATTCGCAGCACGCTAGGCTTTCGTTCCAGTCATGAGATTGCTCAATCTTTCTTGGGTCACGATCTCGCCTCGCATCCCCGTTATTCGATGAAAGCTGCCCAACAATACTGCAGCACAAGGTGACTTGCAGGTGTCAGATCCATGAGTGTCACTGGGGCTGCTCGAGCAGCTGTGACTCTGAGCGCTGCATTGTGCGAGGCATTCCATGCCGCAGCAGCCATTGATGTTGTCCTCAGCGCTTGTCTTCCACACGCCAACACGATCGGCCGGTTGTGGTTGTCTACGCATGCTTGCACAGAAATTATCTCACAACACAATGATATCGCTGCAGCCTTGACCGATTCGACCGGGTTCGACGCGTTTCTCATCGTTTTTGGCATCGTTGCACGCCAAACATCGATAAATTGCATGGGATCAGCTTTCCCGTGGGGCTACCATGAACACACGCTTGTCTCCATGTAGCCCCAACGACCTCGGCGCCCAACTTTGTCTAGTATTCGCCAACGTTCCCAACGTTCAGCGTTCTCAGATCACAGCACATCCTGACACCTGCAAGTCTGCAGCAGTCTCTTTGTCAATGGCGCTGCTTGCGTTGTCGCATCACTCGCCACCGTACTGCCGTACACGCCTCCACGAGTATCTCGATTGCAGTGGCTTGCGAGCATCAAGCGCTTCGCTGCACGATTGCTTACGAGACACGTCGGAATTCTGCGGTCCGTTTCGCTTTCGCCAATCGCCGATGCAAGATATACATAACTCGTTGCCAGACGATTGATTAGCTTAGGACTGACTTGCTCTGCACTTCTTCTTCTTCGAGTCCGTCGTATACGTCCCTGGCAGCATTGTGTCCGTCTTCGCCTTCTCTGTCCAGGTCGTCCAATGTCCCGTCATCGTGCCCGAGCTTGCGCGGATACGCATGCAATATTCAAGGCTCCTCGCGGGCCGCATGGACTGTTATACTACGACACCGATTGCGCTACCATCAGCGCCCGATCGTCATCCGAAATGAATCGCAGAACGTTTCTTTGTACAGCAACATACATTTCGGTCGGTCTCGAAATCAGTGCCGTCGATGCTCGTGATCGGCTGCTGCGCTTATACGCCAGATCTTTCGCGGCGTATCCCCGGGCGCTCGCATTGATGCGTTGATTGCGGCTCCGAAAAAACACTTTGCTTCCGAGAGCTTTCATTTCAAGATGTCAACACAACCGCATCAACCTCGCCGTTTGCAGCGCAACAGACTCCCATTACATTGGCCAAGCATAGTCGGAGTTGAACTCGCAACGAGGATGAGTCTGAACTGTATCACCGAAGCCGCCAGAGCAACCATGACCCTCATCATTACAGGCACTGACGATCAGGGAAGAACATCGAGCTTGTGGCGACGTACGTGAGCCCAAAACTGCAGATCAGCAGGTCGATTTGGACTCAGATCCGGGCTTCTGTCTCATGACACGCTGCCTCGATCAAAGCGATTCACTATGCAGCAGCACCACGACCTACCTGTATAGCTGCTCTTCTCACAGCCTCATCAACGCAATACTCTCGACCATTGCAAGTCACACCGGTCGTCCCAACACGGACGAATCGTCACGAGTTCTAGTGGCGACCCTTCGGCAAGACTTTCGCAAACAAATACGTCGAGTATACATTGCTCGACCAGCTTTTCCCAGCTTCCCACTTCTCGAAGCATCATAGCAGACTCTGCGATCGACTCTACCGCAACTTTCATCGCACGGCGCTTGCACCAACTTCACGATTCTCTTGCATCCGTAGTGATCACAACATAGACATCACTGCTCGCCTGGGCGAGCCGTTGCCGTCATTGCACATGCCTTCTGAGATGTGTATGTGTGTCACGGCTCTGGCATGCAGTTTCTGGAAGTCTCATCTGTAGCCTACTCCCATGTCGACTTGTCTTGTGCTGAAAAGTGTCGTTTCTATTGGCGATTGAGTACAACCTGGGCGTCAGCATGCGCAGCTACAGTGTAGCAAGTTCCGTTGTAGGCGCCACAGGTACTATGCACTGGCGAATTCGACGCGAGAACACCCGAAGAGCCATTGCACGAGGGAACCTTTGGGGCTGTGGATATGAGGCGACGCATGGAAGTTTCGTCGCTGATTCGTGCATCGGAAGCGACGTTTCCGGTCCCCTGTCACCAACTCTGACCGTGGGCCAGGCTGCGCCCGAGGTCGGCTTCAGTCGATCACGATGGTGGCCGATGGAACTTGTACAGTTCCGATGTACACTTCTGGATCAGACAGAACGAGATGACTCCGGACTACCCCTCTTGGCGCCCCTGGACCCCGCTATACCTGATTTAGAAGAGAGGTCAAGGCCTGAAAACATGACTTTTTAGGGGGTCCCATGCCTGGACATGCAGTTTTCCAGACATACTGACCATAGATTCTACTACTTTCAGCACCCCTCGCCAGAAGGACTCAATTCTCACCAGGACAGGTGCCAAATACCCTCGCTCACTCTTCTTAGTCAGGCTTCAATAAGGAAAATCTCAAGTCAAGCTCTTGAGAGAGATATTCCTAGACTGTGATACAGGGGGTTGAATAGGGAGTAAGCCAACAGGTGTCTAGGGGCCCTTTAGGTAGTATTTATTCAAGGTTAGGCGATGTGTATCCTCAAGATCTAGCTGACAGGATGTCCATAGGCTTTGGCTTATAGGCGCAATCAGTGTCTACCTGTTTATGTATAGCGGGGTCCAGGGGTGCCAAGAGGGGTAGTCCTGAGTCATCTCGCAGACAGAAACCCGACGCGTGCAAGCATGGTTGCCCACGATCAGTATCCCGACGAGATCTTACAAGCAAGTGCAGCTGCCAGTTGTTCATTAGCATCGTCACTTCCAATCCAAGTCCATGCCTTGTCGATCGCAAACTGCTCTACAATACTGTTCGGCGTGATCACCGACAACCTACTTCACACGAATGCTTCCGATTGCCCCGACATACGCCGCATCGTCCAGGTCCTATGGCAACCGCGATTGACCATTCCAGAAGACAAATGGTCTCGGAAGATGTATCGATAGAGCTGAATGTGACCCTTGGAGCCTGGCAGACCATGTAGCTCGACCACCAACGTTTGTTGAGGCTCAAATCATTCTGCGTCACAAGTTGTCTCGGCACGAACGTGCGCAAGTCAGCAGACTCGAACTATACCCGACTACTGCTCATTCTCGCTGCTCGAACTGAATTGTGGAACTTCACCACCACGTGCCTGCCACCACAAGGCATGTCGTCACCGGAGCAAGAGATCTTGCTGCGACACACACAACAGTCATCAGCTAAGCTCTGCGGGTAAAGCTTTCAGCGTCGACCAGTGCATCCACTAATCGAATTCGGCCGATGAACCGCCGTCGCAGGTACCGCTGCTTGGTTTGCACAACCAGCGTTGGGCCGTCCCTATTCGTCAGTCCAACTGCAGCAATCTGTCAATCCTCAATTTCTGAATACCGTTGGCAGGTCACAGCCCTCACCCTGTTTTGGATATTCCTGAATGCCTTCAAATGTTGCCGCCTCGCCGCGCTGAACATTCATGCCAGCTCTTACGGCAGGTTGACGTCGACTTGGGAGAAATCGGAAACTGTTCAGTTCGCCACAGCCTGCGATGACGCTAATGAGTGTCATCGGAGGACGTATCGAGGGCCCATGGTTGAGTTTGCGATCATCGAAGCCGTCAGAGTAGCCACGACCACGACTAGTTCAAGTTTGTCCAAAATCTCAGTCAGCATCATTCTGCATTGCAACATCGGGCAAGACAAGGACGACGTAGACAGCGAAGTCAGTAATCGGCAACTCGGCAGGCTCGAGTCGTCCACGGACGCTGGAATCTGCCAGCGCGTTGATCATCTGACTCTTCGGATCGGCTTCATGAATTGTTGCTCAGTGATATGGCTTCACCTAGCCCGTGGTCGCTTACGATGTTGCTTGCTCTTGAGTGCTGCGACTCTCAGTTCAGCAGCATGGTGACCATTATTGCCTCGCCACAAGATCTCTCGATACCGTCCCTTGCTGTCCGTTCCTCTTCCACCCTAGCCGCGCGCAAGTGACGAAGCGCTCATTGCTTCGCTATCGGAATATTATTGTACGGATTTTTCGCTATTGTCCTACGTCGTCCTTTGCGGCAGCGGACACGATGGCGACGTCACTGTTCATTCGTTGATGCATAGAATGTCGAACATGTGCGTGCTCTACCAATGGCTCATGTTCAGCGGTCTCACGGCCGAGACATGAAGTGCTGGATCTGTTGCCTACGTTTTCACACTCATTTATGTGCGAATAACTTCTGTTACCAGCATGCGACACGGTAGCATACACAGCGACATGGTCGGCGCTTCCGACGTGAGAATGGTCATGGTACCTCATAAATTCTGATCGCAAGCGACGTTAGCGAAGAAGCGTAACCAGCGAGTACAGCGTCAGGACTTCACAAGCTGGACTGCGTAGAATCATTTCGACCAAGGGACTGGAAGGCATCTCATTGCCATAAGGCGTTCCTGCAGCGATCTGTTCTTCTTCGCGGTGTTATGTCGAGGCACGCAAGACGTGGTCGTCGTGCATCTGTGGAAAGTGCGTCCGCTCTTATGGTGGTCGGGGCAGAGGTTTGGGTCACCAAGCATTTCAGCGGAACTCGCGCTCAAGACACTTTCTTATTTCTACTCGATTTCAACGTTTTTGATATGTGAACAACCGTCTTGATTCGCTGATACCGGCTCACTAAAGTATAGCTTGATCACGCTCTTGCTGCAACAGCTGTGCTGAGAAAACAAATTACACAAAGAGAATGAGGAGATTCAGCTTCTAGGGTTAGGGCTAAGCAAAAGATTAAGCCTTATCACAATAAGGGCGAGTGCTCAATTGTCAAGATACAACCTTGCTGCAACTTTTGCTACACTAATACTAGCACGTTATACTTGATAGCGCCACACTCACCTTGTCACAGCGATCATTTGTATGTAAAAGAAAGTTCAAATTGGTGGGGAGGCGAAAAGGGAGAATTGTTGTTCTGGGTGTCAAATGACTTGTGACCCAAACCTCTGCCCCGACCACCATAGCTCTGGACGACACGAGATCAGCTTCATCGACAATCGACAGTCCCGTCGAGGACCGTTCAAGCAAGTGCCTCCAGCAGTCGAGAAGACTCGATATCATCAACGCCAATGCGATCATCGATATGGGAGCTCATTTTGCGTCACGACCCAGGTAACGCTGGCCCATTTGACGAGGCCAGTAAGCTGTATGCTGATGGAGACTCCTTCGTCTTTCTGATTTCATTTCGAGTCGTCCTTCTCATGCACGCTGTCGTTCCGAGGCGACCATCGACGACCATATTCTGAGGGCAATCGACTTGACACTGCTCCTGCGGTGTTGCATATCGACTCGGTGTCCGCCGCGTCCGACCTCATATCTTTTCGCAATAAGTTCATCACTTGCGGCTGCGAACAAATCTGGCCGCTATGACTGACCGTTCATTCACTGATGCCCAGCGATAATTCAAGTCCTACTGCGGAGTCACTCAGAGTAGCTTCGCACACTACACTCTCGACTATGCGGCAACATGGTTACCGTTGAAAGACTCACCAACGGACCTGACGTCGCGAAGTAGTTGCTAACTCTCAAGTCTAGTGATGGTTTGAGGCTTTGGTGGTGATGCGTTAATTGGATCGGATGCACGGTCTTTCCAACGCTAACGAACCTTACACATCATTTTGTTCACAGTTCGACAGTGATCACAAAATCGACATCGGAGTCTCTCACATAGCGTGCAAGCCATGATCGCGGTACTGCTTGCAAGTCGTTTTCAGCTTGACTCCAGAATACCACTGCTCCCGCATGCGAGATTGGGTGTCAAATCGTCTAGCATCACAGTATGAGCTCTTCCTATTGCTAGCTTGCGATGCATCATCTGTCTCTGACGTGCAGCAGCGACGCCCGATGCAAACGCGGTAGATACTCCGAGCCGGCGACCTCGCTACACGAGCAGCCTCTCATCTGAGTATGCAATGTACGGCGGCTTTCTTGTGCAGGCCTGAAGGGAGGAGGTTGTCGCTGCCACAAAGCAGACAGACTGTGAGACCACACCGTAGAGATTCATGCGAAGGCGGCTTCGTCAGTGGGTTGTCGGTACAGATGACAAGCCGAGCGAGCCCAGGCATGATCAGGCTGCGCATTCTTTGACTACGAAATCCTACTCCGTCGCCAGTCGATCGAACCAGCACCAAGTGAAGTCTGTCAGTCATCCGACGGAGATGGTATCACACGATCAACGATGTGACTGGAGACGGATCCCAGTTCATCTCCACATCGACGTCCGCAACAGAACATGAGTCTGATCGTTTGTACTTCATTGTTCATTGCTTCCGTCGCAATTATGGCCGCGAAAAGATCGTGGTAACCATCTGCTACGGGGTTGGGAGGCCTTCTCGAGATGTGCAAATGCTCTGGAACAGCTCGCATCGCTCGACAACAGGTCGCCATGTCAATTGCCAGACACAACAGAGCATCCATGATGAGCTGCACTCTGATTCCGCCTGCAAGACAGAGCAAAACGCCTTGCATCCAGTGCCGACCGTCCTCGCAGCACTCGAAAGCGCATCAGCATTGCACTATGGAAGACAAGCATACAATTTTCATCCGTTTCCTTCGGAGCATCATCTTATGGTCAGACAACCGCGGCCCCACGTTGCAATTTCGATTCGGCTCTGTGGTGCTCTTCCACGACCCACAGACCCTCGTTCGCGACCTACAGATCCTCGCTAGAGACGACACAGTGTCGGCATATTCGTTCAATATCAACCCATGCAACAAACCAAGCAAAGGACATGCAGCCTGCGATCTGCGACTCAGAAGTGGTGTCTTCGGTCCGGTCCGAGACGGCCGGACCCGCTGCTACGATCTCATGAGTGATTGCCTTGAGTGCTGGCTGCTCGAATGCAAAGACGGAACACACCATCACAACTCTCTCGTGAACGAAGTCGAGGAGTGTTCTTTCTGTTCGTCCGTCAACGGTAGATCACGGAGATGCAGTTGCGCATCAACGGCGAACAAGACCTCTGTCTGGGCCTTTGCGCTCTCAGCAAGACCTAGGCATCGTCTGACACTCACAGTGGATCCGCCTGGCTCAAACCACAGCACTGTGTACATCGTATATTGGCTGAAACGACGATGGGCACTCATGCGTCATGTCGATTCAGCCGCGACCTCGACGATCAGGATCGAGCGCCGTTGAGCGCGCTTGCCAGTGTGATGACTGAACCGATACGCCCCTGGGCTTGCTATTTCGGTTGAGGTCGGATGAGTTACTCGCGACGGAAGATCACCTGGAGATCTCGGGGGTTTTCCACGGACGCATAATGATGGGAGCACTGACCCAAATCTTGTGAAATCGGTATCAGAACTTCGAGTACATCCTATCGACGACTGCGCGTTCCATCGGCAAGCAAACAGCGATCGCAAAGTCGACGAACAGAGCTTGCACCAAAACTGCGATCGGAAAGCTGCGGCTGGACAGCTCGCGGCAAGAAAGTTCGCTGTCTGTTGCAACTACTAATGTTTCGGCGCGGTACATGGAGTGCCTCGTGTCTCTGGGCAGCATAAATTCGGCAGCAACGCAATAGCGAAGCATACATCTGCTGCTCTGATTGGCCGAATAAAAGACCATAAATTAGCAGAGCATTGAAATGAGACTGTTCATCCCTTGCATTTTTGTTCATCCCTTAGAGTACTCTCAGCTGATACAAAATAGTCTTGCCTTCTCTGTAAGTGCTGTCTATCTAAGAGAGATAGGAGTGAGAGTGCTGAGCTGTACAGTGATTCGTGCTCAGTGTTTCCTTGAACTTGTTACCTTGAGAAGGCAGTCTTCGAGTGACCTTCTCCGAGGCTTGAAGCATGGTGTGGCTAAGCTCGAGGACCTGTAGGTGTAGAATTAGACTAGGCTTATGATCCAGATAGTATCCAAGTGTTACCTTCCACCTGGGCACCACTCGGCAGGCAGCAAGTTGTATCCACGGGTAAGTTTGTGAAATGACATACCTGACAAAGTATGCTTGGCTATTGCGTTGCTGCCGAGTTTATGCTGCCCGGAGTCTCGAGGCATGGAGTGGCGCGACAATACCGGCTTGGGCAAACGCAGGGCCTCGATCGTCCAAGTTTCGGATCATAGATTTTTATGTTGCGGCTTAACTAGGGCAACCCTGGTGGCGCTATGCTTCAGGGATGGTCATCTGACCTCATACTGAGTCCACAGGAGCCGCACGATCGACCACGCCTTCCTCGATGGAGCCAGAAGCTCTTTGACTTGCGAAAGTCTTTTTTGAGTTTCCTCCAACTCAAATAGAGCTTCCGCTTCAGGCCATCTTTGGGCTAGATCTGAAGCTTAGCTGGCTACGGCTTCGGTTTCGAAACCTTGTCAAGTATGTCATTTACGATACCGACTTCGACTTCCCTTCGATCTTTGGCATCGCAAATTCATCTTTTGGTGGAGTCAATTCGATCCTCAAATTCAACTCAACAACATCTAAATGCACACGGGCGTATATTTCTATCGCAGCGGTTTTGTTGCATTGTCAACAGTCGAGGTACAGCGCACCGAACAAAACCGATCTTTCAACGTGCACCTTTGGCGCATTCACATATTGCACGCACGTTTTGATGCCCGAATCAAGGTCAACAACATTGTTCCGCAATCGCATGATCATTTTCGTGCCGCTTTTATTGCTGCAGCATCCGAGACCGATGTTCAATAGACGAAACAAGTTTGAGCTCGTTCGCCACATCGGCATTTTGCTATGACATAACTCAACAACATGGGGACGTGTCCGAGCGCTCGCTTCTACCCTTTCCGTCTTTTCTGCACAGCCAGAGACTGGTATTGGACAGCCGAACTGGTTTTCTGTGCGTTTGACAACATCGGAACTCACGTCAACGCCAAAGTTCGTATCATCGCTGTTGTTGTATGAGACGCGAATCAAATTCGGCACGTACAGCTTTGTATGAAACAGTGTACGACATCTCGAATGACCGACTCACATAGACACGATTCTATGTTCTTGAAGATCATGCACACCTCGATGTCTATCGCTGAAGATGATCCCAGGCGGCAAAAAGTGAACAGTCGCACCCGGTCATATCGAACTTCAAGCTCGTCCACCATCCTGCAGTCCGACTTTTGCTCATAGCCAGCTCCTTCATCAGATCTTTCTTTACCCTACCTCTAGTCCTTAGACTGATCTTTGGACTCCTTCTTCCTGCCCACCGCTGCCAACTTCGGGGCTCTTCAGCTGGAACAGCGGAAAACTATGAGCCTTGACTCCACGACACTGTCAGAAGAACAGACATCTTCTTCCTATTTGCTGTTCGAATATGTTGACGAAACTTCGCACTACAGAAACTTCCAGAGCCACTCCCAGTACCACCGCAAAGTCACAAAGATCCATGAACACAAGACAAGCACAATATCGAGGTCGAACTCAGTTACAAGCTTGCCGTCGATCGTCCATCGATGCACCGATGTCTGTCGCAAGTTTGAGTCATCGAATATCTGGCTTCTATCGACTCTATAGCCACATCGTCAGACCTGTATCAACTCTCAACACTCTTCACGCCACAAACTCTTTGTAGTGTCGCTACCGTTCCTCGATGAGAATCGTCGCACATACATCTACTGTCTCATCACCCAACCAGCGGCCTCGTCCATCGATCCGGTGTCGCCTCGGCTTCGGCGGGATCTGGTGCTCGATGTGTCTATGCCATCTACACCTGATGCAACACCTCGCGACAATGATGTCCTTCCTCTGTGAACACCATACTCAAATCATGACGCTCAGCTAGCACAGCTTCTCGCCGAGCGTCAGCCGATGAAAGAGCTGGACCGGGCATGATATATATCTATCTCGACCCGCCGTGGAATGGGGTTGTTGCTTACAATCTTGCCTATCGGTCTTGCCGTAGCGTACTGACAGCCTCTATCGCATGACCATCAAGACGAACCGCGAACTTCACCCTTGGGACTTCGTTTGCTGGCTTGCGGCGCGTGTCCCTCAGTCGTGGTCTGTTTGCTCGTTCCCAAAATTCTGGTGAACACTTTTCTCCGTACCGAATGATCTAGAATATTAAGCGCAAACGCTCGCCGACTTCTGGCGGAGTCGCACGGCAAAGAAATGTTGAGCGCCAAGTTGACCTTCGCCGACTTGCAAACGTCTGTCCACATAGCAAAATTGAGAGTTCCCATCAAACACACGACGAGCGTCAAGTCTTGCTGCAATAAGCTTACTTCGACACGTCTTGCTGGCCTCGAAAAACCGTCGCAAGGGCGACGCTGCATGAGCTGATCAAGGTCGTTCAGCTCTGATTCCGTACACGGTCACTGACGCCGAGTCGCACGAGCTGGAGAGGGAGCAGGACACACGGGGGAAAGAGCCAAATACCAATATGAGCACGCAGCCGCAAGCGCAGCCCCGAATCTATTGGTGGGAGCTCTGAAACCCATCGGATGCTGCGACTCGCGTGAAGGCGCACACGCCTGTGTGCTCGGAACAGCCGTCTGCCCGCCACAAAGGCCTCAACTTGCGAGCCTTGCGTCGAGCGGCGGAAGCATAAAATGGGTAGACCGATTGCAGTTGCCAACGTCTATATTTCTACGACCGGTTGACAAATACATTATCATGGACAGAGCAGTAGGCGGCCCACAGCGCATGTCCACATCGGCAAGAGGACTGCAAGCATGAGGAAGAGCAGGCGTTGGCAGGCAGCTGACGACAAGATAGGCACGAGGAGAGACGAGCAGACTGGAACGGTGGGCACGACTGCGCAAAGGCCAAAGAGCTTGCGTCGGGACATTCTACTCGCGCGACGTATCGTGTGTTGGGAGCATCACGAATGGACCAGCGTGATAAATAGAGAGGAGGCTTGATGCACGCAGGGTACTGCACAGGACGTGCGTCAAGAGGGGGAGGAGGCAAATTTGTGAGAGCAATGCCACGCGGCCGCTGTCAAGGAAGCGGCGTCGAGGGAGCGGCCCTTAGAAATGGCCCGTAAGAGGTGGTGATGTTGAGGCAGGGTCGCTTGGGAAAGGACTGTGGTATCTCGCCGCCAGTGGATGAGGACCGGCTGCAGCAGGAAAGGGAGCAACCTGAGAACGGTGCCATGCAAGCGACACTGGAGCGGCAGTGCTGGAGCGCGTTATTAGTGAACAACTACTCGGCGGGCTTTCTCGGGGAGTGAGAACGCGATGATGAAGGAGGGCGGTGGCGAGGAGGGCGGTGGCGAGGAGGGCGGTGGCGAAGAGAACGGTGGCGAGGAGGACGGTGGCGAGGTGGCGATGATGGGGCGGCGGTGCTGCGGAAGGCGGTGCTGGGGAGGCGGTGCTGTGGAAGGCGGTGCTGTGGAAGACCGCTGTGGAAGGCGTGCTGTGGAAGACGGTGCTGTGGAAGGCGGTGGCTGTGGAAGGCGGTGGTGGGGGAGGCCATGATGGCGGCGGCGGTGGTGGGGGCGCCGGTGCTGGAGAAGGTGGAGTGGTATGGGGAGGAGTTGTGTTACGAAGGGTGGCGTTGAGCAGGTTGGCAGTGCGGAGGGTGTCGGCTGCCACGGTTGGAAGGTGCTCCTACCGAGGAGCCGCTGTCAAGAATGCAGCAGCGAAGGGAGGACCAAGGCGCGGCATCGAGGGTCGACGGCACTGAGAAGGTGATAGAGCATGGGACAGGACGGTGAAAAGATATAGGGTCTAGCACTTGCGATAGGATTGTAGTCGACAATGATGACGACGCGATGGGCTGTGATGCTGTTGAATGTGATGACGTGGTGGGCGAGCAGGCAATGAGCCGAACGTAGTGACAAAGATCGTGTGTGGGAATTGACGTTCTGAACGCAGTCGGTGTAGAATAGAGGGGAGAAGCGTCGCGGACAGAATAGATGAGTATCGACGGCCTAGGCGAAAGACGATGACAGTGTGGAAAAATGAGCGACTATGACCGCGGATGGCAGCGTGAAGGATAGTTGGTGAGTCAGGGATGACGATAAGACGAAGCGGGCGCTGACGGTGAGCTAGACATGATGACAGCGAAGGTGAATGCGAGATGATGACAGCGAGAGTGAGTGGGAGATGATGACAGCGAGAGCGAGTGTGAGATGATGACAGCGAGAGCGAGTGGGAGATGATGAGAGCGAGAGTGAATGCGAGATGATGACAGCGAGTAGATAGAGCAAGCGTAACGGGCCGAGTGTGTTAGTTCTGCCCAGGCTGCTGGGGTAGATTGTTGACTTTTGTTGCCAAACACGGTTGACAGACTTCACAACGCCGGTGCGGGCTGATACGCCAGGTCCGACAGCGATCGTGTGGGGAATGGAGAGGTAGCCGGCAGTGACGAGGGCCGTAGGAGTGGTGGTGCAGACGAGTAGATATCAAAGGGTGGATCAGGATGGGTTGGTGAGGATGAGCACGGGTGCGTGAGGATGGATCGCTGAGTATGGGCGATGAGAATGGGGACTAGGGAAGAGGATGGCCGGCGAGGAGCCTGAGGGCGTTCAGCGATGGATGCGGACGATGCGGAGGTTGTGGACGACCGTCGGCACGTTGGGATTCGAGCCATATCGCTGGTGTGGATGCCAGAGAAGGACTCGATGACCTTACCTCTTTCATCGGCGCCGCTGGGGAGCCTGTGATAACCGCCGTGGTACCAGAAGACTGTGCGTGGCTATAAATCGCATCGGAGGATGTCAGTGACGAGGTCAGCAGACGTCGAAGCTGTGTGAGGAAGGAGCAGGGAAGGCCAACTAGACGAGAACAGGGCGCGAGGTGGGAAAGGTTGTCCAGCGAAGGAGGCCGTCAATGCCAAAAACACTCACCTAGGGAGAGAGAGGCGCCTCCTGACCCAACATTCATACAAAATGCAGAGATATATTCGATGCCGACCGGGGTTAATCTCCTGCTCTTGCTTCAAGACCGATCGGCACGTCATGGAGGAGGAGGCGGCGGCATTGTTGGAAGGTTGTTGGTCGTCAAGAGCTGCGGGCTGCGTAAGTAAGCCGGTTAAGCGTCAAGGACATTGATCTGACCTTGGGACATGTGGCCTAGACGATGAGCTGGCTAAGCTGACAGCAGGCGCAAGTCGAGGATTGGCCGAGAGGATGAGCTGACGACGACGAGCTGACGAGGAAGATTCGATGACAACGAGCGGACGATGAGGAGACGATGATGCGGAGCTGATGTCGACGAGCTATCGTGGGAGAGCTTGTAGCGTCGAGGAAGGGTGCGTGCTGGGGATCGACGACTGGTCTCAGCTTGTCAGTCATAATCCTCCAACATTGCCGAAGCATGACACGCAGTTGTAGGATCAAAGCGATGATCCTGTGATGGCTTGATGGCAAGTGTTGGATGTGGACTTATGCTGCCAACAAGGAGAGTAGATGATGGAGTGGTAGGACGAAGAACTTACGCAATGCTCATGAACCATACCGAGCTTCGCCGTTCATTGCGTGCAGCTGCAGGAACCAGGGTTGTCCAAAGCCCAGAAGTGAGGGAACGGCCAGAGCGGGAGCGGCTATCACGGAATATCGGTTGCTGTGTCCAGGGTCTGTGCAGGGAGGGTCGTTCTGGCATCCTTGGAAGTCCAGTCAGGGCCGTGCGAGATCCAGGAAGGGTGCGATGGAAATCCTTGGTATCCAGAGAGTTCAGTCGTGGGGACCAACGGAGACGCAACCAGTGATCGGTCCCCATGGCGAGGACGTACTCTGCCGATAGTGACGGCTCTGATCTCGTGCAGCGAGAATGACTCCGTTGGCAGTGACGGCTCTGGTGGGATGAGGTAGGACGAGACCCCAGTGGCAGTGACGGCTCTGATCTCGTGCAGCGAGAATGACTTCGTGGGCAGTGACGACTCTGGTGAGATGAGGCAGGACGAGACCCCGTTGGCAGTGGCGGCTCCGGTGAGATGAGGTAGGACGAGACCTCGTTGGCAGTGACGGCTCTGGTGAGATGAGGTAGGACGAGACCCCGGTGACAGTGACGGCTCTGACCTGTGAAGTGGGAATGAGTCTGTGACGTTCAGCTTCGGTCTTGGAGGCAAGACAATCCCCAGTGGCAGTGCTGGTTCTGACTCATGAAGTGAGAAGGACTCTGTGACATGCAGCTTTGGTATTTGAGGTAAGACAAACCCCGTTGGCAGTACGGCTCTGGTCTTTGAGGCAAGACAACCCCCGTTGGCAGTACGGCTCTGATTCGTGAAGCGAGAAGGACTCTGTCGATACGGCAGCTCTGATCTGTGAAGTGGAATGGACTCTGTCGATGTGGCAGCTTGGACTCGTGAAGAGAGAAGGACTCCGTGGACAAGGCAGCTCTGATCCGGAGATTGTTGTACCGATGAGTATTGTCCAGCTCTTACCCTTCCCGGCAGCTCGGACAGAGCTGACGAAGGTCTTGATGCAGTGGACGACGACGATCGAGGGTCGAGTACAGTGGAAGGACGATGGAGGGTCGAGTACAGCGGACAACGACGATGGAGGGTCGAGTAACGGATGGCAAGCTAGTGTCAGTTTCCTGATGCTGCTCGTCAGCAGTGAGGATGCCTGTGATACGAACCTAAAACTTGAGGCTGCGAAGAACTCGATGGTCGACCAGACTCGGGATGAGACGACGACCAAGACAGTGTACACCTATGCGATTATCTAGTTGCTATGCCAGTCAGGAATCATCACAAGCCTGTCCGGATCGAGCAAAGAACGAAAATAACACCTCAAATTGGAAGAGAAGGAAAAGTGAGGGTCAAATGGTAAGAAGTTTTGGAGGTACACAGTTGCACTTCCTGCCTCTGGAAGGCACGCATGATCGTTCCTTCCTCTTCGCCATGGAGGGAAGGATCGACTGCCTTGACCCACCTGTCCATTCCTACCTCTGACTCGCGGGTACGTTGTTTGGGCTCCCGACAGACTGTTGTCTATACACCGACGACTTTCAGCTAGGAAGGGACTGCATCTCATCCCATCCCACAAAACACTCGCCGAGTCCACTGCACTGGGCACGAACGCGCGATAGTCTCACTCACCTTTTGCCAGAGCCGGTTCGGAGCCATGGACTGCTTCGTCACCACAGGTGGAAGCGGGATGATTCGTGCTTGGATGATCTGGTGGACTGGACGATGCGAGTGTGCAACATGATCTCCTCCTGAATCAGTGGGAACCTGGCCATGCCCGGACCATCCACTTAGTCCGACTCGTGCGACGACGCTGCGCTGGGAGTTTGTCCTTCCGGAGCCTCCACGGGAGAAGAACCCGAGATGTTCGGTCAGGCATCTCGCAAGAAAGTGTCGAGCAGGGAGCGATCCTACTTCACTCGCGGCCTAAGGATCGAGGATGCGGCTTGACAAGGTCCGAGAAGTCAACGCCGACGAGCTCTTTGGTGCGATGACATTCATACGTCAAGTCCTCGGCGCATAATGCGTCGTCGAGCAGATCGCATCGCATCGCGTTTCGCCAAGCTTCCGCCCTCGGTCCTTGACCCTTCCGGCTGTCACAGCTGGCCAGAGGCCGCTAAACACAAGGCCCGGAACTGGACGCGTTCGGTGACTGCTAACCGTTGATCAGCGGGTGATATGTCAACTGAAGTAGGCTTATCTCTTAAGGCAAAAAATAGATGCCTGATGAGGAAAGAAATGACTGCCACCCTGGGCTTAGGTGTCCCCCATCAGGCAGAGATCGCTCATGCACGACGGACATAATGTCCGATTCGTGGGATTCCTCCCCTGGCTTTAACACAGCTTCGTTCTCGTGGAAGACCTTAGTCATAGGCAATGCTTGAGACCAAACATGAGAAGGACGAAGCAAAAGTACAGAAGTCCATGGTCTTGATGACGTCTACCTAGGTATTATGGGCTCTCCAACCCATGCCAAGATCGACTGCCGAATGTCAAAACTGAGTGGAGAGCCCCGAATGCGCGACATGATGTGATGACTCGATACGTCCGGCCATGGATAGGGACCCCTTCGTCAACTATACGCATCCAAAAGACCAGACAGACAAAGCTCACAAGAAGCAGGTCGCTCAATACATTGGAACGCACTTCCGCAATCGCAGTCGTCCTACAAAGCGACATGTAACGGCCAACCGCCCAGGCTGGGAGTTCCAGAGTAATGCTACTGTTGACGACTGCCATGTGCTTCATCAACGCAAGCCAAGCCGGGAACAAGCTCGCCTACAAGCTCTCACCGTGCCCCGAGATCGATCAGGCATTCGGGAAGACCCATTCGGAGCTTATCCCATCCCACAAGGCCGTGGAGTGGGAAGAGCTGTTGACCACTGTGAGTCTACTGTCCAATGTCATTGCAGGCTCTGAACGTTTAGTCATCATCTCATACGCTCCGTCTCACCTCCTCAGACCTGAGGTCATAGATCCGCAAAACGGCGCTGCGGCTATCCGGAACTACTTCCAATATGCTCTGGACCACGAGGTGATGTTTCAAGCTACGGTAGCTCTAGCATTGGCAGATGCGACTGCGCACACCTGGACCGACGAGTATGCGAGCCCGGATGTTCTGTACCACTACGGGCGGTCTCTTTCCACACTCAGACGTTCTCTAGAAGACGCTCAGGCATTACATGACGATGCACTGCTCTTCGCAATCATGGCATTGATAGGTATTGATTATCTACTCAACGATCTGGCTTCGCTCGGAGCTCATCTGAAGGGATTGAGACACGTGATCGGCCTGCGAGGCGGACTCGAAGCAGTGGGCTTCCCTCTGCTGCTGAAACCGGCTGTGCTGTCCGTGGAATCGTTCTATTCTTACATCTATCAGCAACCGCACCTCATATCTGATCGCTCGGCTCAGTCGGTGCTGCCGTCTAGCGTTGGAGAGCCGAGCCCCGGCGAAGATGAAACACAGAACATGTTGCAAGTGATCCCTCCTGGCTACCACACGCTCGTTGGGCGCTCTCCACAGTCCCCGAGAGTTCTGTCGATAGTATTCAGCCTCGCAGAGACCGACGCACAGCTTCACCATGATATGCCAACTTCTTTCGCGTACCGAGAAGGTGTCAGGAAGTTTCTAAACTTCAACGACACTTCTGGTAAGCCCGTGACAGTGGCATCGGCCCTACACTGTTGTGGAGAGCTTGCGAAGCTCCTGGTTGGCCCGGAGATGTCACAGGTTGAGAGAAGTTGCTGCATCGCAATGTTCATCTATTTGCTCGGGTTCAGCAGAAGCGAACAGCTTAGCTCGGTCTACTTTACTCAGCTGCAGCACCATACTCAGGAGCTCTTGGACATGCCTCTCAGGGATGAGGACCAAGAGGGCACTGAGCTGATCGGATGGGCAATGTTTGTCGTGTCGTCAACGCTCTTGCCTATAACAGCACGGGAAGGTATGGGGGTTGACAACGCAGACAAGAGATATGCCTTGGCTCTCAGGACTGTGGAATACTTCTCGAGACAGAGGACATGGGATATGATGGCCGTCGCCCTTCAGGACTTTATCTGGAACGACACTTGCATGATTTCATGGAAGAACCTCTGGGATACGGCTATCAATCATCTCGAGCTGTCGGAGCCTGCAGACTCTGTCGTGCCAGCACCCTAGCCTCCTTTCCGGACTGCAATTTCTGCACAAAGTTTTGAAAAGCCAAGAGCGTCGGAACAGGTATCGATCCCGGGACCTTGCTCTACATTGCCGAACAAATCTAGACCTTACACGAAGCGGACGTTCAATTTAGTGAATCTCTTCGCACAGCGAACGACACACCTCTGTGCTGATGATCGCAATCTCGATAGTTCTTTCTCAGGGCGGAGTTGTAGACTCACAGCATTGCCACGGGCCGAAAGAATACACTAGCACGCATGATAATGAGAGGGAAGTGGGGACCTCCACAGTCAGTCCGGAAGGCACGGCGCGGTTGTGAGAGTTTCGCAGGGAAGGCGCTACGACGAGTGGCAAGAGGAAGCCGCTTCCATGAAGCCGGACGGCGCGTCCGTCCTATGAACACAGGAAGGAGCTACGTGGCGGATCGGTTTCTTGCAGACGCCGGATGATGCGTGGCTCTACACGAGACCGGATGACTATGCGCAGGGCTTTTCTGTAAGCGAAACCGCGTGGCATGGCGTCACGCCGAGTATGCGCTGGGCCGGACGCGACTTGGGTATGGCGAAGCCTGTATAAAGGTCAGCAAAACCCGAAAGAAGATGAGACAGGTGCCGGCTGCGGTGCCAAAGATACTGTGCTGGGCACCAATACTACGGATTTAGTGTCGACATCTCCTCGAGCTGTCACGATCGAGGCTAAGGAACAGTGTTACGAGGATTTGGGCGACGTCGTACCATAGAAGGATGGTTTGCACTTCGAGATACGCTTCTGTATGAGCGACCGTCACGCCACAAGTCCGAGCTCCAAGCATGATAAATTCTATCTACAACATCATCCCCCAGCCTCACGCCGCTAGACGGCGGTACTGTTCCAGCGCAGGCGACTCGCGACTAACTCTCCACCCTCCCAAGCCTTTAACCTTCTTCCACCTATCTCTCGACCTGACCGCCAGCCCAGCTCTCGTCTCCGTGGCAGCAATAGGGCTCTTCTCATCCGTGCTGCGCACATAGAAATGCGGATGCGAGGACGAGCTCGCCGCCTGTTCCATATCGACAGTGAAGCGCTTCCCAAACGCCGACCCCGTCGGTCCTGTCCCACAGCTACCACTCAAGCTTTGGCTTGGCGGACTCATGAATGCCAATGCGAACAAATTCTGCGGCTCGCAGAAGTCGGTGATCTGGCCGTCGGTGAAGAGGTGTTTGAATAAGTAGTACATACAGAAGCAGTTGATGAGAAACACGACGACGAGCACGACATAGAATATGCTCTGCCAATCTTCAACACCACCTGACGCATAGTCCTTGAACTTTACCAAAGCATCGAACCTCTCGTCTTTCGGCGGACCCACATCGCGCTCAGCTTGAATGAAAGGAGCATGGATCGAAGACATAACTGTCGTTGAGCCGGCGAGTACAGCCAGGGCCTCAGCTATAGATGGACGATTCGGATCCAGCACCGTCTCGCCAGGCTCAAATCGAGGAGTCATCTGGGTGATGATCCGTGCAATGGAGGCGTTGTCGTTGTTGATGCCCTGCCCCAGAGCAATAGACCGCAGCCATTCGCTGCCGATGTCCTTCCAATTTGATTCGTAGTGGCCCTCGGTGACGTCGGTATTCTTCGACGAGTAGGACAGCGTGTTCTCTTCATCATCATCGCAGTGCGCCGAAAGTTCTCCACCGGATTCTGCTGCATGGTACCTTGTGGTACAATGAGGGTATTGTGTTATCTTGATCGAGCAAAGGATGTGGTCTTGATTGGCCTCTGGAGGTGGTGTAGATAGCAGGAAGACCGCGGGCGGGCCCCAGATGTTCGAGTTGTTGTTGATCGTGTTGTAAATGATCGGAAGATGAGGGAAGAGCGGAGCAGGCTGCTTGCTACCGCCTGGAGTGTAGTTGCCGAAGTTGAATAAATCATCGAGTGCCGTCGGACCAGTCGATTCGGGCGGTGGAACATCGACCTCAGGATCATATATGAACGGTTCTATCTCCTCAGAAGAAAGGCCAGCGCAGAGAACGTTCAAAGTTGGCGCCGGCAAGGCACCAGCAATGAAGTACTCGCCCTGTCCTGCAAGCTCTCCAGGCTGTGCAATGCCGTTCGCTGCATTTCGTGCCGCATTGAATATATTGGCGTGTGGCATTGCCATCGACACGTTCTGAATTAAACGATCAGTTGACTGGCTGGTGATGTTCTCTCCGCTCGGTGTAATCCACTGTCCTATGACTGTTGTGTTATCGTACAGCATGGCGGCGGGCCTCGGTCGTCCAGACATCGTGCTGTTACCAGGTCCTTTTTCGAGAGCTGCAGTCCAGTTGGACATGAAGGATTGGAAGTTGTGATACGATTGGCCGGCATAGGATACCTGTAGGCAGCTTCTGCCCGCCTCCAGGTCGTCCACAGCCGGTATGGGAATATTGCAAGAATTTGTCAGGAAAGTGACATTGGCGAACGCAGTATCAACAACCCCAACCAGCTTGTGACTGTCCCAGCCTCCAAACTTGAGCTTCGGGGCAGCCAGGGCTTCGGCCGCTGTCGTATAGAAAGTGGCGGCCAAGGTTGCAATCAGAACCACGACTCCGAGGATAGTTGGCCCGGCATACTTGATTGCATCTCCGTGAGTGAAGATCAGACCGGGCTGTAAAATCCACGACCGCATGGTAATTTCCGCGATCGTGATTCCATGATGTCCAGATCTTCGTGCGATCGCTCTACGACTAAGGATCTGTCCGATAGTAGTGACAAGCACTGCGACGAAGGCCAATTCGACTGTTTTTGAGAACAACGCACTCAATAGAGTCGCCGTGTTGTATGATAAGTTTCCATCACCTCCGATCCTGCGACCCCACCTTGGCCTCGCCAGCGCAATCCCTAGGAAGACTCCCGAGAAAGAGAAAGAGTACAGTGCCAGGAAACACATAAATATCGTCACCCATGACCAGCTGATGATGTCGCCGTTCGTTGGACAATTGATCTGCGTTTCCCCAGGCTTGAGCAGCTCGATCTCGGAGCCATTGTAAGATTCAGCGTGCAGCAAAGCCGGCGTAGGAAACCCAGAACTCAATCCTGGTGTGTTTTGAGCGGTGCTTGGAGGATACTGTGGCGATAAAGGCGACACAGGAGATGTCTTTGAGCGGTCGACCTGTAGGCCAAGACCGTCCATGTTACCATCGTTATCTTCGCCGTCCGACACCTTGTTGTAGCGACCTTGCCCATATCTTAAAGAAGGATATCTTTCGAAAGCTCCGGCGTCTGTCATCGTTCAGAGCTTACGCCTCATAATTGCTCCATGTCGACAGATGTTGCGAATCGAAGTGCACTGCAAGGCCAGCAAGTTCGCTATATTTAGGGACGCACAGCTGAAGTCCGCCAGGCGAAATTGGGGCTCGAACGCGGTACTCGTATGCTATGCCCCTAGGGTCATGAGCTGGTCAGCCACACTTACCACAAAGGATTTGATCCGAAAAAGTGCTTTGGTAAGACATTATTGGTCTCAGCGATCGCCATTTTGCAATCAGCAAGATCTCGATGAGCCCACGGTGTAATTTCCAGCCTAATGCGCCTCTGACGCGCCTAGAAGGAGCGACTGAGGCGGTGCCCTAGAGCTGACAGTACGCCTGATTACCTTGCGCGGACAGGGTCTCACCTCACCTTAGTGTGGCTGAACGTCAAGAGCATAACGAGGTCCCAGGCGTGATGGCAGCCGCGAACGGTACAGATTTACACCAACGAACGCCGCCCGAGACCTGTCGGCCGCATAACAAAGGAAGGCGAGATGGGCAAGCAGTCGTACACGGGTAACCCGAGAAGTAGCCTCGTTTTCTTGGCATGGCTGCCAACTGGTCTCCATAGATCGTGCCTGGATCTTTTGCACTCCGTAGGCAGACGTAACACTACAGAAGATTGCTTGAACAAGAATACACATGATTACCTCCCTCGGAGGCACAGTGACCGTGGTCACAATCTACACATATACACGCTATGGAAACGCTAAACAGCATCGACCTCTCTCAAAGGAACGTAGGCTCCTTTTCCACCATTCCGCTTCGTGGGGTCGAAAATGCTCATAACGCTGGATTGCAGCACCTCCAATGCTGATTGTTTCCTTGCAACACCTATCAATGGAATTGCAACATGCCCAGCCTCTGCTTCGAGTCTCTCCACCGTCATCCATTTGGGCTTGCTGGACCATCGCAGTGCAAGACTTGACAACGTAACGGAGATCGAAGAGAACATCATAGCTGTCGCTGAAAGCAAGGGTGGCATATGATAGCCAAAGGGCAGGAACACGCCCATAGCAAACGGCAAGCCAATGACGTTGTAAGCACAAGCCCAGAGAAGGTTGTACTTAATGCGGCGGAAGAATATGCGGCAAAGCCAGAACGAGGCAGGAATGTTGAGCATGTCGTCGGATCGCATGATGACAATGTCAGCGGCTTCAACGGCGATATCGCTGCCACTGACCAGACCAACGCCAATGTCTGAGGTCGCTAGGGCGGGAGAATCATTGATACCATCTCCCACCATCGCGACAACTTCGCCTTGTGCTTGCAGATCAGCGATGATCTGCTGCTTCTCGGATGGCGACACAGAGGCCTTTACAGCATCTGAGGGTATGCCGACCAGTCTGGCAATGCCAACTGCCGTGTCGTAAGTGTCGCCTGTCACGAGAGAGGTGCTGATTCCCATCTTGTGCAAAGCAGTGACAGCCGCTGCTGATGTGAGCTTCAGTATGTCCGAGAGTGCGAGCCTACCAGCGTACTTTCCGTCTATTGCGACAAAAATGTTGGTTATACCGGCTGCGCCGTTGCTCTTCTGCGAGACAGAATCAGCGATCTTGATATCGTTCCGGCTCATGAACTTTTCATTGCCGACAAGCACCTTGTAGCGCTCACTCATCTGTCCAGTAGCAATAATTGCCGAAACTCCCTGGCCGACCTTGACTTCAAAGTCACCGAGCTGCCCAGGCAACGGATCCTCGGGCCCTATCGACAGCTCCTCTCGTGCTCGAGCGAGGATAGATCGCCCAATCGGGTGCTCTGAGCCAGACTCAGCAAGACCAACAAGTGCCCACCACAATGTGCGACTATTCCCAGAGGACCACTGAGACACAGTTTGCACATCAGCAACAGTCAACTTCCCGAATGTCAAGGTACCCGTCTTGTCAAAGACGATATGTGTGATAGAAGTGGCCATCTCCAGAGCAGCGCCACCCTTCACAAGAATGCCCTGCTGCGATGCAGTGCCGGTACCAACCATGACAGCCGTTGGTGTTGCGAGGCCAAGTGCGCACGGACACGCGAACACGATGACCGAGATACACAGCTTGAGGCAAACCATGAATTTCCCACCACTCTGTGCCTCGGAGAAGATCTTCGGAGGATGCTTGAGCATATGACTGAGAACGAACCAGACTGCGAAGGTCGCGAGACCCAGAATGATGATGACTGGCACGAAGTAGCCGGCCACGAGATCCGCCAAGCGCTGAATAGGAGCTCGGCTGGTCTGGGCAGCCTGCACGAGGTTGACGATTTGGCTGAGTTGCGTGTCTTTGCCAGCGCGAGTGACGCGAAAATCCATCTTGCCAGCTCCATTGACCGTACCTGCCCATGAGTGCGCTGCCCTTCTTCTTTTGTAAAGGCATTGCTTCTCCGGTGACCATGCTCTCGTCTACGTAGCTGTCACCACGGATCACAGTCCCGTCAGCTGGGATTCTGTCGCCCGGTCGTAGAATCACAACGTCGCCGACCTCGATCAGTTCGGTGGGGATGTTCTTCTCGACGGCCGCATCCGCAGTTGCCTGAGAACTCTCGTTGAGCATCTTCGGTGTCTTCTCCAGGATAGGCGATGAAGGTGATTCCCATTCTTCCGCCAACTTTTCTGCGTAAAGAGGATCCTCGTAAATCGTTGCCATGCTTGGCGCCAGAGACATCAAGTTTGACAACGCCTTCGAGGTCTGCCCTTTCGCACGGTTTTCCAGCCATCGACCCAGAGTGATGAAAGTGAATAGCATCGTACTGGTGTCGAAGACCGTGCCAGGCTTGTTGTGAGGCTTCATCAATACTGCAATGATGACGGCGAAGCAACTGAAGAAGAACGCTGCAGATGTGCCTAGCACGACCAAAACGTCCATCGTAGGAGCGTTATGCTGCAGACTCTTCCAGGCTGATCTGTAGAAGCGCTTTCCAACACCAAATTGGACAGGCAAAGTTAGACCAAAGCAAACGATATCGCCCAGGAACAGGCCGGGTATAATTTCGATCGAACCAAAATCGAGGATTTTGACAAACATAGGAAATATCATGCTGATGCATAGCACAGGCACCGCGAAACCAAAACATGTGAAGAACGCCCTCTTCCATTCTTGGATTTCTCGCGTCTTCGCCAATGACTCCAGCTGTGCATTGGTGTCATCTGTGTCAGCTAGCAGGGCGTTATAACCAGCATCTTCCACGGCTTGAACTATTGAGCGCAGTCCAAGAATGGCGCCGTCGTACGTGACAGTAGCCCGCGATGAGGCCAGACTGATTATAAACCCCTTTATGCCTTCTTTTGATCGGATTTGCTGCTCTAGATTGGTTGCATCACCGCTGTTGAAAATGCCATAGATCTTGAGTTGCACAGACGATAAGCCTGACTCGGCCATGACGCCTTCGGGCTGACTTGACACAACACTTGCATCAAAGCCGGCATCGTCAATGAGTTCCACGATCTTGTCAGAAGTCAACAAAGCGGCGTCGTGTGTAATAACCGCTCGCTCTGCCAGGAGACTGATGTTGAAGCGGATCAAGCCATCGACACCCCGAAAAGCGCCCTCGACAGATGATGTGCATGCGCCGCAGGTCATGCCTTGAATGGACACGGTCGTGATGGTCGCATGGGTCTTGCCCGACATTGCCAGCGCGGCCGGTGTGTTTAACGATATTGTTTCTTTGATTTCGGCATCGAATCCTCGATCTTCGATAATCTCTGCGACGGCCTCGGGCGAGATCCTGGAGGGATCGTGCTGTACAACCGCTCTGTTCGTCATAAGGGACACGGTCATAGAAGCAACTCCTGGCACATCTTTGAAGCCAGCCTCGACCGCCGACGTGCATGCGCCACAGGTCATGCCTCCAACGTTGATCGTAGTCTCTACTAGAGTCGCAGGTGTCTTGTCTTCAGAGCTCAGTAGATCATCAGTGGACAAGTTGAGCGCAGGCTTCGGCGTGTCCGTGGTGAGGATCGTTGCGTCGAAACCACGGTCCTCGATAATTTCTGCGACTTTCGCGGCCGGCAGCTTATCCGGATCGTGGTGCACGACGGCACGATTTGTCATGAGACTGACAGTGACTGCGCCAGCGCCGTCAACTCCTCGGAAGGCTGATTCTACTGCGGACGTACACGATCCACATGTCATACCCTGAACATCCAGTGTGGTGGTTGCCATGTGTGGCCCAACGGCTTTCAAAGCACTAGGACCGGCGGCGGCTCTGGAAGCCATCGCGTCGCTTCGTTGCTGACGGTCCCGTCTTATAGAAAAGGTCGGTTGTCACCGGGTCATGATAGTGTGATATGGACTGTGATCGGCTCGCAGAATGCGTGGCTTGCTCGGCGGAACGTTGGGATGCTGCCACAGGTATAAGTATAGCAAAGTCCGCCGCAACGTATAAAAGAGTATAAACAATGCAAAGTGAACGCTGCGAATAAGGGGAAGTTGTTTAGTGTACAGTATTGAGCGTGACGAGAATTATTAATCGTTGCAAGACCGTCCACAAGGATTCAGGGTGACTTTTGGCTCAGGCACACGAGAAACTCGCCGCAGTGTCGCAGCCACGCCCCCAGCCAGGCCCGCCGGGATTGCTGGAGTGGGCTGGCACGGACGCGGAACAAACTCAAACCTGCCAGTGAGGACGAAACCAGTTCGCCACGTGACACCGTGCTATTGATAGCCATAAGGCTGACGTGCAGCCTTGGGTGGGACACCACCACCCAATTGCCCTATGGGAAGGTTGCCTCATTCAACTACGTCTTGACTTAGTCTCCGCGCAGCATTTGGCACACTTCCTGTCAAACCACTTCGTGCAGTCGAATGCTGTCGCCATGGAGCAAGCACACGCTCGGTCTCTTGCGGCCCTGCAACAATACATCTACCAGGTCACCACTACCAAGAACGCTTCCCCACGATTTCTCGCCAATGTGATCAAACAAGCAACCGAAGCGCCTGGCACATTTGTCTTCACAGAACTTCTGCAGCTCGCCGCCATACAATCACTGAGGGCAGACGACACTCCTGCCGAGTTTCGCGCATACCTGACCATCCTTGAGATCTTCAGTTGGGGCACCTATGACGAGTACAAGCGTAAGTCTTCCCACGTTTCGAGTCAAGCCTGAAACCTGCCACGCATCATGTAATTGACTTCCTTCGGTAGAAACTCCCAGTCTACCAGAGCTCAATGAAGCTCAGACACATAAACTGGAACAGCTCAGTTTGCTAACACTCGCCTCGCCTTTCGTCAATGCCAGCCCGGGCAGCAATAGCCTCACCTACGCCACGCTGCTAGCCGCATTGTCCCTGCCTGACGCAGCCGCCCTGGAGTCACTGGTCACATCATGCATCTACTCAGGTCTCTTGACAGCCCGGTTATCGCCCACCTCCGACCCTCCTGCTGTACACATTCACACTGTCGCTCCACTGCGGGATCTCCGACCACAGTCTCTCCCGGCGATGCTCCAGATCTTGGCTACCTGGTCAAAGCGCTGCGACGGTGTGATTGTAGACCTTGAGAACCACATCAACAACATCAAGCAGCAGGCCCTTCATCGACATCAGCTGGCAACAAAGCGACAGGGCGTCATCGACAAGGCTGTGGTGTATGGTGACGCACCGGGTAAGAAGAGCGGTAAAGGCGACGGCCAACGTGGCAGCAAGCGAGATCTGGACGATGGTGCAGTCAGCGATGACGAGGTCATGGAGATGGACGAAGGCATTGGAGAGATCGACAGCGGCCGAGGCGGCTCAAGCAGTGCTGCACGGGGTACAAAGCGTGGCCGAGGTCGGGGCTGAAGGGCAGTGCTGCACGTCATACTCAAGACGCCAATTATCCGTCGCACAGAGATGGCTAGTAAGCTATCACAATCTGATGAACGACGGCCCAAACCAACAGCACTACGTCCAAGATGGAAGATCCCGCTGCGTACATTCGCAAGCGCAGCCTAGAAGCTCAGTCTGGACTCGCTCCATGGCGGGAAGGCCACTCCAAAGAAGACGACAAGCCCACGACGATAGCAGCTTGAGCTCAGAGAGGTTGAGCTGGCCATAACACGGCCGGGCAGGCGAGTTTAATGGGTTATGAGAATCCATTCGGCGAGAATGCATAGATAGATAGAACCACGAGATGCCCCTGTCACGGCAATTTGATGACAGGACTCGCTGATTCTTGACGACTTCGTCGCAAGCATGCGAAGATTACCTCCGCCTAGCAAGATGCTTCTGAGAGGAATCGAATAGCAGATTGTACACACGGGCTGTCAAATGAGCAAGTTAGACGAAGCAGATCCATATGTCTCGATTGTCCCAGTGTAGCTTTCGATGTGGCCTCTGCCAGTGTTCTACAGCAAGTAGTCTGCGTTCTGTGCACAGCAGCCCACGTGTCTGCCGTGTGTCCTGTGCATCATTCCCAGCAAAGTCCCCGAGAACCAGTACACCGCCGCTGATCCGGATATGTGCCCTCTGAATATTTGTCTTCGTGCATCTCGTCACTCATTAAATCCTACCGCCGTCTGTGGTGCAATCTAGCGAACCCCTGTGACCCAGTACAATCCAAGTACAGGACCTAGAAGTCCGCCCCCGGCACGAAGATGAACAGCACACTGAGCGCGACTGCGGCTGCAACAAACATAAGCGACGCCATCATTGCTCGTGTAAGTAGCAATTTCCGCACGAAAGGTTCCCGGATGCGCGCCCAGCTCATGAAGGTGTATTCACTAAATCCCAGATAGGCGGCCACGACATCGATCTTGTACTGGTAGGAGACCAGGAAATAGCAGCCAATCGTGAATGGGAGGATCAGCTAGGAGCTGGTTAGCAGATGCATAGAGAAGCTTCGGAATCGGTGAACTTACCCAGCATCTGGTATGGCGAGGAATGCTTCGCAAAATCATGAAGAAACCTCCCCAGAATCCAGCCATCAGACTTGCCAGCCCAATGATCAATCTGATGAGCACCGATAAAGGCACAAGGTTTCCCAGCGCCTTTGCCTGCAGAAATCCTGGGAATGCATCGCGCTCCATAGCCTGGAAGACATAGTCTTTCGCATCATCAAAAACCTCTGGATCGTCGCGCCCTTCTTCTTCGATGCTGTGTATTATCCGATTCAGCATACTCTGTGGCAAGACAATCTCTCGCTCGGAGCCGGGCAGGATGAAAGTGTAAAGTATCTTCTCGGCTGATGCCTTGATGTCCTGACGCGCGACCGTGTGGCCGGGAGAGTTGGAGTCAGTTTGCGGCTGGTCGGATCCCATGAAGCTGGGTCTAGTGGGCCCTTCGGAGTGCGGCGAAGGTTTGGGTTCGTGAGATGGCCGGCTAAAGTTCATATTCGAATGCTGTGAGGTCATGCTATGAGCTGGGGACTGGTTGGTTCCGCTGCTATCCTTGTGCTGGTGGCGCAGAAATGCGGACAGACGCTGTTCGCTGCTGCGCTTTTCGTTGCTCGAGGGGTGTGATTCGGCTTCGCCTAGTGACTCTCCGAAGTTCTCGAGGAGGGCGGAAGAGCGCTTCGAGGTGGCTTTCTCCATATCAGGTGTCTCGACGAGCATCGACCTGCGAAGTTCGCGAACGTAGTGTCGGCATAGCGACATGTGTTGGGAGACATCGAGCCTGTTTACTGTTAGCGCCTGCGCCGCAGGAGTTGGGGTGGGAGTCTGTACCAGAAATCAAGGTAGTCGACTGATCGTTGCTGGTCGCGCATGTAGATATAGAACGAGAACAGATCTACTGGTGCGAGCGTCCGCCTGCCCAGGACTTCCATTAATGTTGGCAGGCGATTGCGCTGCTCCAGCTCTTGGTCGCCCGTTAAGATAGGCATCTCGTGGTTTGATCGCAGGATCTTAGAGGCGTACGCAGGCCGGCAGTGGCCGTCGAAAGAGAGCGCAATTGCGCGTGACTCAACTGTCGCTTGCCAGAAGGTATTAAGTAGTGTGTGTTCGGGTTGAGGCGCAGTAGTACTGGCTGGTGTTACAGGTGAGGTTGGAGGTGTCTCGGAAGGACGATCGCGTTCGATGGCTGGTTGTACGTCGCGAATCTGGTTGCCAGCAGCTTTCGCAGATGTCGAATGCAAACGCAAAACTGGATTGCGACGAGGACGAGTAACAATGGATCAAGCACAACAAAAGTTTGTCAGTTCAGAGGTCGAGGCACAGACTGTAACTCGTGAGGAATGAGGAAGGTCACGGCCGCTGTGAGTGGCTGATCGGGGCGGAGGCACTAGCGAAATGCAATCTCGATCCAAGATGATGCGCCTACTGCGTACTACGCGTACGATTACACAGACATCCGAATACCGTCCATGATGAGCGACAAACTTTCTTTCTTGTTGCTCATGAGCTCTGCTAATGAACGCCGACTCGTTTTGCTCTTCGAGACTGGCAGTGATGGCTGCCCATTGACTCCGACATATGGCGTCCATTCACTGTGATTTCCAAAGGACTCCCTTTCCCTCAGAACGCCTCTGCTTTGGGGGTATCTCTAAATGCATTTCATGGTCTCATAACCAAACGCCTGTACTTGTGATCAGGAACCATCGCTGCGGCGTTTGTCTTGCCACGCATTTGACCTCCTCGACGGGCTCCTCGACAAGGCTTAATCAGCAAGGTGCTGTAAAACATTAGTAAATGCGCACGCGTCAGTCATGAGTACCACTACTTACCGACCACTCTGGAATGGCCTTGATCTGCTGCCACATGAACTTCTCAAGCTTGTTGGCACTCTTTGCGTATGGCGTAGTTTCGTTATTGTAACGCCGGCAGTTGTCGAAGATCAGCTTAGCTTCCTTGATGAAATCTTCCGGACGAGGATACAAGTCGTTGGACAATCTCTCCTCCATGGTTGACAAATCCATTGGCTCCTTGATGACCTCGTAGTAGTCTGGCACCTCGTCACGGTTGACGGGCTGAGCAAAGGGCCAAGCAGAGGTGTGGTTTTGCATGTCGTTGAGCAGATGAAGAAGCTGATTGTAATTCGGACCATGACGAGGCTGTCGAGACAGCTCATCCATGGACGGTGACCAACCAGACTCTCTGATGGCCGGGATTGACAAGGGGTCAATGGGTACCACGCCATTCGCCCAAGCAGCTGGAGGAGGATGCAGGATGTGAGACTTGCTAACAGCTCTGATCTTGGCTTGCACCGCCTCTTTCTGCTTCTGCAGCATGCGAGGCACCTCCAGATAGCGAATCTTTGGAAGCATGCTGCATTGCATGATCGTACCACCTTCATAGTCCTTGATGTAGCCCATCCAAATAGACTTGTCGAGCGTGATCTCCTTGGTGAAGCCTTGCTTCTTGAAATAGCCAATGGCATAATTGTCAGCATAGGTGAGGAAGTGCATGATAGGAGACGTCGCCTTAACATAGTCTTTCAAGTGGGCCATGAGATGAGCGCCGTAGCCTTTGACTTGCTGGTCGGAACTAATGGCGCAGAAGACGATCTCGGCGAACTGGCGTGAGTTGAACGGGCGATATGTGATTCCACCGACGACTTCGAGGGGCTGCTTAATGATAGCGATAGACAAATGAGTCTTGTCGTAGACGAGGCGCGCAATGTAGTCTTTCGGCATCTTGGGCAACTGTTTCTGGAAGATACATTTGAGACCCGTCAGGATGATGTTGCTGCTGTGAGAGTTGTCATTATTGACGACTTGGAACTCGATTTGACCTTGCTTCTCTTCGAGAACGGCTGGCTTGTCTGGAAAGCCTTCGGGAAAGGTGACGGGTGTAGCGGTGATTCGAGGGCTCTTCGGCGATGCAGTCTGCAGATTGTCAGTACCGGTTTCAGCCATTTCAACGTCGACATCAGCGTGAGCCTCGGTCGTAGCGACGACAGCATCAGCATCAGACAGGCGAATGACGGGATTCATGGGTCGACCGGAGGCGCTGATGGTGTAGCCATGACTGTCGAGAAGAGGCGGCGGTGCTTCATCAATGGTAGTATCGTCACTGTCTTACATATTTTCGAGCTCGGATGACATATCGAGATCCAGGGGATATGCGCCGGGTTGTTCGATGAAGTAGCCGAGTCGTGGTCTCGCGGATTCATGGAGGACAGGTGGTGTTGCCATGGTGGGCTGGGAGGGATGCGCTTACGTTTGAATCCTTTGCGCCGTTGAGGCTCGGCGACTCTGTGCGTGCCTTTTTGGACCGGGAGGAAGATGCATCCTCTGAGGCCTTCCTCTTGACAGTGACTGCGTGGATCAGTCAGTTGAATTCACTTCCGATAGGTGGGGACTCTGGGGAATGAGATTCACTGACCATCTACTGCATGATTATTGGGAGCCATGATTGTAGGCTAGTAGTATTGCCTCCCAGAAGGGTAGTATAGAGCATAAGTGACCACAACAGTATAATGCATGCGCAGTAGAACGACGGTCCTAGCAGAGGAACATCACTGTGAAGAAGAGAGGGCGGGAGGGAAGCATGTAGTCTACAAGCGCAATCGCGACGCCACAGCCAAGAGTCACCAGCCTCACCAGCAGCCACAGTTCTGTACTGCCAGAAGATCACTGTAACAAGTTGAACTTCCCTTTTGTTCACTCCTACAGCTTGTCGCAGATAACCTTGCCCCCTACAATCGCGTCCATGTCTCTTCAGGAGGTCTGGGACGCTGCTGCACGCAGCCCATTCGAACCGTCGATCTCCAAAGACAGTCAATTGTACACTGGGTTCGCCCTCGTACTCCTTGGAGTCGTTCTCTCTGGCCTGTTCGGCTTGAACAGATCTTTGGGCGCACTTCCACTATACGCGATCCCAGCTTCTCTCTGCTTTGGGTAAGTACTCGAGGCAAGGTCTCGCCTATCTGCAAATTGTCTGACGCGTTATAGCTTTGGAGCCGTGTACACGATCTGCGGCGTGGGAGTGTACGTCTGATATGGCAACGTGTTGAATGACACGATGGAACAACAGCCAGCTTTCTCGGCCGTGTCGACGTCGATCCGTCAGCTGCACCATATCCTGCGGTCCATATCATTTGCACCAAAGGCCGAGGTTCGGATATCGAAAGATGGCATACGGTTTTGTGTCGACGAAGCCAGAGTCATACAGGGCATCACTTTCCTCGACAAGAGTCTCTTCACAAGCTACGACTTCAATGAAGAAGAGTTGACCGAGCTTCCGCCTTTTGAGGTCTCGATGCCCGCAATCTTGGAGACACTGCAGATCTTTGGTCTTTCCGAGGTGAGCGCGCGAAGGGAAGGTGGAGGATTCTCATCGTCAGCAACAAATGCATTTACCACACCAGCACTAGCGCTAGCGGGGTCATGCCGACTCTCATACGCAGCCGATGGTGCGCCTTTGAGCATAACCATCATCGAAGGTCCCACCACCACAACTGCTGAATTGAACACATACTCGGTAAACACAGAGTACAGCGACGACGGAATGATTCCCCTGGATCGGGACTCTCTCTATCTAAAGACAATAATGCCTAGCTCGATCCTGTCCGATGCTATTTCAGAGCTGTCTGGCACAAATCCCGACGTACTTCTTCTCAACGTTTCTGCAACATCCGCACCATTGCTGTCATTCGAAGGACAGGGCGGTCCATTAGGTGATGTGGTCGTCGATTATCTCGTTGAGGCCAAGAACGAGCCTGGACTTCCGTCAAAGAAGAAACAGCCGTCTGTCACCGAGACGTTCGCAGTCAAAACCGGGGAAGGCACTCCTGCTAGAATCAAAACCAGGTATAAGTTCGATCTTATCAAAAAGGCTGGTCGGGCGATGCAATTGGCGAATAAAGTCTCGCTGAGACAGGATTCACAGGGTGTGCTCAGTCTGCAGTTTCTCGTGGACACCAGTAGGGGCTTCTCTGGTAGCACGCAAGCTGTCGGTCGAAGTGAGCCTCTCTTCATCGATTTCAGATTCCTGCCGTTGGTAGACGAGGATAGTGAAGATGATGCTAGTGACGAAGCAGATGACGATGAGAACAGCGAGTTGTGAATGCAACTTACTTCACTTCGTGGCCCCATGCTTCTACTATTTATTCCCACCTTCTCCCCTCTGCTCATGTTGTCCTCCTTCATCCTTTGCACCGACCAACACACTTTCTCTTTCTATCCTTGGTATTTGACCAAGTCCTGCCTTCTCAGATCCCGTTTTCCTCTCATCGCTTCTCCATTATCTTCCCTTCGAAAATCTACTCATTTTGTTGTATACCGCCGTTTCCTTGGTCCAGTTCTGATCATCGTTCCATTATCCTATCCAAGATCGCACCAGACCAAGCCAAAGATGTCTGCAGCCCAGCGTGGTCTGCTCAACGATGACTACGATGAGACGTTCACCGACGACAGGGCCATGAATGAGCCTGATTCTGACGGCAACTTCACAGACCCGATGTCAGACACTGACAGACCCGATGTTCGTCCGACAAAGAAGCAGCGCCTAGGAGTCACGACCCAAACAAAGGTGCCAGTCACGAAGGGCAAAAAGGTTGCGGAGGCAAAACGAGTCACTCGAAACCGAATCCCAATGTTCTACAGAAGCGACAAGCACAATTACTTCACAGCAGCATGGTAAGATGCGGCCTGAGTGAATCTTGGTTACCTGCTAATGTGACGCAGGTGGAATGAAGTCTCGCGCAAGGATGAATTCTGGAAAGACTTCGAAAAGAAGGTCCCGGAGTCAGTCCTTCGATCCCGTCTACAAATCAGGATCAACACTGGCATCCCAGCACCGCAAAGTCCTATCAAGCACCAGGTCGTTGCACCAGCGAAAAGTCGAAGCAATTACACAGACCTCGGAGCTGAGCAGGAGGAGGCAGAGGATGAGCATGAAGAATCGCCCACTGAACGGACGTTGAGGTCATCCGCGAGGGAACCACAGCCAGCACCGGCAGCTGTCATAGGTACGAGCTCGCTGCCTTCCCCTTTCCCCTTTCGAAGTCTTACTTATTTTTTTACAGGAGAGGTACCGATGGCCAGACCCGTAGACAGAGATGACGCCCCTGTAATGGAAGAGGACCAAATTACTGCTGCTGCTGACTCTCTGTGCCTGCGGTAGGTCCATCTGGCCCTATGAAGCTGGAACGCAGAACGTCCTCGACAGTCATGGACTTCCCAGCAGAGGAGTCAAAGACCAGGTCTGTGGCAGGCGCCGTCAATAACGACATAGGTGAGATGGTTGCTCGAGCATTTCTCTCGCCCAATGCATTGAAACCGATCGGGAAAGGTCAGTCAGTCAAACAAGAACCTGGTGATATCAAGAAGGAAGAATCCCACGACAAAGCAGACTTCAGCCCGTCACCCTGGTACCTCGTTTATCATCAAGGAAAGCCACACATCATCAAGGAGACGGACATCTACACTGCCAAGCTAGACGGATGTCCACAAGATCTCGTCGACATTGAAGGAATGCCTGTCATGGTCGACCGAGCCCGACTAGTGCCAGCAGACGTAGCGTTGCTTGCGATGCAACGATGGGCCGCCGGAGAAGAGCACGTCGGCGGCGGCCGCAGGATCAAACGTGAGAGGCATGATCCGGACTTGGACGGTAAGCCGGTCGTGGTAGACGACTCTGATGACTGAGTGCGAAGAAATGCTGCTCACAGACAGCGTTTTAGAGAGGAGCCACTAAAATCCGGTAGACCTGGATATGGTAAGTCTTACGGACGGCGAGATTCCACAGCAGTCCAATAGCACCACGAATGCTACGCGATGGTTTTCTGGAGGAAGGTCATTGTGAAGGTGAATTCTTTGCACAGGGCTTATCGCGATTCTGAGAATCACCACCATCGCAATCAGAGCTTCTCCTTCTTCCCTTTCTTCGAGGACCGCCACCCAGATCTTGTGGCGCCACCATCTAGCTCAATCACATTGCCTGAGGGTCAGTTATCAGTTCCAAGATCGTCACATCATGAAGGCTATGGCTGCGAAGACTTACCGACAGCATGCGCGCCGGCCATGGTGGAGAGGTAGATAACGAGTCCAGCCAGATCTTCAGGCTTGCCAACGCGACCAGTCGGCTGGCCTGCGTTGAGCGTATCGCTGAACTTCTCCATTCCATAGTTCGTCATCCGCGAGGGGAAGACACCCGGACAGATGCAGCTAGCCATCAATGTCAGCTCAATATCCCCATAAGCCTTCCAGGGAGCCACTCACTTGACGTTAATGTTCTTCGGCGCCAATTTGCTGGCCTGAACCCTGCTCAGATGAATACACGCCGCCTTGCTCGGCCCATAACTGAAGGTCCCGTGCCCCGGCGCCGCCAAACCCCCATCATCACCCGTCGTCACATCCACAGTCGTAATCCCCGCCATACTCGCAATGTTAATGACTCTGCCAGGCGTCTCCGGACTCGCCTCCTTCAGCAACAACGGCTCCAGCCCAACAGTCATGTAGAAGATCGAGCTGACGTTCAAGCGCATAAGCTTGTCCCATGCCGATTCCGGGAAGTCGTCGTAGGGAGCGCCCCAGGTGGCGCCGGTGTTATTGACGAGGACGGTCAGGCGGTCAGTTTGCTTCTTGACGGCGGCTACAAGGGCATCGCAGCCGGCTTTGTCTTTGAGGTCGGCGACGATGTAGCTGCATTTGCCGGGGCCGAGGGCGTTGAGGCGGTCGGTTGTCTCTGGGGTTGGGAAAGCAAGACGTCAGTTCACGCGTGCTCTGCTCGACGCTCAAACCGTCTCTTGCATCGTAGAGTCCCGTGACAGAACGCCCGACTCATCAAAGATGGTTTGTAGCTTGGCGACAGCACCTCGCAACAACCAAGACCTAGTAGAAGGACATCAAGACTCACTTTTGAGCTCACTCTCCTTCCGACTTGCAATAATAACACGAGCACCGCCTTGTATGAATCCAGAAGCAGCCATCTCGCCGATTCCAGTGCCTCCGCCCGTGACTAAGGCCACGATGTGCGAGCAGTCGAACAGCCGAGAGGGCGTTAGATTCGCCCCGGAGGAGGCGTGGGCGTGCGACATGTTGTGTTCGTGTTGCTGATGACTTCTAAGTTAGTACAAAGAGAAGAATCTGCTGCTTAATCTACTGAAGAAACGGAAGTGCTCGCGAAGATACCTGAAATGTGTCTGTGACACGGAGAAGGTTGTGACTGCTCGCTACCGAGACTATGAGGATTCGGCGTCCTCTATACGGGGAGACGTTCGTGCCTCGGCTCTCCACACAAGATGCCGTCAACTTGAATGTCAGGGGTCCAGGGCTTAACGATGCAGATGGATTTGATTGGTCTGCAGAAATCTGACTGCCTTTGTCCTTGCTGTGAACTTGCAACACGCCGGCATTGGTGGTGAATCAGATGCTCGCTTTGAGAGCAGTACACGACACGTTGCTAGGCTCGAATACAAGGCAAGGTGCTTGACGCACAATAGAGTGAGCGAAGAGCTGACCAGGACAGTATCCATGAACAAATAAAGGTATCTAACAACCAAGAATCAATCATCATCCTCCCAGGTGCATCTTCGTCCTCTTCGTCATCATCCTCGTCTTCGGCGGCTGAGCTGGCGTCTTGCGCTAGCTCAACGACGTCGGCTACCGCGTCGTCATCGTCATCTTCCTCCTCACTGCTACTAGCATCCCCTTCGTCTGGCTCAGCATCGGGATCTTTCTCTTCATCATCGTCGTCTTCCTCATCTTCCTCCCCCGAGCTGCTGCCTTCTTCCTCCTCTCCGTCGTCCTCGCCTTCCTCTTCTTCCGAGGATCCTGTTGATTGAGCAGCAACCTCAATCTCTGCATCGGTGGACCCATCTTCGTCCTCGTCCTTATCATCATCCTGTCCATCCAAGCTCGCCATTTCAACATTCGCCAAGCCACTGCGCCGACCACTACGACGTACAGGGGTGGACGGCTTATCCTCTGAACCGCCCCTCGTCGATCTGCCATTGACGCTACCGCCTGCAGTGCGCGGCGAGCTCCTAGTCGCTGGTGGTGCGGCGGGACTGGATTTCTGACCGAGGGCATTGAGGCGGCCAAAGGCGGTCGTGGCGTTTCGTTTCTTGATGTTGCGGTTGCGAAGCATCGAGGCAGGAATCGGAGGAGTAATCTGGAAGCGCATTGCAGGGATAGACTGGGTGCGGTAGGCGAGTGCGTAACCACTGAGGCTTTCTCCTGCTTCCGGAGCCGGGCCAGCGTCCGTCGAAGCGCCGTTCGTCAGGCCATTGACCTGTATCCCGTCTCGATCGGCTGCTGCATTCGTGTTCAGTAAGTCTGTTGTTGGCGGTCCGGGAGGTACAGATTCAACGGGTGTGGCGGCCGGCTCTTCTTGTTCCGTGGGCGAGCGAGATAGTGGTACGGAGGTGGTCTTCGGAGATACAGCCGCAGTGCCGGCCTTGCCCAGCTTCGCAGCTTGACTTTCTTCGTCTTCGTCCTCGATATCCTCCTCACGCGGGGCGATCGTCGCCATCGGCTGATTGTCGAGATGTGCTTGGTCGCTGCGTCCCATCACATACGGTGTCCAGATCAATCTTTCAGGCCGTAGTTTGCGATGCTTCTTCGAGTCGAAGTCGTGCACAATGGTCTCGTACAGCTTTTTGTCGTAACGAATGGCGTATGTCTTGGTCACAGGATCTCGTGTGAATGCGTAGAGTCGTTCGAGTGAGTGAATGACATCGTCGGCTGTCATACCGGTCAAAAGCATGAGCTTTTTCGTGCTGAAGGGCTTCATGCCAAGTTCCAGTAGGTGCCGAGATATTGTCAGATCCCAATATGCACGGTAAGCTGTCAAGCCCATGTCTGACAGTGGCTTCTCGGGAGAGCCTTCCTTTTCCTCGATGCGTGTGAGAAGGTACGAGAAGTCGATCAGGAACGTGGCGTACCCCTTACGCTGGTGGATAGGCATGACGAGGATGCAGCTGACGTTGTTCTGGCTTGCTGGTCGCTTCTCTTTGCTGAAGTAGCCAACGAAATGGTAGCCGGTCTCATCGAACTCGGTGAGAATATAGAACAAGAAAGGCTCGACGTCGTAGTACAGAGTCTTTGAGCCAAGAAACATTTTCGCCATCAGGCACAAGCATTGACAGTATTCTGTTTTCTTGCGTCCGTCCACCTCCCATATCGAGATGCTGCCATCTCGGTAGATCTCGTCGCCAGGAGGATGTTTTGCGGGACACTTCAGCTTGTGTCGATATGCGACGAATTCGGACGGCAGGTATTTCAAGCAGAACTCGCAGATAAATAGTCGCGACTCATGCGAGTATTCTTCGGGATATGGAGCTGCATAAAACGTGTCGATGACGAACTTGCCGAATTGTATACACTTGATCTTGCTCGGAGGCCCGGACACCGTTCGATTTGGTTTACCAGAGAGTGCATAGTCGCCATTGATCTCTACGTCAGCTGCTTCAGTAGCTCTTCGTCGCTCCTCTTCTGCTTCTTTCCGTGCATTTTCGAATATTTCGCGATCACGATGCTGAGGCAACGATCTCGATGTGTCCTGGTCCTGCTCTGAGAGAATGCCACCATAGGGCTTTGCGTCACTGTCTCTGTCCGAGAATAGAGAAGGAAAAACGACGTTGCCATTTGGCAAGGCTGGAAACTTTGGTATAGGTGGTTGATAGACGGGTGGGGGCGGGATTTTTGGTGCCTTCTGCTTTCTTACCTTCCTGCCGGGTTTCGGTGGTTTGCTCAAAATATCGTCGATCGCTTCTTGACCTAGCCGGAAGGCAAGTATGAATTTATGCGGTGGCGGCTTGTGGAATGGTCGATGTTGCAGAATACGGGCGAGTGGCACCGTTCGGGCCGGCTGCAGCGCACTTCTTGTGGAATGCGCAACGGCGCGATCTTTGGGGGTAGCGTCGGCCGTCGTCCCATCCTCGACCACTGTCGCCTTCTTCCTTCGCTTCTCCGTCCGCGGCTCCTGGGTGGGTGACCTACGCTTTCTGAGTGATCGACCACCGTCTTCGCCGTCTGATATCAGGGGTTGCTCAAAGATCGAATGCGCATTAGGTTTCTGGATTCCACGAGATACCGGCAACAGATCGCGGACGAGTCTTGGTGCCGAATTCGACGCTCGTGCTCGAGCCAGGACTGACTTGGGTGACTCCGAGTTCTGCATACATGCACTGCATCGCCAGCGCTGTCCTTGGTCGCCGGCTTTAGGGGTGTCATCTTCCGGGATACAGCTTGTGTGCGCAGGTCTGCCACAATTAATGCAAGTGGAAATGGCATCCGACGTGGCCTCGGTCGTCTCGACTGCTTTAGCACAGATGACGCAGTCTGTTTCGGTGGAAGCGTCCTCTTCTCCGCCCGACTCATCTGATTCTTCCTCGCTGTCGTCGTCGGTGTCGTTCTCGTTCTTACTTGCACCTTCTTCTTCGTCATCCTCCTCTTCTTCGCCACTTTCTTCGCTCTTGCCAGCTTCTTCGTCACTCTCGCCATCGTCGTTTTCGCTCAGGTTGTCTGCTTCGGAGCTGATGCTGGCATTGGGCAATTCTTCGACCGCAGGAGGATCATCTGCCACTTTCGTTTCCTCTTCTGCATCGTCCTCGCCCTCTTCCGAGTGCATTGTAGTGTCATTTATACCATTGTCTGGTGCAGCTTGTGTCGCAGCTGGATTTGGAGCATTCTCGTGTCCTGCTTCAGCAGCTGCACTGACGTCTTCGGAGTCATCCTCATCCATATCGGTGTTTGCCTCTTGTGCCGACCTCTGCAATTGCGCGATCAGGTCACTGTCGTCGACTCGGTCGACATCCATAGTGTCTGGAGCCGCTACCGCTACCTCGTTCGCTGTTGATGAGCCGTCTCGGGCCTCTACGGCGTCTTCCACTGCCATCAAATCCATTTTCGCCGGCGAGTCTGCCCTTGAAGTGGCAAGACTGTCCTCGGTGAAGTCTTCAGGATCCTCCGAGACAAGAGGTGGCATCTTGGGTCTCAGTCACCGCTTCGTCTGGTATATTCCACGCCGCCAACCGCCTCTTTCATTCCTCCTTGGGTATCACGAGCAGCATGCTCGTTACCATGGCGCGTCGAATTCGAATCGTTCCTGCGTCACTTTTGAGAAGGTCCGCGGAAGGGGGTGATGAGCAAGGCCGTAGTGGGGAGAAGGTAGGTTGACGCGTGGCTTGCGTACACTTGGTGGGCTTCGGAGCTTATGTACCAGCGGCAACGGGTCGAATGGGACGTTCTACGCGTGATTGGGGTGTTTGCACCATCTGATCCAAGGACTGACCATCCCGGCGCAATACTCAGCGCTCGCGAGCCATTCCAAGCGTGAAGTCGATCGGGGTTGGGCCAGCGTAATTCCGACAATCTCCGCACCGATCCAATCGAGCTCACCTGCACCACCACCGATGTCCAAGCTGCTTTTAATACCACTACCATCTCCCACCGTTAGTGAGCAAGTGTTGCCGACCCTCGTGCGCTTGGTCCGCCATCTCTCAGCAATCATGGGCGTCCCATTCGAGGCTTTGCTGCCCTATGCGATCATTGTGGGCTTCTTTGGCGTCACTGTAAAGCAGCCCAACCCACGAGCGATCCTGCCGACGATGACTGATGTGAACAGGGTGCGGGTCTGTCTACATTGAAATACTACAGAAACAACGAGAAGCCACCGCGGTGGAATCTTGATACCTGGGAAAGAAACAGCAAGTGCTCCAAGTACAGCATTATCTCAGTCGACTAATTGCCGACCAGTGATGGCTCGGGACCAGAGACTCACGGGTGTCTTCAGAGGGCAATCTGACGCTGTTGAGGCACCACCAGGCTTTGAGGGTATGTCCTGGAAAGCTCTATCTCATCGACGTGCTAACGCAGCCTTCAGTGAACAGCAGATGGAAGGTTCGCTTATCCAACACAAGCTCGAGAGAGAATGATCTAATCTGTCGCAGGCCGAGTCGCAAATCACATAAGTCGAGCACAGGTGGCCATCCGCCACGAATTCTGCGTCTTTTGTTGCGTGCAACGTGCATGGTGCTCGTCGAACAATCGCACGTACACATCATACGAAAATCGAAACAGGTTTACCCAGAGATACAAGCGTTTCATGTCCAGTGCCGTCTGCTGCCTGTATGACTAAAGTGAAATCTTGGCTGCAAAACTGCATTTGACCTCTTCCCACTCCTGGGTGCGTTTGCCAGTCTGACTTTTCACATGCAACGGTGCTTTCTCCGACACGGTTCCCGAACTGCAATTGCTGCAGGCTCAACTTCCACCAGCTAGTGATGCCGTCTCAACCGAAGACGGAACCGGGGTAGGTATTCCGTATCGAGATATACCGGCCAAGGGCGGCTAGTGGACTTCTGCCGGTCGATGTTTGGGCGCACGATGGAGGGTTCATGACCGGATCTATCGACGACAACGATTGTTTCTGTCACATTGAGCGAAAATGGACCTTGCGTTCTCGTGAGCGTTGACTACAGCCTCACACCGAAGTCGGAATCCCAAACACAGCTTGAAGAGACGCTTACAGTATTCAAGTGGGCTCAACAACATGCAGCCTTGCTTGGCGGAGATTCTGCCCGGTTCTTCACCATCGAAGGCAGCGCAGGTGCTGCAATTGCGCTTCAAGTGGCTAATCGCCTCGTTGGTGATCTGTCAACACGCGCCAACATCAAAGGCCTCGCAGCATCATGCCAGCAGTCTTGCATGTCGAACATGTTCCCGAGGAGCTTAGGGCCGACTACAGCTCTCGCACAGAGAACGCTGAGGGCGTGCCTTTGCTCGACGGCGAGACGCTCCGCATCTGCTCCGTGCACTTCGGGGCACAGCCTGATGATGCAGAGTCTGGGTCGGTCTCTCAGACAAGATCCCACATTTTCCACCAGTCTAATTCGCTTTACCGAAAAGGACCCTCTCCGCAATGATACGAAGATCATGCAGAGTCTGTTGGACAAAGTCGGGGTCCCCGCGAAGCATGATCACTATGCTGGCCTGCCTCACTGCTTCAGGATTTCCCAGTCTTCTGGAGACGCAAACATATTCTACGAATGTTGTCGCCGGTGCCAAGTGACTGATTGATCAGATGTGACCTGGTTGGAGGCATTAGATAGTGACAGATACATTGTAAGCCGCATACTTACATGTATAGCGACATCAAAACAAGTGGGCCCGCTATATGGAGTAATCCTTTTTCTTGGCGCTTCTCTGTCCTCCCTTCATGTGCCTCAAGATCCCGCATCATTTGCATAAAAGGGTGCGTGATACCTGTGAGAGCGGCCTTCAATGACTGCATCGAGCACGTTCGTGCAGGATGATCGTGATGGTCTTCTCTCGCCGGAAGGCGATGGAAGCTCCGTGAGACGCGCAAATGCTCTGTCGGCGAGGATCTCGACCGTCCTCTCAACATCATACGCAGATACCGAAATTCGGCAGGCGCTCCGGCTATTCGAATTACGCCAGACTCAAGGCGGCAGCAATGCCAGCTATGGCTCTAGCGACCTCAAGGCTCTGGCAGAGAAGGAAGTCGTTGACTCCAATGCCCAGGTTGTGGATGACTTTGGACATGTTGCGGCGGTAAGTTACAAGTTCCGGTCTGCGCACCGTTGCCCAAATGTCTTGGCTAAAATCGAGGCAGCAACTCCGGAGGGTTGGCTCGCTTCTGGCCAAGCTGAACGATACATGTGACTCCATGAGATTGCATATTCTGGCTGCTAAGCAGGAATCAAATCCTGTTCTTGAAGAGGCATCAACGCTTCTCCATCGACGGCAGGAGAGCTCAAGCAGAGAGCAGCTTCTACAAGCCTTCCAGAAGCATTTCATTCTTTCTAATGAGGATGTCAATCTGCTCACAAGTTCCGCTCAGCCGCTGACAGAAGACTTCTACACGATTCTCACACGAGTCAAGCGTATTCACAAAGACTGCGAGATACTGCTAGGCCAGGAGAACCAGAGGCTGGGACTGGAGCTTATGGAGCAGACGACACGCCATCTGGATGCCGCTTACAAGAAGCTGTACACATGGTTGCAGCGCGAGTTCAAGGGCATCGACTTGGAAGACCCTCATATAAGTGGAAATATTAGAAGAGCCCTCAGAACTCTTGCAGAACGCCCAACGTTGTTCCAGAACTGCCTGGATTTCTTTGCGCAGGCGCGCGAGGTCACACTATCAGAGTCGTTCCAGGCGGCCCTGACCGGAAGTGGCGGTAGGCAAGCGATCGAATTCTCTACGCATGATCCGCTTCGGTATGTAGGGGACATGCTGGCTTGGGTACATTCTGCTGCTGTTTCGGAGAAGGAGGCTTTGGAAGGTCTTTTCGTGTCGGACGATGACGACGTTTACAACAGACTTCGGGACGGCAGAGCCAGTGAGCCATGGGCTCGTATGCCTGCACAAGGCAGACCCAACATTCTTCCGCAAGATGAGAACGCTATCGATGACGAACAGTTCGATGGGCGCAAAGCTCTGGCAAATCTGATAGGCCGAAATATGGCGTCGGTGTGCCAGACGCTACGCCAGCGAATAGATCTCGCCATACGCAACAGTGGCAATCCCGTCTTGACCTACAAAGTCTACAATCTCCTACTCTTTTACGACAATATGTTCTCGAAGCTACTCCAGTCCGAGACGAGCCTTAATAGTACGCTTCAAGAGCTGCAAAGGTCTACGATGGAAATGTTCGAGACGACGGTAGAGCAGGAGATTTCCTCGAGCGTGGCGAGCGTGGCGGCTGAGGCTGATCTCAGCGCCCCACCAGTCCTTCAAACTGTGCTCAAGCAATTCACAGACATATGTCGGTCGCGTGGTCCACAAATGGATGAGAGAGAGCTGGAGCACCTCTTCTCGACTATGCTTGCTCGACTGCTCGATGGGTGCGCCGAGGCTGCCGTTCGGCTCCAAGACCTGCAAGCGCGAAACGTCTTCAAGGCAAACTACCTATTCACGCTGCGGTCGTCGCTGAACAGCGCTCTGTCCCATGTACCGTATGTTAGCATTCCGCTTGGTAAAGTCACGCAGGAGCTTTCGACGACACAAGAAACGCTCACTTCTTCACTGACGACAACACTGCTGGATGAGTCTGGAGTCAACGCTCTGCTGCAGGAAGCCGACACGAGACCAGACCCGACAGATCGGTGGACCTGGTTTCGCGAGAGTCTGCCAGAGGCAGGTCTCGTGCTGAACGACTTCCTGGCTTCTGGTTTCATGGATGCGCAAGATGCTTTTGCCAAGCTGAGCGATAAATCCCTGGCCAAAGACATCGTCACTGAGGCTATGGAGAGGTTCTGTGGCGAATTTGACGAGCTTGAGGGAATGATCGCTGCTGCCGACCAGAGTGAAGGCACAAATGGTCCTGTCAATGAAGGGTCTGACAACGACGAAGCATCAGGGCAGGTACCACTTCGAGACCTGTATCCTCGAACGGGCAGCGAGGTCAGAGCGCTACTCAGCTAGCAAGCTGTCCGGCCAAGGTTTTTGCCAAGTAGACATGCCGCAGCATACATGTGTCGAATCCTCACGGGACCCTTCCCAGCCATGAACTTCACGAAAGCTGTTTCTACTGACCGACGCTCCTGAGATCATCTCAAAATCATCAGCTTGGTCAACAAGATAGGTCAATGCCCTTCGCGCGTCCCTAACCAGGAAACCCATCGACCAAAGATGCCCAGTACGTGCCCGAACAGCTTGGCTAGTCACGCTTTCCATCAACCATCATTGCTGGATAGCTCCTTCCGCCCTAACATACCGATCAGTGACTGCCGTTCAAGCAATGAGAGCGACGTCGCGCCTTCCTCGTTCACTCGTTTGTCAATGCATCTGCGCCTCGCCGGTGCCTTTGCCTCACCTCAAATACATCATTCCATTCTCACATCCGCTCACTTGATCGACTCTTTATTGCAACTGTACACCGATAGCACTCACGCATATCTTCCTCAAACGTATTTCGTTACTGTTAGAATCGATTCACCCGTCTTTTGTCCAACGAAGGGATACCGCAGAGACAAACCACACGTCAATCTCGACATGTCTGACGCCAACCGCAAGTCCTTGCACTCTCGCATGTTCGATAAGGTGACTCCGAGCATGATGAAGTCCAGGAAGGAGGTGGCCAAGGAGAACGCCACTGGCAAGGCCGATGATGCCACTCGGTAGGTTGATCGAAGACGTGGATTATCACCCAACAATAACACGCACAGTGATGCACAACCAGACTCTACCAAAGGAGCGGTCCAGGAGGCAGTGGACAAAGTGGATCGAGCCGGAGATGCGATCGTTCACGGTGACAAGCCTCAGTAGGTCTCGCACCCAACGAGGATGCCTCCAAGCTGCTAACATTCGTTCTAGTACCAAGCAGCACAAGTCTATCTTCGGTCGGAAGAAGTGCTGAGCGGCTCGTGAGCCGGAAAAGGCCGTACAGAATCAATATTGTGAACAGATGCTGGCACCAGAAAATTGTACAAGAGCAGCGTCGATGCAAAGAAGCAAGAGAGAAAGAGAGAAAGACTGCCACCGAATGAACGGCCATTGAGAGGGTCCTCAACTCGTGCATCCTTATCCACCGTCACGCCACCTACAGCTTCCAAACCCTAGATATCTTTGCAGGTCGAAGTCATTAGCTTCCCGTCATCTCGGACAGCATTTCTTCTCGTCGTCGCTTGAGAGTTTCGAGCTCGGACTGGGCTCGTCTCACCTCCGCGCGGCTTGCTTCCACGTCCGGAGGTAGTCCATGGTATTCGCTGAGTTCCTTCTCCAGACTTTTAACAGCTTTCTGCATCTCCTGCAGCTCCTTCTGACGCTTTCGAAGGTACTGCAGGCCCGGCCCACGCTGTGGCTCTTTTGACATAGTATCGAGACGCTGATCATACTCCGCCAACTTCAGAGCCAGATGCTTTGTTTGTGATGTAAATTGCGCTATCTGTCGCCTTCTCAATGCAGCATCTGTGTCCACCTCTGCTCCATCATCTGCCTCCCTGACTTCCGCGGGGCTGATTCGGTAGTCAATGTCCGCTTTCCTCAAGGAAAGATCTCGTACTAAATGCTCCAGCTGGAATGTCTCTGCGCTGAGCCTCAAGATAGCGTTGTCGAGCACCTTTTCGAGGTCCTCCAGGTCTGTCGCCCACTCAGGGCCCCTCAACGGCTGTCCTAAGAGCACCCATACTTTCGACAGCGAATCCAATGCTGATGCGCTTTGATCACTTAGATGACTTTCCACTGCCTGCAGCATCTGGACGCCGGCATCACTTTCCAAGGCAGCGCGGTAATTCTCGTAGGCCTGTACTTGGCTTGACTGCCTCTCATGCAGTCCCTTGCGTGCGCTGTTTGCCGCAAGATTCGCATGCATCAGGGTCTGCAGATACGCGAGCGTTTCGGCATTCCGCTCGAATTGCGGGACCGGTGTCGGATTCATAGTCTCGCGCAGCCATGACATCACTTGAGACCATGCGTGTGTCGTTGTGGCGTGCGCTCGAGCTTTGGACGGGGAGAGATCGAGCTCTGTGAGCTGGCCAGCAGCGAGACCGGACGCCTGGGGTGATGCTTCGCCCGCCATGGTCGGCCGATGACCAAGTCGTTTCTAAGCTTCAGGCAGGCTCGTGCAGGACAGGGAGCGGAGACTTGGCATGTGCGAGAAGGTGAGCAAAACGAAATCTGCCCGCGTGATTCGGACGACTAGGAAAGTGACACCTACCGTACGTGGGATTTGATGTGAAGAAGGCAAACGTCCAGAGCACAGGCCGAATGTCTGTCAACTTAAGCCCATACAATGCGATTGTGGGCAACACCTTCACAGAATGTCACTCTAATGGTTGTCGACGCATACGAAGGCAAGCTGGCACATCAGAGAGGGATCTGGCAATCGCAGCGGCTCGAGAAGTCCAGCGCGTCAAGCCCATTACTAGATGGCACAATCCATTAGGGTAACCTGAAAACGTCCAGATCCTAGTCTGAAATGCTGAGTTGAGCACTAGTGTAGAGAATAGATAGAATACAAGCGACTGTAGTATTGTAGTGTAGATGTTCTGGGGGTACCTAGTTGCAGTGTAGTTGAGTGCCAAGGTTTTCCGGCGAGTGGATCCTAGTTTTTCCGAGTCCGCAGCTTCATGCTTTTCGGCGCCCCTACCACACGATCACAGCGACGACAACTCTCTCTTGTCGCAAGTGTAACTGTCTCAAAGCGACTTGTTGAAGCTCCTAGGCCGTCTTTACAAGCTTCACGGCCCGTGTCCGAGTCATGTCCGGCACACTAGCGACGAGAACCGCCCTTCGGCACACCCGACACTTCCTCAGACGGCAGCACAGACAAGCTTCGACAACCGCTGAGACCGCCGCAAAGGCCAAAGACACCGCCTCGTCGACCGTATCGAAAGCTTCCGAAGGTCTGACAAGAGTGACGAGCTCCGCCGGACCAGCTATCTCAAATGCTGCATCAAGCGCACGGAACGCTCTCAGCAGAGTAGGAGGCCGAACGGGGAGGCTCATCTCTTTCGTTGAATGTAAGCTTCTAAGCAGATGGGTCATGTCCTTCCGAGGGGCGCAAACTGACAAGCAACAGCATTAATACCGCCCACGATCTACTACGGTCGCGTTGGATTGGAGTTGGCGAAGCTCACCTTCCAGGGCCAGAAAATGTCTCCTCCGTAAGCTTTCTCTCCAGCGACGAGCTGACTGCTCTGACGCACTACAGATCTATCGCACAATTCCAACAGTACTTCCAGCCCGTCGTCAACAACCTCCGAAGCCCGAAACAGCTCATGTCAAGCATCGGCTCCTTTGACCCAACCGCGTATCTCACTCCGTTCGGAACATGAACAGACAGCAACTGGCAACTGTCGGCGTTATTGGAGCAGAGATTCTGGGCTTTTTCACAGTCGGTCAAATGCTTGGGCGCATGAAGCTCGTGGGGTACCACGGCAAGCCTGCTCATGCGCACTAGAGAACTGAGACAAGGAGGGAGCGAGTGTACTTTTAGACAGAGCGTTCCGCAGAACGAGGCAACAGCATTCCAGTGCTTGAGTTGCGGTTTCCGGACGACGCCATCGCTGCTGTTGAGGTGAAAGCGGCACCTTGGCAGGTGGCCGCGTGCTGGGGTGGGTGGTCGATGCACATACAAAACATTCAGATCTAGGATCGGACGGAAAGCGACAGCTTTTGTCGGATCACTCCGTTGTGATGTCTCAGCATCCGCTGGAAGCATTCTTTCTGGTGTTGGTGTTAGCTTCAGCGTCTGTGGAGTCCGTAAAAGTCTGAAGAGCGAGAAAGTTGACCTTCCTTCACACCAGAAGTGTTCTGCTATCTGCGAACTCGAAATTACAGTGAAATGGCACTCTCATGAATTTACCCATTAGCCCACCGTCGAAGCCGCTAGTCGATCACCCTTTTGTAAGCCAAAGCAGCCCCCAAGCCTCACCCATGTAACCGCTATCTCATTTATACACAGGCTGCCCGCCCTGGCCCGGCGGCGGCCCTTGCCCATAGCCCTGCTGCTGCTGCGGCGGGCCCTGACTCCAACCCTGCGGCGGACCCATCTGGTGATGTTGCGGTGGTGGTCCTCCAGCTCCGCCTTGTTGTATATCGTTCCGCTGTCGCATGTCCTGGCGGAAGCGGCAGATCGAGCAGGCGACCTTATGAAATGCTATGTCAGCAGGTGTTTTCTCTTTCGTCTTGTATATGCATCTGTGTGAAGTCGGGAGACCGTAGGGTGTGTACATACGTCTTTATGCTTTCCTCCCAGCGGAATCACGGGGATCCAGCAGAATGTGAACCACTCCCAGCTGCTGATAGGATGTGCGCTCCAGTTACCACAGTTGTGGCATTGCGCGGTGACGTTTTCGTAGCCTTTGAGTTGGGATGTGAAGTCTGCGAGGGATGCTATGGTTAGTTGGCTTTTTCTGGAAGCTGGCTCACGCTCAGGATGACCTGGGAGATCGTCTTCGAGTGACAATGGCGGACAACGGCAGTAAGTGTGATGATTGCGCGTACGAACCATTGGTCCCGACAACGAAGCAGAATGCCATTGCGGCAGGCGCGTGCAATCACGAATGGGTGTGCTCGATCTTCAATGCGTGACAGAGGCAGGATGTTTCTGAGTCGGTAGCGAGTGGGATCTTGCGACGACGGGCTTTCAAAGGCTTCGTTGTGCGAAGGCGCTGGTCTACAGGACGTTGGAATAGGTCTGAGGTGCACGTAATGGATGAGCCGTGGCGCAGTTCTCGGGTCTCTTCATTTGTCGATTGACGTACGTAGGCGGCTTAGGCGGCTTGGCCCAGAGCCTCCGGGCGTCCGCAGGGCTGGGCAGATTCAATCACGTGATAACATCCGTTGGTTCAAATGTTTGAATGTTTGGACGCCCTGGCAGACATGCATCACCTTCTCCTGGAAGCCCAACTCCAAATCATGTCAGGTCGTGTCACCTGGATGGCATTGTCGAGAACTCTTGGCAGGTCGCAATGGTCTTTCAACAGCACCACGACAATTCGACTTCTGCTCAATATGCTCCCAGCCCGGTCATCCATCCTCGTTCCGGTATCTGCTCGTCGCGTGGTCATGAAACCATTTCATTTTGTCGTCGGCATCGCTTCTATTGAGTCTTGAACAGCAGGATTGCGACATGGCCGAGGTAGAAGTAGATGAAGTGCTTGGTTTCTGAAGATGGTCAGCCTGATGACACTGCTTCTTCCCTCAAGCCAGGGACGTACCGTGGGTGACAAAGCTTCCGAAGTTGCGGCCGACGATACAGTGCCATGTGGCTCCTTTGCGCTGATCGAACTAAAAAGCAGGGTGAGCATGAGCCTGCCTTGGATGGGTCAACACATACTTCTCGTTTGATGTGTTGGGCGATATCCTGTATGACAGTCAGCCGTGCCTATGGCCTCCGATCTGCTCCCTCACCTTCTCAATTGTATGCTTCTCCATTGCTTCTTGTGCTGGCGTGCGTTAATTTCAGTCCACCGCCAGGAGTACCAATCTTGTTCATACCAACTTCGATCGCTTCCTGCTGCATATCATCGCTCTTCGAGATGTCAGTGTCGTACTGTGTATGCGGAGACCTCCCGTACCATATCGACCGACTTTATCTGCGCTGAGCCTGACGTTAGCTAGTCATCACAAACACGTTCCTGGAAGGACCTACGCTCCAACTTCTCCTTCTTGTCGGGCATCTCTTCCTTGGAAGCCATCTTTGTGGTTATAGCTACGGTCGCGGTCAGTACACAGAATATGTCGCTATGTCACTACAGCCCAGAGCATACAGGGGCAGGTATAGCTTACGGGCTTATGTTTGTGGTTAGCAGATGCGCAATGCGGATTGTAAAGATGCCTGCCCAAATATCTGCCCGCAATGCGGGCCAGGAACCACATCTCCACTCTTATGCGTTAGGCCTTGGCGTCGATCTCGAAAAGTTCCGTTTCAAGTCAAAGTTTCAATCACTGTTTCGATGATTCACTCCTTGCAACCACTCTTCACCATAATGGGAGATGCATCGCCAGACGAGACGGCCACAAGTACGCGCATTTTCGTGTCTGGCCTGCCTCCCAAATTGACGAGCGATGACCTACGCAAGCATTTTAGCCACAAAAGCGATGCTACAGATGCACATGTTTTCCCAGATCGCCGCATTGGCTTTGTTGGCTTTCGCGACCACGAAACAGCCAGAGATGCCGTCAGATACTTCAATAAGTCATTCATACGAATGTCAAAAATCGCTGTGTCAGTAGCGCGGCCCATCGAAGTCAAGAGAGATGCCAACGGTCAGGGTGCTCCAGTCTCCATGCGGCGGGACAAGATCCCAAGACATGCCGATGCCAATGTCGCAAAGAAGCGGAAAAGAGATGCTCGCGATGACGGGGAATCAGAGCGTGGTGCGCAAGATGCTGGACACGTGAGCAATTCCGAACAACCGCAACAGCTCGACGAGAATGTACTGCCTGCAGCTGGGAACGAGGAACCGTTTGAAGGCTTCGCTTCTGACGAGGAAACTACGGAGCTCGATCGCACGCAAGCAACTGTAGCGACGTCCGACATGGACTGGATACGTGGCAAAACAAGCCGCACGCTCGATCTGCGAGAACTAGACAGTGAGCCTGTGGTGTCCAGGTCTTCACGGGACATCCAGCCGTTGTCACCCCCAGCTACAGACCAGGAGGACGCTGGCGCTGAGATCGACTCAGCAGCGCCGCAAACGAACGCAGACAGCCCAGTCGCCGTACCCAATGGTCGCTTGTTTGTGCGCAATTTGTCCTTCGATGTTTCTGATGTCGACCTTGAGTCGCTGTTCGGGTCGCACGGCCAGGTCACAGAGGTACGTTCGCTCCTCTTCTCTCGCGCCAACCTGTGATGATTTCCAGATAGGGACATCTTATGCTTCGGCAAATGATTCGACCCTGGAGCTAGTTTTTTAGTAGATGCTTTGCACCTCTGAGCTTTCTTCTCACCACGTTCTCAATGGATAGTGCCCTGTTCATGGCTAACGGCAACGCAGGTACATATCGTTAAGGATAATCGGACGTCGAGAAGCAAAGGCTTGGGCTTCGTGCAATTTGTCGATCCCGAGGATGCAGCGAAAGCGCTACACGAACTTGACGGTCAGTCTTTTCAGGGCAGATTACTGCACCTGCTCCCAGCTTCCGATCGAAAGGACCAGAAGTTATCCGACTTCGAGATCTCAAAGCTGCCTTTGAAGCAACAGAAAGCGCTCAAGCGGAAGTCTGGGGCTACAACTCAGACCTTCAGCTGGAACTCATTATACATGAATCCTGATGCCGTGCTATCGTCTACTGCGCAGCGGTTAGGTGTGTCAAAGGCGGACTTGCTTGACCCTTCGTCTACGGACGCAGCTGTGAAGCAGGCACATGCGGAGACTGCCATCATTCAGGAGACAAAAGAATACCTGCGCAAGCAGCAGATCAATGTCGCCGCTTTCTCGGAGCGTCTCAGAGACGACAAGTCTTTGCTCCTGAAGAACTTTCCCTACGGAACCACGTCCGAAGAGTTGTCAGCAATGTTGGCCAAATTTGGTTCACTGGAGAAGTTGGTACTGCCGCCGTCAGGCACAATGGCCATCGCTCTGTTCCTGGAGCCTCATGCAGCAAAAGCAGCTCTCAAAAGTTTGGCATACACCAACCTCAAAGGTTCAGTCTTGTACCTGGAAAAGGGGCCCAAAGGTTTATTTGACGTTACTAGGGATGAATCTACGGCACCTGAGGCGAGGAATGCTGTTCCTGCAGAAGAGCCCTCGGAGTGGGAGACTAAGGCACAAACGTCAACAATCTTCATCCGCAACCTCAATTTTGCCACTACGACAGCTCGTTTGGGCGAAGTGTTCAAACCGCTATCCGGGTTCTTGTCAGCAAGAGTAAAGACTAGAACGGATAAAGCTCGACCCGGAGAGACCCTCAGCATGGGATTCGGCTTCGCAGAGTTTCGCACCAGAGCCCAGGCCGAGGCAGCTATTGCCACAATGAATGGCCATCGTCTAGATGGTCATGAGCTTCTCGTCCAGCTGTCCAACAAGGTCCCAGACGCTGCAAAGGAGCGCCGCAAGGAGGATAGCTTGAAGAAAGCTGATTCGGCGAAGACCAAGATCATCATCAAGAATCTTCCGTTTGAAGCCTCGAAGAAGGATCTGCGGGCCCTCTTCGGTGCCTATGGCCAACTACACTCCATCAGAATGCCAAGGAAATTTGACAATTCTGTCCGTGGGTTTGCTTTTGCCAACTTCGCATCAGCGAAAGAGGCCACCTCTGCCATGGAGGCATTGTCCAGCACTCACTTGCTAGGTCGCAAACTTGTACTTGATTTCGCTGAAGGAGAAACAGACGATCCTGAAGAAACTATAAAAGCGATGGAGAAAAAGGCCGGTCGGCACGAGCATCTTGCGAATGTCACCAAAATGTTGTCAGGATCGGCCCGCAGAAAGTTTGCAGTGGAGGACAGTGCACGAGACGATGATGCTTAGCCTGCTCTTGCCCTTGGGGCCGATTGCAATTACCGGCTTTTCATCCCTTGCGTTGCTGCAAGTCATCTCATCTGAGTACGAGGGAGGCATGGCCCAAGACAACGGAAAGTCAATGACACTGGCTGGAGCAATTCACCGCGGTCCGACTCTCTCTATTGTTACTGAAAGGGAGAATAGCATTTGAGCCTCATTGCTCGGGGTCTGTGTTGGTGCACAGCATTCTTCAGAGGAAATTGAGGCATGACGGGAGCCATTGTCGTTGAGACGAAAAGATTGTTCCTCTGGTGACGGTAGGAACGAGGCAAGTCTACACACATTCTATTCATTGTCAGTGGTTGAATTGCTTTGCTCGAGATAGTCGCCCGTATACGAGCCCACCTCCGCCCGTACGCTTCACTTCCGAGAAGGCCCCCTTGCAGAGCGCCATCCCCGCTCAACGCCTTGTGGTCCGTGCGGTAAGGACAAGAAATCAGTCAGTGTCTTGTACACCAGAGATTATCTGGTGGAGAGAAACCTCTCCCGATACAGCAAAGACATCACCGGGACCAATCATGATGTCGTCTTCCGAACGGGCCACGGTAGGTGAACAGAGTTGATCGAAGGAGCAACTACTTGAGAACATCAGTAAATTTGCATTGCACGAGCAGTCGACTCCTTGATCGCATGATAATCGTACTTGAAAGAGTTTCCTTCCATACTCATACTCAACAAGAAGTTCTTTTGTTCCTTTGTTCTTCTCATTCCCCAGCCTGGTGTTGTTGGGCCTGCTCTGCATTCCCATTCCACCAAAAGAGAGGGGAAGTGTGGTGCACCAGCAATGGAGCACTGGCATACCAGCACGTCTGGACCATACCAGCGAGAGCCTACTGACCTGTCACTGGCCTCAAGGGTCTTGACCTCATCGTCAGGTAACATTCAAGCATACAATCCGGATTCTAAGGATGGTATCGAGAACCAAGATCCGCTGGGCCTGCCTCGTGCAGAGCCATGGATCAAGTCGGAGGTCCAGTATCCAATACCAAAGGTCAAGCTAGGCTCGAACGATGCTCACGCCGACAATCTTCAGCATCTGCACAACCGCCGACAAGGCTATAGAGACAAGTTCCTGCGAAGACGAAGAGTCGATGCAGAGAGACCGTACCTACAGCATCCGAAGTACCTTCAATACCGAGCTCGCCAACGGTGTGACACTGGTCCCGACGGTCAACTTGTGTGGGACGATCAAATCGAGGAAGCCTTTCAGAATGGTAGGCTGTGCTGCTAGCTGGCATTGGTAGTCACTAACAATCCCAGCGCTCGTCAACATCCCTCCGATGGGTCGAAGGAAAAAGTCGCAACGTGGTCGACCTCATGGACGAAACGAATTGATCTCAGAATGGATCTACCAAGAAACAGGTGCCTACAGGACCAGGAAACAGGTGTCAAGTCATATTCAAGTCCTCAATACGTTACTAAAAGACATCCCAGAATGTGAGAGTTTCTCGCTGCATTTTGCCTTGTTTCAGCCTCACTGACCGGACCAGGGGCTGCACTCGTCACTGCAACGGACGACCGAGGTGGCGGAGGTTCCGAATTCTACAGCAACTCCATCAAAGATATGGTCAGAAACCAATCGATGTCCAGTCGCATGGGATACTACAAGGGACCTGGCCGGCCGATGGGCCCGGGCTCTTACTCGATGCCGGGAAGTGGGCCATACGTGGACAGGCATTCATGCTCGCGTCTGAGCTTCAAGATGTGGGTTAGCTTGCCGGACCAGATCAGCCAGGCGCTGCATCAGTATACGAGGCTCCAGAGCAACAGCTCAATATCAGCGCCGATTCCCTTGGAAGATGTGAAGAACTGGAGAGTATCGTTCCCCAATCTGCGCTCCATCACAGAGTCCTGGACAATGGCGGAGTCGTGCGACATTCTTCTGCTCGATGCCAGCTTTCAGCTGATGAACGACTTTCCCCCGAAATTCTCGAAACTCGGCATCAGCCTGGAACTCGACTTTATGCATCCCTCTGGCCACAACAAAGAAGCCTTGCAGATGATAGTCCAGTGGAAGTGCGTGACGCACATTTTCCAGCACGGTCGTTTGATCAAGGAGACACAAGACGCTTCCCAGGCAACGAACTACCGCCCGGCAAGGTCCGACCCTTCTTTGAGTCAAAATGGTGGGCATCAACATTCACAAACCTCACAGAGAAACGTAAGAGGGCAGAAGATTCAGAAAACGATGGCGCAGTTGAGCTTGCGAACGAAGCGTCGCGCAACTTTTTCAAGAACTTGACAGTTATGCAAGAGATTTGGGCTGAGCAGCGAGGTAATGGTAGGAGGCGCATGGGCATCTTGCTCTGGAGGTTTTCGCAAGCTTCGCCGCCATATGTTGGCACTACTACCTGGCAAAGGCTGATTCCCGCGTCGGAGATGGCTTTGAGGCCCGATCAGGTTGCGGGCGATATGGGTCTCCATGGCCTCGGCATGGACACAATAATGGACGGCGCCCAGAATCCCGATCATATGTTTTCGCAGCCACAGGGCTTCTTGCCTGTTTCGGACCCTCAAGCATACGATATGTTTGATACCAATATGGATGAACTGTGTGGGGACAGCTTCATGTACAGCCAGGATCAACTGACGGACTTTGGCAATCTTCAGGGTGAAGGGGCATCCTTTGCGTTCGACGCCGACCCGGGCGCCATGCCTGGCGACTTGGGCATGACCTACGCTCTTCCGAGTCAGGAAGCTCAGCAAATGCCAGAACAGGCAGCTCCACCTACCAACAATCTCTTCGAGATGCCGCAGCTTAAGCGTCAGGATTCCGAGCGGCAACTTGACATGAACAACGTCCCTTCGCAAGGGTCGTTCTCTGATGGTAGCGACAAGATGCCTGCGCAGCCTTTGGCCAAATTTGACTTGAACACCCACAAAGTGCTCCAGGCTCAATTGGCGGGCGATCAGCAGTATTACCAGCCCTCGCCACATCCTAGCCATCAATCTCCACACCCAGCTCCTATGATCGCTCCTCAGGCTATGCACCCTCACCAGCCTCATCCACCACCCACACCGATCAGTGAGCATGACGAGACTATGCGTGCTCTTCTCGCAGCCTCAGCCATGTCCGACCTTGGCAACACGCCTTCCCATCCAACTCCTCGACACGCGCCTACGCCAACACCGTCCTCTGCGACATCGTCTCGGGCTCCTGGTCCTCCTCAGCACTTGCCTTCCTACGGTCACGCTCGAACTCATCCTCCTCAGCCTCAGCCACTCTACATTCCTACCACTCAACCACCGTTTTCATCACATCCGCATACCCATCCTCAACCGCATCCGCATCACGGCATGCATCATCCACACACCCATGCCATATCGCCACATCCGCAATCAGCGCCGCTGCCCTTCTCAGCCTCAAGTTCTCACTCGCTACCACCACTATACTCTCATCACCACCAGCCGCACGTTCAGTCTCAGCATCCCCATCCCCATCATCAGCAACACCATCATCAACCACAGCCCCATCAAATTTTACAACACCCACAACCACAACGACCCATCCTGACGGCGCACCACAGCTTCACTGCTCCGACCGCGACCGACGCACCTTACCACCAGCCTCCAGCTCAACATCCATCGCACCCATCACATCACCCGTCCCACCATCAACAGCACCCTATCTCCATGCCACACCACGCGCACGCTCACCGACGCGTCCCCTCAAAGAACGGCTTCGCTGCAGCCTTGGCCAATTTGGACGCCTACGCTGCCGACAATGGGGACGGCGACTTCACGCTTCCCACGGGCGCCTTCGACGGTGGTGCAGGTGCGGCTGCGCTCGCGGCGGAGCTGGCGAGACCGCAGAGCCAGCCGGTCGTGGGGAGCAGCGAGATCGGCACTTACGATCAGGGTGGGCCTGGGCCGGGGCAGAGTCAGGGAGACGAGTGGATTGTTGTGCCTCGCGCTCAAGGCCAGGATGGTGAAGTGGCAGTGCAGAAGGGCAGCTTGCAGCAAGAGGATGGTGTACAGGATCGAGAGCGGAGAGCTTCGCTGCAGCATCAGCAGCATGCACCGCGTGGAACCCCGCAGATGGGGTCAATGGACGGAACAAGGCAGGTGGAGAGGGTTGTTGGTAGCGGGTATGCAGAAGTTGGCAGTTCGTGACGTTGACAAAATAAGCAGGAGAGGCGAGAGGTGGCAATGAGGCGGCAGTAACGAAGATTACGACGACAATGAATGACCGCAGGAGTTGATGAAAGCCGATATGAGACCAGCATTGAGACCAGTGGGATGGCAGTGACCAGGGCGAGGTCGATGGGACGGAGGCATCATGTTTTGTTGGATCTTACGACGTTGTTTGCACCTTTGTTCTTCGAACACACATCACTTCATGACATTGATGGATTGGCAGGCGTCACCAAGCGGTCTCGGGCCTTGTAAGGAGCATCCCAAGGCCATCTGAGGGTAAGAACCCTGACGCCGCCGATGGAAAGAGCATTATGCACGGCGCTTCTATTCTCCTGTACAAACATTTAGCTTATGGTCCGAATTGGAACTGTGCCTCTTTGCCCATGTGTCTACCTACGCGTACGCTCACAGTCCTTGATAGGAGGAGACCATTGCATACAGTACGACCTGGGTCGCATTGCTCGTGAAAGTTTACGCTCAGGGGTCTCGCAGCCTCGGCCAATCCCATTCTGCTGGTGGAGTTGGGGCTAAGCTCAGGGTGTGCGCAAGCGGCGGGAACTCGCGTTCGTGGTAAGCACACCTCTACGGATTCTCCCCCAACATCTTATCAGCAGCGCTTCACCACATTATTGCGTGCCGCACTTTAATGTCCATTGTGCATCCTTTCGATTCTCGTCCTCATGCATAGTTCCGCTTGCATCTGCTATTCCATGTGCGCGAGATAGGCAACACATTTGCCGCCGAGCTTGCGGCCTGCCTCGCGGTTCTTCACTTCTCTGGTTTCCTTTTCCGTGATCTTCGTCAGGGTGATTCCATTGCCCGCTGCAATCGCTTCGCATTACCACCCAGTATGGGCCGTACTACTGGCAGAGGAGCTAGCAGCTCCTCGATCAGCTCCTTGATCTTGATACTGGCCTCCATCGCACACGCATTTTATATCCCAGGTACGGATCGGTGCGGTGACACCGCAAACGTTGCGGCTAACCGTGTCGCACAGGCTACTCGATAAAAAGCTATAAGGACGACGAGAACATACCACTGCTCGTGAACAAGCTGTTCTCGGACAACAGCGAGCTACAGTATGCCTACTATGACCTCCCGTTTGTCTGTCCGCCCTCAGGCCACACTCATAATGGCTCGAAGTACGCCAGCGGCCATTCCGTCGCCCTCAATCTGGGCGAAGTCCTTCGGGGTGACAGAATAAAGAATTCCGACATCGAGGTGAACATGCTGCAGGATGTTGAGTGTCAATACCTGTGTGACCGCGTCGTCGATCGCTGGCAGATTCGATGGGCGCGGGACTTGATTGATGACGGATATGTTGCCGAGTGGATTCTGGACAATCTGCCTGGAGCGACGTCCTTCGTCACCGTCGACCGCTCCAAGAAATACTACAGTGCTGGCTTCAAACTAGGCTACAAAGACTTCGACCCAGCCACAGGGCAGCCACAGTACTTTATGAACAATCATTATACGATTGTAGTAAGGTGGAGAAAGGCTCCAGGAAAAGCCGGAGATCGCGGCGGCAAGGTCGTCGTAGCTTTCGAAGTGTATCCGAAGAGCTTGAATGCAGGCCAGCGGAATGAGACGGGATGTCCGCTGGACGTGGAGGCCGACCACAAGCCGATGCAGCTTTACATACCGCCCGTTGCGACCCCCGATTTGCGCAAACAGTACCCAGACTCTTCCTACATTCCGGCGAGTGGAATCGATATGAACGACGGGGCCACAATGTCGATACCTTACACTTATTCCGTCTACTTCCGGGAGTCGGAGGACATCGAATGGGACCATCGCTGGGACCTGTATTTTAGCGATCAGGCCGAAACCACTTTTACACACTGGCTGGCTATTGTCAACTCCATTATCATCTCAGGCATCCTCGGCACAGTCTGCATCGTAATCTGGGGGCGTACCATGCAAGGTGATGTGAAGGGCCGAGGTGATGGCGTGCTCGAAGAGGCCCGATTGAAAGCGAAGAAAAGGCCAGAGAAGAGGAAGTCCTCCGGTCTTTTGGAGAAGCTCGGAGAGACCACGGCGGAGGACGAGCTATCTGAAGACGAAGTGATGGAAGATCTCACTGGTTGGAAATTGCTTCACGCCGATGTTTTCAGGGCGCCTAGGTATGGCGGTCTCCTAGCTCCCTTAGCCGGCTCTGGCATACAGATTGTATTTGTGGTTGCCGGACTGCTGCTACTGAGTACATTCGGTGTTCTTAATCCGAGTTGGCGAGGAGGCTTCGTCAGCGTGGGTGTATTCTTGTATGTCGCTGCTGGACTGGGATCAGGATATCTCTCTGCAAGAGTATACAAGACCTTCGGTGGTCAAAGCCCGCAAAAGAACACAGTCATGGTATGGCCTCTTTCACCACGTCTGCCCCAACACTAATGCCCTACAGACAGCTTTGCTTTTCCCAGGCCTGTCATTTGCGTTCATTTTTGTCCTCAATATGTTCACCTGGGCACAAGCTTCATCGACTGCTTTACCTTTCTCGACTCTGTTGGGGCTGGTCTGTCTGTGGCTCCTGATACAGGTGCCTCTGGTCCATATCGGAGCCAACTACGGATACCACAGGTCGCCAGTCTGGGAGCATCCGACCAGAACGTCCAGCATACCTCGTCAAGTTCCTCCGCAGCAATGGTACACCCGCAATCCTTTCACTTTACCTCTGCTGGCGGGCCTGGTGCCTTTCGCCGTGCTCTTCATCGAGCTTCTCTTCGTCTTCAAATCACTCTACTTGGATAAGTCATCATACTATTACGTGTTTGGCTTCCTCAGCATAATATCTGGTCTGTTGGCCATCACCGTGGCAGAGACAGTGCTTATAAGCACTTACATTCTTCTGTCTTCCGAGAATCATCACTGGTGGTGGCAATCGTTTCTCGTCGGTGGCGCGTCGGGGTGGTGGATCTTCGTCTATTCGTCGTGGTACTACATGACGAAGTTGCATATCGAAGGATTTGTTAGCAGTTTACTGTTCTTTAGCTATTCGGCGTTGGCATGTACGGTGTATACTTTGGCGACGGGAAGCATTGGGTTCCTTACAGCTTACGCCTTTGTGCGCAGGATATACGGCGGCGTCAAAGTCGACTAGAGTCGCGTCAGCATCGGCTGCACATGGTACTAATAGGACGCAGGTTCTGGTCTCCTAAAGATACTCTGGACCTGGACGTAGTTCCGTCAAGGATCACGTCTTTACGATAGACCACGAGACAAAAGAACTTGTTTGACTACTTCGTCTTCTTGAATCTAGTTCACCTAATCGCAAGGAACGCAGTTTAGGAGCCCGCGGGCGCCCATGCTTCGCCGTGCGAATGTTCCGACATCGGCTACGCAGCAATCGCTCTGGTTTCCCCTGTCAGCAAGACATACTCCGTTCGCGTACCTGCAGATGATCACAAGGCGTCGAGGTTCACATTTGTCTTCGGGAAAGAGGAGCCATCATCGACAGGCTTTTAGACTCATATATTCACGTCGGGCTAAAAGCTGAACGTTCAGATGACCAAAGTCTATTTGTACATGGGAGTTTTCCTAACTTGTTGCGGGCACACGTGCTTCAGAGTGATCCATCCATGAGAAGCGATGTCCTCGGATCCGAAGATTCCAAATCACGATGGTGGTCCTTGAGCAGCCTGTCATCAAGTACGGTCAAATGTTCGTCTTATCATCCCGGCGAGGTACAAGATACGTATTGCCGTAGCAGCACTTTACCGGCAACGAGGTTCACTTGTCGTGGATCGTGCACGAGTATGTTCCACGTGGGAGCAGGCTTGCTCCATCAAGAGGGCTTCAAATTGCATGTGGAGATCTGGATGTGGATCTGTGAATTTACGGCCCAAGAACTTCAGGCGACATCCGCATGCTCTCTTCACACCTAGTCTATCTGTACGTCTACGGCATGTAGTCAAGATTGACATAGAATTTCTTGGACAAAGCAGCGTAATTGTTAACAAAGGTGACAATCGCGCGGTCAGAAGAGTCCTCGATCAGTAGTCGAGCCTGGTCAACGATTAGGCGAATTCTACGCTTTGTTCGTGAAAACCAAGGCAAAGTTGCCTAGAGATCCGAGCTCCCGGCATCAATGATGTCGCAAGGACCATGCTGAGGTCTATCGCTGTTCGTCGGTCGAAGTTCTCTTGGTGTCCAGATTACTGAAAACAGGTTGGGCGGTGCGTGCTGCACCGCGAAGGTTCAAAACTGAGGACTCGGTTCAGATAAAAGCACACCGGCGAAACAGCTCCTGGCACAATGTAGCATGGGCGTACATGCTGCTTTCAAATCTTGCTCGTTGTTTCAAGCCACCTAAGCATTTCATCATGCGATCTTGGTAGAGGTAGCTACTTAACGGCGGAAGTGGATACTCGCGCCAGGGAGAGAGGCGAAGATCTGCGCCCTTCTTTCACACCGAACGACACCCCGCGCCGATACTCAGACTGCAGACTACTGACACGGAGTCACGGACAGTACGCAGATCTCCTTCCGCGCCGCACTTTCCTGTCCCAAATCGGTGACTCATTGACTAGAGGCAGCTGCTTACCAAACCTAGAAGCCTGTCATGGGCATGTGGGATCACGCAACGCACGCCTTTCGTGATCTCTACCCATGGAGCACCGCGTATTACCCCATTCAGGCGGTAAAGCTTGCCGATTGGCGTATTGATCATGATTTCGCGGGCATCTCGAAAGGTCCGGAAAAGTAAAGAGTAATAAAGAATGGCAAATCCCCATACATGTGAACCTGTGCTCTCATCATCCTGCTACTGACAGCATACCGATCGTCCGCTTCTACCACACTTGGAGATAGTTGTTCGGTTGCGAACAATCTCAAACGATCACGCGCCTCACCAAAGTGGCTGTCGTCAACTTGCATAGGCCCTCGCCAACCAGCATTGACGGCGTCAAGGCTCGAACCCGTCTTTCCGATATCGTCTGGACTATCATTGGAGCCCAAGATCTGCAATCCCGCCATTGTAGGCTTGGGACCCCCTCCTCTTAGGTCTCGCGCGAAACTCGTTGGCTTCCAAACCAATCAGAATCACGAGACCCCTCCCCAGATTCGCCTTTATCTATAAGTCAAGTCTTGAACTTGCAGTTTCTCGCCATGTCCGACATCGCCACCACATCTAATGGAGGGATGCCTTCGATACTCAGACCAAGCGCGCCAGCGTATTCACGGGCTCGCTCACTACCAACAAATATCTTGCCAGACAGCAGAAGGAAATCTATCGCTGTAGCTCTTTCAAGGAAGAAGCCCGAAGCCGAAATAGTTCTCGAGGGCCAAGAATCTGCGTTTGTCCATGTCTACTCGACTCATGATGAAATTAAAGGCAGAGTCAACCTCAAATTCGAGAAGGACACAACCCTGGATGAGCTGATCATCACATTCGAGGGCATGAGCCAGACTTATGTCGAGAAGATCGCCTCCACAGCTCCCACGTCTGGCAGAACGACTGGGAGGCATGTGTTCTTGAAGCTACTCCAGCCTGTCGACAGTGACGACTTGCCAGAAAACAATCTACTCAAAGCTGGACAGACGTACAGTGTGGACTTCCTGTTCCGCGTACCACCATCGCTGCTGCCATGTGTATGTTCCCACAAGGTGGACAATGACGGGCTCCGCAAGGATCACCTCGAACTGCCGCCCTCGATGGGCGATACCTCCATCTGTGGCGATGGTCATCAACTCATGGACGACATTGCACCGGCAATGAGTCGAGTGAGCTATGGAGTCAGAGTTCGAGCTACGACTCGACTGCCTTCGGGTAAGATCATCGATGCCGCCGAAAGGATAGAAAAGGTCCTGATCGTCCCGGGAAAGGAGGAGGCGCCGCCTGTGCACATCGACGATCACTCTTTCTACATCATGCGGAGAGAGCGAGCAGTCAAGAAGGGTCTTTTCAAGATCGGAAAGATCGGCCACATCACAGCCGAGACGACTCAGCCAAAGCCTTTGAGACTTCACCATCCACATAAACGTTCAGCAGAGCCAGTTACTACCACGGCTACGATAAATCTGCGCTTCGACCCGCAACACGACGAAGATCAGCCACCGACCCTAGGCAACATCGGCAGCAAGATCCGTGTTTACACGTTCTTCGGCGCCGCGCCTTACAAGATTCAACCAGAGGTACATCGGTGCGATAACTGGAGTAAGTCCCAAAATATTACTGATACCTTCAACAGGATTACTGACCATGGTCTAGGCAATCTCCATGGGGTGTATTCGGAATCCGTCGACCTCCTCTCTCGCAACCTTTCTACTGTCTCCTGGACTCGTCACGAGGCTGGCTCGGACATTAGTCGCACAACGTCTTGTGCCTCAGATCTCGCACGGCGACCATCGACCTTCTCTAATACAAGCAGCACTTCTGTGCCAGAAGCTTCTGCCGCAGCTAATCCAAATCTTCCCTTCTATACTGCCAGCGTTCTGGTTCCGATCTCGCTACCGACGCCTACAAAACCGTCAGAAGGCTCTGGCTCGACGACAACCAACTTCAAAACACCAAAGATCTTTCTCCCAACATTCCATAGCTGCATTATCTCGCGGTCTTATATCCTCGACCTTGCGCTCTCCTGGCACTCACCTGGCACTTCTGTGTCAATGCCGTCCATCACGCTCAAGACGCCAATCCAGATCACGGCTGAGGGCGGCACTCCGCCGCCGACCGCGACATCTCGCCTTGCGATGGGCTTTGGCGTCTCCGAGGCCGACGAGGCTGTCCTCCTGGCAGAGATTGAGCAACAGTTCAATCTTAATCTGGAGATGGGTCTTGAGAGTCCCAACTACGAGGAAGTCGCGCCATTGCTGCACGCTTATCGCAGGAGCACAGTACCTGATCTGTTTGCTGGACCGGGTGGCGCGGAGGAGGAGTCTGCCAGTCCGCCAGACTATGCGCCTAATGCTACGCCTAGGCCAGGTGGAAGGGGTGTGGTTGTGGGTGGCGCAAGAACCATGCGGGTGAGTGCCTGGGCGTGATTTCCTTACTCTTAAGCTCTACGTGCTTGCCCGAATGCCAGAACCTTTTCCCTTCTTCATTCCTGAGGATGCGCGATGGGCGGCGAGTGCAAAGACCAGAGGGAGGCAGGCGCTTAAGCACATTTGTACGATGATGCGGACTTTACGGCAGGAGCAACAACGGCGTATTAGCACTTCCCTTGGGTAGCGTTGGCGTTCCTTTTGGCGTTATATATCCCACATAATTGGCGGTGTGGTTGTGGCATTCCAGGATGCATGTCGCTCCATCTCATTTTCCGAGAACCATTGCATGACCAACCTTCTCATTCGTTTTCTCTTTTCGACAAGCAGTCAAATAACCTACCGCTCTTCTACGGTCTGTGATGACGAGTCACCAGACGACATCAACGATCACATGTCTCGATCAAAGGGATACTGACGCCCTCTCGAGGACCCGACAACCGCCGCTGGCGTTTACGCCCGCCGCCCTCGTCAATCCACCAGTAACGAAACGATGCAGACCCTTCAGCTCGTGGCCTCGCCGAGCCAGGCTCGCCGTCGAGAGCGGGAGGAATCGCCACTACGGGATGGGGAATCGCTCCAAGCGAACATGCCATCACAAGCCGAACATTCATCTCGAGTACACGCCGGCCACCGTCTAGACGATGCCGATGTCTCAGGAGGCTCACCAGGCGAACCACAAATACACCGAACGTGCGCTGTCTCCTGTCCAGACTACGCTCAATCAACCGCTCGAGCCGTGATGACGACGCCACGAGTCGTTACACGCTTCACGGCCGATCCGACGGTCATGAGTTTTAGATCGTTGAGATACCAGGCATTTGCGCCAGGAGGCATGGGTGTGGGAGGATTGTTGTTGATGGGCTTGGCTGGCTAGAACGGTGGACTGTGGTCAGGTCGCATGTTCAGTGCCACCCTGCGAAGGTTGGGTGGTCACATTTGAATAACAAGGGAAGACAAGCGTCTGGAGACCTTCGTTCGTTCCAGTATTGATGAAATAATTAGCAATGATACCCCATGTTGTAAGATATAAGCAAATGCTGCGCAGGCGGGTGGTCAGTGGGTACGACGAGTATCACAGTGCTTTATAGTGCAGCAAGAAATGACGATCGACTCCAGGATTTCTGCAAATATATTCCTTCGTGCCCATTGCCGTGTACACATCCGATGGGCCTCTTCTCCACATTATGACAACCAGACTCCCTTCCATAATCACCACATCTGTGTAGAGGCGATCGTATGCTGCTTGCCACGCCGACTGAAACCTGTCGCTATACATTTCGCTCTCTGACCAGCAGAACGTCCAAGAGCCTCACAGCTGCCCGGCTACAGCACGACTCCCTCCATCAGCGGCAACTCCCATCTTCACCTACCAACTCACCTCTATACCATCATCTTCGTCTTTCTGCAGCACCCTCACACATCCGGGCTCTCACATTCCAGCGAAAATCACCCAAGCAGCCGCCCCGCTGGTACTCAACAACACCATCACCCGAAATGCCGTACACCACCATCTCTACCACAGGCCACCGGATCCACTACACAGACTACCCGCCCACCAGCTCCGACACGTCATCCTCAAAGCAAACACTAGTATTCGTTCACGGCCTGGGCTCAACGCAGAACTACTGGCTGCCCATTATCCCCGGCCTGACCAAACGTGGATTCCGGTGTCTGGTGTCGGACAACTGGTTGGCGGGGCGGAGTGTGCCGGGTGATGAAAAGGGGTGGGAGAAGGCGGTGAAGGAGGGGACCAGTGTTGAGACGATTGGAAAGGACTTGTTGGGGTTGATGGATGTAGTCGGGGTGGACAGGGGGATTATTATCGGATACAGGTGAGTCGCTACTGTTCTCACAGAGAGGACAGAGACATGGGCACTGCGTGGATGCATATGTGGAGATCATGTGGTACATACTGACTCGTTGGACTCGAACAGCATGGGCGGAATGCTCCCGACCTATCTCGCGGCTACAGCACCCAGTCGCGCAGTAGCCGGCATCTGCGTCGGCCCCGTGCATCCCCAAGAGGCTGTAGCAGAGGTCTTCAGGCAGAGAGTGCCTGTGGTGCAAAAAGGTGAGCTTCCACATCTTCCTTCACCACGACCAGCAAATGTCCGAGCACTGCGTACCCTATTATCCTACGCTCCTCCCGATGACTGACACGCTCAAAACCAGACGGCATCGAAGCAATGGCAAACACCATCCCAACCCGCGCCGTCGGCTCTGCCACAACGCCCCTCCAAGTCGCCTTCATCCGCGAGATGGTCCTCGGCCAGGACCCCCGAGGCTACATCGCAAATTGCGGCGCCATCGAGCACGCTACACCGCCTGAGTATGCCAAAGTCGAGTGCCCGATCTTGATAATTGCAGGAGACGAGGATAAGAGTGCGCCAATCGAGGGCTGCAAGACGATCGCGGCGGGCCTGACGAGCGTGGAGGAGTCGAAGAAGAAGATCGAGGTACTGAAGGGTGTTGGGCATTGGCATTGTGTGGAAAAGGGAGAGGAGGTTGAGAAGCTGATCGGGGAATTTTGCAATGGACTGTAGGTCCGACATCGAGGTGAAAGTGCGGGAAATATCCTGCAGGACGAGGACATGCTCAGTGTATAGCTATAGACTGAGTACGGTTGTGTTTTGATTGTATCAATCACAATCGCTGGGCCCGCGCGCTTCTCAACCTTTGCCTGTTCCTCGAACGTTTCTGACAACGGGTGTTTCGCTGCACAAATCCAAGGCACAATACCCTCCTCCCTCTTTTTAAGCGCTGGCTTCGAAAGAGCAGAGAACAGTTGTGTGGCCAGTTCACCCACTTTCTCCCTATACACAATATGAAGATGACCCCAAGTCATCAAGAATGCATCGCTTGCTCAGTTTTGCTCTTTCTTTTACCGTTCCCAAAAACTTCAAGAACGCCTTGGCTGCTGATTGTATTACCATAGCATCCCGATGATTAATCGCAAAAGCCGCCTAGAACATGCAACTCTAGCCATATTTTTGTACTCCTGCACAAATGAAACATGCTCTGAATATGTCTTGACGAAGAGAATTGGAATAAACACCGCCGTTGAATTGATCGTTAAAGCTGGGACTTTGCTGCCGCAGGAAAGCTCCATGAGTGGTCACTGTTGTCGAGTGCTTTCAATCTGGCCCGTATGTGGCAATTTTCTCGATCATAAAGTGACGTCCAGAACGAGGCTGACATCTTGAACTTGTGGTCCTGCAAGATCTTCGAGCACGGGGATAAGATCCAGTAGCTCGTTGTCGTGAGCGTCGGAGAACCACGAGCTTATCGGAACCGCATGCTGTGGATGGAATATGTACGACGTTGGCGAATTGTCGATAATGATGGTTTCCTTCAGGTCACGTCCGACTTGGGACAAATCCTGTTGAGGCATTAGCTCGGTTGGCGGACATGTTTATTTCAAGCTTACCTTGACATAGTTTCCTTGGTGATTGTAGCAGCTCTCCCGAAACAATCGATGGTGGACCACATGATGGATGTCAAGCTGATCGAGTAACGGGTCGCCGTACTTTGATACGGACGCCGTGAAGACCACCACTTCGTACAGCTCGCCAACTCTCTTCATGAACTGATCCACGCCTGGCCTTTTGATGACGTAAACATTATGGTACTGACCTTCTATCTCAACGGGAATGGTGAAATCCGCTTGATTAAGTATTTTGAAACTGCTGTGGACTAATGTCTCGTCGAGATCCAGGATGAGACATTTTCTGCCTTTCAGAGGAGGCTGCGCTGGAGGCAGCAGCCATGTTTGTTTCTCGGGAGAAGCCTCGGGAACTGGAGGTATGGTGCCTATCTGCTCCTGCCGTTGTGACAGAGGCGGCGGTGGCGGCAACGTAACCTGAGGCTGCACATCGGCAGGCTGAACGGGTTCGTCGACGACTTGAGGTCCTGGCGTTGGGACCAGTGGTGGCGCGTCGGTCATGTCGGTGTCGGGATCGACCTCTGCCGCTGATTTCTTGTTCTCTTGGTCGATTGTGGTGGCTGGTTGGGCCACATTTTCCACCCTGAGCAGATGGGAGTAATCATCCTTGACAACCTTTTCGTCAACGACTTCTTCATTCCGCGGATCATTTTCTCCCACCTCGGTGTAGATTACTTTGGGCTCGTCTTCTACATCGTCGGCGCCCTTTTCTTCCGATTTCTCGCTTAGTGGTTGAGTTTCTGCAGTCTTCTCGGTCGATGACGGCTGCTGATCGATCGGACGAGCAACCTTTGTTTGCGCGGCTGGAAGGGCAGTCTTTTTGGACGGAATGGGTTGATCTTCCTTGGCATCTTGCACCGTTTCTGAGGGACTGCAGCAATTCAGAAAAGCTAGAAAGCCTGACCTCGACTTCTTTTCGCTCCGTGTGCCATCATTTTGAGGTAGCGGAGGGACTGCCTCCTTTGTGTCGCCGGTTCTTGTTGCTCTTGCCGAACGCCTACTGCTTCTACTGTTGTTTCTGCTTCGGGTCAAGATGCTGCGTTTCGAACCGCGCCTGGCTGCAGGTGCTTGCTCAACCTCGGCACTCTGGGTGGTTGGTGACGTCGACGACTGCGGGTTCTGCTGTGAAGACGTCCGAGAGGGTATATTGACACCAGACGACTTAGTCGCGGCATCGTCAGGCGATAAGGTGGTGGTAGCCGGCTTAGTGTCTGTCGTCGTCGACGGCACTGGATTATCGGGAGCTATGCCGGAGGTGCCTTCTACACGGATAAATTAGTATTACTGAAGCAAGTCTCAATAATACGCGATGCGCCTAAGGGCAGCTCATGCATACCTGAGGCTGAGGGAGCGGTTGCGCTCATGTGGGGCGATTATGGCCTCGTCGCGGCCGATCGAAGCAGATATGTCTGCGGTTCAAAGGTCGAAGCGAAGCTTTGGACCATGAGCGACACGTGGTCGTGAAAACGCAATGGGAAACAGGGAAGGCCGATATTGCCGTTAATGAGTCTACGCGACGAAGCTCCCAGAGGGGAACAATCTCGGGTGGCTGGCGGTGTGCGCAGTCTAGTATATGTCCAGTGATGCTGCTTTATATGGCGCGCGTAGAGTCGGACAAAGATAACTGAGGTCGATATTGCTGGAGAAGGAGAGCGGTAGTGAAGTTGCAAATGAACAAGAAGTGTCGATGATGAAGTGAGGTGTGGCTTTCGCGCAGTCGAGGTCGTGTACGGAGGCGGAAAGAGTAGAGTCAGGTAGGCGCGATGCAGGGAAACTTGGGCGCGAGAGGCTGAGAGATAGCGGCGAAAGGTAGGAACGAGGCCACTAGAATCGGTTCGCTCAAAGTTGGGAGCTGGAAGGGAGCAAGTCTGCAAGCAGCATGGCAGTGGTGTGGGTAAGTGACGAGCTGGATGCTGAGATTGCGCTTCAAGACCACCATTCAGAGGCCTCGCTAAAGGCAAGCCTGCCCAGCGCTATCTGTTCTAGCCTCCCCCACTTCGACTAACAAGCTACGCCCGACTTCATCTCCCATCTCATGATCCTCACAACAGTCATCTCCGCTTCTTCATGGGATGTAGTTCATGGACTTACACATGTCAAGACCGAGCTCTGCAAGAGCATATGTTAGACGCTCATAGTCGCTGATCATTCAATACACAAATGAAGAATCAACAGAACGCGCCTTCGCGAGTCCTCTGACGCATACAAACGCCGCTCGGATCACCAACTCCTTCGGCTCGGACCATTTATCCACTGGCATGTGTGCGCCGCGATCGATCTTCTGCATCAGCCACATGGTCCGCGACACTGACAACGGTATCTGGGGAAGCCGGAAACAAGTCCACGACATTCATCAATCTCGTTACACTGCGTTGACCACACGGCACGTCAAACTTCAGCCCAGATACATCAGCAGCTACGGTAGCTGTCAGATACATTGCCCACTGACCAACTTTTCTATGACCTTGCCCGTTGCCCGTTCCTCCGTGTATACAAGCCGCCAGCAACATCACTGCAGCAGATTCGCAACGTTCTCGTGGCCCTCATCATGGTGCTTTCACAACGTGTTGTTCCATCCAGATCCGAGGTATGAAACAGAATTTGACAGCGGCACAGGCATTGCACTTTCCAGGCTCAAAACAACGCCTCACCTACCGACATGTAGTATGCGATGGCCTCATCCTTAAGGCTTTCACTTGGTTGAGTATAGGCCAGAGCGCCGAATGGGATCCTTCAGCACCTTTGAAAGCGCGAGAACGACATCCCATCCAACAAATGAGACCATTCTGAAAGGCTAACGTCAATTGCCGGCTCGTACGCTGCAATCGGTGATGTCCTTTTTCATTGGTAGGCAGCATTCCGGCTTGCATGAAGTCAGAATGCCCGGACAGTGTGGTTGCGAAGGTCTTCTACCAGTTCGCTATATGTAGTGTACGTGACTGAGTATTCATCGCTTGCCCAAAGGGACTGCTTGAGTCTTATTTCCAGAATCGAGCGTCTGTTTGGCGTCAAATAGCCACAAGCTGTTGTAAACACAAGCGTTTGTGGTCTGGATCAAGATTGCTTGTTACGCCTCTGCCATGCGTGCGCATCTTCAAGACGCCTTGTATGGGCTCCCTAAGGTTAGCACCTAGATTCTGGAGTGTAGGTGTACCAACCGGATATCCTTTGACACGGAACACTGGCACGATGAAGCAATTGACACCCTTCAACGTTGACAGGCCAAGAGATCGATCATGATGACAACAGCCCCTCGAGTCACAACGCGATGACGACAGCGATGGTCATAACGCTGTCGTGCCCGTTACAAACAAGCAGGGAAGTTGAAGCTGGGGCTGGTGAAGCAGGTACCATTTTCGCCTGAAGACGAGGCGTCAGGTACGCCCCGAGGACCCACTAGAGCCTCCTTGGCACACGTCAATGCAGTTTGATGGCACGGTGCAGGTCACGAGCTTACAACCAAGTACATAAATTAGAAGGCAGACACCAAGGCTCACTTTCGAAGCTCAAATTATCCTGTCAAAAGTCCGTCTTCAGACCAATTCCAATCTAACAAGGTACGATACGTCGCCATACAAGTGCACCGAAGCACGACGGGATTGACCTTTCTAGAACCCTTCCCTAAACACATAAACCACAAACATCACAACCATACATCATGCCTCGCGGTGGTGCTCATATCACGAAAGTCCACTACAAGGGCAACACTGATGACTTTATCGTCTTCGTCGAGTCCCCCGCCGATGTCGAGAACTGGAAGAAGGATTCCAGCATCCCTCTCGCCCAGGTCGTGAACTCATTCAAGATCATGGTCACACATAAGTCAGTCACATCAGGTACCGATTCGGGACCGGAACACTGACGAGATGGAACAGGCACGGTGCTCAAGGCCAGATGGACGGCGCTTCCAACGCTGCTCTCGACAACGAGTTCGGTACACACAACGAGGATGAGGTCATCAAGCAGATTCTTACCAAGGGCTCAATCCAGGCAGGCGAGGTTCGTATCGACCACGACCAAGTGGTACGCGGACTGACAACGGCTACAGGAATCCGAGCGTGGCGGCGACCGAAACATTACTCAGGGTGGCACTGTTGGCCATGCCACTGGCAACCGCTAGGGGAGGCAGCGAGGGCACCATTGAGCCGAGACAATGCCGAAGCACATATATTCCTCCGTCGCGAGATCAAAGATGCGATGACATGGCAATGGCGTATGAGGACGGAATTGGAATCGTATAGCAAGCGAAACAACCATTCGAGCGAGACGTCACAGCTGATGCTCTCAGTCCTGCTAAAGAAAAATACGCAGTGTTGTTCACAACCTGCATGATCACTCTGACCTGATCTTCACGCAGTCAGATCACTTCACGTCTTTGTGATCATCACTTTGATGCTTTTTCTGCAAACTTTCATTTTCATGTCTCCGAAAAAGATAGTCCTCCGCCTCAACGCAGCGCTGGAGCCCATCGATCTCGAAAACAGCTACTCTTCTGCAACCTGACGCGCTCGCGCAGCTTCCGCCATTGACGATTCTAACAGTGACCACATCAGCTTGTGCTTATTGTGATCGGCTCAACCTACAACGCGCAGTGAAGATGGCTGACGATCCTCCAGCAACCCGAATGCCGGTAAGACGCTCAATGCCGACGACTCGCAGTCTTTATGCTAATCTGGACCGCTCTCAAGGACAAAGCACCTGACAATGAAAAGGAGACTGCGAAGCGGGAGAAGAACCTGGTGGCAGGTCGGAAATTTCGGCAGCGTAAGCTGGAGATGAACGAAGCCATGGAGGCAGAGATCAACCGGCTACGAGCATCATCATCCGTTTGGGTGGTGATCCAGATGCCGGTTGACTGTATCGACCACGGCCTGGTTTTCCTCGCCAAAGTCGCCAGTCTTCAGTGGAGGGCTCCTAAACTAATTTTATTGACGAAAAGGCCAACGCTATCGTCCTTGCTAACCGAGATGCTCGACAAGATCTTCCTGCTCGCTATTCTAGACGATGTCTGCATCGAACGCCGAAAGTTCGTGCTCGTTGAAAGCGCCTATATGTGGTGGTCACCAAAATGGGCTTGTGACCTACTGGCAAGCTCGAGAGGTCTGAGGGCACTTATTGGATGGTTCCTGGCCACTCATGGGGTGACTGAACCTCTACCGATGTCCAGCCATGGGTGATGTCCTTGCCCAATGATTGCTGGAATTCCGACTTTGCTTCTGAGCAATCGAAGAAACCGGGATTGACTAGGCTTGCAATGCTCTCAAAGTCCGCCTGCCATACGGCTGAGAGCAATGGAGAATGCATGCTGTGATGGCGCAGAAGGCAGAATGACTCGAGAACGCTGAATCGGCAAGCGGAGGAGTTCAATGTCGGCGATACCTGCTCGGTGGGTTTCGATGAAGGGACATTCCCAGCAGCTCATGGCATTCACAACTGTCAGATCAGTCATGGACACTCTGCTCGCAGTCCTAAGGCGGGATGTTGTCTACGTTAAAGCACGGCTTATTAAATGGACTTGACTTTAGTGGTCTTGATGCAGTTTATCGCTTCCCAAGCTTATTAACTATCCATTTCTGTCCCTCAAATTCCATGATCAATCCAATGACCGGCGCCGAACAACAGAGTTGACTATTTTTGTCCAACTATACAATCGCTGCGTACAGCATTTCGCTTGCTTGTGTCACACCACATCACTCTTATAGACCTCTGATCCAGCAACACTGGTGCTGCGAGACATCTAAAAGTGCTCCTTCCAAAACCTAAACTTGACCAAGTCATTGCTGCTCCCTTTGGTCGCCTGTCTGATCTCTCTTGCCGCCGCACCAGGCCCGCAGAAGTATACACCCACTGTCGCCTTGGTGCTCGCCGTGACGCTCACGTCGCCCATATCCATATAACTCTGATCCATCAGACCGTCCCTCATCGCGCCAAACAGACGCTTGAAGTCCGGCCGCCCGAACTGAGTCTTGGTCTTCAGCTCTGTGAGGGGATCGAGGTTGTTGCCCACGGTGTTGAGGTAAATGTTTGCAGCGGTGTTCTGGTCGACTTTCTGCGTGAGGTATGTGTGGATGCGCAGGAACTCAGGTCCGCCTTGCGTGGCGGCCGCTTGCTCGGACTGCGCTTCGAGGGAGGAGAGAAGGGTTTGGAACCACTCGAAAGACTCGATTGAGCGTGTGACCCAGATGAACTCGACACGCTTGAGACGCTTAGGCGGGTTAGGCCCAGCACGAATGTTGTAGATGTGCTTCAGCACGGACGCCCACGGTGTAACGCCGATACCCGTGCCGACAAGGACAGCGATCTCGTTGTCGAAGACGTCCTCTGCAGGGGCACCGTAAGGTCCGTCGATGCGCAGGGCGGGCATTTCTTGGCCGCTGTTGAGCGCTACTTCGTAGATACCGTTGTCCTCATACGCGGCGAAGTCTTTGGCTTGAGCAGGACCGCAGCCAAGGGCATTGCCGAGCGCTTTCGTGAAGTCGCCGACTTGACGGACGTGGACGGAGATATAAGGGTCGTAGGGGCAGGAGGTGATGGTGAAAGGATGCCATTGCTGGCCTGAGACCGAAGGGCATTGGAGGAAGAGCCATTGGCCTGCTTTGTACTTCATGCTGGGTTTCCTGAATTGGATTTCCATTGCATCGTAGGGATGGCGGATAACCTTGACAATCTTGGTCTCTCGGCGGGCACGGATCTCGCGGTAGAGGCGTTCGATGAGGTAGATGCCACCCGTCCAGAGCTCCCAGCGCCAGCCTTCGTAGCCGATGCAATGGTCCCAGAAATCTTTGCCGGCAAAGGGCGAGAATGGTGTCGCTGTATCTCTGACGAAACAGCCGGTGGCGTGGGTGTACATGCCCAGAAGGAATGGGATGAAGAGGTGGTGTGTATACCAGAACGTCTCGAAAGATTGCTGACGAATCTTGTGATGCGCTGTCGTGTACATGAGGAGCATGCACAGCAGCATTATGTGGCCAGTGATGCCTCCAGCTTGAGCGTAGTGGATATCAAGGGCGAGCTCAGGGCGAATCTGGTTCTTCTCGACGTTGAAGAAGTTGACGTAGTGGGCTAGGACATGTACACATGTGAAGACGAGCAACGCATATGCTGTCTGTCGGTGGAACCACTGTGTTTCGTCTAGTGGCAGGAACTTGAACTTCGGTCGGATCCATCTCATCAACGTCCGGCACATAGGCAACACTATCAGCATCGTATCCACCGACAACACCAGCCCGGCTCCTCGCGACAGCCATACTGAAAAGGTGAGTGTGTTGAGACCAGCTAATCGAATGTCGGACGCCTGCTTGTACCAGCCGAAAGCGAAGATGCCCCAATGAAATGTCCACCACAGCACAAAGAACAGCACCTTCCGAGGTTGCTTGAGCTGTTCCAGCCAGCTTCTTGAAAGCATGTTGAGTCGTTCTTGGTCGGCTTCGACAATGGTCTATTATATAAAAAGTGAAGCAACCAGTGCTATAGAGAAATGAACATACTCTGCGAGGCTGGGCAGAGTATCGAAGGGCAATGAACGTCAACTGTCGGTCGGCAGCTAGCAATTGATGAGATGACGAACAGAGCGTTGAGTATACTAGAGGGAGGTCATTGAGTTAAAGCGGAATATGCTGTGTCCGTGTACGCCGCTTAAGGTAGGGGTAGTTCGAGACGTTGATCCGCGGTACTGGCCTAAGATTGGTATGGAAGGTATAGCTTCTACGTCTGGGGTGATCTGATCTGGCGATGTTGGCAGTGATCAAACTATTTGCAGAAGGCTTGCGACTGTATCATGAGGCGATGCCGGTAATGATGCGTTTGGCAGAGGCGAAACTGGTGTGAGTGGGAGTGAGACGGTGTTTGTATCGAAGTGGAGCTGGTCTCCTGGTCCGAACGCCTGTGGGTCAGGGGTGCTCAGGGAGAAAAGTCAGTGTGCGAGAGTGAGTGATCGTCACGGTGAAGTGTCCGTCAACGTTGTGTTAGCGAACTCGATGTATGCAGAGAAGGGTCGTTGACAATGTGAACAAAACTCGATATAGATAGAGTACAGTGAACGATCAAGACCCGTGGCAGAGGTACACGGGGCGAAAAGTCAAGGTGCCGATCCATCATCCTTGTCTGTGGAGAGGGTTGAGGCTGCTCGTTTGGGAATGGGCAGCGTTTAAGCGACCATTGGATGTTGTCTGACGCTGCCCACGGTTGGCAGGTACCAGTGCATGGCGGCAGCATGAGTGATCATTGATCAAGACTCGGTCTATCGAGGCTAGTGGTACGGGACAGATGCGTGATGGAGACATCTCTTCACGCGACTCCAGACGCCGGCACCAATGCATGTACATGGCTCAAGCGAAGAACAGCATCATCTGATAGTTGTCGTCGAAGCCGGCCCAAGGAATGATGCAAATGATTCTGTTAGCGAGGCTCTCGGAACAAGAGGTGGCTGGAAAAGCGAAGAGAATAGTGAATGCAGAGAGATGCAGGGTCGTGGTTGCGATGAAGGAGAGAGCGTATCAGATTTGAGCTTTTAACGCTCTCGGCACGCCCCTCACGCCAAGCTTTGGCAACAACAACCAATCGCTGGGGCTGCTTCTGTTTCTTTTCCAACATCAACCGTATCACCTCGACCTCCTTCTTTACCATTCGTTCATCTCACTCTCTTACCGCTGCGGGAGCTACCTACGTAGCGATTCTCGACCCTGGCATTAGAGCTCTCGACTTCTTGTGCCTCTATTTCTGGCGGTAGAAGCTAGACGACCCTTGATCTGGCCGTGATCCATCTCCACTTGTGCCTTTCTTGACCTGTTCACAGACCATGATCTCCGTTCGGATGGCCAATGAAGGAAGGTCGTCAAGGTAAGATACCAATCATGGGGTTGATATGTTCGGTCTCGAGCCTTGCCGTTCGGCACGGTGGGGTCAATAGTCTGATGCAAGAATTACGCCGCGGGCAGAAGACATGATCACACTGCATGATGAACATTCATGGAACCGATCATGCCATATCGTCAATGTCCCAATGCTCATGACTACCGTCTACCCTTTCACAACAGCAGTATACCGCCTTGACAGCACAGCAGAACACTGAACGTGCAGGAAGACCATATAGACGCTTTGCGACACCTGTGACACTTACCGTCTCCAACCTGCGACATCCACTCACATACTCGGCTATCCACCAACTTGCGACATATTCTCATACGCGCAGAGCAGCAACGTCCTGAGTTCGAACTATAGTCCGACATCATCGTCTGATCGCCTGCCCGGAATCAGAGACTTCCTTACCTGAGCCGCACCATTGAACGTTACCACTAGCTCCAGGTTTCGCTGTGATTGCATGGTGTCGCCTCTCATAAGCAACGAACTGCCCGCCGTTAGTCTTTTGGGATGGTCTTTCGGTAGCTGGACTCCTCAAGCAGCCGCAGCTGCTTCTGATCAACGACACTCACTTCCGCCTACCCTCACCTTCGCTTCTGAACTCCATTCTTTAACGACATCTATTCGACAACAACACACACCCATCCGGCATGGGCAAACTTATTAAAAATCACTGGGGCAGGCTGATAGTCATCACCGCAGCATGTATCCAGATGGCAGCGGCTATCGAAGGCTTCTTCTGGCCTAAGATCTTTTGGGACTTTCTGACGAAGAACCTCGACGGGGCAGTGAAGCCATTTCCAACGTTACAAATATTCAACCTGATATTCTCGTTCATTGGATTGGCGATGGAGTGGCCGTTGGTGCCAATAACGAGGATGTTGCCGGGTCTGCACCGAAGTCTGGAGGCGAGGATGGTCATCTACCCGCTGTTTGCATTGGCAGCTCTGCTACAATACCAAGCAACCAATGCTGGGCTATACTACCTCATCGGAGTAGGAGTGTACTTCTGGGCATTCATTGAAGGCGAGGTAAGCATATTGCAGCAACACAATCTAGACCATTGACTGACATTGAACAGACTGTATGTCCTGAGCCATGGACCTTGCCGAAACGGAATCTACCACGAGCTGGCAAAGTATAGGTGGCGAGGGAGCGGACCTTTGGACGACACTTGTCACTTCGATTTGGCTGCATCATGAGCGTTATGACGTTACCTAAGCAGGTGTTGGTTGTCTGTAGATCTGGAGCCTGTCCCATATATCTCAGACAGTGTACAGTGGGCAGCGGAGGGTGAGGGCACGGCTGATCATGATATGTTAGAAATCATAATTTATTCGGCCAAAAGCCTTTGGTCTACCCGTGACGGTAATGACATTTGCCGTCGCCCAAGTCTTGAGAAATGCTGCGAGTAAAGGTGTGTTAGCCCACCTCCATGTATGCTCAATTGGATGCCAAGCCCGACGCGTCTCCGACCTTTCGACGCGTCCGATTTCCTGGGTGGGCCGCGTCTCCAAGTCTAGGTGAGTAAGTGACTAAGTACAGTTCATTCTCACATTGAGAAGCCGTTTGCACTGACAGCACACCCATCGCGGCCAGTCCAATTAATCTGCAGCACACCTAGAAACCGACCACCATGGCAACAACGAAGCGCGCTCGACCCTCCTTTTCACCTCCGAGGCCCAGCAAATCGAAGACCGCTACGAAGGCCAAAGCATCGACTACAAAAGACAAGACCACAGAGCCTAAGAAGCGTGCTCGACCATCCACAAGCAGCACCACCTCAGCCACAAAATCAAACGCCACCACAGCGAAGCCTCGCAAGCGACAACGCTCCCCATCACCACACAACTCCGACTCACAACCATCGTCACGCGAGAACGACGAAGATGAAGACCTTGACGACGACGACGACAACTCAAACCGCAGCGCTAGTCCCGCGGCAACAGACACTAATGATGGATCCCTCAATGCGGACCTCGACGACGCCTCCATGCTTCTTGTCGAAGTAATCCCATCGAAGAAAGACGAGTCAGAACAACCCAGCATCCCACTGCCCCTGATCCACCGCATCGCAGCCGAGGGCTTCTCAGAGCCAGAGACGACGAAGATGAGTAGGGATGCGCGACGGGTGTTGGGGAAGTATATCGACACATTTGTGCGGGAAGCGGTGGCGAGGTGTGCATATGAGGCGGAGGGGAGGGGCGATGATGGGGAGGTGGGAAGGAAAGGGTGGGTTGATGTGGATGAATTGGAGAGGGTTGCTGGCGTGTTGTGTTTGGATTTCTGAGGGCGCAAGATTTGATGGTTATGAGACTTAATGATTGTATGATGATACCATGAACAAATCCTCACGGCGAAGAGGGAAGTAGGACCAGGGGCGGGCCTCATCTTTCCGCGAGCACCGTCGTGACAGAACACCATCGGTGCCGATGAGGTCTCTTGCGACCACACAAGATGCTCTTGTACTCCGAATAGCTATCTATCTACTAGCACTGTATAACGTAAATACCAATTGATGAGTATGCCTACCAATTCCCGTCATCGCTTAAACATGGTCGTACATTGTCCGATATCGTTGGCGCATATCATGGGTCTGGGTGAAGCTGCCTGTCCGTCTTCATCCTTGACACAAGACCACAGTACCTTCCTCACCAGACTGCGAGCCCCTTCCCCTCCATTCGCCCCTTCCTCTCCTTCTTCACTCTTCCTGCCGCCACAAATCCCCACGCTACTACCCCAACTCCCATCAAGCTTAGTCCCAATACCGCTGCCATGAGACCGTATCCAGCCTCGCTCTCCCGGCAGACACCCTTGAAGCCAGCAGGATACCCCACACCAGCACCCAGGGGAACAGGAATGCCCATGTCGGCCATGTCTTCGTTAAAATTCTGGGCCGAGCGGTAGAGGCGGCAGGTGAATGTCTGGATGCTTTCGTGCTGGAGCTGATTCTGCAGGATGGGGACTAGCATGGTGGAGACGAGGGAGAGCGGGAGGACGAGGAGGAGGAGGAGGAGGGTGAAGATGCGGGCAAGTGCGGTTGTGTGAGGGTGTGGCTGTCATTGCACAGTGTTAGTCAAGGCGGCCGCAGAGGTATGTGTACCGGGTCGGAGACAGGAACGTGGACAGTGAACCTACCGAAGGCCACAGAGCCAGGACTAAGTAAAGCCCACTAGCGACACCCACGACAGCCGCACTACCCAAGACGACCAGCGCAGGCCTGAGATCCAGATCGACTGGCCACAGACGCAGATGCCACTCAGGGCCCAACAGAGTAGAGCGATAGGCATGATACGCCGCACCTGAACATCCCAGTGCACCCACGGCACAAGCCATGATCAGGACAGACAGGGCCAGCCTCGCCCAGCGCAAACGCCGTGACTGCACCAGCCACGCCTCCTCGGACCGCGACGACGCCGAATGACGCGAGAAAAGATCCGAAGTTAGCGGCGGGGAGTCGTAGCCTCCACCAACTGTCTTGCCTCCAGCCGTGATAGTAGTGGTAGCAACTCGCGCCTCAGTGAAGGAAGGTGCCTTTCGCGCCCACGAAGACTGGGACGATTTGGACTTGACGCTGGCTGCGGTCGTAGAGGAGCCCTTGGTGTTGAGTGTGCCGTCGCCATTGTTGCTTCGAGGACGACGTTCAGGTGACGGGCTGCGGGAGCGAGGGAAGCTGGAAATGAGCGGGTCGGCGGTGCGTGGCGTGATCGGGATGGGCCCGAGGCTGTAGGCTTGAGGAGGATTGCTGGCGGAGTCTCCTGGCGAGGTGGTAGTGCACCTGTGGGCATGATGGTGGTCTTCTTCGAAAGATGAAGGGAAGAGATCTTCTGCTTGGCGAATGCTGAGAGAGGCATTCCACGTGAGATATGCGGTACTATCGTGCAACGACTTGGTGACTGGGGCGAGAGGTAAAGCAATACAAAGCAAGGCACGCACAGCGAGTCCAGCCGCTGAATGAGAACGAGAGGGAGAGAATACTGATAGATGAAACAAGTTGACTGAAATCCGATCATTGAGTATTTACTCAGTCTGCTTACGTCGATCTGGTAGCGTGTAGATTTACCCGCACCCTTGGGGTGGCCTTCATGACTATCGCCTCGCGTAGCCAGCGATGGCGCCCATGAGGCGCCGAGAATCAGAGTAGACAGATACTTCCATTTGCTGGACGAAGCGCTGTGTGGTTGCTGGTCATGTTTGAGAGATTGGCGTAGATGTTCAGGGCGGACCCTGGGCGGTTAACTCTCAGGCTTGGCGAGAAGGAAAGCCGCGATTCGGTGCAGGTGAGTCGTCGATCTCCGTGGATTCGCGGGATATTTTTGGCACTTCTCTCTCTTCGAGCGCTTAGCGAACCGTCGGCCAATAGCGACTGTAACAGATGCTTTTTCTGCGATAATAGCTTGGTTGAGCACAAGTAACGCCCGTGAATACTCCTTCGCGCCCGGGTCGTGGGCTCGAAGTCGAGCTGCTCTGCTTGACAGCTGGCAGGTCTGGGCGCCCTCTGTAGCATTTGCCCGCGTAGCCGACCTCCTAGGTAGCATTTTGCATTTTGCATTTGATCGGCCGGTCTCGACAGCACGGTAGCTTTTCCGCACTGGGTAAAGGCGTCGCTTCCTCGAAAAACTACGACCTCAGCCTTTCCCAGAATGACCTGGTATCTGTGGGCACCACCTGCTTGTCGCGAGGTCAAATGCAAGACATCATGATCCGCGCAACAGACAGAAGCTGTATTTTCTCTGCTTCAGGCAGGTCGTATGCCATATCCAGAGGACTTGTGCGATCCGAAGTACCGACAGCATGGTACGGCTCGGAAGCATGTGATGCGCCAATATGTGCGTTCGTCCGCTGCTGGTATCGGAAGGTCTGTGGCCACGAGGATTAGACGGCCTGTCATACGACTGTTGTTCAAGTTTGATCATAGCTGTATGCTCCGGCTCATGTTGGGTGGAAGATTTGTGCCACTTTCTCCATTGCCTGGATATCATCGGCGTGGAGTGGCTGTCCAGGCAAAGCTGAAGCGTCGTCAGCATCGGAGCCACGACTACGATCGATGTGCGCTCTCGTGCGCTGCTCAATATATTCTCGTCGCTCTTGCCGTATTTCTGCTTTCGCTGAGTCGAGGTTGTTGCTGAGGGTCTTCAAAGAGGCCAGCTTCGGTCGGAGTTCGGCAAGCAATGCTTTGAGGGCGGGCAATTGCGACATGGTGAAGGTCGTGTTCGTAGTGAGGTTCTGGTGATCAGCAGACACGTTGAGCGTCTGTGCTCCCGCAGCTTGGGTCAAGAAGGCCAGGTTGCCTGCGGCTTGATTGTTCTGGAGATTGCGTAATTGGCCAAGGATCATCTCATTCCGGGCCGCCTCTTGCTGAAGCTGTTTTGATAGTAGACGCGATGCAGCCAGTTTGCGACGTTGCAGTTCTATCATCTCAGGTGTGGGGGTGTCTTTTGATGGCTGATGGGAGATAGACTGATAATGTTGCAGCTTGATCCAGTTGGTCAGATCGGCTGGCACGGCGAGGATATTGCGAAGGACATAGATCTCAAACCGATCGAAGTTCTTGTCCACGGTCGAATTCAGAAGCGTTTCCAGTTTCTGCAGGCCCTCCTCAATCTCTTGCTTCGCCTCGGGATATTCGACATCTCCTTGCTCAGCATTCGGTCGTGCCTTGAATCCCAGACGCTCAGGTGGTGTAGAAAGCAAGCCCGTCTCGAGACTGCCCACGCCCTGGTAAATGAAGTTGTTGATCGAGTTGATAATGTCGTCGATCAATGACTACAGTGGTCAGTAGGGCCAGATCTGTGTGCGGGACAGCGGCATACCAGAGGCGTGTATTGCAGGTGCTCTGTAAGCAGCGCGGTTGCCGCTTGAGACGTATCTACGTCCATCGCAGTGGGCTATTGAGGTACGCAGGAAGCGTTGACCGCGTGAGAACGAGCCCGTCGCGAGTGCGCATCATCTGCTCTTGGAGAGACGCGCTTCCCGTTTCCCCGCGGTTCGGTTTGTGTATCTGACTAAAGAGGACTAGTGGCAGCCACTGTCATTTGCGCTTATTACGACAACTTGGCCCGTCAGTCGCTCCAGCCTCGACAGTCATCTACAGACAACGCGACACTGTTGCGGTCATCCACATAGCACATTGCGCGTACGGTAGATCCTCACAGTCGATAAATCGCAAGTCAGCCAGCCCTTTGCGCATCGAAATCCGCGATCAACGGCCTCCAGGCGCCTTCACTCTCCACTCCTGTCAGCCGCGCATCTGGTCAAAAGACGCGTATTTGCCTTGACATTACCCAAGTCACCAATTCTACTGACGAGCGCTGTTCGATATCGCTGACGATCAATGGGGGGCCCGGGCTCGGGAGGATACAAGAATGCGCCGGGAGACACCGAGACACACTCGGCCTGGGAGATCATTCCCCAAGATCCATCAATCAGCAGGTACGCCAACCCAGACGCATTGTCTGCTCGCTTCACTGACAAGTTGGTTCAGAAATTAGCACAGGTACGATGCAAGTACTGCAGCAGAGAGATGGCCCAGCACACCTCGCGGCAACGGGTGCACCTGCTGCAGTGTCAAACCTACCTCGACGCGATGAAAGACCAGGGCATTGACAACAGTATCACACGACAGGCCGCCGATCCGGCCGGCTATTTCAAAACCGCAAGATCGTACGTGACTGGCGTCAATGACTCTCCCAAGCCACCCAAGGTCTTGAAGATGGGTGAACACACAACCGCTGTTCGGATCCAGGCATTGTCGCTTGCGGAAGCCAGTATCTCATCAGAGCGCATCTTCGAAATCACAGGAATTGACCCCAAGGTCCTAGCTGGACTACGGAAGCTAGCAAGAGAGCGTGGCTACGATCCTTCTGTGTCGATGCAGCTCAAAGAGGAATACGTTCTAGACCCACCGAACACAAACCGTCCTCGAGGTCGTCCCAAGAAGAGAAAGCCGGAAGATGAGCTCGACCCATCGTTGCAGGACAGCCCTCAGATTCGAGCCCCAACAGGTTATCCGGCTCCCGAAAGTCTTCCGCCGGGCAACTGGAACTTCGGCATCCCAGCGGGACAGGGATACACCATGACATGAGCAACGGGCCACGCATAACTAATGTACCAACGGTCTGATCTCACCAGGCTAAGAGCCTTACCGTCCGTTCCTCGCGCACTGAAGCTACTGATTGCAGCCAAGCCAGCGGCCATGGCGTTATTGAGCTACTATAGTGTACTGTCTCCTAAGAGCCCTAGCTGGTTCGCCTGCGATGTGGGGACTCGCCTGTGGTCCGTGCCATGATCGGGTGTTGAAGCTACCGAAATACTCAGGGTCATTCACCATATGTGACAGTCTGTATGTGTACGGGGTCTGGGTCTTGCCAATATTCTTGAGATGCATGAGCAAGGATGGTGATGCGATAGGGAGGCTGATGCGAAAACGTGAACAGGATGCATGCAAGGCGAGCGAGTGACAGCAACATTTTATCACGTGATGAATAGGAAGCCGCCGGCCAAGCAAATCCAAAAATGGCTAAGCGCTTTACCTCGAACACTCCAAGTCTCACCTTCCACTCGTTTCCGTTGCTTCTTCTCCTCCTGCGACACTCTCAAAACAAGTCCGCGCTTCAACGTGGTCCCAAAAAGCCATGTCTCTCGCCTAGCCACACGGATGGGCAGACAACCCGTTCGTCAATGACTACCAGACTCCATTTGTTGCCAGATTCGGCCTCTAGCTGCCGTTGTGCGACGACCTGTCGTTTCCCCGTCCTCCATACTAACCCTAACCTTAGCTCCTTGACACACTTCTCTGACATCTTCAGTCTGGCAACAGCCGCCAGAGCCTCCAGCCTACCTTCCACCTATCCATGTACCCAAGAGTTTCACTCGGTAGTCCAGTGAGGCGATGCTACCGGCTACTTCTCTTCCATCGAACCTTCAATCTGCCACGCCTAGCCCCGTCGGCCTGCAGATGGGCTATAACATGTCCCAATCCATCTGCTTCCGACACATTTTCTTTCCTCCCCCAGCTACCAAATTCATCCTTCCCTTACAGTCGTTCTCTTTGGTGTGCTTGACGCATTGCCTAGAAGCCATTCACTTCTTACAACTTTGCGCCGGTCGCTCTTTAATCCAGCTCATCCAGCTATAGTATACTATTATCGACAACAGTCACCTCACAGAAGTTCGAAAGATGTATACCAAACCGCTACTCACATCAGCGCTACTTGCTGTCTCGGTTGCTGCCACCAACCCATGGGCAGACCAACCTGTAGCTGTGGTTCAGGCGCCTCCGCCAGCTGCCTACACTCCTCCAGCAGCTGCATACACCCCTCCTCCCATGGCTATGGTTCACCAGACAACAGCGATGACAACCGTAGCGGCTGCCATGCACACCATGCCCGCTGCAGCGCCGCCCGCAGCACCTCCTGCAGCCCACAACGCCAATCCTTGGGCGGATGTCAAGGGTCAGAATCAGCTGACTGTCTTCCTCGTCTCCGTGGGCGACAATAATGGTTCGCTGAAGTACTTCCCTGACACTGTACACGCTCCTCCTGGGTCCGTTGTCCAGTTCCAGTTCCACCCCAAGGTCAGTCGCATTCACTCACCTTGCTCTGAATCCCTCTAATACAACGCAGAACCACACCGTCACAGAATCAACCTTCGACGCCCCTTGCAAAGCGAAAGACCCGTCACTCGCGAAGCCTCAGCGCCCTGGTCTCAAGTCTGGCTTCGTTCCCGTCATGCCCCAAAGCGAGAACACGCCTGTCTACAACGTCCTGATCAACGACACTGATCCCATCTGGATCTTCTGCGGCCAAATGCCCCATTGCCAGCGCGGCATGTCCATGGTCATCAACCCTCCTAACAACCCAGAGAAGACCATTCAGAAGTACCAGGAAGCCGCTGCCAAGCTGCCCATACCATCGCCACCAGCTGCTGCTCCTCCCGCAGCCGCTCCTCCTGCAGCCTCTCCTCCCCCAGCAGCAGCTTCTCCGCCACCAGCTGCTGCCAGCCCGCCCTCGCCACCACCAGCTGCTGCCTCGCCCGCCTCACCTGTGTCACCTGCTCCTGCCGCCGGTTCACCTGCTGAGCCTGCACCAGCAACATTCACTGGTGCTGCCTCGAGAATGAGCTACAGCTTGGGTGCTGCGTTGGTGATGGGTGCTGTTGCGTTGCTATGAACTCGGGAAGATCTCGCTAATTTGTGGATGAATTGAGATCGTGTTTGGCAAAAACGGGAGCATGGAAATAACGGTACCATGGCAGCATTTCCGAGAGAGGAGTTCGAATTTTCTTTGAATGTTTACATTCCCGACCGATACTCCTGTGGAAGAAGACATGGAGTGGTCATATTTGGGCGATCAATGGCCGGTGACATGACCTAAACCTGTTCGGTGTGTGAGAATATGTAGTTATACCCAGCAGCCACCCCTTCGCTGGGGTTTGGCAGTGGCATGAGTTGGATAGAAAACACTTTATCTTGATTAGCTCAAATTGATGCTGTCGAGGGAAGAGAATGAAATTGTTGAAAAATTCAAGAGTGTCTTTCGTAGTGGTTTGCTCTTTCCCAAATCTTGCAGAACGTAAGTTGCTGACTCCCAATCATCTGGCGGCTGCGTGTGGCCGGTCTCCCAAGTGCTTGCCTTCGCTGTCCGCCAAGTCCGCGCCTGCCAACGGAATTTGCCCAGGTGAGCTTGGGAGGCCCGCCCTCAACCTCTCGGCCCTTTCTAAATCAGCACAACGCCGTCATATCTACGAGTTGCTAGGGTAGACGACTCACACATGGTCTGCATGGCCGGTCTTGAGCATTCCAAGAGACCGCAGGAGTGATTCTGCGCAAGGCGGTGAACGCACCTCAGCTTGGAGTCCCTATGCTTGTCCATCTAAACTATTCTCAGTGATGTTGACAGATCAGTCTATTGGCTGCGGTCCGGGCCAAGCATGATCCTGAACCTCAGCTTCGAAGCGATCTGTGCGACATTTTCCAGTGATTGGTTGTCTGTGCTGACAGAGGCATCGAGAAGCCGTCCTTCATTTACTGGCTTCTGGAGGCATGACCGCTGCGAGGCTGCTTCCATGTTCGTGGCCAACAGCACTGCAACAACTATGTATATGCCTCTCAGCAGTCCGGTGGCGAAAGTCGCAACGAGTATGAATCATCTCTCTGCTTTAGGTGAGCACTTGCTGCCAATCAAGTAAGTCGACGACCAACAACTCGATGCGTGGACATGGCTGCTGGTGCGGGATACATGCGATACAGGTTCGTTTCACAAGATCCGAAGGCGTCTGTACGCCGACAGGAACTTGAGATCGCTGCTAGGAGATCTCATTCTGCAAGGGTAGTGCACAAGCGCCATCAGGCTTGTGAGGCTCTACTGGCACGTGCTCTGAAGCCAAGTTCAGAAGAAGAACACGAGCTGCAGCCTGTCGAGCACCGAGGAAATGAGCAAGCACCAAACGTGCCGGCACCCACCTCCACAATTGAGAAGGGTGCAAAAGACACCAAAGTCTCGCATGCCCCAGAAACTACACCGCAGCTAGGCATCCTAGCAAGACGCCTCAAGGGCAACTCCGACCCCTTCGCAGTGTACGCCATCAAAGTATCGCCACGTATCAACCAAGCTCTCACCTTCATGCGCGAGACCGTACATCCCGCCATCTACTACTATCCCATCTTCCGAAGAATATACGGTCATGGCGGCACGTCCAAGCAAAACAATTGGCTTCCCGCCGGCTTAGCAAAACAGGGTTGGGATTTCGCATCATCGAGTCTTCAAGATGAAGGACTTGCGTTTGCTTGCATTGCGAGCTATGTTGTGAATCTAGCGGAGTTTCTGCATACAAGCACGGCTTTCAATGCTTCTCACTTGGCTCTGGCTATGATCACGAAGAGCTCTGAGATCCTGCGGCGACGATTGATGAAGCGGAAAGCAGATCAGCCTCTCGACAAGCTGCTGATCAGTCACGTCTACTGGCTGCTCCGCGCAAATGTCTACCTGACAGACAGTGTTGCTGTAGAGTCTCATGGGGCTATGCTCAGTAGGGCTGTCATCAGAGGCATGGCGGATGGGTCTGTGGACAATTTGATATTTATCCACGCTGCCACACTTGATTCGGACGTATCTGCGGTACACATGAAGCGAACTTGGTTCGATTACTCGTGGTTCGCCAAAATATGTGCGCCGCTATGGGCTGCCGTGGAGCCTCAGCTGCCTCCAGTTCCGCCACATATCTTCGAGGCTGTTCATCCCAATGTCACCAACCCAGTCATAAGAGGAGTGTTCATGCAAGCAAGACAACAGAGTGAGTATGCTGAGCGGCCACCTCCAGACAAAGCCTGGGGCTCACGCACACAAAAGTCACTGGCCTACTCCTGGTTCGCGACCGTAAGCTTGTGGGGACTTGGATCTGCCATGAAAGTATATCAAGATCTGAGAGATGTCTGTGGCTACGGCTTCGCATCTGGAACGCTCGAGGAACTCACTCAAGCGGCCATAGCGATTGGCCTGCTCTTCTATGTCCGTGCCTTCGGACATGTAGTCCTCGTAAATGGCGTGAATCTCCGAGACGCTTCGCATGTCCTGGTACCGCAGATGAAGATGGTGATTAGCCAGATATTCGAGCGTTGGACTGTGAAGGAGATGAAGCAGTTCAAGGACGCGTATCTCTGGTTGTTGTACTTGGGTGCCTTTTATGAGCAACTGAGCTTACGCAAACCGGCAGGCGTGCCAGAAGTGTGGTTTCAGCATCGACTGGTGAAGTGTGCACTCGAAGCGAACAAGGCATCGTGGGAGACTTTGAGTCCTGTCCTGGAACAATTTCTGCTCGTCAGCTGGCTGGAGCCGCATGGCAGCTCATGGTTCGATACATTGGTCGATGATGTGCGACCGCTTGCAGGATTGTGGGCTAGGTGAATATTCTAGATGTTGACATTTGTGCTCAGGGATGCGACCACTGACGACGGCTAGCTGCTCACGGCTGGTCACTATCTCCGAGTCCACAGCCTGCCGGACGCAGTCGCTGTGTCTGCGCCGGCATTCTTCAATCACCGATCTTCTTCTCGTCGGCCTGCCTTTCGTGCCGTCCTTTCACAGCTCGTTCTGCGAACCAGTCTGGCAGTACATCGTCAGTGCGTTGAGTTCTGCGTCTAGACTTTCTACGCTTGGGTCCTAGTGCCTCCTCCTGGCCAACGTCTGGATGCGCGCGGGTTGTGTCTACGACAGTGGACTGTGTGTCCTTGAGACTAGGCTCGGCGGAAGTCGGACCAGTAATGGGCACCTCTTGCCGTGCATGTGCTCTGTAAAGCTCCATGAGACGAAGGGGCTGCCTGACTTCGAGCGCTGGCCGAACGGCGTCTGTAGCTGCGTCGTGTTGTGGCGTGCTGGGTCGCCAAGAGAGCCCCTTCCTCAAGATGGCAGGCACATTGCTCCAATACAGGTCTTCATATAAAGCTTCAGTGGCTGGGTGGCGCTTCAATCGTGACGGGCCGTGCTTGCCTCGTTCAAGGTCGTTGCCGTCTACCTTCGATATGTTACATCTGAATGACTTTTTGTCGGGGTAGTAGCGATCTCGATAGCCGAATACATTGTAGAAGTCCAAATTCTCCGGATCAGGTCGCGGAGGGATGTACTCTATGTCTGAGTCTCCTTCCTCTATCGACGCATTTTCGTGAGGCGTGTAGCGAAGCTCATATTGGGCGCGGGACGCTGTGACATTTTCTTTGGTGAAGCTTACTACCTCGCGACCTGTGGAAAGCTTTTCCAAAATCGCTGTGGTATGAAGTACAGATGAGGGCGGAGGAGAAATTGTGACCCTGGCAGTTCTGACAGCTAGAGTCTTGATCGTACTCATGCCGCCAAAAGGACTATCGCCAGTGCGATCATGTTCGGCCAATTACGTCCACGTTACGATCTTATTAATGCCAGTGCTGGTGAACTGGCGTCTGACGATGTCAACGCAATAATGGTAAGCCTATGTACATACCAAGAGGGAGCGATGTAGCCGTGTCTATTTTAGGACCATCCCCTGCGGCGATCGCCCCAAGCTCCACCCGTTCCTGTCGCCAATCCGCAAACCCGATCGTCCTCCAGACGTGCGGCTCTGCTTGCTGCTGGATGTGTGAATCGCTGCACTTTCTTCCTCGACGCCAGACGTTGACAATTTGCGGTGGTGATGGCTGATTGACCTCTAATGCCCGTCAAAGGAGAGAAAGTGGCACAGAAAACACCACCCCGGTGGTACATCTCCACGTGCCGCGAGTTCCCTCGCTCCAACTTTGCTTGGTGCTGCGAGTCCATTGGCTGGCAGCGAGAAAATACTGCCAGTGGGGAGGGGATTTTGGTGTCGTGGCGGTCCGGGAGTGCTCCTCAGCCCCCAGGTCAGCAAAAGACTTGGTACCGTAGTAATTGAACATGAGATGTTTTCGTTGTTCCTCTGTATTCCATCTTTCTCCTCGTTCTTCACATCTTTTCGGGCCAGTCTTCCATACATTCGCTCTACCGACACGACGAGGCCACTCTGCAGCTGCTGTACACACTGACACGACCTGTGACATCGCTTGGCTCGTTTGGGGACTGTTTCATCTGCAAAGTCTCCCTGAACAACCCCTCTTGCCAACGCAACGCTCGCTATAGTACGACCCCAGACCGAGCAGCTATCCCGCAACTTCTTCCGTTTCGACATAGTCGATCCAGTCCGATCTTTCCACACGACGACGTAGTCCCACCACCCCTGCATACGTACCTGCACCACGAGTCCACGACAGCCGTCCCTGGACCAAATCCAACTGCACCCGATTTTCTATTCATACTGGGTCGCGCTCAACGAAGCGCACCCTCACCACCGTCAAAATTCCGCACAAGGCGCGCGCATCCCTCCTTGGAGGCACACCCGATCCCTCATATCAACCACTGGCTGGCGGATACCACCAGCGTGAAGGCTACGACATCACCCCTCAACAACCTAGAAAGAAACGATTCGCCATGTATTTACCAGACTCGAGATGGTCATGGGCTTTCCTGCTCATTACTTTGTTTCAAGCTGCTGTCATTCTGGCCTTTGAGGCGTAAGTCGGACTATGCGTTTCCTCGAACGCTGCTGACAATATACAGATGGATTTTCGCAGTCTTTCAAATCGATATCAACAACGCCAATGTCCCAGATGCGCAAAAGCGAACGATACCTACCTTTCTGACGCTCTACATTTTCGGCTTCGTATACCAGCTAGTGCTGGTGTGGGATGGGCTCAGACTGAAGAACACCATCCAGATCATCGGATTGGTGATGTACAACGTTGGTCTCCTCGTCTACGGAGCCGTACAGATGGAACAGATCGAGGACGTGGCAAAGCAACTTCCCGCTGAGATCAAGCAAGACATCTGGTCTCGAACACGGCCCTATCTGGTTGCAATTCCCGCCATACTGGCTCTCGGCACGGTGCTGCTCGCTTTTGCTGCATGGAAACTATACGACGAGTTCGCATGGACCATCTACAAGCATATTTCCGCCGATCTGAGGATGAAGCGAAGGTATCTTACCTTCCAAATCTACATCGCACTGCTGAAGTTCGATTTCTTCTTCTTTCTCGGCTTCACGGTTCAGTTCGTCGTCATTGTTGAACGATTTACCGTCGAATTCTACCTCACGATTGCAGCCATCCCGGTCACCATTGCCATTCTCTTGGCGGCAGCATTCTTTACAAGGCGGGAATCTTTGGTCGGAACGATCTGTGTCATTGTAAGTGTCTCGCTCATTTCCTAAGCTATATCATCTGACATGCTGCAGATTCTCTACTTTGGCGGATTGACATACTTTATCTTCAAGCTCGTCAGGATGTACTCAGATGGCTTCGAAGGACCATATATTCCAGCTCGAAAGGAACTCACAGCATTTGCTGTCATCACGATTGTTTCTCTACTACTCACGATCACGAATGCTTGTGTCTGTGCTCACAACTATGGCCAAGGTCTCAAGCCATACGTCGCTAAACGCAAGATTGTCGTTGACGAGGAGAAGATCAGTGGTAGCGCATATGCTCAGTACGCTACTGAGATGCAGCCACAACCAGGGAAGTTGCCTTCGAGGCCGACCGGGAGGATGGAGATCGACTGAGCATGTATTTTTGTGCTCACGATGGGAATGACCAGAACAGAACGATTTCTATGTCATGTCGACATCTTAGCGGGCGCTTTGGGATGTCTATTTATGATACCAACGAAAACAGGCGTGGGGTGGCTGTATCTAGACGCAACCATCGAATTATTGTACCAAAATCACATTAGATGTCATCATGCCGGACCACTTTTGTGTGCGTCTTCAGCAATCGAGGCTGGAGGAAAGAAATCACGTACGTCAGCCTTAGACCTTCGGACTGACCATAGCCGTCCGACGACCCAATGCTACCTCAGTCTATATAGGTATGACTGATGTCTTGGCGTATTCTACGGAGCAAAAGCCAGCTTCATGTCTGGACCATCTCAACCTCCATGTATATAGACCGTCTGAACGATTGGCCCATACTCCTTACCGTGCTGCATGCCCTGCGATATTCCAGCCTGGGGCTTTCGCAGACCTACAGGTGCGTGGGGTTGTGTTCTAAACTATTCTGCAGCGGGAAACGCGACCTCAGGATTACCAAGGCACGATAAATTAGGAACCGGACCTTCTGTCGCCACAGCATGGACAGCACATATGGCATGACGATATGTGCGGAGTACATTCATCTGGCTGCAACCAAATAGGTGCGATGTCTGAATTACAAGAGCGTTTGGATTTACTGCCGATTGTTGTAGATAATTTTGGTGAGACCTTTGGGGATCCCGTTGACGAGTGAGGATCACTTCAGTTCAAGATGAGATCAAGGTTGGGGGCAAGCCAGAAGAAGAGGGCAAGTGACAAGAGTAAGGTAGGTGTGCTGGGTCAATTTTTGGTTGCCCTGGTAGGTTGAAGGTCTTTTTCTTCTCGAGTCACGTTGCTCAGTGACTACACCCTTTCGACTTTGAGTCTATTGCTCTCCCTTCTAAGTTGTCAGCATTCGCAAAACGTCTCTGCGTCGCACTGGAATCTTCTCCAGCAAGCTGCGCAGTCTTCGGTCTCACGTCTGTGAGTTGCGCAAGGTCGGTCAGCCCACCACCGTCATTTCGCCGATCACTCCCGCCGGTTCACGTGCATCGCACGATCTGCGAACAAAGGATGGCTCCTCGTCGTAAGCGCGATGACTCCACCGAGCCATCGACGCCAGCAAAAAAGTCGAAGACCGAAACAGATTTGTGAGTAACAAAGCCCTAAATGTCCAGCACGTCTCCTGCTAAGCGTTAGGGACAGCGACCTCTCAGACCAGCCAACCATAACAATAGTCATTGAGGACGGCGAGCAAAACAAGGCCTTCTACATCCACAAACATCTGCTCGTGAAGTGTTTCGAAGACTTCCGGGAGAAGCTTGAGGGTGTGGACGAAGCCAAGCCATTGGTTCTGCGCAATGTCTACGTGGAGATCTTCGGAATCGTTTCGAGATGGATCTACAGACAGGAGCTCCTGATCGAGGACTACGAGGAAGCGCTAAAGCATCCCAGACGGAAGTACAAGCCGGCGACTCTACCAGTGACGAATGCTACAGAAATAGCTCCCGCCGGACAGACACCGTCGTCAGCTGCCAGCACTGACGATGCCATTCAAGATGGCAGTGAGGCCGAAGTCGAGACCGCTGTAACCAAAGCCGACAAGTTGGAGGGTCCAGAAGCCGAGGAGGAATCGCGATGGTACTCACAAGGAACCTACTACCATCAAGTCTTCGGACAAATCGCGGATGTGTACGTGTTTGCTGTCTTTTACAAAGCTCGAGAGCTCCGGCACGGCGCCATGCTGTTGCTGCAACGTTTCGTAGCTGCAACGAAAATCATACCAAGTTTGGACATGGTTAAGGTCATCGTGAAGCGGCTAGGCATGGACAAGCCGCTCAGCAAATGGCTAGCGCGAGTCATCGCCTTCAGCCACAGAACCGAATGGGGAACGCAAGAGAGTATGAAAGCTCTGCCTCGTGCCTTCCTGGCCGAGGTTCTGAAGATCACCGTATCCTTGCGTGACGATCGTCATCTGACCAAACATTACGAGGAGGACTACTGCGAGCATCATGAGCACTTGAACGAGGAAGACCGAAATAGATGCCAGGAATCCCGAAAGAACGACTATGACATGATACTACAACATCAAAAACTCAAGGTCGGCAGATATAATTACGTTACGACCTGGACGAATGTCGACCTTGGTCCTGACCTGTCTTACGACTTCATCCTGCAGAAGGACCTTATTCAGCAACTCTCCTGGTGGTCGAGCTCTGACCTTGTTGAAATATGCCAGAAAGCACAAGAGCTGAATGCAAAAAGGACTGAGGCTGAGTGGGCGAAAGCTATGGAGCTGTCGTATCGACGCTACCCATCTCGACGCCCGAGTCGATAAGAGCTGAGGAGATTGTGTCTTGGACAGAGTCGGCGCGACCCCGAGACTACGGATCATGTGCATCGTCGACATTGCCAGACGCGTCCATAGCCAGGGAAACTGGAAGTCAGCTCAGGGCGCCGCGCTCTGTCTACAGTACTTGTCAAATACCCAGCAGCTTCGGTTCCGCCTCGGCAAGGTTCGTGGCCTTTTTGACGTCCAACATTGATACAATCAAGGGCCTGATGCGACATCTGTCTGCGGCAGATTAGCTGGAAGGGCACTGCTCTCTGAAAGACCAAGGTGCAATCACAGAAACGCATGCAAGTACTCTAAAAGCGATTCTTGTGTAAGAAGAAATGCCTGGAGAAGTGCCGAAGGTTGTACACGCACAGCCGTCTTCGACGAGGGTGGTGATGGCAAATTCACAGCGCAAGTTCAAGATAGCCTATGAATGACAAAGACCATCAAAGATACTACTCCTGAAACCTCGCCAAATCCTCGAAATCAAACTGCGCCTGCCCGCCGTTATTCCCATTCAGCGTCTCCATCAACAACTGAACCACATTCGCCAGCGGCAACACCAGCCCTCCCTGCCCATTCTCGCCACCACCAACCACAACCGTACCTCCACCTCCCTGCCCTGCCAAGAGCCCCAAGTCCGCCAACGTCAATACTCTGCCGCCACCGCCTCCCTGCATCCCAGCCGTACCTGCGTTGCCAGCATTGGCGCTCCCCTCCCCAGTGTCATTCTGAGTAGTAGCATCGTTACCGTTCTGCGCTTCGGTATCCTCATCAACCCACTCATCATCATCCTCATCACTATCCTCATCCTGACCCTGCGCCCACCAGCCTGATGCTGGAATCCGTGCATGTGTCCAGCGCCAGGTGTTGGTTTCTTGTCCTCGACCACGTCATCGCTGACCTTCCAGAAGGCTGTCGGGCCGGCGGGGCCGGCGACGTCGTAGTCTTTGTCGAACCAGTTCTATTTGGTGGTTAGTATCGTGGGAGGGAAAAGGGAGAAAGGGAGAGCTTACGCCGAGAATGCCTCTCGCGCTGCGGATTCCGCCGATCTGGACGCCCTCGGAGCGCCAGCGTTCTTCGCCGTGGAACTGTGGCTTTCACGTCAGCTATCTCGCTTCACACGCTGGTTACATCAGAAGTATCGAGCAAACTCACAATCGAGAACGTAGTCCATCGAATAGCCCCCTCCCTCGTCGTCCTCACCGTCCCGCGGATCCGACTGTTAGCATTCGGATCCCACTGCGTCAAGATACTCCGACTCGCGCCCACAAAGCTCACGACTGGAAAGTCCGGGTGGTCTTCCTCGCCGGGTGGATCAACACTCGTGACATGCAGATGCAGCTTAATAATCCGAAAAGCTTCTCGAGTGTCGATGGGCTCTCGTTCTACGTTCTCGGGGAGGGTTTCTGAGGATTCGAAGTTGAAGTTGTACAGGTCGGAGTAGTCGAGGAAGCAGACGATGCGCATCCAGGTGCCGGAAACGCCGTAGGGGTCGAGGAGGTCGAGGTCGCGGGTGGGAGGGTCGCGGATCTGATGTTCACCTTCTGCTGCCGGGCGAGATGTGACTGTTGTGGTGAGTGTTAGTCTGTGATGGACTTGTAGGCTCGCAGTACGAGAGTGACGAAGGAAGGGGAAATGTTGCGGGCGTACGTCATTGTTGCGGTCCGAATGCGTTCACGTCAAGCACGGAGACTTACAGCTGTTTGGTGCCAAACCCCAGAAGGGCTTATCAAAGATCCCAGCCCAGGTGTCGGCAAACATAGATCGTTGGTTCGAAGCACGGCGTCTGCTCGGTGAAGCATGCATAGGATTCGTATTGCGACCCGTGAACGAGCGTACATTGTAGAGCAGATCCAGCATTATGGCTTGTACCTTCTCCCAGTCCACCGCGTTCGAGCCATCGTCGAGGAACGGTCCCCAGTGGTTGGTAGCTTTGTATCGACGGAGATCATAAACGCGCGAGCGGGCATATGGGTGTACTGGTTGGGCTCCCTCCGTTGTGGATCTCGTGCCTGTGCAAGGAGGCTCGACGTCTAGTCCCGAGTAGACATGCAGCTTCGCCGATAGTTGGCGCAGCTCTGCCGATGAAGCCGGCCGGTTGGCAGGTAGACGCGCTCCGTGGAACAACGACGAGCGGCATAGAAATGATGAGATATTGGACTCATTGGTGAAGTGTCGCCGAAGCCAGCTGATGCTAAGATCTGAAAGTGGAGAAGAGTCCTTGAGGAGGAAGTCTATCGTGCTGGCAATTGTTTGGAGCTCCTCCTCGGTCTTTACCGAGTCGTTGGATGCGGCGAGAATCTTGTCGATGGTAGTGTTACGCTTCAGGAGAGTCTGCCATTCTGGTTCAGTCGCTGCCAACACTGGAGCGTCGTACCGTGCGAGGTACTGCCGCCTCCACAATAGAGCATCACGGCTGACTAGGTCGTTGAGGAAGTGACATGTCTGGGCTATAGATCCGAGATCTGCCGGCTCTGTGTGGAAGAATATGTCGTGAAGCACCTCGGGCGCTTGATCGAGCAGTGTAGGCATCTGGCCAGGCTGGTTTGCTCACCAGTGGCTTGGATTGGTCAGCTATCACTGTGTTCCAACTGCACCGATGAGATTTGGCCTTCGTCTACCTATGCGCTCATCTAGTCATGCAAATAATGGTCATGGAGTTGAAGAGGTTACGAACGAAACGGAGAGGTTGTTTACACGCGACTCCCCGCCATCCAGTGTACCATAAGTCGACATCATGAACGGACGACAGATCCGGAGATAACGATTGCCTCATATCCGAGGCAACTCAAAGCATCATCTGACTGCGATATACTTATTTATTCATGCGTTCGCCGCTCAGCACAAATCTATTGAAATCATCATGTACTACAACGCCGGACACCATGCTGTCTCACAAACGATAAAAGCCCCCACGACTTCATCTGTCATCACCGCGCGAAGTCCCGCGCCTCATCACGTCCCCGTTGTATATCGGTAACTACCGACCAGTCCGAAAACCCAACCAGCCTCTCTTGTGCCTGGAAACTGCAGCATGTAGATATGTTCCTTCCCCATCATGACACCGCCAGTATCAGCTACCGCCGCATTCTCTGTCCAGACCTTGACTGCAATACCCGTCTGCATTACTCGTTCGAAGCAGCTCTCCCCAAGAACTGCATCAAGAAGCACCACGTCATCTTTCTTGGTTTTGCGCACGACGATCCGCTTCTCTCTGCCATCGCCATGCAGACGGTGCGGTGTGTGTCCCGAGCTTGCCAAGCGAGGTCCTTTGCTTCCTGGCTTGCCGCGAACAGCTCCCGAACTCAGTGAGGCGTCCTCTCCCACGGCAGGATCTGCTGTTGAAGGAGGACTCTCTGGTGCCGGCAGCACACTCAAACGACCGGATCCGAGATTTGCCCATTGCTGGCCCTTCCGAACATAGATACGAATCTTCATGTTGTTCACCATGCCACCCCCGTTGACTGCATCCGCACTTGTCTCCGGCACGTTGGGTCCGTCACGTCCAGGTATCAGTCCCACCTGGCTTGGTATGGGCGTGCTCGTCCCAGATCCGCTTCCTGTGCCGCTGTTAGAGGAGTAGAGAGAGCCACTCGTCTGACTGGTCCAGCCTGATTTGCGAGTGATTGACGATCGGTTCAGGTTGAATGCGGAACTAACGCCCAGACGTTTGAGAGCAGAGAAGGCGGAAGCCATGGTGGTATGGGTTGTGTCTGTTTCTCCTCCAACTGACATTGGTGCAGACGAAGCTCGGTAGCTGGACTTGTCGCCATGACTTCCAAAGCTGAACCAGGATCCACCAGATTTTGATCTGCTGTGGCGCGCAGGGCCTGTGTTGAAAGACACTGGCGGCTGTTTGGGTCTCGCCTTCTCAAGTTGGATATACGTTGGGTTATTACACCTGGCCCAGTTGATCATGTTATACAAGTTGTCACATTCGTCCGCATTGCGTGATCTGAACAAGATATTGTTAGTAGTCTTGAGTATTGAGTTGGAGGTCGGCGGCGACCGGATATTGATGTCTAAGGCAGTGCCACGACGAAGCGGCACTATTGGTGTCAGTTCGAAGGCCACGAGGGGCTGCGAATGCTCCGATGCTGATATGGAGCTGTCACCATTGAGTCGACTCTCTTGGCCAGAATGTGCTGCCGACATCTGAAATGCTTCAATCAGACCTGGAGAGACCACGATAGAGCATTCATCAGGGTGGACTTGCTCCCACATGCCACGATCAGACCACGAACAGATCATCGCAATCGTTCGAGACTTCTGATTGCTAGGCACAGTCGCCGATGATGGCACTCGTCTGTAGGGACCTTGTGAGGCGGATTCAGATGGAGCCAAAGTTCGCGTTCCAATGGTTGGCGGAGCTGCTGTTGGCGGCCCGGGGCTCGGGCGCACTTGTTGTGAATTCCGCCTGTTTCCTCCGGTCACTGCAACCAAAGGCGTTGAGATATCCTTTACTTCAGACATGAAATCATCCGAGGTCTCGGAGGAGGTATCTGTCCCGTCATCCGAACCAGACTCGGAGCTTGTTTCGGATGCAGTCGACGGTGCGTATTCATGCTTCAACGGAGAAGACGATCGTCTCTTGGGCTTCGACTTGGGCGTCAACTGTGGTGCAGATTCCATTTTGTTGCCTGGTACAGGTTTCTGGGCGCCCGCACTTCCTGCTCGGTGCGGCGGAGGCGGTGGAGGGGCATCTTGTTCGATAGCGTACCGCATGCTTGTATCGTGTGACGGATCTTGTGCCGTTTGAGTGGTTCTCGGCGAAGTTTCTCTTTCTCGGGTCTCTCGTGAGCGCTCAGTCCGCCGCTTGGGTTTTCCAGTTCCAGAAAGCGCCGCCCACTGATCTCGAATTGAGTCTGTCAGAGGGACTGTTGATTGCGGAGGAGTAGGTTCAGTCGTGTTTCTTAGCTTTGAAATTGTTGGAAGTCCTTCTGAGGGAGTGGCCGACAGCTGACGAGCGAAACCTGGACGACCCAGGTTCCCAGACGAGACTTCAACAGATGGCGTGCTCTCTGTGGCTGCGGTTTGAGGGTTATGGGCCAACCCCGTGGTTGGGCGAGAAGTGTCTGTCTTCTTCTCCTCTCGCTCGTTCTTCGAAGGCGACAATGCACCGGACATCATGTACCACTCAGTCAGGAGCGGAGATTTCGACTTTCTGCCGTGACCTCTATCGAATTCGTTCTTCACGTCGTTACTGGGCGGTGAAGGCGAATTCCTCTGCCCAGAGGCGCGGCCGTCCGAATTAGCTGATGCCACGGAGGGTTCCGAAGATATAGTCGATCGAACAGGCTTTCTCGGAGGAACCCTTCCTGGCTGACTCCAGCTAGAAGGTGGCTTGCTTTGTAGCCCACCTCCAAGATGCAGACGAGGCACGAATCGGTCGATGAATGTTTTCGGACTCTTGTTTATTGAAGCATCTGTATGCGATCCAACGACGGAAGGCTCCCCGAGTGGTACATCTGGCTCGCTGGGTACTGAGACAGATGCAGTGTCGGCTTTGGACCCTGGAGTGGTCGGCCGCGACCCGGACGATACGGGCACGGCAGCACGTCGCTCGAGGAAACTTCTCGATCGGTTCAGTCTGGGTGGGAGGGGAGTAGATCCTAGCATTGTCATCCATTCTCCAACAGCCTCAGCGTCGTCAGAGGTCAAAGCCAGCAGCTCATGCCACTCTTTTCCGATGCCTGATGGGCCACGAATCATGACAACTAGGTCGACATCGTCCTCGCCTCGGCGTGCAGAGATCGACAATAGCTCGATCGGCGGGAATAAAAGCCATTTGCCAGTGGCATCGATCTCACAAATCAGCACATCTCCGCCAGGTAATGTAGTTGTTGGATCGTCTCGGAAGATCAACTCGACTTGGCAGTCCAGTCTCTGACCAGTCGAATGCCACAGGCCCATATCAAACGTATCCCTTGCTCGAACCTTTCGCGCCTTGTTGACGGACACCGAAGGACAAGGTCCTAGAGTGCGCACATTACGAACTCGTGACGCATCGAGAGCCGCTGCTGCCTCGTCCTCCAGCCGAGCTTGTTCTTCTCTGTGGCGAAGTCGAGCTGCTGCGGTCAAGTCGGTGAAAGCTTGCCATACTTCAACTGCTAGAGATCTGTCATGACTAGCTTTGATGCTCTCGAAAGTCTTGGCCAGATTTTTGACCCTGACGAGAGGACGTTTCAAGAGAAAGGCTACATCGACCTTTCCACCTCTTGAATCAACGACATTGCCCTCGGCATCCTGTGCCATCCCGGTCTCTACGTCTCCTTGCTTCTCATCTAGCGGGGCCAAGTTGACGAGTACGTCTTGGAATCCCAGTCGCCAGGCTTTGATGTAGTCCTCGTAAGCTCTGCGCGCATTCTGAGCCCAAGCTAGAAGCGCATCAATGCTTTTCATAGGTATTCGAGCATGCAGCGACTTGAGCCGCTCCAAAGAGATGCCCATATCGATGATCGGCTTGGTGTAGCTGAAATCATTGGGATCGGAGCTTGCGTTGAAGAGCCCAGCTGCTGCAACAGAAGTCGACTTCGTCAGCACCGCCTGGAGCAAGACCGGCACAACACCATCGACCAACGTTCGAAGTTCTTTAGAATACTTTGCTTCTGCAGCAAGCAGGTCTTCCAGAATCAGCGCCACTGAGGGTTCAGATTTTGCTCCATTCCGTCTAGCCCTCGTACTCTTCCGATGCATTGGAGCAGAAAGAACAGACATGAGGTCTTCGTGGGTCGTCAGTCTCCTCTTGAGGCCACACTCTCCTTGCGGGGTCAATTGGGTGTGCTCATCGTTGGGCGGCAGCGGGAGCGCTTTGTAGGTATCCACAGGAGTGACATTTTCCGGTTGATGTCGACCAGTCGCAGGAGATGCTCTGTCTCGGGAAGCCCTTGTCGGTCCAGAACTTCGAGGCTGCTCGAGCGGTAGTGATTGTTTATCTGAGGGATCGTCCTTGTCTGTTCTTCTTGCTCGGCGAGCTCGAGCAGCACCACGCCGCCTCATGGCCCCTGGCGATTCTCCTTCAGCCACGTGCTCCGCTTGAGAAACTATCTTGTCGGCTTCTAGAGGCGACGAAGATGAACTGAGCTTGTGAGCCGATTTCCTCGATGAATCTTGAGCAGGACTATCAGGCAGATTGTAATCGATCACCGAGTCCCAGATCTGATTGGGGTCTACCGGAAGCACAGCGTCACTACTCCTCTTCGTTCGTCTCGAGCGCTTCTTGAGGGGCTTGGGCACCTCGGCCTGCTGGAATTCTACATCTGGCGTGCGGCTAGTGAACGGATCCGGCTGCTCCTCCAGCCACGCTTGAATGCTGGGCACACGATTGGATATCGGAGCAGGCTCGGCTTTGTTGAACATCTCGCGCGTTTTGCTCAATATGCGGCCACCTGTGCGTTTGGACCCAAGTGATAACGGCTGTGGTTGGCCGAGGGAGTCTGCGTACCGACTCGGACCAGCTGTGTGCGCCACATCGTCGTACAGCGAGTATGACCGCACACTGTGGGTTCCGTCGTGGTCGGAGGCACTCCCGGGTTGTAGATCTGGTGTTGAAGCAAGCTGCTGGGCTAGCTGCTCTTCGATATATGCGCTAAGGTCTTTCGCTTCAGTGCCGGTCGTTGTGTTGAAGTCTTCTTTGGGCGCCGTCTCCTGTCGTCTGCGTTCCCGTCGTGCTCTCCGCTCTTCCATCCGTGCCGTCGAAGTGTATGTCATGTCGTGGTGTGGCGTTGTAACATCCTTCTTCAGTACTTGACCGGAGGACTTTCTCGCAGTATCTCGCCGCGACTTCCAGTGCTCGTCGCTCACAAGTCTTTTTCGCGGGGCGCTGCTACTACGGGAGCCTCGCTGCTTTGTTGGCGATTCGAGACCTTGATATGTCCACCTGTTTTTGCGAATGTCTGCTGACTTTGATACATCGTTGGCAGGTGTTGACGATCTGGAGACATCTGTGCTGGCAACCGAAGCCGGTATCGAACGCACACTCACGGCGTCTGGTGCAGGAGCGTTTGCAGCACCCTGAGCCTGCCATTGCCGGATCCGGTCTTGCACGGAGGCAGAGTCTGGCCGCGACCTTGGGGTACTGGCAGGAGTGTCATCGCGTGGAGGTCGGACAGAATGGCGCGGCGTGCGAGGCGTCTCCGGCATTTGCCCGCTGCTTCAGCACCTCTCTGTGCTGGAGGGAAGCCTAGCTTCATGTATCACCCACGAATCGCCCAGCGTAGGTGAGGAAAGGGAATTCGTAGCATGAGTGCGGGCGCGCTTGCCGTGGTGTAACGAAAGTAGAGGCTTGAAGGCGCCGCAGAGCTAATGCAAGGTTGTGGCTCGCTTCGGGGAGGTCGCTGCATCGAGCAGTTGGTAATAGAATGTCCATGCAAGGCGGCACACACTTTCAAGATGACATGTTTGAGACGCGGACATGCCGGAAATTGCCCTGGCAACCGGATCTTCGAGATTCAACAGTACAACTCTCAATGTAAAGACAAAAGTTCTCCAAGAGTCAGAGCCAAACTCTACGCAACGTCGCCTTCCTGGGTGTGTCTTTACAAATGCTTTTGGTCCCTCGAGATCTGCCGCTTTGAATTCGGCATAAGTGGGATGGCGCAATAGATCGGTACCAAAGCAAGGGCGTTCCACTATATGGGTACCTGGAGATCTCTCCCACGTGTGGACGTACGACATGATAAAGGCGACTCTACCACTGTCTCGAGACTGCCCAATACTAGGTGACTAAGTACTCATTGCGAATAACAGCAATGCTATGTCTCAGTCGAGTCGACGAGGCAGTATACTCTGCTTCATGCGTGCCTTCCATCGACAGCCGTCACAATCCATTTGGCATCTTCAGCTGACCATTTGTATGCATCGACTTTGATATGCGATCTAATGCGGCGAAGGCTTGAGCATTCCGCCTCACCGCTTGAAGCAGCAGCACTACTACGATCAGTACGCGGTTTTCCGGGGTCAGTTGCGATGACTTGCTTACCAGCAGGTACAATCATCCACACACCATTCATGGCCACGTAATAGACCCAAAAGTAGTATGCCTCTGGCCGGCAATGGTTGACACCATGCAAGTAGTAGTCAAGCCCTGATGTGGCATAATACAGCGTGTCCGAATACATGTGTCCAAAGCAGACCATGATCTGCACTGTTGTTCGATATGGGCTTGACGTAGCAATCAGGAAGACCATCGAATAGGAGAGTGGAGCCAGTAAGACGACGGTCAGACCTTCTGCCGCCAGTACAAAGGTACTGGACGTCAGATACCGGGAGTCAGAGAGTGCATACTCTTTCCATAGCTGCGCGAAGACATCCATAGACTGTCCCATATGTTCGTGATTCAGCAAGTAGTAGCCCTCGAAGAATGTATGAAGAGTACCGCCTTGGAAGTGGCTGTCAGCTTGATCAGAGAGAAGCGGCGCACCTACAGAGGACAAACCACAGTACGGTCAAACGGTCACTGAGCTTCAGCCGTGGACAGTACCACGCCATTGCCATCCACGTCGTTGCGAAGATGGGCGTCCACGCCAACGCAAACGTCAGGAGCAGCTGGATATCGGTAGCGTCGTTCGCCCTGTATCCGGACAAGACAATGTTCTTCGGTGAATAAGGGTGGTTTGGCGGAGCAGATCCGGCCTCTGTATGTTGACTGTCCAGCAGTCTGAGCAAACGATCCATGATGCTGAACACAAGGGTCCGTATCAGCGGTGCAGATAAATCCGAACGAGCTGCGGCATATCTTGGGCGGCGCAAGGCTCACGATGGCAGCTGCTGATGTGCGAAGCGAGAATGCAAGAGGGTTAATGGCTATATCGACAATACCTATTGTGCAGCTTGTGCAGGCACAGGTCCGGTGTCAACAACGCCAATCTTGGCAGGGCAGGAGCCCGCCCCCATGCGCCACAGCTGGAGTCTAACGCAGGAACCGCTACCGCGGAACGCCTCCAGAACATTTCCGCACAAGGCAGGCAGGCTCTTTCGACATCGGCGCATACCGACGACAGCCGTAACAGTGCAAGCATGGATGCTCCAGGCCTAGCTCCTTGATACGCAGTACTGTATGCGTGGTGCCGATCGACATGTGATGGAAGAGAAAAGCTCGAAAATTCTGACCAGCAAAATAATGCCTCTGGTCTCGGGAAATCAACGCCTGCATCAGCTGCGCTCGGACAAATCGTTGTCACCCGTGCTTTTTGACAACATCATCAGCCCCATCGGGAGTTCTCTAAACGGCTCTAAGCGTGCAAAGATTCAGACACGCTCAACTGCTCCATCCCCACGGATCGTTCATGAATTTACTGGCTGCATTTTGGCCGGCTAAGAGTGGTTTTTGCGCGGTTGTCGGTGCAGATTCTGACTGGCCCATCCCACACCATGACGACTGTCGGAGGGCTGCATTCATTTTCCACCCTATAGAATCGTAGCTGTACGAAAGTTCGACGCTGCAAGCAGTACTTATAAGCACAGCTTGCCTCGAGAACTCTCTTTGACCTGTCAAGAGCTCCCTGGGAGTCTGCAAGCCGCATATATTGAAACAAGACGGCGAAAAACGTCGAAAGACGTCTAGCTTTCATACTGAAAGCCTTCATTCACTCATTTTACAACTGGAGTCTGTCTAGTTGGTCGTCTGGCTTGTAAAATTGCCTGCGATAGCACGACGAGGACTCCGTCATCATGGCAGGAAAACCGATCTTCTGCACGACACATCCAAGGGCCTGTAGCACGGCTTTTGAGAGGGTCAATTTGTCCTGCTCATTGTGACTCTGCGACTGACCTCTCTAGGTGTTCATGACTCGGAAAGACCTGGCCTGCGTGCATGAACCATTTGGCGACGCATTCTACTATGGGTAGGTTCCAGCAACTTGTGCATGTCTGGCTCTGATCGAGTTACCAGACCCGAGCGCCTGAGCTCTCGGTTTGAGAATGACGAGGAGACCCGCAAGGGCACCGGATTCGCGAACTCTACGTACAAAACGATCTTCGATCGCCTGGAGCGTGAGGGACAAGATGTATGTCGTCCAAGCTGTGTAACCGCTAGTCTCGGTCGCGCCATCACCGGCCAATCGAAGGAGTTCGCCGGGAAAGCCACAACATGGCCTGCTAACATTTGACGTCCAGGGTAAGCGCATCTTTATCAAAGATATAACGTACTATCTTATCCCGCCGAATGGCGTCGCGCCACAGATCGCTCCCTCCGTGGCTCCCAAGAAACGCGGCATTGGCACCTCCCGACCAACTACCCCCAAGGAACACGGCACCAACGGCTCTAAGGGTAGTGCGAATGGAGCGCCATACCCGTACTATCACGCCGAGACCGATAATCCCACGGTGGTACCACGCGAGTTGCTCGACCAATTCCAATGGACATTTCTGATCCGTGATCCTCATTCAAGTATACCATCATGGTATCGATGCACGATCCCGCCATTGGATGAGGTGACTGGGTTCAGTGAGTTCTATACGAACGAAGCTGGCTATGTCGAACTGCGCCAAATGTTCGATTTTCTGCGTGCGACTGGCCAAGTCGGGCCTCGATTAGCAGGCAAGGGCGGTCATGACGAAGATAACGGAGAGAATGGTGGCCCGGTTCAGGCCAAGGACAACAACACTGACATTTGCGTGGTTGATGCTGATGATCTTCTGGACAATCCGGAAGGCATTGTTCGAGGCTTCTGCGACGCTGTAGGCCTCGAATTCTCTACGCGCATGCTCAACTGGGACAATGAAGAGGATCAGCTTCGTGCCGAGCAGGCCTTCGAAAAGTGGCGCGGCTTCCACGAAGATGCGCTCGAGTCCAAAGATCTCAAGCCAAGGAAACATGTGAGTGACTCCATCCCCTTGTCGTGTACATACGTGCACTTGGCAGCGTCTGGGACACCTCCAATGTGCCATTCTGGCTGGCGGCCGCGATTCCTGTCCGATTTTCAGGACGTGATCGTAAGGATCGCAGTGCGCGCCCGCCCTGACGCCTTCATCTCCTTCATGCCATTGAAGCGGGCAGAGTGCTGATCGATTCTAGAAGAAAGCTGCCAAGACCGAAGAACAATGGGATGCCGAGTGGAAGGAAAAGTACGGCGAAGAGGCAGCTAAGATGATTCGCAAGACCGTTGACGAGAATATGGACCACTACTTGTACCTCAAACAATTCGTACTCAAGGTCTGAGGAGGACGTTAGTTCTACAACTGGCCTGAGGGACTGTGTTGGCGGGTTTTCTTTCATAACAATGTCCACCTTACGATCCTTGTCGACACCTGTCTTGACATACAGAACTTAGCGAAGGCACGCAGAAGTGCAAATTTGATATGTGGCATCAGCCGTGGGGGGCTCATGAGAGTGCCTCGCGTACTACAAGACGGTTGCAACGAAACTGAACTGACGACTTGATGACTTTCATGACATTCTCTTCAGAGCTGCCGCACCCTAATTGTCTTCGGCGAGTGTTGAACTCACGAAGGTTAGACAACGTGAGGCCTCACCTCACCCAAAACTGTAGCGCCTGACTGTGGCCCCCAAACTCATGGGGGAAGGTGCCTGTGATGTCATTCTGCCAGCTTCGCGAACCTTCTTTATTGTTCTGGAAGGAACTCGCCTAAGTTGGCACGTCCTCGCCGGTACCAGCAACTGCCAGCGAAGTCGACAGCAGACGACTTCCACTGTCGACGACTACTTCTATCTGTTGATCTTGTTCTTTCCTTCTTCCTTCTGCTGTGCTTCCTCGCAATAACAACATAGTCTGACCTAGCGTCTAAGTCTCAGTTCGCACCAATCTGCTGCCCCGCAGTATACCGCGACGATGAGCAATCAACCACAGTTCACCGACAAGGCCTCCAGGGCTCTGTCCGATGCGGCAAACCTGGCAGAGCAGTATGGACATTCACAGATCATGCCAATACACCTGGCTGTCGCCTTGTACGACCCACCTGTCGACGAGTCGAAAGACCAGCAAACAACGATGAATGCTTCTCACTCCCATACATCTGCTCCTCTATTTCGCCAAGTTGTAGAACGAGCCCATGGCGATCCTCAACTTATGGACCGAGCCCTCAAGAAGGCTCTTGTCCGTCTGCCCAGTCAAGATCCCCCACCCGAGCATGTCACTATGAGCCCAGCACTCGCCAAAGTCATACGGGCAGCCAGTGACCTACAGAAAACCCAGAAAGACACATATGTTGCTATGGATCATCTGATAACTGCTCTGGCTCAAGACATCAAAATACAAGAAGCGCTCAAGGAAGCAAACATTCCCAATACCAAGCTCATAGACACCGCCATTCAGCAGATACGAGGGACCAAGAGAGTAGATTCGAAAAACGCAGACGCTGAAGAAGAGAATGAGAATCTCAAGAAATTCACCATCGATATGACTGCAATGGCCAGAGAGGGTAAGATGGATCCTGTCATCGGTCGAGAGGAAGAAATCCGCAGAGTCATTCGTATCCTATCACGAAGAACGAAGAACAATCCAGTTCTGATAGGTGAGCCCGGTGTGGGAAAGACGACTGTCATCGAGGGTCTGGCCCAGCGAATCATCAATGCCGATGTGCCAGCAAATTTAGCCGCCTGTCGATTATTGTCGCTAGACGTGGGCTCTCTTGTGGCCGGCAGCAAGTATCGTGGTGAATTCGAGGAAAGAATGAAGGGCGTCCTGAAGGAGATCGAACAATCGACCGACATGATTGTGCTCTTCGTCGACGAAATCCATCTACTGATGGGTGCAGGGTCCAGTGGTGAGGGAGGTATGGATGCTGCCAACCTGCTCAAACCCATGCTTGCCCGAGGCCAACTGCACTGTATAGGTGCCACAACCCTTGCCGAGTACCGGAAGTACATTGAGAAGGATGCAGCCTTCGAACGACGGTTCCAGCAAGTGCTGGTAAAAGAGCCTACTGTTGCGGAGACTGTCTCAATTCTCCGTGGCTTGAAGGAGAAGTACGAAGTACATCATGGTGTCACCATTCTCGACGGTGCCATTGTGGCTGCAGCGACTCTGGCCGCTCGATATATCACTACTCGCAGATTACCTGATTCCGCTGTCGATCTCATCGATGAAGCAGCTGCCGACGTCCGAGTCATCAGAGAATCACAACCCGAAGCACTCGACAACATGGAGCGCAGACTCCGGCAGCTGGAAATCGAAATTCATGCTCTGAATCGTGAGAGTGATCCAGCTTCGATAGAACGTCTTGAGGTTGCAAAGAAAGAAGCTGCCAACGTCAAGGAAGAGCTTGAGCCACTTCGCCTGCACTACGAACAGGAGAAGGAACGCTCACGCGACATTCAGGAGGCCAAGATCAAACTCGATCAGCTCAAAGTCAAGCGCGAGGAGGCTGAGAGATCTGGCGACCTTCAGACCGCCTCCGACCTAGGCTACTACGCTATTCCCGACACGAAGGCTCTCATCGCAAGACTCGAGGCACAAAAGAATCAGGCAGCTGCTGAGCAGCACGAGCGCATGGGTTCTATCGGCGAAGTCACCGTGACGGACGCTGTGGGTCCGGATCAAATCAACGCCATTGTTGCTCGATCGACAGGTATTCCCGTCACTCGTCTCCGAGCATCAGAGAAGGAGAAGATCCTCCACATGGAGCAACAGCTGCAGAAGATTGTGGTCGGTCAGCGAGAAGCTGTCAAGTCAGTGTCCAACGCTATTCGACTGCAACGATCTGGCCTGGGCAACCCAAATCAGCCACCGTCCTTCCTGTTCTGTGGTCCTAGCGGAACAGGTAAGACTCTGCTTACGAAAGCGCTTGCAGAGTTCTTGTTCGACGATCCGAAGGCCATGATACGGTTCGACATGTCCGAATACCAAGAACGCCACTCGCTCTCACGAATGATCGGTGCACCTCCAGGCTACGTTGGACACGACTCAGGAGGCCAGCTGACTGAAAACCTTCGACGCAGACCATTCTCCATACTCCTCTTCGACGAAGTCGAGAAGGCCGCCAAGGAAGTGCTCACAGTTCTCCTCCAGCTCATGGATGATGGCCGTATCACCGACGGACAAGGACGTGTTGTTGACGCCCGCAACTGTATCGTTGTCATGACCTCCAACTTGGGTGCCGAGTACCTCTCGCGTACCAACCCTAACGACGGCCGCATCGACCCAGGCACCCAAGAACTGGTCATGAACGCGCTTCGCAACTACTTCCTCCCAGAATTCCTCAACCGCATCTCCTCGATCGTCATTTTCAACCGACTTACCCGAAGAGAAATCCGGCGCATCGTCGATCTCCGACTCGCAGAGATTCAGAAACGCCTCGAGTCAAATGACAAGAAGATCACAATTCACGCCACTGAGGAGGTCAAGGACTACCTCGGCGCCGCAGGCTACAGTCCCGCGTATGGTGCTCGACCACTGCAGCGACTGCTTGAGAAAGAGATCCTCAATCGTCTGGCAGTGCTGTTACTCAGAGGCAGCATCAAAGACGGTGAAGTTGCGCGCGTGGTGCTGCAGGATGGCAAAGTTGTTGTCTTGCCGAATCACACGGACGAGGAGCTGGAGGACGAGGATGACATGTACATGATGGATGGAGATGACGTTGATGATGGCATGGGCGAGGATGCGATGTATGAGATCGAGGAGGCCAAGGCTAACGGTGGCCCAAAGTCGAGCCGGAGTGCTAGGGGCCGAGATGATGCGATGGATCTCTATGACGAGTAAGGTGGTGAGGACCATGCATCTTCTGAGACGAACTTCAACGACGAAAACGAATTTTAGATACCAGCATTTCTGAGGTACTGCGGGTCATTTTCTGTGCGCAGGCGTCCAAAGAAAGGATCATCCGAGATAGTCATATGGAAAAAAATGCATACTCTCATCCACAGCAGACTCGCTTCCGCCCCCTCGTCTTGCTGTAGACTTTGTTCGCTTCCTTGCCAGTGCGTGCACGCTCCATATGTTGCTTAGATGGATGCTCAGACGAGCAAGCCTCACACCCAAACGGAGAATCGTACCACTAGACCACAAAGCCCGAGTTGTGTTTCGTACATGTCTGTGACATGCTCCGAGTGTGAGTGCTTTATTGAGAACAAAAATCCATGGCAGATGACTATATGCCTCCAGATCCTCACGATCTAGGCGAGAAGAATGAGTCACATCTTCATGTATTCAGTTGCTCAGCCTGACCGTCAAAGAAGACTGTCAGCTCCGGCTGGGAGGCCTGTGCCTTCGGATTCAACCCCGCCGTACCTCCCGAAACACAACGATCACCACCCCCAAGTCCCAGGCCCACCCTTCATCCTCCCCTCCAGCTCCGACGTCACCCACCCGCCATAGAAGTCCCCCTCCTGCGGCGCAACCTTCTCCCCGTCCACAAAGCACTCCCACGGCACGCCACTCGCATAAAAGCTCAGATACCCTTTGATTTCCTTGAATGATGGAGTCGGAGAGTCGTAGCTCCAGATCTTGCCGCTCACGGACTTTGACTTGTCGGTGGCAGCAGTGATGGTCCAGTACGTCGCTCGACCTTTCCACTCGCAGAGAGAGGTGCGGCCCGGGATCTTGGCGAGGGCGAATGAGGGGGAGATGGAGGATGGGGGGAGGTAGTATGCTGTCATGGTAGAAGAAACGTGGTCAGTGGTCAGCATGTCATCAGGCTGGGAAGTAGTGACGTCGCTGCTGGTGGCGGCGGTAGCTCAGGAACGGAAGGGACGACCCACTGGCAGGATGCTATGGGTGATACATGTCAGTTGGGCAGAATGAGAAGACCCGCTGGCAGAAGACAATCAGCTGCTAGGATACCATACCGTTGTTTCTAATGCCCAGTATGCCTCCCTGGTATCAGCGACAACATCATTGCTTGCAACGGTCAGTACGTAGCCGCTCTTATGCACTACTCATAAAGACTATATGCTTACCCCCATTTGATCACGAGATGCCGCGGTGTGCGCTCGAGTAATGGTGGACGAGGGAAGTCGTGGACATTCATTTTCTTCTTGGTCGCCATTATGCTTGATGAAAGCGGTCTGTAGATCCTCATTCGAGGGCTGCTCTGCGGACGGGGCGCTATGATACACATCAACACTTCGCGGCTACCATTTAGCTGAGAAGCCAGGATCGATGACGCTGTAAGGCATCCACTTTGCCTGATCCTGTTTAGCGCCGTGACCAAAACGCCTCATCCAACCTTCGACACCTTAATGTCCTGCACCCTATCGCACCGCTCATTGCTCAGAGTCGTGCTGACAGACGTCTGCCGATGTAACTCCCGCCTTGATGCACGTCAAGCACAGACCCACATAAGATTCCTGAGCCTTTGCTGCGGTGCTCTCGTCGAAATTTGCCCATGGTGTCGCGCAGCTGGAATTGCAGTCGGTGTCGACGCATTCCTCGGATACCAACTTTTTCATCTCATTGCAGAGTTCAGCAATCGCGCTCACAGCTGCATCTACAGAGAGGCTGCTCGCTGCCCTGGATAGATTGTGGTCAATATGCTGGCCTCAAAAAAGAGCAGTAGACTCACATTCGGAAATGGCTGCCCTTGATTTTTGCCAGACCCAGTGTGTAGTTACAGATTGACTCTTTCGCCAAGTCACATTCTTCCCCGTGCAGCCATTCCAGCTGAATCTCGTGTATAGGCACGTATGTCAGCTGATCAATCGTGTCCAGATCACGACTTCTTATGGCTTGCATGGCTTCTAGGTTTTGTCAGCGAACAGCACACAATGCCTGACAAGGGCACCTACCAAGAATTGTGTCAGGCATAAGCGCCAGCAAAGCCTTGTCAGTCTTCATTTGCTTGTAACCGCGGCCCGGCGTGATTTTAGAAGCCATGAGCTTCGTGCAACGATGGAAAAGCTTCGCGTCTCCTGCGACATAGCTGATGCACATCACATCTTCTACGCGCAGACCGATACCTCTGAGTTCATCCAGATAAGTCTTGTTGACAGAAGGACCGAAGTACTCTCGAAGAGGCCAGGAGACGTTTTGCAGTAGAAGCTCGGTGCAGCAGTATTTGTCGAAGATGACCGCGACGCCCGCCGCGCGGGACAGTGGTACTTGCTTGTCGCCCTTGGACTGGTTGTGGATCATGACGCAGAAATCGATAAATGCCGTACGATCATCGTCGAGGACCAGCGGATTGCTCTCATCGTAGACCTTTCCAGCCTCCTTGAACTCCCCAGCCAGCATTGACTTGAAGACCGGCGACGACACGATAAGAAACATCTTGAGCACACGGACCAAACCAATGTCTTCACCGGTCCCAACTTGGATCACCAGATCACTTCTGGGGTCGTCAACAACGTCGAATGGGGACTGATAGTGTGACATCTTCTGCTTCTTCCTCGTGGACCCGGCGACAGAGCCTTCCTCGGATGCATCACGCTTTTGTCCTTGGGATGGTGTTGCTGCACGATTGGCTGCCAAATTAGCGGCCGCGGCCGACATGGCGTGTCGACTTCGTAGGTATAGTCGCACAATCTCGTTGTGGTGTTTGAGCGAATTTGTTCTCGATGGGATGTGATGCGTTGGATCGATTTGGTCGTGGAGGGTATGAGCAACGAAGAAGGAAGAGGATGCAAGAGGGTGCTGTGTTGATATTTGCAAAATAGTCTAGGCAGGTGCGAGGCAGTACTTTTGTTCAAAGACAGAGCATCACTTCATCACCACGTCGCTTTGGCAGTGGCATCACCTGAGATGCATGTCACTTGATCATGACTTCGCAAGAACTTGGGCTCGAGAACCTTCCCGCTGCATGCATGGACGACAGCTCAGCCCCCCTGAATGGTACGGACAGGAATGCCGTGGGCAATTTCGTGGTGTATCGGCTTCAATTGCGCCCTGACTGACACCTCTGGTCTGCATTGAAGTCTTTGTGTCTCTGCTGTCTCACCGCCTCAGTTGCTCGCGTTACTCGAAACTCCCGAGAGCTTCCCACAGCCTAGTCGGATGACTGCCAAAGACTGCATCTGAGCACTATGCACTGCTCTTCTCCATGTTATCGTCGAACCAGCTGAACATCCGCTCCCTTGTCTCTGCAATGCTAGAGGACGAGCCGAGTGTTGGGGAAGAAATCCATCATGCCCATTGCGATTGATACAAGAGCATCTGCATATGCCCAAGGTTGTCCATCATACCGCCGACGCCGTACCATCCGCCATGCCTCTCCGTCGGCTCTCCTGCCCATGACCGCTGCATTCCATCTTGCCCTCAACCACACAACCCAAACACAAACCCTTGACGCCACCCTTCGCCATCTCCACCGCGTCTCTCAATCCCTTTCTCACATCAACCATACAGCCTCCCTCGCAGTTCTTCCCACACTTGCGACAGTCCTTCGGCAACACCGCCTCCATCTCCTCGCAACCCTCCCAAACCTCCCAGAGACTCAACCCCTTGACCTTACCCGAGCCATGCACGCCATCGTTGGTATCGTCGGCCAGACTGAATCGTCCCTGCTTCAAGTGACAAAGCTGCAGCGTGTATAGCGCGAGTTTCTCGGTCGCGAGCTCGCAGGGCTCGATCGGATGCAGTTCCAAGGGCTCTTCTGGATCGAGAAGTTTGGCGTGAATCGCGAGGATGGGGACGTGTAAGGCGCGTTCGAGCTGGAGTAGGGATCGACGACGGGTAGACTTGATTGTTTCTGTTTCGTTGGCGCAGCAGGACGTGATCAGCATGTGTTCTCCCTCTATGATGACGCGTTCTACGCAAAACAGGACTATGACTTACCGATCAATCCCAATGGCAAAGCTCCAGCCAAGCCGCCTCCGATCTCCTCCTCTAGCTGGTCATCTGTGAAGTGAACCAGAGCATACTCGGTGGCGCGTCTGAAGAGGGATTCGTCTCGCACAACGTAGGCAATCGCAATTGCATCCCTGTGTAGCGAAGAAGATGTTAGCAGAATTCCTTGTCAACAGCAATTCGCGCGCGACCGTTTGTGCAGCTGCAGAACACATAAGGATAGACACATACAGGACACTCAGCCCAGCCGCTCCCAGACCTTCCTCATCAGCTTCACCCTTCGGACCAAAGAACCTCCACAGCGGCATAGCACACCAGCTCTTCATGCTCTCGGCGCAACCTAGGCGTCTGGCGACCGCGACGACGCGTGGGAAGCGGCCCATGTATGGCTGTTTTAGCTTCTTGTTGTCGGTCTCGGGGGTATTGGAAGCATTACTTGGGGATCTTGGGTTGACAGGCGGACCTGCAATCGCATTCTTCTGCAGAGTTTCCGTCTGGTTGCAGATCATGAGGACCCAATCGAGAAAGGCTGCGCCGTCCATATCGTCTGGAAGCAAGAGCGGTGAGGACGCGGAGAAGCTCTTCTGTTCTGTACCATCTGTGGCGAGCAGATTCGCGAAGTAGGGAGATGCCAATGTAAGAATCAGTGAATGGACACGGATGAGGCACGGCTTTGTGGTCGCCATAGATCCTGTCAGACTGGGCGTGATCGGAAGTTTGACTTGGATGACCAGATCGCCTGGCGGCCCCGACGGAATGATGTCAATGATGTTATCGAGAGTTTGCGTCGAGGGTGTGAGCTTGGGCTTCTTCTTGGGAGGTCCTTGTCCGTAGTCGTGTCCATTGGTGAGAATGGCATGAGGAGACATAGTTGCTTGCGCTGTGCTCGGTGGCCAACCTGGTGGAGTGCGGGCTTGTACGGAAGGCGCATTCGACGATCCTGTATTGGACGGTCCTGCGACGTTGGGCGGGAAGTAGGTAGACATGTCCTCCGGCCGTAGCGCAAGCCTGGAGGCACGACGTGCAGATAGACCGAGTCAGTGTCTTCGAGCGGCGAAAGTGTGGGCGAAAGGCAGAGTCTGGACGGCGACGAGAAGTTTGAGAAAGAGGGCGGGTCGGAAGGAGACTTAAGTAGACGATCGGAACTGGTCAAGTCAGCAGTGAATAGTCTCAGAATTGCTTTTTGATGGTCTTCACTGAAGCCGTCGGGCGCAATGCTCGACAGAGCCTAAAGTCAAGCGAATGTCATGACGAGGCCGCCCTTTCGGACAGCACATACTTCTTTATCGAGGCTCCAGGTCAGGTCTGCGAGTGTGTCCATCAAGCTTTATATCAAAGTTGGCGAGGTCTCAATGAGTGGCGCTGAGGTACTGATCATTGCCGTCAAGTCACACCTCTGAGTTGCCTGTACCTCAAAATTCAGCTGTCAATCACTGCGACAGAGATTGAAAGAAGCTGAGATGTATATTGCACTGAGTTTGAGAACAACGTTGCTGCCTCCATAACCTCTTCATTCATCCAGCAGGCGCAATTGCTCAAAGAATTCTCTGCGCAGCACTCGCAAGCGCGATCGGGCAAGCAGCGACAGAGACTGGCAGTTGCGCCTTGAGCCGAAATAATTGGAAAGCTTCAGGTCAAGTTTGCCTTGCCAAGGAAGAAGATTCTATGTGGTTGCCTTATGATATCCACTCCAACCTGAAGGCCCGGGTCCGAAAACGCCGATGGGCAGGCTTATGGAAGGTACACAACGTAGCTTCGATAGATCCATACCATGTTGACAGCATTCTGAGTTCGGTCTCCCGCATCATAGACTCTCCTGTTCTCCAGCCTGCATGTCCTCTTCTGTAGGGTACTCGCTGAAGAATGCCAGATCCCAGGCTTTCCCTTTTGCGCCACAAGTCTGACACTCACTACGGAAAGGGATGATTGCAAGCTTGCTGCCTCCTTTCTTGAAGCATGGTAGGCAGATACAGCCCAGCGCCATCATCGCCTCGAAATGACATCCACCCACCACGATACCTAACTGATCCCGACACAGACACGAGGGGTTGCCGCACTTCTCTGACGCTTCTCGCCGTATAAGCGCGCGATCCACCGCAGGACGCTCTTCTTCCGGACGGGGAGGAAGCATCACGGGGCCTGGAATTGTCATGCCTGTCAGTTGGAGCAAGGGTCTTGGCCTGGTGATGCCCTTGAGAAGCCAGGCGGGATCGGTAGTGTAGAATCTCTCGTCGAGCATGAGCTTCTTGACGTAGACCATGAGTCGTCTGTCCCCCTCAAGACATTCCATTCCCTTTTCCGCGCGTTCTGCGGCTTCCTTCAACGGCTTCAAGTAGACTTCTTTTGTCCGATTGAGTGCGTGTTCACATATGTTCACAATCCTAGCTAGGTATGGTTAGCACTGCATTCGCCTGTCCGCAGATATGGACGTACCTTCAATCTTTTTAGGCACGAGATCGTCCAGCAAACTAGACAAACCGACGATCGATCGTTTTCCAGCAACGGCGACAAGTTGGACACAATGGAGGACTTCGTGCGACAGCCATTCGAACGTAATCGAGTCGTCGATCAAATACGCTGTGTAGAATGCGTCCCCGAGCGTCATCTTCTCAACCCCATTGACTAGGTATCCTTGCTCGATGCAGAAGGTTCTGTCATGCGTTTCGCGCCAGCGACCCAGTGCTAGTTGCAGCCAAGGACGGAGAACATCGAAGCACGAGTACTTGTCGCCGGCTAGAACGAGACGTGGCAGCTTGTCGAGGTCGATGTTGCTAACATCGAGAAGCCTATTGTGAATGATTTGAAACAAGATGAGCATGGCGCTACCATCGTCATCGGGTAGCTTCAGGGGCTCCTCGACGGTATGATCGACCTGTCCTTCGGCGAAATTTGGGCCCAGCATGGTGTCGAATACTGGCGAGGAGGACGTAAGAACCTTCTTGCTGGCTCTGATGAGGGTCTTCTGCTTACCTCTCCCGGCTTTCCCAACTTCGATGACGGTGTCGCCCTCGGGATCGGCATCGTGGATCTCGAGCCGCTGCCGCTTGCGTGGCGGCATGTTGACCGAGGGTTGGTGGTAGGTAGCAGCGATCGAAAGGTTCGAAGAAAGCAAATGTGGGCGATGTTAACACCTTTGCACTGGCGCCTAGCCTGACGTGAAGGAATGGCATTGTTGACCTGACAATAAACACCGCTTAAGTACGCGATCAGCTGGTGAAGAGGAGGCGTGCACTTGACTTCACCTCTTAGCGGTGCTCAAGCAGGCCCTGGCTGACATGACTTGCTGCTGAAGTATCTGTGAGGACTTACTGTCGCCTGGTTCCTCTGAGATATAGTTATACCTTCACCCCCCTTGTTGTTGCACACAGCTCACGTCATATGTGTATGATCCTTGACCAGGCTCATAGCCTGGTCAACCCAAGATTGAGGTTGAGACTAGGGTGAGTAGTGATGAGCACTAGATTGAGATGAGGTCCAAGAGCTGTTAAGTATCAGATCCTGGAACAAACACCTCCCGCAGGAAGCAGCCAATCTGCTTGACAAACATCAGGTCAGTCTGACTAGACAAAGCCCAAGCCATACGATCCCTGTATCAGAGGTTACTCCGAGTAAGTCACTGACTCGGTCGAAAGATTGCGGCTGCGGTAAGTGATTGATTCAGTCGAAAGGTCGCAGACTGCTGTCATCGTTAGGACAAAGCTCAGGTCTTGTTGCGACCGCACCTTCCCAATGCAGAACCCCTAGAGAGCCCAGGCCGCAGTAGCGGTTCACAAGCCTACACGCTGCCAACACTGTTCTAAGCCATATGACCATCATTCGTACAAGAGCTTGATGGAGAAGAGTGAACAAACATTCTTGCATTTGACCAGTCCTAGTTCGGTAGTCAGGGCGCACACATTGATCTCCCAACCTCTACACGCACTACACCCATGGACCGACACAGGGTGCTTCCAGCTCGATCGAGTCCATCGTACCTGTTCTTTCGCTGGACTCAAGCAGGTCGTGACAGCCATTGGGTCTGCTGCCGCTCATCGATCCAAAGTGGCTTCATGTCTAAGCCGCTTTCGTCTCGAGCCTGGAGAGGCATCTGACGGCGATTGTTCGAGCGCAGACCCATCACTCGAATCAATTGTAGATGTGGACATCATAATCGATACTTTCGACCGCCGAGCCAATCACCTGTCATAGTCTCGAACTGGTCCACCAGCTGCAGTCGCAATTCCAGGCTCGTCCTGTACAGCACTCGATTCAGTCTCACCCTCGGCCTGATCCTCATCCCTCTGCCTTTCCTTCTCCTCCTTGGTCTTCCAAAACATCAAACCCATCTTTATTTTTGACCGCTTCCGACCTATTGAACGCGTGCTGCTCTTTCGACCACGCACACTGCCGTGGGCATCTCCTTCCTGATCCGTTCCGTTGATTATACTCCGATAGTCCATCTTCTCGCTCGCCATGCTGCCGCTTTGGACGCTGCTGACACTGAAGCTGCTCCTTTGGTTCGGACTCGTCATGTGTAGTGGGGCCGAGGCTGCTCGTGCCCTTTTCGCTTCGAACTCTTTTTGCTCCTTCGTCTGTGGCGAATCGCCACAAGCTTCAGACTGATGTCGTTGTTCATTCGTATTGCTGAACTCATTGAGCGTCTCTGGCTCTGCTGTCATGTGCCGGGACTCCGAAATTGCATTTTGTGCCATTGTCTCCTGTCGTTGATGTTCATTCACCATTTCTGGGGACGGCATACTTTGTGCTGCCTCTCTTGGATGCTTGTATTCCTTGTCAGGGTCGTATGCTCTTACGGGCTCGTCAACATTCGACGTAGCGAAGTTGAATCCGGATAGTGGTGAGGAGACAGGAGGACGGCCTTGGCTTTCCGCTGCCTCTGTTGGAATTGCGGCACTTCCTGCCCGCATCGAGACTCCAGCATCTCTCGAAGTGTCATTAAGCTCTTTCTGTGACGTTGCACCGTCGTAGCCGACTGACGTGGGAGTCTGTGTGGCGGGATCGCTGTGATTGGCCTTCGAAAAGTTCGGTGAGATGAATGCGACTCCATTAGAGTCTCGTGTCCCGTTCGTTTCCTTGTCTTTCGATAACCTCCGTCCACGCCCTGATGCAGCTGATGACCTTCTCGAGCCATCATGACCTATTGGCATAGCGACGCCAGCAACGGCTTGAAGGGAAGACCGCCTGGAGGCATTCTGTGGGGTCGTGCTGCCAGCTGTTGCAGAGTCATGCCGAGTGGAACCTTTTGGCGTGCTCGGTGAGTCGGCCTTGGCGGCCAGTGGTGAAGAAGGGAAGTAGCTTGCACCTCCTGCGTGCTTCTTGCCGACCGGACTGAGGCTCCTCGGGCTCACCGCACCTCCATCACCGAAACCGGTTCCTTTCCGAATCACTGCTTTCATCTTCTCCTTTTCCGCTCTGGTAAACCAGACACCCTTATTCGTCAGAATCTCTTCGGCGGCGAAGCTCATTGCAGGTATGATGTCCGCGACGCTAGAGAACAAAGGATGCGCAAATATGGTCATGAATCCAATCTGGCCATTGGCCAGTTTCAATGTGTTGCCCAGATCCGGAGGTCCGCCGAACAGCGTTGTTTCCATTCCCACCGCAGATTCCATCTCACCCTGTTTGGCAAACTCTTTCTGCAACAAGTACGTCCACTTCTCGGCTACAGCCCATGGACGAGCCACATTGCTGATATCGGCGCATTTGATAAGTAAGCCGCAGGCCAACGTAGTGAATTGCGTCAGGTCCTTAGGTGTCCAGCCGTCAGTGTCCTTCGATTCATGTATCCTTTCTTGCAATTGCCCTAATTGAGACATGTAGTCTGCATGCACACCCATGTCGGTAGCAAGAATGGTTCTTATCATGAGCTGTCGAATATTCCTGTCATGGAAGGCCTCAGGCCAATGCCTTCGCAGGATTTGCGAGTATGCAGCACAATGGAAAGCTTCCAGTACAGATTGGTCGTTGTACAATTGCGCCAGAGGAGCATTCAGCTTCACAAGGAACATATTGTTGACGCCAGGATGCCCAACATCATGCCCGATCGCAGATATGAGCAGAGTGAGGCCTTGGAAGGGCCCTAGCAATCGGGCGATTGGCGATTTTTGTTCGGCTTTGGGTGGTGGCGGCGCCCCAACAGGGTACGGCGGCAGGGTGCCAATCTGGACGAGGAAATAAAATAGTGATTGGAGTACGTCGACGGCGTGCCGAAAGTTGTGGTAGAGCACGAACGAATTGTACGCAACTCGACAACCCTGCATGAAGCGCAGTAGGTTTGCTTGAGGTATTCTCCACTCCTCCAGTTCCGGTAATTGTAAAGCGTGATTGAGCATGTAGTAGCCAGCGTAGACCAGTTCGTCTTCCGAGAACAAGTGACCGTCGAACCCCCATTTGCCCACAGCTTCAGCTATATCCTGTTGTCGTTGCTTGTCCACACTCAGACCTCGGTGCTGGTAATCTTCGATGACATGCTGTGGGTCGCAGATACCTTTCAGCAGCTTCTTGACCATAGCCTCGCGCAAATACGCATACGGCTTCTCTTCTTCGACACCGACCCAAGAGGCTTTGCGAGTCTTACGCGCAGCAGCCATGAAAGTCGCCTGCTCCTTCTTAGCATTTTTGTATATCCGGTAGGCGTGGACCGTGAGGCCCATGATCCCAGCTTTATCCAGCGGACTCTTTACAACATCCATAGCACCAGCCTCAAGGCATTGTAACATCAGTGTTGGCTCTACAAAGTCGGACTGGTCCTCGAGGGACACAGGTTCGGTCTCGCTGCCATACGGAGCTCTTGATATGCTATTGGCTGGGTTCTTCTCGAGGGCTGCATCGTACGAGTCCTTGCGCTTCGGTTGTACAATTGCCACAGGTATGATTAGTTGTACAGATTCGTCCACTTGCAGGTCGGAAGCTATGCGACTCAGCAACTGGAGACCATAAGATTCGTCGGACTCGGAGGAAAACGTGATTTCGCGTCGAAGCATTACGGGTGATGGTGGAGGTGAATCCGATGACACAGCAACAGCAGTCGGCAGTTGCTGCTGGCCTTTGGCCTTGTTCCGGTTCCTCTGGCGGTATTCATCGCCGATATCAAAGCATGCTATGATAGGTGTACTGTCCGCTGCGACCTGGTCATGAAGTTCGGAGAGCTTGGTAGAAAAGGAACGACCGGAGTTGCATACGAATACTGCTGCTGGGTCAGTGTTCATTCAAAATGTCACGCCGACATTGGACTGACCTTGATTGAAGACAGTGAGGAAAGCATTCACGTTAGCTTGCAAATCAGGTGGTAACTTTGAGAATTCAAGGTCGCTGTTGTTCTTCTGAGGGGTGATTGGCGTTGACAAGCCGTCTCGTGATATCCACCTTTCTGTGTTGAAGCGGGAGTCGATGTAGATGACTCGACATGCTGATGGATCCATGTTGAGCGACGCCGAAGAACCGCTGAAGCCTTAGAACAATCTCTTGTTGTCGTCGTCGCCGCAGCGAAGTGACTACGTGCCCATCGTCACGCGCGGGCAAAGCTTTTGGAAGAGCTTCGTGCCGACTGTCCGCCTGACAACTTCGGTGTGCGTCCAGCAGCTTGTTGAGTTGTGCACGATTGTGTGGTCGGTAGCGGGGATATACAGCAGCAGTAAGCAGCGCAATGTGAGCTCAGTGACGAGCTTCTCGGCGTCTGCAATGCGATCGCGATTCTTTTGAGCAGGGCCGAGCGGCGCTCGAGTTCGAGTGTGCGTGCGAAGCGAAGCGAGGACTGGAGGAGCAAGCAAGAGCACTGACTGGCTAGCTGCAGCCGTCAAACACTCGTCGAGTCTGCGGGCGATTGCAGATGAAAATGGAGATTGGGAACACAGGCTGTCGAAGCGACAATGGATTTCCAACTGGGCGTCGCCAGGGAGTGCTTATTCCCTCTTGTCGATGCTGTGTGAGGGGTGGATGCGGAGGACGAAGCTGAATTCGCGAGGGAGATTATTTGCCTGAGGTGCGGAGCGCTGTGCTGACGATAATCGAAAGTACAAGTTGATGTCTCTGGCTCAGCGTGAACATGCAGTATGAGGAGGAGAGGGGACAAAGCAGTAGAGCAGATGTGGTGTCGGATGACTCCTTTGACCAGGTAGTTGCGGTATGTGAAGTACAGTGCTCTCTACCTAGAGCAGCAGCAGCAGCACTGTCGCCAGTTCAAGACGAGGCCAGACTCGCTCTCGCTCTCCAGGGACAAGCCTGATGAGTCTGAGCTCTGATGGGCGACAAGCCACTCTGGGATGCGCCTGCCGTGCAGGCCAATGGTGCTCAAAGGAGGAGCTTGGGATCATCTGCGGAGGCAACTCTAACAACCTGGAGCCCCAAGCCGACGAACGAAAGCCCAGTGCACGATGCTTGTCAGGCCCTACTAATGCCTAGGGAGGCAAGGTGCAAAAGTCAGAAGATTCTAGTAGCAGGAGTTTCAGCTTGTGCGATCATCTGAACTGTCGCTCCCCCTCTGCTCATCACTCTTGGGACACGTTCTACGGGCTTTCTGGAAGCCCGTCCGCCCTACAAGAAGCAAATTATGTCATGAGCAGTGGTACACGAGTACGGCTGACATTTCCACGCAGTTCTGGCACGTGTCCGGCGTCTCATCGATGCCAACCACGCTTTCTTCCAACTGAAATGTATAGGCAACACGTGTGTGCGGCACGGAGGCCTTCTCAAAGCCAATAACAACTGACAGGACTTGGGATGGGGATTGCATCTGTCCTCGTGAACTTGCTTGCACTTGCTTGCTCTGGGGTAGCATTGCCACAGGCTTGTTGAAATAGTGCAGATCCAGGCCATTCAAATCCATGTTGTGCCAGGCGCTAGAGGCAACCCACCACGCTACTTGAACATGGCCTTCCTTGCAGCACATTGCCACGCGTGGTTGGCCCCTCAATTTCAGGGTATCGCATTGATTGATATTTCTCTAGTCTATACACTCGCTGTCTGCTCTGAGCGAAATGCACGCAGATGCCCGTCGAGGTCACAAGCACACGATCGCCATCGAATGATGCTCCGTTGCTTGCCGTGGACTTATCGCAATGCCGAGACGCCGTTGCTTTATTCCATGCTGCAGATCATCCGTCATGCAGTCTTTTATGCACGAAAGCAAGTCTTTCCCCTCCGATCTTGCCGGCCAACTGGCAAATGTGATGTTGCGATCCATCGCCAACGAAGTACTCCAGATACAAGCTTGTGCCTCGCTCGGAGGATTGCGACCTTCCCGTTAGGACGCGATCTTAGCCTGCTTGAATCGCTTAGCAAGCTGCTCCGAAGGACTGCGTGATCGCTCTGGTGCTGTGTCTTCTGCGGAAAGCCATGGACGCTTGAGGGGCCGCTCACCATAGTTCTCCAGGATGGTCATAAGAGTCTTCCACCCATCGGTCTGGGCTAGTTGCATCGCGTCTCCGACGTCGTGATCTACTGCAACTCTGCAAACCAGCGCTTCCTCTTCCTGCGGTCGAGTCAGTATGTTGCTCTCAAGCACGTATTTCCGGCACACTTACCTTGCTCAGCACGCCCATACCGTGGAGGTAGCATAGGAAGTGGAAGTCAGAGACTGCTTCGATCTCATCCTGTTGTTTCAACTGCTTTGCCACATCTCGAGGATCTTGCCCAGTCGCCACTACTTCGCGATTCTCAATCGGAAATGTGTTCTTGCTGAACTTTGGTTTTGGCGCTACCGGCATGCCAGCTGTCAACGAGACCAGCAGATATTCGATAGGAAAGCTTGGTTTCGCGTTTTCCTGCACATTTCTTCCATACTCATTGATTCGTCGATAATACACCTCAGGAATGTATCGCGCCTTGCCGTCAAGGCCCACATCATCTTCCGACTGGACTAGCATCACTGAGGGATCTGCTGATGCCTCAACGATATCGGCGCGTACCATTTCAACTGCCGAGTTCGATGCTTGGTAGGCTTTGATCGTGATTGTCTCGTCCTCGTCTCCAGTCACCACGCAAGTAACGAAATCTGATCCAAACCGGCCGGTGTCGCTCCATTTTGAGGCCTTAGGGTACTTGGACTGGTAGCGCGCCGCGAATGCCACTTCCAGCGATGCGAGAAAGTACGAGTCGATGTGTCGCTTGCACACAGCTTGTCCTTCACCCTCTTCTGGTGTGATGAGATCCGTAAAGATCACGCCGACGCGTTCGAGTCCGCACAACCGAGCAATTTCGTCGATGCCCTTTTCGTTCTCCCATTCGAGCAACGTAACACCATCGAGTTCTGACGCCTGTGGGGGCTCATAGATGGCTTCCACCACCGCCTTGACACCCAAAGGTACTTCTGGGTATTCCTCGTACTTCCCGTACAGAAATCCAATGCGCTGTGCTCCGGACCTACGCCAGAAGTCGATGAGCTTGTCCACAATATCGGCTGAAGCGAACTCGACGTGGTCGACCATCCGAAATTCTTGTGGCTTCAAGGTCACAGCGCTCGGCTGGCATTTTGTGCAGATGCCTTCAGGCCATGGAGGGTGCCCTGATGGGCAATTCTTCTTGACTCGGTAATATGGCTCTGACAATGGCGGCATGTATGAGCTCTTCAATTCGGGTTTATTAGTCGCCGAGTTGATTTTCCGAAGGTGCGCGTGGAACGACTGATGTTTAATCTTCTTCTCGGCAAGGTAATTCGCATCGTAGGGCTCCAGTGGCTGGCAGTAATCGCACATTCCTTTTGGCCCATGTTTGCACATCTTCTGATCTTTCGGTCTACGGATCTTGCCATCTTGTGCATCTAGCTTGTCGTCCAGCGGTGTCTGCTTGACGACCTCCCAAGGATTCTTCACCAGTCCTGGCGAGGTCACATCGGGTGCAGTAATGGGTATCGAGGGCTCTGACAGCGCTATCTTTTTGCCATCCAATCGATGAGCGCCTGCGGTGGCCGCGCCGTTAACGTGACCGTTTGAGAGCTCATCTTGTTCCGTGAAGCCTATGAAAAGTTTGGCGCCGTGCGATAGACCAACCTGCGATATTTGGACCTGTGGGATATCTGCTAGTCTGCGTTCCCGCGAGGGCTCTGGCTTCGACCCCACAGGTTTGTTGCTCAGTATCAGAGAGGTTGGGTCGGCCCCAGACGGTAAATTTGCGAGTATTCTCTGCTGCAAGGATGCAAAGGTATCCGTGGGCTCTGCTGTAAGCCGGAACTGGCCAGCCTTGGACTCGAAGCGTAACAACATCCTGTTCGGGGGACCTCTCGTGGGATGTGGATGTAAAGAGATGGGGGATGTTGTCACCGCTGGCAAAGGGGAGACATGTTGAAGTCTCAGGCAACAAAGCGAGCCAGGCAACCAATCGACTTCACTTGAAGCGTCGAAGGCGATAGAATATGTGTCAAATGCAAGAGGCAACACGCGACAGAATTGCTAGACGTTCTTCAAGTTTAGCCACGGTCGGAGTTCGTTGATGCAGGCCGCGGGCGCGCATGCGTCATTGCCCTACGGCGGACCTGAAAATCCGAGGCTGCCAGGCTGCGTTGGCGCTTCTGCTCCATCTTCACTTAAGTAGGGATCAGAGGAATACCATGCGTTCATATACATCTAAAACATCATTACAACCTCATGAAGTACTTCCCAAGTCACGTAAACCAACTCCATGCCGCATGTGTTTTCCCGATGCAAGAGGATCTCGTTCTTCGCCAATCGGCTTCATCACTTTGACTTGGCCTTCATCAATTTCTTCAGAGCGTCACCAAGCTCATAACGTCCCTCCTCAGTCCGCCAAACTTCCTCAGCTGGCGCCTTCTTCACGATACGCCATTCGACGAGATTATCGGTGATCTTGGTGAGATCTTCTTGTCTGCGCTTCCAGTCCTTGTCCTTGTTGATGTGAACTCCCGAAGACACAACAGTTAGGGGCACCTCAGGTTGTTGAATGTTCCTTGCACTGAGGACCTCATTTTTGGTCAACCCATCTGCAACAAGATTTTCCTGTAGCTTATTCTTGATGAATTTGCCACCTTGGTAGGAGGACTTGCCGTAGACGCGATCCTCTCTTGAGCGACCCTTGAAGAGTGCGCCCGGAAGGCGGTCAAGTCCTAGGGGCGAGATGAAGCCTCGCGCCCAAAGCAGGAAACCTGTCCCAGGGTTGCCAATCTGGTAGAGAAGGTCCTCGTGCAAAGCATCGATGAGCATGATGCCTGCAATGGCACGTGGGTGTCTAGCTGAGAAAACTCTGCTGTAGATTCCACCAATACCTGCGGATACCAGAACCCATGGGCCTTCCTCGCCTGCGATAGCCAGAGCCTCGGACAGCGCATCGGCTGACATGCTGGCTGAATGCGGCGAAGGAGCATTATCAGACCAGCCCAGGCCAGGTCGATCCCAATAGCAGTACCGTTCAATTGTGCCATTCTGGTAAGCCTCATAGACCCAATCTTCGAAGGAGTCTTCCACTGGCATGTAGCCACCCTCGAGTAGTACTGTTGGGTTGGCATTGCCTTTCTTGTCGTAAGTCTGGTTGCCAACACAAGCAACATGGACCTGATACTTGTCTCCGTCGACCAAGTATCGGTGACCTGGAGCTGGCAGCGTCGCATCTCGAGCTCGCAGTGAGACTGTTGCGGTCAATAGAACAGCGATGAGCGCGAAGATGACCATGAAAATGGTAGCCAGAAGCACGGCCAACCACTCTTTGAGCGTTCTGCGCTGCTCCTCCCGCCCGGTCAATCGCGCTTCCTCCTCTGCTTTGCCCCATCGAACGGTACGATTGGCGAGAATGTTGTAGAGACCGATGATGGCGGCCCACACCACCGACGCTATGCCTGGCCAGCCTTCTTCCAGCCGAATCCTTGGTGCAACAAGGATGATGATCATGTTGACGATAAGGAGGATGGAGATGATAAAGCTCAGCACACCCATCGGCGTCGATGGCACTGCAAAGAACAGCAGAGCAATGATAATATTTCCAACAGTCAATGTTGTGTAGGACACATCGAAGAATCCTGACCCTCTTGAATGCATGCCCGGCGGGCTGACGAAGATCGAGATGAAGAGTACCACCCACCACAAGAAAGTAATCATGAGGAAGAAGACTTCGAAGAATCTCACAGCTCGTACGCTCCAGAGGTTGTAGGGGCTGACCTGGTCTGATATTAGCTGTGAAGACTGCAGTCTCAATGTGTACTTACAGCTGGGTCATCTGGATCAAGATAGCCACCTGCTGGAGGTGGTCGTCGTTGTGCTATCAATCTTGTTCGTTCTGTGGGCTCCTCCGTCGAGTCCCTCTCCTCGCGCGAAGACGACGTCGGTCGTGGGTGGCTGTCATCTTCTGCTTCACGCGGTTCCCCGTTCTTGGAGCTACCCCACAGAGACATTGTGAGGATCGTCGAGATTGTTTGGAGCTGGCGACAATGCTACCGTACTCGTTACTGAAGCTGCCTCGCCTCTATGCTTCAATTCACGCGCAACAGGTGTGTCTGCTCCAGGCTGCAACGAAGAGCATGAAACCAGCCACTTACAACCTGAAGTATATTTTCGAGCTGCGAGGTGCTCAACTCGAATCGATCTGTACGTCATCGTCGTGCGGAGCTTGCTTGAAAGTCGATCATGCGCCACCGAAATTCTAGGTGACGATCGCCCCAAAGCAAACATGATCACGATGATAGTTCCCGCCTCAACATCCGATGCCAATAATAACGAACCTTCTTTGCTGGCTGTCGATGTGATGCAGGAACACTGATAAGACGACACATCTCTGCTGAAAGGTCGAGCATTACCATTACCTTCACCTCGAGGCACTGTGAATGCGCGGAAGACGAGAGCATCCCGGAAGCTCGACCCGGAGGTAGCGACGGCCGATGCACATGCAATTCTCAAAGGCGCATGCCTGGCTTCGCCTAAACCGCCTATCGTCTTGGCGACTCATGTCCCCCTGCCGCAGAACTGGGCGAGACTTTTAGGTAAGAATCTAGGCCCGACTTTAGTGTCTGTAGGTAAACCATGGAACCATCACTCCATTCTCGGGACACCACCATTCAGCTCCGAACTGATTCACGATTCGTGTTTGCCTCGTTCGATCCGATGTGGACGCCTTTTTCTGCCACCATCCCCAAGGTTGACAACCAGACTGCCCTCGATGAGCGACTTGCAGCGTTCCTTTGCCAAAGCACACATCTCGAAACCACCACCTAGACCATTATCATTCAATGATGTCGAAGAAGAAGATGACGACGATCTCACCAACCTCCGGCCAACTTCACCGAACGACTCCTCCTCGTCAGCCTCATCGGCTTCCTCCACAGGCACAATTGTACCTTCGCCAAGCCAGAATCTCTTTGAGCGACCCAAAGCGTATGTCTGCCTACCACTCTCCCATCAGTGTCACACTAACCGTTGCGAATCAGATCAACCATAAAATCCCGCTCCGCTCCCCTTCCCTGGCAAGACTACTTCGGCCAAGAACTCTTCTTCCCCAATCCACACCAACCCGACCTCATTCACCACGCCTATCTCACTCCACCGTCCTCGAACGGCCCTCTAATCGTCACTCACCACGGCGCCGGCTCCTCCGGCCTCTCCTTTGCCGCCTTCTTCGCCGAACTCACTAAAACCCTCCCTACCGCCGGCATCCTCTCTCTCGATGCCCGGGATCATGGCCTCACCACCACTCCAGACAACCTGCCTCTCGACCTCACTCTCCCGACACTCGCCGCCGACCTAGCCGCCTCATCCTGACCTCGACGCCACCCACCTCTCCTGGCCCAAACTCCCACCAATCCTCCTGATAGGCCACTCTCTCGGCGGCGCAGTCGTCACGGAAGTTGCACACACCCGCCTCCTCCCACATGCCTCCCTCCTCGGCTACGCCGTTCTCGACGTCGTCGAAGGCTCCGCCATGGACGCCCTGCAATCCATGGAATCATACCTCTCCACCCGCCCACGCTCTTTCCCCTCCATCGTCAGTGGCATCGAATGGCACGTCCGTAGCCGCACTATCAGAAACACCACCTCTGCTCGGATATCCGTCCCGCCACTTCTCATGCCGAACCCTTCACCAAACACAGCTCCATCAGCAGCATACACCTGGCGCACCTCCCTAACAGCCACCCGACCCTTCTGGTCTGCCTGGTTCACCTCCCTCTCCTCGAAATTCCTGAACACACCCGGCCCTGGGAAGCTTCTGATACTCGCTGGCACGGATCGACTGGACAAAGAACTGATGATCGGACAGATGCAGGGCAAGTATCAATTACAAGTGTTTCCTGAAAGCGGGCATTTCGTGCATGAGGACTGCGCAGGGAAGACAGCGATGGTGGTTGCGGATTTCTATCGGCGGAACGAGAGGGGTGGTTTGGTGCTACCGCCCAAGGTAGATGACTTGATAAGGATGGGAAAGGTCAAGGGAACGGTTGGTGGGACCGGGACAGCCCAGACCGGGGCGGCTAGGGGAGCTGATGCGAATGGTAGAGCGACTGGTAGTAGGGCGGAGGATGCTGCTGCCATGGACGCAGCAAAGCAACGCTAACGAATGACGATGAGTATCAGTGGATTCTTCATGTACCAACTACTCACTTGCAATAGACTAGGAAACAATATATCAAAATCAGCTAACAGTCTAAGTCTGCAGTCTAGCAATACGTGAAAAAGATGGTATCAGAAATAAACATACCCGGCGAAAAACGCCCAACCAACCGAATTACCATGCATTACACGAATGGCGCAGCATCAACGGCCCTCCTTGCACCGACCTTCCCCAAGCGCTCCGCCATCTTCTTCCGCCACTCTCCTCGCTCCTTGTCGTTCATCGGCGCCCTCGCCTTCCCATGCTGATTGTCACTCACTCCCTCGCCCTCATGCTCCGGCTCGCGCTTTCCGAACACCGCCACTGGTGCGTTTAGCTTGATTCCTTCGGCCGCGTCATCGTCGTCGAAGTCACTCTCATCGTCAGCAGCAGGTCTGTTCGACACCGGAATATCGCCTGCGGACTCATGGTCCGACGCCTCGTTGTCAGCATCACTGTCGTCGTCGTCTACTGACCGACGTTGCTGCATAGTCCAGTCCGCTGTATTTGTAAACCCGGCATAGCTCGCCGCAACCGACATGCTAGCGGGAATATTCTTGGGATCAACGTAGAGGTTATCGTTACCAGCAGGTGCACCGCCCGCGGAGCCGCCAGATGGGAGATTGCCAGAGACCGGATCGTTCTTGGAGTTGCCGGAGCCGGTCTTGCCTGTAGGTGTAGGTGTGGGTCCTGAGTTTGAGGTTTTCATATTCATAGAGTTCGATGAAGGCGAGGACTGGAGCTTGGCGTTGTTGTTCGGATAGTTCATGTTGCCGGAAGGAGCGGAATTCGAGTTCGGTGAAACGGCAGGAGGGGCATCATAGCCACCAGTATTACCTGCATCGCCGTCAGCTTGAGCTCCGAAGTGGTGGCCTTTGGGTCCTTGCCATTGCCAGCGTCGTTTCATACCTGCACCTGAGCCGCTGCCGCCGTCACTCCCGGCAGGCGGGGCGCCACCACTGCCTCCGCTGCCGCGGTTGCCGCCTGAGCCACCGGATCCGCCAGCAGGAGGACCGCCTCCCGATGAACCTCCAGAGCCGCCGGGTCCGCCAGCAGGAGGACCACCTGCCGATCCTCCCTGGCCGCCGGAGCCGCCTGGTCCACCAGCAGGAGGACCACCTCCCGATCCTCCTTGACCGCCGGAGCCGCCTGGTCCGCCAGCAGGAGGCCCGCCAGCAGATCCTCCGGAGCCACCAGGACCTCCACCTTGGTTCCCACCTGAGCCGCCACCTTGACCTTCAGGAGCTCCACCTCCACTTCCGCCGGGTGCACCACCCATGCCACCTCCAGAAGCGCCTCCGCGGTGGTCGCCACCACCGCCTCCTCTTCCACCTTGGTGTTCACCTCCTCCCCAGCCACCAGCACCAGCACCGGCACCTCCGCTGCCGCCATGCTCGCCGCCGCCAGACTTCATCGACTTGCGTCCTCCGCCACCGAATCGGCCGCCACCACCGCCGTGTCCAGCTCGCTTGTCCAAGCTGAAGCCGGAGTCATCATGCTCAGCAGTGTCCCACCCTTGATTGTCCGCAACGCTGTCGTAAGCATCATCACCGTCGGCGACGTCTCGCTTCCAACCACCGCCGCGCCCACCACCCTGATAGCCGCCACCTGGACCGCCACCACCGGCGCCGTATTGACCGCCGCCTTGATTCCCATGCCCACCGCCACGATTTATGGGGTTGCCCCACTCGTCGCAGTCCTCCTTTGGTGGGGACTTGGGTGGGGGTGGAGGCGGAGACTGAGTGGTAGTAGTGGTGGTTGTAGTGGTCTTGGTGGTTGTCGTAGTTGTGGTAGTCGTAGTCGTGGTCGTGCTCGAGGTCTTGGTGGTTGTGGTGGTTGTAGTCGTGCTTGAGCTTGTGGACGGGCTCGTAGTGGTTGTGCTCGAGCTCTTAGTTGTAGTCGTGCTTGAGCTCGTGGATGGGCTCGTCGTAGACGAGCTAGAGCTTGACGATGACGTGCTGCTACTGGTCGCCGTGGTCGCACTTGAGGAGCCAGTCGTCGAGGTCGAACTTGTGCTTGAAGTCGAGCTGCTGCTGGAAGTCGTAGTCGTAGTCGTAGTGGTCGATGTTGTAGACGAACCAGAGCTCGACGTCGGTGGTGGTGGCGGATTGGAGCTGGAGATGCAATAGCAAGCGCTGGTCACGCGGTAAGGCTTGCCATCACAGCCGCCGAGGTATGTTGGAATTTCCATGTTGCTGGTCTTTGTATAGTCCTTGCACAGAGAGCTGGCAGCTGAAGACACATGTCCATCCAACATGTTGCGCAAGCAATTGTCATAATGACAGTTGGGGGGCAGGGTGGTCGTGCTCGTGCTCGAGGAAGATGTTACGCTCGTGCTTGGAATAGTGGTCTGGCTGCTGGTAGTTGAAGTCGAGCTAGTGCTGGCTGAAGATGAAGCCGAGCTGCTGCTACTTGGCGGCACAGTGCTTGAAGCTGATGAGGACGAGCTTGTGCTGGGAGTGGACGTGCTTGAGCTCGAAGTTGAGCTTGAACTCGAAGTCGACGACGTCGAGGATGTAACCACAGCCTTGCAGTCAGCTGGTCCGGGTGACACGCCTTTGGCAGGCTGCTTCGTGGACCCAGCCGGAATGACAATCTTCTGATCGATCAAGAGTTTGAGCCAATCAACCCCTGGATTGGCTGTCTTCAGACTCTCGAAGCCGATGCCAAAACTGTTGGCAATGGCCACACCATAGTCATTGGGAGCGACATTGTAGTACAAGCACGGGTTGGAAGAGCTTGCGGGAGGAGCCGACGTCGTCGACGACGAAGTGGTAGACGAAGTGGTCGTTGGAGTCGTAGATGAAGAGCCGCCTGTGTTGGGCAGAACAGCACTGGTAGACGAGCTTGGCGGGGTGATCGTCGTGTTCACCGTGACCGTTGTGTTCTGGCAAACCGTACATGGGATTGTAATGGTGATCAAAGAACAAGTGTTGCAAGAACTGGTGACGGTGGTGGTCATGGGCTGGCTTACAGAGGTGATCTGAGTCGTGTAGGGAGTTGTAACCGCAGAAGTCGACGACGAAGACGTGCTCGAAGTAGACGGTATAGTCGAAGACGTACTAGCACTTGAAGTGGTGGTGGCACTCGGAGCTGTGCTGCTTGATGAGCCGGGCTTGACGGCCGTTGAAGCACAAGCACTGCTGTTGACTCCACTGGATGGCCTCTTGGAAGGCATGCCAGGGACCTTGAGCGCGGTCCCAATCCAAAGCTTGTCCCAGTTGATACCAGGATTGGCCTTGTCCAACTCCGAGAATGATATACCAAAGCTGTCAGCGATCTTGACACCATAGTCACCCTTTGCAACTGTGTAGGTCAGACAGTTGGTTGTGTTACTGGGCACAGGCTGAACCTGACCACCAGTGACGGTGTGGACATTGGTGCTTGTCTTGGTGATGGTTGATGTAGCAGTAGTGACCTTGCAGACGGAGCACGAAGGAGCATTCGTCGGCACAGTCACGGGCTGGCTAACGGTCAGACTGTCGCAGTTCAGGCCAGGATTCGCAATGGTCAACTGCTCCTGACTACACTGAAGTAGGACGATAATCTTATCGCAGTAATCGCCCTTCTTCACCTGGTAGACGGTATTTGTCGCCGTTTGCGTGGTTGTCATGCTCGTGACGTTGGCATTCGTTGGCACCGGAGCAGTTGTGGTCATCGACTTGCAGCTGTTCAGGACTTGACCAATGAGCAATTTATCCAAGTCGCAACCAGGATTTGCTTTCTCCAGCTCCTCGAACTGACAGCCAAGTTTCGTAGCGATGCTCTTCCCATAGTCGCCTTTCTGGCACGTGTACTTGGCCATTGGAGCGGAAGAGGTAGCAGTTGCCGGGGTGGTGGTATTGCTGAACGGAGCGCTCGTACTGTTCTGATACGGAGCAGTGGTGTTTGCAAATGGCGCTGTAGTGCTTGCAGTACCATTCAGAACTTGGTTCGTACCGTTGCTCTTGAAGGGCGAATCTGGAGTGGACTTTTCAGGCACTGTGCCGTTGCCCAGAGTACAGTTGCCACCAGGCACTTTGAGAGTCTGACCTAGGGTAAGTTTGTCCCAGTCAAGGCCCTGATTCGCCGCGCTGAGCTCGTTGAAAGTGATGCCAATCTTCGAGGCGATCAGATATCCATGGTCGCCAGCTGTAACATTGTAGGTACAAGGCAGGTTCCGTGTCAGAGTTTGGTTGGTACACTTGACGTCTTGCCACTTGCCGGTGAAGCCGGCTGGGAATTCCCAGCTAGAGCAGGGATTGGGAGTGCTGATCTTGACGCTCTTGACATAGGCGCTGTACGGTACTTTGTTCATGTCGGTAATGCCACCAGCCCAGCCGATGACACCCGGGTTATTGTCCTTGTCGCCAGCGTTCCAGATGCCAAGATGCAGACGAGAAGGAGTCTGAGGGTGCTGATAAGCACCGTCCGTAGCTCCAGAGCTCTTCTGAGTCCTGACAACATTGCCATCGATCGACCACGTGATAGCATCTGGGGTCCAATCAACCACGTATGTATGAAACTTGGTCGTAGGCGAGTCAACTGCAGGTTGCGTCCCTCGATCGTAGTTGCCGGTGATGCCTTTGCCGAAGTAGTTGGTCTGGACCTTGCCAGTGGCAGAGTTGAAGTTGGAGCCGCTCCATTCCCAGTCGATCTCGTCGTGGTTATCGGACATCAAGACAGCACCAGTAACAACGCCTTGACCTGGAGCCGCCTGCAGTGTGACCTCAATGCGACCGAAGAGCACATAGAAGCTGGTCCAGATGTATGGGGCGTCCGTCTTTTTGGCGAATTTGAACTCGGCACCTTTGTCCGAGCCATAGTTGACGACTGCCTGGTCGGCAAGTGTCCAATTCGTGGGGAGAGCGTTGACTTTGGTGAAGTCAACGGTGTATTCATTGGTTGCCAAACCCGTGATGGGTGGGCAACTTCCTGTGAGCATGTCAGCGTCCATCTCCGCGACTGCGCCTGCTAGCCTTACCTTTGGTTGGATCGCACTGGGCTGCGACCTGAAGAGCGTACAGAAGTGTACTGATCAGTAGAAAGGATCTCATCTCTACCATGAGGGAGCCTCAATGCTTCCCGAAACCTATACTTTCTGTTAAAGCCGGAAGACTTGATGAGGAGGGAAAAGCACGAATGAAGCTCCCTGCCAATACAATATGATGATCTGGCAACGACGCATCAGTTCACGAACAAAGCGGCTTTCGTGTTCGGAGGGGTTCATGGTCATCTCAAAGGACAAAGGTTGAGTGGTAGTCAAAGGAGCATTTGGCCGCATGCGGAAGCCTGGCGGTGAGGGAGCAGAGGGTGGAAATTTGCGCTCTCATCGAGTCCGTCCACTGTGAAGACTTCATTGTGCGATTCTCTGTCTGCTGCTTTGTCCTTTGCGAGATTACCTGATGTATATGGCAACGGACGCATGATGCCGGTGGAAGTTAGGCTTGGCAGGCAAGCCGATCCAGGTTTGTCGCCTACAGACTGGGCGCGCGTGAAGGAGCAGAAAGCAATAAGTGGCATCGGTATAGGCAGCGTTAGAATAGATTACGATGGGCGAGGCTCAGTGGACGGAAGGTCGATACATCATATGTACAGGAACAGAAGATGGAAGTCGTTGTGCCCCATGTTCGAGGTTAGGTTGATGGCTTGGCGGCAGGCTTTTCGCGCCCGGAAAGCCAAAGGGGGCAAAATCGAAGAGACATCCTTTCGGCGACCACTTCATCATGACTTCTGTCTGTTCCTGCGAAGCGACGTCTGAAGTAATCAAATTTTCACGGATTCATGTAATGTCCGCCGCTCGATGATCTACAGTGCTTATACCATACTAAAATTGCCAGCGCACGAGCCTCACACCGCAAGCAGGAACCCCTAAGCACTGACCATGCACATGCCACCACAACCTTAGGGTTTTTTCTAGGGTTTGTGCACAGCCGAGAAGTATGTACGAAAATCCCAGCACAACCTCAATGAATCCCAAAGTACAGCCCCGTGAAGGCGCAGATCATGTCGTAGGCTCCGGTCTGAGGACACAAGTAGGGTCCAAGAACGCCGCATCAACCAGATAATTGACTGCGAAGCCTGTTCCGGTGCACAGACCCGGCACGCAGCTGAGGCCGGTCCTTGTGCGAATGACCGTCGCCGTGGTTGAGGTAGGAGTGCAGCGATCAGTCGCCTCGCAGGAGACTACTGGTTGGACTTCGTATTGCGTGATGGGGAGGATCAGGTAGTTGGTAGCTTGTGCAGGTACGGAGGGCCCCGAAGTTGTTGGAGGCTGAACGTGGGAGTCGACGGTGGATATGTCATATTGACATCCCAAGTGAATGTGTCTGACTGAGTGCCAGTCGTGAAGCTCGGCTCTGGGCTGCTGAAGCCGAACGTAGAGGCCGAAGGACTGCCGCCGGAAGTAGTTGGGGCTACGACGGTGCCAGATGACGCTGGCGTGCCACCAGATGCGGAGCCGGTAGTCGTGGTGGTCGTGCTGGGATCCTGTGGCACTGCTTGCGACACGGTCGAGATCAGGATCGGTGAACAATTGTCGCTTGTCTGGCCGTCTGGAAATACGACCGAAACCTCTTTGACTCCATCGCCTGCCACTCCACTGGCACAGAAAGTGGCCGTTCCGAAGGTAAGTGAGCCTCCCTGGATTTCCCAGTAGAAAGGAGTGTTCACTGGTGGCTCAGTAACTTGCAGTGAAGCTACGCCACTGTCACTGCTTGGCCCAATGACGACACCGTTGCCTGTAAACGTACATTAGCATAGCTACGACTCTTGGATACACCGAGATCTGATGAGCAGTTGTCCAAGCTGCATGGAGCGCTGCTTTATGGACAGTGAGGGCGCTGCATCACGAGAGACTTTTCAGCAATGGAGCAGAGGGGGCTTACTTATGAGCGCACCGTTTGCATCAACAGAAAACACAGATGCCTCAGTGAAGTCCGTGACCAATACAGCGAATCCATCCAGACCGATGGCAATGTAGTAGATTGCACGCTTGACGCGCGGCAATTCAGCCGTGACAGCAATGTAGGACTCATCACCAGCCCCAAGCGTCGGCTCAGGAGTCGAACTCGTCGTCTCGGTGCTCGTGGCAGGCGGCGCTGTTGTCGAGCTCGCCGTATATGGTCTCGGGGTGGCGTAGGTCTCCCCTGCTGGACCGTATACCACCAACGCAGCCTCTTGATAGCCACCAACTTCGTTCGCAGGCGGTGTACTGGTAAGGTCGGAGAAGGCAGTGCAGTCGCCAGGCCCTTCGTATGGAGCATTCCAGAAGACACCGACGCATCCCACATCAGGCGGCTCTACCGACTCAAGTGGGAAATCATTGACGCAGTAGTTGATACAGTCTGTGTAGGTGTCGACTGTCGTCTGCCCTAGAGGATCGCCTAGGTAGACAGTGCTGTAGACGTGTCAGCATGACATGGGGCGATATGTTGCGCACGAAGCTTGAGACTCACTTGCACTGCAGCTGATAGGTATACCCTCCGGTCGCTGGAAGTGATTAGCAAGGCAATTATTCCCGAATGGCCACTTCGTACAGTAGAGATAGCCATCGTAGTCATCGCATTTAGCCTCCGGTGTGTAAGGGGGGATGTCGACTGCCTCTGGCACGGGAGGGACGTTCTCGTCCTGTCGGCGCTCAATCTGAAGCACATCAGTCCTTGCATCACGATAGCAGCGACAGACTCACTTTGGCAAAGCCATCAGCCACCACGGCTTGCTTCGCTGGTATCTGAGCGTATCTCTTAATGTGAAGGCCTTTCGAACCAATCTGTCCAGGTTGAAAGGCGGCACCGAGGGCGGCGAAACCTAGAGTCAGTATTATCGCATGCATGCTGGCCGCTGTCGGTGCTGTCGGAGGGATCTTGCAGTCGCGTAGTCATGTTGAGCCGCAAGGTCGACATATCGACTCAAGTCGTGTTGTGAGTGCACGGTCATTCCCGCTGTGACCCGTAATTCAAGGGAATGCTTGGAGTGGGCTTCAGTCTGCAAGGAATTGTCGGTGCGGACAATATCGTCGAAAACGCGTGGCTGGCATGGACGTGAAGCAGTAGTGATGTACCATGTCGTGGACCATCATGCTCACAGTACCCTGCTTCTCGTTAGATACACACGACAGATGCAAAGCACAGTGAGTCGGCGAGTTGAAGGAATACGAATGTCGCTTTGGGTAAATGCATGCTTCTGGCGCCAGTTCACCAAATCAGAACCAGTAGAAAAGTGCCGCTTATCCCCCATTCGATCATCGGCTCCCGCCTACAATGCCAAAAGAACCCTGCTCGCATGCACGTCTCCTCCCCGGGCGAACCACTCCGATCACCAGTTAGCTTCGCTCGTGATTCGATGCCCAAACTAATTTGACCTTGTTGGTCGCTATGCTGGAGCCCTGTTGGATGCTGCATCCTCGATAGACGTAATGCAGCATGGGTGAGCTTTCTGTTGCTGGAGTAGTCGGCGGCGTAAGGAAGATATTGTGTCATAGCTTTCGTTTTGCACTCGCAGCCTGCCCAACACAGCTTTTGACTGGGCCTGGAGGGCGCAGCATAATTACGCGAAGGCATCAGCCCTTGCTACCCGTCGTCTGCCGCTCGTGTCCGACTGGCACGTGGGTCGCTCACGCGCGCAGCCGTACCCTCATCATCCCCAGAAGATCGATTGGCGTAGAGCTCTCTTCCTGGCATTCCCCTAGACCGCTTGATGAAGGGACTGGCTGACAGTTTTTGAACATCAATGACTCGGTCGTTGCAATGCTAATCGTGGTTTAGTGGTCGTAATGCATTCATCGTGCTGTCAATCGATATCGAACTTAGACTCGCGACAGATTTGAAGTGTTTAGCGCCTCGTAGCTTCTCACGCCTGAGATCGTTACTGCCATACATGGCTTCATCTCGTGGACACCGCCATTCTCTTGTTGCTGGTGAAGTCGGCCTTGCGATTGTCCCAATGCCTCTTGACAGCTTGCTGGCCCGTGGTGTTGTTGTACTCAGGAAAATTCCGATAGCAATTGAAGACTGCAAACTCCAGATTTCCCATCACGTATGTCGACGGCTCGGCCAAGATATTCCGCCATATCCGGCTCACTTCTTTCTGGAGGACCACTTTAGCTTGAGTGTCGTTGGTGCCATCAGGATTGTCCTGGACCATCCTCAAAGCCTGCTCGACGGAAGGCACACGGGTCATCTTTATTGTATTTATCGGTGATTGCTGTCAGTGAGATCGGTAGCGAGATTCATTGAAGAAGTGAGGCTTGACGCAGGGCTTGTAGAAAAACGTGGTCGAAAACCGAGCTGTGACCGAAAGGAAACGTTCATGAAGGATTGATATATACTTTCCGAGCTGGTCATATTCAAGCATTCATGGTCGAAACGCAACGACTGAGTTTACCAATGCTGTATGTGTGACCGCTTTGAGAGGTCCACACGACATGACATGGTGGCACCAAATACCGAACAATGCTCATTTGTAGCTTAAGCGAGAGTTACCTTGTGGATGGCCGTATACTTTGGGAGGGAACAAAGAGGATCGCTGACAGCGGCATGTGTGAAGCGAGCCTGTGACCGACTGCCAACGCAGGTTGCCATAAGCCTTGATGCGAGGTCATGAGAGTGTGGCAGGAGGCGTGTTTCGGTTTCGACAAAAAGTGAGTGACATCTAACTTTCACGATATAAAGTTTGACTCGCGATGTGGTGCTGCTGGCACGCCTTTGGAAAACATCCATGCCCAACCAAGGCCTATCCTCCGATGTTAAAAATAAGATCGACTTGCCCCTGTCTACGAAGAACCTATTCATGTGCTGTGGCCACTGTCCGTTCTGAGCCATCATGCTTTGATAGCGAGCAACAGAGGACGATGATGAGCCGTCCCCACGTTGATAGCAGTAGTGGACTTCGGCCTCACGCGCCGGGACCCGCGAACAAAGTCCCACATTGCAACCCGTCAAGCCAATGATGACTTCTGCCATGTGTGAGACCCAGCGCACGTCAGGTTGTTCGAGATGATGTGCGGTGTGTCACCTAGCGCGACCATGAGGTTGTGTGCGCAAAGATACGAGTACCATCGACTCACAGCCGTTGGCTATTTAGCCGGGCCAAGATGCATCACGCAAGGGTTGTGAGTCGGGCGCTCATTGCCCGCCAATCGAGATTGCAGCCGAAGGAAAACTCTGTGCTTAAGCAAGACGCAAAGCGCAAACGATTCAACGTCAGTCAGACTAGAGTGGGATCTTCTGCAACTATGCTCGCTGTTATTGTTGCTACACCTTGTCCCGCGGGATGGCTGACTTTCGCGAAACCATCTCGTTCACGAGTTTCGTGATGATTACGGCTTCTGCGACGAATTTTGAGTTTGCCAATGCCCTACTCTGACAGAGGCGAGACGCTCTCTTTCCAGTAGGTGGTGAACTCTTCCAGCCCTGCCAGAGGACGGAAGGTAAGTCCTGCCAACGACTGGGCAGGCTCTGACCTGTGAAGTGATGTTGTGTAACCAACGTCTCTACACCGCATCGCGACAGAAACATCTGTGCTCAGCTCGGTTGGAAGCAACCTGGCTGGGAGACATTTTAACTTTAGGGATTGTCGCGCAAGCACAGGCACTCGGCCAATTTTCGTGTACATCAGGTGCACTTACGTCGTAGGTGTCTCCTCTCTGGAGCCGTGCGTTGTTCGGCTTCAAAACAGAGGCACTCGAAGGAGCTCGGGATCAATCTTGCTACAAATCTCACCTTGCCCACAGGATAGATCCACTGGTCATAATGATGAGGTTTACAGCACAGCAAGAGGCTCGAGCAGCAGCCTCGTGGACAGTGGTACTGCCGATTGGGTTTTTGGCTAATGCCTGAGCTAGAGCTTATCCCGAAGCACGAATTCCAACTTCTTCGGGAACAGTAGGCTCGAAACTACCACTCGAAACGGCATGCCACTCTCATATGCCGAGCTTGCCTCACCGCATATGCCAAGTTCGGTCCTTCCGTGAGACCCGCGTGCAAGTTGATGCAGCGGATTTGCTTGTACGTGCTTGGTATTTGGAGGCAACGAGGCTCTCGGCTGGTGCAGAGATCAAACCCAAGGCAGCTTCCGCATGCGGCGTCTTTGACCACAATGGGTGACGTTCAGGTGGCAAAATGGAGGATCGAGACCGGTTGAAATGCATTCGTCGCCCAGCAATCGAAGCACTGAGTACGACGAACTGCTCGTACAGACCTTTTGTGAGCTGTGCATGATATCATCCAGCTGCTGAATCTCGGGTGCGGTACTTGTCAAGGATTTGAGTTGCCAACTCGTGATGCTGCGCATCATTAAGAGCTCTACTCCAATGGCGTGCGATTCAATCTCGTGTACTAGTCCTCAAAGATACAGGCAGAAACAACCCCAGACATGCAAGCTAGGAGCTTGTCAGCCGCCACAAAAGTACTTTTACATTGGGGTAGTCATGGCTCGCTCTTGGTGCAGACTCGTAGCGAGCAAAGCGACTGAAGGCTTCTGATCATACAATGACAGGCTGGCACGCAACTCGCAGTGTTCACCTACTTGATGCTGGACATCAAGCTCTGCTGAACTTGGGAACCATCATGAAAGCCTCGTGATCAGAGCCAATGCTGCGGTTTGTGTGAGTGGGGAACCTCCATCGGCCGGTTTTGGTGATAAGATATGATGCACCGACCTTTTGGAGCCGATCGGCATGAGACGTTTCGAAGTCAAAGTATGCCATTCCATCACACTGCCTGATCGGTATGTCGCCTTTGAGGCACAGGTCCGAGTGACTGGCAAGTAGTCTGCATCAGAAGATCCCCATAAGTTGCATGCTGGCCGTCAAGATCGACGGTAAAGTTTTGGATAAGCTTTGTGAGCATGTGGTACGCTTCTCGCAACGTGCGTCCCAAGGTTTCCAGGCGCGGTTTTCACATCCGTGGGTGCCTAAATGTCGTGACTTTGGCTCGAGACTCGAGAAGTCACAAACCTTTGCAGTGAGTTCAATACCCATCATCCCGTCTTTTCCTGCATTTCATCTCCTGTTTGAGTTTCATAATCTGCAATGCTGACGAATCGCCAAGTCTCGGGACAATTATGTCCGACTTGATGCCAGAATCGACTACGACCCGGATTTGAGCTGGAGTACTCTAGTTGGTCGTTTGGACGTCTCCGGGAGCCACATTGCCGATGGAAAAGGCAATCAAGGCGTCTGATACTGCCTTCTTTGAGCTACTGAGTAGCACACGGCAAAATCGGCAGTTGAATCTGCTGGCGCGTGAACTCTATCAAGTTGGTTGCTGTGCGCATTGCTGAATTGCACTACATGAAATCGTCGTCGTAGAAATTTGGGTCTCGATCTTGATTACTGACCTAGATATTGACTTGTCAGTACGTCGCATCCACAGTAGACTTGAACCTAGGCAAATGCATCCCACGTCCGGTCGAGTGCCCATTGCAAACGGGTACGTCAGGGAACATACCATGTTGGACTCATCCATTAATTCGTCGTAGGCATGTTCCTTCTCCCACTTCAGTTGATCTCTCCGTCTCTTTTCATCTCGTTCCCTAGCCTTCATGTCTTCTCGCTTCAGTCTGTCAGCCTTACGCTTTTGCGCGAGATCGGCTTCCTTCTCAGCTCGAAGATCTGGCGTTCTCTCCTCTCTGGTCTTATTCAGACGATTCACGATGGGATTTTGTCGTGCGGCAACATGTACTTTCTTCACCATCTTTTGGTCGTGCTGCCAGATATACGTCAGTGCTACGACTCCGGTCAGGGCGCACTCTGGTGGGCCCGCTGGAGATTAACATACAAATGACACCTGCCCGGTCGCCATAGAAGCATCCTTGCGGAGATTCGACCACGGCGTATAAATTATGGTGACATTGTCTTTCTTGTTGCCTAGATGTATCAAGTCAGATTTGAATATGCACTCGTCGTGTCGGCACGATACCTTCGATAGAATTGGCCTTGGTGAGCTGCGCAGCATCCTCCAACAATGCCTTTGGGATTGTCGTCCAGTCGTCGCCAACTTTCAGTCGTAGATATACATGGGCGCTGGACAAGTTGTCGACGTGAAACTGCAATCATGTGAGCCATAGTGACCGTTTCCAATTGTCCGCTTCCTCGTACCCTGCTATTTGTTAATGCTGATCATAGAGAGAACATCATTGACGCCTACCAAACATCCTCGTCCCAGCCAAATCTTATTAGATCTTCATCTAAGAATGCCTCAGCACTTACGAACCATATAATTCGGAATGCTCACTTTCGACTTTGTCCTTCCCCATATATACGAAGGCAGGAGGGTCAACGACATTCGATTTGAAGTAGTACACCATCGTGACTAGGCTAGGCCCAAAGCAGGCGCCAATGTCCAATGGAAATGTCTCGATTCGCTGCCTGCAGGAAATGAGTCGTCACGTTGACATCGAGAATCTACGCTGACGGGTATCCTGGCGTTGAAGACGATGCCGGACGTGGGTCAAGGTCTCTCAGGGTGGGAGGCTTGTGGTCTGAAGTTCGGCGAGCGAGTTCTTCCGGTCCGCTGCCACGTGCAAAGTGGATGTTCTGCTGCTAGATGCGGACTAGCGCCTAGGCTCGAAGCCGGGGCGACAGCAAATGCCGGCTGGCATCACTTTCAAGTTGATTTCTTGAATATTGCCTGTGCCCTTCACCTCTACCTGTACAACACATCGCCAAGCCTATCCACCGACCACACTCTCTCTCTTCTCATACCTCCGCCCGTGCGCATATCTGGACATTCATCATTGGGATCTTTGGGACCGTCGAGACCTTTGTTTGGCGCGCCCCAACCACCTGACACTGCCCTGTTGTACCTGAAGAGGTCTGCAACGACTTGCAGCCTTTGATCGCATTCGGAACGGCCTCATGGCTACCACGGAAGGCCCTGCAAGGCCTCATGGTACGATCATGGCATATACAGGTTCTGACCAAGCGCTAACCTCGACAGATCGACACGCTCGAAGAAGGCCGTTCGCGAACTGGATGAAGCGACTTGCGAACTTGAAAAGCTTGCACAATGATTCGAGTCAATCAAACGGTCAGAGGACGTCCGCAGTGTCCGCCACGGCCAAGTCCCGAAAGGACAGCGTGCACAAAAACAATCCATACCCATACTCTGGCAATCCCGAGCCTCAAGACCGCCCAGCCTATTCATCAGATGCCGCGTCGCCCATAGCATCGCGCCCGAGCTCGACAACGCATAGTAAGCGATCGTTATCACCATCAAGATCAAGCCATGGCCAGCCGAAATCTCGGGCGCCTACTCTTGCCACAACCGCCGAAACCACGCACTCGGATGTCGCACCGTCAGGGGTCGGCACAAGCGGAACAGCAGCGCGCACAGACGGTGATCGCAACAGCACGTTCTCGTCTCCAGCGCCGTCATTGCGCTCCATGACAACGACTCTAACGACCATCCAATCCACGGCTCCAGCCCTACACAACGCTACGAATCAGTCAAACCAAGCATTTTCCTCCTCATTCTATCCGACTCAGCCCGCCACCGCCATCCCATCTCACCTAGCACCCCTGGCTCACCCTACCACTTACTCAGGCGCCACCGCCAACAACGTCCTCACCGACGACGCCTCAATTTTGACACTAGCGTCCTCCTCGAAACGCCGCAGGCGCAACAGCGTCGACACCAATGCCTCAATGAAAGCCATCCCGCCTGCGTCGATGTTTGGCGGCAGCCGCGAATCTTTACCTCTCTCCGTACTTAGTGGCACGGTCATCCACGGCGACCGGCAAGCAGATAACGCGTCTTTGAGAGACGCATCTGGAACATATGCTAGCTCGAAGCTGAATCCCGAGAGGGCAAGCTTGATATCTGCTTCCGGCGTCACGGCGCCTGCGCTGGCGAGCGAGAGGAATAGCTATATTGGCAGTGCCAAGTACGGTGGTGATGCGGCTAGTGTGAGGAGTGGGCTGTTGGGAAGCAGTGGTGGACCGCTGCATGGGAGGAATGACAGCATTAGTGGAAGTATTGGTGGCGGGTTGGAGAAGAAGGACAAGGACAAGGAGAATCTGGGGAAGGAGTAGAGGTGGAGTGTGTCATCTGTTGTTTTGTCAGGCCGACGTGCAATACTGCATTTCTAGAGGATAGAGGCTTGGTGTATGGACAGGAGAAACAGTACGCTATATTGATACCCAACGATGCAGAGGCTGGAAGCTACAGCACTAGGAAAGAAATGAGGCTGAAAAGATATTATTTGGAAGTTTGCTGTGTGCACTGTATTTACAAATTCCTTGCCCTTCGCACCTCAGCGCCCGCCCCGAGGCCTGTATCCGACCAACTCACCCATTTGCTACCTTTACCGGAATCCCGCGATTACTCTCCATGGAGTTTGTCAAGATCACGCGTCTCTGTGGCTTCTGCAACCGCTTCCAACGCTGAATTGATCTGCTCCTCTTTGGTGTTGGCTGTTGACGGTCGCTCCTTATCTTCTGTAGTGGCTTCGGGCGCCGGCTCCGCAGAAGCAGGAGGAGCTGCTCGCTCGGCTACATCTGGTGTGGCTGTACGGACGGGTTCTTCTTTCAAAGTTGAGCCAGTATTAGCATCTTGCAGTGCTGCGTCCGGTAGTGATGTGTGAGCTAGCTGTGCTGAGTCGGTCTTGCTATCGACGTCCTGGCTTGATGGGTCCTGGTCGGTTGTGGTGGTGGATTTGTCCTCGTCTCGGACGATGGTGAGGAGTTGTTGCTCAACATGGGACTGCTCTTTGGACAGTTCGGGCTCGGCCTTGATATCGTCTTCCACATGTCCACTATTAGTACCATTTGTTGCGCCATTGGTGTGACCGTTAGTGGCTGGAGGTGCTGCTTCCAAGTGGCCATTCGTTGCTTCTGATTTCTCCGTCACCTCATCAGCGGGCCCGTCCGTCGACGGTACAGCTGGCGCAGCTGTCTCAAGCGGGCCATCGGTCACTCGCTCCTTCGTGCCCTTCAGTCGCGCCTCAACAATAACGCCAAAGCCGGAGTCGCTCTTCCACACCTTGACTAGCTCACAACCTGCGTCCTCCAGTACCTGCCGGAAGCAGGCCTCTGTGCGTTGCTTGCCACCCATGTTGAACATGGTGATGTCGAATGAGGCGAGCGTGAGGTCGTTGGGTGTGACGTGCTCCGGAAGCAGGAGGTCCGCAATCAGTATCTTGGAGTCGTGAGACATTGCTGGGACTAATTTGGAGATGATGTCGGTGCAGAAAGGGTCTGAGAAGTCGTGGAGGATTCGGCGTAGGAAGTATGCTCTTGCTCCTGGACAAGTTTATCAGCATCACAGTGAAGCCGACGGTATTGGAGATTCTTACCTTTGACCGGCTGTTCCGTGAAGAAGTTGTGTTGTATGCGCTGGACCGATTTTGGCAGGTTCTCATTTTCGGACGCCTTCTTGATGACTGGTGGTAGGTCCTCCAGGACGAACTTGCTTGGGTCGAGTTGAGGATACGCTTTGAGAATCTGTGCGATTACATGACCTGCACCGCCTCCCACATCGACCATGCTAACCCGATCATCATCGCCCTCTCCCAGTTGTCCGAAGTCATAGTACCCAAGGAGTGGTATGCTGGCATCGGCATGTGCAAGGCCTGCTTGGAATGCGTGCAGACGTTCGGGGTGCTGAGCCATGATCTCGTATATGGGCGTGCCTTCTTGTTTGTGGTTCCAGGCATAAGGGCTGTATCTCTCGTCCATTGGTTCTTTGAAGCCTTTGTCTGCGAGATACATGTGAAGATTGGAGATCATGAGAAACGATTCATCATACACAAGCTGGAAGAACATGCCGGGACCCGGCATCAACGTATATGCATGCGAATGCTTGGTATGAGCATAATGATATGGCTCTGGCGATTTCAAGAAGCCTGTACACACCAGTATACGCAGAAGTCGTTCTAGCAGTTGCGGACTGGCCGAGGTCTGACTCGCGATATCGTCCAGGGAAGTTGGGCCAGGGTATGCTATCGCATGCAACGCTTTGAGGTGCAGACAAGTACGGATGGCGACCAGCTCGTTGGCGTTGGCTATTTGAGCGTCTACTGAGTCGAATGGATTTCGCACTGTGTTGATGAGCTCTTTTGCTTGGTTGATAATAGTATTCCGCGCTCCAATGCCTTCCATCGATAGTGAGTCGTCATAGTTCGCCGCGGCCTCAGTCAGGCTCTTGACCAACGCTTGGACTTCATCCTTTGATGGTAACATCGACATGGTCCTAGTCGGCTGCTCGTTCAGGTTTTCGGTGCAGTACTTGACCTACCGGTGTACCGTTGGCAGTGGTCGAGATGCAAAGTGAGGGGCTGAAACACTTCTTATCAAACGAGCCTAGATGAATGCTTTGTTGGCGCAGAAATCAGCCATGCCTTCGTGACCAGGTCAAATGAAGCTAACTAGCTCAGCTGCGGCATCAAACGAGCTCCTGCTCAACACATGCTTTGTTCTTCCAGAATCCAGATTCAAGTGACCGATCTGGCCATTTCGTTCTTCGCCTAGTGCTCGCGCGGGATCCGCGGCCATGCTTTAGCTTACATGTTGGGTGTGCGCATCCCCTACGCGTGTAGGCAGCGCGTCTTGAGCTCCGTTGGCTATCTGCGTCGTATTCGAAAGCTTCCCAGCAGCTCGTCAACCAACCCCCGCGCCCACCAAGAGCCGCTGTCAAAGACCGTTTGCCCGCATGAGTCAAGATTTGCACGTTAAGAAGACTAGAGCGCTGCCGGCATCCCCTGGAGCTCGCCTCGACGAAAATGGATATGAGAGGTGTGACACAAGACAGTCCAGCTTGCACCGGCGTGCGGACCGGGCCCTAGGCGTGGAAGCTCAGTCGACAATCGCAGATCCACTCGCCAGGGTCTACATCATGCCGAGGAGCTCGACCAACACCCCAACCCTGTAATCAGCGCCCCTTCCACCAGCAACTTGCGATTTGATGCGACATCGTGCAGCTTTCAGCTAAGCGCTTGTTCGTGTTCCGCTTCCCGGTCAACAGCTGTCATACACTGATGGGGATTGGCGCAGTAAATGCTCGGCTAAGAAGGTCCACGAACAGACGAAATTCAACAATTGCTCCTTCCTAGGATCAGACCACGGGTGGCTGCCGACTCGCAACCATGCCCAAATAATCTTTGTACAGCGCAGCAAGAGCGATGTCGTTATCGACGTCGGCTTTCGTGTCCCATAAGTTGACACGTCTGTCATGATATTGACAGATATCCCCAGGTTTGCATGATGCACATCTATGCGTTGTTCACATGATCCGAGTACAGCGATTCATCCTGCGCACGTTACACGGGAGGGTCCTGCGCTCGAAAAGCCTTTCTTCTCGACTGAGTCTGCATGGCGCTTCACCAGCAGGTATTCAACATTGAGCTATGTCTTCTCTCGATATCTCAGACCTTGATAGCGTGACTCTCGAGCCGGACTACTTCTCGGACGAGGGCTATGCGGAGTCGGTCGGTACGTCATATGCGACCAGCATCGCTTCAGAGATCAGGAGAGGCATCGAGGAAAATGGCCGTACTTATCCCGCCTACGGCATGAATGAGTATGGACTGCCTGTCGATGAGGCCGAACAAGATCGCAATGACCTTCAACATTGCAAGTTCATGCTCATTCTAGGCGACCGCCTACACCTGGCTCCCATCCGCAATGATCCCACAAATATCCTCGACCTTGGAACAGGTTCAGGTATTTGGGCAATGTACGTATACTGTCCATGTTGCTCTCTCGTGCTAACAGCGTAGTGACATGGCAGATAAATACCCCACGGCTCAAGTCATTGGCGTCGACATTGCCAACGTGCAGCCACAATGGCTTCCCCCAAATTGCGCCTTTGAGATTGACGACGTCGAACGCGACTGGATTTACAAGCCTGACTCCTTCGACTTCATACACGGTAGGGAATTCCTGCTTGCGATCAGAGACTGGAGCAAGCTCATCAAGCAATCGTACGATCATTTGAAACCGGGCGGCTGGCTCGAGCTCTCATCTACTCTACCAGACGCTGGAAGCGACGATGACACGATTCCTGAGAATAGCGCCTGGGTCCAATTTACTCAAGTTTTCTTCCAGATAGGTGAGATCATTGGGGCATCGGGCCACGCTCCAAAGACTTGGAAGGCAAAAATGTTGGAACAAGGCTTCGAAGACGTGCATGAGCACATTTTCAAAGTACCTTGTAACGCATGGCCAAAGGATCAACGTTACAAAAACATCGGCGCTCTGGAGCTAGCCAACCTGGATCGAGGCGCCGAGGCAATTCTGATTCGAGGCATGACAGGTGTGCTCGGGAGGACGAAGGAAGAGGCTCAGGTCCTCTTTGCAAAAGCTCGACAAGAATCACGAGACTTACGAATGCATGGTTATATACGATTTTACTGTGTGTATGGGCGAAAGCCGTCCAAGAAGGCCTACAAGGATGAATGAAGGGGCGCATAAGGCGCTGTCGCAGATTGCACAGTCCATTGTTCGGATTTGTGGTTCGCATTCCTGAGGAGCCCCTTGCGCTTGGTCCACCCAACAACAAGATTCTTACTCCCCTTCTCCAAGCGGTCGCGACAACAACACGCATCTTCCGACACGCTACAGAGCAGGAGTAAGGTTTCGCAGAGATGTTTCCCTCGTCAGATCCCGCAATTCCAAAGCTAGATTCTTTAGATGACCTTTTCGACGACGACCCGACCATGCCCAGTTCTGTAGGGGAGACGGGCTACACAGGCCAGCCTAGGTCCATATCGAACCTGACGGCCGACTCAAATTCGATGGAAATCATGCCATCACTTGAGATGGCAGCAATCAAGTCAGCACGCGCTCCGGAAGACCACCATGTCAACAGCAGTAACGAAGTATCATTCGTGACCTACGACGAGTTCGCTCCGGTGCAACCACCTTCCCGGTCGTCCAAGACCGCATCCTACTCTGGTTTGTCGACAAGTATCAGACCGTCATTCCCAGGCGCGCGAATGTCGCAGCCGGTAGACGCACCACATTCGCCACCGGAATCACCTGCAGACAGTCACGCCGAACGCTACCCTGACGATATTCGCAGATCAGCTTCGTCGACAGACGCAGACTTGTTCAGTGACGTAGAAGATTCTGACTCGGAAGACGAGCCTCGGGCTTCGAGCCAACAGAGACAGCTGATATTCCTATAAGCGCGAGCGGCGGCCTTGGTCTCAACGATGAGATCGTCAACTATGGCGACTCCAGTGATGTTGGAGACCACGAAGAGCCTAGTCACCTTGAAAGCATAGATTTTGGATTCGGGCCGGGTGTTCGGGAGGCCAAGCCAGAAGTAAACAGGTTTCGAACAGTGTCGTGCGATTCATATCCAAATGCAAACTCTCCTACAGAATCACAACTCGTCGATGAAGGCTTCGAGTTCCATAATCAGTTGCCAGAAGAAAAGCAAGCGACCCAGTTCGAGGACGAAGCCTTTCGCGACGCTCTGAAGGACATCTCACCAGATCTGCCGAGGAAGCAGCAATGGTATGCATGGCGGAAGGTGATGGATGCGCTGGACCATGCGCAGCCAGAAGAAGAGGAGGAAGACCTCTTTGACGACTCAGAGCTGCCAAACGACTTCTCGCTGGGGTCACTGGCAAATCACACCTTTGGTGGTTGCCAGTGTGGTGGTGACGAGAGCAAATGCTCTTGTGCTCCCGAGCATTGCAGCTGTAGTGGTTGCCCACGCAAAGCCAAGGCACAAGACAACGACGCGCTAAGACATGCCTTACCCACCACCAGCGAAGAGGAGCCACAAGATGTTCCGATGGTCATAGGCTACACGCCGATAACCCCTGCATTCCCGAATCTTCAGTACACCCAGGCTATGCTGGCTCGTGAAGGTTCAGCTGTCAAGCACACACTTCCTGGTCTAGGCCATCTCAATGAGGACGAGGGTCCAAACCACGGCAGCACCCTTGAATACGCTGGCGAACTCGACAGCCTCAATCCCAACTGTGGCTGCAGCTGCGGTACCACCTGTAGATGTCCAGAAGGACAATGTCGCTGCCAGAAATCGGACCAAGCCACCTCGGCTGAGATACCTCCCGAAACTACTGTTGAGCAGCTCTTCGAAGATCCATTCAAGCGTCCTGCGGCTTATTTCCACCCGCAAGAAACGTGGTCCGATGCCGCGACAGCAGCTCAATCACCTGCACCGTCCGAGCTTCGAGAACCTAGAGGACCAGAGCCGCCCTTTCCTCAGATCGCTACTCAGCTCAGTCATGCCGCTACCTTCAGTGCGAACGATGCCCCCACGCCAGAGCCGGGCCCGAGGTCGCCAAAGCGTTACTCACTGGCTCCGGGATCGCCATCCAAAGAGCCTGTGAGTCGTCCAGATACACCGAGGCCGCAAGGAGATTCTTATGAGTATGGAATTCGAGAATCAGTCGAGCCTGAATTACCCACGCCCATCTCTCACAGGGAAACGACGCCAGCGTATGAGGATCGATCGGGAACGCCGTCGCCTATCTCACATCAGACGCCGTCGGATACGTCCATGCACGACGCGACGCCCACCCAGATACATGCTCAGGATGCATTCACGAGAGGAGTCCCTGATATGTTTGAGAGGGAAGGGTCAGTGCTACCAGATGCACCAGCTGTCGAGCGGACACTGGACTCGCCGCCCGATTCGCCCATTTATTCTGCGATGCCACCTGTCCCAGCCATCCCCGCAGAGCACCTCCACAGCTATGAGAGGCAACACACCAGCGTTCCCACACAAAGTATAGAAGGACATGGCCCACAGTACAGCCAGATTCCTGTGCCACCAATGCCTAACTCGCCCACACTCAAACCGCGCAAGCAGCGTGCGACCTCGACGAGCAATGCAGCTGCCCGACGCAACACAAAGTCCGCTGTGCATGGCTCAAAGATCAGCAAAGCACAGCCGAAGCAGAGGAGTGTGACTCGGAAAGCGACCGGCAAGAAGGTTCAGGCAGCAGTCAATAAGATTGAAGACAGCGTTCGGAAAGCTGAACAGGAAGAGGAAGTCGAAAAGCAAAGGGTTAGCAGTAGTGGAAGCGCGAAGAACTGGGCCGTTGAGAACAATCAGAAAGATGGTAGCCCGCCTCGGAGGAGTGCGCGGTTGCGGCATAGGACGGTGAGCCCGAGTCCATTGCATCTGTAAGGACTCGTAGTTCCGCATTGTTGACGAAAGGGCATAGTTAGTGGTCAGGCTGTGGGGGAAAGAGATTTATATTCGCTCTGTACAGCTACTATGTACGAATCATGCCATACTTCTCTAAGACTGTCAACGGACGGATGAGCTGTGCGCTATCTCAGCCTAGTGACATCGTATGGTCGGCACTGTCTCTCTGGCTGGGATTCCTGCACGTTGCCTTCGCCGACCACCTGGGAATGTACTTGTGTCTTACCAGGGACCTGACGGCAGGTTCACCGACACGCCTTCCAATTGCCCAGGTAGAGCATTTTGGTTTACAGCCCCGAATAAAGAAAAATCCGACCTCGAGTAAGCGCTCTGCTGGACCTGGCGTATTCGCGCGATGTAGGCCACGTTGACTGAGCCGTCGAGGGAGCATCAACCTCAGAAATAAAAGAGCATCTTCATTGAGCATCGACCACCTGGGTGTCACGTACTTGTATGCGTTTCCGCAGTGTCGGACAAAATCCGAAGCTCCCAAAACGCCGAACTCCCAACAGCGCCACTACCGGCTATCGGCACCGACCAAGCTACACTCAATAGGGTAAAGTAAAAGACAAAATTCGATCTTGCCATCGAAGTTGCCTCGTCATGGGCGCTTTGATTCGTGGAAAGACTCCTGGTGTCGGCGATGGCAATCGCTGTGCGCCCTCTGAGGGCAGCCGCGATATCGAGGACATGGAGATGGGCGGTCAAACGTTAGAATGCATCCTCATGAGGTATTTTCAAACTTCCTTCATTGTGTATATGTTTGCCATTATTCCTGCTGTTGTGGATCTGATTGCGCCGCTGTACTTTCGTTAAGAAGCTCTACTGCTACCAAGCCGGCAGATGCCACTTGCCGTTCAACGTCTATCAGATCCTCGCGTGAGCTACCGAAACACCGTATCGTCTGACGCATGAGACCAAATCACCATGACGGAGCACCACACCCACGAGGACAGCAACGAGACCCGAGCAGCACACCAAGCCGCTGAACAGCAACGCCAGAAGCAACTCGGTCTCCAAAGCACACTTGAGCGCTGCGCCACGGCAGACGACAATGACCATGACCAAAGGCCACCGCTCAGTAGTGTCCGGTCGCACATCTCATCCCATCATGACATGGCAATATGTCCTACCGTAACGACATCAACCACTCATGTCGAGATCAACGCTGCGCAGTATGAGAGGTTCTCCACGAGGCGGAAGCACGCTATTACTGCCATCCTGTCCCTGTGCGGCTTCCTTGCTCCAATCAGCTCGACAGCTATCCTGGCCGCCATTCCAGAAGTAGCAGAGACTTACAAGACCTCTGGCTCGATCATTAACTTGAGCAATGCGCTCTACATGATTTTCATGGGGCTGAGTCCGGCATTTTGGGGCCCAATCTCCAGCATATATGGGCGAAGGTGGCCGGCGATCATCTCAGCCGTGCTGTTCACCGCTTTCAGTATCGCAACAGCCGTTGCGCCGAATCTGGCGTCCTTCTTCATATTCCGGATGTTGACAGCTTATCAAGGTACAAGCTTTCTCATCATTGGGTCGGCTTGTATCAGCGACATATACACACCCGTCGAAAGGGGGACGGCACTTGGATTATTCCTCAGCGGAACCTTGATTGGTCCAACAGTCGGTCCGTTTACTGGTGGCATCATCGTAACATTTCGAAGCTGGAGAGTCATCTTCTGGCTCCAGACTGCTTTGGGAGCATTTGCAACGATCCTGGTCATCTTCTTCCTTCCGGAAACGATTCCAGTAAAGAAGATTGAGGAGCTCAGTGAACTTCCTCGCGTCCAGCGACTGAAGCGGATTGCACATTGGACTTCGCCCTTCCGCGTCGCTGTGATGCTCTTCACGTACCCCAACCTATTCATTGTTGGCATTGCTTCCAGCAGTCTTGTCTGGAACATGTACTCTCTGTTGACGCCTATACGATACGTCCTCAACCCCCGATTCCATCTCACTTCGCCGATTCAATCTGGCCTGTTCTACATCGCGCCAGGTTGCGGGTACCTTTTGGGAACATTCTTCGGCGGTCGCTGGGCCGACTTCATCGTCAAAAAGCACATCAAGCTGAAAGGTCGACGCGTGCCTGAAGATCGCCTGAGAAGCTGTTGGGCATTCATGGGCATCGCCATCCCGGCTTGCATGTTGATTTACGGCTGGGGCGTGGAAAAGGCGGTCGGTGGCATTCCCCTGCCAGTGGCGGCTATGTTTGTGCAAGGAGTCGCTCAATTGTTCTGCTTCCCGAGTCTTAACACCTACTGCCTCGACGTAATGCAAGCCAAAGGTCTCTCGGCGGAAGTGGTCGCAGGAAACTACATGTTTAGATACATCTTTGCGGCGGCTGGCTCGGCGGTAGTGTTGCCGGCAGTGGAAAGCATCGGAGTGGGGTGGTTTTCAACTATCAGCGCTGGGTTCCTGGTGGTCAGTGCTGCCAGTGTATGGGCAACTACTGTCTGGGGAGAAGGTTGGCGGAGGGCCGTGGACCAGCGGAAGAGGGAGAAGCGGAAACAGAAAGAGCAGGCTGAACTTGCGGCAAGGAGTGATGGAGAGAAAGTCTGAGGCTTTACGTACTCAAGAGATACGCGTTCAATGACATATTAAGATACATTCTCGTTCCAAAGAGGCTGTGGCCCCTGATGTAGTCTGTCAAGCTGTCGCCTCGTCGCCTTGTACTCACTCTCTCACGGATTTGTCCGGGGATAAGATGTTGGAGTCAATCATGCAAGCAGCCTTGATACTGAAGCTTTCGTAAGATCCTTCCTGAGTATCAGTTTTGCTGTTCCTTTGAAATCACTGATGGTGCATCTGGATGCCCACGACGAACCTCATCAGGGCATAAATGACTCCTACACTTGTCCTAAGCGTGAAGCGATTTCTCGAAATCAGGCCTCTCGCCAAGGCGTTTGACCGATGCAGCTAAAATTCTACCAGGGTCGAATGGTCGGAACACGATGTGGTCCTTGAGTGCACGCCCAATCTCCCATGGAGGACTTCGAGATTGACAACCATGGCTGCACAGATCGTGCAACTCAGAGACCTATGTTTAGGCCCCCAGATGCTGTCGACGACACTCCATCGACGCAGCCAGGCAGGCCCTGTCCCTGATCGTCGGCAATCATGAATCTCTCCACCTCCAGGTCAAGTTGTCGTTTTCTTTTCGTGTTCTAGAGTTCTGCGTGCGCAACGAATGTCTGCCCTTCAACTCGCCGTCTTGCTGCGATGTTGAAGACCTGAAGGCATCCACAAATAGGCAGGATGCTTCTCTATGTTGCTTGCTTTGCTGCTTGTCTCGCGGCGCTGTGCTCAGCGCAGGAGCTCAACTTCAATCAGACGTGGAACCTCACCACCGTACTCAGCAATCAAGCTCAACTGACACAATTCACCACTCATCTGAACGCATATCCGGCGCTGTTCTCGACGTTGGCGAACGCGAACGTTACCAGTAGGCGTACCAACTTATTTACTTGCTCTGGATCGACTAACACGCGGCACAGTCCTTGCGCCGTCCAACGAAGCATGGTCGAAGTACTCTGGTGACGATGGGCACTCTGCCAACGATACAGCATTCCTCGAGTCACTACTGTCCTACCACATCGTCAAAGGTGTCTATCCTTCGGTGGTCCTAAAAGAAGACGTCAAATTCCTCCCCACACTTCTTGGTCCAGGCCAGTTTGCGAACGTAACAGGTGGATTGCATCTGGGGGCATACCCTGCTGAAGGGAATGTCGTCTTCGAGACTGGGCTCAAAGAGCGCTCTGGACTTGTGACTGCGGTACGGAGAATATGTTCGGGAAGACTCTACATGCACAGACTGATCCCGGTTCAATAGGACATTGCATACACAGCCGACAATATCTCTGTCGTCGGAATCGTCCACATCGTTAACGAGGTCTTCCGGATACCTATTGCCGAAGTTACCACAGTCACGGACGTGGGATTGAACGATGTAGCCGCCCTACAGCTTACCCAGCCCGTCGACCAGAAACTTGTGGGATTCCTCGGTTTGGAGTCGGACTGGACCATGTGAGTGCGTGCCTTGACAGGGCGCCCTCTGTGCTGACAGCTCCCGCAGGTTCGCACCGAAAGCAGCCAAAGGCGCCTTCCCCTCCACCGACGCAGAGAGCTTCGCCATCCAAGAGTACCACTTCATCAAAGGCCAAGTTCTGTTCAGCTACAACTTTACCGATCGCAGAGAAGTCACGACTGTCAATGGGAAGAATTTGACGTTCTATGTTGCGCCGAATGGTACGAGATATGTCAATGATGCGATGATTGTGGACTCCGACTACCTCATTTCTACGGGGGTGTTCCATGTGATCGATACAGCGCTGGACCCGCGCATTGAAGACGCAAGACCGAGCTATCTCAATGCTACGGACTCGTCATCGACGGGCCAGCCTGCTTCTTCTTCCAGCGCAGGTCTCAGCTCTGGCGCAAAGGTCGGCATAGGCGTCAGCGTGACAATAGTCATCCTGGCCATACTCGGCGTCACAGCCTTTTTTCTGCTTCGGAGACGCAAGAGGCGTACTGGGCCGCCGAGCGAGCTGCCTGCGACAGCGACAAAGGCAGGAGGGTGGCGAGAGATGCACCAGATGTCTGATGACAAACATCCACAGGAGATGCAGGGTGCGAACAGTGTGCATGAGATCCACAGCGAAGGCAGATCCGGACGTGGCGAAATGGAGGGATCTTCCGAAGGGACGCGAAGTCGTTATGGAGGAAGTCAGCCTTACGAAATGCAATGACGAAGTCTACTGGAGGGCAACTTCGAGTTCGCTCCTCCAGCCAACTACAAGTACTTCCATCCGCTTCCTGCTACTTCATAATATGCCTTCTGCTTATCCTGCGCGTCCTCTCAGGTCACCATCTACCCCTTGCGACAAAGTCGACTGATGTCGTTGGGGGTAGTCCCTTCATCCGAATGCCAAGACCTGCACGAGGGCAAGTTTTCTCGCAGTGCAAACCGTCGATGTCTCAATACTCACCTGCCCGGCCTCGGAAATGCCAACAAACGCGGGGCACGGAGCAGACTTCACATTCGTGCGTGGTCTCGAGTCTCGGGAGGCATTACGCCAGTGGGGCCGGGCGAATCTCTGAAATCGTTGTTCGCGACAACTAAATTCGACTCTGTCAATTGGGCACTTTTGGATCCGAAATGGGGACGAATCCGTTGGTGATACCGAGTATGGCATGACCAAGTAGGGGCGGTCAATAGCGGTGGAAGATGGTGGCGTGGTGGTTGATCAAAGATCGGGTCAATTTGTATGAAGGCTTGGCGTATTCTGCCACGTCCGCCTGCAGCGCTGATGACCGTGAGGTGTGGCTCAAGGAAGATGGTGGCACCCAGTGGCTCGCCAAAGATGGAGTGCTCACTTGATACAACATCACTCTGTCGGAAACGAACAAGTCATGTTCAGAAGTACCCTTTCATCGAGATATATTCAGGAAACCAGATGACAAGCAAACTCAGGGACCGGATGACATGACCACATCACTCGCGCCTTCCTCTCCCAACTTGCAAGTGCGAAATGACAGTAGGAGCACCCCAAGATCGCTCCTTCCTATCGATCGAGTTTGACAATGTCCCGAGCGGCAGGTGGGTCACCGAGCACCTTCCACAATTGCCCATCTTGTCAACCGGCGTCAGTAGAGCTTGGGTGAGACCGGATGACAAGATTGCCTTGATACAGCTGCGCTGTTCCTCTTACACCTTTGACGTAGACAACGATGAGCGGAGCTGAATAGGCTGTAGGGATGGAGGCCACTTGGCGATACCACGGAGAGCAGGTCTACGGCCCATGGTGTCCGGAGGTCTTGTCAACCGGCGTTGGTCGGCCTCTACCTGAGACCGGATGACACGGACGACCCCAGTCAACCGGTCGACCTCTCTGCGTTGCTGGACCTTCTTCTTGCTGTTCAATATTCGAGGTGATGCCGGCAGGCTGCTCTCGGTGCGCATGGTTCTGGGTCCACAATCTCCGGACCACAGTTGTCGCCCTTCAATGACGTACGTCATGCTGAGGGAGTCCTCCTTGGTGATGTATGACCAAGCATAGTTGTTATTGATCAGCAGCAAAGAGAGACGGAATATGACTCTGTTCAAGAAGACACGGGAGAAGGGAGTAATTTCGATAGAGAAAGACACTCATCATTCTGCTATCGAAGAGGCAACTCGAAGCCACGAGATATCCTTAGTTCTTTTGCGCACGCGCAGTTGGTGTACAAGTACAGTCAAAAAGTTTGCTAGGACTTTTTCATCTCGACATCTTCAATCCCGAAGACGAGGAGGCGCCCCCAGCTGAGCCGTCGCAACTGCACCCACAAAGGTCCCCTGCCCGAAAAGCCATACTCAGAGACGAGATTCGCCGATCCCATGGGCTGTCAAATATCCAATTTGACTAGTGGGCGTTATTCCATCCACGTCCAGACCCGCCATAACCAGCATAAGTGTTTCCGAATGCACTCGAGCCGTAACCGCCATACTGGCTGGCTTGATGGCCACCTCCCTGTTGCTGTCCACCAAAGTTGCCGAACCCGCCTCCATACTGTGGATACGCGCCGAAACCCTGCTGAGACTGCTGCTGACCGAGACCACTCTGCTGACCTTGACTGGCGTTCGTGGTAGAGCCTGGGCGTCCACTCTGAAGGGCAGGGCTTGGACCAGATGCTTTCAATGCGTCTTCGCTGCCTTGGTGACTGCCGCCATGCTGACCCAGAGCTTGGCTGTGACCGAAGCCGGAAGAACCGCGTGCGAATGGGTCTTGCGCAGCGCTGAAGCTACCACTAGTGGCAGCTGTCTGCTGCTCAGAAGGCTGGGTGGAGCCGCTGCGACCGTAGCCATTATCACCACGACCTCCATAGCTTCCCATGTTGGAGGCGCTGCTGGCGTGGTCGTAGGAGTACTGCTGCTGGGGCTGGCCGTACATGCTAGAATTGTACTGGCCGCCACCATAGTGCTGGTTCTTGCCGTACGCGTACTGGTTGCCATAGTAGTCTTCCTGTTGTTGTTGTTGTTGTCCTCCTTGACGACGAGCATCGTCAAACATGGGACGATTGGCGCCATAGCGATGCTGATGGGACATCTGATTCATGTACTGCTGTTGAGAGTACTGAGGATACTGTTGTCCATAGCTGCTCGGGTAGCCGTAAGGGTAGCCCTGATGTTGGCCAGCACCCATGTGCTGTTGCTGTTGAGACGCTTGAGATTGCTGGCTTGGGCCAGTTGGAGCAGGAGTGTTACTGCCACTGTTCTGCCCTTCGTGTTGGCTGTATCCACGCTGTGGACCGGCTGTCGCATACTGAGACTGAATATCTTGAGCAGACGTACCGCCAAAACCGCTTGCCGCGCGTTGGCCATCATGATGTTGGCCGTAACCATAGTATTGAGCATAAGCTTCGCGGTCGTAGTAGCCGCTCATGTTCTGCTGGCCAGCAGTCTGTTGCTGACCTGGGACTTGCGATGCGAATGGTTCCTGCGCAGCAGGTGGTGCTTGCTGGGAAGCAGGTTGACCGAAAGGATCGTAGGTCTTTGCGCCTTGTCCATATCTATATGGGTCGCCGAAGCCGGAAGCAGCCTGCTGTGTAGACTGATGGGCTTGTTGAGGCGCTGGAGGTAGGCCAGGAGCTTGACGCTGTGCCTGAGGCTCGGTGGGAGCTTGGATCTCAGCAGGCGCAGCTTGTTGCTGTTGCTGTTGCGCTTCTGGCAGACCAGGAGGGAGCGAAGCTCGAGGTGCAACTGGAGAGTCATCCGGAAGTGGAGTTCGAGTCTCTGGCTCCTCACGATCTTCGTCAAAGTCGTCCCCATCGCCATTCAAGCCCATCTTGCCAAATTGTACAGCAGTCTTCTCGACTGCATGATGCCCTGGCATTACGACTGCCTCTTGTTGTTCTTTGACCTTCCTCATGAAGCTTGCCGATCGACCAGCGGCGGTGGCTTTTAGGGCAGTCGCAGCATAGCCGGATGCGGGTCTGACAGGGGCCTTTGCAGCCGATGCAGCCTGATCCAATGGGTTTTGCGTGCTAGCAGTGGTACTAGCTACTGTCTGCGAAGCAGGAGGATGCGACACATCAGGCAGTTGTTCCAAATTATTTTCCGTCAGCTCATCATTACTAGGAGGCAGATCATTCGGACCTTCGGAATGCGGAGCAGAGGGAAGTTCGGAGGGCGAGTCTTCGACAACTTGAGGTTCGATGGGAGGCGGCAGCTCCTGAGCATGATCTTCGACAGGAGCAGCTATTGTGGGAGCAGGGAGCGATTCGGGTTGAGCGGTTGGGACAGGCTTCGGTGCTGGCGGCGGCTTTGCGAACAGGCTAGCCCACCCGCCTGCTTTGGCCGATGAAGCTGGTGCAGCTGATTTCTTTTCTTCGACGGGCGCAGCCGATTCGGTGTGGGTAGCAGTATCTCCGTTGGTCGGTTTGTCCCATGCGCCGGCAGCTTCTGCTTGGATCTCGCTCGTTGGAGGCACTACCTCCCAGTCGTCCGATTTTGTGACTTGCTTGGTACCGTTGGCTTGGGAGGCAGTTCTGGCACCTCGTCCGCCACGGCCGCCACGCTCGGTGCCACGTCCGCGGCCTCTGGTCTCGAGTCCACCGCGACCACGACCTCGAGAAGAGCTTCCATCCCCAGAAACAGCTGCATCTTTCGCCTTTGGCTGCTTCTTCTTGACCTCACCCCATTGTGAAATTGTGCCTGGAGTCTAGTCAGCCAAATGCTTTCAGCAAGCGAATCAGGTTTGTCGAACATACCAGATGAAATTCGGTCGACAGCAGCTTCAACGTCGCCTTTGGTCTCTTCAAGTGCAAAGACTAAGTCTTCATCGCTCCATCCAGGGCAGATTTCTCGCAAGAAAGGGATTTTGTCGCCGAATTTGCGCTTGAGCTCGCCGACCTCTCCTTGATCCTCGAGGCTCACTGGTAGGTTCTCCTGGTCATCTTTCTGAGTCCGAGAAGAAGTTCTGCCACCTCTGTAGCCGCCTCGGCCGCCTCGAGATCCACCTCTGCCTCTTGAGCCACCCGTTCTGGCGGGCGCTACTTCTGACATTGTGGGTGTGTGAGGCTGTGTTTGTAGGATGGTAGGGTGATGGGATGAAAGTCGAGCCTTTTCTTTCGATGGGCTGGAATCTGCTCAGGGCAGCCGTCTCCGGAAGAGAGCAGGAGTTCTTCCAATATGATATTTGATTGCGAATCGAGGTACAGGAAGGAAACAGCGCAGTAGATTTGGATGAGAGGAAGTGTTTGTTAGGTACCTGAATACTTTGGTTTGCACAACGACCAACCGCAGCACCAAGACCCACTTTTTGGTTTCCTTGGCGCGCGTCGAGTTCCAACCTCGACGATGAAACTGAGATTCTCAGAAGAAAGTGAGGTTTGTGTCAAATCAATCTCTACGTTCCGATGGTGCTGCGGCAGGCGATGCTCTGACGGGTTGAGCTCTGCCGATGAAATCACATCTATCCGTCGAAGCGCCTTCCTCGACTGCTACAGAATTCGTGGTCTCAAGCAGGCGGCCTTCCTCCGGCGTGCTTGCCATTATTGGCTATGCTGTCCGCGTCACAGTGTGCTACCACGCGTTGCTCGTAGTAATCCTGAGGCTTCGATCCACTGGCCATCTCACAAACGATAATGTCTACCTCGAATTGTTCTTACGAGTCACAGTAATTGATGGCATCCTCGCAGCAATTGCCGCAAAAGCGGAATGGTGGATGTTGGCGGTCAGCATCGCCTTGACCTTCTGGCTCTGCCTTCGTCGCCCATACAAGGAAGAGTCGCTGCTCGTTCTGCAAGGCATGGGTATTCAGACGTCGACAAGCTCGCCGTACTTCTTCGTTGGGCCAACCACGACCTTCATCTCAACTACCAGGATTCAAGATATTGTCATCCATGAGGCCTTCAAGGGATTCGAGGTCAAGTTCTACCTCGCCATCATCGTCGAGGGAGCCTCAGAGGTGGTCGTTGTATTCCCAAGTCTGCTTCCACGTCTAGATGTACTGCAGAAGGTTTGGCGTGGTGCAAGAGCATGCTTGTATGCTCACGCGACCAAACCTGGGTGACAAGCAGCAATGTGCTCATTCAACCAGAACCCATGCCAAACATGCTCAGTCGTCGCCAGAAGCCGGTGTCCTGTCTGCTCTTCGAGCCCCACGACCAGCCAGATACTTGGCATTCTGTGCTTCGAGACTCTCGGTCCTGGCCTTCTTCATCACGGGAGTGTATTTACCCACAATCCGAGCATTATCTCCGCCGTCGAATACCTTCGCACTTCGCTGTGAAGATGCAGGCTCACGGAAACCACCACGCTCGAGTGCCGAGCCATCGCCTTGCCTTAAAGCCAGATCCAAGAGACCAGCCGTCACAGTTTCTTCCAGCTTCGTCTTGCGCCATTGCGTCCACAATGTGTCAGCAAGTCCTCCGAGACCGAATTTGCCGTCATTCTTGGTCGTCAGAGAAGGTATCGTGGCCGCGTCACCAGCATAGATCCAGTTCAGCTTGCTACTGTCGTCCTGGTCGGGCTTGTCGTATACGCAGTCCCACAAGACCAGCGGCCCATCATCTGCCATCTCATACACTGGCTTCCCCGGATTCTTGTCGATATTGAGCAATTCGTCAACTATACCCGGCTGCTCCAATCCATGCCCGACCAGGAACAGAATGGCGACCATGCACCTGACCTGATGCCACAAGAATGCGCTGCCATGGACAGAGAAGCAGTAGACCTTGGGTCCCGACACACCAACTACCTCCTTCGTGCCCTGATCGGTCCCATCGATACTCAACGCCGCACCCCTCACCACCTCCTTCCCCGCCCCCTTCCACTCCTCGACATCCGCCCAATTAATCCTCCTCACACAATCCTTCATCTGCTTACTGGCATCCAGCTTGCAAAAGTTCCGATAATCATGCAAGCCCATCAGCTTCTTCGCCGCTAGCCGCATCGCCTCAAAATCCAGCCACCCTTCTCTCACCAACGCCGGCTGGCCGTCTGCCCTCCGCATGCCTATTGGTCCAGGCGTGGGCAGAAAGGCTGGATTGGTGAAGAAGTATTTGTATTGTCGTTCCTGGCAGGAGAAGCGGGCGTCGAAGTCGGGAGGTGGGTTGGGGCACCATGCGAGGATGCGGATTGAGGGCGGGAGGATGGCATTGAGGATGGAGATGTAGGGGAGCTCGTCAGCTATCGGGTCGAAAATGTCCAAAGCTTGGTGTTGACCGTGTGGAGCATCAGGAGGAGGAGGGGGTGGATCAGAAGGAGCAAGAGCAGGCGAGGAGGAAACAGTGGGATCATCATTACTTTGTGTAGAAAGTTCCTCTGTACCACCATTTCCACCCTCGCCATCTCCATTTCTCTTGCGTGAGCCCGCCACCACTTCTTCCCCTTCTCTCTTCTCTAACCTCACCGGCGCGACTTTCCGCTTACTCCGCACCCTCACCCCAATAACCTGCCCGAATGCACTCACTCCGCGATCCGTCCTCCCGGCCTTACTATACCCACACCCATCCCAATTCACCTCCAGCCTCATCTTTCCCTCTCCTGCAGCCCCCTCCTCCGCACTCCGCCACCGAGCCCTTCGCACCTCCTCACCCCAAACCACATCGACTCCCTGATCTGCGCCCTCGCCGAGCACCGGACTTATAAGTCTAGCCTTCCGCAACGCCAGCCAGAGCACCTCCTCAATGGTGGGTTTGGGCGTGACAGTGCCGTTGGCGTGCTCGTAGCCGTTGTAGTGCTGGCCGATGTACGAGAATTTGAGCGCGATGGGCCGGGTGCTGTGGAGCGAGGGGTTGAAGGGTTTGGGAGTCCTCTTCTTGGATGGACGGGGAGACGGGCTTGGAGAGGCAGGGCGAGCAGCGGAAGAGGATCGGAGGGCGGCGAGTTGGGATTCGAGAGAGTGGATGCGGGCGATTAGGTCTGAAGGGGAAAGGGAGGCGTAGTCGGCTGGCGAAGGGGCGATAGATAATTCGGGCGCCTTCGCAGCCGCGGTGTCGGAGGCTTTTGACATCTTTCTGCTGGTGGTGGTGGACTGCGCACGTAAAGGCCGACACTTTCTAGCGGCTAGGTTAGTGGTAAACGGAAGAACAGTGCTACGATGGTGCAGCGCTGTCGAATGATTGTGCAGCTGTCGGCCGAGTTGTAGGCCCTGCTGCCGCATCGAGGTGAGGCATGTAGTTCACCAGAAGTTGCTGCAGATGCGGATTTGGGTTGGAAGGAATCCAGTGCGCATGAGGATGACAACTTTTGGAAATGATTAATTCGGACCATGATCGGATATTCTTATCCACGAATCACAGTTGAGGAGAAGTGGCGCCGCGAGTCACAGAGAGGCAACTTAGACGCTCAACATGACCCATGTGTGACTGCGCCCAGAGACATGTCTGTGGAAGGAAATTCATACGTATACGCCTCGTTGAAGGTATCCATTGATTTACTAATCGCCACGGAGACGCGAGTAGCGAGCCAATTCTTCGATTGGCTTTGGGCTTCTAGGAAGACTGCGAGATTTGCGGGGCGGGGAGATGGCCGCTTCGAGAACAACTTGAAGGCCTCGGCAATGGGGGCATGACGTTGATTTGATGATTTCTAATAATGCGACGATGGCGTGATGACGGGGAGAGTATATAACAGTTTGGACGCCTCCCAGTTCCTATATAGTTCCCAGCGTACGTAAAGAATAGCTTGAATCGCACCAATATCTGTCCAACAATTTGACGACCTCCACAGCAGCAGAGAAACAGCCGCCATGTCCGCCACCCAGACCCAAACCACCACTACGAAGCTCGTATCAGAGCACGACTCGACATACGTCCCCAGAGGACGAGTAACAACACCACTGAACTTCTTCAAAGACCCCGAAGATGGATCGAAACCACACAACTACGTCGAGCCTCAGGAAGGCATCCCACAGAGAAATTTCGGGATGACCACTGCGGACGTCGAGCTAAACGATGCGCGCGGACGAGAGTCTGACTTCAACCTCGACAAAGACGCTTTCGAACTTTTCCAGAACGTCAAGTCTGAGATGACCTATGACGACTGGGCAGATGATGAGAAAGTGAAGTCTACTTTCTACCCTGAAGTTGTTCAGTTCTTGCTCGACAATGTGCCTGGCTCACATAAAGTCACACTCTTCGACCACACTATCCGACGAAGCAACCCAGACGCACCACGAGCGCCGGTCACGAGAGTGCATGTCGACCAGACTGCTCGATCAACAGAATGGCGAGTCAAGCTGCACGATCCAGAGCAAGCGGACGAGTTGCTGAAGGGACGTTATCGGATCATTAATGTCTGGCGGCCACTAAATGGACCAGTGCAGGCTTCACCGCTTACCTTTGCTAGCGCTGAGACCGTTGATGACAACGACCTTGTGCCAGTTGAGCACCGTTATCCTCATCGGACTGGTGAGACTGCGGGTGTGCGGTATCAGCCCAGCCAGAAGTTCTACTACTGGTCTGGCATGCAGAATGACGAGAGGTTGTTCTTGAAGTGCTTCGACTCACAGGAAGGTGTTGGGCAGAGAGTGCCTCATAGCGCGTTTGTTGACCATCGTACACCTGAGGGGGCGAAGGGCAGGGAGAGCATTGAGGTCAGGGCCTTGGTGTATGGTTGAGTGTAGCGTTCTGTCGGCGGTTTTGGTACGGGCATATCTTTGAGGTACATTGTAATGATATTGTTATCTCAACTGTCTATGCGCACTCTCAGCACTGTACATTTCTGGAATCAAAGTGAGTCCTTGGCTGTTACTAGCATTTTCACGATAGTAGATGTTCAAAGTAACTCGCCACACCAGGCAGCAACTGGTGCTACCAAGCAGGACAAGCCGTGTGTCCGTGAGCTGGTCGGGCTTGAGGAAAGAAAGAAGGGAGGATAGTTGTGCATGGGCCAGGCCACTATTAAGTACTTATGTCCCGTCGACAAAGTGAAGAACGAGGCAAAGTCTGAGGCAGTCACTACTGAAGAGGAGGGAGGTATTCACTGCCAGCTACCAGTGGCAAGCTTCTCGTCCGCGATGTGATTGGCAGACCATCTACGGATAGTCCCGCAACGAAATGTCCGAGTGGCTCTAGAAGAGTGCTAGAGGCAAGGATTGCGCGACAGTTTCGCGTTCGCGTTTACTGGGGTCGATTTTGCAAGCTGGAGGCGCCGGCCAAAAGGTCGAGAGTCTGGCCTCGACCCGGACAGCGTTTAATGCACGCATCAGCAGTGTTCATGCAACGTCGGTGCTGACGTTGCGCGGATAATGTCACTCTCGAGTTGCACCGCACCAGAACAGCATTACAGGCGTTCGAAGATCATGTAGGCGGGCTGCCTTGAGATCCTGGGTTTTTACTGTGGCAAAAGAACTGGGCCGCTCATGATCGATCGGTCAGATCATCAACAAACATGGATCAAGGTCGGGAATCAAGAGCCCAGTATCGTACTTCGTAGTGGTGGGACTTTATGATGCGGTTCTTCATTGCTTGTACCCAATGTAAGGTGCTGTCTGCAGGCTCGATGCATGGAGGCACAATACCCACAGCGGATGTCTCACACGGCCAAGTAAGGATATGGAACCAAAACAATCGATGAAGCTCTGGGGTCAAGAGCACTCACAGCATGCTGTGCTGCAGCGCATGGCTTGAGTGATGCTGCCATAGAGGTCGCTGCAGACATGGAAACGCGGTTACGCTAGACTTTTCCACAAACTTGACAAAATATCTGGAGCCTGCAAGGTTGCTGCCCACTGGTGCAGCTCGAAGTGAAGACGCGTTTCGGGGGACATGCTCACGAGACCATACTGATGATTCCTCAACTGCTGCACTCTCTCGACAGTTTTCTCTCGTAGCTTGACCATCCCTTTCTACTACACCACCTTTTCATTGTATATTCCAAAACAATAGTCCCTTCACCTACTGCAAGGGAGCCGTTATCGATCACCTGGTAAGCGAGAGACCGCGTAGAGCCTAAACGGTCGCTACTAAGAGCCTTGGACACCGCCCTGGAGAACTCCACCCAGAGGGAGTCCTCTTCTCCCTCGCCCGCTTCCTCACACTTCGAGTTCTTCTCATTCCTCACGCACAGACGCCCTTCCAACATTAGACAACCCCTCACAACAAACAAAAAACACTGCCTTCCCGTCCGTTGAAGCCGTCAAAGTCGTTGGCTGCATGATTCTACACATCACATCCATCACAGTACGGGCTTCCGAGGGACTAGGTCGAATATCGATAAGTAAGCGGGCACGGCAATTTCCCAGCCTTCGGATTTTGGTCCCTGAACCTCGAAACCGCAAGGAGCTGAACCAGTGAACTGCACACACCTCGACTTTCCGGCAGCGCAAACCACGTTTCTAGACAATCGATAGCTGCCCTTCCGATCAAACAGTGCTTCCTGCTTCCTGTTGCCACGTCGCGCCTTCCGACAATCGCATCCACTCAGCGCTCAAGGCTCTTTCCTCGTCCAGCGTCGCGTACCTGCAGCAGCATACATACGCCTGACAGCTGACAAGTCGCGGTACTGCAGAAGTCGCGCTCGCTCACCTGAAGCTCACTCGACTTTCATCTAGAAGCGCAAGCACGCGTGACGCGTTCGACGACCTCGTCATCGGCCCGTAGACAATCAGACGGCATTCAGTATGAGCAAGTGAATGAAGAGAATTCACTAGCTGCGGTAACCTGTTTGCGACAACCACGTTCCGACAATCAATTTACTCTGTCCGTCGGCATACATCCTATCAGCCGAAATGGCGTCGTCTTCTCCGCTCTTCGAGTCGCCTCTCGCGAGCAAGCGGCCACCTATGAGTATCACATTACCGCGCAACTTCGCGCCCACCGACCTAAGCGATCCCAAGACACCAGACCAGACCTTCGCAGAAGTCAGACTGCCACCTGCGCCGCACTTCACTACTATGAAAGTGCGACGGCGGCCGATTGATATGACTTCTTTCACTGCGCAAAATAGCGCGCTACCGCCTGCGCTCTTTGCTTCAGAGATCCCCGTTCCTTCAAGCGCCATGCCGCAGCAACAGCCATTTCAGCTTTCAAGCGATCCGTTCGACCCAGATACACCAGTACCCTCAGTTGAGCCTGAGCCCATGACCTCAGTCACTCGTCCACCATTCCAGCATTCCATCACAGACCCATTCCCGAGTGACAGACTACAACTGCCAGCATATCGCGAACAGCCACCGCGCACACCTCCAGCCCAAACCAACAATACGCCCGCCCAGCACAAGCTATCAGTATGGGATATGCCTCGCTCGACCTCGGAATGCTCACTGAGGTCCGATTCCTCGGTCTCTTCCTCCGGAGAAACTTTCAATACTCGCCCTACATCATTTGACGGCAGTGCCACCAGCCCGGATACTGAGCTCGACCCTTTCTCTCCTGGCAAGATTTTCCTTGTGCCAGACACTCCAACTCGCCGAGGCAAAAAAATAAAGCTCAAGTCAGCAGGATGCAAAGAGAAAGTCGATTGGTCCATCGAAATGGACAATCACCTCTTCAACGTCTACCAGATGTACCTAGCTGATCCTGCTCTGACACCTTTTAAGACCCTACCAGGCAGCATTCCTCCAACTGGCGTATGCCATCGCGTGGCACGGCGAGCAAAGGAGACCTGGCCTCGAGCCAAGCGGATAGCACATCCAATCGTGACCCCCTACAAGGTCCGAAGTGTGCTCGATGCCAGAGGTCTACCATTGAGCAAGACACCTGAACCGGAAGACTTCTTGCACAACGGTTCTTCTAAAGATTCCCGAGAGCCTTGGCCGTCAGAGAGCGCGACTCGAAGACGTCTGAAGCAACTTTGCAAAGAAAAGTTCACTATCTCGGCGCATTATCAGCGACTGCGCGAATCGAGAAGCCCGTCACCATTCACAGAGCAGTTCCAGAGACGACCGCCATCAAGACTTACGCGGTCCAAGTCACATCCAATGGCAGAAGATGCTTCGGCGTATGCTACTAGAGAGCTTGGCATCTCACTTGTCGCCAGCGGTGCGACCGCACCTCTTGCCCAACTTGTGACAGGAGACTCTCCTATGATGGACCAGAGCGAGGATTTTTTCAACACGCCACTTTTGCAGCCCAATCAGCCTGCTGAGATGCCACAGACTGGTCTCGGCATACAAGAGGAAGAACCTGGCAAGCTCAGTGTTGGCGGCAACATTCCTCGACTGGCTTCACCTTTCGCATACTCGACCTGGAACGGCAGCTCGAAGCCCAGCAATCCTCATCGGCGACGCATTAGCCAGAACCAGTTCGACACCATTCATGCTACAGGGTCTCGACTACTCTCACCGTTCAAGCCGGAACCAGATGTTTCGTCGAACGTCAACAAGCGACGTGCACTGCATAACCTTGAAGACGAGCTCAGCCCTCGGGGTTCTAGTCTCGGACCAGAGCTGGCCCCACAACCCGAACCCAGCAACACTCCGCATGAGCTTGTCTTCACTGGCGCTGGTGACATCAGTCAACGCCGCATCCGCTTGAGGGGACGAGGTGCTACTTTGGGTGCGCTCAATGCTCGTGACCGCATCCAGAGCCTCTTCGACCCACCGACGCCGTCACCTACGGCTGTGGGCATCCCACCTGTCCCAGCACTGCCTGCCTCGCTGACCGCGCTGGCCACTGCAAGTGGGACAAGTAACACGGCTGTCGCTTCGTCATCAAGGCTAGCACTGCCAGAGCAAGACGCCTCCCAGAAGCGCTTGGGTTCTCCGTTCGAGCTGGACCCGAACAAGCGCAGTCAACGCCAGATGGTGCCCCGCCATGTACCGAGCTTGTCTGATCCGTTCATCTCTACCCATGGACAAAGCTTGAATGAGCGGCTGGCTGAAATGGACAGCTGGCATCGTATGGACTACCAGCGACAGAATAGACGAAGACCGAGCGATGCTTTCGAGTGGAAGCTGCTCGGAGCGGAGGGCGTTCCTCGAGCTGCTCCCCGCCAGTGAAAGAATCGGAATCCTCCGTGGGCCTCTGATATTCGCATGATGAGATTGATTGTATGAAAAGCACTTGTTGAGATAAAAGCATATAGCGAGCATGCCTGGATCATCGCCGAGAGCTGGAGGAGGCACAGGATCAAGACAGACAGATCTATGAGGCATGGTGACGGATTGGGCATTTCGCATCATGAGCCACAGCAAGCAGGATGGGTCGGGCATTTGTTTTTCTTCCTTTTTCTCAACATGACACGAAATGGCTAGCTATGATCTGAATGAAAAGAGTGCGATTGCTGAATTCTAGAAAATGTTCTTGGAGTATTTTTGACCCTGTCTATTGAAGTCTGACGCTCGATGTATCTCAGGGCGATCTTATACGCCGGCATCGCAGGCGGCCTTCGCATCATCATGAACGCCTTGCGCTCAATGCTCCTTGCTATGCTTGACAACCTTTGCACAATTTTTTCCTGAACGCCAAAAGCTCGAAAGCAGAATTGCCTTGCGATGGAAGAAGAACATGCAAATCGATAACTTTGCGCCTGAGCAACTTGTCCCATCTCAGACCCCACATGTCCGTCAAGCTCACGTGCACGCAAGCCCGAACAACTTCTTGCTTCTCTGCGAAGCACACGAAGGATCACCGTCCTGTTGTTCGAAGATCACTTTCGCGCCAGCACCAAAGCCTCAGCTTTCCGCACCTTGCCCCTGAGATCCCGCTTCTCGCCCTCCGTCTCAAGCCAGTCTTCCATGAGTCCGCGTACACGCTTCAGCTCACCCATGCGCACCTCATCATCGTCCTCACTACCCTTGTTCAGCAGAACGTGAAAGACTTCGTTCCACACGTCCTTGCTCATATACCGCTTCATCATCTCCTTGACTCTGACTTCTTTGCGGGATTTTATGCCGAGCGTCATCTCCCCCTCGATCCCATTCTCGTTCTCTGTCAGGACCGGCACGGTTATGGTGGACAAGTACTTCCCGAACAACAAGCTGTGGACGATGCCAGCGGCGCCATAGAAGTCAAGGCTCCACTTCCATGGTCGCGCTTCTTGGATTTCGGGACAGTCTTGAGCGCTGGGGTCCCAATCTGCGATGAACTTCGCCGACGGGAGGAAACAGCGCGTGTCGATGCCGCGGCCAAAATCGATCAGTGTGACGCCGCGGGCGGACCAGTTTGAGTCGCCTGTTGCTATGTAGGGACCGGTAAGGTCTTTGGAGAGATCAAAGCGCACGAGACAATTATCCGCTTTCAGATCACCGTGGAGGATGCCGACTGAGTGCAGTGCTTCCATTGTGCGAAGAACCTCGACGCAGAAGAACATAGCCAGCGGCTCATCCAGGCCGACTCCGTCGCAGGGCTTGCCCCGGGCCGCGGCGTCGGTCATGGAGGCGTTGAGGAGATCCAGGATGGTGCCTTGAGGGGAGTACGTGAGAATCAGATAGGATTCATCGCGATAGAGGTGGCATTCGTGGGCGGTGATGATAGATTGGGCCGCGCGAGGGTTTGACGACAAGAGGCGAGAGTGTGCAAGCCGGATGATGTGGAATTCAAATTGGACTGTGCGGCCGGAAGAGGCGGTAGATTCGGCCTTGATCGCTTCCTGGTCGGCGCGGCCGGTGATGGGATCGATCTGTGGTGAGACGGAGCGGGACAGGGACAGGGATTTACGTGGACTAGACGTTGGTGTGGTGCTGGTGAGTCGATCGACGGTGCTGGTGGTGCTCTGCTTGTCGGTAGAAGAGGCGAGGTAGGCGGTTGCATACGCGCCGGTGCCGAGTTCTCGCTTAACAGCATACACGCGAGAGGAGGACTTGAAGTTCAGGCGAGGCTCGGGTCTGCCGTTGGCGGGCATAGATTTCCGAGGGCTCTTGCTTGTGATCTTGATTGATTTGGTGAAGGTCTTGAGGGCATCGAGGTGTGCGAATGTCTCGTCTGGTGACTCGCTGTAGCCTGGGTAGTCTGTGATGGGTGTGACGAGGCTGCAGAGGATGAGGTTGCGAATCTCGTCGGAAATAGGATTGCACTGAGAGTCGTTGATGATGGGTTTGGCAGGTATGGCTGGCTCAGGGGCTGGCGCTTTCTGTACCAGCATCTGACTGATGATAACATTGTCCTCTGTGGGTGGAATTGGGAGTGGCACACCACCTTCGTCATCATCGAGAAGTGATCTCTGTAGTTTCTTCGCCGGTGACTCTGGTATCCAATCTTCCTCATCGTCGATAGTCTCCAGTCGCCGCTTGGGTGTGTCTGGCCGATCTGAGCCGCTTGTTGAAGGGCGCTGAGGACTACTCATCGCAAGCTCTTCCAGGTGCAGCTTTGACGGGCTCTCGAAGGTACTTGCTCCGTGCTTGCGACTAGGAGTCTTGGAGTAATCGGTCTTTCGATATGCAGTGCTGCCGATAGAGCTCTCCGTCTGCTCTGCGATAGGTGTCATGAAGGGCAGTTTGTTCTGTGCAAGCTCTGTCGGATCTCGGTATGGTCGTAGCGGTGTCGGCTCATAGTCTTCTGGAGCAATTGGCACATAGCGAGATTCTTGCTGGATTTCGACAAGACGATGCTCGAATGGGTTGTCGCTTTCTACCGGAGTAGTCAAAGCATCAAAGGGTTGGCCGTCGCTGTTCTCAAGCTGTTCAGCCATGTCCGCCTCCTCCTCATCTTCATCAAGGGGCATGCCGCCAGCAAGTCGAGCAATGTCTTGCGTCTTCATTTCATCAAAGTTTTGATTGGCGATTGCTTCAATTGCTTGTGTGTCAAACGAATCCATGCCAGAGGTTTGTGTCTGATTCTGACTGTCAAGCTGGTCTGTGAGGTCGTCGCTTGTTGAGTGTTTGTGCAATTTTGAGCCTCTTACAACTTTCGGCACGTGTTTGCTGGTCGTAAACTCCGACCAAGGAGAGACACTAGTGGGCTGGCTACTTTGAGTAGCGTTGTCAAGTGAGCCACCTGCAGCGACTCGTGCCAGCGTCTCGTCACCAAACTCGCTTGTGGCTGTGGATATTCGGCCGGTACCTGTACTTTCACCAGCTGTGCTGTACGTGTCGTCGTCGTAGTCTGTCTCGTTGCCGCTCTGGGTGTCGTCGTTGTCGGCTGGCTTCGATGATTCGTTGAACATATCGTAGATTTCGTTTGTTGCAGCCTTGCTATGGAAGGTCATGGTAGGTTCTGCGGATCCCTTGCGCTTCAATTTCTTCCCGGTTGGTGATTCAAGTCTTGTCTTCACTGACGGAGCTGTCAGCATCTTCTGAGGCACTGGGGTCCGCGATAACTTACCAGTCTGAGTCTCCTGCCGAACCTCGCGCACCTTTGTTCGACGAGGTCTGGCTGACTTCCCCTCTGGCATACCCACCATTGACTGCGTTGAGGTGTCGACTAGCGACGCATCTCTAGAGTCTTGTGTAAAATTCTCGGCGTCAGTCTGAGATTGTGACCGAGGTGCTTCACCGCGACGCGTCTTGGTAGCATTGCCTGAGACAGAGCTAAGGGCACGCTGACCCGAAGCATGATTGTGGCACATCCAACCACGACGCAGAGCGCGGAGTTCTTCAAAGCTGTATTCGACAGACTCATCTGGAAAGGCAGGATAAACTGCCTCGATGGCGACGAACACGCGCTCGACCCTACCAGTTTTGGGGTTGACGACATCTGGGATCTTGGACGGAGGTGGCTTTTGTAAGTCATGTTTGCGTATTGACTATGGAGAGATATTTGGTTAGACTCAGGCCTGTGTCCATCAATATGGGAGGGAAGAAACGTTCAAGGGTTCTTCATACCGGATCTTTGAAAATCTCCATCTTTGGAGCTGTGCCGACGCGACCGCCAGCTTGCAACTTTTCGCCCGTCCATGGCTTAGCTTCAATCGTGTTTTCCTTCCGTCTATCTCTCATTGACCCAATGCTATCCCATCCTTGCGAGGGACCCTGTGCTACTGGAGCTTCGCTGCCTGTATCCGCAAAGATTGCCATCTTCGGCTTGCCTGACCTTGAAGTCGTCTGTCTTGACTGTGTAGTCTGCTGCGTGCTGCCTTGAGGATTCTCAGCCGGCGATGGCGCGAAAGGGTCGACTTTAGCAGCCAGAGCCGCCCTCACACGAGGAACTGCCGGTGAACTTGGCTCATTTGCATCCTGTGGCCGAGCTTCCAGTCTTTTTCGAAACTGCTCATACTTCCTCTCGAGACGCTCGGTTGGCCAGGCACCCTTTTCTAAGCCAAGTCTGTAGACTTCCTCTGCCTGACTCCATCTATCGTTGATCTCGAACCAAGCGGCGAACTCCTCGTAAAAGAGGCTGAGAGTCTCGCCAATGCTATGCCGCGCAAGGAACGAGAAGGTCTCTCTCGGTGAGTCGGAGAAGTATTTGATGTAGTTGAGCCACAGTCTCAGGTACCGAGGATCATTCTTGTAATGTGTCGCTGTCAAGAAGGCTTTGGTTGCGCGTTCAAGCAGAGGCAACAGCTGTGACTCTTTCGTCGCCTGAACTGAGGTATATGCTCCGAGAGCCCACCTCACGTAGCGATCGTACACATCGAGCGGGTCGTCCTTGTCAGCAATCGACTGCAGCTCTTTCTCATACTCTTGTCGGATCGCATCGTTCAATGTCTTTGTGTCTTCCGGTGTTGGGGCTTTGAGCCCGCCGATAGAAGCGACAGGCGACAGTATAGCAGCTAGTTGCTTTGCGCTGCGACCTCCTGGTAGTGATTGGATGTTCTCCTTTGAGTCCTCGAGGATCGAAAAGTCGATCAACTCCTCCCGTTGTCTGGGCATTGTCGTAGCTAAGATGGACAAAATCGGTGTGAGGTTCGTAAGGTAAATCAAACGTCGCTCAGCATGTCTAATTTGACTGAACGGTCAGATGCTGCTGGTTAGTAGGATTGAACAGATGTGGCAGAGAGTGTGAGACTACAGGATCGCATGAGCGCATACTGATCTGGATCTGCTTTGAGGCCTAAAGTAAACAAACCGTTCAAGTTAGCGTGTCTTGGCTGAAGGTTAGGTTAGTGACCTTATACGGTGGTGCACAGGGCTCCAGCCGTCACTGCACATCATCCCACAAGCCTGGGACCTGCCGCGTTGTCCATCAAACAGCTGTCTGAAGCGGCATCGAGGTCTCCGCTGGGATGCCTGACGACGAGCGCGGTCTACCGGCAACGTACGTCTAACGGCATCTGGACCTGACTCGCAAACTTGTTTGGGGGAATGCTTGTGGTGTGGCCACTTTCATTAACCTCAAGCACGTCTTGGGACGTCGTGGAGCTTGTATGAGAGCTTACATCTGAGACTCGTGCTCAGCATATATACTCTCCTTCGTGAATGAGTGCCTGAAGTGCTCAGAGTGTTCGTTCCCAAGCCGAGAGCTGTCCTGCCTAGGTAGCTACAGATACCCGAGGCTCAGATCGCTTATCATGGCGTGATCGACTACAATGCTACCCAGCTATTTGGGTGCCAATGGTATACCTAGCTTGAAAAATTTGGCTATCGCTCTGCCGCATCGCAGTCGCAAACACCATTCTTGAGGCAAATGGCGCCATCGAAAGACGGCACAGCATGACAGTATAGCAGTATCGCGCTTACGGCGGCAAATTCAGTGCTCAAGACGCTATAAGCCTCTTGTCCAAGCAGTCGGGCCCATGAAGCTTTACTCCGAACTCTCTTGAGACTGCAATACACCTCAGCATAGTCAGGTGACCGCGCGGGTACAGGTCGACCAAATCTGTCGCTGCTAACACCGCTAACCATCCGCAAGCACAGGAGATTGATAGCCATGGCTGCCACCGGAGGCTCTCACATCTCGCATAGCCAAGACGAGGATGTCATCGAGGTTGGCACTGGAGCAACGAGTTCTGCCGTCCATCGGCTCAATGAGACTAACACCAAGTTCGTCGCCCTCAGCGGTGAAGCTAAGCTAGCGACAGAGGAGGAGAAGTCCATGACGGTGCTGGAAGCACTCCGTCTTTATCCACGGGCTGTCGGCTGGAGTGTCCTGTTCTCGACCGCCATCGCCATGGAAGGTTACGATCTTGCACTGATCTCGGCGTTCAACGCCTACCCTACCTTCCAGAGAAAGTTTGGTCACCCGAGCACAAGAAGCCTGGCACGTATCAGATCTCCGCACCGTGGCAGGCCGGCTTGTCCAACGGCGCTCGTGTCGGTGAAATCCTAGGACTATTGCTCAATGGCTATCTGGCAGAACGCTTTGGTATGAAGAAGACTATGATAGGGTCGCTCATCCTTCTGAGCGGCTTGCTGTTCATCCCGTTCTTTGCCCAAAACATTGAGACGCTACAGGTAGCGACAATTCTACTTGGCTTCCCGTGGGGTGTATTTCAGACGTTGACAACAGCTTATGCGTCCGAAGTCTGTCCGGTTGCTTTACGCGGCTACCTGACAACGTACGTCAACATGATGTGGGGCGTTGGACAGATCATTGCCTCGGGTGTACTGCGGTCGCTTCTGGGTCGCAAAGACGAATGGTCCTGGAGAATCCCGTATGGTACGTATACCGACGAGCCTAAATCGGGCAAGACATTAATCTCCAGCCTCTGGTTCTGCCCGATACATGTTCAGTCTAACAGGTGCAATAGGGCTACAGTGGATGTGGATTCCTCCTCTACTTATTGGACTATCATTTGCGCCCGAGAGTCCCTGGTGGTTGACTCGCAAACAGCGCTACACTGATGCCAGGAAAGCGCTCCTGAAACTGACGCCAGCAAGTTCTACGGATCAGATCGACCAGACGCTGTCCATGATGCGGCACACCGACGAAGTCGAGAAGGAAATTTCAGCTGGAACTTCATTCTTGGACTGCTTCAAAGGCGTCAATCTCAGACGTACAGAGGCGACTTGCATGTAAGTCTATATGCTTTTCGTGAGCCTAAGCCATGAATCGACCAGCAGACAATCTCGCTTCAGCATCAGTGACATCTGTCTTGGACGATGTCTCGGATTATGTCGACGTCCTGAATCAGGCGCCGCCGTCTTTAAAGCCCTCCTGGCGGCGGCTTGACGATTGTCTCGTCTCAGGTCCATCTCTCCCCTACCCCTTGCGATGCCCCGGGCTGACCTAAATGCCGGCAGCGCCTGGGTCATACAGGCTTCTTGTGGTGCGAGCTTGATTGGCTACAGCGCGTATTTCTTCGTGCAGGCCGGGCTTGACACGACGGTATCCTTCGATTTCTCCATTGGCAACTACGGGATCGCCATCACTGGAGTATTCATATCCTGGTTTGCCATGACCTACCTGGGCAGACGCACTATATACGTGGGCGGATTGGCATGTTGTGTTACAGTGATGTTCACAATTGGCTTCGTCAATCTGGCACACACGACAGCGGCCAGCTACGCAACGGGCTCCTTGATCCTTGTGTTCACCTTGACGTACGACATCACGGTCGGCACACTAGCATACAGCTTGGTCACTGAAATACCGTCAAGCCGACTGCGGACAAAGACCATCGTTCTGGCACGCGCACTGTACAACTGCCAGGGAATCATAAATGGTGTCATAACCCCCTATATGTTGAATCCAGACTACTGGAACTGGTGAGTTGTTCATAGAACATCCTTTCGTCCCAACTCACTGACGATGACAGGTCTGGAAAGGCTGGCTTCTTTTGGGGCGGGCTAGGCAGTGTGTACCTTGTCTGGGCTTACTTTCGTTTACCAGAGCCGAAGGGCAGGACATATGAGGAGGTTAGTTGTCAGTGTGAACCAGGGTGTCCATTGTGCTTACCATTTTCAACTAGATCGATGTTCTATTCGAGCAGAAGGTGTCAGCCCGAAAGTTCAGTACTACCAAGCTCGACTTGTTCCGCGTGGACAATCAGACAGAGCTGGAGACAGTGGCAGAACAGAAAGCAGAGTAGCGTGCTGACTTCCCCAATGAGTTGGACACGTACAAACCTTGTGAGCTCAACAAACCCAACGAGACCTAACCAAGTCCTAACTACATTACTAGACCTGAATATATCGATAGAAAGAGGCATTCCAGCTGTGAGTGTGCAGGTGGCCATCTTCGGCGCAGCAGGCGCCGGTTTAAGCCCCCCTGCACCCATGGCAAGCCGCGTGACTGGCCGTTCAAAATTTCAATGCCCTGACGTGATGCGTGGCTGCTTTGCGACCCGATACACGGCAAAACACCCGTCAACGTTCCCTCTCATCCGTCGATACCACACTTAACTGCCATGGACCCACGAACGATTGACTGAGTCACTCGCCCATGGGTGTGAATATTGACGAGGACAAACGCGGAAGACTTGGTCCTAATTTACGTTTCGACTCCGTCTCCCTCCAGTCTCGCAGGCCGTCCAATCCCTGCTCGAACAATTCCATGCTTGAATTATGTTGACGTGTGTTGCAGTTGGAGTGCCGTTTCACGGAAATGCACACGGCTAGATAAGTGCTACGGGTTACGTTTTCTTCTTGCGAGCATCATTCCTCGCCCAGCCTTCCAAGCCTTCCAAGCCTCTAACCTAACATGTCGAAGCCAACGCTCAGCGACGTGGACAAGTACCATCTTGTCGACGCATACAGTCCGCCAGAAACACATCACCTGCTGGCAGAAGCTGGGGTCGCGAAGTCTAAACTACCTTGGATTGACCTGATACTGAAGTCGTTGCTCGGAGGAGCATTCATTGCAATGGGCGCCGCCTTCGACATCACCATTGCCGGTGGCTCACCTGGCCTGCGAGCAAGCAATCCAGCCCTCGTCACCATGATCGGTGCATTCCTCTTTCCTGTGGGATTTACGTTCATCATCCTCACGAACACAGAGCTGGCTACGTCAAACTTCTTTACGATGATGTTCTCTACCCTGATGCGACGAACAACAATATACGACTTGACTCGGAACTGGGTCACGTCTTATATCTTCAATTTTGCTGGTGCTCTGTTCTTCGCTGGCGTCCTTACCTGGTGGTCTGACACATTGTCAACGGATGCGCAGTCAACTTATGCTGTCACACAAGCCGAGGGAAGAGTCAATATCAACTGGGCCTACAACTTCACCCGCGGCATCGGCTGCAACTGGCTGGTTGGCCTGGCGATGTACTTAGCCACCTCTGGAAGAGATAACACATCTAAGATATACGGCCTATGGATTCCCATCTGGGCTTTTGTTGGACTTGGCTACCAGCACTCAATTGCGAACTTCTATCTTGTGCCTATCGGCATGTTTTACGGATCTAATTTCGGCGTTGGCAAGTTCATCTGGAATAGCGTCATCCCGGTCACGCTGGGAAACATCGTTGGTGGTGCGTCTTTCTGCGGTTGTCTCTTCTGGGTACTTTATGGAAGAGAGCCGACATTAGTAAATGAGGCCGGTACCCAACTGGGAGGCGACAAGAGACCAGGGAGGAATCATCACGGCGCCGCGTCACTTCCCAACGGTCCGACGAATGGTCAACAGCATTCTGGTCACGATTCCGTATAGAATTTTGCTCCGCAGGTGAATTCATGGACCGTACCAAGTTAATCGCAGTACTGGATCTTGTTAGACTCGCCGAGCAAAAGTTCCGAACTCTGGCGTGTCCAGATCGTAACGAAAATGGTGTGGTTGGTGTACTCAGTATAAATCAGGCAATGAACATTACAAATGGCTTTTTGAACCTGCTTCGTATCTATGAACGACTTAGTGCGGAACACCTGGTATTTGAGCCACCGGCTGCTGCTTTGGTTGATCAAACTTCTCAACTTCTCCATGTTGCATGATACCATGAGCACCTGGTGCATACAACAGCTCTCCTTTCCAAACGCCTGCGACTCGTCAGCGTAAGTGGCGGCAAGCAACGAAGGACTCACCTGAGTATACCGTCAAAACGGCACACACCAGCCAGAGCAACAGTGTTGCTACTGTGCACGTAGCTCCCCAGCCCCTAATGCCGTCGTTGCGCAAATTTGTGCTCAGCAGATTCCAGGCATTGGAGTACACTCCGCAGGGAAATACAAAACTCCAGAAGCCTTTTTGTATGGTCAGACTGGGACGGGCATGGGCCAGGAACGATCTTACCGACGCTGAAGGAATTGGGAGGCCTTGTGGCTACCGACAAGCACGCCTCCACGAGCCAGAAAGAAGCTATGCCCAAGCATGTTAGAGCAATAAGTATGCCCAACCACCTTATCCCTTCGCCAATGATGCGCGCTGATACCCCGTCTGCTCCCAAGGCCTGATCTAGAGTGAAGCCCTCGGTAATGCAGCGTGCCAAGTCCGACGAGAGCTGCTGAATGGAGTAGGCTCCCATACCGAAGGGGCCTATGGGAACAAAGGTAGTCACTATCGCTGACCTGGCCGGTAGTTGTGCAGTCATCAGCCGCCAGAAGTAAATGGGTAACACGATTGACGACATGCAGATCCCGACGGACCACATGAGGAAGGAGACCATTATGAGGACCACAGCGTTCTTGACGGGTAAGTGCGGGCTGATGGCGCCTCCAACTGTCGAGCCCACAATCAACGGTATGAAGCTGAGGAACCAAGAGCCGTTGATGTCAGCCATTTTGTGCTCTTTCTGGCGGTAGTACATGAAGAATATGCCGCCGAAGGAGACAAGGACGCTCGCAACGACAGAGATCCAATACATGGCTTGAGCGACATATACCGCCGATTCTCTGTCGGCATAGAATGTGATGATACCGAGAATAATGGTTTCCCAGGCTATCACGATCGCTCCCATGTAGCTGGTCTCAGAGAAATCGTCAAAAATCTCGTCCAAGGCGTGAGGGTGCCGAACAGCTCGTAGACAGCCGAGGAGGGTGAACATGGCAAAAATCACGATATCCAGAACCTGTACCTGAAGTCAGCATTGTCAACATTGGATCCCATACAGTGCTCACCCAGAAACAATAGGCCAGTGTACGCAACCATTCAGCTTGGTACGGAAAGTGGACAAGAAGTTGAGCACATACTCCTTGGTCGACCATCAGCCCCCATTCGAAGGTCTGCGACTCATGTGACGCCTACCTGTACCCATTGCAATCGTGAACCAGGACGGGTCTGCCGTTATGATCCTCTGCAATAAGTGAGTATACGGGCAACGCTGTATGACAATCGAGGGCCACGCACCCTCTCCCAATCGTTTCGAGACACCCATGAGGCCAAGCCAGGTTTCGCTGCTACCATTGTTTCTGTCAGATACCTACAGGTTCGCGAGATTTGACGAATGCAAATCAGCAGGAGAAAGCAGACAAGCGTGATGGCTAACACGGGACATTGTTCCAGCTGGCGGCATCAGGAAGGGGCGACCGGGCCCTTCGTCAGGGATGAGGTCACGGCCGGCAGCGTTTCCGATCTGCAATAATCGACATCTCTCTTCTTTAACGCTATCATGCTCACCAACATGAATAATAGATCCACCGTCTTGCCACGATTCCGTGCTCTATTATCCGACAGGATGGAAAAGAGCACCCAAATTCGGTCTCTCATTCTGGTGGGCGGTAGATCCACTCGGATGGGCTTCCCCAAACACCTCCTACGTGCGTCATTGGACAGTGAAAGTCAATCGCTGCTTTATCACACTGCTGAAGCCCACAGGGGCCTTGCCCAGGATCCGTCCCTTTCGAGACATTATCTGGAGCCGATCACTATCTCTGTCCGTGATGAAGTACAGAAAAACCAGCTCCTGAGCTACATGGCTGGCATGAATATTCTCAGAGACGCCAACATCATCGTTGATACCGAAGTTGATGTGGGTCCCAGTGCCGGATTGCTGTCGGCGCATCACCACCATCCTTCCGCACACTGGGTGGTAACAGGTTGTGACTACCCGAGAATAACAACCGAAGCCCTGCATCAGCTCGTATCTTCTCATCTCACGGGCACTTCGGAGGTTACCTGCTTCGTAAATGCATCCGGGTTTGTCGAGCCATTGCTTGCAGTCTGGAATGCCAGCTCACTGGCCGCACTGCAGCAAATGCTCCTGAGCAACAGGTACATCGGGCCAAGCCAGGTCATTCGCAAGCTCGCAGAAGAAGCACGAACCGACGCACCTGTCAAATCAGCTCGTCGGTCCGGGGTTGAGACCGTAATACCGAGGCAAAACCTATGGATCAAAGACGTCAACACCGTACAAGACTGGCAGAAACTCCAGACACACTGAAAGGCCTCGAAAGCCGACAGGCGGGGAGCGACCAGAATGTACAGAAACAGCCTCCTCCTAACAACATCGTGGGTTCGGGACCAAGCACAGGTGTCTATTGCTATGGCTGAGCTGAGGTCGCGGCTTCCGCGATTCCAACAATTTTTGAAGAGCCTTTTCAGTGCGATAATGTGACCAAAAGCATCCCGGATATCACGCTGTCTATATATGCTGGTACAACAACCCAGCAATTACTTTTGGTCATGACACTGGTCTTATAGGAAGCCTGATCAGTACAGATATTGGCTACGCTTCCAAGTTCCCCGTTCCCGCCGGGCTCTCTCCAAGCCAGCCAGAAGGCGACAGTCCCGCGAGGCTTCGACTTCGGATGCCCACCTGGAGTCTCCACTGTCAAGACGGTCATTCCTGCAATTTCCTGTACAGGCTTGCCGAATGTTACCGCAAGGCGGCGGTACCAATCGCCTTCATTGTAGTAGAAATCAACATACGGTCGAACGAAGAACTGGAATCCAGCAGCTACGGCCATCGGGTTCCCAGGGATACCGAAAATCGTCATTCGACAAGCTCCTTTGCCATGCTGGTCCATAGCGACTGTACTGAGGAGTACGGGTGAGCCTGGCCGAATCTTGACCCCGTGGAACTCGACTCTGCCGCTTAGTGCTTCTTCGATGCATGCACGGGTCAGATCGCAGCGTCCTTTGGAAACGCCGCCTGTCAGAATCAACACATCGAATTTGCCAGAGGCGGTGGCATTCTCGATGTGTTTGACAAGATCGATCCTGCGATCCCCAACAACGCCGAGATACGACACATCTGTTTTACCCGTCCGGCTGAGTTCATTGCAAAGATATGGTCCGTTCGAGTCAAACAAAAGGCTCTTTGTGGCTGCGATCTTACCTATACCGCCAATCCGCGCTTTCCTTGGGTCGACCACCTCCGATCCTGTTGACAGCACGCCCACTCTGAGCTTGGGTTGTGATGATACGTGGTTCTGAGGGCTGTAGAGGCTAGGATCAGCATCGAATCTCGCATAGCCCATCATTGAGGTGAAGCCAAAGGTCGATCGTGGCATGAGATGCCGTGGCTTAATCCGCTCACCCGGCTGCAACACTATGTCACCTTTCTGATAATCACTACCTGCGAGTCTTCTGTGCTGCTGAGGCTTGACTGGCGTTTTGACCTCAATGTAAGCAGCCCGCGCTTTCTTGGACCAGTGCACCGTGGGATCGTTGTCTTGGACATCCTCCACCTTGACAACTCCGTCCATTCGTGGGTGTCCCTCAGGAAACGAGGCACCCGTCATTATTTCGAAGCACGGTGCACTGTCGTCGTCCGCAGAATCTCGCCAGGCCTCCGATATTCTATCATGTGCACCTGCCACGATGGTCCCCACGACTTTGAACTTTGTTGGACGGGATGAAGATGCATTCTGAGTCAGACTGGTACAAATCGCATACCCATCCATGGCCGAAGTATCGGATCCTGGTATGTCGAAAGGAGCAGCAACGGTTTTGGTGCAGATTTTGCCAACCTCATCAGCCAGCGGTATACAGCCAGCATCTTCAATGTCTAACGATGCATCGCCTCCAGGAACTACTCGCTGCTCAATTGCTATCTGGCGCGATATCCCCAAACGTGTCCTTTGAGCCACAGCAACGGCCTCGAGTCTACGGAGTGCTTCTTGATAGTCGATGGCAACTTGTTGCTTTTGCAGTGACATGACGATGATTATCCGCAGCACTTCAGATTGTCGAAGAGCTCTCTTAGGGGTCAGCAGTGCCAGGTGTACCTAAGTAGAACTGGCTAAGTTCTTATCGACTGAAGCAGGTCTAGAACGGGCAATGTGACAATACAAACTGATGACATGGTCTCGAAGTGGATTTCGGCATCGACATCCGGAAATGCTCGCCGTGACGGCTTTAGCTTTCTCTTCGATATCCAATTCGTCATCGACAACGCGAAGCCCGGATATGCATCCGTTGAGCTTCCGAACTTGTATTCGGGTTCCTGGCGGTCACCCTCCATGCTCAGCCGAGATACGCGTTCGATTTCTCCAGGAGCAGAACAATATCGGCAGGCGCTATGTCTACGAGGAATGCAGCTGAAGACATATGGGGAGAGCGAACTCCGTACAAACATGTCTGGCCCACGCGAGTTGACCAGCACACAATCGAAGAGCCGGAGAAATGGGTCCAAGGAGCTTGTGTGATGTGCAGGCATGTATTCGTCAGCGGCCTTTGACCACCATTTGACTGTGAGCAGCAATGGTTGTGGTCTTGACTATGGCGTCAAGAACGACCGTGTTGTCGGTGTTCGTGGTAGGGCGGCTGATCGTGTCAACAAAGGCAGACTGGGACCGAAAGGACTCTATGCGCAAGTCAGTATCAACGGCTTAGATCGGAGACTAACAGACCGAAAAGTTGGAATGCTCTCAATCACAAGGATCGCCTTCAGTACCCACAGATCCGGCGCAACGGCAAGCTAGAGAGAGCCACTTGGGACGAAGCCATGAGTCTGATCGTCGAGAAGACAAAGGACTGTTCCAAGCGACTGACGAATCACGGTGTTGCTTTCTATACCAGTGGTCAGCTCTTTCTGGAGGAGTACTATGCTCTTGCAGTTGTTGGCAAGGCTGGCCTGAACACGTTACATATGTAGGCGTGCATCATCTTCTTCTCGAACTAAGGCAGGTTCTGACATGTCAGGGACGGTAATACTCGCCTGTGCACAGCAACTGCCGCAGCTTCTATGCGCGAGAGCTTCGGAAGTGATGGCCAGCCCGGGTCTTATACCGACATTGACTTTACAGACTGCATCATGATGGTGGGTCACAACATGGCTTCCACACAAACCGTTCTCTGGTATGAATTCCTGGTAGGATAGGACGAGTCAATGCTGATACGAGTGCAGGTCCAGAATTTTGGACCGGCTACATGGAGATGGACCCCCCAAATTGATCGTGATCGACTCCAGGAAAAGTGAGTCAGCAAGGGAGGCCACGCTGCATCTATCTCCACGCGTCGGGACGAACCTCGCTCTGTAAGACTCTCGTCGTGAGATCTGAAACGCCCATGAGGCTGACTGCGCACAGTCTCAACGGTCTGGAGCACCTGCTATTTAGGCACAAGTACGTCAACGAGTCTTGGGTCGCCGAACATGTGTATGGACGCGAGGAGCTGTACAAGGTTGTCGAGAAGTACACGCCCTCTTTCGTCTCGGACATCACCGGAGTGCCGGAGGAAGACTTGGTCGAGGCTGCCCATATCATTGGCAAATCCACAGGCCTGCTGTCCACGGCTCTACAGGGAGTATATCAGTCCAATCAGGCCACGGCCAGCGCTTGCCAGATCAACAATATCAACTTGCTCCTTGGTCGAATCGGAAAACCCGGGTGTGGCATTTACCAGATGAACGGCCAACCTACAGCCCAGAACAATCGTGAAACAGGCTGTGACGGCGAGTTCCCTGGTTTCCGAAACCATCAGAACCCTGCACATATGCAAGAGCTGGCAGATTTGTGGAACATCGAGTTCGGGAAAGTCCCACACTGGAACGAGCCGACTCATGTTCAGAACATTCTGAAGTATATCAACAGTGGCATGATTCAAATGCTTTGGATCAGTGGCACAAACCCACTTGTCAGCCTGCCTAATCTGCCCATGGTCAGGGCGACGCTGACAAAGCCGGATCTGTTCGTCGTCGCCCAGGATATCTTTCCAAATGAGACGACTGCGATTGCCGACGTCATCCTTCCAGCAGCTGCCCAGGGAGAGAAGACAGGCTGCTTCACGAATGTCGACCGCACCGTCCATATTTCGTACAAGGCTGCGAACCCACCGGGTGAGGCGCGGTCGGATCTTGACATCTTCTGTGACTTCGGAAGACGCATGGATTTTCGTTGCAAAGATGGCACCCCCCTCACACCATGGAGGAACCCAGAGGAAGTCTTCAACGCGTGGAGACGGCTGTCGAAGGGCCGACCGTGTGACTATTCATCCATGACTTACGAGAAGTTGACGGGAGGATCTGGCATTCAGTGGCCTTGCGATGAGCAGAATCCATTTGGCACAGAGCGGCTTTTCACGGATGGCAAGTTTTTCACTGACGTCGAGTATTGCGAATCGTATGGTCATGACTTGGAGACTGGCGCACCAATCAGCAGGGTAAGACTGAGACGTCCCGTGAAACGGCGGATGCGACGCTGATGTTTGAATAGGCGACCTACCTTCAAATGAATCCCGCAGGCAGAGCCATTTTCAAGGCATGCCACTATGTCGAGGCCATGGAAGTTGTCGACGAAAATTATCCCTTGCAGCTGTCGAATGGTCGCATCACTCGCCACTTCCACACTCGTACGAAGTAAGTACTCGAGAAAACCTGAATCCAGACTTGAGCAGGAACTGGAGCTTTAGCTTGAGGAGAACACAGATGCCTCCCAAGGCATGGATGCCGCTCCTTCCCTGCAATGCTCGTTTTTCATGCTCGATTTTCGAGACCTTGCTGACCAGAATGCTCTGAAACAGGACAGGCAGAACGCCGGAGCTGCAGTCTCGCGACAGTGAACCTTGGTTGCAGATCTCAAAGGAAGATGCCGAGACCTATGACCTGTCCGAGGGTGACTTCGCACTGGTCGAGTCGCGCCGTGGCAAGGTCGAGCTGCGTGCGCGCATCGGAGACATCAAAAAGGGTCGAGTCTTCGTCCCATTCCACTTCGGCTACTTCGATGCCACGGATGGTCGAGCAAGAGCCGCCAACGAGCTGACACAAGGAAAGTGGACTTACTAAAGGTTTCCATCCTTTCTCAACGGATCGGGACTAACAGGTTTCCAGAGCAATGGGATCCGGTCTCCAAACAGCCTCTCTTCAAATCCGGCGCTGTTCGTGTCACCAAACTCGCCAAATCTCCTCTCGGCGGTGCGCAACGCGCTGCACCCGAACAGCAAACGGTGGCTATCCATCAAGTCGAAACCAACGAAAAGGTCTTGCCGAGCAACAAAGAATCACGCTTCCTCGAAGCCTATCTCGGGGCAACCCAACAATCGCTGATCACACTCGCCACGGTTTGCGCCGACCTCATCCCCGGCCTCGCCCATGACCACGAAGTCTCGCTGGGCATGCGGGTTATGCACAGGCTCCTCTGCACCTGTGTAGAGACACTGCAGCCATATGCCGACAAGTATGCTGCGGACGTGGACTTCGGCAAAGAGATTTCCAAAGTGCTGCAGCGCCATCTTTTCCCGTCTGTGAGTACCCCAGGCGGGATCTCGGGATCGGGGGTCTTCAATTGCCTCTTGGCGTTACAAAGCTTGTGTTCGTTCATCGGCCATATCGAAAGCCATCTGGTCGTGCTAGAGCCGACGAGCAAGGCGAGTTGGGATACGGAATTTACAGAAGCGGTGGAATTTGTGAAGGGCCAGATCGAGAGGGTGAAGGCGTGGACTGTGCAGCAGTTGGGGACGAGAGGCCCGCAGGCGCTGTTGGTGCCGTGTAAGGAAGCGACGGGCCTGAAGGGGCGGGTGGAGAAGGAAATGAGCCGTTGGTAGTTGCGTGTTTCGGCCTCTGCACCAGAACGTCAACAAAGTATTAATGTCGCATGTGCCTAGGTAGCCATCCACAGTTCGTCAGCAACTCCCCAGCAAAGAAACAAATTGTTCTGTATTTTCTCATCAATACAACAGTCCCAAATGTCAGGTAAGTAGCGTGGCAGCAGTCGCGATCAAGAATCCCAGCTTGCCTTGATCCGGTAACCACTTAGACCACTCGACTTTGCTCCTGACCACTCCATCGCCTTGCTTCTGCAACTTCACCAGTCCACCATCATCAGCCATTCCGAAGACCGATGGTGGCTTCCCCTGCCTAGCGAAAGTCGCAGACCACTCTCCACTGTGCCGTGCCTTCCACAGCCCATCCCCTCCAGGCAACGGCACAATCACGAATCCCCGCATTGGAAAGCATGACACTGCATCCGAGATATCTACAACCATGTTCAGAAGTCGAAATACCACGACTGTGCGCTTGCGCGCCTCGTAGAATACCCAGGCCTCGAAGTCAGAGGGGTCACTGCCGGGCTGCTGCATGACTTCTTGCGTGCCTGCCAACTTCGCCATGGCTTGGCTGACATGGTTGATGCAGATGAGGAACGGCAGGTCGAAGTCAGAGAGCGATGAATCAGCTTCGGTGGCGCGGAGTAACGCGTACAGAAGCATGGCTTGGGTGGAGCTCAGGAGTTCCCAGCTGTCGAAGTCTTGGTGTTGGAACCAAATGCGCTCGGCTTCTTGTTGGATCAGCGTAAGGACGTGGCGGCGGTGTTCGGGAATGGTGTCAAAGAAGCGCCGGACAAGCGTTCGGCACCTGGACAGCGAGGAACTTTCGATACGAATACTGTGTAGCTCCTGTGTCCAGTGTATGAACGGCGGTAGCACGCCGTGCCTGAACCCTTTCACGAAGGACGCCAGGAATGACAGAACGAGCCCCAATGTCAGGCTTTGATCGTGGCTGTGTTGGGGTCGGTCCGCGAATGCGTTGGATGGTGGAAGTAATGCGAGCTTTGGGGATATCAGGTCATTTGCTGATTTGTGCCTCATCACCTCGGATGTGTCTCCGGGCCTAACGAACGTATGCCACACTGACTGAGAGACCAACGGCACGATTTCGTCCCCTTGGTGCTTAGCTGCCTCAACATACTCATAGGATAATATTCCATCTTCACTATGGCCTTCATGGTTCCACTGAGACTTCATGACCAGGTCCTTCACCTTCTCATTCTGGACTGCTGAAACTGGCCCAGGTGTATAAGCGCATATTAAGCCCCGCGCTTGACAGCGGTAGCATCGTGGGACGGATCGATCACATCTAGCTTTGGCTGATGCACATTTCGTGCAGGCGAATTTGCGTGCTGGATTAGAACTCGCAAGCTTGGTCCGGCAATAATACAGGTGTCGCTTTTGAGTGCTTTCTGGTGTATATATTCGTCAGCGACCCCGTTGATACATTGACTGAGCCTACCTTTGGAGAAATACTTTCGACAATATTGGCATTCAAAGGACGAGGGCGGCATGCTCAGATGTGCTTCCTGTTCACAAGTAAACACTGTATTTTGTCAGAATCTCGGGAGACTCACGCAAGGGGATGTGTTTAACTCAGACGCTTCACGGATGCCCGCGAAATGCCAAGGATGACTAAATCATGCTTGGTGATGCTCTAGAGCATGCCTCATTAGGACTAGGCGGCTCGCATGCATTACGTCTATTTACACCTCTCGAGCACTGAGCCAAGATGGATTTCATTGACTCATGAGTAACCTGCTAACATCAAAATCGCACATGCATAGACCGCTCACCGAAAGAATCTGTCGAATACAAGGCCTTCCAGTGCTTATTTGCTATCATCCAACACAATCAAACCTGTAACGGAGACAGATTCAAACCCGTGGACGTCAACAATAGCTAAGCCCGCCGTCAACGCCGATGACCTGCCCTGTCAAAAACGAGCTCCCAGGACTCGCAACGAACTTGATGACCTCGGCTACTTCTTTTGCTGTGCCATTTCGCACGAGATGTTGTGCCGCTCGAAACTTCTGGACAAGCTGATGCTCCTCAGCAGGCACGTAATCGGTATCGATTGGACCAGGGGCCACGACATTGACCGTGACCCCACGTTCTCCTAACTCCTCCGCCCAACCTCGAGTCATCGCATTCAGCGCTGCTTTGGTACCAGCGTATATATTGGCGTGCCTCGTCCCTAGACGTGCCACTACAGTACCAACATTGATGATACGTCCGCCAGGAGATGTTAAATGCGGTAAAGCTGCTTGTATCAGCAAGAGCGGCCCTCGCACATTGGCATTGAACATGTCGCTGAAGTCTTCAAGTGTCGAAGCGGCGATGCCGTCTGAAAAGCGTGCGTCGGCAGCATTGTTGACTATGATGTCGATAGACTGATTTGGAAAGCTCTTCTTACAAGCAGTGATCAGATCAGTTCCGAAGGAGGGTTCAGCTGCGTTGCTATGTACCGTGACAACAGTTACACCAAAGGTGCGCATAAGTTCGGCACTCGTCTGTGCAGCGTCATGGTTCGTGTTGTAATGCAGTAGAATCTGTTTCTTGTCAGCATGCGAGCTGTTGGGTCGGTTTTGGACGAACGTCTGCCCCAAGTTGTGCCAGGAGATGTGCTGTTGCAAAGCCTATACCATTCTGCTTGGCTGACCCAGTCACGATGGCCAACTTGCCCTTGAAATCCGCCATTGCTGTGGACTAATCAATGTCGGATTTGACAGGCACATACTGCCTTCTTTTATTTGTGGCTCGGCGCATGTCAACGACATCAGTCCTTAAGTTAATGCTCGATAAGCAAGGAAGGTCATATGTTGAAGAAGAGCGGGCCTGCGGAACGTTAAGATCCCGCCTCATGGCATAGCACGCTCACTTCTAAGAGTCTTCGCTGTGTTGAGTCTAGCCGCCAGCAACGGGAGTGCGTGATACCTATAAGCATGCTGACTTAGCGGTTGTCCGGTGCGCGTGAAGGCAAAGATCCAGAGAAATTCGTTGCTACACGGCTTCCGATGTAGTGACGCATCTAGCTGCCGTAGACTCGAGAGGAGACTCACTTCTTAGCGATGCTGTCGTATACGTTCCACAACACGGTAGGAGATATAAAAGCCACACTCAAGCACGTCGAACAGGAATGAAACAAACTTGCTCAGCATTCAAGATTCTAGATACTGCAGCTCAATACACAACTCCTTACCCCAGCCATGACTGTACCTCGCAAAGAAGCCCCCTTTCCCTCCTTCACCGCCAAATGGCACACCACGTCCTATCCAGCCATCGACTCATCTTCTGACAAGAACAGTGCCCGAACCAAAAACGTCGTAATTACAGGTGGCGGCTCTGGCATCGGTGCAGCAACGGCGCTCTCATTCGCCAGAGCCGATGCCAATTCCATTGCTCTCTTGGGTCGCACAGAAAGTAAACTGCTCCAGACAAAAGCCACCATTGCCAAAGCCTACCCTCGAACAAAAGTTACAACCCACATTGCTGATGTCACCACCGCCACTGAAGTCGATCACGCCTTCTCGGCTATAAGCAAGGAATTCGGAACGCTCGATGTCCTTGTTAACAATGCCGGTCTCGGCGATATCGGTCCCGTCATCAAAGACGCTGATATCGACTTCTGGATGAACAATATGAACACGAATGTCAAAGGCAGCCTGCATGTCGTGCAAGCTTTCCTGCGCCACGCAGTCTCGGACGCGACAGTCGTGAATATTGCGTCTCTTGCAAGCTTCATTCCGCTTATGGGCGGCATTTCAGCTTATGCAGTCTCAAAGGCAGCTTCTGTGGCGCTCTTCAGTGCGCTGCAAGTCGAAAATCCGGAGCTACGCGTGGTGAACTTGCAGCCGGGAGTGGTAGAGACGGAAATGAATAGGAAGTCGGGGTTGCCAGGGCTTGATGATGGTGAGATCTCCTTTGGGCGTTTCAAGCGAATTTAGCTGACATTAAGAAGTTTCGCTCCCGGCGGACTTTGCTGTGTGGTTGACAAGCAAAGAGGCGGCCTTCACCAAAGGCAAATACCTCTTTGCGAATTGGGATGTGGACGAGATGGTGCAGAGAGCTAAGGAGATCTCGGTGAATGGAACGCTGGAGATGTGGATCGAAGGCTTGGAGCATAAAGCGACGAGTTGATGGCTGAAATCGATGTTACAGTCCGATTGCGGCTTCTGCATCTCACAGCCTTGGTAAGGGAAGAACTATCCCTCGTCAGTGAATACAACTGAGCCACGGAAACGAATATACAAGTCCTGAGTCGAGCCAGTCTCCATCGCACGGGAAGCCGTGAAGCTGAATCATGCATAGTCTCTACCTGGACATTTGCGATTAGATTGAAAAAGCTGTCAGAACTTACCTCATGTCAATTCAGACATCACGGTTCCTCCAACGATGTCTTGCAACTTACTTCGACTTCTGGTTCCTCGCTCCCACGATACGCTTCATGCACAACACACCGGCATCTATACGCAACATCACGTCGACACCGACCCGGCTGTGAATCACTCATACAGCCCGGGGCTGTCGAAGCCAACTTCTATGCCATCAAATACATACCCGAGCCCCAAGCAGGGTTGCTCGTGGACAGCCATTGCGCAGTACAGCAAGAAGTCCAACCCTTATCCTGCCAGAACAGACGATTGTCGAATCGCTTAGAACGGAAAAAGCTCGAAGTCGATCGTGGAAAAGAGAAACGCAACGACAGGAGACTTCCAGGGGCCACGGTGGACTTGATAGAAGTGAAAAGCGGCGAGATGGCGTTTAACCCTACCGCGCGACACTTGGCTTCAAAGAATTCTGCGGGGACTCTGGAGTCGGGGATACTTCCCAATAAATATCGGCAGCGCCATTCCGAGCCGTCCCAGGCGCGGTTCATCCCCGCACACGGCCGTAGAGCTATCTTATAGATACTCGCCTTTATTCTCTTCATTTTCGTTCCATCTCTTCATCTGGATTGCACTATATGTACGGCTTCTTGCCGTCACGTAAGTGTTGCATAGCTACAGTAGCCTGGTTCTTGGTAGGTCTGCAGAGCAAGAGTCCAGCATCCGTGCTGGATCTCGTGCTTGCTGCTGCTAGTCGAGACGAAAGCTCGGTCCCCGCTCCCCCACAATTCAAGTTCTCCCGGGTGCAACTTCGGCATCCTACCGATTGTTGATCAGTCAAACACCTGAATACTTTATGCTGGAGGACTTACTTAACCTCTTGGCTTGCGGTTCGTTCTCTGACAGATCTCGCTGTGCTTGAGCCGGGTCCTCTGACGCACCTATGCTGAGGCCCCAGACGTGATGGCTTCCACCGAGCGTAGATTAAGGATGCTACAATCAATTGAATTAAGCAAAGGTTGGGTGTTTCGACAGGGTGACATAACAGACAGTGAATGGATGCCAGTCAAGCGCGTGCCTTCGACTGTGCACCAGGACCTGATCGATAACAAAAAGTAAGTGTCCTTCATCGCGCGGAGCATGGACTGATCAGGACCAATACAGACTAGCTGATCCGTTCATCGGCTTCAACGAGCTGAAGGCAGAATGGGTTGGCAAAACTGCATGGTCATACAAGCTGGACTTTCCCACTCCCAGTGTACCGGAAGGTTCCTGGGTCGCGCTGGTGTTTGATGGTCTGGATACCTTCGCTAAGGTCAAGCTAGACGGGCTCACCATCTTGCACGCGGACAACATGTTTCTTCCGTACAGAGTCGACGTGACAAAAGCTATAAGTCGATCAGAGAAGCACACGCTTGAGGTCAATTTCGAATCCGCCTTCCTGAAAGGTGCTGAGATCAGAGCCCAACATCCGGAACACATTTGGGCCGGCTTTAATGGCGATATGGGCCGGCTTGCTGTGAGAAAGGCTCAATGTCACTGGGGTTGGGATTGGGGACCGATCCTCAACTGTGCCGGCATCTGGAAGCCGGTGCGTATAGAGGTATACCAGTCGCGAATAGCGGAGATACGGACGGATGTCAGCCTGTCTGCTGGTCGGAAGTCTGCGAATGTGGATGTGACGATACATGTCGGCCGTCGCGGGAGCCAATCATTAACAGCAAAGATCAGTATACGGCGAGACTCGACAGTCTTGCGATCCACCAGCTCCAGCGTCTCGAATGACGGTGTCGCAAGAGCGACTTTGCGCCTGGATAACCCAGATCTCTGGATGCCAGCAGGGTATGGCGATCAGATATTGTACGAGGTTGACGTTTTTCTTACTGGAGAAGATGGTGTACTGGACAGTGGATCGAAGCGTATAGGCATCCGGGATGTCGAGCTTGTTCAACAGCCCGATAAACATGGTAAGTCGTTCTTCTTCAGAGTCAACGGTGTGGATATCTTTTGTGGTGGATCGTGCTGGATTCCGGCCGACTCATTCTTGACGAACATATCGGAGCAAAGGTATCGAGCATGGCTCGAGCTCATGATACCTGCTAACCAGAAGATGGTACGAGTTTGGGGTGGTGGAATTTATGAGGACGATGCCTTCTACAATGCCTGTGACGAGTTAGGTATTCTGGTGTGGCAAGACTTCATGTTTGGCTGTGGCAATTATCCAGCATATCCCTCCATCTTGGAATCGGTCAGGCAAGAAGCGATCGCCAACGTTAAGCGTATACGCCATCACCCATCTCTTGTGCTTCTGGCAGGCAATAATGAAGATTACCAGGTCCAGGAGTCGTTGGGGCTCGAGTATAACTACGAAGACAAGAACGAGGTCAATTGGCTCAAGTCTGACTTTCCTGCACGATACTACTACGAATCATTGCTCCCGAAAGTTGTTGTGGAGGAGGCCCCATCTATCCCGTACCATCCAGGATCACCTTGGGGCGACGGAAAACGGATATCAGATCCCACTGTCGGTGACATGCATCAGTGGAATGTATGGCATGGAACACAGGAGAAGTACCAGATCTTCGATTCACTCGGTGGCCGCTTCAACTCAGAATTCGGTATGGAGGCATTTCCACATATTGACACCATCCGAGCGTTTGTGGAGAAGGAGGAAGATCTTTTTCCACAATCTCATGTGATGGACTTCCACAATAAAGCTGACGGTCACGAGCGAAGAATTGCAACCTATCTCGTCGAAAACGTCCGCACCAACCCAGAGCTGGAAGCATATATTCATCTCACACAACTGATCCAGTGTGAGGCGCTCATGTATGGGTACCGCGGTTGGCGGAAGCAGTGGGGAGATGATCGTCGCTGCGGAGGTGCATTGGTGTGGCAGCTCAACGACTGCTGGCCAGTGACCAGCTGGTCAATCGTCGATTACTACCTACGACGAAAGCCATGTAAGTTGCTCTCCTATGCTCAAACTCGTTGCCGGAAACGAGTGTCATTTCGAAGATTACCCAACCATATGCCTCAGGACGAAGGCGTTGCTCTTGTTAAACTCACAATCCTACCTGCGAGCATACACCCTTTCCGCGAGACAAGGCTAATCAGATTCGCACAGCTTATTACGCCATGGCCCGAGTTCTTGCGCCAATGGCTGTGGGCATTCGTCGTCAGCATTTTGATTGGAGCGTAACACATGCCCGAGAGCCGCAGACACAGACTTGGGAGTTGTGGGCAGTAAGCTCTAGCTTGGACCCAGTGGCTGCTGACATCGAAGTCAGATTTGTCTCAGTCAAAAGTGGTAAGGACATCAAACAGAAGATTGTCAAGAAGGGTATTCATCTCGTACCAAATGGTACTACATCGGTTGTGACTGACGGAGAAATCGACAACATACGTGAGGAACCGCACGTGCTTGCGGCGCGGATCTGGGTTGATGGTAATCTGGTTTCTCGAGACACCGACTGGCCGCAGCCGTTGAAGTATCTACCATTCCCCAATCGCGGTGTGAAAGTCGACGTCAGGGGCAATGAGATGCACGTCAGTGTGGAACGGCCAGTCAAATGTCTGGTCTTCGAAGAGAGAGAAGGATGTCATCTCAGCGATAGTGCAATCGATGTCGTCCCAGGAGACCCGCAGGTCGTCTTCGTGAGAGGACTGAAGCAGCACGATAAGCCCTTAAAATGGACATTCTTGGGGGCTAGCGAACAGTGACGTTCCCAGCCTCCAAAAAAGGAAGTACTGCGTTACAGCACTACGAATTGGCAAGTGGCATCTGCGAATCGCAATCGACGCATCGTGTCAGACTCATCGATTGCAAGTCGCTGAGTTGCTGTCAGCTGTTTGCGATGTTCGTTGCTGGGAGAAGCTTGCACATTAGAACCAATGAGCGATCGTACGCGTTGGGGACCCTCGTATGCAGGTGTCAGACCCACGACTTTGGGCGTTGAAGGACGGAATCGAAGGCCAAGTGTCACTCCAAATGCAGTCGCAGCGGAGCAAGGTGAAATCTGAACCACCTGAAACACAGCACTGGATGCCTGCAGCGACAATGACACTGTGTAGGTACGCTGTAACATAGCGCGACAGGCCGTCGGCTGCAACATCGAGCTTGAACCACTCTACACGCGACGAGAATAGCGGCAACTTCCGGCGGCATCGCTCCTATGATCCTGTTGTGCGGCTGACACGCGCCTTCGACCTGAATAGGGCCCTGGAGGACGGCAAGTTGGAACTCGAGAAAGCATGCAGATGATCATGCAGGAACAGCTAGCACCATTTATGGCAAAACCACGGCAAATGCTTGATGGTCCCAGCGACTTGGAGAAGTCTCGTCCGTATGCACTGCCGTTAGATTATCGTTTTGTCGATGATTGTTCTCTCCGGTTTCTAGTCACTTGCCGTGCGTACATACGTCACTGTGCTTCTGGTCGCGGTCTTGCAGAGGGTCAAATTATGCTCTGCGCAAACCTAGACGATACCTGTGCAGATCAATGGCAAAACAGCGGCAAAGCCATATGCAGTAGTAGCCCTCTGTAGCTGTGGGGCTGTCTGTACTAAGATGGCTGATTCTGGTACAAGATAGCGATCTGGCGAACGGCGGGAGAGGAGATGGACAGGGGGCTGAGGTCGATATTGAATTTTGGCTAAAAGACGAGACGTGGCTTGGGCGTAAGGCAGCTTCAAATGCACCTCGAAAGTGTGGTTACACGTCAAGTCATTCGCATCTTTGACGCGCATTGTGTCTGTAAAGTTCGTAAAGTTTGCGAACACTGCTCTTCTTGTCAAGAGCCCTGAGTGCGGTCGAGAAGTTCGCAGCTAGTTTCAACTTTCAGCAGCGCACAATTCGAGCTTCAAGCAACCCCGGTTTGGGGTTCTGCACCATGGCGACTCGGTGTCGTTCTTCAACAGCCTCTGTCTCGCTCGCTTCATCTCAGGCCATGCTCGGCCCGGAACTTATGATCTTTGAAGCAGAAGCCAGCTACTAGCGCATCCTAATACTTTTTGACGCCTCAATCTGTTACCCCTTGTACCCGGCTACCCGTCGCACTGCATCGAAGAATTTTCGAAGCATTATGGAAGGCTGCTCTGTATAATCCTCGGGAATTTGTTTTGAACCAACCTTGTGGCTGGACAGCCCTGCATGTCTAGCTGCGGGTGATGCGCTCAACATACGACGAAGACGAAGGGACTTATTGACGGCACTTGCCAACGAGAGCAGTGCTCGCGGGCACACATCGGACCCCCGACGTCGTATTTCTAGAACCAGCTCTTCAAAAACTCTTCAGCAGCTACGCGCTGCGTTGATGATAAGTGTAATCAGCACCAGCGCACTCAAAAGATCACTCATCGATATGCTGATATTTCCTGGCGCAAAATAAAGGTATTCCTCTGCAGGATCGACTAATGATAGTCAAGAATCGCCTACCGGACGATCCGCCAGTGTGCCGAAGTGCTGGCGAGCATACATTAGGTCATACCTAGTCACGATTCGATCTAGTCTCGCGACAAGTGCTGTGGCTGGTTACGTGTTTTGTTTCGCGTCTCGTAACATGTTCACCAAGATACGCGATCTGGCCACCGGCAAAAGTGAGGTAAGACGCATTTTGAGCACCTCTCGTTTTTGCGCTTCACCGCTGTCCTTTCGATCTGCCGATAGGGCACGAGGTACTGCGAGAGAACGGTGTGTCGCATACTATGTAATGCCCCGCGAACAATTGGCCTGCCTTTTCTCCGGGTATATGGAAGATACCTGAGGAAGACTCCCTGGTGTGGGCTGCTGTGCACCTGGACTAATCATACACCATCGATATCCAAATTGCACTAATCCCGCTTCGACACATCATCATTGTGGTCAGTTCTCCATCATGGCCCTCCTTTCAACGAGTGTGACCCTTGCAAGTCGTGCCTGTTTCTTTCGCCTAGCTAGCGGCATGCAACCATGTCAACACTCGAAAGTCAACGACTCTACCCCGGCTTCACTGGAAAATCACTTGGACGCGGGGGCCAGAGTATTGAATCACTATGGCATCTGCCACCTCGCTGATGCTTCCTGCATCTCCCTGTCTTCTATACGTGTACCCTTCTACTCTAGCGAGAGTCAGGCAATCTCATACACCTAAGACCCCATGTGGCTGAGTTGTATGTTGTGCATCGAAAGGTCCGGCAAATATCAATTCAGCGTTGATTTACCGGTCTATACTACATACAAGACCCGCCGATCTGCCGCTGCACTACCAGAGCATGCCAACAGTATTTTGCAGTCAGACCTTCCACTCAGTGTCACGCACTCGTGATGCCCGTCATGTTCCATACATTTGAGACGGCACAGTACAACAGTCCGAATCAGCAAGAAGCCAACGCCACCGCTGCAGCAAAGCGACGAACGTCAACTATCAGGGCTTGTGAACCATGTCGGCGGCGGAAAATACGTTGCAATGGCGAGCATCCCTGCGAGACGTGCCAATGGTACCGCAAAGCAGCGTCATGTCACTACACAGAGCCTCGACAACGTCAAGTACCATCGAGAAGGTAAGTCCGCATGGCAACTGGTCCCTGCTCAGGCTAACGCGACTTCCCCAGATCGGTTGAGAAGATATCACAGAGTCTGCAGGAGTACAGAGCGATCCTGCAGAAGCTCTTTCCCAATGTCCATCCAGAACAACTGGCAGGCATGTCTCGGGAGAAACTTATTGACCTAATCTCGAAGACTGGGCCATTTCAAGCACCTTCTCCTGTAACCCCTGGTCAGGAAGAAAAGCAACTTGGCAGTCATGCCGACGCCGGGACCTTGGAACAGCTTCAACCATTACCCGAGGAACCTGAGGACACTTTCCAGCCACTAGATCGTGCAAGAACATTCAGTTCCGTCTCTGAAGAAGTCAATATCCTCTCATTGACGGGCAAGGAGTCGTCCTCATACCTTGGAATCTCCTCGGTTATGGCAGTACTGCGCGTGATCTTATGGCTAGATCCAGAATGTCAGACATTCGTGACGCCAGACCAGAACACTGCTGTTAATCTTGCGCGAGAATGGTCTCGGACACCTTCGATACTTGAGCTTGGATCCTCAACCACACCTGTCGATGAGCCGAAGCCATCCACGTGGAGCGAGCCAGCGATCATTGATGCTTACTTCCAATACGCACATCCAGCAACGCCAATAGTAGATGAGCAGACGTTCCGCGACACGTACCTGGCGGCGAATCGGACCGACTCTCGATGGCTATTGCTAGTCAACTCCGTCCTGACAATTGGGTCGATTGCAGCTTCGACATCTGCAGCCTCAACAACCCACGAGTACTACTTCATACTAGCGCGAGAACACTTGACAGTTGACACCCTCGGGACCGCGCACATTGAGACAGTACAGGCTCTGGCACTGCTATCTGGTTACTACCTACACTACGTCCAAGAGGCAGGCCTTGCGAATGCAATCATGGGCGCCACGCTCCGCATGTCAACCATGTTGGGCTTGCACAGGGACTTCTCTGAGGGTCTAGGCCCTAGCAGAGAAGCATCCAACCTCTCGAAAGCGTCCTTCAGCATTGAGATGCGCCGCAGAATATGGTGGTCGCTATTCATGCTCGATACTTGGGCGGGGAGCACGCTTGGCAGACCGTCCATGGGCCGAATGAGCCCAGCCGTAACGTCAAAAGTGCCGCGTGAGCCAATAGGCGGTTCCGAGACTTGCCTGCAGTTGATGCACGACAGTATCCGTTTCTGCCAGATCTCGACTCGTCTCGAGGACAGCCTTGCCGTTTCTCCCAACATGGATGACTTGGAACGCCAGTCTTTGGACACCTCACTATCAGAGTGGTACCAGCAGTCGTCAGTTGTTTCAGACCAGACATCGATCTCGAATGCTTCCCAGTACCATTCACCTCACAGCACATTGTCCTCTGCACACGACCAGTCAGATCCTCCTGGCATACTGCTCACAAAGAACCTGATGCGATGGCGGTACCACCTCAGCCGCGTCATCTTGCATCGTCCGGCTCTTTTATGGTGGGCAATGAGGTCGCATCGACAGACAACATCGACAAAGACTAGCAAGCCCGCTGTGCTAGACGCCTCTCGTCGTGCAGCGATCGAGACTTGCCGCACCGTGACCTCGGAGCTTATCACAGACATTTGTGCCAACTGGACTACCTCATCGTTACCGCCTTCTACAATGTCAGCTTGGCACGCTACCTCGCTCCTGTATCAAGCAGTCATGGTGCCGCTACTATCACTCTTCTCAGAAGCACATGACCAAGCAGTGACAAACCAGTCCCGGCAGCTCATAGACGTCAGCATCGATGCCTTCGAGGAGATGCAGCGGTGGTGCAAAGGCGCCAAACGTAGTCTCGAGGTCGTCAGTGCATTGTATGCAGCAAGTCGGCGACATAGCCTCAGGTTACACAAATCATGCTCCAAATGCCTACAGATGAGATGCTCCTGGGCGACCATACAGACGGCATGAATGATCCCATGGGTATGAACGCCTTCGGCGGCTCCAGCGCGAGTGCCAGTATTAGCGGCGGCATTGACTCTGGTGGCCTGGGCACACCAGCCACTCTACCTCCAGCGTCTCAGATCACGCACACCATCGTCTGCAGCAACAAGTACACTCGCACTACCAACCACCATCTTCCTTCCCACAACCAACCCACCCCCAACGACCTACCTTTATCGATCTTCCGCCGGTCTCTGTGGTCTCCGCCTTCCCACAACCCCACGCCCAGGTCCCAAGCCAGCACGCGCAAGTCCACTACTCAACGCCCAAGCAACAACATAACCAAAACATCAGCAATAACCCATTTATCCACCCTGGAGCCGGCACCACTCCTTCCGCATCCTCCACCAGCGCCCACTCCAATTCTGCATATCTCGAGTCAAGCACGAATAATCTGCTCGATAGCCTGACGTGGTCGCAAGGCTGGACGGACACGAACTACCCATTTGAGACGCCGAGGTTAGGGTGGGATCCGATGGCTATGCATGGCTGGGTTGGGGGGATTGATCCGGCCGTAAATGGTGGTGGGAGCAATGGATATGAGTATTTTGCTGCGGCGGGTGGTGGTCAACATCAGGGCGAGGCTGGTGGCCAGCGGTGACGGTGAAGAGGGTTACGTTTCTGATGTGTCATTACTACTTCACGAGGGACAAGTGACGGATTGTTGTCTCCTTGGCTACGACTTCAGCTTCCATTTCGTTGGTCAGAAAGCGTACAAGCAAGCGAATATATCTATATCTCTACTGAGGCCTTCTTAGACGGCTCTCGTGTATCATACTACAATCAAAGACATTTCCACCAGCGCGAATGCTCTCATTGTGATCTTCGCACAAGGTTGAGCGGCCGAATACACTTGTGCCCTAAGTTACACAAACCACGCTTACAAGCACTTCCATCTGCCCAACGCTACAGGAGCAAAACAGTCATCCACCATCCTTTGCCCTCTCCCTTCGCCCGGCAGCACCGTCACAACAAGAATAGGGGCGCCTAATCGCAACACACACACGTGTACTGCAAGTCACTCGACACGGTCGACAGTCAGCCCAACATGTCCCGAAGAACAGCCATTCTATCGATGCCCGATCAGTCATAGGGTCATCTCGTAGCGTCCCGGGCCCGGGGAAATACTAAACAAAATTGTGGGGCTGATCTGCCTTGTGGGCCGTGGCTTGCCCGGTGGCCTGGGGAAGGCAGAAGAACGACGGTGGAGATGCAGATGACGATGGTTGATACCGAAAGTTACGGGGTCGATAGATGACAGCAGGGGCCCATGGGCGATGGCAGGACAGGGGAGGGTTCCGGAGGCTGTAGTAGTCAGGAGGCTTGCTTCAAAGTCCTCTTCGCCGGCTAGTGGCAGTATGGAAGGTGCAGAGGCCAGATTCTGCGAAGCAATGTTCTGGAAAGTGTTTCATCGACCACAGGCATCATAAAGGGGGAAAGGCACTAGAGGGGTAGGTGTTTTGGAGGTGCTTCAGAGGTTCACCTGTACCAGACCAGAATGGCGTATCGTCGTGCATATGCGGCCAGGTTTATACGAAAGGATAAATTCTACGATGCAAGTCTGCTTTAGTTGGATGTGCTAATGCCGTGGTGCTATCACGAGGCAGAGAACGACAGATGTTTCTTTATTCGAGATTGACTGTTCAGTCAAGGGGCCGTCGATATGCAGCAGCCTCCTCTGAGACCAGGCATCCCATGGTCAATGCTCTGGGCCCAGAAAAGTCAGGCAGAGAAGCAGGATTGCGCGAACTTGCCGTATGTGCTCGTATGTAGGCGACAAAAAACCCTCATGTCGAGGATCAAACTTTGGGACGAGGGAAGAGGCAGATTCCCGTTGATAGATCGCCGGCTGACGTTCCGGCCTAACGACAATCGACTTCTTGACATGCTTGTGAGGTCTTGTTGCACCTTCGTTCAAGACTCGAAGGACCAGGGCCTGCGCGAGGGAGGAAGCTCGCGCAGAGGGGAATACAGTGTTGGGGGCTGCAGAGGATTTGACATCTGATCGGCATGATACGGGTATACTTCGTCAGATCTCGGAAATATGTCAATCGCAGATCTGCTATGCGATGCTGCACCAAGCATGAGACAGCCATTATCGATGGCAGATCGCAAAGGACTGGGAAGCACTTTGGCCGACACAGAATATCTCTGCGTCGACAAGCCCCTGAGCGATGCGTAAGGCAAGAGCAAAGGCAAGATGATGCCAAGCACCAGGTTTCTCGACGTCGAATGAGGCAGTAAGGCAAGCGGTCTTGAGTACCGAGAGTTGCGCAATTGCCGACATGCTCTGCCAGGCGAGCCAGGCAAGGATGTTGTAGAATTTAGATTGCTGGCGGCATGGCGCGTGTGGCTGAGCTGAAGGGCCAGAAGTGTGGAACGAGAATGTACCTGATTTTCAGCAAGGATGTAGGTCAAATCCATGTACATCCGTCTGTTCACAGCCACACGGCAGAAATGCGAGGCAGCAGACCCCAAAAGTCGGGCCGAACAGCAGGCACATGTCAGCCATCGCTCGTCCGGACACGCGTCCATCGCGCTATGCCAGGTTGTCTGGCAGTAAACAATGCCTGACAGAGGCATTGCTGTTGGTGCTCAGGTTTGAAACCATGGTCCTGGGCCGGATAAATTCGTGAATGGTCTCGAAAGGTACGGCAACGTTCACCGCAGAGGTCCAAGCATTCAATCGGGGATGTGTCCTTAGCAAGGGTTCTGTAGTTCCTGAAGACTGTCTGGGATGCCATGATAGTGCAGACATCGCAGTTCGACACGATCAAGAGGTTTGAGCACTTCAGGAACGTCGAGGAGGCCGGTGATGGAAGGGCCGTCTTCTACAGAGGCGTCGTTGGTGCGAAGGCAGGATGTAGTGGGCGTTACACACCTGATGTGGCATCACACATAATTGTGCTAGTGGTATCTCTTTTCAGGGATGTTTGGGCTTCGTTGCCAGAGGAATCCCAGCCTCTAGTGGTAACATTTGGCGTCGAGCGGCGTAGCTGCTAACATTTGATGACTCCCTGGAAGGCTAGAGAGCGCTGTTCGACTCGAGGGCGCCGGTCAACAAGTGCAGTAACCCAGGTTGGTCTTCGGATCATGCGTGGGCGCAAGTGCCAAAGTCGACACAGGTTATGCGTCGAACCTGCCACACGCATGTGCGGAGCAGCTGGATTCGTCGCATTGCTCTTTCCTCCCCGAATGAATTCGAATTGATTGGGAAGTCTCATTGTATGTTCGAACATCTGTCATCTCACGACAGCACTTCCCGGTGATCTTGTGCACCTCCCTCCCCAGGCAGACTTCATTCGTTGTCTACCCACGAATTTGCGATCCTGCCGATGATTGGAACTTCGTAGTGATCCAGAGTCTCAACATCGCGATATGCATGCAAGGCCAGAAATCCGATCAGCCAAAGGTCGACCCCAAGCAGTAGCCACGAAAGAATCGCAGACCAGGCCAGACACAGGTGGATGACGAAGATACAAGAGAAGAGCATGCTTGACTGCCACGCGTCTGGGCGAGATGTTAGCAGAGCTCGGTCGCGTGAGCGAAGAGTGAGAGCATGTTCCGGCAAGCATGTCTCCGCCAGGCACAGTGGTCTCACGTTTGCTATGCAATTGAATGCAGGACCCTGATGTGTCAGCATTGGGAGACTTACGAAATCGGACGTAGTCACTCTTGTGTTCGAGGACGAGGAGAAATACGCCTCCGGCAGGTGGGAGCAGAACGTAGGCAAGCATGGCCTCTGTAGACGTACAGGTCAGTAAGCACACTGGAAAAGCTCGAGCACGCCTTCTTCAGACCGCCGGAGGTAACAGATGGTTCGCAAATTCATTGTGACGCTTGTACTCTGGGTGTCTCGCAATGTGTGGAACTTGACACTATTTCTGTGCTTTCTTTCGCGATATGTCGTGAAGAGTGTCTCACCGTAATCCATTCTCATGGGCAGGCTTGTCTGAAACGCCTCCAGCTGTTGGCCTCTTTCTTCACTCCCCAGCATCGGTCTACTGCTAGGCGCCGCATAGTCGGCGAAGTCATCGGGATGCGGTAGAGGCTGGGCGTAGGAGGCACCACGCGAGGGCGCATCTGGTCGACCCGGCGGCGGCGAACGGATGCGCTCAATCGAGTTTCGTGACCTCCCACCAGGCGGAGGACTGAGGGCTCGCTCGGTCGTTGGGTCTGTCTGCGACTCGGTCAGCGACTCGCCGTAAATAGACGAGACGTTTGATCTGCTCACATCTTGGTAGGGCGCGAAGTTCATGGTCGGTGACTGCCGGTGTGTGAACACCTAAGCCGTGGGGCTTCCAGGCGTGCACGGCGGTGTAAATGTAATGCTCCGCAGTTGCTCCTTCCTTAGGGCCGAAAACAAACTTCCGTACCAAGGATGTGCGCAAGAAGTTGAGGTGGCCGCATAGGACAACGATGCGTCGAGGTTGCGCGTCAAGCGAGGTCACTCGCATCGGAGATTGGAGTCCCGATGCCAAGCCTTTCCGCGTGCCTTCCTTCTTGATGTTCGGTCGATCCGACAGCGCGTTGTAAAGCACAATGTTGGCATCACAAAATGCTGTTAGCTTGAGGATATTGATGAGACTGTGCCAGGTCGTCACCCGCGACCTCGTGAAGCACCTCGAACACCTCGACCAATTCCAGACGCAGGACGGCGAGATGCGTATGAGGAACCCCGTCCAACATTCGTCGCGCTGCCATCTGCTGCAGCATAGCCTGATGATTGTGATCTCGTGGCGGCCGAGCCTCTGGAAGTTACACGGCCACGACCACGCGTTGAAGTGGTCTGCGACTTCGTAGATTCGACAAGTCTTCTCTGCTCGGCCTCTTCCGCCCGGCGCGCGGCTGCTGCTTTGCGCTCTTGTTCCTCGACTTCGCGGCGCTGAGCGGCTTGTTGCTTCGTCTGCGACTCGATCTCCATGTCTGCCATTTCCTTTGACAAGCCTTCGAACGATGGCGACAAGAGAACTCGCTGGTTGTGCTCAGTCTGGGAGAGAATGCGAGACCAGGTGTCCAAGAGGGTAGAGGCCGCCCCAACTGACTGATTGACCGTCTGCCATGTGTCAGTAACTGTTAAACACGTAACAATGACGCGTTCCTTACTGTCATGTTGCTTTTCGCGCGCTCAAGATTTTGCAGCACGCCTTCAATTACTTCATTGACTCTCCGTACGCTCGCGAGCTCCTTTTGCAGCGCAGCGTCCCGAGCCGCATCCTGATCATGCGACGGTCGAGATGACCCAGTTTTCGCGTTGCTTGCCTTCCGGTCCGGGTCATCCAGCGCACTCGACTTAACAGGTGAGTCCAGCAAACTGTCATCTATATCCTGGTCCGCAGCGGATAACCGTGCTCGATCGGAGTCCGCCATCGTGCACGCATGAAGACGATTCGTTGAGCAGCGACTGCATAGAAGTGTTTGCGATCGGTTGGCGCGTCAAAAGAATACAATCACGAAAATCGCATGTCCCTCCTCAAGTTGACATTGAAGTGGGATTTGGGCCGTGCAAGTCACGTGACTGTTACATGTCAATCTCGACTCCCAACCTCCCCCATCTATGACCGCGAAAGGTTTCCTGCCACACACTGTCGAAATGCTATCATTTCCTGTTCTTGCTTCCTAGTCGTCGTCGTGCTTGTTCATTGAGCATCTTCGCAGAATAACCTATGAATTAAGACATTGAGACCTGCCTGATCTCAGCTGCGCCTATTATTCGCATCAATAGCGTATTCAAGTGAAGACAGCGACCGTTTGTTTAGAATCCTCTTATTGTCTCGGGCGCAATGGCTTCGACTCCTCCTCTACAGATCATATCTCCTCAGACCCCTTCGACTCCGCTGTATGGCGCTGCGTATGATCGTCCCACAAGACAGTCCTCTCGAATAAAGCAACGTGCAACAAGCCATGCGCAAGTAGTCCACCAGACGCCAGCACGGCAACGATCTGTCACTTCTCCAGCACATGACTCGAAATCGATAGCAAGGTCGCAAGTGACACCAAAGAAAGCGCCTCGCCGTGTGCAAGTTGTTTCTCCGACTTCACCCAATACACAACCGACTCCCTATCAACCACCTAAGCAACCTGCACCATCATCTACCACTTTCGCCAACGGCATGCTACCGACGCCTGTGAAGACTCCTAAAAAGAAATCCGTAACCGACGTCAAAACTGCATCTGCTGCGCTTTTTCAAGACCCGTTCACAATCGAAGAAATGGCTGCCTCAACACCTCGGAAGAATCGCAAGACTAAGCGCTACAATGGCTACTCGCTCGAAAGCTTTCGCGCTGAGGATGAGATACCGAAAGTGCAAGTGTTCACAGACAATCGTGACAAGGTGCCCGAAGGTAAGACACTGACAGCAACTCCTCCGGCAATTCATGCTAACGAGTTTTCAAGTGGACAACAGTCCTTCCAACCCGTTCTTGAGCAACGACATCACCGAGCAAGAAGCGCCTAGGGTGAGCAAGCGTCGCAAGGTCTCGAATCATCACCGCAAAGATCCTCAGGTCGAAGAAGCCCTCCGCAAAGACGATGGCATGGTCTACGTCTTGTAAGTGACTCCACCGTCGGCTCCTTGTCGCAAAGCTAATATCCTCCAAGCCGTGGCAAGAAGGTCTTTCGCCGCTTCAATGACGCCGGTGAAGAAGACGAGGAAGTCGATTCAGACGATCTTGGTCTTCTCGACCATTCCACCAATGGCAGACGAACACGACCCATGAGAACTTTGACACGAAAATCAATCAAACCCACACGTCTATTCGAGTCCGAAGAGGACAAGGCTGCCCGTGAGCGTGCTCGACAAGAAGAAGAAGCTACCGATGTCGAAGCCCGCACATCTGAGGACGATATCTCGAGAACTAATGGCTCTTCGAAGTCCCTGAGGACACCCACTCAATCAGCCGACAAGAAGGTCAGCCCTTTTGACAAATGGCCACGCCTCAAGAAGGGAAGCAGAGAAGGTTCTACATCTAAAGCTGTGAAGCGAACCGCAAGTGATGCACTGGATGGTTCTTCCACCGAAGATACCGGGGATGTTTCCAGATCATCGAAGCGGAAGACTCGCGCATGAAGCTGACGTCGTTGAGATGTAGCATTATGTATTCAGACAATGCGGGAGCGCTACGAAAGGGATTCACAGTCTTGCTCAGGTGGGCTCGACAGTTGGCATTACATTGGAAGGATCAAGACTGACGGACGACGTTGGCATATGCCCATGAAATGGATTGATAGAACTGGAAATCATTCTCGGGGCGGCTTGCTGGTCTTACAAAATTCCAAGCTAGGTCTTTGAGACAGTGACCAAGGCCAGCGAAAGCTCTCATAGCGACAACCACCATCTAACGTCTCATCAAGTGTACTGTATAGATCGCTGAGCATCTTCCAAAGTGACAAGCTAGCCGTGTAGAGAGTACAGAGGGTACTGTATCTGAACACATGAGGTACTACTTACTTAGTACCTAGGGTAAGTACAGGTGGAGGCCCGCTGCCAAGACAGAATTCTCCAGATGCGCCATTCGCGACCTCAACTCGAGATCTCCCTCATGCAAACTATCTTTCTCCCTCTTTTCATCCCTCTTCCCTACCAACGGGTGGCTTTGATATCACAATCGGCCTGTCCTGCTTCCACTCTGAGCAGAGTTGTAAATTTATTCGTACTTCCCCCACGTCGACTGGACAGAGCCGATGCGACCGTTGAGAAGCCTCCCACTTCATACCGCTGCGGTTGATATTCAAGGTCATGATCACTTCCCATGAGCTTCGATAAACCCTCCTCCGCCACACATTGGAACTCTTCTCTTGGTCGTTCGTCCGACAAACAGAACAAACCCGAGACTGGTCACTCTGCGTCCGTTTGGGGTCAAACATCACGCGGGCTGACTGCTCAGGGCACTCTACCACCCCTTGCAACTTCTGGTCTTTCTTCCACATCTGCCTTCGGACAAGCGTGGAGGCCATCATCAAGAGGTGATCTTGACTTAGACACATCCAGAGCAACCCCAGGTCTTCCACCTGTAGTGTCAAACTCCTCGGGGCGCTTTACTCTATCAAGACGCCCGACTACTCCTCAATCAGCGCACAGCCAGTCTTCATCATCGAACAACCATCAAGCTGGCGCAATCCAGCAGCCGAACACTTTTGTTGGCCGACCGTTCACATCCCCACGCTCCAGAGCCATCAGCCCCCTGTCGGCCTTGGGAGGAGCTCCCACTTGGAATAACACGGGGTCTGGGGCCGCAGCCGGCGGCGGTACCAGCTCAGGCCCCAGAAGCGGTGGACTACACTCCCCATCGATCCCTGGGACTGGTCTTAATTCTCCTACCTCACTCAAGTTCGAGCGCTCCCCAAGCATCTCGTCCAATCCGAATTCCTCGTCCGCCTCCAAGATCTCCGCGACCCAGATAGTCCTTCTGGTAGATACGATTACCGAGAAAAAGGGCCAGCTCGAGTGGGAATCGAAAGCTGACAAGATTCGGAAATTATTAGACACCAACGGAATGGAGGTGTTCACACAATACTTCCGGCGCTTGGTATCCTCGAATGCGTCGGCCATATTCGACGGAAGAGATCGCGATCATGGAAGCTACAAGCTCCTCCAGCAGGAGATGGATAAGGTAGCACTCGATGTCGAACAAGCCTCCAAGATTGCCGAGGCCATCGACACCTCGAAAGAGGATATCTACAAAGACTTCGATCTGATCAAGTTCACGGCATACTTTCACTCAGCAGACGCCATCTCACAAGTTTTACTCGCCACCGCATTCACGCGCTGTACACGGGCCGATCTACGTAACAAGGCAAACAAGGTCCTCGCGGAAGCAATAGTGCCTTCTATACAGCAGTTTTATGAGAACCGGACACAGCTGCACAACTATTCTCCAAAATGTGTGGCTGCTGTCATAGAGCAGATCGCGCTGTCGTCAGCTTTGACTACGACCGAGCAGAAGGCCGACCTCTACTGGACAGTCCGAAGTCGGTACGAGGGCCAGCAAGACGCCCCTGCAGATGTTGTATCTGCGCTGTCGCTCTTGCGGCTTCCTGCTGATGACCAAAAGATCGCGAAAAGTTTGCTCCGGACCGGCACCAAGAGCACGGCCTCCAAACAAGCAGTTGAGGATATTTTGCATGGCATCGGTCTCAACAATATCACTGACTCAGAGGTCTCCCACGCGCTGCTGTTCATGTCATACGCTCGCTCGCAATCATATGACATTAGCATGTTCATCAGTACCGTCCAGAGCAAAGCGAACAACGTATCAGTGGATTGGCCCCAAGTAGTGACAGGCTTCGACTTGCCAGATCTTCAGATACAAACAGTTGATTTTGTGCGCCTGTTCAAGGCTCTGAGAGTGATCGCGCTGGACGACTCTGACTTTGACCTCCAGAGATTATGGGGCGGTCAATGGCACCATCCAGCTACTCAGATGTCGTTTCTGCGAGCATTCTTGAGCGCACTGCCTGAAGACGTTGGCCCTTCGCAGATACCCAATTTTCGCTCGAGCATACCAATAGCCGACATGGCAAGCTTGAGCGAGGACAAGAGGAGATATCTTGACAGCCATCTGAATACCCAGTATACGTCACTCGACGCCATGGTCGCTGTTCTCGAGATATCTCTGGCTCAAGAGCTTCAAGGCGAGGATCTCGGTAGGAACGAGATCTTGACTGAGATACTCCACAAGCACTCCATCGTTTTCCTCCTGTCGCTGGTGACGCTCAAGCCGAAGACTTGGACCGCACTGCAGGAGAAGGTCATCCATGAATGCTTTCGACTATTCATCGAGAAGCAGAGAGATGACGCACCCATCGTGCTCGAGTCGCTGTACGCGCTGGATCCCATGCTGGTCTTCAGCTTGTGCGCAATCGTGTTCGCACAAGATCCTCGCGAGACAGAGTTCATCTACCAGCGAGCCGAGGAATTCGGATGGACGACAGAGTTTCTCAAACATTGGCAAAATCCTCTTGCCCTGGATTTGGCCTGCATGCGCAACAAACGTAACGCCGATTTTGATCTCGATGGGTATTTGACAGACGTGGCTGAAGGCAAAGGTCCCGCACAGCTTGGTATGGTGTTATGCAAGTACCTGAGGATCAAGGCCGACGACGAATTTCGCGTGCAGAGAGACCAAGCAAGTCCTCAATCTGTTCCTCTGAGTCTTGGAACAGTTCAAACGCTCCTAGAGAAACTCGACGAGTTCATCAGTGAGCGCGAGCTTGTGGAAAGCGCCCAAACAACATGCCTGCAAACATATCCGCGACTTATCAATTTTGGCACAGGTTTTGACGAACTCCTAGAGAAGAGCTCCGAAGAACATGGCAACAAATTGTCCAAGGAGACCGATGATCGCATGTCCGAGCTATTCGGCCGGATGTATCGCAACGAGGTCTCAATTCGTGACATGGTCACAGAGATGAAGGATCTGAAGCTGTCAAACGAGCCTGAGAGGCAAGATCTCTTCTGCTGCATAGTGCATGGGTTGTTCGATGAGTTTCCCTGCTACAACGAATACCCAGAGGATGCGTTGCAAAAGACTGCTTTACTGTTCGGCAATATCATCAAGTACAAATTGCTTCCATCTATTCCGCGAGAGTACAGTCTCTCGCTTATGCTGAAAGCTGTTCGCGACAACCCGCCCGGAAGTCTCATGTACGAGTTTGGCATCGAAGCAATACTACAGATCTGCGATCAGCTTCCCGAATGGCCTGGCTACTGCACATATTTGCTCAGAATACCGACTCTGCGGCATCCAGAAATCAGACAGCGCGCGCAGGAGGGACTTCAAAAGCAAGAGGCTGAAGGCGAGGTCAACGGCAACGGTGTCGGCCCTCATACTAATGGCTATGGGTTCGATATGCCTGCCATCGATAGCAACCGAGCATTCCGTTCCATCCACGCCGATCCTGCTCCAGCGAACCTGCGCTTCCAGGATCCTGATCCAGCGGTGCAGGAGTCCGTTTCCTTCATCATCAACAATCTCAGCCATGGCAATCTAGAGTCCAAGGTGTCGCAGGTCAGGGATTCACTCAACCCTGAGAGCTACCAGTGGTTCGCGAACTATCTCGTAGACGGTCGTGCGAAGCTGGAAGCCAATAACCAGAAACTCTACTGCAATCTGCTCGCTCTGCTTGACGATAGAGTTCTTATCACCGAAGTCCTCCGACAGACCTATATCAGCATCGTCAAGCTCATCAATTCCGACACCAATGGTGCTACGGAAAGAGGTTATTTGAAGAATCTGGGAATCTGGCTCGGCTCGCTCACTCTCGCACAGGACAAGCCAATCAAGCACAAGAACATCTACTTCGTCAACCTTCTAATTGAGGGGCACGAAACGCAGAGACTGGTCACTGTCATTCCTTTCACCTGCAAGGCACTCACTCAGGCCAAAGACTCCATGATATTCAAGCCTCCGAATCCCTGGACGATGGAGATTGTTCAGGTCTTGAAAGAGTTGTACGAAATTGCCGAGCTCAAGTTGAACCAGAAGTTTGAGATCGAAGTTCTTTGCAAAGATCTGAAGCTTGATATCAAGAAGATCACTGCAGCGACGATTGTGCGAGATCATGCACAGCCTGACGAAGACTCAGTGAACATCTCTGCAATGCCAGATGGCCTCGAGAATTTCGACGACCTTTCTCTTAATGGTGCCATGAACCGAGGCGTCAGAGAACGCGTCTCGGTTGCAGAGATTATGGCAAGCCTGCCAAATCTACGCGACGTGCTCAAATACCCGCCTCACTCCGGCCCGCCTCAAGAACAGGCTGTCATTGAAGAGGTCGTGTCAAGAGCTTTCGAGCAGGCGATACAAGAAATAATCGCACCAGTTGTCGAACGGTCTATCACCATCGCATCAATTTCAACGGCTCAGCTCATTGCAAAGGACTACGCGAACAACGCTGATCCGGACCAATACCAAGCAGCTGCGCGCCAGATGGTAAAGTCTCTTGCCGGAAGCTTGGCCTTGGTCACTTGCAAGGAGCCTCTTCGCATGAGCATCACCAACTGGATCCGTCGTCCAAGTGAAGACATCCAGGAGTCGATTATGCCCGAAGGAGCTATTCTAATGTGCGTAAACGACAACCTAGACACTGCATGCAGCTTCGTTGAGACTGCCGCCACCGACCGTGCTATTCCAGAGATTGACCACGTCATTGCACCTGAACTAGAGGAGCGACGACAATTTCTAGCTGAGGGAAGCGGCCGCGCTTTCGTCAGCAGCTCTGCGAATGCCACACAGCGATGGTCCCAAATGCTACCGGAGCCCTACAAGCAGCTGCTGGACGGCTTGAGTGACGCTCAGCGGGCTGTATACGAAGACTTCGATCATCGCGTGCACGGCACCAATATCAGTCACACCCAGAATGCCTCGATCGATTCGACAGGACGACAGATTCCAGATGTGCTACAAGAGACGCTGGCCATGCCCAACCTGTCCACTCCAGCAGATCAGCATGTCGTGCCGCATCAGAGTCCGCTTGGCCTGCACGATGGGCGCGGTGTCGACTCAGCTCCTCAACCACGTCTCAATGGCCTCGACGCAGTGCCGCCACAAGAGCGGGTCTTTGCGCTGGTAGAAGATATGCAGAAGGCTGCTCGAGCTTCTGATGCCATGCGACTGGCCGACCTCGAGAAGGACAACTCAATGTTCCACGACTTTAGACAGATATTGATGGTCATCACAGGATCTCAGCGTCCCAATTCCGAGATACTGGCAAGACAAGTCGCAGAGAAGGTATGCAACATCTTTGCGACAAAGCCTCCGAACAAGTTCCTCGAAGCAGAGATTCTCTCCTTCCTACTGTCGAAGCTGTGTGTCTTGTCAGAAATGATCATCAGAGATGTCTTTCGCTGGGTTTCGAGCAATGAGCCTGTGCTCCTGAGCAATGCCAACGTTGTGGCAGGATTAGTGGCTCCAGGGTTAATGGACCTCAGCCGCGTGGATGCCTACCTGGCCGATGCCTTGTTGCAGAGAGAGCCGCAAGGTCTACAGATCCTATCTGAGTTGTTGGATCTGACTCTGTTCACTGCGGAGCCTACGACCCTGCGAGCTGATTTCGTCAACAGTCTCGTCGCAATGTCTACCTGGCTACGCGAAGATCCATCACTTGCTCTCGCTTCAGGCATCAACTCGAGACTAGCTGCGCACGGAATGTCCGCTATCGATGCTGTCCCTGTGTCTGACAAGGTCAAGGCTAAGCAGGATCAAATGCGGTATATCTTTGACGAATGGCTGCGATTGTTTGACAATCGACCTGCTGATGCCAGCGCTGTGGCAGCATTCTTCCGCGACATACACCAGGAGAAGATCGTCAATGATGCAGCAGACACAGTCGAATTCCTACGTCTCGCTATTGATGCGTGCGTCGATGGCTTCGAGAAAGAGGCATCCAGTACTCGTGGGAGTTTCAATGATGCTTTCAGCACTACTGATGCTTTGGCCAGCTTCGTCATGAGCCTCGTGCTGTTCCAAGGCGAGTCGGGTGGCGCCGTCCAGCAGGCCAGGGCTGCGCATCTCGAGTCGATTTTGTCCTTGCTTGTGTTGATCATCAATCACAGCCAGAACATGCACGGAGTCCATTTCCCACAGCGGGTTTTCAATCGCCTGATCAGCAGCATGCTATACGAACTATCTGCTGCAAGACTCGAGGATGGGAGTGAGCAAAACCAGATGATCCGAGCCTTCGGAACAATGCTCAAGTCACTACAGCCGTCATGGTTTCCAGGACTCTCCTTCGCTTGGATGGGCTTGATTGTCAACCGGGTCCTGGTAAAAGGCCTCCTGAAGGAGGGACACGAGACTGGTCACCAAATCTACCGCGACCTCACCGGCTTGTCGCTCATGTTTTTCTCGGACGGCATTCGTACAGCTATCTCACAAACGGTGCTAGCAGAGTTGTATCGAGGCATCTTGCGCAACATATTGGTCATTCATCACGACTATCCCGACTTCCTCAGCGCCAATTACTCATACCTCTGCAGTCGCATAGGATATGAGATTCCACAGCTGAGGAATCTAATCTTAACATGCCGTCCAGTGTCTTGCGGGGACCTGCCTGATCCGACAATGCCAGGTCTGAAAATCGAGCGACTGGATGAGATGAAGAAAAGCCCGGAGCTGCCTTCCGACTTCGATGCGTTGCTGAGGTCAGAAAATATTCACGACTTGATCGAAGCTGCTCTGAAGAAGAATGCCGACCTGGATAGTCTTGCCAGGCAGATCTACACCAAATTGGCAGCTGCTGCATCTACTGCCTCGAAGGCCTCACCCCAGCGTATGATCGAGCTCATCAATACACTCGTCCCCTTTATCGGTCAAGCAGCATCTCAGGCCGGAGCCAAGTTCGAACCCAATGGACCGGCTACGAAACTGCTGATGACTCTTGCGGTGTTCCTGGACGCTGAGCAGCGCTACTACCTTGTCAACGCCCTCGCCGATCAGATCCGCTTCCCAAACACGCACACAGATTACTTCCTCAAGTTCGTGCTACACCTTTGGGGCAATGGAGCGACCATCACCGACGTGCAGCGCGAATTGAGAGAGCAGATTTGTCGCGTGCTGTTGGAGCGCATTTCGGTGGCGAGACCGCATCCATGGGGCATCACGATCTTGAGCATGGAGCTGCTAAGTAACAACAGCCTGGGTTTCTGGGAAGTGGTTGCAGCGGAAGGTGGGCAGCAGATGCAGGCGAGGCTGCAGGTTGCTATTAGGCAGGCTGGCCATTGAGAAGGGGAAGGGAAGCGGCGTAAATGCGAAGAATGTCGCAGACAGGGTGCGAGCCGTGTGGTAATGCTGGGGCTCCACCAATGGACTTGACATGAGATACGGCAAGACGCGACTTGATGTAAGCTTCTACCTAATTCGATTCATGGGAACATTGGGAGCGGCAGGAATGGAGGCATATATTTGTACATCATAGAGGAAACAGAAAAGCGAGGAAGCGGTGCTGGAGGGCATGACTAGGTAGTTCTTGCATCGTCTCTTCTTGAGGCACGGAGTTACAACTGGATTTCAATGTCTTCCTATCAGTATTTGGTGTACGTGGCCTGCTTGCTTGCTTACTCGCTCATGCTTCGCTGCTAGGAATCGACCCAGAGGCAACCGTATGCTGCGTCCTTGTCGGCCATCAGCCGAAGAGTGTACCGGGCCCGAAGGCACGGAGGCCAGGTGTAGCCCCTGACCAGGGCTGCCTGGCCAGACCTTCACCACCAAATTGAGTCACAGTACACTGGCCCTTCCGGTCATCGCGCTCATCAGCCTTCACAATCCATCGAGTCCGCATGCTGGCCTCCTGTAGGACCCATTGAACAGGATATCCGCCGCCGATCTTTCGCTGTAAAACGTGTTAGAAAGACAATGTGCCGGGTGGGACCAGGACCGGGGGACTGATGTCTCGCCCGATTCAGGTTCAGGGGTTTACGTACCTCCCATTCCCCGACCTTGACTTCCAGGACACCTGGATTGCTTCTGTGCCCGAAAATGAATTTCCAAAGTTCGCTGACGTAGGCCTTGATGCTCTCCGCGCTCGACGGAGGTAGTCCCAAGTTTACACGACCAGGAGGGTCTTCGTCATCGTCAATCTCGTCGGCCTCCTCATCTTCCCCCTCAGAGTCCTCCCTGTCGGCATCATCGTCACTTGAACTGTCGTTGTCCGCGGCTGACCTTGGATCCGGCACGGGGCGGGCTCTGGAGTGCGCAATGTGACTCAGCCCGAGGTCGTAGTAAATCTGCAATCTCGACAAGGTTTCCATTTCCTTGAGCTCCTTCAGCACAGCATCGGACTCGATTTCTGTGTCCAACAGCTCTGACGGTCGATCGCAATCGATTGTGAGATCCCTCAACTTCGGGCAGCTCAATCGAATGCTCTTGACATCGTCTGCAGTCAAGACCTTGCGTCTGTCCGAGGACAACTCAGATGCAGACTCTCGCTCATGAAGCTGTAGTACTTCGAGACTGTCTCCATGCCGTGCGAGAACAGACGACAGTGATAGCTTGCCCATCCAAGACCACAGGCTGAGAGACCGGAGCGGCGCTGTGGTGGACAGGTAGTTCTCAACAGCTGCGTGAATGGCTGAACCATCCATACCATAGCTGAAGTTCAATGAAACGTCCTTGAGACCTGTCAGAAGTACTGGAGCGCGCTCAAAGTAGCTTATTTCCGGACGTCCTGACGAACATTTGATATTGTCCAGCTTGGTCAAATCGACAAAGCGCGCCCAGTGGTCTAAGATTGCCCCAGACATTCCATAACCGTCCAGCGTCAGTCTTCGGAGAGAGCCATTAGGACTCTGATGAACGTAAAACTTTTCTTCTAGTTTCCGTTTCTCCTCCCATTGGTCCTGAGAAATTCCATGTATGACGCAGCCTGCCGAGTAACGACTTAGGGAGGCGAATCTGAGATTGGGTGCTTGTGCAACAATGCGCTTGAAGCATGCGTCTCTCAGGTCTGGATGGTCTCCGTTATTCTGAAACGAGGCCTTGATTGCAGTGAGTGCGGGTGAGGCAGCTAATGCGAGCTCGGCTGGGTCATGCTCGTCTGCTGTCTGTTCATTGCGCTCAAACTTGTATATTTGGAGTTCTGCCTTCTTCTGATGAGTATGAAGGGCGTTGAGGATTGGCAATGGGATCATGCTGCCGTGGTTCCAGACCAAGAGCTTTACATTGCCTAGCTTTTCGATGAGAAGTGCCAATTCCCTCCACTTGACCTCTGGATTTTCGTCAGAGTCTGAAGTATACACATTCTCAACGGTCAGGTATCTCAATCCACGTAAGATGTCCTCGCTCTGGAGCCATTGCTGAACCTCGGTTGCATCGTTCTTCCAGTTGAGAGGCGTGTAGTTGAGGGTTTTGTGCCGGTGGGCGACAAGTTTCGTGGTAGCATTGAAGTACTTGTTGACAAGTGCTAGCGAGCGAAGCGTGGCTGGCGACGTATCGTCAATGAGTTCGAAGATCCATGATAGCAGCTCAACCTCCAGGCTTTCTAGGCCAGGCATTTCGGCGTGCGACCTGCCTCGTGGGACTGGCTGACTTCAGTGGTGCCCGATATGGGACCGCGCACTGATAGTCCGAATTTCGTAAGCCCGAGGCGATCTCTGATCGGTAATCCTCCTTGTGGCAAGAAATTTTGTAGTGACCTTTGATCGACTTTTGCTTTCGGTGAGAGGTAGAAACAAGTGTCAATGGCGAGTGTCGCAACACAAATGTTCAACGTTCTTTAGAGAAGCCGGCAGGCAACCGCTGCGCCTAGAACAGGCAACCGCGCTAAACCCGCCTCCCCTGGTCTTCCCTCTGGGGGCCGCCGGAATCCTTGACATTCGTTGGCAGGCGACAACTCACGTCCTCGACCGCGTTTCGACCCTTATACGTGGCCCAGGGCGGGCTCTGGTGAAAGTTATGCGATACACTTGGTCCCGGCACTGTATCTATCATTGACGGGTCTCTGAACCCGCTTCAGCCTGCTTCTCCGTCACTGCCTTTGCTTGTGTAACCTCAGCATCGGCGTTGGCGCCTGCCACTGGCTTAACATTGGTCTGTTGGTCTTTCGCGGCGCCTTCCCGACTGGTCCTTTGTGCTTCCTCATCTTTCTTTACTTCCACAGGCACATCTTTCCTGATATTCCAACCACCACCCCATCCAACCCAACCTTTTTCGTGCGGTCCCCTGGCAAATGACACCACAAGTGCCATACTAATAAATCCAACACTTGCACTTCCTGAAGCCGTCCAACCGCCACGAGCATACAAACGGTTTCCGATCAGTGTCCCAGCTGTTTGGCCTAGGAACACGCAAACCATATAGCTGGTATTCACTCTGTTCCTAGCTTTCGGAGCGGTAGAATAGATCGCAGTCCTGTTCGATATCTGCGAGGTCTGAATTCCGAGATCTTGCCCCAAAGCCTGAATGATCGGGCCCGCTACAGTGCGTTCGCCTGTATAAGTGCCGATCACAATGCTGGCAAGGACGATACACCCACCGACAATGACGCTAAATAAAGGAACCGTCTTGTCCATCACAATTCGTGCGTAAAAGGGTCCCCATGTCATAGCTGCAATGCCTATAAGAGCAAACAAGCCAATTACCAGCGGCGAGTAGTTGTACGGATCTCCGGCCAGCAAGAACGTCAGTGTAGTCCAGAAGCTAGGGGGTGTCAGCATAAACATGTATTTGGAAGAACCAGAAACGGGAGACTGATGTCCCACCCAGGCAGAGACGTACGTACCTGGTGAATGTCGAGCTTGTGAAGAAGCCAATCAGACACGCCTGCATCAGGACTGGGTAGCGAAAGGTGAATCTGACAATATCCCACAGCAACATGGGGTACCCCCTCACCAGTTTTGCATCCGGATTCGTGCTGGGATAGTCCGGCATGAACAGCCACAGCAGTATCAAGATCAAATATTGGAGCCCGAAGCTGATCCAGTAGATGCAGCGCCATCCAACAAATTCTGCCACCACACCGGACAGCAACCTTGCGACCAGCATCCCCAGCAGCAGGCCCGAGACGACGATCGCTAGCGCCGATGCTCGTCTATGTGGCGGAGCCAGATCGCCCACCAATGGCAACATCAACTGTGGCGTCACCGTCGTCACAGACGTTAGGTAACTTACCGCAAGGAAGACGTGGAAATTATTGGTCAAGCACAGCACTATCCAGAGAGTGGCCGTGAACCAGACCAGCCACAATACGAACGGCCTCCGCTTGACTAGGTCCCCTAGTGGGCAGAGGAATAGCAGGCCTGTGGCGTACCCGGCTTGTGCTAGTGTGGGCACGTATGACGCTTCCTCATCCGAGACACCGAAGTCTTTGGCCAGCAGGTTCAGAATGGGGTGGTTGTAGTATAGATTCGCCACCGTGAAGCACGCCGCGAAGGCAAAGAGGATGTTGAGCGCCATGGAGAAGCCTGGTGGCTTGTTTGGGTCGTAGCGGCATAGTGGTGGTGTATAGGAGAGCAATGTGTACAGTCGACTGACCCGCGATGGTTGCAGCTGTGGCGATGACTCGTTGGTCCGGGCTTGTGCCAGACCTACTGCTGAGTCGATTTTTCCTTCATGTTGATGTTTCTCTTCCACACGTGAAGAACTTGGAGCAACTTCCTCCGTCGTCATGCTGCAGCCACAGATATATCGACGCTCACCTCAGAAATCCTCGGCGGCCTGGCTGTCGCAAGAACTTGGCATCATGTAACATCAAGGTCTCCAAGATACATGCCTCCCACCCCAAAGGACAAAATGCCATCTCTCTCCATCGCAATGATCTGCAAGGGTACGTGGCTTTCTAGCGCTTGGGGAAGACGCCACTACCGTATAGTGAAGACGCGAGCCCGAGGTCGCTTGTGCTGATGATCCCCACGCGGATGACGGCACCATTTATTTCTAGCGGTTAAAGGAATAGCCTGAGATAATTCTACTTATGGTATTTCTCACCGAGGACCGCACTGCCATGAATGGCTTCGTATGTATTTACTGCTCTATATGCCAGTCGATGTTTACCTAAGTATCCAAGGGAAAGCCAACCATGGAATCACGTGTGCATCCCCGACCCTCTTGTGCAGTGGCATGATAGTTTCAGAAGGCAAAGCTGACCTGCCCGAGCTTGAATTGAAACGCCCATGGTGTGGCTGGTTGGCATACCACAAACCGGACGACAAGGCCTAGTAGCAAACATATCTGATCCTTCAAGGAGGCGCTCTTCCAGATCAGTGCCTGAGGGCCGACCTGGCAATCCGAAGAACGGCATAACAGCAAAGCAGGTCACAACAGTCAACCCACGCAATCCACTAGCGGAGCATGTAGATATGCCACCGCAATATTGAATGAAATTCTCACAGCGCCTTCCCTGGCCAAGAAGGTTGCAATGGAGCTTTCCGACTCACTGACTGACGCTTCAGCGAGCCTCATCTCAAAGTCACTCACTTGGCCAGCCGACTGACATGAAAGTTCAGCGCTTGTTCCAAGCCCAAGCCCATGAATATCCTTGTCGCTCGATCCACGAGATTTATCACCAGGACTCTCTACAGTGCGCGGAGAGGCCAGAACGACGCATCCGCGCTGTGAACACTATCTCCGACATACGTCATGTACCACTTTCCCACGATGAGCGCACAGATCGTCTCTCGAACGGAAGCAGCACGAGCGCGTGGCCCAGCCTTCCGATCTCGAGAGCACGGACGCAAAACAAAGGCACGTCGTGTGCGTCTTCAACACCTCATTGTCGCCCACCCAAACGTCTCGAGAGATCTCTTTGTCGCTTTCAGCGTTATTCTCGCAGGTATGGCCGCAAGCAGCAAACGTTCGTGAAATGCGATAGCTAAGAATATCATTGTCGTTCCTTATTCGGAGTTGGTTAATTTCTTTCTGGGATACTTACCTTGCCCTTTTTACGCCGTGTGTCCATTCTTACGATCGACTGATCGACAAGCGAAGCGCGTATGCAGATCGGAACAACTGCACTAGAAGCGGAACAACATCAAGCGCCTCGCTTGAGAGCATCCACCGCATAAGACAGACCCGAATAGCGAACGTCGGTACACGATCCAGTACTTCACCAAAGCACAATGCCCTCCATGAGGCACCTCCCGGCTCTCCTCCTTTTCGCGCCCGCATTAGCCCGCGCGGCAGCGCCACCGCCCGTACAACTCGACGAAAATGGCGTAGCTCACTTTAATATTCCATTTGAGGTGCAATTTGCGCGTCCTGGAGGCGCGAAGCCTCACAAACGCGACGAGAACGATGTAGAGGACTCCGCGACAGAGGAGCAGGAACCCGTGGAGGCATCACGGCAAGGTCGCTTCATGAAGCTTCCACCCGTACAAGTTGAGCCAGAATTTGAGGTCAACCACCAGGGCCAGCCAGAATCAGAAGCTCCCGCATTAGACGAGGCATCAGAGGCGCACGACGCCGACCTGAAGCCCCGCGCCGCCGAGCTGCGCCCGATCCAGTCCCGGCACCAGCCGCCGATATCGCCATCCCAACACACACCATCCTCTTAATCGAGACGACCGGCACCGCGACCTCGACCACCGACCAAAACATCACCACCAGCGCAAATCTCACAGCCACGAACATCCCACCACCACTGAACCATACGAGCTTCCCTTTGCGCAATGGGACAAATAGTACCCTACCGTGTAACGGCACCGAGCAGGTGATCGTGAAGACAGCAAATTTGACAGGCACGCCAACGATGCCGGTGAATCCGGCGAACGCAGCGAAGCCCAGTGGCTCTGCGGTGAAGGCTGGAGGTGTGCTGATGGCGCAGGTACCTACGCTATTGACTGTGGCGGCCGTGGCTGCGGGGATAGTGGTTGCATGGTGCTGATGACTGTGGACGTAGAGCTGGAGGGCCTCCAGCTGGCTGTATATGATACAGGTCGAGGAGACGAAGCTGCGAAGGCAACGCTGGATTTTCACTTCTTGGGGTTTGTGACGATGGATTTTATTCAAGTCTTTTTTGTGGAGGGGTGCGTAGATACCGGTCGGCAGGCAGACAGGAATTGAAATACACTCCAATCGATGCAGTCAAACATCTGAAGCAACACTGCGGACACCATCTTCCTTTCCCTATGAAATTTGCTCGATCCCGTGAGACACCATTAGTCTCCAGAAGCAGCAACCTGTTTTCCCGAAATCGCACTCACAAACGAGCTCGAGGGCCATCGTACGTTCTTCGCGCGCCGTTTCCATGAGCAGGTCAGAAGCATTACAACAGAGGGTCTGTCTATCCTAGGTATTCAGAGACGAAATACCCAGGCAAGCTGTTCAGACAAGACATGAGCGTTTTCTCCCCCTTAACCTACCTCACGCCAAATTTCTTACAGCGACCTCCCTGGCAGGCAAATTGATGATAGATTGATTCTGCGGCTTAAAGCTCATGTGAGGCTCCTCTGAAACTTCCTGGCTCGATTTCAAAAACAGCCCTAGCCCTCAGAGCCCGCCCTGACTCGAAATCTTGAGGTTCAGCTGGCCCTGCTGAGAACGCTCACTTTTATGCCCGAACAGCCTGCCAGGTACCTCGCCCTCCTTCTTCTGCATCTTTGGAGCCGGGTCGCGCCTTCTCAAGCGATCTTAGCGTCTCTCGTACAGTGGAGCACATAGATGGTCAAGACAGTCGATTCTTGGACTGACTTGGAGTCCTTCTTGTCGCCGTTGCCACCAGCACAACAGCGTGGCCACGTCCTCCAAGGCGAGATTTTACTGCGAAGTGATCACTGATAACGAAATGTTGACGATACTAATCTATATCGATAGCTCTTTTTGACAATTCAGCCTCGGCTTCTATTGGGCAAACTCTGCTATGTCTGGGGACCAATTGGTCGGCATTTGTAATCCTTCGGGTAGTGTACCTGCATAAAGCACACCATTTCGCCCTCTATCACTAATTTCATGGTCAATATATATGCTGGAAACATCCCTCGAAATCAGCATCTGACCTCAACTGCACGACTTCAGCCATGGCGCAGCAAAGAATTTTCACGCCGCTCAAGGTTGGGCACGCTAACCTCGCTCATCGACTCACGCTTGCCCCATTAACCCGCTTTCGCGCCGACGACCAGCATGTTCACTCAGATCTTGCGAGAGAGTATTATGAGCAAAGAGCGTCTACCCCGGGCAGTCTTCTAGTCACCGAGGCTACCTTCATCTCTCCCGGAGCGGTACGTATACCTGTGAACCTGAACCGGGCGAGACATCGATTTCTCGGTTCAGGTAGATCCCGATACATGCTAACAGAGTCTGCAGGGGCATGGATAACGTGCCCGGCATATGGAGTGGTCCTCAAGTCGCCGCATGGCGAAAAGTGACCGATGCTGTCCACGCAAAGGGCTGCTACATCTATTGCCAATTGTGGAATCTGGGTCGAAAAGCCGACCCTGCTATACTGGCTCGTGAAGAAGGAGGACCTTATCCCGTCCTCAGTGCCAGCGACGTACCAAATACACCTGGTGGCCACAAGCCCGAGCCGCTGACCAAGGACGGCATCCAGACAATCATCAATGACTACGTCACAGCCGCCCGCAACTCCATCGATGCAGGATTCGACGGCGTCGAGATCCATGGCGCCAACGGCTATCTCATCGACCAGTTCCTATCACCTGACGTCAACCACCGCGCAGATGAGTATGGCGGCAGCGTCGAGAATCGATCCCGTTTCGGAGTGGAGGTTACCCGTGCCGTCATCGAAGCTATAGGTGACTCGGCCAAGGTCGGCATCCGTCTGTCGCCCTGGACGGACCAAGGTTTTCCCCTCGACGGACCTGGTGACCGTATTCCGCAATTCACGCACATCATCAGCCAGCTCAAGACCCTAAATCTAGCATATCTGCATCTCGTCGAGAGTAGAATCAGCGGCGATGTCGGAAATGGCGTCTACGATCCATCACAGTCCAGAAACGATCCACTCATCCGTGAATGGGGCACAGAACAGCCCATCATGCTGGCGGGAGGCTTCACGCCCGAGACCGCTGCACAGATCGCTGAGCAGTATGCACAATATAAGGTGCTGATTGCGTTTGGACGCTACTACATTAGTACTCCAGACCTGCCATTCCGAATCCGGAAAGGGCTTGAGCTGAATCCTTACGATCGAAAGACATTCTACTTGAAGAAGAGTCCGGTGGGCTATACGGACTATCCTTTTCATCCACAGTATACCTCTTCGATACGAGCCAAAGCATAGATACGTTCGATAGCCTTTAGACATGTTACGATACGCTGTCACTTACGACAAACATTGCCGACGGCAAGCAGTGTCCGAGTTGCAACCGGCTGCGGCATACACGGAGGTAATCAAGAGGCCCGAAAGCGGTTTGAATGAACATTCAGCTCCTGAGAACTGAGCCTCGACGCTGTGCGTCGAAGGGAGCTTGACGATCCTTGCAAGTACGTACGGAGCTCTGCACGAGAGACCTGACCAGGGCGGGCTTCGTGTCGGGCAAGACCGGCTAGCATGACCGTTGCGTGCTCGCCAGGCAGACTGACGGTATTCATTAGCCTGGGAGGCATGTCTGTCCCAGAGACATTTGATTGACGGGTGGCTCTACACAAGACCGGGTGACGCTCAACGGGGCTACAATGCCACCGGATGACAAGTTGCTATAGTCGAGACCAATTGACACAAAGGTGGCACGTTGGGCGTTGTGGCCTGGTAAGACTCAGCTAGAGCGGGGCAGAGAGCAGCTCCAGTCAGCAGATAGACCACCACGGGGAGGCTCTCGGCACAATCAATGTGCAGTATGTTCATCGCTGCTGGATAAAAATGGAATGGGCTTGGCAGGTAGATATTTCGCAGATTGGAGGACAGATTTTATTACGCCAGTAGGTTCAGAACAGATTTCGTCTTCTTTACTGTCACAAGCATACCTCTACCATGCAATGATCTTCGTGACGATACCTAGCACCTACTATGTCGAGACAGAATGCACACATCGTACCTTGGAGTCCACAGAATAGACCTTCCATCCGCTGACCCCAGCTTCTCCGCATTATGCAGGGAGGGGAACGGGAACTGGGAGGCGAGATCGGCATGCACTCTGATACGCAGTGGCGATGCCCGTGACATCCCTCGGGACATGGAAAACTATTCTAGCGAGCTTCAGCAGCTTTACGGTGCCGGGAATTGGGCATTATCACACGAGCCGCAAGCACACGACGATTGAAGGACTCGAAAACTTACCATGGGCCGCCTCGACGACAAAGTCATCATCGTGACCGGCGCAGCCGCCGGCTTCGGCCGCGGCATCGTGCTGAAGCTCACCCGGGAGGGCGCCAAGGTGCTCGCCGTCGACATGAACGAAGCTGGTCTACAGGAAACCATCGCCGAAGCCAGCTGTTCCAACACCGCCTCCCCTAATTCCTGCACGGCCTTCACAGCAGATATCTCGAAGGAGTCGTCCTGGCGCTCGCTACTCCAAGCCTGTCTTGAAGCCTTCGGAGGCCGCCTGGACACAGTCGTGAATTGTGCCGGCGTGGTGCACAATGCCGGCCCCTCGCACGAAGTCGCGGAGGAACAATTCGATCTAATGTTTCGTGTCAATGTGAAGCCGCTGTATCTGAGCAATAAGGTCATCACGCCGTGGTTTGTGGAGAACAAGGTCAAGGGTTCCTTCGTGAATCTGAGCAGTATCAGTGAGCCACGGCCGCGGCCATTCTTGGTGTGGTATGCGGCGAGTAAGGGTGCGGTGACCGTCACAACAAAGGGTTTGGCGGGGGAATATGCGGCGCAGGGGGTCAGGTTCAATTGTATCAGGCCGGCGGTCGGGGAGACTGCCATGCTACCAAAAGTCCTTGGGGGGCATGACACGCCGGAAGGGAGAAAGAGAGTCTTGGGTAAGTGCTGCTGTTCCTGCCGCTCGCAGATTGTCTGGTCGAGAGGTCTTGTCTTCTTTGCTGACTTTTGCTTCAGGGACCGTCCCACTCGGCCGAGTCTGCCAACCGGAAGATGTTGCCAATATGGTCTGTTACTTGGCGAGTGATGAAGCGAACTACATCACTGGGGCTGCTTTTGATGTTGATGGTGGTAGAGGCGTGTCGTGAGATAGCAGACCAACATGCTGCGAAAGCAAATACCAAATCTAGTGCTGCTCCAAGTGCTGTACCCAGTAGCAGGCGTGTCCTCATCTGTTCATGACAACGTCCACAACTGCAACTCGATCTCTCAGACCCACTGGCAATGAGCGAATTGGCCTTCGGTGCCGGTGCTCAGGCAGTCCTCCTCAAAGAGGCATGAGGCTGCGCAATCTCACGTGCCCATTTCCTGGGGCCCCAAAGATCGCCGTGAGGAAGTTCAGAACTAGCGTAGATCACGGAAGAAGCTCGCCGATAGCCACGGGTATACTCGTGGCTTCATCCGAGCGAGCCGTGAGTGACGTACCGCGAGCTTGAAGTACTTTGCCTGCACGTTGTGTGCTATCTTTGTACACAACATGATATCCCGGAGGAAAACGAGCTCGTATTTTTGATCTTCACGAATACGTTGGAATGGGGAAGCTTCTAGACTTTGACTGGAACAGATCTGCTAGCGAATTAGATGTGCAGTTGCTGCCGATTCTCCGACAACTGTTGGAATGATGGAGTCAACGAACGAAGTCAAAGCATCATAGAAAGGTAACTATTTTTGTCGGAAAAAGGTCAGCTGCAGAGGCAGCAAAATCGCAGCCGATATCTGCTCGTCTGATCGGGTCCGGTGGCAATGGTGACTTCGAGATCTGCACAATGCACCTCAATCTCATCGTGGCATCTGTAGGAATGAGTAGCATACGCTCGGCATACACTAGGCATAGACCGCTAAGAGCACTGTTGAGGTCACAACTTCGCCAGGTACGGTGAGATGCGCCTTGAGCCTAACTTCGATGAATGGTTCGGTGGACTTCGGCACTTCGTACAGCCCTCGCAGCAGCTTGGGAGTGCGTATGTACCTCGTGGGCATTAGTGTCAGAATCCGCATTGCGCAGGGGCAGAAAAGTTCGCATCAGATGTGGTCGAAGCGTTTCAGAACGCCTGAACAGGCACAAGACCTTTTGGTGTAAGGCGTCAGGGCTGAGGTCAGGGCGCACTCTGTGTTGTATCTCGTTCGCTATCACGTACCGTAGTCTGTCAGCAGAAGCAAGGGCATATCTCTGCCAGTGTCGTTGAAGTAAGAGCGCCCTGAAACGGCTAGGACGGCATGGCGGAGTGGTGATGGGTTGCAGCGTGATCACAATACCAAGCAGGCGACGGGCAGGGGCCAAGCCAGATGTAGAACGACTGAAAGTCGCCAGGGAAAGAGCAAAGCACTGCCACGCCGCTGTAGGATTTTCAGCCAATCTCCCTGCGAGGCAGATTCGAGGCAGGTTCCAAATGCTCCGATCAGCACAGCTTCCCGGTGGACTTCATGCACTCGACGATGTATCGTTCAAGCGCATGATGTTCGTGTTGAGCAATATTGTGAGCAGTATAATCGCGAGTCAGAGGGTGAGGCCGCGTATGCGTCGAGCAGGGACGGGAAGGCATCAAAGTAAAGACTGAAAGGACCTGGAGGGATCCCCAGAAGCTCGCCTAAATCGGCCTAGAAACCCACCCGGAGCTGGCAAAACTCGAGGCGTTATTGGGTACTGGAAATAGCATTCAAGCATTGGCGCACCTGCATCGTTCTCCTCCTTCTCCACCACATCTCTCACATCCGCCACCCGATCGTTGCTTCCTTCACGCGAATTCCTCAAACATAAACTAGTCCTTCTCCTCCTCTGTGTCCTTTATATGAATCCCACAGCTGCTAGTTCTGTACGCACTACCACATCTACCCTACCATCGCATTCGTCTGCACGTACCGATACACCTTTCATCAATTCCCAGAACCAGCCTAGAGTCTTTCCTGCACCGTCCACTACCAGCGCAATGGACTCTCCTCAGTTCAAGGACCAGAGCGTCAATGGCAAAGATGCCTCCAACCCAGAGAGCGCTCGCGGCTTCCAACCACGACATGGCGAGAATGGCGTCATCAAGGTGCAGCCTCCCCGTCGCGAAGATCTACAGCCCAGCTATGCGCAAATGCTTCAGTAAGTTCCCTCAATCAGCCAACCAGGAGTGCGCCACTGACTCGACACTAGGGGCGACACCGACGAGGTCACCCACGGCTGGTATGGTAGCATGATCAACAGCCTCGGTTCCTGCGTGGGTTTCTTTGGCGCTGTCCCCTGCTGCATCGTCTGCCCCAACCCATACAAGCCCGTCTCGCAGGGTAACGTTGGCCTCGTCACGAAGTTCGGCAAGTTCACCAGAGCTGTCGACCCTGGTCTCGTCAAGATCAACCCTCTCTCCGAGCGCTTGATCCAGGTCGATGTCAAGATTCAGATCGTGGAGGTGCCTCGCCAGGTCTGCATGACCAAGGACAATGTCACACTCAACCTCACCTCAGTCATCTACTACCACATCACCTCACCTCACAAGGCCGCCTTCGGTATTTCTAACATCAGACAAGCCCTTGTGGAGCGCACTCAGACCACACTTCGTCACGTTGTCGGTGCCCGCGTTCTGCAAGACGTTATTGAACGCCGTGAAGAGATCGCTCAGTCCATTGGCGAGATCATTGAGGATGTGGCTATGGGCTGGGGTGTCCAGGTTGAGTCTATGCTCATCAAAGACATCATCTTCTCGAACGACCTCCAAGACTCCCTGTCCATGGCTGCGCAGTCCAAGCGTATTGGTGAATCCAAGGTCATTGCCGCTCGTGCTGAAGTCGAGTCCGCCAAACTCATGAGACAGGCCGCCGACATTCTCAGCTCGGCACCCGCAATGCAGATCCGTTATCTCGAGGCTATGCAAGCTATGGCCAAGACTGCCAACAGCAAGGTCATCTTCCTCCCTGCGGCAAACCAGACCATTCCCGAGAAGGCTATGGCACAAGCACTCGACAACGGCGAAGGCCCAAGCAACTACCAGTCCAAGCAGAGCACCGGCAACGCCTTTGATCTCAGCCCTAACGACGGCTTTCAGCAAGCAATGAATGCTCGAGTGATTGAGAATATCTAAGCTTCTGTGCAATAAACACATCCGCTGTCAATTGGTGGCAATCACCAGCTCACAGCATGACGAAAGGACTGGACAGATTGTACGGATTCTCTTCTGGCGTTATGACATTTTTGATACCCCTTTTGTGTATCCTTCGTTCGCTATAGCGGAAAAGGCTGGATGTGGACTTGTTGCACGCATAGGCGGAGAGGATCGAGCATGTCTGCGCAGTCATCGCATCAGCCAATGCTGGGAATAATGAAATCCTGTACAACTGCATTTATATCTTGCCAGTGCTTTGATTTTGATTCGTCTGCATGTATTGCGGTCACCGAATCCTGACTCCGTCTGGCAGACATCGGTTCCTTTTCTATATCTCTCTCGTACATTGACTTCGCATGCTTTAAATCTGACCAAGTCAAAGATCGGTTCCGCAGGAACTCGCACCAACACGGCGACGTCATACCGTCTCGACTCCGGCTATTCACGCAAACAAGACATCCACGGCAGAATCGTAGTAAAGACTGGGCACTGCAGTACCTGACCTTAGCATCTGGGCATGCCAGACCGATTGAGAGAGCAGGCCGCCAGTTCGCCGTGCATACAGTACTCCGGCCTATCATCACAGGCCCTATGAACTCCCCGCTCAATGCCCAGACACCAAAACTCCATCACGTCAATGAGACCTTCTCCTTGGAGGCAAGCACCTGCTTGGCGAGATACTGAATGCAACATCTCTTTTCAAAGATCGACGGAGCTCTGAATGGGGCCTGCAGCTTACAGGGAAAGAAGCTCGTTCAGTGCTCTCTCGGTACTCGGTGACGCACTCCGGCAAGATGCATAAGAAGTGGAAGGTAGGTGCGAGCACGCGGTGCAAGGCAGGAACTCGCCCGCGGCGCGTTGTCTCTCCAGATCTGACTGCAGTTCCCTCAAAGAGCGCTCGTGAACAACTAGATATTGTTAACAGAACAGCACGCGGCGTCATCGACCCGCGGAAGGCCCTCTCGCAATCATGACCGCCGCGCTGTGGTTATTGCTCCTACCGCTATCATTAGCCATCGAGCCAGCAAGACAACCAACACAACCAGTCGGCAAGGGCGACAAGCCGCTCTTGTTCAATGAGACCACACCTGCCAGACTAGTGTCATCACTCGCTTCGATCTCGTGGATTGCTGGCGATGAGGACGGGAAGTACATCACCGAGGACGACGACGGTGCGCTCGTTACACAGAGCATCGTTACTGGCGAGAGCGAGGTGTTGGTCGCGGCTGACGCGATTCCTGAGGACTACTGGGAGTACTGGGTGAGCCCAGAAGCTAATCGAGTGCTCTGGTCGACGAACTACACCAAGCAGTAAGTTAATTTTCCTGCACTTGAATTTGGGTTGGGAGAGGGATGTGCTTCTGCTCTCTATATAGGAGCCAGATCTGTGCATCATCGTGCACATGATTACAGATTACAGCTCATGAGGTCATGAGATCGATACATCCTCGTTTGAAATGTGTGCTGATCCATGTACCATGACAGATATCGATACTCGTACTTTGCCGACTACTACGTCCAAGATCTGGAGAGCGGCGACCTTACACCACTCGTGGAGGACCAAGTAGGCGACATTCAATACGCGGAATTTGCGCCATCGGGAGGCACGATTGCTTTCGTGCGCGGCAACAACCTCTACATCTACAACGATACGGAGGTGACACAGATCACAGACGATGGAGGCCCTGATATGTTCCATGCTGTCCCTGACTGGGTCTACGAGGAGGAAATTTTTGGTGATCGTTACACTCTATGGTTTTCACCGGACGCACAATTCATGGCGTTCCTGAGCTTCAACGAGACAGGCGTCGGAACGTTCACGATACCCTACTTTATGGACTCATCTGAGATTGCGCCACAGTATCCTCGCGAACTCGAGTTGCGGTATCCCAAAGTTGGTACCACGAATCCTACTGTCCAGTTCAACATCCTTGATTTGTCAACGATGGAGTACTCGACTATACCAATCGATGCATTCGAGCCCAACAACACCGTCATCGGTGAGGTCAGCTGGATGACTGACGATCATTCCGCAGTCATTTACAGAGTGTTTAATCGTGTTCAGGATCTCAGCAAACATGTGGTTGTGGACCCTGTCGAAAAGACTGCAATTGTTGTCCGAGAGCGCGATGGCACAGATGGCTGGCTCGACAACTTGCTCGCGATGCAATATATTGGTGCGATTGAGGAAGACTCCAACACAACATACTACGTCGACCTCTCTGACGAGAGCGGCTGGAACCATATCTACCTGTGTCCGGTCGATAGCGACGACTGCACTCAGCTCACGGAAGGCGAGTGGGAAGTGGTCAGCGTCTACAAAGTCGACACGTCGCGAGGCCTCATCTATTATTCCAGCACAGAGATCCACCCAACAGAACGACATCTGTATTCTGTATCCTTCACGGGCGAGAAGACAGCCTTGGTCGATGAGTCTGTCCCAGCATACTGGTCCGCCTCTTTCTCGGCAGGAGGCGAGTACTTCATCAAATCCTACCTTGGGCCTGATGTTCCTTATCAAGAGCTCTTTGCCATCAACTCGACAACAGAGCCGCTGGACGTGATCACTTCTAACGAAGCCCTGTACCAGAATATTAGTGAATACAATCTGCCAACGACCCAATACTTCGAGCTCACCCATCCGGATGGCTACACGCTGCAAGTTATGGAGCGGCTTCCGGTAGACTTTGACCCGTCCACGCCATACCCCGTCATTTTCATTCCGTACGGTGGGCCCGGTGCTCAAGAGGTAGACAAAGCCATGATGCCTTTTAACTTCAGGTACTGGATGAGCTGCGATCCAGAGCTGTCTTTCGTCTCCTACACTGTCGACGGTCGCGGAACGGGCTACCAAGGCCGCGAATTTCGTTCAACGGTAACCTCGCACCTGGGTCGGCTTGAGCCACTCGACCAGATCTGGGCCGCCGAGCAGATCCTTGCTTCCAACCGCAGCAGCTATCTCAACGCCGACCATGTTGGCATGTATGGACACAGTTTTGGTGGCTACCTCACGGCCAAGACCCTCGAACTACAGGACCCCGAGAACGGCCCTTTCACCTTCGGCATCTCCGGCGCACCTGTCTCCGACTGGCGGTTCTATGACACACTCTACACGGAGCGGTACATGAAGACCCTAGACGAGAACGAAGCGGGCTACAACGAGACCGCCGTCCGCAACGCCACGGGCTTTGCTACCCTAAAAGGGAGCTACGCGATCTCGCACGGTACAGGCGACGACAATGTCCACTATCAGAACACTGCCGCCTTAATGGACTTGCTGGTGGGCAGTAGGGAGGTAGGGGCGGACAAACTGAAGATGGTAGCGTTCACGGACTCAGACCACGCAATCGCGTACAATGGGGCCAATATTTTCTTGTCGAAGTTTTACGCTGCGTTCCTGGTGGAAGAGCTGGCAAGGACGGATGAGGAGTTGGTGCATCAGTGGACCAGGAGAGGAGTAGAAGGTGTGGAGGACTTTGTAGAGAGGTTAGGGAAGAGGGCAGTGGCGTGGTTCGGTTGAAGAGACTGAACAGTGGCTCCATGAGCGAGTTGTCTTTGCTCCTAGGTTGCCTTAGCTATGAAGTAATGATCCACCTCAGATGCTCATCCGACAAAGCATTAGAATAATTCAGGAGTCGGTCAGAGTATGAGAGTCGTGTCTAAAATCGAGGCCACTTTCAAATGACAGAATGACCGTGATCTCCCTCGGTTTAGCCGATTGACTGACGTAGTGCTCGATCTTCTCGACAAAGACATCTATTCGACTTGTTGATGGGGAACTTGAAGCTTCATTGCTCTTTCCACATGGCGGCTGAACCCTTAAATCATCCTTATAAGTCATTTTGACAAAGGCTATACAAGCATCGTCGCCGCTCTAGAAGCTGAGAGGTGGCCCACCGGATCCATGGCACCACCGCAGCCAGCTCCCTCAAAACGAGGACCGAGTAGCGTCCTGGTATGTGCAATGTTCCATGACTTACAATACTGTCAAGGGTGGAGATGGAAGAGAGCATTGAGCTGACCGTGTTACACTACTCGTCACAGGCTAGGAACCTCTCCGACACAAGACCATCTCCGCTGCGACAACAGACATCACGATTGATGACGGTGGATAGTGTCCTCCAGTACTCCTCAGATGTCCCCTCAGCACAGCGACGAATCCCCGATAGGCCCAGAGCATACCGTACAGGGTCCGGTAGGCCCGTTGACCCACGTCTGACCGGCCGCTTTGCACCTGCGTTACCTTCGAGGTCAACAAAGACTTCTGAGAAGCTCGTGCTATTGCCTGAAACTCCGGAAGAGGATGAGGACGAGAAGGGCGATTTTGGGAAAGACTCGGACACGGGTCCTCCGAAGGACGACGACGACTATCGCAAGCCTGGGAGGGATAATATGAAGAGCTATGCTGAAAGATTACCGAAATCGAGAAGAACGGAGAAGGAGTTGCCTAGAGTCACGGCGTATTGCACAGCGCAGGCGTATCGACTGCAGAGCACGGCTACTTTCGTAAGGCAGAGACATGGCGCACGGGCCAAATTGTACGATGACTGCTTGTTCTGTGCCTATCATCTGCCGCTATTGCCAGGCTTGGAGGGCTACAGGATACGAAGTAGCCCGCCCTTCAAGAGCGCGAAAGGCGGAAATTTGCTAGATGAGGCCATCGAAAGGAGTGAGCAACGCGACTGGCGTGGCTCCTTCTATGAGGAGGAAGAGCACTCAGTCCGTGGTAATGAGGGACAAGAAGGAGATGAGGACGAACGACCGGCCATCAACGGCCATCGCAGAGACAGCAACCAATCGAACAGGTCGAATCGATCTGCCAGTCCTGGCCCGAATGCTTCAGCTGATGCATATCGGTACGCGGAGATGTTTGTTTTCGGATACGGCGTTGTCGTCTTCTGGAACTTCAGCGAACGACAGGAGAAGGACGTACTCGCTGATCTGACGTTCTCGACAATACTCGATCCGAGAACGAACGTGTCCACGCCAGTGTCACTGGCCACAAATCCATTCGAGGAGGAAGATTTTGAGACGGAAGAGTTTCACTTTGAGTACAACAACGAGATCATGCGGCCTCGAGTATACAACGACATGATCACTCTCCGCACTGGTGACCACATGATCAAGCTCGCCATCAGTCACGCGATTGCTCAGAGCACGAAGTTAAGTTTCTTCGAAGAGACGATGAGCACACAAATGGAAGAAGCCAAAGATGTGCCAGGACGTCTGGCCAAAACTGGTGAGCTAGGGATGAAGCGCGAAGATGTCATCAAACTGCTTGGGGGACTCTTCCGCAGTCGGGTCGACGTAAATCTTTGTGAGTTCTCTGATCTGCAGCAAAGATGATCACTAACCTGAATGTCAGCCTCCAATGTCCTCGACATCCCCAGCTTCCTCTGGGACAGCGAGCCCACGCTGCATCCTCTTTACGTCGCCGTCCGAGAGTACCTGGAGATCAAGCCACGCATTCAAGTCCTCAACGAGCGCTGCAAAGTCTTCCTCGACCTTGCAGAGGTCTTGTCAGACTTCGTGTCGGATGACAAAATGTCAAAGATAACTTGGATCATCATCGTCTTGATCGCAATATCAATTCTAGTCACGTGCTCAGAAGTGTTCCTGCGCTTTGGAATTCTCAACAGCACGCGAGGTGCTGCCGGAAAGGCAATAAGGGCTGCAGCTGCTGGGGCTTTACCGAACACATGCGAGCTGTGAGCGGAGCACCTTCAGCGGAGTGCATGAGTCTGGGAATCTGGGCACGATGGACAGAAGCCTCGGTTGCTAGACTGATAGCCGCGAGAGCTGTACAGAGAATGCCCGGATACCATCTGGGAGGCAAAACAGGGTGGACTTTGGCGTTGCATTCCGGATCATCAGCGATGGCGCTTGGGGTGGGCCACAGGTACAGATACCTTGCATACTAAAGTCATCCTTCTATGCATGATCTAGAAGCTTATGCTCTGGTTTCAAGATATCTCTACATTAGGTCTTATTGTATGATAGAGAATTGACCAATGACTGCATGCTGACGGCGCGCTCCGAAGGCAAAGATTGCGGTCTTGAGATTGCTACAACGGGACATTCAACTTTCAGAAACACGAGCCGCCCGAGGCCTCCACAGTATCCGTGTCGAACCGCACCGCATTCTGGAAAGCTTCTGTAAAGCCCGAATGTCTGGGGGAATCGGGGACTGTAACATAACAACAAGTTTAATTGCTGTAGCATATCGCAAAGTCACGGCTGTCGCAGACTGCGAGTGCCGCCACTGCCTGCACTTTAGGCGCCATGCTCAGATCTTCGGGTGGATGCTGGAGCAGGCACCTGGAAGGTCAAGTCCCGGGGTAAAAGAACACGCCAAGTCTGCCCGCCGGCCGCAAGTTCCGAGAGAGGAGGATTTTGCGCACACAAAAGAAATAAAATGTAATTGTACTTCGATTAACCTCACCTACCGCATGCATCTTTACGAGCAATGCCAGTGTCAGTGGTCATTCCAGCCTGTCAGGCGCGATCGAGCCGCCACTATCACTTGGCAGAAGGGCGGCAGCAGCAGCAGTCTTGGTGCGTCTCGGCATGGCCGTATGAGCGTCGACATGGAATCTGCTTATCTCTGGGCTAGAATGAACATCAGGCGAGCTCCAGCAGATAAGAGAGCCCGTACCAGTGGACATAACGGAGCAGATTTCTGTTCCGAGTGCCAGGCCCCGTAAGGGTTTATCCCAAGAAAGCCTCAGCGTTGCAGTCAAGGAGGATCTTCGCATTGGTCTCGCTGTGGCGGGCGGCCAATGGGATACTGAATTGGGCCGAGAGGTGAGGTTTAGTAGTTGTAGATCGGTCTTGGTACTGCGCGCACTACCTCGCTAGTTCGCTTGCAAGAACCTTCCACGTCGAGTTTCTCGCCCCTCTTATGCCCATGTTGACTGCTTGATCGAACTGCCATACACTGTCCAACCAATCGTTAACGAAGATTATATCGAACTTCGCTATCTGGGCTCGTGTCGTTCGAGGCGTCAAGCTAAGCTGTCTAGCACCCGCTTGTGGATCCTGCAGCGCGACCCCTCAACACGCACCAGCTTTCCGAGCGTGGCCTCAGCTGCTTGATGGGTAACGCGGTCGTTGGCCGGTATAAGACCTTGTCGGAGCCCTAAAAAATTATGTCGCCTTTGGTAGTGACGCTCTTTCTTGGTGCTCCCGTTGTATTACTTGCTCTGGCCTTCCTGCGGAGCACAGTACTATCAAAGTACCTCGACAACCCTCACGAGAAGAGACGTGAGTCGTAGACATCGCAGCGCTGTTGTAAAGTGTCGCCCAGAATGAGCGCACCAGAGCAGAAGCCTGTCGAGGCTGGCAAGGACACAGCCATCGTGCCAGATACCACCACAACCACCACGCCAGAAACAAAGGCGCCGGCGCTGCATACGACGCCGCAACAGGCACCGCTACAGCCCATGAGGGCGAGCGACACCACAAGGGCCACGACCTGCCCGCCCACGGTCACAACCCATCGACCCAGACTGGCGTGAAGCCCAACGAGGATCTCGCGCTGCATTTCTCCCACGAGCACCAGCACGACCACATGCACCACGGCCAAAGCTCGCTCGCCGGCCGTCACGACGACATTCTCTATGCCCGCGGCACAACGGCCGACCAGCACATTTCCCATCAAGACCACAGTCACACGGTCTCCCACCACCAAAAACACGCCGCCGTCGATACCAAAGACGCCGCGTACTCGGAGACCGACGCCGAGAAGGGCGAGCTGGGCACCTCCCCTACCAAAGTCTCGACCAACGAGACCGAAGACGGACGCCGCCACCGCTTCAGCCGCTTCTACCGCAAATACAAGATCTTCTTCCATCTCTTCATCTGGCTTTTCTTCACCGCCTGGTGGATCGCTGGTCTGGTCCTGCACCGCGACGACCTCGGCTGGCTGATTCCCTTCCTCTTGTACCTCGCCATCACGCTCCGCATCATCACCCTCTGGGTCCCCATCACCTACGTCACACGCCCTATGCACTGGACCTGGAACCAGACCGGCGTGCGCGTCTACAACCTGATCCCAGAGAAGTTCCGTCTTTGGGCTGCCGCCCTCGTCACCATCGCCGTCTTCCTCGTCGGCAGCATGGTTTCCGAGGAATCCGCCAACAACACCCGCGGCAACCGCGCCATCTCACTCGTCGGCCTGGGTCTGCTGATCGCCGTTCTCTACGCGACCTCCCGCAACCGCAGCAAGATCCGATGGCACACCGTCATCGGCGGCATGCTGACTCAATTCATCATCTCGGTCTTCGTGCTCCGCACTGACGCAGGTTACGACATCTTCAACTTCATCTCGTACCTCGCGCGCCAGTTGTTGGGCTTCGCTCAGCAAGGCACCTCCTTCCTCACCACAGAGGATGTCGCTTCCCTGCCGTGGTTCCTGATCGGTGTCATCCCACCCATCATCTTCTTCGTGGCCCTCGTCCAACTGCTCTACTACTCTGGCATCCTGCAATGGTTCATTGGAAAATTCGCCGTCTTCTTCTTCTGGTCTCTGCGCGTCTCTGGCGCCGAGGCTGTCGTTGCGGCCGCTACCCCGTTTATAGGACAGGGCGAGTCTGCTATGTTGATCCGGCCGTTTGTGCCGCATTTGACTATGGCGGAGATCCACCAGGTTATGACTTCGGGGTTTGCTACCATTGCGGGCTCTGTGTTGGTGGCTTATATCGGGCTGGGCCTGAATCCTCAGGCTCTGGTATCCAGCTGCATCATGTCCATCCCGGCCTCCCTCGCTGTCAGCAAGATGCGCTACCCCGAGACTGAAGAGACTATCACCTCTGGCCGCGTGGTTGTGCCGGATGATGATGAGCATAAGTCGACTAACGCGCTGCACGCTTTCGCCAATGGCGCGTGGTTGGGTATCAAGATTGCCGGCATGATCGTCGCTACTCTGCTCTGCATTATCGCCTTCATCGGTCTGATCAATGGATTGTTGGGCTGGTGGGGTCGGTATCTGAACATCACGGATGACGGCAAGCCGTATCTGACGCTGCAGTTGCTGTTGGGGTATATCATGTACCCCGTGGCGTTCTTCTTGGGTGTGCCGAGAGGCGAGCTGCTGGAGGTGGCAGAACTCATTGGCGTGAAGATCATCGCCAACGAATTCGTTGCGTACAACTCGCTTGTCAACGAGCCGAGATACAGTGGTTTGAGCCCGCGGAGTCAGTTGATTGCTACTTATGCGCTTTGCGTGAGTCACCCTTTGACCCTTTCATCATTTCCTTCACTGACATGGCACACAGGGATTCGGCAACTTCGGCTCCCTAGGCACGCAAATCGGTGTCTTGTCCCAGATCGCGCCCTCGCGTGCGGGTGATGTCTCGACGGTGGCGCTGTCGGCGCTGTTCAGCGGTGTTATCTCCACGTTGACCAGTGCTAGTGTGGCGGGCATGTTGATTACTAGTGAGCGGATTGAGACTACGACTGGTAGTTCTTAGATGGTGGTAGGGGATGGAGAGGGGGGAGGAGTCGGGAGGTGGATTGGGAGTGCGACATTGGCGACTTGCTAATGTCGTGGACCGTGTGTATACATGTGCTTGGGCCACCGCACCACATTGGGATGATGGGCGCGGGTGAGTCTGGGGTATACACATGCCTCCCTGAAGAGCATATATGAAGAGCAGGATATGATAATGATACAATCTACTCTCGCGTCTAAAAAGTCTGACCATCCTCAGCGGTTGTCAGAACAAGCTCTGCTCTGCTTATCACACCCTTCTTCCTATTCCGTCCTGTCGTGCCTTTACGGTATGCATCCGATGCGAGGTCGCCGAGCAGGTGGACCTTGCCATGCTTCTTCTATAGGTCGTTGACGTCGACGGGTCAAGTTTCTAGGGTTCGTCATGTTGAACCGCAACCCCAGTCACGGTCATGGTGATCCTATTGTGTACGCGAGGTCGCCGACAGCACGCCTGGCCTTGAGCACGTCATGAGTGAAGGCTTACATCCGTCCTTCTTCTGAATCATGTACGTGAATTTGGCAGAACACACCTTCGGCTTGTCCAGGTGACGGAAGCCGTGAGGCACAGATGTGGACATGTCGGTCTGAAGAAGCCCAAGGTCTAGCACGGGTGGCAAGTGTACATTACGGGTAGTCGTTGACTGAATATACTTGCTCGAGCCGACGCCAGCCCATGGTGGCTTTGGCATCCGGGACATCCATGTCGCCGGCCACCGTGAGCGTCTCTTCCTCGTGGTCGTTTTCGATGCCCTTGATCGCGACATCTAACGATAGCAATTGTTGTTGTAGCGAAGCATGCATACACGATGTCATCCGGCGCTCTCGTCAACCGGTCTTTGATCGACCAGCACGTCAGTCAACCGGCGTGCTTAGTCTCGACTTCGAACCGGATGACAAGGACGCCGGATGACAACTCTTCCACGTCGTAGCAGCCTCGCACCGCTGGCACAGTCTTCACCAAAGGACAAATCAACGATGCCTACAATTCCACGATCAGAGAGAGCGAAGCGAGAAAGGTGCCATGACTTGTTCCGCATCACTACTGAGGAGAGTATTCTGATGGCTCGCTGATTCATAATGTCACCCAGAGACAACGCCAATGCACTCCCGAACGCTCGAACCCCGCGGAACTCCTCCCATGTCATATATCATACCCGCAATCTCACAGACATAGACTTAATTCATCACCGCGAGCTCTCTGTGCTGTATATGCCAGGCCTCGTCCCCCTCACTGCCCCACCATCAACTTCCTGCACCGGTAAGACGATCCTCTTCCTGGGCCCATGCACTCCACCCTCGACTTGCGCCTGCGCGCCCACTCCCTCCGAGATGAGACCGATCGTGTACGTGCCGGCCGCGAGGGTAATTATTGTGTACGTTACACGTTGGAATGCGCGGACGAAGCGCGCGAACGGTCGCGAGGAAAGAAGCTCATCTGCCGCCGCCATCGCCGCCGCCTTCGACTCTGCTGCCGCCGCCTTCGCCGCGGAAGGTCGAGGTGGCGCCGTAGTCGTGCCGGAAAAGACCTGCTCCTGTCGCCGGACGGGTGGCTGGCGCTTCAGAAGGTCCGCCCGCTCTGAGATGCGGCTCGAGGAGGCCGGAGGCGGGATGGGTGCTGATGGACCCGGAGGATCGATCTCTGCGGGGATCTCGTCCAGGACTGTGGCTGCTTTCTTCTTCTCGGCTGGCGCTACAGCAGGAGGTGTCTTTCTGAAGGTCAACTTATTCGCGTCGCCGCCCACAAGCTCGTAGCCCGCTTGTTGTAGCCTGGGAAAGTATGCGAGAAACTCTGCCGCTTTCGCCTGGTCGAGTGCGGCGAGGACCTCGAACGGGTTGGCTGCCTTGCGGCCTGCAAGATGCGGTAGGTTGGGTGCTGGAACGGCGCGGACTCCGCTCTTGCCGTTGTTGATGAGCATGACGAATGGCGAGGTGAACTGCTGGGCGATTGCGGCTTTCAGCTCTGCGATGGGAGGGGGCTGCTCGTCGTTCCACACTTTGGACTCTGCTGGAGTGAAGATCGGAGGCTCGACCTTCAGGACAGGAGCGCTCTCACTCTTGGCTGGCGATGGAGAGTGCGAGCCGACGGGCTCGTCCAGGCTTCTGGGATCGGTGTCTCTCTTAACGGGTCCAGTTGCCTGGGCTTTCGCTGGCTCCACAACCTCGGGTTGTGCTGCAGTCTTCTTCTTTTCCGTGAACACAGGCTCATCGAAACCCGCCGCTGAACCATCCTCTTCTATCAATGGGACCTTGGCATATTCAGCGAGCCTCTCGGCCTCTGAATCACGCCACTGTTTGCCCAAGTCTGCCATTGCCTCTTCGACCTCACGCCGCCCTTTGGCTACATCTCTGGCCTTACGCAGAGTCTCTGCTTGCTGCCTTAGTCGATTGATGTGCCCCTCTCGGCTATCAACAGACCAATTTTCGAATTTGGTTAGAAGTGCTGAAGCCGTCCGCCGTCTCATACTCGCCAGCTCGAGTTTGGAATAGTACAGAGTCTTTCGGACGTCCTTCAACTGTTCCTTCAGCTGAGCATAGCGCGGCTCGAAGACCCTTGTATGGTTCTCAATTTCGGGATAGCGGGGCACACCCTCCTTGACGGTAGCCTCGCTGAGCGGATGAGGCTTGGCGAGCTCGGTGTGTATCACAGATGCTGAGATCTTCTTCTCAGACTGAGCTAGAGGTGCAGAGACCGGTGATGAGGATTCTACTGGGGTAATGGACTTCTTTCTGGGTTCGCTGGCAGGCTTTTCGGTGCTTAGATTGAGTGACCTCAGTGTCTTTGCGACTATTCCTGCCGGGTTGTTCTCCACGTGTTTCCAAAGAGTGTTGAGCGGTGCTGCCACTGAGGGCATGGTCGGAGGGTCTGTCTGGTTCTGATTAGAATTGAAGTGCTTTTCCAGACTTCGTCTTCTCGCTTTTCTCAGAGTCTCGATATCCTGCTTGGTCCGCACCGACTTGGCTGGTATCTGACGTCGCACATCGCTCGAACGCAGAAGATCAATATCCTCCGCCTTTTCGGCTGCGTCGACCTTCTTCTCATACGCCTCAGCTTTCGACGATAGCTCAGCAGGACTGATAACGCGCTTGGCCTTCGTGCTTCTATCCAAAGCCGGCTGCAGTACGTCCGGCTTCTTAGATGTGACATTGGATCGGTCTAGTGCAGGTTGTAACTTCTCAAAAGTGAACTTGGGCGAGTCAGTAGGGGTCTGTGTTGCTTCCTTCGATCCCGTGAAGCCCTCCTTCTGCAACCAACGAGACTTGCCACTAGTATTCAGAATAGCCGCAGCTCTGCCCGCATAAGTCGTTCCGGTAAATGGAGCAGGATCTGGCTGTGGCTGCGTCGGCTCTGGATCATTAGTTGATGTCTTCTCGGGCGGGACGACTGCGCTGGCGTCCGCGTACTTTCCATGGAATTCAGCAGACGTGTCAATCGTGTTGCCCAAGGTAGCAGCTCTCAAGGCTTGGAACTCTCGCTTGCGTGAGTTCTCAAAAGCTGATTTCTTTACGGCTGACGTCGCTGTTTCCGACTCGGTCGTAGTAGCAGTCTTGTCGCCATAGCCATAGACCTTGGGTGGCACGTATTTCTTGACTGGGATGTCAACGGCATTGTTCTCGCCAAACAAAGTCTCGAAAATGGATTTTCGAGGTCCATCCGGGGTATAGGTAGATTCGGATGATTTTGCGGCCGACTCCAGACTTTGTCTGACCTTGCCGGTGGACGGAGATGCGAAGTCGTGCGCAGTCTGGCCGGCGGAGCTGATGGTCTTGTCGATCCGCTGCACAGTCTGGCTGAAGGAGCTGATAGTGTTGTCGATCCGCTGCACGGCGTCATCGAAGACTTTCGCGAAGCCATCATCAGCTTTGAATGACTCGTTGCTCGAGGCTGTGTTGTTCTCGCTCCTCGGCTTGAGCACCTTACGGCCAATGATCGGGTCATAGACATAAACGTCGCCGCTCGTAGGGGTCGACCGCGATGTCTGCGGCGATGAAGCCTGAGAACGTGGACTCGATGGCCCTGATCCTGCAGTACTCGTGCTTGAGGAAGAGGTCATATCAGCAGACGGCTGTGAAGGCTGCTGATCTGCAGGGTTGTCTTTGATCTCTTTCGGATCAGCGAACCAAGAAAAGGTTGTCCACGACATGTTGTTGGAGGAAGGCGGGCTCCAGAGTCTGCGTCCGAACAGAGTACCATAAGGATCACGTTCCATGGCACGGTCAACTTCTTTTCGGAATGACTCTAGGTCCTCGTGGAAGGAAACCATGGGGTCATCCTCGGCTGACTCTTTACCCTTCTGCTGCTTAGCTGCACGAGACTTGGTGCTTGTAGACAGCTTCTGCAAGGGCCTCCCTTTCTCATCAACGAATAGACCGCTAGAATTGTGCCATAGCCACATGTTCGCAGGATCTCTCCCCCACATGGCTCGACGGCGTGCATCTTAGCAAAGCGGTGGCGGATGCGTCGCTGCTCACGAAGGAATCTGTCATCTTCTCCATCATCATAATTTGATCTTGATGTCCTGCCCCACCACCACAGTGTGCGGGTCTGATTGAGTGGGAGAGGTCTTGAACGCGTGATTGTGGTTCGGAGGTAGAGAGGGCTGCGCTGGCTTGCACAGCGAAGGGATGACGCTGATAAGCCATTGTAGAAGTTTATGAGAGACGAGCAAGATAGTCCGAGATCTTCAACTGTCAGACAAGCCCTATGGGTTGCCAGCCGAGTAGAACACGATTCACCGTAGTCTGCTGCTGTTCAGGTGTTGTATGGCTGAAGTCGTGTCTGGGGACTTGGGATCGACGCGGGGTGCTTTGTCACTGTATCGCGGTCAGACGGGCATGGAACGCTCGATGCCACACGCAATGGCTGGCGTGTCGACTGCGCCAGCTACTCGCAGCCACGCACAGCTGAGCACCTCTGCTGTTGTCGTGAAAGATCAGAACAGGCAGATAGAGACAACGTGTAGTCGTGAGGCGACTCGGTGAGTAATACACTCCCCGCGTCCGAGACCCCGGTCAGCCCAGAAAGAGGGGTCTGGATCTTCGCCCGATAAGGAGATAGACTCTCGGTCCAGAAAGGTACAATAATCACATAGAATTGTCCCTACAGCAATAGGTGCTCTTCTCAATACAATGTCAAAGGAAGTCATTAGCATCCTGGATCGCTCTTGCCTCAGCACATGGCCCTGATCGCCACATTCTTGACAGAAGCCCTCACTCGACATTGCCCAAACATCCTAGATCAACTTTCGTAACTGCATCACAAAATCCCGCGTGTCACTCATGCCTCCTCAACTCGCCGCTTGGTCAGAGTATCCAACACACGGCAGTAGAACTTGGACGCGTCTTCTCGGGCGAATGTGATCTCCTCTGTCAAGTATGATGGCATGCATTCCATCATATCTGCATCTCGGCTAGCTTCTAACAGAGGCGTGTACAAGAACTCGGTTTGCAGGAAATTCGCAGTGTTGGATTCCTCGGCATCGATAAACAACTTGAAGTGAAGCGCTGAAGGATTGCGTTAGTTTTGCTTCCGATATCTGGGAGAAGTACTTACTGCCGTTGCGGCCAGTCTGGTAACAGTTGTATGTATCGCCTTCCTCGCTCCGCTTGACACCTTGCACTATCAGACCAGTGAGATCCCGATATAGCTCTTCTTTCATTTGAGCAGCTAAGGCGTTCTCTGCGGGCTGTACTACGCCTGTGCGGCCTGTATTGGATTGTCTCACAGCGCTTCCGGGAACTTTCGACGCGAGCGAGTCTGCTGCAACGGACGAGCTTCTCATTGCATTGAGCTTAGCCTGGAGTGCTTTGATCTCATTGTTGGCCGCTGTCAGAGTTGACGAGATCGTTGAGTTGGTCTTGCGAAGCTCGACTAGTTCCAGCTCATTCGTCTGCACCTGCTTCTTCAGCTTCCGGCTCTCCTGGACGAGTGGCGCCTGCTGGGATAGCTCCTTCTTTAGGGAAGCAATCAACTCGTTCGACGCTTGCGTTGTTGCCTCGGATTGTTTGCGCAGCTTATCCATGTTGGCGTTCGCCTCACTCAGGCCAACTTCTCTCAGGTTGCGGTACTTCAGATCAATGTTTTCATACTTGCGAGTGACATCACCGAGTTTGCGTCTCAAATTGGGATCGCCTCTCTCGGTGTCAGACGCGCTTCCTGCTCGTCGTCGAAATGCATCGGTCTGGTGGTTTCTCGACAAAGCTCTCGATGTGATCTTTGGCGCCAGGTTTTCGACCATCTGCATCTCATCATCGTCCTCGCTGTCAACAAGCGTATCGGCTCTGTTTTGAAGGTCTGCTTTGCGCTTGCCGGCGGTCTTCGTTTTCGTCACTAGCTCAGCGTCTTTGTGCACGGGCTTCGGTACTGCTTTGCGACCACGCGCTGGCGCATGACTGGACTGTACAACCACTGGAGTCTGATCTATCTCCATATCATCATCGTCGCTTTCCTCCTTGCTCCCTTGCCGCACAGTCGCTTTCCGCTTCGCATTGCCGCGTGCTCGTGGCACTGGGCTCGGAGCTTGTGTCTCCTGAATCTCGTCACCATCTGCGTCTGTCGCGTCTTCGACGGTCTCTTCGACAGCTTTGCGCTTTGCCGCAGTCGCGCGTTTTGTGGCGGGTCGCTTCTTCTCTGCTGCGGCTGGTTTTGCGACTTTCGACTTCGCTCGCGGCATTGTCACAGGGCGACGTTTTCTTCGGGGTTTTGTAGCAGAATCTCGTGTGTTGCTAGAGTTTGACAGGATCGAGTCGTCCGGCGCGTCGCGTAAGTTCTCTACGTCGGAATCCAGTAAGTCAGAGATACCGATCATATCGGCACTGCAGCAGACTGTCGTGACGCGCACTTGTTGTGTTGTATTGCGCTTGAAGTGCAGCAGCAGTAGGAAGTCACCCAGCACTCATGTGTTGCTTGGAGTGGTGATCATCGTAGTCATGGCGCCTCCCGGAAGGGTACATAAACAATGCCAAGCGACTATGACGCTTACGGATAGGATCCACTCGATCTCCATATCGATCATTAGTTGCTCGCTGTCAAGTGAAGAGTGTTGCTCGTGCCATCCTGCAGCAGAGTCGCTGTCATCGATGTTTGGCTCGATCATGGCGCCTGATAGGGGTCGTAATGACCGCCTTTTGGAGCTGGGCTTCTCGGCGATTGGGGTGAGTTGGGTGACAACATGTCTGATCTACCACTAACAGGCACGACAGTTCGTCGCAATGATCCTGATCGGCCGTCACCTCATCAACAAGATGTCCGAGGCGTCTGACCCAGACCATGAGAAGAAGGAGCAGACAAGACTCAAGTCGGCGGCAATACTGCGCAGGCTGGACGATGCGCCGAAGAACGAAAACCATCAACGAGACTACGATCGAGCGAGCAGAGAAGATCTAGAATTGTCGCAGTATGAGCAAGCCGTCTTACAGGATCTCGTCTTCCCGGAGGACATACCGGTCTCGTTCGAAGACATCGGCGGCCTGTCCCACGTCATCGAAGAGTTGCGGGAATCCGTCATCTATCCCCTCACGATGCCAGATCTATATGCCACATCATCCTCATTGCTATCGGCGCCATCGGGCGTGCTACTATACGGGCCGCCAGGCTGTGTAAGAACACCTGGAATAGATACGTGGAACTGGTACTGACGGCGTCACAGGGCAAGACGATGCTTGCAAAAGCACTTGCGCATGAGAGCGGCGCCTGTTTTATAAATCTTCACATATCTACACTGACCGAAAAGTGGTTTGGCGACTCTAATAAGCTAGTGAATGCCGTCTTCTCACTAGCAAGAAAGCTGGAGCCCACAATAGTCTTCATTGACGAAATCGATGCGGTTCTGGGAACACGGAGGTCGGGCGAACATGAGGCCAGCGGCATGGTCAAAGCAGAGTTCATGACACACTGGGATGGCCTGGCATCGTCTAATCGCCATGGACGTCCGCAACGAATCATGATACTTGGCGCCACGAATCGCATTGGAGACATCGATGAGGCTATATTGCGTAGAATGCCCAAGAAGTTCCCCGTCAACCTGCCGAATATGTCGCAGAGACTGAAAATCCTACGAATCCTACTCCAGGACGTCAAGACCGACCCAGCATTCGACCTGGAACACCTAGCGCGAGTCACGGCAGGGATGTCTGGCAGTGAATTGAAAGAAGCATGTCGGGACGCTGCGATGACTCCGGTCCGAGAAATGATACAAGCACAACGACAGAGTGGCCAGCGGATGGATCAAATACGTCCCGGACTGGTCAGAGGTCTCCGGACTGACGACTTCTGGAGCGCCAAGAGCAGCCATAAATCCGCAAAGAAGTCTGCCTCGAGGGGCGACGGAGACTGGAAGACTGATTCTGAGGTATCTGATGGTGTTTCAAGTTCAGATCCGTCGGAAGCATTGATCGATGCCAAGGAGAACATCACATAGAGTCTGCACAGCTTCGCTCATTGTATCATATAATAGACTTCCAAGAGCACTACAGACCTGGTTTGCATAGAATACGTCGAGTTGGCTGTTCGTGCCTAGTTTGTCACCTGCGACAGCAACCTCGGCACGACTTGAGACAAGAGCAAAATGGCGATCAAGCACGAGATGATCTTCCAAGAATGGTAGAAGCTCCGTTAGAAGCAGCCTTAAAGTAGGGTGAAAGGAATATATCCTTGTACGATTTATGCGCCAGAACAAATCTCGGAGGACCTGCAGGCAGCACATTACTGTCCCATGAATCACAATAATAATGCATGTGATGCCGAATGATGAGTTCGGCGGTTGATGCTCGCTTTCCCCACAGATCGCTTGGAACCTGAAGCTCAGGATGCTACGGGGCAGAACACGCAGCCAATAGACTGCCCCGTCCAGATCCCTAGGCGTAGTTTAGGCGGGACAAGCCTTGGTGAATTTGCGCTGGGGTACGGTCATCGTCTGGCGCAGGCACACCTGCAACTCGCACCTGCGCCAGTCCTAAAACTCCTCCAACTCATCCTCAAGCGAGGTGGCCGTTGTTGCTACCTGCATCGTCACCGACCGATCCATCTACAACGGATCTCTCGTCAATCCATCAACAGCGCGAATGCTCACGAGATTCTGCGTATGATTCCAGACACTCGATGCCGCTTGCGAGCCTGTACCTCCCGATCGAAATTGCATAACCTCGAAACATGAGCGTCGCAAGCGACTCACCCGGTGGTGCTGGGCATCTACGACCTGGCGAGCAACCAGCGCCTCCCAGTCAACAGCCCGGTCATGCTAGCTTCAGAAGGTAGACCATCAGACAGATATACTTGCGATGAAGCGACTGACAATTGGTAGACAACGTGCATCAAGAGCGTGTGGTAAGTCATTTCCGCTACTCTACCACGAGGGCACACATGGTCATCGAAAGGACAATGGTTGCGCGTGGGCCAGCACAAGTCAACCACATTGTCATCGAGAAAATGGAAAGCCTCGAGGAGACATCGCTTTCGCGACTTCGCCAGTTTGATATATTGAAGCAACGCGACCAGGCCGAGATCCTCGGTCCAGCTTATGGTTTTTTGTAATCCCCTTAGGCTCCTCCAACGCAACGACAGAATTGAGCAAGTGCGATGGCATCGATACTGGACATGGTATCTGCAGATGCTGGTGACTGATTACTTACTGGATGGTTCGAATGAAGCTAACCGTCCCATGTTTCAGCAACATGCCATAGTCGCAAAGTACGATGCGGTAAGACTTCATCTCCACAGCACCTAGTACGATACTAATCACCATATCAGATGCCGCCAGCTTGGGGTAAGTGACAAGTTGAGCGTCGTCTCAAGCAGAATCTGACTGCTGTAGCGTACCATGCACGAACTGTCAGGCATTTTCCATCAATTGCGAGATTCCTCAGCCCAAGAGGAAACGCACCGCTCTAGCCAAGGCCAAGGAGGAAGGAAGGTGAGCCAACATCCTGTGACTATGCCGAAGGTGGCTCGGACACTAAAGCATACTCAGTGAACATGATCACTCAATCTCTGGCCATACTCCTACAGATCCACGCCTTACACAGTCCGCCGCCAGCAAGCCTCGAGCAGCCCAGAATTCCCCGGAGGGCCTGCCTTCCACAACCGTCAGCGATGCCGAAACCGCTCAACAGGCTGCCAACAACGGCACCATGGCCCAGTTCATGAAGCCAAAGTTCGCTCGTGCACCGATACGCGAAGCCGGTCGGGTGGCTTACCTGGGCGAGTCCTCAAACCTAGCGCTCCTGGTACAGGATCGCCATGGGACTACAGATGTCGTGCACTATCCGTTGCCCGATAACATTCGCGGAGCTCGATCCCGAATGACCGGTGAGTCTAGTTCTACACTCTGTTCTCTGCTTCGGGACAACTGACATCGTCCTCAGAAATCGACCAGCTGGAGATTGAAATCCTACAACAGCGAGGAGCATTTCTGTTGCCACCACGGGCACTGTGCGACGAGCTCGTGGATTGCTTCTTCGAGTGGGTTGCTCCTGTGGTGCCAGTCATCAACCGCAGCCGCTTCATGCGGAGGTACAAGGACCCCAAGAACCCACCTTCGTTGCTTCTTTTGCAAGCTGTTCTGCTGGCTGGCAGCAGAGTGTGCACAAATCCTCAACTTCTGGACGCGTCTGGCTCGACGACACCCGCCGCTATGACCTTCTACAAAAGGGCAAAGGCTTTATACGATGCAAACTACGAAGACGATCGAATAACGATTGTACAGAGCTTAGTGCTCATGGGATGCAAGTGATCCGCTGGTATGCATACTGCCACAAATACTAATAGCGTTATAGGGTACTGGGAAGGCCCCGAGGGTAAGAATTGGGAACGAGTCGCGCACGCCGATTATGCCCGGTCTAACATCGGTGCAGATGTGACCAAAAATGTATTCTATTGGACTCGCGTCGCCATCGTTGTTGCACAGGGCGCCGGCATGCATCGAAGGTAGGTGGCGTCCGAGCGATCCTCTAGTCCGACACTGACCGAAGCCCTACAGCGTCGAAAATTCGCAACTAAGTCGGCAGGATAAGCGTCTCTGGAAGCGTGTCTGGTGGGCACTGTTCACTCGCGATCGATCGGTCGCAGTCGCACTCGGCCGCCCTGTGTCAATCAACACAGACGACGCTGATGTCGAGATGATCACCGAAGAGGATTTCATTGAAGACGAGGGCGACCCAGTCAACGACTATCGGCGAGATCCAATACACGTCCAGTTCTTCTTGCAGTACGTCAAGCTGTGCGAGATCATGGGCCTGGTCTTGTCCCAGCAATACTCTGTAGCTTCTAAAGCCAGGGCCAAGAATGCCCTGGATCTCACTCACAGCGACATGGCTCTTGCAGATTGGCTACAAAACTGCCCACGAGACGTCTACTGGGAGAGGACACGGCAGAACTTCTGGTCTGCGTTGCTGCATTCTAATTACTAGTGAGTCGCATTCAAACCATGCTTGGACTATACTGAATCTATCAGCACGACCCTCTGCTTGTTGCATCGAGCACATATGCCACCAGCAGACAAGAGACCAAGTGATCACATTAACGTCGACATGGCCTATCCGTCCAGAACTATAGCTTTCCAAGCCGCGGGCATGATCACGTCTATCGTCGAGCAGCTGCTCCAGTCTGATCAAATCAAGTACACACCAGCATTCATGTGAGTCTGTCATTTCCCGTGCGAAGCCGTGCTGACTGTTGGCAGTGTCTACAGTCTGTTCTCAGCACTCATCATGCATGTATATCAAATGCGCTCGTCCGTCCGTTCGGTTGTAGAAGCCAGCCAAGAAAGGATTCAGATCTGCATGGCTGCTCTCAAAGAGGTATCGAAAGTGTGGCTGGTCGCTAGAATGGTGCACACCCTGTTCGAATCCATTCTCGGTAACAACAGCCTGGCGGAAAAGCTACAAAAAGCTTCTGGACGAAAAGCGCCGCGCAACAAGAATGGTCCTGCCCAGCCCAACGGCCACAACGGCACTACCCATAACCCGAACTTGGCTCCGGCACCCCCTCCACCTCCTGCGAACAACGTCAAGAGGAAATTTGACGAATTCGACATCGGTTACTCCGGACCACCAGCACCTCAAATGTCGTACGAGCGATCGAGACCACAGACGCCTGCTGTGACGCCTTCTCGTGAATTGAGTCAGCCGCAGGCCAACAATTCGCTTGGGTCGCCGCCTCTCCCGAACGATCCGCTCATGCCCAACACCAACCGCGGCACTTCGCGATTGCACTCGCGAGGGCCAACACGAGCAAATTCACCTTTCAATGGCTATTCAATACCAGCGACACCACCCGACTTGTTCTTGGTGACACGAGATGAGCCAAACATCTCACAGCAGATGTGGGACGACTTCCAACCACACCAGCTCTTCCCAGATGGGACAATCGGAGACAGCAATATGTTCAACAGTCCTACCATGCAGCATGCCGTTGATCCACAACTGCAGGTACCCAATACCGGGATGGGTGGACACATGTCAGATGTCAACATGCAAGGCTGGTCGTCGAATATGGGGAACATGATGGGCACTGGAGTCGATGGAGGTGGTCGTCACGCTGAGGATGATCGGTGGTCGAACTCGTCGATGGGCAATGTTCCTGTTGCTCCGCTGCATCTTGATCTTGAAGGTATGTCTGAGCTGCCACTGGTTGTCAAAGCTACTGCTAACATTGGTGATAGACTGGTACAGCTTCTTCGGGATTGCGCAGGGGCAGCCTGTTGGTTAGGACACGATGACTTCTCAGTGGTTAGTCGATGGATGGGTGCGAGAGCTCTCGGAACAGTGAGAGCAGAGCAATCGGCAGCAAGGAACTCAGCCATTAGAAAAGTACCTACTTGTATCAATCGGAGGTATAATACTTCAAAAACGTGTAAATCTCTATGCCTCGATAAACCCAGCCGATGATTATCGTGTAGATAGCCCTGGCGCATGATTACATGGCAATGAGGCTGATGAGTCCTGGAGAGTAGTACCTTAGTGAGATGCTCTTATGTCATTCCTCGGGCCGGCCCATCCCTCATTCCTTCTCCAAGTCCACCAACATCGCAACAACCCATCCCAACCCTGATCTCGCCCGCTGAGACATGCTTGAAGTCATCTTCTTGGAGATAGCCATCGCCGTCGCTTGTCTGACTATGCACCACGCGAGAATACATCTATAGAGCCTTCCAAACAGCCCAGCGCAAACGAACCCGGAGTGAACAGCGTGTCAGCCCCATGTCTAGGCGACTCTATGTCAACGGCTGGCCTGCCCAGCGAAGATGACAACACCCAACGCCAGCTTGCATACCTCTACGAGCACAAGCACACTACGTCCTAGAAATGCGAGACTGATTTCGTACTTGGACGAAGAAGTAGAATCACAGACATCGACGACAGGAGCGGCATCTGGCTCATCAGCCGTCGCCCCTCTCTTCACAGATCGAGGGCCATCACCAGTCATCAGCCGTAATCGATCGCGCGAGAAGGCTGCCCACTCATCTAACAGCGGTACAAGCTCGCGCAAGGTCTCTGACGAGAGGCAAAGGAGCGTCACCAACGATGTATGGTCCTCGTGGACTAGTATAGCCTCCTCCCTGCTGGGTGGGGACACAACAGCATCAAAGGGAAAGAGTAAAGCAAGCCACGTACAACCGAAATGGATGAAGCAGGATCGTCCATACGCGTCTTCTCCCACAACACCACACTGGGGTCCGAAAGTCGATGGTCTGGACAGCGTAGTTGCTAACTCGCTAGAAGAAAGGCAGGCCCTATTGCAAGCGAAGAAACGGGAGGCTCTCCTGCTTGGAAGCGCTGAGCAGGCGCGCGATGCAAGCGGCAGGTTCAAGAGAAGGGACTCAGATGCGACTGTCATCGTGCCTTCTCGAGACGCGTTAGATCAGGATGCGCTGGTATATGCTCACAAGATACAGAAGAACGATACGATGGCTGGTGTCATACTGAAATACGGCTGTCAGCCAGACGTCTTTCGCAAAGTCAACCGTTTCTGGCCCAACGACAATATTCAAGTCCGCAATCACGTCTTTCTGCCAGTCGACGCCTGCAGCATCCGTGGGAAGAAGGTCGATGGTCCTCACTCCGCATCAGATCTGTTGGGACCGGCCCTCGAAGACCTCGCAAAGACCACGTCACCCGGCAAAGGGGGGCTGAAACGTATGGGCACGCATTCTGCTGCTCGAACGCCTGAGCAGCCTTCCTCTCCGGCACCTGAACCATTCCCACTATACAACTCCTCCGACGACAACGACAAGCCCGAACTACATCACGACTCCTGGGTCAGCGTACCCAACTTCCCTGAGCCTATCGCAATCTTGCGAATGCCACGCTCAAGTCTCGGCTACTTTCCGCGCGCACGCCGGAAATCTATGACTAAGACAATGTACAGCGATGCTTCACCCAGAACCTCATTCGACAACCTCCGCCATCCTCCTTCACATGCGGCGCAGATGTCGCTTTCGCAGTCACTCACCGGCTCGCCCGTCCGTCACTCAACGTTTGGACCACAGACACAACGCCCACCATCCCTCACGCGCCAGCGCTCTTCCTCGACCGCCACCAGCAGGACGGCAACTTCGTTCACAGCTCAGCAGCAGCAACCCTGGTCCCTCGCCGGCCCAGGCGGCGTCGGCACGCTTCGCGGCCTGCGCACCGAGCCTTCTCGTCCCGGTCCTGCTGAAGACTCCCTGAACAGGACCTTCAAAGCATACTTCCCTGATCTGGCCATTACAGATCCGCAACAAGCTCTTGATGCAGCGAGGTCGCTGGCGCCGCACCCTTCGTCGTCATTCCAGCGAACGCGGACACCGAGCTATCGCGGCTCGCCGAGGGTGAGTATGGATTCGACGAGGAGCGTGAGGAGTAATAGTTCGGGGATTGCGGATCTGTTGGGGGTTGGGCCGGAGGGGTGGGTGAGGAAGATTGGAGGGAAGAAGGGTAAGAATGGCAACGGCGCAGGCCAGTCAACTAATGTGCCTGCTGGTATGGTAGGAGGCGGAACAGGGATGGAAGACCTGATTGAGCTGGAAATGACGCCGCAAGAGGAGGTGGAGCGATTGAGGTGGGATGTCAATAGCGGTAGGGATGGGGAGGATAATCTGCCCACGCCAACGTCGGGATTGATGCCTCCGCCTTCGAGGCCTGCTGTGCCGGGAGGAAACAGTGAGGCAGGAGGAGGTGGTGCGGAAGATAGCAAGAGTGAGCAAGAGATGCTGGATGAGAGGTTTCCTGTCAGAGGACGTGTGATGGGCGCCTACCAGAAGCCGAAATGACCATTCAGAGGTAGAGACAGATACACTCTTGGATAGGAATGCAGGTGGTATCGTGCAAGAGATCCTACCTACCCTGAAATGATGACAACTTTCCTACAGTGCCCTCTAAGCAGAGAAATCATGACATGGGGTTTTCATTAGCTGACGCTTGAGTGAAGCTCGTCTCAAAGCTAGCAAGTCGATCAGCAAAAGGACGATACCCCTTCAGCGTCCTCCCTGTTCAAGTAAAGTCATGTTATGCCGTTCCTGGTAACTGAGGCGCAAGTGAGGCTCGTCTCACGCCAAAAGCCTCGGGCAGCAGAAGGATGCCAGACCCTCAGCGCCCGCCCTGGCCTGGCGATCTAGTCGAATTGCAATTTCCAAGGCAGCTTCGCGGGAAGGAGGTATCGAGACGTTTCGAGGAAAGCAAAAAGTATTGTAGCAGCACCCAGAATCGAACTAGGATCTTCGTACACGAGACTTGAGCAGACCACGTCCGAGGATAGATAGTTGCTGGTCTCGGTCGATGTGTTTGCCGTTGACACCATGCTGCTAAATGACCTGGTGTAGGTTTGCTGCTCACTTGATGACGAAGTTTTAGACGGATCAAATATATGTACCTTCAGAGGCAAGCACGAAATGGCGACATATGCTGGCAGTCCTCTTGATTGTTTGAATGCCTATGTCGCGGTACAGTGAAGGCCTCCCGAGAACGCAAATTCGAACACATCCATGTGTCGTTGGTGATACTTAAGTGATCCTCAAGTGTTGGGCGAGCATCAGCACAACTCATCGACGAAACCCGGGATTTCAGTATAGAGGCCTCCCTGTACGGTGTCATGCCCTGCCACTCGCGAGCAGACAACTTGAGTCCTTCCAGACTTGTGACGAAGCCGTGCTTCAAACCTCCATTGACGACGGCAAGGCTAGGAAGCTTGTATAAAGGCGTCACGAGTCTAAAGCCAATGGACGATCTCTGCCATCAATGGACAGTGACACTGTAGGGAACAAGCTATCCACGATGATGGTGACAATATTGAAAGGTGTTTTCATCAATAGTAAGCCTCCAGAAAATGAATAGAAGGAGTTGGAGTGAACGATCTCAATGATTCGCGGCAGCTGCATGGTGTGTCTTTAAAGATCGCCGTAGTCGGGCATCAATCGAGGTGCACCTCTTGAATTTCCACGACCCCGACGACAAAGAGACACCACCACCACCACTTCTTAATTGCAACCTTTTTTCGATTAAATCTGCACAGCGAACTTGAGCATTAGTCGCGTTCTTCTCGATCATCACAATCAAACACATCACCTCCTAATGCTACAATTCGAGCGTCTTCACCTTCTTCCTTCTTAACCCGTTCCCCTCTCGCGGCCTTTCAAGTCCATACGCGATGAGTGGAAAGCGTACCGCCCAAGAATACATCACTGTAAGTTGCATACTCGAGTCATACCGTCGCGACGCTGACATCAGCCACAGAAGGAGAACGGTTCGCAATTCCTCGACGGCGCGTTCGACGACAAGCCGCGACAAGCAACCGCCGCTCAAATGTCTGCTCGCAAGTAAGTCCGACTTCCGAGACCCGTGTCGCAATTGTTGTCGACCGCGTCTGCCCTTCTTCGTCTACGTTCCGAACGCGACAAGCAGATGGCTAACACAATTCGCAGGACCGCGACCCCACGAGGCCGGTTGAACCGCGCTGGCACTCCTCAGAGACGATTTCCTCCTAGTGCGAACACAACTCCGTTCAATCCAACACAGTCGTTTGGCAACGTCGGCAATGGCGTCGCATTCGGACAACAACATACAGACACCTCGGCAACACCTGGTGGTTTCAACTTCACTGCCACTACCGATAATAATCCCTTCGCCAATATTTCTTTCGCTCCGGTGAACGGAAACAACTCGTTCAATGCTGGCAATCAGAACAGCGAATCCGAGAGAGAAGAAAATCCGGGCGCTACAAAGCGAAGAAATTCTGCCCAAGGCAACACCGATCACGTAGCCAAGCCAAAATGGAGTGGTTTCACGCCGCTGCCCTCGGCCAACAACAACACATCACAAGGCTTCACATTCGGTGCAAGTCAATCACAAGCTCAGGCAGACCTGTCACAGAACTCGACCAACCCCTTCGGTGGCTTGTTCGGTGCTTCATCAAGTGCAGCCCCCGCTGTGCAGTCGCCTGCTCCACCTGCTCAGAACTTCCCGTTCGGTCAGACCAATCCGACATCCTCCACGCCTTCATTCGGTTTCGGCAACACCAATGGCACTCAGCAGAGTTCGTCCAACATGTTCGGACAGAGCAATAATAATAGCACATCGCAGAATGCTGCACCACAGTCACCGGCTCCGTCTGGCTTCTCATTCGGCGCTCCTGCTGCTACACCCCAACAGTCACAAGCTTCAGCCCCAATCTTCTCCTTCGGCGCAACTGCTACATCCACTCCACAACAGCCAGCAGGCGCTCCGGTATTTAGTTTCGGAGGTGCAGCTGCGTCCACGCCACAACAATCGACTCCTGCCCCTGTCTTCAGCTTCGGCGCCACGCCAGCAAAACCTGCAGCACCCCAACAAAGTACCTCATTTACCTTCGGCCAGTCTGCCAGCGAGACGCCAGCGAAACCTGCAGCACCGCAGCAAACCACGTCGTTTACGTTCGGCCAGACTGCCGGTGACACACAACAGTCTTCACTCAATGGCAATGTAGCATCGCCTACCACCACTGAGCCAAGCAAGCAAGTGTTCTCGTTTGGCAATCAGCCAGAAACACCTAAGTCGTCGAATCTTTTCGGTGCACCGCCTGCTTCAGAGCCAGCAAAACCGGTCTTCCAATTTGGTGCAACTGCTCAAGCCCCTGCAGAACAAGCTGCTCCTAAATCATCGGTCTTCTTCGGCAACACCTCTCAGAATAATGCAGAGCAACCAAAGTTCTCCTTCGGTGCTCCTCAGAACAACGCCGTTTCGCAACCAGAGAAGAGCAGCACGCCTTTCGGCGGCTTCAAGTTTGGCCAAGCAAGCTCAACGCAGACAGAGCCCGCTCCAAGCGTGTTCTCTCCCACCACAAATCCCACAACTACCAAGCCAGAGACGAGTACTATTGCTGGTGACACCCCAGGACCAAAGTTCGCTTCACTTGAACAGAGCGATACGGCCAAGACCAACAGTCCTCTTGTCTTCGGCAATGGTGCGACGGCGGGTACAAGTGTCACTCAGACTCCGTCACTGTTCGGAACATCGCTTGCAAGCCAAGTCTCTGCGCCATCAGCGGGTGTACTGAGCAGCAAGCCTACACCAGGCCTATTCGGTAGTCTTTACGGTGACTCGCCGGCTCCTTCGCCTATGTCTATGAGTAACCTGACTCCTCAGGCTGAGACATCGGCTCAAGCTGCAGCAAAACCTCCAATTTCTTCCGGCGGTCTCTTCACTCCAGCAGCCCCGAAGCCGACGACTGTGTCGTCCGAAGGCTCGCCACAAAAGACCACGACTCAGACTACTGCTGCTAACACCGCCCCGAAGAAAAGCCTATTTGGCACACTATCACAACCTGCACCTGCAGCCTTGACTCAGAAGTCTTCGGCTCAGACCAGTGCAGCCCCAAGTCGGTCTACAGAACCTGCTCCGACGCAGCGTCAAGTCTACACAAAATCACCAAGCCGTGTGCCTCCATTCTTGAACGGCGAGGGCTTCAAAGAATATGACAACAACTGGCGTCTACGAGCTCTCAACAGAGAGTTCAAGAGAAAGATTGAAGAGTGGGATGCCGATCGGTTCGATATTGAGAATCTCATCAAGCACTACGTGTCCGCTCGCGCTGCCGTCGGTGGTGATGTCGGCCTGTATCAGCGAGCCGTGGCTGGTTCGAAGCGCAAGAATGATGAACCAGAAGACGAAGACGTTCCTCCACAGTACAAGAAGGCACGATTCGCCGATGTGCCCGAAGACCAACCTGCGCCTGCAGCGTCGACCGGCACGTCAGGTGCTTCAGCATCTGCTGGTCCATCGGCCCCCTCAGCATTTACTGGTCCATCGGCTCCTTCAGCATTCGCCGGTCCATCCATGCAGAGAGCTAGTGCACCAGCTGCGACTCCTGTTGCGCCCAAACCTGTCAGTCCGGCCAAGGCTACTTCAATGTTCAGCAATATGATCCCAGCTTCATCCACCAAGGCTATAGAGGAGCCGGATCCATCTAAGCCGAAAAATCCATTCGCATCAGTGCCGCGCATGCCTGAGACCGACACAGCAGCGTTTCCTTCAGCGTTGACAGCATTCGCTGGTCAGACTCCTAAGAAGCCGATGTCAAACTTCTTCGGACAATCGTCGACTTCTACATCGAATGTCTTTGGACAATCGTCGGCGACTCCATCAGTTTTCTTCGGCAAATCCTCTAGCTCCACAACCCCACAGAAGTCCCCTCCAAAGAACAGCTTGTTTGGCTCGCTGGGCAACAGCGCATCGGTATCAGAAAAGCCGAAGAATAACAAGCGCAAGTCTATGTCCGATGACGAAGACGAAGAAGAAGTCGTCAGTGAAGACGAAAGCCCCAGAAAGCGCAACAAGAGCGGTCTTCAGAATGGCCCTGTTTTCTCCACTACTCCAGCCAGCACCAAGAAGACATCCATAAAGTTTCGTGGTCCGTTCGAACAAGACTCGGACGAAGACGAGCCCGAGAACCAGACCGGCGAAGATAGTGACTTTGCACCGAATGCCGAGGAGTCTGATAGTAACGATTCAGAGAGCGACGAGGGCGGCAGTGACAGCGAGGAGGCTGTCAACACTGCTCAACAAGAAGAGAGTGAGACCTCACGAGCTTCAGACGAAGATCATTCACAGGAGATTCAGAACAACCCCAACAAAGGCAAGTCGCTGTTCGATAGAATCGAGAAACCAGCAGGCAAGCCTGAAGAAGCTACGTCTGCCACTCAACCAGCAACAACCACGCCAGGCATAAAGTGGTCAGCACCCAAGTCGTCCGGTCTGACTCCAGAGGCTCCAGAGTTTTCCCCGATCACACCAGGAACTATTCGATCTCCATACAAGCCTGCTACTACCTTCAACTTCACACCCACACCCGCCACAAAGGCACCGGCTGAGCCGGGCGCTTCTGTCTTGCAAGGCGGTAGCGCGAGCTCATCATTCACGAAGTTTGAAGGCATGTTCGGTTCACGCCCCAGCACGCCTGAACCAGAGAAAGTGGCCAAGCCAGCCGAAGCTCCTACTTCTACTCCTGCAGCTGGTGACCAGACATGGAAGCAAGGCTCACCGATCAAGTTCAACGCTGAAGTGATCCCGCCGTCGCCACAGCCTTATACTCCTGTTACTCCAGCTCTCTTTGGCAGACTTGCTGGTACACAGACTACAGGAGGTGAAGGCTCGAACACCAACTCTTTGGGCTTCGGCTTCGGCAAACATCTCGCCCCTACCTCCGGTATCAGCTCTGGCATCTCGTCGCGAGCCACTAGTCCCGGCCTGACCGACAATGAGTCCGTTGCTGATACCAATACTGATAATGAGGCTGCTGACGCTGCACCCGCCGACCCGCAGCAGAACCTCATGGAGTCGCGTCCTGGCGAGGAGAACGACAATGTCTTGTTCGAGGTCCGAGCCAAAGCCCTCCTGATGACCCCCAACGAAGCCCGCGCCAAAGAACTCAAGCTCAAGCCCAACGTCTGGGAGTCCATCGCCATGGGCAACTTCCGCGTCCTGCAGGACAAGACCTCGAAGCGTGTACGCGTCGTTCTGCGCGCTGAACCAAGCTCCAACGTGGCTATCAACAGCTACCTGCACCGTGACATCGAGTACAAGACTCGCGATCAGGGCTCCAAGAGCGGTTCTGGTGCCGTTGCCGGCCGATTTGACTACAAGGGTGGTCTTGAGAACATCGTCTTGAAGGTTCGCAGTCCGGAGTTGGCACAGCAGATAGCGGATCTGTTGGAAAAGCACAAATAATACGCCAGGGAGCACTCTGGGTCGGAAATTTGTGCATTTGTATTATTTGGGAAACGAAACGGAAAACCACGAGCGACGGCGTTTTTTGTGAATTTGGCATTTTTAGGAATTCTGTATTGTTAGGGAGGACTCTGTGCTGTTGACCACCAGGGAGTGCGGCTGGTCGTTTCGAGAGGAAGTTGAGCTGTGGACCACCAGGAAGAGAGGCGGGTCGGAGAGAGAAGCGAGCTGTTGACCACCAGGATGTGCGGCTGGTCGGAGTGGGGAGTGAGCAGAGTCGGAGAGGAAGGTGAGGCGGATCGGAGAAAGACTCGAAGCAGATGGACGAAGACGGCGAGTCTCGGATGAGACTGTTAAGACCGCGTCGGCGAGCTCCTTGTGAGCTATTAAGACCGCAATGACTGCATAGGGAGGCCTTCGTCGGCGATCCCCTTGAGGGATCAGTAAGACCGCGATACCATAGTTGATAGAGAGATGAGAGTCCGATGACACCAGTCAAGCTCACTTCTGTGTTGATTGCGACTTCGTCGTGCCTGCTTTCGTCTCACCCGCATCATCTCACTTGCAATACTGGTCGACTTGAGACGAAGCTGATAAAGCAGCTCTTGCGGAAAGTACACATGGGAGAACGCACAAGACTACGCACGGACAGAGCACTCCCTGCGGACTCGATAGCGCTGGGATGGACTCGTGAGACGTAAGAAGATCATTGGAATTTGGTATCATGCATTGGACTGGTATTTGCTTGCACTGCTACGCCTCAGTCATGTCACACTGATGGCTTGTGACCGGTCCTGACGACCTGCGTGCTTGCTATGATGCCGCCGGTGCGCCAGAGCACTGGACACCCTCGATGCTCAAGAGGCTGATCCGGCCGTCCTTTGCAGGCTGAACAGCCGGAACGTTTGTGCCCACCGGTATCGTCTGCTTCATCTCGCCATGAAAAGTCTCGACGCTCACGAATCCTCAACGACAATAGTCTGCAGCCCCTTGGCCTCCCGGTTCTTGACATTCACCGCCTGCACATAGCTGTACAGCTTCTCCTTGGCACCCTCCTCGTCGTTGCGCTTTCTCGAGATGCGGACGCGGAGTCTGTAGGGGACGCCCTTGATGCCGGACTCCCAGACTTCTTGTTCAATTGCGGGTCGAGGCGGACGTCGGAGGTGCCCTGTACGGATGCGTTAGTTTGGGTGGGGGGTGTGGCAAGTTGGGGCGTGGTGTGGTGCTACGGAGGTGCGGTGTATGTTGTGCTTACCATCTGTTGGAGAGCGAAGGCCTTGATCTCTTTGATGGCGCGGGGTGCTCGCTTCTTGAAGGCTACGCCGAAGATCTGTATTGGTGGGCTTTGTTAGCGGGTACTTCTTGATTGTGGCGTTGTACGTATTCCGCAGACTCGCACGAATCCTTCATGGGCGGCTGTTGTGTCCGCCAGGCGCCTGGTCTCTTAATGTACACTTTCCCTCGAGCATAGACTGCTGCTTTCTCGCTGGGGTATTGTCCAAAGCCATCCTCTGACTCTCATCCCACAGTAGGCTTGCTCTTCCTGGGGTCTCTATCCTGGTCTCTATGCTGTGGAATGGGCTCAACGTACTCTCTTGTGCATGTGGATTGTGTACTCGCGGGCGACGACATCGGAGATGGCGGATCGGGTCTTCTTTGTGTTCCGCTTGGGCTGAGTCTTCTTTTCGTTCACCATCTTGACGGTCTGGTTTTCGCTGGTCAGTATGTGCTCTTGTGCGCTAAGATGGTGGGAGAAAGGGGCTCAGTGTGGGGAGAATTGGGAGGAGAAGCTCGTACATTGGTCGAAGACTGGTGAGTGTCGAGGGAGGTGGTGTAGACTGGTCGCAGGTTGCGATCTTGTGGTGAGGTCGTGGCTGCGAATGCGATGTGGGCGGAGATGGAAGCCAAGATTTTTCGAAGCTAAACTAAATTTGGCTGTACACCGGTTGACTGGTGTACTTTCGATGGCGGCAAGTGCTTCTCTCCTCTTGTCCTTGTGTTCACCTAGCGGAACATGGTGATTTTCACAATTTACTCGAGTCATTAACATGATGTTACATGGAAAGACTTGTCCATCATTATGCTCATTGACTGTGGGACCGTACAGAGTGCCGCCTAACAAGCCTGCGACTGGTCCACAGAATGACTTGCTACGAACTTATTCATCATAGCGAATCTTGCCTTCACTGACATCTGGATAGACATCAAATCTACGCTGTGTGTAGATCGGGATCCCCTTCCTCGTTTCCTCAATCTTCGCACCGTCGATCTCAGCATAAACGATAGCCTCCTTCTCCTCAGCTTCGGTAATCACCTCCGCGTTCGGATTGACGACCATCGAATGCCCAAAAGCATGATACGTGGCCTCCATATCTCGCGCAGGACTGCACATGGCGACATAGATCTGGTTGTCCATCGCTCGTGCCCTCGCTTGCAAAGTCCAGTGCATCGGTCCAGTCGTAGTGTTGAATGCACCAGGGTAGACGAACATGAATGCGCCCTTCCGTGCCGCGATTGTAGCCAGCTCCGGGAAGCGAACGTCGTAGCAGATAGCGAGACCGATCTTACCGTAGTCGGGGATGTCAACGATCGTGATCTTGTTCCCGGGAGACAAGACATCGCTCTCCTTGAACTTGATCTTGCCGGGAATGTCGATGTCGAAGAGGTGCGTTTTGCGGTGTGTAGCGATGAGTTCGCCTTTGGGAGAGAAGACTAGAGACGTGTTGTAGTACTTCTTGCCTTCAGGAACGAATTCTGGGATGCTTCCGCTGACGAGGTACGTCTTCGTCTCTGCGGCTACTGAGGAGAGCATGTGCCATGAAGGAGCGTCCTCCTTGGATGGTGGTGATGGCAAGATCTTCTCAGCGTAGTTGGGAAAATACTGGCAGCCGTATGGACTATTGAAGCACTCAGGGAGCACGATCATATGCGCGCCTGCCTTGGCGGCCTCGATAACCTTGGAACGAGCATGTGAGAGATTTGCTGTCTTGTCGGCGCCTTGAAGATTTGTTAGCCCGACTACTAGCCGCGCTTTCAGAAAGGACACGCACCTTACCTGCAGCCAGTTGGACGAGCGCCAACTTGAAGGGTTTCTTGAGCAGTCCTGCCATGATTGCAAGTGGGGGAGATGACTGAATCACGTATGAGAGGCTATAAGCAAACAACTTCCAACACTGTGTCGAGCTTGATGAAAGTAATGTCGGATTATAGATTCGTAGACGTAAGTGATCATAGATCTGGCAACTTGATGAGAGTCGCTTTCAAGAATTCAAGACGTAGTTTAAGTTGTTGGAGTCTGGAGGGTCGGGGAATTCGCCGAAGCCACTCGCCGAATGCATTACAACAGTTTTGTCGCTTACATAAGAGCGTGAATTCTTCTGATGGTCAAATGGTCCAATCATTTCTACTACCCTGGTAGTCATTGTACGAGGCACGCCGGTTGGTGAGGTCCGACACAATCGCCAACGAAGAATGTTGCTTGCCCGTCCTCGCTGAAACCGCAGTCAGATCACTTGTATGGCTGTGACATCCAGCGTGGCCTTACAGTTTCGTCAACATGGTAAGCCTGACGCTCACATCCATGACCTGCAGATCCGAGCCCTCCTCCTTTGGCAACAACACAGTACACATGGTCTCTGTTGTGAATGATTTGCCAGTGCCGATCCCAAGACCACCAATCATGCTGTTCATGTAGCGTAAAGACGCTTCCGTGCCCCAGCAGTTCCGTAGCCATTCGTTAGATACGTAGAGGCGTAGCAGTAGCGATATAGTTCTGGGATGCTGTTTCGGTAGATTCCTCAAAAATATCTGCAGACACCTCGTACCGCCCAGCACCAAGACCGTGTTTCTTGTTGGTTGCAGAGCAGCTATGTCCGAAGTCTCGTGGTAGGTCTGACGATCTGCTGGGATAGGCGTTGAGAGATCCAGAACATAACGCCGCAGGTCGCCCTCGCTTGTGCAATTTCCGGTGAATGGATTGGATTTCCTGACTTCGACACAGCTGCAGGCTGCTACTTCCACGGATTGTGAGAGTGCATCCTTGAAGATCTGCGAGCGAATTTCGAAAGGTAGATCGAGGAGTTTGATGGACTCTGTCTTTGTCTGGTGCATGGTGCTTCGCAAATGGTCGAGTAGAGAACAAGGAGAAAATAGAAGGGAAGTCTTTCTAGGCTGGGCGCACCATGTTGATTATTATTTCAGGTGCACCGACTTACCTGTGAATGGGACCAAACCCGAGGAACAGGCCCTGCATACCATTACGAGCACGGAAGGAATGAAAAGCACCGGTGGCTCGGGCAGCATCGACTCTCGTCCAAGTCAGCAGCTAGGGTTGCCTTGTTTCTCGCAATGAACCTTTGCCAATGCCCAGATATGGCTCGCGTCGCGATTTCATAAGCAAGTTGCGGTGACGGGTAATAGTTGCGTCCTCTCGGCGGCTCGGCACGGTCAGCAATGAGTAGCAGCGGAGCTCAGATCGGGACAAGGGAAAACATTCCAACAAGGTCACATCACAACCATGCCCTGGGAGATCGAGTGGGAGTCTGGCCGAAAGAGAACGAAGTTGACATCGGAGACGAAGTTGAGCGCTCGCGCGAGAGATCGAGTGGAGCTATGTTTCGTAAGGCCAACCAATAGCAGATGCCTAACGCCAAGCATACATCTTACCGTTCCTGCCCTGTCAACCCTCGTTCCGTCCTCAGCTGTCTCGGTACGGGCGACTTGTCATTCGCTCTTACCACATGATACGGCCTTCGCTACACGAGGCTGTACCTTCCCGTGATCGAGACCACTCTGGACCGGCGTTTCGATACGAATTTTGACTGCGCTGCTCGGTGGCACTCGTCCAAGAAATGGCAATGACCCTCAAGCCTTACGCTACGACACTCAACCTCGAGCTTGATTGAGATTGGCATCAACTGTGAGTGCTTGATATTCTGCCAGATACGATCCACACGAACACGAGGAACTCTACTCAACAGCAGCTTGACGGTCACGTTCTGCGGCGACTCGTCCCGGGCTACTGTGTTTGTTCGCCGGCGAAATCTAGCAGCTGATCTAGATCGATGGACACGAGCTCGCTCCCTCGTCAGCCGGGAATGGTCCCGTACCAGCACTTAGCTGCTTCTAGACAGGACCAAGGAGTCCGTCCGACTAATCCTCGAAAGGCAAGCAGGTTGTGCCTGCCAAACAGAGCCTCGTACAGATCTGCATTTGACCCCATGCCGAGCGACTACTTCGAAGAAACGTGCCTCATTGGCATGTATGAATGCGATGGTTTTGTATCAAGGTCATCTCCCAACCGTCGCGCCTGTCCAACATTGGCGCAAGCACTATATGAAGCACCCCCAACACGTCTATCACCGCCTTTCAACAGTATCGCATAGTCCAAGTTCTGTATTCTGCGTACTCGTCATTCCCTGGCTACTGTCTGTGACAGTTCGCTCTCGCGCATACTCACGTTCAAGTCGCCGCAACCTTGATCAGGACAGTCTTCGTCTCCAAGAAGTTGTCCAACGAGACCTTGTGTCCCTCCCGACCCTGGCCCGATTGCTTATAGCCGCCAAATGGCACGTCCTTCGCTCCTGTCGGACTTGTGCAGTTAACTCCAACAGTTCCGCTGTCCAATGCCTTTGCGAATCTCATGGCGCGATCGATGTTCTTGGTATACACAGAAGCGTACAGACCGAATTCTGTGTCGTTGGCCTTTTTGATGACTTCTTCCTCGCTCTCGAACGTGTTGATGTGAATAACAGGTCCGAAGATCTCTTCCTTCATCACAACTTCGTCCTCACCCGTCTTCAAGAAAACAGTCGGAGCAACAAAATAGCCGCCCTTGACATCTCCAGACACTTCCAGAGGCTCCCCACCAAGCACTAGCTCACCCGCCTTGCGAGCGAGCTCGATATACCGTTGCACATTGTCATACTGGACCTTGTCGGCCTGTGGTCCATGATTTGTATCCGCATCTGTGGGATCACCTGGCTTGATCTTCACAAACCTGGCCTTAAACTTCTCCACGAATTTGTCTGCGATCTTGGAATGCACGTAGAGCCTCGTGTTCGCCATGCATACCTGGCCCGAGTTCCACTGGACGGAGTGCTGTGTCTCCTCGACAGCAGCGTCAAGATCAGCATCGTCAAAGACTATTGCTGGGCTCTTTCCGCCAAGCTCCAGAATGACTGACTTCAGGTTGGACTTCGCGGCTGCTGCCTGAATGGTCTTTCCAGTCCTGCACGATCCGGTAAAAGACAGCGCCCGGACATCCATATGAGAGCTCAGCACCGCGCCTGAAACATTGCCATGCCCAGAGAGGACGTTAAACACTCCTGGTGGGAATCCAGCTTTCTCGATCAGTCCAGCAATATAAGCCGACTATGCTTCATTGTCAGCAACCAGACATTCGGCTTCCGAACCAGGGATCGTCTCTCCTTCGGGAAAGAACTCACAGTAAGCGGCGCCTTCTCACTACTCTTCACGACAACCGTATTTCCCGCCATCAACGCTGGTGCGCTCTTCTTCGCAAAGAACAACGCAGGGACGTTCCATGGGATGATCGCCGCCACGACACCGTACGGCTGCCTGAACGTCAAATTCACGAATCCAGGTGTATTCAAACTACTCGTTCCCTGAGCGTCGTAGCCCACTTCGGCGTAGTGGTCGTAGTCGTCGGCAGCAGCAAAGGCGTCGATGTATTGGGAGACGGGCCGGCCCATGGACATGGCTTCGAGCCATGCGAGCTCCTTATGGGAGGCGCGAATGAGGGAGGCGAGCTTCTTGAGGTGCACGCCGCGGTCTTTGGGGGAGAGGGCGGACCAGGAGGGGAAGGCTTTTAGGGCTGCTTTGACGGCGGCGTCGGTGTCTTCGGCGGTGGCTTCGCTTACTGTTGGGCTTGTGAGAGTTGGCTTCGTGGGAGTTTGTGGGGGCGTGGGCTGTAGGGTAGAGACAGAGAAGCTTGGGGTGTTTATACCTTCGGCGACCTTTTCCTGGGTATGTGGCGAGTAGATTGGGAAGGTCTTCTTGTCGGATGCTTCGACGAACTTGGGTGGCATTGTCAATGAATGCCCTTGATCGAGCAGTTGTGTTTCTGGCGACCTACCTTGCCATTGATGAACAGCCTCGTCTCGATCCGTTCTGGTTTCGACATCTTGGCTGATTCTCCTTTTAGTCGTAGCGGCTATGAGTTCTGGATCGCTGGCTGGTACTGATACTGGTGGTGGCCTCTTCTTTGGTATATATAGTGGCAATTCACACCCAGTCGCTACTTCGATTCAGGCCCCGAAGCTTGTCGCACACTCTTACAGCAAACGAGGTTTTATTGCTGATGTAATTGTCGGGCTCCTCGCACTTTGTCCTTTATAAGTGGTAGGTACTGATGTCAGGCTATAGGTCGAATTCAGCCGGCTTCATATTAAGCATCAGTAGATTGACCCCGCAGATTGTCATACGGCTCTGTTACTACGATGAGCATTTGTAGTGGGGCAGCGGAGGACTAGTTCACGCTATGGGACACAAAACGGCAGTGCAAGTGCACTTGCCGAAACAAAGCCGCTGTCGTGAATCATGGAGGTGGAGGCGGAAGTATCTTGCCGAGGACCATCCGTGGGGATCTAGATTCACGGGCTTTGCATTTCGATGAGCAGGAGTGACGAGGTCAGCACGCCTGAGAAGTATGCCGGCGAAGGTAAAAGGTGAGCACGCCTAAGAAACATGCCTGAGAAGCTGAGACATTGCATGCTCGTTGAATATACATCGGAGATACGTGCATCTTTCCCAATGAAGCATGCCAGGTCGTGTTTACTCGTGCTTACTGCGTGCTGCGAAAGTCTATATCGACTGCATGGTTTCGAGTGATTAGGACTGCATAAGCCATTGCCGACGACGCAGAAATGCTCACAATGTAAGCAACGTTAGGTAGCCTTGCAAGATGGATTCGCAGTGACAGGCGTGAACGGGACCAAGGTCGTCAACTACCTCATTGTTGAGTGGCTAACAAGAGGGATCAAGGATATGACATTGATCGAAGAGGTTCGACGAAGTGCCTGCTGACTGGTCAATCGCGCGCTATCCACAAGCAATATTGTCGAAGAATCGGCCGTACGTCAGAGGACAGTGCTCAGCCAGCCGTCAGGACCTGAAACGCCGGTTCACGACGTCGAGCCCTAATGAATGCGTAGATCAGTGAACGATTGCAGCATAAGTGCGCATGTCGATGCCATCAGACTGTGCTGGAGTGACGACGGTCTCCACCAGAGCATGTGGTTTTAGATATGTCGAACATGACGTTGCGCAATGAGACGCCAACTTTGGCGCGTCGGTCTCTGGAGGTGGTTCAATGCGTTGAACTTCTGAAGGTGGCGATCGTGGGTTGACAAGCAATGCTGGCTTCGGCCTCTGCTGGCGACCCTCGTGGGAGGTTTCGCGATGTGCTTGGGTGATACATTCAGCCATGGGAAGCACCTCAGTCCTCATGGTGACGGTGAGATATCAGGTATAACATCTCCTCTGTCGACAACACCACAGTAGGCTTGACTCAGAATTGTCGTGGGGCACTGTCTACCTTTACAGTGAGATGCTGTCTGGACTTGCTCGTAGCGTGAAGGGAGGTCCAAAATTGCCCGGACCACGTCGCAAATTGTCCATTGGCGGCAGAAAATTCCTTTCGGCGTCATGATCTCAGCCGGCTAGTGACGCTGTAGCCGCTGTCATTGCACGGTGAGCTGCAGATGACACCCTTGTGGCAGGTCGCATGGTAGGACAACCGCGTTTTTGACAGTTTTGACAGCTCGTGGAACAGTGGAATTAGGGCTTGGTCTTGCCGCGCGATCACCGCCCATGTTCCAATTTTACCGTTGGTCAAGAAGGGTGCCACGTCCACAGAAGAGCAGATCCATTGCTCGGAGGAATGACCTTCAGCAGAAGTCGTCAATACACTGCAGTGGTGGATGCGGTCGCCTTGTCGTTAAAACCATTCGACTCTGCAAGTCGCCAAATGTGTCGTTGTCTGCGTCGGCAACACCACCGGTTTTTGGCTCTCCAGAAATCCAGATGACGCGAAGCTCGCTTGCTTGACCAATCCGCCGATTCGCTAAGAATACAGGGGGAATTCCGGTTGACTAGCAGTCTCAGCTGTCCAATCCGCGGTAGACTCATCGTGTTTGCTGTGCTCGGTAGAGTCGCTGTATGCACGCTAAGGGGATGTAGCAAACAAACTCGGTGCCGCCAGGAAACTTGTCGAAAGTACACATGATCAGCCTCTATTGCCTCAACATCGAAAGACGCTGTGTTGAACAAACGCATTGGCAGCCTTGCGATTGACTTGTCGCACCACAGCTGTCATATTGTGCTTTATTTTGAGCTGCCTAACGCTACCGCATGAGCGTTGGGACCCAGAGTTTTGAGCGGCCCTTGATTCGTTCTTAAAACGCCGTGATGGCTAACGGCCTGGACTGAACCTCTTCTGCGGGATCCGCAGTCAAATCTGGAAAAGCCAGCCTGCATACGGACGAAGGCATCTGCTTCCCCCGGCAGTAAGAATAGCCTGGCCAATGCGAATGTGATTGACGATGCGACGACTTAGCCAGATACAGCAACACAGAATTGACAAAACTTGTTCATGATGCCCAAAGAGCAGTCCAGTTCGTGCACAAGAGCAGAGCGCCTGCTTAGCATGCGTTGAGACGCAGATGGATTGAATCACCGGTTTGGGGCCGCATTGGGAACTGAGCTGCCACGAGGTAGTCGCCTCTCGGGAGGCAGCGTATCTTTGACCCACAGACTTACAAGTCCTTGTTTGTAAGACGGAAGGAAGTGTGTGATAAGTCTTAAGCTCATCTCAATGCCGGCTGCGAGCCGCAGCTACGTTTCCGCTTCCCCCACACATCGGAGAGCTTCAGATTTGAGTATGTTATGCTCGACTGCCTGGAGTGAGTAATTCGTAAGGCGACAGAGAAGGTCTCTTGGAAGTGGGCCACCATTTGTTTGCTCTCTGAATACACTGTGCAGCAATATATAGGCCACTCAAGACCGTTTCTGTCAATTGGCGTCTGTCACACTCGCTCATAGTAGGAGAGCTTGCATTGCACAGCACGTACCTCTAATGAAATTCCGTTGTATCCCGAGCCTCTTCACCGCCAGTACCGACTTGAACGATATGTCACCAGTCACTGTTGGCCCTCGAGCCGCTAAAGACGAGTTCATGCGCGCATTGAATCTCGATCCCTCCAACACCCACCATGAAGGCTGCTATCGAGCAATGAGAGTGAGTCTGACGCCATGGTCTTGTCAAACAAATGGCAGAACTGATGCACGACCAGGATGAGGCTATCAGAACGTACAAGAGACTGGAGAGTGATCGCAGTTGTCTCGTCGATGAGAAGCGTCGCGATCCGAGTGTCATGCCGCCTTTCTTCTGGCATCACATCACCAAAGAACGTCAGAGAGCTGCCATTATCGAAACATGGCAGCACGCGCCAGTTGGCAGCATTCAGAGACAATTGTTCGACCGAGGCGCCACCACTGGCGAACATGAACCAAACTGGGTGACACATTGGCTGCTGTACAGTGTCTTCCGTTCCCGAGATGTACGCAACAATCGCAACCGTCGTGGAGACAATGAGAAGGGTTCTGGTAGGGCTCACTTGCAAGCCTCTCGTCTGCATGGCTCACATGACCTCGCAGGAAGTGGCCGGCATGAAGTGAGCAAAGTCTACGACCCGGCGCGAGACCAACATCGCTCCCGGCATCATTGATCTGCTCAATAGTCGGACCAAGGGTGATACACAAGGCGGCAGGCTTTCGGCAACGTCTCTCACACACTGGCGTCGTCGGCGGCAATATCGGAGTTGGTCGGCGAACTTTGGCATTTGCGGCGAACGGCAACTGTACCGTTTAGACTGTCAAGTGTATTGAAGGAGAAAAGCTGGCTTAATCGTCCATTTAGTCGTCTTTATCATCATCGTCGTCGCCGTCTTTCTTCTTGCCTTTGTTGTTCTGTTGTCGCTCGTGGCGCAGCGCTTTGGTGACTTTCTCATCGCCGGCCTCATCCTTGGTCTCGTCCCACTCGACGTCGTACTCGTGTGCTACGGCTTTAATCTCTCTGCGCATGGCATTCGCATCTTCGAGAAGGTTTTCCCATTCCTGTATATTGAAGCCCTTCGCCTGATAGAGCTTGTTCTGGCGAGAAGAGACCGTGATGTTCAGGGCTTGTCGATAGGAGACTTCTCGATTGTGCCACAGAAACCAAAGATAGCCACCAATGAGAGTGGACAGGCCCACAAGGTAGGTCACAGGCTCCATGACGTCCCAGCCAAGGTCAGTTTCGAACGTCAGTCGGTAGACAATGTACCAATACGCCATGAGGCCACCACAGCCGCCAAGAGCAATTCGCTGTGCACCCTTGTGGGCTGCCTTGTCGCACTCTTCCTTGATTGATGCCAATGTTGATATCCGCTTCGCTGACCGTCTCAGGCGCTGACGGAGGTAGAAGGTGCGGTCATTGAATGAGGGGACAGCCACTTTGATGACTTCGTTGTGGCCCTCGATTTCAACCTCGAATTCTTTCGCGCGAGCTGCATCTCGGATGAAGTCACCTATATCTGTGGATGGTGACCATCTGACGAATTCTCCGTCGTCTTCTCCTGAGCCCTCTCGACCGTCGCCAGAATAGCTCTGTACACTGCCTTCGCTGCCTAGCTCGCCATCCGAGTCAGCCTTCTTCTTCGGCTTGATCTCGTCCTCTTTCGACTCCATTGCACGGAAGGTAACCGATCGGACTTTGTTGCTATCTTTTGGATCCAGGGCCGGCAGCTCTGCTTGTATGAGCCTTTCAAGGTAGGAGAGCGGCTGCTGAGGGTGCACGAGCAACGCCAGTGGCGCCACATCCTTGCGGTCCGAATTATGATCGGCAGTCGTCAGAGGAAGAACGAGTTTCAGCAGACGGGCAGGAGTCGTGAGCAGTTTCCCTGCCGTTCATGTCAGTGTAAGAAGGCACCGAGCTGAGCTAGGATAGCTGAATTGTGGTTTCCTCACCCTTGGTCATGGCGCCTGCTGATCGCTGACGGGCAACAGGAGCCTCATCGGCGCCTTCCCTGTGCCACGGGCGCTCCCTCTGACGGTCCTTTTGGTGATCCACCACATCGTTCATATCGGACAATTCGTCCGCTGTGGCCCTGTCATGAAGATCTTTTGCTCTAGCTTCAGAGGTTATCGATCTACGCAGCAAGTTTGTTGACAGCTGCCTGACACTGCTCTCGGGAGCCCTCCAACGGGACAATGATTGTATTGATATAGAGCGGTAGACATGGCTACTGCGTGGGCCGATCTTGGGAGTGAGGCTCATTCCCAGATGTAACAATCGTTCTCTGGCAGCCATTGTGACTTGCTCTCCTCTGCCCCAGAATGTGTGTCAGATCAGACTTCAGTAAGATTCAAGAACTCGCTGCGCATTGCGATCGTTGTACACGCTGGCCCTCAGGTCATCAATCACTGCTTTCAAATGCTACCGCCCTGGGAGATGTGTGCAGAGCAGTCGGACTTGCTGCGCCATGATTGCAAGCGCGACTAAGATCACCTGCACCTGTCTTTCACGAGTCAGGACCGGCAATCCCAATCTCCAAGCAAGTTGGCAAGCCGTCGCGTATTGTTCAACGCCCATACGTCATTTGCCAAGCGCTTATGTCGGCATACTTCAATCTACCTCCGATCCAATCACTCTTCCCTCTCGTGCAGACCAGCTACATACCTACCTCGTCTTTCCTCATAACGAATGGAAACATCGCACCCACCCAGGTAGCAGTTGGTGCTGCCATGGCACGGTAAGTGACGGCTCGCCTCAACCCCATTCCTGTCGAGGAGCGTGTAGGAGATGAAGGGAAAGAAGAAGTACAAGTTGATGGGAAAACAAATACTGGTACTTTCTCAATCGAGTGAAGGTCCGCGGCCGCCAAAGCTATCACTTCACCCAGTCGGCCAAGGCGTAGTCACTGCATTCTGCATATGGCTAGGTCATCCTGTCTTGTATGTGGGGTCACGTATGATGGCAGAGGAGGCCAGATTCTTGAGGGACACTGAGGAACTCAGGCTGATAGACGGCACGGCAAGGTCAGTGAGTGTCATTCAGATGTCTTCGTGATTTTAGATCTAATATGAGGTAAAACCGATAAAATGAATGGCTGAAACACGCTCCAGCCAAATTTGCATACTCTGTCACCAATCCTAGTCCTCCTGCCAGCATGAATACTATACAGTTGCCTGCACTCTTGCTGCTGATCTAGATGTTGAGGTCAAGGAGAAACTTCATGAGGAACAATTTTTCTCTTTTCAAGTCATGATTCATGCCGCTCGGTCGTAAAGGGTCATGGTCGTAAAGCGTCGTTATATGTCGTAATACTGTGCCTTCTATGTCCGTGCAATGCAAAGGATGATGCAAGTGCTCGCTTCAGTGATGACGGGATTGGTAACGGCCATAGGGCTGGCGCGAAGACGGTGGGTGCTCGCTGTGCCTGGAACTAGCCATGTGCCGGGAGGAATGTACTGCCGTACTCGATGGCATGGCATGGCGATTGCCGAATTCGGGCGAGCTGCCACCAGATCGACTTCCCGGACTGTCGTAGTACTGATATGATCCGCTGTCTAGCGAGGAATTGCTGTCCCTGTTCGTATGTCTACCAGATCCGACCGGAACGGGATTGCCTTGGATCACTCCGCCGTGGGCAAATCCCGTGGGATACATTCCATCATTCGCCGAGAAGCTTCGACAGATGTTGAATGCAATCAGAGCTGCAGCCTCTCTCGCGGCCTGCTCAGACCTTTCCAGACGAGTTGTCTGATATTCCCGGTTGTTGACCATTACCTTGCATCGGTAGCCTCCATTACTATATGAGACAGCATAGCGTGGCTCTGGCCAGTGTCGCCGTTGGCAAAGACCTGTTCACATACCGTGTTAGCTCAGATCTTCAGCCATGACGCGTCTTCTGCAAGCAGTGAGCAGAGATGGTTGGGCATCATGCCTTGCCGAACAACGCAGGTCTCGAGAGTGGCAGGGTTTCTCAGAAGTGAGGCATAAGTGCTGCCTGAGGGTGGTCGAAAGTCAACACGTACTCGACAGATAGTGGATATGCAACATTGCTGAGGCTGAGAATCTCGACTAACAACCGAGTACCAAAATATGTCCCAAAAAATTTCCTTACAGACTCGTGATAGCACCTGTGTCGAAGGCCTCTGCCGCTCACGATCTTTCCTATAAGTATGGACGCACCTGGACACTCATCATGGTTTATTTGAGGATGAGAATGTGTTTGACCCGAAGCCAATACTGAGGTCCCTTAGCACTATCATATGGAACGTCTCCATATCGCTGGCAGTGCGGGCTATTGTGAATGCGAAATTGACAACACAGCAAGTGGATCGAGCAGCCAATGCGTGGGGCAAGCTCTAGAATTCCACAGTGGCCAAATGCAAGTGGTGAGGCCACGAGGTATTGGTCGATGGCATGCAGCAGAAAAAGACTTCTTCTCGGAACGTCGTAACGCAGTTGCTGCGCTGGCAACGGTTTTCACCAGTGCTGAGATCCTGACGCTCGGGGCGCTGGACAAGCGCCTATCAGATCGAAAGCCGACGTAGATCCAGGCCTGATAGCTGATTCGTGAGGACCCATAATGACCGAGTATTTCTTACGATAGCCCATGCTACCCGCTGCACATCATACTTGAAGCTCATGGATTTGCACGAGGCGCTTTGACCGGTGCATTGCTGAGTTTTGCTCAAGGAGCCCGTTGCAGACATCACCCATGTTTAGGTCAGGGCGCCCGTGGACTTGCTGATCTTGAGAGTGGGGCTTGCTCATGAAACCAGCGTGGTAGAATCCATCATTCGACGACGCACCTGCAGCAGGCGACCATCTGGCATTGGGATGAGACTTAAGCCTCTCAGCGACGGCGTGAACCGAAATTCGAATGAGCCGCCAGCTTGGGTGCAGAATTCGAACCTTTGCCGTAAGTACCACCCTCAGGCTCGAGCGATACGCTGCATAGATTGACCCGCCGTGAATGGGCACAATCTCTGCTTAGCTAGGTGGAGTGGCTACCGGTGGTGCATGCTTCATGCACGAGTGAGTTGTCAAAAAGTTGAATCCTGCGGCGATTCGCGAAGTCGAGGTTGCTGTTGGGGAAAAGCCTTCAGGAGCTGGGCCACTGAAATAGGCGCTTCTGGAGGGGCGTCTGATTCTGGACCTCGAGTGCTTGGCACAGTGATGAACTCCTGATCTTTACTGATCTTTGAAACGGCTACGACGTGTGTTGTGCATCACGCGTGCGATTATGAGCAAAATCAGACCCTGAAAATGTCCATCGCAGCCAGCGAACCTCACGTCAATTACCGATAGTGCGTGTGCGGCACCTGACGCTGCGTTTGCCTAACGCAAGCCCCTGGCAAGCTCGTGGTTCGCGCTCGCCCCAACTTGCATGCGCACTTCTTCCCTGCTCTGCTCGGGACTGGAGGACCAGTGCAGGCTGATGAGCGATACGCGAGGGCAGAGTCTGTCATGACATGATGGCATACGAGGTGAGACATGTAGCCATCGGTACCTAGTTAGCCAGACGAGCGAGCTGCAAGCAATTCTGGCCTGGCCGAGCACTCCTGGTTTCGGCATCAGAGGCAATTCTGTGCCTGGCTTCAGGATGGTGAGTCTAGTGACGGGCGCCAAGGTTGAGACAGACTCCATTTGCGTATCTCATCCACGGCTGCATGAGGAATGGCATAGATCGGATGCATAGGCTCGATCTCGGTGCCATCCTCGAACGCGGCGATGTCTCCATCTTCCTGCGGTGTCTTCTTGACAGCCCACCAGGAGAACGCGGAAGCGAATTGACCTGGCTCTTGTGGTGTCTGATACCCATGATGATGTTCCGTTGTGCTGATTCCCGACAGTGTGTAACAAGTGTGGTACGAATCTGGGTTCCTGCAACGCTTTAGTCGGAAGAGCATGGGAAAAAGGTGAGGCACGTACATTGACGGCTTATCTCGCAGACCACCCGGCAATGCTTGACAGCAACACATTATGTAACGAGCCAGGCCTTCCGCGCTATACAGATCTCCAGCAGAATCCTCTTCGTACTGCTCAGGAGTAGATGGTCCGAACAGTGCATTCTGGATCATAGGCCAGCAACCACCAATCCAGTGGCTGTAGCAACCATCCACGAGTTTGTTAGTGCGGCCTGCTATGCCACCCTCCGGTGCGTATTGTCTCGAAGACAACCACCAAAGCAAGGCGTCGACGTCTAGAAACTTCGCGAAGGTCTCTTTGGGGTCACCGAGCAGACAAAGGCGCCCAAAGCACAGAACACATACGCACCGTGAGCCTCATTGCCAGGCGTGCCAGAGATACCGCCTTCGTACGTTTGACATCGTGAGATATACTCACCAATTCCGTCGTCAAACGTCTTGAAGCCGGCAGCCCGTGATGGGGCGTCATGAGGAAGCTCCATCGGCAAGTTCAGCAGCGATAGGATCACTAGAGCGCAGTATGTGCCTCTTGTATCCTCTTCGGCGCCCTCACTGATCTGAAACCCGCCACTTTCCTTCTTCAAGCGACCAAGCCACCGCCACATAGCCATGCGATCTATCAGTCGATAGTTGGTGTCTCCTCCCACAATTGCAATGCTCAGTATGGTACCGTACGTTGTGGCCAGATGCGACTTTCACGTCAACATATGCGAAAACGATTCCCTGCGTGGAGCTGTTGACTTACATTGTGACCATGCCCGCCCCCAAAACCTCCAGTAGCGTTCTGCAGGGCAAAGAAAGTGTTGAATACACTGAGCCGGTTAACAACATCAATCCGAGCAAGATTGCACGGCTACGCACCTGCTTCTTGCAAATGCTATATTTTCTCCAAGGAAATGCAATCCCAATAGACCCCAGTACACGAGCCACGGCCGACTAGCATCCAGACCGACGGCACGAGCAGGAAAGCGTGCAAGATTGTTGCGTAGAAACTCGGCATGGTCTTCCACACGCAGCTTTGGGATGCCAAATTGGTTGAATGCCAAGGGGTTCTCACGGGCATCAAGAGCGGCAGCCAGCAACGGGAGACACTCATCAGTAGTTTCATCCTGAGCTATCGAAGTTGCAGTGACGACCTCGTCCCTCAGTGGTGGTAGGGTTCGAAAGTGCGACGGTATTGAGAATATATCAGCAAGGTCGTCGTCTTGGGGAAGCATCGTGTGAGTTTGCTGCCGATGGCCTGGTTGTTGTCGGCGTTGATGATTTTGACCATCAGGATTTGTACTCCTGATGAACTGCGCACGAGTGCGAACACGCCGCATGAGGCACGTTTTGATCGCAGTTCCGATGCATATCCCTTCGTAGGTGGTCAGTGTGGTAGTAGGAGTCTATGCAGAGAGGAGGTTAGTAAGGAGGTCCACTGAGCGGTCAGGGTTAGGGCTTTCGGCCTGCCCCAAAGTGTGATCACTGGCAGTGCTCGTGCCTGAGTCTTTGTCGTTGCCCTTCAGCATCAAAAACATGCCTGTAACAAGTGGTCTTCAATCAAAATCGGCACATTGCAGGCCTGTTTCCCGCTGGAGTCAACGGCACTATTGACACATTGAGTGCATGCCGCTGCCTCAGGTCGTGCGCAACGATTCGCGAGTGTATTCTTTCACGCGCTTGGTCCCCTCCAGCTCCGGCTTTGCAGTAGCTCACCGCCTCTCCAACAACACGCGCTTGCAGCGCGTAGCCCAGTCCTTCAATCTGGGCGTTGACTTCATCGACGACTGCCTCTGAACAAGCAGCATCAGCATGAGAGGTCAACGGCGCATCAGAGTATAACTTTGCAGCATTGTCATTATACTTCAGGTACAGGTACGGGAGACTTCTTGATCTATGGTCTCCTTTCAGGCACTGGGAACTTTGGTGAGGTTAAGCCATTACTGGAGGCTTGCCTGTTCAGCACTAGTTAGAGGCAAGGGGCCAATGACCTGCATGGCCCAGACCGCTCACAGAAGTGAAGCAGCAGTTGGCTTTCTTGCCGGAGGATTTGGGAGTACTCCGTCGTCTCAGGTCCTGCTTTTCGTGACACCAGAGCTGTCGAGTTCCCCGTGCAGAACAGACCGATCGGCTCTCTGGCCTGTGCGTCTGTGTTCGTCGCTCAAAGCTGATGAACATGCTCGTGTCGTAGTGGCGCAAGCTGATGGCCCAGAGGGCGGCCTCCTCGGTAGTCAGCATCCAACTCCAGCTGCAGATGCCACAATTATAGAGACATATCATCGTCGCTCGCGGCAGGCGAGATCTATCCGTCGACGCCTCGGTCCCTGTTTGTGCATAGTACTTACAAACTTGATCGCACCTCATCGAAACGGGAGAGGTACCACCAACCATGCCTTGAAAATCGGTGGGGGATTTCTTGTGGCCCCTACGGTGAGCGACGATGTCCTGCGGCTAAGCCGACGAAGAAGCCAATCGGCTATCCTTGTCAGACTCAAGCCATGACCCACGCTGTGCCTAAGGCACCCAACAGCAAATCATCAACGGCCGACTTGCACCATCCTCGACTCCATTCGCAGTGCTGAAGGCCGAGATGGCCCACGAGAAAACCCCGCCTCTCTGCATTGCGCTTGCACACCGCCATCTCACAACTCCAGAGCATGTCAACTCTTCCTGCTGTGCTGCTTCTCTGTCGGTGTCTTTCCTCCATTCCGCCTTCCCAGAGCTCTCTTTCGCTCAGATACGCTGTCGACAGAAGTCCTCGACACCCATCAATCTTTGTCGAGGGATCTGAGAGGCTGGCCTAAGCAACGAGTCAAGATGGCGGGCATTGGCCTCACACAAGAGGAACTTGCTTACGATATCGAGTCGAGGAATTCGCAGTACTATCGGAACAATGTATGGCAGATGCCAATGACACAAGCGTCCACACAGAATGGTCCTCGACCGACGGTCGCGCCGATCCAAACACATGGCCACGGCTTGACACAAACTCCAACAGCAGAGCACCCGATGATGGAGACATGGAGGTATGGGCATCAACACCAACAATCGCCGCAACAGCACCAGTCGCAGCCTTCAACCTCTTACGCCACAATCACATCAAAACCAACATCAACATCCACATCAACTCCATCAGTCGCAATCACAGCCGTCAGTGTCGCATACTCTCGAGTACAATACATCGCCGGTTTATGAAATACCATATAACAATGTTTACTCTGCACTGCCTATGGGGACTGCCTCGCTGTCAATGTTGCCGGTAACCCAAACTCAGATCATGCCGATGGACCAGCGTACTTGACAATGGGTGCAGGAATTGAGGGCATGCCGCAGAACTGGGCTGAACTTTCGAGCGAACTGATCCATTATTCCACAACTGATGTCGGACTTGCTGTCTCTCCCTATCAACAACATACTGGGTCGCCGACCGGCTCCCATCTCGAGGTCTTATCGCAGCCGAGTTCAGGAGACGAGGCAGGCTGGACAATGGTAGACTCGGCACGCCATTCTTTCGAGTACAATGGACCGCAGTATTTCGTTGACCCAAATCACACCATCCACAACAGAACTCTTTCAGAATCGTCTTACTCAGATCTCGAGCCTCAGCAAGGCACATTCATGTCGAATCTCGACATGGGCCCGTCCCAAACCGTCTATTCTCCCACCACACTTTCAGATAGCGACTACGAGTATACACATAGCCACGGTCACCGCTTGTCAATAGACCATGGACATGGTCCAATGCCAGGAATGGACCATTCAGCAATGTCCCAGCCAATCGCTATACCTTCCCATGACGCGTCATCGCCAGCTCGGTCGCCGGGCTCGCAAGGTTCTGCTGGCTCTCCTGGCCGTAAGGCTCAGCGCAAGAGTCTCATCGCAGCCAAAGGCACTGACAAAGTCACGAAGAGAAATTCGCAGGGAAGCAAAGGCGAAGGCGAAAAGCGTGTCGGCAGGAGAAAGGGGCCTCTTCGACCAGAGCAGAGGCAACAGGCTAGCGAGATCCGGAAGCTCCGTGCCTGCCTTCGATGTAAGTTCTTGAAGAAGACTTGTGACAAGGGCGACCCCTGTTCAGGTTGTCGGCCATCACACGCTCGGCTATGGCAAGTGCCCTGCACCCGGATCGACATCAAGGATATTGGCTTCTTCCTCAAGGACTGGAAGTTCGACTATGAACGACACATCTCGCTCGGCTTCTCAGTCGGCAATATCAAGGGCTTCTCAGACACAGAGAAGACACTCTACGTTACTCACGGCTATGGTCACATCCTTCCCGTCACTGCCCGTGAAGTGTATGTTCGGGACGAGAAGTGCTTGAAGATGGATTGGATAGAAGCCAACCGCGCTCCCAGCGGATACGAGATCTCTACCGCCAAGTTGTCAGCTGGTATGGAGGGTATCTCAACTACGATGCTGTCCGACTACCTCGATCGGCATATCGATGGCTCCGGGACATTCGAGAAGTTCGTTGATGATTACTTTGAGGGCACACCTTTCCTATCGCAGATGCTCAAGACAGCATATCGGTTCTACGTTCGTACTGGGGACAAAGTCATCAAGAAGTCTCTGAAGCTGATGCTGGCGTACACCCTTACCCTACACATCACCATGGTGGAAGGACTGCCGTCAGAAGAGCCCTTCATCGGCAAGATCGAAGAGGAGACCTCGAGATTCTACGGCAAGACCATGGCACCCGTCATGATCAATTTCCAGATCAAGTGTGCAATGGCAGATATGTGGCGTGAGCTGCACAAAGACGTTCTTGAAGAGCTGTCTTCTCTATACTCAAGCGTGTACAGTGGGGACAAGCTCAAAAACTGGCCAAGGATCTTCATCCTAGCTTCGGTGCTGCTGGCGGTCTGGGAGTGCATGCAGTTTGATTGTCACTATCGCGTACCAGACAACGCTGCCGTCGAGAAGTTCTGCAATGACATGGAGGACAAGCCTGTTGGCGTCATCATCGGTCTGTTCCAGGCCATCTCCCAGAAGCTACCTGCCCTCATCGATTGGGACACTAGCAAGCATCATGGCCTCCTGAACTCCGACAAAGATGTCTGCAGTACCTTGACTGAAGTTCGTGAACACGTCGCTCAGTATGGTAAGCATTGTCCTGCTCCCTGAATCTTGTCACCTTCTAACATATCACAGAAGACTACCTGCGCGGCAGACAGGACTCCAAGTTCGACCGCAAGGATTTCGACTCCCTTTCCAACAAATTTCTATCACGACTTGTCATTCGCGCAAACTAAGCACCTTCGTTGGAAAATACAACGTATGCGGCATGAGTATATATATAAATTACGACTAGACGGCCCAAAACCACGAAAATTTGACGCTTCATGCTGATATGTTGTGTCGACATCAGCACTTTCATCTTAACGGATCACGAATCTTACGGGAAAAGGAGCATGAGGCCTCATGATCAATGCATTTGAATTATAACGCAGCGATCTCGTTTCCAGCAAGCGCCACATTGGTTTGTTTTGTTGTGTTTTTCGGGGGAAATGTGGAGGCGGCATCTGGGTGTTAGGCGGGACTTCAGCAGAGCTGACGACCGCGTGGGAGGGATGGGTTGGTTGACGATACCTCAGCTTGTCGTATGCTCGGGTTGGCTCATGCCTGGAATGTGCCGGGCGAAGCGCTTTGAGAGCGTGCTCACGAAGCAAGTCGGAGATACATAGGCGATCGTAGACAAGCGACGATGGTCTCGCTATGATCTTCGAAATCTACTTCATTCTCTCAGTATTACCTTCATTAGCTTCGCTCGTTGCCTTGACTCAGCTCTCCGTCACAGTGGCAGCTTGTCCTGCAGTGGATGAGATGCACGCTCGGCTGAATTTGCAAGGAAGTTTCGCTGTTTGATTCGTTGGACGGAAAGCGTATCCTGTGCGGTTGCCTCGTTCTGTTTCTGACAATATCAAACTTGGCAGGCATGTGGATCGATCAAGACCGACTACATCTGACACGAAGCGGCCTTCGCTCTTTCCCGTCCTCTCCCATCTTCAACATCGTCTGACTCCGCTCCCAAGGACCATCACTTTCGTGTTTCCGATCGGTCCTCGAACATTCTTCCGCCAGCACGTGCTCGAGTCTGCCTGCTATCGCTACATCCGCCACAATCTTTCTGAACGCTATACCCATCCATAGACAACAATCCACAAAACATCAGGACTGTTTGCTACAAGTGTAGCAGGTCTGCTTCTTCGGTCAGCATCACTTCTAACATTTCCTCGTCACTCATGCACAGAAGCTTGGGCCTTTACTCAGCTGCCTTCCTGGTGAAGTTCGGATAAAGCCAAGCACAGTGAGAAGTCTTCACTACCTACCTGGGGGTTGGTAACATCAGCGCAACACCGTCTCGAAGCGTCTTTCACCTGAAGCCACATCACTACACTGATCTATCTATATAAACGCAACCGCCCACTCCCGACCACCAACAACTCTCGAACACCACAACATCTCGTCGAATCACGGAGTTCGGGACCGACCACAGGAAACACCAGTAACTCTAAGGGATCATCGCGACACTCCCATTTCAGACAGTAGCGTTCATCGTCATCAACATGCCTTCTGCCACACCCGAGGTCGAGCCGCGACTCCTTGTTGTCGCCAACCGTCTGCCAGTAACAGTCAAGAAGTCTTCAGACGGCAAATATGAGTACGCAATGTCCGCGGGCGGTCTTGTGTCAGCATTCGCCGGTCTGGCTATGTCAATGAAGTTCTTGTGGTACGGCACACCTGGCATGGAGATTCCAGATGAAGACATCGAAACAGTCACGAAGGGAGTCCGGGAACAGGACGACCGATTTGACTGCGTGCCAATCTTTATGTCCAACGAAATCGCGGACAAACACTACAACGGTTTCTCAAACAGCATAATGTGGCCTCTATTCCACTATCATCCAGGCGAGATCACCTTCGATGAAGACGCTTGGGAAGCATACTCAGAAGCGAACCGCATTTTCGCCAAGCAGATTGCCGGTCAGGTACAGGATGGCGACTTGATCTGGGTCCAGGATTACCATCTGATGCTTCTACCTCAGATGCTCCGAGAAGAGATCGGCACATCCAAGTCGAATGTGAAGATCGGATTCTTCTTGCATACACCATTTCCATCGAGCGAAGTATACCGGATACTTCCTGTCAGGAATGAGGTCCTTCTCGGTATCCTCCACTGTGACCTGATCGGCTTCCACACATACGACTATGCTCGACACTTCCTGAGCAGCTGTTCGCGCATTCTCAATCTGACCACAACTCCCAACGGCGTCGAGTTCAACGGCCGCTCCGTCAGCGTAGGTGCGTACCCGATTGGCATCGATCCGCAGAAGTTTCTCCAAGGTCTACAGAAAGAGAGCGTCAAGAAGCGAATAGCAACGCTCGAAGAGAAATTCAAGGGCGTCAAGCTCATCGTTGGAGTCGACCGATTAGACTACATCAAGGGCGTCCCGCAGAAGCTTCACGCACTGGAGGTCTTCCTAACTGATCATCCTGAATGGGTCGGAAAAGTCGTCCTTGTCCAAGTCGCGGTGCCAAGTCGACAAGACGTCGAAGAGTACCAGAACCTACGCGCAGTCGTCAATGAGCTCGTCGGCCGAATCAATGGCAAGTTCGGTACTATCGAATTCATGCCTATTCACTTTATGCACAAGTCGGTCAACTTCGACGAATTGTGTGCGCTTTACGCCGTGTCAGATGTCTGCTTGGTTACATCGACGAGAGATGGCATGAATCTTGTCTCGTTCGAATACATCGCCACTCAAGCCAAGCGAAATGGCGTGCTCGTGCTGTCAGAATTCGCGGGCGCAGCACAGAGTCTGAATGGCAGCGTCTCAGTAAACCCTTGGAATACGGACGAGCTCGCTCATGCACTACAGGACGCTGTCACCATGAGTCCAGAGGTGCGAAGCCAGAACTACGCCAAATTGAGCAAGTACGTCAATAAGTACACCAGGTATGTATACTTATTTACAGTCATCTGTCCTCCTACTGACGGGTTCCAGCGCTTTCTGGGGTATGTCATTCGTTGACGAGCTAAAGAGAATCTCCGCACACGGAGAGAGGAAGCTCAAGCTTCGGAGAGCCTCTCTTGCAAAGTCGATGACATCGCTGAAAGATGTGAAGCCGGTCTCGGACCAGCCACGTAGTCCGCCAAAGAATGGAGAGGTCAATGGCAAGCATGCCGATTCGACCTCAAAGACGGATCAAGGCGACTATTTCCGAAAGGACTTCTCAATGTAAATTGAGATGGGGAGTAAGATCCATAGACCAGCTTCACGACGATTATGACCGTTCAGGGATTGACAGCAGGGAGTTCTGCTGATGGTACGGAATTCTCAGGAGACATAGTGGTACTCTCTCCTAGGTAGTAGGCATGGCGCCAGGCTAGAGAAATGGCCATCCATTTGTATCACTTCTCGAAGTTCTCTTGTACAAGATCCTGTGATGAGCACGCGTCTGGACCCTCGTCGTAGCCTCGCTATATTCAAGGCCTTCGGTCCTTCTGCAAAGAAAGCCCATCGAACGCTGATGATCTCTCGAGACCAGGTGCGCTCATTCTCACGCTATCTGTTGACCGAGTCGACACTCGCTTATCTGACCTCGAGGCAATTCCCCTGTACTTGCAATCGCGGTGCGTTCGTCCACCGCGGTCAGATCAATGCACCCAAGTGCCCCTCAAGCTCCCACAGCAACAGCACCTCCGGCGCCAGACCTCCCGTCCGTGTGTACAACTCCTCCAAAATACTTGCCTTCACACTCCCGACCTTCTTCCCTGCCACCCCTTCCTTCTCTGCTCTCCTCCTCTCAGCAACCCCCTCCACCTTTCCTCCAACCCCTCGCCCCAAGCACTCACAACCTGCCTTACCACAAACCGTACCCTCACCCGCTTACTCGTCTTCCCATCCCCTCCCCTCCTCCTCCCAATCAACCTGTTCCTCCTGTCCTCCCTTAGCTTCTCCCACTTGACCCCCTTCATCTCCCGCTTCACCTCCATCCGCGCCTCCTGCTCATGCGGAAAGAACCTCGTATACCGAATCACGTCCCCAACACGTAACAGATCGAAGGGGTCGTGCACGAGGTCGGTGTGTGTGGTGGGAAAGGTCTTGCGCAGGTGTTTTTGGAGGTAGGAGGTGGTGCGGGTTGCGTGGGCGGTGCGGGCGTGGATGGCGGTTATGGTTGCGGTGTGGATTTGGGGGGAAGAGTGGTTGTCGATAGGGCGGGGGTGGAGAGGAGGGGGTTGGTGTAGGCGTTTTGGGAGAGGAGGGTTGGTGGGTCGAGGGAGGATGCGGAGTTTGGTACTGGTGGTGAGGGTGCTGCTAGTGGTGGTTCTGTGGCTGCAGCAGCCGAGGCTGCTTCTACGTTGGTCGTGGCACAGGTGGCGGGTGAGGAGCTGAGGTGTCGAGCAGTCTGCTGCGTGCGAACGCTGACGGATGGACGCCGTATGGATAGTTGGCGCAGTTGTCTGGTTGCAGTGCTTGTAGGGGAAGGTGCGATCCGGGACTGTTGTGCTGTCCGCTGGGCGCAGGTGCGGCACATCGATGTGAGCAACGAGGTGGACTTCATCTTGAGTTTCTTGGGAATCGTGCAAGAGCACACTTGGGAGAAGGTAATGTAAGTCTAGGCGTGATTGACATACAATTCGAAAGCTCATAAATTCGAGGTCTCGCCAGATATTGTACGAGGCTGTCACTCAGCCTCGCCCTTTCCCAAGGAGGATTTCTAGGAGAGTTTTGAGGCACGCGACCGGGACCACTCTGAGGCCATTGACTCAATGATTCGCTCGTGCGCTACCTAACATGATGCGCTTGTCTATGTCGCCGTCCATGCACTTTTTGAAGGACCGAGCCTTGACGCCTTCGCTCCATATGCAGATTGAAGAGTCCACCCTTGCGCTCCTACGATGCCCAGACATCTTTGCCCTCGCCTTCGATCCAATGACCCAAATCGTTCACATTGCTGTCCCATTCCTTCAAGCGCACTCTCATACCTTCGATTTGGCTTCGCTCTAGCACCTTTGGTTGCACCCAGTTGATCTTCGCGATACCAGCTACTTGATCAATCTTGCCGCGGAGAAGACCAAGACTTAATGCTTTCATGATAAGATGCTCGATCTCGTTCGGCTTGACGTGTGTTTCTTGGCTGATGGTGTCGAAGGACATGGCTCGATCGTGTGGTGGTCTCTTGAAGACAAGCTCTGTGAGGGCAGCAAGCGAAATCTTCTGATAAAGAAATTGCTTGTTCTCAGCAAGCTGGCGGTCTTCATTGAGGTGGTTGGACAGTCGGTCGAAGGCGGTCAGATCTCCTCTGTTGAAGGCGAACAGCAGATCTCGGAGCATGATTTGACGTGTGGTGGCTTCAGCACATCCAGAATTGGGTGTAATAGCAGTTCTCCGAAGTTGTAGATGTCGTCCGACACTAGAGCTGCTATGCAAAGATTGTATGCTCGATACTGCTGCTCCTTTGGTGTCAGATCTGTATCTAAGGAGACGCAAGCAAGGTACAGCAGCGAATTCCGGTAGTAGGATGTATAGTCGCATTTATTGCTGAAGTATTCGGCATTGACTCGGTAGAAGGATGCGTTGACAGTGTTGTCGATGAAGTTGAACTTGTCAAGTTTCTTTTGCGCCTCGTCTAGTGCCGCTCGGGCCTTGGTCGTCTCATCCGTGTCGAGGTATACACTCGCTAGTTCTGTTGTGGCGTACACATGTGCCTCCTCTGACTCTGGCTTGTCCACCCGCTTGACCAACGCCTCGAGGAAATCTCTCCTTCCGTCATCTTCTGCGTAGGGTCAGTCAATGTTGCCGTCGTGGCTGGGATGGTCGAACCTACCTGAGATCTCTTTGGAGGCACTGAGGGCTAGTCTGACCAGCTTCAGTTGGTTGATCTTGTCCGCGAAAGTAAGGATGAAGTTCTTGTAGATGGCTAATCGCTGATTCTTGCTCTCTGGTGTCTGGAAGAAGTCCAGGAGGTGATCCGTCAACTGATGCCATAGTTTTCGTTCCCAAAGGTCTTCGAATGTGAGATACAAGTGTTGACTGTCTGCAGGAGCCTCGTCTCGCTGTTCGGCGAGGAAATTCGAGATGACCTCCGGATCCACAGCTTTTGACATGTTTGCCAGTCTCTCGAATGGATGCAGGCGAGGGAATAGAAGACCGGTGGGAGAGGATATGTGCTGGATATTAGAAGGATAATTGAAGATGCGCAGGCAAGCGAAGAACGCGACTGCGGTTCCGCCGTTGCCAAGGCCGATCTGGAGCTTCCCCAAAGTGACATATCGATGTTCACTGTCCCTGTCTTGACCTTACTGCTGCTTCTACATGGTCTGATCATACGCCTCACGCGGTCTCAAAGGGCGACACAGGCCGCACCCGCCACGATGCAGACCAGCCAGGCATCGACATGCGCTGTGCGCACTGCCCGAGCCGCCGTCAAACCCCATGTCCAACGCCGAAACCTCCAGGACATAGCTATTACACGGACTGGAAAGCCGATCATTCGAGTTCAAGGCGGACGGTCCGCGCTTGGAGGAAACACTGCAACAGTTTTCGGGGCGACAGGCTTTCTGGGCCGGTATGTCGTGAACAGGTTGGCGAGAAAAGGATGTCAGGTTGTCATTCCCTACCGTGAAGAGATGGGAAAGAGGCATTTGAAGGTCACGGGAGATCTCGGTCGAGTCACATTCATCGAGTACGATTTGAGGAATACCCAATCGATCGAGGAGAGCGTACGGCACTCAGACATGGTTTTCAACTTGGCTGGAAAGCACTATCCAACCAAGAACTTCAGCTTGTACGATGTGAACGTGGAAGGTACCGAGAGGATAGCGGAGGCAGTCGCGAAATACGACGTCGATCGATTCATTCAGGTCTCATCATACAACGCAGACGTCAACTCGACATCAGAATTCTTCAGGACTAAGGTAGGCTGTTTGGAACTTCGGTTCAGGACAACAGAACTGACGTGTCGTAGGGCGAGGCCGAGAAGGTGGCAAGGACGCTCTTCCCTGAGACGACGATCGTACGTCCGGCACCGTGCTTCGGATTCGAGGACCGTCTGCTGCACAGACTGGCTGGTACCACGAATGTCTTCACAGTCAATCATATGCAAGAACGATTCTCGCCTCTTCATGTGAGTCCTGCAGTCACGAACAGCGGAAGTATTACTGACCACTATAGGCAATTGATTTCGGTGCTGCTCTGGAGAAGATTGCCTTCGACGATACCACAGCCGGTGAGACATACGAGTTGTTCGGACCAACAGAATACAGCATGGCCGAAATTGCAGCTCTGGTCGACAAGGAAATCCTAAAGGAGCGCAGACACATCAACCTGCCAAAGCGGATATTGAAGCCAGTCGCATACTACCTCAATAGGCTCTTGTGGTTCCCAGTTCCCATCACAGCAGATCAGCTGGAGCAAGAATCGCTAGACCAACATATCGACAAATCAGCCAAGACCATCAAAGATCTGGGCATTGAGCCGGCTGAGCTGTCGGAGCTTACTTATCACTACCTGCAGGACTACCGTGGGAGCAGTTTCTACGATTTGCCGCCAGCCACTGCTAAGGAGGCGCGGGACGAGAAGAAGTTCTTGCATGTTCTGGACGATCAGTGATAGATCGGCACATGAAATGAGATGGTGGTCGACCAGCATATGGTCATTGTAGATAGCCGGCCACCGGGGCCGCATGTGGTCTTGAACGAATGCCAAACTGCTGATTCATATGATGATCGTGTCACACAGGTCGCATGTGCTTGCCTTGCTCTTAGCTCATTCCCCTTTAGCACCTCGTCAGTAACCTATTGCCAAGAGAGCCCGATCTTAGCCCTTAGCATTCGAAGTATTCGCAGTCTCACGGCCGGCTCTGTAACGGCATAGCTCAACGCAACCGCCCTCCGAATACAGGCCGTTGGATTCCACCTTGCGCCCAGCAAAATGACTAGGCGACGGACAGAATCTTCCTCCAGCAATCCCTGCGAAATCGATGTTGCGTAACTCGAGTCGATAGCAAAAACAGACCACCACATCCCGAAGCCTGTTGTCGGATAATCCACAAAAAGGAAATCGTCAAGAGCAGGGTTTGAACCTACGCCTCCGAAGAGATATGATAACATGATATAGCAGAGCAAAGCAAACCGCGAGAGCAGTGAGCAGCACCCAGTTCAAGTCATACGCCTTGACCACTCGGCCATCTTGACTTGATTCATGATTCATGCGAACGCAGAGATTCGGTCCCAGCTTGAAGCCGGGCCTGGAAAATGCGAATGAGATTTTTTGTGTGTCTCATTCGTTGACATTTTAGCGTAAAATCAGCTCTATGGAATATATGAAGAGACAATGGTCTCGGGGCTGACTGAGAGGACGGTGGGGGCGCTCGCGAGGAACGGGTTGAGCTCAAGCGCCAGGTGCTATGGGCCAGGAGAAGGCCAATAATGTAGTCCTCCCGCGCCCGGCCACCTGAAGTCGAGCCCACCCACAAGCACCAGCACTCACATTCAACAGCGTGAAACGTAAAGTATCTTGCAATCACATCTATACTATCCAAGAATAGTATTCAAGAGTAGGACTTCTGACTACAAGCAGAAGCAGCTAACAAAACTCACAAATGGTGCTTTGCGGCCAAGTCGCGAATTGATCCGAGTCCGGAGATAGATCAAGCCGCCATGGAACAACTGCTTCGAGTGCTTCCAAGCACCTGCAGTAGGGCTCGTAAAATGCATTGGCCCACACAGGCAACTGCCCAAACGCAGTGGCTCGGCCGAAGCACTCCTCCCCTCCGAATAGCATACTCGTTTGTGCCCTAACAAACCCAAACAGTGGGCCCCTTCCTACGTCCACCACTCGCAGACCTCGCTCGGGCTCCCGGACTCTCGATAAAGTCCACGGCCGCCAGGCACCCTGGATCGAACTCGCGAAATCTGCTGGACTCGGGGTTTAGTGGTTCGTCCTGCTGGCTTGGGGCCTTGGAAACTGATCTGCCTGTACCTGAGCGGGCTGAGCCTGCAGAGCTTCCGTCCGCAGTGGTCCTTCGACACGCGTGTTTTCTAGGTTACGCTCTCAGATTCGCGAACCCGACCCGGGGACGAGGTTCGTTCGTATTTCCGAGTAAGTCAATGAATGCGAGGCAGCAGCGATCTTTTTACGAGCTTTTACTTAAGGATGCGCTCGCCCTGCCTCAACCATCAGGTAATCATTCCAAACACTCACATGATTCTCTAATCTACGAAGCCATAAAACGCTTGGTAGCTCGCAACAGCACACTCAGCCACCTGGCCAAGCAACATCACTATCATAACACAAAGATGTTGTATATGGTCCTGACCCCAGCATTCATGCGACCACAATTACAAGTCGCAAAACCTCAATGGAAGCCAATGCTCCAAACAATACCCGAATCAACACCCATCGAGGTGCCTCACAAGCCGGCTTGACAACAATAGCCTGGCATGCCTATCTTCACAAAACCACAACACTTTAAGACAACGATGACCTGGAGTCTCCTACGCCTGGCTATATCAGAGCGACATCTTCAGCCGAGCTGAATGAGAAACAACTTCAACAAAAGTTCATCAATATGGTTTCACTATCAACAAATGCAAATTGTCAACACGAGCAAACCAATATCTCTCATCAACGATCCTCATTGCTAAATCGGCAGCATCTCGGACCTAGTCGCTGCCATTGTGAGCAGGCGGGTTCAGGGTGGTTGTTCGTAAGGCATTTCGAGGATGACTAGATGGAGGACAAAATGGTGTCTCAGCGACGTCGGGAAGGGTTACGGGAAAGCCGGCTAGGGTTTCTGGAGAGGACGAGCCACAACTCGGGCATCGGAAGCAACGACGGCTTCGTCAACGGAGTCGGTTCGGAGTACCAGTAGTCGTGGCCATTGCGGTCAGCCTGGGAAACGACTTGAGTCTGCTGACGAAGCAGCCGTACTGCCTTCTTTTGGTCGGAATCTGTGGACCTTCAGCTCCTACATCAGGAACTAGGAAGAAGCCATGTTGGAGGGAGAAGACAGAGCCTAGAGCTCCTTGACGAACTACATTTCATAGCTGTTCACAAAATCAAGATGAAGACGTCGATTTACATCAAAACACATACTCTTCCGGTTCCCATTGCATTTCGCCTCAGTCAGTGAGTGTTCTCATCATGCGCAGCGTCGCAACTTCTTAGTGACGGCGTGCTGCCTGAGTCCCGAGTAAGAAGTGCCAGACCCTTGTCGCCATGTTGTCAAATTCTTGCATGTTGGCTGTACGTACGCTGCCTAGCGAGGCCACCAGCGTACAGCCCCTGCAACCAACGAAGCAGATCTCGCAATGCTATCTCCGAATCTGCTGCGACTTCCTGTTTGGGGCATTCCAAATGCCGATCGTCAGGATCACAGATACGCGTGTTGCTGGACGCTCAGCTTCGGCAAGCTCACAATTGCTATGCAGCAGGGTGAGGGCTGTGTTTATTATGTTCGAAAATGTCGACAGGCGTGCCGTCAGTGTAGTCTTTGGTGGGTAGCACAGTTGTGGGCTTCGGCGGAGGGTCCCAAACCATTGCCGGTTGACTAGACTGATGCTAGACCGGTTGACCCGATACTGTTGAGACCGGTTGACATGAATGCAGACCGGATGACACGATGTTCACAGCTCGGATTGAGCACCCTTGCACGCTCCCTGTTCCTCTCTCTCAACTCTGGTCTTCTTTCCGAGGCCTTTTCACGACCACGCACTGTGAGACGCCCCTTTGGAGCGGAAGAGGTTAGGTTTCGGTAGCATGGTGGGTTGGGCTCATTTGGTGAGAATATATTTGTAGGTGCACGCTGAGTAGTAAGCGTAGCCCAAAACAAACAACGGCGTCATCGCTGGTATGGTGTCCAGAAGACGCGCCGAACCTCGGACCTCCTCGGCAATCTATCAGCATACCAGTACCATATACTCGGCCCTGTCCTTACGAGGCCAGCTCCTCCCTAATCCAAGCCCGGATTGCGCCCTCGGTTGACTTCTCCCCCAGCGCATCCAGCTTATCCTCGTCATACGGCGCCAACACTGGCATGATATGCGTCTCCTTCTCCCCGACTACCAGCTTGACCGCATCATCACCTCGCCTCTTACCCCCTGCCATTCCCTTCCTATACTTCTCCGACCAGTCGATGATCGAGTCCAGCAAACTCTCCTCACCACCTGCCGTGCACAAAATCTCCCCACATTTCGTGCCTTTCCACCACGACTCGTCTGCGTGCGCGGGACAGATGTACATGTCGTCTTCGAAACCAGACTTACCGCCGTTGTAGGCCGTGAGCCAGGCATCGGCAGTGGATTCATTGAAGGTATCCCTATATTGGAAGCGCTTGATGGAGGCGTAGCGTGCGCTTGAGCTAGAGATGAAGGGGTTGATAAGAATTGCGCTTTTGAGCGACTGACCACCTTCCAGTTGCAGGGGCTTGACGATCGCACTGTCGGGATGTGGGTGGGCGGAGATGTGGCTCAGGATGGCCAGGACGATTGCGCCGCCAGCGGAGTCGCCCGTAAGAAGAGTGTTGGCTGGTCTGACCTGAGGGAGCGAGAACATGTAGCGCAAGCCTTCCACGCACTCTGAAAGTGCTTGTGGGTAGATCGCCTCCGGAGAGAGGGTATATGCAACACAGAAGAGAGCGAGCTTGCCGTCGGACCAATTCACCATCTTGTAGAGCATCTTGAGATGGCCTTCCGAGCCCGGAATCACATAACCCCCGCCATGGACGTAAAGACTGAAGTACTTGGCCTTCCGGGGATCGCCAATCCAGAACCCAGATGCCTTGGTGTCGGGGATTGGTACAATCGGTGCTTCGAGATGATTTTGGGCGCACAGTGAGCGCCAGGCATCCAGGAATGGTGGAACGATCAGTTGCAACTGCGACGGTGACAGATCGCCGAGGAGGGAGCGTACACCCGCATTTCCAACATGCTCGAAGAATGAAGGCGATGTTGAGTAGAGGGGAGCAGTGACGGCCGCATAGCCCAGCTTGCAGAGGACTAGAACGAGCTGGAAGGGTAGCAGGAGTCCATCCGTGACCTTTCCCATACCGATGCTGTTGCCCGGGGTGGCCACTGTTGATGACGATGGTGATGTGGTAGGGTCATGGTGAATTTTGTACCTCTCTTTGGATGTGCTTGAAATCTTCAGAGCGTGCTTGGATGCTCAGCACGTGGGCAGCTGAACGGCCGAGATGTCGGATCCGTCTCGGCGCTCCACATTTCGATGCACTGCCTGAATGCAGCCAATAAAATATGCTTCACGGATGGTTCTCGATGAAGTACGACTTCCAAGTTCGTAGGATTTCGGCAGCCCGACAGAGTATATGGGCGTGTGTTGTGCCAGGTGTCTGGCCAGCGGGGCAAGACTGCAGCTGCTTCTTGGTGCTACGAGGGAGCCATGCGTGCTTCTACAGTGTTCATGCGAATCGCTGCACTCTGCTATACAGTGACGACGCCCGGCCATATAGTCAGTCCATGACCTCGAACATAAGACACGGACTGCTGACTCTAGGTATAGCAAATGGGTCTTGCGACGGTATTCCCGAAGCTCGATAGGCTGTCGATCGCAACCGATGAGGACATCATCATGAAACAAGCATCGATTAGTTGCTGGTGGGCAGTTGCGACCTACCTGTGCGTTCTCGGTGAGTGCCTTGCCCACGGCGAGTCACGACTCTGAACGCTGTCACAGCTATGCTCAACCTCAAGTGGTCCGGCTCACGAGGGATCGTTGGCAAAGAAGAACATGCTGCTATGCTGCTGAGCAGTTCGCACATACTCCTCAACGGAGTTCTGTTCTCGAAAGTCGGCGCTGTGGGTGCAGCAACGATGCTCTGCACAGCGTCTGCTTCAAGCCTGGTGGGATATATACTGTACCTCGGCCGGCGATGATGGAGCTGGAAAAGGAAGAAGACGTATCAGACGCTCCTGCAGCTGAACACGATGGAGTTGGAAAGTGCCAGCCTGAAGGACTTTCAGATCGATCTCGAAGGGGCAAAAAATAGAGTGTTTAGGTAAGCATTTAAGCTCGATGGTTCGTCATTAAGCCCCCAATTTGCATTTACTAGGGGCCACAACCAACCCAGTGACTTCAAGACCTATTCTCAAGAGATTGCTCTCGATTTCTCTACGACTCTTCGACGATCTCTCTGCTCCGAATTTTCGCATCATCATCGCCTGCGTCACCTCTGCTCGAAGAAGTTGGCCCAGATGCGGAACCTCCGCGTTTGCCCTGGCAGGTGTGAAGACAGCCAGGCGCCATGGACGAACTTAGGGAGCAGCCAGCGGCAACCAATGCGCCGAGCACATATCGTGCGGTGAAACGAAAGGCGCGAATGATATCTATGTAAGGATCCTCCGTGCAAGCAGGTGCAGTGATTGTATCCGGGTGTTGATGGCTCCGCGGTATTGCTTTGTCAAGCAGATCCTGAGCAGCGGGTGGATGTCAGTCCTCATGCTCAGTCCATTCAACATCTCGCTATCAATGTCATGCCGGGCACTGCAGCACCCGTACTGCTATCAGGCGTTGCGGTCCTGTACCGCTTAGATGCTGACTGGGCTGATAGTTGTCTTGAATGCCGTCGCAGGAAGATCAGATGCGACAAGCAATATCCGTGTGCACCTTGCAAAAGGTTCTCCCGAGAGTGCCTGTACTTAGCACCAGCAATGGAAATGATGGCGCGACAGCGGACAGACGCGGCTAGCACTGCTCAAAGGGATCAAGCAACAATAGATTGTGCTCTTGATGAAGTCGCTGCAGCGTCGCGGTCGACTAACACGGATCTGGCCTCGTTGCCGCTCCTAGCTCTTGATCCCTCGGAATTGGACCCCTTACGATACGCGGACACCGCAACCCCCAATGATTACGAACGCTATCTCGAACCAACAGCACCGGGAGGCATAAGTCTCTCGCATGGCGAGACTGAAGATCCCGAGCTGGACTTAGGCGTCAATGTTGGCAAGATGTGGATGACGGATAGGATTGGCGGACTGTGTAAGTAGTATCTGCCGTCCTCGGACATGACCAACTGACAGGATAGTACGTCCGCACATGCCCAAAGAGGTCTGTCGGTCTTTACACCTATCTGTGTGCTGCGCCCTTACCGATGTCTTAGATTGATCGAATGCTGGCGAACCCTGCCTTCGACAGGCGAACGGAAGCAGAGAAAGCTCACGCTCTCGCACCTCTGACAGACGCAGGCAGCAATTTCTTGGGACCAAGGATCAACTATCTTGAGCCTCGTCTACTGACCTACGATCCTAATAATGCGGGTCTTTTCAGACACTCTTACATGGATGTGCTCCCCACAAAGGCGACCGCCGATACTCTTGTTGAACGTTACCGCGATGCCGTCCACCAAATCACGCCCATCATGCATTGGCCAATCTTCCTATCTCAGTACGATGTGTTCTGGCGAACAGTGAGTACCGGGTTCGAACCGCCGAGTGGCCTGTCTGCACTGGTGTTCTCGGTCTTCTTCGCGGCAGCGGCGTCGATTGCAGGAGAGAGCGAAGACCACCCAAATCAGCAGTCGAGACTAGCTGCCCGAAACGCACTACAGGCTGTTACAGAGCAAGCCCTTGCTAGTGCAAGATTGCTTCATGCAACACGGCTAGAAGTGCTGCAGGCATTAGTGATCTACTTGATACCATGCTTTGGAATTCAGACCTCCCGGGCACACGTGGGTTTGCTTGCTCTGGCCATCACCCTGGCCGAAAGCCAGGGCCTGCATAAAGACCTTGCTCTATCACCAGACTCACAGCAGCCTGAACGTCAAGTTCGAAGACTGATTTGGTTTCACCTTAGCGCGCTCGATTTGCGGGCGTGCTACGGTCACTGTGCTCGGATGCGCATCACTAAGGAGGACTACGACACCAAGATGCCCGATACCAATGGATCAGACAGTGGTTTACTTGGCGCAGGAGGTGCCTTCGGTTGGAGCTCGATGACTTTCGCGAGGATCCGATTTGAATGTGTCGAGATGGCTAAGATCGTCTGGCACGACCGGGCGTCCTTGGAACGCAGGGAAGTGACCATAACCGATTGTCTGGGCAAGATTGAAGCATTCCGGACGCGTCTGGAGCGACATCATGGCAGGCATCTCGATACAACGTTGCCAATACAGAAGTACACTCGCCTGATGATGAATACTATGGTCCAGAATCTGTACGTAATGATCACATTCCGTTTCCTGAGACAGTACGGCCAGAAGGTCCCTGATCGGCTGCGCCAACTGACCATACACGCTGCTGTCATCTCAATGGAGAGCGCAATGATGTTGGAGCGATCTCCTGATCTAGCCATGTGGCGATGGCATAATGGGTGCTATCAGCAATGGCAGATTGCCTTTCTCCTGCTTTCGCACATCGTCAGAACACCAGATCAGCCACAAGCGAATCGCATCTGGGATATCATCAACTATGTCTTTGAGATCGAACCATCCCTGTCGCCTGCTGTCAAGATTAGGAGCATAATGACCACTGTCCGGCACCGCGTCACGGCATATCAGGATGCTCGCAAGATTCGGACGACCACGGAGTTCGACGATAAGCACGATCTACCACAGCGCATCATCAACGAAGTGCCTCTCGGGGTTGTAGTGCCTGCACTGATCAGTGCTTCATCTCGGCCAGACGCTGGCAGGTCGGATGATGGGGAGCATTTCAAAGGTTCAAGTCTTCCCTTCGACACAGGTTTTCATCACTTAATGCCACATGTGATCGGACACGACGCACTCGGCTCTCAGGCTTCTTTACCATTGGCATTCAACCAGAACTTTGCTGACGCCTTGCCACAATACAACCGTTCAACAGATCGCGCAGGCGAGCCACAGGGGTTTTCAGACAAAGATCTTGAGATGGCGGACATCGATTGGGATGAGTGGGACCGGCTGTTCCCTCCTGATGCGAATCCGGATTTCTGAGATGCCCAGATGAATTCAGCCTAGAGCTCGCACGATAGTCCCGCTACAACTCGCAACATCTTGCGGTAATAAGACTTGTAGCTACTAGTACCATGACTTGGACTGATGAGCATTGCGGCTCATGCTCGCCATGGGGTTGAGTCAGGTGGCATCTCGGCTAGATCTGCATGACTCGTGATCAGATCTGGGCGGGCAGGGTCCAAGCCACTCCGTTCACGATATGATGACTCCGAGTCGATGATGCTCGATCACTCCTGATCAGCTTCGACGCACATTCTAACGTTCGCACCTTTCCAAACATCTGAGTCTGACAACGCGCCTGCCAATACACCTCAATACACAAATCCACTAGGACCATGAATCTCAGCTTAACGACACGTAAATTCGCTTGTGTTCATTGTTCACCACTATAACCGCCACCATCACCGTCACCATATCCTCTTACCTCACATGCATGATCCCGATCCCCTGTGGGATTTTGGTCCGATCTACCAAACCCTTCACAACTTGAAGCTGCCTGCGTCTAGTACGCCTGCGCAGTATGAAGACAGAGAAGCAGACGATAGTCCAGAAGGTGGCGTTTCGTTGGGCAATTTCAACGAGATATGGGACATCTTAGGTCACCCTCGACAAGCTGACAATGTCTACGTTCCCGACCTCTGCGAATTCGAACCTTGCCTACCCGAAGTCCCAGCTCGCCAGACCCTCGACGACGTCGCTGACACTCGTGCCATCCGCTGGCGTGACGAGATCGATGGAGCCTATCTGGAAGATAGCATCGAGCCACCACAGCTGACAGCCGCGGCTCTACGAACAGCGAAACGGGCAGCCAGACGTGCAAGAGCTCGCGAGAGGATTGAGCAGTCGGGTGCTTCCAGGGACGCGGACACAGACACTGCCACCGACTATGAATCTGCTGGCGAAGAGCTCGAAGCGTTGAGAAGATCACCAGACCGACAGGCAGTCATTGATCGAATTCTGGGGCGGTCCAGACCTGGTCTCTACGACTCTCCTCCAACATCACCATCGCCGCCAAAGCAGAAGGCTTCGTTACGAGACATTCCAATTTCCAATCCACATTTGTGGACACCACCGCCTTCAACCAGAAGCCACCGTCCTGTTATTTCAACCCAGGACGGCTTCACCCCCGAGCAGCGAAAGCAGAGTCTGATTAAGCTGCTTCGGAAGAGGTATGGCGGCCAAGAGACCTATTTGAAGAGTCCAGGGCTGCTTCTGCCTCAATTTACCACGCTGAATACTTCCACCATTGGTATTCATGTTTTCATCGATATGTCCAACATATCTATTGGCTTTCACGATCATCTCAAGATCGCCCGCGGGATGTCCCGCGACGTTTTTACGCGACGAGTGCCTATGGACTTTCATAACTTCTCCCTTGTGCTCGAGCGCGGCCGACCCGCCGCCAAGAGAGTTCTCGCTGGGTCTGAAAAGCCGGCAGTGGTTTTGGAAGCAGAGACACTGGGCTACGAGACCAACATACTGGAGCGCGTGCTCAAAGTCAAGGAATTGACGCCACGTCAGAAGAAATACGCCTCTCGCTCTGGCGGAGAGACCAGTGGGTCTGAAAAGGACACTGGGTATCTTAACAAGGCTGCGGCGAAGAGGGTCGAGCAAGGTGTAGACGAAATTCTGCACCTCAAGATCCTTGAGAGTCTCATCGATTCCAGCAAGCCGAGCACGATCGTGCTGGCTACTGGCGATGCAGCTGAGGCAGAGTATAGCGGCGGCTTCTTGAAGATGGTAGAGAGGGCGATGTCCAAGGGCTGGATGGTCGAGCTCGTCAGCTTCAAGCTTAACACCAGCTCAATGTACTTGCGCAGCGAGTTCAGGGCGAAATGGGGTGCCTTGTTCAAGGTTATCCATCTGGATGAATTTGCAGAGTATCTCATCAAAGAAGATTAGATACTGCATTGGACGAAATAGCTAGAGCCGTGAGAGTCGGTACAGTAAACATGCTGCCCATATCGAGCGTCCAACATCGAACAATAACTAATATCTTGTTCGATCCATGGTGACTGTTCCGCTTGGCTGTCCATCTTGGCTTTGCTGGTTTGCTAGGCGGACCATAGAATTCCATCTACACTTCATCCTCTTCCTGACCTTGAATCAATACATCCAACGACAGTGATGCAGACCTACGCATTTGCAACAGGTCCACGTCCTCGGTCGATCTTGGATTATGTATCTCCGCCGATTCTACACAGTTCGGGCAATCTCGTACAACGATCTTCATCCTGCTTGTACGACCTCGGCCTCGCGTCTATGGCCGACAGTAGCTTCCTCCCTATCAACACGTAGCGATGCTGTCACAGAAATCACCGATATTCTCCTGTTTTCGCTACTGCCCAGCTGTGTGGCCAGCTACATGGTGCTCACTCAATCATTCACAGTCAAAGGAACGAAGAGTGGACCCATCACCAGATCGACCAGGCTAGCTCCCCTTGAAGAACCGATATGCTCCTTCATTAGTCACTGTACGCGGTACAGCGCCTAGCGGAGGACTTCTGAAGCCGCTGGCACCGAGGACCGTACAACGATATCGGTACTAGACATCACTCTCGTCCTCTAATTTCTACCGCCCCTGCCAATATACACCATCCAGCACTGGCGACTGATTCGACGAACTAGCAGTGCTAGGTTTCTGGCACTTCAGCTTTGGCTGTGAATACGAATCGTGGCTTGCTGGTGCCCTTAAGCATCTCTCTGTCTGGACCTCATCTTCATTCTCGATATTCAAGGGCATTTTGTAGCAAGGAGTCACGGAGGGCATCATATTATCATACTTGGATATACACTTTTCTAACGAGCCGAGATGGCGCTATTCACAGACGCCGAGCGATCGACCGAGACGCTCGACAACTCACACGGCGTCAACGAGAAAGGTCTGGAGACCTCCAATGAAGTTCCGAAACTCGGCGCGCCCACTCTGGCCGCAAGTCCAGCAGTCCCCGCTGACGCCGAGAAGCCGCCTCTCAACCCTATGGACCCGGCTTCCTTCCCAGACGGCGGCACTCGAGCATGGCTGACAGTATGGGGATCTCTGGCCATCTTGATCGCTTCCTTTGGGTGGATCAATGCTATCGGTGAGCCTCCAGCACCAACACCCTTTGAACGACATTGCGTTGCGTTCACTAATACATTTCCTTTCCACCAGGTATCTTCCAAGAATACTACGAAACTCATCAACTTCAGGACTATTCGCCATCCGACGTCGCTGGATTCCCGCCCTCGAATCCTCCTGCATGTTCGCCGGCGGACTCTGGGTTGGACACGTCTACGACTCCTACGGTCCTCGATACCTGCTCATCGGCGGCACGTTCCTTCACGTCTTCGGCTTGATGATGGCGTCCATCTCGACAAAGTACTACCAACTTCTGCTCTCACAGGGTCTGTGTTCTGCGATTGGGGCGAGCATGCTGTTCTACCCAGCGTTGACCTGCACCATCACGTGGTTCTTCAAGAAACGGGCACTGGCGGTGGGGATTGTGGCTGCCGGGTCTGGCCTGGGCGGGATCATCTTCCCTGTGATGGTGGAGAAGCTGGTGCCGCAAGTCGGGTTCGGATGGACGATGCGCATTTGTGCTTTCTTAATTTTGGCGCTGGGTATCTTTGGGAACCTGACTGTAACAAGCAGGATCCCGCCGATGCCGAAGAAGCTCACAGTGAAAGTCCTAGTGAAGCCATTCACGGAAGTCGAGTTTGCGTTGCTGGGCGCTGGAGCATTCTGCATGTATCTGGGCATGTTCCAAGTCTTCACGTTTTTGGTCACAGCAGGGGTTGCGAGGGGTGTTGATCGCGGTCTGGCGTTGTATTTGGTGCCGATCTTGAACGCTGGGAGCATAGTGGGAAGAATTCTGCCGCCATTTGTAGCAGACAAAGTCGGGAAAGTCAACGTCTTTCTCGTCAGCTGTGCGGCCACGACAATTTTGATCCTGGCTTTCTGGGTACCGGTATCTGGAACAGGGGGAATAGTGGCATTTTCGGTGCTGTTCGGCTTCACGTCGGGCGCAGTGGTGGCTATCAATCCTGCTGTGGTGGCGCAGATCAGTGATGTGAGAATGATTGGGGTGAGGACGGGAGTGATGTTCGCATGTGTTGCCGTTGCGGTGCTGATTGGGAGCCCAATTGGTGGGCAGATCGTGACCGCTGGTGGATACAGAGCAATGCAAGGCTTCTCCGGGGGAATGTGTACTCTCGGAGTCGCCTTCTTTGCTGCATTGAGATGGAAGTTGGGTGGTTTCGGGTTGAGGAGTAAGGTCTGAGGGATATTTCTCGTCCAGATCGAAGTATCAGGTATCATGTAAACCTCTCACCTTTCGGAAAACATAGAAGAGATCAAGACTCAGTCATTGATTTACATTGTTGTGTTCGAACCTCATTGCCTTTGGTATAGCGGGACGCTGGACTACATGATATTTGGAAATCTTGTTGACCACGGACACGTGAAGAGAGACACGTCAAGTCCGGGACTTAGTGGCCGCCAAGTTGCTGGTCTGCAAATTAGCAGCAGCAGAGACATCCTTATAGCGTCTGATCTCGTATTCCACGTGTTGAGACGACCTACATGCAGTTTGTGAAGTCCATAAAGCTAGTGAGCATTACAAGAAAGAAAGGAAGCACTTCAATATCGTAAGGGGACGCTAGTACCTAACGGGCGTAGCGCTCTACTGTTCACGTGACTGCTCTTTTTTTGCGGCTGACTGACTTCAACTTCAGTGGCACAGCTCATCATCAAACGAAAAGGTACTTCATCAATCTCGAGGAAACATTAACAAGATATCTCATCGCATCTATCTGAAGACACTCACTGATTGACTTTCGACCATCGCTGCGCCTCAATCAAATTGCCAGAGAAATCGACTCAATCTTGGAAAATTCTGAGTCACCCCGCTTGCTGGCATTTCTGTGCCAATTCTGACCGAAAATCTGGGTACCGAAATCACCACACTCTTTGCTCAGCCTGCATGCAGCCTCGTTCGATCTATTCACCTCGATCACTGACACACTCTGAGGACGCCTCTCCAGACTGGGACAGCGAGCGGGTAGCGACTTGGATAACACTTGCCTTCCCATTCCTCTGGCCACGCTGTTTGCGACTCTACGAAATGGCCTGATTTTACAAAAGGTGTCCCTAGAGCTCGACAGCCTCGCCATGTCAGGATATTCGACTACGAAACACACATAGATTACATCGTTACAGCCATTATGGCACCAACAGTGGCTACGGCCATGAAGCCGCGGGGCAACATTACCCGGAGGAAAGTCTCTGCTCCCAGTATAAATGGACTCAACTCAAGGCCCAAGGCCGGTATTACAAGGTTCCGGGCCTCTCCTGCCAGATCAATGACCCCCGAAGTACGAACAGCATCAAATCGGCGATTCAAGTGTCCGACTGGATGTGAGAATCCAGCCTTTGAGATGACCGATGATGTCGGTATACTATGCCAGAACTGCGGCGCCGTGGTGTCAGAGAATACTCAGCTGGTCAGTGAACAGACCTTTGCCGAAGGTCCATCCGGTCAAATACATGCTCAAGGTGTTGCTATTGGTGCTGGAGAGACGCATCGCCGCGGCGGTGGTTTCGCCAACACCGGCAAGGCTGGCAGCGAAGCTACGCCAACTCGGAAGACCGCAGAAATCAACGCTAAAATGGTCATCAATCGTCTCTGCGACCAGCTCAACATTCGGACTGGAGAAAACGAGCAGGCCTTGAGACTTTTCAACGTTGCTTATGCGAAAGGTTTCGTCAGAGGACGCAGCTTGGACGATGTTGCCCTAATTAGTCTCTACACCACGATCAGACAATCCACTGAACAAATACAGGGCGTCAAGAGACCGAGATACGGCGTCATGCTGATTGACTTCGCTGAGAAGGGAGATATCGACGTGTTCGCCCTGGGCAAGATCTTCACAGACTTCGTTCGGGACATCTTTCTGGAAGACGCGGCCAAGCACAAGTCGTCTGAGGAACTCAGGCAAGCTCAATTACTTGCGCCTGGACCCGAGGTCTTCGTCTCGCGGTTTGTCGACGAACTAGAGTTCCCCCCACACGATGCTCCCAGGATAAAATCCGATGCGTACAAAATCATTGCCAGCATGAAACGCGACTGGATTACGCGCGGACGTCGTCCAGCCGGAATTTGTGGAGCAGCGGTCATCATTGCAGCCCGAATGAACAACTACCGCAGAACGGTGCGAGAGGTAGTCCTGGTAGCCAAAGTGACCGAAATCACTCTCAACAAGCGCCTCGAAGAGTTCAGCGAGACGCCTCTTAGCAAAGCTTCGGTGGATAAATTCAAGAAGCTGGTTCTCCCGAATGTGGATTTTGAAGATCTCCAAGAGGCACGTGTGGACGGGGAGCCTGCCAAAGGCGATACAAACATGGAAGATTTCATGGCGAAGGTTCACGAACAACAGGCGAAGCAGAGAGCTGGTCAGGATCACTCAGATCTTCCAGATGCTCTGGATCCACCCATCCTGAGACCAAAGCCAAAGAAGCGCAAGCGGAAGGGGCAAGCTGTAACCGCTGCTGAGCTGGAGAACGATGGCTCTGAAGGCGTAGACACTCCAGAGGATAGTGACGACGAAACCGAAGAGCCTCCGGCGAAGCAAGCAAGAGTCGACGCGGAGGGTTTCGCTATACCCACGCAGCCAGCATCTTCGAGCGCCCCAACGAAAGGCGCCCCTCCTAAGAAAGGTCCTGGTCGTACGAAGGGCAGCAAGAATTGGCGAGCACCTGCGGCCACACCTGCTGAACGAGCGATAGAGCAGGAGATCCAGAATGACATTGATGAGAGCATGCCCGAGTTGGAGGAAAGCGCCACGCGACTTGCTGTTGACAAGGCTCGAGCAGCGTCAGAACAGCCGTCGACGAGTTTGGACCATCAGAGCGCGGAGACCGCCATTGATCCAAAGTTGGCAGGTAATTCTGGTGATGTCGACATGTCGATAGTCATAGGTGATGACGAGTTTGAGGACGATGAAGATGTAGCGACGTGCTTACTCAATGAAGAGGAGAAGCTACTGAAAGAAAAGGTCTGGGTCAACGAGAATGCCGACTGGTTGCGGCAGGACCATGCGAAGCGTATCCGACGGAATCTTAAAGAGCAAGAACTCAAAGACAAAGGCATAGACCCAGTCCAATTTGAGCGCAACAAGAAGGCCCAAGGTCGTCGCCGCAAGGACGGCAGCCGCATGCCCCATCGGGCTGGCGATACTCGCTACCTCCACGACCCAGAGTATGACCGTCGCACTGGACCGCACGCTACCCCAGGTGCCGGTGATCGTGCCAGTGTTCTCTCTTCTCGTGCAGGCTCTGCATCTCCAGCTCCACGCCGAGACCGTCCTCTGGATGCAACAGAGTCTGTCACGCGCATGCTTCGGCAGCGCACGCCGTTCTCGACACGACTCAATTACTCCGCAATTGGTAGCATCTATGGCAACCCATCCGAGACAACGACTCGATCCCCTACACCGATGTCGCCGTCTCGCGCGTCCAGTGTGCTGTCTGACGCCCGGAGTGACTTGAGTCGATCGCGGAGTATCAGCATTCTTGGCTCTACCAGCAAGAATCCTCGCAACACTGATGAAGTCGCTCGAACAGCCACCGAAAAGCGTCTGCGCATCGTGGCTGGCCTGCCCGCAGACACAGATCGCAGCGACGTCATCTTTGGTGGCTACGGTGGTAAGAACACCGGCTTGCAGCGCAGCAAAGGTTCATTGTCTGCCGAGAAGCGCCAGAAGAAGGTCTATCAGGACAGAAGAGCCAGCGGTAGCGACAGCGGCAGCCCAAGCGTGGGACCTGCTGGACGATCTGGAAGTCAAGGTACAGATGGAGGCGAGGGATCTGCTGTCGGCACACCAGACTACGAGAGGAGAGAGGTGTCAGCGTCTCCAAGCCCATCGCCAGGTCCTCCGCGAGGCCAATCTCAAGTCGCAAGGCCAATCACAGCCCGACCGAATCAGCAACCACGCAATGTCACCTTCGCGAAAAGCCCGACCAGCGCACAAGATCCTCCTTCGGGCGGCAACACGCCACGCAGTGGCACAAGCTCAAACATCGAGGCTTTTGGTGGTACCGAAGAAGTCGTAGAAGGCGAAGCTCTGGACGAAGACGAAGGTCTTATCATGGAGGTCGCACCACCCGGTGCCTATGACGATGACGACGATATAGATGATGAGGAAGAAGACTACGATGAGGATGAGGATGAAGGTGGAGATCCTGACATTGATGGTGCATTCGCGGGACACTACTGACGGGCCGCTGCTGACAGAAGTCATCAACATCACTGGTCTCGAATGGTGGGACTGGCCATCTGTATACATACGTTGGACAAATTGGGAGCTCAGGAAGCCATGACATTTTACTCGAGATACCCAGATAAATTCAGAGCACAGGATGCAGGAGCAAAAGTCCATCATAGACTTCTTTGAAGGCATTGGAAGTTTCTAGCGTGTACATAGACCTGCGCTGTATTACGGAAATGCCCGAGATGGTTCATTTAAGACTGTGCCCTTGGTACCTAGGTAGCTTTCCCCGCCCGCAACAGGCCAGAAGACCTGCGCTTTCGCTAAACTAATAAACCATACACCCCGCTTACGACCGTCAATCTGTACGAAGTGCCGCGAGATGTTCTGATCGGACACAACATCTAAATCCGACGGCGACAATGGTTTGACCTTTAAGATCTGGAATCCGTGACTCACAGGGCCGGAGAGATTTTCATGAGATACCAGTCTCAGGATCAATATAAGACTACTGCCAACTACAATTCTTGCTTCCAGCGTGTCCGAGGGTGATGACAATCTTGCTGAAGATTAACAGGTAGTACTTACAGCCGAGATAGACGGTCGGCCGAGCGACTTATTCCTAAGAGATGGCCCAATTTCTCCCAGACGAGCGAGCTTTCGCGAGTCTAGAAGGCAAGAACGTCGTTCTGACCGGCGCCGCGACTGGCATCGGCGCCGCAACAGCAACCCTCCTGGTCCACGCTGGAGCCAATGTCTTCTTCGGCGACGTCGCAACAAAACCCGCCGAAGAACTCGTCTCAACCTTATCGAGGCCCTCCCTGCCAGGAAGCATTGCCTTCCGACACTGCGACGTCACCAAATACGACGACATCTACCAGCTGTTCAAGTCTGCTCGTGACGAACTCGGACAGATTCATCACGCGGTCTCTGTGGCTGGTATCTTTGAGCAGGGAGCTTGGTTTGATCCGGGGCTGACCGTTGAGTCTGTTGGGGAGGGTCCGGCGACTACTGCTGTGCTGGATGTGAATGTCCTGGGGAGTGCGAATTTCGCGCGTATTGCAGTTGTGTTCCTGCGCGAGGGGATCAGTGATGGCGAAAACCGGAGTCTGACTTTGCTGTCGAGTGTGAATGCGTTCAGGGAGAGTCCAGGGCTGTACATGTATCAGGTGAGTCCAGAGCTCTGACGCCTGCTAGAGGCCTTGACCTTCTTAGTCGACTGACGCGGACAGACTTCAAAGCACGCAATCCAGGGCCTGATGCGCTCCATGCGCAAGATCATCTACGAGCGAGATGGCATTAGAGTGAATTGCGTATGTCCGGGTGTCACTGACACACCCATGACGATTGGGATTGCAGAGAAGTTTAAGAAGGCAGGGCTGTACGTCCAGTCGGCGGAGTCTGTTGGGCGGATCATCGTTGGGATCCAGTCAACGGACGGCTTGAATGGCAAGGCTTTCTACGTTGAGGGCGGCGATGGATGGGAATTCGAGGACAGCTTCTACCGTGAGCAGCCACGATGGCTAGGAGAGGAGGCGACAAGGAGGATGAGAGTGAACTCTGAGGCTGTTCAGAAGGTATGATGACCTCGGGACCTTTCCGGCGCTTGGAATTTGAATGGACTGCTAATTGCGTTGTACAGGGCTTCCTTACGGACAAGAGCTAGTTTGCGGGATCAATGGCCTCGCGTGGGCGAGCGAGCGTTCACGTCGACTTGTCGTGTGTAATACATATTACAATTCGTGGCAACTCGAGCATAGCGTAGAGTGCAAGATCAAGATCCGGCTGTGCAGAAGACCCCTGGAGCTCGGGCTGCTTGGTAGGGTACAGCTACACTGTTGAGTCACGACAAGCCCATAGAGTACCGCAGAGACGCTTTTAAAGGCGTCGGGTCTGAATGGTAGGAGTCAATGTGCTCACATATCTGATCTGACAGATGACATATCAGAGCACTTTGCAATTTGCTACCTTGCTACTCCAAGGTTGACTCGCGAGCTGGATAATCCACCAGGACGACAAACCTATGGCATGGACATAGCCGAGATCCTGGTGTCACTGTCCGGTTCGCTGTCGACGGCTTTGCGGCGTGTGAATCAGTGAGCTCGGAATCATGTAGCATGCAGTCGAACCTGTCACAGCGACGCTAGACTTGAAGAAACTGTGAACAGCGATTTAGTCAACGTCCTGTGATTGGTCGTCTCGCGTCAGAAGCGACTGCCAGGATTGAGGTACCTGATGAGACGCCTCGCAATACCGAAGTGGCAGAAACAATAGGAGGCAGAGCCTGATTGGGCTAAACGAGCTCTTGGGACGGTATACCCAGCACCAAGGCAGACAAAACGACGCAAGCCGACGCCGCCAGCCCCGCTGGCGATGTCATGCGAAATACCTGTATGGCGACGCTTTCTAAGCATGTCCAGGTGAAGCTTGGAAGCAATGTTGTAGGAGCACAAAGACCCAAGACTGCTCCTGCCAGGAGAGGAAACTTCAGAACCCAAGTACAGGCATGGTTGGTAAGCAAGAAAACGGCTATCGGCGTTACGGTGCCAATAGAGTACCGGTCACGGTGTTATTTGTGGACCAATTAAGAGCATTCCAGGGGAGCTACGACAGTGGAAATATCTGAAGTATTTCATCGGGTGAGGTAAGTGCAATCGTAGGCAGGCACTGCTGTGCACCTCCTCTTTCAAAGAGACGGAGTGCTTTCCGTTTGTCCTTCACTTAGTACATATGTCGTCGATCTCCCTGAGTCTTCGATCGAATCTCGTTTCAATCCTTAGGCAGACCACTCCATATCCGGGCAACCTCGCAATACGTCAGACAGCTCCTCGCCTAAACCATACACAACCTCGACGACATCTAAGACTTGGTACCCCATTTGTAAGTCGACTTGTCTAACTCCGCCCTTGAATGGCTCGGAGTGGTCTCCTCACCGCAACATATACGACTTTCATCGTCTGTACGATTGGCATACTGATTCAACTCTTCGCGAGATCACAGTCAGGCAAGATGTCGGGCAACCCTCCTTTCCATAATCTGACGTGAGTTTCTGATTGACTCCAAACTCAAGCACTTCGCATTCGATCAGGACTGAGCGATCAACAGGTACTACACCTTCGGAACTCCCAATGGCCTGAAGCCCGCCATTGTGCTAGAGGAACTTGGACTGCAGTACAAGGTCGAGAAGGTCGACATCACCAAGAATACTCAGAAGGTAAGAATCGAACTCATCTTTGGAAAATCGACCTACTCAGAATCGAGCATTACCAAAGCTAGAATCGAGCATTGACATCATGTAGGAGCAATGGTTCCTGGACATTAACCCGAATGGACGAATCCCAGCCCTCAAGGACGGAGACCTTCGCGTCTTCGAGACCGGAGCGATCATGCTGTACCTGACCGACCGCTACGACAAGGAAGGAAAGCTCAACTACCCGCAAGGCTCGCGTGAGTACTACGAAGTCCTGTCCTGGTTGATGTGGCAGATGGGCGGCCTGGGACCAATGCAGGTGAGTTCTCCTGGCGCTTTTCAATGCAAATGCTTACTGTCCACAGGGTCAAGCCAACCACTTCCGAGCTATGGCTGGAGCCTACTCCGAGTACGGTATCAAGCGCTATATGGACGAGACTGCTCGCCTGTTCGATGTTCTGGAATCGCGACTGAGTCATGCTGACTGGCTTGCTGGCGAGAAGTACACGCTCGCTGACATTGCATCCTACTCCTGGGTTCGTGCCGGACCAGTGTTCCTCGACATGGACATCAAGAAGTGGCCAGGAATCGAGAAATGGGTCAAGCGCATTGGTGAACGTCCTGCGGTTCAGAAGGCTCAAACGATTCCGGAGGGTACTCGAAGCGCGGAGGAGCTAAGCCAGATGGCCAAAGGTGAGAACCCTGCGCTGTCCTTGCAGCCACGTTCAACATTCTCGATCTGCTTCATGCCCGGTAATACTGACTGATGTCATCACAGGCATGCGTGACCGCATCGACGGCATGAAGGAGACCAAGAGAGACTCGTGACTCGCGAAAGGTGGCAGCAGGCTGTGAAAGCCTTGGAAGCGGAGCGGGTACTCAAACTGTCAAAGCTTCACAATGTCTGGTGGAGGCGAGCACAAGATCTCGCGGACACACTGCTGATCGTCCCTGACACCATACTGCACAGCAAATTCGGCACGGGCGGCCCAAAACTGCTCCTTATTTGGAACATGTAGCATCACCCGAAAACATCCTACAAGAAGCGACAAGTAAGCTCATGGCGTGAGCAATGCGTACTCAAGCTGTTGCTCTCTGCCAAGGACTGCCTTCAGGTTCCCAGAAGCCTACCTACCAAAGTCTCATTCTGCGTGTGCCTGAATCCCCATCGGTTGCCTTGTTCGGGGAGAGGAGGTGCGCTCCGTTGTCTATGTCTGATTATGTCCGGCAGATGCCATACTGGAAACGGCAGCTCCCGCAGTAGCACCCGATCATTGCCGCGACATGGAGAGTAATCAACCTGAAGTGCAAGTCAAGGAAGGTACAAGGACCATTTCCTCAGCTCCTGAGGTTTTGACGGCTAGCATACTTCGCAGGCGACCTCTGATAGGTCAACAGACGAGGCAAGTTTCCGCCGTAGCCCTTTCAGTGGTTCCTATACAATCCTTCGAAAGCCTGTCGGGCGACAGCCTTCCCTGACATTGTCGAGCTGGGGAGGCCCTGAAAGCCTCCGAGAGGCTGAGAACATGAGCAGTCATGTACAAGAGCCCAACATGCCGCTCTTCAGGGATCCCTCCGAGAGCAGTCAAGACCCTACTTCCCCTTGAACCCCGGCAATGACCAACAATATGAATGGCAGCCTCAGTAACAAGAAACCGGTCATCCTTCTCGTTACGGGAGCCTGGCACGCCCCAGAGCACTATGCTCCACTGATAGCCCTCCTCAGATCGTACGGCTATACAGTACACTGTCCATTATTGCCGTCGAATTCTCAATCGCAACCTCCAGCCAACCTGGACGATGACATCCTCTTCGTAAGCCGATCCTCCTATCACTCACCTTCACTCGCGACCCACTTCCCCGACTGACGTTTTCCCACCCACAGATCCGCCCCTACGCCCTGTCCCTCCTCTCCGCAACGGATCTCGTCGTCTTAACCCACAGCTACGGCGGCATGGTCGCCAGCTACGCCCTGGCCAACCTCACGCAAATCTCACCCAACCGCCTGACCCACCTGATTTACATGACCGCCTTCCTGCCACTCCCGGGCGAATCTCTGTGCTCAATCTTCGGCATGGTCCCGCCCTTCCTCCGCCCCAACCCCTCCACCAACAACATCGGTTTCATTCCCAATGGTCCCCGCATCCACTTCTACCAGGACTGCCACCCGAGCCAAATCGATCGCGCCGTCGGCCTCATGACAACGCACTCGATCGCAAGCCAGCACCATGCACCTGGCTGGGCATTGTTGATACCCAGCCGGGCAATGCTGAGAAAGTCTATGAAGCGCTCTTTGCTGCATCTGACCTGCCACTCGCGGAAGCCATCTCGCAAGCACAAGCAGACGCCAAAAGACAACTGGCCGCGGACCCTGCTGCAATCATCGCCAACCCCGCTCTGGCAGACCTGCAAATGGCGTACGACGATCCGAACGTCGAGGTCGCGTATATCCATTGCACCCAGGACGCAGGGTTGCTGCCACAGCTGCAGGAGATGATGATTGGGAGGGTGCATGATCGCTGGGCGCAGAAGGCGAGTCGGAAGGTTGCTAAGGGTGCGAGCGCCGTCATCAGGGAGGAAAGGATCGAGGCGGGCCATAGTCCGTTCTTGTCGCGGGTGGACGAAACTGCTAGGGTTGTCGATTGCATTATCATGGGTGACTGAACGCGTGATTGGGGCAGGGTTTTGTATCCCTTTTGCTGCCGTTCTACTTGCCTTGACTCCCGTGCGTCCTGTTCCTCGTTCCTCCTCCTGCAGTTTGTGAGCGAACCACACCCATGATCGTGTCAGTAGGAGTGAGGAGCAGTAAGGTTGAGCATGATGAGTATTAGGAAAGGAAAAAGGACTGAAGGAGAAGTATGCAAATATCGATAATGAAGACATCGCTTGAAGAAACCAAACCAGCCTAGGGCTGATATTGACCGACCACATCCGGTACATCTCTCGCTGTTTCTTATGGACAATCGGGTAGAACAACACACGCAGAGCCTGATCCGTCCCTCACCTCAGGAAGTACAGCGGTGAACATTCGTTGCTTTTCCCGCGTCGGCATTTGCGCAGCTGGTCAGACACGCTGCGTGTTGAATCGTTCCGAAGACGCTATAATGGATGCGTCTACCTTTTCCGAATCCTGGTTGTCGAACGTCGTCTCTCTGCCCCCCACTCTACCGCTGACAACACCACCCGTAAAGCGCCTCGTGCACAGCCTCCTCGTCGTCCGACTCCGCCAAGATCACGATCTCCAGCGGCTAGCCTTGTAACTTGGCCTGCTCGACGGGACTGTGTGGGTGAGCACTCGTCGGCGTTGGTGCCTGACTCAAGTTCGTGCCGACTCTGCTCACTGGCGCCGAGGTTCCGTCTTCCTTTTCGCCCAACGCAAGGAGACCGTCTTCATGGAAAGGTTTCCTTGCCTGAGCCGCTTTCTTGTCGTCGAATCGCCAAACGCCAGATGTCTTGTCTGGAGCCACACCCTCCCACGTCGAGGCGCCCACGCTGGGGTGCATCATCATCTTGACCAGTTTCCCGAATTCGGCTTCGTTGGGATCCTTGCTATCCACGTTGCTGAAGAAGACCCGTTTCCACTCGCGTTTCTCCTCCTGTTCTTTCCGCCGAAGGGCTCGTTGAGCATTCTCGATGCGAGATTTGTAGTGCGAAGTTTCGTCCATATCGCCCTTCGCAATCGCTTTAGCTACTTGGCCCCATGCTCGCCGTGATTCGAGGACGTCTTGTTCCTCCAGGGGGGCGATGTTGAGTCGTGAGAGCTTGATGTCCGAGGGCTTGAAAGTTGTGACCACATCGGCCTTCTTGCCGTGGCCTTTCTTAATCGTGAAGCTGTCTGACCATTGTCCCTCGGTCGAGTACAGTGGTTTCGAATCGGAACCTTCACCTTCCTTCCATAACGACGCACTGAAGGAGTTCTTCTTGCCAGAGAGCCAGCCACGACCCGAGAAATCGATCTTCGAGATGTAACCGGTCGACGAGACGATGTGACAGACCTTCCCGATCTCGACAAAGGGCGCACCATATATCAAGTTCTCAATGTGAAGTGGTGGTAATGTGATCAGATAAGTCTCTACCGCATCGCTGTTGGGCGGGTGCAGTGTCAGCAGGGCGTGGCCGATTTGCTTGATGTGAATTGTTCTACTAAACGACGCTTTCTGGCCGTTGTAGCCCTGCAGACGAATGCGATGTTTGTCGTTGGTGATGCAGTAGGCAGTGACTGGAGGATGATGTGAGACTTGCTCTGATACGAGCTGTGTCTGTCCGAACTCATCGTCCCAGTGACCAAGGTATAGTTCTCCTAGGAAAGGGTTCAGTGGTTTCTTCTCTGAGCCCAGCTTTTCTGATCGTGAGCAGTATTGCTGTTTGAGAGTGTTCAACAGCCATTTCTGTACAAGGAGAGCCCTCTGCGCCGGGTCAGGCTCCTGAGTGGGTGCAATGAATAAGGACGTGTTCTCGGTCCAATATGCCGAGAATTCGACCAGGGATTGTGATGATAGAATGAAGGCTGGTGCGGTTAACGATGATAGGTCGCCATTGAATGAGGCTATGGACTATGGTTGTGTCAGCGACATGTCTCTCGCGAGGAGCTAAAGGCATGACTCACTTTTAGGAATGAGGTCCAGGACCCTCTACTAGAGGCAGGTACAGCACCCCCTTCGACTTCGGCGGGCATGACGAGATGCTGATCAAGGTCGCTGGCTTATAGGAGAACTACCAAAGGAGCGGATTGTAGTGAAAGTGGTGGTGGGAGTGCGGTTGTTGATCACAGCAGATCAAGGGGGCTTTGTTCTGGTTTAGACAGAAGGAACGGGCCTCAAGAAATCTGGGGATGTTGGAAGGAAGAAACTGCAAAATAGGCGAACGGCCACCAGATTTCCGTCACGAACTTTGAGAAGGTGGTATCATCGATTCATCCCAGCAAACGAGCGCCCACACTTACGCCTCCGTACACGCGACACTGGAGGCTGGAGGCTAAAGGGCAAAAGTGTTGATGGCATACTTGACGATGTAATGGCCCGAGATACGTCATGGGGTGCCCCGCCTTCAACCAACATTCCCCCACTTCACCAACTGTAAAATGAGTTGCTACGGCTAAGCCACAAATCAGTAGGTGGTGTGCTCGGGATGCTGGAATCGTGCAGTAGGCTACACGGCTGGTTGATACGCCTCCCGCATAGGAGCGTGGGCCGAATCTGACTCCAGCTTCATACTCAGCGTAGGGCCTTAGTTCCGTCGGCATATTTGTAAGATACGCAACGGGTAGGGTAGGGTAGGTTAGGGTAGGATAGGTAGAAGGGTGAATGGTTGAATCTGGTTCATGCTGCTATCTCAGAAGGGCTTCAATTCCAAGTTGCCACCAGTATGGGCTCCGGAAGACATCTCCTTATACCTGGCCAGCCGTGTTGAAATCGTCCAGCGCCTCAGACACACGCGCGGACATCGTCTTCTCACCCTCACGGACCCAGACACGGGGATCGAAGTACTTCTTGTTGGGCTTGTCCTCGCCATCAGGATTGCCGACTGCCTTTGCAACGTAGTCCTTCTTGTTTGCCATGTAGTCGCGGATACCGGTAAGATAGGCGTACTGGAGATCGGTGTCGAGATTGACCTTGACGACACCGTATGAGATCGCATCGAGGTACTCCTGCTTTGAGCTGCCAGAGCCACCATGGAAGACAAGGAAGACAGGCTTGTTCGTCTTGGTGCTCTCCTTCTCTTGCACATACTTCTGGTGCTTGTCAAGGAGCTCGGGGTGGAGCTTGACATTGCCAGGCTTGTACACACCGTGCACGTTACCGAAGCCAGCGGCGATGGAGAAGTAGGGGCTGATCTTCGACAAGGTAGTCCAGATCTGGTGGATGTCTTCGGGCTGCGTGTACAGCGAGTTGTTGTCCACGTCCTCGTTGTTGACACCGTCTTCCTCGCCACCTGTGATGCCAATTTCCTGTTCATGGTCAGCAAAGGTAGCTGTCGCCGTGAAAGGACCGTTCTCACCATCTCAAGCCATTGCTTCATAGGAGCTGCCCGCTTCAGATACTTTGCTGTGGTCTCAATGTTCCAGTCAACCTCCTCCTCTGACAGATCGATCATATGGGACGAGAATAGAGGCTCGCCGTGCTCCTTGAAATAAGCCTCATCCGCATCCATCATGCCATCAAGCCAGGGTAGCAGCTTCTTTGCACAGTGGTCGGTGTGGAGGACGACTGGGATACCATAGATGGGAGCGACTGAGCGGATGTAGTGCGCTGCAGCGACGGCGCCAGCGATCGAAGCCTCTTGGTTGCCATTCTTGACACCCTTGCCAGCGAAGTATGCTGCACCACCTTGGGAGGTCTGGAGGATGATTGGGGATTTCTTGTCTCGGGCCGCTTCCAGGGCTGCAACGACAGTGGACGAAGAGGTCACATTCTGTTGAGCGTATCAGTCTCGTCCGGCATTTTACGCATTGCCAGTAGACTTACGATAGCGGGTACGGCGTATTTGTTCTCCTGAGCGTGCTTGAAGAGGGCTGCGAGTGGTCAGTCGCATTCACATACTTCGCCAATTTGTTGAGGACGTACCCAGCACATCGTCACCAACGATAACACCAGTCTTGCGCGAGAGGACGTCCTGAACACCCATGTTGGCTTGTTGAAGTCGAATGTGGTATTTGCTGTGGGGGACACCGTTGTCAGTTCACGCCGTCTCGAGAAGAGCTAGTATCAAGAAAGCATTGAATCTGGGGTAGCAGCGCAGCTTCACTGACCTGAGATACTATTGATATCGTTCACGAATGTACGCGAGGTGAATGAGGAGGAGAAAGAAGAACTCCAAGGACTGTCCGAGAACTGAAGAATCTGTTACGTATGGCGGGCATCAACGGTGCTCTTGCTGGAGCTTTGTTTTTCTTGAGCTGCACCTTCTACCCGACGATGTCAGTGTCCCGCACCCGGCATGAGGAAGTCGCTGCCCCGCCACGAGTCGCCAGCCCCTCAAAACATTCGCCAAGACCGGCATATAGAGCGCTCTCTCCGTTTTATTCCTCGTTGTACATCCACTTGGTGCGTTCTGCAACGCCTCGAACGGGCGTTCTCGGGTCTGGACAAATGCACTCTGATCGCAAAGCATCATTCAGGAACAGACGGGACTCGATTGGTTGGTATAGGCCTTCAATTTCCTCATTGCGGCTATTCAAAAGGGCAGCCCAACTCGAGGCTATCGGATAGGGGCAGTCACTTTGCCGGATCAGAAGGCTTTGAGACATGGCAGCTCCTTTGTGAGCGTTTCAGCAACATGACCAGTGCTGCAGCAATCTGCTATATACAGACGACGCATATACAATGCAATTGTTGCGCTCAGCCCTGATCCTCTCCTGGCCTCTCAAGCTCATAGAACAGCAGGTACACCTCCTTTTGCATACCGAGCACATCTGATGTCTTCGCCTCCTTCACTTTCTCATCTGATATCCGCCACCACCGATCTGCTGTCCTCTTCCGCCGCCGAGCTTTATTCTCAGGTTTGTGCGACTGGATCTGAGGCTTCGATCCCTGGGTGATTGTTCGGTAGATGGACTGTCTGGCTTGTTCGGCATGCTTAGTGCTGGATGTTGCTTGAGACGTCGGCCGCGACGTCACAGATGGCGCAGGCGATGACGTTGCTGTTGACGCTTCAAGTTCTGCTGCAGATGACGGTGCAACTGCATCAGCTCCGTTCACTCGAGGGCTTGGCGCTGGCGACGACATTGGTGTCCCATTCCGGCTGGCTTCACCATACGCCTTGAATGCATCAGGAGTCGCGAATGGTCGATACATGTGGTTGCGGCGGAACGATTCGTAATGGCCGCTGTTGTGGCTGCCTTTGTGACAGACCACCCCGAGCAGGGTATACCAGTGCTCATTTAGAATTCCACCGAGACGCAGCCGTTGTTCGTACGACACCTTTGCAGAATTCTTGCTCGAGTAGCTGCCAGGGTCGAAGACCGACCGGGAGAGATGTATCGCAATCAGTTTTGGGAATACTGTTATCCTGGTGGATTTCCTGATCTTTCTCTTGGGAGCTTGCTTCGAATCCGGCAGCTCCACGTCTTCTGGAGGCTTCTCAGGATCAGTCAGAAGGGCTTTTTCTAATGACTGGATCTCTCGTTCTATGCTGTCTTTAAGCGAAGCAGTCTTGGCTATCCGCAGTTGAGCCGTCTTCCATTCCACAGCATGCACCAGTCTGCATTTGTCGCATTTGTAGTCATCTATCTCCTCACTCTTAAGTAGGATATCAAAACAGCTGTCTAGCGAAGTTGAGTTCTTTTGTGGTACATTCAAGGTTAGTGAGACGAACGTCGTTGCCGACGGCTTTGTCCGGAAGCCACAATGCTGGCACTGTATCTGAGACTCGATCCGCCCCTCGAAAGGAAATGTTTCATTGCCACCAATACGTGCCTCCGTACGGGAGGCATCCTTACCAGACGATTCCTCGAGTGGTGATTCTAAGCCCGAGCCATCCTGCGGCAACAACTTCTGTGACGCTGCTCTCCTGGCTCGCTCCGAAGCCGTGTATTCTTCACACAGCCGTTCGAGTACGATTTGTAGGAATTCTTGCGCATCCTGCTGATTTCGGCTGATCCTGGTATTGAAGGCGCGCTCTAATGCTTCTATAAACGGCCGCGCTGTGATGGTCTTCTTGTATATTGGTCTCTCGTTGAGTGCGTCTATCATCTCCTTCAGAGCTTTCGTGACCTGCGCCTTTTGGAGGCTGATAATCTTCTCGGGCTTCTCGCCCTTCTTGAGGACCAGGGGCGGTGCATTGTAAATCTCGGGGTCCTCTAGCTGCCTCCTATGCAACTCCTTGATCAAGTACAAGCGCAAGTCTCCCAAGCCCGCGAGCGCCTGTAGGACCGAATTGATGAAGCAGTCGTTGGCCGGGTTTGTCAGGCCGACGGTGGTTCGCTTGCGTCCATCGTTCGGGTATTGCGAGTTCTCGCCGTCGATGAAGAACGACGGGCTGAATATATAAAAGGCAGTGATCGCAGCGAGCGAGGCTCCTGCAGCATAGCCAAGGACGGTGGCAGGTTTGTCAGGCATCTCGTTATTGAGGGCCTACTGTCGGATCCATAGTATCGGTAGTGAGCCGAACCATTTGTACCGGGCGTTCTTGCCAGACAGCGTACGAGGCGACGTCGGAGGGATTGCAGGTGAGGGTGGCTGTAGTCCAGTAACAGGCACCACCGTTCAGCACCGCTTTTAAGTCAAGTGCATCTGGCGCAGTATTCAGAAGGTGGATGAGTGAGCCTCGCTTGCCGTGCCGTATCCACTTACATAAAGCTCGGTCAATCACTGATTGGCTGCACCAAGTACATGAACCCGAATTCTTAAGGTTTATCGCGACTCTGGGGAGACGGGGAAGTTTCGTTTCGAGTAGCCTGAGTGCTGTTGACTCGTTGTCACACTCACGCACGAACTAGCGACGGACAAGGAGCGCGACAGAGAACTCTCGGATGGGCGGTCGATGGATCATATCACAAGAGACTCTAGCAGCCGCTATAGAGATGTTGTTGCATTCTGGAGGTCATCCCAACCGTTACTAGCTGATTCAGCTATGCCGTATGAGAACTACATGCAGCAGAATGAGCATCCTTGAGCTCGAGCACCGCACCGCCGCCACAGAGGTTGTCAGATCAATGCCATATCCACTGCTCCGTCGAAGCCAGTCCCTGCCAGATCCATTGTCAAACGTGATAGGCACTGTCATACCTAGACCAACCCCATTTGCGGCCCACGCGGCCAGTGGCATTGGGGCCACATTGTGAGGTTGGGTGTTGCCGGTGAGTATGTTGAGCAGATCGCGCCGAGATAGATCTGTACGACGCGGCCTTGCTGCGGAGTGACGTGATGTGTTGGTGGGTATAAGGTCAAAGTTGAGGAGTACGTCTATCTCGATGTCGTTGGGGCAATTGTGCGAAGGGCGTCGACCATAGCGATCTTCGTCTGATTGCTGCAGGATACGTTCAATCGCATCCATGAGTGCCAGTCTTTCGTTGTTGCGATCGCTTTGCTGCACGGCGTCATTGACCAGCCGGCGAACATCTGAATCGGTGGAGCAGGTATTCAGTATCTGCTGTATAGTATCTGCTAGTGCGGAACGGTTGTCTCCATCAGGAGTACGACAATGGTTTTGCTGTGCTGGCAAGTCGCCACGATACATGAGAGTGTCTCGAGAACCAGGGCAAGGCGTAGTTGGATCATGCAGATGGCAGTCTGTTGTATGTGATAAAATTGTCCGAGTCAGCGGGCCGACACTCTCCTCTCGGTGGCGCTCATAATGACAATGATTATGGTGCATGAACGGTTGACATTGTCGTGGGTTTAGCTCACAGCGACAAGAGCCGCCGTGGTAGTCCGCCATATCAACACTCTCTGTTTTAGACAGTGTCTTGCGGACAAGGACTAGTTGAAGTTAATAAACCGTTCAAATTCACCACGAAGAAGTACCGCTTCCTGAATCAATTGCCTTGGTCGCACGAATGGGCGGCAGGAGACCGTGGACACCGCCGTGGAGGCAGATACTTCGTCCATGCATCTCGATATGAACCAAGTGATTCTGTATTGGGTACAAACTCCGAGAACGTGTACTAAACAGCCCGGATGTTCAAAGGCTTGGTACCAATCCGAGAATGCAGAGGACCTGCCGGCTGTAGAAAGAGGGCCAATGCTGGCATCATTGGCAGGTTCATTCAGCGCTCCTCCTCGATGCTTTGCGAGCTAAGCTCCCTCTTATGTTGCTGATGCCTTTGTCTTACATTGCCTGTTGTTCCCTCGGTACTTGCGCCGCTGTTGACCCGGACTAGGTCGGCGAAACTTATACGACGAGGTCTTTCGCGTATTGACGGTGCGCGTGGTCTGCGGTTCCCACGGGCTCGCCCTCCGTAGACAGGAAACTCATACCATATGGTCCGACAAGCATAGAGAATCAAATCGTAAGTAATTGCGATAATCCACGGGGATAGATTGATAGCGGCAAGCACGAGCTGTGGGCTGAGTTAGCAACAGGGTGACAAAGTACCTATGCAGTACACACGCAGACTCGTGCGATCCATGTCTCGATCCAGCTCAGATGTTCTGGCAAAATTGACCACCATCTTGCCATGGTTCGTTCGTTCTGCCTCGTTCTTGGTTGCTGGTAACGTCGACGGCACCTCAGATAAGGTATCTCTCAATGGCCATGAGAATTTGCAGCACAATGCAGCGCCGTAAGGTCAGGGCCGCAATAGAATGACCGTTGCGGAGACTGCAAGATGCATCGCGTGTGCTTGTCTCACGTTGCCTGCAGAAATGTTGATAAGTTGACAACACTCGCAGCATGCAAGGCAGGAGAAATATTGACAGGGACCGGCGCGGGGCGACGATCATCCTAGTCGGGCTCTAAAATAGCCCTCCCAGCGTCACACACGTCCACGGGTCGTCCACATATCGCTGTGACAGTAACACGAGTGCACCAGCCCGTCGAGATCCTTTAGTAGCCACCACGAATATTAGGTAGACTCCAAGGTCCATGGACACAGGTCTAATTTTCAGGGTGTCTTGCGTGTAAAAGTCCAGCGCGAACACCTTGCAGGATTACGCGGTGACAGAGGCCTCTCCGCGTCGAAGGAAGGACTTGAGTACGCTTGGAATTTTCTACAGAAGACTAATTTGCCCGGACTGCACGTGCAGGCGGGAAGTTCGAGCTCGATACACATGTGGATGGATACACTGAGTCGGAGCAACTGGACTCGAGCAGGCCTTTCTCAGTGCAATGCGAACGAATATTGCCATCACAATCGCTCGACTTGAAGGAAGCAGAATGCATAAGACCAGTGGTAATCGTAGATCGGATGGCTATACTCGATCGTTCTTCTGAGGGGCAAGGTCTCGACGAGTAGCCGATTCGATGCCTTTCCTGATGGAGCTTGCATCGGTGGATGAGGTGAGTTGAGCGAAGAACGAAGAACCATTTCATCATCGACGAACATGTGAGAAGTTTTTCGTTCCCGCTCCGAGTCCCCAGCAAAATCTAAAAGCGGAAGCTCTTGAACCATACTACTAGGCTCAACTGAGCAACAGACTCTCGTGCCTGCAGCACCACCTCGCTGGGGCTAACTTAAGCGGAGAATAGGCGAACTTGTTGGCGCCAATCTTTAACGGTCGGGCCTGGCATTGGTTCGATTGGCAGGCGATCGTAGCGGAAGAGCAGTAAAAAGCTCCCAATAGCCGAAGAAATGACACAGTGGAGGGGCGCTCTGACAGCGAAAAATGCTGCGAGCTTTGTTTCTGAAACATGCAGATAAAGTCTGTATGAGCCTTTTGTTCGAGCATGCGTGCTTCATTCTTCGAACCGACTGTCTCTTCAATCTGATTTCATCACTTTCTTCTCGTCAATCGCTTTCTCACTTTCTGTACATACATAACATCGCTGCAACTTCGCCGAAGCCCGTTGACCCTTCCCCCAAACGCTATCGCGATTGCCGCCTTGGGCAACGAATTCTGAGTAACAACAACAGGGGCATCGGCCCTCGGGGCCAGGAGATAGAATGAACATGGCGTTGTTCCGACGGCAAGACAGCAGTACTGCGCAGCAAGGTGGAGGATCGGCGGTTGATACTCTCAAGGACCTCGCCTCAGATCCATTCAAGTCCGAGATCGCGAGTTCGTCTCTCGTTACTGCGTTCGGATTATACCTGGGGTTGTCTGTTTTCCTTGCCTTGCTGTTCTCGCTCGTTCGACCGCGCCATCGGCTCGTCTATGCGCCAAAGACTAAGCATGCGGACGAGAAGCATGCGCCGCCTCCCATGGGCAATGGAGTGTTCTCATGGATTGGCCCGGTCAACAACGCAAAAGAGCCATATCTGGCAGAACGCATAGGTCTGGACGCGGTGGTTTTCCTTCGATTCACGCGCATGGTTCGGAACATCTTCCTCGCATTCGGCGTCGTGGGCGTGGGAATCATGATTCCAGTCAACGTCACCCAGACCAAGACCTTTGCCCAGGCAAGCTGGGGTTTGAGCGCGTTGAGCTATATGACTCCGCAATTCACCTATGGATCGGGATTGTGGGCTCAGGTGGTGGTCGCGTATCTCGGAAACTTCATTGTTGCATATTTTCTGTGGCACAACTACAGGCGAGTCTTCGCCCTCAGACGAACGTACTTCACCAGTCCCGATTATCAGAACAGTCTGCACGCTCGAACACTGGTCGTACGAGATCTCAAGCCCGACCTGAGAAACCCAGATGGGGTGGTTCGGGTCACCGACGAGGTCAACCCTACTGGGATCCAGCCAGTGCCATCTGTGGGAAGGAACGTCAAGGGGCTCCCCGATTTGATCGAGGAACACGAAGAGAAAGTTCGGGAGCTTGAATCAGTGCTCGCCAAGTACCTCAAGAACCCTGAACGACTTCCCGCCAAACGACCCATGATGAAGCCATCGGGAAAGTACAAAGGCCCGACTACTGGAGGCAAGGTCGATGCAATTGAGTATCTCTCAGAGCGCATCAAGGAGCTCGAGATCGAGATCAAAGAAGTCCGTGATCAGATCGATACAAAACAAGCGATGCCGTATGCGTTTGTCAGCTGGGATCAGATCCCGCAGGCTCATACTGTTGCGTTCGCCAGCCGCAGGAAGCGCCCACAAGGTGCCAAGCTAGAGCTTGCTCCAGCTCCGACTGATTTGATCTGGAAGAACATGGCCGTTGGTAGGGCTTCACGAAAAAGCCGGCGATTCATGAACGGCCTTTGGATTGCGGTGTTGACCATCGTCTGGACGCCACTCAACGCTGCAATTGCCATTTTCCTGTCCAACCTAGGCAACCTTGGCGCTGTGTGGCCATCGTTCAAGACAAGCCTGGAGAGCAACCCGGTCTCGTGGGGAATCGTTCAAGCTATCCTGGCCCCGACGTTGACATCACTCGTCTACATGGTGCTGCCTGTCATTTTCCGTCGATTGCAAATCAAAGCTGGAGATATCACGAAAACCGAACGAGAGCAGCATGTGGTTCGCAACCTCTACACTTTCTTCATACTCAACAACTTGGTTCTCTTCTCCGTCTTCTCCGCTGTCTGGGCGTACGTTGCGGACATCATCGTCGCAGATAACGAGGGCAAGAGCACATGGGACGCCATCCTGGCCGGAAAGTTCTTCCAGAAGACGACAAATGCCCTCTGCGAAATCACGCCATTCTTTGTTACCTTCCTACTGCAGCGCAATCTCGGCGCTGCACTCGACCTTGCACAACTGTGGCGAGTCTTCCTGACCTGGTTTCAACGTCGCTTCATGAGTCCCACGCCTCGTCAGAACATCGAATGGACGGCTCCTGTGCCATTCGAATACTCCTCATACTACAATTACTTCCTCTTTTACGCAACAATAGCCATCTCGTTTGCAACCCTTCAACATTGTGTTGCTTGTCGCAGCTTTGTACTTCACACTGGACGCTGTCCTAAAGAAGTACTTGATGATGTATATCTACGTTACAAAGAACGAATCTGGCGGTCAGATGTGGCGTGTCCTGGTCAATCGCCTCATCTTCGCCTGTATGCTTTTGGACGTGGTGGTCATTGTGCTCCTCGTGGGCAGAGACGAATACATCAAAGCGGGTGTGATGGGTCCTGGCCTTCTCCTACTCCTTGGCTTCAAGATGTACTGCGCCAAAGCGTTCGACCGCGACATGATCTATTACACAACGACCGGCATGCTGGATCAAGAAGCGAACGCGTCCGGCAAATCAGTCCGCCGTCGTGCTGAGAAGATGGCCTCCAAATTTGGGCATCCGGCCCTATGGAAGCCTTTGATGACACCCATGGTCCACGCCAAAGCTCAGCACATCCTCGGCGAAATCTATCGCGGTCGTGTCGCTTCAGACGGACACGGTCACACCACGGAAAATGCCTTCTCCGACGCCTATCAAATGCAACCTATGAAGAACAACTCCGTCCCACAGACTGATGGTGGCGTACCCGCAGTCGAGTTCGTCTCCGAGGCAAGACAGGACTTCGCTTACTACAAGAATCGGGAGGACTTCCGTGACGAAGCTGGCGCAAATCTTATTGATGACGACGCCATGACTGAGCGCTCAGGCACTCCTTTCTCCCAGTTCCGCCGTACCAACACGGCTGGCACAGACCAGCAACTCTTGATGTCCGGCAGTAGCTCACGCGCCGCCAGTCCCGCCCCGGGAACTGGAAGCCGACCCATGTCGCCCGCTAATGGCATTCGACGAAAGGAAGTCGCAGCGTCAGCGAACAAGCGACATTCCCAAATGCACCTTTCGCATCCCGCTTACCAGAGCGAGAGCGATCTGTCTCGTGTAGACACCGCAACTTCACAGCGGGACATCGCACTGGGACCGCGGCAGCATGGCTACTACACCGACCCTGACGCGGACGACCGTGCGGGCTTGCTGTCGCAGCAGCACGAGGTTAGCATGGCGCAATTCAGGACGACGCCCGCGGGGTGGACGCCGGATCGAGACGACGGCGGACAGTATGACTATTTCAGAGCACCCAAAGGTCAGAACTACTACCAGCAGCAGCACCGATAGAAGCGATGGTCCTGGTGATAATGATGTATGAACTGGTGGGCAAAAGCGATGTTTGCTGCCTGTAATGACCTGATGTATATATGTGTATGGATAGAACTAGGTACTGCAGCTGCCCAGGTGATGTGGTGGTGTCAGCCCTGCACTACCTACTCGAATTTAATGAGAGATGGAAAGCAGTGAGATCGTTGAACACTGCAGATGTTCTCCCGTCCTGCTCTGAAGCTTTTGAACATTCTCATCGAGGTCTGCGATATGCTTGAGCGCGGCGTTGAACATGCCCTGTTAGGCATCAAGGTTAGGTGCTAAGCTCGGGGAGTGTTAGCGTACATTGTCCCCTGTCAGGCCATCCTTGTGGTTGCCTTGTCTTCAGCTTCAGGCAACTGCAGGTGCTGCTTCGAACCTTTGGTTCTTAGTGTCCACATGTCTGGTACGTGACTCGTACTAGCGGTACCTCGAGATTCATCTCTTGTGTGTGAGAATGCGGACCAGGTTCGCGATGTGACAGAAATACTGCTTTCTGGTACCGCATCACACCTAATCGCCGATCATTGTGCACTGACTGGAAGGTGATGCTCGACTGACTTCGTCCTCACTTGTCGAAAACCATCACAATAGTACGAACATGACTGCCCAATTCGTGCTGTGCGAATTAGAGTTCTGTTGATGGTCTCTATTGACCATTGAAGTCCACCCGGACCACGACTATTGAGTACCTTTGACTCACCATCGGCAGCACCTACCTTAATATGCTGCATTTCGATCCCACCCGCTCTTTCCTTTCCCAAATACCACGCACATCCCACCAGAGTCCTCCACGAAAGATCGCAGCACACACTTCAAGACAATCGCAGCCCTAGCATCATGTCATCTCCACCGTCGCTCCAAGGCTGGCATCGACTCTCAAAGGGCGCCGGAGGCAAGGCTGGAAAAGACTTCAAAAGAGCCACATCGCCACAACGAACTGGTAGCAGAAGAAGTCCTGCACACAGTCGCAACACTAGCACTTCGTCCAAATCATCGTTCGGCAAACAAGGCGGCCGCAGCCCGGACCTGACCTACCATGGACAGTATCTGGCATTCTACGGCAGTCCTCTTTCAAACTTCCATGTGGCCAAATCTTTCCGCGGCTCCAGCGCCATGCCCTACCTCCTCAATGAGCTTGAGAGACTCGAGATCATGCATCCAGCACGTGATTCGATAGCAGTTCAAAAGATGGAAGAGCATCACTTCATCTGCGGCGAACAGTTCATGATGGCCTGCAAAGGCTTTCTCTTCGAGCTCACGACAATCCCACTTTTCAGCGACAGCATTGATATCTTTGCTCAAAACCTCCGCGGGGCGGCCTCCAGCCAAATTCCAAATCCATTCGACGACCTCAACCAGCAACATGAGCAATTTACAAATTCCGTGTTCTGGCAGATCCTTGAGTCGACTAGCCCACAACACATCAAATCTCTGGGACGACGAACACCCAATTTCAACGAAGAGGTCTGGACAAAGGCCTCCAAAGCAGTTGTCATCGCTGCGTCTCTTGCACGTGCTGAAGTCAACCCACAACTCTCAGACATCTACAAGTCAGCATGGAACACGACGGATAACATGCCAAAACACTATTTTGTCGAGGCGAGCCCCGTGGATAAGGTCTGGGGTGTTGGACTGGGACGTGAAGATCGGAAGATAAGAGACAGAAAGCTGTGGAAAGGCGAGAACCGCTTGGGACACTGTCATGATGAAGCAATGCGGTTGTACATGACCAAGCGTCAACCCAAGGCGGACTTTGTGCAGGAAATCAAAGAGCTAAAGGAAAAGACGTCTGAAGCGGACCAAGAGAAGAAGGTTGAGATTGAGAAGTACGGCGAGGCGGCCCCTGCGGATGTCACAACTAATGACATTGCAAAGGATGACGAAGAGACGAGTGCTGAGGATCAGGGCACGCCTGGCGACAAGAATCACCTCAATCGACAGCCGACGCACCCAGCGTGGAAGGAGTTCATCGACAACGAGGACAGAGGCAAGAAGGAGACCACGAGAGAATCTTCGTCAGGGCACTAGAGGCGCGCAGTAGAAGATCCGTCAAGACTCAGAGCAAGGTCCAGATCACCTCGGAGCCGAGAAAGAGATCGGAGCCATCAATTGGACAATCCGGTCGTTATCAGGAGGGCGCCATCGGCCAACAATTTAAGGGAATTCGGTCGACAGCAGGAAATCACGTTACCAACACGTCCACTGATCGTACGAACGCAAGCACAGAGTCGACAAGGCACTAGGGACGGAAGACATTGGTGATGTATCGGCATCAGGACGGCAGCACGCATGAAGGAGGAGCATGCAGGAGTGGAAAGTAATTTTTGAGGATATCAGTCTGCGATTTTGACGGCCGTATCGAATTCTCACAGCGCTCTCCCTGGCCAAGAAGTTCACAACAGATCTAGCTAGCCTATGTACATCGACATCAGACCATCATCATACTTGAGGTCGCAGCATTGCGAGACCTCTGCAATCTAATTACGACACGGGTTAACCTGTCGTCGCTCCCACCGATCCCGGACCGTTCGACTGCTCCCGTGAAATCAGGTCCCAAGTATCACGGAACCCCCCATCCTCACCATCCCTGTTCAAAATCCACCCAAACCTATCAATATTCCTCGTCACGAAATCAGGAACATCCAAGTTCTTGTCAATGCGGTATAGATTGCCTCTGTTGAAAAGGTCAACCCCGTTCCTGACCCGTTGCAGAATCTTCGATGGATCTGTAAAGTCAGGCGTGTTCATCTCCTGATGACTGAAGCTTTTGACCTTGTTGACGATGGCTTGGAGATCTCCGAAGCAATAGCTGCAGTGCCATCCGGCACTGTATATGTCCGTCGTTGCGCCGCCGGTTCTGAGGCTCTGGGGCAGGATTGTGTCGTTCAAGCCTTGGAAGAATGTTGCGTCAGGGTGGCCCCATTCTGCGTGCCCTTCAGGGTGTAGCCATTGGAAGCTGTAGTAGTAGAATCTGGTCCATAGCTTCACACGCTCTGTGATCTGGCAGTTGCGCATCGCGATTAGGATTTCTGGTCTCACGAGCTCATCGACATCGCCCACGATGATAACGTCTCCGTTGTTTGGTGCTTGCTCGTTCTGCAGATTTGGGAAGACTTGGTCGAACATAGCGTTGCGCGAGAAGGTTTCGCGTGCCCAGGCATCGCCGAATGTCTGGCCCGTCATGTTGAGGGTGACTCTGATCATCTTGTGGTGGTTTTCGTTAAACATGGCCCAATTGTCCAGGACGTGCAGAGGCTTTTGATGGTCCGAGAAAGTGAGGTCGCTTTCCACCACAACAAAGTAATCCACATCGTGCATCTGTCCCATGCGCAATGCTAGAGAGTCCAACTCGTCGTTCAGGAGAACCAAGTCGTAGATCTTGCGCCGTTGGTAGCGGTGAGGATATGTCTCCCAGCGATAGCGGGTACACATGGCATCGAGCTCGGGCCCGTCGGGCATGAACCCGAAAGGGCTGCTTGTGAATGAGGTGTGGTCTTCCTGTGGCTGTGACCATGATGGTAGTTTGGGGAGTTTCGGTGACCACGACTTGACGTCCGGCACTCTCCCGTCCAGGACATCATCGAAGGAGCGATGTGCATCCTCGTGGAACAGTAAAGCCAGAATGACGACTAACGAGATGACGCCGATGAGGACTCGCCCCATCGGTTTAGAGAACATGACAAGCGACATCGTGTGCAGTCAGCAGGATCTTGAACGGAGGGCATTGTGGTGGTCGAGCGCGTTTTATGACAGCGGAAGGAAAGGGGTGCAGGGTCAAGTTTGACAGGTTGTCGTCCATCCCTTACTTTGGAACGTGCCGTGGCATCGAATTCCCATGTAGATTGTCCGTTCGAATTTCAAGCATCAGACGCGGGACTGGTCAATAGGAACAGCACAGCGGTCGAAGCACTTCCATCACAGTTTGGTGTCACCGGATTGCGGCCGTGTGGGTATCTATCACAATTGTTAGCGGAGGCAGGCCCCTACGCTGTCGATAGGCGTAACTGCAGTGCTCCCTGTGGTCATCATGACAATGACCTTGTGAATGGAAGGGAACAGATACTTGATTACACCGCAGGTTGCAGCAGGCCAAGGTCGATTCGTTGATGTTAGCCATGGAAGTTCAATTTGAAGTTGAGGTTGGTTGAAGTTCCAGCTGCGAGTCGCTTTAACTGATCATGTGACCATTTTCTCCTCGCCTTTGCGACACCGCAACCGCAACCTCGGGAGAACACGCGATCGATCGACCTTCCACATTTAGAATTGCTTCCGCTCTCCTTTGATCCAGGAGGTGGCCACGAGGGTGCAGACTTTCGCCTACAAGCTTTGGCTCAGCAACATCGATCTCGACTCTGTCGACGCATCTCGATGGAGCCGTTCAGGAGCACTGTGCGTCGGGCAAAGGGCGAGACAGGCTGCTCAGCACAAAGGAGAGTCGTCAAGTTCCATGACTGTCAAACTCCAATCTGACGCTGAAGGCTACGAGCTCAATCAGCAACAAGTCCGCGCAATGACTTGAGGTACGACAGTACAATAGTCTTGCTGTTACATCGAAGGCATAGCACATCGCATCGAATAGCAAAACTCTGTACAGCCGAGCCAGCGCGAACACCAACGCAGTCACTACGCCAACAGTCTGATGTAGCAAACGCCACCAATCTTTCGTCCTGTACCGGCAGCGCGGATAAATTGTAATTCCAAGCATGCTCAACAAGTACGGTGCAGCTGTTGGGCCTCTTGCATTAAGTGTCATGACGAATCTGCTATGCAACTCAACGAAACGCGGGGAAGCTCTACTCCAGTCACTGAACAGCAACCACCATGCTATTCTGCGATTGCCGTCGAGCGGCGTGCATAAGTGCAGTCAAACGGCATGGGTATTGGGCTTGTGGATCGAGCCATCCACGGAGACTCGATCGCAAGATCTGGGCAACGGGGCGAGAACTTCGAGGCGACTGGCCACGAGAAGTGTAAGTACGAGTTCGAGATTCAGCCGTTGACCGGACGCGTGTAGTGAGAGGCTCTCGGGAGATCAGCTTTCATTCTCGAACTTGCGCCGCGGAAAAGTATTGGCTTCTCGAAAACTCACATGTGGTCGCATCACCCCGGATCCCAGAACTCAATTCCCCAGATTTGGTCGAGACCACTGAAATTGGCTGTCGCCGACTCGACAGTCTGGGGTTCGCGTTCCATAGCCGTCGGGTCTGGTTTCCACGAGCTTGATCATGACTTTTTGGTGGCTGCGTCGTCCGTCATGATTCATACAAGTATGCCCCAGAAACCCCCCTGATTCTCTTCCTCCTTCGCCAGCCTCGAGTACTCGAGACAACTCAAGCCATCAACAACAGAGCAATCCTTCATCGAACAACAGCAACACTGGCTCATTCAACAGTCTCAGCAGACACACGTCAGTCCTCCGAAATGTCTCACGACCGACACGTCAGTCTTCAGGACATCAACAAGAATGGAGGCGTCAGCGGTGATGATATCCTCGTTCCCACAGCTTCGCGGTTCGAGAAGCTTTACCTTGCCCCGGAGCAGCCAGTAGCGGGTGCTCTTCGACAGACATTCGGTAACCCAACACCTGTTGCTCTTGGTGGATTTTTGCTTGCCAACACACCAGCCTCAATCATGCTGATGGGCTGGGGTGGTGCTGGCGGCGGTACTGGTAATGCCAGTGCTGGCATTGGCACTTACTACTTCCTCGGTGCCATCTGCCTTTACGCTGGCGGCATCGGCGGTACGCGTCCCTCATGTCTTCCCCAGTACGTGCTGCATGCTAATCGCTGCGACAGAGTGGATCCTTGGAAACACCTTCCCATCAGTCGTCTTCTTCACCTTCGGTGGCTTCTGGGCGACCTTTGGAGCCACGCTCACTCCATTCTTCAACGCCATTGCCGCCTACGAGACCGCTGATGGCTTCTATGACTCTTTCGCCATATTCTTAATATTCATGTGCCTCCTTTGCTTCATCTACATGATCGCCGCACTCCGAACCAACGTCTGCTTGGTTCTCATTCTCTTCACCTTCGTCTTGGCCTTTCCTTGCCTTGCTGCCAGCTACTTTGATGCTGCACGCGGCGAGCTCGGCCTCAGCTCTACCTTGAGAATTGCCGGTGGTGGTAAGTTTCGCTCTCTGCTTCATTGTCTTGCAACAGCTAACGACTGTGCAGCATTTGCATTCTCGGGCTCGGTTATTGCGTGGTACCTATGGACCAGTATGGTAAGTGTTTCAATGACCAATCGGCGGTCTATCACGCTTCCGATTCTGGTGCTTTCCGCTCCGTGCCATTCTGACAATTATAATAGATCATGGAAAGCGTCGACTTCCCGATTGCTCTACCGTACGTACTCCTGCCAGTCCTTCTCAGTATAAGTGTGTATTAACATGTGTGACAGTGTTGGCGACCTCAGCAAGATGATCAAGGGCCGCAGTGAGAAGATCAAGGACGCTGTGTAAACTTGAAATGCTCAAGGACTGTGTGGCTAATTGGAGCTGGTTTGGTCTTGCCACCCAGGAAAAGTCACTGCATTGTCATCGCGATGGAGTTGCATACGGGCGGCGGGCATTTAGCTTGTTGACACATTTTGGAATCAAAACATTCAAAACATCACACTCGCTCACATGGTGTTCGCAAACCCCATGTCTTCCACACCGTTACATCACGTACGCGTAGGACGAACAGCGCATATTTCATGGCTTTCGTGGTCAGGGCGGGCGCCGAAGCACCGCCAACGTTGTTCTGATCGAGTCTCTTTGGGTTTGTGACGAACCTAACATAAGCCTCAGTTGGTAGGACCACTGTACCATGGATCCTTTTGGCTATGGAGGGCGCTGAGGGTCTGAGATCGTTCAGTCCATACATATGTCGTAGTATACGCGCCGGCTCAAGTGGGAAGCTCGATCTCAGCACCTTTGCACTCGGTCCAGGAGTCATCCACTAAGGGGCTCCATGACTTGAATAAGCCGCACGCCTCCTCCACCCCGATCCAGCTTCTAGTGCTCGCCGCCGTGGAGTTCAGGTCGCCGCGATGCTGCTAGTAAGCCACAGCAATGATCACACTAATCTTGCACGGGCCCTTAACTACTGGCGCGAACTCTGCGGTTGCATACATGTCAGATAGAAGCGGAGGCCCAGGTACGGCGCCGCCCGGAGCGGAAGCTGAAGACAGCGACATCGGCGCCGGGATCTCGTGTGGTGCTCTATGGGTGGGTGGCTTGCATATCTGGGCCCGTCTCCAAGGCCTCAGGCAACGCGAAACGGATGAGCGGCGAGCCATCAAACGACCTACAGAAGCCAGCATCGTCCCTTCCTTGATGTCGAGCTCTGACGTTTTACCGTGGATGTGTGTAATCCTTGTCGATAACGAGCAGAAGGGATGGATGTTCAGCTACTCATAGCAATAGACCGCTGCATGCGAAGAAGCACGGCTTCGACATGATCGTGTCTGTGCTCAAGAGTGCTGTCGATGAGCCGCCTCGCCGTGAGGGTACGCTCGCCGAAGAAGTGGACTCGCTGTTGTATGCCGCCACAGTAGGTCATGTTCGCATCCCCGCTGGTGTAAATCCGCAGAACCTCTCTATTATACATAGACGCGACTTCAAGGTTGTTTACCACGTATAGCGCGTGCGGGTTTTACTACAATTGACACAGGACGCCAGCCAGCTTCCGGAGCTGCATCTTGGGAAGTGACTCGGATCTTATAGCTAACATCGACATTGTGTCGCAAGAGTGTGCCGCTCCGCATCCAGCCTTCACTACACATACACACAATTCAACATGAGTCACGACGACGAACCTGAGGACAAATTCGACCGTTGGTCGAGCAGCGTCTGTAAGCTGGCAAACGCGTGTGCAGAACGAGCTCAGGCCGGCGCTGCAATGATGGCAGGAATGGACGACAGTCGGGCGGCGGCGCTTCTTGCCATGCTCGCTATCATTCTTATGATGTACAAGGCTGAAGAGGACGGGCTGTATTCCTCTGATGACGACCAGCACCATTCCGTACGAAGCGAGATCATGGACCGCCGCGTTTGCAAGGTTCTACGTGGTTGTAAACAGCGAGCTCGGTATAGCGACCCCTCGATGACAGGCGTCGATGACAACACTACGCTGCTGTTCACTGAAATGCTGGCTCTCTTCAGTAAGTTGAAGGAGCGTCGGAGGAATGAGGACGACTCTTCAGTAAGTTGAAGGAGCGTCGGAGGAATGAGGACGACTCTTCAGATGATGACCAGGAGATCTACCTGTAGATTACGAAGGTCCCGGCTTCTCACCCACTCCATCGCGCAGGCGGCGGCCGGGGGTGATCAGTGCGCGAGCTATTGCTCCTGCTCCTGCTCAACGTGCAGCCAGAGTCGGATCTGTCCACAACAGAAATCGCAATTCTCAGCAACACAGAGGAAGTGCGGTCGCAAAGCAACGCGCGGACCTCCCAGGCAACGCTGCACGAAAAGCGAAGCCACGTGGACGCCTTGCAAACCCTCTGGCCCTTCCAAAGGGGCGGTCTGGACCACGAGCGCTTCCACCTTACGATCCCGTAAGAGGCGAATGGATAGGGCGTCGTTCTCCCACTCCTCAGCCTCTCGATGGTCGGCAAGCTGAAGGTCCCAATGCGACTGCCAAGGTTACAGTCCCTGACATAAGAATAATCCCTGAGGGTAGACCTGATTGTCTACGGGGCCTGACTTTCGTCTTCACCGGCGTGCTGAACACCATTAGTCGACAGGAAGGCATTGATTTGGTCAAGCGTTACGGCGGAAACGTCACGACAGCTCCGAATAGTAAGACGAGCTTTGTCGTCCTCGGCAGCGATCCCGGCCCGAAGAAGCTTGAGACCATTCGTAAACTTGGAATCAAGACTATTGATGAGGATGAACTAAACTCGGTGATATGGAGGCGACCAACTGGCGGAGGCGGTTTTGCAGGCGCCAAAAGATCCTCAACAATTCCCGTGAATGGATGAGTGGGCAGGGGAGGATCGGGTATCGCACGTAGAAGGTATGGCGGGGTAGGTCGAGGTACAGCGAAGGAACTGTGCCTGACGGTGTGGCCCTGGCATCGACAACGTGAGGAAACAGTGGTTCGACAGTGTGCTTGAAGAGCCACTCGAGCGGCAGGGCGACGCTCAGACAAACCAGAGATTCGATCTTTGACCGCGGGACGAGCCTGTGGCCCGACTCCAGAGTGCGTCCAAAGTATTTCCTCTACGGAAGGATCGCGCAGTTGATGCCCACGCGAGGTACTGCGCCTCCTTACATTTTCTCGTCCTCGTCTGCGAACGCAAATTTGCTGAACTTTCTGTTGGAGGGTACATCAGCATGTTAATAAGAGTTGACAGAGGAATTACGAACCTGATAGCAGCTCCTTTAAAGTAGAACACGAACGGGATGGCACAGCACAACACTCCCAAGCCAGCGAGCAGCGAGCTGGCGCCCTGCAGGCCAAGTGTATCGTACATCTGCGTCGTGAACAGAACCACTCCCGCGCCCCAGATGCTCCGCAGGAAGGTCTTGGCTGCGAGTGCGCTGGCAGCTTGATGCTGATAGGTGTCGACGAGGTAGTTGCTATTGCACCTGTCAGTGTGCACATGTGGTAAGGAGCGCCGAAGTCAAGAGATCAATGTCTCGCCCGACTCAGGTTCACGGGTACACGTACTTGGCAGAGTTGTACAGAAAGATGAAGCCGAAGCCGACACTGAAGCCGCCCATCATCGGTCCCCAATAGGATACGTCTCTGGTAATATGTTAGTGCTCAGGTTTGTGGTGCTGAGAGCTAAAACTGTGATGGCCGGCAGACTTACGGGTACGAAGTGAAGGCAAAGATGAAGAGCTGTTCGGAAGGTCAGTCAATTACCAACTATCCATGTAGGTTGGGAAGCCTTACTCCGATTGGGATGAAGGGACAGCTGAACATCATCGGAATGAGGCGGGCTTCAGCAGGCGGCTTGCCATTAGGTGCCTTGGCACACAGAGAGAGGTAGTGCTTGTTGACTAGTGGTGATAAAGTCGCTGATAGCACAACACCCAATGCCAGAGGTATGAACATGAGCCCTGTTGAGCCGGCGGTCCAGCCTTTGCCGCCTTGGTACACTGCTTTGTGTTAGTATGGCGAAGGAGTAGAACGGACTATGAATATACCAATTGGGTATGCGATGAAGAACATGTACAGCAATCCGTACAGGACCGACATATACAGCGTGATGAAGAAGACGATGGGCTCCAGAAACAGGAGCTGCAACGGTCGAATGAGGAAGATGCGGAGTCGCTGTCCAAATGGACGAGTGTCGAGGTCTTGTTCCGTAACATACTTGCTGTCGCCGGTCTCCTTGCGCATGGCTCGGGCTCGGCGAGAAAGCAGCGCTGGGGCATAGGTCTCTGGTACTGTGAAGGTGACAAGGCTGAAGGCGACGCCAGATAGGATAATTTGAATGTAGTAGAGCCACTATTGCACGTGTCAGCAGGAATATGTATCAGGAGGAACCAGAGCCGGGAGATCGTTGTCTTGCCCGATACAGGTTGTTAGGTATACATACTCGCCATCCCAAGGTGCCCAGATAACCACCCACAAGAGGACCAATTGCCGGGCCGATGCTGCGGGACTATTAGCAATAGTCGCTGGACATGTATAGAAGAACTGGAGCGGGAGGAGGGTACTTCGTGATATCTGCACCGAATCCGTCCAGGGCGATACTCACAATGGGGCGGCGGAGAAGAAAGCCATGGGAACACCACGCTCCTCGTTCCTCCAGAGATCTGCCAATGTCCCACCGACCAGCGTCATTGGGGCTGAGAAAGCGATGCCGTCGATCAGCCGGCAGACAAGAAGTGTCCCAATATTCTGGGCCACCGCGCATGGAATAATGAAGATGACAGCGATGGCCAGGGTGACCACGTAGACCGGCTTTCGACCGAAAAGCTCGCTCAAAGGTGCGAACGCCAAGGGACCGACGCCGAAGCCAATGACGAACATAGTGATGGTCAGTAGGGCAACCTCATTTGAGACGTGGAATGTCCTGCTGACGCCCTCCAGATTTGCTGTGATGACAGACGAATTGAAGGCGACCACAAAACAGACAAAAGCGACGACCAGTGTGCAGTACCTATCTCTGGTCAGCTTCATTCAGTTCTCGAAGATGCTGCCACGGACCATTTCTTGACTTTCGAGAAATTCTTAGGGTTCTCTGGGTCATTCAGTCGAAAAGTGACGAGCTCATGATCCTCGACACGGCCACTGACTCGAGAGATCGTGCGTTTGGGAATGATGCCCTCAGATGTCTCCTCGGTGAACTCTTCCATGTTGGCATCATCGTTGAGGGTCCCGTAGGGTAAGTCGAGTACATCCGACGCCCCCTGGGTAGGTCGTGTCTCGTGGCGCTCCAATGTCCTACGGGTAGTGGCTCTGGTGAGGTGCGTGTCTTGCTTCTCCAAATCTATGTTGTCGACGGCATGTTGCGTTTCTGTTGAGCTAAGGCTCGATGAAGATGATGATCGCATCGTTGGCACAATGTGTTCCAATATTGCAGAAGAAATGTCGGGGGACACGCAAAGGTCACGAAGCTACCTTTTAGTCGCGAGCAGGTACTGCACATCTTGACCTGCTCGGGGGCTCTCGGTGGTACTTATATACACTCACATGAGTCTGCTTTTGAGGCTATCAGACACACGGATTTCAGGGGGAGAAATCCGACACCAGTGCAGAAGATTTGTTGCAGCAGTGTGCCTTTTCCGTATTCGACCATGTTCTCGGTGTTCCAATTCAGCGAGTGGGCTTCAAACAGGGCGACCGTGCCGTAGAGCTAGGAGAATATGCAGACGTGATCCAATCATCTTTGCTTCATGTTGAATTTCACGTGTTGCAGACCCGGAACCTTGTCCGCACTAGATTGAAGAAATATGTGAGCAGGCGGAATGAGGTATATTCGTTATCTTGGCGCTAGCAGGTTGAACGGTGATAGTTCGGCCATCAGAACGGCTGTTCGTGCGTCCAGTCGAAGAATGGTTCACCACAAGATCTTGTCTGTAGCAGCTTCGCCGAACAAGAGAGCCGTGTTGCAAGATATCACCATGTTCAAATAAAATCGACGGGCTCGACAGGGAAAGTAATCAGAAGTCTGGGGACGCGGCGGTGCGCCTCCCTGTGCAAGTGGCCAGAGGAGTGGATGTATGCGAGATCCATAGTCAGGCGAGACGCGCTGCAAGATGTCCCGTGTTCGTTACCGATATATTTTGAGGAAGCCGTGGTCAACGGTAGGTCAAGTTGTAACGCAAACTCGCTGTTGCGCTTGTGGCTTGAGCGTCGGAAAATGGAGCGATGAAGTCATCCCGCCAACCCCCGCCGAACTTCTGGTTTGGCGTCAATCATGCACTTACTAACCAGGCGTGCATGCGGATAGCCGACGGTGTTGATCTGAGGGCTTTCTACTTCCATAAACATTTGTGCGCGGCAACCACTTTGAATCATCCACTGTAGTAAACGAACGCCACGCCTGAGCTGTGTCACGACTCACCATGGGCGACAATTACTATCGAGATCAGTATCCACCCAGGCCTGGCAGCACCGGGCAATATGCGCCGCAGAACCAGCCCTACAATCCCGCTCAGTACAGCACCCCACCACCAGGAAGATACAGCCCATATCAGTCAACAGCTAGTTTTCCGCCACCGCCCGGGGGCCAGCAGCAGGTACGTGCAGAGAAACCGCGATGGCCATCGCTGCTGACCACACTGACAGCAATACAATACCTACCAACCACCACGAGACGATGGCTATCGGGGTCCCCACGATGTTGCGCCATATCGCGACGATCTCGACGACAGGCGCCATAGCCACCACTATCATCACGGACAGAGAGATGGGCCTTACTATCCTCCACCACCGTCTGGTTACAGCGACCATTCCAGAAGAGATTCTGCCGTGAAGAAGGAGAAAACACATGGGGCTGAGAAGTCGACCGCTGCGACTCTCATTGGAGGTGCAGTAGGAGGTGAGCGACGGATCCGGAAGATGCGCTCACATGTGCCTAATTCTTGGTAGCATTTGCAGGCCACGAGCTCGGCCATGGAGGTCTCAGTACTCTGCTCGGCGCTGCCGCGGGAGGTGAGTCGGCCCCTCGGGTGATATAGAATCCATCACTGATTCTGGTGCAGCGTATGGAGGACATGAGCTTGAGAAAAAGCGCGAGAAGAAGAAGGCCGAAAAAGACCGTCGTGGTAGCGAAGCTCGAGGATTCGATGACTATGATGACGGCCGTCGTCGATCCAGCACTCGACGATCCCGTTCCCGCAGTGCGCGCCGTAGGCGGGACAGTAGTACCAGCAGTAGCGGCAGTGACGATAGCAGGAGAAGACGACACAACCGCCACCGCTACAATAATTGAGCCAGCAACCTACGCAGGGTACTTGGTTTTCTCATGACATCCGTTTCGACCGGAGGCTATTGACAGTCAGCTTTTAAGATGAGTTGCTCGAGGCGAGCGTCCCTTCGTCACTTTATGGCAGCATGTTACCTTTGCATTTCTTCGAGCGTCTGTCGAAGGTATGCACATAAAAACAGATCGAAAATGTCTCGCTTCTTGGCTCGGAACAGCAGTCCGAAATGTGTCCACTAGATTGGGTGTGGCGAGATCGTTTTCTAGAAATTCCACGCCAATTCTTAACATTTGCTCCAGGCACTAAAATGTCGACTGGCTGGTGGGCCACCAGTTGCAGCAGTGACAAACCCCTAACGGCTTAGATTTAGCCGGTGCCATGATACATAGATGGAATCAGCGGTCAGGTGTCTGTGGCATGAAACGAATAGTCATGGAATATGCTCGGCGAGGCATATGTTTTGACTTCGGGCGCGGAGCCGTAATGTTGGGGCGGGTTATCAACGATTTCGTATGTGTTCCGTTCGACGACCCTATTGTTTTGTGAAAGGATAGTTCTCTCTCGCTGCAGATTGCCGTACAACATTGGCCGGGCAGTCTGCTCTCAAGCGATTGCAAGGTGGGTGTAGAGCTTTTGCAAATGTTGATCTACGCGCCAGGCTTGTCCTATGAATAGCCGGCGCGAGACCCGTAGATGTGGATGTGGATGTGTTCGGGTTTAGGCTTTTGAAACACGGTGCGACAGGACTCACTGACTGCTGCCACGCACATGGTCAGCATGCAATGATTCGCCATGGGCAGTGAATGGTCAATGAACGGTTCAGACTGCGTGGCCCCTCTGCATGCAACGTGCTCTCGGTAGCAACCAAAATAGCAGAGCTGTTTGCTGTTGCCCCTCCAAGCCTTCCCCTCTAAAAGAGGGGCCCCGAACTGATAGCGATCGATAACGATACGACAGGCGGTCAGGGACTTTGGGGGCCAATGTCTGCACGGCTTGTTGCCATGTAGCCCGAGAATACCTTCGTCGAATTACGTGCAGGCTCGCAGTTACAGGCGATGGCGCTGCTCTGTGAGTCATCAAGCTGTAGGTGATGGTCGTAGGTGAACAGTGCCATTCGAATGCGATGTGACGAGTACCTTCGCCCATATCACTTGTTCGGAAGACCCACTCAGGCACGACGCTAGTGGAGGGCACGACAAGTGTCATCCGAGAAAAAGTTGAGAAAAAATCCGCGATGAAATAAATTTCCTGGTCACCCTTGATCCTCTTTCTCTTGCACCACACCCTTCGCATTTTCCAGCGACTCTCTACTCACAAAACTGACACCTGCCTCGCATACAACGAGACAGGCGACACTCTTTTTGTCCTGCAGAAAGAGTAGGTTTTGCATAGATACGACATTTGCCAAACAACAGGCCGAGTGCCACGCCAGAGGCTTACTCACCGCTGAAGCCAGGCTTCCGCACATTCCTGATTTCCTGCACACAGGAACCCTTGGATAGATTTACGACTTTCACTCCAAAGTCTTCCACGACATGCCCGCTGTCGAAGCCATGTCTTCAACACCAGCAACCACCAAGGCTGAGACCACCAAGTCTCTCGCCACCCTAGACGAGCTTATGAAGAACTTGTCGCTCTCAAAAGACCAGGCTGATGGCAACAAGAACGCTCAAAATCTTGCTGCGCTACTAAATGGTCCTATCGAGGAGAAGGCCGTCCCCGAGAAGGCTGTCGAGACATTCAAGAAGCAACTTGGCAACAAGAAAGATGCCAACGTTCGAGAGCGTGCCCTCGATGGCATCAAGGCTCTCGCACAACACTCAGCAATTGCACCCGCCTTCGAGCCCTACCTGGTCACTCTCTTGCCGCTCGCCCTCGCAGCGATTGGCGACAAGATGACTTCGATCAAGACAGTTGCTCAAGAAACAGCGCTTGCTATTGTCCGCGCGATCAACCCTAACGCCACCAAGGCTGCCCTCCCTTGCATCAAGACATCCATTACGACCGCACAGAAATGGCCCGAGAAGATGACTGGTCTCGACTGCATTGAGATCTTCGTCGAGGTTGCGCCAACGCAACTCACGTTCCTCGTCCCAACTCTGATCCCGATCGTTTCCGAGGCCATGTGGGACACCAAGCCTGAGGTCAAGAAGAAGGCCTACGGCACAATGGAGAAGATCTGCAAATTGATCGAGAACAAAGATATTGAGAAGTTCATTCCCGAGCTTATCAAGTGTATCGCTAAGCCAGAGAATGTCCCCGAGACTGTTCACTTGCTTGGTGCTACCACTTTCGTTACAGACGTCCACGAGCCTACACTGGCCATCATGGTCCCCCTCCTGGAGCGTGGTCTTGCTGATCGCGAGACTGCTATCAAGCGCAAGTCCGCTGTCATTGTTGACAACATGTGTAAGCTGGTCGAGGATCCTCAGATCGTGGCTGCTTTCCTTCCAAAGCTCATGCCTGCGCTCACCAAGAACTATGAGAACATTGCCGATCCTGAGGCTCGCGAGAAGACCAAGCAAGGTCTCGAGACCCTCAAGCGTGTTGGTGCTGTCAAGGAGGATGGCAGCTTCCCCGAAGTTTCTACTGCGGGCGAGGTCAAGACTGTTGCAACTACTCTCCGAACCATCCTTCTCGCAACCAAGCACAAGGACTCGGCGACATTTGATGCGACAATTGATTACGTTTCTGCCATTGCTGGACAACTGATCGACCAGAAGATGTTCGACGCTGCAGACTGGGCCTCAAACGTCAAGCAGTTTATTGCGGTTCTCGCTGGTGAGGCTGACGCTGAATCCATCACCGAATCTCTTCGCAAGAAGTCTACGCCAGGTGCTGAAGAGGAGGCCGAGGTCGAGCCAGATGAGGAGGAAGGCGTGGATCTCTGCAACTGCACATTCAACTTGGCTTATGGTGCGAAGATTCTACTCAACCAGACTCATCTCCGCCTGAAGCGCGGACAGCGATATGGTCTTCTCGGTCCCAACGGTTCCGGCAAGACTACCCTTATGCGTGCTATCAACAACGAGCAGGTTGAGGGTTTCCCCAAGCAATCTGAGGTCAAGACCGTCTTCGTTGAGCACGATCTTGACGCTGCTGACACCGAGCTTACTGTCATTGGCTGGACCATGAAGAAGCTTGAGGAGGTCAACATTACAACGTCAAAGGAGGCAATCATAGGCAAACTGGGTGAATTCGGTTTCAGCGAGGACCAGTTTGAGGCTCCCATTACCTCTCTGTCTGGTGGCTGGAAAATGAAGCTGGCTCTTGCCCGCGCAGTCTTCGAGGAGCCTGATATCCTCTTGCTTGACGAACCCACCAACCACATGGACGTCAAGAACGTCAAATGGCTCGAGGATTATCTCATCAACTCGCCATCAACCAGTATCATCATTTCACACGATTCGAAATTCCTCAACAACGTCCTCCAGCACGTCATCCACTACGAGAAGTTCAAGCTCAAGCGCTATCGTGGTAACTTGACCGAGTTCGCTAAGCGTAACCCGGCTGCTCGGTCCTACTTCGAACTGGGCGCCAGCGAGCTCGAATTCAAGTTCCCCGAGCCTGGTTTCCTCGAAGGTGTCAAGACCAAGGCCAAGGCTATTGTTCGTGTCTCGAAGATGTCCTTCCAGTATCCAAATACGCCCAAGCCTCAGATCCGAGACATCACCTTCCAATGCTCCCTCGGCTCCCGTATCGCTGTCATCGGTCCCAATGGTGCCGGCAAATCTACACTGGTCAACGTCCTTACTGGTGAGCTGATTCCTACGTCGGGTGAGGTCTACCAGCACGAGAACATCCGTATTGCCTACATCAAGCAGCATGCTTTTGCTCACATCGATAACCATTTGGACAAGACTCCTTCGGAGTACATTCAGTGGCGCTTCCAGACTGGTGAGGATCGCGAAACTATGGATCGAGCGAACAAGATCGTTACCGAGGATGACGAGAAAGGCATGCTGAAGATCTACAACATCAACGGCACACAGCGTCGTGTCATTTCGATCTCGAGCCGACGCAAGTTCAAGAACTCGTACGAGTATGAGTGCAGTTTCCTGCTTGGGTAAGTTAGCCGAGGCTGATTCTCATTTTGCCAATCTCCCGATTGGGGGTCTTGGCGTTTTGAGATATCTTCCCCTGCCCTTTTCCTGGTGTTGAACAACAGCTAACATGATTGAAGAGAGAACGTGGGCCTTAAGAATGAGAAGTGGACGCCAATGAGTGAGTCGAACCCTTTCCAGCGCTGTTCAGAGTCCTGCTGCAGCGGCGGAGGCCGAGATGTATCCGCCAAAGCACCAGACCTTGTTACAAGCGTGTATGACTTGCCCGACCCAATGCTGACCTCTTTCTAGTGACTGCGGACAACGAATGGTGGAGTTATATGCTTTCCTCCGCTGTATATGCATTCTGACAGGTGTTTTAGGATCCCCAGAAACGAAATTTTGAGCTCGCATCAGGTATTTACACCCCCAACTGAGGTTTTCGACGACGTGTGGGTGCTAACGCGAAGCCTAGAAAATGGTAGCCGAGGTCGATCAGAAGGAAGCACTCGCTTCAGGCCAATTCCGTCCCCTCGTCCGTCGCGAAATCGAGCAGCACGCTGCCAACTTCGGCCTCGATGCTGAACTTATCTCTCACTCCCGCATGCGTGGTCTGTCTGGTGGCCAGCGTGTCAAGGTCGTCCTTGCCGCTTGCACGTGGCAACGCCCTCACTTGATCGTCCTCGACGAGCCTACTAACTACCTGGACCGCGACTCGCTGGGTGCTCTGTCCAACGCTCTCAAGGAGTTCGCCGGTGGTGTTGTCATTGTATGTTGGTCACTCCGGTCTGGTACTCACAGCTGACGGTTCTAGATCTCTCACAACGCTGAGTTCACCGAGTCGCTCACCAACGAAGTCTGGACTGTCAACGATGGTCTCATGGTGCCGTCTGGTCACAACTGGGTCCAAGGTCAGGGTGCCGGCCCCCGTCTCGCCAACAAGGACGACGACGAGGAGGATACCTTCGATGCCATGGGCAACAAGGTCGAGAAGACCAAGAAGGCCAAAAAGCTTTCCGCGGCCGAACTGAGTTCGTTCTCTTTGCTTCTTGTCGACGTTCACATGCTAACAAGAGCTCAGGAAAGAAAAAGAAAGAAAGAATGGCCAGACGAAGTAAGAATCCCTCCAGCGCTCTTTTGACACTGCTAACATCTCACAGAGAGAGGCGAAGAAGTGGTTAGTCTTTCCAGCTGCCGGACCAGGCCTCTCGGATCCGGTTTCCCCCATGATATACACTGTCTCTAACAGCTGATCTAGTATTCGGACGAGGATGACTTGTAAAGTACGACCGACGACACTCTAGCACAAGATCGACTTTCACAGCATAGCGGGCGTTCAGGTCGTGGCATTTCGGAACGGAGCGCAGACGGATACCCTGACGAAGGAAGGATAGATTATTAGACTCATGCTGTGGGCATCTCACCAAAGCTAAGACATCTTACGATCATTCGAAGTTAAGAAGAATTCCAAAAGTTGATCCAATGGGCAATTTCATCCTCTGAGACACTGGTGCCATTGATCTTGAGTTTCGGCGAACAGCTGCTCAAGCAGCGGCAGAGATTGACAAGCACACACACAACAGTCGATCCTTTCCGTGTTCAATGTCTTCGTTGTCTCGATCACTGCCACCACCATCGCCAGAGGCGACATCCTTCGTGCACAAGCTTGTGCTTGCTGTTCCACCATCCACAGCATGTTCGGGGAATGTATGGACCAATCGAGTCAAATTCTGACTGTCCTACCTGACCTCAAATAATGGTAGGGATTCCGGGTCTTTATATTGCAATCCATAGCATGACCTTGTCGGGCGTTTCTCAGATGTTCTCATAGCCACGTTCGCCATCATCGCCTTCACCGCCATCTGCACCGAGATCACCAGTCTCATATGTGCCCTCGTCCTCAATTTGCCCACCGCCTTCAACATCTGGTGATTTATTGCCAACTTCACCATGACCTGTGGTCTCGCCAGCAGCCTGCTGTGACGCAGCCGTAGCTCTTTCCCTCGCTTCTTCGGCGTTGACCAGGAGCTGAGACTTATGGAGCATCTTCTTGAGATAATCGTCTTCGGAATCTTTGTCCAGACAGATGCTGTACCATTTGACGGCAGCTCTGGCGTACTCAAGAGCGGTATTTTGTTTGGTCGTGGCAAGGATGAAATTGCTCTGTGCGCGCCAGAGACTCGGGAGTCGAGAGTCAGCGAGAAGATCTGTACAGATCTTGTCTGCTTTGTCGTACTCGCCAGCATTAAAGTGTTCTCGAGCGAGATCTGCTTGGCTCTCGTAATATCTCTTCATGTTGCCACCCTGCTCCATGGTGGCGTCTTTGCTCATGGTGGTAGAAGATCGGTGGGAGCTGCGAGCGAACGTGAAACGACTTCAACGACAGTAAGCTGGTATTGTGGCTCTGCTGGGTGAGTCGAATTGAAAGTGTTTTGTGTCAAGAATGGAATTTTTGAGGTCGGCAACAATCAATGTGGTAGTGTGTCCCCGAATGTTGAACTCACGACAGAAAATTTGCGACGTGCGCATGTATTAGTGCAATGAGAAGGGCGAATTTCAACTGCAAAGACATATTTGTCGGCCCAGCAACGACGATCTGGGTGAATCTGCTTGCGGCTGCCTTACACGCAACGCCATTGCCCGCCCTCGAACACGTTCCTCAACGGGTAGCGGCAGTGTGCCCTCGTGTAGTCCACCTGCGGCGGCTTTGCATTCGCATCTGATGCAGGATCAGCCTCCTTGTACTTTGTTCCCACGATCACGTCCGGCGCCACCCCCTCCTCCACCCACTTCACAACTGCCATCAACACATTGCCATTTGCCTCGTCCACTGATTGTTCCGGCCCGAGTCCTTGTCCGATACTCCATGCTCCCTCACCACCAGCGCAATGCCCCATCCCGCTGATACGATACCAACGGTAGAAAGAATCCAGCTCGTCGCTAGTCAAGTTCATGGTCCTGCTGACGAAGTTATAGTAGCGCTCGGAGTTGAAGGGCTGATAATCGGGTCGTCCTGCCCATGATAGCTCAGGATCTTTCTGCCTTGATTTCTAAATTCTGTCAAATCAGCCCAGGTGTTGCTATTTCCACGGTCGAGGTTCCAAGCATAACTGAAATCATCTAGCGTTAATCCTGCGGCGTTGAAGTTCGAATTGTTGTACACGGCGTATTTGAACCAGTCGACTGTGTATAAGAACGGTTCCGGAGCATAGAAGCTATATGCCGTGCCAGCCACACCTGGCGCCGCAGGAAGAGGAGGAAAAATAAGACTACCGTCGAGCCCGTATGTCGGAGAGAACAGGTCGCGGATGGTTGCTGCTTGTAGGCCCGAAATACATTCTGAGGCGTTTGCTGGCGAGGGGCCACAGATGAGTGCTTCTGGTCGGAAGATCGCATTACACAGGTTCGTATTCTCGATGATACCATCCGTTGAGCCGTCAAGGGCGTCACATTGAGCTAGGAGTGCAGCATCGATAGCGGGCCACTTTGCTGGTGGCGGGAAGCCCTCTGGACCGGCGCGTTGGAAGAGCTGGTAAAAAGTGCCGGACCACGAGGTGAGGTTGTTGAAGGCCAGCGCGGGCGCACCAGCAACGATCCCATCAAAGTCCTCCGGGTACGACTGCGCGGACTTGAAACCCTGCCTCCCACCAGTGCTGCATCCCAAGTAGTACGACTTGGTGTAGTCCTTACCATCATACACCTGCGGCGTGAGCTGCTTCGCCACGTTAGCGGTCGTGTGCAGTGCTCGCCAGGCGAAGTCAGCAACGACGTCTTCGTTGTTGAGGAATTCCACGCCCGTCATGCCGTCATGCCCGCCATTGGAGCCATAGGCGGCGAAGCCGAGGGAAGAGCCATACGCGAGATCCTCGTACTGAATGCATCCGCTGATACCGCCGTTGCCTGTGGAGAGGACCCGACCTGTCCAATTGGAGGTGGATGGCAGCCAGCCTTCGATGCTGACGCTGGAGCGGGAGGAAGTGGCGACTTTCAGGACAACACGGCAGATATCGGCAGGTACGATCTGGAAAGGACGTGTACATGTCGCTGGGTTGTTGGGAAAGGTCAAATTGGTACCGGCCTCAACAAACGTCGTTGAGCTGATGGTGGCGTTGTCGAAGGTGAGGCTGGAGGCAAGGCCATTGCAGGCGCTGGCGAAGTCTGTGTCGGTAGACTGGCCGTATGCTAGTGTAGAGAAGGCCAGTAGCATAGACGCATTGGCTGAGAGTGAATGCATCTTGCTACGTCGCTCTACTATTGCCAATGTGCGAAGCTACAGACTCACCTTGCTAAGAGGTCCGGCGGCAGGACGAGCTTTTCATTTCCATCGGAAGCTGTCCTCGCTTGCATACTGCAGCCGGCATTGTCGTCATGGCGATGAACCCACAAAGATGAGTCGCGACTTCGCTAAGTCGTTACTCCGCAAAAACAAGAGCCGAGATTGAGCTGGTAGGTAGTGAGGTGAGTTGACGTGGGCGTTTATCCAAGGTTTTCCTGGGGTAATTTCTCCGGTCGAAGCTGGGGCTCGGCAGAGGCATCGGCAATGCTTGGACTCACCTAAGCCTCACTTTTGCTCCCATTCAACCTCATTGTCGTATGCGAGACAATCAGGTAGACAGTGATGGTGAATACGTGCAATGACCGCCTTGCTAGCTCGACAAACGAGCGATATAATATTTATGTTGCCCGTGTCGAACGATCGATGTTTCATGCCACTAACTCAGTCTTGTCATTGCCTCGTCCGTCGAAAATAACCAAATCCTTCAAGTCTAGTAACGTCAAACTGACCTAGCCGAGCCATGGAGGACACCGACAACCCAGAGGACGTCCAAGAAAGCAATATCGCTACGCAGGACGACGAAAAGAAGTCCACCGATTCCGTCGAAGCCAAGAAGTCACAACCCACGAACACGCAACGATTCTATCTCACCAGAGGCAACAGCGCCATTCAAGCTTTCAACGACAGGAGATGGAAGGCCTGCTATTCAATCAGTACCGAGCTTCTCGCCGATCCGAGACTGCCATCCTTCTGGCGCGCCCAATGCAACTTGTTGATGGCCACCAGAGATGATCCGACGGCTGTCGAGTACGCCAAGTCTGCTGTCAAGTGGGCGGATCGTGTTCTGGAGCATAAACCGACAGATGCTGCTCTTCTGAAGATCCGCCGCGAGGCACAGTCCATTCTCGACGACCAGCCAGACACTGCTGAGGACGCCGGCACTCCCGATCCCCCACCCAAGAAGTAGATCGCAGATGAGAAGCACTATGCAGAGGTACGGAATTGAGGATGACGAGGGAGCTGGTGGACATGATACGATTGCCAGAGCGACATTCCTGAGCTCGTATACGGGTATCTTGTGGCACAGACGCTTGAACGCTTCAAATCAAATCTGAACAACACCACGACTCATTTCCAGACATTGTCCTCCTCGCCGTACCGTCCTCCATTGCTGTTCGAGGCCTTTCCTTCATCTTCCTCGTCTGACACAGCATGCTCGGGCGGAAGATGATCTGCTGGGACCTTGCTTGGGTCATATCCCGTCGTACGAATCTCTTGGCCTGCTTCCTCTCCGTCTACCGAATAGGTACGAACGAAATGTCTCACGTTTTCGTCCTTATTCCACCGATCTCCGCCTTCTTTCCTCGCACGGACCCGCTCCGCTTGCTCAGCTTCGTGGTCTTCTACAACCAGATCCACGAGCTGATCGGTGTCGGTCGTTGATTCGGGAAGTTCCTGAATACCCTGCTCCTCGGGATGTTGGTCTTGCCGTAACTTGGACTCGATGCCGCCACGACTGCCCTTGGAAGAGCTGCTCCTCTCCTTCCCTTTGTGAATACTTTCTCTCAATTCTCGCTTTCTCCTGCGCTCATGGTCTTTGGTGGGCTGAATCAGGTGACGATTCGTCGATGTAGTCAACAGATGCGGATCTCTTCTCATCCAATCTTCTCTTGACGCTTCATGAGCAGTCACAACAGGATAGTTCCAGTCGCCGAACTCCAGAGCTCGAGCATTAGCGAAGAGCCTCTCATCTTCAGCATCGATAGCAATCTCAATATCCGGCTCAGCTGCGCGATAGTCGATGGCTCGACCACGAGCTTCCGGCGCAGGAGGGTTGTTGCTGCCAGCTTTCGACAAGAGTGGTGTCTTGCTGTTGGGAGCCGATTTCGGTATCCAGTATTTGCCCTTCCCACCTCTCTCATATCGCATACCATCTTCCATCCGAGCTATGCGGGAGTATGACTCCTCATGGGCGATGATGTGATCGCCTGAGTCGAACGAGCGGTAGTCGTAGTGCTTGCCTCGGAAGGTCTCTTTGGTGTCCTCGATCAAGTCTCGAATCCCGTAGCTGTCCCTGAATGCAAACCTGACGGGCATTCGTGCCGAAGAGATGGTCACGTCGGCATAGTCGTGCCAAGAGAATGCATACCAGTGTCCAATCGCGAAGAGCGGCATCTCGAAACAGATGAGTGCGTCCTGTATAGCAGCGGCTAAGTTGTCTGCGGAGTAGCCAGGAACATCATTGGGAATGGCGCCGAGGAACTGCAAGATGGACAAGAAGAAGCCTTGCCAATAAGAAGCAAAGATAATGAGCTTGATGCACAAGAACTTTGGCATAGGTCGAAAAGGCTGAAGATCATCAGACATGCAGACCCAGAACATGGCGAGTGCGTACAAGCTGATAGTGATGGAGACGTTGTAAACGATACCAGACCACAGATAGCCAGAGTCTAGACTGAGATAGCCCTCCTTGTAGGTGTTTGTCAATTTGAAGACGATGGTTGAGACAGCCAAGACGGGCTTCAGGTACGCATACTGCAGAATGCCTCGCTTGATGGCAAGGAAAGTATGCGGGTCCGAGATGTCGACCTTCGAGAAGTACAGATTGAGAGGCCAGGGGTGAGACACCGGAGCCCGGCCATGCATCATAATGATTAAGGACCTTTCACCCCCAATGAAGTTGACCAGCAGCTGTAAGAAGGTATAGATGGTGAATGCTTCGTAGACGTCTCGGAGAGGATCGAGATAGAACGCGGCTTTGAGTGAGACGACTGAGGCCCATGATGCTGCCGAGTATATCGGAACCATGAGCAGTATTCTGACCACATACCGTTGTAATAGCGGTTTGCGATAGTCTGTATGCACGTGTCAGTTCTGGGTCGAGTATTGATAGGCACGGACCTACTCTTCAGTTGTAGCCAGATCGATAGGAAGGAGATCAGACAGGCGACAAGGGCGGCGACACCAGCGACGATGATGGTGGCTTTTGTGAGCTTGCTGCCAGAGCCTGAGGGGTCTGATTCCTCGCCCGTGGCATGCATTGGACTGTGTGTTGACATGGCGATCATGGTGTGCCTGTTGTGCCGATTGTGGTGATACTACCTCAGCATCTTGCTACTAATGCACTGATCAAGACCGGCAGACACAGTTGTGTCCTGGAGAGTCGTAGTGTACAAGTTTCTGTGGAATTGAGGTATGGTCGTTGCCTGTTGAAATGCTCGTCATGAGGCAACGAACTCTTTGCATGCGCTCCGTCATTGCATTGGAGTCCTGCCGATAGACTACGGCGAACGATGCGACTCAGCCCTGCCATCTGACCCTGACCCCGGTCGCTCTTGCTGTGGAGTGACGCCCAATCGCCCGTCACCTTCCTCTCAGTCACACACCGCAGCCACGGCCAAACCTCGACATTCACCCAAGCCGGGAGCCCGCAGACAGTCAGGACCATTCTTTTCCCCATTAACAAGTCTAGCGACGGCAGCCAAAGTGCAGTCGTAGTTGTGCCGACAACGCGCGATCCGTACGAGGATAACCCTTCCGAGACCTGAGGGCCGGCGCGAACCATCAATTCGAGAGCCCAGTGCAGCGACTAGCGACTACTGCACTGCATACGCCAGTCAGGGCACCTGCAACCTAAGCTCGTGTAACCGCGCCACGCAGAACAACCTTGCAACCCCATTCAAGCCTCGTGCCTCTCTTCGCGACCATCACTCCCCACCTTCTACATTCCTCGAGCCGCGGAAGCGTTCCCACGATATCAATACCTCGAACGGCGCGAGCAAGAGCGCGGCTACAAGGCGCATATCTACGAACATTTGAGGATCACAGCACCGCCGTCTGCACACGAGTCGTGGATGTAGTCGACGGCTCTGCTTGTTCAGGAAGTGGCCGCCGCTGGCCATGGATCCTTGAAGGCGCATCACGCACAAGATGTCCCGCTCGACACAGACGATCTCGCGACCACACAAACGTCCTCGACAAGAGATCGACTCTGCCGTAGCCAGATTGAACGCGCGCATCCTCCGCTTGTCGGAGCACACACTGCCGAAACAACCATATCTACTCTCCGTCCCATCAGACGTCCCATACAGACACAGCTCGCGCTTTGTGCAGACCTGGCATGTGGGGACCCCGTTCGATCGTCGCGAAGAGCAACTCCAGTACCTTAGCTTCCTACCACACAACGGACCACTCGAGGACCTGCTGAAGGTTGAAGGCGGTTGGGCTGACGACGACGGGACCTTCGTTAGCGAGAGGGAGCGCACAGCACCGCCGCCGAGTGCACCAAACACTCCGCCTGGTCAGGCCAATCGCAAAAAGATCAGCCTGAAGGAGTACAAGAAGGAAAAGGGCCACAGTGAGACAAGCATTGTGCCTCCAAAACCAAAGGTCGAGCCCAAGTCGGAGAAGCCGCTGGAGCTCAAACGAGAGAAGACCCCGCTAGAGGTCAAGAAAGAATTGGAGTTGCTGGACGTGAAGCGGGAGCAAAAGCCAAAAATGCCGTCGCGGTCACCAGAACGACGGGAGATGAAGCCTGAACGAGGCAGGAGCCCAGTTCGCGCTGCCGACAGGAAGCCCGCAATCTCTATGTTAGATGGAACCACTTCACCAGCTCTGAAGAGAGAGGATGACTCCAGGCCTGCGAAGAAGCGAAAGCTCTCTGGATCCCCGCCACCGAAGCCAGAAGCGGACAAGTCACTGCCGCCAAAGAGGTTGCCGAAGTTGCTGTCGCCGACCCTGCCATCATCGCCACAGAGAAATAATGAGCTTCCAGAGCTGCTTTCGCCTCTACTGCCCCCATCGCTAATGAGAGCGCTGGCGACACCACCTTCGTCAAGCAGGAGCGATTCAGCCAACGCCCAGAAACGATCAGACTCTGTGAGGTCGATTCTTGGCGCAATCAACGAGGATGGACCACGCTCTACCGACAAGAACAGCCTGACCGTTGGTGCTGCTGGAAACCGAGTTCGTTCTGATAGTCAGCACTCGGCTAGAAGCGCTGCGTCGCCTTCCAGCAAAGTCCTCTCGCGGCCTGGCATCGAAGCAGGTGTGAGCACTCCTAATCGAAGTCCTGGACCTCGGCAGCGGCATACGATTGCATTGAAATATGGAAAGAAGAATAGTAAACGAGTCCAGGCACTGCTCAGATTCCCGTCTCGACCTGTCAAAATCCCTACAAAGACCGTACCTCAAGAGGAATCTACCAAGTTAGATGCCAAGCCTCTACCACCCAGAGAAGCGCCCAGGGAGCCGCCGAAGGTCAAAGCGGCCCGAGATCCAAGTCCAGATCGGCCTGTCCCAAAATCGAAGCCACCACTCAGTGAAGCTATCAAAAGACCAAGCACGCCGTTGACGAACGGCTTTCGAGATCCTAAGCGAGCTGCAAGTCCCGCAATGAAGACCATTGCAGCTACGCCCAAGAAGGAGCTGAAGTCTTCGGCGATGCGGCGAGTCGAGTCTGTTGAGGGAGTCGACCCTTCCACGCCTGGCGGCAAGCCGAGAGAGTCTACTCCAGCCAGTGTCGAGCGCTCCCGCATACCAAAGTCTTCGCCTCTACCCAACGGGCCTTCCACGCACGACCACAGTGACCGACATGCGTGGCAGCAATTCGAAAAGGAACGCGACTATTTCACCTTTGCCCGCAACCTCAAGCACGAAGGTTCCAAACTTGCTGATCAAGCAAAGAGCCTGACTGACATGCACAAACCAATTCTCCTCTTGATCGAAGCCCTCCTTGGCTTTATGCTCAATACTGCCGTCCAGACCCAAGTTCGACCCCGTACAGACCTCTGGACCAGCATACTAGGGTACTACAAATTCATTCACGCGAGAACGAGAGAGTTCCCTCACCTTCATGGACTAGTCGTTCAGCTAGGCGCCGTCTGTCGACAAGCCATCCACAAGGCGAATCTAGAACGTCTAGCCCGCGACCCGCTACCTAGTGACGAACACGCGGGGGCGGCTCCTACGCCAGGCAGTGACGGGACGACCAAGACTGGCGCCGAGGACGCGGAGGGCTCTAAGAAGAAGTACCTCGCCTTCCGCGACGAGCTGATCGATAATGCCAACGAACTACAGACCGCGTGGCTGAATGGGTCCCGACTGCTGAGTACGGAACTCTTGCAGAAGGAATACCAGGAGACGTGGCGTGCACGAATCAAGGACTTCGAGCATAGAGGTGTAGACAGGCACAAGCCTGTACGCACAGGCAATGACGCTAGTAGTGGCGAGTGGGTTCTGGCGAAGGGCTACTATCTGCCGCTAGACCCCGCGTCCAGTGCGTTTGAGGCCGTCGAGTATGCGCTCAAAGTGATGGGTGAGTGGGCAGATCGGGAGGATGTAGATTGGAGGGCGAGGCTGCAGTTGTAATTGTCGCATTGGAGAGAAATGCGTGGAGGTGGGTTGAGATGTACGTGGAAATGAACATAGGTCACATACAAAATTCCGGGCTTGAGACAGTGAGATGCTAGGTATGCCTGCCTTAGCTACGTACATATGGCCCCTGACGGCGATTCGCATCTGTGGTGTACTCAATATCCCAGTTCTCCCCAAATTCCACCGTGTGGGGAAGCCATGAACGCACGAACTGTCGCCACCATAACCCCATCCCGTCCCGCGCCTTTCGCCCACGTCAGATAATCAGAAGGACCCTGCTGCTCATCTACCGCAAACAATCTCTCGAAGTGCGCACGATGCTGCTTCGCAACATCACGAGGCACTCCACCACGATAGTTGGGGTAACGGTAGTGTTCTTTGAAAGTCACGTCGACGTGGTGAGCCAGAACATGACGTGCAATCTGGCGAAAGGACTTGGACACAAGGAACAAGCCAGGAACCCAGTCTAGACTGTCTAGGAGCACATGGCCATGGGCATGTGGCATCCATTTGTACTCAATTTGCTCCCAACCAACTGATCGAGAAAATTCGTCCACGTGGACTTTGTGCGGTAACGTGAAGGTGATAATTCTCTCCAGGATCTCGGGTGGCATGCTGGCGAGGTTGGGTTGGGGCCTGTCCTGCGGGCGAGAATGTTAGCGACGAGGCACACAAATGGGGCATGATTTCGAGGCGGCTCACCCAGAATGGCGTGGAGGTGACTTGAAGCATGTCGACTGTCGACTATCGCGGTACACGCAAACGATGTAGAGTTTTTTGGCGCGATAAAACCAGTGGAAGTTGTAAATGTGCGGGCTGAGGAATATATTCTTCAAGTGAAGGCCGGCCCTTGATCAAGCCGGGTGACAAGTGCAACGGTCAGAATTGCAGTGCACAAAAGGATGATTTTATTCCGACAACATTGGCCAGGTGGGCATTACCATGACTCGTAAGCTCAGCACAAGTTGTGACTCTCTCAAAAGAGATAAGTGGACCATTCAATAGACCGAGTCGAGAGCTTTCATTCTGTCAAGCAATGCTTGGTACTTCATGCAAGCATGGATCAGATCGACCTAGCTAACAAGAACATCCCATCCCGTTCCCTCCAGCTGGATCCTCACCTCCCCGCCTCCAAAGCCATACCTCCTTCTGACCAGCTCGAAGATGATAAGCCCTGCACTCGTGCTCGGGACCTGGCGCAGCGTATTCCACCAGAAGTTCCGATAAAGGTATCGCCACATCCCAACCGTGGTCCCACTGCTGGGAAAGGCTGAAGCAGCCTCGGCACGTGTCTCACGGAGTGTTGATAGATACGCGCGGTAGTAGGCGCGCAGCATTCGGCCGCGGGACTCGCTTGGCTGAGTGGAAGTTGAGGAGTATTGTTTGGCGAGAGAGTCGAGGTGCTCGAGGCGGGCGTAGTGATGAGTCTGGAGATTGGTGAGCGGATGTAGAATGGTTTGCTGAGTTAGAGAGGCGAAAATGCCAGCGGCGAAGAGGAAGGAGGGCTCGAGGGCGAAGTGGGGGCGGATTGTCGATGGTGATGATGATGAGGTGAGAGGAGCGGTGGGAGATGATCCGGCGGCTGTGGCCAGGCGACCTTTCTTGGATGCGATACTATCGAGGGCGACCTCACCGAGCGAGCCATAATACCAGGTCAAGAAGCGGTAGTAGGCTTGGGATTTGGTGTATTCGAAAGTGCAGAAGAAGATGCCGCTTCCCAGGGAGTCCTTGACGAATGAGAGACCCCATCCAGCAAATATGCCTCGCATGCCTATCTCCCGCAGCTTTTCGTGGGAGTATTGCCAGACTGTCTTCCCATTATAGTGTTGACCTTCCCTTCGGTCGAAGCGTACTTGTAGAGCGTCGAGTGGCGCCGCTATGAAGGACTGGATACCGCCAGCAAGGAACCCTGCAGAGAAGGTCGCGGTTGGCGAGGGCGGCGGATAGACAACTTTGCTGGCTTTGCTGGAGGGCTCGTGCAGGCGGCCGAGGACCTGAAGGTACGAAGTGTAGAGAGCTGCTCCGATAGTCGCATTGGCGAGAAGCGGAGGCAATATTTGGTCTGGGATAACCTTCCAACCGTACTGTCGAACAGCATATGCCAGGATGCCGGGCGTCGTCGCTCGCCACGAGAACTTGCCGGACTGTGCGTGAGGGTTCAGAGACCTGGCGTAGGCGAGGTAGTCAACCCTGGTACGGAAGAATGCTTTTACGGGAGCTCGAAAGTAGAATGCTACGGCCTGGGCCGTAAATGCGCGTACGCCAGCTGCGGACGCGCCTGTGGCAGCATTGTTGCGAGGCTCTTTTCGAGGACGCTCGTGGCCTGGCGGTGTCACGGGCAGAATGCCAATACCCTCGATCCCCTCGAAGTCAGTTGGGTCCGTGTCATCCAGGCCAGGCATTGACGGGTGCTGATGCCATCTCAACGAGACATCCCCACAAGGTCCGACGGGAAAAGGCTCACAAATGCTGGTGGAGGTAGGAACGGAGCACAGGTGCAGGCAGGCACAGCAGGTATTTCTGGAGGATAGGTGCGGTCAAGCTTCGGATATGACATCCGAGAAGACCTCACCCTCGCTGTCCAGACAGGTGTACTCTCTGCCTTCTTTATGACATTTTGGAATCATGGTACGCCTCTGTTATCTGGCCAGGGAGGGGGCTGTACCAGCTCGGCATTCGAGACCTCTCCGGAACAGTTGCTTAACTCGAGACTGATCGTCTGGAACAAGCAGGAAGTTGCGTCACAGTGAGTCGTACTTGCTCGCTCAAATCAGGCTTGGCAACCACGGTAAGTGGCAGGCATCATGGATGACTGACGATGTTATGGCACACTGCAAGAGCTTGACACGGAAGTCGCCTCCCACATCTATTGTGTTGTTTACTTTGCTTGTCATGCATGACCTCTTTCTTCTCCACCACACTAGTACGCACAATCTCTACATTCATTCTTTCGTTCAAGCATCGACACATACCCACCATCTGTCCACAGACCCAGGATGAGTCGAGCTAACAACCCGGTGCCCTCCGGGTATCAGGGTCTGACTGCGCTCCTACAATCGCCCGAACGAGTATGTGAGAAATCTTTTGATTCGTTGGGAAGTTCGTTCATCAGGCAGGTAAGAAGTCCATTCATTAGCTCTAGTGTCCAACATAGAGGCAGTAGCATTGATGTAAGGCACTCATTAGCTTCACTTCCAACCAGCATCGTCACTCGTCCTCTCAGTCACTATACTTTGACCACCTCTGCCCAGGTAATTCGCTGACTGCACCCACCCTCACGCTGCTTGCCTCCTTCTCGACGGGCTGTTGCCCAAAGCCAAGCGGTGTAGCTGGTCCGCTACGCATTTCCGCTCGTCGGTCGGTATACTGTGGCAGTTCCGCGACGGCACCACCAGCAGTCTTGTCGTTATAGTAGCCCGGCTGCAGGCCGTATGGCGGTACGGCTGTGGTGTTCGTCGTCATGGTCAGCGTCGGGCTAGACACGTCGGACATGGATGGTTTGGTTGCGTGGTGGTCATGAGGGCTGGTATTGTCAGGACCGTCCGCTGACTTGAGCTGTGCTTGTTGCGCTTGCTGCTGCCGGCGGCGTCGCATTAGGAAGAATATGGCGGAAGTCAGAAGCCCTGCGATCGCGACGGCACCGACTGCGATGCCCGCTTTCGCGCCCGTGGACATTGGGGCGGCGGCTGGTTCTGGCGTTGGGGTGCTGGATGCTGCGGGCGCGGTTGCGTTGGAGGAAGGAGATGAGTCCAAAGCTGCTGTTCCGATTCCGGGCGGTGTTGGCGTGCTCGAAGTCCCTGTTGTTGCCGATGTCGCTGCCGATGTCGAAAGCACTAAGACGCTACTGCTGGTCATGCTCGGCTGTTCCACACCATCGCAAACCCCGTAGTCCTTCTGGCATCCCTCACCCGCGAAGTCCGGGCCGCTGCCGCAGAAGCCGTTCTTCGAGCAGCTGTCGCCAAACGTTGAGTTGGTGCAGATCTGCTGCTCCGGGTCGGTGGCACCGCAGTCGCCATTGATGGAGATCGAGGCGGAGGAGTTGCCGAACGTGCAGGTGCCGTAGGCGGACTGGCAGTCGGCGGCGCAGTAGGCTGGGTCGGAGCCGCAGAACTGGGGGAGGGAGGTTAGTGGTTGTGGGAGAGAATGGCATAGGGATGGAAAGGGAATGGGATGGCTGCGTACGCCTTTGCCTGAGCAGCAGTCGCCGTATCGGGAGCCTAGACAGGTCTGGCTGAAGCTGGCGCCACAGTTGCCGTCCTCAGAGACTGAAAGTTGGGCGTTGATAAGCGGCGCGAAGAGGGCGAGAAGCACGTATGAAAGCATTGTGGTACGGCGCGGCATGTTCACAGGAACCCTAGGATGAGCCGGGAGGCTCGAGTCTCGTGGATGAGGTCGAGTCTGAAGTCAATTCCGGGGCGAACGTAGAGGTAGAGTCTCTGATGTTTGCTTTTGCTTCTATACAGAAGGTGCCAGGAAGTGAACGGCCAGGGCAAGTCCTTGTCTATAACACTGGCAAGATCCACTCACGCCACATAAGTCGACGGCATCGAGAGAGGAGAGTGGCATGGAGCTGTGTTTCAAGAAAGATGGCATTTTGCTTCCTGCGTGATCGACCACGGCATGTTCCGGTCCAACTTTCTCGGTCTTGCACAGGATGCCTCACAGAAGACAGGCTGGCCATCGCATAGACAAGTGCACGACAGTCGCATGCAGCCGAATTGCTTTGGGGACAACCACCCATTCAGGAGGCGAGATTGCCTACCGTTGATGCATTCAATCAAGACCAAAGGATGTAAGTTTCTTGGCCGGTACCTTTAGCCGATCATCTACTGGGATCGTAGGTCCCAAAGCTGCGGAAACGAATCTGTACGAGGGTTCTGATTCTCCTGAATGGTGTTAGTTTCACAGCACTTTCGTGCATTCGGCTAGCATTTTGACACTTGTTTGAGGATTGTGGATGCTGGCGGCTCCTTCGACGCTCGGTATCGTCTGCCGTAAGGTCCTCGTCGTTTAGATAAGCTGGTCCTTGACTGCCATACCTACTCGTTGGTTCCAACACTTGCGGCGAGAACAGGTTCGAGTCAGGAGAGGACATGCTGCTAAGATGTGTTCAACATTGGCCCTCGACCGGTCACATCGGCAAGACCCAAGCAGAACCTGCAAATCTGTGCCGAGAGGCTAGTCAACGGCCGCGATTTGACCGAATCAAATTGGCACCGGCATGTTCCAGGTGATCCTTTCCGGCTCGGCAAGCACAAGTTCTCGAAACATTTCAATTGACATGAACGTCAGGACCGTCTCAGACATTCGTTAGCATCACGGTAGACGCAAATTCGTGGACTGCCCTCTGATCGGCCGATAGTCATGCAGACGATGTGAGTGGGTTGTGAAAGAGAGGGGATATAACGGGTGTCGCCAAGATAAACTGGCAATACTCGCCGTCGTCACGTGAACACAGTCGACAGCACTGCATTTTGATTCTGAACTTGGAGGACTTGATCTCGAACTTGGGCTTGATGCTGTGAGCGCAAAGTAGCACGCCTGTCACGATGTGTCTGGTCCAAGGCGACAGACCTTGCGGACAGTTCCATTTGTGCTTTCGGGCGACATCCAAAAGGCGCAGAACACTGTGCTTGTCTCGTTGGACGGCAATGGCGCTCGAGGGTCAAGCGGTCGTCATTGCGACTCCCCAAAGGCTTCGAGGCTCGCCCCAGCAAGTAGCAGCAGCAGCTAGCTTGGCATGGCAATCAGCCTCAGCGTTCAAGATCTTTGTGGGAGAGAAGACGCTGAACACAAGAAGGCAACATGATCTACTCATATCTCTCGTCAGAACGAAATCAAGACGAGCGCACGTGACTGACTCAGACGAGCGGTAGTTACTGTTGGGTGCATGATTCAAGAGCAGGCTGCTTGAACTTCCGGCAGGAGCACAGTCCAAGCGAAGAATGCCGTAGTAGCGTGCATCGAGCTCAATTGCTGGCGTCATTCATGGTTGTAACATCGGCTTCGCGAATGACGACCCATTAGATTGGACTACTCTTCAACGATCAAGTAGACCGGCTCACTTCATGCGAAACCATATCCCCACGTCCCTCCAGACCTCTAGCCATCCTGGCATGATGCAAGCGATGTTTGCTTGCTTGTCGCGATTCCGTGCGGACGAGTGCATACTGCATCGGTGGATTGTAGCCTATAATTTCGACATTCAACGGTCCCATCGCCTCAATGAAGAGACCCAACGGGAGAGGAACTTCCTACAAGGCATTTGGTCTCCAGAACCGCGAGCCTAGAAGACTCTTGGCAGCTGTATCGCTATCGATGAGCAATCTGCTGTGGCATTGGTACTGTTGTAATTTTTGATCTGAAGAGAAGAAAGAGAAGAGTTGTTTCTGGTGGAGAGAAATTTGTAGGGTAGTGGCTGCTCGCGGAGATAAGGAGATAGAGTGACTTGGCAATGGTCGTCGCGACGTTCAACTTCGATGTCTGTAGCAGTGTCATGCGCTTTGCCCGATGACCCTAGATACCTCTCCCACCGTCAACCTCCTGGGTCTGCTTCGCAATGTCTCTCTGTACAGCATCGAGAACGGGTGGAGCATTTAAAGTACCTCTATTTCTTGCGCCGGCATTCTCGGACTGTGCTGCAAGAGCTCACCCCAAGCCGTCGCGATCATTCAGCACAACACCGCTTGCAGCCTCGAGACGACTATCGGGTTCCAACAAGCAAAGAGGAGTCTCGGCCATTCGCAGCAAGAACCCCAAAAGAAAGACGGAAGTCTACAAATACCCGCTCCCCGTACCTGTGATCGAGCCCGAGCGACGAGCAGCCTTCAAAGCCCGACCGGATCATGGACTCTGGGGGTTCTTCGACAAGGATCGGCAGCCGTTGTTGACCCCTGCGAAAGAGACTGCTCACGGCCGCGCTTGGGAAGTGTCAGAATTGGCCATAAAAAGTTTTGGCGATTTGCACAGGCTGTTCTGGGCGTGTGTACTGGAGCAGAATCGCATTGCGACGAGAAGAGGTGAGCTGCACAGAACAAGAGCTGGATATGGGGAAGCTGAGATGTCAGGAAGAATTGAAGTTGTAAGTCATCTCCTTCACCTGTATTTCGCCTGCTCGATCCCCTGATGAGATACAACTTTCACTCGCCGATATGATCGCTCGGACCGCTTAAATCCTTGCGCACCTGAACACGCTTAAGTTCCTGAATCATATGATCCACAACGATACACATCGGAAGCTCGCTCTCGGACCTGTATACTGACATAGCAAGGTTCGGACCACTATGAGCAATATACGGAAGACCCTCAATGAAAGATATTCAAGCTGGCTGGAGGCGAAAGCTATTCTGAGCCAGAAATCACTTTCAGAACTACGACTTCGTCGGATAAGCAAAGACTAAGAAGCGGAGGCCTGTTCTGCGGCATGGCTGTCGGTAATGATGTCGGCACAGCTGTACGAGCTGGAGGGGCAAATGTCATGGTCAGAAGATACCCTAGTCTGTGGACACCAGGCAGCACTGTATTTTGTGGCAGCGGTGCGGCAAAGGACCTGTGAATGATCAATGAGCTGAGCGCGTCAAGAAACACGAGCACTTATTGCATTTGGATTGCCAGCCTCGCAAGGCTGCAGCCAATGACGCTAATCCAACTTCCATTGTTGTACTGTTCACCGATTCTGAAGTCCCTCGCTATTGCCGCTTGACCCCTCAAGTCTTGAGATCGTAGTAGTTGCTATCATTCAAAGTCGCAATCATGGACGAGATCGCGCCCGAATACGACGTCGTGGTCCTCGGGACTGGTAAGCCTACATCCATCTCGGTGACCCCGCCGGCATGCCCCGCCGACTTGAATTGACTGACTCGCCGCAGGCTTGACTGAATGCGTGCTCTCTGGGTATGTAGCGTCCACGGCCTGCCTTTGAGGCCTCCATCTGATAGGAAATAGCGTCCTCAGCGTGAAAGGCAAGAAGGTCTTACACATCGATCGCAACGATCACTACGGCGGGTATGTTACTCATGCATGGGCTTAGGTATGTGCTAACGCTGCATTAGCGAGGCTGCTTCCATCAACATCGAGACTGTACGTTCAATCGCCTGCTGAACCTCTGCCTCTGACAAAATCTAGCTATTCAAGAAATATGGGAACTACAAACAAGGCGAAGAGCCGTGGAAGAAATATGGCCGGGTCAACGACTGGAACGTCGACCTCGTACCAAAGCTCCTCATGGCGAACGGCGAACTGACCAACATCCTCGTCTCTACAAATGTCACAAGATACCTTGAGTTTCGGCAGATCGCAGGCAGCTTCGTACAACAGGGTTCCGGACCGAGGGCTACCGTGGCCAAAGTTCCCTCGACTGCAGGCGAAGCCCTCAGCTCACCTCTGATGGGTCTATTCGAGAAGAGAAGAGCGAAGAAATTCCTGGAATGGGTCGGCGCATATGAGGAGAGCAATCCGAGCACACACAACGGTAGCGTCCGCATCCGTTTGAGGAACAGCGCTGATGGGAGACAGGCCTGAACATGAACACAGCTACCATGAAAGATGTCTATGACAAGTTCGGTTTAGAGGCAACGACCAGAGACTTCATCGGCCACTCAATGGCGCTCTACAGCACCGACGAATACCAGACTGCCCCAGGCATGGCTTCAGATGCCGTGACCCGCATTAGGCTATACGCTAACTCAATGGCTCGATATGGCAAATCGCCTTATATCTATCCTCTGTACGGCCTCGGCGAGCTCCCACAAGGATTTGCTCGACTCTCTGCAATCTACGGTGGCACGTACATGCTCAACACGTCTATCGACGAGATCACCTACGAGGGAGGCAAGGTGTCTGGCATCAAGGCTACCATGAAGGAGAGGGGCGAAGAAGGCGATGGCATGAAGTTCAGTACAAAAACGAAAATGATTCTTGGAGATCCGTCGTACTTTCCAGGCAAGGTCCAGGTCGTTGGGCATCTCGTCAAAGCCATCTGCATTCTCAACCACCCAGTCGACAAGACAAACGACTCGGACTCGTTCCAGTTGATCATCCCTCAATCGCAAGTCGGACGCAGACATGACATCTATATCGCTGCTGTCTCATCAGCTCATAATGTCTGCCCACGAGGCTACTATATTGCTATCGTCAGCACGATCTCCGAGTCCCCTGCCAACCACCACCTTGAGCTGCAGCCCGGTCTCGAACGACTTGGAAGGATCGAAGAAGTGTTCACTGGTAAACCCATCCCCATATACGAGCCTCTGGAGAGCGGCGTCAATGATCGCATTTTCATATCGAAGAGCTACGACGCAAGCTCGCATTTCGAAACGACGACCGATGATATCAGAGACATCTACCGGAGGGCCACTGGCGAGGAATTGAAAGTGCAGGGACTTGCAGAAGGTCAATCATTGACGGAGCAAGAATAGATACCATTTAGCTGGACCGCAAGAGACACATGCGACAGTTGGCGTTGTTGGTACATATTTTAATGTTGCAGTGGCATTAATTCTGCCCATTGACCACCTGCAAACGTCGGCAGGAGTGACTGCATACCCTCCCTATACATCTTCGCCCGCTAAGGTCCGACCGGATACCTCGTTCTTGAGGCCGAGTGCTGGTGGATTCGGGTGCAAAGGTGGTGGTCGTAGGGTGCGAAAGTCGCGCCCAATCAGGGATCCCAAAAGCAGATCTCTAGGCTCTGAACGAGGCGTCAGGCAACCAAAACTACAGTTCCTGCTTCTAAATCTAGAGTGCTTACAACGCCGTCTCGCGGCTGAGCTAGCCTTAGTGACCACGGACCGCATCAAGAGGCCACGGCATCTTCCTTTTCCATCATGTCTATAACACCACATCGAGGACGTCGACGCGTGTGCTCGCAGCCATGACGAGCTGGCTGCACCGCTTGCGCACAGAGATCGCGCCCACCCAGCAGCCCCAAACGACCACGACTCCACAGACGCCTTTGACGCCTCGGGCCGCAGCGCGAACCAGAGACCCAAACACTACTCGATTCAACATCAACCAGAAATGCATCTACGAGCGTCGCCTTCCTGGCGGAAGTTTTATTACCGCTCATATACAACGGCTACAGAGCGGCTACTATGATTCGCCCCTCATCCATGAGGACCGGATCGAAAATGTAAGGCTAGTTGCGATCAACTTTGTCTTTCACCCGAGTCGAAGTCATTTCCGCTTCAAGTCCGCAGAGATCAGTATAGCCTTGCATCGAGATGGCGACGAGGGGCGGCCTGATATTGCTATACCTGTCTCATTGCGGAAGCTAGCAACTGACAGTCAAAGCTCTGGCTCCTTGCGCCACGAGCCTCGAAACGTCGCCGGTGCCTACGACTCGCAAGCTCTGATTCACACACCCGGTACCAAGGCGGCTGGCTACCAACGGCAAACCCAGCACTCAACGCCTCCCCGGTTCCTTCGCCATGCACCGCATCTACTGTTCGGAGCTATCTCTCCAGAAACACTGGATTGGAACTTCAATCTGGCAGGCAGCCTCGGTGTCACGCAAGGTCCTGCTACTGCAAGCTTCAATCCTTCGGGAGGCTGGAAGGGAAGCTATAAGTTGTATGAAATGATGCGGATTCAAGGCTCAGTACGAGCACTGCATCGCTGGTTCGATCAAACGTACGATATCGAGGATGGGCAAGTGGTGTGGACGCTCGAGGAGAATCGTTTGCAGAAGAGCGGTCTGCCTCGAGAATTTACCTTTGTCTTGCTCCTGACTAAGGGCAGTGATGATGTCGCGGACGGTCTGGGTCACGTCAAGCTGGATCTCGACATCAAGCCGGTGGTGTCTGGGTTCATGGGGATCAGCAACGCGAGCTTTCCTAGTCCGCTTACCAAGACGTTGCGCTATCAGCCTCTTCACAAGGACCTGGTCAATCTTGATGTGGATGTTGGACAAAGGTTCGAGCCTGAGATCTCCGGCCAAGGTTTCAATTTCGCTTTGTTGGAGGACGATTTTGATCAGTTTGTGTGGCTGCCTGGCACGACTTGGAGCACGAAGGAGGGTGGCACGACGAAGGAAGAGGCTAATGGTCAGACATCGTCTGCTATTGGTGCTGAAAAGTCGCCAGACGGCGATCGGAAAGGCCAGGGCAACGCGAAGCTGAAGCCTGCGACCGTTCCGCCTCAGCTCTCGTTATTGGGTACTGCCGACAACACGTTGAACCTACGTGTCATTCTAGACTCGGCTCGTGGCAGTCCGATACCAGCACTCCCGTTCAGCAATCTGAATCTCAAGACTCAACCTCCTTACCCGTCCAGTCGAGGCCCATCGCCTGCAGTCCTGGCTCCAACGTCAATCACGTCGTCCAGACCGTCACAGTCGGACTCGAAGCGCCGATCGATCACCATCGTCTCTGAAGCCAGGCCTTCCGGCAGTCATCATTCGCCGCAGTCGCCGAAGCTATCCAGCTCAGGACCAGGACTTGATTCGACAGGTGACCCGCTCACCGACTCTGCGGCGGCGCACCTCTAGGTCATCGCTTGACAAGGAGTTTCGGTCTTCGCCCACAGCACCGCGACAGAGTACGGAAAGTAAGCACGAACGACCATCAACCATGTATGAGCCATCTCTGCAACCCTCTTACGCAGTGCATGAGCAAAGGCGGCGACCAGTCTCATGGTACACTCACAGCTCAAGTCCTCCGCCGCCGCAGACTGCTGATTCGGAAGCCACGGACACCGGGACTGTCGTCCACAATCCGCCTCATGCGAACAATAGGAATGTGGCAGATCGACGTACATCACACCAGAGCGAGCGGGTACAGACACGACAAGCAAAGGTGACACAGACTCCTTATCCGATCGAGACAGACGTCACAGAAGCAGCACAAGATGCCGCCGCTATCGAGAGACGACCATCTCATCACAGCGAGCGCATCAAGACCCGACAGGCAAAGGTCACACAGACACCGTATCCTGCTGACACTCCAGCCACCGCAAACTCAGGCACTAGTTCTAAAGTTGGCTTGAAGTACGGCGACGAGTCCTCGGAGGACGAAGACATGGACCAACATGCGGACCTAGAAGTTCGCAAGGCCGGGCCAGATGTACCTATCATCGCCGTCCCAAGGAAGAGTTCGAAGCGAGCCTCGAGAGCTCTGCTTGATGCATCAAGCTCAAATGCTAGCTCTACAGCCAGCTCAGCCCGTAACTCGTACAACGCACTTGCCAATGGGATGGATCCAGACACAAACGCCCACTCAGGCTCCAACGCAAGCAGTCATCCGGAAGCAACGAATATTCTCCCGACGTCGCCGACGAATTCCTCCCGCGGAAGCATTATATTCAGGACTACCACAGCCCAGGATAATGACCGCACTCCAACTAATGCTCGACAGACCGGGCAAGCACACGAGTCGATCTGTAGCGCTCCTGCCTTCACTCGGAGCGCAAGCGGCGTCTTTCATGACGCGAGTGAGAATTTGCCCACTGATGAAGAACACGACAAGGTTATCAGAGAGGCAGAAGTGCAGAGGCAGCCTGTTTGGATTTGACGAGGCGGACATGTGCTGAGCAGTCGGATCTTGAGAGGCACACCTCGTGTTCGCATGCAGTGAGATTACACGGGGATGTGGGAAGACAGCAGCACATCTCAGGATGGGAAGGAGCTCTCGTTAGTTGTTCGTGTGAATATGGAAAAGGGGCTTCGGAGGCCCAGACGAGGATGGCAGCCTTTGGCCGGACGCTGTGAAGTGTATATAATTGTCACTGAGGTCGTATGGATATTTGAAGATTTTAGGGCGAGCACGCTGACATTCTTCGTTATTTTGACTTCAAGTCTGAGTCTCAACTGATCATACGCCCTCATCTACTTCATCTCCTCCGCAAACAGTACCCTCATTCCCTTCAACAGCACACCTATCTCCCTCGTCTCATTCAGCCTCCTCACCACCTTATCAACCCTATCACCATCGAGCTTCGGCTTCACGCCCACAACCTCATATGGCTGACTCCCGGAGTCAGGCACCTTGAGCTCGAACACTGCTTCTCGCGTGCCATCTGCAGCTGCAGAAGACTTCGCACCACCCGTCTTTGCGGGGAACAAATAGACGACCTTGACCAAACTCTCATCGCCCGCCCCTTCAAATCTCAGGCCCAGATACGTCTCCCACCACGCCAATTCTGGCCCGTTCAGTGCAGACTGAGAGTCCTGTTTCGCTGCGTACTCTCTCTGCGCGGCCAACTTGTTCTCGATCTGGCGCTGAGTCTGCTGGATCGACTGGCGCAGACGGTCGCGTTGCTGTTGTTGGGAGGATTGGCGCGTTTCGAGGTTGGAGATAGAGGATTGGATCTCTTGTTTTTCGGCTAGTTCGCGGGACAGGAGGTTTTGTTGGGTCGTGAGTTGGGAGGAGAGGGTGGTTATCGTAGTGCGGGTTTGTTTGTTTTCATCTGAGGAGCGTTGTTAGCACGTAGCTCAAGTCATGCAATACCGATGAATAGCGCTTCATATGGTTGTTTGCTTACCTTGTAATTCTGATAGTTTCGCCTTGAAATCGTTGTGCTCGTTCAGAACGCGCTTACGCCCTTGTTCGAGGAACGCATCAAAGCGTAGTGTGAAGTCATTCATACGCTTGCGCAAGTCTTCGAATGGTATGTTGACATTTGGCAATTGCGTGAGATGGCTGTTCTCGTAGTTGTAGCTAGAGGGCGCCGATTGCGACGCTCGGAAGGAGGACGTGGACGCTGAGAATGCGGCAGTCGCCATGTTTGGCAAAATGTGAATGGCTGTGCCGCTGAAAGTGTCGTTCCAAGTACAATATGTCGTGGTTTTGTGAGGACAGTCCGCGCTTCAGATCAATGCCGTGAGCGAGCACGAGTCGCATTCCAACGTTTTGCTATGTCCGGATGGGAAAACCCGGTCGTCAGGCCAACGGCCTGTTCCTTGGCACGCTCTCCCATCCGAACCTTGGGAGGGGCCGACCACGCTCCTGCTTTTCCTCAAGCCACTCTTGCACAGCAGCAGTCAACGAAACTCAAGCCCAAAAGACGCAGAAGGTAGCAAACCGTCTAGTCGCATTTGTTGTGACCACGCTCGAAAGTCATCATCCGGGAGTAGGTCGGCGGCTACTGCTTCATGTCACTATTTCTGGAAGCCGCGCGGAGCAACAGTAGGCGCAATCGTGAAAACGTGAAACTCTGCAGGTCCGACCTTGTTTGATCACACACACGAGTACGCTGCCGAAGAAGCATCGACCGTCGAGATGCTCGCATCAATCGATGCTCACTCTGCCTTCCACAGTGAGGTAAAAAAGCCGCTGCGCGTGAGGACGGTGTCGCTGCAGAACCCTGTGTCATAAGCTGTTCTTCCACGCAAGAATCGGTCGGGTTTTATGTACCGTACCGCGCCTAGTTGACCGTTTGGCCACATTGCGGCCGTCTGTGAGCGCGAATCAACATGCACACTGTTGGCTACGCCCCGGGACTTCTGAAATCACCTCATGGGCCTGCTGTGAGGTCAGCGATTTAGTGGCTCATCGAAATAATGTAAGTACCTCACAGAGAATATAATAGTGTCTAGAGTACACATCAAGCCTATATCTTCGAACAACAGAGGTGGAGGGCATCGTTCTGGCCAATGCAATGCTATTCGGACACCAGCCCTCAAAGGGCATGCACGTCAGCTCCGTCGTGAGCTATCAGGGGAGTGTCTGCGACGAAGATGGCATCAAAACTTCCAGTCACAGATATGAGGTCGTCAGGCGTCACAAAGGCACCATCTTGCTCAGATACTGGATACATGTCATTGCCGTCCTCGCCACCACCGGTATTTCAGCCCTCAATTTCTTCGAGATCTTCCTTATCGACGATGACGATCGAGACATTGTGATCGTTCTCAACGCATTTCAATTCGTCGCGAGACTACACGAAGCAATGTTGCTAGGTTCACTGATACTGGTTCTCATGGACACAGTCAGGTCCAAACTGGTCTCCGTGGAGGGCGTAAGCCTGGGCCACCTTCTTTCGCCTTTCACATTCACGAACTTCGACTTTTTAGGCAGCGGTCAGTTTTGGAGGTGCCTGCAATTCAAGTCTGGCACGCTCACTCTATCGCTTCTGCTGGTTTTCGCCATTCCATTTGCGAACGTAGCCGGACCTCTCTCGGCCATCACCATTGTGCCTCGCCTTGGCTGGTCAAATTCTGCTAATGCTGCTATATTTCCTCAATTCTTCAATGCGTCCAGCTCTAACTTCTGGCCCGCGGAGCTGAACACTGCAGATCTCCCAGCTAAGTGCACTGGACCTCGTGCAGGACTTGAGCCGGGATGTCCTGGCATGGGCCTCAATCAGACCCTATACAACATGGACTATGACAACACACCAGGTGCTTTGTGCTTGAATACAGGCTTTGATACGTCCTGCAACATCTCCATGTCGTCCACGTTAGCTGCCAATGCTATCACGCGACTTCTGTCCATTGACTTCAATAGAAATGCGTTGAGTGCCTACGGAACAGCCCCAAACAACAACATGCATAGGAACATCGCTCGGAAGTTCGAAAATGGCATCTCCTTCCGCGAGCAGAACCTGGAGGGGCTGAAGTTCATCGAAGCAGATAAGACCCAACTAATCGATATGCACTACTCGACCGAGGCAGGCTTCCTCAAGCCCGCCGTGGCGACTTCGTGTCAGGAGCTCAATGGAAGTTCCGCAATGCAACTGATAGGTGCAGATCAAGCGGCCCTGAATTGGTCAACACCTACAGTGACTTGGCTTGCAGATATTGACGGCGGTCTCAGCAGAAACTTCTTGTTCTCTTACCGGATCGACACGCCTGGGCTGTCTCTGCGAGAAGCTTGCCGCGATGACGATTGTTTCAGGGCTGTAAGTTGTAGTGTCGATGCTAGATGGTCACAACACAACTTCTGGTATAACACTGCCCAGCCGACCTCTCTGTACCAGAGTGACCCTCAGCCCAAGAATATATTTGCTCCCGGAAAGTCTGGCTCTGTTTCGTTGAGGATTAAGAAAGACTGGCTCGACGACATCACACTACCAGACGCACCTACTATGGCAGAGGCAATCATCAGGTTGCTCAACAACTGGGGAGTTCCCTTTTCGGGAAGCGCGGACTTCGTGACCGACTCTATCACATCCAGGATCGCCCCAACAAATCATTCCGTTGCGGTCGCAGTCATACTTACCGCAACTATCACCGAGTCACTTGCCCAGCTGCCCGCTGATGTCGGGCAGTCACTGTACAACGGAAATTGCAGCGATACGACTCCTGGGTTTGCCTTTCCACCAGAGATCTGCACTCAGAGCCCTTCTCATTGGATAAATGCACGAAAGCTGGATGTGGCGCTCCAAGATACCAGTTCCATGATCACATTCTCGGTCCGCCGCCGTGGCTATGGGTGGTTCACATCAGACTCGAGCCTCGTATACGTGGCGCTGGGCGTTCTTCTGTCCCATGCGCTTGCAACTGCCATTTACCTTGTTTGCATCCTGGTCGTGAAGAAAGCGATAACTACTCGCTGGTCTTCGGCCGCAGAGTTGATTATTCTCGCCATCGACTCCTTTCGCGCCCCTGAACTGATAGGCAGCACGGTGAAGGTCGAAGACAGCCAGGTCTGGCGGAAGAAGGTCACACTCCGAGAGGTCGATGATGGCGGTCGACTGTCCCTGATTGTCGGGGATCCCCGTCTGTATCCAGAGCGAGTCGGCGAAGTACCCAGGGTCAAGAAGAAATACCAGTGATAACAGTACATTACATAGTGAACTCGGGCATGCCATCGCCTTGGATGACAGGAACGTACAAAGCCAAGTAGAATGGTATGATTTTCTTTTCATTAGCCTCAAATGCATTTAGTGACTGTTCGCCGACTCTCTCGTGCCCAAGATCTTCCCAAGCTAAAGCAGTCACACTCATAAATAACAACCCGACTCTTACTATACACCCGCTCTCCTGAAAACAGCGAACGTCGCAGGCTGAGGAGGCTCTCATACTACGAAGTCTCTCTGCATGTAGCGACCTTTGCCGAACCGTGGCTTGCCTCGGTTGAAACCACCTCCCTGGCCACCCTGTTGTCCTTGTTGGCCTTGCTGGCCTTGTTGACCTTGCTGACCTTGCTGGCCTTGCTGACCTTGCTGACCTTGCTGGCCTTGCTGACCCTGTTGACCCTAAGAGCGGTATTAGTCGACTTAATTGATATGCGCGGTCAGAGATCATTCTTACCTGGTTGCCACCTTGACCGCCATTCTGGCCAGCGTCTTGACCTTGGCCGGCGTTGCCTGGTTACCTCCGTTGCCGCCGTTGTTGCCGCCGTTGCCACCGTTGTTAGCACCATTGTTACCACCGTTGTTGCCGCCATTGTTGCCGCCATTGCCGCCACCAGCACCAACAGTGAATCGAACGCAGTCATCGACACCGCCTCGTTGTGCGACGGGCATGACGACCGGCTGATGATTGGAGGCAGAATTCATGGAGCAGACACGGTATGCGCCAGTGGGCAGGCCTCCAGCTACGTCGGCGGTCAACTCGCCGTTCCCGTCAGGAGGACTGTTGATGCCTTTGAAGAACGTGAACGTTTTGGTGTCCAGAGGATCATTGTCGTTTCCGATCGGTTGGACTGTGACGTGAGTATGGCCAACGATGTTGCCACCATTGCCCAGTGCTTGAGGAGCTGAGTAGTATGTGGTATCTGGATCGGTGAAGGACCCCGCATCAAGGTTGTTGACTGCCAGTGCGATGGTGAAATCTGTATCGGGTGCGATATCGTCATTGTTTTTGGGGTTTCGGAAGATGGCTGAAACCATGTTGTTCTCACTGGGAATTTCTCCCATGACGACTGGGTTGCATGATCCTGCGCGGTTCTGCAGACCATTGGTGATTGTCTTTCCGGAGCAGAAGTTGATGAAGTTGAAAGCATCGCTAAGGTGAGTCAGTATAGATCCCAGGACATCACAAACCCCCAATGGACCCAAACTTACGTTGCAGAGTTCGACTGACCGCCAGCAACGTCAGGCTCTCCTACACTGTTGCTGGCAGATTGAATGACATCGGCATTGAGGCAGTTGCCGCCGTTGTTGCCGCCGTTGTTGCCTCCATTGCCGCCATTGCCGCCATTGTTGCCACCGTTGCCTCCGTTTCCTCCATTGTTGCCACCATTCTGACCATTGCCGGCGTCCTGGCCACCGTTACCACCGTTGCCAGCATCCTGACCGCCATTCTGGCCGCCCTGGTTACCGGCGTCCTGGCCACCATTCTGACCATTGCCCGCATCTTGGCCGCCGTTCTGACCGCCCTGGTTGCCGTTGCCAGTTTGATTGCCACCATTGCCACCATTTTGGCCACCTTGCCCACCTTGACCGCCACCATTGCCTCCATTGTTGCCTCCCCCAAAGTTTCTAAAGCCCTGGGCGGAGACACCAACAGAATAGGCCGTGAGGGCGAATAGCAGAGTTTGTGTGAGCTTCATGTTGTATATGTGGTGTGGTTGATGAGTTTAATATTGTACTGTAAAGAATGCAATCCCGGTCACGGTCAACGTGGACCTAGTGGATACGAATTGAAGTTGAAAAGAAAGAGCGTGAGAAAGTAGACGAACAGTCAAGAACCTGCCAGAGGACTAAAGGAACGTGAGGCACTGCCACTTGAGGATGAGAAGGAGGAGAACAAACCGACACGAGCAGCGTGAGGTAGGGTGTTATAACGGTCGCATCGTGTGGATTCCCGGCCCGTGAAAGCTCCATTTTGACGGGAACGCGGGTTGTGCGAGCAACGAGGGAGCTTGCCAACGCCAGTCAATCCATGATCTGCTCCGACACTGCAAGTGTTTCCGCAAGATGCTGATGGGACACAGGAGGAAATTAGCAAGGGTGGACATCCTGCCTTGAAAAAAAGGTACAACGGATGGCTTGAGCAAGCAGAATCAAGCATTGCCAATGCGCGCGATCGCGACTCCTGTGCATGGGCAAAAGACCCGCGTCATGGCAAAAATAGCGGCGCCAGAGACGCAGATGAGGCTCTGGAGGTTTCGAGGAATGGCTGAGATGTTTCGCGCAAGCGTGAGCAGGGGCAGTCGAAACAGTTCATGAGACAATTGGTTGGCGCCCAGGGTTTCAACCGAGCACGCTTTTGGGGTCTGGGCGCGCAAAAACGCGCTACATCTCTTTGGGGTTAGGGCCTTCGAGCATGAATCAACCTCAAACAACACTTGCTGGTATACCAACGCTCGCAGTCTTCAGCATGATCCTGCAACACTGGATGGCTGTTGAGGGCTTGTTTCATCAACGTCGCTCGCAAGTACCTGATGTGTGGTCTCGGCATGGAATCAAGCATCTACCCGGGCAAGCCACACTTTCCAGTTCGTCCGCTTCAACGGTTGGGACCCGCTATACGATGTGCTGAACGTACTGTGTGCCGGGTAGACGGGTGCCGAGTCGGCTACTTTCACATCTGCTTCTCTCGCTTGCGTTTCCAAGCATTGTGGACGTCGAAAACCTAACCTCCAGCTCGACCGAAATATCGTCATTCCCCAAGGGTACCGATGAGGCTGATTAACGCGCGACACAAGCTTTGCCAGAGTTGCAACGCATACCTGCACGATCGAGCACAGTCTGTGTCGTCCTCCTTCCTGCGTTCTCCCGAGCCTCCAGGGTTTCAGACAGCGACATTCCCGAATTTCATCATCTCATCATGTTCACCGTCGGTCCGTCACCAACATAGATATTGCACCACGCTCCAACGGCCAGCCCCCAATCCCCAACCTCTCGCGGAAGCTTCCAACGGGGTTCTTCGCACTTTCATCGGAGCAACGACTTCCCACTGCCCCCTCCCACTAGTGCTGATGTGTTCGCATGGCTTTTCGTCGCAACGTCTTTGATTCTACGGCGTTGAGGTACATCTTATCTGCACCATCAGCGCCCCTATCTCGGTGGCTTGCGAAGCTCATACACATTCAATGCCACCATGCGCCAGACTTCGAAAATTTGACTGCATTCTGTTGACAAAGGCTGCAGGCTGAACGATCTAGACTATATTCGAGGGCTCGGGGAATCCTACCGCAACCACCCTTTGTCCCGACTCAACATCAAATGTCGAGTTGCGGCATGCATCACCAGCTCTGCAAGCTCCCTTCTCATCCAGCCTGGACTCAACTGCACAAGCCGTCACAGATCGCGTGCACGTGCCAAATCTCGCGATCAGCTGATGCTAGAGCCAACCCCTGACCAGCTTAAGTAGTGTACAGCAATCAGCGATCGCTCCGTCCGCCATTTCGTGACCTTTCCTCTGACTGTCATGTTCGCGTTGGAATTTTGCTTGTATATCTGAGGGCCGTTTCGCTAGACGGGCTTCGCGAATTCTATCTCTCGCGCCCATGCAGGGGGACTGAACAGGCAAGCGCATCCCTATCGTACAGTTCTGCAATTATATCGTACTACACCACTGGCCAAGAGGGCAGTCGCGAATGGACACTCGCTGTCTAACGCGCCTGACATACGTGTCGACGAACAGAGCGATCTGCTCAGGTCGGACTCCTATACCTGCAATAATTTTGCTCACTTCCGCCTGTTCATAACCTTGACAACCATCTCTTGCAGTCCCTTCTTGGCCTCGCCCTCTGGGAAGTCCTTGATGCTCTCGACTGCTTTGTCGGCATGCATTTGTGCCAGTGACCTCGTCCGCTCGATTCCGTCTGTCTGCCGTACAATTTCACGTGCCTGTATGCCACGTTAGCAAACCCGTCCATACCATCCTTCGCCGTTCCCATTAGAGCTCACCTTAGAAACATCGCCCTCTCCACCGAATCTCCTTCCCACCAGCACACCTAGCTCCGGTCTCAGCTCCCACGCAAACAATAACGGCGCAGTCGCTAATCCTAGCTCCAAATCCGCTCCCGCCGGCTTTCCCAACTGCTCCCCACTGACCGCTGTATAGTCCAGCATGTCATCCACCAGCTGAAACGCCATTCCCAGATTTCTCCCATACGCGTATGCTGCCTCCACGACATGCGGCGCACACTCTCCCAACAGCGCGGCCGCCCGACAGCTCTTGCTGATCAAGCTCGCGCTCTTGAGATATGTCTTCTGGAGGTAGTATGTCAAAGCGTCCTCGCTCCACCTTGGATTCGCCTCGTTTGTGGCCGTGTTCTTCAGCTGCATGAATTCTCCCTCCACCAGGTTCGCGATCACAGTAGCCAACAGCTCCACGACTTCTGGATCGCGCAGGCGGGCGAGAGCCACGGAGGCGCGGCCTAGAAGGAAGTCGCCGGCTAGGACGGCCATTTTGTTGCCGAATTCAACGTTGGCGGAAGGCGCACTCCGACGCGTAGTTGATGTATCGATCACGTCGTCGTGCAGGAGGGAGGCAGTGTGGATCAGCTCGACGATTTCGGCGAGGCGTCTTTGGGAGGGAAGGACGTTTGCATCGGAGTCCTCGGGTAGGTCCGACGAGGTAAGATTTGAGAGCAGGTTGGAGGCGGGTTGATCCGGATTGCTATCGAAGAGGACAGATGCGGAATGGGTAATGGGCGTGTTGATGGAGGTCGTGGTGGGTGTTGGGTTGGGCAGGTCGCGGGCAGATTTGGCTGCGGACGCAGTGGCTTGGGACATGAGAAGAACCAGTAAAGGTCTCACATGTTTCCCTTCGGACTGTGTGTAGTACTTTGCGACGGTGTCGAGTAGAGGGTGGCCGGACCCTAATAGAGCCCGGATGTTCTTGTTGAGGAACTTGAGCTCCCTGGCCACAAGCTTCAACGGGTCTATTGTCACATTGCTGTTGCCTATCGACGGCGGTCGATTAGGGAGGATGTCTGATACTGTGTTCTGGATTTTGGACACCGCGGCCGCCCATGCTGAGGATTGGGCAGCTGTCGAGGAGAAGTTCCGTCTCGAGGGTCGAATGCTTTTCGACTGGAGGCGGAGCTGGCATCGACAGCAGACCGAGGTCGAGGGCAGCGAATTGGCTATCGCCAACGACTTGACATCTCGCAGGAGGCGAGGACTCAGTTGTGATGGCGGCATTGAATGCGTGCCGGTGTGATAGGGATCTTCCACTGCTTGTTGAGATGCGATACTTTACTTTTTTAACGATCTTGAGTCGCCGCGTTTCCGAGTCTCCGATTGGCTACAGCGCGAATGTCGAGGTGGGTCAATTACAGGTACACCTTCTCAGCAACAGCAACATGTGCAGTGGTATTCACACCAGGAAAGTAGTTTTCTTTGAGACCCTCGGCACTCAGCAGGTGTTAAAAAATGACAAGGCAGGCAATGATTGAAGTCTATCCAGTCTCTAAATCCGACCGTCTACCTCGAGACCCGTATTTCCTTAGCACTCGTCGTATTCGTAGCATTCCATGACTAGGTATCCTGAGTTCCGTCATCCTCCGATCGTAAGCATTGTTCTCGTCACTCTAGCCCATTATCCGCGCATCTGGGCACCACAACTAGGGCCATCATTCAGCTCGACGAGTTGAAGAGCTTTCGTCCGTATCTGCTCGATCACTCAGTAGTCCCGCTGGGCGAATCAACCCATTTCTTGAATTCCTGCCACTCGGCGTATGACGCACTAGCTTCAATCCAGTGTATCTGACAGTCTTGAAGTCATTGACGTCTTCCCATGGTCTCGATGCTGATGCTTCAGACCCACGCGATGCACCTCTGACCAGACGTTTTGCAACTCCGCTGTAGCCTCCGTCCCATCCTGCCTTTCTCATCAGACTCTCAATGGTCTCTTCCTTTGTCCAGCCTTGCTCGATGGCGACATCTGGCAGGTACGTAGCGCCGTGTCTTCTGTTGCGATAGTTGAAGCTAATGCGGATCCCGTGAGTGCCCAGGTCCCAGTCCATGGCGTCCACACATGGTTCAAAGTCGGCCAAGAGTGTCAACGAACAAGACAGGGATGGCAGCAGTGAGGCTGGAATTGGAGAGAAGCGGGTGTCGTCGAAGGCGGAGGTCAATGAGTATGACTGTAGACCTGCTGACAGCGGAAGGCCCTCGAAGGTTCCTATGCAGCCACGCAGAGATTTGTGTCCAGACCGTGACAGTGTGTTCCATGTGACAAACAGTGGGAAAGACTCAGTGACGGACAACCGAGACGCATATGATGGCTGTAGACTGGTTGCAGATGTCGAATTCGAGGCTTGTGTTGAAGACGACTCAGCTGATATTGTAGACGGAGAGGACGCCGATGAACTTCGTGAGGACGATTTGGAGGCTTGCAATCTCGATATGCTCGGTAGGGTAGGCCTCGCTCTGTCCAACTGCGCGTCTTGAGGCCTCGAGTTTGCGTCAGCAGCCGCAGCTGACTCGCCTTCTTGCACGTCGACGTCCTCTAGATCGGGATTCTCGGTATCGTCACGCTCGCCAGAGACGTTTCGATCCAGAAAGGCGTCATACAGGTCTAGATACGAATCAAGCTTGGGAGGTTCTTGTCGCCGATAGCTGGCGTCAAGGCACTCGAAGCAATAGAAGCAGTGTGCCGGACTCGCCATCGCGGCGGTCAGACACCCCTCCCAACGAAGGGGCAGCGAAGGAAGCAAGTAATTTGCGCAATTCCCGTGGCGTTCGAGCGCGATTGTTGAAGAGGGGTCACTATTGGGGCACGTGGAGTGCGCCTAAGCAGGTCTTGATTGATAGGGATAGCACGGATGGTGGCCCAGTTTCGTGCTTAAGGGTCAGGCTCGCGTCGAGATCGGCGTGGTCGCGGATTTCACAGGAGAGGTGGAGAAGGGAGAGAGTTGTCAAATGATGAATTGAAGTCATCTTGTCAGGCTGATGCTTCCGGGTACGTGATGCGGGCGGTCTCAAGTGGGTACTGCACGATATCGTGATGGGCTGCAGTGAAATGGGGGAATCAGAATGCAGGTTGATGTCATTCGTCAAATGCGCAACTTCGTACCTGAGTAGTCTCGACCGTGTCTACTACATACTGAGACTACAACATTTCCTGGATCTACGAAAACTTCGCCATTGGCACTCGTGACAGCCTAAGAGTCGGCAAGTCCATGGCCACCCTACGCCATGACATGCGTACCACTAGAAGGCCTCCATAGTAGGTGCGCTGATTCCCAGACCGGTGTCAGTGTTGCTAGTACCATGGCTTCTGGCGCTACCGGCACGACTTCGACTCGAGTAGTCGTCGCCATCGTCTGCCTGGACAAGACGAACGCTTCGGCTATGCGACCGCTCGCTCTCTCGCTGTGCGTCTTCCTCCCTCCGCTTCTCCCAGTCGGTGACCAAGGCTTTGTAGTAGACGTCTGCCTGCACAGTAAGGCTGTAAGCATTCGGCTTCCAGCCCTCACGGTTCGTGCTGGTAGGGACCGCTCCAGCCTCAACAAGGGCTCTGACAGCCTTCAAATTTCCCCAAGCCGTGGCATAATGCAGACAGGTGTTTCCTTTCGAGTCTTGCGCATCCAATCGTGCTCCGTGTGCAACCAGTGTCTCTATCACTGACACATCCTCGTTTGAGGCAGGCTTGGAGGGTCGAGCGGTCTGCAGAGCCACTCTAGGCTCAATATGAGCGCCTGCTGCCAGATGTAGTGGTGTGCGGCCGTGCTTATCTGCTCGATTGACTGTTTTCGGAAATTGCGTGCACAGCAGTTCGACACAGTCTGGTCTGGAATACGCTGCGGCTAGGTGCAGAGGACTATGCCCATCAGTGTTGATCGAAGTACCCAGATTTGTGCAGTCAGGGCTCCATATGTATTCTTGGAAGTCGGGGTCGACCTCTCTGTCGTGGCCCAGTGATATCAGGTACTCCTCCAGCAGGGGTCAGCGACTAGTCTTTGCAGCCAATGGGCCAACGTACTGCGATCTCTGCGTGGCCATACAATGCGGCGAGGTGCAAGGACGTGTTGCTCTTGTCAGAGAAGTCTGGGTTCTGTAGCGATTGCGGTGATTCCTTCAGCATGCGCTGGACCAGCGAGGTATCATCGAGCTGAATAGCCTCCCTCAATCTCGTGGACGCTTCACCCCGCTCCATCGCAAAATTGTTCAAAATGGTCAGGCGTGTTCCTGTGCATCACAAGAGAGGTGCCTCGGGTTGTGCGAAACGTCGAAGGATAGTGCTACCAAGGATGGCCCATTAGCTCCAAGTCGTTGCTGGCGACTCCGATGCTCCAAGTTGGATGATCACTCGCCCCTTCGCCCCCACGCTCAGGCTGGTGAGAGACGCGTTTGAGTTTTTGCCCCGCATGCTCGCGTTCCTGCCTCATTCACCTCGTTCTTCTCGTTCGACTTACCCATGATCCAAAAGCGCTTGCTAGTCGCAACTGTATCATGGTTCCTGATCATGGCCCAAGGTCATTTCATGCACACTAATCTCCATCTTACTCCCGTGAATATTTTTGCCTCGTTTCGAGGCCGTTCAAGATGGATAAGATGAGTCACCTCAATGATACGGGACCGATATCTGGCAAGTGTTGCGATGCAAATTGGGTATTTGTACAGCAGACTCTGGAACGTGTGGAATTTTACTAGATCGTTGCCTTCAATGTTTGTTCGGACGAAATTACAACTTCGCATGCTTCGCTCGGCTCCTTCTGCCTGAATGACAGACACTGTGCGCTGGCCACTGCTCATCTTTCTTCTAGATTCGCATTACGCTGCAAATGTTGCAAGCCGCTCGACTTGCGCATTAACCGTTGACAGCAATCTGACGACGTTGGATCGGCAGGGGAACGTGCAGTTATCAGAACAAAGCAGCTCGCATACAGTAGACCTCAATCCATTTCCAAAGTAAGAGGTTGCGAGCAGCGCCGACGGCAAACCAGGCAACACAACTCTCAAGGCCGATCTCTCGATGTGACAGTCGACCAAAGCAAGATTGACTCAGACAACATGGCTAGTGAGCAGACCAATTTGACGTCTGTTGCACAACAACCTTCGTTTCTCAACAGACTGCCGGCGGAGATACGGGCGATGATATACCGGCACGTATTCGCAGGAAGTGTTGTTCAGCTATACACTAGAGAAGACGAAACGATGGCGGTCCGCGATCGGACTGCATCAGCGGCTATGTTAGCTGTTTCCAAGACTTGTCGAGAGGAGGCGACTGCGATCTTTGGTAGTGAAAGTACAATTCTGGCCTCGCGCGACATCGACTGGCATTCGAAGAGGCTCAGGGAACTGTTGCTCACCAACACAAGAGTGAATTTCGAGACCGTCAAGCGTCTGGACCAGGAGATCGTGCTTAAGCAGCTTGGAGAGGTTGCTATTATGGCGAACCCAAACAAGTTTTACTGCCTTGACCCTGAAGACATGGACATCTGGACAGTAGCTGCCACGGTCAAGTCCCTGTTCCCTGCCCTCGGAACATATTTCCTGACTCCCCCAATACTGGCAGCGTTCACCGGTCCGGCGACCGGAGGCCCCAGAATTGGTGCTGGAGCGTTCGCAATGCTCGCACGAAGGGACACGGAAGCCGAGGCGAGGCTCGCGGTGCAGCAAGCCTTGGGTGATTCTACACAGCACGGAGTTGCAGGGTTTCTCAACTCAAATTTCGTGCAGTCACAGCTGCAGAGCCGGCACCATCCTGTCAATCGCTGGCTTTATGCCTTAGCAGGCGCAAGAAGTCGGCATGCAGACTGGAGCAGGCTTCCGGCCGTCATTGTGGATCTCAACCTAAGCATTCATGGGCAGGAGTGGAAAGCATGGCCAGGCATCGAAACTCACGATTGGGCTCTGGACGATGCTCAAATACGGGAAAATCCCACTCGATTCGCTGACAGGGCTACGCCACTATATTTGCCGTTGGATCATAACGTCCACCGCGACTGTGTGCATGGGGTGCGTGCGCTGAGAAGCATACTGTCTTGCTCGCTAACTGCTGGCATAGCTCGTTAGATTCAACCTCACGACCAACACCATAAAAGTCCTGCTTGGCAAATCGACCGTGTACTTGGATTGCTTCGGGCCTTTGGGCGCTATTGATGGGACCAGGCTGTAGCGAGAATGAGAGAAGGCCTCAAGATCATGTCACCGTTTCATGCTCAGAATAACACAGCACCTTACCTCGTATAGGCCCAGAGCCAAGCCGTTACGGCGACCGAAACAAGTGGTAGGCGGCTTCGATCGATTCTGGATGACAGTCCAAGGCTAACAACAGCATCACAGACAATAGAGGCCCTAGAGGTTGGCCTTCGGGTACTACGGTTGCCTCCGCCCCTTCCCCGAAAGACAAGAATAGCAACAAAATCCCCACAAACTTCCCACGCAAAGTGCAATAACTGCCCCAGGCCGCGGCGCAGGCTTTCGCCAACAGTCAGCCCTGTCGGGCACAGCTTCCTGTCCAGAGCTCGAGGGCAGTATGAGAGTATGGGCAGGAAGAATCCACGGCAACGTAAGTGCTTGAACAAAGCAACCGACACGCTGTTCGAGGGGCAAGGCAAATCGGTCTGGTGAGTTATCCTGCGCATGCAAGATGACGTACGTATGACAGCGTGCCTTTCGCTTCAGCAGCCTTCTTCTCAGCCTCCTCGTATACAAATCTAAGCCAGGGGCACAGAGTGTCACACGTTGAGACCACATTCTGTAAGGTGACAGGAAGTTGAAGACCATTTTCTAGTAACCACCGTGTTCCCTACTATCTGTGATGCAAGCACTGCAGCTACACAGTATACAGCAAAGAACTCTGCATGGTATTTGATTACCTATCTTTAAGAGCGAATTGCCGGGATGGTCCACATGTAGATCTCGGACTTGGCATAGGGATCTACAATGCAAGTAAAAGTACGTCTCTATCAAGCGATTGGGTTTGGGCGATACTTCGTGGGCACCAGTCCGGCTGGACGGATAGTGATCTGGACAACTTGATGTGTGCTGGGAAATGCCTGTTTGAATATGTCAATGCTATTATGCTATGCGCCTGAGCGCGAAATCTCTGCTATGCCGCTACAAATACAGGTCTACCTAAAGGTAGTCATCACAGAACCAATTCAGTGCCTTGCCGCCTACACCGCTCACATAGCGAACCATCTGTGTCTGTGAGGTTGTTGTTGGACAGGTCGATTCGAGTGAGACTCGATATCACAGACTCGTCCAGGTGCTCGAACTTGCCGTTGCTGGCGATAAGAGTGTCGAGTTTCGGAAAGTAGCGTTGTAATTGTGGCACTGAGCCGCGTAACCGATGATTCGAGATGTTCAGTACCCGTAGGTTTGGTGCGTATAGGTGTTTGCATAGTGGCTCGAGACTCGTCACATTGCAGTCCTCCAGACACAGTGATGATAGGTTTGGGAGGACAATCTGTTCTGATAGGTATTCTTCCTGAGCACCGTCTAAAATGTTCTGTGACATGTCGAGTGTTTCTATTTGCATGCAGCAGTCGGTTTCTGCGAGGAGCTGGGCAGGCATTGATGTGAAGCCCGATGAGGACAGGTTGAGAGTGGTCATGTCTGCTTCGTCATCGTCTTCTGTGTCGTCCGAGTAGTAGTCATAGTGTGCTGATGTGTCCCGCCGAAGGTCATCATCGAAAACACTGTCTTCGTCTGATGAGCATGAGGAAGACGAGCTGGGTCGTGTGTACGGTAATGGCCTCGACTTCGGGATATATTCTCCAGTGTGCTCAGGTTTCACAGTATAGACGTCCTGTGCCGAGTTGCCTCGTAGCAACAGGTGGACTGGACGTTTCGTTGATGAGGATGTGTCTGTACATCGCCTTGCTAGCGACGGTCGTTGCATAGCTGCTGATTCGATGTGTAATATATGTGAGTGACGGTAGAATGTCGAAGGACCTTGAAGGCCAATATTGGTACAAGTCGTAGATTAGTCGTGATATTCGTTATAGTCTGCAACAGTGGTCAAGTGAGTACTGTTTGACACTGATACCGGGGGTGGCGCTATGGTGTATATGTCGAGTATTTGGGGGCGCACAGGTACCTTGACGAGGCAACTGAGCGTCATTGAACAAGGTTCAAGCGCGCCCGCCACCATGGGGACCCTGCCTGTGAATGATTCTTGACCTGGCTCAAGTCTGCCTAGTTTGTCCGACGACGCCTTCTGGCGTCCGCTAGATACGAATTAGGAAGCCAATCACGTGTAAGCAGATACCAAATTCGTCTCAAAATGGGTAGCAACTGAGACAAAGATCGTCGGTCGCCTCGACGTAGTCGCCCTGGAGAAATTACACTTTCTCAATAGCCGTGGGAGATCTGCATCGGTGCCGTCCTCCCATTTGTCGATAGAGTGCGAGACAATCTGGAAGGTGGCCCAGGCGCGATGACACTGGTGGTGACAGTTTTGTCTGCCACCTTCAGCTCGACTCTGCTCGTGAGAGGCGTTGTCTAGTCGACGGCGAGTGACCGCTACCTACCTGATCGTTTCGAGCAGGGAATTTCGCGGGGATGTCCATGGCAGCAGCGCTGAGAAACGCGAACCACCAGAGCTGGTCTAAGTCGACAATTGCGAGACCGTGCTCAGGATAGAACATCCGGGGTGTGAAGACATGATTGTCGCAGAGTCGCACTGGCTCCAGCGACAGCAGAGTGGATCGCGATCTATACCTCGCCATGATACTGTACGCCGGGGAAAGGAATTCGGATTCGATAATCGATGACGACGTTTTTCTTACCTAGGTAGATGAAGTTCCCGAGGTCAACAGGCTGCCGTACGGTTTCCGAAACCGCCTTGCTGGCCAACGTAACGCTCATCGTTGTGCTTTACCCAAAATTATCGCTTCTGAGGTTGCTTCGCTGCAAGGATGCTTCCTCGTCGCTGCACCCAACAACCAAGTGTGATCTACGCTTTCCAGACTGCAGGACGCTGCTCATTTGCAAAGGAAACAGAAGCTCTGATGTTGTCATTCGTAATCATACATTCATGGGTATCGAAACATATGGCTTTCATGCCACCCAGATACGGGTACTCCTTGCTTCGCTTTACTGCCAACACTGGCAAATCGCATTCACATCGATGATCCAACGTCCATCTCAGATGCCTCGTGCCGAGACAGCTATTGACATCGTCTTGACCTTCAGCGACGTCCTCCTTGATGAGACTTTCTTCTCGGACGGAATGAGGAGATGGCGATTCAGAGCGGCGTTGTGAGCATGGTCTGCTTGCGAATCCTCATGCTTGAATACACGCTCTTCGTGGTATGCGCATGGTGCCAAATGTCTCTCATGGGTAGATGACGTCCTTGATGATGTGGACGATGTGCTGCTGTTTGAGCTAGCAAGAGAGATCGTTGAGTTGAGTCTGGCAATCATTTGGGCGGGTTGTTGTAGGATTGGTGACGGTATGTGTGTCTTCGATTTGTTGCAGAGCGACTGTATTTGAGTGTGGGTGAAGATGTTTGTTTGACTTGATTGATGGCTGTTTGTTGATTGATGTCTGGTCCGTTCTCAAGCAGCGAAACGCAGCATATTTGTATTCCAACGAGCATACGTCCAGAAATGATTCCGTTAACAATATACACCGATGGTCGCATCATGTCGTTGTTCAGTACATCCTGCGCTCGTGCAGCAGTGATGCCTCTAACGCTGTACGAGTGTCTAAGCCCCGCGAGACGGGAAGGTCAGCAAATCAGGGCTCGCCCTCGGTGTCCAGGGCTCGAAGTTTACGCCCGCAGAAGTCCCTCAGGCCTTGCCTATCTCCGACCCGCTGCAGATTTCCTAGGCGATCGCGGCTCGCCAAGCGAGGTCGCGCAAGATTGACCGCTTCTGGATTCTGGAACATATCAAACCACCTTGGCAAACCACTAACGATCTCATGTCTAATGTTAGATATTCGTCCTTCCAGTTTCATTCGCTTCTGCCTTGTGCCCTTGTCTGTTCCGACGCGCACCTTCACATCTCGGTATCCCATCTGTTCCAAGTTTGATGCCTCCGCATCAGACGCCTGCCTCGGACGAACGCCCGTCGACTTCCAGTTGCAATGCCGCTTCTCGCAAGGACGTCTGTGAGGTTCGTCCCTCCTGCAACAGGCTGCCGGTATGCCTAACGAAGAAGGCAACGCATGCCTCCTTCTTGGCAAGTATAGATCTTCCCGAGAGATCCGCTATACTGTATAGTCAGCAAAGATGCTATAAGCTTCAAAGTCTAAAGGTACAGTACTTCATGAGATTGGACCCGCCTCGTTCTCGGTGAGTTGTTCGTATAATAGCATACGAGCCTGCTTCGAAATGAAATGATTATGTCAGTATAGCCAGAGCGGGCTCGGATGCTATTCCACCGTTTATACTGGGGTATACCGGCCAAACATGCGGCCGTCAATTGAGGCTGTGAGACGCCATACACGCAATAATCTGCACGACTACACTATAGGTCTCGGAACACTGACCTGATGGGTGAAGAGATACAGACGATCTTCAGCAATCGATACACTCGTGTTATCGATGCCATGACGGAGCTTCTACGGACCACGCATGCTCATCGCATCGTTCCATGAGAAACCCGCAATGGGTCCTTACTTCGACAGCTATACTGGCCCTGGCACGCGACATTGCTATGTGATCGAGGCCATGGTAGGGTCTGCCTACAGGTGCCATGAGCCAGAGTCGAGTCATCGAGACAGCGATGTTCTCGAGGTCTTTCAGGGGACGAGCCTAAAGTGCCTTGCTCGGCAGCTGGCGATTTGTCTGATACTGAGCCGTTTTCATGTGGTGCAGGGTCTGATGCGAGAAGTGATCTCTCTTTTTGGCCTGTCACCAGGAATATTGGGCGTCATGCGTGCATGAGGTATTCAATGACTCCCTTCGCGTTGCTTCATCGCACGCCAGGAGCATGGGCTCATCGCAATGCAGAGCTCCTATCCCAGTACATGTTGCCCAACTGACGCCGTGTCATCGACATGCCTGTCTAGCGGACGCTCTTACCGCGTCTCGTACTCGTGCAGAATTGATCCATAAGAGGAATTTACTATCACCGACGCCAAGCCCTGTCCCCTGTGCTTCACAATATCATGTAGCAGCACCAAGCTACCTTGCGGCCACAACGCTCCGAACCAGTAACAAACAAGCATAGACCTATCTCCCGCCATACTGTGCATCAGTCAATGCTTACCTGAGCAGGCCAACACAGCCTCAATTTTTGAGTCCGCGGGACTACCAAGACCTCCCAAGAACCCAAGCCCTTGGCCAAGGCATCATGACGCATGCAAAACGGCTGGGCCTGCTGGGCTCTTGCGGCACATCGAAGATGTAGTGCTACGATGGCAAGCGAGAAATTGTTGGACGCATTGCGTGGTCCAAGACATTCTGGGAGTGGAAGTACTAGGCAACTGATCCTTCCGACTCGGAAGGGGTCAAAGTTGTCGTGATGTATGCGTTTGGTGGCTTTCTGCGACCTCTGAGAAATTGCCTCTACTTGCTTTGAAATGATGTGTTTGTATCAGTTGATTTGAAGTGTATACATAGTCGTTGGTGCTTGTTGGGGAGGTGAGAGCAACTACACAACGACCACAGTTTACTCGGAACAGCAATACAGCATGACGACCAATCATCTCAGGGCCGAGGATGCCGCTTCCAGCAGTAATAGCAACGGCGACAACAGCACAGCTTCGCAGCAGACCTTGAGAAATGACATCAATTCGGAGACAAGCAATGATGTCTCGGAGAAGAATAAGAAGGACGAAGGCACGCACGTCGCCGGACTGGAGGAAGTAGCCATAGGCAATGTCGCTTCACCATCAGAGAAATCGGAAGGACCACCTCCACTGCCATACAACTTGCGAGAACACAAGCTCACCATATCGTTATTCTGGTTCCTGATCCTCACAGAATGCACTCTCATCCCGATCATATTCTACTTCACACTCTCGAACCTGACGAACATGCGGAGAGGTGCCTTATTCGCCATCATCACGGCGATGTTGTAAGTGCCATGTTCCCTTCCAACGGCAGCAGGATTTGCTTTGTCCATATGCCGGTGTTACTTCAAGTGAACATCGACTAACTTGCCACAGCGGCTTCATATCTGGCGGAGAATACGGACTGCGCGGCCTTCGCCTGTGCCTCAAGCGAGACACCTATCGCCCGCTGAATGGAGCCTGGCGATGGGGCTTCGACAGTACCACCTCGTGCTGGGACCACCATACTTCTTTATGACGGCCCTCATGATCGGCTTCAGCATTCCAGATCCTCCAATCATGCGCGGTCTGTCGATGATCATGCCGGTAGGCATCATCATGGGTGGTGCGACCATGGTCATGACGGGCGTTGGCCACCATTTTCAATGGCGGCTGCCTTTCCGCCTGAGCTCGCATGTCAAGGGCGACATCTGCCCGCCACTTACCTTTTGTATAATGGAGGACATCACGGCTTGCGACGGTGGAGGAGGGAAAGTCTACCGCCAGGCTGCCATGGACCGCTACAATGCCTCCCCAAGATTTCGCAGAATGCTGGTACAGATGCTGTGGGCGTGGGCGATCTCCGCAATTCTTCTGGGCGCGTTACTTCTGCTCATCATCTGGCTCCCGCAGGTCGACCAAGAAGTTGGATATGCGCTGGGCTGGGCAGTGCCATCGGTCTGGGGTGCTGTAGGCGCGTGGGCGACGATCAAATGGGGCCAGAGGTGTATCAAGATCGAGAAAGAAATGTGGACTGCGGATCAGACGGCACGGATCACAAGTGGGTAGATCGTACCTTGACGTCCGATAACATAGAGTTCCTTTGAGACCATGCTTCCTTCACTTATCCAGTGTCTACTTGTCGAATCCATTCTAATGCTCGTTGGACGTACTTGTCCCCGGGCGTTTGGCTGGAGTCTACACCTGGCAAAGCATCCAGAGGCTGGGCAACTCGCTCTACGACTTCGATTGTGAGGGCTCGCGCAGATCCAGCCTTCTTCAGGCACAACTCTGGGTCTCCGAGATACATACCTTCGGCAGCCTCGTCCAGCATGTCAGATATTGCTCGTGTACTTGTGACGATGTAGTCCAGAGTATCTCGTGTCTCCACCGGCAAAGTTCCGCCGCCTGGAGGTCTGAACTTCTCCAGTCGCTGCTTGACCACCACGTGAATGCTCTGTGGGATTCGACTAAGCACGCGCAGAGCCTGCTCTTTGACTCCAGCTGAGATGGTGGCTCTGTGGTTCGGTTCCTCGCTGCCAGCGGCATCGCCAGAGTCCTCACCCCCGTCGTCGCTCGCCGCATCGTCGAATGGATTGTTCGCATCAATATCTTCATTCGGATCCCATTCCTGCAACTCCTTGACGGCGTCTTTCATGAGCTCAAGCCATTGTTTCGCCTTGCGGACTGTGAAGCCTGGCAGACCCTGCTGACTGAATAAAACCAGTGCATCACATGACTCCCAGACTCTGCCTGTGGCTTCCGTGATCTCTGCTTTCTTTGCTTTCGCCGGATCTGACTTCGGCTGTCCATCCTTGCTGCGTGCTTCGACGAGTTTTGTGAGGGCGGAAAGCTCCCGCAGGACCACTCGAGACAAGCCTCTTGCCTCTTTCGCGAAGGATTCGGTGAAAGTCTCACCGGTAATCAGGAGTGTTGCAGTGACCAGAGACGGCAAGATCGACTCGTTGATGGTCTTGAAGGACGTCGAAATGGCGCTTGGTGTGAATGGTGGGGTGACTGTCAACAAGGAGGACTTTGTGACTTGTGCTTTCAGCGTCTTCGCTGCAGTTTCGAGGAGCAAGAGAGGTGATGGCGCATTATTCTGGGTCGTCCGTGTGTCAGCCGTCGCATCTGGTGCGAGCGCGGAAAGAAATTGATCTACCAAGGCGAGCGTTGTCGCAATGGTTGCATCAGCTGCATTGCGACTGGCAGACATGCCAGCATGGACCGGCAGGATGCTGCAGACAGGTCGTTCAGATCACCAAAGCGAGCCTGAAGATCGCGGCTGCCGACTTGTGTAAATTGAACGTGGTCGCTGCCGATCGCACCGCCTTTCAGAGCAGTCGCGGCTTCCCCGAGTGCGAAACACGCCTATTATTATTGCACCGAAATTCACTCCAGCACGCCTTCACGGAGATATCCATTGATTCAACGTGCCTCGAGATCGAATACCTTGAGCCGTGACTCACTACATCGCGGATCTTGCTGACTACCCTCAGCGTTGCGGTCGCAGTATCCATCTCTTTCCGGCACTGCTAAGTCGCCTCTTCGTCTACGCAGATGACCGGCACGTATGGCGTATGCACCATATGATTAGAGAGCCTTGCAGGGACTAAACACCAGAATCTGGATCTGCTCGCAAACTACCCACGTCGAGTGTGTCGATGGCGGCTTTATGATCGGGCTTAGGAAATAGCATCGATCTGCCATCGTCCTCGGCCAGACGTCGCCAGGATATAAGGTAAGGGTGTCTGCTCTACAGACCCGTCGAATACAGCTCGACATCTTCAAGTCGATAACTTAATACTTTGTACACTCCGACATCTTCAACTCGCAAATATGACCAGAACACTCGTGACAGGCGGGAGCGGCTTCATCGCAGCCCACATCGTTGACGTGCTTCTGAAAAGAGGTCACTCAGTGGTGACAACGGTACGCTCAGCAGACAAAGGCGACAAGATTCTTGAGTACCATTCCGGTGTTGAGAAGTCCAAGCTGAGCTATGCTGTGGTACCAGACATGTCCCAAGCAGGAGCATTCAACAAAGCTGTTGTATCCGACCCACCTTTTGAGGCAGTCATCCACGCTGCCTCGCCGTATCACTTCCAGGCAAAGTCGCGGAGTGAGGTCGACGCTATGCTGTCTGCAGCAGAGGATGGCACAGTCGGAATCCTGAAAGCAATTAAGGCGCATGCCCCTTCGGTAAAGCGTGTGGTAGTGACTTCTTCTTTCGCCTCAATTTTCGATCCCAAAAAGGCTCCGGATTACAAGTACTCCGAGAAGGACTGGTCACCAGTCACGAAGGAGGAAGCCTACCAAAATCCCATGGCTGCATATCGCAGAAGCAAGGTCGCTGCCGAGAAGAGCGCCTGGGACTTCGTTGAGCAGGAGAAGCCTAATTTCTCGCTCGCTACTGTAAGTCCTGCAGGCTCAACAAGCAATTGCACAGTCCAGGACTGCCTGCTGACACTATGTACAGGCCAATCCACCACTCGTCCTAGGTCCAATCATCCATCACCTGACTTCTCTTGACAGCCTCAACACCAGCAATCAGCGCTATCGCGATATCATCAACGGGACCTCACAGTCGAAACTGCCCCCGACCGGGAACCACCTCTTCGTGGACGTCAGAGATATAGCGTTGGCACACGTGCTCGCGGTCGAAAAGGAAGAGGCAGGAGGCAAGCGCTTCTTCGTCACAGCAGGCAACTTTTCGAACGCGGAGATCGTCAAGATCATCGGTGAAGAGTTTCCAGAGTACAAAGACGTCTTACCAACCGGGGAGGCGCTCAAGTCTGGGGATTATCCACCGGAAGGTGTTGCGGGATACGACAACAGCCGATCGCTGGAGGTGCTAGGGATCAAGTATCGGGGATTGAAGGAGAGTACGGTAGACACGGTGAGGAGCCTACAGCCGCTGCTAGGGAAATGATTGTCACCAGCCGTTGTAAGGGAAATGATTGCCACTGGCGGACGCAATGCGTACGAGACCAGCTCCTGGGTGTCTCAAAGGTACAGTGAGCTTCCAGGGCAGAGAAGATGTCTTTAAAGCAGCACATCCAACATTGCAGGGTTGTCTCAAGTAGTGGATCAGATTCGCTCAAAGACAACCTACGTATGTCCATGTCTTACATCACCCACTCAGCATCAGCTGCCCTCTTTCCAACGAAACACACACCACTCATGCAACCGCTCATCGTCCCAAACCTCGTCCTTGATCTCCTCTTTCCCCTCTATCAGCGCCTCAAGTCCCCCTTCCTCAAGTACTTGCCACAAATCCCGGATGATATCCAGGTACGCCACCCTCAAAGGATAGCAAACGATAACCCTCGCTTCTGGACTTCTCTTCAACCACGCAAAAATCGCGCTTGCAAGCATTCTGGGGTGCTCCTCCGAGTAGAGTGTGTCTGCGGCGATGATGACGCTTGCTTTGTCGGTGTCACTGCTCAGTATTCGGTCGGGTTTTGCTGGATCATCGCTGAATAGTGGTAGTTCGGCTGGTGCATTCCAGTCCAGAGCTCCACTCAGGACTTTCGCGCCGCGTTCTGAGAGGGCTTGTTGGTTGACTTCGATATTTCGAGCCAGTCCTGGCACGAACGGCGCTAAATCCGTGAGGATGGTTTCGGTTTGCCATAACGCGGCGGCGGCAAGTCCAGCAAGGCCTGTGCCGGCGCCGAGCTCGAGAATGTTAACGCCTACTTTGCCGTCTCTGAAGGTATCTTTGTCGAGAGGAATAGTGTGCAGCTGGCCAGCGAGGACTCTCGCCGAACCCCATGTCTGGAAGTGTAGGTTTTCTGCGGCAAGTTTGGGAACATTTATATTTATAGACACTTTGTGGCCGTGGGTATCTAAAATGACGTCGTAGTCGTTTATGGGCCGTTTCCAGTCCTCCATCGTCTCTGGGCTATACTGATCATGTGTTTGGGAGTTATAGTGCTGGAGACCAGCAGAGCAGATCTATATATATGCGAAAGTTGCCAAGGTACTCGTGATGGAGCCTCAGTCGTCTGTATTTAGACCTGCCGCAGTGTCGCAAATGGGATTGTAGGCCTGTCGCAGAGGACAGCGTAGATGGGACTATATCCAGGGCTGAAATCCAGATGTCTGATATGTTGTATGCCGGCGTGCAAATAGCAAGAGTGTTGTACAACTCGACTTTTCTACCTTGCATTAAAGATGATAGATCGCCGAGGTGTGCCCAGTGGAGCCTGCCAAGAGGCAGTGAAAGCATGTGCCTGGAAAGTCACCCTGGAGGCCCGAGATCGTCGGCCAACTATTATTGAGCATCAAGCTCAGCCATGATTTTTTTGTTGTGCTGCCCTATCGAAGGCACAGGATCCAAGCGCGGCTCGACATCAGCAGACATTCCCGGCGGTATGAGCGTGCGAACGGTGCCAGCCTCTGTCTCCATTTCCCGGAATCGTCTTCTCGCGTGTAGCTGGGGATGGTTCCAGACGTCTTCCATACTGTTGAGGTTCGCATTCGCGATGCCAGCTGCCTCGAGTCGTTGTGTAGCCTCTGCCGAGGTGAAACGCGATAGAGCTTCGCAGATAATTGGGTAGAGCTCTTTGCGGTTGTTGGAACGCGAGTCTGTGTTGATGAAGCGTTCCTCTTTGGCCAGATCAGGCAGATCGAGCACCTTTTCGCAGAGTATGACCCATTCGCGCTCATTCTGAAGACCCAGCATAACCGTGCCGTCCTTCGCTTCGAACGGGCCGTAAGGGTAAATTGACGCGTGGCTTGCCCCAGCTCTCGGAGGCGGTGGCTGTCCATCCATAGCGTAGTACATAGGGAAGCCCATCCACTCTGTCATGCTTTCCAGCATGCTGACGTCGAGGTAACAGCCCTTGCCTGTCTTTGCCCTCTGCAACAGAGCTGCCATGATTCCAGAGTATGCGTACATGCCCGCAGAGATGTCTGCTATTGAGGCGCCAACCTTTGATGCTGTTTCCGGCGTGCCAGTTATTGACAAGAGGCCAGCCTCGGACTGGACGAGCAGGTCGTATGCCTTCTTCTTCTTGTACGGACCATCACCGCCATATCCTGATATCTCGCACACTATCAGTCGGTCGTTGAGCTCCTTTAGCTTCTCATATCCCAGCCCCAGCCGCTCCGTTGCTCCAGGCACAAGATTTGCAACGAACACGTCCGCTTTTTTGAGGAGCTTCCTGAGCGTTGCAATGTCCTCGTCCTTCTTGACGTCGAGCTCCAATGACTCTTTATTGCGGTTGGTCCAGACAAAGTGAGAGCATTGTCCGAGCACACGCTTGTCGTGGTACCGGACGAAGTCTCCTGTGCCAGGCCGCTCGATCTTAATCACTCTCGCGCCAAGGTCGGCCAGCTGTCGTGTGCAGTACGGGCCACTGATTACTTGTTCGAGGGCAACGACTGTGACGCCATCAAGTGGTCTGGCTTCGGGCGAGTTAAAGTCGTAGGGTCCATTACGCCTTCCAGCAGCGCTGAATTGTCTGGTGAACGTAGCAAGGCTGCCCTTCGAGAGACGAGCCCTAGTGCACGCTTGTGGCAGTGAACATGGCGATGGCAATGTCCTCGAAACCGTGGTCCAATTCATCCTCCACTCGATCCTTGAGGCGGATGACTGATGTACCGTGGCTCACTGCTGCAGGCTCTACCACACATCATGGACAGTGTTATACTGGGAACCTTCATCAGAACGATTTATACAGACTGGTTCTCCTCATGAGGGGAACTCTCTAAACGCTCGCCTCGGTACTGCCCGAGCAAGCACCCGGAGCAGCGAAACCGGAGGGCATCCTATCGGCGAAGTCTCAGGCAAGCATGCCCGAGATGCTAAGCGGTACCCGTCGTGCTGCAGTACCCGTCCCGCCTGCACCGCGACGACGCCTAGTGGCTGGAAACGAAGCAGATGCCGGTCCCATCAGTACGGCATTGCCTAGTGGCTGAACTCGAGGGAAATGCCGGAGCGTAGGTTGAGAGCTTTGTGCCGCGAAACATTTTGGGAGCACGTGCAATTGGGTCACTGTAAGCAGAGCAGAGCCTCTCCTACCATATATGCGTGGTTTCTTTAATTGGAGGAGAGCCTGAAGTTTATGATAGGGCAACGCAGCAGACTCAGGTTGGGTGCCATTGACACCTAAATTTACCGAAAATATGCTGCCGTCAGCCTCCAAAGCATGGGCTCGAGAATTTCGAAATGCCTCACCGTCGACCTCGAAGCTAATGCGATTACTGGTCTATATAAGGATGTCGCCTCCTCCTAGCTGTACTGAATGTCATCAATACAGATCACCAAGGAAGCAATTTCTATCCAGTGACGACTACCATTAACAGCTATCAGTAACAACTACTGTACCAGTAACATCAACTAGCACAACCCTCAACACTCCCATTCTCAACGCAACACCACAGCAAACAACCATGGGTCTCTTCCACAAGCGCTCCAGCGAGACTGAGGGTGCAAAGACCAAGCAACCCAAGCCTTCAGTCCGCGATCTCCAGGCGCGAGCATTCTCAGCATGGGTCGCTCAGGGTAGCGATCGCCGCAGCAGCACAGTGAGCAACTTCGAACAAGAACGCGCTCGTCGCCACAATGCCAGGACTGAGTACTTGACCATCCACATGTGATCTTCTAAATATTCTCTCCGGTTGGCTTTTTGTCGTGGCGAGGGGGGCGACTGAATTCATCTAAGCGTTCGAGCGATGCGATAGTATTCTACGACTGATCTCAGGGACATAATCACAATGATCTTCTACACAACTCCTCCTGCATCTTTCGAAGAACGATGTCTACTATTCAGAGACTGTCATCGCCTCATGTAAGTCGCAGGTACGCGGGGATTCGGAGGAGCGTAGATCGATACGCGCGATCATTGACAATCGCAAGGCATGTGCTTGGGAGTAATCCGAGGGAAAATCGGATCACAATCGGATCGAAGGCGAACAGAATGATATGTAGAGAATGAACATTTCATGCTCCTGGAAAGAGTTCTGTTTTCTGAGGTGTGTTGGCTGAGTGAGAAGGAGGGTAAGAAGAAAACCTGCATCAGTTTCTAAGCCAACTGACAGAAGTGCGCCCTGTCTTGTAGTCCGACGGTGATAGGCTCTAGGCGCATCAGCTCTTGCAGCCGCCCGCAGAGCTGCGACAAGTCGTCGTTATTGGACTTTGGTGAAACGCTGCGCTCTGCAGTCAGTGACAAGTACATTGTCAGCACTTCGCATATGCGCGGGTTCTTGCAGCTTTCGAGTTGATGTGTCGAGCAAAGAACAATCGTGTCGCAGTACGCGATTCGAGTTTTATCTCGCGGGAGAAGCGCAGATTTGAAGCAATGTATACGAAGCTGCTAGGCAGCAATCCGCTTAGGCTTAGCCGGCTGAATCGACCACACCCTGGCGCTCCTTTCCTGCAACAACGTTCACGCCTGGAGTGCCGCTTTTATGTCTTGAGGCCTCAGTCGCCCCCATCATTGGTTCGTGCATGGATGGATAACAATCATCCTCAGCGCCCGGACGCTCACTGGTAGACAGGCCTCGATCCCGCTTTTTCGCAGCAGGAGTCCAGAAAGCTAACGCCGGTATAGGCATAGGAGCGAAAGGCTCAGGCTTGCTTTGTGGCGCTCTCACCACTGGCACTGCAGTGTCTGCTCTCCTCCTCTCAGGTCCGTTTCGATGCGACACCCCTCGGATTGCTCCTGCTCTTTTTCCTTCCTCTTACTTCGAATCCATCAGCACTCTCATAACAGCGTCCTCGATATTTCAGTCCATCACAGCAGTCCTTCGCATTGACTTGCTTGAGGTTGACTCTTCCTTTTGTTTGCGCCGCAAGCCGCCTCTACTTCTCGATTTCCAGCTTTCCGCCATTCGAGTTTTGCACTCAGAGACCTTCAATCCCTTCATTCACTCTCGAATCGCGCCCTCACGATCCAAAATTGTACGAAAACCAGTATACTATCTGCTAGAGACTTCACTTGTTACCTCGCGCGTCACTCACCACGCTGTTCGAACTGATCTACTCTTGGGCGCATTCGACTTAGGCTCTCTCGAAGTCGATAAACTGCACCGAACCACGCCTGACTGGCTCGCAATGCCGCAGATGGCGTATTGAGCGTCTCTAGAGACTTATCTGCGAAAATTGCTGCTCAAAAACGCTATACAGTAGCAGATGCTCTACAATAGCAGACAGAAACCACGAGATCGATGCCCGAAACCCTCATAACACATCCTGAAAACCCTTCATGAGGAGGCCCTCTGTCATAGTATGACAGATTCCTCCTCTTTCTTCACCACGACTTCAACAGCACACCCATTTCCGGTCACCGCCGCTCCAGAGCAGCAATCGCCGTTGCTGAATGGCGATGCCTCCAACGCAAATCTCGCAGAAGAGGAAGAGTACACCATCAAATGTATATGCGGATATGCTGACGATGATGGAAACACTGTCTACTGCGAGAAATGCGACACTTGGCAACATATCGAATGCTACTACCCCTCGAAGAAGGTACCAGACGAGCACTTCTGCTCAGATTGCCTTCCCAGGGAGGTCGACGCAAAACGAGCAGCCGAGCGACAACGAAGGCATCGAGAAGGCCCACTCGAGGGCGGTGACCGGAAGGTCAAACGACCGAACACCAAGACCACGAAGAAAAAGCACAAAGACAGTTCTACGACGGCCGAACAGATAAATGGCTGGCACCTCGACCGACACGATTCGTTATCGAACGGTAGGGATCAGCCGCCTCCTGCGAAGAAGCCAAAGACAAGCCATCGGACGTCAGGTTCTGTGGCCTCAGTCAATGGCAATGGCAATGGTAATGGCGAGACCAGAAAGCGAGCCTTATCAAACATACATTACCCCAGTCCATCCAAATCACCTCCAGATGCAGCCCGGTACCCTCCAATACCGTTGTATACTGCCGAATTCCTGGAATTGTACGACCACGACCAGGGCACGACCGACGCGCAAGCGAACGAACACACCATACCTGCGTTGAAAGAGCTATCTTCCTGGCGGTCAACGCCTTCACGGATCGCTGGACCAGGAGAAGCACCAAGCACTCAAGCACCCTTTGTCCAAGCGACAGGGCCGCTCGACGATTCAACGTATCCCCTTGTGTCGGTCCAAGATACTGAGCGCAGAGATATCGACATCGAAGGCAAGTCTCCACGATGGAAATACATCGTCACACAACAATCGATTCCAAAAGATACCGTCGTGGGTGAAATCCGAGGCGAAGTCGGCATGCTTGACGAATACTGCCAGCAGCACTCACAAAACCGATGGCAGGAGCTTTCACATCCGGACCCTTTCGTGTTCTTTCATCCTCACATGAACATTTATGTCGACAGTCGCAAGCAAGGTACGCAGTTTCGCTATCTGAGACGTCTTGCAATCCCAACATTACCTTGAAGACTTTTATAACACAAGATGGCGACTGGAGACATTGTTTTGTGTCGAAGGGTGACATCCCAGCCGGCGTGGAGCTCACATCGACTTGGTTCCTTCCGAGCTTCATGACCGACCCTCCATCAGACCAGGACGACCCGCCTTTTGCTCGCCAGTGCGACTGGGTGAGTCGGGTGTTGGCCAATTTCGGTGATTGTGCTTGCAATAAGGGCGGTGCTTGCCTCTTCTCCCGATTCGATCGTCGGACACTTCTCAAATCCTCTGATAGTCCAGAGAAGGGCAAGCCAGGGCGCAAAAAGAAGCTAAAATCGAAGGCTGTCATGTCTCCAAGAAGCACCGGCCCAAACAGTAGGGCTGGCAGCGAGGCACTGAAGCACGAGGACGATGAGGCAGATCAGAGATCAACGTCTGGGTCCGCCAGCGAACCAAAAAGCAGGGACATGACTCCCAGTAATATTGCTGCACTGGACGCTCCGCCCCTACTGGGATCACAACTCACTGATCGCGAGATAAGGAAATTGAAAGCGCTAGAACAGCGAGAGCAGGAAAGGAGTAAAACGAAAGAAAAGAAGACGAAAAAGCGTACTAGCGGTGGCTCAAACGTCAACACACCGGTGCCTCAGGGGCACAAGTTGGTCAATTCTGGTACGGAACAATATCCCGGCTCACCCGGCATGGCTTCAGGCAGCAAAGGCAAGTCGAATACACCTCGGCAAACACCATCGAAACCAGTATACGTGGAGGCCGCTACGCAGACGGAACCTGACGACGTGGAGATCGAAATGCCGCCCGCGAAACGCATGAAGTATGTCACTCCACAGCAGAGGTTGTTGCGCAAGATACTTGCGAATCGTTCGAGGTATGAGCAGCGTTGCCAAGCGGCCGGTAACTCGCCGAACTCGCAATCTGGAACGCCTCTGACCAGCCCCGGCCGCGAGGTGGAAATGCCAGATTTGGCTACGGCTGTGTCACCAGTCTCTGCCCGCTCTGCTGTACTGCCTTCACCATCGACATCGTCTGAAGCAAATACTGCCAGTCCTGTGGTCTCGCCGACGTATCCGTTGCCTTCACAGGCAGCGCATTCGCAGAAGCAATTCAAGGTACCGGCACCCAAGCTGCAGATATTATCGATGCCAGCAGTGCCTGCGTTCAACAGTGCGAGTAGTCCATCAACGGCAGGAACGCCAGGCAATGTCGTGGCAGCTCAGTCACCAATGGCACTGCATGCACCGCTACTGACTCCGACTGCCTCAACGCCAACCCCAAGTCCAGCGCGGAAGAAGCTCAGCTTGGGTGACTACATGAAATCCAGACGCAATACAAGCTCTGGGACGTCAATGCCTAACGACAAGCCTTCATCTCCGGAATCCGAGCGTAAAGTCTCTAGCGAATCGCCTGCGCCCTCATTGGAAGCGACCCATGTGATACCAGATGAGTCGATCAAGCAAGAAGCTGCCATGATAAGCATTCCCGAGGTCGCCGTCGAGGATACTCCAATGAAGGATGTCGATGAAGAAGCAGAGTACTCTCCGCCGGAAGCCGTTGTTGACGACACTGCACCGTCAATAGTCGAGCAAGCGGGCAGTAAGCCTGATCTTCGGGTTGCTGCTGAAAATCTTGCCGCAGGATCCACCGAGGTCAACAACGTCCTGGCTCGTCTCGCGCAGATGCAAGGCCAAGCACAGAACGGGTCGTCCTGATAACTCGTCTCCGGCGTTCGCACGACGATCGAAGGTCCTGAGAGCCCTCTGTCTGCTCGACGGTGCGAAGTCGCATAATGTTCGCTAGGCAGACGGTTGTACAATATGAGACGGCGGGGCTGACAAACAGCACGCCTGCGAGACACCTGACTTGACGAGCGTCATTTGCTCAGTGTGTCTCCAACATTTGTGGCTTGCTTATTTGCACTCACGTTGCTACCTGGGCGTTCGCTGATTTTGTTATCGAACAACGAGGTTGACATGACGAGGATGAGCTTGACGGCAGGGCTCGGAGTGAGGGAACTTGCAGAGTCGACACGATACACGAAGCTACGGCTGGGCCACAGGCAAGTAGGGCAAGGATACGGAGCGAATGGCAAGGTAGTAGCTAAGGCTAAATTATTTATCACTGTTCAATACAGAATATGTTCCGCTTTCACTTTACCTCTTTCCGCTCAAGGTCATGGGCTTTCGCTCGGTTCCTCCTTGGTTGCTCGCCCTGATCTTGCAAGAACCAATGGGTCAAGATCGATCTGCCTCACAGGTAGGTCAGAGAGTATACCTAGGTATACCGTGCCTGCTTGCCTCTACGGATCACTTGTCTGTTGGAGCACGACCGCGACCATTTGCAGCGTTGCGGCGAGCGCAGAATGGCCTGCGCGCGGCCTTGCCTGAACCTAACACTCTTCTTACCTCTGCCAACAGTCGGCCGATAACATCTGAAGATCGTGAATTGTAAGCATAGTTGAAATTGCCATGCATGTCATCAACGTTCACCGTACTGCTACGGCGTACTCAACGAACCAAATGCATCATACCATACAAAACTTCATTCCTCTGGCACCGAACTTGCTTTGACGCCCCCGAGAATGCTCCTATATCAAAAGCGGGGCCGTAAGACAGGTTCTCGACTTGAGTTGTTTTGAAGTTCGGGGCGGCAAAGGCGCGGTGTTGAGAACGACATTTATGTTTTGGATGGCCAGGATGAACAGATTGAACCTGAATCGGGAAGGTGGATTTCCGAAAGCGGAATGCTCTCACAACTCGAAGTCGTTGTGCCCAACATCACCGTTCCGATGCTTGAAATGACAAAGCGACCTACTGGTCGGCAATCTGACCTCAAAGCTCAATCTCATCGACGGCGCAATCAGTGATCGTTCAAGTGTGCCTGCAGACGCGATCATGTTCTGCTTGTCAGCCATCAGATCAACCAGGCGAAGTAAGCTTAGTTCGCCATTAGACGACAGTCATCTTCCGGCATGCATGTGTGTGAGAGGGATCTATGAAGTTCAAAGTACTCCGGACCTTCAAGTACTAAGGATAGGCGCAAGACTTTATGTCTCCTCGGTAAGGGTGATCGACCCCACCAGCCCATACCAGTGCCCCCACCAAATCAAGCGCATGGCGTCCTGAGGCTGCACAACACTCCGAGTCAAGACGCGCTTTCATTGACAGAGGCGGGGTCAAGGCCATCTCTTCGAGCACGCCATTGCCTGCTTCAAGCACGTCCGGTCCAAGTCGAGCTTCGATAGGCTGTCTTCGAGGTATCGATTGGCTGTTTTGGGATCTGGCGTCTTGAAACACGATGAGTTAGGCCAAGGCGTCATAGCAGTGGCCTTGTGTCCAAGATGATAAGGTAGGCGGAGAGCAGGCCAGGCAAGATACCTCAGTGGGACTCACACTATCTCGCTCCTTATTCAGAGCACAATACTCAGCAGCGTAAGCAAAGGTATATCACCATGTCAGCCATCCAAAAGCAAGTCGAAGCCGCTTCTGAAGAATACTCGTCTTCCTTCACGAAAGGCGACCTCGCTCTCCCGCCAGCGAAGAAGTACTTGGTCCTGACATGCATGGACGCGCGCATCGATCCGGCGAGGGCGTTCGGGATTGAGCTTGGTGACGCTCATGTCATCAGAAATGTACGTGCTGCGCATGCGTCGAGAGACACAAAGGACGATGTGCTGACATCGATGTTGTTGTGGTACAGGCCGGTGCCATTGCAGAGGATGCTCTTAGAAGCATTGTCATTTCCGAGCAGCTGCTTGGTGAGTATGCCTGCCTTCTGTTCTACGCATTCCGTCGCCACTAAGAAGCCGGTTGGTCGAATTGAAGTGGGCAGGGGCCGCGAAGGAGTCCTACCTGCCATGCTTCATGTGACGTTCAGTGAGGCAGGATAGGGGACCTGCTGACACAGACAGGCACTACCGAGGTCATCCTAGTCAAGCACACAGGCTGCGGGATGTTGACCTTCAAGAACAAAGATGCATACGAGTACGTACTTCCAGAATCCTGAATCGGGCGTGACATAAGTCTGCTGGTCCTGGACCTCCCCGAATACATGTCCGTACTGACAGTGCACTAGCGTCGTGGAGCAGAATCTTGGGTACGTAAATTTTTTCTGGCCTCACGCCGAGAAAGGCAGAGACTGAGGGACCACTGCAGAGGTGAGGCAACAGCCGAGCTAATCTCCCGGAACATCGATTTCCTGCCGTTCCCAGATCTCGACCAAGCCGTGAAGGACGATGTCAAGTTTCTCCAGAATAGCAAGCTTGTGCCTGACCGTGTCACCATTAGCGGGTGGGTGTACGAGGTCGAGACAGGCAAGACGAGGCGTGTTGTGTGAAGCTGATGACTTGCTATTGGATGTTATGGCAACGAGCAAACTGATGATCACGTATTCATGCTAGCCAATCGATCCTTTGAACAATCTTGCGCTCCAGGGGGGTGCCAATCAACCTGAGCGAGCGAGGTGGGACAAGATCTCTGTACCACTTCTTTACCGAGACTTCGTCCGACCACTACCAATATCCGTCGAAGTGCTGACCACGTCACCCAGCACAACTTTCTCATCGTGATCTTTTGGCATGCTGAAGCCACCCTCGGTCTTGTCCTCACCTGTCTCTGGCCAAAGGACTTGCTTCTTGTATATGGCGTGAACCATCTTTCCGACGACCAAGAACCACACCAGGATGAGAGTTGCGGTCATAACGCAACCGACGACCTGAAGTGGGAAAGCATCGAACGCAGCAGCGACACGAAATGTCGCCTTGGTGAGCGCCGTCTGCGGAAATATGAAGCTGAACCATGTCATAGCGAAGGGTAATGATCCGGGCTTGCGAAGGCAGACCAAATTCGCCACTAGACTGACAAAGAAGAACCAAATAGCCAATCCCCATAGCCAAAGAGACACCCAATTGGCAACGATAGTCAGAATATTGGCAGCAAGTCGAGGATCCATACCCATGTATGAACCTCCAGGCCAATTAGACAGTATAGTATCCAGGTTCGATGCCATGCCAATCACTCCAGAAGCAGTAAAAGCACTAGGGCCAACAGACACGAACATCCCTGGTCGTAGCGACTCGGCGGGTAACTTGTGTGTCATGAGCCGGTAGACAAAGGCCGAATAGACTGTGACTGAAACCAGGAACCCAATGCCCTGGATAGTGAAGCCGCCGATGACAACAGCAAGGGCTTCCCTGGGATTGACCATCTCCTGTGCCAGAGCTGCAGCATGCGGACCAATAATCAGCAATGGGTAGGCTGGGAAGATCCAGATGGGTGTCATTCTGGCAATGGTATAAGTCTGCGTTGACCATAAGATTAGGTATATCGTGATGCTGAGTGTAACAGCAAGGCCAGAATCGAACCAGAACAGCCCAAGGATAGCACGATTGAGCCACCTCCCGACCTTGTCCGATCCATACTCCACGATGTTGATAAGTATAGTGCCAAAGGACACCGCGACGGCGGGAACGAAGAGCGACTCTGTTGGGTGCCGAAACGAGAGCTTGAACATGTACGGGTACCAGTAAAATCGACAAAACATCATGCCCCAGATAATAACAAAGAAGACGAGGTTGAGGATCATGAATACGACTCCGATGGCGTAGAGTCCATTGAAGCGGAAAGGCACTGTCGACGTTAGCTGTGTCTTCGATGCAAGGCCAGCGACGAACCCGAACGCAGAGTGCTTGCAATACCACCAGTCGCCATAACCAGCGTGAACCATGCCCAAGTAACATGCTTGAGGCGCTTTCTCAGCGGTAGATTTCCTTTCGGCGGCGGAATGCTTTGGTACTGCTCGTTGCGACGAGAAGCACCAAGTCTTCCAGTAGTGATTGGCATATCGGCTGCACTCCGCCCGGGGCGTTGGCGAGGTTCAGAGCCATTAGATTCACCACTTGGGCCAGCAGGTTCAAGGTAGCTATCACGACGAGAACAGTTCTCGATACATGGTGTATGCCACCTGCCGTGATCGTCGTCGTGCTGCATGATCCGCCGATCAACCGAGCAAACATTCGTCTCACGCCATAACGTTCATTTGTAAGTGCGACCGTTAGCTGCACGACAGACGACCAAAACTCGGAAAGCCGGGCACTGCAATGGACGGAAGGCGCGTCCTCGAATTGTCGTAGCGAAAGGAAGTAACCATCTTGAACCGCGGAAAGAGCAATTGACGACGGTGGCTAGCCGTGCTTTCCAGTTTGAGCGGCATTCATTCGCTGTAGTCGTCAGCGACTTGTAAAGATAGTTAGAACCTTGCCGTGTATCCGTTGCAGGCGAGTGACTTTTTGAGCTCGTCAGATAGTGGTACCAGCGGAGATCTTCGTGGACTTGCGCGGTGGCTGAGCGGGGCAAGTGACAGCTTGGCCAGGTTTTCACCCCTGACAACAGCTGAACATTCAGAATTTTATATATTGTTCTGACGCCCGGGTGCTCCAAATTGTGCCGTTAAAACGCACACAGATTCAAATGGGTGCTTGGTCTAGGGGTATGATTTTCGCTTCGCATGACCTGAATGAGGTCAAGAGCTTGTGAAAGGTCGTGGGTTCAATTGTGAGTACCACAAGGAAGAGAATATCGCAACAATCACTAATAAATGCATCAGCCCACAGTATCCACTCATGTTTTTGTTCTTTTGAGGTCGATGTGGCCGTGGAAAGCCGCAGAGTTGAAGTAAATCGGGAGGAAATCGAGGGGGCCCCATCGGAAGGGGGATGAGCATTTTGGTGTCCGAGCCCATGCCAAGAACTTCTCTCTGGCTTCAGCACCTTGAGAACCCTTCTGAGAGGCCCCCTGCTCACTTTGCAGGCATTCCAACGGTGGGAAGCCATGCAAAGCTCGAATCAAGGACGAGGGGTCCTCATCTGAGGGACGCCAAGCAATGGTTAGTATGGCAGCTTGCTTGGAACAGATCAGTCCTGGTCCATTGCATGACAACAGAGCATGTCTTGAACGCTCATAGCTAGTCATCTTCTTTTTTTCAAGTGGTGACAGCATATGCAAACTGAGAATAGTAGCAAACATGATGTGATATGAATGCCAAGATTTTTGTATACCTAGTTGGAGCAGCGGCGGCAACCTCCTGACAGCAGGACTCTGACCTCCAATATTGCACGATGGTCAACACATTGTTCGCTCAAATCTGCTCGCATCGATGACCATGGCTTTCTGTCTTCTCGTTGTATCTTGGGATGGTTTAGAATGCACGATGCGGGCCCCGCAATCGCCGGTAGATGAACGCGGCTATGAGCCGAACTCCACGACGATGGTCCGAACCCTGCCTCTGACGATGGCTCCGAGGCCTCTCTGGAAGATACAAAATGCCTTCGTAGCTTGTTTATAGGGACACTTCCCTCCAACCTGTGCTCGAAGATCCCCTACCTCTGATTCCTTCGAGCTTTTGCTACAACTCAGAAGCGGTACCAAGCTCACAGCAACTTCGTGATGAGGCTGACGGCCCTCCTCCCCCCAATCGCCATCCTCTCAACCCTTCTCACCTCTACCACAGCTCAAGCCAACGGCCAGCCCTCCTGGGAGTTCCTCTACACAGTAAATGCCACCCTCGGCTCACGCTGGCAGATCGGCCCACAAGGTCGGGGCTCGCGCGTAGTGATCCCCATCACGGGCGGCACCTTCTCTGGTCCACGTCTACGCGGAACAGTGTCCAACCTTGGTGCCGATTGGGGCGTCACCGATGACAACAAAGTCTTCTTTCCGGATACTAGGTACAATCTCAGGACCGATGATGGTGTGGACATTTACATTCAGACATATGGTCCAACTCAGCCTGATGGAAGGACTTTGTTGAGGGGGACGTTTGAGGTGGATATGGGGACGAAGTATGCTTGGTTGAATTATGTGTTGGCGGTGGGGGTGTTGCAGAGATCGCTGGACTTTGGGAACTATGTTGTGATTGATATGTGGCACGTAAGTGGCTTCTTCCTGAATACATCAACCCAAGGCCTACAGACAGCTGACTCTTTACTGAATAGATGCTACTCCCCGGTATCGCCACTGGCGAAGATCAGCAGTGGGACTTCACTAAGATCGGAGATGATTGACAATCAGCGGATCCGGCTACAGAGAAACCGAAGCATGATGTGAAGGAAGAACTGTGACGGATCCAGCCCAACCAGAATACGCAGCAAATGCGAACGAAACTTGCACAATGGCAGCAGGCCGACCCCGGTCAGGAAGTATGTGACCAGCGGATAGGAAGGGTAACCATCAATGGTATCATGACGATCGTCAGACTGGTCCATGTCGCCGACCTACATAAACGCTCATGAAAAGCTCACTCCATGCTTTCAGCCCAACACCTCCTGACTTTGATCTACACACACGCAAAGCCTAGCCACACCGTGCTGCATCACTCACCCGCAACTCTTCTGCTTCACTTGCAGCCATAGGATCTTCCACGTCATCAAGCGACTTAGCCAAAGCTCCCACAGCCCGTCTATACCTGTACCCGTCCGCAAGCTACCGCCCATCGACACGATCCCTTCGTGGCGGTATTGTATGTCTGCTTCGAGGCGAGGACCTGCGTGCCAGCTCGTGGTAAGAAGGATATAGTATGGTTGTCCCGATTTTTCAACCATCAATCCGTCCCAATTTCGGGACACTGCCCACGACCTTTTAACAGCGTAGTACAAATAGGTCCAGTACGCCGATTCTGACTCTCCAGCTCTGCAACAGGTCGCACAGCTTGTGTCTCTGATCAAGCATGAGCTCGAGCTTCGGAGATCCTGGTTCGAGTCCAGGTGCTGTTTGTTAACCATTCTTTTTTGCTATCTTCGATGCTGGCTTGACAGCATGCAAGATTCAGTAGGAAGGAAGTCACAAGCAACATGGACTAAACAATTGTAGTGCGGTCAATGTGAAATGTGCTCTTCCATGCTGTACATACCACACAACGCGCTTCCCGGAAGGTCACTGCTTGCTCTTGTCAAAGAACTCTTGAAACTTGACTCATTCACTAGATACCAAGATTGAACTCAACACCAACCTCAATATCCCTCGCCATCTTGACGATCTTCGAAAAGTCAACTGCTTTCTCCGCCGCTTCCTGCAAGTCGGTAATTGAGAAGATCTTCAGACCAGAGTTGTTGACCTGACACGTGTTAGCACTCCCTGGCAGATAGAACCCGAAAATGCTACTTACCAGCTCAGCCGCCTTCTCCATATTCGTCCCCTGCAACCTGCACACAATCGGCAGTTTCAAGTTCATCTGCTGCACGACATTGATGAGACCCTGCGCGATATCATCGCACCGAACGATACCACCGAAGATGTTGACAAAGATCGCCGTAACCTTAGGATCGCTCGTGATCAGTGTAAAGGCAGACTTGATAGCCTCCTGCGTAGCACCACCACCAACGTCGAGGAAGTTGGCAGGCGAGCCTCCGTTCAGCTTGATGATGTCCATCGTAGCCATGGCCAGCCCAGCACCATTGACGAGGCATCCGATATCGCCATCCAGCTTGATGAAATTCAGGCCGTGCTCAGCAGCCTTGACCTCATCGGCATCTTCCTGGCTGGTGTCCCGCCAGCCGAACACCTCCTTTTGTCTAAAGTCGGCATTGTCGTCAAAGCCAAGCTTAGCATCCATACAGAGAACCTGGTGGTCGCTGGTCTCGCTGAGTGGATTGATCTCGATCTGGGTAGCGTCCTTGTCCATGAAGACCTGGTAGAGCTTCTGGATGGTGCTCTTGGCATCCTCGATACACTGCTCGCTGAAGCCGAGTTGTGAGGCGATGTTGCGGGCCATATCGTCGGTTACGCCGGTGTGGATGTCGACGGATGTGGTGATGATGGCTTCGGGTGTCTCTTTCGCGACGGTCTCGATGTCCATGCCTCCTTGCGAGGACGCGACGATGACGGGTGCTTGGGTGGCTCGGTCCATCAGGATAGCCAGGTAGAACTCTCGTCGGGCGAATTTGCGTTCACAGATGTAAACTGAGTTGCAGATGCGGCCGCGGGCTCCGGTCTGTTTGGTGATGAGCTTGTGGCCGATCATCTGGTTCGCGAACATCTTGGCCTCGGTGGGACTGTGTATGTTAGCTTCAGTCGATGCCGCTGAGTGTCTGCGTACGAGTAGATCACCCGGACACCACCCTTTAAGCCGTTGTCGAACGAGCCTTTGCCGCGGCCACCAGCCAGCACTTGTGCCTTGATGACCATATCCTCGCCGCCTGGGCGTCGTTAGCTATCGTCTCGGATCACTCTTCAGATGTGCCCTACCCAGTTTCTTTGCAATGCTCTCAGCCTCTTCACCATTCTTCGCGACCTCTCCTTTGGGTACGCCGATGCCATACTGCTCCCGTCAGTTTCTCTCTATGTACACACACCCTCATTGTTTATCATACCGAGGTCAACAGGTTCATCGACAAATATTCGTGTATGCTGAGGTTTCGTCGCTGCGACATAGAGCTCCGCATCGAGGTGTCCTGCTTCCGTTGTTAGCCATAGACCTTTCCACGACTGCTGCTGCATGCATACCCTGACAGCAGCCCGCACGGCGGCGCCATAGGCGCTACGACCGAGTTTGAACATCTTGCACCCAGTTGCGATGTGGTGCAGTCTGGGATATCGAGGTGCTCGTAGCAGAAAGGACCAGTTACACGGGTGCTATCGGTGCTTCTGTAGAGTTGCCCGCGGAAACTTAGGCGTAGCTTGCCGACACGAGCGCTGTGAGAGGAGAGGGAAAGCTTGGAATCGGTGGTGGAGCCCGCGAAGTGCAGAGGCACATGTCATCGGCGCATCTCGAATTTATTTATTATTCGTACAGACGAACTTGCATGTTGGCAACACACGCAATGTCGAATGACGACGATGTAGTCCGCAACCAACTCGCGCTACAGTATGCGCAGTACGAGACCTTCAGCAAAACCCTCAGGTCCAGTGGTGTGGAAGGCGCCTCCGACAGCGAAAGTTCCAACGACGACCAACACCTGGTCAAACATGCGCAGCCCAAAAGTTCTGAAGTCTCAGGTATAGGCGCAGTACTCCCCACAGGCGACGACGACTACGGCAACGAGATGCTGAGCCGCCAGGAGACAGCCGCGACTCAGCGCCTTCGCAAACAAATACTAGGTGACCGTGTCATCCCTCCAGCAGGATCACTCAGTGCGACCGGATCTATGATACAAGGCGGAGGTCACTCGGCTGCACCGAAACCTCGATCTCGACCCGCCACGAAGCAGGACAGCGATGACGAAGAAGAAGGGCGAGGCAAACTTGGCAAGAGCAAGAGCAAGAGTAAAGGCGTCGGCGTCGACAGCAGTGTACCTGACTTGGTGACCAGTGACGCTGACAACTCGGGCACGGCTCAGCAGACGGGAACATCGAGCCCACAGCCAGTCTCCAAGAAGCGAGGCACGAGCTACCTTGATCAGCTCCTAGCAAATCGTGCCAACAAGAAAAGCAAGAAGAAGCAGAAACAGAAGCAAGAATCTGCGGGATGAAGACCAACGCAAGCTGGATACAAATTTTGAGCGCTCTTCGCTATCGCATCGGCTGCGCACTTCCTATACACAAGATCCTTCCGCCAGCGGACCATCTCTTCCCGAGCCAGCTGTGGCTCGACCTGACCCTCCATCCAACGACAATGCGACCGCACACGTCCGACAAGCCATCGACCATACCACCCAGGCCCAAGCCCAAGCTGCTCTGGTCCCAGCTTCCGAACCCCTCCACACCAATCATAAGAAGGAAATTCGTTAAAGGCTTTTTTGGGTTCACCATCCTTCTGATGTCGCCCTCACTGCATACGTTTCCGCTTCCGATCATCATTGTACGAATCTTCATCATCCGCTCGGCAGTCTCAGCCGGGTTCAGCAGCGAATGCACGTTACTAGCCATGCTGCTCCGTCGAGTCGCGGGTGCCGAATGCAGCTCGAATGTCGACTTCGGGAACCTGCTGTTCCAGGCCACACCATCTACGCCGAGGCCAGACGACGGTGGCGCACCGCCATCTGGTCCAGCGATAGGTGATGAATTGGCGGCGACGCTGACGGTCTGGTCGCCGTGGTCCGTTGATCGAGTAGGATGCCAACTGGTCGCGGATGTGTTGGTCGCCTGGAATTGGAGGCTGAGGTGGCGATGGCGGTTGCCATTGCGGTGGCTGCGGAGGTGCATGGTTGTTGGCCTCGGGCGGAGGAGGAAGAGGCCAGCCGTGTTCCCGGATGTCGGCAGAGGTATGCCTTCGAGCAAGACTGGGTGGTACATCCGGCGTCGCGACCGAAGAGAGGGGATGTGGTTGCTGTGGCGGCAGAGGCGGCCGGCTGAACCCAGGCGAGGGTTGACTCCCACCACTGATCGATCCAAACCTTCGTGGTGATGTTGCAAAATGTGCTGGAATAGGAGGCACTGGCGGCCTGGCTGCCGTCAAGCCAACATGCTGCGGCTCGATCTGTACAGATGATCGACGGCTGTCGGGATAATTGTAGCCTCTCGGCGAGATCGGGGGCTCTAGAGGAATATTCGAATATAGCGATCTGCCTCCTCCGTTCATCATCGGCTCCGCTGGCTGCTCAAGTGCACGGACGTATTCCAGCTGCCGCCCAATCTCCTTCTGCATGTTTGAGATCTCGCTCGCCATAGCACTTTCCTGAGGCGCCAAGTTCTGCAGCGCCCCACCAAAAGTCTGCATCCACTGATGGCATCTACTCAGGCTATCGGTGAGAGCCTGGCACCGCGAATTGAGCAACGCGTGACTCTCCTCCGTCCGCGATAAGCGAGCATGCACATCATTGAACAAGAACTCCAAATGCGCGACCCTTTGATCGGTATCCGGCATCACCTCAGCCGGCGTCCCAGGCTGAGACGCGACCGCCCCGGGAGGCTTGGGAGGCGCGGGGAACGAATCGCGATGGATCAGGGTATGCCGTGAGGCACGCCTTTTTATCTCTCTTAGCCCCATCAGGTCGCCCTTCTTGAAGTTGCCGTTCCCGTGCTTGAACTCCCAGAGCGCGGCCTCGGGCGAGCCCGTGTGGAAGACATCGCTGACTTTATGGAAGCCATACATGTTAAGTTGGCGGACAAAGGAGGAGACGTTGGTGTGTTTGAAATACTGAGCTAGGACTTTTGAGAATTCGTTAGATGGTGACATGACAAAGCTGTCGTTGTTGTTCGACCAGGAGATGAGGTGTGAGATTGTGCGATCTTCTAGCATGCTGTATAGTTTGTGTATGAATGCTGTTTGGACGACTTTTGGGCCCTGCGCCGCACCCACTGCGGCGGCGTTGCTGTTGGGTGTTGGTGTATGGTTTTGGTCTCGGTTGCCGTTGGCCATGGCCTTTAGGTGCTCGTCTTCGGGGGAGTTCTGGGCTGGAGGACCCATGGCTGATGGAGGCGGCGAGCTCAGTGACATATCGATGTCAGGGCCATTGCCAGACTTCGGCGAGGGAGGCTCTTGTGGTATGACAGCCATGCTCCGTCGCCTCGTCGCCGTGTCCAGCGAGGGGCCGAACGGGCTGCGCGGAGCAGGCTGGAACAGTGTGCTCATGGTGTGATCGTCCCGCGTCTTATCCTTTGTACTTGGTGGCTGCGTCGAGATGACTGTGGTGGCATCACAATAGTAATCACTGGTTCTGACTTGGACGTGTTGTGCGGACTATAACGACGGTAAGGCTGTCGGTCTTCGTGGGCAGGCAAGGGCGTGTGTAGTGGGCTCGACAGGCCAGTGGCAGGTACTTTCAATCTCCAGATGAAAAGTACAAAGTAACGTTCGAAGCTGAGGTTGCAATCTTTGCTCAAAGGTCGGCTCGGCTAAGACAGGGTGCGGAGGGTTTCCAGGCTTGCGTGAGGATGAGTAGAGACTTGAAGGTTCCCCCGATCTCGCTGATCTGAGCGTACCCGAAGACCAGATCAGAAGTGCGGCCACTCAGCTAGAGATAAGCGGGGAAGCCCTCGAGGGAATGACAATGCTCGAGGACAGCGGCCGACGAGGTCATGCGTCTACCTCTGTAGACCCATCGACGAAGTCGAATAGTATATTGCAGACTACCAGAGTCCCAACACGTTGATCGTCTTCTAGAAGGATATTAAGGGATGGAGATCCTCAAGCTATAGCCCGCCCAAGGTCTCGATCCGCGCTAGGGAACTGCAGCTGAAGCACGAGCCAGGTTGTTGCGGCGTACGGAGTACTCCGGGGGTTTCCTGGGAGAACAATCTCGTTGATACTGTAGGTACCTTGCTTCTTTCAATAACCGTATGCCTAATCCCCCTTGAAGCCTCGGCTGATACCTTAACGAGAGCGCAGGATGGGGGATCGTCTGCGGCAATGGACGACAGCAGAATCTACAGTATTGCTGATCTTGTAACATCAGACGGACCTCATATCGCAACGGCCAGACAAGGCCTATGATGTCGGCACACTTTGTGGCACCATGGCTTCATTCTTTAGTGTTTCGAAGCAGGGGGTCTCGGCGTAGCCGTGACGTGCAGCAAGAGCATGTGGCATTCGGCATAGCTCCTTCCATGACCGTTCAACGCCGTCAAAAGAACATCAACAGCAACTCTTCTTATCTGCTCCCACAGCATTCAATCAATACAGGAGATTCTCATTGCGAACCTGACCGCGAACAACCTGGAGCGTGCAGCATCCAATTTGGTGAGACCGAGGCCAGTTCCAATCGCGTTGAGAACATGGCCATTGTCATTCGTGAGATTGTTTTAATTGCCTTCCCCCACTCGCCCCTGGAGGCAATGCCAGGCTAGGGTAAATCATAGGGGAGCAGAAGGACAACCCGAGCTCTAAACCAACGTCTCGCCCAGAGCAATTTGAATGTGCAGTCTCTTGCATGAAGGAGATTGCGGTGGTGAAGCTTTCCAGCACGTCTGTTTCATGATGCTGCTGGTTCATGCAGCTACATCTGGGATGGAGCAATGGCCGCTATCACTAATGACTTCTATGGAGATGACCATGGCGCTGCGTCGCTTGGTAGACGAAGCTCCTCGATGTTGTCTCATTTCTGGCTGGAGGATACACTCGAACAACATACACTCGCACTGTAGTCAGTCGTCCCACCAGGTAGCAACGGGTGCTAACAAGACATGGCAACGTCGACCAGATTGTCAATGGTCCGGATGAGGAAAGGAAGAAGGGGGAAAGTCGTGGGCAGGCCGGCTACTTATACCTCTTCGACAAAGTGAAGATCGAGGCAACTGACTCGCAAAAAGTATTCACTGAGCCATCACTGCACTGAGTCGGAGAGCAGTATTCACTGAGCCATCACTGAACCGACACGAATGTAAGTACTCACTGAAAGGTGTAATTCTGGATCATGCTACGGGCTTTCTGAAAAAACCGCCCGCCATACAGAACCAGGGTTATGCCCAGCAACGAAGTCAAGCAGTAATGAGCTTGGTCATAACGAATCCAAAATATTCGAAAGAGCCTGGGACGTCTTCGAGGGACTCTACATGCAGAGACCACATGTCCGGGCGAGCCAACATTGGTTTGAGAAAGTGAGGCTGCCGGTAAGTCACGTACAGCCAGGCACCACCAGGTCTCAGTATGCGCGCAACCTATCGGACACGAATGGTCAATTCTCTGAAGCTATGTGCTTGTGGACACGGCTCACCTCGTCAACGTATGCCTTGGTGTTCTCTTTGACATCGTCTTCCGGATCCCAAAGCGAGCCATGGAGCATTGCGTCCAGCGTACCTTTGTCAATCGCGATGTCGAAGGACTTGTCAGGAAACTTGAGATCACGGACGTCCATGACCTGCCATTCCAGATCCAAGGCGGCCTCTCGCTCTGCCATGATGGCAATTGCTTTGGGTGAAAAGTCTATGCTCACTTGATTTCGATAGCCGGCATGATAAAGATCTGAGGTTAAGGTCTGACAAGAGTCAGTGGACAGCTTGAAGTCGCTGAGGACGCATTCCTACACTGGTCCCGCATCCGAGATGTAGGATGCGTGGTTCTGTTGCGGCCGACGGCAAGTGCTTGGTGAAGTATGGCTTCAATTTCTGATAAGTCTTAAACCACTCGTAATCGTCTTCTTCATCATTCCCAGAAACCTCGTTGGTATATCTTTTCTCCCAAAATTCCACCTTTGAGAGCTCCTTCTGTGACGCTACGTTCATCCCGCTTAAGCTTGTGAGCCTGTCGGCTATTGAGGCCGAATTGTCAGGTTTCGTTAATCGTCGCAAACTTGAAGACGTGCAGATTCGCTTGGCGCAACTTACTTAGGCATCCCCAATGACAAACTACCCCACCACGCCCCGAAAATAATTTTGTTCCGCATTCGACTTAAAATCGTCCTCGATTTTCGCAGGCTTTGAGCAGTATCTTCACTTGGGGCACAGATACTCAGTTGCAGCATAGAGCGGCATCGACTTATATCATTGATTGCCACAATGTCTGCTGCTGCAATTCAACGGCGGCATGGGCCTCTCGAGGACGACATCACCGCGGCTAGTGGACGTTTGCGAACGAAATCGATAACTGGAAAACGCAAGTCTCGCGGCGACGAGGACAAGACAGGAGGCGACGGATACATAGACGCCAGATCATCGAAGAAAATTCTTGCGATCGCACAAGATTTGGCGGACGAGGACTCCAGCGAAAGAGAGAAAGCAAGAGCCGTGCCCGCATCACCTGGCGCGTTTGGTTTCGATTCACGATTTGGCGACGATGAGAATGCAGACGGCCAGCTTGAACACGCAGACGACGAGGATGAATGGTTGCCTGAGGAAGAGGAGGTCGCTGAAGATGTCGACCCGAAAGATATGGCCATTTACAACAAATTCTTGCGAGAAGATGAAGCACTGGCGGACTTCGCGCCTACTTTGGCCAGCTTATCCACGAGCGGAAACGACGGCTTGGTCAGGCATGAGAGCGCTGGAGAGGAGGAAGGAGAAGGCACAAATCTGGCCGACCTGATACTGCAAAAGATCGCGGAGAAGGAAGCTCGGGAAGCAGCGAATGGTTCAGGAATCGAAGGACATCCACTGGAAATCCCGGAAGGCGCTGTGGAAATACCAGCAAAAGTCGCAGATACGTTCGCCAAAGTCGGTCAGATCCTGTCACGATACAAATCTGGCCCGTTACCGAAGCCATTCAAGGTTCTGCCAACACTTCCACAGTGGCCGGAACTACTCGACATAACACGACCAGAGAAATGGTCACCTCAAGCGGTCTTCCGCGCAACAAAGATTTTCATCTCTGCTCCGCAAGCCACAGGCCAGTATTTCTGCTCTACAGTGCTACTCGAACGAGTTCGGGAAGACATTCAGGAGAATCGGAAACTGAACCATCACCTGTACGAAGCACTGATGGCGACTTTCTATCGTCCAGCTGCCTTCTTCAAGGGGTTCCTCTTTCCGTTAGTGCAGAATGGCTGCACTCTCCGCGAAGCACAAATCATCTCTTCTGTGCTAACGAAGCACAAGATCCCTGTACTTCACTCCGCGGCAGCTTTGCTAAGACTCTGCGAAATCTGTGCAGAGCAGACAAGTAACATCAGCAGCGAGGCTGCAGGGTCCGCAAACATCTTCATCAGAATTCTGCTAGGGAAGAAGTACGCATTGCCGTACAAGGTTGTGGATGCTCTGGTTTTCCACTTTCTGCGATTCAGAGGGAGCAAGGAAGAGGATGCACTAGGAGCCAACGAGTCAAAGCTGCCAGTGCTTTGGCATCAGAGCTTACTGATCTTCGCGCAGACTTACCGCAACGAGATCACTGAGGATCAAAGAGAAGCGCTACTGGATCTGCTGCTGGTACGTGGTCACAAGGACATCGGGCCGGAAGTGCGACGAGAATTGCTTGCTGGCCGGAGTCGCGGCATTGAGGAACCAAATATCGAGAAACAGGACGGTGATGATACCATGATGACTTAGCCAGAGCATGTAGTCGACGTCAACAGTCATTCCGCAGTCAAAGACGACCTTTGCACTCTGCCCCTTCGTATGTATGAAAGCTAGAGCAGAGGAGCCTTGGCCCAGGCCGGATGACAAGGATATATTCGTTTCGACGCCTACAAACTAGTATGTCTCATGGTGGCTGAGAAGGTACGACTGGACCAGGGAGACTGTTTTCTTCTCCGCAGCACGATGAGGTACTGTAGCAACTGGTTTACGTGTCCTATTTGAATGAGTATGGTGGCGGCCAGTTAGCCCGTTCCGACTGCAGAGTGCCAGTGCTGCCAGCAATGCCCGTAGCCCATCTACCCGGAGTTCTTTTCCGTTCACTTTCTATTTTCAGCCACGCCAGCGACAATTCTCTTCATGCTCACTTCAGTTTTTGAGTCGATGGCAAAGTCTCACTTCAATTCATCATTCACGAGATCGTGTTCGATGCACATGCCCTGGCTTCACCGATCCTGGATGCGTGCTTATGGCTAACAACGACCCGTGCCACGATGCCACGAAAAGAGTCAAGTATTGATCGGCGCTAGGAGCCTGTCTCGTGTCTAAACGCATAGATCTATCAGTCTTCGCAAGCGATTCCTTCTGCTTTTCCGCCTGCATCCTGTCGTCCCTCCGAGCCATGGCTCAGCGTCCCGGAACAGCAACACTGCAGCAAAGACTTCCCTCATTTCAACATGAGCGGCTGAAGTCGAACGCCAATTCCATACGACTTGTACAGATCCATGGCTCGACGGTCAAAAGTGGACCTATATCCCTGCGTATCACACAATACGCAAAGCATAGAAGACCGAAATATGCTGCGATCAGCTACACTTGGGGAAGTTCAGCCCATCTTCACCCTGTCCAGATCAATGGCAAGCCGTTCTTTGTCCATGCCAACCTGTACAACCTGCTTCTTCATTTGCGCCAACGCGGCGAGTCACGCCTGCTCTGGGTCGATGCTCTCTGCATAGATCAGCAGAATCTGGTCGAGCGGAACTTCCACGTACAATTGATGGCGCAGATCTATGACGAAGCCACCAGCACGATCGTCTGGCTCGGAGCACCAAGTGATGATCGACGCGAAGCGCGAGCGATCGACTTCGTATCTGAGATGGCTGAGTACCTGCGAAAGACAAAGCGAGAAGTTGCTGCTGGCTTTGAGAGGATGTACTTCAATGACATTGCTGCACCCAGGTGGTCCAACCTGATGGCTTTCTGCTGTCGGTCAAACTACTGGACTCGTGCATGGATCGTACAGGAGTTCCTGCAGGCTCGACAAATCGAAATGTACTGTGGTACTGCACAGCTGGATTGGTCCTTATACGCCAGCGTCTTCGGTGCGATTCGAGAGCACTGCCGCTCCAGCTCCGGCGCACAGCCGGATCTTGAGGACATCCTTCGGCGCATACTTAGCTCCATACCGGGACGGCTCACGGCGCGACGGCTGTCCGGAAAATCAAGTCCATTACAGGATCTTCTGCACGAGTTCTATGATGCCGAGTGTTCAGAGCCACGGGACAAGGTATACGGAATGCTTGGCATCGCCAGTGACTGTGGGGATTTAGCTGATACTGGTACTTACAGTGGTCCACAGCCAGACTACAGCAAGCATATCCTCGAGGTTTACTTCGATGTTCTGGTCCACCTGCGAGACACTTTCGTCACGCAATCAGTCTCTCCGCTGACAACATATCTCCTGCAGCAGTCGTTGCAGATCGGCAAACTCGACGTTCTCGAGTACCTCTCGCAGTTTGATGAGCCCACCCTGCAGGTCAAGATGCTGGAGACGAGCTTCAAGCTTCAGCCTATGTACATGAACGCCGTCTCTGACACAATCACCAGCTGGACGTCCGTTCACGATCTCCAGCAGCGTCTCGACGACTTTGACTGGTCCCAATACGTGGGCTACACCGTGCAAGCACGCATGCGACCACAGACGCCTCAAAGAGCACCCTCCTCCCCCACGCCTTCATTCTCATCCCAGGCTCGGACGTCTGTCACAGGCATGCACCGCGTTGCTTCTTTGACGTCTACCGTACCATCCCTCAACGCCATACCTAAGGACCTGATCTCCAACGCCCTCGCCGTGGCGGAGGTGCATCCGGCTCTGTCAACGTTGTACCACTATCTTCCGCAGGCCAATGGCTTCCACCTGCCCCCATCTCTGCTGACGACCCACCACCAAGACAAGCAGCTACTCGGGCCAGCTGCCTCCTCGCAGCGACCAACCCTCATCATTGAAAGTTCACCTTGCGCGCAGCCTGTACGCCTCGGCTTCGCCCCTCCAGGCACGAGACGTGGGGACATTATCTGTCAATTCCAAGGCACGGACCTCACACTAATAGCAAGACGGCCTGCGTATGGAGGGCAAAGTCTACAGCTGGTGGGCCGTGCGATCATGGTGACGCACGAGGGTTTGAGTGGAAAGCAGGGTGAAGTACATCCGATATGCAGGGCTGGGCTCGGCAGATGGGGTTCAAGCTGTCTGGGAGAGCAGTCGGAGACGGTCCTCAACGGTGAGCAGTATTCAGAGGTTGGATCCAAAGATTTCGGAGAAGCAATCGGTGGCGGCACGAAGCCCGACATGAGCGCCGGCGTGGACGGTGAATTTGCTCACGAAGTCATTGAGACAGATGCAATAAGCATGTTTGAGATTTTGCGAGGCGGCGAGCTGAAGGGAGGAAGCACAGTCTGGCTTGAAGCTTGATCAAAATTCCTGTCCCTGGCTGTTGGTATGGTCTGTCCATTGTCGGTCACAACGAACCATGTCGCACTGCGAACCCATACCCCTACGTGTGGGAGACAGGGCTCCGGCGTCACATTTCAATGGTCCATATGGCGACACCATCCTGCCTCCCCGAACCCAAGTCTCGCCAACCGTTCAGCCTATCCACCAGCTCTCGCAGCCCTTCCTCCAGCTGCAGCGTCCTCCGCCTCCAGCTCCTCCAGAATCATCTCATCCAACCTACTCCGACTGCCCCGACTGGCACTTCGCATAGTGTCTCTGGCCACAATCTCGCGCTCCCGCTCCGTATCCCTGATCTCCGCGCTACTGCGCAACTCAAACGTGTCGTGTCGAGGAATGCCGCGGTGGCCGAGTTCGATGGGGATGTGGAAGCCGCTTGGGTCGCGTCGCTTGCGCCGGAGGATGCAGTAGATGGTTATGATGATGAGGAGGGAGGTGATGACTACGGCGACGGAGGAGAGGATTGGAGCGAGGTTGTTGATCGTTGTTGAAGGCGCCTCGGCGCCGTCTGCAGTGGTTGGTGTGGTGTTGTCAATGGCGGCCATGATGCGGTCTGTGGAGGTAGTGGTACGCTGGGCCTTGCGAATGTGTCCAATCCTCACAGAGTCCTCCTTGGTAGACCTTCAGCAATCTTGAGAATTGGGAATAACGAGACAGTGGACTGGATGGTGGCGTAGGATGGAAGTGGTTGCTGCAGCAGAAGGTATGGAGCAATTCTGTGCAGTGCTTGCTTCACTGATAATGCAGACTGGTGGCGCCTTAGCGCAGAGAACACTTCCTTTTTGACCCCCGGACGAAGTCGGAATCTGCTCATCCGAAGAAGAGCAAGAAAGGCGAAAGGCAAAGAAGGGAGGAGATGGATCATCACCTAGCAAGAGAAGGCAAGGGAAGGGGTTATTGTGTGTGAGCATTTGGTTCTCTTCTCACTTGCTTTATGTCTCACGCAGAATATCTTCATCTGTCCTGTCTGTGAGTTTTCTTGATGCTGATCATTCAGCAGAGCCGTCCAACCGGATCTTGACGACACGCTCTCATAGTCGTTGTTCGGCGGCATCTCTCAACATTGACTGCGTCGTTCCGTTGCTGTATGCACACTCTGCTTCTGACCAGATCGCCCTTTCCACCACCACCTCAAAGTTCTGCGCGCCATGCCTAGCCCTGCTTCACCTTCCCTGCCTCCTTCTCAACATGCCGATGTCGAAATCCACTTCCCAAAACACCAACACCACCACCTGCATCACCAGGCGCCATACCCTTCGCCGCATCCTTTCCACCACCACCAACCCACTCCCAAACACTCCTTCTACTACTCTTCCGACTGCTCCTCCCACTCCCGCCCGCACTCCCACCAGCCTCCCGCTCCTGCCTCCGCCGGCGCAGCCGCCACTGGATCCAGCAGCGGCGGCAGATGAGGATCGAGACGAGCGTGCCGAAGATCGAGCTGAGCACTACTGCGATGGTTTGGATTGGGGTGAGGTGGGAGGATGTGGCGGAGGCGGTGTCTGTGTCTGTTGGTTTGGGTGGAGGGTTGGGGGTCGGGAGAGTGGGTGTTGTGGCTGTGGAATGCGGTATTGTTCTTGTTTGAGGCGGGGACGTGCTTTGGGTTGAATCGGTTATGTGGATAGGAGGTGTGGATGCTTTGGAGGTCTTCGTGGAGGTCTTCGTGGATGGGTCGCGGGCCCGCGGGCATATGCACGAGAAGGAGCGTAGTCCCATGATCGCTGGCCGGTGCCTGAGGGTGGATAAACAGGTTTTGGCGTGCGACGCAGAATTGTGGAAGAATAGAGAGCAGGGCGTTCGAGGGCTTAGTCCGATGTCAGATGGACGTGGGAGAGAGCGCAGCGAGTGACTGCAAGTCGAAGTCGTTCCTGCCAGAATCAGCGAGTTCACAGGCTAACAGCAGCCACCTCGCCTAGAGCAGAGGATGCAGTGAAGTTGCCGCGGAGTTGAAGATTGCGCTTGTGATTAGCAAATAGAGAGGTCCTTTTGACAATTAATTGTCTGTAGTACTGATAATACACGTGCGTGCTGCTTTTATCGACTTGCTCCAAGGCGGCCTTTGTCTCTCTTGCCATGTAATTTGAGAAAGTTGACCGAGCCTTCCAATGAATGCCTAGGCCTTCTTCTTGGGAAGCTTCTTGGGCCGAGGAAGGCTGCTGGATTGCTCCTGCTTGCCGACCTCATCTTCTCGGACGGGCTTGCTCTCATCTAGAATCTTTTCTTCTTCCTTCTTGACCTCCTCTTCCGCAGCATCTTTATCGGTCCCTGCTTCCTTGTTCTGGCCCCCGGAGTCCCCGCCGGCTCCGGTGCCATCGTCGTTTGGGGGACTCGAAGCCTCCTTCTTTTCCTCCTTTGTACCAGATTCGTCTTCATCCTTGACTGCGTCAGCGAATGATTTCTCATCGGTCACTTTCGATGCGTCGTCGTCGTTGGCCTGGCCCTGCTTTTGAGCCTTCGATGCTTTCTCATCTAGCTTCGCGGCAGCCTCATCAGCCTTCTTATTGATATCCTCGGTGACGGGCTTCGCATTCTTCTCGACCGACTTCTTAGCCTCACCAGCCTTCTTACTGATATCCTCGATGACGGGCTTCGCATTCTTCTCGACCGACTTCTTCGCCTCATCGGCTTTCTTGCTGATATCCTCAGTGACAGGCTTCGCATTCTTCTCGGCCGACTTCTTGGCATCCGCCACTTTCTGTGCGACGGCAGCCAGATCCTCCTTGACGCTAGCAGCAATGTCAGTAGCTTTTCGTTGGGCAGCCTTCGCTGTCTTGCCAGCATCCTCCGCAAGCGCGCTCGCCTTGGATTTTAAGGTGTTGATAGTCTCATCTGACTCAACAACCGGGCTCTCGTTCTCGCTCGAATCACCTGTGTTGTGCATTTCCATCAGTGCTTGACTCACGCGCCGAGTCGCACCCTTAGTGGCATCCTCGAGCGATTTGCCGATGTTGACCTTGTCGCTGGCGGCGCTGCTTCTTCTTCGTTCCATCTGTGTGAGGTATGCTTTGACAAAGAAGCGAGCAAATAACCATGTGAGTGGGGCAAGATAGAGACAGTTCAGAAGGATAGCGAAAACCTGGCCGCTAGTGTCGAGACAGTGAACCCACTGCAGCTCATCTCTGTAACGATGCTCGGCTTGCTGGAGATACTGCTGAGGGACCACGGGGGTGCCGTTCTCGACCGCAGCGCCATACGGACGAACACCGACGTTCTCCGCCAGACCTTCATATCCTGCTGCGCGAAGAGCGAACTTCTTCCAGAAAGCCCTGGGATCTGCAGTGGCTGATGCGACCGCCGCCGCAGCTACACTTGATGCGTCCGAGGCAACCATTGAGGCGATCTTCGGAGCCACATGGTATAGGTACGGAACGCTGACGGGAATCTGGTATTTGACGAAGAGGTGGAGAAATGCGTAGTTTGCACCAACCACGAACTGGGTGATTTGCATGCTGGTGAGCAGCCGCTTGAGTCGTTTCGGAACACTGATCTTGAGCGCTGAGCATAGGTAGAAGGTATACTAGAGGAGATCAGTATGCTGTAGAGCTGAATGGTTCTGGTGCTTACCATAAGAGCGTGAATGAAAGAGTTCACGAAAACGAACATCCAGATCGGAGGCGACATGTAGCGTATGCCAGCCCACATACAGAGCATTGCACCTGCATGATGATAGGTCTGGAGGAAGCTGCTCTTCTTGCCTTTAGCCAGGATGATTGCTGTGTCAATGACCTCGTAAAATTTGGACAAATAAAAGAGCCAGCCGTAGAATGCAAGCCCTTCGTTCCATATGCGACCGACGTCGGTCCTCTCAGGGCCAAGACCATCAGCTGCGAGATGAAAAGCTCGGTTGGTCATCGTCCAAGCGCTAGTTTCCTCATTATATGTTGCCGCACTGCCCATCCCACGTGGCCCTTGAATCTTGCAGAGCGCATCGACCACGCCTGAAGCTCCGTGCTCATTTTGCCAATTCGGGATACTCAATCTCAATGCATTGAGCATGCCAAGGAACGTCCATGCGGAGTAGACTGCGAGGATAACATTGTGCAGTATAACGAATAATCTGAATGCTGAAGTTCGACTGATTGCCCATGGCTTCCACTTCCGGCGAGCATTGACTGAGTTTAGATATGTGACGGTGGTCGCGTAGACAATGGCGATGGTGATCGGGACGTACGGGCTGAGCAAGGCATTGTACCAGTCGGTCGGAATCGAGAAAGGGTGTGCGAAGTTAGGATCGTTGGGCGGAGGTGGTAGCGTCTGCGGCTCTGGTGAAGGAGGTAATTTAAGCAGAGATGATGGCAACTTCGTTAGTCTCACAGACGGTAGAAGCTTCTGCAGGCCGAAGTCCTGGTCGACCTCAACGCTGTCCATGCTGTCGATCACCCACGGCGGGCGGGCTTCCAATGCGGTCCTGTATTGATCGTTCGTAACGTCCTGTCGCGTGTGGTGGCTGGAATGAGCAGCTTCTTAGTCGGCAGAAGCTGTGGCAGTCGCCAACAAGTACTATTAGAGCAACCGAAGAGCTAAGACCATGTTTGCCCTTTGCTATGACTTTGAAAGGAGCTGTCAAAAATTGTTGGGAAAGAGTGACCGACAACAAGGTACCGTTGTATCGCTTGCGGCACCAAGATCGCGTTTGCGCAACGACTGAAAGCAAAAAAACCAAGATCAACGTCTGCTCTACGTCACCGGATCAATTTCCCGCGTCAGTGGCCAACCTCTGCAACCGAGGCAGCGGGGAACCCAGGGGCACGGGCGTCACTGCACATGTCACGATTCAGGCGACGGCTTACCTAAATTCTGCCTGATGAGATGCGAAGTTCGCTACCTGCTAGGCACAAGCGAATTAAGACACCTAGGTTCGGCTCATAAAATTTCATTTTATTTCTGTTGAGCAGTGTGCCAAGTCAAGCGACACTGACCATTCTCTTTGTCAACGACACGGCTCTTGTATCCTTATGCCTCACGACCGCGAGGGTTCGAATCTAGTGTCGTATCTAGTGTCGTATCCATAGTCCTCGTTGGATTGACTCCGTCTATATGTCTGAAGTACCTGCCCTCCGCGACGACCCGTCTTCGTGTGCATTTGAGATCACACAGTAGTCTGCCACAATAGCAGTCCGGCAACCACCATCTATGCTCCTTGGCCTCGATAGGTTCATACTGGCCACCCTGGTCGTAGGTAGGAAGCGGGATCGGAGACGGCTCCCTGCCGGCTTGCAGAGATTCATATCGTGCGCTGTTGCGCAAATCGACCTGAGAGCTGTTCTCACTTCCCAGGAATTTGGCTGTCTCAGCAGGAGCAATCTTCCTGCCACGAAGAGAGAACGTTGCGGTGTGCCAATACCCACCCAGAGTCCAGCCTGGATGGAAGATGGTGAGTAAGAGCGCTGTGATGACCATCAAGGCGCCATCAAGTATCATGAACAGGGTCTCGTTGTTGGCCAACTCGCTGTCAAATCCACCGAGGAGCTCGGCGCATCTGTAAATGCATCGGACAAGGATTGAGAAGACTGATATGCCCACAGCCCATAGGAAGAGCTTGAACTTCAGCGTCTTGCGGTATGAAGCGTAGTTAAAGTCGAGCTTCTCCGGATGGCGACGGATGGCCAGTGCCAACTGCGCACAAAGCCCGACGAACAACGCTGTGGCAACGACTTGAGCGACGAGTCCAGCAATCATGATGTTGACGCCCATATCGCTTTGCTTCTTGTCGCCTTCGTCTGCCATCGAGGCAATAGCACCGCCGGCTGATTGCAACAGCAGCGAGATAAGATCAAAGCTAATGAAGCTGATAGTGACAGTCCGAGGCTTGAACCATGACAGCGATGAGCCGAATATGGTCATGATGCGCGATATTGAAAGGTAGATGGCGGCTGAATAGAACGCAGGGCCAATCGTCAGGCCAACGAGGTATATGATGAAGTTGTTTCCGTCTGGACACAACTGTCAGTACACATGACTTCGGCTGGCTTGCTCAAGAAACTTACCGAAGGGCTTGTTGTGCATCTGTATCCGCCCATAATAGCCAACAATCTCAAGAACCGTTCCTAAGCACATTGCAACCAGGTAACCCCAGGTCTTGAATCGAATCCCGAGGCCCAGCTGGCCCAGAATGACTGCCGCGAAGAGCCCTAGGAAGAGATAGTTTCCGAAGAGGGAGGGTAGGTAGTGGACTGAAGCGTAGGTGTCGAAGCATACGGGATCCGCCAGGCACTCGGCCTCTGACATGGGAAGTTCTTCAGGCATGTTGGTTATGGTGAATGACAGGTGCTGTTGTGTCACTGCTCCTTGGGGGAGTATGAAATGAATGAGATGTTGGTCTTGTTGATGTCGGTCGAGTGATACTGGCCATGACGGGCCTCTATATAAACAGTGTGTGCTGTCTGAAGCCCCTGTCTATTTCTAGATACAGAGCTAGTGGCAGTCGGCGCGGTCAAGATCGTTCGTACGACGCAGGGCGACAGACAGGGTCAAACCCATGCTTGCAACGACAACAGCATCTATTGGAAACAGATGAGCCCCCGTTGCCCCGACCAGATCGTCGTGTACTGCATGTAAGGCACTCCACCATGCGATCGAGTAATGCCCGGTTGAGCGTTGCCTGCGATGCTGTTCCACCTCTATCGGTCTATGTCTTGGCCGCGGCAAGCATGCGAGATCCGCATGCACAAGTTCATATTGGATGACCTCTTAATGTAGACGGCACTAACCTTCGAACAGGGCAACTTGCGGATTCATCATTCCTCAATCAGGGGGCCCGAAGTTTCGAGGCGTTAAGCGATTTTCGGCTTGGAGTTGTTTCTGGCATATTATTCACTGTCGCCTGCCTCTAATGATTGAAGTTGCCTATGGCGTTGGGGCTGTGTATCGGGACAGTGTTGCAGAGGACGGACTAGGACTTTTGGTTTCCATCACTTGTATTGAGATAGGGCAGAAATGTTGGAGGTCCGAGTTTAACGCCGGTGGCCCTAATTTTGGAAATTCCTGTTCAAAAGACCCCAGACTTTTGCTTGACGCCACCAGCACTTCGCATCAGCAATTCTGAAAGTCGCTGTCTTTCGATACTGAATTGTCTGATGCGACTTCCTTTGTAGGCGCAGCACCACTTCAATTTCGACAGTCGCGTTGTGGGTCGTACGTCCGAACCTGCCACACGGCGTGCCTGCCACCGGTCTCGACAACGCTCGATCACTCTTGGCGCAACACGTACGAGAAAACGAGGAGTCCACCCGGTTTTAGTACGCAATCCGAGGACAGAGCTGTCACGATGCGGCCGAATGCACTCTTCCAAGGCGCTAAACCTACGCAATCGAATAGGTATCATGCGAGCAGCGGATTCCAGCAAGACTTTTGTATTGCAGCCGTCATGAGCTGCTCTCTTTCCCTAGGATGCCTGAAAGCCTCGATGTCGTCGTGTCGTACTGAGATGTATATCTAGCAAGGTGGTATATCAGAGCTGAGGTCCCAATAGCACCATGGGGAAGCCAGCAGGTCAACTAAAGCACAATGTGCGTTGCAAAGCCGGCGAAAGCTAAACCTCAGTCCAACGCAGCCGGCGAAGTCAAGAAGAAGCGCACCCGCGTTCTAGCCATAAGACAAAGTAGTCGAGGCTGCTTAACGTGCAAGTGAGTTCTCCAATGCCCAAGAGAGGTGCTATTGTGCGACTACACGACATCATGTTCGTTCATGTTGGCTATCTGCGACTCGACGCTCAAGATTGGCTCCGCAACGATCGCCCAAACGGAGGAGTTTGCCTGTTGTTCCTTGCGCAAGACCGGCATGGTCGGTCTTCTCTATCTCATACGACCGAAGATGCGCTAACGCATGTTTCACAAGGCAACGTCGCATAAAGTGTGATGAGACGAAGCCATCTTGTGCTCGATGCATAAGATCAAAGCGACACTGTGCCGGTTATGCGTATGCTGGACTTGCAAAGTCTCAGGAAGCTACTCGGTGTGATAACTCGGCGCCCAAGCCTCAGGTCGAGTCCGAGCATGTCTCAGGTCGACCAGCGAAGGTGGCAGTCCAGCAAGCCGTCGTTGATCCCAATCTTCTGCCTTGGCAACGGGCGCTGGGCGAAGTCGGCGTCTGTCTGGTCGCTGATGACCCTCACTGCTTTCTCTCGCCAGACCTTTGCCTCCTGTTCAACCAGTTGCTACCGCAATTCAACCAAACCATCCCCTTTGTGGCAGCCGCAAATGCGGCATTCGGTGCTGCTTACGAAGCACATGTCTTGCGACATGGTGATCTTGAAGCATGTCACAGAAGCCACGAAATATACCTGACAGCGTTACAAGCCATACAAAGTGAGATCAGTTCATCTCGACCCAGACTTGTCCCGATTCTGGTTGCTTCTGCTCTGCTCGCTGCCCATGGGCTTGTGGCGAGCCGCAGAGATGATGCTTTTGTTCACATACAATCGATCTACTACCTGTTCTCTCCAGGCACAATATTCCGAGAGCAGTGTATAGAAGAGATCAAGGCTATGAAATGTAACATTTCTGCGTTCGACCATTTGCTCAATTCACTCGAGCACCAAGCCAGCTTGATCTCCACGAGGATGGACCGGCTCAGCAGCGGGGACAATAGCCGAAACGATCATCTAGGAGACTCGAACGTCTTGATAGCAGAGCGACTGTTGCTAGTGCCCGGTTGAGTCGACGAGTCAGCTTGGGCGAGCCTTGACTGTTCAAGCCAGTCTCACCAATAAAGTCGTACTCCATGAACTACTAATGTGGCGGTGCGAGCTGTGGCGGTGCTATGCAAGCAGCCGATCACCGAGCTTCTTTTGCATTCATTCCGCAAGTGGCTTGCCCAAAATGGAGCTCAACCCCTGTCCTTCTCGCCAGTGCAGCGTACCACTGACATCATTCCCATGCCCTCTTCCTGGGACAGAACCCTGGATATACTGTCAACTTTGCGGCTTGACGCAAGTCAAATGTGTCCTGTCTTTCTTCACGACTGCAATAATTTCGAGTTACATTTTTGAAGTGGTGCCCTTGCTCTTTCATTATGGCAACTACGGATCCACAAAAGAAGAACCGCCTGAGTCGCCTGCTCGGAGGCAGTAAGCGGGAGAAGTCACCAGACAAACCAGCCTCGTTTCCTCCCGATTCTGCATACGCAAGCAGTGATGTCGCGGTATCAGCACCGGATCAGTCGAATGAGCAGATAGTGCCTGCAGAGAAGAACAGCGAGATCGCAAATATCGACAAGGACAGGAATCTGGGAGTGAAGCCATCTACAGGTCAGGTCTTCGACCGAGACACCGGCGAGGTTGTTACCGTCGTTACCACAACTACTACAACTACCACAACCACCACACGTAGACCCGGCAAAAAGAGTCCAGATGTCCACCAAGACATACAGAAGATGACGCAGACCCAGCCTGCCACCAATGCAAATGGTACCGTCGATCCCACCAGTGACAAGTCAGGCATCATTGCTGAAATGCCTGCCACTCCAGCAGAACAACCCAAAGTACACTCGACGTACCCCGCTGGCGACACACAAAACAGGATTCGGGACAAGTCTCCGAGCCTACCACCGAAGAGTGCGAACCGAAAATCTGGGGAGTTCGGCACGCACAGCCACTACAATCCTGCTCCCGACGTTTCACCAGAGGGCAGTTATATGGCAAGACCGGGGCCGACAGGCAACACACCTCCCCTTAGTCCAACTGGCGCCAACTATAGCTATCCATCACATACCGGCAGGAGCGACTATGACAACGTCAGTCTCGCGACTACTGCGCAAACCCAAAGCCACAACAAGTCAACAATTGCCGACCTAAAAGCTGCTGCGAAAGGTCTTCATGTGAGATCAGATCCCCTTTTCCTTCTTCGCTACTTTGCAACACTCCAACTAACCACAAATATCTCAGGGTGTCGGTGAAACCCTCCGTGGCACACTCAACAGCGCCGTCGACGAGAACTTCCCACGCAAGAACGCCAAGAAGGCCGCTTTCGCCAAGTCCAAGAATGATGCAACCCTCGCGCGTGGGCGCGAAGAAGTCTCCAGTATTCCACATCGCAACCGGCAGCAGTATGACACTCCCCCAACCGATTCACTCTATGGCAGTAGCCAGCACATACCGCAGCATCACGACAACAGCCACACATACACATCCTCGGCTCACCCGCCACCCATACCCCAAGCACACAACTATGGCGGAGCACCTGTGAGGCCGCCCAGTCCTACACGCACTCCCACGAACGACCAGACCGTGCCGGGCAGCTGGGGTGCCGACGACTATGATCACGGTGCTTATTCAGGAGTCGGTGCTGGTACTCCTGGTGGAGCTGGCTACGGAAATGCGGCAGGTGTGGGCCAGGAGAATATCGAGCGGGAGAAGACACGAGGCAGCTTGGGCAAGCTTTTCAAGCGGAAGCCCGTGGCTGCGGGTCAAGAGCAGGGAAACCTGAAGGTGAGGCCATAGAATTTCGGCCATTGACAAGGCTCAGTCAGTCGATTGGAGACGGAGGTGTGGTTTCAGCCTGCTGATTGCCTCTTTCCTACAGGACCGGAAATACTATTGAGAGACAAAACCTGAGGAGATTCATATTTGTCCGGCGGCCCTGCGGATACGATCGTCCCTCTGCCGCAGCCAGTCGCAAGAGTGTGGGACGCTGAGCAAACCAAATCGCACCAAACGACGGCGAGAATCTGTCGTCTCCAATGTGAGGGCATGGACAGGCATCGCGCAGCATGTTGATGTGAGTCGTGTCGGATAGGCGTCATCGGTCTTCTAGACGGGTCATGTACTACGTGATCTGCAACTCAACTGGATCGTCGTCACTTCCACGAATGAATCCTGTTGGGAGGCGTTTATGGGAGGAGCACCTCATGTTGAACAGAGCCCAACAGTTGTTCTGAACACAGGAGCATTTTGTTCATTTAGCGAATGCACGTCTGGGAATTGTGTTTTGTGAGTAGCAATGTCGAATCGATCGCACGTGTTCAGGGCAAGCCCGTTGGATACACATCTCTGAAAGTTCTGCTACACGACTATAAGATCAAATTTGAATCCGAGATCTCTGAATTGTTTCATGTTTCGTTCACGCGGCACATTTATATATACATATGTATATGCGGCATAGGCCAGTATAACCTGTTGCGACGCTAGGCCTTGCTGGACAGGCACGGCCCCTTTTTCTTGGCCCCAAACTTGCAGCCTCATGTTGGCGAGGCGTAATTTAGGACACAAGGCACACTAAGCTTGAAACAACTTAGAAGCTACGACCTCAAGTCGGGTCGAGGGGACATCTGAGTCTCTTCATGTCGGTCATCGTGGCAGCAGAGGGCAGGGCTCTGCCATCGAGGCCCAGATATGTCACAACGCACGACAGGGACATGGCTGATCGGATGAGTCTAGGGTAGGGCACCCCCTGAGCGCTGTGAAGGTCGCGTCCTCATCCCGGCAAGTACGAAGGGACTACAAACATGTACCCAAATTCGCAGGAGCGAGAGCGCAACCATCACGGCTACGAAGTGATTGAAAGTATTCCCACGCCAAAGCACCCGACTCAGATTGAACTGGTACCGATCGAGGATCCGTCCAGTCGGAGGTCTCGACAGAATCCGAGTCATGGCGATAATCCGGAGCTGCGCAAGGCCCCTGCGTCAATACTAAAGCGAGTGCTCAACCAACTGCGAGGCTGGCGTCTGGGTGCCTTCCTCTCCGCGGTGACGGCACTTTTCTCACTCGTTGTCAATGCTGGGGTAGTCATCTGGTTACTTGGGAAAGGAACGGGAGAGGTCTTAATACCGTTGTACCGTGGAAGTTGCTCGCAAGTGGCTAAAGTCGATATCCTTGTTCACCTTGCCATCAACATATTGAGCACGATTCTGCTTGGAGGTTCGAATTATTGTGTGAGTCGGAGTCCCCCACGCGGCCAAGCACGGTCACTAGGCAGAGGGCTACCTTACCTGTCAGGAGCGGCCCAGAGCGCATGCATCGCTCTTGCACTTTTGCTTGAGACCATGCTGATCTGCTCCCAGATGCAAGTGCTGGTTGCGCCGACGCGTGCTGAAGTCGACGGAGCCCATGCGCGGGGAAAGTACATGGATATTGCTGTGCCCTCGATACGCAACCTGAGGCTCATTTCGAGGTATAAAGTATGTTTGTGGTTGACGCTGGCTTTTACCTCGCTGCCACTGCATTTGATGTGAGTATAGCAAGTGCACTCGCGGTTCTTCACATGACTAACAGTTGCGAGGTACAATTCCGCATTTTTCAAGTCCTTGTCGACCAACGCGTACGATGTCCTTCTGACCAGGGAAAGCTTCATCAACGACCAGCCAACAGACAATCACTACTATCTGCAGGTGCCAAGCGGGCCTGCTTATACTTACAGTGAACCACTACCAGCCTCGTCCTCCGGACTTGTCAATGCAAGCGCCATTCAGAACAACTTGACCAGCTACGACAAGCTCGACGTCGAAGACTGCATACGAACATACGCCAATGCTTTCCTGAGCACGAGACGGAACCTGGTCCTGGTGATCGACGGCGAGCCTGTTGAGGTGGATGATGTGAACATAGTCGCCAACTTCAGCTCACGCGGAAACGACCCATTGTTGTACCAGACCAGCGAGCACTATTCGAGTGGCGATCCTTTTTCGTGGCTATGTGACAGCGTTCCCAACCTCGACACTAAAGTCGATGTCCCACGGTACTCCGGAGGAGGCCGAAAGCAGTGCTGGCTGTACTGGCAACAATGGCTTGAAAAACCCGCAGAGTGGACGCCCAACGGTCAGAAAATCAGTTCCTGCTATTCAGAGCCTGTGAAAGAGCAGTGCGCATATTCCGCGAACCTTCCCATCGTCATCATCGTCATGGTCTGCAATCTTTTCAAAGCGCTCGCCATGCTGTTCGTCGCCTGCTGGCTCGGTGGACGACCGCTGACGACCGTTGGGGACGCCATCGCTTCATTTCTTGAACGACCGGACCCAACAACCAAAGGTTTCTGCCTGCTGTCGCGCCATCGAGTCCAGGATCTGATCTGGCCCAGTATTCCTGGCGAACAAGTCGAGCCAATGCCACCTATTCGAAGCCAGCGCTGGTTCCGTGCCACCAGCACCAGAAGACGCTACTGTCTCGTGTTCCTGCTCCTGGTCGCACTCGTCGCCGCCGTCGTGCTGCTATCCAATGCTCTGAGGTCCATCAATGGGCTCGCTACCGTCAGCTCGATCGGACTCGGCTCGTTGCAAATAGCGAATATCGTCGACTCAGCATTCCTCGGAAAGGGCTCAGCAACCGCACAGATCATGGCTGCCGTCTTCGCAGCCAACGCGCCTCAGGCCATCATGTCCTTCCTCTACATCAACCTCAACGCCTACCTCACAGTGATGTGGCTCGCGTCAGAATTCACAGACTTCGCCACAGAGAGGAAGCCGCTCCGTGTGAGCAGACCTAAGGGTTTACAACGCGGGACCCACTTCCTTCAGCTGCCATACAAGATCTCCCTGCCGCTGATGATCTTCTCTGCCTTGCTGCACTGGCTGCTCTCTCAGTCGATCTTCCTGGCAGTTGTTCAGGAGTTCGACAGCAATGGAGATCTGTACGACCCAGTAGCGGTCGCGAGTTGCGGCTTCAGCCCACTAGCCATGATTCTAGTGCTTGTAGCCGTGCTTCTGCTGCTGGGGACGACCATCGGTGTCTCATGGTTCCGGTGGCTGAAAGGTGGCATACCAGTGGCCGGCAGCTGCTCGGCGGCTATCAGCGCAGCCTGCCATCAGCACGCTGGGATGCCGATGCGGGCTTGAAAGAGGTTATGTGGGGAGTTCCTCGGGGTCAGCATGGAGAGCAACGGCGGAAAGGCGGTGTTCAGCACGCGTGTTTTACGAGCGGAGAGGTCGATAGGGTCGAAGAGGGCATGATGTATGCATGACATGGCAGGTACAGGATCAATAATATTCTTGTTGAATTTTCCTAGCTTCTCACATGAAATGATGTTACAGATATGAATATGTGACCTGTGTCTCCCGGCGCCATATCGCTGATCTGTTCGCAGTGCCAAAAGTTCTCCTCGCCCACAGTATTATGATTCCATTACACATACATACATACATTCACTTTCGCATCTCACAGGCACTGAATTGTCTGCGACTTCCGCTTTGATATCACCGATTGTCGGGAAAGAGAACAGAAAAGAGAGACATTTCCGCGTCCAAACGTCGTGATAAGAAAAATTAGGTCCGAAGCACTACTGGCATCGATCGTGACCATCCTGTTGGGCCACATATACCATTCACTTTCTGTTGATCGTGACTGGAGCAGGCTTCTGTATTTGGCATGCTGGTCAGCCAGCGAGGTTTGTTTCGGCGGCTGTGTACTGGTAGTACTCAGCCAAGTACGAGGAGGGTCAAATTCCCGAGCTCCGCCTGGTGACACGTCGAAGCTGATTTCACAGGCTGCTGAGTAGTCATCATGTCTGATCGTAATCAGCAGGAGCCGTGTTCGCAAAAACATAGTTCTTTGGTCGGCTTTGCGCTAACGCCTGAGCAGCCCGCGCATGTTCCTCCTTTTGCTTTGGGAATTCCTGAATGAAGAACTCTGGCGGTTTCGCTGGGTGCATGTTTGGGATATCGCTGCCACCGTGATAGCTATGGCGATCATCCGACGGCAACACGAAATGTGACGGATGTATGTTGTGAGGATTCCAGGCGCCGGGATCACTGCCGTGAGACATTCTCTGAACTTGAGAGAAAGTGTGTGTTGAGAATCCAGGCACCTCAGGACTTGTAAGCGGAGCATCTGGCCAGCTGCTCGTGGTCGATGGACCTGCTGAATACGGTGGCGTATAATCTGCAAATGCGGCATACTGAGGTGGCGCAGACACAGGTGGTGGCTGATGCTGTATGTACTCGTTGCCGAAAGGTGTGGCAGGCGGAGAAGCTGTCGCTAACGTGAGATGCTGTGAAGCTGCCAACTGATAGCTCCGGGCGATTTCTGCTTTGTGAGCGAGGAGAGTGTCACCAACTTGAGTGTTGATACTCAGGCCAGGAGAAGCTATCGGAGTAGCGCTCCCGACACTGTGAGAGGTCATTTGTCCATTATCACTGGCTTGCTGAAGCAGAAGACGTTGGTAGGCCTCAGCTTGGGCAAAGCTGGTGTTCACTGGCGATCGTTGAGCCGAGCTCGGCTTCCTCACCCCAGCGAAGCGGGCATTTAGACTGTGACCTGTGGACTTGACGTGGCGCACAGTATGACTTGGTGGCGTGAAGCCAGATCGGACGGTCGGTGAGGTTGACGTGAGAGCACCATAAGATCGACTTCGGAGTGACGCTGAAGTCAAAGCGGCGGGGCCAGGGCGTTTCCGCCGCGATGCAATGTCGATATGCGTCTCAGGCGGGCTTAGATCATCAGGACCGTCAAGATCAGAATGGTAATCATCAACTGGTGTGGCGAGAGCAAATGAGCCAAAGTTAGCTGCTAAAGCTTCGGTGCCAGAGCTGCGACGAGAGTCGTGATAGATTGGCGATGGGAGCTCAGGAGACTGTAAGTCACCGTTAGGACCCATCTGCTCATGAAACAAAGGTGGCGGCATATGCAGATGATGTGGCCAGGATTCTGCAGAGGCCGCGATTGGCGTACTGAAGTCCGAGTCTCTTGGTACGCCTGGCATTGCGGTGCTCTCCAGTGGTACGGGGGCGATGCTATCACTACCAAATCCGAAGTCGAAGCTGGTGTCTTGGAAGTGCTGTGGCGGCGCTTGCCAGCTGTCTCTGGCGTCCGATGTCTCCTTTGCGGGCCATTGCGGTACCTGTGGCTTCGTGATCGCCGACAACGAGCGCTGGTGCGGGTGGATTGGTGTGGGCTGCTGCAGCTGGTCAGACCCACGGGCGAGGCTGACCGGTCGTGAGGCGGCGACTGCTGGAGTGGGCTGCTGGGCCATCAACCTGTCTACCGAAGCATAGCTTGCCAGTCTATTCTGTCTCAAGGCGTTGGCGTCCGGTGTTGTAGACGAACCAGGAGATGTGGAGGGGCGTGAAGAGCTCGCATGTGGCGAGTCCCGTACTTGTGAGTCCGTCTCAACTTTCAGTGGGGCGTCCTGAGATGCAGATTGCGGACCAGGTTCAATTGTATCTTCTTGTACTTGGCTGCTCTCATATTCTTCCTGCTTCTTCTGCTGCTTCGCTTTTGCTCGTCTGTTCTGGAACCAGTTCTACGTAATATTAGCAGATGGAGTAGCTCGAGTCGGTTAACTTACCGCCACTCGTGGAAGTGTCAGCATAGTCTGCATTGCTAGCTGACGTTTGACAACGCTACTGGGTTTGTGGTTGGCCTGGAACTGGGCTTCAAGCACCTCGACTTGATCCTTCGTGAGTCTCGGTCTAGTCGAAGGCTCGCCATTGATGTCATCGAATTCCTCATAGTACCCACCATGGGCATAACCAAATTCTGCGTATTCGTGGCCTGGATACCCGATCACGTACTCTTCCATCTGGGCTGATGCTGCATGTAGGGCGGAAACATGGCTTGTGGCTGTGGTTGTGAATGTTGCATATATACGGCGTGAGCCTGAGGCGGATGTGGGTATGGAAGCATCTCGCAAATACATTCCATGGCGACTGTTCGGTGACCCTCACGAGAGTTCGTGCTCGACTTATTCTGCTTGCCCAATATTCACGTACTTGAAGGCTGCGCAACCATGGCCTGCGACCACGGTCGCAGAGCTCCCTGTCGCGAAGTACGCAACCTCACCGCGAGGTAGATGGTCGGTCGAAAAGCTTTGTGCAATCGCAATAGATGTTTCCAGCCAGGATTGTGTCAGAGATGTTTCGACTGCAGGCCGGGGCAAGCAACAGCGCTAGGTGAGATGTTACGCGCGCTAAACGAGTGTGATGGTGGTCGAGGTGGTGCAAATGATGGTACTTTCGACTATACACCAGGAGAAAGAGCGACTGACAGTTGGAAAGAGAGGACTCGCTTCGTAACCGCGAAGACGGAGAATAAATCACGAAGAGATGCAAACAAATCCACGAAACGAAACGAGGGACGAGTGGCGGAGAAAGAAAAGAAGTCGGCACAGAGAAGTGATGGCCTTCTGAAGCCTCTGGAAGTGGAGTGGACCAGATCTTACACGAGCCAGTGAGGTCGGAACAGAGAAGGGGCAGTCGCTGAGCCTGGGACTGCCGGGCTCCGCCTTTCTGTCACCGTGCCTGCCTTGTGGGTGCGAAAAGGCCCTTGCGCGATAGACGGAAGCGCGGGAGCTTCTTGAGCGCGAGCAGAAACTCGAGACAGGGGTGCATACACTCAGCCTCAGGAAGTCTTCTTCCTGGATTTGTCTTTCGTTTGCGTGTTGATTGGCAGGAGGGAGATGAACGACTGTGATGCTCACCCAGGTGGCCAGTCCGAGCTGCGGACTGCTTGAGTCTGTGTTCCCATCTCTTCTCTCGACAGCTTGACACCTGATCCCCGGGCGCGATGCAGCGCGCGATGGAGATGGGTTGATGGGCGAAAGCGAGACAGACAGGGACAAGGCGGTCGTGAGCAAGCACCAAACCAACGCCTTCAGGCTAGCTGGAATAGGGGTAATTGACTCCACTTCAACTGCTCGTCGTCCTAAAAAGGAACAGCTGGTGGGCACAAGGCGTCTCAGTTTGGAACCGCTCTCACTTCTTGCCGGGATTAGGGAGATTGAACGACAGCGACTGTTGCGATTTTTCGCGTTCTCTCTATCGTGACTCGCACGGAGATTTTTGACGTGCTGAGCTTGGACCTTGTTCCGCATCAATAGTGAGCTCGATCTACAACGTTATCGCTACAAATCTACTCTGATCCTCGTGGCAAAGGACGCAATGGCGGGGAACTCGCCTAAGGGAACTTCATCGCGCAGTAACTGCTCAATCAGCTATCCAGATCACTCGAAACGGCAGCAACGAATCATGTTTGTAATTGTTATAGGCAGGATGATGGTAAGTGCAAAGGAAACAATCTGCGGTACCTGCATCTGGCGTCCGGGAAGCTGCAGCTCAGAGCCCCTCCGCCAAGCTTGATAGGGGTATGGGTCTCGACTCTCGTCTACATCCACTCAGAAGTCGGCCTTACTCGCGCTCTTGTTGCCTCAGATGTTGCTTTGCGGCGGCAACATGTGTGTCGCTATTTTGCCCCTGCATACATACACACACGCAGGATCGAGCCTTCGAAGAAATTGAACTTCGATCGGCCGATGCCTGCAATAAACTACTCAATCGACGCGGGTTAGAGCCACTCGGCCATACCGAGCCTTCAACCTTCAACATCACGTCCGTTATTAGCTTGACAGCTAACGATGCACTTAATTCGTGCGGTTCGCAAGTACGTCGGCGTTATACGGGCACACAGAGACCCAAGCAACGCACGTACTAAGTCAAATGCTCAGCCATATCCGATGGATTCGTCCTTCACAGCTGAAATGTAGGTCCAATTTGGCTCTTAGAGGCGTTTGCCTTCCAATTTCCTACGCCTACACTGCTCGCGGATGCCATCCCGGAACTTTGCTGTTCGGATGGCCCCTTGCTCACCTCTACCGTCGTAGACCAGAACCCCGGCCGCAGCCATCGTCATGGTTCGTTCATTACGGATATCTCCAGTTCGTTTCTACCAACGAGCGTTGCAATTTGGGCGAAGACTTGTGACGCTGTAGCCATTATCGATAATGGCTACTTAATAGCGACGCAGTGCACCTGCATGGTGGCGTGGACTACTATTGCACTCCTCAGTCGATGAGGTGGTCGCTGCTTGCGGGGATAGGTCGTTCGACAAGCAGGCGGCTCCCGCATAATGACAAGGTTCATTGATCAGGAACTGCAAGGCTGAACCTGGCAATGATGGCAAGGTTGGCTATCTTTACCTCAGGCTGTGCCCCTCAACTCAGGTGTGCAACCCTGCTCGAGTTTATCGGAACTGCGAGTATCGGACGCGAGAACCACCGGACCACGAAAGTACCCCAACAGCAACATCTGCAATGAAATGGTTACACATTCACTCAGTCCTCTTGAATATACTCAGAACCCAATCTACAACAGACCATGTTATGCACGGCAGCTCCCTTCCCAGGAACCAAGGACAGAAGATTGCTTCGACCTACATCCGAGACATCTGAAGGTCCTGCAACTGTGTTGCACGACTTGAGATCTGACGACGGCACTCCAGTGACATGCACCGTGGTACATGCCAGTGGCATGATGTGACACCCCTCACAGTGTGCCCATCCTCAGCTGATGACGGCGAACACGTCCTAATATAGGCAACGCTCGACATCTGTTCGCATACAGTACGGCTCTATGATCTATCGGCGTCTTTGTGCGCCTATACCTCGAATCTAACGATCGTTCCCATCTACTGGATCCCCAACGACGCCATTTCGCTCCCATGCCTGACAAATAAACGCTGATCTTACGAGTCGACCAGAGCATCATGTATGGCGATCGAGATCACACCATTTTCAACGCTCTTCAAAGAGATACTTCTGAGATCTTTGATGATCCAATCAGCACCGGCTTTCCGAACTTGCTCGAGCGTATGGGTTGTTGCTAGACCGACAACACGAAATCCAGCTGCCTTGCCTGCGCGGATTCCAGAAGGCGCGTCCTCGAAAACGATCATGTTTTGCTTGTCTTGCAGACCAAGCCTCTCACGTCCGAGCAGGTAACCTTCTGGATCTGGTTTGCCGTTGGACACCTCCTCAGCAACCACAAGAACCTCAGGCTTGGCCAGCTTGAGCCGCTCAATCCATCCTGTGATCAACGCTCGTGTACCAGATGTGACGACAGCCCATGGTGCATGCGCCGCGTCCAGATTATGAAGTAGAGATCGCGCCCCAGGTATTTCGTCTGCGTCCTGGCCGAATTCCTTTGGTATCCTACCTTCGAGCTCTGATATGTCTACCACGATGTCAGCCGGTCGTGCTCTCGCAGGCAGAGCACATGCATACATTCCCAGTTTGCCTTGCTCTCGTCGTACAAGCGCAGTACATCGATACTCCTTCTGCCATGTGATGTCGCCAAGATGACCTCTGGGTCGACTCCCATTTCATGCCCGAGCCTCTGCCAGTGTTTCACAATTGCCTCTGTCGAATCGATGATGGTGCCTGCATGCAGCAACGTTAGCCAATGACCCGGTGTGGAGACGCGCGGAGCTTAGATGGCCGGACTCACCGTCGAAGTCGAAGAGTAGCCCATCAGCGCTTATTACTTCGGTTGGCGCCGAGAATGAGGCCGTTGAGTCGCCTAACGATCCCATTGTTCTACGGACCTGCCGCTTCGCCGGGACAACTCGAGTAGTAGAAATGACGACAATAGCGAGATCTCTTGGAGCGACCAGTGAGACAACTGTAGTGACGAAGCAGACACCTGCGTCGCCGGTGTAGATGATAACAAAATATTCATGTCCTTCAACTATCGGAGCGGCTACTTCCAGGAACGGAATGCCAACCGCTTTTACGGTCCAGGCAGGTACAGCCTTCAAAATTCTCCCTGGATCTCAAGAATCAATTTCTCCGCCTTCAGTACATGTGTTGATCAACGCTTGTGAAAGCCAGGACTCCCTGACGGCCGCCTCATGATCACAGCATTGGCTACGTGGACTATATGGAAGCATCAACGCTCTTTCCACGCCGCCGCTAGTCAGGTCTCGACGGTTCGCATACACAACATAAATCATCGCTTTGCCAGCTCGTCGCAGATTTCCACCAGCTTCGCTTGAGTGGCAGGCTCGTTGGCGCTGTGTCCAGCCTGGGTGAAGTACAACTTCGAGTCCGGTAATGCTTTGTGCAAGGCCCATGCAGCCTTCGGAGGACAAACACTGTCAAAGTTAGCAACCTACCATATCAGCAGCTCATCGGAGACTCACATGTCATATCGGCCTTGAACTATATAAACTGGCGTCACCAGGTTAGCTGTCACAAACAATGGCGAAGGACGAAAGGGGCCTACCTTCGAGCTTCCTCAGCTTCCCGACATTCTCTTCTCTCAGCAAGAGCTTGTCGCCGCGCAGGAAGCAACCATTCATAAAGTAGTGGCACTCAATACGTGCATGCTGTAAGTTCCATCCATCGTGCTCTGGCCCCAGCTTCTCCCAGACGTCACCAGGCGTGACCAAGTTGCTTATCCCAAGCTCCCATCTATTCCACTCTCTCGCAGCATCGACTCTGGTCTTCTCGTCGTCGGAAAAGAGAAGCTTCTCGTATGCCTTCACCGGGTCTTTGCCATCATATGCGTCGCCAAGATGGCCCACAAATTTCTCCCACGCATCAGGGAACAGAATCGCAGGTCCTGTACCCCTCAAAGTCCAGTCGAACTCCCACTCAACACCTAGGAAGATGCCTCTCAGCACGACGGCTTTGCAGACTTCAGGTTGTGCTTCGGCATAAGCGAGGGACAGAGTTGAGCCCCAGGATCCGCCAAAGACGATGTCCCATTGAGTGATTTGCAGCTTCTGGCGCAATGTCTCAATGTCCTCGATTAAGAGTTGCGTCGTGTTCTCCCTGACGTCCGCCAGTGGTGTCGATTTGCCAGCACCGCGTTGATCAATGAGCACCACGCGATAGATTGACGGGTCGAAGTAGCGTGTGTCTCTAAGAGAGGTGCCACCGCCAGGTCCGCCGTGCAGAAAGATCACTGAACCGTCGTCAGAAAGGCCTCAAGACAACGCCCAGCCACGCATCAAAGACACTCCATCAGACCTACCAGGCTTCCCATCAGGCTTTCCGTGTTGAGCGTAGTATACCTTATGAATTTCTCCAGCTTGCACGAAGCCCTCATCGAAAGGACTCGAGTGAGTGTAGCCGTCCATATCTTGCGTGCGCATGACCACCGTGAACGGCGAACAGTGAGAGGGACTCGAACGACAGAGCCGCTCGGAAATCTTCACGTTGTGTCAAGTAGGCTACAACCGGTTTGATCTTGTGCCCTGGCAGTCACGGTGGAGATACAACGTCGCAATCAACCTTGGATTCCATACGAGTTTGCCTTTTGTGGTCGACAGAGTCCTCTGTACGAGGCGAATGATCCCTGTTCGTGAGCAAGTTCTGCATAGGTCGCAGATAGCCACATCCAAGGTTGCTGCTGATAGGGAGCTCAGAGCGGTATCAGCCAGGTAGATACGGAGGACTTCACTTCCTAGGTACAGAATGGCAAACGAGACCTTTTGAGCGGGCTTCAGGCTTCAATATTGACTCTGGGGGTGGGGTTTGGACATTTAACCCCCACCGTCGGTGCGGAAGCGTCCGCCCCGCAGATTTCCCTTGGCCAAAATTTTCTGGAATCGATACGTCTACTACGACCCGTGGACGCTCTTTGATCGGCTTGCATAAACTCAGCCCAACAGCCGGATAGAAACATGGTGAAGTCGTGTATGAAGAGTATGTTCTCCTAGACTGCACTAGCTAATAGTGACACAGTCTCAAACTCGAAGCGGCAGCCCGTGAGGTTGCGGCATAAAATCCAAAAGGCCAGTGCCGCAAAGCAGAGAAAACAGCGCAAGGACTCGAAAAAGGTGTGTGGACACGGCAACATGCTGGGAGTAGAGGCACTGACAAGTACAAGAACCCACAATGGAAGTCAAGATTGAAGAAAGATCCCGGAATTCCGAACCTGTTCCCCTACAAGGAGAAGATATTAGAAGAGATTGAGGAGAAGAAGCGGCGAAAAGCAGAGGAACTCGAGAATGCCCGCAATGCTGCCAAAGCCAGCAGAAAGCAAGCCAGGCAGGAGGCGCAGGCGGAAGCCGAAGGTGACGATCTAATGGACGAAGACGACGATTGGTGGACGAGGATGACGAGGACATGGAAGAGGCCGACGCAGGAGACAGCGCAAACCCAATGGCGGCATTGCTGGCATCTGCGCAGGCCCGAGCGGTCGACTACGGCGACGACGATCTGCGTGGAGATGTCGAAGATGATTCAGATGTCGACGAAGGTGGCGTGCAGGTGTCGGAGGCGATCGCCACAGACAATCGAAATCCGGACTCGTCACGGAAAGCGTTTGACAAGATCTTCAAACAAGTTCTGGAAGCCGCCGATGTCATACTGTATGTCCTGGACGCCCGCGACCCGGAAGGAACACGATCGAAAGAGGTTGAGAGGCAGGTCATGGCAGCGGCGTCAGGCTCGAAGCGACTGATCCTGGTTCTGAACAAGATCGACCTGGTCCCACCAAACGTGCTGAAGGGCTGGTTGACGCATCTGAGACGATACTTCCCCACAGTCCCTCTCCGAGCGTCAACGCCAGCATCAAATGCTCACACTTTCGACCACAAGCAACTCACCGTCAAGAACACATCAGAGACGCTCCTACGCTCATTGAAGACATATTCCGTGTCAAAGAATCTGAAGCGATCTATCGCTGTTGGAGTCATCGGCTATCCTAACGTGGGCAAATCATCCGTCATCAATGCGCTCACATCGCAGCTCAACAAGGGCAGACAAAGCGGAGCATGTCCCACAGCGCCGAGGCAGGCGTTACAACGAGCTTGCGGGAGGTCAAAGTCGATAACAAGCTAAAGATCCTGGACTCGCCGGGAATTGTCTTTCCGTCCACATCGAACGATGGCGATGCCCAGACGAAACAAAAGAGACGGTCTGAACATGAAGCACGGCTTGTGCTGCTGAATGCTCTGCCACCAAGTCAGATGTCTGATCCACTTCCGGCAGTCAGCCTTTTGCTTGAGCGACTGTCGGCGTCCGAGGCGTTGTACGAGAAGCTTTTGCAGCACTACGGCATTACTGCACTTGGGCCTTTCGGGAATGGCGACACCCAGACGGACTTCCTTGTGCAGGTTGCTCGGAAGAGAGGAAGACTTGGAAAGGGTGGTGTACCCAATCTCAACTCAGCAGCTATGGCCGTCATTACCGACTGGCGAGATGGACGGATTCAAGCTGGCTCGAACCGCCTGTACTGCAGATCGCGGATGACGAAGTCATGGAGGGGCAGACCGATGCTGCTCAGGTTGTAACTGGAGACCGAAAGGAGATCGTCAAGGAATGGGCGGCAGAATTCAAGCTCGATGGGCTCTGGGGCGACGATGCTGCGTCTGCCGCTGCGCCTGCAAGCATGCAAGTGGACGCTTGAGATAACCCTCGAGAGGGACTACTGCGTTACTGGCTTCATCTGACGACGTCTGAGGCTCCAAGCATGTTTTTCCGTAGTGTGGACATTAGCAATCAAAGTTGCGCTAACTGGCGCTCTGGTCCAGGATTGCCATGAACGACGTGACATAACATCGATCTTACTATGAAACTCAGCTTCGTCATACGGCTGGTGCCAGGAAGAGGCATGCCTATAGTTGCAAAACATATTTGTAGGTCAAGGTAGTGAACTAATGCTGAAGAACGCGCCCAATCAGTACGCGTACCGCGTCATTTCCATTTTCTGCTACTCCACTCATTGCGGCTTTCTCTTCACACGTGAAACTCTTTGTTGGTCAGGTACCTCATCTTGACCGCTCACTCAGCCTCTGCCTGCACTCAGCACATCCTATCCAAGTGGTCACTGGGCCTGTTCACTAAGGCAGACATTCCACGCCACGCAGCGTGACGCCGCACTCACATATTGTAACCCAGGATGCCACCGCGCAAGTCAGCCGCATCGACGGCGGCAGCGCCTACCTCACCCACCCCGAACGGCGATGGAGACACGACCATGATGTCGACCGCGTCTGTCGCGGCAGCAGAACCAAAGTCACCTACAACCAAGACCTCTGGGTCAAAACAACAAGACGAGTCCTCTGTCGGCATAGAAGTACGTCGGTGATCTGCAAAGCACCTATACGTCCGCACTCAACGTCTACGAACCCTTCGCACTCACTCTTTCCCTGTCGTACATCCCTCACCACCACCTCCCCCTCTCAGCACTAACACCCATTCTTTTTGACGCAGGACCTAACGCTCCAGCGCGCCGCAATCTCACGCCTCGCCCGCGGCGTCCTCCCACCCAACACGTCTCTCCAAAAAGACGCTATCCACGCCATCGCCAAATCCGCCACCGTCTTCATCTCCTACCTCGCTTCGCACGCCAACGAGCAGCGCCCATCCGCGAAGACAATCACGCCAGGGGATGTGTTGAATGCGCTACGGGAGATCGAGTTGGCGGGGGTGATGGAGGTCGGGAAGGTTGATGCGGTGACGGGTCAGAATTCGGGGAGGTTGGAGAGGGAGATGGCGGTATATGAGGAGATGGTGAGGGGGAAGAGGAAGGGGTATAGGGACAAGGTTAAAGCGAGGGAGAGTGCTGGCGGTCCGGGCGCGGGAGACACAACAATTGAAGGGGAGGAGAATCTGGAAAGAGGGGAGCCGGAGGCGAAGAAGTTGCGGCGGGGCAGTGGCGATGAGGAGATGGAGGAGACAGTGGAAGGTGGGGAAGATGAGGATGCTCTGCTGGACGCGCAGCTCAACGGGACAAATTTGGAAGAGGAAGAACCTGAAGAGGTACCAGAAGAGGAAGAGGAAGAAGACGCGGCCGATGAAGAAGGCGAGGATGAGGACGAGGACGAAGAGGCTCTCGAGGAAGAGGCAGAAGATGACACGATGGATCGCGTCGACATCGACGAGCCCGCTTCCGGTCGGAGGGTCAGTTCGCGGAGTACCAAGGGACGGCATTCTTTGCTTTCGCCTAACGGGAAGCTGGATTTTGAGAGTGATGACAGCGACTGAGCAGCGAATTCTGGGCTCAAACAGTATGATGCACGCAGATTTTGACGTAAAGGAGGAAAACTTTCAGCATATCAGGCCATTCGCATTTGCAGCGGTAGAGTGCACCCAGCGGTGCTTTAGCCAGGTGGCGCAAATCTATTGATGCTCGCTTTTGTCTACTGGGTATCCATGCTATCATCGCCAGCGGCACCACCAGCATCTGCCCCGTCCCGCTGTTGCTGCTCCAACTTCTCCTTCTCAGCAGCTTTGACACCTTCCAGAAAAACCTCCACGGCCTCGCCGCCACCCACAGGCACGGCGCCACCACGCATATATCCGTTGTTCTGTACCTGAACGCCCAATGCATCTGCTATACTAGGCAAACCGCCGTCGCGCAGGGCAACTGTGAGACTGGCATTCGACTGAGTAAATTGCGGTGATCGGAGGACACGGTCGAGGATAGACTTCTTCTGCGGCAGGGTGAGCTCGGACGATTCGGGCACGCCTTCGCTGCTCTTGGCGAGGGTCAGGAGTTGCGGTGGCAGGTACTGTAAGAGGCGGTCGGCTTCAGTCTCGTCGATGCTGTTAAGATACGGGATGGTGGATGCTGGTGTGAGGAGGTCTTGCAGGGTGGTGAAGAGTTTGTTTTGGGGTTGCTGTCGACCTCCGCCCGACGGGACCTTGCCGCCTAGTGATTTGGCAAAGTTTGAGACGATTGCACTGACGTCCATTCCTCCTATTGTTGCTCTGCAAGTGGGTCAGTCTGCATGTATCATTCGGAACGGAGCAGGGTGTGCTGCACTCACAGCAGTACTCACGCTCTTCCTCCGTCGGCGCCTCCCTCGCGTGACTGCTCGCCTTCTTCTCTTACGTCGCCGCCTGTTGCTCCCGGCCCTGCACCGCCGCTGCCTCCTCGGTGGTGATCTGGATCGTGATCTGTGCCTTCGACGTCTTCCATAGTCTCGTCGTCGTCTCCGTCTCTTCGAGGTCCCGGGGTAGAGACTTCTGCCATTAGCTGTTCGACATTGGGGACTTCTTCGCCGAGGAGTAGTGTTCCGACGATATCTCCTAGCCTCAGGTCTCGAGGAGAGAACCACGATGGATCTTTGCTGGGATGTTGTGAGCCCGACTGTAGCCAGAAAAGATGTCGTTGTGAGCTGGAGGAGAACTTGAGGACGTAGATTCTGCCATTTGGTGGCTGCTTGTCTGGTGTCGGGTTGTCTGCATAGGCGGGCTGGAAGGGTCGGAATGAGCCGTCCTCCGGTAACATCAAGAGATCGAGTTCGGGCTCGTCCAGCGGCTTGTTTCGCGGCCGCCAGCAGAAGTGGACAAGTTCATCTTCGGGAGAGTTGAAAAGGTAGATGTAGCCAGGCGTTGGATCGGGCTTGACTCTACCATTCTAGGAGTTTTGGTCAATACGAGTCTATGGCATGGCCCAGGGCAATGGTGGAGGATAACTTACAGACTCTATTATGCATTTGCCTGCCTTGAATGTTATGATGGGAACAATCGACATGTCGGCGGTCGATGCAGTGAAGACTCTGAGAGATAGGGTGAGTTCGCCGCACAGTCTACTCGTGTCTATGACTGTAGGCTCATGCGAAGGAATGTGATGGCGGTGTGCTATGCAAAGGCAACCGACGCTTGACGTACCTTCATTGAATGGCGACGATGCGGTCGCGGAAAGAGCCCCCAGGCCTCATGCCAAGCTTTCTCCAACTTCTCGGCCCACCTGCCGTTGATTGGCGATTCGGAATGGTTCTGCCAAGAACACACACTTTCATATCGCGCTTCTCCTCCGATAGCGAGTCCGCACCACACTGAACTGCGCTTGTCGACACACACACATTCAAGAGTAGTTCTTGTCAACTACTACCTCTCGCTCCCATCCGATTTGATTCGTGAGACGTAGCGTCCGAACACAACACCGTCAGCTATCATGGCTGCGCAGACGTCTACCACGAAGAAGTTCGGCAAAGGCGAGCGATCGGTGACCAACAAGGACCAGAAGGCGTCCAAGTGGTATCCTACACACGCCGACTCGGACATCAAGAAGGTGCGTTGGTCCTCTATCACCTTTGCTGGTCGCGTCGAAAGGGCGCTAGACTCATCGATGCTCTGGCGGGTTACGCGATCCATCGAACAATCGTACTAACTTTCTCTCGTTCAGACTCGCAAATCAATCCGTCCCACAAAGTACCGGGAGTCGCTACAGCCAGGCAGAGTCCTCATCCTCGTTGCTGGCCGCTTCCGTGGCAAGCGTGTCGTCCTCCTCAAGCAACTCACACAAGGCACTCTCCTGGTCACCGGTCCCTTCAAGTTGAACGGTGTCCCATTACGACGAGTAAATGCCCGCTACGTAATTGCCACAAGTACCCAAGTCGACATCAAGGGTGTCGATTCCAAGGCATTGGATAAGGTCTCTGGTGACTCATACTTTTCACGGGAGAAGAGCAGCAAGAAACAGAAGGGTGAAGATGCTTTCATGAAGCAGGGCGAGAAGCCAGAGGTACGGGTGCCCATCAGCGCACATCTCGAGAAAATACTGACAAATCGGTCACAGAAGAAGCAGCCCACCTCAGAACGAGCCCAAGATCAGAAGTCGATCGATAAGCCACTTCTGTCCGCCATCAAGAAGGAGGAACACCTTACCAGCTACCTTTCATCAAGCTTCTCTCTCCGCTCTGGCCAGAAGCCCCACGAGATGAAGTTCTAGATTTTCCACTCTTACCGATGCGAGTGTCGAGACAAGTCCACTCAACAAGGAGTCACGAACGGAGATGTTGTGGAGTACTTATTGAGTTGAGAGCAACGCTACAGTCGACCGAAGATAGCCGAACATGCTCGGTCAGCGACAACGGAGCTCAGGTGCATGTGCTGCCCCAGTAGGCATCGAGCGCGGGGACATTGCATCGGGAAAGCGCAGCCCCAACCCGAGAGCCCTCTGCTTGGGATGAGAGATCGTTCGGCGTTTGTTGCGCATGTCTGTGATGGAGCGATGATGGCGGGAACCCACCAGAACATCTCAACCATGTCCGAGGGACTGAACGAGGGCTTCGGTGCCTCTCGTCCGAGGACCTCAAGCGGTGGTGGTGTTTGTACTGCTCCGTCAATACTTATTACCGCCTAGCATAAACCAAAACAAATGGAAAAACATGATCAACAAATGATGTTCCCAATCCTTGTGCCACGAACTCCGATTCGCTGAATATGCTAATGCTCAATCAAGGAGATAGGAGGAGTTTCTCACCAAAGGTCAAGCCGTCTGCTACAGCCTCTGTTCCGCGCATGTAGCCACGGCCACGGCCCACCACCAAGCCTGGGATCAACCTGACCGCACCGATCCATGGCACATGAGCACAGTCAACCGGTCTCAACGAACGCCAAGCGTGACGTCGGAAATACGAGATCGCGGTCAATTGGAGCGCGACAAGGATAATTACCCAGCCTCCCACCTCACCTCGCTTCTCCTCGCCTTTGCGCAGAAGCAGTCTATTTGCTGCGACCATGATAAGTCTTACATCTGCTCCCTGAGTGAGCGACTGCATCTGCGCACCAGCGACCACGCCCACGCCCACCACGAGGCAGGACAACCATGGTGTCGCTGACATCCTTCAACCCCGCCTGCTACGTTCCGAACGCGGTGAACAACTATCTCCCCTCCGCAGTCGCCTGCCCTCCACCGCCGTCGTATCTCTCGAGCATATACAATGCGATCACATCGCCGTTCGGCTCAACATACGGCGCGGTCAAGGCCATGCTGGAAGCGCTGACCGGACTGCCTTTCCTTTCGCTCCTGCTGATTCCCACCACCGGCTCGTGGACAACGACTGTCAACTTCTTCTTCTTCTACCTGACCTGGTACACTCTCATTCTCTCGCATCCACCCCTCCGCGTCGAGCTGATCGGCAGCCTTGCGATCCGCATTATCTTCTACGTCTTCCCATCGGCCGCCTTCTTCGCATTCGACTGGCTGTTCCCGTCCGCGGCGGTCTCATGGAAAGCGCAAGGGAAGTCCGGTCTACCGCTCAGAAATGCCTCCCGGGCAAAGACACTTTCTCATCTGCGCATCATAGGCTGGGCGCTCACCAACATTCTCATCGCAAGTCTCCTTCAGCTTACAATCGAGTTCACCCTCAACCACGTCCTACACTTCCGGTCCGCCATAAAAGTGTCCACCGCCCTACCGACTCCCTTCTGGCTCATCGTCGACGTCGGTCGCGGCTACCTCGTGCGCGAGATACTTACTTATTTCATCCACCGCAAGCTTCTCCACGAGAGCGACTCCTTCGTCGCCAAAGCGCACCAGACCTGGTACCACAGTCTCGACGCACCGTTTCCATTCTCCGCCACTTACGACCATCCCGCTGCTTTTCTGCTACACGGCTTCCTCCCGACCTATCTCCCCGCGTTACTGTTCCGGTTTCACCTGCTGACCTACCTCCTCTTCCTCACCATCGTCTCTTTGGAAGAAACGTTCGCCTACAGCGGCTATGCTAAAGTCCCTACGAACTTTATCTTCGGCGGGATCGGCCGCAGGACAGACGCCCACCTCGTCTACGGTGGCGATGGCAACTACGGGCGGATAGGCATTGTGGATTGGGTCATGGGCACGACGGTCGGGGCGAGTGATTTCGGGGATGATGTGCAGGACGAGGCTGAGCGGAAGGACTGGGAGGGGAAGGCGAAGAGGGCGGGGAAGAAGGGGGCAAAGGGGGCGCAGGAGAGAGTCAATGGGTTAATCGATGGGATTGGTGGTGGAGGCAAGGAGAGTGCAAGGAGGAGCAGGCAGAGGAGTGAGAGTTAGTGGCTTTTTGCTGGGACTGCGTGGTGGATGGTGCGTTCATTGGCTGACGCCGTATGTCGATGGATCTGGACTGGCCTGAAGTGGTTTTTGACGTTCATCTTCGAGCAAGCGTTCTATGTGTAGATACCCTAGCGATGTCATGTATCAGATTTATCCTGCGCTAGATTAGTGAATATATATCTTACTATCAACGAACTCCGGCTGGCTCTGCCACGCGACAGGCAGTGGGCCAATTATCTGCTTACCCAGATCCTGGAGAGCGAGCCGCTGGCGTCAGACTTAAGCCTGGGGGGTGTGTATCCATCAGTGGCGGGAATGTGTCTCTCTTGAGCAGTTCTCACGCAATAAGTCTTACACGAGACCGGATGACTGAGTGCGTGAGGTCTTATTCGAGACCGGCTGACTTGCACAAGAGATGGTTGTAATGGGATGGACGGTACCAGTTCTCAATATTCGTCGGGCGCGACTAAAGCCAGGTGCCCAGCACGCCTTTACGGACATTTCGCGGCCCAAGAGCTGAGCAGAGAGAGCTTAGGAAAATACAAGGATTTTTCATATGTTCAAATTATTGTTACTGTATACATCTATATTAGTGTACAATCTAGACATTATTCAGGCTATTGTACATCCAGGTCCTTCCATTAGCATCACATAATTCATTCAACAGCGCAAGCCAAAGCATAGACTTTCCAAGCAACCAGCAAAGCAACTTTTCCAGTTCGTCTAGCGTGTTGACCAGTACTTTCCTCCAGAAGGCATGCACACATGCCTCTACTTGGTGTGGGATGGCACATCACTGCCAGCTTGCTCGAGGATAGTCTCCTCATCACCACCGATCTGAGTGCCAGCATTGGCCGCATCATCTGTGGACTGTCCATCGACATTGTCGAGCAGTGGGACAACAACACCGGCAGCGTCGTTAGCGCCTGCGGCATCGAGGACTGCACCTGCGCCGTTGGCGGTCTTGTCGAGTTGGCGGCGGGTGTGAGATGGAACGTCAGAACCAGCCTGCTCGAGGATGGTCTCTTCGTCACCACCGACCTGAGTGCCGATGTTGGCGGCATCGTCGGTGGTCTGCCCATCAACGTTGTCGAGTAGTGGCACAACAACGCCAGCCGCATCGTTAGCACCGGCAGCGTCCAGCACTGCACCTAATCCATTGGCGGTCTTGTCAAGTTGACGGCGGGTCTTTGCGCCACCCTTGACGGAGGTGATCAAAGATGCAAGATTGTCCTCTGCATTCTGTTGCACTCGTTAGTCGGTGTCTTGCCTGAATGAAGTTCATAGTTATGCATACTTCGCTTCCGTATCCAACACCATTGTCAGTATCGGTAAGCAGGGCGTCGGCTGCCACTCCTTCGCCATGGAGTTGACGCTTGGTGGCAGGCTTGGTGGACGAGATCAAAGAAGCGAGATTGTCCTCTGCATTCTTTTGCGTCTGTCAGTGTGTCGTACGATTCAAATATTTGGATATACCTACTTCGCTTCCGTATCCAACACCGTTGTCGGTATCAGTGAGGAGCGCGTCAAGTGCCACACCCTCGCCATGAAGCTGGCGGCGGTTCACGGGAGCAGCGTAGGTACTGCTGCCGAGGAGGAGAAAGGCGACGAGGGCCTTGCTGGAGAAAACCGGTGCCATTGCTGATTGAGGTAGGACTGCTTAGTACTGTGACTGATAGAAAGGTATATCAAGAAAAGGTTGGGCAATGTGTCCCCGGCAAGAGGGCTTGTTGTCGCTGGTCGGTTGCTTTGCTGGTTGCTTGGTTGCTTGGTCTGGTTGTTTGCTGGATGGAGAGGAAAAAGTCTTGGGTTGGAGGATAACGGAAGCCATCTTTATAGTTGAAGCTGGTATACACAATCAAATTGCCACTTGTTGACTGTTGATATCACGACGTAGTGTCCGCCGAAGCTGATGTATACTGTCATACTCGCTGAATAGTCGAATGTCCACAGATGATGTCAATCCTTCAATACCAAGCAACACAAGATAGCTTGGCCTAAGCTTGTAAGGGCTTATTTCCCGTATCCATACAGCCACAGGGTCATGGCCCTTGTACTTCGTGCCGTGTCCATTGACAGTAGTACACACAATTGTCCGCTTTCAGGGTCGTTGTGGGTGCAGGTACAGATTCAGCCGCTTGAACGCGGGCGCCACATATGTAAACGTGCATTCTTTCATGCGAACATGTGCCGAGTGTATAGCCAGCGACGGTGGCAAGAAGCAGGGTCGATGGCGACAAGATGGTATCCAGATCTTAGTCCAGTATGCGGCGCTCGCCTTGGCAGGACCGTATCTTTTGCTTCGTCGGAGCCGCATGTGCTAGAGATCGAGGGTCTGGGATGAGTTGATGGCTTGCTGTAGCGACAAAGCATGTACGTACTGTATAGGCCTAAGAATCCACTCCGTGCAAAGCTCATGACAGAATAGGCTTCATGAGCTCCTGCTTTGCGACCATGCTGTTGGTGTTTGACGAATGAGAAAGTTTCGTTGACCAAGGATGACACAATAGGACATTGTCTCGGTAGCTTCTAACTCAATGCGATTGTGCCACTAGCTTGGCAAAAAGACTGTTGAGGTCTCTGGGCTGACGGACGGCCTCGGATACGCAAAGCATAAAGCAGCCACCTTTCCATCACCATCCGATAGACGGAGCAACAAGCTTTGCAAGCACTTCGACAAGCAACGACAAGCAAGAATAAGCGCCAGACCCTCACGTTATTGAGTGTTGCTTCATTTTGAATTCGTGAACATACTGCGATTGACGCCGTCAGTTCGGCAGCTTCGGCAGCAATGATTGAGTACTTGCAGAGAAACCCTTCGTTTGACCTCTGTCAACCAAAAGTCTCTGAGAAAGTTGTAGACTACTCTGCGCTGGGAAACAACTTCTGCCAAAGCCGCTGTCTGTTCTCAGGAGTGAAGTCAAATGTCTGCCCTTCGACAAGATGCTTTCTGATCTTGGCAGAATCCTCTTCGCGGAGGGGCTGCCAAACGACATCATCAGCGGCTTCCGCTGAGGACATTTTGTCTCTCACGTACTGTGGAACATCTGCAATGTCTCCTAGTTCCGTTTCTGCATCAGACCTGCCGATCTGCCGCATGTAAGACGCTGCCCACTGCATGATCTCGTCTGTAGTGGGCGAATTGCCCTCGGCAAGCGCTTTCTTTGTGATCAAACGCAAAGTCGTCAAAGTTGGCCTGACAGCTGGATTAAATTCGATCGTCGCGTCCAAAACGTGCGTGTGATTATCATCGGCCACGTTCTCGGGTCCATCATCCGCTAATTTGCTCGCGAATTCCTGCCGGTGAACAGTCTGCTTCTTGGTGAAGTCGAAAGCATCCATATCCGCTGAGAAGTAGAGTTCTGATCCGGGTGACTCTAGCGAAGTATCTCGATGTGGGACGTCGTTGTTGGCAGAGGCTATGCTGATGTTGTCATGAGGTTGTTCCGGTTGCAGTTTTGCCTGATGGTCTGCTTCCAGCGCCCCCTCACTTGCATGATCGCTAGCAGAACGTTCCTCATAGGTAATTGTCTCATATTCGTTGGTGTAATCAGTTGATTCGTCAACGTCTGATAGGAAGAGCTCGAGATTTTCATGCTGTGTCGAATCTCTGGTCGAAGACCGTGGATCCGTACAGAAGATTTGCCATACTCGCGTGCCCTCGCTGGCGCCATATGCATCGACAATACCAGAAAGTAATATATCGAAAGTATTAGTGGCCAGAGAGGCCGCATTGCCAGTCGAATACCTCGGCTGGTAAACCAATGCCGCGTTTTGGAGGTGGTGATTGGGAAGATTCTGAAAAATGCGGAGAAGGTACCCAACTTGCCTGCGCAGCAATGACAGCTGCATGCGATAGAAGTCTCCCTTTGTGCCATCGTAATCACCTCTCAAGACGTTGCGGAGCAACGCCACTGCTTCGCCCAAGGCGTGGCCCAGCCCACACTGTGGATCTGCCTCCAAAGCCGCACTGATACGGAGTACAGTTGCAGCAAGGCTGGCGACGTTGTCGGGACTAAAACCGCCAGCGATGCAGTCTTTCAGGTCTTCCAGGACTAGCCTGGCGCGGAAGAAATCGTGGAATGAGACGTGAGCGTTGACAAGTGACCGGAGAAACTTGACCCCTGGTCTGAGGGTGAAAGTCTGGCCAGCTTCAGCAACATCCTGCAATAATGCCAGGTCTCTGGTCTCGTCTGCCAATGTCACGAGAGCCTCCGCAGTCGAGAACTGCTCATAAGCAGGTTTGGCAATGACAGGGCCATCAACGTCATCCGAATATATCATCCAGCCGGCGAGGTTCAGCTCCTTGTTGTGCGTCAAATATCGAAGGAAGGCAGCGGACATGTGATTAGGCAACTGACCATGAGCGCCCACGTATTCCTCCTGGGCAGCAGGCAGACGGCTGTGGAAGAACCCATCCGCATCTCTTCTCGGAGTCTGTACGAAAGCCAGAAGACTCTGCACCTTGCTTCGATCAACTTCGTATTGAATCGTCGAGAAGCAGTCAATGCTTTCGTGCAGTAGGTTGCCTTTGCATAAAGCTGCAAGGCGTAGATGCAAGAGTCCTACCCCTGCGAGGCTCTGCGAGGTAATGTCGTGGTATTTCAACGTGGGCTTCGGAATCTCTTTGTCTGTCGACGTCTCAAGATCGCGAAATGCAGCAGACGCCTTGCACCACGTACTCAGGATCTGCGGATCATGGTCAAGACCGCCGGCCGCAGTCTGCAACATCCTGGCGGTCAGATAGTCGAAATACTCCACAGGCAAGGCGTGCGGCTCCAGAAAAGCTGCCAGACGTTGTATGCGATGTGTTACATCCGCGAAACCTTCTGGTTCTGACAGAGAGTTCACCGGAGCTGAAGTGATTTGAGCATCGATCAGGGACAGCACGACTTCAGTGCTGACAGTGTGTTTTGGTATAGCAGCAAGGGGTTGCTCAGCGCTATAGCCTTCGATGCGACCGAAGGGACCACCAGTTCGCCCGTGCACTCTGTCCCAGTCAATTAGTGGCGTTGTTTGTTTGTCTTTGCCTGAGGACCAATTTATGGCGAACCATGGTTCCTCCAGTTCTTTCATTAGCCCTTCGATGAGCTCAGCTCCAACGAAAGCAGATCCTTCCTCCACGCAACACCAGAGTATGAACTCCAGCCAGACCTCAGGGCCGAGCTCCCGAACGCGCAGGCGAAATCGTCCTCCCGGAGGATCTTTGTAGACTTGCTCAATAGAGCCACGTTCTGCTACAGCTGAGGCGATAGTCTCACTCTGCAAAGACCTCCAGACTGCATCTGATAGAGCTGTCAGAATACGGCCCGAGAGCAGATGGAGCACTGGGGTCCGGCCGACTGTGGCCGAATGCGGTGTCAACCGATAATCATAGATCGATGGCGGCACTAAGTTGTGATGATGGACTTTAGCTAGGGCTTGACGGACCGTGGACACGATCGATTGTGGTTCTGGTGTAGATGACTTCGCCGAGGCGATGACCATGTACCCCAAAGAGCGCAAAATACACGACATTACTGTCGGTCGCAAGCCTTGTCCCATAGATGTCTGGCTCTCGTAAAGTTCCTGCACTGCCGAGAAGCGTTGCGCTGGCGGTCCAACCTCAGATAGACTGATCTCGTCTAGAAGATCTCCTTCGAACAGACTGGCTGGCCAAGTGATATTGGATGGCGCCGCTGTAGGTACCTGGACAGCATTGGACACGGCCTGTAGCATGACCTCGACCAAATGGAGTACAGCCTGATCGCGTCCGTACATCAATAGCATGTGGCTCAGAAGATCAAAGTCTTGCCCACAAGAAGCTCGAGCTTGTTCCATAATCTTGACCAGCGCGTGTCCATCGCCTTGGATACTAAGCGTTCTGCCACCCGAGTATCGCAGATGTTCAGGCAAGAATGGCTCGACCATACAGATCCAGGTGTCCGGATCAGTTGTTGCGCCGTCAGGCTCCAGGACGTCCGACTCCTTATCATTCTGAATGGTGGATGTCGCCAAAGCTGTAGGTTTTGCCGGCCTATGCTTCTTGGGCCCTTTCCGTCGCTTTATTGCAGCGTCCACATCTTTGGTGTTATCATGGCTTTTCTCCAAGCCCTCACTGGGCTGGCTGGTGTGCAAGTGCCTCACATGATGGCGACGTGCTGCCTGGCGCAGTGTCAAGGACCGGCTGCTGACGGAAGGAACGTTCGTCGGAAGGCCACCCAGGTGCGGCCAATGCCTTCGCAAGCTCTTGACTGCATCGCACCGGCCCCGCGAAAGCGTAGCATACCCGTGACAGAAAATGTTCACTTTTCTTGGGTGTGCGCATGCAACTCGCCGGAGCATGTCACGAGGCAGTATCTCAAGATTTAATGGTCGCGAACGCATGTTGATCATCGGAGGCCAGGCTACGTGTATGCTATGGCTCAGCGACACGCACGTAAGTGTAAGACCAAGGAAAAGATCTTCCGTTGCCACCAGTCGACATGATGTCGACGACTTTTGAGACTTCAGCCTTGCACGGCGTCGGATGCAGCCTTGTCCCGATCCGCGCGAAGATGAACTTTCTTCTTACACGACCGTGGTACGCTCTGCTCCTCAATGATTGTAGTCAATGTCTCACAACATCACATCTTGATGCCAGAGACATCTCGTTGATGTTTGCTAGAGTCCCATAGCCTGCTATGCCGGACGCAGCGCAGGAGCCATGTCGATTCAGAGCCGGTTTCCGTATTTCTTTGTGACTGAAGACATCCTTTGTTCGCTAACAACAAGAGAATTGCTGATGTCTCGTGGCAGCATTGTGTTTCTAGCAACGTGTTTGTCTCTTCATATAACACACTGAAGTATTGCCGGCACGAGTGGGAAGCCTCTGGGTAGGTCTTTGACTACGTACTGCTGTGTCTCAGTCAGCCTTTCACTCTTTTGACGCCATAGCAACTATAACATCAAACAGTTGATGCTGTCACTCTTTGCACTTCAGAAAGCATGCCACGCTAGATGCAACGATTCTACAAACACATCAATCATCGATACCACTCTAGATCTCGGTCGAGGTCATCTTCTCCAGAACCGGCAACACATTCAACCATCATGGCATCAAAAGAGGTCAAATCGTGTCACGCATGCCAACTTCGAATCTTTTGCTACGACCACGTCGAAAACAAACACAGCGATCAAGCTCAGCCAACGACGCAAGAAGCAGAACCGCGAATCAACAAGGAGGCAGTTAGTCAGCTTAGCGTGTCCGCGGGAGCGACCACGGAGCAGGAAGGTTACGGCAGCTTCGAGCCTTCGGAGTCTAACGATAGTGCCGAGGAAAACGACTCCAAAACAACTTGCGAGCATGGACGAAAGCCTGACCTGCCACGGATCCAAGTCAACGGTGTGGAGTTGCCGTACTGGAAGTCGAGATGAACGTATCGGGATTCGGGTTCCACGGTTCGGACGGCAAGAGGACCATGAGAGCACGGACGAGGCTTGATGGGAACAGAACAGTAATCAGCTCATTCTTTGAGGCCTCTGGAACGAGGGTTTGAATACAGACATCGCTTCAGACTGTCACTTGCGTCTTACACCCTTCTCCTCGTTCGTCTCTACATGCCGCGGCCTCCCGTCACCTCCAGTGTCCTAATAATAGTGTCAGATATATGCTCCGGGAACACATTGTTTGAATAACTTACTGTCCGCTGACATATGAGAACAAAGGACTGCACAGGGCCAAGATGGACGACGCTGCCTCGGTCGCGGTGCCAGGTCGACCTAGCGGAATATCCTTGTATGGCTGAGCATCCTCGCCCTTCCTGCTCGAAATTTGTGCGCTTGGAATTCCTAGAGCTACTCGCTGGCCTTCAGGGGTCGTGATCTAGATGGCGATTGTCAGCATATTCATCTGGTCTGTCACGACCATGGCATGAATTCTTCAGACTACCCAGGGTCGACTCACAAATGCGCCAGCCTCCTTCGCCCTCGTCAGTCTCGTATCGATGTGACCAAACGCGACAGTGTTGACTCTGACACCGAACTGTGGCCCCCATTCCTTCGCGATCGTCTTCGTCAAGCCAACGACACCAGCCTTCGCAAGCGAATAGTTCGCCTGCCCAGCATTGCCATGCGTGCACTCGTGCTGCTGACATTGACAATAGCTCTCGGCTCACCATCCTTGACGCGGAAATACGGCGCAGCCGCTCTGATCAGCCTGAAGGGCGCGGTGTTGTGGACCGCGAGAATCGTGTCCCACTGCTTGTCGGTGATCTTGTGTACGACGCCATCCCAGGTATAGCCAGCGTTGTTGACAATATAGTGGATCTTCCCTCCGCCAAACTCGGCGGCCTTCTTAACCAGGACATTGATGTAGTTTGCGTCGGTCACATCACCTGCTACGGAGATCGCGCGGTTCGGGGAATCCGAATTGATCTTCTCGGCGACAGCGGAGGCTTTTGCGCTGTCAACGTCGCAGACGACGACTTTGCAGCCCTCGTTGGCGAACAGACGGGCTGCTTCTGCGCCGATGCCTTGGCCGGATCCAGTGATGATGGCAGTTTGACCAGCCAGCATACCCTGAGGATAGTTCAGGTGGCCTGCGATCTGCTGCGCTCTTTGTGCCATGATCAGCGAGGTGTGATGGCTGAACGAGCGCGGACGGTGTGTATGGCTGCGACCAGAATGCTGCTAGACGTAGGAAATTTCTCACTGCTGCACGGCAAAGCGAAAGTGAAGTAGCGACTCAAGTCGAAGCTGCAGTGCGGTTTTGTGTTAGGTCATCGAAAGATGTTCTCCGGAGTAGTCAGACCTCGGCTTCCAAGAGACATTTGATTGGTGTGGCACTTCATGAGCATACCCACCACGTCTTCCGTCCTTCGGCGATTGCCTCACAAGCGCCGGCACCGAGATACATATGAGTGTTGGCAGACACCGGAAATATAGGCAGTACTGTCGCCGAGCGGAATGGCTGTCCACGATGGGCGGAAATCAACACAGCCATGTATGAGGTCGGATGCCGCGAGACTTGTCTGTCCAAGTCCTTGGAGCACACTTCTATCTCGAGGTTGTGCTGCTTGACATTGATACAGTGAATCTCTCTAAGGGGCAGCAGACTGCGAAAGCCATAATCCAAGTTGTCTACATAGAATGTCAAGCGCAATGACACGATTGACGCAATGCTTCGAGTTTCTAATATAGATGTTGCTCTATAGCACGGGGGAGCTTCGGCGGAAGTGCTGAATCAGACGAATCCTGCTAAGGTCATCGCATGACTCACAGAGCTGCAGCGCCGGCCTGGAACCTCATTTGCATTGACAGTGCAGCTCTCAGCCAACACAATTGCGTCGATGTGTGTATGGTCGATCTAGATGAATTTGCTTGGAATTACAATGCATGGAAAGCTCAAGGAGCGATCAATTCGCGCAGACTTGTTTGAAACTCGATCTGACAGCCGAAGCCGTGCTAGAGGGCAAAACAGTTAGGAGGAAAATAGGTGAATGGACTTGGGGAGAGGGGGTCCAAGCCAGCGAAACCCAAAGGCGAATTCATCAGGTGCAGTTGGTGCAACACCCGTACACGGAGAACTGTCTTTATGCAAGGACCCAGTGTCGTTTACGTGCAAGCGAATGACTGCAGATAATTGGCGGGCGTTCTGCTCTGCATGAGCAAAGGGTCGCTGTGTTGAGGCATCGTACAGACTTGGTCCGTTCAGCGATGCTTGCATTCTTGTGCTTTGTAGGGTAATAGTCGAAAGTCAAACACACCGAGCGCCATGGTAACAGACAAGAATAGCAGAGAGAAAACCGGTGGCTGATCTGATTGACTGCAGCTCTACCAGCGTCAACAGCTTGCTACACCGACTTCTCGAGCTTCATCACACGTGTGATACCAGATAATTCGAGGTGAGAAATAAGGAACTGGAAACAACGAGTCGCGTAAAACTAGGACAATTTCCCAGTAGAAAGCACGTAGAGCTCTCTGATGGGTTAGGAAAGAGCGAAACACGGACAAGAAGTGGGAAATGAGAGTGCGCAAGCAGGAGGTGAGGACTCCTTGGTTGACTGACGGAACGGCAGTGCAGGAAGCACGACTCTACTAACAAGGGAAGGCGAAAGCAAGAGCCAGCCAAAGAGATCGCGGCAAGAGGGATGGGCATGTTTTGGTGTGGTGATCTGGCAAGGAGCGGGGGCTCTGTCAGAGTCAAGCAGGGCCCCCAGCACTCCCGCATACATCTGCTCTACTCTGCTGTCTCTCATACTACTGCTCTCACTCTACACAGAAACAGTACTGCTGCCCTCTACCAATTCACTACTGTGCACCAATTTTTGCCTGGTAAGTAAATCCTCCCCTCACACACCAACATACCATTTCATGGCTTCCTCGACTTTTCCTACACACCTTTTGTCGCACGACCTGGTGCCCAAAAATGACCTTGCTGTCAATGTTCGCAGCTCAGATCGCGTCTGGCGCACCTCGTTGTCGCTCTTCGAATGCTATGTTGTGCCGCATCGCTAACCACTACCACCACCACAGTACCATACCACTTGATTCGAACATTTCACGCGTCAACGCGTTCTTCTAGGTACGCGATTGCCTTGACTGTCAGTTGAAGCTCGAAAAACACGTCCTCGCGCAGTCTGCACCGAATGCGACAAGGTCATAACAATGCGCTTCACTCACTATATATTCACTTGACCGCCAAACTTCACCCTGCAAACGAGTCGCGACAGCCTATTGTCCATTGCCCCGAAATCTGCCTGCTCTCATTCACTTGCGCGATACATCACACTGTCGATTTCTGCCCACTATCTTCTTCCTCCCTTCTGTCATCTGGAACTCCGTCCAAACATACCAATCCGCCCAATTTTCCACTGCTTCATACCCTCATACGTCTGTCGCGCAACTCGAACGCCTCGAATCATACCTCACCCAACAATCCGACACAATGGCTAAGGTCACGACTGACAAGAAGACCAAGCAGACCAAAGCCTCACCAACTCCAGACGCTATGCCTCGCACTGCTGCTACCAAGACTAAGAAGGCCGCCGCTGGTGGTGGCAAGAAGAAGAAGGGTGAGTTCGCGTCTCTGTCGGCGCGTATCATAGTGCTCACAAAGATTCCAGATCCCAACGCCCCCAAGCGTGGCCTGTCCGCCTACATGTTCTTCGCGAACGAACAGCGTGAGACTGTCCGTGAAGAGAACCCAGGCATCTCCTTCGGTAAGTCTCTTCGACGCCAGATCGATCTTCATGCGCTAACACCGACATAGGCCAAGTTGGCAAAGTCCTAGGTGACAAGTGGAAGGCTTTGTCCGAGAAGGGTCGTGAGCCATATGAGAAGAAGGCGGCCGCGGACAAGAAGCGCTACGAAGACGAGAAGGCCAAGTATAATGTGCGTTGACCCTCACATTGGTTATGATGCGACGTTTACTGACCGTGCTTAGGCACAAGGCTCTGATGACGACGAAGAGTAAACTTGCGACCCAGCACCTCTACTAGATTGCTCCAGATCGTTTCGCAACCAACAGCTCTTCTTCTATTCTCGTCAATGGCGTGGGTGTGGACTCTCAACAGGCAGGCGGTTAGGCTCTTCATCTAGCACAAGAGCCACCAAAAGGGACATTTCGAAGCGACATCTGGGAACATGAAGCGCAGCGCTTCATCACATTCCAAGACAAAGCGCGTTATCAAATAGCATCTCTTACATCCACCGCAAATATCAACAAGCTTGCTGTCGCCTAACGAATACATCCATACATGAGCACATGGGTGACTTTTGGGATGACTTACGTAGACGAATCGTCCCGGTCGATGGAATCATGTATCAGCGTGACTCTGACATCACACAAGAGGTCAATAACGTGGTCGACTGGTTACATCAGCCGCTGTGGGATGATCCTATTTTCGCCCCGACCCAGCGCTTCGGGTAGGCTGAATCGTATCTTGGGCTGGGCTGAATCGCCTGTGAATCCTCAGGCAACAAAAACGTGGTGGTAGATCGCAAAACCATAAATTCGCGTACCTCGTCCACCGATTGAGCCTTCTCTTTCGCCTTCTAATGCCCTTTTGTGCGATTGCTGATGTTGACATTTGACCGTTGAAGCTAAGGTTGGGGCGACCGTTATTCGTCGTCGGCACTGACTTTGCCACATGGCACAGTAGCACTTTGCATGGAAGACTCAGTGCTACAAGTGTCAAAGTCTGTTACAGGAACAGCCCTATCCACTACGTAAGTTACTAAGGTGTCCATCAATGACACGCCAGCGGAGCGGATGCCTCGTACACGGCAACGATCCAGATCCAAGTCCAATTGACGGGCACTCGCAGCTAGACTTGGGCCGCTTAAGCTCGAGTGCCATGCAGCATGACATGATCACCTGGCTGGGCCGCCTCCACTTCGCACTTCGTGAAAGGTTTGTAAACGAGAACACCTGGTGGCTACCAGCCCTAATGCAAGCCGGAGGAACTCGACTCCCTCGGGCAACATCGCTCTGGAAAAGCTCTGGCTCCTCCAGAAATTGAGATGTCCTTCTGGGGCCGAGCCAATTCCTAATGCCTTTACAAAGCAAGACACTGCGATAAGCTCCATTCGAAATGCATGAGGTTCATTTCCGCGAATGAAGGGGCAACACTTCACGACCGGTCAGGCTTAATAGGGCCCCAGTGTGACACGTCAGTCTAATCTCAATACCTACTACTCGTGTATTACAGCTGTCGAAACTCCAATCGCGTGAGAGCAAGACTGTGTCGCTCAACATCACCAACGACTGCATCTGAGAGAGCGTGTATCTCAGCTTCGAACTGCGCTCAGCGCGATACTGCACGGCAACGACCATGAATCGTAATGATCCTTCTCGCGGAGGCCGGGAGGGCCAAAGACATCGCACAGGCCCTTGGTCCTTTTCAAGAATATGAGCGGGACCCGAGGATCGGCGATACGATTGCAGAACTCGACGACCTTCGACACCACTTGCGCGAACTCCGCGCATCACTTGACGACCGCAGAAGATACGTAGACACGCTCTTTCGCGACGATGTCGAGTTACTGCAACACAGCGTGGCCTACACGCTTGGAGATGTCTGGACAATACTGGGCCAGATGCCCCAGGAACCGATCGGCCATGATTACAGAAATGCCTGGAAGGACGTCTCGAAACATTGCCAATACTCATCCAGGAGTCAGAGCCTGCCGGATCGGCTTCATACATACAACAACTTCACCATGGCGCTGGTACGCAAACTCAACAGGTAAGACAATCGTTGATCATGTAGTCTGTCCTCCTCCAGTCTGTAACTAATCCATACTAGCAAGGGAGATCCAGTCCGCTACCTTATCGAGGACCTCCGCGAGGACCTCATAAAGCTACGGCGCGCGCAATTACAGGATCGTCGACTTATTACCGCCACGGAGGCAATCGACGACCTTGCTGCTCTGACGCTAAGGCCTCCTCTTCCTCCAATCCCCGACACGCCTCCCCTAGCCAATACTGGAGGTAGGTGGGCCAGATTCATTGTATGTGTGACCATCCCTGACGGTGTTTGAAGCAATGCGACAGCCGCGATCCTCAGAGAGAGTACGACCACAAAATAATCGTACGATGTCGCCAACAGATTCCAACTTATCGTGGGGGTCTGTGCAACGACCATCTGTCTCGAGCCCCCCCCAGTCACCAATCTCGCCAACCACTACTTTCTCAACTACAAGTCAATCATCAAGTGCTGACCTCGAGACGAAGCATTGGGCGGGCCATATCTTCAGCGATCTACCTTCAACGGACATTGTGGATAAAATGACTGAGGGTGAGCCATCAAGATGTATGCCAGAACACGACGACGATGGCGACGAGCTTCCCCGTCCCGAGGACTTCGAGAAAGTCCTACAGATGTGAGCATGACCCATGCTCAACAGGAGAACAATCATGCTGACTGCTGTAGCAAATTCAACGGCTTTTTCAGGTGCTCTTACTGGGTATCGCCACGGAATCATCAGACTAAGATGGTCTGTCAATGGCCTCATCCAAAGTATCGGAATCGTTGGAAGGTTGCGTGCTTGCCTATCAATGTTCTCCACGTTCGGCGCAGAAGCAATGTGCTCTATCTGTGCCGAGCCATCCCAAATCGAGGCCAAAATTGTGCCTGGGCGCAGTTCAAGTTCCCCACGATTGAATGTAAGAGACTTTCCAGACCGAGATGGCAGAAGCTGAGCTGAGCGATAGTCCTGATCGTATTCCATTGCACCTTCATTGCGCTCAGAGCCTACGACAGCACAAGGATAGGCCCGCTAGACCCGTTCGACCACGACCTCGATAAGGAGGCCGAGTACTTCTCCGCGTATGTCCCAACTCGAAGAACAGGAGCGTTACTTACTTGTGAACAGGCCGATAGCAGACAACGGCTACCACCATCGCCTCCGCATTCTCCGCGACAGAAGCACCAACGTTCTACGACTTGAAGCCTCTGTCCTAGATGGCCGGCTCAAAGACACGCCAATATGGACCGCCTTCGTAACCCACCACGTCCTCTCACCGAAATGGATGAAGAAGTCACCCCATGCAGCTACCATACATCTCAGTGACCTCAAACGACATATCTTCTCGCCTGACTACACCCCTCAGAGAGCGAACAGCGGCGCGCACGTACTTGACTTCGATAAGACTAGAGATGCTGACGCGTTTGCCCGAACGATACACGACTTTGGCGAGCGGTTTCGCAAGGACGCCTCAAAGCGCTCAAAGTCCGGGAAGTAGTCGACCAGCAATTTACAATTCCCAGCTTAAAGGACTGCCATCACATGACTCGCGGCTGTCCCATTTGGCCCCCGACTACCTCATTCACCCGCGACTACCTCATTCACCCGCGACTACCTCATTCACCCGCGACTACCTCATTCACCCGCGACTACTTCATTCACCCGTGACTGCACTGCCTCACGAAATCCACGACTACCTCATATAACCTACGACTAGTTCTTCACAAGACCCGCGACTACCTCACAAAACTCACTCCTACCGCGACCACGATGATCACGACTATCCACGAATGACGACGACCATATCACGACCTCTGAACGGCCACTACCACCATATCTCAACTTCGAAGAATTCTTCACTTAGCGCCGAACCATTCTATGCATGACTCATCTCAACCGGCAGCTCACAGCAGCCAATCTCTACTCCATCCGACACGACAAAGCATATATTCTAAGCTAATCGGAGGTCGTTCTGTTCTTTTCCTTGTTGAACTTGGCCCATAGGAGGGGCAACACTTTTGGGCAAGGCTTTCTGCTTTTTTGTGTGTTCAAAAGCGTTCTAGCGAATAGCGATGAGGCCATTGCGCCTCGAAACAGTCCAGTCTCAGTTGGCCGCTGCCCACTGGCAGTTTTGATTTGTGGCAATACGATTGCGCTCCCTCAGTTAAGACCTTTTGAGGCGTGCAGTCGTCGCTTCTTCTGATACTGCTATCGATACCACCCACTGCTACAGTAGATCTGCTCTAACGCTGACGCTGACTCTGTCTGGCTAGTTCCGCGTGAGTCCTTTCAGATCCACCTGTCCAACTCTTCCGAAACACTGCAAGGGAAAAACCATATCATCGTCATCGAAATCATCACAAGGCTTCATCATCGTCCATGCTCCAGCCGCCCGCTGACAGCACATTGTCCCAGTGCTCATCTTCGTGTCCGACACTGGCGGACTGCTCGGATATGTGAACACGTTTCTTCGCTGACCCAGACTCTTCGCCGAAAAGCCCCCCCACGCCGTCCCATATCCCGTTGACAATCCCATCCCATGAGATCTGTGCAAGCACGTCCGGAACGCCCCACCCCGCACCATCCACCGCGTTTGCACCACCACCATGGCCCTTCCCTCCCCTATCGACGACCGCAAGATCAACGCCCGGCCACGAATAGCTTTCCGCGTACAGCGGATGCCCGTAGAACTCCGAGATGGCTGTGTCTACGAAGCGCCATGTGAATAGGATGAGGAGAACCCACATCAGTGGCGTGGGTCTGCTAAAGCGCGTGGCGAAGCGGCGTTTTGTGCTGGTTAGTTGGGATGTGCGTGATTTGTTGCCTTTTGTTGTCGAGGTCGTCGTGGAAGGTGGTGATGAGGGGCTTGGTCGGAAGAGCAGTGGGAGGGGGATGCGTAGGGGTGTAAGAGCCATTGGGAGGACGCCTGTTGGGTTGATGATTTTGGTCGGGGCGGTGACGGGGATGTTGTCCGTCGGTGTGGTGGCTGACAGCGGCGCTGCGAGGTCATCATCCCCATGCACGCTCCCACCGCCCTCGCTCATCTCCCGCTCGAATCGACTGGCTGCTTTTCGTGCGTGGCGTATATTAGCTTGGAGCGTGTGCAACTTCTTTGACAGGCGGTCGAGGACTACGATCTCGGCGTCTGTGTCGCGATTCGCAGCAACGCCGCTGGCCTTATCGTTGTTATCGTGAGATAGTGCGCTCAGATCGCCAAATGACTGTCGTAGTGCTTCGTGCTCGGCGCCCATTCGGATCAAGGTAGTCATGTCCTCTTCGTTGAGATCGACGAGGTCCTCCAGGCTGGCGATGGTGGTCTCGCCTAAATTGAGGGTGTCATTGGTGTTGTTGGAGTCCTTTGCTCGTTGAGCGGCGATGATGTTCGTCAGTGCTGAGCGACCAATCGCAGGCTGTGCGTTGGATGCTGCGGCTTCTGGCTGGTTGGGGATTGCGCGTCAGTGGTGTGCTCGTCGGTCTCCTCGTCGATGGACTCTGCGATGGTAGGAGGTCGGGCGCCTGGAACCAAAGGTGTGTCGATCCAACCGCCTGCGTTGACGTGTGGCGTCTGGGTGTACTTTGGCTGCGGCTTGTATGATTTGACGGTATTGACCGTGTCAGGCGGAAGTACTGTGTCTTGCCAGGCGCCGATGACTTTGGGTGTTGCTGCCAGGGCCGGCTTCTTTGGTTGAGGGGCATCTGTAGTGACAACCAATTCCGACGCTGCTTCTTGTGATGCTGGCTGATCAAGCTTGGGCGTGATGGACGGACTTGACTTAGGCGTAGCGCTCAGCCGAGCAAATCTCTGCAAAGCATCGTGTGACGCCCGTCTGTCGTGGTCAGAACGAGCCGCATCTCCCGAGCTCCCTGTCGACGATCTGAACACCACGATCGGAGTGTCTGGTATCTGCTCTCCGAGAGCGTTTCCGGTGTCTTGGTCCTTAGCCGCATCGTTCGAGATGCTCTTCCTCAGCTCATTCGAGGTACTCTTCCTAAGCGACGAGCCACTTGGCGAACGCGACAGCTTCTTCTCCGCCTCCCACGGACTCCGCTCTCTGATAGCCTCAAGCCTGCTCTTAGTCACAGCCTGTCGCGATAGCTGGTCAATTTCCCTCTCTCGAGCCAGATCATCTGAGCTCTTCCGTGCCTTGACTGGCGGACTTTCTGAGACTTGAAATGACATGCCGGTGGGCTCGTTGTCCAGCTTGCGAAGACGATCGAAGGACAGACGTGGTCGTGGCGATGATGCTTGTCCTGTGGTGTCGTTGTCGATTCTCTCGTCTCGTTCAATGCTCTGAACTGGGTCATCTGCATCGACGCCTGCCCAATCGACGGCCGAGGACGCGTGTGAGGCAATACTTTGTCTTCTCTCATTGCGTTGGTCGGCCGCTGACCTTTGCCACTTCCTCAAGTCACCCTTGTCGGTATGAGGTGCGTTCGATGGAACTGGCCTATCGCTGATGGGAGCCGACACTTCTGCAGTTCGGTTGTCGAAAGAAGCCATGGAGGCCTCGTCAAAATCCTCAGTCTGGTCAACGGCTCGCTCGTCCTGCCTTGTGTCCATGGATCGACCGCCTGGGGCTGACTGCTGCGTATCATCATTGTTTTCGGACGCCTCGGAACCCATCCCCAAATTCTTCCGCGCTTTGTTCGTCTCGAACTGACGCTGCCGTCGTCGCAGTTCGGGAGAAGTCACATTGCCGGCGTCGTCATCGGAAAGGGCTGCTGGCTCGGAATACACCCGCTCGAGTTCCGTGGTGTCAAGCTCTCGCAGAGGTCCACGCATAGACTGTGAGAGTGTTGAGCGGCCATGCTGGTGTCTCGCATTTCGTTCTGCAACAGGTGACTGACTGGCCCGAGGCTTCCTCTCGAGAGTGGTGTCAGAGTACGCTTTCGGGGCGCCGTTCACAATGGGACTGTTCAGTCGCTGAGGTCTTCTCCTAGAGGATCGCGAGCTGTGGTCCGAGCTTGCGTCGGACCTAGCCTTCTCCTGGGCGATGAACTCTGAGGGCTTCATTCCTGCATGGAAAGAAATGGGCCTGTCACTGATTCCGTATCGAAGCCTCCGTATATCCTTTTCATGAGTCGAAACGAAAGGCGTGATTTTCGCCGCCAGATTTTGGTCGGTGAGCTGGTTCAGGAAGCTGATACCAGAGCCTTCTGAGAGGGCGGCTGTATGTTCGTCCTTGAAGTTCTCCTTGTCTGCCTCATTTGGTCTAGCAACTGACCTCACAGCCCTGACCGCTGGCGACTCTGTCACTCTGTCACGGCTCGCGCTTCTGTGCTCGCATTGCGGTGCACGGCTCGGTGACGACTCCATCCGCCTGTATTCCGCATCTGCACCGTCGCTTTCTGAGCTGACATTGTCTCGATCGTCCTCTGCCAGTATCGACTCTTCGTAGATCTGTTGATAGACATCTGCCAGGTCCTGTCCAGGACTCGGAGCTTCTGACATCGGACTCTTAACCGCGTCAGGGCCATCACGCGATTGTGGCGGTGTGATAAGATCTGACTGCGAAGACCTCATGCTTAAAGGTCGCCGAAGCACGGGTGCCGGCGCTTCATGCCGGATGCCGTTCTGTTTGACATCGTCATGCGCAGCTGCCACCCGAGCGGCGTTGCGCGAGTCCCGAGGGAACGGGAAGCTTTTCGAGGGAATGTGGGCGCGCCTCGAGTTGCTGATCGTGCTCTTCTTACGAGCATGGGTTGGCGTCGGGATACGTGATGTATCGTCGTCGATGAGGCTGTCCGTGTAGAATTGCGCACTGGGAGGCGTAGGGTTCTTCCCGATGAAGACGGAGCTTATTGCGGGTGGACGCTGAGGCAGTGGGTTGTTTTCTTTGTTGCGCGACATGCTGTAGATCTTCGAGACGCGCTCTTCATGAAGGCGAAGGTGAAGAATGCTGTCGCATGATTGCTTCAAGAGACAGGATATCTATCGCGCGCAAGTGATACATTGAAGTGCTACACAAGACTAATATATCGTGTAGTACACGCGAAATGTCGTGGATGGGTGACTAGGTATGCAACATCAATCTTCACTGCGATGCGGTCACCAAAGGCCGACCGCCTGTCCCGCCAAGCCAAGCCAAACATTCACTTCGGTATGGTGTTGACGAGTCTGTGCTCTTTCCTTCCTACAAGTTATTCACTGAGTCTGTACCCAGTTATACATACAGTCGTACATGTCGTTATGCTCGTAATGTGCTCATGGCGAGCCGTACCACACTTCTGCTACCTTCGCACTCAAAGCTTTTGCGATCTTCTTTCTAGGAATCGCGTTACCCAACTTGTTACTGAGCAAAACTTCGCGTTCTCGAGCCGTGACACAGCTCTCGTATGCCTCGATCAGAGACACCGGCGTCGGCCACACCTTCTGTATCTCGATCGCCTTATCAGCGGTGACTCCTCTGATGCACAGGAGCATTTTGAGGTACACGTCGCGCAGTGTCATCGAATCGCTCTTGTCGCACAGCGCTTGGAAGGCTGAGAAAGTTGTCCCTACAGTGCTCTTCGGATTGGCAATTCGCAGTGCACTCATTGTGTTCAAGTACGTTCCCGCATCAATACGGTCGGATCGAACGACGCACACGGTCTTACTTCTGTACATTTCCTGCAAAGTCCTCGTCATCCGTGCCAGATACTTGATCGTTTCATCCAATTTCGTTGTTTGCTTGACGAAGATGTCGTTGATGACCTGCGTGGATGTGATTGCTGTCTCGACCGATTGGCCGTACAACTCGCTTCTTTCTGCCGATATCGAGAAGGCTTCGACGATATATGCCACATTTTGAATGCCAGATTTACGTAGTCGAAACTTTTGTTCGTGGAAGCGACCGTCCTTGATGCTCGAGATCAGATCGTCCAGTCGCTTGCGCTCGACAATATAGTCGAGCATGATCTCGTCCGAGCCATCGTCATTGTCATCCTTGTTCGCTGCCCTGAGACTATCCAGGTGTTCTGGTTTCACTTTAGCCACCCACAGGACATCGCCCAGAGGAAGAGCACGGATGATGGCCTTGATACCCTGCTTTCTGAGCTCGTCTGCGATATACTCTCGGTCGGTCTTCGAGCGGACCTCTCTGCTGTCCAGAACAATTCGAACTTCGAAGCATTCAGGCGACAAGGTTATGGTGTCTGCTGTAGTAAGCAGAGAATCTGTATGCGGAACCTTGAGCAGAGGACGTTGTCGATGTGGCGTATGCCGCTCTTCGTTCTCACTGGACAGTTCGAGTACATCTGCCGGTCCGTCGACGTCAGAAAGAGCTCTCGACCTCACTATATCGCTCGGTTGACGATCGACTGGCTGAGTAACAGCGGCTTTCTTTTTGGACGCTGGTGAAAGACGAGCTTGACTGGGACCTCCACTAATCTTCTTGCACGCGTTCGCTGTTTCCCAGCCGTCATCAGAGAGGTAGTAGCGCTTGGTGGGATGACCTTTGGTACACACCAACTCCTTGGTCTCAAGTGTTTTCATGGAACTCCATGCGGTATAATGCTTCGTTGTATCAGATCCAACACTGAATGACGCGTCGCAATGCGGCTGTGCCAGTTCTATGACCTCGTTCTTGCTCAAAGCCTTGTTGTCGTCCTGGTCTAATGTCGCCAATGCCATGATCAATGCAAATGCACCAGATCGTGGTTTTGGGACATAGGCAGAGGTCTTTCGCTTCTTCGGCGCCACGACGGTATCTGCATCTTGATCCTGCGAAGCTGCCGATCGTTTCTCTTTGCTGGCCTTGAACGGCTTCTCAGGCATGGGCAAGCCATTCTCGGAGGTGTACTTCTTCAACTTGTCCGTCAGGCGATCGCAGAGTTTGGGTCCAAGGCCGTTGAGTTGTTGAGCTTCGGAGGGATGGGCGAACGTGGTGGGACACGCTTTCATGGACTGGTATGCCTTCTTGTAGACGGTGTAGCCCTTGCTGTTGCGCTCCCTCGCCTCCTCCATCCACTCCTTGAGCCACTCTAGCAGCAGCGGATTCGCGCAGTCATCATCCATGATCGTCGTAGTTGAGATCCATTCCCTACGAGAGTCGAAACTTCCGCACGAACACGCATGGAACGCTGGTCCAAAATATTTGAGGGCGCAACAGAGGGGTGTGATATCACTTCCGTTACCGAGGCGTCGCGTGTATTGACGCGACCGCACGTGACTGCCAATCGCTGCAAGGTTGGCCAATTGCACTTGCCAACTTAAGGGACACGATTCACGCATAGTACCTCCATCATCTCACATCACTCGCGATGCGCATTCTCGCGCTGCACGAGACCTAGTGTCTGATGAGCCGAGTGGTATACATGACTACGATAGTGCAAAGGCCTGCGAATGTGTTTACAGGCCCCAACTTCCCAGTAGGACGCTCGAGGCACCCTGACAACATTGTCGAGACTAATTACTTCACTGACAACCCCTTGCAATCACTCTCAGAGCCAGCGTCGAGAGGTCCTATCCCGACTGATGCTGGAGTCCTCTGAAGCCATGCAGATAAGCAGTCCATTAACGAGTATCTGAGCTTATGCAGGTACACGGACGATGAATCCGGACCAGATGGGACGACCTCGAACCCACTCGAGCACGGGGATCACATCAATGGATCCGATGTTCCTCCCAGAACCGATCTGAGAGTCACCCAAGGTTGTATATTCTACGAAGTAAGCGTGCTTGAAGCAACGACTTTTGGTACCGAGATATATCTTGACGTCTTTGATGTCGCCGTGGACCCACCTGTACCGTCCACCCACGGAAGATTTCTCCCGTCCTGCCAAAGTTGATGCGGTACTCCTGGCAATCGCGATACGCGACGTTTGCTCACAAGATAAAGTTCATCGACACGCGCTACGCGAGATCAGATCTACTCCCCCGGGCTCCTGCCGCAAATGGGTGTCACTTTCGCGCAGGGCTGCCTAGCCCACGCGAGACCCATCGAGGTGCTCATGACCTCAACACCTTCTGTCAGATCTGCTGTACCTGCCAACGTGGTGGATTGATGACGGTCATGATCCGTCTGAACCCTTACCAACCAGCCTGTCCAGCCTGACGTCAAGGTGAGAGCTATAGTTGTATAAGACATCGTCCTCAGTCCCATCCAAGCACAATTCTCTATCTTTTAATTGCATCCCACATACATCACAATCAACCGCAGGACACCGCATCACCGTTACTATGGCCAACCCAGACTCCGACTTCAAGACCACTGGCGAGGAGGAGACTCTCGCCCCCGCGCAGAACGACTATGAGTCGCGCACCGGCCAGAAGGACCACATCCCCGTTGTTAAGGATGACGCCGACATCGAGGACCCCATCGACGGCGAGACCGCCGACTCCGATGCTCAGCTTGGTATATCTCATCACTTGCCTGTCTACTCCGCGCAATACTAACCTTTTCTAGAACGTGACGATGCTGATGCCATCGACAAGAGCAACATCATCGATGAGCGCACCCGCGGTGCCGTGAAGAACTACCAAGAGCCCGGCGACGAGGAGGGTCTTGGTGGCCCAGATGATGGTCGCAGCCGTGTTGCTGGTGGACCAAACTGAAGTCTACCCGCAGTGTCCTGTTTAGGATATGGAGATATTGAGTCTCTCAGAGAGTTGGACGGCACTGTAGAGCTGAGACAGTGTGAACAAGGGCCAGCTCGGTCTGCTGCGTTTTACAATGTCGTATATATGCAAATGCTCTAATCACGCCGACTGTTTATCATTGTTGCGTCGAGTTTGCAAGTTCTTACAGTCTACACACTGAAATGTAGGCCTGATGTCCTCAAATCCCGCCTAGGAACCGGCCTCGCCTAGGCCGATTGGCCCGGAATGCCAGTCCCCTTAGTGGCATGTCAATCGATCTCATCAGTGAACTTTATCTGAACATGTGGGCTTAACCGTTCCCCAGACAGCACTCTATTTCTGTGCGAGCTCCATTTCACGGAGAGATCTATCATGTCTCAATTCGGCTGCTGATGATGACATCGGTACCAGGAACCATGACAACGAGCCGTGCTGCTATGCTGGTAGGTATGCCCCAAAACCCTCGGGCCTGACAGCTGCCCCTGGTTCTGAGTGAAGCAAAGCACGACATCATTATTTACTTTCCCAGCCCCCTTCTGTACATTGCTCGTGGTCTCGTCTGATAGCTTTCTGTTCGCGCCCTACTCACGACAGCTTGTCCCCTGCGTCGCATTACTCCCGCATTCGCACACTCCACAGTGTGCCATTTCGAGTTTCTCATACACCTCAACGCACGTCGACGTCACTATGCCTGAACCCGAGAAAGGCGACAAAGGTGAGCAGCTGCTTCTCGCTATCACTCCAAGCGCATGAGCGCGACATACAGCTCTGCTACGTAGTCGATGGACACGCGCAGTGGTCGCGACCCGGAACACCGCATTCTGGCCCAGCAGCAATGCCGGCGACAATGGCTGCGCCTAGCTAGCCTCCCCACTTCCCTCTTTCGATACTTGCAGACTAACGCAACCCCATCTAGTCTCCTGGAACTGGGGCTCCGGCAACCCAGGCGGCGAAGTCGCTGAAAAGAAAGAAGAAGGCGAAATCGCCATCAAGTCCAAAAAGGGCAACACCATCAAGAAGAACGCCTCCCCGGATAACCCGGCCGTGCATGTCAAGCGCTCTGGCAATGATGTTGTTAAGCGGGCGAACGAGTTGAATATAGAGAAGAAGGCTGGTGGAGGTGGCGGTGGTGGTGGGAAGCGCAAGAAGGATGAGGAGGAAGAGGAGAAGAAAGAGGAGAAGGAAGAAGAGGAGGGTGGTGAGGAAGGGTTGGAGAAGGTACGTTCCGGCGACGGCCCAATAGTGTGACAATCCGATGCTGACTCTGTTTGGTGCAGAATGACGAGGGCAAGACCGTGAAGGCCGGAAGCAAGGCCAAGAAGCAGAAGAAAGATGAGAAGGAAACAAATGGTGACAGTAAGGAGGCAAAGAAGGATGAGAAAAAGGCCCCAGCAAAGAAAGGAGCCGCGGCCAACACCAAGAAGAAGGCAGAAGAGAAGAAGCCTAGCAAGCCGAGAGACGAGACGACTGTCAGCTCGAGGACGCGAAGCCGCGGGAAGTGAATGGCGCCCCTCCTGTTGCGCGGAAGTCAGTGCTGTACAGCTCAGCCCTGTGTGTACCGTATAGTATGAGGTCTGCATGGCCCCTACCCTCCACTACTGATTCCAGTGTAAAGGGTCCATTCCGTCAGTACTTTTGTCACACGTTGAGCTCGACGAACTACTCCTGCAAAGCAAAACCATCATTACGTACAACATGTTCACCCGGACCATCGTTGTGAGCTGGCAAAGCGCATGAGAAGTCTAACTACGGAGTAGTAATCAACGAGAATTGGGGCGCAAAAAGTTGAAGATCTCCCACCGGGTCGCGTTTCTCTAGGATTGCTGTTGCGCACTTGATGTGCATTTGATCCTATACTGGCAATGCTTGCTTGCCACGCGGCAAGTCTAGTGAGTCTGCATTGCTTCGTGAGCTTGTTAGACGAAAGCTGGGGAAGCGACGAAACTGAAGTCAATTGCGGGTAGGACGGTCGAATCTGTGAGCCCGGGCTTGGTAGAGTTCCACTTCGGATCACCGCTCGAACTTGAAAGAGACACATGAAGGTGAGCACCATCTTGCTTCGACATCCCGGTCCAGCGCCGCCCTGTTAATGACAATAATAAGGTGGGATGTGAGAATGTGTACGTGAAGACATCCCCATGGGGTCGGCGCTTTTACCTCCGGTGGAGACAGCAGACTTCCGGTGGAAGCGCCTGAACCTTTCCTGAGCAGGCGCGTCTTCCGTGCTCGTGACCAAGCATCGTCGCGAGCTATCGATTGATTCCGACTTCAACTACCGAGCTGCGCTATGGCACAAAGACCTGCACAGAATTCAGGCTGACAGTCACCGTGCGCGAGCGATGTTCTAGGCTTCCATGTGGCTGTCCAAGAAGTAGGCGAACCAATCCCCACGCCTCCAGCCTCGTCCACCGGGTTGATGCCTCGTATCCCCCCCATGACCCGCGCTGACTCCCCACACAGCGGTCAAAGTGTCCGTTCCCGATTGAGCAGCAGGGATTGACCAAGACATTCTACTGTTCGTTTACGGCATGCTCGGATTGCACCAATGCAACATTCGCGACAGTGCGGCAGAATCATTCGCTGGACTGAACTTCTTACCGGATCTCTGGCAATGACCGTCAACCACCACGGCTCGGGGACTTGCCGATTTCCAATAATCACATGGTAAGCTTCTGGCGGTTTGACGAAGCCAGGCGAACTCTGCAAGGGACTAGTGCCACCATGGACTCTGGGCAGACTACAAAGGCGCCGGTACTCCCCTGCGAGATGCGCGTCCATCTTCAACCTTGATTGCTGTGATATACAAACCAGCAGAAATGGCGACAGCCACAGCTACAGACAAAGCAGAGGCGGGCCACGCCGAAAGACGCCTGGGCTCTGAAACTCCAGATTTCGATGAGAAGGTCGGTCTTCGTACTGTGGACGCTGGCCTCGACGCGACTCAGGTCATCTACGAAGTAGACCCAGCGGAAGAGCGAAAGATCCTGCGCAAGATCGACTATCGTCTGATTCCGTTGCTCAGGTAAGACGACCTTCTCCCTCCGATCTGTGACTGCCAGCTAACAGCTCTCAAGTATATTGTATTTGCTTGCATACATCGATCGCTCCAACTTAGGAAACGCGAAGATCGCTGGTATGGAACAGGATCTGAACCTCATCAAGTTTCGTTACAAGTACGTTGTCCTACACTGATTCAAATGAGATATCCATTTTCCAAGTGGTGCCAATCCCGCATTATCATGCCGCTGACAGGACCGCAGCACGGCACTTACTGTGTTCTTTCCAACGTACGCCCTACTCGAAGTACCCAGCAACATCGTGCTGAAGATGCTGCGGCCATCAATTTGGCTGTCAATCTTGTGCTTCTCTTGGGGTCTTGTTATGACACTCATGGGCCTGGTGACCACCTACCAAGGTCTCTACATCGCACGCGTCTTCCTCGGTGTCGCTGAGGCTGGATTCTTTCCTGCGGCCACCTACCTCCTCACCATCTGGTACCGCAGATACGAGGTCCAAAAGCGTATGGCCATCTTCTACGCTGCAGCCTCCTTATCAGGAGCATTCTCAGGCTTGCTCGCATTCGCCATTGAGAAGATGGATGGTGTCAGTGGCCTCGCTGGCTGGAAATGGATCTTCATCCTGGAGGGCCTTGCGCCGATTGCAGTCAGCTTCACTCTGTACTTCTTACTCCCTGATAGGCCCGAGACCGCAAAGTTCCTCACCAAGCAGGAGAGAGAATTTGTTGTGAATCGCCTTGCGCTGTACACCGGATCCGGAATGGGCCGGACAACCAATGCAGACAAGATCTCGGTGGCCCAGATTCTGAAAGCACTCAAGACTTGGTGGTAAGTCTCCAAGCGAACCTGCATCGGGTGACACATCAAATGCTCGGTCCTGGTTCCTGGGACACATCCATTCTAACAGAGGCAATAGGATTTGGGCAGCCGTGATACCATTCTGGGGTTGCTCAATCGGTACATATGGTTTCACAGTAAGTTCGATTGACGTTGTGGTGATATCAATCAGTCTTAGCTCGTTAGCGGCGTTCGAAATGCTTCCAATAGTCTGCGAGGCAGTGATAGCTGACATCTCCTGCGCAGGCAACTGTTCCTACCATCGTGAAGCGAATGGGTTACACGTAAGAAGCAAAGCTCCTAGGTGCTATGTCTGTCTAACCACTTCAAGTTCCTCAAATGCCCAGCTGATGACCATCCCAATCTATGTTTTCGGAATGCTCGCGACAGTGATCGTGGCATACCTTTCGGACAAGTACCAGCAAAGAACACCATTCATCATGGGCGGCTTCACCTTGGCCGTCCTCGGCTTCATCGCTCTGTTGGCCATACCTCACCCTCACTACTCAGGGGTGACTTATTTCTTCCTATTCTTCGTTGCCGCAGGATTGTACTGTCCATTTGTGTGCATCGTCACGTTGGTGGGCAACAATTTGGCACCGTCCGGTCGACGCGCTGTGGGAATGGCTCTTCTGATCTCAATGGGCAACCTGGGCGGTATTGCGGTGAGTTCGACTCTCATAAGAATACTCGCCAGAACTAATGTTCTCCCAGGGCAGCAATATCTTCTTCACGGCCGATGCACCAAAGTATCCCGTCGGATTTGGATTCTGTCTTGCCATCGACGGTGCCGGCATTATCATGGCCTGGGTTCTCCGGAAATATTTTCAGCGAGAGAACAGGAAGCGCGACGAGTTGCTTGACCGAGAAGGCGAGGCAGGAATCAGGGCAAAGTACACGGATCAAGAGCTCGTTGACATGGGAGACAAGAGTCCGTTCTTCCGCTACACGTTGTAGCGCGTGAAGAAATCGGTGCCACATGTTCGAGGAAACCTGTACTGGAATCACGGTGATCATGGGATCGATGTTATCGTCTAGCGTACCGAAGGGCCGCTGGTGCGTCCGGGAAGGCTTTGTACCGAAGCTGACTGCTACATATCACTCATTAGCTTTGCCAAATTAGTTGCCTGAACTTCAACGGGCTTCCAGATTCCAGATGGCACTCGAGTGCTAGATCTTTCGACGATTTGCAGACAGATCGGCAATCACAGGGAGTAAGCGGCAGATGTTGACCGATCTCAGCAAATGGTACCACTCCGCAACCCCGCCCCTCCGTTGGGGAGGTCTAAATACTAGATCGCCGCGTAAGCTATAAATGCAGATACTGCTGACGCGCAGGAAACTACATATAGGACATCAGATGTAAATATCCCTTCAGCTACACCGGGCGCTCTCGTATCAATAAAGGCCGCACGAGTTGCTCACTTCTACGCCTCTCAGGACCACTTCAATTCTCAATCAGTCGCGAACCTAGCATACACAATGCCTCCCCCAAAAACAACAGCAGCAGAACCCATCTCAGCCCTCTACCGCCTCATCTTCCTCTATCTCGAGCCCTTCTTCGCATTCAGCGGCGCCATCCAAGTCCTCGTCGCCCCTTTAACCTGTATCGCCATCAGCCACCCCGCTCTTCACGCCTACCTAGCAACCAACCCTGCCGATCTCCCCCTCTTCCAATCCCAATTCACGACCATCGCCGGAGGCTGGCTGCTTCTCGCTCTGAACGACATCATCACGCTTCGCGCTTTTCGCAGGCAGCCCAGAGTCTGGTGGTACGTGATGCTCGTGCACCTGGTGAGCGATGCGGTGTACACGTTCAGTTTGTATCAGGACGGCAGGCTGCAGGGGCATGGCCTGGGGCGGTTCGTGGATGTGAGAACGTGGGATTCCAATGAGTGGGTGACGAATGTATTGACGTTTCCGTTCACGGCTGCGAAGATTGCGTTTTTGCTGGGCTTGGGGTTGGATTTTCAAGTCGAGGGGAAGGTGAAGCTCTAGAGGGTACGGGATGAGGACGGCGACGATGCATTTGTGGTGCAGCCATGGGTGATCAGAATCAAGAGGGCTCGACTGCGTGCCAGCCGTACTCTACGAGGACGAGGATGCAGTCGGTGCCAGCAAGGAGGGTGCATTTCGAAAGGACATCGTCGAGAGAAAGGCAGGAGACAGCTTGATGACGGCCAGATGACCATGCCAATACCGGGTCCGGTGTGGTTTTATGTGACCTTCGTACATGAGGCAGGTTTTCAGATGTTGTCTTTGACAGCATGCAAAACCTACGCTGTTAAGCATCGCACGAACGTAACTAAGCATTCTTCCCCCAGGCGTTCGGTATTGGCATATGGGGACGCCAATAAATGAGTAAGCAAGCCTCTTCTTATGAGCGCGATATAAGCACTTGCACTTGCCTATTTGACACTCAACTAACTAGAAACCCCAGCAGGGTTTCCCGATAGGCGTAGAGAGACTTTCCGGTACTTAAGTAGTAACAATGATTTACGACCGTCGCATCAAATCAAGCTTCGTGATGTATGAGGTGATTGTCTTTCTTTGACGCATTTAGCACATCTTTAGATGACGCAGTACCGCGACCGAGAAGCAGCACACCATGATACAGAGCTTTGCTCCCTGTGCAACGTCTCATCATGTCCAGTCCGTATGAGCGCCACCCAAAACCGGACGCGTCGTAGAGCAGCATGAACGGCAACGGATTTCAGACGTCTAATGGACTGGAGAAACCACCAAACGATCTCGAAGGCCAACAGCCCCGTCCATCAACACAGCACAATCATGAGCACCAAAGTCGTCCAGACGATGCGGCGCTCTCAACCATTCACGCCCGTCTCGCCCATTTCACATGGGGCTGGTACACCCTACCGATGGCGACTGGCGGACTCGCCTCATCGTCCATCCATCCATCCAGCCCCACACGTTCACAGGCCTTTTGACCACAGGCAAACTGATCTTCATCCTCGACCTCGTCCTATTCACACTGATCACCGGCCTCATGACGTATCGCTTCGTCAACTATCCCGGGACATTCAAGGCCTCGCTGACTCACCCAACGGAATCCCTTTTCGCCGCGACCTCTCTGATCGCCCTGGCTAGCATCATCGCCTGCATTGGCAAGTATGGCGTTCCCGAGTGCGGCCCCTGGCTGGTCACAGCCTTTCGTGTCATCTTCTGGATCTACTACGCCGCGGCCTGGCTGAGCGCTATCGTAGCATACGTTGCGCTTTTCACCAACCCTGAGCTCAAGATCCAGGACATGACGCCTGGATGGGATCTTCCCATATTCCCGATCATGCTCACGGGCACCGTCGCAAGTGCAGGCTCAGCGTTCCAGCCGCCGGATCAGGCGGTGCCCATGATCGTGGCCGGACTCATTGCGCAAGGATTGGGCTTCTGGGTTTCGATCCTTATGTATGCGAGCTACCTGCGCAGGATGATCCAGTACGGGTTTCCAAGCCCAGCGAGCCGCCCAGCTATGTTCATCGCTGTCGGGCCGCCGAGCTTTACCGGCTTGGCAATCATGGGCATGGCAGGGAACTGGCCAGCGGAGAGCTACAACTATTTCGGAGGTGATCCGGCGATGACGTTAACGACGCTGAAGGTCCTGGCGCTTGTAACGGCGTTGTTCCTTTATAGTCTCAGCTTTTGGTTCTTCTCTGTGGGCGTAGTCAGCACGGTGAAAGTGGCGCGGGAGCTGAAATTCAAGTTGAACTGGAATGCGTTCGTATTCCCAAATGTCGGCTTCACAATTGTGACGATTGAGATTGGGAAGCAGCTGAAGAGCGAGGGGGTGAAGTGGGTTGGCAGTATTATGACTATCCTATTGATAGCGCTGTACTTGTTTGTGCAGGTCATGTGTGTCCGGGCGGTGTGGAATCGAGAGGTCTGCTTCCAGGGCAAGGATGAAGACAACTACTTCACGGAAAGGATGATGAAGAAGGAGAAGTTGGGAGCTGTTGGGGCGAGTGGGCTAGAGAAGGAGGAGTGAAGCAGCAGGCTGATTCTTGGCCTCGCGCAGCTTCGTTTCATGGCTAGACGCAGAGTGGCAAAGGTTCCAGAGACCTGCGAGATCACAGCTCGTCGTGTTTCACCAGCATGTTCTCGACCTTCTCCTTTACGTCTGGCGGCCAGTACACCTGCACTCCACCGCCACCCCAGTCTGTCGAGGTAGATCCGTGCGTTTCTCCCAGATCGCCGACGATGGCAACCTGTGACTGAGCGACCGACTCACTTCATCGACCTTGTCCATGATCCTCATCAAATTGCCGCCCATTGCACCACGGACCTCGTCTGGCGTCCAGCCGCGGGACAGCAATTCTGCTATCTTTGAGGCGAAATTAGCACTTCGAGTTCTTTCACACATGCGATCTCGACTTACCAGATTCGGATACTTGCTCGCATCTTCGAGCCCGTCGACCGTCATGTACATCCCATCGAAGTCTGAAGCAATGCCAACACGGGTCCGCCCGATGATGTTGCCAATATGCTCCATGTGGTCCACAACATGACTGGCGTTGACTCCAGGTTGCTCGCCAATGAAGTCCGGGAAGAACACAGACTGCACGAGGCCATCAATTTGTCCCTCGCCGTCGCCAATGAGCGCCAGGATATCGTCTGGCACGTTCCTGGGATGGTCTCGCACAGCTCTGGCTCCTGCGTGCGTCCAGACCACTGGAGCTTTGGACACCCCGATAGCCTGTCGCATTGTGGAATCCGATGTGTGGGATAGGTCGACCATGATACCGACACGGTTGAGCTCTCGTACTAACTCGACGCCCAAATCTGAGAGACCGCCTCCGGCATGGACCTCGCCCAGCACGTCTGCATTACCAGCACGCCAGGACGTAGCGCTAGCGAACGCACTGTGGCAAGTGTGCGTGAGCGTCAGGTACCGCACCCCGAGCTGTGCAAAGATACGCAGCACGCTCAGCGAGTTGCCGAGCATGTGCGTGCCCTCCATGCCGAGGAGGGACGCGATGCGGCCGGATCGAAAAGCAGTCCAGATGTCGTCCGATGTTCGCGCTAGTTGTAGGTCGTCTGGATGCTGAGCGACCGTTGCCTGGATAAGGTCCACCATCTCCAGCGCGTCCCGGACATGGTGCGTTGGTGCAGTGAAATCTGGGCCTGGATCACCGCCTGCTATGTCTGGACATGGCGCCCATACTGTCCAGAAAGCCCCACCAAGACGTCCTTCACGAAGCCGGGGAATGTCGACATGGCCAGGGAACGTGGCGTTCAGGAGGCGGACTGCGTCCAGAGGTTTGCGATCTGCCAGGGAACATAGAATTAGTGAGAGGCCGTTAGATCTATCTTAGGAAACGTACGAAGACTCCTGAATATCTGCGGCAGATCGATGTGCGTGTCCAGAAGAGGGCTTTCTTCCAGCAGTGCTTTGGCCTCATCCAGGTAGTCGGTGGCATCGCTGTGTACTTGCGATAGGAGCGCATGGAACAACAACCACGACGGGAACCGCATATTCTCAGCTCACTGTGTCACAAAAGAACTCAAGATGTAGAGACCCTTCGCAGGATTGCGACGCGCTTCATGAGGAATTGAAGACCGCATCTGCTGCGTCCCGTTCTGGCTCATTTTCGCTGCCCAAATCACAGGCTCTTCAGAGTGCTCATCTCCGACACCAACTCCCACCAGTGGCCGCTCTTGGTCGCCCAGCCGTCAACCTCACACCATGGTAAGTAGTCCGAGGTTGTAAATTCAAGGGTGGTGAAGTTAGCGCTATCTCCAAAGCATATCAGATGCCCCAAATGGCTAGCCTCCGAGATCTGGCTCGGGTCTTCCGATGGTGCTTACAGATGAGAAGCTCGGAAGAGCCGATACTTCACGTACAAGAAGTGCTCCGAACGTCCGCAGACCATGAGCTCGACCAATGCAGCGTCCTCTGCTCGCGGTCCAGGCTACTGGAGGTCTTATCAGTACCCACTGTTTGGCGACACCTCCAGATTGCAGCTCGCATAGCTCTGGTGCATATATGGGGTATATAGAGGCCATTGGAGGGCCCGAGTAGCTGCTCTGAACCGAGGGCTCCCAGCAACAGACAACAGAGTCACCGTCGCCCTACTGAGCACCCTGCTGATCATTGTGAGCCACGATGGAATCGAAGGAGTTGCCCCTCAACACCACCGTCGCCGCGTACGCCAACTCCGAGGAAGAGCGCGGCAGCGTGGTGAATGCAGATGTACCGACCCTAGACCGCAAGGTCATTCGCAGACTGAGGTTGAAGGTGGATCTCATCATCCTGCCGACCCTGGCAATCACCTATACTTTCAAGTGAGTGCCCTCAGCTGAGATGCTGTGTCCAGACTGCCATTCGGACAGCCATAAGATGGGCCAGAGGCTGACATGTTCCCTGTTGCAGCTCCCTGGACAGATCGAACCTCGGAAATGCGAAGACTGCCGGCCTAGTCGCAGACACGAACCTCAAAGGCGACCAGTACAATCTTCTTCTCACCTTATACTACATCGCCTTCGTACTCTTCGGGCCGGTCATGACCGCCTTCACCAAGATCTGTACCGCAAAAGTCGCAATCCCCGCGATGATGCTGGCATTCGGGATAGCATCGGCCACGACCTCCGTCGCAAAGAATTTTGGTGGCCTGGCTGCCTGCCGCATTGTGGTGGGCGCTTTCGAATCGGGCTTTCTCGCATCAGTGGTCTTCTATCTGAGTAAATGGTACACGCGTGGTGAAATCGCGTCACGTATTGCCATTTTCTACTCCGGAAGTGTCGTTGCTTCGGCGTTCGGAGGTCTCCTCGCGTACGGAATGTTCCAGCTCAAGCCCAGTGGCGGGCTCTTCGTATGGTCTTATCTGTTTATCCTGGAAGGATGCCTGACATGTATTGTGGCGATCATCGTCTATTTTATCCTCCCACAGGACATTGAAGGAGCCTACTTCCTCAGCGCAGAAGAGAAGGAGGTGGCTGCCGCCCGCATTCAGATCGAGTCGATGGAGAATCGAAATGACAAGTGGGTGTGGTCTGAAGCTCTCAGTGAATTCAGGACTGTTCACGCCTGGGCGCGCATTGTCATTGGCATGGCCGTAGGCATCCTGCCGCACACAAGCGCAAATTTCCTGGCAATCATGACGCAACGGCTTGGTTATTCAGTGACCAAAACAAACCTCGTGAGTCTGAACCGTGGTCCAGAGTTTGCTACTTGGGGCACTTGCTGACACCAAGCCTCTCCAGTACACTGTTGCGCCTGCTGTGACCGCTGCTGTCGTCCTCATCATTCTGTCCTATTCATCGGACTACTTTCGTGAACGTGGATTCCACATGACGATACCTCTCGGGTTCAGTATCATTGGATACTCAGTACTTTTGGGCATCGATATCGAAACACAAAGGAATGCTGCTTATGGCGCGATATTCTTCTGCACAATGGGGGTAAGTCTGGCGCGTCAGAGATCCCGTAGCGTGTCACTGATCCTTTTCAGGCATATCCGATGAGCGTCATCTTTTCGGCGTGGACTGTGACAAATATCCCGAACCTCAACGCTCGTGCATTTACAATGGGTTGCATGATGACAATGCTCAACTCCATGGGTCTGGTCGCCAGCAATATCTTCTATGCCCGTGAGGCACCCCGTTATCGAACTGCGCTCATCGTCAACATGGCGTTTCCTGTCGTGGCCATTGTTCTCAATGTGCTGTACTCCTTGTATTTGAGACATCTCAATCGAAAGATGGACAGGGAGCAAGAACCCCAAGAGCACGGACAAGCACCGTTCAGGTATCAGACCTAGGCGTCCGGGAGTAGTACAGGTGCTGTCGAAAAAAGCAACTACTCAGACCGCATCTGGGGCGTATAGGTGTCCACTTTCGAGGCCAGGCCAGGTGTTGGACAAGTATAGATCAGGTAGTCCAAAGTCGTAGCTTTCGGGCACCCAGTACTCGAACTCATCGATCTCGCTGGCCGGAAGTTCGACCTGATCTCTTCCAGTAGTCATCGAAGGCTTCAGCACACGTTTTCTGGCGTCCATGTCCTCGAGTGACGACAGTAGCGTGAATCGGAGCTTATCCACGAGTCGCTCTTTGAAATCGGGTAGTCCATTGCCTTCGATCAAGCGCGCCACAGGCCGATCCTGGGCGTCATCTGCGGCTTGAGCTGGCGGATCTGCAACGTTGTTCAAGTGCTGTCCGTCACTGGAACCGGAAATGGGAGCATACGTAGCTTCGTACAAGCGGCGTAGCAAGCGGATGGTGTTCAGCCAGTCCTCAGCCACAGGCCATGTCATTTTCCAGGACTCTAACATGGCGATAATGGACTCAACTCGTGCCTCGGCGTGTTGCGGCGCGTTGCGGTCTCTGCTTTGAACGTACTGGATCCACAGCTGGACATTGGCAGCCGATAGCATCGCAAAAGCAGAGACGACTGACTGCAGCTGGTTCGTGGCTTGGAGATCAGAATTGCGAGCTTCCTGCAGGATCGCTACGATTTCGGTCGAAGCACGAACACATGCCGTCACTGATCTTTCTTGGTCGGTTCCTGTGCCATTAGATTCATCAGAAAGCAAACCTTGTCGATGTGCATCTCTTCCTTCTGCTGGGTATGGAAGAGACTCCTGGTTAACGATGCACGCTGTGTTCAGCAACGTGAGGTGGAGATGAATGAATAGACCTTCTTGATGAATATGGCGGAAGGCTCGCCGATTCGGCGTCGACCACTGCATGGAGCCGGGCATACTGTTGTTGAACGCTTCCAGTCTGGTGCTCAGCTGGTCGAAAGCGCCTACCGAGGTGCTCGCAACGCGACTGACATGGCGTAGACCGCCGAGTATCTGAATGTAGGTTGCCTGACTCCATATTTCGAGTGCAGTAATGAAGTATGGCGAGAGCCCGAACCTAGTAGCTTCGCAGGGATAGGGCAGGGTGGTTAATGTTGGTGTTTTGAAGGGTTCGTCGAGTGTGAATACGTTCTCGGGACAGGGCAGATTGATGCTGACACAATCAACGTCGATCGTCTGTGGTCTCCAGCACGCGTAAGAGACTAGTCGATCCATGGTGAAACATGCCCAGTACGTGCGTCTCTGGACTTCCTGTCGTCTCACATGGATGCCGTAATGCAGCTCTCGACCGAGCCGGAGGACTTGTGCATGCCGGATAGCAAGACCAGTAAAGATCCAAGCTCTGTGTGTTGCCTGAGAAACCAGTTCCCGCAGTGCTAGGATTAGATTCGCTTGCACTGACCTTACTAGATGGCACAGGTCAGCTATGACGAGCGCTTCCTGTGTGTGGCATGTGAAGGATACGTACTCGAAGGAGAGTCGGCACACCGACGAGAGAGCTCTCTGGCCAGTACAGCATGCCATTCAGAAAGTGCTCTGGGCGATTCGTGATCCTGCTTCGCTGCTTCCTCGTTGGTGAAGTACAGAGAGGAAAGTGAGATCAGGGCATGGGCGAAGAAGGGCGACTGCCGGCGTAGATGATCGATGTCGAGGGAAGGCACGTGTAGAAAGGAGCAGCATTCCACTGCGTGGTGCCTTTCGTAGAATAATTCCAGTGCACGCTGGCACAGTCCTGATGACAAGTAGTCCCGCCCACGACCGGTCCTCGATTTGGATAGACGCAAGCGTTTCTGAGGACTGCCGTTGATCTCTGCAGCGATAGCTTCTAAGGCACTGTTGTCGGCTTCAACGTCATCCAGAGATGGCGACTGTGGTTGAATCATAGGCCATTCGCAGGCCACGCGCCGCGATACGCAGCCACCGCACGCCGGTCTGATACCGTTGCATTTGGTCTTTCGTCGGCGGCTTTCGGGGTTGACTCTTAGTCAGTCTGTCAAAATGTCGGCAATCGTCGAAAGGTACGAGAGCGACTCACCACGCGTTGCACGCTTGCAGCACTCGAGAGCCGCTCGCCTGCAAAGGCAGCGACATCTCTCCACCGCTCATAATGGTGACGGCGTTGCTATTGACATCACATTGCTTTTAGTGACAAAGATATTGACGCCGCTATCGTACAAAAAGTCCGAGCATGGGGAAGTGATATCGAGCTTGTCAGAACGAATGTTTTCCAGCAGCTTCAGATATAGGTATGTCGGTGGCGGAACCCCATTCAAGGCTTGCCTCAGAGGCTCGTCGGCTGCCATCAAGCCTGGCGAGATCGAAGGTCTATATTTTGCAGCACATTGAGTTTTGGTTCAAATACCCTGCCAATCTCCGCACAGCGGTGAACAAGTAACCTATCTTCCTTGGTCTAGTGGTCATGATTTCCGCTTGTCAATTGCTTTCCAGGCATTAACGAGCGCGGGAGACCGGGGTTCGATTCCCCGAGGGAGAGTCCCATCATTCATGATATTCTTTTTGTTTTCTGAAGAACAAGTTTTTTGGTCGGGAAGGTGAGAGGAGAGATGAAAGCCAGACAGACCACTGGCAGAGTGAGACGCGGGGCAGTGTGCTGAATAAGACAGGTCTTGGCTTACGGGCAAAGTACGCGAGCCTTTCTGGACTTACCCCTGGACACATACATCATGTGGTATCGCAACTTGCTGTGCTTGGGACAATGTCGACCTGCCTAAAGCCCGACGGAGGTCTGAGGGCGGTCAGTCGTCGGCTCGAAGCTAGAACCAGAGCATCTCGAAGCAGGTGAAGTAAGTCATCCACAACTGAAGCATATGCTTGCGACTTTCCCCCGGCGGTGTCTGAGGGGCTTCCTCCTTGAGTCGTGCGAGCACATGAAGCAAATCTGCTTCAGTTCGTGGCGCCGATCACTTTTTGGGGTTCGGTATGTCCTGCGCTCAAGGCTCAGAGAAGGTAAGTCGTTAATGCTGGCAACCGATCACCTCCACCATTCTCGTGGACTATTTTCGGTGGGCTCTGCACCCGGTCTGGCTTTCCCTTGAAGCAGAAACGCGGAAAGCTCTTCTTTGACGGCACTTCCACTGCATGAGGTTTCGTGTCCGAATTTCAGTCACCCCTTTACCCCGGAAAAGGAACACGTCGAGAAATGCGGGGAATGGACAATGTGAAACTTTCGAAGATCGATCGACACGAAGCTGACGTAGTGAGTACTTCTTATGCATATACTCAACTGTGCAGGCCGTCTTCATAGGCTGCTGCTCTAGCTACAGTGAACAACAACACCGCGAGAAGAACTTCTGGTAATATGGGTGAATTCGGGAAACTGCCTTCGGGCGCCAGCTCGGACATCAAACCTTTCAAATCAGAAGTCAGCCAAGTCAACATCGACACACTAAAGTACTTGATCACAGTATCACCCATTGCACCGGAAACCTTTGAGAACAAGCGAGAGGACGGGCAGTACGGTGTGACGAGCAAATGGTTGTCCGATGCCAAACAATATTGGTCGCACGAGTATGACTGGTAAGAACACGGGACTCTATCTACAGGAGCCACTGTCGCTTACTGAACAGGCGCAACGTTGAGGACCATTTCAACTCATATCCACAGTTCAAAGTCCCAATCAAAGCTAGCGATGGTGACACTTACGACATCCACTTCATGGCCATGTTCTCGAGCCGCAAGGACGCGAAGAACCTCCTCTTACTCCATGGCTGGCCTGGGAGTGTCTTCGAGTTTCTGCCCTATCTGGACGTTGTAAAGCAAAAGTGGCCCACGCCCGACGACCTGCCATGGAACATCGTTGTCCCCTCCCTCCCAGGCTATTGCTTTTCAGGCGGACCCTCAACCAAGATCGAGTGGACGAACGAGCACATGGCGTACTGCATGAACGAAGTGATGAAAGTGCTCGGACTCACAGGCTACATCGCCCACGGCGGCGACATCGGCAGCTTCCTCTCACGCATCTGTGCCGTCCGCTACGACGAATGCAGAGCTATGAACTGTCAGTCGCCCACCTCCAAGCCATTCCCTGATCCTCGTCGCCACTGACGCTTCCCATAGTAAACTTCTACCTGATGGCCGAGCAACCCAAAAACGCCAACCCAAGCGACGTAACCGACTTCGAGAAGAAACAAATGAGTCGCGCGGCTGAGTTCTCAACCTACGGCAACGCCTACGCCAAAGAGCACGGCACAAAAGGCGGCACCATTGGCCTCGTCCTCTCCTCCTCCCCACTCGCCCTCCTAGCCTGGATAGCTGAAAAGTTTGACGCCTGGACCGACACCACCCCACCCCTCAAGGACATCATCGACTCCGTCACCCTGTACTGGCTGACCGACACCTTCCCACGGTGCATCTACCGTACATTGACTTCTTTGGGCGGGGCGATAAGAGCACGGTGTTTCATGGGCATCCGGATTACTATGTCAAGAAGCCCTGCGGCTTTTCGTGGTTTCCGTATGAGTTGGCGCCGATACCTGTGGCGTGGGCGAAGTGTACAGGCGATTTGGTCTGGTACAAGAGACATGATAGTGGTGGGCATTTCGCGGCGATGGAGAAGCCTAAGGAGTTGGTGGAGGATATGGAGGAGTTTATCAAGGTGTTGGATGGCGGAAAAGGTAAGTTGTGAGGGAGACAGGGCAGGTCCATAAGTGTCCAAAACCAGTAGCATGAGAGAGATCTGTGCACATTCGAGCATATCTTCATTGGCATCTTCGGCTTCTATCTATCGAGTGTCCTATCTGCCATTGACGTTATTGACCAAGCTTGAAAGCCACCGTCTTCGAGCAACGCGCTTCCAAGCCTACGCTACCTGCCGTACAGTCCGGTCTGCCGTATCCAAGCCATGACTATGCTCTCGAACGAGCACTTGGCTTCCACTTTCACATGCATATGAAGGGCCTTGGTTTCTATGAGTGTCTACAGAACGACCGACTTAGACACTGCCATCTTCGGAGCCATCTTCCACAGTCGCGCTCTTCTGTGCGACGCGTTTGCTGGGCAACGGTCCGAATTTGAATCCAGAAAAAGGCTCGGAGACGCTGTTCGGTACCGTTGTGGTCGATTGTGCGCCGAAGCCGAAGGATGGCTGTGTCGCACGACTAGCAGATGGAGCTATAAGGGGCCAAGGACCGGACGTTTCAACTGGACGATTCGCGGCGGCAGCAGGAGCGTTGAGAAAGGAACCTTGCTTGAGTGCTGGAGAGGCTTTCTGGGTATTGGAAGAGCCGAAGTTGAAACCGTTGGCTTGGGAAGTAGGCTGCGCTGGAGTGGCTCCCTGGTTATTGGAGGGACCGAAGTTGAAACCGCTGCCTTGGGAAGAAGCCTGCGCTGGAGTGGTGGCTTTCTGGGTATTGGAGGGACCGAAGTTGAAACCGCTGGCTTGGGGAAGAGGCTGCGCAGGAGTACCCAGTGCTCTCGTGCCAAACGGACCACCCGAGTTCGTGCCAAAGAGACCACCCGAGTTCGTACCAAAAGGACCGTTCGAGTTCGTGCCAGAGGGACCACCTGAGTTCGTGCCAGAGGGACCACCTGAATTCATGCCAAAGAGACCGCCTGAGCTGCTCTTGAACGGACCATTACTGGAAAGACCGCCACCGCCAGATCTTCCTTCCTCGGTCCCAATCGTCCAGGGATTGGTGACCGTGGTATTGCCGTCAAGACGAGAAGCGCTGGACTTGGGACCACTATTGACCGACACGCCGTAAGGACTGGGATTCATGTTGTTGAAGAGTCCGTCATATACTGGTGTGAACTGCATTGCCCGGTCGAACAGACCTGTACCCTTGCCACATCTCGGGCATCCCATGCTGAGTCCACCGGCTAGAGCGGCTGCGCCGAGCGAAGATAAGTGACGTAACGTGACCTGTTCCGAGCATGTAGAGCACTTGAAGGTCCTCACGAAACGACCAGGCTGAAGCGGCGGCAGGATCACTGTCCAGATGGAGCTTTCGTGTTTGAGAAGGAGTGCTCGGAGTTGCGGGTTTGCATCGCAATTTTCGCGCTGCTCGAGACAGATCTGAACAACGGTTGTGCGAAGGTTGTCCTCACCAGATACTGTGCTCTCAAACAACAAACCCAGCGGACGGATTGCTTGCGCGACAGCGCCAGAGTCCCTCAGGATTTGTCTGAGAGTGGTTTCTGCATTTTGATGCGCAGTCTGAGCGACGTATTCAATTTTCAAGGATTTGGCGCAAAGGTAGACCTTGATGTCTTGCTCAACTCGACGATATACGGGGGTGCCGAACTTATAGATGCTGGGAGCTTCTGTCGATTTGAAAGTGGTTAATTGAGAGTCAGCAGACAGCACTCGGGCGAAGTCGATGGATCGCAGCGCTACAACTTCGAAGAAGTAGTCGAGGTCAGAGTACTGCCGAGTGTAGAGACATTCGAGGACTCCTGAGAGCGAACGGACATCAGTGTCTGGCAACGAAACCACAGGAGTCGCCGACGTTGACCCTGCCTTCGATGATCGTCAGCATGTAGATGATGCAAACATTAATCCTGCGACTTACTTCGATGGCCTTATCGTAGAGAGCTTCGATGACGGGCGATGCAATGTTGACGTAGGCGCAATGGACCTTGATCTCGGCATCCTTGCATTGCAATACGAGGTCGGAGTATTTTCCTGAAGCGAGCAGCTGTCGCTGCGGGATGGTCGATGGGCCGAACAGCATTGTTGTCTGATATGATAGTCGCAGGTGTGACGGATGAGGAGCGAGGAGGTCTGATAAATAAAGACGGAGTTAGGCTGCTCGGTGGAGGTGGTAAAGTGATATCGAGAAATTGTCTTCACTTGTAGGTGTGGCAACCGTCAAAGCGATAGCATGTGCAGTATCGGTCGTCACTAGACGAATGTGATCACGACTGTAGACCTCGCGTCATCGTTAGTGGTCTGCTGCTCACTTGACCGAAAATCCCCTTGTCATGAAGTTGCCGTCCTTCTGCTTGTCCAGCCCACTCGTCTTCTTCGCATACAACGAACTGATGTTCTCGTTGTCCAGCCTCCGCTTCTTCTTCGCCTCTTCCTCCTCGAGCACCTTCTTCGCCAGACTAGCCGTTGCTGAATTCTTGATCCCATTCGATGTTTTCGTTGCCGTCCCATCGACCTTGGTCGTCTTCTCGCCAATCTGTTCCTTCTCGCTCTCTTCGACGCCCTTCTTCCTCTTCTTCCCACCCTTATCCTTCTTCAGACTATGACTCAACCCCTTCTCCCTCAACCCCTCCATCCGCCGCCTCACAAACTCCTTATCCTCCTCCGAACTCGGCAATATCGGCACCACATCCCTCTCGACCTCATAACCCTGCCCGCAAACACTACACTCCCCCTTCGTCCCCGCCTTCCCCACCTCCCTCACCGCCTCCGCACTAAACGCGTGCCCACACGGCACAACATACACACTCTTCACCCCAACTCCTAACTCCTTTCCCGTGATCGGACACACCCACTTCTCATCCCCTCCCTTCTTCTCTGCCTCGTCACCACCCTCGACCTGGAATTTCAATTCCACAACATCCTTAAGCCCCTTCACCCGTCCCCGCAACCACGCCTCATACCCCTCCCTCTCCTCCCTCCCCAACCCGCCGACCTCCTCCGGCAGCAAGAACTGCAGCACCGCATCTTTGTTATACAGATCACCAGTATGATCGCTCACAATCGGCGGCACGAGCGCGCGATGTGACAGGGGACATTGCGACCAGCGGTGCGCGAGGTGCTCCCGCTGTTTTTCTTTGAGGTCGGTTGTGGAGGGGTTGGTAGCGGCTGTTTTGACGAGCTCGCGGCGCGTTGGGATGCTGCCGCCGTCGTTGCCCATTGCGGGCGGCTTGTGTTGGTACGCACGACGAGTGGTTTCTTCGTTGGGTGGAGTGTAGATACTGGCAGTCGTGTGGTTGGAAGTGCAGGCTGGCTCGGACGGTGGTGGGGTGCAGCCTGGTGTGGAATCGCGGACAAGATGCTTTATCGCCGCGCTACAATGGCGGGTTTAAGAGGACGAGCAGACTGAACAGTAGACCTCGCGGTTAATGAGAGGAAGAATACCTAGGTAGATGTGTAAAAGACCGGAATGAAGGCTGTTCAAGAAAGGCGACGGGTCAAGTTTCCCCACGATTCCACTAGCGTGCTTTCACTGCCTGAAGTTCGATGGCAGTCAGGCAGAGGCTACCCTACCTCCACACAGGATCTGAAGCAGTACGAATACTGCATTCAACTTCTCATACTACACAGTGGACGAATCGCATTTCACGCCAAGATTACCAGCAGCAAGAATGTGGAAACGAAGAGGAGCAATCGCGATGGATGGATGGTTTCGAAGGCACGCCTCCTTCTGCTTGCTTGTGACTCTACTGAAGCACGCCTTGCTTCAATTTTACTCGTTTCTGCTCTTCGGGCATCGAGCAGGCTTCGGAATGTTGGGACAACAAGCATTGTTAGTGATAAGACTCGCTGGTAGTTCCCAATAAGTGTATATCATATCCTTTGGGTGCTGCCAGGCTTCGAAGATCCAAGTACTCTTTTTTCCTCAAGGCTCCCCCCGAGCATCCAGTAATGCATGCATGTCTATCCCTGATGCATCATTTCTCGTGCCTGTCGTCACATCATGCTTTGTCTAATAGGTCTGGTCCTCCTGATCATATTCGTTCAAGTTACCGTGGATGAAGTCAGCCTATAGACCATCTCGGAACTCGCAAATTCTGAAGTAGAGTTCGCGGAGTGTGTCTTCTTTGCCCATCTACGCATCATGTTAGCACGAGTCGGGTTAGGAGGACAAGACGCAAAGATACCTTGATCTGGAACAGCCTCGGCTTTCCCTCATCCATACCAGTCAGATACATCGTCTTTCCTGATGGCTCATCACCGTCAGTTGTGCCAACCTTCATGTCCTTGAACACAGGGCTGTTCAGAATCACACGATGTACACCGTCAGATCGCATGATGACGCGAGCTTTTATGTCAACGTCATCATAATCGCCAGCTTCAGGATCTTGCTCATGGTCATCCTCGCTCTCGTCGGGCTTCGTAGTCTTTTCTTGCCGTATGTTGACCTTGATGACACCGGTGCCTCGCTCCTTCCATTGCTTTTCATCAAAGTGATACAGCTTTGCCCTCGCGCTGAATATGGTCTGTTCGCCTTCTTCGCCGGTCTCGACTGTGGGTGGGTAAGTAACAGGCATTCTCATGCTATCAGGATGCATACCATCTTGCTTGTGGAACCGGCTGTCTGGCTTGTCCTCCTCAGCCGGTCCCGTGGCACCTGCCTCTTCCTCATCGCCGCTACCGTCCTCATCATCTTCTTCCGCTTTCGTGTGACTTGCACCGATGACAGACGGCGCACCACCGAATGACTTGGGCGCTGCACCACCACCAAAGCCTGAGCTACCTCCGAATGAATTGGATGATGAGCCACCAAACCCGCCTCCACCAAAAGCGCTTTTAGCACCGAAGAGCGACGGGGCTGAACCGCCGAATGATGAAGGAGCAGCACCACCGCCAAACCCGCCACCACTTCCGAACCCACCACCAACAGTAGCCTTGCCGAAGCCTGTCCCACCAGAACCAAAGCTGGAGCCACCGCCACCAAATCCACCTGTAGACTTTGTAGAGCCTGATGCACCGAAAGGAGACTTGTCTTGGGAAGCAAAGGCAGCCAGCCCTGAGGAAGCAAAAGCCGAGGTTGATGTTGTGCTGGAGTTGGGAGATGCAACATTTTCTTCGGCGTCCTTGGGCGGAGACTTCACGGCGCCGAATGGTGAGGCAGAGGATGTATTCGAGAAACCAGAGCTTGCGGTGGGTGTCGTCTTACTTGGTAGGCCGGCAGCGTTCTGGTTTGGCTTATCTGACGAGGGATCCTGGACGGCTGTGCTGGGCAAGCCAGTCCCTTTGCCGACTCCAACGACAGGCTCATTTGTGGTGTCTTCCATGTCCAGGATCTTCTCCTCAACGGTTTGTGCTGTCTGCGCATTGGTGTCGGTCGGCACGTCGGCTTCGATCATGACACCTGGTCCACCAGGCGCATCGGCCACATCAGCATCCGCTTCTTCTTGCAAGGGACTGCCAGCGTCTGCAGCGGTATATGCTGGTGCGACCTCAGCATCGTGTGTGATTTCCCTAGATCTCATACGCTTGTGCGCGCCTCTGCCTTTCGTCTCTGTGTTCTCTGCTGGGCTTGCCTGCTCGTCTTTGATATCCTCGAAGGACCGCTTCTTAGACGGTCGGCCGCGACCAAAGCCGTTCTCTGTCGGGGGCGCTTCTGTACTGGTGTGGTCTGATGAAGCCGGGTCTGCCTCCGAACCAAAGGTCTTCTCGCGGGTGTGCTGTGAGAGGCCAGCGATTGAAGTCTTCTTCAGCTTTTCGCGAGTGCGTTCGCTCTCGCCGTCAGAGCCATTAGCACTGGGTGGCCGCTCGGCGCCCTCGACCGACTTCAGCTGCTCGCTGGCTTGTGCTGAGGACTCAGTAGCCGTAGTCATGGTTGTTGCCCAAGCAGATGAAGCAGTAGACACCTAAGGAGGGCCGAAGGAAGAGTGCTGTGTTTTCCGCTGCACCACGCGGTCTTGCTGAGAGGAAGACCAGTGTCTGGGACTGTCTTGATTGCTCAGAGCGTCTGCGATGCTTCTGCTGTGTCCGCGCCCGTTGGAAGCCTGAGGTTGGACGGTTTGTAGAGTGGAGGGTGAACGCAAATCGCTCAGATCCGGAGATTGCGTTCAATTCAGCACAGGCAAAGTGACCCACGAGGATCCTGTGTTTGACTCGAATTACTCGACAAGCTGGACGTGTCAGTCGCTACAGATCTTCACTTGGCATATAGCCCTAATCACGCTGCGCGCAGTCGAAGAGTACCTTTCAGAGGTGTGTTTGTTAGATACTCAGATAGTCATGTGGAAGATGGTCGAAGTCAATATGTGGTCGCGGGTACAAAAGCCGCTATGACCGGTCAGCCCCACTATCCCGAAGCCCTGGGTTGGCCTGTTGCCTACAACATGCCTATTTCATCTGCTGTCAACTGGAAACATATTCCGGCGTCCATGAGGCAGCATGGCATGTGTGCTCAGGAACAATTTTGCCGGGATAGGCCACATTAAGCAAATTGTAAAGCCTCATCCGGAGAGGTCTCATGACTGATCTAGCTAATAAAACAGAGGCATCCGAGGCCTATATAGAAGACGAACAAGGGGTATACACTCAAGAAGACCCGATTCTTGACCACACCTGATCCTCCAAGAATACTCACACCAGCTGCCAACGACCAGGCCACAAGAACGATATAGACTGGTATACGGACGATCATAGGTAGTCCAATTGCCGAGAGCATTGCAGCGATGACCAGGGGGAAGAGCGTGTAGCCGATGATAGAGACTGATTGCATGAAAGATCTGTCGAGGTATCAGTAAATGAGCCTGAACTTGTGGGAGGTGGGAGAACGTACATGCTGCCTCCCAGTAGCTTGATCTGTAGCGTGACCACAGCCTCGCCAATCCAGACGATTGAGAACACACCAGAGAAGACCAGATCGGCCTGGTCTGCGCTCGCCCTCATTGCCAGGAACATGCTTAGTAGTAAGCAGAAGATCAGTGGTCCCCTAGCATCATCAGTCTGAGGATTCTGCGAGAAGCGTGAATTGAAGACGTACCACAGATCCCAATCCCGCAGACCCTCACTCAATCCGCCCTCCAAGATGCCATCAGCGTCCGGCCACCTTCCAACGAGCCCTCTTAGATCTCGTCCGAAGCCCTGACTCTCAACGTCGCCTCCAGCACCTTGTCGCTGCAGCATGCCGCCAAGGAGATACTTGGGCCACAGCACCTGTCGCAGCTTCTCCCATACAGCGAACAAGTCTCGCGACACGGTGTCCCATACTGACTCGTCAATGGTATTTTGCGGTGCTCTCCTGTCTTCTCCTGGTATTCGCGATGTGAGGTAGTCCTGATTGAGTGGTCTCTGCGACGAGGAGGATTGGATGTTGCCTGTCAGAGGCGCTCTGTCGGACGTCGATGGCTCATCTGGCTCGACTTCTGGATCTTATTAGCATCCATACGCCCAGCACGTCCCATCGCTCGAGCTTACCGTCATTGAGAAAGTCATCGTCTAATACAGCGTTGTCATCGTCGAACAGATCTGGCTGCCCAGATGCTCCGCTAGCCATCATCGCCATCTTTGCTGAGACAATTGGGGCATAGGCTGTGCTGATCGACGCCGAAGTGAGCGATAGAACAGGAACAGGTACGCAAAGCTTTGTCTTAGTAGTGACTTCTACAGATGATCAGCTGGGTGTCACCGTCGCGACATTGGGAGTCGTGTCCCATGCCTCAAGGCTACCCGTCAGCCTTGTGAATCGAGCACCCCTTACAGCACAGCCAGTTACGACGAAGCAAACTTTCTACAAGATCCATGGATGTAGGAGATCTTTGAGGCTGTCATATAAGCTCTGTCTGGTCATTCTGATATTGGGAGCGAACAAGCAGTTTGGCTCGAGCTACTTTTTTCGCGGGATATGTCGCTGTCTATTTGGCATGCACAAGACAACCTTGCTCGGGTTCCTGCTCCTTACTACGTGCCTACCCTCTCCACAATCTTATCCGCGACCTCCCTCACCATCTCAAACCCTTTCATCTCGCTCAACCACTCTGCAGGAATAGCCTCCTCTCCATAGAACACGCCCGCGAGTCCTCCATGGATCGCGCCCACAGTGTCTGCATCATCTCCTAAATTCACAACCTTGATAGCCCCCTCCCTAAGCGTGTCCGTGGTGAAGAACGCCCACAGCGCCGCTTCTAGACTGTCAAGCACGTATCCGGAGCTGCTGATCTCATCTTCCGACTTGTTTGACCAATCTGCTAAGCCGCCGTATTCCACAAATCGTTTCACAAAAGCATCGTCACTGTTCTTGACCTCCCAAACGAAGTCGCCCACAGCGGCAGCCATTTCTTCCTTCCTCTTTCCCTCCAGCGCCATGCCCACTAACCTCACAAACAACCTACAACACAACAAACATCTAACATGCGGATGCGTCACCCTAGAAGTCGCCTCCGCCACCCTCTCCATCTCCACAGCCTCCCCCTCAAACCCTAACAACGCCACAGGCAAAACCCGCATCAAGCTCCCATTCCCACAAAATCTTTCCCCACCCCACCTCTTCCCGATCACCTCTAGCACCTCCTCGCTACTCCTTCCCTCTTCCAGCGCTCCCTCCCAAGCTCTAAGTGTCCCAGCTGTGCCCATCCCAATATCAAAACACCTCCCCACACTAGAACAGTACCCCTCGCGCCACCACCGTATATACCGCCTTGCCTGGTCCTCTACATAATACGCGTCGGTCGACAGGAGAGAGTGTGCTAGACACAGCGCCATGGACGTATCGTCCGTGAAGCAGCCAGCGGGGAGGTTGAAATTGGAATTGGGCTGCATAGTGGTGAGAAGCGGGAACGAGCCGCGCCATTGGAACTCTAGGGGGGCGCCGAGGGCGTCGAGGGTTGCGTGGGCGTAGAGGGCGCCGCGGAGGCGGGAGGCGAGTGATGGTGGTGTCTTCATTTGTGTTGTCGAGTTGACGACTTCGCTGGTGTCTGTAGACGGCTGCACCGCGTCGTCCGTCGACGATTGCGCGTTCGACATTGCGTCTTGAGACATGAAGTATTTTGTCCGACTTATGATCTGCTGTTGATCTGCTGCATTCAAGTGAAGCTCGCCCAATGGAAGTATGTTGTTAGAAGACAACTTCAGATGAGGCAAAAGCTGGGTTTCAGTAAAGCAATGTACTACCTGCAAAGGAGAGACTCTGTACAGTCAGAGAAAGGAGCCCGGGGTCAGAACAGTCATCGACGAGATTGCGGCAGTGGCTCGGCTCGCAAGGCAGATTCCCAGGCAGACGCCTCATTGTCAGTCCGGTCTCCTCGAGATCCGTGGCTTGGTCATGTTCACTCATTCAGGCCACGCGGGTCAGGTTCATCGACCTCGAGAAACGTGCCTTGTGTTGCACAAAAGTGAGATGAAGAGAATTGTCGGAGAGTAGAGGAGTCAGAGCCTGAGATCTGGGAGTTTGTCACCGGTCAACGCCTAGACCTCAAAAGGCAAGATCCGAGGGGCTTGGCGGTTTTCTTGGAGGAGGGGCACTCGTGAGAGCTGAGGGGTAAGAGGACGGTTCTCGGCATTGAGAGCAGTGATAACCGTCTGGAAGCATGGATTCAGAGCGTGCTGCAGAGAAGAAAAAAAGAAGTAGAGCAGACAGGTGGCACAAGAATACAATGTGTTCATCGTTCATTCATTCATCTTGACCGAAGACAGCAAGAGAACGGGTTTCGGCCATACGAAAAGTTATATTCCATTCAAAAGTCGTGGACTGTGTTCGTACTCTCAGCAGCCCATTTCCGTGTGCAATTCTGGTCGTGGAAGAGAATTGAAGTGGATTGAAGAAGTTGTTGTTGTCAAATTTCCTTCCGATGTATCGAGATGTGTTCAGACATTCTGGTCGTGGAAAGTTTCATGCGATGTGTACCCGAAGTGCCGTTGTCGATGCAGACTAGGGAGTGTTATGCGAAGTGCTTGTAGTCAGACTACATTTATTTGCACTTGCAGTTGCCAGCGGGGCATTTGCAGTCAGAGCAGGAGCAGCTGCAGGGACCTATGTTGAAGACAGCTGTCAGCACGAAGGACGTACATTTCTAGGGGCGCCGATGCACAACGGCTCGGAACGGCGCAATGCTTACCCATTGTTGCGGGTGTGTATGTGTGTCTAGCTTGAAGAAGCGGTGTGGATTGTAAGCGTTGTAGGAGGCCGATTTGCGGATTGATGTATTTCTTGTTGCTCGAGAGTGAGGAGAAGAACCGACGGACTCGAGCGAGAAAGTGAGCAAGTTTTATAAATGCGGTTAAACCTCAGCTGGGCCAAGCGTGCTTCCCTTGCAGGGCTCCAGGGATATGTCCGTTCACTTTGACCGGTATAACTCACCTCGTACGCTTCTTTGCACATTCTTCACGATCTAGACAAAGGCCACGCGGCCGTCGGATTGGCTGCTTTATGCGTCGCATGTGTCGATCTGAGCATTCGCCGTGCATCTAGAATCCCACGTCGCTCTGCTCGGCGTCACACAGTGCTCAGTCTGTGGACTAGATCATCAGTCCGAGGCTCTGTTGCTCGCCGACCGCTTTGATATCGAAAGCTAGAGAGGGCTAGAGAGCGACTGGTGCGAGGTCCGACACTCGTGAGTGTGAAAGCGCCTGCGATGGGCGCATTGAAATGTGAACACAGACAGAGACTCGTGAAAGCGACACTTCTGAAGGAGGAACGTGTCGTGCCGTACCGCCGCTGAGGGGCGCTATCAAATTGCGCCAGCTAAATGTCCGGCCCGCCACCGTCAAATCTGCCGTCTAGTGCTCCATGCACGTCATCTGGTGGTCGGCGTCCGCCGTTGAATGGCTGTCGTATCGGAGGGCGGGTGCCTTTAGTCCCTGTCTCCGGCTGAGTCGTTCTCGCAGAACAGAAATTGTCGTGTGTGGGACGTTAGGTCCTGTTCAAGGTCCCCATTCAGGAATGCTGCAGAGCTTTCTTTTGTCTGCTGATTACTGTTTTCGCTGAAGGCTCAGAGTCAACAGCGTCCGGCTGCTTTCCGGCGCCCTGAACTGAAGCAAGGCGGTGTCCCCGTTAGCTCTTTGACACTTCGACGTCTATCCTCGGATTTCCATCCGAATGTGTCCATCTGCCTCCAGGGAGAATCGCATCTTCAGAACATTGGCTGTGAGCACCTTCTGTGACCGACCGAGGGAGGAGCATCCCTCCTTTTCTTCTCGCAATCACTGCGATCTGGTGGAGCTTTGTGTCCCAGGTCGTCAAGGAAAGTAGGGTCCGGTAACGCACAACCTTCTCCTGGTTGACCCGAATGGCAGAGGTGACTTGTCCTGGACCGGTGTCATGGAGGCAGACCCAAGCGCCATGTTGCCTGGTGCGACTTTCAATGCCTTGCCGATTCCAGAAAGCGTCATAAAAGCACTCTCGTCTGCTCTGGATGCCTGATCAGGAACATTAATCACATCAACGAAGATATCACGTAAAGCATCATGGCCAACATGACCGCAGCACACCTGGAGATAGTAGAGTGAGTTCCATTGGCTCAGTGGTGACAGACGAAGCTTCGAGCTACCTTGGTAGCCATCGAAGAAACTCGAGTCTTGTTCTCCAATCTTACGTGACTAGAAGATCGCGGTTAATCTGTGTGATTTGTGAGATCGTGGCACTGCAAAGCAAAGGAGAGGAATCGAAGGAATAGAGACGATGTTTACTCCTTCTCTTCTCGCGTCATGGCATTTGTGGAAGTCGCGGTCGACCGTACCTAATCGAATCTTTTGTCAACCGGCGCAAGATATGCCCGATGGGGACATCGGCGCTCTCACGGTTGACGCGCTTCCAACACAAAAATGTCAAGGACCATCCGCGATGTCGCATGACTGACTTCAATAGTCCGCAGTCTTCATTTCGATGGCTCCGATCGATCTGTCCTACGAAATCATGAGATGGTCACCCCGATCGCCACTTCTGAACGTGCATCTATGTTCACGACATGAGGGAGGTCGAAGAGATCACCACTTAAACTCTGTACATGGAATCGTCGTCGGCCATGTCATGCTCGGATAAAGACACAAAGCGTCGTGACAGCTCATATCTAGTGCTCAGCTCACTCCTGCGGGTGCCAGCCCCAGAACCAGTGCACAACGAGCACCACGGGTCTGGCGGCAGCGCAATTCACTCAACTCGCTCAAATCTCTATCTCGTCCAGGCTGGCTGCCGGTCCACTAGCAATGATGGTGTCAGGGCTACCTGGAGCAGCGCCCGAGACTTTCGTGCAGATCCAGGTGGATGCATACATATTGACGCTGTAGGAGACTCATTGTCAGCCATCACCACCAGCTGAGAACCTGAAGAACTTACCGATCGATGCATTTCCCATTCTCTCGTAGTCCCACACGTTTGGGGTCGAATCCATTGGCAGCGAACAAGTCAGTATACCACGGTCTTCGCGCAGCAGAGCGGAAGAAGACTCGCCCGCCGGTCTTGAGCACTTTATTGAGCGCGAGGACCTGAGCCTTGGCAGCACCGGAGGCGTCTGACGGATCGAACCAGTCCATCGAATCCATCAACTGCAGTCTACAGTCAGTGGGCGTGCTGGCAAACGTTTGCAAGACTTACAATAGCAATGGTCAGGGTCGAAGGAGTGATTCGGGAGATCACCTCCATCAGCTCGTCAGTGTGGATTCTGAGGCCGTCAAACGTGCCGCGTCTGGACAACTTCGAATAACACTTCTGGTCCAAATATCGTGGTCGACATCTATGTGGGTATCAGTAGCGCAACTTGAGTCATGCGACGGAGAACGTACTTCTTCGAATACCTCCCTTGCAGGCAGACGTAGTAGAAGTAGTTCTCTCTGCTCAGTTGTGTCTTCTCAATCACCGGATCGAGGGTGTCAACCATGTATTGCCAAATAGCTTCGCCACAATCTTTCTTACTCTTCGGACGACCAGTCTTCTCGCTGAAATCGTCCAAGATGAGATCTCTCTGTTCCTTGGGCACACCAGCGGCTCGCCATGCCCACCATTCGGAGCTGACGACGAGCTTGTGAAGCGGCCAGGATAGGAGTACATCGCGGATCTGCGGCCACAGCTCTCGCTGCTCGTTGAGTGTTTCCACTGAACAGATCGTCTGCACTTTGGAGGACATGTTGAAGAGTCGGAATAGTCGACGGATTAACTGAATCGCGTGACGACTGCCTCCAGATTCATACAACCCATGCTTAGATGAGTACACATACGCGTTTTCGAGCCAGTATTGGAATGCTGGGGACGAAAGGTGCGGCGAGAGCTTCGAGAGAAGAAGCGATCTGAAATCCGGATGTCGACCTTCGCCGAAGAGTAGCCAAATATCGTTGTACGGGAGGCACGAGAACGCCGCGACTTTGAGCTCCAATAAGTGATTTTGGTTCGGGTTGAGATCTACTGCATGAATCCTCCTGGGGCTCTCGAGCAGATAGTCAAGGATGTTGTCACCGGCAGAGGTGATTGTTAGGATAACATCCGACGACTTGATGTTGAGAAGCTGTCGATCAACGGCCGGGTCTTCCCAATTGAAAGCATAGATATACTCATTTCGGAACTGCTGGTGCTTCTCAAGTAGCTCGTTATAGCTGATGCGCCACGCATGCTGCTGGTAGAATGCCGACGGCAGAGGCAAGTTCGAGCTAAGATTGACGATCGCCGACTCGTACGATTTCGAGTGAATGACCTGTACATTTTCTTGCAGATTTTGTTGCTTCCGATATTCATTGGCCGACAGGTATGGTGACTCCGTCAGTACGGCGTCCTCGAGCTCCACCAAGCGTGCTGAGGTGTCTGCATCGCGTCTGCAACCGACAAATTTGTAGTATGGAATCCCTCCCAGCATATAGTTCCGTTCGCTGCAAGAAAGAATGGTGCCGAAGCGGTATTCGACGTAATCTCTTCTGCCAGCATCGAGGTTCACCCGATCTGCTTCGAACCAGGTTCTCCAAAACATACGTCCGAACCAGTTGACATGCCGATTGAAAGTGCCTCCAATGTACGTCCTTGACGAAACGTCGACAAGGCTCTGAACATAGAAATCCACTATTCCAATGATGCCATCTGGTGAGAGAAAGCCGGTCAATAGATCGACCACGCTGTAGAAATCAGGAATCATGGACAAGCTGTAGCTCATTGTTACTAGGTCCGCAGATCCAGGTGGGCACTGTACTCGTCGAGCATCATCGCAGATGATCGTCACGTTCTTCCAGCCGCATCTGGCAACCCTCTCCTGCGCAACTGCGCATAGAGACGGCGAATAGTCGACCAGAAATACCTGCTGAAACGTGTTCTCAATGCCAACGATCTTGTCCATGGCCTCTATGTTATAACCTGTGCCACCACCAATATCGTACCATATCGGCTTGCGGACAATCTCGGATGGCTGCTTCGTGGACCGAGAGTGCAGTTGTGCGGCTACCATAGCAAGCAGATCTTCGCGCCCACACAGGAGCCGTTTTCGAGTGGTGTCATAGATACCGGCCTGCAGTGTGTCTGAGTTGCTGGTCACTGCTGAGACCACATGCACCTACCTGTCTTGCATAAAAGCTCTCCAGCGCAGACTGCTGCCCATCACCGGCTTTTGCATTGTGAGGTTTGATGAAGTTGTTGTACGCGAACTGTAGGTATGGCGATAACGCCGATTTTGAGAAGTGGCCGCTTTTGCTTGCGACTGCGATCCATAACGCAAGTCCTGCGAAGACAGCGAGGGACACCACCAAGAGCTCGGGCGCAAGTATCCCAGTCGCGTGACTGCAGCGTTCCCAAAGTGCATGTCCATGGTTGCGCTGGAAGTCGGGCCCAAGCAGAAAGCACAAGAGAAGCTGCGGGTATGTCATGTCTTATTTGGCCTACCTAGGCTGGCAAGAGCGCTGGTGTATAGCCAGCTGCCGTTCCTGCCCGAATTCGCTCGCATTGCATATCAGCACGTTTGTTCAGAAATTGTCGAAGCAACAAATGAGAAGAGGCAATGGGCGCATGAGCTCACGGGAATGGGCTGCAGTCGTGAATAATCGTGGGGTTGTGCGCTAGGAAATTTTGGCGGCGCGAAAAGGGTCGAGGAGAGTTCATGTTCGAGGCACATGCTCTCAACCTACTGGTGCCCTGAAAAGACGGTCCGTACGTGGGTGAGCAAAGTGGAAATGGTTTGTTCCCACCCGGGAATGCCAGTGTGTCGTGCAGCAGGTGGTCGTGGTTCTCTAGCCAATCAAGGCGCAACGTGGCCAAATGAGTCTCTCTTTCTTGGCATCTGAAGATATCTGGAACTTCCACATCTTGATCGATTTCTCCGAGGTTGAAACGAGCCAGAAACATGGACTTACGGCAGCTATCCCAGAGTGTCTGAAAAGTCAGGATGCAAGCTGAGATGATCTGCTGCTGCCGCAAGATTGGCATCCGGCGAATAGTCGGCTACTGGAGAGTACAGCTTGTGGTCACGCTCGAGATTGGTTTTCCATTGCTTGATGTCGGCCATCAGCGTTTTGAGGCCCTCGTGCTCGGAGTATGGACTTTGGGCAGTGATTCTTTCGAGTGTCGATAAGATTTGTGCGGCCTCTTGCAGCTCTTGTGCGAGGCTGTCATGCGGAGTTCCGTCCTCATTGTGATCGACAGCACGTTCTGCTTGGGTGACATAAATCCACAGACTGAACATGGCCAGATAGAAGTCGATGGAATTGACGCTGTTGGGAAAGTTGCGATGATACGGGTACTGGATGATAAGATTCTCATAGTAGCTCTTCGCAGCATCAAATCCACTGAGACTGTATGATTTTCCCGGATCAGGACGTTGCCGGAAGAGAATTTCTGCCCCTATGCCCCAGATGTCTGCCGCTCGAATGTCGATGAACTGACCAGAAATCTCAGTCCTCAAGAGAAGTCCAAATGCGCGTTTAGCCCGAACCCAGTCCTTTCGCTGCACAGATCGATGGAGTACGGCGGTCATGGCAGCAATATGTTGGACTCGCAGACTCTGGGCTGCAGTGTTGCCATCAGTGGAATCTCGACTCTGCTGCCGACGTTTGGATTTACTCTGGCGTGCTCTATGCGGGAAAGGTCCAGGCGGCAGATCCTTTTCGAGCGTGTATTGCGCGACACGGCGCTGGTCGCGGTCATCTGGGTCGATCACAGCGCGAGCTTCCTGGCTGATACTATAAGTATCAGAATCGTGCTCGTCTTCATCATCAGTATCTTCAGAAAGAGGCTTTGATGTGGCTGATGGTGATCTCTTTCGCTTCCTCACATCCGATTTCGCGTGGTTAATACTGATCCCTTGACGCGAGACCGGGAGCGGTAGCGCGTATAGGCTAGACATGTTTGTGAGAGAGCATGCAGGCTGGCTCAGGATCGCGTTCCTCGCAACAGCGGAGACAACGCGTTGCCGTGGCTATGTAACATAGAATCTAACAGTGTTCTCTGTGAGCGAGAGCCCGTCGAGTGACGGCGGGGTGTGCCGCGCTCTTGAAGGCTGAGATATCGATGCTCGAGAACTCATAGGCCTGTGTGGCTGTCAAAAGCAGCCATGACGGGAGGATGAAAGGTGTGCATTAGACTCGTTTCAAAATTAATGATTGCATGGGTTCAGCGGCAACATCACGCGCGCTCTCAGCTCGTTGGCACCAATGAACCACTGGGGGGCCAACCACATCCGAAGTCCGCAGCCTTGACGCCTTGCCTTGCACTCCGAGTCGCCCGTTCAGCCCAACACCGCCGCACCTCATCACATGAACGACATTTCAACATCCATCAACGTGGATGGAGGACACGATCACTACTACCATTGTCTATTGAGCGTTCGCCATCTACTACTAGTCATTGCATCTTCTTACCTCCGTGATCGTCCGGCTGCCCCTCGCCGTCTTGGGCCCTCACACTCTACCAGATCTACCTGTAATCGACTAAACCTTCGATAACAAAGCTCCTCGTGCCTGGTCGGCTCTGTCGGCTCTTTCAGCGCTCATATCGCCATTTCACCACTGCAAGTGACGACTCGCGCCAGTTGCTCCAGCAGATTTCCTTCAGACGGCACAGCGGCAGCCTGTGAAGGGCGCATGCTTGTCACGCTGTCAACATGCTGATCCGGTAGCCTAACCAGTATTGCACTCTTACCAGACTCCCTTAGACGATGGGTAATACCCAGTCTACTTCCACCTCCGGTCCTGGAGCCGAGAGCGACGCACTTGTGGAAAACAACACCACTCAGCGCCGTCTCAATCGCCTTTCATATGCTTCCACGCCTGAGACCACACATACCAGCACTCCACGAGGCAGAAGACAGCGATTTAGCCTCTACGGATCTCTGAGACGCACATCCCACCACCCACCCGCGAATCAATCGAATCCGAGTTTGCAAGCTCTCAACCAAGACGTCGAGACAGAACAAGAAGACCGACCACTCGTGCCTTCTGAAGGAAGAATGTCTGGGTCGATCGAGGATGGAGGTGCCGGTATCGTACCGAACCCTCTGCTCAGAAGTGCGTCTTCGGTTTCGAGGCTGGGGTCAAGATTCTTGCCTGACACTGTTGCTCGAGTACTGTTGAGCAGCGGCGAAGAGACACCGGCAGAAGGTCACGCGCTCCGGAATGGCAACCTTGATCCTGGATGGCGCAGTCCACCAGCATCGCAAAGTTACGACACGCAACGATTCTCCATACTTGACTCTATCCGAAGAAGAGCAGAACAACGATCGGATTCCCGTTCGGAAAACAGAAGACACATAATACGTGGCGCTTTTCCGGGCAACGCTGGACATCAGCAGCTACACAATGATCTGGATGCCGCACAGGACTTAGAAGATCGTCTGAACAGCGAGCTGCAGACATTCGATACGCCCGTGACGAGCAGAACGAGACGGAGACTACAACGAGTCCGCGCTTCACTGTCCAATCCTCTCATCAGTCTCTTCCAGTCTTCGACGAGCCGACGCACGAGTCCGGCTTTCGCCGGAGCCTCCCCACGAGTCACGTTTCCTGACGACAACGACCGCCTACTTCCAATCACAGCTAACGGCTTCACTCAGATGGATATGGGTTCTCAAGCACATGAGCTGGATGCGGTCGAATCAGAAACCCGCACAACGTTTCCTCGGAGTGCTTCTTCCGCTGGCATCAGTGCCATACGCAGATTACCCTCGACTTTCCGATCGAGGTCGAGGCTGTATCGTCGACAAGAGAATCCGCCACTGTCGCAAGTCCTGCAACTAGCCGCACAAGCTATCGCCACTCAGCTGTCGACTCATTCTGTTGGCGGCACACCTACAACACGGCCCGTGGTTGGGGACACTTTCGGCGGCAGCATCGAAGACTTCGTTCATACTCTTCAAGAGGCTGCAAGTGCGCAGGCAGGTGAGCACCTGGATGTGAACACACCCGAGGGAGAGCTTCCACCCGTCAATTTCATGCGCGTGTTTCAATTTCCGAACGATGAGAACGGACAACCATTGGGCCCTGGCGTGGCCACCAATCCCGAGGCCGTGACAAACGAGAATCAGACTCTGACGACAAACCCCGATCGATCGGTGACTCTTGTACTCGTCGGCGTCCGATCGATGCCACCGACGCATGATGCCTTTGCCGGAGCCGCGTTCGGCCCAAGTCTGGACAATGTTCTCAACCTGCCTAGCTTGACTTCAGATGGAGGGCTTGGCAACCCCAGTCCCGGTGCCGTACTGCGACGGACCAGTCGCGCAAGAGTACGGCCTCGGCGACATTCGATGACCAACTTCGACTTTCCAGCTCAATACGAGAGTCAACGACATCATCGTCCGAGAGTCTCTAGCGTGGGTCAACCCAGCGAGGCCTACTCCAGCATCACTCCCATCTCTGAAAGTCCTCCTGGCCCACACCCACCTCCTTCAACTCCAGCAGATATCCGATCTGGACAAGCGACACCGATCCGACGACCATCATCGGCTTCAGCTGCTCATGCAGCAGCCCTACCAGATCTAGACGAGGACCGGCCACAAAATGCCAGCCTTGCTAACTTGCAGCCAGAGTACTCTGCTGCAAGACAGCGAGTCCGAAGTGACTCAGAGTTCGCGCGTCGCCCTGAACTTGGAGCGGGCGCGATCCGTCGGAATGGTGTCGTTGAGCCTGATCACGTGCCCACCGGGACTGGTAGGAGTTGGCTGATCTACGTGGTCGGAACGAATGTTTCTCCAGATCATCCAGCATTCACAATGCCTAGCCTTTTTACCGACAACCCATCGTATGAGGATATGCAGATGCTGACAACACTGCTTGGGCCCGTTAAGCCGCCGGTGGCGACACAGGAAGACGTGACGTCGTCTGGTGGTCTTTACAGAGTGACGTCAAGAGATGGTGGTCTTCTGGCAGAGCCGCTGACGGACGGTCAGCATGCTCCAATCGAGCTGCGACAGGGTGAACGATGTCTGATCTGCCTTTGCGACTACGAGGCGAACACCGAGGTCCGACAGCTGAACAAGTGCCAGCATGTCTACCATCGCGAATGTATCGACGAGGTAAGTCTTCTTCCGGATCTCGTACTCTGCGTGCACTAACGTCAATGGCAGTGGCTCACAACTGGGCGGAATAATTGTCCGATGTGTCGAGGTCAAGGAGTGGAGGAGAGACCTACCAATAATACTGGCAGCCCCGATGAGATGGATGTGAATTCGGATGGAGCAGGAATCAGTGCTTTTTGAGCAATCCGGTTACTAGCGTTGGCGTTCATGAAAGCATAGCGAGGGGGCTTGCAACATTACGGGCGCCGGATTCAACAGCAATGACTGGACCCAGAGTGCTTTTCTCGGTTCACTTCAGCATATGCTGCTGCGCAGCGTGGCTAGAATCAGTATGGTGTCCGAGTTGGGCATCGGTGAGGCCCGGACGGATGTCTCTGCTTGAGCAAGGCATGTCCTTCGATTTCTAGCAGTATGAAGAAAGATTCTCGCTCTCACGTTGACGTCAGTCTTATCTCATTTGTTACGTGGATCAGTAACTTGCGGAGAAGCAAAATTGTAAGGTGCCTCCTGGCATTGACGCACGTTGCAAGTGAATACACTCGGCAGCAGCCCAGTCCTGAATCATGCGGGTACCAGTGAATACCTGTGGTCCGAGTCGGCAGAGTGATTGCTTCGTCTTCGCCTCGGTCTTGACGTTGTCAAAGGGGTATAAGTAGTCGCCTTGCCTCCAAATTTCTTCTCCTTCATCTCTTCAGCGACAGCACAAGAGCGTACTCCATTGCCATGTCAAGCTAGTACCAGCTGCTACCTGATGAGGCGAGCATTGAGGTAGGTCTTGAGGGAAAATTGCGCTGGTGATTTTGATGGGCTACAGACAAGTCCAAAGTACTGGAACCCTCGTCCGCACGCCGTTACCTCAGCATCTGATCTACTGATCCAGACGCCGACGGGACAGCGCAGGCAAGAACCCCGGATTCGAGGAGAAGGAGCTTCATTTGCGCTGGCTGCCGTGCGTGCCGCTCACTATCGATTTGCGCCGGCCTGATCAATGACAACGCAGATCAGTCCTAGATGATGGGTACGTTGAGACCAGTCCGGAAGACGTGCTTTTGGCAGAGACACCTCTGGCGGCTGACCAACCGGAAGTTGCAACATCTTCATTAGACCTCGCCACCTGATCATCTTGCAGCTACCCAACTGCCCACACAGTATTTACCAAGGTTATGCCGACGGTCGGAAGGTGTGACTACCATAGCCTGGGAACATGCCGTGCTTGATCTACCTCTTTCATGCTCGAACAGGAGTGTATGAGCGACAACTTCGCAGCGTCTCACCGATCATCTCAGCTTTCGATAGCAAGCATGCATCGACTTCGAAAACGAACCAGAGTTGTACAGTCAGTCATACGCAATGTCACGCCGAATCCCGAAAGACGGCTATTCCCCAATTTTAGCGTCCTTGTTGTGGCTTGCACGTACCTGCAGCCCGAGCATGGAAGTGCAATTGAGAACGATGATCGGCAGCGTCAAAGAGCCTTCGCTCGAACTCCATCGGAGCACTGGTGGGATGTAGCTCAACCTGGCTGCAGATCAGCACCTCAAATATGGTAAAATGCCCGCCTTGGGTAGCTGAAGCATGCACCTCAGCCAGTCAATAAAGCACAACAGCGATCATGCCCGGTGCGCTGGTGAGAGGTCTCGACTTTCGATGCGACCGGACGGCCGTGTCTACAACCAACAGACATGACCAGGCCTGATCGTGCTCAGTATCAGCATCCGCGTTTTCATGCCGTGCGAGGCTGCGAGGGTAAGCCCCAGGATTCTCGCAACTTCGACCGAGCGCGACGGGCAAGAACGAATTGCGGATGCAATGCTACTCGAAGACACCCATCCAACGGCGTCCAATGTCCATCTTCTGACATAAGTACTTATGCAGTGTTGCTACGAACAAACTTCAAGCCTGCACCACTGCTTAGATAGCCTGATATGCAAAGAGAGTTTGGCAGGTAGATCTCTGCAAGCACATGCATTCCCAGGCTTCAACTTTACGGCGCCTGTCCCGAGGTATATTTCTCGAAGCTAAGAGCTTCCCGCGTAAAGCCAATAGATTAGGGACTTTACCTGTTGAGCACTGGGCCCATCTGCAACCGGAGAAAGGCTAAGGCCAGCTTACAGCATCAGGACCGGGGAACTGCAAATTACGAAGGCCGTTCCAAGAAATGACAACGTGGGATGTTAGATCCATGTGGTTCTGGAAGTTTGACTCTGACGGATGCCCGCCTACGAGACACTCGAATCTTAGATGACTCTTCTTGCGAAAATGGACACCGGGATTTTGACAAGTTGTGCGAGTATCCAGTCTTCGGGTCATTCAGATTGACGACGGCGTGTTCCGGCGGATCAACGATCAAGGGCCAGCACTGTTGGGCAATCTCGATCGACATCCCGCCGTCAAAACCTGGTCATTCATTAGCCCCAGGGGTGGTTTTACGGGGAAGGTTTAAGCATCGTCACCATGTGTTCCAAGGCACGGGCCAGCACAGGGCCATCAAAAGCTAATAACGACATCTGCCCAAAACTGAGGTCATCCCTGCTTGTGCGAGCAACTGCCGACCTGGATCTGGGGCTCTGCATCAGACGCCTAATGGTCCCTCTATCTTCCCTTGGATTTCGCTGACCTCTTCGAGCCATCATCGTGGAGTTCCATCATTGATCAGATAGGAACGCCGGCTTGACTCTGACCAGATAACAGTCCGAAAAGTTCTGGAAGACATTACGGCCAAGTTTCACATTGTTCCCGCGATCAGCAGCACAGTCTTCTGCTGTCACCAAGTCTCAAGTCTGTTTCAAACAGCATTCTTGAGCTATTAAACAGTACAGCGACAGCATAGCTTGTTTGAGACCACCATCTATTCTGTACAGCGTCATTGTTTTTTGAGGTGATTCTCGGATATCTTGGACACCTGTACGAATCTCGGACACCCTAGCAACTTCTCAGCCAATCTTCTTTGCTTCCATCAGCTAGGCGCCCGTCTGACTTAAGTCTCATCTTCAATCTATTGCTCTTGCTGTAACTCATCTCCAGCTTCCCAAAGGAACCATCCGGACAATCATTTCGATATTACCCACTGTATCCACCGCTGCCATTGATCCAAGACGAGATTGCAGCTACCTCGGGGTTTAGAATACTGCTCTGCTCCTGACCGAGAGAGGCGCTCGATATTCCCAGCAGTTTGTACTACTGTACTTGAGGCAACATCAACCAGGCCACCGTGTGGTGACGCTAGTGCAGCAATAGATCATCGACGAGTAGGCTCGAACAGCCATTTCCTGCGCTTGTCACCATCTGACGACACCCGAGTCGACCGTTAAGACCCATGCTCAGACCGGGGCCCCAGCAGGAATAGCGCCAGGATATCCACATTTTCAACCACACATCACCAAGTTAAGAGCCCCTCAAGACGGCAGCTTTTTTCGCCCCTCTCAATCACTGAACAAAACGATCGTCAGCCCGCTACACAGTGACTGCATACTGCAGTGACTACCAGCCAGAAACTGGTCGATTTGCTTGCCGCATTTCCTGTTGCAGCAGGCATTCCGATCCCTTTTAGTGCGTGTGGGTTCTCCAGGCTTGGTTCCGACTCCCCCGAGCAGTTCTCCCAGGCCCAATCATCCAAGACCGCCAACGACTCGCATACGGGTTTGTACTCTCTGGCCAGACCTGCATTCAATATCTGCGACTCGTTCACTTTTCGACTGCAGTATCACCGCTCATCAGCATCTGTTTGTTCCAATAGTCCGGTGTGGGACTCGACTTCACCGCTTTCGCTTTGCGCGATACTGCTAGTCAGACGATGAGGCATCATATGGCCCGTTACCACAATATTAAGTTTAATTCCCGACCATCCTCAAGAATTGCTTGAACCGAATCAGTACAGCCACTGGCCAGGACGTCAACAAGCTTGCCAAAACGGTCTCAGTTCGTCAATCGATCTGTTCCCGATAAGAACTGGGGGAACGCAGCCTTGCGAAGAAAGCCCTTTCAGCTTGTGTATCTTCATCAAACTGTCAATCTATGAGCAGGATCTGGATCGCGCGACCAATTGCAGCACGGACGTGAGATTGGCACTTCTGTTTCCGAACAGCACAGTATCACACAAAGGAAATCGGCGTAACAACTTGTTCAAACCTCTATTGGGGGCCAATTCAGCCCATGGTGCGAGGGAGACAATATCACACAAATCATCGGAAGTTGGGACATAATTTGATGTCCCCGGTGCCGCTGAACTCACTTGTCTCAGGTATCGTGAACCAGGCACTCTGCAACTGGTGCGACGAAGACCTTCGACACCATGAGTGGCTACTACAATCCTTCCAATGGCGGGCCGAATGAGCCAATACCTCAGTATCCGGTGTATGACAACCAATACAACAATCAGTATCACAGGCTCAATGGACCGAGCAGCCACCATGATGGAGTGGCGTTCTGGTACAGACCTCCCCCAGAGCCCTTATATGAACATGATGCCGCTATGTTCAGTGACGGAACAGGCATGCAACCAAATGCAATGGAGGCCGCCGCTATCAAACACAAGCGAACTCGCAGCGGATGCTATACGTGTAGATCACGTCGAGTGAAGGTGAGTGCAGGACATCTGGCATACTTGGCTTGTGGCTGACATGTTTTAGTGCGATGAGGCAAGGCCTGTCTGTGATCGTATGTCTTCAGAACCATTGCTAAAATCACATACTGACTCAAGCAGGTTGTCGTAAAGGCGGAAGGACTTGCGAGTTTCCTCCAGCTTCGTCGTCGAAAAGGAACAAACAGGACGCAAAAAGCCCAACATCGACTTCTGTGAAGCACGAGAAGCAGGAGAGCAGGGACGCGCCCAGCAACCACTTAGAAACCATCAAAGACGAAGATGAGTTCGACGAGACACAGAGTGCTCCAACAAACTCGTCCCGCCGTCCCACCCTGAGTCGTGTACGTACAGCGAGTACACAATCCTTGACAAAGAAGAGTCGCTACAGGCAAGGCACCGAGCCTTCACCAACGCTATCGACCTTCAAGGACAAATCGAGTCCACAATCAGCGTCCAGCACGAGCTCCAACTCCCGTAATGAAACTCCGACGTCGTCTGTCACAACTACGAATCTTGCCCAGGAGCTTAATGACCGACAACTCAGAATCAGCAAGCTGAACTTGACCATGCAGCGCTACCTTCAATTTCAGCGCGAGTATCTAACCCACTATCATTACTTCTTCAAGATCGATCTCAACAATTGGGTTCACACAGACCTGATCGATGAAGCCCTCAACTACGAACCTCTGCTGTACGCAGTCGTAGCTTCGCCGCCTACCACTATGAAGTGCGACAACGTAACGCGAAGCTCTCGAAGTTCCTCGCATACCACTCCAAAGCCATGTCCATGCTGCGCAAATCGCTCGAGAGTGGAGAATCGTACACACCCTCAATGCTCCTGACAGTCCTTCAGCTGGCGACTTTTGAAGAATGCCTAGGCGACTGGGTCAACCTGTCTGGCCACCAACGAGCCGCCGTGTCAATGCTTACCAGTATCTATACCCCAGTCTCAATAACACAGACTTTGAGGGGCCGCATGATCTTCACCTGGTTTGCACGCATGGATGTTATAGCTTCGCTGATGGGCGGCAAGAGTGCCTCTCTCGACCGGCCCTGGTACGAAGAATCCGCGAAGTTCTACGAAGGACAGATGGATACTGACCCAGAGAATGACATTGATATCGACGGCCAACTCAACATGATTGTCGCCTCCAATCGATTGATTGGCTATGACATGGCGAAACTCTACGCCAAAGTCCCGAAGAACGAGATCTCGCCCGAGGACTTTCAACGAGAGAACGGCGCGATCGAGCAGCGCATGCTGGAATTTCGAAAAAGAATCGAATCGCTCAACGACGAATATTATACTGTACAGGAGTTTCCCATGGAAGTCGAAAAACCCATGACCGAAGACGACATTGTTAACCCATACATCCCGGGTGGCTTGTATAAAGACGCTTTGTGGTCTCTGAACTTCATGTGGATCGACTGGTATACAATCGACATGATGCGGCGCTACCAGTCGTCACTGGTCCTCCGCAAACCTCCTCCGCCTGAGCTGGAGCACTACTCGCTGGAACAGTGCCGTATCTATGAGTCCGTTGCGCGATGGCCTCATGCGCTCCCGGGCTCCATCGTCGGCGCACATGCTTCCATTGCTTTGGCGGCGGTGTTCTTGAAGAAGGACGAGAAGCACACAATGTGGATGCGCCGAAAGCTCGCCAAGGTCGAGCAGCAAGGATATGTCTTCCCGCCACACTACAGAGCACAGATGGCAAGGGTGTGGAATCTGACGGATGAATCAGTCGGACCGGAGAACAGCGTGGAGAACTGGTGGCTACCGAACGATGAGGGAAAGCTACCAATTTTGACGGAGATCAGGAAGCTGGTCAGCGAACGTGTTCGAGGAGAAGACTCTACCATTGGCGGCAAAGAAGTCGAGGATGTGCGTGACATCAGGGCCATTTTCGCAAAGCTGGACATCAGATCGCAGGCGCCCAGCAGATCTACGAGTAACGAACGTGCGGGCAGCTTCGCAAGTGTGGACGGCATCAGTCCGCCTGAGAGCGATATGCATAGACATATGGTTGGTGGGGGAGGGATGAGCTATGGAAGCCCGAGCACAGCCGTACAGAGTCCAGCTTCGGCCACGAGCCAATTCACAGGAACTGGTCATCTTATGGATGGTGCGGCGAACGTTGCTATGCCGGAGGTCACGCAAGAGGAGGATCACGATCTACTGAACGTCGAGGTCAAGGACCCGAGCCGGATGAGCGGCATCTGGTCGTAAACTCGAGTGCTTCCAGAGCCGGAGGACTTCGGTCGGCTTGACAAACAGCACGACCACGCCGCTGTCAATCCATGCCATTTCTGCTTGGAGCGGCAGAAACGACCCTCAGATTCTACGACAGCATAAAACGCCTCCCGACAGGCCCGATCGACATTTAACGGCAGCAGTGACTGATGTCAGAGTCAACTCTAGAGCGCAGTAAGCATGAGGCGACGAGGCAGCCACGAACAACATAGATACCTTTCACGTTTGTGTTACTACATATCTAATGACCATTTCTGAATGCCACCATCTTTGTCTACTTTCAATCGAGGACGTACGATGCCTTCCTTTACTCCTCATCGTGAGACCCGAATCACCACTCTATTCCCTCGATGTGCCTCACTACCTCACTTTCACCGACCAGCAGTTCCCGCTTGCAAATCCCGACGACACCTCCACTACTCCCCTTGAGTCCCTCCAGTGCCTCCACAGCCAGGCCCTTCCGGACCAGAATTACTCCGGCATGTAACCTCTTGACGGCATCGTCCCCACTCATAGCTCACTATCAATGATCACCGTCAGGGTATGGTAATCCTCCGAGATCTCGCAGCTTGACGTATGCTTCCCAGAGGCAGACAACTTCACTTCTCAATCACCACGACCCAAGATGTCATACTGTCCCGACTGTGTACAACGTGTTGGAGTCCTGGACATAAGGACACCTCCATACGAGCAAACATCTCCCCATCGAGTCTGGCTTTGTTCTATACCCTGCCTTGCCAACACCACCGTGCATCTTCCCGGAGGCCCGTCGGGTTAGTGATCCGGCGCTGGAAGCGTTCTCTCGAAAAGCTCTAGCTCACCAGTGGAGGGCACAGACGCCCAGAGCAAAACGCTAAGGCAAGTGTAACGTGTCCCCAATAGCTGGAACGCGCCGTCATGCACGTGGGTGGTCTCGCAGACCGGGCACGAACTTACGGAATATGATGTGGCGGTTGGGAGCTCACCGGCCTTCGCGATAGCCTACCGTTGTGGGAAAAGACGTTAGGAAGTTAGCAATCTGGATATGTCATATCTCAGAACAATAATGTCACTAATGTGGCTTCCGAGCAAGCCACGTTGCGATATAGCCTTGGGTTGCCTTATTAGCGTTGAATAGGGAGTAGGTTTGGCAGTCCGCGAGTAGCGAATGAATAGTTGAGTCGAGTATTTGGAATGTGATCCTTGTCGCCCCTTCATCGTATCGTCGTATCACAGACTGGAAGGATTGGACGCCGCTCGTGCATTTTGGACGAGCACACTATTGACGCTTTTCGCAAAACGTGGGGAGCAAAGCTCGAAAGAGCCGCCCGCAAGAGCGGACGTCTTAACGGTCCGCCGGTGGTGGAGAGGTTCTAGCCTTCGGGTGTGCTTCTAGCGGTGGTCATGCATGGAATAGCCTATGTCGCACTTAGGCTTCTGGAAAACCACTACTGAAGCTCCTTGCAACTTGCGAGTGCCCACGGGGCTCGTCGGGCTCACAAGGGCTTCTGGCTCCTCACCTCTCGGTCCTGTACATACGAAGCAAACGGCTATGCCTCGGCTCACTCTTGTTGCAAGCGTCAACTACATGCCATGCAGTCGGTGTAGTCGAGCCTGCTCTATCCTGCCTTATCATGAATCAACGCCTCGCAGGCAGGCGTCCATCTCGAAGAGGAAAGGAGGCATCAGTATTCGACACTAAGCCACTCCTGCAAGAATACAGATCACATACAGAGCAGCACAAAAGGCGATTGTAAGCACGACCGGGCAGGCGTTTGACCAAGTTGTCCTCTCTACACCGCACCTGTCGTTGAAGCATCAATCCTTCTCGAGTTGTAGCAGACGGACACTCTCCATGTTCCCAAAGCGTTTGATCGAAGCTCATTTGGGTGAGCAGAAAACCAATATGACGAACGCATCAAGAGACACTGTGCTTAGCGAACCCTTGAATGGGAGAAATGTTCTCATCATGGCATTGCCAACTATCAATCAGCTTTCCGCAAGCTCCTCCTGGACTAGCAGCATCAGCTCAAGCCCATACTCAAATCATCGCCTGCCACACTAAACCCCCTCTGCTGCTCACGCCAGCGGTCTACGTGATCGTCTTCTGGCCCATCCCTACTTCTGTTGCTGCCACCACTCAGCATCGTGTTCTTCGTTATGCTCGAGCTGGCTGTTGAGCGTGCGTCTGATTTGGCTCGGTTGCGAATGGTCTCTTGCTCACCGCCAGCATTTGTGGTAGGAGTCGAGGACTTCTCCTTCGTGCTGCTGAACCATCCAGATCGTCGCTTCGCAGTTGACGGTGTGGTGGGTGTTTCGGTTGCTGTGGCTGTAGCGCTGCCAGGCGTGACTGTGCTCGTAACGGGAGTGGTTGGCGAGGTAGGTGAGAGCGCAGTCTTCAGCGGTGTAGTAGTGGCGGGCGACTTTCCAATCTTGCTGGCATATTCTTTCGCTCGACGAATCCTAGACGCTTCGCTATCGTCTTCGCTTCGCGCTCCATCGTTATTGGGTGTGGGCGAGGGTGTTGCCTCGACCAATTCCGCGTCTCGGTACCACTTCCTTCGGCGCGTGTATCGACCCCATCCGTCTTCGAGTCGGCCATCTTCCCACTTGTTGTCATAGTATATCCAGCCACCTCCATCACTGCCATCGTGTGAGCCGGAAGACGAACTGGATCCTGCAGGACCTGTTCGGCTGCCAGTGCTGGAATTACGGGCATGCTGCTTTGCATCGCCCCGCTCTATGCGCCAGTCGGAACCCTCTACCCAGCGCCACTTGCTAACACCACCGTCCACTTCTGGCAATTCGAATTCGTCCCTGCTGGGAGCGTGGTTGAGGTGCTCATCTGTCCATGGACCGCGCTCGTAGGAGAACAGCGACGTGGTCCAGCCCAGCCCTATCCAGCGTCGCTGATTTTCGTACAGGATGAACGTGAAACGCACGCCAGAAGAGGCGGCTCGTCGGGTGCTCGCAGCGGCGGATGCCGAATACTGCTGTGAAGAAGTGGCAGATTTGTTGGTGGTGAAAGCGCCTGATCTGGGAAGGACAGGCCGGTGATGAGTGCGGCGAGGCGACGCAGGAAGAGTGACCGCCAAAGCAGGACTCGTGTGACGCGGGCTGGGCGTGAGTGCCAGGTCAGGATAGTCGTGCCTGTGAAGAGAATGACACGGCGGGGTGTGAGAATGTACAGTGGAGGTAAGGTGAGGGCAATCCACGCAGGCGAGACCAAGAGGATGCGAATGAAGAGTGTCGTCAGAGCCGGTCGTGTTGTGGCTGAGGTTGGCGTGCGTTGTGTCGAGAGGAAGTCGGTCATAGCCAGGAATGGGTCGAGGAGAATGTTACATCGAGAAGTGAGCTGTGCAAGCGTGTCGACGATCTCGTCCAGTGATTTGTTGTGGGATGATGATGATGATGATTCCACAGACTTGGAATGCTTCTCGCCAGTGGTCGAAGTGGAAGACAGCGGCGAATATCGTCTCGAATACATTCCCAGTATGAGGAAGACCACAAGAATGAGGGGTCCGGCATATTGTATCACGTAGCTGCGTAGAGGGTAGTAGCCCAGAACGCCGCGACCAAGAGGTACGACTCCCACGGGTCATCTGAAGTCCATGATATCAATCCGGCGAGCCTGTTGAGCGGGAGCAGGAACGGATGTGAATGTGCTAGCGCTCTTGTGATCTGTGGTGGTGTCGCGACCAGTAACGGTGACTTCTTGTGTACTATAACTGTAGATCGCTGTTTGCCTGCCGCAGCATAGCCAGAGGCTGGTGCTGGTGCGAAGGCTGCGACAGTGGAGGATTCGTGTCGTGGGAGAGCTGGGGCGATGTTGGGCCATCGTTGGACACGTATGTGCCTGACTTGGACATTGATGTTGCCGTGATCCAATCTGTGTCTGCTCGAGTTAGTCGATCAGTGGCATCATGAATGTGGTGGACTTACCAAAGACAGACATGCAGGGTATACGGTAGCGTCATCAGCGACTACGATCTGGTGCTGCCGGGCGCAAAGAGTCTCGGCGACGGTGCTATCACCAACATCTATAACACAGACATATTCGTCCACGAGGCAGCACTATATCATTACCAATATCCTCTGACAACGGAAGGCCTCCGAATGGAGTGCACAGCGTGGCATGTGAAATGTGGTCTCAGGTTTACATCGTCATCGCTCGGCTCGGCTGTGTCGGCTAACTTTCCCGTTGGAGAGACGCTACGAAAGATTTCTAGAACGGCGAGGTCGTCTTCGATGCGCTTTTCGAACATTATCAACCACCTTCCAGTTTCACATTGTCGGTGCTCCTTGGTCAAGTCGCAATGGCGCACCGACTCATCACACAGATCGTCTTGACCGGCGGACGCGTGTTCGGCAGAGCTTTCGCCGAAGCATACAAGCAGGCGCAAGCATCATCGCAATATGCGAAGACCGCAGCAGCGAATGGGACTACGACATCATATTCAGCGTCAGGCCTCACACTAGACGAGGCGTGCAAGATTCTTAATGTGAAGCCGCCGATGGGCGGAAAGACAGACATGACCGCTGTTATGGATCGCTTCAAGAAATTATACGACCTGAACGAGCCGAAGAAGGGTGGTAGCTTCTACCTCCAGAGCAAGATATTACGCGCTCGAGAAAGGATAGAAGCAGAGGTTCGAGATGCAGCACGGAAAGCTGAGTTTGAGAAGGAGATCAAAGAAGGTTGGAAGCCCAAGATGTACAGAGATTGAAGCTAAATGCGGCAAAAGGACGGTGACATCGACCTATCGAACACGACATGTCCTCTTCTCCTCTTCGGTTTTGTTTGCAGCATAGCGCGGCGTTTTGGAAAAGATCTGTACAATACACAGGAGCGACTGCATTCTGAGCATGCTAGCGACTGCCGGCTTCGATTTCGACTTCATAGCCAGCTTTGGCTCGGGATATGATACCTGAGCGGGAAGCGTCCAGGTTTTGGCGAACAGACGGGGAGCAGAACAAAAGCCGCACTCGACACGATGTTCAGTCATCAGATGGGTGAGTTGAGATGAGAGGAGGAAGAAGACGAGGAGTCAATAGCACTTCCCGGAGCTAGCATATCGCTATGTCCGCAAATCACGTGAATGTGCTCGGTCTCTCAAAATCAAATAGAACCCGATTTCCACTCAACAGCTTTTTTTCGTTCCGTCTCACCTCGTTTCTTGGATTCCCGTATAGTAGATTGTGCTTCTGTTTCTCACATTCTTGAATCACCTCCAAATCCTACTCGCAAGGGCGCTCTTCGGACTGTTCCTGACGGCCTGTGCTTGAAATCATGATGCTTACATCCGTGAAATACGACTGTTGATCAAGGCTGCCCAGCTGTGTGCCTCGAAGCTACCCTACACTACCGGCCGAGTCCATACGATGAAATCCCCGATATGCTCCTGATATCATCATTTGTCTAGACTTTCTTGGATCTTGACGCCATTCATAGTTCGACGCTATGATCTCGTTCTTCCAATGCCAATGCAGGTACAGTGGAGCTCGTGGTTGTTCTACGGCTGTTCACTGGTGCCGAACCTTCCCGCTGTCGCCATTTCTGGTGGCTTGTGTTCGTTGAGGCGAAGATTATTCACGTCGTCCTCTGTCTGCCTGTATAGATTCACACGTATGTCTTTTGCGATCTTTCTTTTGCTAAGAGCATAGCATATTCTGTATTGGAGGTCATCTCTTTTCATTCTGCACAACATACAGCATGGCGCCCAGGACAAAATTATCGGAGAGCTTGCCACCTTTACTTTTCGGCACCGCTACCTTCACGTATCAATTCAATGTCGATCCATACGCTTTAGGACCAGTGCCTCTGGTTCAAAAGGCGCTGCAGCATGGCGTTCGTGGCTTCGATACTTCACCATACTATGGGCCAGCTGAAAGCATCCTCGGCGATGCACTCGACACATCTTTCGTCCGACAGCACTTTCCGCGCGACCAGTATCACATCCTGACCAAGGTCGGAAGGATAGGTGGTGATGTCTTTGACTATTCGCCAGAGTGGATCAGGCACAGCGTTGCGCGCAGTTGCACAAGGCTGCATACCGACTACCTGGACGTGGTTTATTGCCACGATGTCGAATTCGTTTCGCCAGCCGAGGTTCTTGGCGCTATCCAAGAGTTGAGGCGAATTAGAGACGAAGAAGGCTCGTTACGCTATGTTGGCATTTGCGGCTATCCTGTTGATGTGCTCTGCGACTTGGCCGAAATGATACTGCGCGAGACCGGCGAGCCACTCGATATCGTCCAATCCTACGCCAACTTCACAATCCAGAATACCCGACTGCTGTCGCATGGACTTCAAAGGCTCGTCAACGCCGGTGTCGATGTTGTCACTAATGCCAGTCCGTTAGGCATGGGGCACTACGCGTCAAGGGCCTCCGATTGGGGCTATGGGCAATTGGCATCCAGCTCCAGACGATCTACGCAAAGCATGTGCCAACGCCGCTAAGTGGACCGAGGCCCAGGGCGAGAAGCTCGAAGTCGTGGCAGTCCGCTTTGCGCTGGAGAACTGGCTGCGAGAAGGTGCAAAAGCTGGCAGCTATGCCAACCCACGCGGCAACGGTGATGGAGGCTTTGACAGTAGTCCTGACCGTCCTACAAAAGTTGGGGTCAATGTCATGGGCGTCAGCAAGATTGAAGAGCTGGACGAGACGATGCGTGTCTGGCATAGCGTTCTTGATGGCCTCGCAGATGGCAATGATCTTGATGCAGGCAGCATGACACCATCAGACGCCCTGACGGACCACGAATGGAGTCTGAAGCGACGACAGCAGATCCGAGTCCTTGCGAAGAGCATTCGTGAGATGATGGGTACCTGGCAGATTTCGCGTGGGCATCCCCTGAGCCTGGCTTCATCAACAAGGGCAACCCGGCCCCACTCAACTTCAGAAGCAAACCTGAGGCTACCGGCATTTTGACTCCCCCGCCTTCAGGTGATGATCTGCTGTAGCGGAAACCTGCGTAGCAACACTAGCGTCTCCATTGTTCATGGAGGGCTTGGCACAAGCGTTGATTCACTGATGAACTCCTGAAAGCAAACATTAGATGGATATGAATAGTGCTGTCAGCCATTCACTTGGTCTAACTGAGTCACATTCATTCGATCACTCATTGATCAACAATATAAAGCGCCATGCCCAGACAAGTTCGTGGTCGATCTCGTGGACGCGACCGATCTCGCGGTCGAGTTACCAATCTACACCACTTCTCACCACCAGTCCATGCGCCGGAGTCTTCGCCCGAGCGTTCGATCCCGACTACAGACTTCTTCCCACAGATCGCCATGCCGCAGTTCAGCAAGCCTGCCAAAGAAGACATGGTCGCCCTCACGCCCCACCCTCCGTTCTTCGACATCGGCGACGAAGTCCTCTACAATCACGCCGGGTACCGCACCAAAGATGAGATCGGTCAACACTCACCCGCCGCTTGGCGTCAATGGCGAACTTACATCGTACGTCGCAACGAATACCTCACCTCGACCGGCAAGTGGATGTATCAGATCGCAGAGATCAGAGGAGACTCGGTCACTATCGCCGCAGAGGAGCACTTAGTCGATGTCACGTTCCCGCCGAACACTAGGGTTGAATTGGTGGAGGATTGGCTCAAGCGCAAGGCTGTCATGGAAGGGAAGCAGTTCAGTATCGATCACTACATGGGTAATCGACCGGAAGCAGTATGGGTTGTCAAGTCTTGCAGGTTGGTCGGCAATAAGAGCAATTCGGCTAAGATTGTCTATGATCTGCAGAATGAGTGTGGCGAATCTCTGATAGACCACAAGTTCAGCATGGAGCCGGAGCAGCTGATTCCTTACGGAGGTCCGAAGCCTGATGTTAACGGTCAATTCATGGTGACCTGAACATGCAAGTAGCTGATGAGAACGAAGACGGTGCAGCAGCGCCTTCCTGGACCTCTTCCAGAGACGCGGTTGCATCGGATGAGGTCAGACTACCTTGCAAAGCGCAAGAGCGACTCGTGGAAAGGACTCCTTACACGCTTCGCTTGGTTTGGAAAGCACAGGAAGATATCGTAGGGAACTGCAGCCTGGGCGGCCTCCAGGGTCGATTAGCTAGGGAGTGGTTACCTGCACTCAGAGCTCATCAATTTCAATTTCAACTGAGCCGTCTGCGAAGACTTGGCATTTCTTTGTTCACTTGTTTGACCGCACAACCAGACTTGATTTCGTGCCGAGATTGCTCGGTTCCTGCTGCTCAACAACTCGCACTCATCACAATTCGAGTCCTTAACTCATCAACATGGCGCCGCACAGTGACTCGATGGTCGACAGCAATGGAAATGATCGCATCACTCGAGAGTACAGCGATCAGATCCCAAGCATGGCCCTGTCGAGATTGAGGTCCATCGCTACCAAGTGAACACGCAATCAGCAGTCATCAAGGAGCGATCTAATGCGCAGAAGCTCGTTGTGAGTACTCTGTCGTCAGATCAGGAATTGATGCCCTGACAATACTTTGTAGAACCCCAATCCGCCTATCATTGTCGACTTGTCGGATCTGGATTTCGAGTCTGTCGCCCTTACTTCCGTCATCGACTACCTCTACAGCAACGAGTACTTGAGTACAGCTCGCCCACCCAAGTTAGCTAAGATAAAGGATGAGAGTGATGATGCCATACAGTCGACTGTCGCATCCGCAGAAAAGTACATCAGCTCTTGCGGGCGTGCATCTACTCCTCAGGCGGCCTCAACATCAAACAAAGGAAACCAGAACCGTTCCGCGGGTCACTCTGGTATTGACATTGCTGGGCATACCGTAACAAGAGAGTCAGTCACCCTAGAACTGGACGAGAACACCCTCAAGCGGAAGCGATCGGATGCGTTCCCCAGCAATGTACTCGATTTCCACATCAAGGTCTACATGTGTGCCAAGCAGCTGAAGATTCGCGCTGCGATGGAGTGCGCCCGTGGCAAGATTCTTGCAGCATTTGATCAAATGGTATCAGGACATGTCTTGGTTGAAGATCTGGTGTCGCCATTGAGACGTCTGTTCGATGCCTCACAGATGGAATCACCAGAGCTGGCAGCGCTGAAAGAACAGCTCACAAAGGTCGAAAAGGAGCGGGATGAGGCTTTCACTGCCCGTGACAACTTGCAAACCCAGATCGACACGATACCAGACCAAATCAAGGAGGCGAAGACCGTGCAGCGCAATGCACTTGGTGAGCAGTTCAAGGCCAAGATGCGAGAACTCAATGGAAAGCTCAGGGAGAAGCAGACCGAGCTTGACACGGCTACGACTGAGCGAGATTCAATGCAGCAGCAGCATCATGAAGTCAATCTACATCTGGCTAACATTCGATCTGAGGTGGAACCGGCTCTCAATAAGCAACAACCCGACTTCGCACCCGAGAAGGCGACGCTTGAGCGACAGCAGCATCAGCAACATCATACGGATCAGATTCAGAAGGCTGAGCAAATGACGGAAAAGAAGAACGCGCTGAAAGTAAATATGTCCACCAACCGCGCTAACGCAGCGTTGGCAATGCTCAAGGTGGTCGAGATTGCTGCTACTGATGTACCAGAACTCGCCATCAAGGCAGTTTGGGCAGAAGTGAAGAATGCTAAACCCAACTTTGATGGGCAAAAAGAAGCTCAAATTCGATCTGATCTCAAGACAGCTCTCGATCAACAGCGAATTCACCTTGCGCCTGGAATGGAGTCGAACTCCGGAGGCATGTCTGCTAGCACCAGCACGGTGGCTCCGGTGCAGAACAGCGGCGGTCCCTTTATGGTCCCACAGGTTGGAGCCTTCTATGGTAGCAACGGTGCGACGATTCCGTCGCAGAATGGTGGTGGCTTCTTCGTAGACCATCAGGCAGGTATTCTCGCTAGTGGCAACAATGCGACTACCCCGTCACAGCACAGCGGTGGTCTGTTACCACACCAACCGGCTGGAGGTCCCTTCAGCAACAACAACAACATCACAACCCCATTGCAGAGCGATGGTAGTCCCGTCGTTATTTCTCAGACCGGAAGTTTCCCTGGCAATAATGGTGCGATGACGACCTCGCAGAGCAGTGCCGGTCTTTCTGGGAGCCCAAGTCCAAGCTTTGGCTCTGTTTCCGGCTGGAGAAGTTCAAGTCTGATGCAAGGTCTGACGCCATGCACAGATGCGGTCGAGTTCGTTCCTGTGATTGTGGAAGAAAGCATTCACCGCTGTTACCAGAGCATTACTTCAATGGAATACTACAAGCACTGGTCATTTGAGGAGCTACGGTGGCAGACTACTCAAGAGGATGACTTCAGCCAGCAGTTGAAGGACAGCAATGGGAACGTGTACCCTTCTGAGTCAAGGTGTTTCGAGAATCCGTTTGATTTTCTCATGCTGTACTCTGCAGCGCAAGAGTCAGCAACACCTCCCTTGACGACGAAAGGGCCGAACGACGGGTGAGGGGGACCACCAGTTCGGGGCTTTGAAAGTCAGAGAGGGCTGGACAACAGATAAGGCCCGGAGAAGGGTTGACCAGGGTATGGGACATGCTGAGAGAGTCTGGCAAGGTCATATGCGGTCACCAAGACCGTAGTTCGTCCATGTGAAACTTCGCATAATGTCAAGAAACGCTTACCGCCGAACCTCTGGTCGCAGACTCACGAAGTCTTGGCATTCAGTTTTCTATAATCAGTGAATGGATCTCGGCCACGAAAGACGCACTCCTCACACCAGTCGCTTCCTGAGCCCACAGTGAGTTTGCTATCTCTTATACGCCTGTTGCGCAAGAGCTGGTCCGAAATCTGCCTTTCCTTTCAGCATCGCTCTCGGCTGTGGTCATGGCATCATCACTGTTCTCGATCTACCCTGGTCGCGGCGTCCTTGAGAAAGCACTCTACAGCGACCTGGTGCTGAGAACTTCTAATGGCTATGAAATCAAGGCACACCGAATATACGTCAACGTCGCGTCCAAGACTGTCAGAGAGCTCTCTGACGAAGCTCTACGGGTAGCTTTGCCCCTTCCTTTGACATGACTGTCCGTTGATCAGCGTGCTCAGATCAACCCACTCCACTCTTCTGCGGTTATCGAACTGCCGGACTTTGACACTGATACGCTTTCGAGGGTTCTAGAATATATTTACACGGGTGACTATCCGAGGTCCGGGCCGTCCATGCATAGTGAAGCAAAAACCGATACAGCCAAGATTGAGACGCTTCATGCACCAAAGACCAATTTTGCGACTCCTACGACATTTGCCCCGGTGTCATCAAATATCTCTGGGCAGCAACCAGAGTGTGATGTCAAAGTGTATTTGTGTGCTGTTCGTCTCTGTATGCGAAGCCTTGTACAAATCAGTCAGACACGGGTAGAGCTGGCTGTCTCGCAAATGCTGAGCTCGCAGGACAGTGCGACTCATTTGGTCAAGCCGTTCTCGCTGTTGCTCAGCAAGACGACGTCCGGAGACACACTTCGCCAAGCCATCATGAGAGCTTGCCTTCTCAAGTATCTTCTTTGTGAGGCAGTCGCACCACTGAAAACACTTCTGCTCAAGCATGAGGCTTGCCTCTGGTTAATAGTCCCACCACTTCTGGCGTCGTATAATGGCACGCAATCCATCATTAAGTGCTCTAGCTGCTCTACAAGTCTGACCATCGACAAGTTGTGCTGGATGAAGCGATTCGACGAGGGAAGCGCCAGCGCTCAGTGCAACGTTTGCAAGCAGTCTGAGATCACAAGACCGGTTACCTCCCTGCTGCCTCAGGTAATCCTCTTTTCGGAAGTGCTGCTGCAGTCGCAAATTCCTCCCCACGCACGTCAACTCCAGGCAAGAATTCCAAGTTCACTTCTGGCACCACAGCCTCCAAGGCACCGAGTATCTTCGACAGCCAACCGCCTCTCTTTAGTACTGCTACAGTCTTCTCAACGCCCGCAAGTAGTGCTGCGTTTGGCACTGCTGCTACAACGTCAATTCCATCACCCAATCCGTCAACTTCAACCAAGCATACCAAATTCACTTTCGGCGACGCGAGCTCAAAGACATCGAGCATCTTCGACAGCCAACCTTCCATCTTTGACTCTGCTACAGTTCCTAACCGGCGAGCAAAGCCCGATTCACCGGCGGTGGACCACGAAGTTGCTGATGACAAGATTGCATCTTGCCCGCCTCCATACACTCCACTACCGATGTTCTCTTTCGGTAAAAAAGCAGACACTGCACCCGCTCCTCCCTCACAGACTTCGCTGCCCGCCTTCGTCTTCGGCAATCAAGCAGACGCTGCGCCCACTCCACCGTCCCAGACTCCGGTACCAACGTTCTCTTTCAGCGAGAAAGCAGACGCCGCACTCACTTCATCACAAACTCAGCAACCATTCTTCCTCTTCGGCAACAAAGCAGACGCAGCATCCAATTCTCCGTCAAAGACTCAGCAACCGACCTTTTTCTTCGGTCCGAAAGCAGATGCTGCGCTCACGTCTCCATTAGCCGGGGCTGCCGTTCAGACGGCTTGCTACAAGGGCAAAGAATTCATAGTGAGGGTCAAGGTCCCACCAACTCCTCAGAGCACGCCTCCGAAAGTGGGTCCTGGACCTGTACCTACCGTGGCACGACCTACCGCGCCCGTGTTGGCCACTTCATCAGACAGCACAATAGACTGTACATGTCGTTCGAAGGGGAACCTGGCTGCTACATCGATGCGCGACCAAGTAGCGATAGTCTCGAACTCCGACGGGCCCGTGAGAAATGCCACAAACATCTCTAGCCCGAACGACGCGTCGGCTGATGCTTCTGCGTCCGATGACGAGACAGTCTACTTCTCGGCGCCTTCTCGGATGCACACACAGGACAATGTTTCCAGCATACAGTCAAGCTCAAGCTTCGAGACCTCGGCTATCGAGGGAACCAGATCAACGAAAGCGACGGTGGAAGATGCCGTCGAGGATGGCGATGGTGGGCAGAGTAAAGTCATTGCGACGTGCTAGTAGATCACGCACTTAGTCAAGAGCATTTTGATGGTTCAGGGCGGCAGTATGGAATGTTTGCTGACGTTGCGGAAGAGGCAGGCCTGTGAATGAGTCGATAGGAAGTATCCGATTTCTGGGTCTGGATGAGTAGAGTCAAGGTCAAATGAGATCTACGATAGCACCCAAAGTGGTCAATGATCGAATCCATCGTGGTGCACCAGCCCTATCCAGCCACAGCTACCCTGTCCCTAACGAACGGCATATCCCTTTGCGGCAGTTGTAAGTTGTCGCAAGACGGGTGGGTGCCACTGGGCGGCCTAGTAACAATCCTGCAAAACCCTGTTTACATAGTGATTCCATGAATTTTGTACCCACCATCGCTGTTGCGAGACATTGCGGGATCGTTCGTTTGGATCGCCACGTGCGGCGGCGGAACATCAATAAGCAGGATCACGCATCATGGTCCACTGTCAGATGTCAATGTTGACTTCAGGTCTACTGTCAAGGTACATATAGCATATAGCGGGATGCTTGATGAGCTCAGAGCAGATGGCGTGAAGGAGAAAGCTTCCATTTGTTTTTGAGTCATATACTTGATATGACTCTTTTAGATATTCAGCGCGGATAACTATGTCTGGAAATCTACTTTGTTTGTCCAGTGCTATTAGACTCTGTTGGTCTGCTGTGCACTCATGATGTTGATGCGCAGGCGAAGTGACACGCTTACACAGGCACAGGGCAGCCGAAGCTAACAGCGACAGTGCCACCGGGACCGAACACAGCGATCAGACCCTCGATAGCGGCCCAAGTACCCATACCGCAGCAGGCAAGACCCAATAGGATGTAGATGAAGGCGATGGTGCTCCTGAACCAAGTCTTGGTATATCCACGCATCCAGCGCTTCAAGCCACTGTCGTGGCGGATAGTTTCTCGAGTCGCCGGGTTGAAGCCCTCACCAGGGAGCTCGGCGGCCTTGTGGACGATGGTGCTGAGGTACATCATGCCGGGGAAGGTGTAGGTGAAGTTCATCATGAAGACGGCACCGACCAAGCTGACGATACCGTTGAGGTTGGGCACAGCGCCGGCAACGACGAAAGCGAGGATCCAGTACAATGGACCGAGGCCGAACCACAGCCATTGACCCTTCTTCGTGGTGATGGAGGGGAAGTTGAAGATCGCTTGGAAGACCTCGAGGTAGACGGTCTTCATGCCGATGTTGAAGTACATGATGATGGCGATCCAACCGGAGAGGAGACGCAGTACGTTGCCTGCGGTCTGCTGCAGACCGTACGGCTGGACGACGTTGACAATGTTGCCGGCGGAGTACTGGCCGTAGAAAGCATACATGTACACGCCGAAGAACATGTAGACGATGCAGATGAAGGCCTGGGCGAGCAACATGCCCTTCCAGAAGTCCAGAGGGTGGCGCATCTCGGCGAGGAAGGCGACGAACAGCAAGGCGCCGGCATATGCGTACACCATGGTGTTGACGGCGTTGAAGGTCGCAGCGAAGCCAGGAGCCTGCTGCTGGTAGATATCGGGAGGGATGCCAGCGAAAGTCTTGATGGGGCCAATCTCCTTGATGAGGGTGGACTTGGTGATCGCTGGGTAGTATGGTGCAAAGTGAGACGCGGCGACCATGCAGATGATGAAGTTGACGATGTTCATCCAGACAGCAGCGTTCGCGATCCAGCCGATCTTTTTCAGACTTCGAACAAGTCCACCAAGCATGCCGACAGCCATGATGACAAGCATCATCCCGACGAAGCAGACCTTGCCCTTGGCGATTTGTTCAATGTTGAGAGACTTGCTGAAGATCAAGATGGCCACGGTACAGAATTGCTGGAGAGATTGTGCAATGTTGATGAAATGACGAGCCCTCTTGCCGAACAAGCGCAGGAACGGATCGCCAAAACTCTGCATGGGGTACCGAGAAGAATCCAGATCGAGGTAGGTCTTCCAGATGACCCATCCACCCCAAGCAGCGAAGATACCGAAAATCAGGTACAGCGCGACACCAGTGCCGTAGCCGACGCTAGCAAAGACGAACCTATAGCAGATGTATCAGTCTTCGATCCGGGTGTTATGGGGATTCAGGCAATACTTACGGAGCACCAGACCAGCCGAGAATATCGGTGGTGATCAGGAAGAACATCTGTCCCCAGCTAGCAGTGCGGAGAGCGCGTGCAGCAGTACGCCACTCTGCATCAGAGACCTTCAGACCAGAATCGACAGGCGCATTGCCACTGGACTCGGTAACGACACCGCCGGGCTGCTTCTCGTGGAGATGCTCCAGGGTCTGGAGTCGTTCTGCCTTTTCTGCCTTCATCCTCTCTCGACCGTTCTTGGAGAAGGTGCTCTTGATCTGATCCCAAAGAGGGGACGGGTGCTGAGCCTGGAAGACCTTGTTCTCTTCGATCTCCATTTCACGCTCGATCTTGGCCCAGTAAGTGTACTCCTCGTACCTGCACACGGTCAGTGGATTGACTTGGCCATTTCTGGTTCGACATACGACACTGTGCTGTCGGTACGGGCATCGAAGCCCCATACTCGCTCTTGGACTTGGGGCTTCTCGATGCTGGAGATAGATGGGTTGCGCATCTGCTGCTTTGTGATGATGTCCAGCTCCGGCGCCGGGTGCGCAATAGGCGTGACACCACTCATGGTACCCATGGCTGCGAAGTTCCAATGTTTCGACGAAGGGTTCACAGGAAGATGAGCTTCAAAGAAAGAAGGGTCACACAGAGGGTCATGGGGACCTATCTATAAGCGAATCGTCCAGGTCGTCCAGCAGGGAGCATGGTCTGATCATGCCTTGTCTTGTCGCGACCCGCGACGTAACATCCTCGAACTAACACACATGACAACCGCAACTAACTCCATGGGAAGCCCCGACGATGTAACCTGGGAACCAAGAGACACGCGACCGGATAGTGGCGAGTTGAGCTACCCATTGGTACCCGGTAGGAAACCATGCAAAGCACGAACGGAGCCCCAGCGATATTGGGAGACCTGTTGATAACGTCCAGGGCACGGATATCTGAAGGATGGCGAATGAGAAGGCACGGAGGGAGTATGACCAACACCAGGGGAAATGATGCGCCACGCTTTGGCCGATCTCCTCAGGTCGTCTTTGGTCGAATGAAGCTTTAGCGATATCTGCGTGGCTCCTGAGCCGCTCCTCTTGAAGAATTGAAGCTTTAGCGATATCTCTTTGCCCCTCTTCTTAAAGCAAAGCTTTTTGTTCTGGACGCATATGAGAGAGCTTAGCGCTGATCGGTACGAGGTCACTGGTATGAAAGAGGAAGGTGAGAGAGCGGCAGCCATCGGTGGTCAGGATGCTAACGCTCAAGGGCACGGCTGGCGGCATGGAGGCAGCTTGCCAGCACGGGGATCTCATCCAGAAGCGCACAAGTGCCAGCACGGGGATCTCATCCAGAAGCGCACAAGTGCCAATACCGGAATCGCCCTTTGAAGTTGATCCTCTGGCGCCAAGAGCGAATCAATCCCGGAGTCCGAGCGGTGATGGGGTGCATCGCAGGTGAAACCGTGCATTCATGCTGCTAAGTCAATCTTAGCTTCGCGACTTAGGCCTACAAGCACTGCTTGATTCGCCCAGGAAATCTACAGAAAGACTTCCTCGAAGCTTGGCAGCGGCGACCATGCCCACTACCTCGGTTTGTCGGCAGGAAAGATGCTTCTATCATGCTTCCAGACTTCTTATTTCAGGACACCGCAGTTGCATCGTTCCTGCAAGGCCGACTGGAGGATGAGCCAAAGCGGCAGGCACGAATGAAGGTGGACTCGAAACAAACATCGGTGTCTCGTCCCAGTGGTGCTGCGTAAGAGCTAGACTGGATCGTTATGTCGCTCGTCTCTTGCAGTAGTAAATACGGCTGAATTGGGTACCTCTTGGAAAGGTCATTCCATCATTCGGCCCCTAACCCGGAGTGTCTCCGCAACGCTGTGATTGCTTCGCCTAGCATGTAGAACGTCACACATTTCAGCGCGAATGTACTTCGTACGAAGCAGTTCTCACCTCACGAAACGTCGATCTTGCTGAACTGTGGCGGTGGCAATCGAGACGTGGGATTCGCCGCGCTCCCCTAAAGCCTAAACACGGATTTCCATGAACCTTCGGAAATCATTATTATCGAAACACAAATGTACCTAGGTTTCGCCTTCTTCCACGAGACACGAGAGAGTTCGGGATGCAGAAGACGATGTGACATAAGGTCCTCTCCTAGGCGAGTCATGGAAAGGCTCGCCCAGGCCCGCTGGGAGTCGTTCGCACACCTTACCCCGGAAGGCCTAATTCCCGAAAATTGCCAATAACAATGGTTCGGCAACTGTCCCACAGCTGTTGTCTGCAACAGTAGCCCAACTAAAGGCGCCTGCAATCGGTCATCGAAGCATGAGGCGGCTGGACGTTATGAAAGCTTGTTCAATCAGATATCCTGCAGGCAAGAGATTCGGCGAGATCCTGGGAACCGACTTCATCAGATGCCCCTACTTGAGTAGCTTTCAAGGCTTCGTATCTGCGGTGCAACACCGTACAGCTGATCGACGGCACAGGCCGAACAAAGCTCACACGTCAGAGCTGGATAACAGAGGTCACAGACTCCATTTGTAGTACTGTCTGGTTGTTCACAAAATGGACTGAGACGATATCATGCCTGGTGTCAGCTTGATACCTACAGTAGCCTTCGATATCGATCCTTGCCTCCATGACCCTTGACTATGCAACTAAACAGGCGACAACTCCACATCATGCACCACCTCCATTATCCCAAAATCACAACTGTGCCAATACGTGCTAGCTGACCGCATGGAAGATTTCATGGAATGCGCATACCTATCCTATCACCTTCTGACGACGCCGCCGAAGCGATCTGTGGTCGACTCGGAGTGGGCGCGCTGCCTAGCGCCGTATCATGCCAAAACCGATTCTCGGGTTTGCCTGAATCATGCTGACTTGGGATCAGCTATCAACGAACACTGGTCTCGACCGAGTCCGTATCTTGGCGGAGCAATCGTACGATCGCAAGGTTCATGCTCAACGGCACCACATGCATGTTGACGCAATTCTGAACAGTTCTACCCTCATCGTTCGTTAGCATGGTTCGACTAATACGCCTGCAGCGCAGACCTCAAAGGGTCGTGACAAGCCTGCAGGTTGTCGAGGATCTGGTCCTTGAACATCTTCGATCACAGATGCTTCTGCAATCAACGGGTCCGTACAGATGACCATATCCCAAGCGGTCACGACCGACCGAAGGACTTCGGAGGCTTGCTGACATCTTGTTTACTCAAAACGGCAGGTTGTGGCAATACTGCTTTTGCGTCGTCACTGTCGTCTGCAACTTTGCAGATGACAAGGATACTCACACCCATATGAAGGTACTCTGTCAGCCATACGATATCTGTCTGCCAGTGAGTACACCCATCTGGCAGCAAGGAAGCCGAAGAGTGCCCGCAATTGGGCGCGTAAGCGTCGGAAGCAGGTTTGCGACGGCTGTCTTAAGGATGTGCTAAAAGGCAAGCTACAGGTACAGCAGAGAGATCACTAAATCTATTTGCAGTCCGGAGGCCTTCGCCATGACTTGAACTAGATCGGTCAATCTGCACTCCTTCGACAAACATATGGGCAAGTGGTTTCTCGAGATTTCTGAGATCACAAGTCTCGTTAGGGCAGTCGCAGTGCCCTTGTCAGGAGTGCTTCTTGCCGTCGTGAAGGGCGCCGTATAGGCAATCGCGTTCAGCATTGCAATCGATATGGCATCACACCGCCGTCATGCATCACTGAGGCTGCTGGACTCGCAAGCTGGACTCCATGACACTCGAGACGGTACTCAATACGGTAGCACTGTCCCATATTTTCTGTGCATTTTCTACGATGGTCGACGCAGTCTCTCGTTCAAGGTAGGTGATGTGCGTCGCGGCGTCACGTGAGCCTTTGAGGCCGTCGGTGAGCCGATGTCATGTGCACGTGAACCTACTGACCAGACCTCTGCAGGCCTCAAGTGACACTTTCCCACGTGTTGCCTTAGTTGCCTTCAATGGCAATACATCTCTTTGTCTTTTTGCGGCTTGGCATGTTTGCTCGCACTTATATCAGCCGCACTCTCTTCATCCGTTTTGACAATTCTCAATTATCATCCGATATCGAACAAACAGCTAGAGTCCGCCCCACGACTTTCGCCATCCGACCACAGAAAGCTTTCACCTCTTGCCTCCTCAAGGTTCCCGTCAGAATGGCTAGTATACCAGCCCCGATATTTCGGAAACTCCTGCTAGATGGCACAAATTCCGATAGCCGAATCACCTGCAAAGGCGTCGAGTTTAGAGGCCACAAGCTGATCTTAGGGTCCGCCTCAGACTTCTTCCGCGTCACATCTGCGCAAGAGGGTTTCCAGGAGAACGCGACCGGAGTGGTCGACTTGCCGGAAGACGAACCAGAAATTGTTGCACGCGCGTTGATCTTCATCTACACCGCTGAATACTCGTCCACAGCATCTGCAGACGTGTCGAAGCTTCTCGGCGAAAGCTTGATTGATTCAACAGAAACGGAAGAGGCAACAGGAACGGGAGAACTAACGACAACGGGAGAGCCAACAGAAACAGGAGCACGTCCCGAACTATCGAATGACAAACATCCTGCCGACAGTGCAGAGTCCCCCAAACAAAGCCCTACTGATGATCGACGCGACAGACTCCGCATCAGTACACTGACCTACCAGATAGCCGACAAGTTCGGTCTTCGGGAGCTGCAGCTGAAGACATTTGAGGACTTCCGAGAGATCTTCCACACCTATGAGCACTCAGTCGGTGGTCTCGAGGAAGTAGTGACGAGAGTGTACGACTGTACCTCGCCTGATGATCAGCATCTGAGGCTCTTCGTTACACGCGAGTGTGTGGAAGCCTTCGACTCAGTTGAGAAAGATAAAGACATGCTCAGTGCCATCAAGACCAACGAACCAGTGGCTTGGGGCCTCGCCAGACCCAAACAAGAGCACATCAATGAGGTGGAGCGGAAGCTGAAGATTGCCGAAGACGCCTTGGTCGAGAAAGGAACGACTCTGGAAGATCTTCAAGCCAGGTTTAACACGTTGCAGACCAGTCACAACAACGCGAATTACTACTACAATCAGACCACCAAGCTGCTCGACAAGGCTAAGGCCGATAAAATGACCACAGAGGCTGCGATCGCAAAGTTCTGTCCCCATTGTGGCGAAGGCAAGCTCGTGCTCGCACAGTCGCTGTACGACCGATACAACAATAAGAAGGAGGGTGAGGTGTCTACGAACTGCATGGCATGCGAAAAGAAATGGATTTTCAAGGCCGCATGATCAAGGTATGAGGGCCATTGAATTTGGCAATTCGTCACTTTCCGATGGGTTGGTCGTCACGTTGAGTTGTGTCCGAGCTTTGCGAGCCCTTCAAGCTCGATGGATCGAGCCTTACATGTGGTTCAAAACGGACTCGGCGAGCTCTTCAAGCTTGGTGACATCGTCTTCATGTTGACCTCTTTGCGAATCCGGTCAGCTTTCCAGCCTTGCTGGATTGGTTTGCGCAACTCGCAGTCCGGTCGAGTGTTGGGCAGCTATTCTTTGGCGGAAGCTGCACGTTGTGGTCGCTTTACTGACGGGCAGAGTCCGCTATTTTGCGTTGAGCTTCTGTCATGTGCGCAGCGATGACCATGACTTGTGCGACGAGTTTCGATTCGGTGTGACGGATGGCGACGTCATAGCGCCCTGGTCATTTACACAGACTCAGGAATACGAGAACGATCATGGTGATAGGTATGGGCAGGAAACGACAATGACCAAGGGCAAATTGAATGATGGAGGCGGCTTTAGTAAGAGCGGAATCTTGCCGGGCGAGTCTCTGAATCCGGCCCCAGGCCCCTAGCGCTCCAGGGCACGCCTGGGCATGGTTATGTAATGCGAATGAATGATCTTCCGCTTATGGAGCTCATGCCATGTACAAGAGAACAACTCTTCACAATCTAAGCATAGGTATATTTGGCAATCCGATGCCTCAGCGTCGCTTCAATGTCTCAGCTCGACCGAGCTGTGAATTCACATGGAAATTGTCGTTAGCATGATGATATCATACCACCGAGCATAAGCGCCTTTCTTGCCCGTCTTGATCAGGGCCATAATAAGTCCGATGGGCGCGGGCCTTATAAGGAGTCCGCCCTATATAGACCCAACACGAACGTACACGAAGCACGCCAGCGCCACAAATCGTCCTCGTATCCAACGCGCCTTCTCATGCGACGCTGCCAACTATCGTCCTCGTGGCAGCCTCAATATCCGACATGGCTCGCTCAGGCCGCGCAGACACAACTTCCCGCACAGTACTGACCCTTGAACGTCCGGGCAACAACGTGGTCAGCTTTGACCTCGCCCCTGACTCAGACCGCCCGTACGCGACCCGTGTCACAATACCTGCAGGGTCGCCATGGACACCCGCACCGCATTGGCATGAAGGCTATACAGAGTATGTTGCTTGCATTTCAGGCCGTCTCCTGGTCCGGCTGAACGGCGTGGACAAGGTCGTCACCCCAGACGACGGCCCACAGGTCATCGATAAGGGAGTAGTGCACGAGTTCATGCGCGCTGATCTGCACGGATACCCAAAAACCCCTGGCAAAGGAGACGGCGGGGATGTCGTGGCGGAGGAATGGACGGACCCTGCTGATGGGATGAAGCATGTCTTCTTCCGGAATCTTTTCAGCGTGCTTGAGGATCAGAAGTATTTTGGATGGAAGTTTGTGCCACAAGTCATGTACAGCTTGAGGCGGCATGATAATTGGAACGTGATGCTTGGGAGTGGGAAGGGTGGTGTTGGATGGTTCGGATGGACAGTTACTCACACGGTTTATGCGTTAGGAGAAGGCGTCGCGAAGTTGATTGGGTTGCGTCCCTGGTACGAGGAGTACATACCTGCGAACTTGAGGGAAGTTGCGGCCAAATATTGAGAAGGCTGCTGGCGTTGAGGTGATGAGAAAGTACTCTCGGGGAGGCATCACCGTGTTTTATGAGCTCAAAACAGTGAAGAAGGGGACCTTTGTGATGGCGCATGACGCTGAAGGGTTGCTGTATCGGCGCGACTTGCAGAAGGAAGAGACGCGCACATCTTCTGACATCAGCTGCGGCTCGCTCTTGTGCAACCATCCAGCATGCGGGGCAGGGCGACTTGATTTGGGCATCTCTTCCTTCCAAAGGCGATCTAGCGACGACGAAAGCATTGTTGACTGGCTCAAAATGGAGATCGTCGATCGTACGGCGACGCGTAACTTCTATTTCTGCTCTGCGTAGTCATGGTAGCTGCCGCCTATGACGTAGGAGTGACCAAAAGTAACTCGATACTGAGATCAGTGTCTCTGGAACTCAGCATCTATTCAGCACTTGTAATGATGTGCCGTTCAAGCATCCGCTTGTCAAGCGGTGGGTGCAGCTCGGACGAACTGACAGGAAAAGTGGTCCGCGTATTTTGTCACTTGAAACGGTTTCAGCTCAGCTGCGGGAGTTCTTGCCATGGAATTCTTGAAATCGAGTCGCTTGGTGCGCAGCGATCCGACGCTCGTCAACGCGCTGCATCATAGGATATCCTAAAGATGTCCATTTACCATAAGGCTTGTGGGAGTTCGGATGTTTGGTAATCCCCCAAACGTGTCCATGTTGAGAGGCTCAACGGGAAGCCGAATGGAGGGCCGGAAAACATGGGCAACAAGAAGACGAAAGACTATTCAAACGTCAATTCCGATGCCTGCGGCCAATGAAAGCGCTATCGCCCACACACCCTTTGCGCGGCACGAGGTCTCTTTGCTCGTGGTCTGCGAAATCTAGAGCTTGGTGGCTGAATCTTATTCGGCTGAGTCCGCCCTTTTTTTCATGCAAGTCATGAGGAGACGCGGCAGTCGTCCGATATCTCCTCTGACCTGCCGGCGAGATGAATTGTGGGAATCACCATCTGGCAGATCCTCGCCAGACCTCGTGGCACCTCGCTTAACATGCAGCAGAGCCTCATCTCGGCTCCATGCAGTCGGACTGGTGAAGCATGAAGAAATGATAGATAGCCATGAGCTACTTCTCACCGAATGTGAATACAGGTGGCGGGAACACGGGGGAGAAATCCATTTGGTCGCCTGTCTCTGACAGCATTCAGTCGCCATTATCCGACGTCACTTCACGATCAGAACAATCAAAGAAACGTGGGACGAATAATTTACATCGACCATGGCGACACTCAATCTCCCATCATCATCTAGCACACGCTTCGACATCGCCCTCGACCACGACAGTTCGACAATTTAATCCTGGCAAACAACGCCTTCGACTCTTCATTGCTGCTGGGCTATCATGGCTGGTGACCGTCTTCTTCTGCCTAGTGCTAGGCCTATGTCTATGGGGCTTTTCGCAACTTCTGCTCATGAAAGTCTGGCAAGTCAAAATGTTCAACGCCCTGATCGTCCTGGCTTCGCTATGGCTGGGCAATAATCTTTCTGGCAGCCTCAAGGACTATGCACTCATGGCTCGATGGCGTTTCCTCGCCATGAAAGCCCGCCCGATCCGGGAAGCCGACCTGCTCATGCACTGCGAGTCCCTTCGCAAAGTGCTAAAGCTACTTTGGACGGCCAGACCTTCTTCAGGCTGGGGCATCAGTACCACTCAGCTTGGCTGCATCGTCTGGCTGAGCATAAATCTGGCACTAGCTGTCCTAGTAGCGCTCCTGGGCTTGACATACAACATCGACACATCGCTGTACCCGGAGCTACGGTATGGTCTCGTCAGTATAGCTAAACTAAACACGATTCGCGACGTCTGGGGTGCCGAGAACCCATCATTCAGCGCACAGCTTGGCGCTGCGAATAGTTTCGGCATACAGGGTCAAGACTACAACTTCACCGATGGCCCTGTGCCGGGTCAGGACGGCCTTCACGTTTGGGGTAGTCCCTACACTCCCAACATCTACGCCAACGAAGACTGGACCGAAATGCGCTACTACTTCATGGATCTCAATACTGAGAACCCGAACCTGAGCGTACTAAGCAAGCGCTATGTTGCTGTTCACGGGAACTGCACACAGTATCCAATTGTCAGCGGCGGCAATGGTACTAACACTCGCATCACTTATACCGATCTGCGGACGAACGAGAACGTAGTACTCGATGCGGTTCGGGTAGGTCCAGGTGCCGTCACGTACATTTCCGCGCTGAATTCGACTTGCGGTCCACGGTGCAGCGAGATCTTTGCCCTCCAGTCGGGCGGCGATGACATCATCACTGAGCCATCATTTTATCACTGCAATGCCACTATCACGCCAGTCCAAGGGCTCGAGTACTACACTTCAGCGGCTGAAAATGCCACAGCTGCCAAAGAATACGAGCTCCCCGACGATCAAGCCCGCATCATGGCCGGGGCGATTGGCTGGACTGGCTTCAACTTCACTGCAGACGACCAATATCAGTATGTTCGCTACACAGTCGATAGCTGGTGGTCGCCGAACAATCCCACCAACGTCAGCCAGATGGCAGGTCATATCATGGAGTTCGCAATTGAAGCGGTAGCGGCGCTAGATAACAACGGTGATCGAATCCTCACGCAGGGCTGGTATCCCGTACCCAGTCAAATCGTTAATGTGGAGTGGAAGTGGGCGGCTATCTTGTTGGCTGTGATACCTGGATTACATCTATTGGCGATGTTAATGGTGGTCAGTTGGGCGGGCAAGGCCATCATAAGAGACGAAAGCTGTATCTCGGTGGCGAAACTGTGGCGACCTATACTTGGCAGACTGGGTGATCACGGCTGTCTGTTGACAGGAGATGAGATCTGCGAGCATCTGGGGGACATCAAAGTCAGGTATGGTGTGATGGATGGGTTTTCCAGGAGCGGCAGCCGGAGCCGGGAAAATGACATCGCCCAAGGGCTGAGATTCGAGAATGAGATCGTGGGTCCTCATGTTCGACATGTGGGAATGATCGAGGAGAATGACCTTGCTGGTGATGAATCAGCGGCGACTGGTGGGATCAGGAGAGCTAGTATTTGGCAGAAGACGCAGGTTCATTTCCCGGAAGGGCTGTATGATGGAGCTGGATACGCTGAAGCAGGAAGCTCGGAAGACACCGACGACGACAGCAGATGCAGGAGGAAACTGCCAAAAACGGTATGTGTCAATGATAGGAGGATCGAAATGAGGCAGAAGCTGCGATTGCGGAGGCTGAGGAAGAAGGGGAAAGCGTGATCTAGGTATACGGCTCATGCAACCCTCATTTGCTGCGATTATTGCTGTCATGTTCAGAGCCCTCCCCAGCGATTTATGCTGAAGTGTACATGTAGGCGCTCGAATCGTGTGCCGACCGTTGACATCAATCACTCCATCAGCACACCCCCTCTGCTAGGCTTTGGCAGGCGGCCTCCAGGCTTGCCTCTGAGGCTATGAGTCTGGCCATCAGATCACACCCGATACGCCAAGCTAAAGGCTCGTGTCTTTCGGTGGCTTCTTTCGACTTTCCTGTTCTGAGAATCTCGTCTTTCAGATACTCGTGAACGACGGCCCTTCGAAAAGAGTCCTCGGGGAGGGTACTGGAGAAGAGTTTCTCGAGAATCTCTGGCTGAGGTTCACGGTCCCGGAAGTCCTTCAATTTCCTCAATCGTCTCATTCCCTGACGCTTCGCCTTCGCTTTGAGACTCGGAATTCCAAACTTGTCTGCCGCCAGATACATGTTAATGTGATGTTTGAACCTCTCGTCGGCAGTCTCTAGTGACTTCGCAAGGTATTGTGTAGTTGCATCGCTCGCGGGCGCGGGAGGAAGTACCACTGTGTATGGTATGAGCGGTTTTGAGATCGTGTACGACTTCATGTAGATCCAGTCCAGGACGTGAGCAATGACAAATGGCTCATCGTCGGGCAGAACGACGCTGTCATTGACGGTCTCCTACCAGATTCTCAGCAACACTGCGTTGTGGGTTAGGAGATCAATGAACTGACCGTGCAGGTGTTTCTCAACATGGCTTCAAAGAAGTCTGAGCTCATTACAAGCATGAACTTGTGGACTCTGAAAGTCACACGCCCGCAGCTTATCAAAAAGTCTGTGTAAGCACCCGATTGAAGGAGCCTCTTACATCGTTTTGTGCCTATTGCTGCCATGCTGATGTGCGTAGTGTCTGTAGAGTCCTCCCTGGTAGTGTTGGCGATAAAGTGGAAATATGACTGCTGTGAGAAAGTGGTGGTAGAGAAGGCGTCAAACCGGTAACAGGTTGAAAGGCGCAACCGCACGTGAAACTGAGATAGTGAAGGAAGTCTCAAGTGAATCTAAGAAACAGCAAGTGATATTGATTTTTAGTAGGAGATCAACTATTTGCTGTGCGGCTACCTGCTTGGAGATCAATTGCTCTACAGTTTAGTAGATAATGCTGTGCCTGGATCTCTCTCGTGATATGCCGGCGCGATGGAAGGCACTGGCCGTGTCTCAAAAGTCTTAGATGTCTGGAGATCTTGAAGTAGACAATCGACGGGCCCCCTAGCTCATCTCCCTATGAATTTCAACTCAAGATAGCGGAACGGGATGAATGCCAAGCTAGTCACGACGATCGTGAACTCGTTCCCAACGTCACCTCCAGCACTACCGATCAAGGCAGCCAGCGGTCCGGTGCTATGCTCGTTAGTAAAGTCGCAGCTCGGTTCGCGGCGTGTATACTTACTACCAAGTCTGCCACATACCCATGACCCAAGCGACGACTCCAAGAAGGAAGCTTGCCAAGCCGCCAGGCCTACAGGTAGTCTGCTGGGATCATTCCAGCCATCCAGATCGTAGTTCTCGATCTTTCCCTTTCTGAAGATCCAGTGCTCTGAGAAGATGATGACAAAGTATTGTGTCGACCAGTATCCCAGAATGGACAAGAAGTTCTGCAAGTAGGCGTTCAACTGATCCCTTCCGCCCAGAGCCAATCCCAGAATCACGGCAGAGCAGGCCAGCGTCCAGATGAAGCGGGGGATGCGAGAGAATGGGCGAGAGAATTGCTGGCATGAGATGGCAGAACTGTAGATGCTGATGATATTAACGTTGATCCCAGACAGTACGAGCAGCGTAAGGATGAACTTGGCAAAACCTCGTGGGTAAAGCATGTCTTGGATCAGGTAGCCCAGTCCTTGGTTCTCGTAGGCATCCTTCCAGTCAGGCCTGTTGTTCAGGGCAGAGGACACAACGCAGCCGGCGACCATGCCGATCGATGTCGGAATCGCAATGCCTACAATTTTTGTCAACTGACGTCCAGAAATCTGGATTACAAGTGGACGTACCGAAGGTCGTCATCAGGAAGACCTTGACTCTCGACACATCCGCTGGATAGTGGACGTAGTAATCCGATGCCATAGTACACCATGAAGCAGACGAGCCATAGATGATCGCAAGCAGCGAAAGCACGCTCGCTGAGAGATCGCTCCCTGTGACGGAAGCAACGGAAGTATTGTCCGCATACTTGCCGGTTTCGCCAAAGAATATCAGGAATACAACAAAGAAGATGAACCAGGCTGTGTCCACAGTCAGCTCGAGTCCGCAGGGATCCTTGACGAACGTGGTCCGAAAAGGACACCGCACGTTCAGTTTTCTCGAGTCACTCACCGTATCTCTCATACACCAGAATCGCTTTCAGACCGACGAACGAGATGAGCATGGCTACCACTCCAAGAATGATAATGCCCACGACCAGCGAGACATGACCATCCGCAACGGCCGTCAACGCTAGTCCACCTGTGATACAGCTCACGGCAGCCCATCCTATCTGCACAATCGTGTTGAGCGCTGCAGTGATCTTGTTCGGCCACCATCCGAAGCTGTACCGTGACATCGAAATCTGTCGTAGTCCGGTTGCGGCGCCGAACGTGGCGGCAAATCCCGTGATCGCGCCCCCTAGGAGAGACGCAAAGACAGTGACGACAATCGATTGCCGCAGAGTCAGTCCAAACTCCCATCCAAGGAAACCCGTTGCGAAGCAGGAGGTGTTCATGGTCCCAGAAGCCCAGAGGAGGGCCATGGTGAGTTGTTCATGCCATGGCACCGGGCGTTTCTCGTGTGGCAGCTTGCGAACGATGGCTTCAGCTTCGACACCAAGCTTAGCATCTAGGCGGGACTCGAAGCGGCGAAGCTTGGAGAGTATGCCGTTATCTTGGGTGGCGACAGCGCCGTTGTAGAGCTCGACATTGCTCTGGCGGTGATAGGGGTCCGGATGTGGCGAACCGTCGATCACAGATTTCTCATTGAGATGACTTGCGGTCTTATCGACGCCGCGCTCCTCGTCGGACGACATAGCTGCTCTTGTGACACAGAATATGGATCGTAGCAGAATACTGGGAGCTTATCGTGGTCTCGTGCTACCTGTACGATGAGAGAAAACTATATATGAAGCCGAACAGTCGGGCAGGGTCCGTCGCAGGGTCGCATTGAGCTCGAAGTCTGTCAGAGTCTAGGCGACGCTTACAGGACAGTCCAGGTAGAGTTTTATCTCAATGATTGCGTGGCAATGATGCTGATAAGGTCTTGCTCTCGTGGCTGCCCCACCTCCCCGCTTCTCTCGTTCTTTGACTGCAGCTAAGCATTTGCTTATTGCTAATAGGCAGTCAGCAGCCGAGGCTTGACCAGTATGGGAATCTGGAAACGACGGCACAGATCACGTTGATCACCGAGACTATTGTGGTGCGAGGACCTGGGAGAGACAGCAACATTGATCGATGCAAGATCAACGTAGTAGACAGCAGCGCGGAAAGTCCACAGTCGGTATCGTGAGTATCCATCAGTGCTGCTAAAGCCATTGCAAGTCTTCCTTTCACAATCTTCCGGCGGGTTCGGGAGGGCGTCAAGTCTGCCGCCCGAGCCTCACGATCTCCTTTTGCCCCAACTCTCTGGACCCTTTCTTACTCTCACCAGCGACAGCCTGCAAGCCCGCAACTACAGCAGCTCTCGCAACGACATCCGCATCCTGTGCCCACCCATCTGTCAACCACCCACCACTGACCTTCCCCAAAGCCCCTGCCACTGTCCGCGCTGCAAACTCCCCAGGCCTGCTATCCTCGCGCATCCCCACCAGCAGGCCCGGCTTGAGGATGATCGTATGCTCGAACCCAATCTTTTTGACCGCCTCGTCCAGCTCGCCTTTCATCCTCGAATAGGGCCAGATCGAGCTGACCGACGCACCGGAAGTGGAGATCAGGACATACACCGTCGCGCCAGCGTTCTTGGCGGCCTGAGCCAGCGCCACGTTGAGGTCATAGTCGATCTTGCGCTGGTTGGCAAAGCTTCCGGCTCTCCGGGCTGTTGTGCCCAGTGCGGAGAAGAAGACTCTCGCATTCGAAGGGTATTGACTGTGCCAGGCGGAGGTGTCGATGTTGGAGATGTAGCGCACCTTTGGGCTGCTTGCAGGTTTAACGGACGTTGTTGCTGGGAGGTTGTCTCTGCGCGTGTAGGCGTACACCGAAGAGATTTCGGGATGGGCTGCTAGGGTGGTGAGGATGTGAGAGCCCTAAAGGTCGTAAGTCGGCATTTGATGGCAATGTGCAATCAGGGCACACCAACCACTAAGCCCGTGCTACCCACAAGACAGGCCGTGCTGGCCTTTGACGTTGCCATTTACGTCCCAACGAAGCTTTCACCCGTGACAGTGAGCTGCTGTGCGACCGGATACCGTCAATATCGGGCGCAGCGAAAGATCAGGACAGAACGTTTGAGATTTGACAAAGAACACAGATCATGCAAGTCTTCTGGCGGGAAACAGGCGGCAGCTTCGAGAGCCGACCCCGAGACGGCGACATGACGCATTCCGACCATGGCGCGGATCTCATGATGCATGATGCCGTGACATCTGGTGGTCAGTCATGTAGAGTTTCTCTTTCGGGTTCTGCGGGTTTTGCGATTTCCGGCGGGTTCTGCGGCCTTTGCACGTATCGAAACTGTATTTATATCCTTGGGACCGCAGTGTCATGCGCGCCAGATCGAGGGGTGCGAAAGAATCGCTGCAGAGGTCTCGAGGCTCTACAATCCAGCAGTATATTCGTTCCAGCGCATTCTGAACAGTGATCTTGCACCCGCCTTGCACAATGGACTTTGGCGATCTCGTACAGATGAATGTCGGCCAAATTCTGCAGAGTGTGCCAGTACCTCACCAAGATTTCCGTGGAAGGACTGTGGTGATAACTGGAGCGAACACAGGACTTGGACTCGAGGCTGCGAAGCATATGTATGTCCTGAGCTCACACGTGGCGCACAGAAGTCCGATCTTTCTGACAAGCAGTCCAGCTACCGGCTGAATGCGTCTGTCGTAATTCTGGCCTGCCGAGACCTGTATAAAGGCGACGCGGCGAGACGCAAGATTCTGGACGAATGTCAAACACAGTCCGCATGCAAGCTCGAGCTCTGGCACCTTGATATGTCCAGCTTTGCATCTGTGCTCAGCTTTGGCGACAAACTCAAGACACTCCAGCGGCTTGATGCCTTCATCGCCAATGCCGCGGTGTCCACAAACGTATGGTCAACAGCGGAGGGATGGGAGTCCACTTTGACGGTCAACGTCATCTCGACGATGTTGCTGTGCTTCTTGTCACTGCCGAAGCTGTGCGAGACCGCCAGGATGACCACAGAGCCTGGACACCTGTGCTTGACTGGCACGGTTGGTCACATCTTTGCAAAGGGCAAAGCTCTCGTCAAGTCAGAGCCGATATTTGAGTCCCTGAACGACCCACTCACGGCCGACATGACCGATAGGTACCACCTCAGCAAGCTGCTGCTCATACTTTGTTTCCGAGCGCTTTCTGAGAAGCTGGGAAAGCCAGGGCACATGATTGTTAGCTATGTGAACCCAGGCTGGTGTCAGACGGAGTTGTTCAGAACCGACGATGGCGGCGCGGGTGGTCGTTTTGGCTTATGGTTGATTGGAAGGACCGCGGAGGTAGGAAGTCGGACGTTGGTACATGCAATTACAGACGGCCCTCATTCCCACGGCAAATATCTGAGTGAGTGTCGTGTCAAACCAGAGTCGGCATTCGTGAGGAGCAAGGAGGGTGCCGCGGTGCAGGAGAAAGTCTGGAAGGAGATGGTGAGGATCTTAGAAGGCATCAGGTCTGGGGTGACGCGACTCTGATAGTCGAAGGGTTCACTATGACGGCTTGTAGCTTTATTCAGCAAATTCCAAGAAGTCGTTATTTGTCGCATCGACCAGGAAGGAATCCCAGCTGATCATCGCATAGGTTTCTGGCAATGTCGCAAATGGTGGTGAATGATACTCAGATGAATCGAGATTGCCGTTGTGCTCATCGTTGCCGACATCTTCTGCGCGTATGTTTTCGTTGCTTAGCGGTCTGCGGGAGTCTGCCTTGTGTTTCAGACGTTCCATGGCGGTCCACAAAGGTCCGGGCTGCTCCGACTGCTTGTAGATGGCAAAAGCCCTCTCCGCAGCTGTCCATGCTCTGTCATGGAGTGTACCGCAGGTATATTGGCAAAGCTCCGAAAGAAGAATCGCCACAGCATACCACTTGGACCACGCAAACCACTTCCAGGCGGCAAATTCAGAGGTCGAAAACTTCATTGTGCCCTGTTCTAAGACATCCAGTGATAACTCCAAAATATCGATCTCCTGCTCTGGTGGTGCGCGTGTACCCAAGTATCGGTGAACTGGACGGCGAGCAAGAAGCTGCATTGTTATCAGCATGCCATCTCCCACAGCTCGTGCGAAGGCTTGGAATCTCGTGGCATTGTCACAGGATGCCAGATACTTCTGTTGTAATTCGTGAGCTGTCTCCTTTACTAACAAGAGCCGCTCGGACCAAGTCTGCACGGAGAAGGGGCGCCCATCGTCGTTCACGTGCACGTACGTGAGTCTTCTGACCACTTTCGACATATTGTAGGTCATCAGGGCAGAGTCATGTCGCAGAAGCCCAGCCTCTGCCCAGGCTCCGTGTCTGACTCAGGCGAAAAGTCGGAGTCATTCATATGAAGTGGACAGGGACCAAGTGCTGCATTGCTGATGGAACCGGAGAAGAACCCGCCGTCCAATGCTGCTTGAATCTCCAGTACGCACAGAGAGTACCATGCCCTTCTACTCATCTCTCTAGTGTATACGGAGGCCGACGAGGTGGATCTGTCCAGTCCAACCAATTGAGCAAGACGAATTGCTGTCGCTAAGCGTGCCCACACGGCTCGCCAACCTTCATTTGCTCTGAGGCCAATCTGGATTTTTTGTCAGTGGTGGCCAGGCAATTGAGGGTACAATTACCAGATAGACGATGAATGCTTGTAGGGATGGCAAAGTGGGAGCGATGTACAGGTCAGCCGCTGCGAGCAGGGCTTCCGTTTGCCTTCTGAGGCTGTGGCTTAAGAACGACCTTGATTCGCCCAGCAGATCCGAGCATTCGACATCGTCAAGCACGCACGCAGCAGAGAATTGTACAGCGGACAATATAGCTTGCTGCGCAACGCTCCGTGGTTGCGGTCCATCGGATAGCGACCTCCGAAGCGTAGGCATGTGTATCACTTTGAGTATCGGGTCAATTCGTTGCTCGTAGATCGCGAGCAAAGACGTCACTGTCGCTCCCAGCCATACGCCTTCACCGTCCAAGGTAGACTCCCTGTGAGCAGTGTGAGAAGTAACATTGGGAATCAAGCGTGGCTCGAGATGTTTATCATTATCGATAGAATCCGCCTCGTCGTTGATCATTTCTCGTATGCCCTGGACCTGGCGACTGGTCAGCTCCAGGGTGTGTATCACGATCGACAAACCTCTTCTGCTAAGGCCGACTCAGCTGGCCCTGTACAAGACTTTGTGGTGCCATGCTCCCGTTCAGAGGAGGTGGCTTTCGACTCTGCCGCTGCAGACCTCTTTGCGGCGTGCCCGTTAACCCGCTTCGAAGTACTGCCGCGAGGCAATCGCTTCCGTTTGACGACCGTACAATCCAGACCATTCTGTACGCAAGCTGTACATGGACATTGTTTATCGCACCTCTTCTTTCGCTGCTGGCACTGGACGCATGTGAGCCTTACTGCTTGCATCCTGGTGATGACACAATCATGCAATGCGAGCTAGACGTGTCAGCGATGCATGGCAGAGACATGCCAAGACCGTGCAAGCTCCGCCCAATGACAGGTCACGGTAGCCTCGACGGCGCAAACAGCTCAATGGAAACAGGCATCACTACAGCTAAGTAGTTGAAAAGAGTTCGGGACGTGATAATCAACGTTGGGACGATTGTCTACTTATCACGTGATCTACACCGACTCCAACGGCAATCGAGGGTTCTGGATTTTGGGTAGGAATCGTGAAGAGACTCATTAAGTTCCGATAATTCTGCTGGACGAGCCGCAACCTTGTCCGAACCATGGTTCAATCACTTTGTACCATTGCTTTTGGCCGACAGACCCAACTCATTGACAATGATGTCTGCAGCTTTCTCTCCTATCACAAACGCAGTGTTGCCTGTGTTCGCGCCAACATTTTCTGGTGCGATACTCAAATCGGCCAGCTTCAACCCTTTAGTCCCATGGACATTCAGGCTTGCATCAACGACACCATTCTTGTCTCTTGGTGCCATCTTGGCCGTTCCCAGGGAATGCCAGGTCGTCGAGACAATCTCGCGGATCTTCTGCTCGATTGCGGCGTCGTCTTCCTTCGTGTACTTGATTCTGCTATCTTTGTCATCTTCAGCATATAACGGACCATCAGCCTTCTCCACAACGGCCGCGGCTGAGCCAGACGGGAAGCTCGGGTGAGAACTCGCGAGCTCGCCGCGGAAAATGGGCATGCGACGCCACTAACGGAAAGGTAAGTGAGTGATCAGAGTGGGAACGCGTGACAGTAAATAGCTGTTCAGGCTCTCCAGGCTATAATAGTAATGGGTACGTACCATCTCACGCGTGACCTTATACGCCCAGACGTGTTTCTTAAGATCGATATCGTTGGCGTCGGTGAGCCAGCCCGTGTTGAAATCCACTTGATCGCCCATGGTCGGGCCTGTGACGTGGATCGTACCTCGAGAGTACGGATAGGTTGTCCAATTGGCCATGGATATGTACTCCGCGTCATCAGGCAACACAGAGTGATCACCATAGTAGCTGATGGCGTTAGAATATAAGCTAGCGCCTACGAAGCGCAGACTCGCGGTCACTTACCAGGTATAGACCGCAAGAATCATAAGCGGACGATCAGGTCTGTTCTTGAAATCCTTGTCCCAAGCCTTCCGAAACTCTGGTCCCAAAGCATCGACTTCTGCTTCCGTGGGACGGAATTTCCCCTGGGCGTCCATACCGTTCGTGCCTAGGAGCTCGTCTGAGTTGCGAATGGCTTCATTGATGTTCACACGACCATCCTGGTAGCCGTTCAGGGTCTCCTTTGGACTGAGATTAGTTCGGTACGTCCAGAGAGATAAATGATGATCCTGATAATCCTTTCCAACGCCCTGAAGCTCTTCTACGACAGGAATCTTCGCGGCCTTCAGGACCTCTGGATCTCCGAGGCCAGAGCGCTCGAGCACACCCGGCGTCGCGTTTGCGCCTGTAGACACAACGACAAGCTTTCGCGCCTTGATGGAACGAGTCGCAGTATATCCAGTGGAAAGAAACTCCGGGTTTGCTAGAGTTGTTGGATTGGTCTGATACTCAACGCCAGTCGCTCGTTTGTTCTCATCGAATAAGACTTTGACCACTTGCTTCTCGAACAGGACATGTAAGTTCGGATAATCGTTGCTGAACAGCTTCGGGTACACATAGCGATGTGCTGCATCCTGGCGCCTCCCGTTCGGTCCGATGTACTTGTAGTAACGCTCAATGGCATTGTTTGCGTCCAGGTTCTGCAGGTCTTTCGCCTCCTCATATCCAAGCTTTGCCGCAGCATCGACGAAGGCATTCTCGGCGCGACTACATACGTGCGTGCCTTTCGAGATGTTGACAGGTCCGTCGGAACCGTGTGTACTAGGGTCGCCTTTTCCGTGATAAGTCTCCATCTTCTTCAGGAACGGCATCATCTCGTCGGCAGTCCATCCAGGCGTAGCCCATGAGTCGAAGTCTGAGCGCTGAGCCCTTGTGTAGACCATCCAATTGATTGCAGAGCCTCCACCCAGCGTCCCACCAGAAGGGACTATCGGGGAGCGGCCCGCAAGCTTGTCGGACTTGCGAGTCTTCCAGAACAAAGTCACTTTGCTGTTTGGAAAGAGGTTCCGCGGATACAGTCCAGGATGCACAACCTCTGGTAGACCATAACTGTTCGGGCCCTGTTCAATGACAAGTATGGACAGGTTCCGATCGGCTTCTGCAAGACGTCCGGCAACTACACAGCCAGCCAGTCCTCCTCCAGCGATGATCACATCCACTTCCTGCAAGTCCTGTGGCAGCTTGCTGTATAGAGGCATCTTGATCACGGTGTTAACGGTACTTTCCAAAACTATGGCAGTCAGTATAGAGTATGTGATTCGACCAATGCTGATGTCCTTTTATACAGAGCAACCCCTCAGCATACTTGCGAACTTGTTCGTCATCTGTAAGCTTGTTCGTATACTCCGCATTGTCTTTCGTCAGCGACATCGTTGGAGTCATGGACAGCAAGCCCTTCATCCGACCAAGGCATACTCCAACATCAAGGCTTCCCGTTCGATGCCCGAGCAGAGGCATGCAAGATGACGAGTAACGAGACTGGGCGTATTGCGGGGTCTCCACGTAAGCGCAATGATCCCGGTCAATATCTCCAACGGCAATACGATTGTCGCTGTGTTCCAGAGGATTTCGTACGAAGCAAGTCGCTGATCCGGCGACGGCTCGGAATCATCATATGGGGGGGCGTAAGTCAGGGGCGAAAGCTGGACACCCATGACAGGTGGTCCGAGGTCATAAGCAGCCTCTGCCAAGCTGCCGCACTGGTCTTGGTACCTTTTCGCCATCGGAGCGCGTCTGGTTGTCCCAGACCTTCTTCTCTTTGCTCTATACGTGGCAATACAACAAGTACAGCTGAGGTCTCGTGGGCGCGGCAAGATTGGGAGCACTTCCACAGACCGGACCGGAAACTGTCGAAAGCTTTCTGGTATCATAGCAGGTCCCGCTTCGGTGCGCTGATCTTACCTCAAAGCCGTTGTCAGCCATACACATCGACGTGTTTCTACAGCGCATTGGCTGCTCAGTCGCTTGGCTGCTCGTTAAGATCTGTGCATGCGGCCGCCAGCCAAAAGGAACCAGTGATGCTCATATGAAGAGGCAAGATGTCAACTCGAGGTAAGTCGCAGCTTTCAAACGCGCGGTGAATTAGGTATCGGCGGCGCCGGTCCACCGCCAAGAGGCAGCTCCATGGACCCTTACCGGAGAAAAGAGCCCTTTTGGGTCGGAGCGTGCTCCCGAACTATTGACCCTGAGGAATTGAGACGCTCGTCGGCGCTGATTTTTTAGCACTGTGCAGCAACACAAGTTCTTTTGACTAGGGGATTGAACAAGATCACACTTCGAGCAGTGGGGTCAGAAGTCAGATATGCCACATGCAACATCGCCGCCATCAACGTCCGCGTCACCTGAAGACGCCCATTTCTATGTGAATGATGGTCAGCTTGATTCCGATCAGTTTGGATACCTCAAGCCCACTCATATCGACACGCCTCTTGCTGAAGTGCGCCGTCGGTTCGCCGAAGATGGCTACGTGTTTCTGAAGGGCATTCTCCCCCGAGATGACGTGCTCCATGCCCGTTCAGAATACTTCAGGCTTCTGTCGCCGTCTGGTGTGCTGGCGCCCGACTCGATACCCGCGGAGGGCATCTTCAACCCGTCTTCCAACCCGCTAGACTATCCTGGCATAGGCGCTGGACAGTCTGACGCCAATGGCCGTCCCACTGGACCAAATCCCGAGGTCGCAAATCAGTTCGTTGATTTGGCACTGAAAGCTCATTCTGAGAAGTGGTACAAAGATGACTTCTGTCGGCATCCTGCCCTAATTGATTACATTGCAAAGTTCACAGACTGGGGAGCGGAGAACACGATACCAATCAAGAGGACGCTTCTAAGGAACAACACGCCCGGGAACAATGCAATCGGCGTACACTATGACCAAATCTTTCTCCGACATGGCGAGGATACGAGCGTCACGGCGTGGGTTCCAATGGGTGATATCTCGTTGCACGGTGGAGGCCTGATCTATCTGGAGAACGGCCACAAGCTGGGTCGGGAGCTTGAGCAGAACTTCACGGCTCGAGCTAAGGCAAGCGGCTTGACCGATCAAGAAATGAAGGATGCCTTCAACCGAAACATGATGTCTGGTGGTATCTTGAGTCAAGGAGCGAAGCAATTTGCGAAGGACAATGGGAATAGACGGTGGCTCCTGGCGGAGTACGAGGCAGGCGATGTGGTATTGCACAATGCGTATGCTATCCACGCGAGTTGCATCAACAAGGACCCGAAGGGCAGGATACGTGTCGGCACAGACTTGAGGTTTGTCGATGGGAGCAAGGAGTGGGATCGGAGGTGGGACAAGGTGTACGAATTTGCGGATGGAGTCTGAGCAGGTTATAGTAGAGTCCAGGTGCTGCAGACGTGTCGACTAGAGCACCATGCGGCTCGATAAACACGTCGATGTCAGTCATAGATTTCAAATGAGATATGAGCGGCCTTTTCAATTGCACTCTTGAGAGTGTGACAGAAGGTAAAGTACATACCTAGGTATGTGACAAGTACTGAGCTCCAGGTGCCTCACAATATTCTGCTAGGGCGGACTGTACGGACGCGTTGATGCGCGTCTTTGGGTAAGGCTCCACTATGAACAACTGCCTGAAACTTCGAGTCGACGTTCACGGCTGGATGACATTCGACATTCGATTCTTCTGAGAACAGATGGAGATGCGGTGTTGACCGGCGAGCAGCATGATGTATGATGGCTGCAGTCAGCGCTCTGGGGATTCGAAGAGGCGATGCCTTCGATCCGCCACAATCGTCCATGCTGGCAGTACGACTTGCAAGGAATGATGAGCCGCTTCATTTGAATCAGGCTAGCTTCAACCAATTGCTGGAAGAATCACTCGGCAACGACGAGAACGACCAGCCGAATCTCGGATCCGATGTGGCCGTGAATCTCAAAGTCATCGAAATCGTCATCAAGGCTGGTGTCGATTCACACCTGCGCACCACGAATGACGATCCGTTTCGAGCAAACGGTCACCAATTGGCAGACCATACTCAATTTCTGATATGTCTGCAAGTGATCAAGACAGCAGTTGAACGCTCGCCGGGAGTCCTCTTCGCCCGCACTATCGCTTCAACGTACGGCAAAGAGGCAGGCGAGGTACCGCTCTATCTTTGGCTCCTTCCCAGGTTGATCACAGCTCTTGCGCCTTCCTCGCCCAGCGACAAGGACCTTACTGTGTCCCAACTACTTTGCACCTGTATTCAGCATGCGTCTGGCGATTTGTCGAGTTCGAACAGCACGGGTGTCGCAGACTTCCTCCTCGGCTGCATTTCCGTCCTAATCCCTTACGGCTCACGAATACTGTCACGGGGCAATGGCCCACTGCCCGATCTTGACGACGATGCCTTTAGCCAGCGTCTTTGGAGGATTCGCGCGTTCTGTCATGGACTTGCCTCCAGGTTCAATTTCAAATCCGGTCATCACCTCCTCCATGCCGCCACAGTCGTCTTAAAGATCTTGGCTGGCATGCACAAAACGCCAGACATTGCGGCACAATTCCGGAAGACTCTACAGCTGCTGCAAGACACTCTGGACGATTTGCCAGAGTTGGTATCTAATGGAGACGGCATAAGTCAACTTGCAGAGGAAGTGGACAACTTGGGTATTCAAGTTCCGGTTGAGCAGTCTTTCACCGAAACAGGTGGCGGAGACTTAGAATGGCCTGATAGTGACCGAGCCCGAAAGCGGCCCAGGCTGTCGGACACTGACCATACTGACAAGCCACTTCAGCCATCTGTTCAGCAACAAATCATGCGGAGACTCACTCTCAAGCTGACGGGCACTGCGGTCGACGATCTGGCAGGACTAAGTACAGCTGCTCTCCCAGCCTTCAAGAGCGCAAGTGAGACTCAGCAAACCAGTGCGTTGAATAAATTGGCGACAGCTCTCTGTAAGATCTGTCAAGACAACAGTTCTGCTGTCGACTGTGCAGCCTGTGATGGCGAGAGCGATATTCTCGGTGGTTCTGATCCTGCGGCGGTCGAAATCTTGAATACATTGCTGGCAATGATACCTCTTCTCAAGCGCAACTCGCGTGCGCGACTTTCCGCCATGACCGCCCTCAGACGAGTGCTCCTACACCTTCCGCCTTCCGAAAGGCTGAGCCTGAGTTCAACTGCTGGCGAGTGGACCCTTCAATGCCTCAGAAGTTCCGTGAGGGATCTAAGATTGTGTGCAATCTCTGTTCTACAAATCTATGTGATGCCTCACAAGAATTACCCGACGACTAGAGACAATCGTGTAATTGCTCTGGACTTCTTGCAGAGCCTGTGGGACACTGGAGATGCCGCTCTGCAAGAGACGGCTGTACTCTCACTGACGAGAATGGCACAAGTCACAGGGGACGAGGAACTGAACATCGTATTGCTGCGACTAGTCGAATATCTAGGCCACAACAATTCTTACATCAATGCGCTCGTCTACGAAGAGATTCAGCAACTGGCACAGCATAAGCAAATCACCACGGACGTGATGTTTCGCCCGTTCAAGCGGACGCTAGGCCTTGTCGTTGCCAAAAGCATGTCGCGAAGCCATTCATCGTTGAGCAACTCTGCTCCTTACTCGGTATGCAGCCATCTGTACTCCTGTTACTCATCGAGGAGTATGCCTTACCGTATTTGGTTTTGCAACAGCGGCGGGACATGATTGAGCAATTCGCTGCTGCACATGGCTCGTCAACTACTCTTTTCGATGTGTGTACGGCTCCCAGGAATTCCGAAGACTTCAGAAATCTCTCGGCTATACTGTCGCACCTCCTGGTACAAGGTTACCCAGACCCAGAGGAAACCATCATGAAGCTCTTGATCGGTGTCTCGGATGACTTTGCAGCAGAAGATCTTGGTGGATGGCTCAATCATGATCCAATTCAGACTGCGTGCACGTTGCTCAAATGGATGGGTGACGCAGCGGAGGGGAAGTCTTCTCGGAACTACCAAGCGCTTCAGTTGTTGGCAGCCGTTCTGCTGCGTAAGCCTGGACAGCAATCCTCATCATCCTCGCGACGCGCGGAGACCCTAGGCATCTTTCTAGAAAATCATGCCTTGGGGATCGTATCTCACTTCACCGTTCTGCTCAACGACATTCAAGAGCCAAAGATCGAGAGAAAGCGAAGCATACTTGCGCTGGGGGAGACTGTCAGGTTAGGAAAGGGCAGAATCGTAAAAGCTCTGCCACAAATATGTGGCTGTTTACGGGCAGCCCTTCCTGACAATGATCTATGTGACGCTGCCTTTAGCTCGTGGACTGTCATCATGCGGTCCCTGAAGGAGGAAGATATCATGCCACTCGTCGACCAGACAGCCGCGATCATCGTCAAACACTGGGAGCAGTTCAATTCTGCGTCGCAAAAATTGGCCCACGATGTAATCGCCGAGCTACTCAAGAACCACACAAGCATGATGCGGGAAATATTCGAGACGGTCCCATCGTTTGCTCACATACCGATGCTTAGCAAATTTGAAGGCGAGATCAAGTCACTCAAACGGCAAATGGACGAGAGACATGCGCTCAAAGCCTTTATCGACCGACTGGAAGACGAAAACGAGATCGTCGTCGAGCAAACTCTGAAGGAGCTCACTCAAGCATTGCATCAAAAGCAGACTTTCCTACATCGCTCGATACTGAGCGAGAAACCAGATCATCTCGTGGTCGATATCACCCGAGCCCTACTGGATGCATGCGTGAGGTTTCCTGCTAATACAGCAATCAGCGGATTGTGCGGTCGGTGTATAGGGACCATCGGCTGTCTCGACTCGAATAAGCACGAGAGCAATATCGACCGAAAATCGATCGTCGTCACGACAAACTTCTCCAAGACTGAGGAGACCGTGGACTTCATCATGTACTTCCTCGAGCACATCCTGGTGAAAGCGTTCCTATCAGCATCCACCACACGAGCTCAGGGCTTCCTAGGTTGGGCTATGCAGGAGCTACTAAGCCTCTGTCAAGACGAAGACAGTACAGCGTCACGCGTAAGAAGTGGCCCAAGCACCGCATACCGAAGATGGAATGACTTGCCGGAGCATATCAAGAACACGCTCGCTCCGTTTCAGACTACGAAGTACCGAGTGCAGGAAATGCGCAAGCCTGAGAAGTGTCAATACCCTTACTTCGAGCCTGGACTGGCGCATAAAGACTGGTTGCGCAGACTGGTCGCAGATTTCCTGCATCGTGCTTCTGGCAACAACGTCAAGTTGATCTACGGGGTCTGCAGTCGCATCATCCATGGTCAGGACCTGGCCATTCCGTCTTTTCTCCTGCCATACACTGTCCTCAGTCTAGTCACCAGTGGTATAGAGAGGGACCGCCAGGACGTGTTGACAGAGATATTGAATGTACTCAAGCAGCCGCTAGTTGGACACAGTCGTCGTGTACAGGAAGAAATAAAGTCATGCAGCCAGAGTGTCTTCGAAGTCCTTGACTACTTATCTACATGGCTACAGAAGCGGCGCAGGAGCTGCATGGTACCGGCTATGAAAAACGATAGCGCTGCTGCCTCTGTGATTTTACAACTAGCACAAGAGCAGATACGTTGTGTGGAACATCTCCTTGGTCAGATACCGCCTGACCTGATATCGCAGCGCGCCATTGATTGTAGATCCTACGCTCGTGCCCTCTTCCACTGGGAGCAACATGTTCGGAGTGCGGGCACAGCAGAAACTCAGGACTCCGACCTTGCTCGAATGCAAGACATTTATGCTCAGATTGACGAGCCGGACGGCATAGAGGGGCTCTCAGCGAAGATGAACTTTGTCAGCGTTGAGGGTCGCGTCCTGGAGCACAAGAAAGCTGGACGCTGGACCACTGCACAAGGCTGGTATCAGATGCATCTCACCGAGCACCCAGATGATATGGAGGCGCAGCGAAGTCTCTTGGAATGCCTTCGAGAATCTGGACAGCATCATATGCTGCTCGATCGTTATGACAATCTCCCAGACGAGCTACCAAAAGGGCAGCTGAAACCATTCGCGGTTGAAGCTGCGTGGGCGACGTTCAAGTGGAAAGAGATGTCGCATCTGGTCTCCGTTGCGCCCAACGATGACTTTTCTGGTTCTCTGGCCAAGAGCCTGCTATGTGTACGAGAAGGAAATGATGAACAGGCTTTGCATCTGCTTGAAGACATGTACAGATCGACGGCCATGGAGTTAACGCCGACTGTGATTACTTCGCTAGAGAACAGTCACGACACTTTACGCAGGCTGCACACCGTTGAAGACCTGCGGCTTCTGTGTACGGCGACAGCAGAGGATAAAGCTGAATGTCTCAAAGTCTTGCAAACACGACTTGACGTATTGGGCTCTAACGTCCGTGACAAGCACTATCTGCTTACCGTGTGGCGAGCAGCGATGAAGATCCGTTCAGACATCTTCAGCGAAAGCGACATTGCATCGACATGGCTCACGAGTGCTCGTCTAGCACGCAAAGCCAGAGCATCCACACAAGCGTTCGATGCCGTACTCGCAGCGACGGCGTTGGGGGACAAATCCGCATCCATTGAGGAGGCAAAGCTCATCTGGCAGGACGGCCAACCGCGGAAGGCTATACAGATGCTTGAGGGTGCCATAACGTCAGGAGCTTTCACTGCGCACAACTACATGACTGAAGACGGATCAGTCAGTCTGACGACGGAGCAGCAGAACTATCAGAATGAGCTCACGGCCAAGGCATATCTACTGAAAGGCAAATGGCTTGACAGAGCCGGTCAAACCTCGTCCGATCAGATCAAGAACACCTTCCGCAAATCAACCGAGAACTTCCGCAAGTGGGAAAAGGGCTGGTACTACCTTGGGCGGCATTACAATAAGCTTCTGGACTCTCAGAAGATGATGCCACCAGGCAAAGAGTCTCAACCCTATCTCACTGGTGAGTTGGCTAAATTGGTGATCGAGAACTACATGCGCTCCTTGATGAATGGGAGCAAGTTCATCTTTCAGACATTGCCGAAAGTCCTCACTTTGTGGTTCGAACTAGTCGCCGGCGCAGATATCCCGGCAGATCCGCGTCGCGGAAACGACAAGTTCCTTCAGCACAACAACGCGCAGCGGAGGAAGGTCATCGAGGAGTGTAACAAATATATCCAGAAATATGTTGACCGCATTCAAGCTGCAGTGTTGTACACGATTCTACCACAAGTCACAGCTCGGATCTGTCATACTAACACTGCGGTCTACACCATACTGACAAGCATCGTGGTCAAGATCGTGCGGGCGTATCCTCATCAAGCGTTGTGGTCGCTCCTGGCGGTGTCAAAATCACAGTCGAAGGATCGTCAAAGTCGAGGGCTGACAATCATCTCCAAAGTCGTTGAGGCACAGAAGAAGCAGAGCTCGACCGCTGCTACGCCGTCCGAGCTACGGAGTCTCATCACCAGTGGCCAGCGATTCGCAGACGAATTGCTGCGGATCTCAGAGTACCCGCTCGAAGCGAAGACTAGCAGAGTTAGCCTGGCGAAAGACATGGGCTTCAACCACAAGATCGCCCCTGTACGACTCGTCGTCCCCTGCGAGTCGTGTCTGACTGGCGCAATTCCCTCATCCTACGACAGCGCCTACCTCAAGACCTTCAGAGCCTTCGACAAGGACGCAGTAACGATCCACTCCTTCCTCGACGAAGCACTCGTCCTTTCCTCCCTCCAGAAACCCCGCAAGCTGACCATCCGCGGCTCCAACGGCCAACTCTACGGCGTCCTCGCAAAGCTAAGGACGACTTACGCAAGGACCAACGCCTGATGGAGTTCAACACGATGATCAATCGCTTCCTGAAACGCGACGTCGAAGCCTCCAAACGCCGCCTCTCGATCCGCACCTACGCGGTCGTACCCCTTAACGAGGAGTGCGGCCTGATCGAGTGGGTAGACAACCTCAAAACTTACCGGGACATCATCCTCAAACTCTACAAAGACAAATCCATCACGCCCAACTACGGCGAGATCCGCACCCTGCTTGACGAATCCAGCTCCGGTGGACCCGACCGGTACCACATCTTCACCGATCGCATCCTCACGACCTTTCCGGCCGTTTTCCACGAATGGTTCGTCGAGGCCTTCCCGGACCCAGCAGCCTGGTTCGCCGCCCGCCTGCGCTACACGCGCTCCTGCAGCGTCATGAGCATCGTCGGCCACGTCCTCGGCCTCGGCGACCGCCACGGTGAGAACATCCTCTTCGAAGAAGACAACGGCTCCCTCATGCACGTCGACTTCAACTGCCTGTTCGACAAGGGGCTCACCTTCGAGAAACCCGAACACGTCCCCTTCCGCCTCACGCACAACATGGTCGACGCCATGGGCCCGCACGGCTACGAGGGCCCCTGGAGAAAGTGCTCTGAGCTGACCCTTGCGTTGCTGCGTAATAACGAGGACGCGCTGATGACGATTCTGGAAACGTTTTTGCATGACCCGACGACGGACTTCTTGGAGCGGGCGAACAGGAAGAAAAAGGCGATTCCGGGCGTTCCGAATACGCCGATGGAGGTGCAGGAGAGTGTTAGGGGGAAGGTCAGGGGCTTCTTGCCCGGAGAGAGTGTTCCGTTGAGTGTGGCCGGGTACGCGCAGGAGATGGTGCGGCAGGCGACGGATACGGGGAATTTGTGTCGGATGTATATTGGGTGGTGTGCTTTCTTTTGAAAGGGTGGGTTTGTGAGCATGTGGAATATGGGTTATGTCAGACGTTGGGCCATATATTTTCCATGCATCCAACGGCAGCATGTGGTTTTAGGAGTGATGCAGCCACCAGTAGGGAGCAGGTGTTTTCTACAAGAATCAATCCTACCATAGTAGCAGCTCCAGTGCAACAGACTTGGCCCAAGCCGGTTGACCCAACGTCTCAAGCATTTCGCGGCGCCGGTCGACAGCCTGCAGAGGCATCTTTGTGACGCCGGATGACAAGCCTTGGAGGATGGTCGCTATCGTTTAGCCTCGATCTACACAATATTCAGCTCCTGCCAGAGTCCGGCGGTAGCCGTAGACCACCGAGTAGCGTCGTTTCTGAGTTGGCCGTAGCTGGGACGTTGAGTAGAAGCGTGTACTAAAACCTTGTGACTAGGGAGAGTCGTTTCATGGGACATCTATATCCTGAAGGCAGAAAGCATGTCCCATCCGATAAAGTTGTAGACTATTTCTCACTACGACTTCAAGATGCCAGCATAGACCACCGGCAAACGTCAGAGTACCATTGGAATCGAGCATAGCGCTCGCCTCGCTTGCCCGCCATTTGCCCTGCTCACCACCCTCCTCAACGTACCGTCGCCCAAACCAGCTCCCCTATAGCCTAGCCACTACTAACAGGCGGCACAACCCCAACCTCATCCCCTCTCCTGATCACAACATCGCCATCCTCTTTTCCTTCCACTCCCCCTACCTTCGTAACACTTCCCTCGGAATCAACCTCGAAATCAACATACTCCAGATTCACCGTGATGGCACTACTGCGCAGCACTTTCTTCTTGATCCCCGGAAAGTGGGACTCTAGCGTGTTGAAGAGTTGTGGGAGGGTGGTGGGTGCGGGGAGGGAGAGAGATTCGAGGTTGTTGCAGAACGTGGAGGCGGAGGCGAAGAGGAGGAGGTTGAATGTTCCTTCTGAGGCCCCGGATGTGGTGGTGGGTGAGAGTGAGGTTGACGCTGCTGTTACTGGTATCGAAGTTGAGTCTTGAGTTGCTTTGTGTGCAGGTGCTGTTGATAAAGGCATGGTGGTGTCTGCTGCCGCGGCCATCGTTGGGCGGTCTCCGGCACCTTTCTCCCCTCAGCCGCAGTTAATTAGCGTCAAGGGTGCCTCGCGCGATGAGATCCAGTCCTCCGAGACAGGTAGGCCCGAACTTGCTATCTCTCGTAGCTATTCTGCCAAGTCCAGATTGCTTCAAGTATGTGAAAGGTTGTCCAATCTGATCGACTCAGCTGGCCCACTGTGGGTGACCAGTCGACAATCGACTTCTCTGTGGAGCACGAGCGTGGCGACGGGAGTATAGCGGTCGGATCGTGATTTTTAAATAGAGTTGTCGCTGGCTACCAGGAAATACATGCTAGTGAAGGACGACTGCAGAAAAGGACAGAGACGAAGTATACCGCTTACGTAACCGGTCGAAATTGTCGAGTCTGTCAGATCGACCAAATGGAGGAACATGATTCACGGCGTCCGCTTGTAATGATCAACCACGAGGAAGGGCAACTATTGAGATTTTACTTTGGTGAGGTATCTTATTGTGCGTATCATCAAATCTGAGGGTTCTTTTCTGTACTACAGACGCCCGCTTCTTCAGTAGAAAAAGTTATTGACCATGACACCTATCTAATACCATGAATCTCTGCCAAACCCACGACAAAGTCCTCCGTGCGAATCTGCCGGATATGATGCTCATGTGAATTGTTACACCAGTCGAATGAATATTGGGATGTCCCAGAAACAAGCTGATGCAAATTTAGTGCTCAAGGATACGCAGAGAACCCTGGACCACGCAGTTCTCGAGGATGGATCCGGGCGGGATGTCGATGGTGCTGTTCTCGGTAGCCACAATGATGACTGTGCCCTTGAGAACGATACCACGGCCAAAGTTGACATCTCCGGTGACTGTGAGATGATCAAGCTCAACGATGTTGGGGATGCTTCCAATTCGCTTCTGAAATTGAGCCACCTTCTTGAAGTCGCTGCCGAGCTTGATGAGAGGAGCTGGGCCAAAACGGCTAGGATCGATAACCAGTTGACCATGGCTGAGTGTGTAGAGGTTGGACTTGACGAGCATGAGATCGGAGCAAGTCTTGACGGGCAAGAATCGTCGACGAGGTACGTTGACACCATGTGCATTCTTGAAATGACGGATAGCCGCACCAACAGCTGTCTCGAGTTGGACGATGCTGAGATCAGCCTCACCCTTCTGGTCGGCGGGAATCGACTTCTCGTTGGGGATGATCTCCATCTCGAGCTCGTTGGCCTCAACCACACGCTTGATGGCACGGAGATTCATCCAGATGTTGTTGGTGTTGAAGTACTTGAACTTCTTGATGGACTTGAACTCGTTGACGTACTGCTTGGGAACCTGGGCAATTTCGAGCAGACGAGCCTTGCCCTCGTAGTCGATGATGGTACCACCCTTGACGTCGGCCTTTGTCTTGTCGGTCAATTCCATGATGTATTCAGCCTTGGTCTCAACCATGTGCTGCAGAATGCGGAGATCCACAACAGCGCCCAGGTTGTCGGCATTTGACAGGAAGATGATCTCGACGCCTCGCTCAAGCAGCTGGTCGAGAATTCCGGAGTTGTAGAGAGACTCAAACACGTCACCGTGTCCTGGTGGGTACCAGTCTGAGATCTTGGAAGAATATGATTTTGGTGCAGGGAGGAGAGAATCCTTGAGGACACGAGGGTATCGCGACTGGTTGAATGTGAGAATGTCGATGTTGTGGCCTTCGTACTTCTTGATGATGGATGCGGTGTCATCATCAGTATTGAATGAGTTCATGAGCACGAATGGCACGTTGACGTCGTAAGTGCGGTTGAGATACTCGATTTGTCGGACTGACAGATCGAGGAATGACATGCCATCTCTGACCTCGATGACTGACTTTGGACCAACGCAACCCATGGAAGTACCAAGACCACCGTTGAGCTTGACAACAGCAAGTTTGTTTAGGAACTCGACTGCGTCACTGTTGGGAAGTTTGTCATAGTTGACGACCTGCTCTGGTGCAGGAGGGTTGATCTTGCTCCAGTCGATTGAGTTGCCCTTGGCCTTGTCATTCAGATATCTGCGGAAGAGAGCAAAGAAGTTGTCCATCTCAGCCTCGAACCGCTTCTTCTCGGCGGGATCGTTGCAGGACTCGGCGAGGTTGTTGAGTGCATTGCGCATCTGGCTTGCAGCAACATTGGTAGAGGTGTTCTCGAAAGCCTGGTGGGTTGAAACTTTGGTCAGCGGATGGTGCATTATGACGGCTTCTGAAGTAGCTGTGGGATCAAGGGAGCCCATCGTGCAGTTTTGAAGAGTTGGACTCTGGTCGCAAGGACAATGACAAGCGAGAAGCGGGATGAGCATGAACGAATTTCATGGTAGCTCTTGCCAGCGGACTTGCAGAGGTCTTGAGGTGCTCAAATTGCAGTCAAGTCCATAGTGACTGCCGCAAGTGACGAGTGCATGGTCCGAGCGTTCGAACCCGAAACAAAGGTTTGGGTTCTGATTTTGGCTGGTCGAAAGCAGACATGAGGGGCATCGAATTTGTGCAGGAACAACAAGGGATTGCAACTCACCACATGACTTTGAGATTTGCCGTGATGCCGCTCTGCTGCTGGAGCACCGGTGCCATTGCTGGCTGCAGCTGCTGGTCGGAGGTGCGAAGGAATTGCTTTTGAAGCCATTGTGAGAGATCTGTAGTGGGGAGAAAAGCAAGTCAGTCAGAGGCTGCGGCTCGAGATATAGCAGTGAGCAGATAAAGATTTGACACCGATATGCCGGTGATCAAATACGGCAGGAGACGGAGGCGTGGCCACGGAAAGGATATCTGTTGGCCACGAAAGCCGTGAAAGCAATAGTGTGATTGATGAGGCGGTCAGGACTTACCACGGTAACGAAGGTTGAACGGTATGTGGAGATCTGGTAGTTGCGACTAGGTTGTCGATAAGAGCTCGAAGGAGTGATATGCCGAACAAGCTATTGACGCTGACACGAAAGTACAGCAGCCTCAGAATTACGTTGAAGGGAATCGAGATGAACGTGCAGTGGAAATGCAAAGTGAGCACTTTCCAATGTTTTATAAAAAGTTGTCGGCGGCGAGCAACGTGCCTGCTGCGGGGAAACTCAGAGTGCTGTTGGGACAATATTGCTCAATTTTTTCTGAGACAGGGCAACTACGACGGTATGATGCTACAAGCTCGTGCACAGGCTGACCCTACATGATTCGCTTCGTGTTGGCTTGCGCAATTGCCCCTCCTCTCATGATCTACTTAAAGGATATCTACATACGGGCAGTAATAGAGAATTTGGGCGAGCTTGGAGCCCCCACTTCGGCCCACGCGACTGCGGCTCCCTGCGTGAAGGTACCACAGTTCTACTACAAAAGCCTTGTCTCGACTCTCGAGCCCTCGACCCAAGTGGGGAGGTCGTTGATATGCTAGCATAGTACACCGATAAAACAATCGCTGAACTTGGCATCTTCGATACCACTCTTGCGATTGACAGCTGGTAGTCGCAAACATCTGCCTACGGAGATGAAGCCCGCCGCAGCTACAGACCTACAACGGTGGCTTTGATATCACCGCTGCTTCTCTTTGTCTTGGCCTACTAAACTATTTGAAGCAATCTCTTCATGGCAGAGACTCGGAATTGTGTCAAGCCACCGTGCCAATATTTGACCCTGGGTCGTGCTATATCGGAATCTCAGCTTCCTACTAGTATGCGCAGGTTTGTCTCCCTCCCGTTCTAGAATGCAGATTGATGGGTGACACCGGGACAATCCCGCATCGCGCCCAATTAAGCATGCATGGTGTTCCATGCAGTGTTCCGGACCGTAGCTATAAATGCCGCACCGTTGGGGGTTTGGGTTTAGGCGAGGAACACCGGCGAGCACGGCGAGAATTTCGCCTCTGGAAGCCCTCTAGCGAATTGCTACAGCCTTGGCTCCTGATTGCCGCTCCTCGCAACTCTACCTACCTAGGTATCCTTGACCACAAATCTGTCAGCGGGTTGTATGCCTTGCCGTGCTCACATCGACCATGATGCTACTCATCACTCCCGTCTGAGCTCTGCATTCATGATTACAGCGACTGTCAGAAGAGCCTCTGATTTCCGCACTTGCCCCCCTTTCTCCAGCTTCTCACGAGGCGGCCTTGAGCAAAAGGTCTCGCGCTCGTCCTCGTGATGAGATCTCACTCCATGCTGGTCCATGGATCGGAGATGAATGTGAGCAGCGCAGTCATCAGGATTTGTTCGATCTTCGGCAGGCAGGCGCACCATGCATTGTGTCGAGACTCGTTTTAAGGAGAGACTTCGATCGTCTATGGGAGCACCGGCCTACGGGATCTTGAACGTCCATTGCCGGGTTCTTGTCTGTCCCGGGAGTCTCATCCACGTTGCTACCTGACAGCACCACCAGCTCTGAGCATCTACTACTGGGCAGATCTCCTTATCGGCCTGCATGCTCAGGTACATGTGGACTTCGGTTATAGCAATCCCTGGGCTGAACATGCACTGTCTCGAAGTCAAGCATCTTCAAGGTAGGCTAATGTGACAACACGTGTTTAGTGGCACGCTTGCCAGCAATTTAGCCCTGGTAAGTGTGCAGTCTGCCACAGATCCTCACACACCCCTCCGGTGAGTTCAATGACTGTATGTCCTGCCCTTGACCGAACGGACATTAGGCGTGGTCAGCTTGTGTCTTGCCTTAACAAGTCACGAGTTCCAGCCATGAATATAGAAGTCCTCTTCGTCCGGCTTATCGGGGAATCGCAATAGCAGGATCAACCGTCACTGACCGTCGCACACTCCGCCAATCGTCGATGAGATCATCATAAAGGACTACCAGTCAGGAAGCTATTTGCCGAAATGAATGGCAGCGGCGCTCACATGACGAAGCCCAAAGGTGCTCTCCTTGTGGGCTCGGTCCCTCTGACCTCGAGAGAGGAAGTCTTTCGCACTGTATCTTCCGTGCTTCCCGGCCGACTGCACAGCATCCCAGACGGTGAGACTGGCGAACGACAAAGTTTCGTCTGGTGGCAAGCAGCAGCCTTCAAGGACTACCCGGACATATCATTCGCTAAGACCTTCGACAAAGATACTCTTCTCCTCTCAGACGCCGCCCTCGACAACACTCTGGCAAAGATCGAAAGGAAGGGAGGCATCAAGACTGGCTACGACGACCATGCCCTAGCATCCTACAAGTCGTTCATCGAACTCCGCGAGGAGGGCGTCATACCTAAGGATGTCAAGTTCCAAGTCTGCCTGCCAACGCCTCTGAATGCTCTCATGATGATAACACCAGCCTATCGCGTCCGGCTTGAGCCCCTCTACACAGCGGCACTGCTGAAGGCGCTCGACAACGTTCAGTCAACCATACCAGCTGACGACCTGGTAATTCAATGGGACTGCGCTCGCGAATTCGCGCTCCTGGAGGGTCTTGAAGATCCGATCCTCACGCCAGGCTTCGACGAGTCGATGGCGGAACGTGAAGGAGCTATCAGCGCCCGCATCGCGTCGCTCGTCAACGCTGTCCACCCTGACGTCGAAGTTGGTGTGCATTGCTGCTATGGCGATAGCAAACACACACATTTTATTGAGCCCAAAGACTTAAGCATAGCTGTCAGTCTGGTCAATCTGATTGCGCAGAACGTGAGCCGTCCGATCAACTATATCCACATGCCAGTACCTAAGGACATAGACAGCCAGCCATATCTGGCACCACTGTCAACTTTGGACCATTTGCTACAACAACAAAGAACGAAGGTATATCTCGGCGTCGTTCATGCAGAAGATAGTGAAGGTACGCAAGCAAGGATTGAGACCGCATCAGAGCTGCTTGGCAAGATGGGTGTGAACTTCGGACTCTCGACAGAGTGTGGGTTGGGAAGAACTCCAGGAGACCAGATTCCAGGGATCCTGAAGCTCATGCACGATAGTACGGGCCTTCTTTGAACACCTTACCTGCGGTCCCACGCCTTGATCGGATCTATACAACAGTGACAGCACGACTAGAATCCTTATCACTCTGCCATGTCCAGCATGTCTACTATGATCCCTGCAGAGCCCTGCGAAGGAAGCTGTCCTGAACTGGGATCCTGACTCGCTGAAAAGAGGTCAGGTGTCTGCAGGATGAGCAGCATAGCCGGTTTAGCATACCGGATATTCGATCAGGAGGCTGCGAATCTCAGGCAGACCGCCTCCGATCCTGTTCTCGTACCTGGTTCCATGTGTCGACAAACGTGAGACCTCTGACCCAATTTGAGGAATCCTATACCTCCCCAGATCTTTAGACTTCCAGACCACGTTGCTTCGATCGGAAGCTGTCTAGCAGCCACAGCAGCTGTGGCTGGTGAGCTGTTATGATGGCCGATTGGCCTTCCCTGAGTTGAGCGGAAGCACGCTTCCACAGAGGCAGGGTCCATCCTAGCAAAGCACGAACCCTTCTGATTCGCTTCTAGTCCTTCCGGAGCGCAGAACGTCTGGGTAAAGCTTCATAGAACAAGGGCGCGCTGTCCGGCTGAAGTCTCGTACAGGGAAACCTGTTTTTGCAACAGCGGTGATCGTCGACATAAACTACTGTACCTGGCTTGGTCGTCCCCACTTGTCCCTGTCGGCACAGCCACAGCCACATGTCCCTGCATCACTTCGTGGCGTTCACCGCCAATCGACTTTCAGCATGCTCGTCATAGCGGCTGGACGATCCAAGATCCACGGGTCCGTGCAAGGATACTACCTTGGGTCTGGACCGAGATACACCACTTCTCGCCTATGCTAACCAGTGACAATGCAGTCAGCGATAGCCATGGCGGTTGATGAACTGGAGAAGGGTCCCGAGGGCGGCAAGCACGGCTTGATGGACCTAGGTACTTACTCAAGAGTTCGAGCACTTCGTTGCAGGTTTGTACTTTTCTTCTGTTAACTCGCCACTGCTTCATTGCTCTGCTCGGCGACGAACATCCGCACTCTGCGTGGAAAGGCATGACCTGATCTAGAACGTCGGTGCCAACATTGCACACCTAGGCTTTTGCTTTCACGACACACCATTGACCTGCGTTCAAGATGTCGACCTCATCGCCCGATATAATCGACGTCCTCGTCTCTGAGGGTTACAACATCTACACCCAGGTCAGCTCCGCCCTATACCCGCAGATCAGCTCGGTCGTAGACGGTATTACCAATACTCGAACACGATCAACGACAGACGCTACGGCCACAGGCGAGTCATCCTCCCGCTCGAGCAGCTCGTCAACTTTCGCGACCTCTACCAGCAGTTCTGCATCGTCCTCAGCAAGCTCGAGCTCGTCTCGAGCCACATCTGCAGCGGCCAGTGCATCATCGGCTGCCGCCGCGGCTGCAAATCAAGGCAATGGTGGTGGCGGAGGGGACAACAAGCTTCCCATCATCCTAGGATCCGTGCTCGGTGCTCTTGCTCTGGGTCTCTTCATACTGGCTCTTCTCTTCTGCTGTCGCCGTCGAAGACGCCGTTCCCGCGCTGCATCAGCTCGCCACAGTGCTCTCAGCCCTAATGACGATGAGATCGATGGCTGGCGAGGTCATCCTCAGCATGCCAGGCGATTCAGCTCCGAAAAGACTCTCCTTGGAGCGGGAGCGATGGGAGCAGCAGGCGGAGCCATGGCTGGTCGCCATCGAGACTCCAAGGACCATGCTAGGGTCCACGAGAATCCCTTCACGCCCGTGCCGCCTCCACCTCGTAGGAGTACTCCAAACTCCCGTCCTGGGCTGACCGATGGCATGGTACCAGGCGATGATGCCTACATCACAGAGAAGGGTTCTCACAAGCCCTGGATGGGTGGCAGCCGATCACGAAGCAGCTCTGGTCACGGAAAGGATCTTGCTCTCGGTCTGGGTGGGGCTGCTGTTGGCGCAGCGGCACTGCACCACCACAATCGAAACAAGAGCGAGGCCCACGAGACCGACGCCTTGATGACCCAACCGGAAAGAGAACACACTATCAGCAGGAAGCCGGTGCGAACGAGTGGTGTTAGCAGTCCCGAGCCTTGGTCACCCGAACCGCCTCCACCAGTTCACGAGCCAGGCACTTTCGTTGCTGCCGGTAGTGACCGCCAGAGCTTCGACTCTGCTCGCAGCCGCCTCAGCCGTGATGCTACACGTGCTAATGCAGCATTTGACAACGGTTACGGCAGTCCTGAGCATGGAATCTCCAAGCCTACTGACGAGCATGGACAAGGTGGTATGGACAAAGCGGCCGCTGCTGCTGGCGTTGGAGCTCTCGGTGGCGCAGCTCTAGCCCGTCGCCATCATGACAAGCATGAATATGATATCAGCTCCGGCTCGAACACTGCGGTTGCTAGTCCAGCTATGGCTCATGCACATCCAGAGAGGAACAGTCGTATTCAGAATACACTGGATGGCGCGCACGACGATGCTCATCACAACAGTCTGGGCACGACAGCTGCAGCGGCTGGGTTGGGAGGCGTTGGCGGAGCAGCCCTGGCTCCTCCAAGTCGCAACATTGGTCGAGACAGCAAGCATGAGCCATTCGGGCACACGGCTATCTATGGTCCTGACACTTCATTTGCGTCGACGCAAGGCCTTCCCCAGTCGGCAGTGCAGAGGCATGACGTTGACGACCTTCGCACACCAGACCACCCCGTCATGAATGATCACCAAGCTCAGCATGCGATTAATACCGGCGCTGGTGCTGGAGCAGGAGGGCCTGCTTTTGCTGATCACCACGATGGCAGCAACCGCTTCTCAGGGTCTACATACCCCGGACACCCAGTGGACCGAGCACCCCACGACGACCATGTTCCTCAGCAAGGACTTGACTATCCGAACTCAGCGGATCAAGTCAGTGCACGTCACTCCAGTAGCCACCCGGGTGTAGCCTCAGCCGTCGCAGCAGCAGGTCCGGAGGTCTCGCCGGCGCCGCCATCTCACACCACCACGACAACAAGCGTGAGTCTGGCAGATCATGGATCCGCGATCCCCAAACTGGTACACTCGTCGACTCCCGAGCCCATGACTCGGACACCTCCAAGACATCCTCCACAAGCCAATACTCCGACGCCGTCGCCAACCCACCCACCGCCCAACCCCAACCACAGATCAAATTCAATGCCACCTGATGAACGAGTATCATTCTGCTGATCTTCCGACCTGTCTTTTATACATTAAGGATGCCTGTTGGTCAGGCAGTAGTGTGTGTCCCATGCACGCCGTCAGACGCCGTACAACAGTGGGAGGCGATCCGTTTGGGTTGAAGTCGTTGAATCAGAAGTGCTGTCGTCGAGGCATCCGCCGATATCTGCCAATAGGACGATCGCATGACCTCGATATCGTGCAGGAGCTACTGCGAAGAACGTGTCTCGACGCATTGGTAGACGGGCCTGGACTCATTGCTGATCTTCGACTGCAAGCGAAAGTTCTCCTAGCAGAGTGTGACAGTCCAGGCACACTGGCTCATCCTTATTTGCTGGCGATGTTGTCATGTTCGATGCCGTGCGAGCAGTTCGGTTGCACCTGCCCAACACCGTACCTGCCTGCTTGTCACATGGCGTAGACCTGATATCTTCCATATCGTTGACACTCGTTCAAGAAAACTCGTTCAAGTTGCCCTAGACACGCAGGGGTCGCGACGCAGCTCGTGTGTCGCGATAATCAACCTGTGTCAAGACGACCGGGGGCTGCGCGATGACCCAACGTTCTTACCTAACAACATGCTGTATGTTAGCGCAGCCTCAGAATTATACCTGCCTTTGACACGTTGGGCGGGTGCCCTGCTCCGCGTCATCGTGCCTGAGCGGAAGTCTGGATCACATCGCTCGCGTCGTTATATGGGGCGGTCTCCGGAACCGTACCCAGTCTGGGAGTTACTAGAACACCCGAAAGCCTTACCGCCATCACTTTCGGCATAGGATGAATGGCGTCGCAAGCTCATTATGTACGCAGACGCGAAGGCTGTCATCGCTCGCCGAAGGCACGCACCTCAAGCTCGCACGAGCTTTTCAGACAACCGCTTCCACAGCTGTTGGTATTGACCTACTGCAGACCTGTCTCCTTTCATGGTGTTGTCGACTGGCAAGAGTCAGAGCAGTGACGACAAGGACGCGTTGTCGTCGGGGTCAGCTCAAAGACGCCCACGGGAAAACATCGGCCTGCCATCCCACGTTCAACGACCAGAATTTCTCCGCGTGCTCCACGAACGCCATCGTTCTTTGCTCGAATCATCACAACACATGTCATGCTCAGGAGGGCTAAGGGCGCGGTCAATCAGCCTATTGGCCCACTGCATAATCATCGTTCCGATATGATTATCGTTGTTCTGGGTGCCCGCCACCTGGGAGAGGCGATTCAGGCGCTTTCTTCGGCGAGGATTCCCACCGAATCTGCAGGATGATATGCATGACCCCGCTCTAGGGACAGTCGATGTGTGCAAGTGATTTGCAGCAATGACTCTCAACGCTCACCTCACAAGATTTCGTCTAGGCTTTACGACATTGTGACTCGACTGTACCTGCTTGACAGGCAGAAGGCAGCACTGTAAGTACTTCACATATGGATGATGCCACCGAAAGTCAGGCCAGCACAGCGGTCGAGAAGGAGAAGTTCCCATGGCAGCAACTGGGAGTTCTAGGTTTGTTCACCACATCTTTCATTGGCTTCCGCTAACAGCACAGCGTTATGTCGACTGTCGGAACCAATTGCCTTCACTTCCATACTGGCTTACAACTACGTCTTTGTCAAGGACCTTCGACACACTGAAGCCAATGCAGCCTTCTATGCCGGCTTGCTGGTCTCAGCATTTGCACTTGCTGAGGCTAGCACGGCCATGCTATGGGGCACTATCTCAGACAAGTATGGAAGGAAACCCATTGTTCTGTCAGGTCTGGCTGGTGTCGCTCTGTCTAGCTTGATCTTCGGTGTTGCTACCGATTACTGGGTAGCACTTGCGGCAAGAGTGCTCGGCGGTCTGTTGAACGGAAATGTCAGCGTGATGCAGACAATGGTCGCCGAGATGGTTAAGGACCCAAAGCACGAGCGTGAGTATGCCTCTCGACCACCAGATCGATCTGACATTTCACAGCCCGAGCCTATAGCATGATACCTTTCATGTGGTACTTCGGCTCCATTGTCGGCTCATCCATGGGCGGCCTCCTTGCCATACCAGCCACGACCTGGTCAGGTTTGAAAGGGTCTGTGTTCGACGCCTATCCGTACCTCCTGCCGAATCTGGTGGCTGCTGTCTACATCGTCTTCTCCATTACCATCGGTATGATCTATCTGAAGGAGACTAACGAAGACGTCATTGCTCGCAAGCACAAAGACAAGGTTGTGTCGGACGAGCGAACGCCGCTCATGGGCGAGGTCACTCGCCCGTCAATTGAGATCGCTCGAGAGGACGAGCAGAAGACCGTAACTCGCCGCGTGTCCATGGCCAGTATTCAACCTCTCACTGCGGGTACAACTGTCGACATTCGCCGCCTTTCCAATATGACCACGACTTCTTCGATCAGGCCTTCACTCGCCCCACAACTCGTGCCCGAAAATGCACTTGAGGACTCCACGATCATCGAAGCGCCTGCCACCGAGAACCGCTGGAATCGTTCAATGATTTTGTTTATCGCTCAGCTAGCACTCATGTCGTACCACTCCATGGCCTTCGGCTCCCTCATGCCGGTCTACCTCCTGGATGAGCCGAGCAAGGGCATTTCAGATACGGCTCTCGATCTTCATGGTGGTCTCGGCTATACTGTCCGCGACGTCGGCGGTTTCATGTCCATCAATGGCTTCGTCGCAATGTTTGTGCAAGGTGTCATCTTTGGGCCGCTAGTTGAGCGACTTGGCGTCTGGCAGACCTTCGTCCTCCTCACCGTGCTCGCGCCCCTCTCGTACGTATTTCCACCGTTTCTGACGATGATCCCTCACGCCAAAGCACCCATCGGAATTTATGCGAATCTGAGCATACAGAACTTCTTCACCATCGTCCTCTATCCGTGCGTCTTGATTATGCTGAAAGACGCAACGCCAAGTATGACGATGCTGGGTCAGGTCAACGGCTTGGCGATGGCAGCTTGCTCGGCTGCGAGGACAGTAGCTCCGCCATTCGTGGGCTGGATATATGGCCTTGCAGGGTCAGCAGCGGGCTGGTGGAGTATCGGCATCGCGGCGTTGTTTGCGGCTGGACTGATACTTGTCATGAAAAGGCCGCTGCAGGCTCGCGACTAAGGCTCGAGATCGGACTCGGCACTCAGGGTCCATCTCTGCTGTATTCTCGCACCACAAGGCGTAAATCGGTCTGGATTGATCTCAGCATTTGCATTGCATAGACGGCGTTTAGGCGAGCCTGCTTCCGAGAAATCGACATTAGCAGTCCTCTCACTCAGAAATGGACAAGAGCATATCAGCAATCTGCTTCGCGACAGCTTCGTGACCCAACACAGTCGGATGAAACGCTCTTGTCATATTGACGAAGCCTCCAATAGGTCTTGGAAGTCGAAGAACCGTTTCCTGCCGCCGCTTGCCATTGATGTCGACTGTCGTTGACGATCGCTGCTCCTGCTCTGGTGCACCGAAAAACCACGTCTCGTCACTGATGAGCGCTTCCCATCCACCCTCCTCACAAAACCGGTGCCCTTCAAAAACAGCATCGATGTCCACATACTCTGCTCCATGCACTTCCGCATTCGCCCGGATGATATCATTCAGTAGTCGTACAACCTCATTGAACTCCCTCCTCATCGCCCTCGTCAAGAACAACTCCTCCCAACCAGCACCCGCAAAGCTGACCCCATCACACCACTCCGTGTCCTCATTGAAGAACCGTGCATAGCCTGTCACCAACAGCCTGCCTCCAACTTCATCCTTGTACCCAGCCAGCTCCCTCACGAGCTCCCCCACACCCTTCAACAGTCCCTTCCCACCTCCATCCTCGACCAGACTTCTGGCCCGCTCTAACTCCGCTACACAACCCCGACCCGGCAGCACCGGGAAGAAACGATACACGCACGCATTCAGCACCTCAAAGAATCCAACCTCGTTCCCACCCACGGTCAGCGTGAGCACATCCCACCCATCGCTCCCTCTCAATAGCAAGGGTAGCTGAGTTCGGCGCACGGAGCTGGTAGAGGCGCCGCCGCAGGGGAGGTTGAGGAAGTCGCTGGATGGGTTAATGTTTAGCTCAGGTGTTTGGGAGAGCAGTACGGGATATGCGGAGGTGAAGCGACCGCAGCCGAAGTCCGGGTGATCAGGTGGCAGGAGGGCATGGCCGGCACCGTCGCCGGCGGGATAGGAGTCCCCTAGCGCGGCGTAGGTTAGGGCAGCTGCTGAGCTGAATAGGAGGCCAAGCAGTGCAAATGTAGTGGGGATGGGTTGGTGCATGGATTTTGGGGGACGTTAGAATGTCGGCTGGAATGCTCATAGGTCGAAGACGTGAAGAGGCGTAGATGTTCAATTCATACGGCCACTCTTGGCATTTCGAATCAGTGGTGACGTTATAGAAAACCATTGGACGCTTCCGTCTCGTTTCTCACCCTCAATGAACCATTCAACTTGTCGACCCTGCCTATTCACTTGATCTTCTTTATCATGCCGCAAGTAGTGAATGCTTGCTGGCGGAGTCAGCAGAGTGACTGCTCCGCGTTTAGCCTTGGAATCGACCCTGATGAACCAGTATAAGTATGAGTCTCGCCTTCGGATTTTGTCTCTCTCTTTGCTCGTCACCAGATCGTCTAGATACACAAACACTTGCCATGCCAAGGTAGCTTCTGCTGCTGCTTGCTGAGGCGAGTTGACTCGAGGGGCCCTCGCCACTGGACGGAGGTCCCAGTTGAATGGTGATGTACGTGATCGACGGTGCAGAACTCGATATTGGCATGATTTAGCTATATACAACGACACTACCCCAGTGGAACGACCAGAGATGTCCAAGATGGACAGTCGTTTCCGTCCATCTCCGCGCCTCAGTGGGAGAAAGAAATCATGTTCCATTTCGCCGTTTTCTCCGGAAACGGCGCAGACGGCACATCCACGTACTCAGGCTCGATATAGTATGATATGTCGCCACCGCTGAGCTGAAGCTCCGACCATCCACTGCCCAGCCATCTCAGAAGTCGATCACCGGCAGCCTCCTGGCCGTATTCATACTCAAAATCTTCCCACCTAGGTGATCGTAAGACCTCGATCGCATGAACCGTACTACCTGGCCAAAGACCTATGATCCGGTTGTCTCTCCTATACCAAGTGCGGCAATCGTCCAGGAAGACCGTCTTGGTGAAGTAATTCTCCACGTGATTGACCCAGCTGCGGATCGCGCGCGAGGAGATCTGCATAGACTGGATGTCCTCTTTCTGCAGCTTGCGGATGCATTTTAGGATGTAGTCGCCTGCGCTCTCAATGATCTTCGTGAGGCTGCCGCTCGCAACTCCGGAATTCGGACCCAGCACTGTTTCAAGGCATCGTGGTTAGCTTTGTCTCAGGAAGTGATCATGAAATGGAACATTGCATGGGACAGGCGGCAGTCATGTCTCGGGAGGGCTTTGCGATCTTCTTCAAGCCAATGCTCGAGTCATCGCTCGGTTCCCGAAACAGCCTTGCGAGGGTACTCACTGGTGAAGTAATTTGGAAATCCATCCACGGCAACAGACATATAAGCCTCCGGGTACTTTTCCCAGCGATCGCTCAAGGCTCTCCCGTCAACACCAATCACAGGAAACGGAGGTGGTCCTGCAGCGTTGAACCCAGTGGCACAGACAAGGACGTCGAGCTCGATCGCACGCCCACCTTGTAGAACCACCCCAGTTTCAGTCACCGCTTCAATGGCTGTATTTATGAATTCGACGTTGTCCTCCGTCAGAGCTTCCAGAAAACCCTCACCTGGCGTCAGACGACGGCAACCTGGTGCAAAACTAGGGATGAGGAAGTCTCCTAGTTCTGGTTTCTTGGCCAAACGACCTTTCATGAGCTGGGTGAACATATCACGAGCACCCGCCGACATTGGGGAGCCCTTCAAGGAAAATGGATGCATCGCGTTGCCCTCAGTCTCGATCATCTTGCGGAACTCGTGATACTTCTTCGGGTCCGACATGTACTTGTCGAAGTCCTCTTGCGTGACTGCACTGTCCGTTAGGTTCTTCGATTCTCTGAGTGCAATCATGTCAAATATGCGTACATTCTTCGTGGTCAAGTCCGAGCTTCTGCATGGCAGAAGCACCGAAAGTGCTCGAGATCCACGTCTTACTCCGGATGAAGCAGCTTAATTGCGTCCCTGCGAGTTTTTGGAGTTTTGGCACGATTTGGATGGCACTGCTGCCACCTCCAATGACACCGATTCTCTTGTTCGAGTAGTCAAACCTAGAATAGTGGTCAATAGAGAGGCGCTTTGTCAGATGCTAGAGCGAATGAGGTCACAGACGATGTATCCCAAGCCGCTGAATGCACGATCTTGCCTTTGAACGACCACAATCCGTCGATTTTCGGCCAGACGTAGTCGTTCAATCCTCCACGCGCAGCGACTATGACGTCTGCCTCGTCTGAGAATGTCTCGCCGGTAGCAATTCTCTGGATATCAATTTTCCTGGACAATATGTAAGCACAAGTCCGGAGGACCAAATTAGATCCAAGCGTGGTGATAGGAGGGTCCCGAACCATTTTGACCGCGTTGCATCCCAAGCACAACCGACGACTTTGTGGCCGAGTTTGATGAACCTGCCCGCTGAATATTTGTCCGCTACCTTCTGCAGGTACTGCTGAATTTCCTGTGAAGGTGCATAAAAATTCGACCAACCAGGATTTGGCTCGAATGAATAAACGTACGAATGTGCTACACAGTCGCCAGATGTTAGTTGCTGCCCGCGAATGTGTCTCATACAATAAGACGACTTGAGCAAGAACATGTGTCGCGCTCTAGCAAATTTGCTCGCACCAGGAACGGAAAGGCGACGCACCAGGGATGTCACAAGCGCATCCAGGATATCGATTCTCCCACCAGGTGCCGCCCAGTCCCTCGTTCTTCTCATACACCACTAGCTCAACGTTGCGGAGGAGTTCTGGCAACCGAATGGATAGGTATATTCCAGAAAAGCCTGCGCCAATCGCCACAACCTTCATAGGGCGAAAATTCTCGACTGGCTGATCCTTGGGATTGTAGTCGCCATTGTGGTTGCCGTTCGTACCTTTGGCGGCCGGTAATGGTGCCGATTCGGACGAGGGCATGGTGTTGTCCGCAATGGCAAGAGCAGCGACGAATCGAAGTCTGGCGACTCCTTTGCTTCGACGGATTCCTTGAATCAAAAGAATCGGCTGAACCACTGATACAATGTAGGGAATAGATCACAGGTGTGAGCGTCCTCAGTTGGTGGGAACCCGAGTTGATATGCAAGCTGAGGAGTAGAAGTCACTGTTGATCAGAAGCTGTAGGCTAGGGTTGTGTAGATACGTGAGCCGCCTTTTCAATGGCGACGGCCGAGGCACCTGTTCGCATCTCCTATAGTCAGCCGTGTCTGAAGGAGCTCTTGTCTATGTCCCAATTCAGACGTTCTGCGACGTTTTGCGAAGGTTCGCCCGAGCCGCTACCCCATGTTTCCATCTTCCTCGGTCGCATGTTGAAGACTACCACCCAATCAGCTCCGGGATCGGAAGTCTGATTGGTTGGTACTCTCTTCGGATGGGATCCGATGCACGACCACATTGACTTTCCCTCAGCTGTCATCCGATGGCACGTGGATTGTCCGCGGTAGAGCTTCCGCCATGAGATTGATGCAACGCGTTATGCGTTGATTCGGATGAAGAGTTAACTAGGATTCTCGATGAGACGCCAGTGAGGAGGATGGTGCGAAAGAAAGGAAGCATTTCAAGTTGATGCTGAATACATATTGCCGAGGGTGTGGGGGCCAGAACCGCCCCCATGATGACGTTGTGTGGTTTGTCGGATCATCATCACCATACTACTATCTACTGCGTCTGAACATCCTGCTCGGATTCCTTGGAAGTATGCATTCTCTGACCAAGAGCACACCAATGCTGCCCTTTTTGCATTGTCAAACGCGATCTGCTATAGCGTCTGAACAGCAGATTCGGTGGAATACGAGAACGCTGACAGTTCGATATGTTTACAGAACTGCCACTTGGTCCACAGAACTCGCTGGCAGAACACCTACTGATATTGTCATCGCATCAGTCCGAGGTGCCCGAGAAGTCGCTCCGGTGAGCACCTCTGGCATTGTTGTATGGGTTACAATGAATGAGCAGCCACCGATTCCTTTCCATTGACCGCTGAACTCATGTTGCATTGTTGATCGGTATCAGATGCTTCTGCGCCGATGTGATTGTGATAGCTGTGGCCGTAGTCTTAGTTTATTGACTTTATGGCAGTATCGACCCCTTCAGCAGTGTATTTATCGAAGAACTGTTGGACGATGCTGCAGCTCTGATAACCCTGTGTAACCAGAACAATGCCTACGCAGACTTTAGTCGGATCCCCATTGGTGGCTGCGTAGTTATCACATAGACCCAAACAGGTTTCGAGGTCGGAAATACCATCGATATCTTCGTACGAATAGATAGAATACGAAGTAGAGCATTGTACATCGTATTGCCCGCCGGTTAATGCTGTACAGGATCCACTAGTACATGTTGGAGCTGGAGCCATGCTGCTGGTGGTGGTCGTAGTGGTAGTGGTGGTGGTGGTGGTGGTGGTAGTCGTGGTGGTAGGCTTAGTGGTTGTAGTCGTGGTGGTCGTCGTGATACTCGGCTTAGTAGTCGTGGTCGTGGTCGTCTTCGAAGCGGTCGTCGTCTTCTTGGTCGTCGTTGTCGTTGTCGTTGTTGCTGACTCAGCGCCACACACAACAGTGTTCTGACCAGCCGCGTTGGTCGCCGATGTGAGCGTACTTTTCATATAGCAGTAACCATTGCTCTCGCGAAATGTAGCTGACAGACATCTCGTGTCTGCACCGCAAGCATTGGCGCAGGCTTGGAAGTTGCTGACGGGTTTGCTTGTGTAGTCACCTCCAGCGCGATCGACACCGCAGGACAGAGTGCACCTGCGATTGTTGATGGTTTGTGTGCCTGAAGTACAAGCGGCGTGGGCTGCGGTGGCGTAAAGCGCGATCAAGCTAGAAAAGAGGAAGCAGAACCGCATGATGGGCGAGGCTTGTGGCGATGAACCAGTTGCAAGAAGAGGCCCAGCCTCCCCGGTGGTGGGTGCTGCTCTACTTATGTCTCCTTAGAGTCCGCAACTTCGTCGTCCGGTAGAAAATGCTGAGACAATTCGCCTCCTTCGACAAGAGGTTAGGGTTCATGGCATGGGCGAACCTCGCCAGGCCTACGTTCACTCCGTAGCTGGCTAGAAGCCTTCATTTTTGATGGCCAAGGATATTCAAGGCTGTAAATCTGCAGGGCTTGTTCCGAAAGTGAGAAGCTTTCCTGCGAGGCTGGCTGAGAACGCCATCAGAGAACACGGCGTGGCTTGGCCAGATCGGGCTGGACGAGATCCATCTTAGTAGTGATGCACTGGACTGCTGATACAAGAACGTGGGAAAGACCAGGTCGGCGCCCTTTGAATCAACAAGCTCCTTCAGGGCCCTCCGGCTGCGTCAAGGCTCTTGTTCATCGCATGAGCAAGGAGCAAACATTTTACCAGAAGCGACCAGTAGGAAGGTGAAGCTCGCTAGCACCCTCTCGATCCTCCCACTGTGACTGGACACGCGTGGCGCGTGTGTTCACATCTTTTGACTGGGCGCTGAGCTTCAGCTAACTCAGCAAGATTTCTTCTTGACAGACGCCCACTGCTAGATGGCGACCCCCGCTGCAGTGAGTACCATTTTCGACTCCGCCCCATGTTAGCATCTGGTGTCCGGCAAAACTTCCAGGGCTCGGGAATTCCCAAATCCCTCCGTAGGGTCCGAGAGTTCGAAGAAGCTTATCAGAATACCCTGAAGTTATTTCGAGGGTTATTGAAGTCTCAAAGTTTAAGCTCAAATTCGGTTCCAATATTAGGCGAAGTATGGCAGCCTCAAACCGACAGGGGGACAATCAAGGCATGACACTTATCCTGTACATGAAGGATTCGTGACTGGGACGCGCTGTGACTTCTGCCGGAGCAAAGGCGACTTGTATTGCGATAGGCGGCAAATCCGGGTGAGAACATGTCGGAAGCTACTGAACATCGCCATGACAGGGTTGCCAAGCTACGGGGGCCACAATCCGCTCTCTGACGGGTGGGAGGACGTCTGGGCAATGACCAATTCTAGGACTGGCCACCACATGAGTGTAGCATATGTAGCATATGTAGAACATGGCGACACTCATAGCTACCGAGAGAATGATTTCCTTCACGAACATGATGCAACCTCGACCTCGCTGAGCCCTCACAAAAGGGGCATAGACATGGCCAGTACCGCAGCACACCAACCAATTCCAAGAGCGTGCCAGCTTGCCCTGGAAGATCCCATGGCTCCACTACTTTGTGCGCTTGACGTGTTGTTGGATGCTTCAGGGACACCTAGTACCGCAGAGACCAGGTGCGCAACGCCGCCCTTGACTACCAAATTGGGCACTAGAACTTGAGCCTCGTTCATATCGTGCTTGATGATCCATTTTTGCCGGTTTGGATCGAAAGTGAGGCGGACCTCACTGCCGTTGGTAGTTCGAAGAACGGGTGTTTCGTCAACCTTTACGCCCTGGCTCTGTAAAAGATCTTGTGTGCTAGTCTGGAAGAATGCAGCCTCGGACGGGATGTGGTGATTGCCGAGAATTTGGAACTTCTTTTCTGTGGACATTGCATCGACGTCAGCTACTGACGCATGCTCGAAAGCCGTGTTGATTGGGACCAAGAAGGTAGCTGGACCGGAGAGGCCCAGGTAGTCTTCTTGATCCGTCCCATCTGCGAAGAGTCGGCTGAAGATGCTGCAATTGTCGAACCCTTGCCTCAAGTCCTTCTCGGTCAGGTTGATGAGCGTATACACTAGAGGCTGTGGCAACGTGAGTACTTCTTTAACGGTCGTGATGACACCGGAGTTGAAATCTTCCCCAACGTAGATCCTGCCGTCCTGAGCCACCTCGCTCATGTTGCCGAACGAGCCTGAAGTGAAGAGGATGCCTACGTTGTCGATACCCCGTTCTCGGTACGCCTCGATCATGTAGTGCTGAGAGGCGCCTTCGTAGCTCAAGCCGGTCTCGAGAAAGGCGTGCTCAGCTTCAGCCATCATGAAATCTCTGGGTAGACGGATCATGTGATAGTTGAAGAGGTCTTTGAGATATTGTGTTTCCGCAGAGTTGAGGAGGTTTATCAGGGATTCTCCGCCAGACATGAGGTTCTGGAAAGCATCATTCGTGGGAGCTAAGAAGTTGTAATTTCCTTGTGGGATTTCGGGCATGGCATCTGGATTCGCTTCGATCCATGTAGACAGCTCAGAAAGATTGGGGTCGTACCGAAGGGCGTCGAGAAAAGCACTGCTGTTCTGTGCAGCAGCAACAGCAGCGTGGGCGAGTATGGCGAGGCTCAGAGTGATGTTCCAAAGTTTGTTCATGACCTAAGGAGAAAGCAGTCGGTTGCAAGATAGATCGAGGACGTCAGATGTGCTTCAGATTAATTTCAATAATCCAATTCGATATTGCTCCAATGATGAGCGAGCCTAAGAACCAGACAGACCGAAGTATCAGAAGAGCCGCCAGCAACGGGATCAATAAGCTAGCAACCTGGACGACGAGTGCACTTGTACTCTCCGACACTGCGGTGGGTACCTGGGCCATCGTATGAACTGCCATACCCTCATATAGAGGACACATTCCAGCTTTGCTTGGCGCAGGTTAGAGGATTTGATACAGTGCTCAGGCTCGTCGTCGCTCCTGATCTCTCATGGTCTGTAAGACGTGACTCTATTGCTGGCGACGGCTAGTATCGTATAGTTCTGTATGCCAAGAAAAGGCGGGCTGCAATTTGGCCTGATATGCTATATGAGTATCTAGGCTGATTTAGAAGGGGCCAGAATCCCGGTCCTCAGCTATTGCCACGACTGATGTCCGTGACGTCCAGTGCATTGATCCATTTGCTGTTGAAAAGGTAAGACGTGGCCTGCCTGAATGTGAAGTGAGCATTTGCTGATTGTCAAGGCGTCGCATGTTTCTGAGCTGAGATCAGCCTTACCATCTCGCCTGCCTGGGCAACAATAAGGCGCGCTATCATCCGAAGACGATGTCCTCGTTAGGGTCGTCCACCATCACACTGCGGGCGGGAACGCCGGCAATTCCGAATGTTTTACAGAACGTCTCCGTTTGACTGTTCGGATACTCTGGAGGCTGCGTGCTGTCTTCAAGACTGTCATCCGGTGAATATACTGGCGCGTGGGGCCTAAAATTCCGGGGAATGATAAACAGCTCCTCGACGGGAAGACTGGCATCTATCCATCGAGTTGTCGCAGGCCGGCTCATGACAGTGTCTAAATCCGTCGACAGTTGATCCATCGTCTGAAGGATGGTTCCATCATGGCTCGTGGCTGTAGGAAATTCGCGTAGAATTGACAGCCATTCCTCATCGTAGAATAAATTGTACTTGCCGTCACTCAATCGCTCCAGGTAATGCGCTGCCGGCGGGGTCCGCCTGGAAGGAGGAGCTTCGATCTCGAGCAACCTGAGGAAGTCATTACCGTGACCGGGCTTGTCGAGCGCGAGGAACTGAGTCGTCATGTCGGTGGTCTGTGGCGATTGCTCGTGTGCTCTGGCAACTCCAGTGAGACAGTTCCGGGACATGGCTTTCGGCAACGCCTGCTTCCACTTGTCAGGAATTGAGAGTTCCTTGAACATGTCCTTCGAGTCATGCTGAGCATGCTTAATTGTGGCGGAGAAACCGATGTGCATGTGGCCAGAGACCCAGTGCTTAGGCTTCAAGTGACCCATCACCTGCTCGGCCGGCAGACTGCCAAGTCTATCAGATCGAGCGCTGTCGAAGAAATGTGGTCGTTCCGCAAAAAGCTTCTCGTAATCGCCGAACCACTCAACGCGTCTAGGCCAGTCGTGACTCAGACCGATATCGACTGGATGGCGAAGTTGTAGCAGCTTCGCTACGTCACACTCCCGAACATGGTAGATAGAGCGAATCTCGTCTCGATTGTACGGCAATCGCTCATCGTGTGGCCGCCGATAGTCTTTCGAGTCATAGATTCCAGACATGCCGAGAATGCGATATGGGCCGTATCGGATGACACCTACAGCGCCCATGTAGTATATGTTGGGCGCGAGCCATCCGCCGTACGGAAGCTCAGACAAGTAGTTCGACGCTTCGTGGTTGCCACCAATGACGATGGTCAGCACAGGAGCCCGAGACTCGCCGCTGTAGTAGCGATGGAAGTCGCCCATGTGCCTATACCTCTTCGGCACTGACATGCAGTTGAGATCGCGAGCATTACGGACTGCCTGGAACATGCATCAGTTACGTTGCAACGATGACTAACATTTAAGCATACTTGAAAGTCGCCGCAAATGATGAGAAAATCAAGGTCTTCGAGTTGCCATCCTCTGGCTTGACAAGCAGCGTCTGCTTCTTTGTATATGATGTCGAGCGATCCATGTCCCTACTTCATTTAGTATGTGTTTTCGACGTCTGTACATGAGATTTCAGCTCACGCATCCTTCCACGGCGATCCTCAAAGGCCTGACTGCAGGGTTAGAAGGACTCATGTTCCCGAAAATTCGTCGCAAGATGTGGCTGTAGAGTTAGTCGGCAAGCTGAGGGAAGGATAGGCTTTGTGGACGATTTTGCGTGGAGGTTCGCGAACAGCTACAAGATGTCAAGGCGGCAAGTCGGTCCATCACTTGATGTTTCATTACGCAGAGCGACGCGTGAGTCCATCATTCCAATGCGTGACTCATCGCTCGTCATCTTCTTCAGTTGACGGACACAACTGATAAGTTCCAACAAGCTCACGCGTCTGGGTCTTCCGCCTCGAGATGAGTCGATGGCTGCTTGGCGCGCTCTGATTGGTGACATCATTATATCGAACGCGCTAGCCTCACCCTTTCTTATGCCCCTACTGTGCTCAGTATCACGTATCACTGCATGTTTTGCAGTAAGACGCCTCTGATATCCTCTATCCGAGTTCGACTGTCTGCCGTGACACCATTTCAGCGACAGATCCAGGTCACACGGCCCATCTCCTGGAGCTGTCTTGGCAATCCGCGATGCTATGCGACTAATAAAGGTATGAAGAAGGCTAAACCAGCAAAGCCGAAGTCCAAGGTACCTGACTATTGTGACGTTGAGCCCAAACGTGACGGAGATGGCGATGTCATCTGGCCTGCAACGAAAGGGGCTATGGAGGCAGCGAGGGAGTTCGTGAAGGAGTGGTGAGCAAGGCCCCTCGCAGCGAGTTGCTCCTGTGGCTAAGACTCGGTAGTGCGGCTGCTGGGCATAAAACGCTTATTGTCCCGGACAAAGATGCAGATGGACTGTCGTCAGGTGTCATTCTGTACAGGACTTTACGGACGCTTGGCTTGCCGGAAGACAAGATCGAGGTGCATCTACTGCGAAAGGGCACGAATGTTCACGATGAAGAAGAACGAACGGCTATGGCCGCAAAAGATCCATCATTCATCGTAGTTCTTGATCAAGGCTCAAGGGGAGGCCCGCCAGTCGTGGCTGACCCCAAAGTCCGGGCCTGATCATCGACCATCATCTGAGCGACGACTTCCCAGAGTCCGCCCAGGTCGTATCGGCATGCCACTATCCACCGGTCGCCACAAGCGCTCTCCTTACCTATGAGATCTGCAAACCTCTACACCCGGATATCGAAGATTCCTGCGCCTATCTCGCCCTCACCGGCACCCACGGCGACTTAGGCAACACGCTCAAATGGCTCCCGCCCTTCCCAGACATGACCCAACACCTTAAGACCCACACCAAGAAATCCATCGGCGACGCCGTATCCCTCCTCAATGCACCCCGTCGTACGGCGAAATACGACGTCATCACAGCCTGGACGGCGCTGCTGGCATCCACCTCGCCGAAAGACCTCCTCACAAACGCCCGCCTGCAGTCCGCGCGCTACGAGATCAACGACGAAGTCGAACTTCGGACCCATACTCCACCTCTGTTTAGCCCCGATGGACGCATCGCCGTGCTCAAAATCGAGTCCCAAGCTCAAGTCCACCCTGTGATCGCTACCCGCTGGGCCGGGTACCTGCACAGCAAGACCCTTGAAATCGTCATGTGCGCCAACTACGGGTATCTCCCAGGCCTGGTCAACTTCTCCTGCCGTATCGCCCGGACAGCGCGGAGTCGCGATCCGCCGGTGAACATCATTGAGAGCTTGAAAGCTGCGGCTGCGCTGTCGACAGATGGACTGCGGGATAGGATGGGTGAGAACTTCGCGCGTGGGCACAAGGAGGCCAGTGGTGGGATCGTGCCAACGGCACAATTTGAAGAGTTGATGGGTCTTCTGAAGATTGGCGAGAAACCGGAGAAGAAAGATGGCGATGACGAACCGCCCAAGAAGAAGGTGAAGACGATTGAGAAGAGTCCTCAGAAGAATACACTGGGTAACTACTTTGCTAAAAAGTAGAGAATTTGATCGTATCGGACACAGTTCTAGTCTCAGAGTATAATGGACTGTGGTTAGCTGTAGCCCAATACTCACGGGAATAGTCTATGATCCACGCATCGATCAGTGAATGTCTTTTGACGAGACTTGCCGAGATCGTGAAGTGACTGTCTCGGTTTGCGTCGGAGGTCCAATCGGTGAGAAAGGTATAAGTAACTGCCCTGCCCTTAACATCTTTCCCATCTATCCCGCAAGTACATCGAGAATTCAACGCAAACATTTGTCATGCCATGTTAGCATTCGCTGCTATATGGTGGGATGAGCGTGGACGAGAAAATCGGCCCAGAACCACATGCGCTGGTAGCTGCGCGGGAAGAGCTGTGGCTCGTGTCTCTGCCTGTCCATCATCGACATCTATTACCTCGACTGTTGCGCTGTAGAGTTGGACACAAGTGTGGCATTTCGAAGCTCATATATGCTTCATTACCAGAGGGATTGCTTTCATGGTGGTAGAAAGATAGATGAATGAGACGGTTTTACTTGCCGGACTGCATCAGCACCGCGACCAAGGCATCGCAAAGGCATCGCAAAGGCATCGACTGATGCCAACAGCACACTTGATCGATGCTAGAGTGCCAACTCTCGAGCCGATCGCGGCATATGTAACAGCATATTTCATGCTCATAGTCCTGTGCTAGTTTCGCACATTGTAACGGTCTGTTGCTGGCATCGCAGGTCAGCACAAAAGCATGAACAGAGAGGGCAGCGTCTCAGCACTTTCTATTAAGATCCCGAAAACGTCCGTGTTCCTTCGAGGCACGACAGGCGACAGCAAAGGAAGATAGGCCGGACTTCTTAACACCTGAAACAGTGTGAGACAGCATTGGCAAAAAATCAGAGTTCTCCACCAAGGACCCCGAACGATCTCAAGTCGTTATCGTCCCGTCAAACGTCTTTAACGTTGTCATTCTCGATATTCAACACCGCCTGACCATTATCCGAGATGCTGTCCAACTTCACAGAAAAGATCACAAAGCCGCTCTCGCGGAAAAACACGGGCGTCTCGGAGGAGGAAAAGCCTTGGCACGCAGCATTCCCTGAAGCCCGACACAAAGCGGCGGATTTGCCTGATGTCGAGAAGGAGGACGTGCTGAATTTATTGAAGGAAGGGAAGAAGTCAGGCGAGCAGGGTGGATTCTTGTTGGTCGACGTGAGGAGGAATGATCATGAGGTACGTCGCGTTTATGTACTTTCTACTTGATCCTTCGGAAGACGGAACACGATGTCTCGTCCGGTCTTAGCCCTCTGTTTCTGCGTCCTCAGCCCAATCACCTCCGTTCCATACACACACATTATCTGTTCCCATACATCTGTCAGGTCCGCACTATTGCGATCATCCGCTGCATGGCCCACCCACGCATTGCACTTGCGCCACACAGCAACACCGCTACTCCCAGATGATTGACACATTACTAGGGCGGCACTATCCGCGGCTCACTCAACCTCCCCGCACAATCTTTCTACTACTCCCTCTCAACCCTTCACCTACTCTGCCGCGGTGCCGGCATCAAAGAAGTCGCCTTCTACTGCGGCTCGTCCTCCGGTCGCGGTCCCCGCTGTGCTGGCTGGTTTGCCGATTACCTCGCTGATCAAGGCGTCAAGGAGGACGAGATCCGGAGTGTGGTGCTGGAGGGCGGGATCAAGGGGTGGGTCAAGGGTGGGAAGGAGTATGTGAGTTGGATGGACGGGTATGATGCGAAGGCTTGGTGATCTGCGGGAGCCGGTGGTGTCGTTCAGGTGGCAGACCGACGAAGCGGCTGAGGCTGATGTTGTAGTATGGTCGTATGTAATGAGATATGATGAAGCATGACTTCCCCATCCAGATAGAGGATAACGTCAAGTTTCAGCTCAGCTCACCTCGAATTGACAAGTTCTCAAGCTACCTTCAATCTTGTACGTTCAATGTTCACCTCAGTGAATACACTACGCAGCAACCCGATCTGAGACAGAGATCCAACAGTGAATACCTCCTGGTCGAGTCAGCAGGACAGTCACTCCGTGTTCGCCTTAATCTTCACTTTGTTGGAGAGGTATAAGTAGGTCGTCTTGCCCTCAGAGTCTCTGTCTTTACTTTCCTCTGTCAGTACAGAAAGACCTCAATCCTACCAACCGTTGCCATGCAAAGCTAGCACCTGCTGCTGCTTGATGGGGCAAGCTTCAGCTCTAGGATCTCCACCAGGGACAATTGTGTCACACTTAGCAGAGCCTTTCGGTACCTGGATCGCGATTTCACAAGCTCGGACATATTGTTCGATAGAGCATCCATTGTGCGTTAGCCGTACCACACCGACTCAGCTATCTTCACGCCATAAGTTGAGGCGTACTCGTAGTAATGAAGGTGTAACGGGATCCCATCGTCCTTCGCGGAAATAGATGCACGGCCACACCTGTTGTGGCGTCAATTTCTCCAAAAAGTCACCACCAAAAGTTGTGAAGCGCGTTCCCCAGGAATACGCGACAGTGAGTCTTCGGCACTTGAATAGTCAAGATGAACTGACGCCTGTACCGCGCGAGACTTCGAGCATGTCTGTATTAGAACCGTTAACAACGCAACACTCATGACCTCGCAGCAGTATCCCGTTTTCGCTGAAAGATGACCGACGGAGGCAGCCTGCACAATGTGCCCCTGGTCCTCGACAACGGCAGCGGCACCATAAGGGCAGGCTTCGCGGGCACTGACTTACCCGCCGCATACTTCCCCTCCTACGTCGGCCGACCTAAACATACCCGCGTGCTCGCCGGTGCGCTCGAAGGCGATGTCTTCATCGGTCCCCGGGCACAAGAGCTGCGTGGCCTTCTGAAGATCAAATACCCACTCGAACATGGCGTAGTCACAGACTGGGATGACATGGAAAGGATATGGACATATATCTACGACCATGAGCTGAAGACGCTAAGCGAGGAGCATCCGGTCCTGCTGACCGAGCCGCCGCAAAACCCAAGGACGAATCGAGAAATGGCTGCACAAATATTGTTCGAGCAGTTCAACGTCCCTGCTGTGTACATGTCGATACAGGCCGTGCTGAGTCTCTACGCTAGCGGACGGACTACGGGTATCGTGCTCGACAGCGGCGATGGAGTCACGCATGCAGTCCCTGTATATGAAGGCTTCGCAATCAACAACAGTGTCCGGAGGATAGACGTTGCGGGGCGAGATGTCACTGAGCAAATGCAGCTGCTGCTCCGCAAGAATGGCCATGTCTTCCACACGTCCGCCGAGAAAGAAATAGTACGCATCATGAAGGAGAAGACGTCTTACGTCTCTCTGGACCCGCGGAAAGAAGAGAAAGATTGGTCGCAAGGCCTGTGGAAAGCCGACAAACGAGAAGTCACGTACGAGCTACCAGATGGGAAGAAGATCAAGATCGGCGCCGAGCGGTTTCGTGCGCCGGAGATTTTGTTCGATCCAGAAATTATTGGACTGGAGTATCCAGGAGTGCATCAGATGCTCGTGGACTCAATTAATCGCGTGGATATGGATCTGCGGAAGAACCTGTTTGCCAATATTGTCTTAAGCGGCGGCACGACGTTGACGAAAGGGTTTGGTGATAGATTGTTGATGGAGCTGCAACGGCAGGCTGTCAAGGACACACATATCAAGATATTTGCGCCACCAGAAAGGAAGTACAGCACGTGGATCGGAGGAAGTATCCTGGCTGGGCTGAGCACATTCAGAAAGGTAAGAATGCCCATTGATGCGGTAACGATGATGATGCTAACGCAGGTGTCCAGATGTGGGTCAGTATTGATGACTGGCACGAGAATCCGGATGTCATCCACACCAAGTTCTCTTGAAAGAGGGCGCAGTACGTGGATTGATCAACAGAGAGCACCTGTCGGGTCACGCCAACGTGATTGGCTGTCGACTTCGGACAACCTCTCTGCAAAAGTGCGGATCCAGATCAGGAAACAGTAACCCTCCCGCAGCCGCTTGTGGCCGGCTAGCAGACGAAGGGAGGATCGGCTGACACCGATATTGACTGCTAGCCAGCAACGTGGAAGGCCCAGATTTGCGGGGAACGGCGAACACTAGTAATTTGGTGGCTGTATGCAACCGAAGTCTGGGGAAACGCCATCCTGTTGTGGTTCAGATCCGCATTGTTGTCCTTTAGCAACAGGGGAAAGGTCAATCACGCAGGGGTTGTGCATTGACTGAAGTCTCTCCCGAGGACCCTCACATGCTCGACAAGATTGTACCTTTGCGTGCTCCCCAATCATCTTATGTACTTTGGAGGTTCTGGAGACGCACTGCTTATCAGTCCGCGAGGCAGCGAGACTACGTGTCCTCAGGACCATCAAGTAGCACGCCAGCCATCGACGAATGTCGCAACTCGCGTCCAGCATGATGCACTGATGTACGACCAACGTGTCTCAGGGCGAAGTAGTAGACTATTACCCCCAGAAAACTCATCGCTGGCCAAAGCGGCATTTTCATTACGCAAAGACAACCGGCCCAGGCGTTCAGGTGACTAACAAATTCCTCCGCCACTGGATTCCACGTGACTTCTCCTCTTTCTTGGCTCCGCCCCAGGACTTCCGTTCGAAAAATTCTCACCTAATTTTTGCCTCTTTTTCCAATGAAGACTCTGCCCAGGTGACCTCCGCCTGAGCCTTTGGTGATGTCAAAGTATCAAAATCTGCCGCGTCCGTCCATGCCATGGATATCCGGCGCCTGTTGTCCTGCTTCGAAGCCTATTGCCTCCCCGAAAATCTGGGGAGCGTGACCGCCTTTTGGAAATTTTCCTACACGCTTTCCAGTTAACGGCAGCCTTGAGCAAGCCTTTCACACGCGCTTTCCAGTTAACGGCAGGTTTGCGACATTTCGATGTGTCAAAGAACCTCCTCGAAATAGGCTTACACACATTTTCCACTGCTTGTTTGCATCACGTTGCCATGTTGCGTCGCTGCCAGTGGCTGCGCACGGCGCTGGCCGCTACATGCAATTTCTCAGATGAATGCGTGATTGATGACTCTTGGTAAGGAAAACTTGACACATCTCTTACTGCATTGTATATATACCTGATCGCCCCTGCCCTGAAGCGGGTTGAGTCTTATCTTTGACCATCCAGGACTCGAGATTGACACATTGCTATTATTCTCAATCAGCACTCTAATACCAGAACTTGATCAACAGCACACCGTTGTTATCGCTGCATACTATAGTATCACTGCTACTAGTGATTACTACAACTGGTAACCCTACTCGATCGATTCAACCAATCACATCGTCGCTGTCCTGTTATAGAGGCCCTTGAATCCACTCATCGACAGCACCACCACAACACAACCACACAACCACACAACTACACACACACATCACTATGCCAGCCTCATCACGCAACTACTCCATCGTCGAGCCTCACCCAAACGCCACACCAACCTCATACATCCCCACCGGCCGCGGCGGCGCCGGCAACTACGTCCGCACGCCCATCAACCTCACCAAGGGCGCCTCCGCCCAAGGCCCACCCTCTCGCATCTCCGTCTCCACCGCATCATCAACCACCTCCTCCCGCTCCGCAGCATTCCACTCCGGTCGGGGCGGCGCAGGCAACATCCACCCTGCGACAGAGCGGGCGATCTTCAGCTTCGATGAGGAGCTCGAGAGGCAGTTGAGCCAGGAGCGGCACGCAGCGCCGGTGTACCATGTCGGCAGGGGTGGTGCCGGGAATGTGACGACTAGTGCGTATCCTAAGACTCCAAGGGCGGCCAACGCGGCGGCAAGGAAGGCTAGCAGTGCACGGTCGGACTCGGGGAGTGAGAAGAGTGTTGGGAGTGTAGAGAGCGGTGCCGATGTTGCGACGAGGGCGATGAAGGGGGCTTTGAGGAGGGTGTTCCACTAAGCCAGCATGGCTCTGATGGACCACGATAACGACGACTTGAAACCTTCTTACCAGCGACTTTCTTACCTTTAGCGCAACATGGGTCTGGGCGAACATGGGAAGGAAGAACAGGAAAAGGAAAAGCATATGCGTCAATGACGCTACTTAGGCATGGAGTTAAGGATGGCATGGACATGCTGCTGCTGCCAGTATAGCAAGCACAGAGGGTTTTGACACGGCCAAGGAGTATTTCTACTTACCACATACCTGAGTTTCTGGGCGAGCTAGCGCCTCATAATTGATCTTCAACAATGCTTCGATTCAATGCTACATCTCCTTGAACCACTCCAGCGTGCGGTAGTAAGCAGGCCCCTGCATAGGGGAGCTCACTGGCGCTCGTAGGGCAGTCCTGCGGTCGACTGAGAGCATTTCGTATACGGCAAGCCACCTTGCCAATGCAGGTTCAATTTTGTTCATCCTGAGCTTCCAATTTCGAATTTCCCTCTCAACAGCGCGTCTTTGCCTCCCCAACCCTTGAATCAACTTTGCATAGGGATGTACCTAGGTACATTGCTTCCCCGCTTTTGACACAGGGGCGCGTCCTGGGGACGTCCGGGCAAGGCCCGGGACCGCAAGTTTTGTATGGAGTGCTGATGTGGCTGATTGAGGACACCGTATATACGGCAATCGCTAGTGGTCTTACCGCCAGACTTTCTGACTAGACCGGATGACATGACCATGGCGAGCAAGTGAATGTGACACCTTTCTCCATTGGCGAAGGTGTTTCTTGCTTATTTATCTTCTACTATCACAAAAATTTCCTAACTTCCAGGACGTCTGGCTTGCCTTTCATTGCCGTGACATTGCTGGCACCGAGCTTTGTCACAACAATAATGCTGCCCACACGAAAGAAAGGCTAATACTACCTCGATAGAGATAAGTCATTGATAAGGCGAGTCGTTACCGACTGTACGGCCTTGTACGAGCTACGAAGGACCGTGTGTAGGTTGTAGCTGGACAGCAAACACTGTATTGCTAGGAATAGATCTCGCAAGTTTCAATGGCCTCAATCCCAACCATAGATATATCTCCCTACCTTCGACAGCAAGCTTCTGCGGATGACAAGGCCGCAGTAAAAGATGCTGTCAAGAACGCCTGCGCAAAGTATGGCTTCTTCCAGCTCTCCGGGCATGGTGTCCCCTTGACAGCTCAACAAGCCGTCATAGAAGCCAGCAGACGTCTCTTCTCGCTTCCACAGAAGCAGAAGGATGCACTGTCCCTGAAGAATAGCCCAGCAAGACGCGGCTATGAGCGAGTAGGCGAGCAAGTCCTCGACATCAACGCCTTGCCAGACTTCAAAGAGGGATATTACGTCGGTCGGGAAGTCCCTGCCAAAGACATGAGTTTCTCGCGGGGCCCGAACCAGTGGCCTCCGCCAGAATCTCTGCCTGATGACCACTTCCGGAATCCCATTACAGAGTACTGGCAATATCTAGTGCAATTGTGCGACACAATGATGGAGATCCTCACCTTAGGTCTCGGCCACGACATCTCCGTCCTACAAAACTTCACCAGGGAGCCAGCCGCGAACCTCAAGCTCCTCCACTACCCTCCACACCTTTCGAAAGATGAACGACAGTTCGGCGCAGGAGCACATACGGACTTCGGCGCGCTGACTATTCTGCTACAGCAACCCGGAAAGCATGGATTGCAAGTCTTTGATCGCTCGAGCGGCGAGTGGATTGCCGTCCCGGCCGTGGAAGATATCTTTGTGGTGAATATTGGCGACTTGATCCAGAAATGGACGGATGGAGAGTACAACAGTACGGTGCATCGTGTTGTTAACATCAGTGGCGGCGACAGATACAGTGTGCCGTGCTTTTATCAAGCACGATGACGGCCACGAATCCATTCAAGGCTGGAGAGACTGAGACTGTGGAAATGCATATCAGGAGGAAGTTCGACAGCTCGTATGGGTTAAGGAAGGCGTGACTAGGTCAGGCGGTATTCTCTGCTGGTTCAATCAGGTCCGTGTCGCAAAACCTAGGTACAGTCTACCAAGCGGACTGTCATCTTTGCTTTCAGGTTCTGTCATCCGGTTTGACGAAGCCTATATCCCAGACCGGTTGACAGAACATAACGACACCTGCGCCTTCCTTCTCCTATACTCGGAGTCAGCAACGGCAGCAGGAGCACGCGATAATCGCGCCTTTCTATGAGCGGTCCCCAGCGATGCAACGAGCGGCAGGCGCCTCATGCACAACCAGGTAGCACCTTCCGCACAAGCACAAGATGCCTTGTCATCCGGCTTGTATAGAAGTTTCGTGAGACCGGATGACAAGATCGCCTCGAAGATGCGTGTCGACTGTTCGCGTCTGCGATTTACGAGCGACCGCTTTGTGCTCGTGTTGTCACCATGTGCTTGAAGGACGGGGAAGGCAGCCGCGTGGCGTGCAGGATCTGGTCAACCGGCCTCGCCAGCACACGAGGAGTGGGATGTCATCCGGTCTTGGAAATGTATCTCGAGCGAGAGGTGATTGCTAGTCCAGGTACGGTGCTGAGAGATATCAAAGTCGAGTGGCCGGGGTCTTCTGCCCTCTTCTCCTAATGACATTGGACTACATCTACTATTGACGTCGTTGATGCGGTCAACATTCTCTAGCGGTGGACCACGGATGCGATACCATGAACCATGCACCGATTAGTGAATACCTCCCACCAAGCAATTGAAGTTAGTCGTTTCGGGTTCCGTCGGCTCCTCAGCCTTCGAAGAGGTATAAATAGTCGTCATTGCCCCCAGCTTCTCCTCGATTCTTGCCTCACGTGTCACATACAAAGGCATTCCGTTGCCATGCTTTGGTAGCAACCACTGCTACTCAGTGGGGTAAGCTTCTTCGATGTGTTAGAGGCGTGAAGCAGAAACTCGATTCCGACTGACCGTAGACTTTCATTAGAAGAGAGGCCTTTCTACAGCCAGGTACTGACAAAAGTACTAGTCTATCCTGCGTTCAACGCCTCCCTTACTTATTGTCAAGTACTTGACGCCCTTGTATGGCTTGACCCCATCTCCAAGGCCTTTACTTTTCTTCGTGTCGACATTCAGGCTGGACACCTTGATGCCGCTAGCAAGCCATCCCGTGACCGCGAAACTCGCCAATATCGTCTGCGGCATTAGTGACTTGCTGCTCTGCTTCTTGGCCCTATCTGTCGCCGCATCTCCATTGGTATCCCCGCCTTTGTCCTCGAGACCCAGCGTGTCATCGTCGTAGTACTCCGACAACTGCTGCGCATTGTTGGCCACGGCTGAGTCATTTTGAGCAGCAGAGAAGGGCCCGACGACTGAGCCTGATAACGTAGCCGTGCCAGACACCGAAAAGCCGTCCTTTGTGGGGATCTTCCACTCCACGGTCTTCGTAAACTGATTGAAGCTGGCTTCGCCCCGAGACGGCTTGAGCTCGGTGACTGTGCGTACATCCTTGGGAAAGGGAATGCTGATCATGACGGCCTCAAGCTTGGGCGCGGCGCTAGACGAGCCTGCGGCGCTGCCGAATGAGAATGGTGTCGAGCCCGTGCCGACTCTGCCTGGCGTGGGCTTTGTTGGGGCAGGTGCACCAGGGAAGTTGTTGTTCAGAGTGACCCGGGCTTCGAAGTCTGTGCCGTTGCGGCCGGTGTTTGTGCGGAGGTCGGGAATGATGGGCAGGAATATGCGTTCACCGCGCAGTGATGGCTGGTCTGTGTGAAGCGTAGATGGCATGAGGTCGGATTCGTAGCCTGCTAGCATGAACTTGCCGTCTGGAGGCACGAAGGACAGTTCTCCTGGTGAGTCCCGCCATCGATGCAGTAGTACACATGGATGAAATGTGGGCAGTTGCATGGTCCGACTAAGGCCTGCTGACTTTGCTGAGCTGGTACCGCCAGGCGCGGAGAGCGTCAACTGTAGGTGAGGCACGCCGGAGATCTTTGCTGTGAATAGTATCGATCCCTTGGCTCTGGCTGATATCGGCCGTCCTGATGGCGCATATATGACCGAAAGAGTCTCGACGATATCGACATAGAGCTCGTTACTGGTGTGACGCACATTTGACCTCCTCCATGGAATGGCTGGACCGTTGGCTGTGGACGACGCGGCCTTGAGCGTAGCGGCCAGACCAGCAGGCCCACCTGATGGTGCTGAGCTGGGTAGGCCGACCTGCGCAAACAGCTTGCCTAGATTGCTCGCGACCTCGACTTGCTCTCTCAGTGCATTGCCTTCGGTGTTGCAGATGATGCCACCATCGCACATCTCCACCAGTAGCTGCGCAACCACTTCATAGTTGTCCTCTATCTTCTGGCTGATGAGTGGGCTACCGAGGAACTCTTCGAAGATGTCGACCAGCCGGTGCAGAAAGTCGATGATTGCCTGTGGCGGCACATCCTTCGAAGACGTGCATGCTAGCAGCAGCGATGATTGTGAGACGGTATAGACGTTGGTCGGAGGGTTGAGGCTGGGGAGGTGGAAGACCGCCGGCAGTGGAGGGGTGCGCCGGCGGAACTCGTCGTGTAGTTCTTTGGCTGTGGGTGGCCGACCGGCGTAATTGTGTTCGAGGAGGCAACCTTGGTCGTCGAAGATGTAGAGTGCTTCGATAGCAACACTCATCGTGGAAGTAGGAAGGAAGCGAGGTCGCGTGGGTGAGAAGTCGTGTTCAGTCGAAGTCGACTCCTCCGCATTTCTTGGGTCGCGTCTTCATCATCTCGTCATCTGCCACACCTTCGAATTCATGGTGCGCTCGAGGCGGCTTTCATCATGCGCTCAAGGATCTGATGCCATGGAATAAGGAGTACGACTTCTCGAATCCGAGGCAGATCCCAGACTCGGAAGACTGTCTGTCATGTAAAGTAGTGGGTGAGTCTACCATTCCTTGGTACTGGGAACGATGGGAGAACTGATCGGCTCTGCACAGGCTCGTCAGCGCTGGCAGGTCTATCTTTCTACACCTACTATTCTGGTATGAGTCAATTGCGCGCGCAGCGGAAGGTCATTGAAATGAGCAAGTCGAAGTACAAGTATCATTCAAGGCAGTTGGGCATTATTGGTATTTCGGCAAGCCTGTTCAGTCTGGCGTGGTATCGCATTCTGAACTGATGGAGCGGTCATCCGACAATCTGCTTGTCTTTGCGATGCTGGTCGTTACGATCGAAGCCTCGCAGCAACGTGGCCAATGAGGGCTTTGATGTCTCCTACTATCCGACTAAGTGACGAGCAATCATCGAGTCATGGAGGATACCAGCATGACCACATGCCAGCCAAACGATGGACATATTTTCCAGGCCATTAACCAACTCACTACTTCTCGGGCGGTCGAGGGTGTGGCATGAAACGCACACTGGACCAACGGAAAGCTTCTGGACCGGCAGACGTTTGACAATGGCCACTCAATCAGAGCAGGAAGGGCATCATCGAGCACAACAAAGAACGTGTGAGGAAGATGTCGTGCATGTGGAATATGTACATTGTAATTATCAATAAATGCAGACGCATCCAAGGCGTTGGCGCGGATTCGTAGTCGTGGGTGTCGACTTGGGTATCTCTCTTCATAATCTATGCCCGTACGCTATGCAACAGACTCAACCAGCGCTTCTGCTAGGTCGAACTCCGATGGACTCCATGCGAATCGTATCTTCATGCGTAGCGCCCTCGCTTGCTTCCAGAATCTGACCCATCTCTTGGTCCGAATCCAATATCAAAGAAGTTGATGTCAGGAAAGGGATTTTTTCGCTTCGAACCTGAAGCAATGCCCAGACCTCTCGCTGACTGGCGATTGTTGCTGTTCTGCCGATGGGAGGTGCCCCGCTGTGTTGCTCTCATGCCCCGACTCGACGTGAGTGGTCTCGCTGGAGCATTGCCTGGTCCGTCGCTATCGGACACGGGCGAGGACTGTGGTGGTGCGGAGAATGATTCCCGGCGTTCTCTTTCGACCTGCAGCCGGGCTGCTGACTCTGAGGGGTATTGGAAAGTAAAGCTTGACGGTTCTGGTGGGTGTATGGTGGGCTGAGCGGTGGCGTTCACTTCAAAGGTGTCTTCATTTCGTTGCATGATTGCGTCTTGTTCTTGTGGCTGTTGCTCCTGCTGCTCCACGGGCTGGGGCTCTGGACTAGAGACGATATTGTCTGTGGCAGCAGTCCTAGCAGGCTCGCTCTCAGACCTCTCATCTTCGCTCTCTGGTTGCGGCTGATTGGCAGAACCATCATAACGCTCTGTCACCCATTGCCGAACTCGCCATCCTTCTCCATCTTGCAGTCCCAAATTCTCCGAGTCGAGGAAGCGTAGGATGTCATCGAGGGCATCTTGGTATCCGGCAGCTCGGTTGTTGTTCTGGTCTTGCACGGCTGACTTGTAGAGGTTTGTGACGGAGAGAGCGGCAGATCTGAAGGCCTGCAGAAGGTGTTCGGGCGGGACTGGTCTGCCCGAGTATGGTGTCGGTAGTGAGGTGTTGAGAGATCTCATCGAGTCCATTGTGGACAGAGGAGGATCGGAGTGTATGAGAATTCGGTGTCAGGCAGACCTTTGAGGGACTCAATAGCTAGCGAGAGAACAAGTCTGTGGATAGGTTCAGATTTGACGTTGACTGGTGGGGTTTTCTAGGCGTCGTTGATTCGGGCGAGATCCGCCGGCTCACAAACGGCTTCCGAGGCAGTGCTGTTTGGACGACCCTCTTATATTATTGTCGTGGATCCCGGAGCGAGGGTCTCGCTGACCGAACTTGTGAAATGAATGTGACGGAAGGTGTCTTTGTCTGAGATCGAGTTGTTGTGATTGGGCATCACCACATGGTCAAGGTCGGCAAGGCTGTATCGGAGCCTTCTTCACAAAAGTCTTGGCGTAGTCTGATCTACCAATCAACGCGCGTGACGCGGGGACTCTCTCTACTATTGCACCGTGGCAGACCTTTGCACTCCTTCCACCTCTGCACTCTGTCTGCCACCATTCCGCACCTCTGTACACCACACTCTGAAAGACTTGCAATCATCTGTACCAGTGCTCTAGAGTCTTCAGAGGTAATCCCTCGCACTCGAGCATTGCTGCGCGTATAGATTGGGTAGAAAAAGTCGCGGCGCGCGATCCTGGGCTTGCGCCCTGGCCCTTTAGCAAACATGCCTCGACTAGCACAACAGACGGACTCGGAGGCGTCCTCGAGAGCAGATACCCCCATGACAGATGTGAATGAAGCACCTCCAGTCCGGCCTCATCGCCCGTCATTTGGCTACCTCAACCCATATAACGATGATACCCCAGACGACTCGGACACAGGTCTAGACACCACTGCTAGCAGCGTGGCTGGAGATACGCCTGCTGATGGTCGGAAGAAACGAACAGAGGCTCTTCAATTACGGAAGAGTATTCTTGGCAAGAAGAATGCTCGACTAGGAGAGTCAAAGGATGACGACTCCATCAAGCGCTTCAAGTATCTGCTCGGTCTGACAGACCTGTTCCGTCACTTCATCGACACCAATCCAAACCCTCGGGTACGCGAGATCATGGCCGAGATCGACCGTCAGAACGAAGAAGAGGCTGCTCGGGCCAAACGTGGGGTGTCCCGCAAAGGCGGTGCAGCCACTGCTACAAAGCGGAAGACGGAGCAAGAGGAAGATGCTGAGCTGCTACGGGACGAGAAGCGTGGTGCGGCCACTCAGACCATCTTTCGAGAGTCTCCTGCATTCGTCGAGAATGGCGAGATGCGAGACTACCAAGTTGCTGGTCTCAACTGGCTCATCTCTCTTCACGAGAATGGCATATCTGGTATCCTTGCAGACGAGATGGGCTTGGGCAAGACCCTGCAGACAATTTCCTTCCTGGGCTACCTTCGTTACATCTGCGACATCACCGGTCCTCATCTCATCGCCGTCCCCAAATCCACCCTCGACAATTGGTCTCGTGAATTCAAAAAATGGACACCCGAAGTCAATGTGCTTGTACTACAGGGCGACAAGGAATCGCGTGGCCAACTCATCAAGGATCGCGTCATTGATGAGAAGTTCGATGTCCTCATCACATCATACGAAATGATTCTACGAGAAAAGGCGCATCTCCGCAAGTTCGCTTGGGAGTACATCATTGTCGATGAAGCTCATCGCATCAAGAACGAAGAATCCTCGCTCGCTCAGATCATCCGAGAATTCAACTCGCGAAATAGACTTCTCATCACGGGTACCCCTCTGCAGAACAACCTTCACGAACTCTGGGCCCTGCTCAACTTCCTTCTCCCAGATGTCTTTGGCGACGCTTCAGCATTTGACCAGTGGTTCTCTGGCCAAGACTCAGATCAGGACACCGTTGTACAACAGCTTCACCGTGTTTTGCGACCTTTTCTGTTACGTCGTGTCAAGGCCGATGTGGAGAAGAGTTTACTGCCAAAGAAAGAGCTCAACCTGTATGTTGGCATGTCTGAGATGCAAGTGAAATGGTATCAGAAGATCCTCGAAAAAGATATTGACGCTGTCAATGGTGCTGGCGGTAAGCGGGAATCCAAGACCAGACTTCTCAATATCGTCATGCAGCTGCGAAAATGCTGCAACCACCCATACCTATTTGATGGCGCTGAGCCTGGACCACCGTATACGACTGATGAGCATTTGGTCTACAATTCTGGCAAGATGATCATCCTGGACAAGATCTTGACACGCATGCAGGAGCAGGGAAGTCGAGTACTGATCTTCTCTCAGATGAGTCGTGTCCTTGACATTCTTGAGGATTACTGTGTCTTCCGTGGCCATAAATACTGCCGCATCGATGGCGGTACCGCTCATGAAGACCGTATCGCTGCAATCGACAACTACAATGCTCCTGGCTCGGAGAAGTTCATCTTCCTGCTGACGACCCGTGCAGGAGGTCTCGGCATTAACCTGACATCCGCCGACGTGGTTGTCCTGTACGACAGTGATTGGAATCCTCAAGCTGATTTGCAGGCCATGGATCGAGCTCATCGAATTGGACAAACGAAACAGGTCAAAGTTTTCCGGTTCATTACGGAGCACGCTATCGAGGAGAAGGTCCTAGAACGTGCTGCGCAAAAACTACGGCTCGATCAACTTGTCATTCAACAAGGACGTGCGCAACAACAAGTGAAACAAGCCGCGTCCAAGGACGACCTGCTGAACATGATTCAGCACGGTGCTGAGGAAGTCTTCAAGACCAAGGGCGCTGTTGGTGAGCTTGACGACATCGATGCAATCCTCACACGCGGCGAGCAGCGTACAAACGAACTCAACGCCAAGTATGAAAAACTAGGTATCGACGATCTCCAGAAGTTCTCGTCCGAGAACGCCTACGAGTGGAATGGTCAGGACTTCACCCAGTCGAAGAAAGATAACATTGGCATGAGCTGGATCAACCCTAGCAAGCGTGAGCGCAAGGAACACGACTACTCGTTCGACAAGTACTACCGCAACGCGCTCTCAACCGGCAAGCCAAAAGAGACCGAACCCAAACAGAAGATCCCACGCGCTCCCAAACAAGTCAACATCCACGACTGGCAATTCTTCCCAGCCAATCTCCGCGAGCTGCAAGACAAGGAGACGGCGTTTTACCACAAGGAGATTGGCTTCAAGGCTCCTCTCCCAGAGGACGACCGTTCCGAGAGCGAGCGGCAGGCCGATCAAGAGATCGAACAACAGACTATCGACGATGCCGAACCTCTTACCGAACGCGAGAAGGAGTTGAAGATCGAAATGCAAGGCCAAGGCTTCGGCCACTGGAATCGTCGCGACTTCCAACAATTCGTCAACGGCTCCGGCAAGTACGGTCGCAAGAACTTTGAGTTGATCGCCAAGGAAGTCGACAGCAAGACCATTGAAGAGATCAAGGACTATGCTGCTGCATTCTGGGCCAACTACGATGTCATCGAAGGATATGAGAAGCACATTGCCGCCATCGAGGCTGGTGAGGAGCGTCTACGTAAGACTGAGCACCAGCGCAAGATGTTACGCAAGAAGATGCAGCAGTACCGTGTGCCTTTGCAGCAACTCAAGATCAACTACACTGTCTCCACGACCAACAAGAAGGTGTACACCGAAGAGGAAGACCGCTTCCTGCTGGTCATGCTCGACCGTCATGGTCTCGAATCCGAGAACCTGTACGAGAAGATTCGCGACGAAATCCGCGATTCGCCACTCTTCCGCTTCGACTGGTTCTTCCTCAGCCGCACACCCATCGAGATCGGTCGTCGTTGCACCACACTGCTCAATACTGTTGCGCGTGAATTTGGTGATCCAGACGAGAAGATGACGAATGGTCATGGCAAGAGTCGAGGTCGTGATCGTGACGAGAGCGAGAGTGAAGACGACGAGGACGACGCTCCGCCGGCCAAGAAGAGCAAGAAAGGTGTCAAGGCTGAGAAGGAGAATGGCGTCGTGGTAAGCTCAGCAACCACTTCGAACTCATCGCTATGCTCGTATGCTAACGTGTCATTAACAGAACAAGAAGCTAAAGGGCGTTGCTAACGGTTCGAATGGCAAGAAGCGCAGCAGCAAAGCTGCGACGGCTAGTCCAGCCACGAGCAGAGCCAGAGTGTCGTCTCGACGGTCGAGGGCAAGGGCAAGAAGTCGTCGAAAGGCGGACGCAAGAAGTGATGCTGGTCACCTACAGCACTCGATATTATCTGCCAGATGTGGTGGCGCAGTTGCGACTTGGGCGAGAAGTTGGCGAGCGGCAAAGGTATGCATAAAGAGAGCTTGCATTGATGTCTGGGTCGATTGCATGGCGTTTTTCAGGGCGAGGTTCCCAACGACTGGGATCCGCTTCGAGCTTGGGCTTTCAAAAGTGGTCATGATAGATGGGCTGGGGCCGTGTATCAACATACATCATCATGTGATACGGCAAAGCATGTCTTGGAGCTGAATAACCATTCTGAAGGGAAGCGAGCGGATGATTCTGGGAAGGTGCTCAACATCAGATCCCATGGCTAGCCAAATGAAGCGAATGTCAAACAACGAATCCCATGCATTTGAAGTCTAATCTTCTTGAACACGTATGTGAGGATCCATGGACGTGCCGGTGTAGACAGGGTTTAGCGAAGTAGGCGTTATTGGCATCAGTCGGTCGCTTGCTGCAGGAAGTCCTTAGGAAGGCAGGTGCGATCGCCATGAGTCGGTTGCGCCTGCTGTAGTGGACGGTCCGCAAGGCAGTTGCGATTGCACTCAACCGGTCGCTCATGCTGTCGCAAGGCGCCGTACTGTCGCCCAGTCGCCTGCTCTTTCAGAGGTACATACTCGGCGGTCACAGCCGGCTGCGAGATCTCCCCGCAGCCAGCAAGCAGCTCGATAACTCCACCGCCTCCGGTCATGTCAAAACCTTGTGGGGAGTGCAATGAGACCAGATCAGCAGGCATATACACGTGGTAGTGGCTATGAGGAGGCTCATTGTGGTTGTCAAAACGTGGCGTCGACAAGGTGTCAGACGACATGAGTATACTACGTACGTGACTGAAGTTGCCTCGATTGACTCAATGACCGATTGAGACATACACATGGTCATATATCTGGATCTCATTGCCATATAGTCATCTATCTCGGCCTGGGGCTTTTTGTCTACCGGCGTCAGGAGAAGCCTTGGTCAACCGGCTTATGCTAGACCATAAGTCATCCGGCTTCGGTTTAGACCATTCCTACAGCCAGTCCCTCCCAACCCGGCGCCATCTGGACTATTTGTAAGCTTTGAGCCGTAGTCGCTCCTCAAGTGGGTTGATAACTCTGATGGCTGAGTAACGTGGCCGGTTAGCCTTCCAGCTTCACCCAGTCTTGGCTGGCGTCCGGCGCCTCAGATCCTGCTTCTTTTACCACGTTGTTGGTCGTCGGCGCCTCAGCCCCTGGACTTTTGACAGTGGCGCTGTCCTTCAACACGATGCTGTGTACGGGAGTTTGTGCATCGATCTGAGACGACAACGCTTCAAACTCTGGCCATTCTAGAATCTTCACGAAGGCGTCGTCGTTGCCCTTTCGCAAGAGTGTGGCCAGCTTCGTCTTGAAGAATTTGATTTGTTCAGGCTGATTGGGGTGGTTTCTGAGACTGCTGCCTATCGTGGTAGGAAAGTCAAAGATGTACTGCCCCTTGACCCATGCAGGTGTTGTGCGAGCGCCCTGCCAGGACATCAGTGATTAAAGAATGGTGAAATTCTGATACACTTACACCTGCAAGGCTGACTTCTGTCAGCTCGAAGTTCTGTTGGATCTTCTCGACCGCAGAATAGTCGTATTGGATCGCATCATAATCTCTGGGAAGGACGACCCGGATGCCAACGATCTTAACAGCGTTCTGTAATAAATTGTCAGTACTTCAATGCAAGCCTGATTCGGTGGTTCATACATCATTGACCTCCACGGTCTTCTTGAGTCGTAAAAGCTTTCCTACCAGGACTGAGATGAAGTTGGTGTGATACCCATCAACCACGACCGCCCCGGGCTCTCCGTCTAGTCGTAACGATCAGTATACTCCATTTCCTGTATATGCAAGGATTCTGTTACCAATGTTTGCATCACCGGGCGGCAGCCTCGCCAGTTTATACTCCACGAAAGACTTCGTAGCGTCGGCAGCATTCTTCAATGATGGGCGATAATGGTTGTTGTGGCCGACGCCCTTGTGCTCGTCACCCAGGTCCGATACACCTTTGATGACGCCAAAGGCATGTACCCCGGTGACCTGACAAACTTGCAGAAACGCACTAGCCTCCATCTCGAGTGCGCCAGCATTCCGCAGCTGGTGTAGAGGTCAGTGGGGGAGGGGCCAAACAGGTTCGCACGACATACATAGCTTCGCACACTCTTGAAGACCGCATCAGCGTCAAGACGTACAGAACACCCTGAGATATAGTCTCCATGCTTCCACTCCGTCCGATGATGGTATTTCTGGAGGAACCCGCCCATCGACGAGCTTTGAGCGTCGACTGTCTTGACATCGGCGGCAAACACAGGCTTCTTCGTCTCAGGATCGAGACTCCACTTTCCCTCCTCGTAGTTGATCGCTTTCTCTCCGAAGACAACATCTTCAAGCCTGGAGCAGGATGAATGAGTGACATGCTCATGGGACTTGACTTACTGATAGTCCCTGCCCTTCAGAGCTGCACAGCAGCCGACCATAACGGCGTAGGTCGGCTTCAAAACGGTGAACAAGGAGGCTGCCTCAGCCGCGAAAGATTGGATGCCTTGACGCGACGTGTAGGTGAGGTAGTACGACAATTTGCGATCGTTCTTTTCGTTGGCTTCATCGAGCTCAAAAGTGCTGGTATAGAAATCGTGGCTCGCGAAGGCCTTGGGCAGTTCCGCAACATCCGCACCAGCGATCCTGGTTCGTATTGCCCATCGGTCTTTGACAACTTCAGCCTCATCCGATTTAGCACAAATCACACAGAGTTTGCAAGACCGGAGGGTGCGAAGGTTGTTGATTTGGAGCAGAGTCGCCATGGGCTTCCTGGATGCTGTTGTTGTGAAGCACAAATGTCGGATTGCCAGGGCTTGCAGAGTCAGAAATAGATGGACACAGGAGCTAGAGGGCAGGAACGGCGCGGGCCCAGCACAAAGATAAAGAGCGAAAAAGCATCCTTGAACTGCAGGAAGGGTCCAGATCACAAGTTCCTCGCATAAGGGCTCAGCATGTGTGCTGAAAATTTCGGCCATAGCTGTCAACATGTTTGGGCGGACCAACGCGAGCCATTGGTGTCTTGACGCCCTGAAAACGAGGAAGGCGCTGCACGCCAGAAGATCGAGTAGCCTGACTGCCACCTACCTTCTACACGATCCACCCTGCGGACAGAGGTTTCATCATGCACTATACAGTTGATGTCTCATGAGGTCAGTTCCATCTCTCATACTTCGTGATGAGCATCGCGCTTTGTAGTTGTATAGGTAGCTTGTCAGTCCAGTAAATGACAATCGAGAACAACGACAAGGCATTGTCGTAAGGGTGAAGGGATGGCACAAGTCCCACCAATAGCATAACTTCTTCGTGTTGTCGTCGTGTCGTCTCGTATTCTCGACCCCTCGATCGATGCATTCAGCAATACGGGGCACTGTGCCCGCAGCAAGCCGCTCGTTCGGTCAGGGCTGCTTCCGAGTTGCACTTTTGTCCTAGCATCGGAAACATACGAAGATTCGATCTGCTTCCGGCTCGAAATTGCGGGCGCAAGGTCGAGTTCATCGATACTTTACTCAGCGAAGATGCTTCGGCCCAGCCTCGTCAACATTGTCTGTCCTCCCGTTGCTCTCCCTGGTCCCATCCCAACCCACCAGAGCTCATAGCTTTGCCTGCATCTCCTGATGCAGCTCCTTCAACTTCTCCATGTCCGTCGCTCCCGCAGGCCATCCCACTCCCAAACCCTCCTTCTCATTCGGCTTGGGTATCATGTGGAAATGCACATGGTCGACCTGTTGATGTGCTATCCTCCCATTATTCTGTAGAACGTTGAAGTTCTCGGCGCCGGAGGCGATGGCTAGCTTCTTCACTACTGGGAGGATCTCACTGAGGTGCTCGTCGGGGAGTGTGGTGAGGGTTGGGGCGTGGTGTTTGGGTATTACTAGCTGCGAGGAGCGTCAGTCTGCTACCAGTGGGCTGTTGAGTCGTTCGGGCTGGGGGAGGTCTTGACGGGGGCTGCTGTTGAGGCAGAGGGTGTGGTATTATATGCTGTGGTTGAGTCTTCATGATGGGCGGAGTGGCACGTACAGCATGGCCGCGGCTGAGAGGCTGGATGTCGAGGAAGGCGAAGACGGAGGAGGACTCGAACAGCTTGAGGGAGGGAATCTCTCCTAGTGCGAGCGTGAGTCGTCAGAACCAAGGTGTGTACCCTTGGTAGAAAGAATACTGGATAGCATAGGGTCCGTACCTTTGACGATCTTGCAGAAGATGCAAGCTGCGTTGGTAGACATGATATCACCGGAAGACTGTGCAGCTTCACTGCACAAACCGAAGAGATCAAGAGCTGATCATTCAATGCGCGGGATGGTTGTCTTTGAAGTCGCGGACGATGTCATCGCCCCAACAGCCACGGGCAACCGAATATCCTGCGGGGGAGTACTTTGTCGTGCGGGGCAGACCTGCCAGTGTGATCCGAGACAATGTATTGCTATATATATCGCAGCGCATTTCTTGGCAACTTGGAGTGCGACGAACTATAGCAGAATCCATTTCTTGCCTTTTACCAGAGATGGCCGTGGTTACGCGCAACAAACTCCATTCAAACAATCTTTGGACACTTATTGACCGCTCTTGCGGTTTTCTTTTTCGCGCTTTGGATAACAGACAGGAGGATGTGTCGTCGAGCCTGTCTTTTTGCTTTTTTGCGACGCTTAAAAATCCTGACCCCGGCGCCAAGGGCCTCACTATCTCCAAGCTAATGACCACTGCTTGGGGGTCCTTCTCGCTCTTCTCTGAGACTTCGAGCCTTTCATTGCAAAAATACAGCAAGCTCTCGATCCCGAGCATTGATCAAAGCAGGTCTCTTCTCGGCGTAACGAGGATCTTGATGTGCTTGTCCTTATTGTTCACCAGCTCATCAAATCCACCCACCTTGGCATCTTCCAGAGCGATGCGCGCGGTGACCATGTCTTCGAGACCCTGGTACTTGCCTGATCAGACTTGTTAGCAATGTTGGTCGGACAATCAGACATCCTGAGGAATTATGCAGGGAAGTATCTAACCTTCGGAGAATTCTGCACAGTCTTTGCAAAGTCCTCTTCGTCGTATGCAAGGCTGGCTTTCAGAGTGAGCTCTTTCATCATCCAGTACTGCATTGGCACCGTGAACTGGCACAACGTTCGTGGTCAGCATGCAACACAGACGCGGACCATGTTCCAACGTTGCATGTACTTACTGGCGTCTCCCACCCAGCAACATTCATATACAGCCCCTGCACCTTCAAACTCGCCATCCCGCTCTGCATCCCAGGCCCCACTCCAGCACAATCGAAGACAACGTCGACACCAGCACCACTCGTTAGCTCTTTGCATCGCGCCGGCACGTCTTCCGACTTTGGGTTGAGCACCACATCCACATACTTCCGCACCTGCTTCTGTCGTGTCTCCGTCGGCTCGCTCACAATCAGCTTCTTCACACCCACAACGCGTAGGTCCTGCACGACCGCCAACCCAATCGGTCCACCGCCCAGAATCAGCACATTCAACTCCCCGAAATTCTCAATCCCCGTCGCCTTGACAGCATGCCTCGCCACGGCCAACGGCTCAATCAGCGCCGCATGCTTCAGCACATCTTCTCGATCGGGCAGTGCATAGACCATATCCGCCCTCACACAGACCTTCTCGGACAGCCCTCCGCCTCGGCCGGAGAGGCCATGAAAGCCCCACTTGTCGCAGAGGTGCGTTTTCCTACCGCTGCAGGCGTGTGATGATGGGTTGGGAATGTTAGCGGCGGTGCAGGAGGTGCACGATTGGCAGTTCAGGCGGGGGTCGATCATCACAGGTGTTCCGGGCTTCAGGCCGCCGTTGACTGAGCCGTTGCTGTGGCCGTTGCCATTGACCCCGGTCGTACCATTTGAGGACTCTCTAGGGCCGACTTCGCTTACCCGACCGCAGAACTCATGGCCGAGCGTAACAGGAATGCTCTCGCCCGTCAAAGGGTGAGGGCGTTTCTCAGTCGGGATGACAAGCGGGCCGACAAGGTACTCGTGCAGATCACTGCCGCAAATGCCGCACCATTCGATGTCGATGTTGACATAGCCAGGTGGCGGAGGGGACGCTGGGACGGGCGCAGTGGTAGTGATGCGGATGTCCCGCGCGGCGTGGAACTGGGCGGCGCGCATCGTTCAATGATGTCGGAGCGCAAATCGTATCTGCGGCTGGTATGTGGATGTATAGCACGGCTCAGAGTGTGTGCTTCAATATCGAAGTCGTATATGACCCTGGATCGGGCTCCGTCGACCTCTACTGCTGCGGTGATCTTTATAGTGGTGTAGGTACTGCCGACGGCTTGTGTGACACCACTGAACTTCCTGTAGATCCTGTAGGTTCTGTAGCCGAAGTAGTGTTCTACTTACTCGTTTCGTTGCTTTGCTGGTCGAGGAACTATGACTTGATGGTCTCTTGCCCTTGATCGGTTCAGGATGGCCCGACAGCTGTACGCTATTGGTGGACTTACACTGCTCGAATCCAGGTCGTGCAGGCGAGATGAATCGTTGGTCCTGGACGCGTACATGTTCTCAGGATACGCTCTACCGAGCACAGGCACGGCATCGTGTACGAGTCACGCTGCATTGACTTCCTGCTGCATCGTGCCGATTGCCGCCTCGAGTAGGCGCGGGGAAAGGAAAGTCTAATCTTCGCATTTCATGATTCGCCCCTTCCCATTCAGCATGACTGTTGAATCTGGGGTATGAATGGACAACCGAGGTTCGTTGCCCATGGGGTGCAGACATGTCAAACCCGATGAGTGGGCATGTCAATGATGAAGACGGCGCGCCCCCAAGCCGTTACAAATAAGGCATTGCTTTGCCTTCGCCCTCGCCGTAGACGAGGATGAACCAAAGGACCTACCAGGAGGGGACTGCTATTGGTAGGACTTATAAAGGGACACGGGCTGTCGGGTGTACGCCTCTGCTCGAAGGCCCTTCAAACAGCCAGCAGAAGAAGTCGACTTCCAAGATTCGTAGGATCGAAAACATACCTATTCCAAACGGCCATCGGAATGCTGCTGCTGCAGTACGCCAAGATCGAGACAGCGAGTTTTCCGGACCGGACTTGACCGCAAAGCCCTGGAAAGAAATAGAACATCTGTAACGCAAACATCAGACATATGATACCCCGACAATGACTGCTATAAAAAGGATTATGGACGCGAAAACGCAATTGCTTCAAGCCGCCAGCAATGGAGACGTCGAAATGGTACAGGCGGCGTTGGATGCAGGAGCCGACATCGAAACCCGCGACTCTCATCAACGCACTCCATTATTGCTGGCAGCCTCTGCAAATCATCTCGACGTCGCCAGAGTCCTCGCTACCGCGGGCGCCAGCCCCAACGCTCAGGACACCACATTGGCCAGCGCGTGGCTCGTGACAGGCGTCACCGGGAGCGTCAGTATGATGCGTGCCCTCTTGCCAGCCAAGCCCGATCTGCGTCTGCGGAATCGCTATGGCGGTGTCAGCGTCATCCCGGCGTCTGAACGGGGCCACGTCGATTATGTCCGTGCGGTGTTGGAAGAGACTGACATCGATGTGAACCATGTCAATAATCTGCACTGGACTGCTCTCCTCGAAGCGGTGATTTTGGGAGATGGAGGTCCGAAACACCAAGAAATCGTCAAGGTTCTCCTCGAGCACGGCGCTGATCGGACCATTGCTGACAAGGATGGTGTCACTGCGTTACAACATGCCGAAAGACTTGGGTATTGGTCTATGGTCGATATTCTCAAATCGTAGGTAGTGATGAAGAATATCACTAGCTTCGGTGTGCTCGCGCATGCCCTCAACGCCCAGTGTCAATACGACACAATGGGTCTCACAGCGAGGAGCCTGTGGGTAATTAACCATTTGCTGGCCGGCATGGTTCTTGACAACCAGACTGGACCAAGGTTCGAGGCGGGCCAGGGTATCAAATAAGAAGTCGGCCGCAGCTCACTAAGTACCTGTTGCTAGGTCGCGGCCACAGGCACTTGGACAACCACTTCACTTCGGAGGCCTTCGACCAGTCTTGGCAGAAAGCTGGCATCGGTTTCGAACCACGCATTGAGCAAGCACTCCCATTCATGGCCACTGTCGATCCCATCTAACATCTACGAGCATGGCTTGTCATTGTTAGCAAAACAAAAAGCAATAATGTTGGGGAACCCACGACTTACTGCGTGAGCTCCCCCGAGCGCTTACTCTCGAAATTCTTTCGTTTTTAGCCCAAATTTCGGGCATCTAATTGATAAAGGCATTCTCTCGTGGGAAGGCGATGAGAAGGTAAGTGAGGAGTAACGGCGTTGTCAGGGCGATGTCAGGTTCTAGTGAGGTGGTGACGGACTTGGCAATAACGCGGCCAACAGTCAACAACCGACGTTTTAACTGAGACCGTCGACAAACTTTCCTTCTGGCTGAACAAAGACTGTTGCTGCATCAATTAAGGCCTTGCTCTGGGGACTCAGTGTTGAACATCAACTTCTCAGGCAGGCCCGAAAGTCAAAGCTTCATCGAACACATCGCTCGCAATCGCAAAGATACCTAGGTACTTGCGTTACACAGCATACGCCCTAGCACTCGCGGATTTGGGCGAGGTGGCCGTCCCTGCCGTAGGACGGTACGAGGTGTACTCTCTACGCTCGCCATTGCTTTTACACAATACTTTGCGGGCAATGAGAATCACCTATTCGACGGGGGTAATTTTCGTCGGGGCGAGGAATGCCGTGGTGACCTCCTCACAATGGCAATCATCTGCACTTCTGGATGTCCTTCGTCTTACTGTGCGGAATGGATGAATATAGCAATCAAAGCGACCGCCTGGCGGGAGCGGGCTCAAAGTTATGCGGGTGTGAGAGAGGGAGAGGCATGAGGCGAGCAAGGTTCCATCATCAGCGCCAAGGTCCCAAGACGGCGTCTACATCGTATACTCGTATCCCTTACTACAAAGCACGCATCGTGAGCCGCTCGCTCTATTTCTACATAGTCAAACTCTCCCCAACATCCATCAGCCCAACCTCCCAATCCTCACTCTCCCCTCTCCACCTCAACTTCAGCCTCTCCGCCTCCTCCCTCCACTCCTTCGGCGGCAGCCGCACGTCCTCGTAGTATTGACTCAACCCACCCCTGATCGTACCATAATGCATACCCACGCTGCGCTTCGCCTTGACGTCCCGATGTATGCACATTGAGTCCTCTGCGCTGCAGTGCACTGAGCTCATGAAGTGGCGCGGATGGCATAGGCCGATGGGAAGCAGGGCGAGGGCGAATGGGCCGAGGAGCTCGCCGATTCGGGCGAATGCTGGACAGTTCGGTAGGTTGTCTAGGTCTTCTATGGGGTATGGATCTGGGTGTGAGGGGATCGTGCGATAGCCGGTGTCGCCGGAGAAGTAGATGCTGCTGTGAGAGCCGTCTGGTTTGGGGATGCGGAGGGCAAAGCTGCACCAGAGGTCGCAGTTCTTGTCGAAGGGAGTTCGGGCGGAGGCGTGCTGACAGGGCGTGCAGGTGATGCGGAGGGATGATGAGGCCCTCGATGTGCTTAGTGACGAGATTGAGCTACTGGCGTCGCCTTTGCCCTGCTGAAGCGAGACATCAACCTGGTCCCACCAGTCTGCTTCCCATATCTGGCTTTTCGGGATGCCGAGTGGTGTGAGCCAGCGCGAATTGCCCAGAGCGACACAGAATACCACGTCACGTCCGCGGTGCTTGAAGATAGTGCTCAGAGTTGATGTATCGGCATGGTCGTAGTGGTTGTGGCTGACACAAACCACATCGATCGGCACAGCATCTAGCAGCGCCTCTATCGAACACGGTGTCGGTGTGTACCGCTTGGGTCCCAAGAATGTGACAGGCGATGTACGTTCGGAGAAGACTGGATCAAGTAGCACGTTCACGGCTCGCGACTCGCCAGGTACTGCCACCTGAATCAAGAAAGATGCATGGCCGATCCAGGTCACTTTGAATGAGGAGCGTGCCGAGGGAGGACTGAAATCTGGCTTGAGCACCTGAACGAGTTCGGAGCGATCATCTGGGACAGGAATGTATGGCGGACGGTTTCCAAACCTCGTCTTCAGGAGGTCTAGCGGACTGCCGTGTTGCGCGGGCCACGATGGCCATGGATTCTGGAAGCTGGTGGGAGGGCTGCCTTTGTGATGTGATTTACCGGAAGATGGATCAAGGGCAGGTAGCGGGTGAAGTTGTGGCATCGTTCAAGCAATCTTAGCACTTACAAACTTCCAGCAGCTGCCGGGTGAAGGCCACGCTCGGTGTCAAGCATCTTATGAATAACCCATGCCACCTGCATCCGGCGCCGACGCGAGTAGTGATGATGTCGTTGTTTCGACAGGCCATGGTCGGCAACATTCGGTCCAACGTTCCGCCGAGCCCTTAGATTTACGCTTCGGCGCCGTCTTACGCGCGATCTTTCTCTGATGCTTCTTCCAAGCTCTTTGCAATGGCCGACTTGACATCTGTTAAAATGTCTACCATGTCTGGATGTCAAGAGTTTCTGATGATACTCGCGCCTACGCTGCGCACAACTTCGTACGGAGGCTGATCTCGTGGCGAGATTGGCTGCCGTAATCGAGATATGCCTCATTTAACAGAAAGCAGATGAATGTATTTGTGAAAGCGCCAAAGGTCGTGGATATGCACAATCGTATCTACTGCAACAGCTGGAGGCCTGTTCATCTGCAATGCGACGGAATCGTGCGTCACCTGAGCATACGACAAAAGCCCATACCCTGCCTCGAAGGCACTACCATACGCGACGAACCTCTTCATGAGTAGCGTATCCCACCATTTGGGTCTGCATCAAGCACACGAAAATGTACTGAGCGCCGAGCTAACAGGGCTGCGGCGGGCTTTCGTGGAAAGCGTGGCTTTCAAGTTATTGAAGGACGACCCAAATGCCAAGCTGGTAATCTATCTACATGGTGCAGCAGCGACGCTCGGCTAGGGCTGGCGACCGCAGAGCTATCGGGCCATGTCGGCATCCACATCTAATGTTCGTATGCCGGCGATCGACTATCGTGGCTTTGGGACAAGTACTGGCTGGCCCTCGGAAAACGGCTCATGACCGATGCTCTCACACTGAGCCGTTTTGCCCTTGAGCGGGCGGGCATACCGCCGGATCGCATAGTCGTCTTCGCTCAGTCTATCGGCGCTGCTGTTGCTATGTTACTGTGTCACCAGCTCGCACTGGGTTCACCACCAACACTGTTTGCTGACATGGTGCTTGCGGCGCCCTTCGCAGACGTTGAGCTATTGACTTGGGCGCAGAGGGGTGTCAACAAGTTCATCGTCAACAAGTGGGCGTCGAAAGGCACTCTTGCTTCGTTTAACCGGCATTGTGACGTTGGTCCGAAGTCGAGGGCGACATCTACCCGCAGCAGATACGACATCACTCTCATCCATGCAGAGGATGACTACGATATCCCGTGGGTGCACTCTGACGTCCTCTTCTAGCATGCTGTCAACGCCACAAAGTCTAGCGAGGAACGCACAAGCTTGGAGGCGTTCGAGCCGGAGGTGAGAGGCGCAAAGTAACTCTATGTGAGGGTCGGGAGGTAGAGTGGTCGGGTCGCGAAGGTGTCGTCCGAGAACAGGTAGTCGAGTATGGACTCCATGATCGGCTCATGAGGTACCCAATTGTGAGTGTGGCAATGGCGAAGTGCTTCCAGCGCCGGCTATCCTAGGATGCAGGAGTTGGGCCAAGCATTTACAGCGGATCATATCAAATTCTGAAGCACTTGAGATACTTCAAGGCCTCGCATCATGCTGCATTGCGCTTTCTGCCCTTCCGATGGTAAGCACACATTGATCGGGGCTTTATCTGACCTCGTCCGCAGGAACATCGTGCTGAAGCGACAGAGGCGAGCAGAAATCCGATCCTTCAAAGCAGGCCAGTGCGTCATAGACTGCCGTACTAATAAAAGCGTCCGCACCCAGGTGATCGACTTCCATAGAGTCTCCGCCGAACTCAAAGCCTGTGTCAGTTACACAGAGGGCCAAAGCAGCGCCGTTGCCTCTATCAGCCTCCTCTGGTATGTTTGCGGCCGTTACGAACGCGCCGGCAACGTCGGGAAGCAGTTCGTCTGACACCTCGTCTAGCACGCCTTCACTTTCGAAATCTTCGAGCGAGCCCAGAGCTCCATCATGTTCTGCATGCGACTCGTCGCTGCCAATGTCTGAACACACATCCGGAAAACGCCGGTGTAGGACCACATCGCCTTCCTCATCGACGTACCACTCAACTGTCCTACCATATGAATACGTCCCGCCGATCCTACCATCACAACTTCCTAGCAACTGCTTCACGACCGTGATCGCCGTGGTCGACAGAGTCCTCGAGACATTGTAGGTCGCATCTTGCTCGTCACTTGCATCACCATCGCGTTGCTCCCGCTGCTCCCATACTTCGCTGGTGACATCCCAAAACGGCTCATGCCGCGTCAATCCAGTCTCATCACCCAAGACTCCGGCTGACCAATTCAGAGCCCAAGAAATGCGACACAGCCCACCAATGACCGTACGTGGTAGGTTGCGCAGAATTGCCAGGCTCGGGGACTCGATCTGGAGGTAGCATAGCAATTTTCGGCAGATCTCTAGACTGATTACGTAGTTCTCGATGAAGAACGCCTTGTATTGCCATAAGATGTGCTGATAGCCGTTATCATTATCTCCAAGCTCCACATTGACGAGAAAATCCGCAACGTAGTACAGTCCCTTACAACGATCCAAGTAGTCCTCGAATGTGCTGCTGTCAAGATAATTTATACGCAGAGGTCCTCCCGTCCAGCACCGTTGTGAACTGTGCGCCAACTTCATCTTTGATCGGTGTCGCGCTAACGAAGCGTGTGGGTGCGAGTCTGGGCTCGAAGGTGCTGCGGTAGAAGCTTGATTGAAGTGGCATGCATGGTCTGAAATGATTTCCTCGTCGGCTGTGTCCCACTTGGTCGCCGCTCTCGATCGAATAACAAGCTGATGGGAGTCTTTAGTGTCCTCCTGCCCTGAGAAGCAGACCTTGCGCCTCTGGTGTCGAACCATCAATCGTTTCTCCTTGAAGACGAGGCCGCAAGGCGCACACACAAAGAGCTCTGCATGACCATGAGCCTTCCTATCATGTCGCTGGAGCTCATCCCGTCGCGAATAGCTCTTTGTGCACGTAAAACACGAGAAACGCGACCCATTGTGAGCGCTTGCAACATGGTCTTGAAGTCGGACAGGCTGAGTAAAAGTCCGGTCACAACTCGAATGCGGGCAGTAGAGCGTTGGGCCCATGTCGTGACCGTTAGGCAGAGGATCGAAATATCTCTGACTTGAGCACTCATTAGAAAATTGCTGGCAGTGAGCAGGAATACCGAGGTAGGGAGAGGAAAGGTACGAGTTCGAAATTTGTATTCACGACTTCTTCGACATCGCCAGGCTCGCGCCTCGGACTTTCTGGTTGTGACAGCGTGCCGGCACGGTGGCTGCGCCTCACCTGAGCACTGATGTGCTGCCAATTGGCAGGGAGCGGGTCCACCTCGTGTTGCCTGCATCAGGCTACGTGATCGACAGGGTGGCTGATCCGGTTTCGCCAATCGCCTTCCTTTCCCATAGGTGGGGTCCTGCACGATGAAGCATTGGACATGCGTTGTTGGTGAAGAGTGCAGAGCGCGTGCTGTGCCTCTGTTCTTGCAACCTGGGGCCAACTTTTGTGGCTACTGCCTCTGTGTCGCGAGAGCCGGCACGCTAATCAAACTGAGGACGACGCCGACGATGAACAGGCCGGCAGTACTTAGATGAGAGCCAGGCATCTGTCAGTCCCGCAATCTCACCCCTGGGCTTCGCGCAGCTGGCGTGCCGGCACCCATCGTTGGCTATAATATGCGCCTATCTCGAGACGCCTGAAAGGGCTTGAGAAGCTGTCATGCCGGCACTCACAGATGGAGCTCCCAACATGCCCTGTAAAGACCATTGAGGAGCCACCGTGCCGGCACTCTTGACTGTAGAGTCCAAATCTCAGGCGTGGACCACAAATACTGTAGCAATATAAAAGCACACGATGTGACCTTTTACGATCCTCTGGCTGCGAAAGTCTGCTTGACCACCGAAATCTGATCAGGGCAGTCGCGACGCCCAGCGCTACCCACCAACTCAGCGCAATAGCCTCGTCAGTAAAATGGACGAAGAAACCTTCTGGACCATCATATTCGGCCTCATAGCGACAGTGATTGGTCTTGTGTCGATATGGCAGAATTCCCGCCTCATGGAGATCAATGCGCGCGGTGAGTGAATTCAACATTCCAGCCACACTGACTTCACGTTGACCTGGGCTCAAAGAAGGCACAAGGACTCGCCCAAGAGTGTGGTATGCGTAACAGAGGCTCAGCAGGCGTCAATTGATAGTCCTTGGATAGTACGGAAGTAAGAGCCAGATCACCGACATGTCCACGAATCAGCCGAACTCGCATTACCGCCCAAATACGTCTCCCTTAACGGATATCGACAGTGCCTCCTCGTCAGCGCCACGCCCAGACTCGCCGTGTCGTTGACAAACTTCGTACCCAAGATCTCATCAGGTGCCTGATCCTTCTCGACCCACTGCACCAAGGCAGCAAGCACATTAGACTCCGGATCATACTTCGGTGACACACCTTTTGCTCCAGCAGCGTTCTGCCCGATCTGCCACGCACCGATCCCACCGGAGCAGTGCGCCATGCCAGAGACGACGAAGAAGCGGGTGAAGTTATCAAGGTCGGCTGAAGTAGCGTCCATAGATGTAGAAAGATAATTGTACCATCGCTGCGTATCGAAATGAGTTATCTGATTGTCCGATCCACCTTGGTAGATCAGTAACTTGCCACCCGCGTCGCGGAATGGCGACAGATCGGATGGCCACGTGCGTGCATTTCCAGGATTGATCTTCTCTGCTACATCGGCATCGGCGATGCTCCAGGAGTCGGGCGACCATGACGGGTCGGAGAAAACCGCATAACGGAACCAATCGACGCTGTACGGAAACGGTGTACCAGCCAGAAGGCGGTCTACAGCTTGCAGCTCGGCGCCAGGAGAGAGGCCAGGATAGATTAATTGTCCAGATGTGCCGTATAGAGGACTGTAGACTCTCCGTACGGCTTCCACTTGCTTCGGGCTCAGGCAATCAGTCGTGTTGTCTCCACTGCAAAGCAGAGCTTCAGGACGGAAGATCGCTGCACAGAGACTGGGATCTGCGAGAATGCCATCATCTACGCCATCAAGCATGTCGCACTGTCGAAGAATCTCATCATGGATCAGGCCAGTCCATGCATCCTTCGTGATGAACCCGGTGCTGTTCGCCGGTCCAGTGATGTTATAGAAGCTTGCTCGCCATGTCGACATGTAGTTGAAGTTGAGCGCCGGCGCACCAATCACCACACCATCGTAGTCCTCCGGGTAGAGACTTGCAGCTTGCATGCCCTGCCTGCCACCTCCAGAGCAGCCAAGATAGTAGCTCTTGTTTGCCGGATTCCCATAGAAAGCTTCAATCAGTGTCTTCGCAGCCTCAGTGGCGTTGTGTAGAGCTCGGTAGGAAAAGTCTATGATGACGTCCTCGTTGTTGAGAAATGCTTCGCCTCCAGTTCCGTTGTGGCCGTTGTTCGTGCCTGTGACAGCAAAGCCATGGCTGAGACCGTACGCCATGTCCTCATACTTGATGCAGCCGTCGATACCACCATTGCCGGTAGCCATGTACCTGCCACTCCAGGTAGTCGTGTTCGGCAGAATCATTTCGTATATGAATGACGAGCGATTGCTGGTAGGTATAGTAAGCGCAAACCGGCATGCTTCAGCGGTGAAGGTCTGATTGTATCTGCTGCAGGATGGGTCTATTCCTGGCAGAAGTATCGTCGTGTTGGCGGGCAGATATTCATGGAGGCGAAGAGTGGCGTTGTTGAGGTGACTGGTCGGATCGAATGCACGGCATGCTGCTTCGAATGAGCTATCAGCGTATGCCAGGCACATGGGCTGTAGGAACAAGAACCAGCGTGACGACTTCATCTTGCTGTACAGTGGAGGAGGCTCTCACAATGGAAGCAGACTTGCTCAATTCGTGAGGGTACTCGCCACTCGACAACTGAAAGTAATGTCGTAGGTATTCATGGGGAACCATGGGGAAGCTCGTATTGCCCCGCCCAACGCTAAATCAGGCAAAATCCAAGCCAGACCCCTGGTTTGGGGTGTCGCATTCTGTCGCCGAGGCTCAACTCGGCGCGGTCGGTCACAATGCCGGTCATCGGTCTCGCGTCAAGCATTCAATCCATGTCGAGAATCGTCGTGACCTCCATCGACCTGACTGCTAACCTCGGCCTTATCGGTAGGCATATCGGGATGCTCGAGATGCTGTAGAGAGATGGAAGAGAGAAACATGCCTGCGAAGGTAGCCGCATTTCGCATTAGAATGTGACGTAATGCCTTCTGGAGCGGCATCACTGGTACTCAAGTCGAAGTATCCGACGACATCGCCTACGCATGAAGGTTGAACAATCGCATGATCGCAAGGGTTTCTGGGCCGAGAACAAACCACGAGCGTCCATAGCTAAGGTACTTATATATGGACTACGCTCGCGGCATTGTGCGGCGGAAATGCATCCGATGACTTGACCCATCGACACGAATCACTGCGACTGCCCAGACCTAACCGACTCGCTCTCGTGATCGCCAGCTCGAACGATGAACTTTCTCTTGACCTCGCACTACAGCACCCGCCTTCCTAACAGACACCAAATGGTGCAAATGGTAACGGTGCTCATATATCTGGGCGTGCATGCCATGGCAACTCGGAGGGAACACCTGGCGGCTGGAGATCAAGGTCAGCAGGGCTGGACTAGTGGTCAAATGAGCAGAGAAAGTGGTAGCCGTCTGGAAGATTCAGAGTGCAAAGGGCAATGCAATTCAATTGACTGCTGTAGGATTTCCACTTGTTGCTGGAGCACACCGGGACCTGGACTGACATGTTCTCTCACGAGGCACGATGCACTACCGGCGTGGTTCCGGCTACGCAATTCCTCACATACCCTTCACGTGAGTGCATCTCAGTCTAGTATCCATCCTGCTACCCGCCTGGCAGCACGACAACCTGCAAGTTCGTTGTCATCCAGTATGCAATTTTGACGCCTCACGCGCGTGCCTGCTTGCCGCCCGAGTATTGCACACCCTGCAGATCTCAGAAGTTGTAGCTTCTGACCAGCGTAGTCATGAATTGGACGATGCGCTTGCTTGGTTGGACTTATCTGGTAGTGGCTTGGAGGATCTGCCTGGGTGGCAGTTGAAGTAGCTCAGCCAAGTTGGGAGTCGAAGACTTGGCGAGTTCGGTAGCGAGCTTGACCGTGACGGCGACCACTCTTCTTCCGGGGATGCTTTTGTGCTCATGAGCTTCAGATTGTCCATTGGGCCCCAACTCTTGACCACCTCGACTTTCGCCATCCTGCGCTCTGTCAAGATCTTTTCAGGTGCGGTTTTGCCTGGACCGCCGGCTTCGAACCATAATTGCTCTTTTCCAGGCTCCACATGAACGAAGCCCGATCGTCGTCGACCTGTAGCTAATCTGGCTCGTTTCTTCTCGGCATGTTTAGCAGCTCTCTGGGCCTTCCGATGGGTCCTTGCAAGGTGTCGAGCTTCGCGTCGCTCCTCGCGGGTCTGTCTATCGCGAGCAGACTGTTCTTCGGCATCTCCGGTTTGGGCCGGTATGCGGCCGATGAGGCGATCTTTGGAATGATTGGTATGGTCCGAACGCGGCGAAGGTCCTCCAGGATCGGCTGGAGATGTATCATGTGAAGGAGCTCGCGCCTGGGACGAGTTCGTCGACGTCCTCGAGCTCTTGTCAAGGTTTGCCGGTGTAGATGCCTTCTCGTGTGATAGGTTCGTTGTGCTGACGGCAGAAGCTTCGTGATTGTTTGTTGAGGCAACATCTCGTTGTGCGGGACCTGCGGCGTCAGATTGTAGGCGGAGAGTCTGCAAATTCGTCACCTCGATCAACTTCGGTGAGGTCATGCTCGAAACGGCTGTATGGGCGTAGAGTATCAGACTGTAGTCGCGGTCGAGTTCAGTCGAGTTCTCAGGGCGGCTTCACGGCGTTTGCGGACGACGCCGAGGATGTAGTTGATGAGAAGAGCGAGACAGATAACGATGGCAAAGGGTATGACGAACGATAATTCTAGGAGGGCGTAACTGTTATCGGACTGGTCTTCGGACATATGTCAGTCGGTCATGCATAGGTGATGACGTGATAAAGCGTTGCAGGACTATCGATATTTGGATGACACGGCTGTCCAGAATTGATGGTGCCGATCAAGGTGTCTGTAGTTGTGGACAGGCGCACCTTGCGACTGCCTTTTGTTCATCGAGTAAGGTTTGATGGTCGCACTTTCCAGTTTCCTTGGCCGCCGCGGGCGACCTCTGGCTGCATGGACGTCCCAGCTGTGTGTTGTTTGAAGGAGTTATATCTACGGCTTTTCCGGACCCCGGAAGACATCATAGCGTCCGCTAGCCTGAATCCGAAATCTTTCTTCGTGGACCGTCTTTCTGTTGCCCTCTGAAGCCGCTCAGTTGTGTAAAAGTCGTCGGGTGACGCATGCAAGTGCTTTGACCCGTGGACGCCAGATCTATCTTGCCCCTAACGACGATCATTCACTCCAGGTGGTGGCGGTGCCATATTGTAGCCAGGTGGGCCTCCTCCTGGCGGACCACCTTGCGGACCACCAGGGAACCCACCACCAGGCGGACCTCCCTGACCAAAACCAGGCGCACCCGGAGGCGGGAAAGGAGGGAACCCATTCGGCATGCCACCTGGTGGAGGAAACTGTACACCTTGTGGTAGATTCGGAGGAGGTTGACCGTTTGGTGAAAAGGGAGGGAATGCCATGCCTCTGCCTGCGCCGCCAGGAGGTGGACCTTGACCTGGCATCATTCCGAAGGGTGGAGGAGGCATGCCTGGCATTCCTAATTGTAGTCAGTATACAACACTTCGTCGTTTCGTTCAGTGCACTCACCAGGAAAGCCATGCGGCGGACCAAAGCCTCCAGGCCCACCAGGTTGATGCATAGGCGCGGGCTGTGGGAGGCCTTCGGCAGTGTATGAGCTTGCTATTGAGTCTATGACCGACTGTGTCTTCTCGTGTCCGATCTGTTGGTAGTACTCGACGACGTTACGGATGTGGTTGCGGCCACTGTTGTGGGCTTTGCGCACAGACATCGAGTCGTGTGTAAGGTAGACATCGCAGTACTCGCAGAAGAAGCGCGGCATGTCGTCGGGGGTTGACGAAGCTTCTATGCGATCAAGGTGGGCTCTATGCGAACGAGATGGGCAGCAGGCGATAGTAATAAATGGTGGACGCAGAATAATTTGAACATGAAGTTGACGTGTTCGCGTAGGCGGATAATAAATCCGTTGATTATCGCCCCTTATCTCCGGGCACAGTCTGTGGCGAACGAAGGTCCCGAGCAGGGCGCTGAAGTTGAATTCTTTTAGTTGCGGATCAAGTGGGGAGACGTTGAGTTGAGCCTCACGTGCGAGGTAACCAAAAGGACGATCTGCATCGGGTTTTTCTTGCTAGGGACGCCGCCAAGCAGGAAGTACGACTTTGTAAGTAGCGATAACATAGGTAGGTAGGCAGCCTGCTGGATCGCTCTAAACATCCGACCTGCTCCTGACCTAAACGTTTGCAGTGGACGAGTTCTTGCGTACTGTAGCTGGCTACGCCACCAGCGGATGGTGTTTGTAAGTCGAGTACACCGACTGTGGCGCCTCCACCCTTCTCCGTTCAAGATTCGGTTAGTCAGATGGAAGACTGGACGGCGTGAGGAGGCCGTGGATGTTACTACAAAGAAGTGACGGATTGGCCATACACTTGAACACGACCGACGAGACTACAAGCGATCGAAGGTCTCGGCGCCGCAATGCGCCTCCGCACCGCCGTCTCAGTCCCTTTGATGAGCGTCAGACATTCATCAGAAATGGGATCCAGTGATCCTCCATGGCTTGACATCTACCCGATGACATGGATACGAGCCATGATACATGGGTCTGAATCCAAATCTTCAGAACTTAGCGTTCAATTTCCATCCAACACGATAGATTCGCACGGACAAGATGAACATCGAGCCGACGATTAATAAGGTACCAGCAAAGATCTTGGGCCCCAGCCAGCCAGTCGACAGTTCAAGGATAGCACCGTTAATTGGATTGGTGGTAAGTCCAGCAAGGGAGGCAACAGCAAAGACGAGGCCGTTGCGGAAACCAATCTCAGGCAAAGGCGAGACTTTTGCAATCGCAGGTGTGACCAGCGATATGTATGCGCCGGAGCTGAACCCAAACAAGGCTGCAAAGGCGATCAGACCGTTCTGAGTGTTGCATGGGATCCAGAGAGCAAGAACCCATATTCCGGACACCGTTCCGACAAGGCTGTAGACATTGTACATGCCTAGTCTGTCGCCAATGATGCCAGCGCTCAAGCGACCGAATAGACTCCCTGCATTGAGAATGGGGATGAGGTACTGGACCAGATTGGGATTGACGCCGGCCTGAAGTGCCTGCACTGGCAGATAATTCATGGGAACGAAACTGCCGAAGGTGAGGAAAAAGAACCCGAGCACACAGCCGACGAATGCCGGCTCGCGGAATGGTTGGAGCAATTGGGCTCCTGTGATGTTGTGAGGGCGTGGCGGCACTCTCGACTTCACGGTCAGACACGTGATGAGCAACAAAGCCAGCAGCAGGAATCCACAGATCCTCATCGCCCAGCCATACCCAAGCTCCTTGATAAGATGTGTGACCATGATTGGGAAGACGACGCCGCCAACACTTGATCCAGTGAAGATCAGGCCAAACGCCGCTCCTCGTTTCTGGTCGAACCATCCGACAGCGGCGCCGAGAGCTGTATGCGTTAACTGAAGTCTCACAGGAAGCGTGACTGTTGCCTTACATGGCTGAAGTAGGCTGAGACACCAATGCCCGAGCATATTCCCTGTGCGAGGAGAATCTGGTAGTACTCTGTACTAATGGAAGCCATCATGACACCGAAGACATGCATTAGACTTCCACCAAGGATAAGCCACCGCGGACCAAACTTGTCATAAAGCCTTCCAACAATCGGGCCCATGCCGAGGATGAAGAAAATCTCTAGCGAAGGGATCCATGCGATGGTGCTCGAAGAGTATCGCCTCAGAAGATCAGTCTGGTAGTACTCCTGGAAGACTCCCACACCTGAAAGATCAGCTCAGACTTGCCCTGGTCTGTGAGAGAAGACTTACTGTTGATCCAGCCCATACTGCAGAAGGATGCGCACCATGCACCGACGACAACAAGCCAGGCCTGGACACCGCCATCCGGCGCTCCACTGCTGGGCGACGTGGTTGCAGGCGGAGGCGACGTGGCGCCCACTTCCAAATCTGACTTCTCATTGTGAGAGATAGTGTCTTCTTCGAGTGTGTGGTTCGAGGCACTTGAAGATGCTGAAGGCTTCGCGGCTGCATGGTGGTCATGGTGGTCTTGTTATCAGGTGCAGTAGTGCTTTCTGATTAGAATGAGATGAAATGGCCATAGCGGTCGTGCTCACAGCTATATAGGGGTTATGCGAGTCGCGACGCGTCACACCCAGTCCCGAGGTCCGTTCGAAGCTCGCCATAATTCTTTGAAAGTCGCGAGCACCGGGAGGTGAAGAATGGACTGAAATGTCGAAGCATACCCATCACCGATATATAAGTACTCCGATTGGCTCTTTCGGAACCGGAAGACATATGTTTTCGCCGAAGCCGACGCTAGTCCTCGTCCATACTGTAAGGTTTATGGGGTTCGAAACCTGCCAGCTCTGCATGTACTCACAGCGGGAGTCTTACCAAGCTACCTGGATATATGAAGACCGGACCCGCTTATGTAGGTGCTAAGATTATTGCCTTCTCCTCGCACCATGTCAACTCAGTTCCGAAGTCGGTCGTGCACGGTGTGTCATCGCCGAAAAGTTCGTTGTGACAAGCAAGTGCCTTGTTCTCAATGTACAGCTTCCAGATTTGGATGCTCCTATCCCCCACCTACGCCACGCCGGCTGCGCAAGTCGAAGCAGACAACGATCGGTCATGTCGCAAGTCGCGTTGCGCGTATGGAGCAGGCCATTGAGGCATTCCATGTGGCACGGCCGTCGCAAGTGTCGATAGCCTCTGCAAAACCTGCCACGAGCATGGTATCTTCGCCCAGCAGAAAGTCTGCTGGTGCTGTGCTGAGTAAATATACCAGTGAGCCCGAGGATGATGATGCCTCACTGTCGCCCGATCGTAGGCAAGGACTTTTGTCAAACCAGGGAAAGGACAGTCTCTTCGTCAATGAGGTTCTCTTGACCAGAGCCATCCAGCAGGTAGCACTCATTGCGCCACAATAATACGCATCACGACTGACGGGGATCAGGAAGACGATGTGCGAATTGCGCTGGCGACCCCTAAAGCCGAGCCGGCCCATCTGGCACATCGCCCGTCTCTTACCTGAATCCAGTGGCGTGGCATCCTGCTGGCGCTTCTACAGTATCTCCAGATTCCTTTCACCCTCCTCGACGTCTTGCTATCCGGCTGTGGAAGGTCTTTGCTGAAAGCGTGGATCCATATGTCAAGGTCACACACCTCCCCACCGCGGAAAAGACCATCTATACGACAACGAATGATCCGTCCAGTGCTTCCTATGAGGACTTGGCTTTTTGTTTCGCAGTCTATTATGCTGCTACGACGGCCTTGTCCTCCGTTGAGGTCCGCGAAGATAGCGGACATGACATCGGGCTCGCACTCGTTCGCTACAGGTTGTGCTTGGAACAATGCCTGGCCCGAGCTGGGTTCCTCGATAATCCCACCGTTATTCTTCTTCAAGCGCTGGCAATTTACGGGGTTGGTAGAGCTCTAATTGTCGAAGACCCGTATTGACCGCTGTATAGGCAGGCAGGCGGGTTCATAGCTCAAGTCGCGAGGTGTGGATCATGAGCGGTCTTGCGATTCGATCCGCCCAGTCGATAGGTCTTCACAGAGACGGTAGCAAGCTGGGATTGTCGCCCTTCGAATCCGAGATCCGGCGACGGATCTGGTGGCATTTCCACGACCGAGAAAGCAGAGTGGCTGAAGACTACGGGTTGCATTATCCGTCAGGCACGAGATCATCGAGCTTTGTAGATCTTCCGCGGAACTTGCATGACAGCGACATTGGTACAGAGATGACAGAGCTTCCGCCCTCCAGATCAGACTGGACCCCGATGACGCTTCCGCTGTGCTCCCACCAAACATCCCAGGCATGGAGCCTGCTCTTCAAGATGAGCTCGTCAGCACACGGAGTTCCGGGAGAGAGTGTCCGCCAACAAATCATCGATGAGGCTACTGACAAAATCGAAGCCATCCTTCGGCGCTGCGACCCCATCATACCGGAACAGAGAATGGCAATCCAGAGCGCGCGAATGATTATGCGCAAAGTGGATATCGTCTCGCGGCGCCAGTGGCAGATTCTTCGCTCGCCGGACGACCGGGAGCCCATGGCATCGGAAAGCGAGATCAGCGAAGCTGTTCAGCACTTGGAAATGACCAACGGCATGATGTGGCAAGACGAAGACCTCGCTGCCTATCAATGGATCAACTGCGCTTTCCCGCAATACCACATTATGCTCATTATCCTTCGACACCTATGCGTGGTTCCCTTCGGCGAACTTGCCAAGCGCGCCTTTGCGGCCGTCGAGCTGCATCTTGGGAACTTCAAGACCAGCAGGAATGGGTCACTCGATGGACTGAAGTGGACGGTCCTCACCACTTTGAGAGACAGGGCATTTGCACTGATGCAGAAGGTTGAACAAGATAGTGTAAGCGGGCAGCAGGCAAGCACTAGTCAGCAGATGGACACTCCGCCGGGGGACGACGACGGAATGCACGTTGATATGGGCATTGCTGCACTGGATTGGAACTCGATCCTGGAGGAGTACCCGTTGGATATGGAACATTTCTCGTGAAGCTGGAGCGCATCTTTGACCTGACACAAGTCACCGACCACTTCTGTTCTTGCTCACAGATTTGCCAGCAAGTACTGCATCCCAGCCCACTGTTCTTTGCCACTCGGCAGAATCTGGCTCGCCGGGAGTACGAAGCCAAACCTACCCTCGTCCCTCAGCTCGAGGGTCAGACTGTATTCAGCGCCAGCCACATCACTGAGGTAGTCCGTGCTACTACCACTAGTCGCGTACAACGTCGAGCAGCTCGGACCAGTGGTCCATTGCTGCCCCCCCGCGGTCGTCAGGGCATCGCCAGTTCCTTTGGCCAGCTCTTCATGCTTAGCTTGATTGACTGCCACCGCATCGCACGAGTAGCCGTATGGCGTCAGGATGTACTGGCCGTATGAATGCCAGTCGATGTACAACTTGATGCCAGGGCCGTCCTTTAGCGAATCGATTTGGCTGATCAAGCCCTTCATCTCGGGCGTCGATCCGGCAGTCGGGCCCCGATAGGTTTCCGAGCAAGGATCCGTGCTGGATCCGCCGGGTACCTGTGTCGAATCAGTCTCGCTTACTTCATCTCACTATTCGAGAGCGATCACAATTTGTACTTACATCCCACTGGTAAGGCCAGTTCCTGTTGACGTCGACGCCCAAACACCTCGAGCCTGACGGAGCAGGCGATCTGTTCTTGCGCCACAGGCGATTTGTGGTTTGAGTATAGGCAAAGCCATCAGGGTTGACAACAGGCATTATGTAGAAATCGTAATTGTCCAAGAAGTCCTGCGCAGTGTCGTTGATCAGCAGCTGCGTGGCGATGAATTCCGTCGTCATGGTCGAGATCCATTCGCGGGCATGTACAGTGCCGTGGAAGAGTATTGCCGGACGAGATCCTTTACCATTGCTTCCCCAGATGTGAATGCCTGTCAATGTACGACCTTGAACCGATTCGCCTGCAGTAACGATCTCGGTTTGATTTGGAAACGACGCCTGCAGGTTTTTCAAGAACTCGATGTGATCATCATAAGCGTGGTAGCTATTGAACCACGTGAGATCAATGCCGGACTGTTGTCTTTCCATCAGATTGCTTTCTGCGAGAGCAGACTCGGCAGCGATATCAGCACCCAAGTCCTCATGCATGACAGTTGCATCGAGCCCCAGGGCGTCGAAGTCTGCTAGCTGGTCTGGTGCAAGCGCAACATCGATGTGTCGGGAGACGTCTCGGTTCCATGGCTCCGTTGCGAAGATCGAAAGCTTCTCCTGCACCGACTCCAATGCATCACCCGTGGTGATTCGAAAGACCTTGAAGCCGTCGTAAGAGACCAGCGCGTCAGTTTGTGGGATGGCGACCGCGATGGATAGTGGCAAGCCAAGCAGGAGTGCCCCAAGGAGCATCATATTGAACGCGGAGGTGTTGGAAACAAGAAGACAACGAATTGCTTCGATGCAGTGGTCTCCCCACAGGTATTTAAGAACCACACTGAGATGCACGATTTGTGTTTGCTGTATGCTGCATCCTGCCGGTATCCTTGGCGTGTGAGGGTCGTTCCTTCCTCAGCTCTGACGATCTTCGCGCCTTCATCTGTGGAACTGCAGCTGTTTAGTCCGGCCAAGAAAGAACATACCCAGTCGTCGATGCATGATGGAGACAGAAGGACTTCAAGGAAAGTCCTATGATCTTATCAATGTCTTGCCGTTCGCTAAGGCTGATCATCTGTATGTCAAGCAGCTTCCACTGCTATTTGATGTTCGCTACGCTCGTAATCTCCGAGCGGTCCTCTGCGCCATAGGCCAAGAGCTTGCCCATTTCAACAATTTTTGCATGTGTCCGTCTGAGTGAACGTCGGGGAGGTGATTGGCAGGAGAGGTGGGTGAGGTGAAGAGATCGCCGCTAATTCAGTGGTCTTGGCCCGAGATGCCTTGCAGGAGGGCGCTAAAACTTGGAGGACTTCCGGGCCCTGTGGGGGTTCAGGGCAGCCGGTGGGGGGCGCTGGAGGCCAATAAACTGCTCAAAATCTGTTCCCAATCTCTCGTTTGATCTTCGAATCTTCGATACCTGAACATCATGCTCTGCTGGACTGTTCTAAGACCGCAGCAAATTTTACAACCTGATCTGCATCAGTCGCCCATGAAGTCACTAACCTGATTACGGCCTTCTCCTGCTTCGCGTCCTTCAGTCGCTCCCAGATATAGAAGTTGAAATGCTGCTGCAACTGTTCCAACACCGGCAGTGAAACTATCGCGAAGACTTGGTTTGTCTCCGTCTCTGCGACAAGTTCGTGGCCTGCCGCTACAAGAGCAGTCGATAGTCTCGCCGCCATCTCGTTCGCGTGAGCTGCTAAATGGAGGAACAAATTGTTTTCCGGATCGAAAAATGCAGCGAATTGGGCTCCCATTACCCAACTTTTCGCCAACAGACAGCCATGTTGCTTGACGTGGAAGCCAAAGTCCACCGCAATTTTCGGATCCTTGATGACGATAGCCTCTCCGAGCAGACTGCCATTCTTTGTCCCGCCGATCCAGAACATATCAGTCAAGTCGAAGATATCATGCCAGGTACAGTCATTCTTACTGCTCGCCATCGCATGGCCTATCCTTGCGCCGTCTAAGAACAAGAGTAAGTCTCTCTCGACACATAACGCCTTGATGTCCTTCAGCTCTCTTTTGCTATAGACCGTGCCGATCTCAGTCGCATTGGAAATATACACTAGTCTTGGACGTGCCATGTGTGGAAAGTGCCAGTTCTCATCCAGAGCTCTTTGGATGCTGGCGACGGTCAGCTTACCGTTCTCCGGTGGCACTTGGATTATTTTGTGTCCGGTAGCCTCAATCGCCCCGGTCTCCCTCACCACAATATGACCCGAGCTTGCTGCAATGACCGATTCATGCGGCCTTAGGCAGGAACCGATCGAGATGGCATTGGCGGACGTGCCACTTGGCACAAACCACACGCCTACGTCGGCATTGCAGCCGATCTTCGCACGGATCCTGTTGCACGCTTCGGAGGTGAAATTGTCATTGCCATACGCAATCTGTTGTGAGGCATTCGTCGCGACGATAGCGGAGAGAAGTTTCGGATGCACCCCCTCCGAGTAGTCATCATTGAAGCTGTATTTGGCCATAATGTTGGCTGCAGGTCGCGAACGTCGTCAACGATGCCGATGGCAAGTATAAATGCGTTCACGGTAGAATTTGCGCGATATCGCGCCCTGCGACTCCTCTGCGAAAGTCCAGATAACGGGTATAACCGGCTTGTAGGCAATCTTTCTGTGCAGCAGATTGCTCTCCAGTTTTGCAGTGCATGGCTCCATCGGCATCTGCGAATGAAGTCATGATTGTGCTCATTCACACAACGAACATATCCATGTCACGTCACGTTCAAAAGTGATGAGCAGCAAATACCTAGGTAGGAAATACCCTCCAACCATGCTACAGTACGACGCATTCGAAGATCGTGCCATGAATGAGCATGAAGTCTTGTAGAATATCACGTAAGGCAGGCGTTCGGAGTCGCATCTTCTCCGGACGTCCTTGCTGCTGACTGAGAGATCGCCGTCCGGAGACAATTCAAGCTTTTCTCTCCGTAGGCAAAACATTCGACGTCAACCGCGTCTACATGGTCCCAAACTTATTCCCCAGATCATCTCAGGCACACAGCAACATTCTAACTTGGCGCCGCCATAGCCTTTCGACCACGATGTTGCTGACTGCTCGCCTCGCAGCTGAGCACAAGACTGATCCCGGCAATCGGACATAGTACATGCCCGATACATGATATCGCGACCAACATTAGGGACGCAACCATGGAAAGGCAGGTGTCAGACCAGCTTCGTATACAGCTCTCGGCCGCACGATATACTTGACTCAGACTCGATGCCGTCCATTTTACGAGTAAGCCTGGACCAGCGTGTATTGTAGATTAGTATTCCTGCCCATGGGAAAGGTTAAGCTCCCGCTCAAGGCAGAAGACGGTGTCGTCGACCCCTGAACACCTCAAGAATGGTCAGACCGGACCTGCTGAATGCATACGAGGGCGGTTCCAATGGCAACATGTGGCCGGTCTACATATACGGCAGTTTGCTCTCCCACTCCATCCCTAACACCTCAGAAGAACCGCCGGATAGACCAGAAATGACAAGCTCCTCTTCGGCCTGAGTGCCACCTCGAAAAGGTAGGTTCAGGTCTCCCAGGCCCTTGCAAGGTGAGCAGGCTGCCTGAATGAACGACTGTCTGCTATATAGCTCAAGCGGCATGTTTGGATCGCTACATCTGTCAAACAGAACCATCCTAGCGCAATCAACCGCACCATGGCTTTCGAGACTTCGAGCAACTTCGCTGAGTATCTTGAGACAAGCTTCAGCGATGATCTTCAACGAAAGATCATAGCATTCCCGGACGGCCACCAAGCGACCTCTGGATTCCGATACTATACAAAGAAGGAGCTTGTCGATTTCTCCCACAAGGCTGCGGCATACCTGATATCTAACGGCATACCCATTCGTACTGCTGGTGAGCCACCTCTTCGTGTGACCTCGCTCGCGTACGGCACACTCGAATGGGTCGCTTGCTTCTACGCCATTGTTCGCATGGGCCATGCTATTGTCAACCTAAGTCCGCGTCTGCCAGAAGACTATGTTCATGGACTCCTCGTCAAGAGCAAGACCGACATCTTGGTCACTGACAGACTCGAGCAACTTTCTATCAAGCTCCACTCCATTGCCATGCCATCCGAAGCGGAGATCTTAGAGCAGCCTTTGAAGCCGGAAGCAGAACTCTTCTGTCCTCATACTGTCATTCAGCCCGATGACATCTTCATCGTCCTTCACTCCAGCGGCAGCACATCCGTCCCAAAATTGTTCCCTATGAAGCAATTGGAGTGGCTCGGTCGCGTTGCAAATATAAGGAAGATTCTTCAACCGTCAATGTCCGCCTGGAACGCCTCCGCCACATATAACTTTGGTGGACTCATCATCCTCTCCCTGGCTCCGTCCCACAAAGGAGTCTCTTATCTGGAGAACGACCGAACCAACTTCACGCACGAGACTGCACTTGACTTCCTCCGCGAGTCCAAGCCGAACTATCTCAGCATCACACCCTGGACGCTGACGATGCTAGCATCCACTGCGGAAGGCATCTCTCTGCTCACAAAGGTCGACATCGTCATGCTCTTCGGCGCCGTGTGCACAGACGCTCTCGGCGATCGCCTTGTGGCAGAGGGTGTGAACTTCTACTCCCTGTATGCTTTGACCGAGACATCTGTGCTCGGTACCTCTCCTCAGCCGCGCAAGACTGGCGACAAGAACTGGCAATGGATTTCGATTCACCCTCCCAAGAAGGACCACCTTGAGATGCGCCAATTGCCCGGTAGTCCGGACCTGTGGCAAATGTACTGCCTGCCGGGCTGCCCGGAAGTCATCGACACCGTCAAGGACAAGGACGGGAGTTTCTGCACAGGCGACCTGTTTGTGCAGCACCCAACTCTGAAAGGGAGATGGAAGGTCGTGGGCAGGCAGGATGACCAATTCAAGATCTATCAACGAGATCGCCAGAGTATTGTCAATGCGATTGCTTACGAGGCGGTCATCTATCCGCCTAACGAGGATATCGTTGACGAAGTCGTCCTGTTCGGCCAAGGCAAGGGCAAGCTGGGATTACTGGTCTTCGCCGAAGATGTTGGCGAAGGCTCGAGCAGGAGACACGAGGTTGAACGCAGGATCTGGGAGACTATCGAGAAGGACGTCAACAATGGACAACTGCCGACGCCTATCGAGAGGAAGATGATCCTCATCGTTGATACGGAAAGGACATCTTTGCCGCAGACAGCGAAGAAGAACTTGATACGGCCGCAGGTGTACCTGAAATTTCAGGACTTGATCGAGAAGGCGTACGCTGGCGCGGAACAGACAAACGGTGTCCACAAAGAGTCAAATGGCACTCATTAGGGCACCCCTAGGAGGTAGATATCCTGCAGCAAGAGCCATCGATGTGGCTAAGCGGCAAAGAGCGTGGCTCGGAGGACGTCTGGAATTTACTGCCAAGTTAACATTGCTATCTATATTCGTACCCCTCAAAAGTTCTCTTCTGTGTTGCTTGGTGGCCGCTAGGCGGAAGATAGTAATCCCGGGCGCGGCTGACATGCATGAACCGGTCTGATCAGAATCTGACTCGCCTTTGGGCGCATTACGTATGCCAAAAGAGCAGGGATCAGGCTGAGGGCTGAAGGCTGAAGACCGAAGACAGCTACATCAACCGCCAATATGCGATATAATGTAATCTGGAAGGGAATGGAGTGTGTCTGCTGTTGAGATGGGTTCTTGCTGTCGCATATATAAATAGCGGACGCGCCCGGCTCCTGCCAACAAGATGTGCTCACTGAAACCTGACAACTCCAAGAAGTTGAAAAGATGTCAGCATCCACGCACATCCCGCTGACCCCGTCCGCCGCTGCAGCTATTGTCGCAGCAACAACATGCGACATCTTCAATACCTCCGACCAAGCCACTCGCCGCTCACTCATGGAGCAGCACTGGTCTCCCTCTGTGACATGTTACTCGCCTTTCGGTGTTGCTGCTGGCTTTGATGGACTTGATGAGGTCTATAATGGTACCTTCAGACCCTCGCCTCTCCCTGGCCCAATTCATTTACTGGCGTGGCTCCGTGCTGAAATTCCCAGGCCTCCACGCAGGCGAACAATCCTCCTGGATATTCAAGAAATCCGGCGACATGTGGGTAAACTACGACGTGATCATGCAGGAATGGACGTATGGACCGGAAGTTGCAGAGGAAGGAAAGGGCTTGAAGGGCTGGGATGTCATTACTGTGGGAGAGGATGGGACGGTCGAGAAGCTTTATGCGTTCATTGAGGGCATGAATAGCCATGGGTGGTGAGGAAGGGACTTCTTGCAACGACTGGAGCGCCGTTGCTGATGACGATGTAGAACGGAGCTGTGCACGACAGACTGCTGTGTGTAGGAAGCCTCATTATGTTCATGTACGATCGGACAGGGCTGGGAACGACCGCTGAGTAGAATCGGTAGTAAATGTGCTCAAGTACATACTTAACTATATTTCCTGTGGCTTTGCGGAGTCCAAGGATCGGACCAATATTGCGAGGACTAGGCACAGCCGAGCAATGTCAACAACACCGAGACAGCGATTGCTTGTCTTCATCTCGGTCATACACAGAGTTTGGAGTGACTGTAGCCATGGTTGTGCCTGCAAAAAGTGTCATGGACGAGCTTTGCTTTACGTCATCCGGTCTCGGGAAGCACTCGTCATCCGGCGACAGATGAGCTCGAAAGATACCTGGTCATCCGGTCCTGATCGAGGCCATTGCATGCGTCATCCGGCGTCGGTAAGAAGCACATGCTTTCGACCTGTACGTAACATCAGGTCCTTGTCCTTGCCCGTGATGGTCGCTGAGATGAAGCAGAGGTCCGCTCCCATCCGTGTTAACAGGTAAGTCCCGCTCTTGCACGGCCTTTCATCAACGCAACAAAGCTTCTCCAACTCTACGAGGGGCAGTCGACATGAGGGGAAAGGGCAAGAAAGCGTAAGTGTTGTTATAAGAAAGCTTCACCTCCGAGAGTACGCCGGTGTGGCTCCCGGGAAGCACGCCATCACGATCTTCACCTCGTCGTCGACATTTGCACAATATCACGAGAAGTCACATTACACAAGCTTTGTCCGTCGTGAAGTCCCTGCTTCCCATCAGAGACAGAACGCTTGCTAGTGTACCGGCTGGCAACGATCGCGATGGCATCCGAACCTCACAGCCACGACCACGGTCACTCACATGAACACGACCACGGTCACGGTCACGATGATGACCATCCACACGAGCACCAACATACGTTCGGCGACCCGCCCTCAGACGGCTGGCGACACACTGGCGTGACCGTTGTCCCCGCAAACAGCCTGGACTCAAACACCGCACAAACGCCTGGTATGCAACGTGCTGCAGCTATCACTGCCGCAAGGACGCACGGCCGGGCTCAGAAGCTGTGGGCTGGTACGGTGAAGATTCACCCCAACGGTGAGTCTGCGAAACGTCAGCTTTGCCGGCATGCTGGCTGACCCGGTCTTGCAGCAAAGACAGGTGCCCACCACCACGGTCACCTGGAGTCCATCATCTACATCGTCAAAGGCAAAGCGCGAATGAGGTGGGGCGAGAAGCTCGAGTTCGTCGCAGAGGCGGGCGAGGGCGACTTCATCTTCGTGCCACCTTATGTCCCTCATCAGGAGATCAATGCCGATGAGAATTCTGAGCTGGATTGCGTGCTGGTACGGAGCGATGGGGAAGCGGTTGCGGTCAACTTGCCTGATTTGGAGCCTGTGGTAAGTCGTCTCTGTTCGACCCTTCCTATCTACCAAATTCGCTCTATGAGCAATCGCCAGGCGCGCAGAATGCCAGGAGAATACAAGTCGACAGCGAGAGCTAACCAGTATTTTATAGGAAAAACCAGAGTCTGTTGCATGGATTGACCCGTACGTGTCTCCACAAAGCTGGCCCAGGCCAGACATCAATCTCCCGGCTCTGGTCTTTCCCGATACATGTTCATTCTAACTTTTGCAATAGGACTCATGCAAATCTGCCTGGAGCTCAACAACAAAAGTAGCAAGCATGTTGAGGGGCACTTCGAGGCATCAGCAGCGGAGATAGACGAAGTATTCCAACCTTTTGCCCCGTCCTCCTGCAAATCAAATTGCTGCACTTTCCATCAGCAGAGAACCAGTCCGGTCCGTGACTTACCCCGGCATATCCCCGCACGCATTGAGATGCAGGTGGTGTGGTACCGCATAAGCGAGCGAGCTCTTCGAACGTACGACTGGGCCAGGCACCACCCCCGGCCTTGGCAGTACCAAGCGATATCACAATTCAGATTTCAGCTCCGCTCGCGTGTCAGCAACACAGCCAGCCACAGCATGCGGCGTGTAGACTCATGTCGAGATGGATACGGCGCACCGGTCGGTAGCGTAGGCTTATGCACACCCTCGTTATATGTCTGTGCTCTTGGTCAGAAGATGGGTTCTCGTTACTTTAAAAGCCTGTCAAGCATAGCTGGAACCGTTGTCGAGACCTGACATTCTGATAGTAAATCGCCGTGACCAGCACAAGACCTTCACCATGCTTAGCCAGATATTCCTGCTGCTCGCTGTCGCAGTCGGGCTTATACAGGGAACCCCAGCCCCGTCACGCCCTCGGAATACAGCCCCGCAGATCAGCTTCACAGACCTGTCGCTCTTCTCATCATACCCGTCCCCGCCGCCCAACTATGAGCGGTATGTGACCTTGCTTGCCGTTGGTTGGCGCAATTACACGTGCTCGGTCCCGAACGCGACGGCAGCACCGTCATACACCTTGGTGAGCTTCGATTATGATATGTTCGATTTGGATGAGGCCGAAGGTTCGTTGCCCGTGGGCAAGCACGTCTTGCTGCTCGAGCGAGACTATGCTGGTGCGAACTCGGTATTCTATACTGGCGTGAAGACATTCACTTTCTAGTGAGATCGCTTTTGAGCGCTGATGGGGTCCGAAGGTTGTGACTGATTGCCGGACAGGGTTGGAAAGAGCGTTAAGTTCCTCCCGGATCCGGCTTCGACGAGCAAGCTGGATTTGACGCTGGAGCTGGCCTTGGTGAGTTGAGTCCTGGCTTTGCACAACGACAATGATCTTCTCTTGCTTGAGATCACCTGCCTAGGGTGGCGCCGTCATCCTTCCTCGTTTGCCTGCCACTTGCTGACCAATTGACGTTCGTTCGTAAACAGCGAACCGAATCGAGCGATCCCAAGCCTTTCGGCAACGCGACTTTGGACAAGTACGACATGGGTCTCGCCACGTATGCTACACGATTTGGTGCCAAGGGCGGCAAGCCTCCACCATCAGCAGATGGACAGGCGTGCAAGCTCGGGAGTAAGGTTGATGTATGGAGCGAGCTGTACTACTCGATGTGGAAGCAGACTGCTTCATGGACAGTCGCTCAGTTGTGCGGCGCTACTGCGAGAAGATCTCCAGAACTAGGCCCAGGTTCCCGTGGCCGCTAGCAGAATTTTGATACCGGGGCTCAATGATGGAAGGCGGAAGAGCTGCATTCCTGAACGTTAAGGGAACCGGCGAGCAGCAATTTGAACGATCGGGTGTCTGTATGCTCTGTTTCGTGAACGGTCAGCAACCATGGTCCCGCTGCCTGAAAGCGTCTGAGTATGAGCTGCGTATAAGCCATGCAGAGACCGGAAACCGCACTGTTGTAACGTTAGTTCTGTCAGTGGCGTGGTTCACTGCATCGGTTCATGTCCCTGGTAGGCTAAGATGAGTTGTATCCGGGCTGCACTCATGGCTCTATGAATTTCATGGTCATGAATGCGAATGAGCTTGAGTAACCTGTAAGTTTCGCGAAAGCTCCTCACATTGGTGTCGGTACATTGTAGGCTTCTCAACAACAGAATTGCATCTTTTTTGGGTAAGTAGAGAAAGAGTCGCGTCCGTGCCGACCTCTGCATCGCGTGACGTAGGCCTTGGCGCGACATTGAAATCATCCGAGTCCCGCTGTGATGTCAACTAAGGTCCGTCGGCGTCCTCTACACACAGCGGTTTGAGGAGTCCGCGATTAGACACTCCCCCGGAAGGCTGCGAAGGATCTGATCTCCGCTTTGTTGACAGCAACGCCCAGAAGCCAGAACTCTTCTTGCCTGCCGCAGGCCCGGACGTGAACACTGCGACATGAAAAGGGGCAGCGATTTCAAGCCCAGCGATCACAGGTCCGACATGACGCTTCGGCCGCTTAGCACAACAGTGGAAGTGGAAGTTTTTCGTATTACGATGGCATTCTATATCACTCACAGGCTACAACGCGGCCGTTGATGCTCCGGTTGTGCAATAACATGTTCCCAGTGGGCAGCAGCATGAAACTTGGAGAGGTCAAGCTATTCCCCTTGTGGTTCCAACATGCGTGTCAGTATAACTTACATCATCGTGGATTCGATGGCAATGGCCGAGACCATGCGCTATAAGCGTAGTTTTGCCAAACTAATTCACGAGATACTAATACGAGCAATATTGCTATGCCCTATGCTCTGCAGTCAGCATCGCCGGCGACTACTTCCCTGACCATCCCTGTCCACCAGACTCAACTTCGCCGACAATGACACAAGCTACCTGGATTCGTTCTATCGGCTGGTCTCTCACGATTTTTGTGCTGGCGAGATGGTTCTCCTACTATCGGCGAGCAGTGAGTCTTCCCAGTGACTGTGCACATCACTTGGAGTATCCACGGCAGGCTGCTGAACCGTTCCTTCTAGCCAAAGGTGCTCGCCGTAGGGTTTTGGCCTGTTCCGTATCTGGGATCATGGGTGGCAGCAATCAAATTCATGCTGTGGCCTGTCGATATGGTGAAGGAGGGTATCAAGAAGTCTAAGAATGGCATCTTTCGAATCGCCACTCTCAACGACGAATTTGTCCTCGTGACCACGAAAGACAAAGTGGCTGAATACTTGAAGGCGTCCGACAGTGTGCTCAGTATGCAGGACGGGGCAAACGACCAACAGCAGATTCCATTCACCATGGGCTTCGGAGTAGCATACAGAACCTACCACAACATTGTGGTACGGAAGAAAATCACACCATCAATTCCGGCGTTTACACCGATCATGGTCGACGAGATATCGGCTGCTCTGACCCAAGAGATTGGCACGCCGCAAGATTACAAGCCCATCACATTTTACAGGGCCATTGCCATGACAGTGGCACGCACCAGTAACAGAGTTTATGTTGGTAAGAGCTTGGCGACCCACGAGGCATACCTTCAGAACGCAACGGACTACGCGCAAGCGGTAGTTGTGTCCGCGGAGATACTTCGCTTGGTACCCCATTGGCTCAAGAGTACGGTGGTCAAGTTTCTCCCAGTCACGACATGTATGAAGAAGGCTGTAGCGTACCTTGGGCCTCAGGTCGAGGAGCGCTTGAGTCGCAAAGACTCGAACCGCAATAGAGAAGATGATCTACTGCAATGGCTGCTCGATGAGGCGCCTCCAATCGAAAAGACTGTGTACCAGCTCGTAGAGCGAGTGATGGCACTAAACGTCGCCTCCATCCACACAACGACTATGACATTCACGGCAGCTATCTACAGTTTGGCGCTAGAGCCAGAAAAGTACATGGACACTTTGCGAGACGAAGTGATCAACAGTTTAGAGGACGGCAAAATTAGCTTCGGCTCTATCCAGAAGCTTGTCCACGTGGACAGCTTCCTGAGAGAATCTGCCCGATACAACGTCGCTGGCTTGATGGCAATGCAGAGAAATGCAAAGCAGAGCTTTACGTTTTCAGATGGCACTGTCATTCCGGCAGGTGCCAAGGTCGGTGCGCCCACTCTGATCCTACAGCGCGATGCGAGTTCATATGAGAATCCCCAGGACTTCGAAGGGTTCCGGTTCGTCAGTACTCGCGACGGTCAACCAGAGCTATCGAAAAGCATGGTAACCACTGGCACAGACTACCATCTGTATGGGCACGGGAGACATCCTTGTCCTGGAAGGTTCTTCGCTACGCACGAGATGAAGATCCTCTTCGCAACACTTCTGCTGAGATATGACTTCAAATTAAAGTCTGGAGCGAAACCGCAAGAGATTCGGATCGGGACAATGGCAATTCCAGACACGACACTGGAGGTCCTGTTCAAGGCAGTGCCATCGTTGAAAACCGCAACGAAGTTGACGGCCTGATTGCTTAGTACACGAGCTCCAATGGAAGGATGCAGCAACCACAGTCACTACCGCTCTTCACGTAGCAATGCAATGAATGGAGATGACCCTCAGCATTCATTCCTCCTAGGAGTGGCATTTGATTCTAACCTACTCTACGCTCAATGCGCCAGCAGGTGACGCGCTGATTCTGCGAGTTCCGGGTCCTTCTGACCCTGAAGAAAAGCTATACGACCGCCCAATGTGGCTGCTGTCATATCTGGTTGTGTGTCGCACCAGAATTGACCAGCTGCTATGCCTTTGACTATCCGCTCGCAACCTTCAGTTAAATCCATGCCATGATTTTGCATCATCTCACGCATGGCCTTTCGGTGTCTCAAGCCTGCGTCTGTCTCATCGGCACCTTCTCGCACACCAAATATCTCCGTCTTCAGCATTCCCGGAACGACGGAGCTGACGTGTATCGGTGCTTTCGTCTCCTGCATCTCAAGGTACAGGCACTCTGAGAAGGACTGTACGGCATGTTTAGACATGATGTACGCCGTTTGCATTGGCATCTGTCCGAAAGCACCGATTGAAGAGAGATTGGCAATCCAACATTCTTCCCTCGTTTCCAGCATTCTCGGTACAAAGGCGCGGACACCATGTATGACGCCATGGACGTTGATGTTGAGCGTGGCTTCCCAACGCGCTGTCGGGATCTCCCATGTGTACCCTATCGTCTCGACGCCGGCATTGTTCACCAACAAACGTACGCTCTTGTACTTCTTGAACACGATGTCGGCTAGCTCGTCCAGGTTCTCCGGTTTGGAGACGTCGACTGTCATCGCCTCGGCGTTGCCGCCAGCTTCTTGGATCTCCTTGGCCACTGCTTGGGCTCGCTCAGTAGAGATATCGGCGACGACTACTGTCATGCCCAATGCTCCAACCTACGGGCAATGCCTGCTCCTATACCCGCACCTGCTCCCGTGATCACGGCAACACCGCCTGCAAGTTTCTTCTCGTGCTCGGTCATGATGTATGATGGCTTCCGAACCGTAGCACTTGGGTAGTAGTGATGGTAACTCGACTGGCATACCTAGATGCTGAACCACAAGTGCCCGAAGCTGGATTTTAACTTTGATATCATCTCCTTCAGTAGATGATCAAAAGATCAAGGCCATCCCTGCCATTGATGCAGCAAGCTTACGAAAATTCAGTGGACCCAAGCTGTTGGGTGAGTCTTGCTGTATTGTCAGTTGAGCTGACTAAGTAGATTGTATCATTTGCTGACTCCATGCTTAAGCACGCTTGAGCTGCACGAGATGCGTCACCCCTTTTGGCTGAATCCCGTCCGCTCTCGCAGCCTCTTCGCTGCCGTAGCCGAGAACCACAGCACACCATGTCATCTCTCCCATGTCCGCTGCGAATCCAGCTTGTCTTGCCTCCCAGCCCTGCTGTTCGCTGTTCACCTTACTCTTAATTTCCTTAACATCCTTCTCCTCTCCTTCATCCCAGATGCTAATTGAGACAAATTTGCTTTTGAGAAGCCCCGGAGGATTGAAGTCATAGTGCCTGACCAAGGGCCTTCCCGGCACAAACCATTTATCGATCGCGCCCATGACCGTGGCGAACTCCGGAGTCTGCCAAAAGTCCCAGTGGTACTGAATCTTCTCCCAATCAAAGGCGATCACGAAAGTGCGAGGATCATCCAGAGCATAACCCCATGCCGTTGCGCGGACACCTTTGCCTCTGGATGAGGGACCGACAAAGTCTCTCTCCAGTGCCGTCCTTGTCTCCTCGGTAATCTCTTCCTTTGTCCGGAATATAACGATCTCTGTGACGGGCTTGTTGAGGGCTGGTGTATGTGTCTTCAGCACTTCCTCATATTGCTTCATTTGCTCGGCGGTAGCCATGGTGTCGATGTGATTGTAAAGATGCAGCAATTTTACGAAGCGTGTATCTTAATCTCGTTCAAGAGAGACTTCTCCGACTTGCTATCCGAGCTTGCGGCTTGCAGCCTGTCTCAGCACGAGAAGACTGCGTGACATGCTTTCTTGTTTACCTGGAAGCATTCGTCATGTCAGGGTAGCTGACATAAGTCCCTGGGGTCAGTCGTATTCGTGCTTACCCCGGAATATGCAAAGTCTGCCGGATACGGAAGCAATCACAGCTCAAAAGATGTCTTCGCTTCGACTGCGCTGGGCTTGAGAGCAGACAAAGAGTGGATGGCAACCAGCACGTCAGTCAGTCCTCCAGCTCACCCATTGTGTGCTGGGAGTATCAGATCAAGTTTATATGCACTCATTGCGAGTACGGTGATGTAGCACACTGGTCAAGGAAGATAGTAAGCTAGTCACAGGATCTCTGCTGTTTGTAGCAAGGCCTAGGTTCAGGTAGTAACAGGAATAATACGCCTCGACTCGTTCCTCATCGAATGTCCCAGTCTGTATCCGACTTGCGAAGATAAGGAGTCATGAGCTCGAAATCCCCTTTCGTCTCGCCTTCAGTCTTCCCATTTCCAAGGAAGCCCCATACATCATCATCCAAGTAGGTGAAGTTCCAATGTTCCCATCGCGGATACTTGATGCACTTCAAGAAATGCAGAGACTGTGCAAGCATGGTTAGAAGACAAGTACCGTGCAGGGACGAGAGGGGACCTACCGAGCCGCCCCAGCACATAATTTTGCCGTCGACGGTGTTGTTCTTGTACCATGATTTGCACTGGTCCGCCCATACCGAGGTTGAGTGCCACTTCTCGAGGTATTCGTTCAGTTTGAAGGTCACATCCTCCGAGACATCAAGTGCCTTAATTCGATCGCTCTGCATCTTTTTGGCAGCCTTGATGACGTACTCAATCTCAGTCTCCAGGCAGGGAAGTACTGTGCCGTTGCAAAGATTCGATCTCGGACCGTTCATGACGAAGTAGTTGGGGAACCCGGGTGCTGCCACACCCAAGTAGCAGTTTGGTGCAGGATTCCAGGAGTCCTTGATATCAAGGCCATTGCGTCCGAGGAGTTTGAAATGCGGTGTCCAAGCCATGTCGAAGCCGGTAGCACAGATGATAATATCAACCTCAAAGAACTGACCATCAGTGGTGTATATCCCGTTGGAGGCAATTCTGTCAATCTCTTCGTAGATTGATACGACATTATCTTTGACCAAGGCTTCCAGATAGCCATCTCCTGGAGTCAGACGCCTGTGTTGATTAGCAGTTGCTCGGATTAGCCGTGGTAAGAGAAGCTGACCGACAGCCAGGGGCCCATTTGGGGATAAGCCTCTCAGACAGTTTTGGATGATAACCCAATCTTCTACCATCTCGCTCCTCATGTATTTTTCTGCCATGCGGGAGGCTTCAGTGTCGGCGTAAAACATAGCGAAGCCTGTGTTGATGGCGTACTCAATTCTCTTGCGGTAGTTGAGCAGCAGGTCTGGATCGTCCTTCAGCTTTTGGATTTCTTCCGGCTTGTACCAATACTGCTGCTCATTTGGATTGTAATCGGTGAGCTCAGCAGAGTCGTCCGACTTGTTCATTTCGATTTGTACACGTGGCATAGGCGGACTGATCCACGTGGGACTTCTCACGAACGTTGTCAATTTCTTCGCAACTGCTCGCATACAGTCAGCGAGGCGGTCAGTACTCGGTCCTCCTATTAACAAGACCTGCCTTTCTGAATCTGAGGAACAATCTGAATGGCAGATGATCCCGTACCAAGCACCGCCACTCTTTTGTCTGTGCAGTCAACGTCGGCTTTAAGATCGTCAGCGACTGTACTATGCGCTGTGAGAGGCCAGACCCACGATTCCATGCTGCAGAGTGTATCAGCGGTCCTTGGAAAGAATGCAAGCCCTCAATAGCTGGCCCTTTGGGATGTTAGTTAAAATTGCCTGGGCCGCCTAGTGAGACCAACATTTCCATTTGTTGATGAGGCCAGATCCATTCATGAGTATGTCGCAGTAGTCCTCAATTAGGCCGTCAGGAGTTTCAACCTCCACCTTGTACTGGCCTGTGTCCTCGTCCCATACCGCGGACACGACTTTGTGATCCAGCTTCACGTATCTTCGTAAGTCGTATTTATCTGCAAAACTTGTGAAGTAGTCATGAATTTCTGGCGAGTACTGAAACATTGCATCAACGAGATTTCCTCGTTACAATTGGGCTCTGCAATACGTACCGCATAGTAAGACTTCCACTCCGGATTGGCTTCGAACGTGTAGGTATAAATTGGAGCGGGCCTGATACGATCAGTCAAGTCAGGGAGGGAGGCAAGCATAACTTACACGTCGCAAGCACACCCCGGGTACCGGTCTAGCTGTTGCGTCAGAGACCATCCAGGAATATGGCAGTACATGCAACTCACTCTCGTACCATGTGCCTCCTATTTCACCATTCTTTTCGTAGCAGATGAGATCGTAGTCGCTTAGTTGTCTTTCCATCTTGAAAGCTGTGCAGAGGCCAGTCGCACCGGCGCCAACATGGATGATCTTCAGCTTTCGAGCCTGTGAGTGCCATTGATTGACCAAGCCATTGGGCAGGCGTTCTCCTACCAACTGCTGGGGTGCAATACCAATGGAGCCCATAATGAAGACGATCGGTGCACTTAGATCAACGATACTAAAGCAAGTAGCAGCTCTTGTGAATCTCAAGTCCGAGGGCTCAACGTAGACCTTAAGACAAGTCTGACGTGGAAAGAACCTAGGCGCGATGCTCCCAGAGAACAATGCTGTATTACCCTACCATAGTGTGATAGAAACAGATCCTCTGATCGAATGTACATCCTGACATTCTGGGAGTTCATGGAGCTCGCATCAAGCTAGTCAGTGCGTAAGACAGAGACTGACTCGTTCGCCATCTGGGGAATGCATAGGCCCGCGCGACAGCGGATGGGCTGACCACGGACCGCGCGATGCGCTTGCAGTGAAGTTGCGGGATGTATTTCGGCTTCAGGTCAACACGAACGCCGTCATGGATGTAATTCTGCCGTCTCGAAGTCATGTCATCTTGACTGATGTCAGTCACAAAGTGAAGATTATTAGCCTGCACGAACATTGAAAGTTGGGGTTCCGACTCGGTAAGGATTGCCCTCTACGGCTCACCACGCTAGGCCAATCTTGATGGTGGCCCGGCTCCGAGGAATTCAAACTCTGACCACTACTTCCTGGGTGTGACTGCCATCGATCTATTTCATAGCCTCTTCTACATCCCCCAAGACGACGATCTGTGCTTTTGACATATCCATGAACTGGACACAGTCCTCGTAGATCCTCTTTCCTGCCTCAGGTGTACTGAGCGCAGCGCCACTTGCCTGGAAATGCGCCTCATCTTCGTATGCCAATTCCGCAACACAGTCGAACCCAAAGTCTTCTTGGTTGCCTTGAATAACAGCAGCAGGATATGTGCCATTCTGGTGTTGTGACCGTTTGATATATGATCTTCGGTGGGAAAGAGGGAACAGTGGGCCGGTCAATTCCCTGACAAGCGGAACATGGACGTTGTCATAGTGGTTCTTGAATTCTTCTGGTGCCATGCCATGTTTGCGCCATGCGAGAATGAGGATCCGAAAGACCATTTTAGTGTCGAGAAGTAGAAGACCCGGTGCGCAGCACTTCGAAAGAGATTTTCACAACGAAGACGGTCGAGCTTCTCCAGGGTGTTGCCTCGTGTTCCGATCTCGAGAAGCTATATCGTATGCTGAGACATCGCTCCAAGACTCGTTCAAGTGAGTCAGCCTCTGAAGAGTGAAGCAGTCGAATGTCGTATCACGCCTTACCCTTGGTACCGATGCGGCCTTACGTCAATTGAACTAAGTCAGCATTTCTGTCTGTGGAGTATGGGATTCATGCGGGATAGCCATTGCGAAATGGGGGACGGTGTGGAATGTCAGATGAGTAGTACAATCATACCTTACCAAGCTAATGCCCCGCCCACGAGTGTCATGCAAGTCTGAACTGTACACTCAGTTACACTGACCTGACCTCCCGTTAGGCTCGCATTCCTGATCGACTGTCGCCATGTCGCCATTCAAGAACGACCCTCGGATCGTAGCAGCTCTGCAGGAAAGCATCAAGCTGGGTGAATATGGCATCGCAGTGTCTGCCTATCACAAAGGCGAACTCATCGTGGATTGTTTCGACGGACTTGCGAACACAGAGACCAAGAAGCCCGTCGACAGCAACACATTATTTCCAGTCTTCTCAGTCACAAAGGGAGTGACGGCTCTGGCCATACACGTGCAAGCTGATCGTGGGCTGCTCGAATATAATGCGCCTATTGCCAAGTACTGGCCCGAGTTTGGCAAGAACGGCAAGGAAGCGACCACGGTCGAACAGGCCCTTTCACACAGGGCGGGGATCCCTCAAATGCCCGATGGCGTTACGCCTGAATTGATGCATGATTGGGCATGGATGATCAAGCATATAGCTGATTTTACTCCAATCTTCCCACCGGGAACTGCCAATGCGTACCACATCTTGGTCTGGGGCTGGATCCTGGGTGAGGTCGTTGTTAGGACAGATCCGACACGCCGCCCATTTGACGTCTTTGTCAAGGAAGAGATTCTTGAACCGCTGAGGATCAAAGACTTTCATCTTGGCGTACCAAGTGAGAAGTTATCGAATGTTGCGACATTGTACGGTGGCAATTCGTTCGATATGGTCGATGACTACAACATTAGTCCTACAGCCGTCTTTCCCGGCTCGACCGTTCACAACATTCCTATTGTGCAACAAACTGTCGACCCTGGCGCAGGAGCGATCACGACAGCTCCAGCCGTGGCTCGGATCTTTGCACTTATCGCTAATGAAGGCGAGCTGGATGGTGTTCGACTGCTTTCCAAAGACAGAGTCGCTGGGTTGTCACGGCTCAGAGAAGGTGCGCACGACCCGGACAAGATTCTGACCGTTCCGGTGTGGTTCGGAGCTGCCGGATACTGGCTCGGCGGTGAGGAAGGAAAGTCCGATCCCATTGTAGGGGATCATCGTGATATCATCTACAGTCCAGGAGCTGGGGGAAGTTTGGCATTCGCTGACCTTCGCGACTCAGTCGCTGTGGCTATCTGCCATAACAACATGGACACTGTGGCAATATACCCGGAAAGAACTTACACGCCTATCATGAAGGCGATCAGAGAAATTGTTGCGGAGCGGGAAAAAGCTACGAAGTTGTAACGTGGAGGGCTCAGGCTGAGATTCGATTCCTGTGTTGCATGGCAAGAGATATGTTCGACTACTTCTTCGAATATAGAACCTTGAAAATGTTCTATTGAACCAAGCTGATTTCAAAGACAAAACTGAATTGAGCAGCAACAACTCACTCTTGGAATGCAGTTTTCAGTCCCTCGCAGACCCTCTTCCAAGTGTCTTCCACGTCGTCAGCTCTATAGTCTTTGTTGTCCTTCTTATAATGCGAGTAGCCATGGATAGCCTTTGGATACTCCTTCGCACTTACCTGGACTCCAGCCTCTCGCAACTTCTCGCCATACGCATGTGCTTCGTATTTCAGGCAGTCTAGTCCTGCAGTGAGTATCACTGCTGGCGGCAGCGTGAGCTGTTTCAACAGTGCTGTGTCGGCAAGGAGAGGCGCGATGAAGATCTGCTCCTTGTCGACGTACGGTGGCAGATAGGATGCCTCCATGAGAGACGCTGCCCAGATAGGAAGGCTTTTCTCACGGACCTTTTCGTCTCCTTCGTGCCAGCGAAGTGCGTAGGGCTCGTTGCAGCGAACACTTGGGTAGATGAGGACTTGAAGTACTTGTCGAAATTGCTGTCCCAAGTCTTCCCTGAACTTGGCGCACGGTCCAGCCGTGAACGATGCCAGAAGTGTTAGAGCAGCAGTCAAGTTCCCGCCAGCCGAGTTGCCCATTATCGCTACTCGGCCCGGGTCGACAAAGATGCCTTTGGTTTGTGCTTCCTTGGACAACGCCCATTTCAGCACCTCGTAGAGCTGAAGAAGGGCATGCGGATACTCGTAGCGTGGCGACTTTGCATAGTCGACAGAGATCACAATTGCCCCAGTCTGTTTGAGAATTAGCGTTCACCCGTCTGCCTCGTCTGCAACAAGATCAAATGGTGGTTGTACCTCGTCAGAGATCATGCGATCAATGTGTCTGCCGTCTTTGGGCTGTCCTAGTACGAATCCTCCTCCCTCAGCCACCAGAAGCAATGGTTTAGGTGTCGTTCCCGATTCCCTGTCGTCTGCTGCCGGAGGTAAGCATACGGAGATTTTGGCTGTTCCGGCACCGAGTCCTGGTGTTTCAACCACTAAGTCCATGTCAAACCCTTCATGGCGTCCGGAGATGTAAGACACAATTGATCTGAGTACAGCGGCGGTCGTGTGCAGGTAGATGGCATAGTACCATGGATATCGAATGCCATCTGCTATCTTAGGACGGTGAACTTCTGTTTGGTTCATTGTTGAGTCAACCTGCGGCCACAATGTCACCGGTCAAGGCAATCACGAGCAAAGCGGACTGATCAGTGATATGCAGGAGACGCGAACCTGCTCTAGTATCACTCAACAATCAAGACACTGCCTCGGATCGGGAGGTACAGGTGGGCCGCCTCAATCCGTATGCGAGAACCAAGTTTCAGCTAGGACGCAATAGGGAGAATGATTCTAGCCTTACCCAATCAAAGAACATGATTGAAAAGGAGGAGCTCATGGCAGTTGTTGGTCGTTCACGCGTGTCTGCTCCCAAACTGATGTCAGTCAGACTGAGGGAAGCCATGAGCGAACGACGGGAGCTCCGCAGCTCGAAACTCGGATGTGCGGGATTCGTCTTAGCGCGCCTGGCTTCGGTCGTCACCGCTGACGCACGGAAATTGTTCACAAGAAAGTCAGATTTAGGCTTGATCCTGGGGACGAAGGCGCTAATCTGATTGGACGCGCCGCTTCGAATGTGCACAGCCTTTGCTCAATCCCAGTATGTCCTCCATGGTATATGAGCCCAAGCAACACGCTGAAGTCTAGCCTCGGGAGATATGACTATAGAACACGAGATCCACCCAAGTGGTCCGACTGAACGGCGATCTCGTAGCTCTTTCCAAGACAACCCACATCCGCTGTGTGGTCATCCCCGACTGAGCCACATCGTGCGAACCTCACATCAGTGAATTGTACCCTAGGCCACCTCAGATCGTGCTCGCCCCCATTTCGAGAGAGTCTTCATTCGGCCCGGTGGAAAGTGTCCTCGGTAACAGTGATGTCGACTTTGTGAAAGCCTCTGACTGATATCTTTCGTTCGAACAGAATGTCCATTTCTGCTGGGGTCCTGTCTTTGGACTCGGGGAGGAAGAAAAATGCTCCAAGGAATCCGATGAAGGTCGTTGCGCCGAACACAAAGCCCACCTTACCACCAAGATTGCCAGCATCGGGGTTAAACATGTATGGGAAGATGAAGCCATCAGCCAGGTGAAGAAGTTAAGGACTATGTTGCCGAGGCCTATTGTTCGTGCACGCATTCGGAGGGCTGGAATTTCGTTGCCAACAGTCCAGCCAACAGTAGCGACAGAGATCTCGTAGAAGAAACCCTGACACTGTCAGTATCATGCCTCGATGAGAGGCAGTCACCGGACTTTGTACATACCCAGATGAAAATGAACCCAACGACGGCTTTGTAGGCGTTGACGGATCCGACCACAGACAAGCCACCGATAAGGAAGAGGCAAACAGCGGCGCCAAACTGACCCCATACCAGTAGTGGTCGGCGGCGAACGTTGGCAATGACACACCAAGCGACAACGTTGAATACCCACATGACTGCTGTATTGACTAAGCCAAGAAGCAGAGACTTTTGTGGAGAATACCCGATGAGTTGGTAGAAGTAAGTCTGGTAGCCAAGGACGAAAGTATTCCCTCCAAGATAGAAGCAAGTATACACGAACATGACGATAAATGTCCGCCGACGGTGCAGTTTCGAGAAACATTCCAGGTAGTTGTTACTGTCATGGTCTTCCGCATGGGCTTGGGCTTTCTCCATGGCCAAGGTCTCCTCAATTTGTGCGAGGATGCCATCTCTGTCAATACTGCTGTTCTTTCCATGAAGTCGCTCGAGAGACCGCCTTGCTGCATCTCGCTTTCCGGTCCGAGCTAGCCAAACGGGCGATTCTGGCCACATCCAGCAGGTGACGAGCACGAATCCCGGGACAATCCACTGACATGCAAAGGGAATCATGTAGGAGGATTTGGTAGGGAGGACTCCAAGGTGATACATGACTCCCGAGAAGACAAAGACACCACTCAGAATGGTAGTATTTGTCATGGCGCTGAGGACACCGCGAAGGCGGAGTGCAGCCACTTCGCTGGCGTAGAGGGGGCCAATGACCAGCCACATGCCGATCGGGAAGCCGTTGATCGCTTTGCCGGCGCAGAGGATGCCGAGTGAGCCATTGGACCAATACTGAGCTGCGACACCTCCAATCGAAATGACACAAGAGATGGCTGCAGCATTCCGGCGTCCGACCTTGTCTGCGACATATCCTGCTGTAGCTGCTCCCACGACGGCGCATGCTTGACCCACGGCGCTGAAGATTGCCAGCCAGTTGGCGGTGATGATGTAAGCAACATAGCCGCTGCCTGTATCCAAGGGCTTGCCGTAATCCTCACGAAACTTGGGCACTGAGACTTGGTAGCCAGCGATGACGCCATCCATGCCGTAGTTGAAGGCCAGGAGGAGACCGTAAAGTACGTAGAGCGAGGATCGCCAATAGATCTTGACGGCATCGAAGAAGCTGAGGCTCTTTTCATACTCTGTGTATCTTGCTGCTAGTTGGGCTCGGGAGTTGGTGTCGACCTCGTGTTTTCCATGAACAGACTCAACCGCTCCTCTTGGCTCACCTTCTCGGGAGACTTTGACGCCATGTTCGTATAATATGCTCGTCGTGGACGTTGGTACTTCCAGACGAATGGAAGAGTGAGGTGAAGGCAGGGCAGAATCCAAAACGGCCCGACGACCTGGGACTCACCGCCCTAATGTAGTGGTCGGGCTTGATGCAAATTCATTAGTCTGGGGTACGAGCATCCCCAGAAAACGTGGAGACTGGTTGAGCCGGCCAGCAGGCGTGCATCTGCGAGATGCCATCTTGGTAGCGAGCTCTCGGAGCCCAGCCGTGTGGCTCTCGAAAGGACGCTAGCTATGTCAGTTTTGACTAACGTAAGTGAGCAGGGTCACAGCAGCCAGAAGCCGCCATTGGCTGAACCCCAAGACTCGTCCCCACGTCACCTCGCACGCACTCATGATGAAGCGATGCAGCCGCTCATGGGCGTCCTAGACCTTCAGAGTGACTCGCCCTTTCCACATCCCCATCCCGTCGAGGCTTAGGTACATTCTTGCATCCTGCGAGAATTCGTTCGACGGATCCGCATTTCTGGCTTGTGCGAATCATTTTGAAGAACGCACTACGGGAAGTTGCCTCGATGACCAGGTCTACTCGCGCCCAATGCTCGTACAGCTTTGTCAGAAGAACCAAGCTTCGCCCATGGACGACGGGGCATTCGCCCAATGACAGGGCCGTCCTATGCGCTGATTGAACATGTGGCGAGGGATGGTCTAGATCTTCGGAGTCGTAGAACTCCTTGATCTGTAGTTGTGTGACTTGGAGTTAATCGTGCCGACAGTGACGTTGCGGCTCGCAGAGTCGGACGAGGACTCGATGATATAGTCAGATAGAGCCTGGAGTACTTCGTACAAAGAACTAAACTCGCGGGTACGCAGTTTCCTCTTACTATTGTTCAACCCGTCCGACAGCTATGTTGAGGCAGGTATGACGTGCTGCCCCAGAAAGGTGTTTCGACAGGCGAAGCATCAGCCATGGTATCGGGTAGCAGAGTCACCGCTGGTATTGTGCGGAACTATTGATTGCGCTCACTGATACAGCTGCATATGTACTGGTATGGAGCAAGTGCAGCCGACTTCGCAGCAGGGTCAGCTTCCGGTCCGGGATCTGTGAGAACAAAGAGCAGCTCAACACTTTGAGGGTCGCGCATGCGGCGCTGCTATAGCGCGTGGCGGGTACCGATTAGCCTAGCAAGACAGCCGAAGATTGCAAACACCTAGCTCTCAGCCTCTAAGTAGTTTACGTACTGAGGGTAAACGCTGAAAAAGGCCGGGTTGACTTTCCAGACGTCCAGCGTGCACGCTTGTTGCTGGATCAGGTCGAACAAGTCCATTGTTCCTGGCTTGATCTCCGGAAAAGCAGTTTCATCGTGTGCCCAGTTGCGGGATAGGTTCTCAAAAAGGTGTGTTCCAATCAGTTCGGCATCAACATCGTTCGTATCTCTGATGAGCGCTTGCCGGAGATTTGGCCTGCATTGACACGTGAGAATGCGTTGTCTTTGTTACAAGCGCGCAAATAGACGTACCAGACAAGCATGCCGATGAATGGGCGATGAGGGACGATGCATTCTAGCGCTGAAGGGCGCATGAACACGGGCATCTGATAGTATGATTCGGAGGTGCCCAGAATCTGCCACTGCACACGGTTGGGGTCAGTAAACCTCGTTTCTGGCTGATAAGAAAGATTGCGAACCCACCCGGAGAAATAAGTATTGCACCCAAAAAGTGAACAAAAGATTCTGCAACGGCACAGCACCGTATCTTTTAATGAATTGCAACAGGCGAAAAGACAAACAATCGAACGGTGGATCAGACAGCAGCCGCTTCAGTGTCGGTGCTGTTCGAGCCTCGAAATGGCCTTGCTGTAGCTCTCGTCGACCTTCTTCAATAAAGCTGCAGACGTGCTTATCTGAGTAGCTCACAGGTGAACAGTACCGGGGGAACGTTAGACTCGGGTGTGAACTGTCAGTAGCTGGCGGTCCAAGGAACGGCCTATTCGTGGAGAAGAAGACATTATGCTGCATCGGATCCGACCACCAACCTGCAAGGGCCTGAGAGTCCGCGTTGGTCGTCGGAAGCCTCGGGCCAGTCTGGTCGACCATGGGCTTGACCTTGAACTTGTACGCCGCTTTAGGGTTGGTCGTGACCTGCATCTCCAGCATTCCGGCGCTCTGATGAGCCAAGCATCTGGATCGCCGTGCGTGGTGACATCCACGCCTGCAAGTGTCCAGTCTTGGTCCGTGAACGTATCGGCATTGATTGGCATGGACTGCTGGGGATCTTCCAGGTTCCAAATGTCCACGTTGAGCACAGCATTGTCACCATTCAAGGGCAGCTCGCCAGTAACTGCAGCACATGGTCAGCAGGTGCTTTCTGGCTACAATCAGGTCGCAAAGTGTACTTTGAGCATCAATGTCATTGTTGACAGGTTCAGGATCGGGTTGATCTTCAGAAGTGCAGTTAGGAGGTCGATAGTCCTCGCAGGGCTGTACAGAACACTCTTCTCCGTCCGACGCGACTGTCGCGGGAGTCTGAAGCATGGTGTTCTGCTGTTGATGGGTCTCATCGCTGTCCTTTTCCCTTTGAGACTCATTTTTGGTGAGCGGCTCTGCAGAAACGGCGATTTGTTTCACTCGTTCCAACCTCGAGGATAAAGAGCGACAAAGTTCCTGCAGTCGAGTCCTCTCAGCGACAAGGTAATCAAGTCGTTCATCGCGTGTCTGACGTGCCGACAAGTCTTGAACCGCCTCCTGTAGCTGTTGGACGTACACTTTCTGTCTACGTCGATGCTCACGCTGTGCAGTTCTATCCGTTTCCCGCTTCCGGGCTTTGCGGTCCTTTGCAACTGTCGCCGATGCATTTTCAGTCATGGTGGTCAGAGTGGATGGACGAAGGAAGTCAGTCCTGTCATGATGCGCAACAAGAAGCAACAGCAAGCTGGGGAAGGCACGACTCTCCGAACCATGGATGTCATTTGAAGAGCGCTCCAAGCACGCCACGTCCCCGCAAAACCCCGCTCGAAGGTTCACGAGGCAACATCTCGTTTCAACGCCGTGGGACAGCTGCTAGGTACGCGTTTAAGGTACCGATAGCTAGCACTGTGTCGATGGACTTCTGGAGCAGGGTCACTGGGTGAGCTCGCGAAGGCTTGGCCTTCAGTGCCCCGGTTGGCGGAACCTTGTTCGGCGGCAAGTGCGTACGTCAGTAAAGCTGACTCAGTTGCAGTTACCTATGACCACTCTCCCGCCGAGTTGTGGGAGAGAGATGCCCTCGACCTGCTCATCGTGGTATATGTAGGCGCTGGCAGAGAATATCAGCATCGAGCCGAGGAATAAGACACCATTAAGAACATTCTCGAAACCGCCGCAAAGCACACAAAAGAATGATGAGGCTCTTCTAAACTGTGCCACCACCCGAAAATCCGGTTGCGACTACCGATTTCAGGCGCTGCAGCAATGATTCTGGGGCTCCGCGTTGGCCCAAAACGGCAAAGAAATCCCAAAAAGCTCACCTCAGCCTCCTACATCGAAAATTCTTCACGTCCCTTCGTCCCCTTCAGACATTCTCGCACCACATGTTTCGCATTGCCGGAAGTTTGCTGCAGCTTCAGTGCTAAATTTGATATCGAGGAAGCGTGTTGCGACAGTAGCGATGTGTCATTGAAATGTGCTATTACTGTGCTCTGAGCACAAAGTTCCGTCATCGTGTGCCACAATGAATTGTAGGTTTGAATATAAGGTAAGAACGCGTGCTTCGCAGCGTACATAATACCAAACAACATGAATTCGAGATTCCATAAGCTTGCAGTGCGTTGCTGATTACAGATCATTCATCATTCCCATGGCAACTCCAGAACGACCTCTATCGCCAGTGGCAAGCTCATCAGGCGCATCGACGCCCACATACGATAACGAGAAAGCGTCAATACACACGGGACCGGATTCGGCAACGAGTGATCTAGAGGCAGGTTTGCTCGCGCGGAGAGGCACCAGTACAGAACCGAGGTCACCATCAGGTGTTTCGAGGGTCTTCAAGTCGCTACGATGGAAGCCTGCAAAGTCTTCGGGTCTGACTTCAGAACCCGAACATGTCGATGACGAGAAAGCAAAGGATACAGAAGCGGGAGACGAATCGACGACACCGGACTACACAACAGAGGCCCGACAACTAGTCCGCTCATTTACACAGCGAGATCTGACGCGAGGATATGGTCAGTCGAAGTCAGGTACACAGACACCTGGCATCGATCAATACGTCCACGATCTGGACTACATACCAGCTCCAGAGCAGTACAAGCCAAGCATCTTCGGCGCCCTACTTACCTCAAAATTGAACACGCTTCAGCACGAGTCGCAGGCACAAAGAGCGCAACAGCGGGAATTTTACAGCAATTTCGAAAGCAAGCATGGCCGATCAAGGTCCCACGATCGGCTGTCCGGCTCATCAACGCCAAAAGTACGGTGGTACGACAAGCCCGAAAGCTCATCCGTGACGAACCTTCTGGCACAAGCAACCCTGTCCACAACCACACCAGGCCTACCAAATACTGCGTCAGCAGGCACCTTCCCAAGAAGCATCAAGCCACGACCTCGGTCGACAGGCTCTGAATACACGATCTCGGACCAGTTCTTGAAACGTGGCTCGCAACTCGACCTCAACGATGCCCTCGTCGACGAAGTTTCCGACATCATCGCACGTCGAAAATACCTAACGAAACTATGTGGCGCCCTCATGAAGTACGGCGCCCCCACACATCGGCTTGAAGAATACCTCTCCGCTTCCGCGCGCGCCCTCGCCATCGACGCAGATTTCATGTTTATACCAGGCGCCATGATGTGCACGTTCATCGACCATAGCATCTACGCCAACAATGTCGAGATCGTCCGCAAGTCCGCCAGCCTTGACCTCGGCAAGCTCAAGGACGTCTTCAACGTCTACAAGAACGTCATCCATACAAAACTCACGGCCCAAGAGGGAATCGCTGCACTCGAGACAATCTCCACTGCACCAGACCGCCACAATATTTGGTTCCGCATCCTCATGTTCGGCCTCGCCTCCGTCGTCGTCGGCCCTTTCTCCTTCAATACCCGCCCCATCGACTTCCCACCCATCTTTGTCATGGGCTGCGTCCTTGGATGGCTCCAGATGCGTGTCGTACCGAGATCGGAACAGTTTTCAAACGTCTTCGAAGTCTTCGCCTGCGTTGTCATCGCCTTTGTCTCCCGCGCCATCGGCAGCATCAAGTACCCTGGATCACAAGACTACATCTTCTGCTTCTCCGGCGTTTCGCAGTCCTCCATCGCCATGATCCTCCCCGGCTTCATGGTCCTAAACTCTGCGTTGGAGCTGCAGTCACGCAACCTCGTCTCTGGAAGCGTCCGCATGGTCTACGCCATTATCTACGTCCTCTTCCTCGGCTTTGGGCTGCTCGTGGGTACGACCATCTTCGGCCTGATCAAGCGCGACGCCGTGAGCGAAGTGACCTGCCAGGTTCCCAAGTGGTTTCAGGCAGATGACTCGAGCCCGAAGCTGCTGTACACTACTTTCGTTTGGGCGCCTCTATTCGCCTGCTGCGTTGCACTGATCTACAACGCCAAGTGGCGGCAGCTCCCTGTTATGGCGCTCATCGCGGTCGCCGGTCACCAGGCAAACTTCTGGATCAGCACGCAGCTCGCTTCGAATCTGCAGGTCGCCAATGCGATCGGTGCGTTCGTCATTGGTTGTATGGCCAATATGTACTCCCGGGTGTTCCACGGACTGGCTGCGGCAGCGATGTTGCCTGCAATCTACGTCCAGGTGCCGGGCGGGCTGGCGGCGAGTGGATCGTTAGTGGCAGGTATCGACTCCGCGAACCAGATCTTTGGGAATAGCAGTTCAATTAGTGTCATCAACAATGGCACGCAGGGGTTTGTGGCGGCCCAGAATGATCCAAACAGTGTTTACAGTGGCACCATCTTCAACGTCGGCTATGGAATGGTGCAAGTAGCCATCGGCATCAGCGTAGGCTTGTACTTGAGCGCGTTGGTGGTGTACCCGATGGGGAAGAGGAGAGGAGGCAGTGGATTGTTCAGCTTCTGATGTCAAGGAGAGACAGTTTAATTTGTGTTGTACCAAAAGGCCATGAAGCGCTGCTGGAACATCGTGGCTTTTTCTTGAAATGCATCTCCTTGACGTGTCTTGTATCTCTCCCAGTTCTCCTTGGCTGCTTCGCTCCATATGTGACTGTCCTTGCCCAGAGAGTGCCCGTCGATGGCGAATTGCAAGACGAGGATTTGAGAAGCCCATGCGCCATTACGGAGAGACAGCGACGGAACGCTCATGAAGTCCGCTTGCGGCTCTTTGTTCGTGCAATCTTGAACTATGCCATAATCGATACTTCTCTTCTCGGAGAAGGAATCGTATGACCTGGTAACCCTCTCGCTAGCAATGTAATTGTGTGTTTCGTCTGGCACATGCAAGGCCCCCTCCAGCAGAATGCATCCATCAACACGATTCTGTGAAGGGCCCGCGGCGTACTGCACGTTGATACGAACAGTTCCAACACCTGCGACTCGGAAGTCGTCTGTGTCGTTGACCTTGACTATTGATGCGATGGGTGTATAGGTCTCGAAGCAGCGGCGATCTTTGACGACACTGTGAAATCTTTGCATCAAGCTGCAGTGGGCAGGCGTTACTTACTGCACATTTGAGTGTTCGAGATAGACCCATTCGCGGCCCAGTGGCTTCTGTTCCATCCTTGATGACATCGTCAGAAATTGCGCTGTGGTAGAGGATGACTCTGGCTCAGACAATGACTGATTTGCCAATGAGGCGAAGCGGAAAAGAGGAAGGTTGTCGGCGAGATCTTCGAGCGGTTCCACCAACTGCCTAGGCTCCCAATCCAGTCCTAGATGGCCGAGTGGTTCGCGGACTAATACACCTTTGCTATTGGTGTACTCCATCCTGCTGTGAAACCGACACGACAGAGCGTAAAGATGGAGATGTAGTTACTGAACTCCTGTTTCGTGGTTTCCGGATTGCGGCCAGTACTTTCATCGCACTTTCCTTGTCACTTGCCAAGTTCGTGAGTAGAAAGCATGAGCCCGGGTGCTGTGGTGAGGTCTTTATCGTTGCCTTATCTACCGGACAAATCAGGCAACAAGACCACAAATTGCTGCACAAGGTCATTCGTCCCGAAATGATCGTACTGCTCAAGTCCACCATCGATAGAATGTGACCCCGTTACAATCATAGCAGGCCGGCTGCTGCTGCACTTTGAATGCATACCGGATGCACTTTTTACATATGTGATGCTTCTTCTTGGCCTTCGAAATCATCTTCCCGCGCTTGTACTCCACGTCGACAATCCCAGCATCTTCTGGAACACAAGTAGAACACCAGTACGTCGATGGCTGAGCCGCTGTGCACGAGCGACACGCATCGCAATAGCAGCCCAAATTCTTGCAAGGCTTAGACGCCTCGGGTCGCTTCCGGCCCAGATCGCGGCGCCAGACATCGGTTGAGCCCCGCGTTGAGAGATCCTCGAACACGTTTCCTTTAGCCGGGTACATGATCTTGTCCTGACAAACGGGGTCGGTGCAAACGTAGACAGAATTGGTGCCCATATGGCGATGGCAGACTGGCTTCTGGCAGCGCTTACACTTGTAGTGCCGCAGGTTAGAAGGGGATTTATTGGCGCAGCTGCCGCATTCAGTGCACTTGCAGGTGACGCTGCAAGTTTGTTTCCAGCTATTGGGATCATACTCCTTTCCAGGCTCGTCGGAGATCAGGTACGGTATCAAGATAGGGTCTTCCTCCTCCGCCATGATGAGATTGCAGTTTCTGCCGCCACATACCGTGCACGTGCGTGTCAGCATGCCCTTCGAGAGGGAACTCTTCGGCATGCATTTGAGGCAGGTCCGATATCTGTCTCCGTTGGTCTTGCAGTCCCGACAGTGCCACGACTTAGTGCCTGTAGGCTTTTCGCATGTTCTGCATGAAGCCATAGTCAGATAGAGTCCCTCGGCAAGCTCGCCAGCCTTTGTATGCTGTACCGTTGGCGATGTCGTGGTTGTCTCAAATCCAACAGACGAGCTAGCAGCGTTGCTCACCAGCCGATTGCTTGCGCTCATACAAAAATTGCAGTAGTGATCACTTGTGAAGCCGGTCGTGGCCGAGATACGGCTTTTATCGACGGGAAGGCAGTCCAGACACATACTGTAATCGTTCCGCGTCACTTTGCACCATACACACTGCCAGAACTGGCAACCCAATGGCTTGCTACACTTTCTGCATCCCAGGCCGACTGGAAATCCTACGTATGGCGAAGTTGCGATCGGAGCGATGGACGTGGCGGTTCGTCTGACGAGCCCGAGTTGGTCCCTCTTGCAGTAGCCACAGTACTGACAGCTTTGGCTACCGCTTGCGAATGCGTTGCGCGGAATGCAGTTCACACATGCTACGTTCCTGGAACCGTTCGCTGTACATCCATTGCATAGCCAAAACTCATTTCCTACAGTCTGCCCGCATGATCGGCAGTTATCGATGGACGTGCTTGGTGCAGTTGATGCATATACTGCTGGGGAGGCCACTGGGACGGGTGCTGAAGTTGGTCTGACAAGCTCGAGGTAGGTGTCCCTACAGTGACCACACCGTTCCAGCATGAAACGTGGGATGCACTTCAGGCACGTTTTGTATTTGCCAGAACCAACGGCATGACAACTACCACACTGCCAGTATTCGTTCCCGAGGTCACGGTGGCAATTGCGACAGAGTTCATCGCGTGTTTTGGCAAGAGGGACAATCGGAGCAGCCACTGGAGGCTGGCTAGGGCCCGCGGTCCCAGGCTTCTTCGTGCTGGGGTCGACGAGCCGGCTGCTGGTGTGCATGCAGAATTCACAGAAGTGATGTTCCGTGCTCGAGACAAGCGGCGAGCAACTCAGGCAGATCTTGCTATTCGGCTGCGATATTGAGCACCAGTTGCACTCCCAGTACATGGAGCCAACAAATTTTGTACATTTTCGGCAAGGTCCATCATCCGCGATTGAAGTAGATCCCACAGTGGCGAATATTGAGTCCCAGTCATCTTGGGTCCCAGGCTTCTCTGTCGAGCTCGTGCCGATCGCGGAACCCTTAACCTCAGCTTGTGCTATCGACGTGGGGAGAGCGGATGGTGTGACTTGATCGATCTTCAACGCTTCTGGCGCTACGACGGATCTGCGATCGACACTGTGTTCTGCACCAACATTCTGGCGGCAAGCAGGACAAACGAGATAGTATTTGTCTTTGGTGGCTAGGCAACCTTCGCACAAGGGCACGCCTCCACTGCAGCTCTGCTTGCATTTGTAACGTTTGAACGAATCTCCACTTGGCACTTTCTGCCACGAGCATCCCTTGCATTTTGCACACTTGCAGGAATCATAGCAAGTGTGGCTGTCCGTAATTGGGAATGTCGCGACACCGCGCTTGACTCCAGATGGCGACATTGGAGCATTTGCAGACGAGTTGTCGAGGGTTGGTGCCGATGGTAAATTCAACTCCGGCGGAAGACGTGTGGGCACAGTATAGCCATTCAGCTTGCGATATATCAAGTGCATGGCGACCGCAAACTGGTCCATGTCAAGTTGGCCCACGTTGTTCGGATCCGCAAGATCCCATATTGTCTCCAGATCAGCTCGGTTGAGGCCACTTTGATCCATCATCCTGATAGCGACAGCACCTGTGATATGACCTCTTTTCTCCGCATCCCACGCTCTGAATAGCTCGTCATAGATTCGTCTCTCATCTTTTGTGATTGCCGACGGAAGTTTAGCAGGGCCGGCGAGACCTTGTGTGATGACTGTTGCAACATCGGGCACTTCTCCCGATACCGCGCCTTGATGCGAATATCGGGTGTACGTTTCTGCAGGCACATCTGCGCAGCGAGGGCACACCAGGGTTCCGTTCACATCCTTTAGGCATGCGTTGCATACAGGCTCGAGCCCGAAGCAGCCACGTCGGCATGAGTACATGACTGATTCTCTTCTTGTGCTTGTACTCTCATTCCAAGCGCACTTTGCACAAATGGCGCACTTGCATCGTTTAGAGCAGAGCGAAGTCGCTGCCAGGTCCTGGGCCAAGGAGATTCCAGAAGACAAGAATGGCGAGCGGCTCCTCTCCGGACGAGTGTCCTGACCGACATGTGTGGACAAGGGTGCGAAGCTCAATCGCTTTGAGGAAGGGTCCACAGGCGCTGGCTCGGGGGCACGCAGGATGGATTTGGTAGCAGAGCTGCTATTATCCGCATGTTCCTCGAACAAGAAGCTAGTCGCCAGCTCCTCACTCTTGTCGCAGGCAAAGTAAGCTTGAATGACCAGATCCCTCTCGAAGCCAAGCCGAACAAGTCGCTCAATAGCATCTCGCTCCTCGGAGGTGAGTGCGATCGTCTGACCTTCTGGCGAGGGGGAAGTCTCACTATCGCCCTCCTCGACGAGCCATTGTAAGAACTGCTCTCGATTTCGTGAGACCATCCGAGCAAGCAGAGGATTGCTCGCACCGACTTGTTGCAGGATGGGCTCGAGCATACCTGGTTGCTGCTGTACGGTCTTACGGAATAGTAGCCATTGAGGACTGCTTCGAATGAATTTCATGTCGACGGCGCTGAGAGACGTCGCTTGCGTAGGTTTTGGGGGAGCTTCCACAGAGATGATGGGAGTAGGTCTGACTGGCACGTTGATTGTGTGTGAAATAGGTGGAGCACCGCTTCGCCTTTCTGCTTCTGACATAATTTGCCGAACGGGATCGAACCTTTGTGCGAGACTGCCGCCGCACTTTGGACACCACGTCACCCCATCATCGCCACTTAAGATGCACGCTGTACAGATTGGCTGGTTCACCGAGCAAGAGCTCGATAAACACCGGTACTTGGTTAGCATATCCTCTTTATCGCTGACTGGACGTCTGAACCAGGAGCATGCTGAGCAGAATGCGCATATGCACCGCTCATTGCAGGCACTGTCGTGTGCGCGTACGATTTGATCAGGGACTGGTGAATGAGACTTCACCTCTTCCAGGATCTTTACTGGTGGTGTACTCGGTTGGACTGAGCCGGATCCAGGTCCTGTGCTGACGGGGCTATGATAGAGTGCCTCTGAAGATATCTTGCTGGACAGCCTGGACGCTGTAGATGCTTGTCGTGCAATGCCAGTAAGTGCATCAACGGCATCTCCTGGGGAAGAAGTGTTTGTAACAGGCATAGCTTGGCCTGTTTGATCTTGAGGGTTCGGAACGCGCGCAGGTGGGAGTGGTCGTAGGGCCAGGCTCTGTAGAGCTGGTTGCGGACCGTGATCATATTGTCCCGCTGGCAGTGAAGCTACCGGTGTCCCCATCGTCGCCGCCATGGGCTCGGATTTTGTCGTGGAAGAGGCATCGTAGATGTTGCCCGGGGCCGAGGCAGTCGACGACATTCCCGTTGTCTTTGGCTCAGACTTCGTGGTGCCCGAGGTGTTAAAATATGATGTTGAAGTCGAAGTCTTCGACAGCGTGTTGGGAGCTGATCCAAAGGGGCTTCTCATCTGAAAAGGCGAGATGAATTCTTCGTCTGAGCTGTCTTCTGTTTCGCTAGCTTCCGTTGCCTTGCCCTTTGGCTGCGTATGTGATGTTATCCACCCACTCTCGAGAGCATCAGCCACTGATGGACGCTTCGTAGCCTGTGGTGAGATCATGACCTTCAACAACTCTATGGCAGCGGCAGATACCTGTCGCTCTTGCAATCTTTCCCAGATTGGATCCAAAAGTGACTGATCTCGAGCATACTTTCTCACCATTTTCTTGCCTTGAAACAGGATATTAATGGTGAAGAGGCAATAAGCAATACAGCCGACAGCCCAGATGTCGACTGCGTTGGTATAAGGGTCGTCATCGTCCTCGTCTAGCACCTCGGCTGCCATGAAGGCAATCGTTCCAGTGCCTTTGGTTCTGAGAATGGTTTGTTCGCTGATCGCTTGCTGATCCCGAAGTCACCGATCTTGATCCACCACTGTGGTCCAGGCTCGGCAACAAGAATTTTTTGCGGTTTGAGATCACGATGAGTGATGCCTATCTTGTCGTGCAATATCATCAGGGCTTGAAGCATTTGTGATGTGATGTCCGCAACCTCGGCTTCTGGTAATGGTGCTGAGATGCAATTGCTCAGATCACGGTGTGGAAAGTATTCCATCGCCAGAAAAACATCGTGTTTGTCCTCCCACCAGCCAAAGAACTCTGCGAAGTAGTGATGATGCTGCCCATGTTGTCAGCCAGATTCAGTCCGAGATGGTATGACTCACCTTCGACAGCGCGGCCAAAGCGTAAAGCTCTTGTTGATACTCGAGTTGTACATCGCCGCACTTCTCTGGCTTCTCAAGGACTTTGACTGCCCGAACGTTGTCAGGATTGTTCGCTTCATGCTCACGCCAAACCTGGCCATAGCCTCCTCGACCGAATGCTCGTTTGTCTGACTTGACCCATTTCACATTTTTCGTGGCGTTCCTCTTCCCTCTCACCGGTTCGACGATGATTGTGTGGTCATCGTAGACTCGAGCGTCGAGTCGAAAGTGAGCGACGAGATCAGATCGAGCTGGCTCCATAGCAACTTGAATCGTGGATTACGGGTGCCGAGAGCGTAGGTGTGACAGGTGGCCTGCCACGATCCACCCAGATGCGCATTCATCAATGCATTGAGATTCGAGCTTCTAGGTTCGTCCAGACTACCTAGATAGCTTCAATCGCAAAATGTACCTCGTCGCTGCGGCGCGCGACGGGCTACAAAACACATCGCAGACCGACACAGCTGCTAGTGTGCCTCGGAGGGATCCCTGATGAATAAGAACATCTTTCGAGATCGTCCATCGCTTCTCGTCCGGTGTACTTCGGGTACACTGAGACTCTTGTGGCCTAGGCAATTTAGTATAGCTTGCTTCTGTGCCCTGACCGGTGAGGGCGTAGGGTGCGATTCGACGGAACTGTCCTCGGCCAGCTTCGCGGCCTGCTGGCGCCATGCAGTACCCCAATGGTCGCAAGAGCATGCCTCTTTCACTGGCGGAACCGAAAGAGAGGTTGAAGTAGGGCTTGAGCTAATGCTGGCTCCATCGCGAGCTGGCAAGAGCCGTCGCGGTGCCACTTGCCTTCCCGACCAATGTCCTTTCCCAGGCGTCAATTTAGCGTTCCAGCCCAGGCTTAGGGCCGGCCTCGGATGTCAAAGACTTTCGACCACGAGCCGCTTGACCCCTCCGCCCCTCCATCATACCCTGCTCGATAAGGTCTCGAATCAATAAGTTGAATCATCAACATGGGGCAGCTGCACGCCCAGGGGAGCCTCGTGTCGAGCCTGATCGGCTCAGTGATGGCAATCCGCATAGCGAGACATCTTCTCGCGTTACTTGCCGGTATCGTAGCAGTATCGACATCGTCAGCAAGAAAGCCTTTAAGCTGATCACAGCACGCCCCCTCTCTGCAGTCGTGGAATGCCATGGACCCCATCGGCACACCGCTCGCCGTTCTCGGAGGTCTCGCATGGTGCTACAGGTGAGTTATAAACCATGTCGCTTGGTACAAGGTCAGCCTGATCATGCGAAATCCTGACGATCAACAGCTTCGGCTGTGAACTCGTCAAAAGATGGCACGTCTTCCAGGAGGCCGACTTCAGGATCCAGGAACATGCCCTCCAGCTCAATGATCACTGCATACGGCTGGATGAGCAGACAAAGGTCTTAGGACTAGTATGGACTCGGCTCGATGGACGACATCAGATGCATTTCCACGACCTCACTCAGGCTCTTCAGAACAATCTACGCTTAGCATCCGACAGCCTGACGGGCGCAGATCAACGCAAGCCACGCCGACTCCAACGTCTCAGGCGGAAAGCGAGTTTTGAGGCAATGCGCTACACTTTCATCTACGAATCCGTTGAGGAGGCTATCAGGAAGCTAGAAAGTTGGCACGCTCGGTTCGACTCATCCTTTTTCCTCCTCACTCGCATGGATTTCAGCATCGACTCACACATCGGAGAACAGCAAAATGCCCCAGGTCAGCCAGCTCAGACTCTTCGGCGGCTACAAAGTGCTGTGTAAGGAACTGGGGTCACTGCCTCAGACCTGCCAGGAAAATGGCTACCCTTTACTCCCGGCTACCACCCCAACAGCGGTACCATCCCTAACTCATCAGTCTCCCTCGCCCTCTATGGGTCCCAACAGGTCCTTGTCGATACCCTCATTCCTGACTCTCAAGCCGAGCTCGACCGCACAAGCAAGTCCATATACGACCTAAGTGAGATCCTCAAGCAATCCGAGCCCACCTGCTTCAACGTCCTCAACTGCATGGGCATCCTCTATCAACCGCCTTCCTCCGCCACCGCTTTTCAGCCGTCCTTCAATCTCCTCTTCAGCATCCCCAGCACCCTCCAGAAACCCACATCTTTGCGCGCCTTCCTCCGCCGCACCAAAGACTCGGATGTGCCACTCGACGATCGCGTCGCCCTTGCCAAGGGACTAGCTAAGGGCATGATGTTCGTCCATTCGGCCAAATTCGTCCACAAGAACATCCGCCCAGAAACCATCATCCTCTTCAGCGACACCAAGACCGGTGCTCGCGCTCTCGACAAGCCCTTCCTCATGGGCTTCGAGCAGTTTCGCCCGGCTGACGGCTGGACGCAGCGCAAAGGCGACACCAATCTGGAAAAGCATATCTACCGACATCCCTCGCGGCAGGGCCTCTATCCGGAAACGGACTACAACATGCAGCACGATATCTACAGCCTCGGCGTGGTCCTGCTCGAGATCGGCCTCTGGACGTCGGTTGTCGACTACCCTAGCAGCAAAGACGGGAAAGCACAGCCGCCGCCACCGAAGTTGCTTCCTTTTGTGGGGACGAAGGAGATCCTAGCGGACACCAATGAACGGCGGCGGGCGCTGGCGCTGAAGAAGCGCATGACAGAGGCTGCGGGATATCTGCCGAGTAGGATGGGGAGGATCTATACGGACGTGGTGCTCACGTGTTTGAATTGTCTTGATGCGGGCGACGAGAATTTATTTGGGCAGGAGAGCGAGTTTGACGACAAAGAGGGAATTGCTGTGGCAGTGCGATTTGCGGAGATGGTGAGTCCTTATGTTACCTGAACATCATGGATGGCAAGCTTGTATGAGGGGCGAAATGCTGACATGGGTCGTGACTGCAGATTCAGGAATGGCTGCATTCGATAACACTATGATGGCCTGAAGGACTCCCAGCAAACGAATCTAGTGCGTCATGTGCTCGCTACAAGAGCGCAACCCTCGTCTGATAGGACCCGCGATTAGAGCAGAGGCTTGATCAGATCCGACCGACGTCAGCGTCAACCTTTGCCCCTGAGTGATCAGGTTGGGTTGTAGGAACGTTACATAGAGCCGCGAGCACAGGCCCAATCCAACCAACGGCCGTGCTGTCCGCGGACAACGACGAGACGGATATACTCGCAACGCTACTACACCCCAGAGCAAGTTTAGAGAGACAGCAGCGGTCTCAATATCTGCTGCAGATGTTCGGAAGGCTCCGCGGCAATCGACTAACAAGGCGCCTGTACAATCTGCGTGGTGCTCCAGCTCCGACACCACTGGAGGGCGGCAAAAAGGGTGACGCGGTATACACCCTACTACTCAGATCACGCCATCTTTTGCCTCGCCGCGAGACAGATCAGGTGGAGGGAGAGAGAACAGGAAGGGCCAGAGTCGATCCCAAGCTCACGTCGACCCAAGTTACCGTCTTCAATAGCAGCTTCTGGGCGGCCACCAACGTACCCTCTGCAGATCCCAGCATACCAGCAGAGTGAATTACTGCAACAACAGCATGTGAGGCACGTGAAACTGCGAAGAGTACCACAGTGTCTCTTTGTGTTCGGAATTCATCTTGCCTACCGTTCGATGTGTCTGAGATAGCTCATGCTGTGCGTATCTCGTCACTTCCGTGCATGTATCTCGAGCCCCGATCGCTCTCTCAAATCGGAGTCCCATATCGTACATCTTTCCGGTCCACAACACCTCAAAGTTCTCAGTCCACAATACCATTCGGCAATGGCCTGCCTCTCTGCTCTGGCGACCCTGTCCTTCCGTCTGCTGTTGCAGGCTGATCAACAACAACCTTCCAATCCTTAACTCCACCCTTCCAGTCCGCTATCCTCCCCTCCGTGACCGGCACAACCACCACCCTAACCTCATTCCCCTCGATATAACACCCACCCGCCGCAGCACTATTCATCCGCTGCAACTGCTCCCCTCGATCCTCGTCCGGCGCATTCGGCGTACTCCCAAACAGCCCCGCCTCCTCTCGTGCTTGATCACCAAAGGTATTGTTTGCGAGGTGTGTCTCCTTGCACCATCGCTCCTCCTCACTCCCCGTCTCCAGAAATCTCGCTTCGCCCGCTATCGTCGTGCTGATACTCGACAGCGCACTGGTGTTCATATTAAGCAGCAGGGTGGCGAGACTACTCCTCGTCGCCGCCGCTGGTGGACTGCCCGACCTTGCGCCCGCAGCGGATTGAGTGGCGGTGGGCGGACGGTGAGACACCCAGTCGTGGACCAAGAGGGAGACTTTGGGATTGTGTAGCAGGTTCTCGGTTTTGAGGGAGCGAGCGTTGGTTGTCATTATAATGGCTGGGTAGGACTCGTTGCGGTATTGGGGGAGGAAGGTGTAGTTCATGAGTGAGACGTGGGGTGTTGGGACGGAGGTGGTGCCGGGCGCGGCGGAGATGGTGGCGAGGTGGAGGAAGCGGGCGTTTTGGAGGCATTGGCGGACTTCGGGAGGGAGTGTGGAGGAGGTGGTTGGGTGGGTTGAGGTTAGAGAGGGTTCGTAGTTGAGTGGTGGGTGATGGGTGTCTGTCATGGTGATGGTTGATGTGGTGGTGGTTGAGAGGGAAGGCGAGGTGTGGTCGAGGGTGGGGTGAGCAGCGGGAGACAGTACTAAGTCTTTAGTCGAGAAGGTTGTCTTAGTGGCTACAGTGGTACGATGTGCCTTGCTTTATATTATTGATTAGCACTTTCCCCCGCTGGTTGTTGGTGACACTTCGATAGCACTCGCCTGATTCATCACATGCATGCAGTGACTTGCCGTCTGGTTGAAGTTCGGGAGGACTTTTTTCCAGTTCCATATCCCCCCGCAGTTGCCTAGAGCGTCTAGCCTAATCGGTTTGACGCTAGGCGATCTGACGTTGAAGCTTCCCCCAGACTTCGCCCACTCGTCGGGCTCGTCCATGAACTGCTGCGGGTTGATGACCAGACCACATACTTCAACTTCTAGCTGCCTCAAAGGTCTCTGAGCAGTATTCAAAACTCCTAAGCGTACCTCAAAGCAACCCGCGGACGGTTGACAGAGCGCAACACATCCTCTTTCCCCCTCTACTCACCTGCCGGGAGTGCACTTGCTTCTCTTGTACGTTTTTGCCGAAAGCAGCTGGGGACCTCGTCTCACTCTCTACCTACATCCGCGGGGTCGCGTGTCCAACCTTTACCGCGGTCAGACTACCTCCTGCAGCGTCTGCACAGCGAGTACCGCGACCACCACATACATTCCCTCAAGATGCTTGCCCGAAAGCTACCCCGATCGACCTCTCAACTCTCCTCCCTCACCCGCTCCTTCATCACCACCTCATCATGCCGCGACCACCGAACACCCGCCCTTGGCGACGTCTCACCCGGCGGCGCCGAAGCCTACAACGCCAAGCAGAAGGAGTTTCGAGACAAGCTCGAGGCTGCCAAAAAGCGAAAGGAACAGGCTGATCGTCAGTTGCTCCCTCCTGACACCCAACAAGCAGAATCTCCCGATCCCTCAAGCATACCCGCGGAACAAGCGTCTACAGCGCTAGGCTCACTTTCTATTGCATCCACAGGCGAAGCCCGTCAAGCCGAGACCGAAGCCTCCACCTCCTCCCGAAAGAAGGGGCCCCTCTCAAACCTGATCTACGGCACACCCGAGGGCAGACAAATGGACAAGGAGATGGAGCGCTCCTTTTCGGAAGTCCTCGCCCGCGGTAAGTACGTGCATTCGATTGTCTTCCACCAGGTCAAGCCCGACAAGGTCGATGAGTACGTCGAGTTGGTCGGCAAGTGGTATCCCAAGATGGCCAATATGCAGGAGAATCGTGTCAATTTGGTCGGTAGTTGGAGGACTGAGGTTGGTGATGCTGATACCTTTGGTATGTACCGCCCCTCTACCTTGGGGACCTACTAATATCGACAAAGTCCACATCTGGGAATACCAACGCTATACCGGCTATCACGCCTCCCTCCACTCAATCCAACATCACCCCGAATTCCCCGAATTCGACCACCACCTCAAGAAACTCATCGACACCAAGAAAGTTTCCCTCATGCAGGAATTCTCTTTCTGGCCCACCACTCCTCCCCGCAAGCTGGGCGGCGTCTTCGAGCTTCGCTCCTACACATTACATCCAGGAAATCTGCTCGAATGGGAAACGCACTGGCGTAAGGGGCTAAAGGCAAGAAGACAAGTCATGGAGGGCGTGGGCGCGTGGTTTGTGCAAATCGGAGATCTCAACACTGTGCACCATCTGTGGCAGTTTGCTGATCTGGAGGAGCGGAAGCTGAAGCGGGAGCAAAGTTGGGGTGTCGAGGGCTGGGCAGATACGGTGCACAAGACTGTGCCGTTGATTCAGAGCATGAAGAGTAGTGTGCTGGTGCCCATGCCGTGGAGTCCGGTCGGTTGAGTGTGCGCGTCAGGCATGAACGCGTTGACGGGCGTGTCTGTCAGGAATAGACTTGAGTCGACCAGCTTCGAGGGCTGCGCGAACAGGTAGCGTTTGATGGGTTTCCGGCTGGAAAGTACCTGCGATTGTCGAGGAATCAACGAGGGCTTTTTTCAGGTCAACCCGCAACGAGCGTGGTCTGCCGCTGGTGCTGAGCAGATCGCACGCCATGTTTCTGGGAGCGCATGAGTGGGAGTCGAAAGCGGCCAGGGTGAGTTTTGGAATGGCTCACGTAGCTCAAAGAACAACACCTGGGGGCCTCCAAACATAACCATGATGTCAAATGCGGGCACTGGCAGTTAGCTAAGGTAGTTTGAGACAAATAAGCAACTACGGGCACTTGGTAGAATGATAGATTCAGGTCCAGGAGCAATCAACCATTTCCTCGGACGTTCTATTGACCTTACCCTTAAGCGATGCGGCTCAAAAATGAGGCGAAGCTCGTCGAGGAAGGCAGCATAGAAACGTACATCTGTCGTTGGCTTGAGCATACCTACTTCACAAGACGTTGGTGGTCAAGACCGGACGCCTGGCCATATTGTCTAAAGAGCTCCTTCCCGGAGATGCATCTGGAACTCTCAACAGACCGGATGACACCCACCAAATCACTCGTCTGCCCCGTTTCTTATTGCTCTGCGATTCTGCGCGTCTACACCATCGTTCGCAGAACCGGTGGCGCCTTTCAGAAGTCTGAAGGCTGTCATGATCGAGTGTAATTTGGACGACGAAGCACTCGTGTTTAGGCACAGATTTCAAGTCATCGATGTCCATGTCTTAGGTGTGTACGTACTGTTCTTCCATATCTCATCTCCTTGCCAGCTTCAACCCTACTCAAGCAAGATCACTACCCTGAAAATCTTCTTCAACGCTCCTCAACGTGTCCCTCTCCCGAACAGGGGATGATATCCACGGCAAAACTGGCTCCAGAAATCAACAAAAAATGATGTCGGCATCTCTCTCGTGCAGCCGTGCGGCCAGAGGTGGTAGAGTCACAACTTCCTCTAGTCTGCTAGGCTGTGCTCCAGGCTCTCTCCAAGGAGGTGACAAAAGATCGAAGTTGGCAGGTGCCCCGACCGCAATCCAAAGTACTAATAAGTCGTTTTTTCAGCAGGCACTTTCCAAGCCGTGTTTGATCCAAACTCCAACGCTCAAATGCTTCAAACGCATATATCGGTGCAGTGTATATCAACGCTTGCACCAACACATCAACCACAGAACCCACCAATAGCATCCAGCGATGCTCTTCACATGACCGTGCATTTCGAGTCGTCTGCTCCCTTCGCTGGCTTGGCCTGCAGCGCCACTCGGGCAGCTTCAGTGAACGCTTCGTTGACGCCGCGGTTTCGCATTGCTGAGCACTCTGTCCACTTTGTTAGCAGTCCGCTCGTCCCTCGTGCGTCCAGATTTGCTGTGCGCGGGCGTCGACATATCCAAACTTACCCAAGTATCTCAATGCGCCAATCTGCCTCGCTACCTCCAATCCCTCATTATATTGTATCATAACCTTCGCTCCACCTGCCGGCTGCTGTGGTGGTGCAGCCTCTTCTTCGTCATCGTCCTTCTCTTGCTCTTCGCGCAAATCGCACTTGAGCGCGCACAGCACTATCTTGACGCCCGGGCAGTGCTCGTTGATTTCTTGGAGCCATTTCGAGGAGACATTCTCGAGAGAGCCTCTGTTATCGACCTGTCCCACGCATTAGCTCGAGTGTTCTGGAGGGCTACGCCCGGGCGGCAGGGCAGGCATACCGAGAAACAAAGCATAATAGCCTGCGTGTCATCATAGCTCAGACTCCGCAGGCGATCGAATTCTTCTTGCCCGGCCGTATCCCATAATGAGAGCTCCATGGCGATGTTGTCTACAAAGATGTCGTGGACATAGTTCTCGAAGACGGTGGGTTCGTAGACGGTCTGTTTGCGCGTGTTAGTATGCTGTCGAACGCGCGTGGCTGGGCGCAGTGCGCTGCATGGCCTAGCTGGCGGTATGAGAGATGATTTGGACATACAGGGAAGAAGCCTCGTGTGAAGACGTTCAGTAACGATGTCTTCCCGCAGGCGCCATCGCCTAAGAGGACGAGTTTGCGCTGTACGGTCTTCTTGCCGCCGCAGAGTGGCATTCTTGCGTGTTTCCTGCTGGCGATACTGGCAGCAGACGGCCGGATATGCTGGGTGGTGCTCGCTACGGACAGCCGGATGTGCAGGGACGAGGCACGGGTGTGCTGATCGGTAGGTACTGATGTAGGTGTATTTCGAATAAGTAATGATGTCTAGACAGATAGGTATTGTCGAGGATATAATCGAGGTATCCAAGCACTCAACGACGTAGGAGGAGGTACTATCGCGCGGCGGAGTAATGATGATGTCTTCAGGAATGATAAGTAGTAGGAATAGACACTTCGGGAGGAGCAACGTGGACAGCGGCTGAAAGGTAAGGTAGTGAATGGCAATGTACTCGACTCAAGTGGGAAGAGGAAGTGGAACAAGAGCCAATTGCATGTGCGATAACGAGGGAAAGAGGAGCTCTCAACGACATCCTTGCCCATCTTGATCCGAGCCGATGCCCAGAAGCAAGGATTCATCACCTGCAGCTTTTCCCGGGGAAGAAGAAGGCCGCCCAATTCAGGGTTCTAGGCGCCCCCATTCGGCCCTCAGCTGCGCCTCAACGAGCCCCAACGGTCCAGCTGAGCGTTGGGTTGCGTTATGAGGCTTATCTTCACACCACCAGTGCTTCGGTCTTTGCATATCGTGTCGTAGCGAGGAATGGCCTTCTCTCTGGTCGAAGCCGGCTCTGACTCGTCACTATATCCACACTGTTTGGGCGCGGCTCGGTTGCGAACTCGTCTGCATCATCGAAATTGTCAAGCAAACAACCTCGCACTTCGAACACGAGCTGTGGCGCGGGAGGGCGAGTAGGACTTGGCTTATTGTATCAGGATGACTAGCAACGTGTTCCGCTGTGCTGCGCCAGGCATTTTCAATGTCGCCTACCTAGGTAAGGAGCTGTAGCAGATCATGCAATGGATTCTGGACGATGCGCTCCGATTCTCTACCTACCGACGACGTCAGGACATTCATAGGCACTCAACGAATTGTCTCGCTCTTGACCAAGTATAACTGGTCGTTACATCCTAGCTTAGTGAACGCTGATGGTCCTTAGCCTTATCCTGCCTTGTCCAAAGTTTCCACGATCTCGTCCATCTGCGTCCCCTGCGAGACTACAGGACGTCTTCTCATGGCATCTTCAAAGCAGTCGACCTCCCAGAGTCCGATCTCGCCATTCTCCTTGCTTTCTGTTCTGACCAAGACTGGCTTTATGTGGCCCCTCCACAATTCCACTCCGCCGACGTAACCTTCCTTTCCCGCTGCCCGATTACTCTCCATCGACTCCTTTTCTCCCTCATTGCTGTATCGTTCGATAACCTTCCTCACACCATGCAATTCGCTCTTCAACCAGGCAGGAAAGAGGCAAAGGTGCTTCGTTTGCTTGTCTTCTATTCCATCAAGCACGAGAAAAAAAGACAACCCATTCTTGGTCTGATAATATTTGCTCATCAACTTCTCTTCCTCAGCCGAACCCGTTGCTGGCAGTGGACCATCTCGACCGCTCAAAGCGTTTGCAACATCCGGAACGTCCCACAGCCACGGTGGTGGAATAATGGCTTTGATCTCGTTCCACTCTTTGCTTCGGAGATTGTGTTGTGCCACTGGTTTTGGTTTCGTATAGACGTAGCTCGATACTAGGTTGTCTGTCGTATGCCATTGCATCAGAGACTTCGAGCCATCCAGACCGGTCAGGAAGAATGTTAGCGAATGACGTTCTTCCAACTCAATCCACGCACGGGAAGAGGCCGGAAAAATTGTTGATAGGAGCTGGATGAAGCTGATTTTGGTTGGCGAAGGAGATGAACTTGCATTGTACGGCTGAGGGCGGTGTACACTAGACTTGATGGCCTTTTCTGCGAGTGAAGCGAAAATACTGATGTCCTCGACATTGTGGTTCGATTTGCTGATGGCGACCTCCGATTGCCACAGATAGACATGACCAGGGATGTCACTAGGAGTCAGGAAGCGCCGACGCATGTCGTCCTTGGTCAGGCCGAGTTGTCGGAACAGTCTCTCCGCTGCTACGATGGCGCCAATTTTGGGGTTGGAGCTTGGACGCATGTAGCTCTCGGCTTCGTGAGTTCGTATCATTCGTGACGGATTGAGTCGTGAGGGACGCCAGCTTTCAAACGGCGCAGCAACACTCCCAGAGGCCCGGAACGAAGCTGACTGAGACAGCCGGTAAAAGCCGCCGTAGCATGATGAAAAATCAGATTGTGTCGGCGGACACTGTAGTGACGGGGCAGCTTGACTGACATGATGGTAACGAGATGAGTGATTGCAGCGATATGGTTGTCGGCGTTGTAAAGCTCGTGCCGCGTAAGCAGATCTCGGGCCTGTTCAGCAGTGCTCAGGTCAAAGTCGTTGAGTAGTCGCTCCAGCATCTGCGCAGACTGAATGGCATTCACAAGCGCGAACGCAGCAGGGTGTTCCTTCACATGAAACCTAGGTGGAATGTTGAGGTAGAAATGGCTGTGGCCCCCTTTTTCTCGATGGCCGAGGTCATAGGTGCAAGGTAGGTCACGAAGTGGCTTGTACTGATCGACGACCTTGGCTGTTTCGGTCTGATTGCGTAGAGCCAGAATGGCAGGTCGGAACGTTCCCGTGGCGTCCCAGAGGTCTCGAGAGCCTTTGTCGTTCCATAGAACATCGTGCCAGAGGATAGAGATCAAAGTGCCATCTTCGTTGACTAGTGCAAGGCCACCATAACGATCGATGAAACGGCGGCATGCCGTGCAGTTGTATTGAGCTTGTCTGTCAGTAGGAAGATTGTGAAGGAATACATCGAAGAGACTTGAGGCTTCTGATTTAGTGGTGAAGATGGCAGACCTGGCTTTGCTGAGCCGGTACTGCGCAGCTTCATTGACTGCATCGTAGATAGTCTTCGGTGGTGGAGGAGATTCGTCATCGTTCTGGTCTGCTGGGGGTCGTTCCTCGCTCTGAAGCTGCGCTTGGTCCGTAAGCTCGGTTCGCGTGCCGTTGGCATGATTTTGAAGCGTGATGGACGATGCTGATGTCGCCGCATCGGATGGTGTAGACGGACTGGTTGCTTGTCCTTCAGCTTGAGCCTCAGCAAGATCTCCGCTCGCATCGACCTGATCTGCTTTCGTGTCGTCCATAGCGACTGTGGCAGACACAACCTCCGTCGCTACATTGCTGGCAGTTACATTTTCGTCGTCAACCTTAGCAGCTTTGTCGAGTGCTGGTCTCTTGGCGGCAGGGTAGTTAGACGGGTCTGAAGGCGATGAATGTTCCTCCAGAGGCCGCTTAGGAGGCTTGACGATCTGGTTCCCGTGTTTCGCAAGGTCTGTAGTGTCATCGGTAGTGGTCATCTCTTGTGTATTGGTTGGAGATCTGGTCGTATTGTGTGCTGCAGATGGAGGAGAGCCAAGCTCGGTCCATGCGTCTTCTGGCGAGGACATCGTACAGAGATGGTACTCAGGTGCAAAAGGCTCAAGTAATAGAGAAAAAGTTGATATAGGCGGAACAGACACAAAGAAAGGCTTGGATTGTTTACCTTCATTATGTTTCTGTTGCCTTCTGGAGCGTACCTTGGCAGCCCGATGGCGGGTGATACTTACAGCGAGATAGACGCCTCCGGTGAGCATTCAGGTGAGTGAACGAAAAGTGTTGAATACAAGTGCCAGTCGGACACGACGCTGAAAGTCCTTCGTGTCGACTGCTGTAGCAGCCCGCAGGAAATTGCGGAAAATCGACGGCAGGAGCTTCATGCCCCGAGCGCAGCGATGCGGCGACGATGAACAGGTCCGCTCGAACGGCATGCTTTTATCGAGAAACGCGAGCTGTCTCCTTGCTACGCGCAGCCAGCAAGGTAGGTTGGTGAGGCAAGGTAAGAAGGATCAGGGACTGGACGTCAACATCCAGCCAACCACAGTTCGACACCAGGCCAGCCCTCGTGTCTACGGGCAGCCTCTTTTTTTTGTTGCCGCAACAGCGTCTATGGGCAACAAATGTCCCAGGGGTTCCCACCGGAGCAAGCATTTTATGTCATCCGGCGCAGTGTTGCAGGGACCAATGACCACTAAGGAAAGCATGGCATCGACCCAAGTCTTTTTCCCAAAAACTTATGACACATCTCACGCTCACTTATTCTTTTATCGCTATACCCGAGATGTGCATAGCGATGAGGCCAGTAAGACGGTACTCTTCTGAAACATTGTCGAAGTGCAAATCGAAGGATGAAGTCTGCTCCGGGATATCGTCTACACTTGGTGCGATTTGATCAAGCAAGGCCATGAAGGAATGTGACGCTAGTTAGGGGAAATCGGATGCTACGCACAACGCAGCTTGTTTTCGACAGCGTTTTCCTGAGAATGCACTACCGACGAAGCGCAGAACATGCTTGCCTCGAAGGGTGCAATCATTCATTGCGACAGATGACCTCGATCCTGCAGACCGCTTCCGTTAAAGAAGTCCAACTATAATGCGGTCGCAACTCGTGTCCACCGTACTGATATCGACGGCCAGTCTTGCGATCAATACTGATTTTGTTGAGCTTGGCAGCCAAACAAGCGCAAAACAGCTATCTTTGAGGGACGCAACGCCTGAGACATTCGACTCAACGGCATCGAGTAATATCGCTGTATACTTTGGACGAACTAATGCGACTCAGCGAGCAGGTCTTCTACCTCTCTGTCAAGACAGCAACATCAACATCGTTGTGCTAGCCTTCATAACCAAAATCTTTGCGGGTGGTGGGTACCCCGAGATCGCCTTTGACGAGCTTTGCGATGAGCCTACAACTGAAATGAGGACCGAAGGAGCGACAGGACTGGTCTCGTGCCCGGGTTTAGCTAGTGATATTGCAACCTGCCAGAGTCTAGGCACGAAGATCTTGATAGGTATTGGAGGACAGAAAGGCAACGCTACCTTTTCTAGCCCTGCTGAAGCAGAAAAGGGTGCTGGCATGCTTTGGAATGTCTTCGGCGGTGGACTTGATCTCAACGCCACGATGAAACCTTTCGGCAATGTTACAATTGATGGATTCGATGTCGGTTAGTACGCATGTATGCCTATGCAGACCCTCTCCTCTAATCGCACCGCATTTTGCAGACAACGAAACTGGCGATGGAAGCTATTATGAGGACTTTGTTGCCGCACTTCTTGCATTATTCCGACAACAGTCCACGAAAAAGTACTACCTGTCTGCTGCGCCAGGCTGCAACTACCCGTATGTTGGACAACCCTTGTCCATGCTCAGCCTTGTCGATTTCGTTTGGCCACAGTTCTACGGAGCGCCGTCGTGTAATATCGGCAGCAATGGCTTCAATGACTCTTTCGCTGGCTGGACTGGACGACTTGATGGACCGAAGCTTTATCTTGGTGCACCAGCTTTCGCTGCCGCCGTGACAAATGGCGGTTATGAAGATCCTGTGGCATTTACAGAAACAATCCTAGCTGCACGCTCTTTAGGGCGGACGAAATTCGGAGGAGTTATGTTATGGGACGGGCCATACGCACAATTGAATAAGGACTCGGAAGGTAAAGATTACGTGAATGTAACGAAGTCAGCCTTGTTGCAGAGGTAGGTGAAATCCCAAGTCCATGTTCTCAAGAGACATATTAATGACCGATAGGAGCGGCTCCGGCAGGTGCTGGCCACGTTGGGAGACTGTGAGCATAGTAGGCGTGGCTAGTGTTGTCACAATAAGTAACCTCATCTAGAGCCGAGCTCGAAGAAGCCACAATAAGTCAACGCCGATAGTGAAGCCATGAAAGTTTGACAGTGGCAGCCGAATGGACGGTGTATAACATCAACAAACCCCTCGCGACTTGTAGCCGATCATTCAGAATGAGCGGGCTTGCTGTCCGGATCGTCTGTGACTTCTACTTCCCTGGTCTTTCCCCAGCTGAAATCATCCATATGCCAGATTGCATAGACGATGACGACTGGAGTAACAAATTGACCCAGCAATACCACCAACGCAAAGCCCATAAGGTACTGGATCTTGAGCCGAATGGTGTTGCATCCCCAGAATGCCACAAACAACCTGATGAACTATCAGCAGAGAATAGCAAACTATTCTGAAGCACTTACCCGTACGTCAAAGGAATCATAGTAACGATTGCGAAGCAAACGATAAAAGTTGGATCTTCAACATTGATGCAAGCCTTGATGAAGAGGGCCACCGTTTGTGCGATGAAGACTGGCAGAAACCATGTAAGAACGTCAGCGGCTGAACATATACGCTCGAACCAGTTCATTTGGGATTTGGCCACGATAAGCATGTCGTTCGCACAGGTACTGAGAGTCCAGCGCTTCCGCTGTGATAAAAAGACTGACAGGCCATTGGGCGGGTCCGTGTATGCGATGGCGTTAAGGGACATAGTGGTCTGGCTGTGAGGGAAACGAAAGAAGATCAGTACGATGAAGTTGCGATCTTCGCCAGCAAGAGCGCGAATCTGGTGGACCATGTGCGCTGTTCATTCAGTCAGCAAATTAATCCCCAGAGTACATAGCCCTTTACCTTTGGGATCTGGTAGTTGGCCAAAAAGGTCTATCAAAATTGCGTCTCCACAGGTCTCTTCGCACACTTTGATAATCTGACAAGCACCCGGCAAGCACGAAACCTTTCCTGTTCCATGAGCTTGGTGCCATCGTCGTAGTAATTGGGCCCGAATATATTCCGCATTCTGGTAAAGGTTCCATGAATTCCATTGACCCGTTCGAAACCCGACTGTAGGTCATTAGCTTAGCAAATATGGGGGCAATGATCGGTGAAGTACCTTGGATCAAACCAGAGCAGCCAACAAGCTTAGGGTCTTTGACGCACTCTTTATGCATCTCGTATACACACGTGCTATTGAAGGTCGTATCGGCATCGACGCCCACCAGCACTGGAATTGATCGAAGTCACAATTCTCCGAGAACTCTGAGAACCAAGCGAAAAATCCTGCGCCTAACGTCGAGAGAGGTATGTCGTATCGCTGAGAGTATTTGTAGAGCAGCGTACGAACGAGAATCAAACCGTCGCGCTTCCCAAGGTTTCGCTTCTTGACAAGACATACAAAGGGTGTTCCCCTCCAATAGCCAGACGAAACGTAAAGACCGTTGATGGTCCATCCCATGATTCGTATGCCGTTGCAAAAAATCTTCTCTTTCAGGTTTGAGGATGTCGTCAACCAGTATTCGGTCCGTTGTCTTCTCGGCGCCTTTCCCTTTCACCATGCCGTCACACACGATGATGAACATTCTGTTATGATGTTCAATCTTTTCTTGCTTGTCCAGGGACTCCATGGTCGACACAAGCTCATGGTAGGATTCGCTATAGCAAGCAAGAACCATTGCAATCGTAGTCGGCTTCTCGACAGAGGGGGACGCGGTGTTCCCCTTGACGAGCTCCACGAATCGGTCCCAGAGGAACCATCGTACGATATTGAGAACCATACATGAGTTCAGTGCGTTGCCGAGGAGTATGACAGGCGCGACTGATGGTAATTAGCACGGTTGGGGACGAAACGGGTAAGAACTCACAAACCCACCAGTACTTGGGGTATATCCAGCTGATAGCAATGCAGGCGGCGTTCGCCATCACGAACAAGGCAAGAACAACCCATTTAGTCCATCTCAAGCGCTTCTTTCCGATCATGCGCACCAGCTTCTCCTCCTCGACGGAATAGACGGACTTCCTTCGGTTAACGAGAACACAACTAGACTTCCGTCTTGGGAAGGAGGCTTGCTCGAAAACCGTGCCTTCGTACATTTCCTGACTTTCTCGATGGCTCGTGATCGGGTTTGAGGGATCAAATGGATCATTCAGGCCGATCATGTGGTGCCGTGATTCATTGGTTCTCGGCGAGGACGAGAAAGGCTCCGTCGCAGGTGCGGCATCCTGTTTGGTGTCTCTTCCTGAATTCCACACCACGGTCATAGGATCCACTCCCAATGAGTCATGTCGGACTGTCCTGTGAGATGAGGTGTCATCGATAGAGTGTGCACATTGTCCCGCAATAGCAGACGGAAGGACCAGTCGCTTGCCAAAGCGATCTTCGGCTCCATTGTTCTCAGCCCCGATCCCCAGTGTTGTGTTGTGCGAGATGAAAGAGACTGACTTGGATCTCGGTTTCGTAATACACTCATAGCCATCAGTCATTACGTGGCACCGGCCACTTCCACTAGCTGGAGAAGCGGAGCGTACAACAGTATTCTTGTCGTCAACTTCGTCTTGGCGGGAGAAGCGACGACTGAAGTTTCTCACATGCAGTACCTTTCCGTCGCCTCGATGAGTGTCCTGTTTTCGAAGAGAGACAGCGCATGATGGTAACTTGCTGACCGTATCTCCCAAGGAAGATAAATGCGGATCCAGCGATAGGGATCGACGATGGTAACCTGGTCCTGTTTCAAGGTCATGCCAATATGAGTCGTTGATGTGTAAAGCAAGATGCTGTGCAGCAGGCGCTCGCGTCTGTCTTGAGAATGGGTTTCGAAGGGCCGGAATGGGCATGCGTGTGGACGGCGAATTTCCACCATGCACTAGAAAGCTCTCACGATCCCCTTCGGGTAGGATGAGCACATTCTCTGAAGAGGATTCATCGGTCGGTCGTGTTGCCATACGAAGATCTTCGGAGTGGGCGGGAGAATCGTTGACAGCAAGTCTCAAATATGCTGGGCTCATGCCGATGCAGTCCGCTACGTTCGCTTCATTGTTCGCTACCACTGCCGAATGCGAGCTCGGCCTTGACTTCTGCAAGCGCTTCCTAGTAGCGCGAGGTCAGACCAAAACTGCCGAGCGGGGTGTAGGGTCCGGCACGGTACCAGAAGACCGCGGACTTGGCATGTAGGGATGGTACAAACGACTTGATTGATGAAGACGTCTAGCAAGACCGCGTAGCAACGGTCTCTCTGAGGTCGGTAAGGTGAGGCTGATGTGGTGAGGCTGATATGGCACTAAGACACAAACAACGTGTTGTACATCTTCGCGGATCGGAAACCTACCAGCGGCGACTTGCGGCTGGCTCGGGTTGCATATCTGTGACCCGCATTCCTCACGTCGAGCGGAAGTCCGGACTGCCTATTGTCATGGAATATGGAGAATCGTTAGGACGGTCTCGATATTCGGGGACAGACCATCAACCTGCGTAGGTCTTGTGAACAGTGTATGCGAATGGAGAGGACTGAAGCCTCCAGCGTCGGTCGATATCACAACTACTCCCAAGCCAAGCTGCTGTGATCGGGCGATCGGGATGCGGCTGAAGACATGAGGTCGTGTGCACCACTTCGAGTACAGTCTACTACCCAACAAGACGGCACTTCGCTCGCCAAAATGCCTAAATTTCGATGGACCAGTGACCATCGGCATGGTTGTGTAGACTTTGGAAAACACCGCATACGTCCGGCGCTGACGCCTGTCTCTGGTGCAGCAACGACAGGCAGGATTGTGACAACCTAGCCAGGAGCTAGTGGTTCGGGACTGAGTCCCACTGGCATTGACTTTGGTGCAAGGTTCGCATAACGTGCAGCGTTGTAATTTCGGATGGTGTAAATGCTACAATGCGTTTAGCAGAAGTCGGCGGCGTGAAGTCAAGCTGCGGAGCGGGCACGCATTCCCAGACGTCGTCAAATAGGGCAATGTACCTGTCATTCCTCGGACCTGACCTGATGGGTCTCAAGTGCATATCTCCGAACCGAAACTGACTCGCATACGGATATCAATCCCATTCTTAACGGTCGCTAGCCGAAGTCTAATTTGATCACCATAGATCGAGGTGAACCGAGTCGAACTTCAGACACTGAGACGCTACACTCCTGCAAGAGCAATGCACTGACCCCAGATGCCTCTCGACCATGACTTACGTGGGTCCCAAGGTCCCATGGAGAGTCCACAGGTAAACTTGACTAAAGGTTTTCAGCGGCTGTTCTAAAAATTGTGCAGATTTCCAAGTCCGTACGAGCATCTGTGTCGAATGTTAGCAAGTTTATTCCGTACGCCTGAATCAGCATAGCTGAAGTTCGAAGTTGTTCTTGAGTCGAGTGCCCAACGAGTCGAAGAATCGAAAATACATGTCTGATCGCGCGGCGGGAGTCGAGCCACCTCGTCACCAACCCTACTTTATGCACGTGGCTGAAGTATCAGCTTCGGTTTTGAGCCTCACTGACCCGGCTTTATGCACGTGGCTGGAGTGTTAGCTTCCAATTTTGAGCCGCACCAACGGCTTGTGTGGCCGATGCTTCTTCTATCAAGCAGAGCGCTTCAGTGGAGCTGAGGTCTGTGGGAGGCAGCTATGCATTACTTGGTGGAAATACTCATCCGAGATCTGCGATCGATACGACGCTTTAGTGGGCTATGTTGCCTAAGCACTGAAGCACATACAAGCGGATTACTGTTGAGTTCACTCACTCAATAAGGTGAGGCTATATAGTAGCTTTGTTCAGTACTGTATTCGCAGTCTCTATACAACCACCGGCACTACAATCCAAAGAGGTAACATATAGTCTGACTGCTGCGTCGGGCGTATTACACAGAAGCCGGTCTTCAGATCGTCAAAACTCCAGGAGGACGACTTGAATAATGGACGCGAGAGCAAGCTGAGGTGTGTATGGGTTGTTGACACCCTTACGCTCATTGCGATGCACCTTCTTGCGCGTGGTAGGTCCCAGACGGGAATCGTCACGAATCCGCTTGGCTTGTCTTCGCTGCCAGCCCCAACTCCAGTGACAGCGAAGACACAATGGCACTTCTCTCACACTGCTGAGCAATCGGAGATTGCGCACTGTCAGCCCTTCTCATACCCTCATCTTATATAGTTGACCTGTTCCTCCCACGCCGATGCGTCAACACTCTGAGCAAGGCGATCTTCTATGCTTCGAGACTCGTCACGGACCTCATTACTCGAAAGATTCCAGTCGTAGACGCCTCCGACCTCTGCTCGTCTTTCAGTGCAGCAATGTCTACCATTGTGGCCGTCATTGGTGTTGGCTATGTAGGCGAACACCTGGTCACTGAGTTTTCCAAGCATTACCCCGTTATCGCATACGATATCGACCAACAACGTCTTGATCAAGTCGCCAGCAATACAACCGTGCATCGGTTGATGACTAGTCTTGATCAAGTCGCCAGCAATACAACCGTGCATCGGTTGATGACTACACGGAAAGCGGTCGACCTTTGCCTTGCTACACACATCCTCATCTCGGTTCCCACCGATGTCTTCCACGATGGCACAATCAACACGACTACCCTGCGGAAGGCAATCGCTACTGTGCTTGAACATGCCCAGTACGGTGCTACTGTTGTGATCGAAAGCTCAGTCGCTGTCGGTATGACTCGAGATCTTTTTGGTACGTCGTATTTGAGGAAAGGTCTGAAAATCGGCATGTCGCCAGAGGTAAGTTGAAGTTCCGCTCCTTATCTTGACGGCTGGTCGTCTAACTTCCCGCAAGCGCGTTGATCCAGGGAGGACGAACATCGCATACGACTCCATACCCAAGATAATCTCGGGCTTAAACAGTGAATCACTCGCAGCCATTGCGGACCTTTACCGACCAGTTTTCAGCAATATTGTCAGTGTGTCATCAGTGGAGGTAGCTGAAATGACCAAGCTCTATGAGAACTGTCAGCGAATGATTTCCATTGCGTATGTCAACGAGATGGCCGATGCTTGTCTCAGTCATAACATCGACCCAATGGAGGTTTGCGAGGCTGCTAGCACCAAACCTTTCGGCTATCAACCATATACACCAAGCCTCGGCGTCGGCGGGCATTGCATTCCGGTCAATCCCTTCTACCTTCTCTCAAACAGTCAATGGCCGTGCCTCGAGCTTGCCACCAGGAAAATGCGATCTCGCCCAGCGAATATCGGTGATCGCATTATGGCGGATCTGATGCAGCGCATTCCATCTCGACGGCCTCGGATTCTCGTCGTCGGTGTTGGGTTCAAGAAAGGTCAGTCTGTGCTGAGCAACGCCCCGGGAGTCGATCTCATCGTCCACCTCCTCTCCACATACGATGTCTACATCGAGTTTGCGGACCCACTGGTTGCAGAAAGTGCACTTCCGTACGTGCCCAAACTCGAAGATCCGGCAGCGTGGAATACCAGCAACATTGACGAGTCGTTCGATGCCGTAGTTGTTGCGGTGGCACAAGACGGACTTGACCTCACGCTTCTCAAACAGCTTCGAAAGGCAAAAGTCTTCAACTTCTCAGCGGCTCTTTCCTGGCTTCGCCGAGCATGCTTCCTGAGGACACTACACAACGGAGCGGCGCTCCAGACTTGCCTGATCTGTCCAGCGAATTGCCCTCTCCTGTTGCGCTTGAGCCAGTCACGCCAGTAGCAACTATGTTGCCACAAATTTTGGAGAAGGTCGTGGCCGGAGAGACAAAGGGACCAGGCAGTTCATTCCTGGAAATGGAAAAGAACATCATGCAGGTGCTAGTTTCGGAGCGGGAAATCGTTGTCCCATAAGAAAGCACTGTTTTCCTTACTGTAGGCAGGAAGCCGGGCGGAGAACTGGTTGCGACTGGAGAAGCAGACCGAACCAATTAGACGCGAGGATGGCCAGCTGCCAAGAGGCCAGGATTCCTCATGGCAGGAATATTGCCATGTACAATGGGGTACAACCCTCCCATCTACATGCGCACGTAGAGTGTCCGATTGTGCTGCGACCTGATTCAATCCAAAGATAACCGTGCGTCCCGAAGAAGCTGTCTTACGGTCGTTGTAGCGTTTACTGGTCTGGAAGGAAGTCGTGTCCTCGTTCGAATCTTGCCCCCAAGACCGGGTCAGACTGAAGCAACCCAAGTACCCGAAACGATTGATAAAACAACGGCATGTGTTACAGGTGTATTGAGCTTGTCTGTCGGCCGGAAGACTTTGCAGGAACATATCGAAGAGAGGTGGTCCTTCAGTTTTGGCGAAGTACATGATGGGTCGCTCGGGCTTTTTCCTGAGTCGAGATAGCGCTCCTTCGTAGACTGCATCGTAGACCAGCGTCGGCGTCGTCGGAGTGCGGCCGCTATTCTGGCCTTCTAGAGGTCGTCGAAGAGGCTCGACAGTATTGAAGCTGTTATTCGCAAGATCTGTGGTTTGATCGGAACCAGATGCGTTCTGTGCTCCGGCCAAAGACTGAGTCCTGTTGCGCACCGGAAGTGCGACAGAATCAAGGTCCATCCGTTCGGCTTCTTGCGAAGACATAGTTGGAGGCTGCTGATGATCAGATGCAGACTTCCCTGACGATGGTGAACAAGCTGATACATATACATTCAGCGCAAAGAAAGGCAAGAATCTCTTTCTCCCGTAATGTTTCTGTTGACTTCTAGAGCCCAGCTTGCTACTTTAGGTGAATGAGCAAGCATACCCACTCAAATGTCGAACGCAGCTTGAAGAATCGGGGCACATATCACAGACGACACATCTGGGTCGACCATGGCGTCATAAGGCAAGGTCCACGACCCAGTCCCAATGGTATCAGACCAAGAGCCATTCCTCCACAGCGTCAACGACGTTCGAATCGTCAGCGCCCCAGTCGACGCCATAGGTTGATGTCGGCATAGCCTGGAGATCCAGATGGCAGTCCCAATCCTCGCGCGCGGTTGAAGATCCCCAGTCGTCAGCATTCTTTGGGCGACGGCTGTCTGCAAAACTATGGGGGGTCCAACAGCCGTTGCTGGCGTCATCATGTACATCCCGCACACTTGGAACACCTCGATGCGTGGTCAACATATGGACCATGAGGTTGTCCTTCCGATTTGAGTACCCGTAACCGTAGATAGTGCACGAGATACGGTCGGCATTACGATCATGGCGTTCCCCGTAAGGCGAATGCATGTTCCTGCGTGCAACATGTCTCGGCGTAACAGCTGACCTTTCCTGTTGCTCAGATGGGTAATCGCCCTCGGAAGTCGCTTTATCGTGCCCAAGGCTGTGTTGTTCCATGGGCGGATTTATCGGCAGAACGTCGAAACTTGGCACTACCGGACGTGAGTGCCTGCGTAACGCCAGCTTGGAGCCGGCAAGGGCCTCGTTATCAACATGCTCCCGGACGAGCGGCCCATATCTGACATCGCAGCCGCAAGAACAAGTGTACGTATTCTCTAGGCAATCGTAGAGGTCCCTAGACGCACTCTTGACTCGGTCGTATGCATTCCAAGAGAAGAAGGGCTTCCGTTGCCATTGAAGATGCGCTGTATCGAGCAGTTGCCGTTTCATAGAGCGAGGAACTGGCACATTCAATTGAGAGAATACAAGGATAAGATAGTGAGCCAACATTCTGCAAAGCTGCTCCTGCTTGGCATCCCAAAGTGTTTGGCACTGCATGTTGCGGGCAAGTTCGTCATGCTCGTACATAAATAGATCTGAGGAGAGTGGTCGTCTCGTGTACCCTGCGCTTAGTGTGGTTCCCAGAATGAGCAGGCAAAGTATTTGACGCCCGGTCTTCGTTAGCTGGCGAAGGTTGTCGGGCTCCAAGTAGCTCGTGAGCTTGTGCAATATGAAACGCCCAGACAGCATAGCGGTACAAACGAGATCCTGTGTCGATGGCCAATCGCCATTGTCGATCTGGCCCGATCTGTTATGGACCAGCGATGTTGCAAACATCATAGTCTGAAAATGGAATGCTGTTTCCGGTTCAATCGTGCGTGAGATCAGGTTGAGAAAGCCCGGTGCTGACAAGCGCCGACCTTGCTAGTGTTGGAGTGCACAGCTTTGCTCAGCCAGCCTGAGGTATCCTGAACCAGATAGTCAAGGTCCCATTTAATGTCGAAATCCAGGGTGATGTGGTCAAGTTCTGGGTAAACAGCTTCGGCCCGACCACACACACGCTCTACCTCTGACAAGCCTGCACATGTTTCCATCAGCTTTGGGGCCAAGTCCAGGTAAGATGACTATATGCTTACCATCGTCGAAGACGTCAACGTCGAGTAGGGTGATCCTGATACAGTCGGAGAAGGCCATCATTGCACCGTCGTAAGTATGTAGAGCCGTCTCAAGGCATTCGTAGCACAGGTAGTCCGACCCATCATCCCTACACTATCGGCTCAGAGTGTCAGACCTAAGAGATCTCAAACGGGCCTGTTGGATGCACATACCTGGAGACCAAGGATGCGGCATCGCCAACACCGAGGGTGGCTCCGGTCGAGGTACATTGACATCTGTGTCTGCTTATGAGATTCCAGGATCTTTGTACAAGCGCGCATCGTCGACGAGCCATCCGGGGCCGCTGCCGTCTCGTAGGTAGAGGAAGTCGTGCCAGCGAGCTTTTCTTGTAGAGCCTTATTCCGCTTCACATGTCGGCGCAGTTTCTTCAGCGGAACATTCCTTTCCCGAATCCGCACTGGTGTACAGCCCGGAAGGTCCTCGAGGTCGGCCTGCTGGAGAACATGAAGAACATCCTTTTTCTCGAGATTCTTCTCTAAGCCCCATTCGCTGAACTTGCTTTTTTACATCTTCTGACTGCCCGTTCATCAGTGACCATGTATACAAGATGCTCAAGCTAAATGTGTGGACATACGTAGCATGGAACTGATGATGCCTTTTCATGAAGGCTTCCACATCCTTTTGTGTCATGTCCTCTCCAATGTACAGCGAAGTGATTAGATGACGGTGGCCTTCCCAATCAAGAGACGCTGATCCACGTGCAATGGGTTGCGACGACGACATGATGTCTTGACGCTCTCACAGATATTGCGAATAACAAGGGGAACGAGTATCGAGGGGGCAGCCAGAGTATCGAAGCATCGGACTGTGACTAGACACCTAGATATACATAAAGTGAATCAGTAAGAGGTGGCACATATATATACCTCGTGATTGGTCCATTGAGCCGTGTCATGCATGGCCCTTTTGTGGTGGTTTCTTGGAGCTTGGGCCATCAGTGGCTCACGTCTTGCATGCAGCGCCTAGACCCTCCGAAAATCTCAGCTACTGGGAACAATAGTTCCAGGAACACGAGGAGGCTGTGAATAGCCCCTTGGACCTTCCACGTGCTCTTTTCAGCGTAGCTCGTCAGTTGACCCTCCACTGTCTGGTTCGCATCCCCCTCATACGGAGTGCTGAGCGACATATTGATCGGGTACTAGCTACCCACGAACTCATCCTGGACAGGGATCGCAGGCGTAATGGTGCATACCTCGTGTTGTGTACACTGATCGAACCTCGTGGCTGCTGTACAAATAGTGGTAGTCATTGCGAGAGCTTACACAGCTACAACAAAATGTACTGACGTTCCGAGGTACAGCGCCACATTACAATAGTTCCTTGCAGAACACGTAGTCATGAGATCGGGACTGAATAGTCTTTGAAGATCCGTCGATTGTCTCGCATGAACACGCTAGCGAGACTAGATCTGCGCTGCTGCATCGTATGCCACGCAGAGCGTGACGTTGGCTCGTAAGGATACATGTAGAGGCTGTCTCTACGAGGATGAGAAGCGCGGCAAATCCAGTGTGAGGCAGGGACGTTCGCCCCTGTGTGGAACGCCCCGGCCCGACCATCATGAAATGGGCAAAACACGTCACGTGCAAATTTCTATTGACTCGGAACTTGAATTTTTCAGGCCTCACTGGTCGCGACTGTCATGGTCACTTCCTCCTAAGAAACGCAGAGCACACACCAAGTTTTATCGTTTCGCAGCACCTACCACAGGCGCTGTGGTTGCTACCTAGGTTTGAATCTGCGTACGCGGATTCCTCAAAGCCTCGCATCAACGCATCAATTGTGAACCCTCCAGCGTCTATAGATCTCGTCAACAACGAAATATGCTCTTCGCGTCGTCGTTTTCTTCTTCGCGTGCTTGCAGAGACGCTGAATGCGCCACGGCTTTGGAGTCGCCGAGCAGCGTCTACGTCTACGGACTTCTGGGCAGTATCCATCAGGCCGGACCCATCGTCCATGTCATTTCACAGTTACACAGGCACGAGAGTCTGAAGTACTACACAGACGGGTCATGATGTCGACGGAACTCATTCGTGTTCTTGCACAACCTCGGCAGAAGGTGCGGTTGCTTGCGAAAGAATGCGCGTGTCGTATGTGACAAGGCGATGCTTCGTGGCCTCTACGCTTTCACGCTGCTCCCCTGAATAGAATTCCCGTTGTACCCATTTGGTGCGCATTCGCACCGTAGATGGCTCTAAGTGTTGTCAGTGGCCCGAGATATCCTGGACGTCATTAGCTGAACAAGGCGTCATTCAAGAGGGAATGGAAAAATGGGTAAAGTTTCATCGGCGTGGAAGGGAATTTGACGAGTGCTAGTCAGTTGCTAGTCTTGTACTGCTCTGCAATGTGCAGTCTCTCGCAGACTAGCTGTTCTCCGCCGGGCCTAGGGACGCTGGTGTCTGCCGGCGAGACTGCGCCGAATCTGTGAGCAGCCGTACCCGTGCGACTGCAGTCCACCTAGGCGACAGACCAGACTCCCGTTGAAAAGACTGACTTCTCGGAGTCCCTTCCTATGCTCTAGCGAAGAATCCGAACGGCCTGCGAGATGCTCTGACGTCCCAAACAAAGTTGCAATCGCTTATTCTTCGATAATCGTGCCCCGCTCGCTAACATACAGACCGTCCAAGAATTTTCGGATATCCTTGTTCTTGACCAGACACGCCTGCTGAATGTCGGCTGCTGACTGTGACACGTTCTCGACGCTGTTGCCGTAGATCTCGATCTGGTCCTTCACACCCTTCGATGGCTCGACAGTGACACCCTCCTTCATGACTACTCGTCGCACGATCTTCTCGCCCAAGAAGTTTCTGACGCTACTGTTAGCCCGGACCTCGCACGTGGGCTATCTTGACATAGCATACCTGATCTCAAGCTCCTGCAAGTCTGTCTCGGAGTTCTTCTCAATATTGACGTTGATGGGGAAATGGGCGTAGACGTAGCGCATCTTGTACTTGTAGCCTTTCGTGACGCCAGTGATCAGGTTCTGGATGATGGACTTGACTGTTCGGAGGGTGGCGACATTCTTGCGGCTGCCGTGGTGGATCTCGATCTGCACAATGTTTGACTTGGGCTACAGAGTTCCGTCAGTATGATGACTTGCGGTCCAGGCGGGCTCACTGACAATGGTGAATGTGACGGCGATGTGAGACAGATCCTTGACGAGTTTGCCGCGAGGACCCTCGACGGTGACGATGCGACTCTTGATCTTGACCTTGACGTCGTCGGGGACGGTGATCTGCTCGGTCGAAACGATGTACCTCATCTTGACGGTCTAGAGGGCGTTGTCAGCTAAAATTGAGGAGTCGACTTGCAGCGCTGAGCTGATAGATGTTGCGGCGGACTGACGACCTACTTATTGGCACTGGTGAGGCTGTTTTTGGGAGACGGCGGCTTCAAGAGGTGGGAATGAGGTCGAGCGCAGTCGAAGAGCGGATGAATGTGTGTCATTAGAAAAGTTCGAGCGCCAAGATGAGCACGCTAGTCCTAATTCTCCGCCACGCACAGCCTTGCTTGGGCGAACGACTTGTAAAAAATTTGCAGCGAAACATGAGCTAACGGACATCATTCTTGTTTTTGGCCTAACACGCCCGGTCAGTCATAATATTCAGTTCCGTATCGAAAAGCTTTACAGTACGAGCCTTGTCGCTCACAATTGGCCTCGACGCCGTTACAGCAAGACGCACCTGTACTTCAAGGCAACTTTGTTGCCCGTGTTCGTGGCCGGAGACTGATACTGTACGCCATTCGCAGGTGGCACGTCGCACGTGGTAGAACAGATCTTCTCAGTCGTCAGTTGCATGTCTACGGCTTTTCAAATACCATCTGCGGCATGCTAGCCATCTGCTCCAAGTCGAACGAGTTCGCCAAGGAAATCCTCTCCGTTGACGAGCTCCGTGCTGCCATAGATGACACGTCTTGTCTTTGCAGCAATGCCAGGTCCTGCGTGTCCCTGACTCACGGTGCGCTTCACCCACTCCTGCAGGTTGCCATACTCATCCATACTACCTCCGCCTATCGTGAAGACGATGGCTTCTGAGTATCCCATTCTTCTTTGGCCGAAGCTCGGCTGAGTACCGCCAGCGCCTCCTTGTCCGGTACCCGGCCTCGATCCTGGTATCCCCGTCGTGCCTCTTGCATGAGCACTCCTGGGGTCGAAGTACAGGTAGTCCTCCGTCATGGCAATGGCCGATGAAGATGCCGCTGGCGGATCCATGATGGATTCCACGATCTTTGTGACTGTGAGGTCCTTGTTGACCGGCATGAGGTTCTTCACACCAGACAGCAAGTTATCGATGTTCACCACGCCCGGTATGTTCAATGCCAGCTTGTCGGTCAAGTTCTTCGAGAGAGACGACAGGCCACCAAATAATGGCGCGGAGGCTTGCTGTGGCTGTGATGCGACTGTGGTCATCATGGTGCCTCTTGTTTCCAGTCGAACGTTGGAAATGTGCTTAAGCGCTGCTACTGAGTCAGAGCAGCCAGCTTCCTTCAAAGCCGCCTCAAATTCGGCCAACTCTGCCTTTGATGGTTCTCGATCAACGGACAGGTACCAGATGATGAACAACCTCAGCTTGTCGAGCGGGACATTGCCCTTGTCTGCCGACCTGATCAAATTCAGTATTTCGGAAGGAGGCTGCTTTGTGATCTCCTCCTCGATTTGGAAGAAGTTGTCGAGTTGTCGCTCCTTGATGCCTTTCAGCAAAGCCGTAGCTATGTTTGTATGCATATCCAGAGTAGCCTTCCGTTCTCTCAACTCCGGCAGTAATGTAATGGCCGCCTTCAGCTGCGCAGCTGATGCTGAGGAGTCATCTAGGTCTTCGATGCTGTTCACTCCTGTCTTCTTCGTGACGTCCTCGGCGTCCGTCTGATACTTTGTGATTTCTCTGTCGATGTCTTCTGCGACTTGTGGAAAGGGAGCACTGGCATTGCGAGCCCAAAAGAAATCAGACGAGTTCAAATCATAGGCCCGAGGCTTGGCCTGCGGATTCTGCTCGTCTGCCACTTCGACTGTGATGCGGTTCAGGTGCATCTTCAGTACGTCATGCACAAGGGATTGGTACGTCCATGAATGTGACAGCATCGGCACCAGGTCCACGTTCCGATCCATGATGATGAGGACTGGTCTCGATGGCGTTGAATATGTGTTGCTCTGGTTCTTGCTGAACAGGTTGTCCTTGGAATTGAGAACGTGATCTCGTAGCTTCCTGTCTAGCTTTGATGCTATCATCTTCGCAAGCTCTGTTTGCGGACATCGAATGATTGGGACGGCTCCCATAGTGACGCTGACCGAAAACAAACCGCTGACAATCTTGTCGATGGCCGCATCTTGCACAGCTTCCTCAACCTTTGCGCTGTTGAAGGTCCAATACGACTCCTTACCCATGCCGAGACTGAACAGATCGGGCTCTGCAACAATGAAGTTGAGGTACTGGTCAAATACCTGCGCAATGCTTTCGGAGGTATTGGTTGACACTATTTGCGCCCCGAACTCTTCGAGTACAGTCCGTGGGACGGAGGAGATGAAGTTGACATAGGCAGTCGAGTACAGCCCTTTCGACAGGTCGGAACATATCATCTGGATGTTGGCGATCGTCGGCTCGACAAGGTACAGGACTGGGACGTCAGGTATCGGATATCGTGTGGAATTTATGTTTCTGTCGCTCTGTTCAGCTCGTTACATTCGAAGTGCGACGCAGAATGGTGCCTCTCACAAGTGTATCGTAACGCCCTTGCTCCGTAAATCACTGACTCTGAGAACACTGCTGATTACATCGCGCCCAAGATTGTCGAACACGAGGACCTTCCACACAGGCTCGCCCTCTTCGTTGAGCAAGGCATCGATCTGGTGCTGGCCTGCCCCGGGATCTTGGCTGCCACCTTCAATCGTAGGCACATCATGGTTGAGGCTCAATATTCGCTCGATGGACGCTGTAGGCGGTTAGCGAAGGACTGTGGCTGTTGTTGGCATGCCCACCAACTTGACGATCGCGTAGCGTTTGGCTGCGCGTTGCCATCTTGCTGGGCGCTCGAGAGTCTTCTTCACCGTGGTGGGTGGTACATGGACTGAGATGCGGGTGGTTCGGCCATCAGGATTTCGTCAACCTAGGCAGCACGATTCCTCACCCAGTCACGCATATGTGTCCTTCTTTGTAGATGTGAATGCCGCACTGAGAGGCAAGCCGGAAATAGCGGGAGTTACCCGTTTGCCAAGCCGAACTTGCCGAAAGACTCAAAGTCGACCTCTTTCCTGCCTTTGTCGTCACCCATCATCCTCCCTTCTCATCAACCACTTCTCAAGCAGACGTCAATCCATCTTCCGGCTTTCGATTCTTGTAATCTGTCGCTCTTTCCAGTCGCTCCTGGTCGCATCGTAATAGTTTTGATTGTGGCAGGCAATTGTCTGCGACATTTGGGAAGAGTGTGATTCAAGCGTGACTGTTGTGTTTTTGAGCGCGTCATTAGTCTTCCTCGCACCAAGTTTACCTTGCGATATGCGATGGGTTGATTTCTGAGACTTAGCGCTGTCAGGAGAACGTACTGCGCAACTCTACAAGACATAGATTCTATCTGTCAAGTTCTGAGCACTGCCGGGTCGAAAAGGACCGCGTTTGACAGCCAGGGGTGGCAAGTGCGGAGGACACGGCCTTGGTCACGGAGCAGACTGTGTACGCATCGCTCTTCTCAACAGGGCAACTGAATATCTCTTGCTCAGAGTCGGGTTCTACCTGACTTTGAGTGACCTCAAAACACTTTTCCACCAGCGCAGACTGCCGACCACGAGGCACGCGTCGAGTCCCAGTACGGGTGAAGTTTTTGCGCGGGGCTGGGCATTAAGCCAATTTCCAACCTTGAAGTCCGAATCGCCGCACTTGGTCATTCTCACGTGACTTTTGTCTCCAATTCGAGCCTTTGCCGACTTCCAGTCTCCGCCAGTATGGATTCGACACATAATTCTACGCACTTTTCCCACGGCAATAATACAAGTAATGATGACCTGTTGGACGGCATCCACGACTTCACGGACACGACCGACTCACAGGCTGACCTCAGCCAATGGTTCGCCTCGGAACTTTTCCAACAGAATGGCCAAGACTTCGGCAATGGGGTTCAGTCACAATCACATCCCCACCAACACCAGTCGCAACCACAATCTCAACAAAGCCTGTATCCGAATCCCTCCATGAGCCAGCAAAGCATAGGTCGCTCTCAAAGCCCTGCTATGCCTGCCTTCCACCAATCACAGCAACATGGCCAGTACCAACATTACTCGCAACCACAATATGATCCGCGCATCTACGGCCAGATGGATCCCCGAATCTTCCAGCAGCGGCCTTCAGCCTCGCCTACATCTTTCGATACCTACAGCTATCTGAATCAGTACGGCGGTCAGACACAGCAGATGAATGCGCAGGCTCGCTCTTCACAGCCATCTGCGACACAATATGCTCCTCGCCCTCCATCATATGGCCAGTATCCCGGTTTCGACACGCGCAACCCCACGCTGCCGCAAAGTATGGATCCGGAGTTGGCAAGGTTCAGCAGCATGCAGTACTCGGGTCAAGGCTCCAACCAGCAGTTTGTCAGTCCATCCGCCCTTGACGGTACCCTAAACGGACAACATTCGAATGTACAGCCTCAGCAACCTCAGCGGCCACAGAGCAATCTCTACTATCCAACCCCTGGACAGGGCGTTGCCCAACTTCCGCAGCAAATGCAGCAATATCAACACAATTCACAAGGCACGATGCAACCCACTCACATGAACCCTCAATACCCTGGCTCCGGCACTCAGTCAATGCCACCGAACAATTCTGGTCCTGTATCAAATCTTCCGATGAAGAAGGCACGAGGGCGACCTCGTAAGGATGCGTCTGGTACTCAGGCAGGCTCGGTCACCACCGACTCCGGCTCAGACCTTGACATTGTGGACGAGCCGCCCGAGTCGCCGCCTGACTTGATCACTGTCGCCCCACCGACGGACGCTCGTACTCGGGCCATATACGACGCAATCAAAGCTGTGTGGCAGCCTCGGAACAAGCCTGCTCAGATCGCACTCACAAAGGCCGGTATCTCGCGATTTGGAGATGTAATCCGAGGCTTGCGTGATCAGTGGAAGACACGGAACGATAATTTGAAGAAGGCCGAAGCAGACCAATCCCCAACAGCTGCGAATGCCCCTGCGCTCCGAGCGGAGACTGCTCAGTATCGTCAGACCACGGAGATCCTGGTGAATAAAACGGCTGCCTTCGGCCATCATGCAGTTCTCAAAAGGTACGTACTCGACTACCCCTTCGGATCCCCCTTTCTAGCTTTAGGCTGCGCCGACGTCGGCAAACACGCGCTTTTGCGTTTGCAAATGTATCATAGAGGTGTTACTGGTGGCTCTACATTTGCTGTCTGCGGCATTGGAGCGCTGTTACGTGGGACACATGCGGACTGTTCTGGTAGATTTAGATTGCTAGATAGCATTTTTCGCATTGTGACTACCGCTGTGCATCGATCAAATGCCACAAATGTGTGCCTTATCCCTCCAATATGCTAATTCCATCCTCAGTCTAGGCGAGATACCTTATACACTGTCTGCGCTGTACTCTTTCATGCTGGACCGGGTCAGCGCAGCCGATTATGACAGTTCACTACTTCTGGCTATCCTCAAGGTAAGACTGCTTCCGTCCCGATCGCGACACGTTGCTGACAATTTTTAGCTTGCCGACAGATTCACCCTTGATGAGGAAAAGCTTGAGACCTCAAAGTGGAACAAGCTTCTTCAGCGAGTAGCGAAAAAGGGTACTGGGGACAGCAAAACCTTGTCCGAGAAGATACTCTCGAACGCGAAGAAGCAGACTGCCAAGAAAACTGAACCTGCCAAAGCAGATAGTAGAAGCACTGGTGATGTGGCGGCAGGCGTCAAACGACCCCTTGAAGGTGCGAGCAACGGCCCAGTTGCCAAGAAACCTGTCCGACCGCTTCGAAGCCGTTAGCATTACAGCAGGCTGAGAAGAAACGTGCTGAAGCCGCGGAAGCTGCCAAGAAAGCGAAGACCGCTGCGCCTACTGCTACTAGCGGTATCCTTGTCACTCCAGCTGCTTCTAAGCCTAAAGCTCCAATCAAGCCGACCATCTCCCTCATGTCTGCTTCGAAGAAGCCTGGGACTAGTAATGCTGAGCGAGCCGCGCTTGCCAAGACTGGTACTGTGCCAGCTTTGCAGCAGGTGAAGCGCGAAGATGTCAAGCGAGAGTCTCCACCAGCCTCAGTGAATCCGGTTTCGAACAGTGCTAAAGGCACTTCCATCTTTGATAACCTCTTCTCTACGATGGAGAAGAAGGAAGAAGTCAAGGTACAAGAAGAAGTGGAGATCCCAGGCGAGACACTGGAGCAAAGAACGAAACGATTACGAAAAGAATCGAGAAGAAAACTTCGCGTGTCCTGGAAGGCCGACGATGATCTGGTCGAGACACGCATATTCACGCATGATCCAGACGAGGAGGTCGACCAGGGCGACAGTGCGAAGAAAGACGCAGGCGACACAGGCAAAGAAGGCGAGATGCTCAAACGACACCAAGGAATGGAAGATCTCGAGGATGAGGAAGACGAGGAAGACCCGGAGTACGATCCAGACTGCTACACCTCGCCAACAGAGGTCGATCTCAGCGAGCTTGCATCCGAGGACAATGATCCTACCATCAACGGGATTAAGCACGGCGGTACGCTGGCTCCAGAGAGCAAAGCGAAGGAGGCACAAGCAACTTTCGAGAGAGACGTGCTGATGAAGTTCTACTCCGAGTCTGAGCGTCCAGACTCGCCGAAAGAACCGCCTGAGGATGGCGATGACACCTTCACACCGAGTGACGATTTTGGAGAGCCGGAAGACAAGGTGCGCAAGCGTGAGCGAGACATCTATGCTCGCCGGACAGCGCAAACCGCACAGCTCGACGGCGTCCCCGGCTACTTGCAGTCATTCGGTAGCCAGGGGGTTCTCGCTCCGCCTCAGCCTCAACAAGCACCTGCGCCGCAAGTTGACATTCAGTCGATTATTGCGCAGCTGAGACAGAACCAGGTCAACCCGGCGGCTCCAATAATCGCACCTCCTCTAGCCCAGCCGACGTTCACGCCTCAGCAATTCGATCAGACATCGCTGCAGAATATCATGGCCTCACTCATGCAGCCCCAGGCGAGCATGGTAGCTCCGCAGATACCCGCAGCATCGGCTGCCTTTGGTTTCGGTACTGGCGCCAATGTAGCTGTGTCCGGCGGCGCCGTGGATGACTATGGCTCGGGGAAGCGGAGCAAAAATGGAAACCGGAACGGCAACAAGGTGAAGGTTCCCCTGGACGAAATTACTGGCCTGCCCCTGAATTACAAAACCCGGACTTGCGAGTTCTGGGAGAAGAATATGTGTACGAAGGGTGATAGCTGCACGTTCAAGCACTCTCGGTAGGGTGCAGACGTTGGGCGAGGAAGGTTGGGAAGCGGACCTGCAACTATCGTCACGACATCGTGCTTCGGCGGCCGGGAAATGAGGCGATGACTGCAGCAGGGCCGAGATGGTTCATGTACAAATTATTTCATCGCAACAGCATGCGACATACGTTCAGACAGAAGGACGAAAGCAAGGAGTGCATCTGTGAACGCTTTGATAGCGATGGCGCTTCGCGATAGTGATACTTTCAATGAAGGACGATATCCTCTACTTGAGTCGACTACTTTCCGTGTGCCAGTGTTTTCCACACCTGTAGTCTTGGTAGGACTGCAAGTATATTCGACATCAAGTCTCGCCCTCATGCTCACTGACTCACGATGCATTTCAAGACATGCATGAATTTGGTCCTCATGCCGCCGTCAGCGTCAGGCAGGCGTCAGCGCGGCTGCAGTGACCTTCCAGCCTGCCAAGCATTGATCGTAGATAGGTCCAGCTGCCCAAGCGAAAATGGATGGTTGGTATTTGCGATCCTCACAATAGCAATCACGTCATCCGGTCTCACGTAGAGCTCTACTTCCGCCGGTTGACAAGCGGGGCAGTTGTGGAAGGTGTTGGGTGACGCACCCGCCGCTCGGAGTATTGCCAGGTTTATTTGTTGGGGGGAGCAATTTCCGTGTACTCCTGCTGTGGTTGCGTACTTGAAGCTTGAGCGAGGAAAGCGCTTGTTGGATATGGTCTTGTCATCCGGTCCTGACGCGTGCAGCGTCTTGTGGCCGCTCTTGCCGCTTTACGCTCACCCACTCCCTGCAGGACATACCGAGGGTCTCAGGATTAGGCTTTCGAACTTTAGCAACTGCCTCAATCTCTTTACAACACCTTGATGACTGCCATTCTCTCCGTGATCATGTCGACCCTGTGCGATTTCAACGTTGCTAGCAACCCACTACAGCACTTTAGTTGTGCCACACTACTGCAAGACGCGTCGTATGTCCAGGGTCAGCGCAGGCGGCCCAAGCGGGTCTTCAGGCGAGAGGGAGTCTTTAACATTCATTGACGCTCACCCTTCCAACCATGACAGGTCGACGGGCTCAGACCGACCCAGGGCTGCTCTGGCATTCGCATGTGATGGATGTAGGAGACTGAAGGTACAGCCCCTCTTTCGAACTATTGCTGTCATTGATCCATAGAAGATGAAATGCATCATCGAGCACGACCCGCCATGCCGCCGCTGTCGGAAAGCCAACCGGCAGTGTATCATACAGCCCAAGCAATCACAACGCCTCAAGAGACACCACTCAGCAACTGAAGGTACCGAAGCAATTACTCCCATGCCTGTTGATGCGCCTCTTGTTCAAGCATCTGAGGGCGACGACAATTACTGGACCAATGCTGTGGATACGAGGGTGAGCGATTTACAGCCCGTAAATACAGGCACTATGGCCGTGGTCAGGGCAACTTCTGATGCACATGCCACTACATCAGTCACCAGGCCTGCATCATCAACCCTCATGAATAACTCTTTGCCTGCTGCGAAGCCTCTGCCGTCAGTGTACTCCACCTCGCCAGTGCAATTTGTGAAGGACTCAAACAGCTCCAATCCGGCCCCGCATGGGCCATACGCTGTTGGTAGTACGAGTCCATGGAGTCAGTCCGGCAGAAACCCTGCCTCACATGTCACTGCCACCCAGCAGGACCTCCCAGCACCTGATGCGGTCATTCTGCAACTGCTCGACATGTGAGTGTGGATCCACATCCCGCCGCGCAATCACTGACACTGCGACAGCTTCCGTCAATCGATGATGGACTACAATCCCGCCATCTCCTTGCTCGACTTCGAAGACACAGCAACACTTCTCAGCAGACACCGCAATTTCGTTGTATGTGTTGCGTACGTGACCGCGAGGACCGTTCCCGGTGGATCAGCCATTCGTGACCGGCTCCTCCCATGTGTGATCAACCTTGTTCAAAGCCTCGTTACCGAGCATCTGCCCAACGATACGGAAGAAGGCCTGAAAACACTCCAGGGCCTGCTGCTCCTATATGCCTACTGCGAGATTCCCTCGGCGACACAGTACCGTGACTCGCAGGCAGATCCGGCACAAGAGCCACTTTTCTGGCCGCTGAAAAGCTTGATAGAGTCTTATGCACAACGTCTACGTTGTCACAGAGCAGTCGACTCACTTCGGGAATCCATCAGAGCCAGGCAGGATGGTATAGCCACCAGTACAGACTTCAAAATGTACAGTGCTTGGGTATGGCTTTTCACTATGTCTCATTACATCTCACTAGTCACAGCTACACCACCGAGTATCCGCGCTGATGCTTCTCTCAGAGCGGCCAGCCGTATCCTTCGCCAGCTGGATCAATCTGCACGAGTGCAATGTCTTGCTGCAGAGCTTGACATTGCGTTGATCTGGGAAGATCTGCGAGGCCAAGGCTACGACATTGCCGAATGGTGGTGTCTTCCAGAAATCGCCACTGACTATGCGACAGGCCCTCGCCAGAACGTCAGCAGAATTGCTCTGGAGCGATTGGACGATCTAGGCAGTCGCTTGTCATCCACTACAAGCGACAGCTTCAATGGGGTTCGGGTTGATTACCATGTACGATTTGCTCGGTTTTGCATTCAGTCCTACGAAGTTCGAAATGCTACAGCTGCGGAGCCTCCGGCGCCGATGAACATCAAGGCCCAAGCAATAAGAAATTGTTTAGAAGCTGCCATGGCAATCGTTGACTGGATACTCGCCGTGGATCTTGGCAAACGCGACAGTCTCCGCTTTGCCTCCGACAGCTCGCACATCATGACGGCTTTGTGCTGTCTGTTCACGCTGCAGAGCCTGCAAACATTCTCTGCATTGGGATTGAGCCTTGCCGACGCAAAGCACCGGTTGGCCAAAGTAAGAGAGGTTGCTGAGATCGAGATGGGGATCTTCTTCGTCAACCATGGACCTTATCATTACTTCAAGCATACCATCGAATATGCCGGCACTATTGAGCAAGCATTGAATGTGGCAGTGTCCAAAGACCTTACACATGATAGTGACGGACGGAGGCCATCCGAAGTCTCGACGCTTCCTTCACCGGCAGACAACTTAACCACCATCAGCGAGACCGCATGGTTCCCATATGTCGATTCTGACGATTTCTATCTGTTCGAGAATCTGTGGGATCCTAGCACGATATTTCCTGTGGAGAGCCTAAATCGCACGACTCATGCTAGGACTGTCAGGCCAGTGGCCAGTGGCTGGTAAATCGTGGACGGTGTTATCTCATCAGGATCATAATAGCTGAAGAATGATCTACCTGAATCTATCGCAGCCACGTCCGAGATACGTGGCCGGTCGGCTGTCGGCAAAACAGTGGCAACTATTGCGAGCTCACCAATCACCTCAGGACATTGTCAATGGAAGCGTACGAGTCGCCAGGGCGATATGCTCTCGCTCACGGAATTTACGAGGCCATTAAAATACACTGGTGCCCAACGAGCACTCTTGGCAGCCTTCCTGGAAGAGCTTCGCATTGGTTGGTCGCTGTTCTTCAGCTACGAACTGTACGGATGAATCCCTCTCAAGCCGACTTCGGCACCTCCTCGATCTCCGCCAGATCCGCTTTCTGTACCATTTGATCTCCGGAGAGATCATAGCCTGCAACCCGCTGTGTGCAGACATATGTTCTGAATTGGCGAGTAGGGATGCGCTGGACGAGCGAGTCAGTATACGGCGAAGATCAGGAGTCAGGAACACTTACGTTCAGGAACATCTCATCAATCTCCTCCAAAGTGCGATCACGAGTCTCCGGCAGGAAGAAGATCGTACCAATTGTTACAAGCACGGTAAGCCCACCAAACACGAACCCAATTTTGGTGCCGAGATTTAGATATGTCGGACCAATCAGGTAAGGAATGGATGTGATGACTGTGAGCGCCACCAAGAAAGACGCGCCGAGAGCGATGGAGACTGTCTTGGATCGTCGAGCATTCGAGGGCACCTCACCGATGACGATGGGACCAATCGAGCCCCACGTTGCCGAGTAGGTGAAAGAGAAGATGCAGATGAAGGCGATGAGACACTTTGCTGCCGCTGGACTCCCAGGATGTGCCTCGTTTATGCTTGCGAATGACAGCAAGCAGAAGGAGTTGACAAAGGCTCCGGTGATCATGGTGCGCCGACGACCACAGTACTTAACGATTGGAAACGCCGCGAATGTTCCGGCGATTGCGACAGCATTGGTGATGACGCTGACGATGAACGCATCCGTGAAGCCGACCAGAGCAAAGAAGTAAGTCATGTACCCAGCAAGGAACGCAACACCCATGAATTGTTGCCCTACCATCATCATGATAGCAATCAGCGTGCGTCGCCGGTCGGTGCCCCTGAAGCAATCCAGGTATGATGTTGAAGCATCAATCTGCCTCTCAAGTGCGGTGAATTTAATGGTGGCTTCGATTTCTGCATCGATCTCCGCATCCGTGTACGACTCTCCACGGAGCTTCTGCAGATTCGTCCTGGCCTTGTCGTTACGATCCCTCGTGACCAAATACCTCGGCGACTCTGGAACCAGCCACACCAACCCGATCATCAGCAACGGCGGCCCCATCATTGTCAGCAACGGTGCTCGATAGGCCCAACCATTCATGATCCCATGCGTGCCCTGATCAACACACGAACCGATAAAGTTCGCAATGTTCAGGAAGAACTGATAGAAGATGACTATCACACCACGCATATGCGCCGGCGCGATCTCGCTCCAGAACGCGATACTGAACGTCGCTGCGAAGCCGATGGCCAGGCCCATGATGCAGCGGCCGACGACCATGACGGCGTAGTGTGGTGGCATTTGTAGCGCGGCCCCAACGATGGTGGCGATGGCACACAGGTAGAGGCCGACTTTCCGGCCGTGGAAGTTGGATAGCCAGCCAGCGGCGGTCGAGCCGATCACGATGAAGACGACTTCGAGGCCGTACATGAGGGTTTGATGGTGGGCGGTCATGGCGTAGGTGCCGAGTTGAGGGCTGTAGGTGCCGAAGTCACGGTGGAAACTGTGGCGAAGGAGATCAGTTGGTATGGCGGTCTGTGACGGAGTGGTCGGAGGGACGGAGCGCAGAAATGAAAGAGGGTCACATGGAGCTGGCTTACGCGGGCATGGCCAGGAAGCCGCCTGTGGTGGCTTGGTCGAAGCCGAAGGAGCATGCTGCCAATGCTATGATCAAGCTGTAGAGGATGACTTTAGTGTTGTTATGTTGAGGCTGGATGCCGCTCAAGATATCGGTGGAGGTTGCCATGCTGAGAGATTTCAGAGAGAGTTTGGGATTGTATGGTGTGCTGGAACATGCTTGATAGCCTGGGGTGACGGAGATTGATATAGGTCTCACGAACTGAGATGTCAAGACAAAGCAAACGCGGTGGCCGACATGCGGGGCCGGGTTCCGGAGGGCAACGATTTCTGGGGTAGCCGAAGTGATCAGATCCGAGGGTCCGGATTCGAGTCCCGCGCCCTCATAGACTTTATGGATGGAAGTATACTCGACCTTAGCTTGATGAAAGACTCAACTTACTCCACATTACCCCATCTGGACGACCGGTAGTACCGGCGATGCCATTTGCAGCGAAGCCGGAGCAAGTAGAATCCGGAGAGCCTCTCTGGGATGTCCACTGGGGGACAGCTTTCATTCAACATATCAGATGGATAATGTTATGGCAGTCCTTCCAGCGTACACATACGCGCACAGAGAGATTCAGACAAGATGGCAAGCACATACCATCAGGCGTTGCGCGCCTCCGTTGAAATCACACTGCGACAAGCAGTCGATAGCAATCGCTTCATCGGCTTGAGCTTCGTGAGTGTCTCGAGAAGTGGTCAGTATCGCAAGAATTTGCACCTGGCAGGGCGGAAACTGAAACATTCGAACAGGCGAGATGCTTTACTCCGGCGCCCATGGCCATCGAGACTTCGCCAAGACCATCCCGATGGACGTTTCGACTTCGGGCTTCATGGCCTCCATGACGAAGCTGATGACTTCAGTGGCAGTCATGCAGGTTGTTGAACGAGGTCTCGTTGGTCTGGACGACGATCTTGGTGCAATTGTACCGGAGCTGAGCGATAGAATGGTGCTCGTTGCTTTCGATACTGTTTCCAAGAGTGCCACATTTGAGAAGCCCAGGGAGAAGATCACTCTGAGGTCTGTCTGCCTGTGCTAGTTGCAAATGAGTATTTCGCTGACCGTATGTTGGGCAGGAGACTTCTGACCCATACAAGCGGCTTCACGTATGACGTGAACAACGCGACTCTCCTGGCGTGGGCTGAGGCGAACGGAAAGGACAAAGAGATTTTCTCTGGTGAATGGGTTTGTTGTCTCTCGCACCGTCGAAAGACTGCTGACGGCGACCAGAAAGCATGGGAGCGCCCACTCGTCTTCCACCCAGGCTCCGGCTGGAGTTACGGACAAGGTCTCGACTGGCAGGCAGGGTGCTCGAAGTTCTGACAGGAATGAGTCTGGAGCAGTACATGCAAGAGAATATCTGGTCGCCACTCGGCATGTCGAATACAACTTTTCGTCCTGAGTGCCGAGAGACGTACCCAATGCTGGAAGTCGGCTTTCGTGTAAATGGCGCGCTAGTGCCAGGCCAGTCTCCGTTTCCGAGACCAGCACGGCACGATATGGGTGGAGGGGGAATTCATTCCAACGCCCATGACTATGCACTGTTCTTGGCGGCGTTGCTCGTGGACGACAGTCCTCTGCTCAAGCGCTCGAGCCTGGAGGAATTCCTGCGACCACAACTCGGGCCAAGCAGCAGGCATGAACTTGCCCAGAAGCGACAGCTCGGTCTTGTACAGCCGGATGTACCGAGCAGTGTTCGCGTTGACCATTGTCTTGGAGGGCTGATAAACGTGGATCCGATCCCAGGCCGAAGAAGTGCAGGGAGCGCGTGCTGGGACGGTATGACGAACTCGCATTGGGTGAGCTGACATTGGATCTATACGATACCAGAAGACTGACTTGCATACAGTCGTTAGATCGTACGACGGGCGTGACGAATGTTCTGTTCGTGCAGGTGTTGCCTTCACCAGACTGGGTGACGAAAGAGCTTTGGACAGACCTGGAAACCCAGGTTCACGAATACCTCATGAAGGGAACGGGATGCGTTGAGGCCGTTCCCATACAACGCCCTATCGCAGCTGTAGTCGAAGAGAAGCCAGCGTTCCGTGTCCTGGACCGCTCGTTGGACATTGTTGAGTGAAGGCACAGAAGCAAACGAGTCGCATTTTCAAAACGAGAAGGCTTCGGCTTAGGCTACAGTAGAAGTTGTTCCATCGGCGATCGGCTCCTGCCCACCCTGTTTAACTCCATCGCGTTGAATCTGGTGGCCACGGCTAGAGTGTACTGGGACAGCGACAGCATTTCGAATGGTAGTTCCAAGCACGAGTAGAATGTTAGACCGTGGGTGAAGAGTCTGCAGAGTGTAGGGCTCGACACGGGTTCCAGGTCCTGAGTATCGCAGGGAGATTCCGGGGCTTCGGCAAGCTGTGAACCACGGAATTCCTGGCGCCAATATTGAAGGGCTCGAGTTGCCAGGTAACTAGTTCGGGCAAGTCATGAGCGTTTTGCGATCTTAAATTCTGATCATGATTAAAGCCGGCCCCTAGAACATCAATTAACAGGCGTCTCACTGGTCGCTCGAGAGGTGAGGGCCCGCCCGCCCCCTAGAGTGACTTCGGGATGAGTTGGAGAAAACGCCCGCGTCTTGACCTTGACCGAACCAGTTGGTTGCCAAGCCAGCTCGATTTAGACCCCAGGAACAAGCCGATGCCTTTTCTTCCTGCAACCAGGTCTATTTCTTTCCATTTCTTGTGAGACGGATCATTCACCTATGCGCCTCGACTGCTGGTCACGTTATCTTGCAGATGCAAATCACGCATCATCAACATGAGATCGCCCGTCACCGTGATTGGCGTCGCGCTCCTGGCAACATTGCTAGCCGCCACTGCCTTGCCCATGACTGGTGACTAGTCATGCACGTTCCGCAGGGATACCAAAGTGCTGAGTCACAAGGGTAACGGACCTTTGGTATGTTGGTTCCATCTACAGTGCCTCAATCACCACACGAGTTCCGGCCGATTCCTCTTAAATGCAACCAACCTCCGCCGCCCACGAAGTGCAGTAGCATGTAGGCTCTACACCTCTCGAGCGCCTGAGACATGGCGGCCGGCGCGCCGCTGAGAGACTACCACTATGTTCCATTACAGGACGGGGAAGTACGACTCATACGAATCCTGCCTTTTGTGGTCCCCACCGGTCCGCTGCCTGCGACTTGGGCCACAGTCGACGTTACCAACCCTGTCCGGCTCGAATTTCGACACGCTCCGCTCGACCGGTCGCACACATGTCTTTCATATTGCTGGGGTTCTGCTGAGCATCTGAAAGAAATCTTTCTCAATGGGCACCGCTTCTTCATTCGAGACAACCTCTTCCAATTCCTTTATGAAGCCAGACGGACAGGATTGACTAGCTGGCTCTGGATAGATGCGATCTGTATCAACCAGGTGGACACTGATGAACGCAACAAGCAGGTACAATGGATGCCTTACATCTTTTCCCGAGCATGTGAGGTGTTGGTCTGGCTCAACTCTGGCACGATACGACCGCGCTCCGCGCTCACTGAACTTGACATCATCACCATCTCTGGTAGCGAAACAACTGCAATGGTCAATCAAGTGAGGAACCCATTTTCGAAGCTAAACGACTGCCTTGCTGTAGTTCCACCACTCGTCGATAACAACTACTTTGACAGGATGTGGATCATCTCGGAGATCAGGCTTGCCCGATCACTGCACTTCCTATCGTTCGACGTCTCTTGTTCCCTTTCGGCCTTCAGGCAGCTGCTGAAAATATACACATCGAGTGCGTACCTTTGCGGTGATGCTTGCCAGAATCGTTGCGCGCGAATCAAGAATGTTAACGCTCTGCTCAAACGGCCAAGCGGTTCGCCGGCTCGTCCATTGTCCCAAGTAATACAAAGCATCAGTGGTCTCGGTTGCGAATGCGAAGATTCACGCGACCGAATCTACAGCATACTCGGTCTTATCCAGGGTGGGAACACCATACAGGTTGATTACAGCGAGAATCTTCTGGGCTTGTATGTAAGAATTCTGCCCGGTCAATATATTGTGGAGAGTCGCAGAGCTGAAGCAATCACATTGGGAGAATATCTCGGTCTGAACTCGATTGATATTGACGAGATCTACGAGTACAGCAGAGCACTACTTGTCGATGACTTGGACGACGCCGCGAGCCAGACGTTGTGGAGTGTATGCGATATCCGGGATTTCCAGCATAATGGAACAACGATAGGCGCCTTTTCATGCTTGGAGACTTCATGGACCCACTGGCTACAGAAAGGTGATCTGTTGATCGGCATTGAGTTGAAGTTTGAATATGGCCAGTTCATATTCAAATATGGCCGCTTTGCGTTAGAGCTATCCCGTTCAAGCCCCGGTGTAGAGGATGCACAACACGGCTTGTAAAATCGAGCGAGGAGGCCTGGATCCGAATGGCTCAAACGTCCCTTTTCGATTCGACGCCGAAACCAGACGCAACACATGTTGCTGGCGTCAATGGCATGCACCGAACCCATGGGCTGCAGTGGCCGGATGATAGCCTCGAGACTGCTGAGAGTGGCACAGATCATATGCCGTCAAGCGAGTCCATTCGTGCTACTTACCACATGTCGCCAAGCTGGCCGCCATGGTTTCTAAAGATGAATGACGCATCGCTCCACAACAGCGCGTTGAGAATGTTTTCTCTCGGTAATCACCTTTGCAGGCTCTCAAATATAGCACTGCCTGCGCCTGGGTGCGGTAAAGAGAGTTGCTTCTGGAGCTTTAAGGACTTGATAGATTCGAACGAGCACGAGGTGCTAGGCCGGGTCAGGATCTTTGCAGGAACGCTGAACACTTTATTGAGCCCGATTCCTCCAGTGGCAGGTAATGACGACCTCAAGCGCGGTTGTAAGGTGGCCAACGAGCCTGATATAGGCATAGCCCTCGATCTGCGCGTTCCATGGCATGTTCATCAGGGGAGCCGAGATACAGATGGTGTTCCCTCTGCACAGGACCCGAGGTCTTTGATCAACTCCATAGAATCGAGCGACACCTAGTCGGGTTGGAACTGTATACTGCATGTACACTGATGCGAAAAAGTGAGCTATGCCTTCGATCTGCAATTTGCACAGAGATGAGCCGAGATAAACGCTGATATCCTCCCTTGGCCAGTCCAGGTGTCCTTCCATAACCCCGCAAGATCGAATGACACCATCTCCAGACAGGGCATTATGTACTGCACATGTGCTTATGCGGACTGAACGTCGGGCAAGCGTCGCACGGCCATGCAAGCAAAGCATGAGATTGGTGACATCGGAGCCTCAGGTCCCTCGAGAGCTTGAGGTTCATCTTTCTCGGGCACTCTGATCATGTAAGCCTGTGTCATACTAGTAGTGCGCCTGAGCATGCGAAACCTCACGCGAGGTATTCCCATACGCGTACACAGTCGAGGAGGCGTCGATCATTTCCCCATGCACGTAACGCAGACAGAAAAAATGATAGATAAGCTAGATCAAGAGGACGGGAACTTCGTGCAGCTTGACTGTGATCTACTTTTTACTATGGGCTCCTTGGTCCACATCCTCTCACGCACCACCTTCCACCAATACTCTCGTCCAATCAAATTTCCGCCACCGCTTCCTGAAACCCTCCACCTTCTCTCTGCTATTCGCGCCCTTCTCCCACCGACCCTGCTTCTTCCATACTTCCACTCCCAAGCCCAACATGCCCGCGCCGATGATCTCCCGCGCAAACAGATCGCCCCTCGGCCACCGGCCCTCGTCCTCCACGACATGTCCCAACCCGCCATCAATCTCGAACCACACGTGAAAATACGGCATTTCCTTCGCAATGCTCTTCCGGAAAGCAGTCTTCCCGAACCCACCACTCTTGGACTTCGCGAGCGTATCAATGATTTTCTTGTGCTGAGACCACTCCCCTTCCGTGCTCAAGAACGCCTCCTGGAAGAATGCTGGCGCCGTGCTGCCGAGTTCATAAGGTAAGGGAACAGCAACCATTGCGGCGTGCGGATGCCGGTTGGGCCGAGCGGCGTTCTCGTAGAAGATGACGGCGCGGCCTTGGTCGTGGTACATGCGTGTAAGGGACTTCTGGAAATTGCGGATCTCAGTCCATTCGTCGTCGTCGCATTCGAGGAGGTTGGTCCGGTGCTGGACCGGTACGATGAGCGCGGCGTAGGGCGAGAGGGAGGGCTCTGTGGGCAGTGTGAGGTAGGTGAGCGTTGCGAGTGATACGACCGGGGCGATGGGCGAGGGATCGGTCGGATGGTCTTCGTGGTAGCACAGCGCGCAGGACTCGAGGACGCGATTGAGCTTTTGGTAATCGTTGATGGCGATGTTGCGGATGGTCGAGGAAGATTTCTGGACGCGTTGGGCGAGTTTGTTCGCATTCTCGTCCATGTAGTCAAGGTCGTTGGTGAACTTGCCGTCCTTGGCGATGCGCTCAGCCATGTTGCGGCCAGCGTTGGCGGAGTTCGCAGTGCGACGCTCCTCGCGGACCATGTCGTCGATGGTCATGTCTTCGTTGTCGACGACGGTGCCGCGTTCAAGGCCACGGCGGTTGGTGACGGGTTTGACCTCGTTGCGTGGAGCGGAGGACAGCATGCGGTTGTCCATGGCAGAGAGCTGGATTATGGTGGGATCAGTGGTGGTCGAGGCGGCTAGAGCGGCGTTGTACTCGGCCTCGAGTTGGGTGAGATTTGGGTCTTTCTTCAATCGGGCCTTCATGAGTTGTGCTTTTAATTTGTTGAGCGCGGTTGAGTCGAGTTTTGGGGTCGGCGCGGCGACTGGGGCGGGTGCTTTGACGTTGTCCAACACGTTGTCGAATTCATCGTCGAGGTCCTCCTCTTTGTGTCTGTGTACACCGGCGTCGAGTTTGCGTTCTTGGTAGAGCTCGCCGCTTGGCTTTTCTTTGCCGACATAGTCTTTGCCATATGTCTTCCTTCGATCAAGCTCAATTTCTTCTTCTCGAGCGTCGTCGAACTCGCGTAGAGATGTGTAGCGCTCAAGAGCAACATCTTCGATCTTTTGACCCGTCTCTTCCGCCTTTCGATATACTGCTTTCAGAGTCGTCATGCGCCAATGCGAGCCAGCATCGCCAATCGTGTAGTTCACCTCGTGATTGGAAGGCAGGGCCTCCAGTTCCTCTTGCACTTGGTCATTCTTCAAATCCTTGAGGTGGTGATTTAGCTCCTTCTCGTGAATCTTCAGGTCCAAGCTCATGCCCAGCGTCGCAGCCTTGGGAGGTGACTCAGCTCTCTTCTTCTGCACATACTGGATGTCTGCACTGGGCGGCGCCTCCATCCACGAGTCACGCTTCAGCTCGGAGGTCTCGGCCGAGAGGATGGGCGATTGCTGTGCCTCCTCCTGGTCCGCCTGCTCATCTTTCCTGTGTTTGTGTCTATGTCGTCGTTCTCTGTCATCGTCTGCCTCGTTGGAGTGTCTCCGACGCTTCGAGCGATGGCCATCTCTGTCTCGATCCCGGTCTCGGTCTCTGTGACGCTCTCGATCCCGATCTCGATCATCGTCGCGATGTCGCGAACTGTGGTGGTGACTTCTATGGTGTCGATGTTCGGATTTGCGATCGGAGTGGGAGGATCGATGCCGCTTCTCGTCTTCTTCTTTGTTCCTGGCCAATTCCTTTTCGAAGTCTTCGAGTGCCATTTGGGCGTGCTGATCGGAGCCAGACAGAGCGACGTCGTTGCCTAAGAGTGCGAAATATTTTGGAAGACTGCAAGGAACGACGTCACAGGCAACTTTCGGGCTTGGCAGACGAGTCTCTTTCGCGCTCCGGCTCTCCTTGTCACTCCCAGCTTTCGACCTGGTGGAAGTCGTGATGGCTTTCAATACTGCGCTCGCTTTCGCGCGCGTCCACTCCGTAGAAGGCTCCCTGTTGATGGACACTTGCGGACGTAACACTACTAGATCGAAATCCCGTGACTTGCTTCTTTGCCTCGGAAATGTACCTGCATTCACTTACCCTCTCGGCCGATGAAGTGTAACTCAGTCACTGAAGCGACAGCAGGCAGCAACTGAACTCGAATCATACGAACACCAGTGAATGCCGTCTGGTTAAGCCATAATAATGGTTGCTTCGGTTCGCCTCGGGATATTGACCGAGTCAAAGGGTATAAGTAGTCGTGTGTCGTCCTCGACATCCTCATACTTCTCTACGCGGAAAACAAAATACACTCCTAACCCTTCGCCATGCCTTAGTTGCAAGCACTGCTACCTAGTGGGGCGAGGGTCATGAACAATCTACGCCGGCATCAGATACTGACTGCCAATGACTAGCCATCTGAGGGTGGTTCTAGATGCATAGGCCCTTGCAGCATCCTACCCGCAGAACTCGACTCAGGAATCTTTGCCGGCCCAAGTGGCGTCTGGCTTACTCGAGATGAAGCTGTCCCTACTTTTGACAGCCTCATACCAATCCTGCAACGGCTCATCTTCACCGTCTTTCTGCCAGCTAATCCCTCTCACATCTAGGAACCACAAGCAGCATGCCACAGCGATCTCTTCACCACCGAGAGTCCTGGGGAGTCCTGAATCAGCGCTCCTTCTGGCAGGCAGCAAGCCACCCCTAGCAGCATCTCTCAACACGCCAGAGCCGCGTTCGATCTTCTTCCGCATTCCGACGATCCACTGGTCCCACTTGATGCCCTCAGCCTCCCGCATCCTCTCTTCATACGCCACCAGGATCTCTGAATCCATCATCTGGTCTGCGCAGCGGTGCAGCGACTGCTTCTTCCAGTACATGGCGTCCTTCCTCACGTCCACTGAGTTGTCAGTATTGCCGCCTGCCAATCGCCCAGCAAAGTCCACAAGGAAGTCGCAAATAATCTTCGAGTCGTAGACCGCATACTCCTCACCACCCTGCCCTTCATTGACAACCAAAGTCGGAATCTTAGCGATGGGATTGAACTTTCCTAGCAGGTCGTTGTGCTCGCTCCATCCAGGAAAGGCTTTGGGTGTCACGACTGGCGCGACGACGATCTTCTTGGGGGTGATGTACTTGGTGAGGTCGTGCTCGATCGCGGTCATCCAGACTTTGCGTGCGAACGGGGAGAGTGGGTGGTGGTAGAAGGTCAGGGTGGGGATGTCGTCGGTTGCGCCGTTGATCGCCTGTAGGCTAGAGTCCGGGCTGACGGGCGGAGCTGCTGATGAGGTTAATGGCAACGCTGTAGTCATCGTTCGTGTTGCCGAGGCGATCTGATGGCTTGAGTCGAATACAGAAGCTGTGCGAAGTTGGGATGAAACCTGTGTGAGACGAGTGCGTGAGTGATGATCGGCTTCACACGACGAAGCAGAGGACATGCTAGGTCGTAAAGCAGAAACTAGTAAATGATACTACAACTCTCGTATAGTCTTGATCAATGTGTCCGTCCCCACCTGTTGCGAGACCACCAAAAGTCGTAACGTTATTCTCGGGTAGATTTAATCGACGCCGAGGTTCATTTCGGTCGCTTGCAAGGGAAGATCAATCACAGCGCATCTGACGAGGTACGGATGGCGTTTCCGCTTGCATATTGGCGACTACTTTGTGCCTGACGTTCTGCTAGACCCAACTTGCTTTGCGAAGAGGTGTTTGATAGGAACCTGGTGAAGGTGTTGAGATATCGTAGTAGGCAGGGATCTCAGGCAGCGAAAGGCGATGGGGACGCGCTGGCGGGGCGCCGAGAACTGCGGGGATCGCGGCGGTGGGCGGCGGAAAAGTGACGGCGACCCGCGTCACTTTTTTTGGTTCAAAACCTCACCGTGACCAACAACCGCGCGCCGCACTCTCTCTACGAAACCTCACCCACCGTCCCCTTTCAAATCCACGCCAACATGGCGACGCCCACTCAACCCGTCGCCGTAGTCTGCGTCGGCATGGCCGGCTCCGGCAAAACAACCTTCATGCAGCGCATCAACAACTACCTGCACCTCCAAAAGACCAAACCATACGTCCTCAACCTCGACCCAGCAGTGCTCAAAGTGCCCTTCCAACCCAACATCGACATCCGCGACTCGATAAACTACAAGGAAGTCATGAAGCAGTACAATCTCGGCCCTAACGGTGGCATCCTCACATCGCTGAACTTGTTCGCTACCAAGATCGATCAGATTATCGCCTTACTCGAGAAGCGCGCCAACCCTCCGCCACCAGATGCAAGCAGCACGAAACCAGTGGCTACGACGGCTCCACCGCCCAAGCACATCCTAGTCGACACCCCTGGCCAAATTGAAGTCTTCGTGTGGTCCGCCTCCGGCTCCATCCTCCTCGAATCCCTCGCCTCTTCCTTTCCCACCGTCATCGCCTACATTATCGACACGCCTCGCACGGCATCGACATCGACGTTCATGTCCAACATGCTGTACGCGTGTTCGATACTCTACAAGACGAAGTTGCCGATGATACTGGTGTTCAACAAGACGGATGTGAAGGATGCGGAGTTTGCGAGGGAGTGGATGACGGACTTTGAGAAGTTTCAGGATGCGCTACGAGAAGAGGAGTCAAGAGGCGTGTTTGGTGGAGAGGGCTCTGGTGGAGGTGGGAGTGGGTACATGAGTTCGTTGCTGAACAGCATGAGTCTTGTGCTGGAAGAGTTCTATGCGCATTTGAGTATGGTTGGGGTGAGCGCGATGAGTGGAGATGGAATCAAGGAGTTCTTCGAGGCGGTGGAGGAGAAGAGACAGGAGTTCGAGAGAGATTACAAGCCGGAGTTGGAGAGGCGGCGGAAAGAGAGGGAGGAAGAGAGTGCAGAGAAGAAGAAGGATGATTTGACGCGGTTCATGCGGGATATGAAAATGGAGGGACGTGGAAAGGAGACTGCTGTTCGTGGAGATGCACCAGTAGACGTAAGCAGTGAAGAGGAAGAAGAGGAGATGGATCCAGAAGACTACCCCGATGCCGAGCGAGAGGATCCAGACATCACTTTGCGGAAGCGGTACGAAGCGGCATTGCGAGCGGGCAAGATCGACGGGGATGAGGCGGCGGCTCAGAACGCAGCTGTGAGAGGGATGCGCATGTCGTGATAGACGGCGCACGCGGCTGGACGGAATACTACGAACGAGCATCACGATGCTTTGTACCTTTGCAACAGAGGGCGGATCAAATCACGAAAGACCGTTCGTGCAGAACGGCGCAGAATGCCTGAATATGCAATACCGAAACTGCCTACATATTCACGCCAACGACCCGCCTGAGTCGGTCGTGTTGTCCAGGTTGTGGGCAATGTCTGTTGAAAGTGCTGCGCGGTGCAGCGGGCACCGTCCCACCCTTCGAGCACTCAGCGAAGCCAGCGGCCTGAGAAGAGATGCAGAAGGCCGCGTCATTCTTGGGATGCTCGACATACACCAGCTACAAGCAGACAATGAGACTCGGTGAAGCCGACGAAGCTGACGGCATCAAATGAAAGCCCGATCAAATATCGATGAACTGTGTCAGCGGCTCACGTGTGCTGCTATCCCGCGGGCTCAACTTGTCATCGACCCTGCGATCCCCGGGCGACTCTCTGCTCTGCTCACTGACCAGCTCAGCAAAGCACAATGCCAAGACCTCACCGCCAGCACTTTCCAGGGTTGCTACATATCCCACACCCACTGCACCATGGTGCCCCTATGCAGAGGAGCCCGTTCGAGGCCAATGGTCACGGAGGACTGGGTTTCAACGACTCAGATACAGATTCGCAGAAGTCGAAAATTACTTAAGTAGTTCTCTCGAGAACTATTTCAGCGATTATGGGGATCCTGCTGGCGCGGGGGAGGAGTGACCTGGATATGGGTTCTTAGACTACGGATGTGACCTGGCTGCCTCTCCCCGTCTTTCGAACGTGGTTTCGAGGCGGGGAAGGCAGGGCTAGCTGTTTCGGATTTTCGATGGCATGGGGAGCATAGGGAGGTCGCCAAGACTTTCGCCGCTTTGCGAGCGTGGCCACATCCTGCCGAAGCTGCGACCTGTCACCTGGTGGCGGGTATTTCCAGAGGTTCGCGGGAGGGCTTGTACATCCCGAGATGCAGCTTTGCCGCAACCTGAGGCAGCAATGGCGCGTGTGTAGATGAGGAAAGGCTCGGCCGGCGCTTCTTGAACAACGAGTAGTATTTGCAGACTGACTGCATCGTGCGATACTTCCATAGCAGAAGCAGAGCATGCAAACCTATTCTACAGTGCATAGTCTTTGATAGCAGCAGCCTCTCGTTGGCCGCCATCGACTTTCCCTTGCCGTGCTGAATTCAGCAAACCCCAGACATAGCAGCTACAGGATTTACTCATCGTCTACCCCTCCCTCCACCAAATCGCCCACCACCAGCACGCTTCGCCCGACTGCCCTTGTTCTTGATCTTCAGGGTGCGGAAGTTCATGTGTGATTGTAGATTCGGGTTGATCTTCCGAGGTGCCAGATCGTCTTCCTCCAGATCTTTGGCCGAAGGCTTCTTCTTGGTGGTGGCTTTGGCGCCCTTGCTCTTTGCTGCAACTGTTGCTCTGCTGTTGGGCTTGGTAGAATCTTTGGCCTTGCTTGTGGTCTTGGTCTTGATGGAAGAGGAGGAGAGCCTGCCGTTTTTCTTCCCTGCAAGATCAGAAGCTGCGGCGATGCCGTCTTCTTCTTGTTCATCTTCCTCGTCGTCGTGATCATATTCGTCGTTGTCCTCGTGCTGCACAGTGAAGCTCGAAGTCCCTCTGCCGTCGTCCTCGTCGTCATCATTGATGCGATTCGTGGGAACCTGCTGCCGTCGCACTGAACGATTTGGCGCAGGAGATTTGCTTACTGCTCTGACACCGAAGAGCTCGTCGTCACTGTTGGCGAAGATCTCGGCTAGGAGCTCGTCATCAGAGAAGTCGACGTTGTCCTCCTCGGCTGCAAGTGTGGCGGTTGAGTCTGGCAGTTGTGTTTCCTCCACGTTCTGCATGTCATCGGCGTCGTCCTCAGGTTCCAGTGGCAGCTCCTCGGCGTCTTGCTGCGCTTCCGGGCTCTCTTGCCGGTACTTGGGATCTTGTATGCGGACCTTGCTAGGACGCATTATTGTACGTCGTGTTGTGCGTTTCTGACCGCGCTTCTTCCACTTCCGGGGAGGCTCCTCGCCAGGTTTCGCAGTATCCGCATCCTGCAGCTGACTGTCGTCTACGAGTACGTCGCCCTCGCCTTCGATCTCACGCAATGCATCCAAGTCATCATCGTCTCCAGCTGCTTCCGCCACGGCTTGCGCACGCTTCTGCACCTGCTCGGCTTCTCGGTCTTTGATTTGTTGTGCGATCTGGGAGAGTGATCGAGGATTGTACCTTGACTTTACCAGATGTCGAGGCATGGAGCGTTTGGCTGTCAAAGTCGCTGCGGGATTGCCTTCCAGATTGACCTCGCCCGACTCCCTTCCCGCTGCAGTGGTGGAAGCAGAAAGTAGTCGCTGCTTGAAGCTGTGGCTGCGTTTGAGATATGCCGGTGTTTGGTCCACATCTCCATTTTCTATCGGCTTAGCTGGCGTCCGCCCCAGTACCCGGTCGAGCAGTGGTGTGGACGCAGTCTTGGATCTTGGTGTAGCGTTCAGCATTGGTGGGCCGCTCAGCAACTCATCGGCGTTCGGATCGTTCAACATGGAAGCATATCGGACGGCTGATGGTGTCGCAAAGAATTGACTCAAGGCGAATTTCCGTCCATCTGAGGCTGGAGTGCGTGAGTGTTTGTTCCGTCGGGTAGATTGTGGAGTGCTCTTTAGGTGGTCCAACAGGTCTCCCTGTCCTGATCTGGTGCGCGCTCGAGCAGGAGTCTGCGCTGCGACTGGTGGCTTGTCCTCGCTAGTGTCTACTCTTCCTTCCATAACGAGTTCATTGACGAGTCCGTCTTCTACAAACGTAGCCAGTTTCCGTTTCCTGGTGTTGGGTGTCCTGCTACCGCTAGCGTCCAGCATATCAAAGATGCCCATGACTTGTCCATCTCGCTGCGGCGTTGGTCCAAGGGAGGTGATATGTGGCCGAGGAGAGGCAGAAGAGGGTGGCGCATCATACGGATCGAGGTCATTCGGTTTGAGGTGACCAAGAACTTTCCGTGGCGTTGCTATCGATCTGGTCTTGCGCGGAGTGGTTGCGTAGGTGGAAGATGCTCTTTTCGACTTCCGCAGAGGTGACACATGCTCGTCGAGAACGTCCTTCGGTAGCTTGCCGCTAAGAACATCTCGGACTTTGTTGTACTGCTTGTACTTCGCTGCTATTGCCTCATCGTTCTTAATGTCACTACGGTCCGGTCGGCGGTTGTTCCGCGCGAAGAAGTCACGCTCGTATTCTTTGAGTTCCGCACGAATGATGGTTGACTGGTCTGATAGTGATGTGCGGAGAGGAGTGTCCAGTAGTGACATTGCGGGCCATTGTTGTCGACGGCAGTCTGGTCTCGAGAGAGCGCTGCCAGTGGTGTGCCTAGATTGTGGAGAGGCTCGGAGTAGAAGTTGCGACGCGCTCAGGTCGAAGTCGCGTAAAGCAGCTACGGCGGGTTAGAGGCATGAAAGCTTCAGGCAGTGAAATTCGAGCATTCAAAAAGCGCCAGGCCTCGCGTCTTGCTTCAATCTTCCTACAAGCTGACATTGACATTGCATTCATAAACACTAGGCCAACATTTCGAGTCAACGTCCGGGCTCATGTTGTTGTTGTATTGATCTTAAAGCCGAGCATCGGCTACTCAATTCATTCCACCACGAATGTTATCGTATTTGCTCTCCGGATACTCCAAACAGTTTTGTTCCTCCACCAAAGCATTCTTTCCACCAAAAGCCGTCACAAACCCTTCGATCAGACTACCATTCCCCGTTGCCCGATCACCAGAAGTCTCCCACCACATACTCCCGCCTAGACCCTTCTGCTTCACGTAGTCCGCCTTGGCTGGGGTCATCTGCAGAGTATCATAACTGATCATGGTCTGAGTAGAAGGATTGAAGCACCAACTTGCGCCAAGCTGCGCATCGTACTGCTCTGCACAGCCATCCTTGGGAAGCACCTTGTAGTCCCAGATGCCCTGCTCCCAACTGCCTTCGCCGACACCTGAGTACGCAGTACCGGGTCCGGCGGTGTTCTGGAAGGCTCGACCATACAGCGGCATGCCGAGCACCATCTTCGACGGGCTGACGCCGTTACTGGTGTAGAAGTTGATGGCAGCTTCGGTGCTGAAGGGTGTTGAGGTAGGGTTGCCCTGACTGGCGTACAGGTTTGCTTGATGTCCGGATGTCTGGTCCCAACTACCGGCATAATCGTAGGCCATGAGGTTCCAGAAGTCGAGATATTTGTCCATGTCGGCGACTTTAAGCTTTTGGAAGTTGGTTGGACCGGCAGGGCAGGCGACGGTGAGGAAGAAGTGTGGCTTGTTCTGTCTCTTGCTCGCGGCCGCATCTAGAGCAGCTCGAACTTCGGCCAGCAGCAACACCCAGTCGTTGGCTTCGGCGTCGTTCTTCGGATACTCCCAGTCGATGTCCAGACCGTCAAACCCTACGTCTTCCATGATCTGGACTGCTGACTGAGCAAACATCTTTCGGCCCGCATCGGTGCTGGCTGGTTGAGCAAAGTTGGAAGAGTACGTCCAGCCGCCAATGCTTAGCAGGACTTTGAGGTTCCGGTTTCGTTTCTTGTGGAGGAATAGTTGTTTGACACATCCGTAGGCGTTGGTGCCGGTATCCTGCCAGCTGTCGCCCTCCCAGTGGATCTCCGTATCTGCCCATGAATCTGTGAGGTAGACTTCGCCGGAGTCTGGGCGAACATTGGCGAAGGCGTAAAGGACATGTGTAAGTTGCTCAACCGGGATCTGTTGAGGCTTGTGTGCTCGACCGTAGATGGCCCAATTGACGAAGTATGCCACGCTCCGGATTCCCTGCCCACCGCCCATGTTATCTGTCGCAGTCTGGTCAGCGGAGGTTTCACGACGCATCTGGTTGTGCAAGTGCCGATGCACTGGTTGGCCTCCATATTCGGCAAGGGTCAGGCCGCATAGCGAAAGGACCAGCCCCAAAAGCTTGTAAGGCTGCATGCTTGAGGCTTGGCAGAATCGCTATCGTGGCAGTATGGCAACGTGGTCCAGTCTCAGGGTGCACAAGAAAGATATAGGCATACCTGATGTACTGTGTTTGGCCTCGTGGACAACACACCGTTCTGACGCGGATGAGATTTGGAAACGCAGCCGTGACAACTTTCTTTGTCTTCGTTCTCAATCAAATGACTGGGCAATAGTGTGGTACCAAAGGAGATGCGAAAGGAACAAAGGAGATTGCATGTGCACGGGACGAAAGCGGTTGATGTCTATGCTCAGGCGCTGACTTTATGTGACTTGTCGCCTTGCACCGCCACAACAGGATGACGTACGGCTGTTTCGGGTTAGCTTGGCGGATGGTTCCGTGCGCGTGGCTGTGGCAGTGCAGGGCGGCGGGTAAATAAGTCTTGAGGCACAGAGCGCGTCGCCTCTCGCAGTCGTCGCTTGCCGGCATGATCACGCGTTGTCGGGATTTTGAAACACCTAGAGACGATGGAGCTGGGCGTCGCCTGAGGTTTCAACGGCGACGTGCTGCGGCGATGACAGGTGCCCCAGATTGCGGTCCAGATTTGAACTTCGGCCCTGGCCAATTTTCAGTCATGGTTGTCGCGCTCAGATGCAAAGATGAACAGATAATTCGACTACGACGACAAATGCCTTCCGAGACTGCTGCGAGTGTGCTATTGGTAAGAAGTTGAAGCCACCGATGATCATGTCCCTGCCCAAGTGCCAAGACCGAGTCTGCCTTGTTCCTGCCCAGCGAGGGAGGACCCTCGTGCGCATAACCCGAGACATCAGTCATCTCTTCCCATCATACTTCCCTCGAGTGTTTGAACGATCCCTTCGTCGTGCTGCTGCAAACTCAATTGATGACCGACCTACCTAGGTAGTTGCATGGCTGCTGTCGACTAATCAAAAAGCCTGATATTTTATTGTTGCCACGCGGTGCCGGTTGGTAGCTGCCTCAAGGGTGTGACTGGATTGACATAGCATTCGAACGCCCTCACTGGGATGCCATCTTGGACAATTCGGCATTGAGATTCAGCAACCGAAGGAGGTACGTCCAAGACACATCGAGAGTCCGCCGTCATGATCTTTCAGATCATCGGAAGATGTCGTCTATTGCCTCGCCCTGGTCCCCCTGTCACACTCGGACACCTTGATCGGATTTCTTCTACACGGCGACGAGGAAGGTGATAGTTGCGGAAGCTGAGGCTTCGGTTGATGAGAAAATCAGACACTGCCAGTGCCGATGAGGCTCGGCGGATGCGGGGCTCTCGCTGTGATGTCAGACACTCTGATTGGTGTGCAGATTCGTGCTCCAGGTCAGTTCGTATCGGCTTCTAGACCGACCTGAGCGCTCGTGCAAGAGTGGGTGATGCCGCCATTGTGTACAGACCCTCACAGCACATGCGAACGTCGCGGGCCTACTTTGACACAGCGCGATAACAGACGTAAGCACTGCGTGACCAGACGTTTCTTTACGAACAACCGGACTACCATTGAATCATTGTTGCTGCGCTGAGAAGACTGACAGACACAGGGTCGACACTGTCGTCCAACATGTCTAGGCGATAACGATGGCAGCCTCTATGGCGCGCGCGCAACAGGATGGCACTGCAGCAAACACTCGAGCACAAACCGCTGGAGTCACCTGAACGGCAAATTCGCCTTCTAGAAATCAGTGCCACCGATAATGGCGAAACGCAGTATCAGCTTACCACGTACATTCTGGGCGATGCCACATGCCTCATTTCTATGCTTTGTCGTACGAATGGGGCACCGACCAACCCAGCCATGCGCTGAACATTGACGGAAAGACTTTTCCAATCCGCAAGAATCTCAAGCTCTTCCTCGATCGGATTCATAGCAGTACACATGCTTTTATCCGCCCACTTTGGATTGACGCCATATGCATCGACCAGTGCAGCAACTCAGAGCGCAATGAGCAGGTGAAGATCATGGGAAGGATATTCGCCGAAGCAATTCTGGTTCTTACGTGGCTAGGACCGAAGTCCATGGAAGATGGAACGCTTGTCGAGACGGAGGTCACGTTACAGGACTGGAGAGACTCCGACGAGTACGCTCGAATCAAGGAAGGACAGGTAGTTGAGAGACCGAGCGTTGTAAGTCTTCGAGATCCGTATGGTCAAATGTGGAATTGCCTGCAGCAGTTGTGCCAACTCAGCTATTGGAAGAGGAGATGGAGTAAGCTCTGCTTCGCGTTTGCACTTGTTGACATGCTGATGCTCGTACAGTAATACAAGAGTTGATCAAAGCAAACAAGCTGCTGTTCTTGTGGGGCGTCGGACAAATCACTTGGGATGCGCTGTCCGCGGCCTTTCTCGCTGTCCTCTCAGTGAATCGCCACAGAAGGTCATCTGCTCCGATAACGATGACAGGACCCTGGGACGCAATATACACCTCGATTCCGTTCAGTGTGTGGCAACATGTTCACGACATTCATGTCAACCATCGCCTTCTGCAAGTCATGGAAACATACCAACACTCGCAGTGTTCTGTATTCCATGATAAAGCGTACGCTCTGACCGGGATCTCGACTAATGCACATCAGCTGCAGGTCGACTACGATAAGTCACTGCCTGATCTTTACGCCGATCTTATGGATCTCGAACCGAAGTCACCGCACTGCCTCAAGTACAGCAAGCTCATCCTGGACGCGCTCTGCATAGACAGGAAGAAGTGGGAGACTGGACCTGTCGTTGGGAAGACTGTCATCAGTAAAGCTCTCAAGATCAGCCCAGTAACTGCGGTGTCTACCGTTCCGAGTCCGGTGACTCCAGCATTGATTGACACCGAGATGTGGGAGCTATTCCAATCAGCAGGCGCGATGAGCATATCGAAAATGAACGAAATCATTCGGTGGGCCAAAGATGCCTATTCTGAGATTTCTGCCAAGACCCATCGTCTTCAAAGGGTGTCCTATTTTCTTCTGCTAGATGGGCAAGTTGGCATGTCGATATCTGCCGTCACACCAGGCAGTGTGGTATACATGGTCAACGGCGCCACGGAAGAATCGGATCCACTTTACCTGTGTCAATCGAGTGAGCACCATCGGGTCAGCTCAACGTCGTCGGTGTCCTCTTTGAGTCGAGAGGTCTCACGAACGAACCGCGTCTGGCTCGCGCCATCAACGAACGCCACATTCGAGGACAGCGGACTCAGTGACAGTCTCGACATTCGGCTTGGTGACCTTTACGACATGAACGGCAGCCTGGACTGGGATATTTCACCAGACACGCCGCTGCCATCGCCCACAGAAGCGCCAACCAGTCCTCAACTGAAACTACGCAGACCACACTCCGACAATGCCGAGATTCGATCTCCGCCGCACAGGTCTAGCACCGCTGGCTCGTCGTCGATTGATGAAGCATTGCGTCCGAGACCGAGGACAAAGACGTGGCCACCTGTGGAGGGTGAGGAGGAAGTGGCCAAGACTGATGGTTGGTACATCGATGCCTTGGCGAGAAACATGAGGGATAAATTGTTTATAGGTCCAAGCGGCAAGATGAACACGCCGGATTGAGCGGGCGTCGTGAAGGACCTCGATCCGAGTTTCGAAACGTCCCCACGACAACGTCTCTGTGCGAAAGATCATCAGGAGTACAAGAGATTGCCGGTTTACAGCATGTACAGACGGAGTGTTGCTTGGCGGGAATGTAAAGACTTCGAGAAGCTGAGGCGCAGGCCTGCCCAGTGTCTATGCGCTGCGTGGCATCGATGAGGACCACGATTAGCTACGAGAGCTCTCGCATCCGTCAGCTTGTGGATGTAGCAATCATCTTTGTAAATCGTCGTGTAGCATCAAAAGTACAACGAAGATGACACGTTTGAAACGTGAATATAAATACCTATATTTGCGCAGGGATCCCAAGCGTGGTGACGACGAACCCCACACATGCGACGCCGCCTTCCGTCATTTCCACCTTCCGATCTTCGACTGCACGTATCAAGTTTCCCACACGTCTATCACTCACACCACAGACCGTTGTATACGCTCTCTCATTGCATCGCTGTTCGCTACCACATTCTTCCGCCGCTTCGCCATGTTCATGGCGACTTGGCGATTCCGCGCTCTTTAACAACATTCCCGATTTCCATCCGCTGGTCGACATGCAGTTGCGCATAGCATGGACTTGGAAGACGCCGAACCAGGATTCCAGAATGAGGAACAATTCTGGGATGGTGAGTCGACGTTCTGGGCGCCCCGGCAGATCGCTGACGAGGAGATTACATAGCCCTCGAGGACACAGTCTCCCAGGAATGCGCCAGTCATAGCCACATTGACGACGCCCTGCGATCCTACCTAGATCTGGTCGCCGGCTCGAAGGGTATGCTTTCCTCAGATACGAGACGCAGCGACGAGTCTGATGAGGGAGACAGATCAGTTTGAAGAAGCCAATCAACTACTGGCGCAATGCGCGTATAGGTTGGCCAGCTCGCCGCTGTTCACTCAGCATGCGGAATACATACGGAGGCAGTTCATACACAGTCTACTGCAGGTATGGACTGCAGGGACCAGGTTGGATGGGAGACACTAACTTGGAACAGGAAGACGACCCAGACACGCTGCTCATCACATCCTCCTTCCTCCTTGCCGATGCCCAAAGCGCTGAAAGAGTATTCGAGTTGCTGAACGATGAGGGCGCCTTTCCGAGGCTGGTCAGCCTCATCACCGACCCGACCTTAGACAATGTCGATTCGGTCAGAAGACTGATCATGCAGATGCTGTACGAGATGTCCAGGATACAGAAGATATCCGCAGATGACTTGGGTATGCGATTCCAATATCAGCCAAGACAGGCAATTGACAACTCTTCACAGCTTGTGTTTCTGACGAATTCGTGGCATCACTGTTTGACCTGATTGAACACGTGTCTGGCAACGTCAACGATCCGTACCACTACCCCGTCATACGAGTCCTGCTTGTCCTGAACGAGCAATTCATGGTCGCCGCCCACGAGCCTAGATCGAAAGATCCCGGTTCAGCCCTGACAAACAAGGTCGTCAAAGTCTTGTCGGCGCAGGGCAACAAATACAAGACCTTTGGCGAGAACATTATTCTTTTACTGAACAGAGAAGGTGTGTTGTCCGACCTCAGATACTGGACATGTACTAATGATCGCAGACGAGACATCGTTACAATTGCTGACCCTCAAGCTCTTATATCTCCTCTTTACCACGCCTCAGACCTATGAATACTTCTATACCAACGACCTTAGAGTCCTGGTTGATATCCTTATCCGGAACCTACTCGACTTGCCGGAAGATGCAACATCACTTCGGCACACCTACTTGCGAGTTCTATATCCTTTGCTGGAGTATACGCAACTCCAGCAGCCGCCACACTACAAAAGACACGAAATCATGAAGTTGTTGACAGTCCTCGGCGGCGGACACGTCATTGACCACTCTGAGCGAGCTGACTCGCCAAACAACTGGTCACATTTCGACGAGATAGACGAGACCACCAAAAGGTTGGTCAACAGGTGTAAAGGCGTCAGTTGGCTCGTCGATCCCGAACTGGCCGCATCCCAGGTGGACGACGACATGTCTGGGCCACCATCACCAGTGTCACCTACCAAGCCTGCGCCACCAGCATTACCCGCACCTCGCAAGTTGAAGAAACGGCATTCTAGTAAAAGCTCAACTTTGACCATCGGCCAGTATCTGGCTCCTCAGCTTGAATCGGCACGACAGTCCAGCTTAAGTATGGCAGAGATTGCTGCTCAAAAGGAGAAGCCTGGCGTTATTACGCCGAGCCGCAACGCAAACAGCAAGAACGATACGACGGCGCCGACGGCTGATGGACGGGAAGGAGAAGGCGATATGGCAAAACCGAATAAGCCGCCTCCGCCAAAGGCGAGAAGGTCGGGCTGGGGAGGACTCAAGACGCAAAAGACGTCGGAATCTGTCGAGGCCGAATCGCCCGTCCAAGTTCTTGGCTCACCAGAAGAATTGAAGAACGACCCGGTGGACGAGGTGCAGTCACCCGAGACCCAGTCGCCGGTAGAACAGAGGACGTCGCCAACGACAACGACCAACATGATGCCTCCGCCTACAGACACATCTACGATCGCACCCAAAAAACCGCCACCAGCACCCAAAGCTCGTCGCTGGCAATTCAAGCGTAGCAAAGATTCCGAAGCACTGCTGACGTCAAGCATACGCGAGCCGGGAAAGTTCGACACCAAGCTTCCCTCAATCAAGACCGACGGCATTACCACCGAACGATCACCATTCTCTCCGATAGAAGAAACAAAAACATTATCGCCGTCACAACTTGGCGAAACCACCGAACACCCGCAAACGTCCGTGAGTCAAGCACTGGAGGAGGCTCAAGCCCAAGCAGTGCAAGTTATTGGCGAGACACTGGACAAGACTTCCATCGTGGATGAGAACGAACAACTGTCGCCTCTGACGGCATCGCAGAGCGCGGCATCACAGCAGTCACAGCCTCTGGAGTCAATAATGGAGCATCGTCCGATGTCGCCGCAGCAGGAAATCGGAACGCCGAATATAGAAATCACCAGACCGCCGCGAGCGGTTCTGGCTCCGCCGACTCCGGCGCCGGGAAGGGGCGTGCCGGGGCCGACGGTCGAGTTGGAGAGGAGTCCATTCTTGAGTGATGCTGAGCTCGAAGTCGAGGACGACGGCCCAAGTAGGAGTAGTGACGAAGATGACGACGGAGAGGGGAAGTGACTTGCGAAATGCAACGAGCTTTGTGGATTTCGTATGTAGAGCTGTGGCGTGCGTCGCCTGGTCTCAAGGCCAGATCTGCGGCTACTGGTCAAGTGTATATCAGGAAAGGAGGCGTGACATAGCCATCCCTCGACTGCTTCGACTATTGCTTCGTCCCGAAGACGAAAGAGGTGTATTGCTGGCTGGGTCTTGCATGATGTGTTTGCCTCAATTTCCTTTAGCCTCGTGTCTCTTGTCCCGGACAACAGGCTCGTCTTCTACCACAACAACACGACTTTTCCGATCACTGGTTCCAGCTCGTCGCGATCTGCTTCTGTTGTCCGTCATCACAGCAACATCGTTGGTTACGGGGCCAGAAACAGCATCTCGTCGCAGAGCCCTCTTGCTTGCCTCGATCTCAGCCTTAGCTTTCTCGAGCTGGGCCGCAAGGCGATTGGCTTTGGCTTCTGCCTCCACTTTGTCGAGGCGCCTGTTCGTGGTGATGTTGTTGAAGTCGTGCGTCAGGTCCTGGATGGCAGGTGTTGTGTCTGCACTGTCCGTTGTGGTAAGCTGGTCCTTCCTATCGTAGTACTTACGATCACGACTATGAGGGCGACCTGCACCACTGTAAACGCCTGAGTCACGGCGCCCAAATTGAGCGCTGATACCACCGTCTCCAGAAGTGGATGGCGTTTCGACCACAACAGGATGTTCGTCAGGGTCGAAAAAGAAGTTGACGCCACGAGCCTTATCCTTGCCTTTCCTGCGGCGCGGCTCTTCGACAATTAGAGGGGGCCCAACAGTTGGGAGCAATCCGTGCTGTGAATGACTGCGAGTGGCGGAAGGTGATCTGCTGATGGAGGGCTCATCTACAGGTTGAGATTGCTCGGCGGAGGGCGAGTCGGCAGGTCCGGCATGTTCGGCGTCGGTATGCTTTGGCAGCAGTTCCTCTCTGAGGAGGGGAGCGACTATATGCTCATGGATCCTCTCGCGAGCACGGTCTGAGAGCGGCACGCCTCCGCTCCCAGCCACAGCGGCATCGTTGCTGACTTGGAGGTCAGGTTGCTCGGTTGGACTCACGGTTGCTGCTGTGGCTGTCGTAGGATGTCGAGAGACTCTTACAGGGAATCGCGTGGCGGATGGTGGTGGAAGACCCCTGCGCTGACCTTGACGAGAGACTTGAGGCTTGCCGCCCTCGGCCACAGTAGCTTCGCTGCCGACTTGGAGGTCAGGCTCGTCGGTTGAGGATACGCCTGCTGCTGTGGCTGTGGCAGCATTTTCAGAGACTCTTACGGGGAAACGCGTGGCGGATGGTGGTTGGAGACCGAGGGGTTCTGACCCGCGCTTCAATCTCCTAGTAAGCCAGCCGGGTGCTAGTTTCGCCAGTGCCGGCCGTTTGTCGCCTTCGTCGGCTTTTCTGGGCGGGTGCTCTGGTACAGGAGTTGACGCAACGGGAACCGAGCTTCCCTCCAAACCTCCGCGATCGGTGCTTGACCCGGGCACGTCACTGTCGGACCCAGAAGGCTGGTCGAACAAGAAGTGCGCCGCCAGTTCCTCGTCCTTGTCGCAGGCGAAGTAAGCTTGAATGCATGAGTCTCTATCGAAGCCAAGTCGAACAAGCCGCTCAATGGCATCTCGCTCCTCGGCTGTAATACTGATAGTCCCTGGTGGAAACGGGTCCTTATTATCATCATCATCGTCCTCTCCAGCAAGCAATTCTATGAACCTTTCTGGGTTCTCTGCGATCATCCGAGCAAGCTGAGGATTCCCTGCACTGAGCTGTTGGAGGATGGGTTCAAGCATATCTGGCTGCTGCTGTACGACCTGGCGGAGTTGTTTGAATTGTGGGTTGTTGCGGAAAAAGCTTAAGTCGGCAACATCTTCGCCAGCGAGGCCCTCAGTCTTGGATTGGGACAAAAGTTGCTCCACATTCGGCTCTAAAGCATCCTCAGCCGCGTCAACAGTCGACTCGCGAGGGCTTTCGTCCAAGATTGGCTCTGCATACTGGCCGGGTTTGTTTATGGCAGCCTGGGGATCTCTTATGAAGTAAACCATTTCGCCAGCAATCTCCAGAGGCAGTTTCTTGGCCTCAATCAACTCCTCGACGACATCGTTGAGCTCGTCGATAGTGCTGTAAGAGCCACTGTACCGTGTGGAAGCTCGGGGCTTCTCGTCCTGCTCGACCAATGTAGCCCGAATCTCAGGATGGCGGATGGTAGTTTCCAGGCCGTCGCATGTGATAATAACATAACCTTGATGGATTCTGATCTCGAAGTCATATGCTGTCCTCGTAGTCTCCGTGGGGAGGGTTGGAAGTGCTACAGGTTCCTCAGTGGTTGGATGGTTAGCAGACTGAGAACTTTCACCCACACGATCTCCGACGTCGACTTGAACATCACGCCGCTCACTTGGACTCTTTTCAGGATTCGAGACCGTTGATGTAGTTCTTTTGGGGTGGGGCAGCGATTCGGGCCCCTGTCTCGAGGGAGCGTCTGGCGCAGGTTGCGCTCCAACGATCATCTGAATATCGTTTGGCAACTCATCAACAACGTAGAAGATGGAGCGGTTCAAGTTATCTCCGCTGACTGTGACAGGTCCCCATTCGAGCTCCACCGTACGATCAAAACGACTCTCACCAAGAATACCCCAGATGATCAGCGGTTCGTCCAGCATCGTTACTCTGTGTGAACTGAGCACATCTTTGAGTATGATTTTCATGTCGTGCCCAGGATCCAGTCTGGCGCGAACGCGTTTCAGTTTTGGTCTGGACTCTGCTCGAGCGTCTTCTTCTGAGCTAGCGCCAGCCTTGATTATGAATTCTTTGAAGACCACTGGCATACCGTCCTCGAACATCTTTATCCCTGTCGAGCTCGCTGGCGAGTGTGCCTCGATTTCATCCGGTAGCGAAATATCATCCAGCTCTCCTTCACGGGAGTCTGCATCACCGAGTTTCTGCGCCTTGGAATCGAGCTCACCCGCATCGCTACCTTGCTCCACACCATTTGAGCGCGGTAGGTTGCCCAACGCAAGCAGCTCGAGATGCCACGCGACGTGCTTTTGCATTTCAGCCGAGGAGACGATTGCAATCAAGCAGAAAGGACAGTGTCGGCCAGATTGTCTCGACCCCGTCATCCGAGCGGCAAGCGCTTCGCTCCTCAGCATGTCATTAGCATCGGCTGCATGAAACTGCCTGGCGTGCACCGCATACTCATTCGACGTCGTGAACTCTTCATCCGTGTGTTCCAGGCAGACCCATACCTTGCTATGCGTCATTTCATGCGACGTCCAGTCAGCGAGCGAGTCATAAAGGTGATCGGCATTGTCGCAATTGGGGAAGGTGCAACTGTATGGCATAAGATCATGTATCAAGTGTGACTTCCATGCTGCAGAAGTTTCCTTATATCGCACTGGGCACAGATTGAAGCAGTACGGGCACTCAAACAATTGGCCGTCCGATACCTCTTTCAGACCTTGAGGTATTGCTGGCCATTCCGCACGTTGACCACCTGGGCCACGCAAGGACGGAGCTCGAGTGACAGCAGACCTCACAGAGGCCTTCTCGCCGAAGTCAATTTGCTCCTTACGGACTCTGGTCACACTAGACGGCATTGAAGGAGCGAGGACAAGCGCTGGCTTCGTCAAGGCGGCAACAGCGTCCTCGCGCATCGGTCTGGGCGCCTCCGACTGGAAATCAGGTTTCGACATCAGGTGATGGGCAGCATGAGTGCTGTTTTCGTGACGGTATCTCCAATATACGAATTGTTGTCTGCGTTGACTACAAGCTCTCGCGAGTCGGGCGATCAGCGCCGCGTCTTCGTTGTTCATCTCGATCTCCTCGGACGCGTCGATCATTCCTTCGTGATCGGACTTCCTGGAGAAGTAGACAAAGTCGTATATTCTGCGTTGCTCCAAAGAAATGAGCTGCTTCTTCATGGCTTGTCGATCTTCGGATGGCACTTTGTAGACGTTGCGTCGACCTGGATTAGACCGCGTACCATAGTTTCGAATCGTACGTGCTAGGCGAAATAGTCGTCGCAGTATATTCTTCATCGAGGTGACTGTCGCTTGCAACTCATCCATGTCGTCCTCTTCTGCAGACGAGTCGTCAGAGTCATCCTCAGGCGCCAGAGATCCTATGGCTCTCTCAGCGCTCGTTTCGACGAACTTTCGAAAGCCTTCCAAATTTCGTGCAAGGTCTTGCAGGAGATCGCGTACAAGCTCAACCGTCTCCGGAACGTCCTGAAGTCGATAATCAAGGGATGTGTGACCGGCATCGAGGGCGCCGAGGTTGGCAGTCCACATGAGAAAGTGCTCTTCGGCGTCTGACAGGTCCTGTCGCCCGGACGCGTCGTAGACGCGCAAGTCGACATCGTTTACGTCACGGAAGGCTGCCTTGACGCGCGCAGAGTCCTCGTATATCGACGACATTGGGCAGTGAATCGAGTATGACTGATGTCTCTTAGGCGAATCATGCGGAACTTGCCTCAAGGCTGATTGGATTCTCGAGGCTCAAGTCACTCGAAGCTCGCCCAGGATTGACCGGAACCTCTAGGAGCAGATCAAGTGAAGCTTGCTTCAAATTGATCGAAGTTTCTAACATGCCTCAGAGCGTTTCGCAGCTTCAGTCTTCTGTTTCAGTCTGGAGTCCGCCCGAGACCTCATTCGGTGGTCAAAGACTGCCGCAATCGCGTTGAAAAGCACGCCTCATCGCTAGAGTGAACCCGAGCCGCTTCAGATCCGTCACCCTGGACCGCGTCGAGGGGAGTCGCTTGGGAATCGACCGTCATGCAATAGCTGAGCGACGAGACACCTCAGCAACGACCTCGTTCCGTCATCGACGATGGTGTTTCTGGTAACTAGCGTGGCGTTGAGGCGGGGCGCTTAAGACCGCGAGATCTCATTGTACACATCGATGCAAAGGAGTCATGTGCCGTAAGAGCTTTTGCGATGATCTCGCCATTAAATCGTGCCAGCTCTGGTCTCGTCACGGCGTCCAAAGGATTGACCTCAGAGCGGTCAGTCCGAAAGCCTCGAGACAGGTTAGATCGAGCAGCTGGAAAGCGCCCCTCATTTTCACGGGGCTTAGCGAACAACCCATTGGCTCTGGCTCTGGTGTCACATCCTCGTATCGAAGTGGGGCGACTTGCCGTCGTAATGGTCGGGCGCAAGTCATTGCGATGCCGCTCAACTTAAGCCTTTGAATGTTCAAAATGCAGCCACAACTTTGGTCGTTGTGAGTAGGAAGTAGTTGGAAAGCGCGACAATTACGACAACGCAACAAAGTTCGAGTCCATTCGCAGAGCAGAGCTTCATACGCGGGCCGACCCTCTCTAATTTCCGCCGTTCCGAGTCCATCGCCTCGGTATCATCGCCGCCCTCACGACTCTTCCAGCCTGACCACACGAAGGATCCGAATCTTCAGGCGATGGCCACGTTGTGAGGCCTTTCATGTCTCTCGAACCAGGCCAAGTAGTGAGCATCTGCTGCATGTTTCTGGCGCGTTGGCCTGCTCATTCCACGGTCTTCGCCTCAGAGTCTATCGCGAAGTGCCGCGGCGATGTCTGGGATCGAGATAGCTGGACTCGTTCTTGGAGCTCTTCCGCTTCTTATTGAAGCTCTGAAGAAAGGTCAGGAAGGATGGACCGCCTTCCGAAAGATCAGAGTCCAATTAGATGACCTGATCAATTGCCTGAAGGAACAGAAATGGATGTTCAAAAGCTCGACCAAGATCTTACTGTCCGCCGCTGGTCAAGATCTGTCAGGCGATAGTGAGCCCTCTGCGCTGCTTGCGGACGCTGAGACGCGTAATCAGCTGGAGGAGTATCTGGAGAACGATGCTGACACACTCGCGGTGTTCGATAGGATCATGGCTGACTATAAAGCAAGCCTGACTGCAATTATAGGGAAGCTTGAACACATTGGTCCGTTCTCACTGGTACGTCTTCCCTCTCTTCAGATGTGTCGCTCCGTCGCCTCGAACAAGTCGCTCTTCTGCCTCGAATCAATCGCACTTCTGCGTCAGTCGAGTCGCTCTTCTTCCTCTACTGAGTCGCACCTCTGCCTTCCATAAGTCGCACTTTTACGTCGGACGAATCGCTTCATCACCTCGAATGAGTCGCACCGGCGCGTTGGATGGCTCTCTACTCCGTGTCACATGCGATGCTGACTTCGAAACAGGAGGCGAAGAGTATACAAGCTGCAACCGCAAAGAAAGCTGATAACGGAGGATTTCCTTTCGACAAACGCTTGAAGTTCACCATGAAGCGATCAGAGATGAAAGAAGAGATCAGCAATCTTGATCGGTGCAACGCCAGATTCAAGAGCCTGACTGATCGCGTCCAAGAGCTCAATCGCAACCAGGTACGCGACCTGACGAAAGAGGAGGCAGCAAAGAGGCTGGCCCGGGAACTCCATGACATTCGACATCGCGCAATTGGGCTCCATACTGCAATGGAGTCCTCCTGGGACAAGAAATGCCAGCCCTCGCACACAACGATGCTGATCCTAGAGAGCAGAACCACATTTGGCAAAGTACAGAACAGGAATAGAAACGACGACGCAAGCTTTCACTGCTTACTAGCCTGCGGGGACCCTGGACACAGGTGTAATGAAGCCTTCTTCAGTTTCGATTCCAAGACTACAGCAGCAGGAAAACAGGCAATCGCAGACCTGTGCTCGCATTTGATCCATCCTGTTCAAGGCAAAGCCACTGCCTTGAGCATTGACGCGCAATACAAGCTCTTTGCGGCGATGGCTGAGCAGAAAGCACACTTCGATCTCGCAAAAGGGTCGGAAACTGTCACACTGGAACAGCTGCTCATGCAGCACGCGCGTCTTTCACCGCAGCACAAAACGCAGCTGGCTCTGGATATCGCATCGTCATTGCTCCAGCTCCAGACGACGCGTTGGCTCGAGAAGTCATGGACCAGCAAAGTCATCCACTTCATGCGCCATCATTTCGGTGGGAAACAGATAGTAGACTACCAGAAACCCTTCATCACTCGATCTTTCCCCAGCATTGGTCCAGGCCATGGCGATGATCACGTCAAAGATGATCTTCTCGAACTCGGCATTCTTCTACTGGAAGTGTGGAATCTACAGACGTTTGAAGACTGGGCGGCTAGCAGTGGAATAGCCCTGAGAGCCGGCTACTACGCTCGCATGGCGCCTGCGGCTCAGTGGCTGGAGGAGTCGGAATCAGAGTTCATGCTGCCGTCATACAGCGACGCTGTGTCAGTCTGCGTGAAGTTCTCCTTCGAAGGTGTGCCGCATCGCTGGGACCATCCGGAGTTCAGGAGAGCTTTCTGTGAGAAAGTTCTGAGCAAGCTGCAAGAGAACCACAAAGCCTGGGTGCGAGCTTGAAGAAGCACAAGCGAGCTTGACTCGAGCTTCAATGAAGGCATCCATGAGGCGACTTAGAAGCACGGATAAGCTTAGTCGAAGCCAGCAGTAATCGCTACTCGAGGTTCATCAAAGCGACAAGCAAAGGCACTCAGACGCACAATCGAGTTCGTCCAAAAGCATCGATGAAAGACGACGCAGATTCCGCTGACCATCCCGTGCTCAGACTCCAAACTCCGCCCGCATTCTCTCCATATACGCTATCAAGGTCTTCTTGCTCTCAATATATCCGGTGCCCTCCCATTGCATGGGCTGATCGGCACATTCCCTCAGCATCGAGTATACCGCTGCGTCAATAGTGTGTACCTCATCCCCCATGAAGTACTTATTGTCACCCATATAAGCCGCAAGTGCGTCAATGTCTCGCTTGTAGAATTCGACGATACAAGGCACATCTCTACGACCCATGCCTTGTCCCACGAAATCGTCCAGGATCGATTGGCGGTACGCGTCAAGGAATGCGCGCAGCTCAGGGGGGACGGGAGTGGAACCATCTGGCGGGGAGTGTTGGAGGAGGTACGGTATGTACTGCAACGTGTGAGCTGTGATCAGACCAAGACTTGAGGATCAGCAGACCATCTCCCAGCCAGCGTCGCTCAGATAGCGTGACGTCCCTAGGCAAGACCAGTAAAGGTTCTCACCAATCAGGCGCTCGAAAGCGATTGCGACCGCTCGCTGTTCCGCGCTCAGCTTCTTGTCGAGGCTTGTCCCATACTGCGACTCCAGGTACTCAATGATGAGCGAGGAATCTGGTACGCGCTTGTTGTCGTTGTCAGTGTCAATGATATACGGCAACTTCCCGTACGGAGCATCGGTTGCCATGCTTGCCCAGTCTTGCGCCTTCCATGTGAAAGGCGTTTTGGTTATGGTCAGATACATGAAGACCTTCATGACGCATGGCGAGATATCCGGGAGTCCGAAGCCTGGACAGGCGCCGTACAGCTCGATCATGGCGATGTTATGAAAGTCAGCCTGTTGAGGTCGAATGTTGGTGTTATGGATTGTGCGGACACATTCAACAACAACACGTGGAGAAGGTGACAGTCTTGTACCCAAGAGCTGCACTCGGCGGCGATCAAGCACCATTCGGTCATTGAGGATCGTAATATCATTCCTGTCGGGCCTGAAGGGTCGTGAGCCTAACTCTGCTAGTCCTTTCAGCAACTACCGTCCAAATGGTAGCTTAATATGTGCTCGTAAGAAGGAACATCATCTTCCGCTCCTGTAACGCCTTTGGACGCCTTGTCAGCTGTTGCGAGCTCTTCAAGGATGCGTCAATCCGTTAACTTGCTAACAGACTGGTGAGAACGCAGAGCGTGAAGCGTTTCAGGTATGGATGCACAATCGCAGACAGAAATGCGAGCCGTCTCTGAAGCGTTGCTGCGCGTCTGAGAATTGGCATTTGTGTCACAACTCCAGTGTGGACCTACTCGTCTGCAGGTGGCACTACCAATTTCGTGAGAGCATACATTCGGCGTGAGGTACTTTTGGTGACCGCCGATGACTACGAAGCGAATGTCGCCTGCCACCCTGAGGCAGGCTTTCGCGATGCTTGTTAGGGCGAATGTCATTCCGGAATGGCATTGCTGAAGTCCAGCAAAACACCGCCCGAAGAGTCGTAAAGAAGTCCTAGAATTTAGCGTCGCGCTCTGACTCAGGGCAGCAAGGATTGCCAGCGCTTGACTTTGGACAGGTCATGTTGTCCCACCTGGGAATGGGTCATTTGTCTCCGGTAGTATCTGATCAAGGACTTCATGGACAGGATTGCATGATAGATCCACTGATGTATGCAACTTGGGAAGAGGTTTCGCGGCATCGAAGAGCGAGTTGGATACCTGGGTAGGCAAGTACCAGATACGGTACGCCGGGGAGCCAGTATCCGCCGGGGCTCCCCTTCGTCTAAATGCCTCAATTGATGCCTTCCCCTCAGATCGTCGCCAGAAGTCTACGCTGCAGCCACTCACCGTCGCCGCTACCCTCAGCATAGGGCGTAATGGTTTTCTTTTCCAACGACGTATGTGTAGGTTAACGTCAAGAACTTACAGGTGTACAGGTGGTGGCAGCTTCCTCGTCACCAACGACATGGCTGCACGTTCTCAAGAATCAGTTGAGCTGCAAGGAGCAGGTGCGGCAGTCGCGCCAGCGTCTTCGCAGGAGACCGACAATGCTGCACACGCCGCCGGTCAAGATGCTCGCCAGATTGAAACATCTGGCAAGCGTGCAGCGACACTGATTGGTCAAGCAGTGCTGCAACTGCCAATATGGGGTATCACCATCCAGATTTCACGTCCGTCATAGATTTATTGACCTTCACAGGCTTTGCGATGACCTACGGTGTCTTTCAGGACTACTACACTGCTCACTGGACCTTGTCTGGCTCCGTCTCCGGAACCGGTGTCATCGGTACAACTCAGAATGGAGTGATGTACATGTCCATGCCTTTTCTTTTCGCCCTCTTCTCTCGCCGCTGGGCTCGCTATCGACGAACCGCGTCTCTCGTTGGTGTTGTCCTGACCTGCGCTTCATTCCTGCTCTCCTCATACAGCACCAATGTTTGGCATCTTATCCTCACCCAGGGAGTTCTGGCTGCGCTTGGCTGTGCGCTCATCTACAGCCCGACCACTCTCACCTTAGGTGAATGGTTCAGCACCAACAACCGCGCTCTGGCATATGGCATCATTCTCTCAAGCAAGAACATTGTTGGATCAACATGTCCCTTTCTAATCCGCCATCTTCTCGATGTCTACGGCTTCAGGTTGACCCTTCGGATCTGGACCGCGATCGTCGCCGGAAGTGCTTTGGGCGCCATCTACTTGATCCCTTCACACCCATCCTCGACTTCTGCGCAGACGTATCACGCACGCAAGCTTCCATGGTCACATCTCCACCATCGCACTTTCTGGATCTATGCCATTGCCACCATGCTGCAATCCTCGGGCTATGGCATTCCGCAGACTTACATCAACACCTACGCCTCAAATATCACGCATCTCCCACAGACGTCTTCCACATTACTGCTCACATTCTTCAACTTGCCTGGCATTATCTCGAGCTCATTCTTCGGGTATCTCAACAATGGGAAGCGCTTCTCCTTAAGCGCAAGTACAGTGGCGACGATCTCTGGTGTCAGCTCGGCATTGAGTGCATTCCTGCTATGGGGTTTTGCTAGTCAGCACAACACGGCGATGGCATTGCTTACTCTTTTCAGCATTACCTTCGGATTCTTTGCTGGAGGCTACAGCGCCACGTGGGGCGGTATGATCAACGAGCTAGAGCATGAAGCGGCCGAAAGGAATGAAGCGGTGGATCCTGGGCTCCTGTATGGCTTACTGAATGGCGCGAGAGGAATTGGGTATGTCAGTGGAGGGCTGGCTGGCGTGCCTCTGCTCAAGGCAGGCGCAGCGAGTAGCGGCATGGACGGTTTCGCGTACGGTACAGCCTACGGGCCGTTGATTGTGTTCACAGGTCTGTGCTCGATCTTTGGCGGATGGAGTGTTGTTTGGAAGATGGGAAAGCTCTTTCACTGAGCTCTGGCAATAGTTTTACACGAGCTTCCGAAGCGATAGAGGCACCAGTCGTCCTCAATCCTCCAAGACCAAAGTTGCTGCGTCTTACCTATTCCCGACACATCTCCCGAATAACGTTCGCGACTTCCTCGTTCCCTACGCCCTGAAATTCCCTCTCCAGCACATCCCTTCTCCCCATCTCAAATCCGCCCTCGAACACAAACCCTGGCGCCACGCTACACCCTACCAGCACCCAGTCTCCCTCCTTGGCTTCCTTCGGTAGCCGTGCTCCAAACCACTTCCCCTTCTGTACTACGTACTGAGGCCTCTCCCCACTGGCAAAATCAACGCCCAGACGCGTCACTCTGAGTGGCTGTGCCGATTTGCCCGTTGCTGAACCTGTGACTGATCCTTCCGCGGATAGAATAGGCGGGTCCAGTTCAACCACCTCCAGCGCGATGGTCCCAGTGTAGTAGTGCCAGCCCTCGGCGGCGTCGATGCGGTGTAAGCTGGAGAAGTGTGGGTAAGGGAGAAGGTAGTAGATTAGCGTGCTGGCGGCGCGGTTGTGCAGGGCTGTAGGTGCGTTGGATGAGAGCGTGCCGGAGATTGTATCTAGCGGAGAGGTTGGGAGAATGGGCTCATCGTGGAATGTTTCGCGGAAGAAGCCGCCTTCGGGGTGAGGGTCGAGGGAGAGTAGTTTGATTATTTCGTCTGCTGTGGGAGGCATGGCGGCGGTGTCAATGGGTGAGCAGTGTTGAGTGCTGGGGCTGGCCTCGGGAAGGATGATGGCTCCAGGAGGAAGTGACGGGCGGCGCGGCCAAGGCGAGGTTTCCAGCCCAATGGCGTCAAATTTCAAGGCAGCAAATTGATATTCAGCAGTAAGTGCACCCAGTCTTCACATAACGGCTCCAGTACACAGCGTGATCTCACTCGCATGCTGTAGCGAGAATCGCAACGCCTACTATCCGCATTTGGTCTGAAGCCAGGCCACCGTCATCGTGGGGGTTGAGAACAGGGCCAGAGACATCCCGCCATGCAGTGTATCCCGCCCCCGAATCAGACAGTGGGGTGAGGACAGCCGAGACGAACAAGCTCTTGCCAAGATTGCCACCGCGGCGACATCTAGGCTTAGTCACTAGTAACGAACCGTCGTAGGACATAACGCATGCAGGACAATCCATGATTGTCATAGGACAGAGCTTGGTTTGTAAGAGAGTAGGCTAGTCAAGGAGCGGCTGTGGGAGCTACTATGGGCACCATGACGAGCATGGCTTGCCGCTGTTTGCCATCGTGTACGTAAAATTTATCCTGTAGGTTCAAAACCTTCGACATGCAAAGTTCTACCCTGTCCTTTTGACGGCCCGACGATATCAGTTCCGAGGAGCACGAGACTACATCATTCAAGGTTGTCATTGTCACGTCGACGCGTTGACGATTCCATCATGCTACCAAGATGCAAGGCCTTCCACCACCACCGCCTCGAATGCTTCGAACGCCAAGGCATGACACTCGACAGCGGGTACGACGTCACAGGCAGCTGTGGATTCTTCAACCCAACACACGCTTGCTTCCGCAAGAACACCTCCGAAGCCGGCCATGGTCTCGGCGATACGAGCAAGCACGAGCTCGACAGCACCAAGCTCGCCCATACTCCCAGCACACACAGCATCCGCTACGCCTGGCGCTCCCGTGACAACCGCAAAGGCCGACACGTTCTCATCCTGCCAAAAGACAGCCCTCATCGGCCTTCCACTTCCCGCCGGATATCTCAAGGCCTCTGGCGTATGCTTACCGTCTATGCCTACTGGGACATCTCCTGGTGGGTGGCTATCCTATTCAGCTTTGGGTCCGCTATCTTCATCCTCTGCGCACTGTTCTACTGGCTGCCGATTGCGTATCCGGAGACCGAGTTCGCTAATGAGGCCACGACGGGCGGCGGGGTAGCGAGCTTTGTGGGCGCGACGCTGTTCCAGGTTGGGGCGGTGCTGTTGATATTCGAGAGTGTCAATGAGAATCAGACGGGATGTTTCGGATGGGCGGTGGAGGAGCTGTTCGAGGGCCGTCAAGTTGAGATTGGACAGGTTGAGAAGAAGGTAAGAAAAGCGCCGGAGATGTGCGAGCACGTACACCAACGCGCTTCAAAACGTACGGACGGCGCAAAGGCCGGAAGGAGTTCGACGCAGCAGGCACGGAAGTGGCAGTGGTGGCCGAGCTGGAAGGAGCTAAGGGAGCATTATATCCACGAGATTGGCTTCGTGTCGAACGTGACTCTTGCAGCAGGCGCGACCATCTTCTACGTCACCGGAATCATGTCCCTGCCGGGCGTGTATGACCAGTTGAGTCAGGCCGTGTTTGGTATGTTTACTGGTTGACGTATCTCATCGGCGGGATACTGTTCGTGGTCGCATCAGCAGGGTACATGCTGGAGACGCAGACGAAGTGGTGGAAGCCTGCCTTCCAGACAATTGGGTGGCATATTGGACTTTGGAATATGATCGGGTCGGTTGGATGGACGCTGAGTGCTGCGTTTGGGTATTGCAACCCGAGTTGGTGCGAGTATCAGAGTGATCTGACGCTGTTGTGGGCTTCATTCGCGTTCCTGGTGGGCAGCATGTTGTTGTGGTATGAGGCACTGGATAAGTACCCGATCGAGACTATCTGAGTGGTGGCTGGGACGAGGTGGCAATAGCACTGCACATGTACCGTTAGTCAATCCTGCGCAATGCGTCAATCAAGCATGCTTCCATACCAGACTAGACTCAAATCTCAGACCCTCTCTTCACCACCTAACTTCTTCTCGACCTCCCCAACGACACCACCCCCCACGTCTTCCTCGAACACATCCACTTTGGTTGTCTTGAACTTTCGCGCGCTCACACCCTTCTCGAACAGCAAGTCCAGCTCGGCAAACGTCCTGCCGCGTGGCTCGGGTACTCTGAAGTATGTGTAGATGATCGATAGGAAGCAGGAGCCTGCCCAGAAGAAGCCGGCGTAATTTCCCCAGTCCTATAAAGACGTCAATTCGGTCAGCCGAGGCCTCCTTCTTGACCAGTACTTCAGGCTGAAGGTGGTACGTACCCAAGCAGTCGGGTTCAGCATCCGAGGAGTGAGGACGTTGGTGATGATGGCGACAACTGCATAGCAGACACGACCGAACGCGACGGTCTTGATCTGCAGACGGCGCGTGGAGATCTCGGCGACAAGGCCTGACCACAATCAGCATGTGCGCATGAGAGGAAAGAGGAGCAAGAGCGCACTATAGCAGACCGTCCCAACGGTCAACTGATAGAATAGCGCCCACACCAGCATGATACACCCTGTCGCCATTGAGGCGGCCTCTCGGTCACTTGGTATCCCCAAGAATCCTAGAATCAGCAACATACTGCACAGTCCACAAAGACCGTATAGGTACAAACTGCGGCGGCCGACACCAAGCGACATGAGGAACCATGCACCGAAGACACCGACCATGTTGATGCCATGCTTACCAAGGGTAAAGTTCATGGCGTTGGCTGGGTCGAGGCCTGCTTGGAGGAGGAAATACGTGGCGTAGCCAGAAAAGCTGTTCCCGGAGAGCTGAGGACAGCGGTTAGAGCGTAGACAGTGGGAGCAGGGATATGCCGCTCACATTCTGAATGGCCCAAACCATGCAAACGATCTCGGTCCTCCTCAAGTCCGTGCCCTTGAATAGGTCCAGGTAGCTCGCACCGGAGGCGATCTGCTGCTCGAGCTGGGTGGTATGAGCAATCATTGCCACCGTCTCATCGGCGTCAAAGTCGTGCTGTCGATTGACGCTCGTCAGTCTGAACAGAGACTTCTTTGCATCATCAAGTCGGCCTTTTCTGACTAACCACCAGGGTGATTCCGGAGCGAGCCAGATCCCACATGCCAATGGCACAGGCCAGATCCACTGGAGCGCATATGGGATACGCCATGCCATCCGACCTTCGATGTCGAGACAGCCTCGAACGGCGCCGACACCAATAACCTGACCGAGGCCCCAACAGAAGTTGACCCAGGTGGTGAGATAGCCGCGGAGGGCGACGGGGCAGACCTCGCTAGCGTAGGTGATGCAGAGCGTTTGGAAGACTCCCCATGGCTATCGAGTCAGCCGCCAACTCCGAGGGCTGCACGGGTCACTTACCACTCCGCACAGAATGTTGCCCGCCAAGAGTTGTTGCGGTGTGGTTGCGGTGAAGAGTAGGGACACGAAGGCCGCGATCAAAGTAAGGCAGCCGATGGAGGTGTAGCGATAGCCGAATCTTTCTGAGACCCAGCCGTTGATTATGAGACCGATGATTTGGCCGCACTGTGTCCCGTTGGACAGACCAGTCTGCCATGTGGCGGATAGCTCATAGGAGCCATCCTCTTGCAAAGTCCCGAACGTTTCCTGGAATTGCGGCATGGCATCTGAAGGTGCATGTCAGTGAGTCCGATGGGTAGTAAGACTTCTCTGGCACTCACAGAAAGTATTCAGCAAGCATAGATCAAATGCTTCCATCGCAATGCACAGCGAGATGAGCAGCGACCATCCTATCGCCTTTGGATAAGTTCTGATGCCTTCGAGTAGAGACATCTTCTGCTCCTTCTCCGTAGCAGCTCTGGCGCGGCTGATGACCACGCTGTTGGATCGCTTCGGATCTGCATGGTGGTATTCACCTGGTACGGCGGCGACGACATCGTCGGCAGTCTTTTCGACCATGGTGAGGAATCAAGCAAGAAGGCTGTGACAGTCACGAAATTACCCATCGGGGAGAAAGCACGGGGCAAAGCTGGGGAACAAGAGCTTTAATGTGAGGCTCGGACGATCATGGCGGTGCCCAGAGGTAACATTGTGGAGGCCCGCCTGCCGAGCTGGGAGACAAGAGCTTGGAACACATCGCGTGCTGCATGCTTTGCCTGATGTAGTTACTGTAGGCTTGGGCAATCAGGCAGGTGATCGACATTGTAGGCGATTCCCCCCGACCACTTCAACACACGGACAGGTGTGCTACCCAAGTGCCTTCGCATGCTCGGCATAAACGTGAAGCCGTGCCCGCTGCGAAGCTCAGGCGGTTGAGAGCTCAAGCGGACGTTGAGCAGCCCGCTGATGCTGATAGGAGTTGAAGCGCTACGCAAGCCAAGTGATGAACTTCAGCAAATTTCGCTGGCCAAGAGGCTTGGCGCGGGAGCTGGAGTAAATTCTGTGCTGGACTCACGTGAGCGCTCCCCTTTCACTCACGTCGTACTACTCCGCGAACATCGTCTATGCTCGCCTGGTCGCCTCAAATACTGTACGGCCAAGGACATATCTACTTTTGCTTTCAGCTGGTGACAATCCGTAAACTGCTTACAAGGTGGCATGCACAGGATCAGCGTCGGTACACAGGTTTCGCAAGATCTTACGATATTACTTTATCGAAGGTCCCTGCCGCGAGCTTCCCCGTTTGCTCATGCATTCACAATATCATCTATTGCTTCCATACACACGACCACCTCTTCGTCCTGGAATGGACGACCTACGACTTGTATGCACACTGGCTGATCGACGTACAGCTGAGGATCGTCTGCATTGGCACGATAGCGTCAGTTCAAGGGCTACCATCAAGACTTGGGGACCTTACACATTTCATGGACCATCCGATCGTACGGACCAAACGTCGTAGGCTCATAGCCCACGTCCTTCGGGTCTTTCGTCTCATCCACCTTGAAGTTCTTTAACGGAATGGTTCCTGCAGGATAGTCAAGAATGTTCCAGACACTTGTATAACCACAGTACCCCGGCACGTCATGCCTTGCACCCACCGCGGCACTCACGGGACCTAGGATAGCATCGATTGGTCTTCCTGTACTTGTGTTCCCTGCAGTCCCACTCCAGAACTCTGCCATCTGCGCTTTGTACTTCGTCTGCTGAGTGTTGCATGCGAAGAGCTCCTTGATTGTGAGTGGGCGAGTGTTGAAAGTCTCGAGGGCAAATTTGACGCCTGGCTTCATGGGCTCGCCTGCCGTGGACAAGATTGTCTTGACCTCTTCAGCACCTGTCTGAAAGAAGAGTTTCCTCGTCACGACTAGATTCTCCCAGCAATCGAATGGAAGCTTGATGGGAATTACTACATCATGCGTCAGTACTACGCCGCTAGGCAGATACCCTCACGCAATTGGGGCACTGACCTTGATGACCTGCAACAATAAGCTTCTGTGCGGTCTCTCGAAGTGCTCGCCGGATTGGCGGATGAGGCTGCACTACGCCGTCAGTCTCCCACAGTCCGAAACTGAGCTTGTGCTTCGGTGTCGAGAGCTCTCTCCACGGCATAGGCACGACGTTGGCCTCAAACTTCGCGTTGGGGTAGGCGTTGATAACTTTAGTGAACATCTTGACATCAGCGACGCTGTGGGCCTGCGGGCCGCATGAGACTTTGATGGAGATGTTTCCCGGGGCCGGGCTCTTCAAGCCGCCGCGTGGAATTCTGTCGGCTGAGGGTTTCAGGCTATAGAGCCCATTGTAAGCAGCTGGAACCCGAATCGAGCCTCCGATGTCAGAGCTGGGCGCTATGGGGCTGCCTTTCATGGCGATCAAAGCTCCATCGCCGCCCGAAGAGCCGCCTGGGACCAAAGCGGTGTTGAAAGGATTGCTTGTTCGTCCCCAAAGCCACGAAGTGGACTCAAGCATCATGCCAGTCTGCGGCATTGTGGTCTTGCAGTGTATGACAGCACCCTGGGCACGAAGGATGCGGACAATGGCGGAATCTTGGGTGGCAATGTTGTCGTACCAGCCGACGAATGCCATGGTTGTGCGGTGGCCCTTCACATCATACATGTCTTTGATGCATACCGGCAGGCCGTGGAGAGCACCCATGGGCTGGCCTGTTTCAAGGAGATGGGCATCCAGAGCCGCCGCTGTGGCAAGAGCCTCCTCGGGGAAGAACTCTGTGAGGCAATTTGTCTGTGTTGGGACGGCTATTGTCAGTAAAGCGCTTCTCCCATTCTACAGTGTCTTGGGCAGCTTCGAGGTGTAAGAAATTTCCGCTCACCAGCTGATGGGCAACTGCAGCTCTTATACAGAATGCCTCGGTAACTTGCACGCTTGATAGGTGTCCAGCTGTCATTCTGGCGACAAGTTCCGTGGCTGTCTGCTCTGTGATCTCGAGTTGCTCTTTGTTGAGGAGTCCACAGGTCCGGGGGATATCGACGACCTTGATGCCGCCTCTTCCAGGCGATGCCGCCGAGATGATGTTCTCTGGCAGCCGCCAGGCAGCTGGGATGGCATCATGCACACTCGCCTGTGCGGTCTTTGCAGTGTCTACATAGGACCTCCTAGTTACGGGCGTCGCAGAGATAGACTGCTGGGTAAGGGTTTGCGTAGCCATATCGGACCAAAGCCGCGTCTAAATTACCTGTGATCTAATGAGTGGACTCAAATCTGTGCTCGGGGTAGAGCTCAATCTAGATAGCCACGCGAAACTTGGTGTATTATAGAGACCAAGCTGACGCTCTATCAATCTGATAGCCCAGCATTCACCTCAGATCCTGGCGAACTTGGCGATGCACTTCAACACGCGCGGTCTCCCGAGGTCCTCATCAAGGTCGAGCCGCGTGCCTGATGATCACAATAGCAGTTCGGCGCCGAATGTCCGTACAAGGGTCTGCTAGGGTGGCCTTCGAACGTGAGGGGAACCACCAGTGGCAGCTGCCGCGGTTCTGACTCCAAGAACTACCTCAGGACTGACTGCCAGGGCGTAGAGTGAATTGGATCCCTGGCGATAGATCGCAAGCGTAATGCTGAGCAGCACTTCCACCAACGCCAGAAGACAAAGACCGACTACGCGTGGTAGAACGTGGTGCAGAGAAAGTACCTCGAGCAAGCAAGCAATCAAGCACCATGAATTTCTGCTGGGAACGATATTTACTGGCGTCACTCGGCCGATCGATGCACATATTTTATTGGGCAGCACGTGTAAGCCGAAGTCGCAACAGCTGCGACACGCAATCCCACATCCCTGTATGCTCAAATCTCAATACACATATTCGAAGAGTGCATTCTCCCCATCCGTGAGATCCTCGAACCCGTTCTCGATCCTACCTCCAAGCGCGATCTCAGCCTCACGCCTCTGAGGCGCACGCTTCTTGTTGATGTGCATGACATGCAGCTGAAATATGACGGCCGTCACAATCATCCCGGCAAAGGTGAAGATGCACGAGCCGATCCCAAGGTCTGTTGAGAAGGACATGATTAGTCCACCACACATCGACATGGAGCCAGCGTTGACTTACAGTATCGCGGTGGCTTGTTGAAAAACTGCGGTCCAATGATGTTTGACACACAGAAGCCGGCCATGATGTATACATTCGTGACGACCTTCTTGGTGTGTCCAGCCGTGTTTGACGCTGCCATTGCGAGTGACAGAGCGTATCCCGTTGGCCATGCTGCAAACTGTTCCAAGTCAGAATCCTTCAGTGTCCGAGCTGTGCCCTGCTGTCTGCAACTCGCGGAGTGGTGACTCACCATATAGAAGCCCAGTAGCAGTCCAACCTTGTTGTCCAGTGGCAATGTAAGAACCATGATAGAGCCAGTCAACGCGATGATGTTACAGGCAACGATAACGATTGATCGTACGTTCTTGAAACGACCACATATGTAAGTACCGATGATCATGACGACGATCTCCATTCCGCCAACGGGCATTAGTAGCTATTTTTTGTCAGTCCAGCGCTTATACTAGGCGAACAGGTGTCCCACTCACCAGTGTCGTTGGTAGTGGCCCGTAGCCGAAATGCGATATGATAAGGCTTCCAAACTGTAGAATGGGTCAGTGCCGCGGAATGGTGACCGGAACCTCGTACTCACCGTTGCCACAGAGTTGGCCAGATTGCCAAAGAAGGCGAAGGCAAACCAATAATAGCTCTTTGGATCCAGTATTGCTTCTTTCAGTTGGTTGACTTTGAAGGTCCTGTTGTGGATACCAGTATTGTTATGGCGTACCATCTCCACAGCGGCCACCTTTTCTTCCTCGGTGAGGAATTTGGCGGTGCCCTGAGAGGATGGAAGGAGGAAGTATACGGCAACGGCCCAAAGGACGGTGATGGCACCAATCACGAGGTAGAACCATTTCCAAGGGGCCAGGCCATCGACGTGGATGTGACCCAGCCCGTATGCTGAGATACCGCCAACAATGTTGGCGAGACCATTCGCGGAGAACCAGATGCCGAAACGGAATGATTGCTCCTCTCGTGCGTACCATGCTGCACTGATAAGAATGAACGCAGGATTGACGCTACAGCACAGATGAGAGGAAGCCGTCTGGTCGTAGAAAGACTGCTTACATTGCTTCGGCTGCTCCGAGTAGGAATCGGACAACCATGAATTTTGCAAAGCTGTCACACAGAACGCTCATGAAGAGGATGATTCCCCATGCCAATCTGAAAAGCGTGAGCGTGAGCTGTATACTTTGCGGGAAGAGCTATCACTTACATTGCGAAAGACAAGCATTGTCCAGGCGTGAACCATTGGAGTATACGGGCGACGAAAGGCTGCATGAACAAATATCCTTGAATTGGGTCAACAAGTGTGACTCCGAGCGGTCAGTTGCTTGCACTCACCGAAGTAGAAAATGCTTCCAAGCCAGGCGAACTGATGAGTGTCCAAGTGCTGCTATCCGATCAGAGATGGCGCATCAATCACATCTCGTGACGGCGACTCACCGCGTCCTGGAGGAGACCGAAGACAGAAGCGTAGTTGAGAGACACAAACTCGAGGAATCCAAGCATGGTCGTGAGTGTTAGGATAGCAAAACATGCCAGTCGATCTTGCGTAACACCCGCTTCCTGGTCGCTGGGTCAAGGAAGTACCGTTCGCCATCGAGGTTATCTTTGAGGATGGACAAGCCAATGTCGGCGTTCGCCCTCTTTTCCGGGAGCACTTCCCCTAATGCCTGGCTAGCATTCGTGTCCGTGTAAGAGAGGACATCTTTGTCTTCCTTAGTAGCCATTTGAGGTCAAGTCAAAATCTGGCAGTTCTTCCAGTGCTGCGTGATATTGTCGTACCAAGCGAAGGTCATCGACTGATGCCGCGGTCATGTATATAACCTATGAACAGGCTGGAACATGTGGTTGGAGATCCTATCATGGTTTGGTGAAGCTTTGGGGCATGCCACGCAATTACAGCAGTAAGTTTCCTGGGACGCGGGAAGGTGATGATCATTGCTTATCATTTTCGGCGCCGAGCCCGTTGAACCATATTGGCGTCCTTGAAAGGAACAAATCGTGTACAGATGAGAGTGAGTTGCTGCTTCGGATTGCACTCTCAATCTCGCCATCGCATCAGCGCACATGCTGCTTTGAAACGTAGTGGAACACCGGACAGTGGAGCTGTGATTCTGAAAGACTTCTCGCCTGATCCGACAGGACCAGCTGCAAGCATATCTATCAACTTACTCATAGTCCTCCAGGGCTTGAGCCAATGTTCTCGGGCACGGGCGATTTTGCATCATATGCATTTGATGATCCCAGGAGTTCCAAGCGATCCGACCACAGCATGATACCAGTTCGCGGCATTGTCCTTAGTTCTGAGAAGTTGGGAAAGGACTCCATAGACAGCCACCAAGACGCTACTCATGGGTGCGCAAGGAACGAGGCTCAAGCATGGACCCGTTTGGAAATGAGCGGCTTGACGGAGGCGTGAACCACCCTTCAATGTCGGCGAGATTCGCATCAATGAACTCGCCAGGTTCGCCCGCGCCGAATAGAGATCTCCACTGGTCTCCAAGGTGACTCGAATACGTCGGGGTATACTCAGGCCCAGCAGAGACCGCATCACAGGCATCAAAGCTCCTGCAAAAGGAAAGATTCTCGGGTGCGCTTTCGATTGGCTGGAGCTGCGCCTGTGGAAGTAGCGCAGACCGAAGCTGTTGTTTAAGCTCATCGGACAACCCTTTGTACAAATGTAGCACGGCATCCGCGCCTCCCCAGTATTCTGAGACTGATCGAATCAATGGCAATAGACGCTCGAGTTGGGCTTGAGCCTGCGTGGCGAGTACCAACATATTGGACTTGACTGCAACTCTTGCTTCCCGACTCGTCTGGATCGCAGCTGCTAGCAGTGTCGGCGATGCCGTGAACCAGCACTGCTTAGCGGCCCCATTTTCCATTATGTCCTTGAAGGTTGTCACAATGGCACTGGCGGCATTTTGGCTCGCTTCGGAGGAAGCACGCTCCTGGGCAGCGTCAATTTGGACTCCAGCCGAGCCCGGGAGTCGATGCAGGTATAGTAGAGCCATATTGTAGTGAAGTTGTAGTTGAAGTGACCAGAACTGGGGTTGCGGACTTGTTGTCGAAATAGCTGGAGAGACATCCAGATACCACGCTGCAAGCTTGGAGCCAAGGGAAGCCAGTGTTGAGGCAAACGATGGAGGTTCTGCTTTGTATCGGCGAAAAGCTGCAGGAGATGTGGAACTCATCAGTGAAGCAATAATTATGCAAAGGGCGACACTTTGTATGCAATAGTGCACGCCAGCTTCATCCGCAGGTGGCTGATCTTTCTCGCAGAAATCATCCATAGTCAGTGGTGGTTGATCACAGTCGTCCAGATGGATACTCAAAGGCCGGCCATGATGTAGGGCTGATAGGGCATCAGCTTGAAAGAGCGTCCAAAATAACCTACGATAGATCCTACGGTCGTTCAACGGCATGTTACTGACTGCTGAAGACGAAAGATCTCGATGCATGCCCAAGCCAAAGGCGATACGGCAAGCGATTCCAACCCAGTAGTAGGCGTTGGAGCTGACATCGTCCGAGCTCTCGAAGTGCCAAGTGAAAAGTAGCGCTGCTTGGACCAGATGCATCCGGTTGTTTTCGTAGTGCAGATCAAACAGAGCCTTGGCTCGGCGGAACAGCGCCATTTTGATGAGCGATCTTGACTTTGAAACCACAGGATGCTTGGAGACATGTGCGCCTACGAGCAGCACGGCTTGATAGAGTAGTAAAGGAGGCGGATTGGTTGCATCTCGGTACTGAGCCATGAACTGCGCTGCTTCCAGGACAGGAAAGCCTGGATGGACGTCGCGAAAGAAGGCATCAATCATATCGTCGCGCAACTCTTTCGAAGGCAGGGCGGAAATGTCGTCTGCCAGTCCAGATGAGTACCATTTCAGTAATGGCATGGTCTTTGGTGGTTTCCATGGCAGCGGTGCTTTGGTGGAGGGAAATGGGTAGTGTAGGGCTTTCGACAAATACCCCGCCGTGGTTCTCTCCTCCCCAACAAGTGCAGCGAGGTTTGACACAGGTGCCCCGATGTAAGCGATGCGGACATTCGAATTTTCGTCAAAGATCGTCCAGCTTGACGCATTGATACTATCATGATAGAAGCGCGTGAGCGCTGTTTGTGCGTTCACAGACGCGACATCGTCAAAGAGTTCGCCCGATTCGGACTCGGCTCTCACGACCTCCTGTAACACAGGAGAAGACCTACTTCCGCCCGGCTCGGCATTTTGAGCAGTATGCGACTGCCCAGGAGAATCATGGCGTCTTGATCCGTCAGGAGCGGTAGCGTAAGTCCTCTGAGGTGCGTATGCCGACCGCTTCCTGTGGCGGTTTGCCTTATGCTGCTGTGAAAGGATGAAACTGGTCGGCGCCGAGTCAACTTTTCTGAATTTCGACTTCAGGGTAGGCCGACCCGTACTCACGTGCACTCGATGTTGTTACGTATACAAGCACTGCATACACCTCTGCTGTCTACGTTGCATCGGACCTTGCAAGGAATTAGACACAGTTGGGACAAGGGCTCACGTTTCGCCATACCTTTCGGTGGTAGCATGTGTCGCAGGCAGGCATTTCATCTTAGATGTGGTATCTGAGCAAGCACTCGGAGAGCCGAGTTGGCGTGTTGTCTGGAAGACTGTGGCATCTAGTCGTTGTCTTGATAGCGTCGCGACTGTATGTCCGCCGGCGCTGGTTCAGGCGGCTGGCTATGTGATGGTAGTCTAAATGCGAACCTGAGTGACGGATGGTCGGATGACCAAGAGGGATCCGAGAGCTCCTTCCCCCAAGATTCACACAAAGACATGCTTCTCGGGCGTCCTCCGGTACGTAGCTCGGAACTCTGATAAGTAGCGACCAGTCGCAAAGTCATCGAGCGTCTGAGACGACCACCTCCCGCGGGGTGCCGAACATATGGGTAACGATCGACACTGCGTTCGTGGCGCGTGGGCAAGAGGGCCCAAAGCACGTTTCTTGGTGAAGATAAGGTAGGCAGAGCGATAGCCGTTTCGGCGCCGAACTCCACTCTTGCCGCTCTAACGGTGTTCTCCGGGCGGCTCCAAACGCCCAAGATTGTCGGGATTGGGGCAAAGCCATGTGCTCAGAGCGACCGACAACAACAGCAAGTGATCTCCATGCTGTTCAATTCGTCGTCGACTTGAGCGTCCGCTCAACAAGGAAGCTCCTGTAGCACATTAATTGCGTCTCCTTGAGGATCTTAACGGGATGCAAGAGATAATCTGCTCCGGCTCACCTTACGAGGTGCGCGCAACAATCATCCTACGTCGGATGTTGACTGATGACATGCTAGGTTGGCTACAAACATGGCACTGATGCAAGAGAGAAAGTGCATGGAAGCTTGGCTTTCTACACGGATTACTTCTGGCGAAAGTCGCAAATGAACTGGGCAACAGCCAGTCTCACCGCCGAGAAATTCGTGCCCCTGCTGCAGCGCGACTGGCCTGATTACCTGGAAGAGATCAAAGGTCGGTTTCTTACGAAGCCATGCCGGGCTGTATCAATGCTTAGAGTCTGTCAGGAATCGCAGATGGCTCAGATCTCCCGTTCAGCACGGTTCTGGCGATGAACATACGCACAGAGATTGCAATGGGACTGATGGCACAGGATGGCTGCACGGCATTCGCCTGGAAGACGGCAGAGGTGTCACTGCTGGCTCAGAACTGGGATGTGAGTTGACGTGGGACTTCGATACGTCGCAGAGCCGTTAACATCTACACAGTGGGAGGAAGCCCAACAGAGAAACCTCATTCATCTCAGCATCAAACGTGACGATGGACGACCATCGATCAGCATGATGACCGAAGCAGGCATCATCGGAAAGGTCGGCCTCAACACAGCTGGGGTTGGCATCTGTCTCAACGCCATCCGTGCAAGAGGCGTAGACTATGGCCGTCTCCCAGTTCATCTGGCCATGAGAGCTGTCCTGGAATCAACGTCTCGAGTCGAGGCGATTGTAAAGCTCGAGAAATCGGGTGTTGCTGCGGCTGTACACTTCCTCATTGGCGATCAGAGTGGAAGCACATCGCTGGAAGCCAGCCACAAAGACTTGGTCAAGTTGGAAATGCAGAGCGGCCGGATATGCCATTCGAATCATTTCATTGCTGACCACACAGACGGTGTTCACGATACTGTCTTCAGCCAGGACTCACTGGAGCGTATTGACAGAGCCACCGAGCTTCTGAATCAAGCCGCCAGCAAAAGCCGAATGCCGACAGTTGAATTACTCGAACGCATGCTAGAGGACGAACAAGGCCTTCCCGGGGCAATCAACAGAGCAGCTTCCGGCAAGAGCACGACCGCAACATTGTTCGGCGTAGTTATGGACCTGGACAAGAAGGTGGGCAGAGTACGGCTTGGAAGACCGACTCAGAGTGTCGGCTCTGTGTTACTAGATCCGACTCGTGTATAGTCTCGTACACAGCAATTCGCCTATCAGTGGCCTTCCACAGATGCCTAATGGTGCCCGAGCTAACGAGAGGATCAACACGCCTGATACCGCACAGCACCAGTGTTAGTCATGGTTCGGCGCCGAAAGTGACAGGGATGTCCTGAGATACCCGAAAATCAGAACTCCCGAGGTTTACTACGATTTACGCGAGGCCATGGATAACGGCACTCACGGCTCACTTATAGTCACTGCTGAAGCAACGAACGCCATCTGGTTCAAGTGTTGCGTGCCTTGATTACTACCGCATCGGCTGAGGGTTGCCGAACGACATCGGACGAAGTCGCCTGAGAGCCATCGAGCATTCATCACAATGCCACACGCAGAGACACAGCTCCTCCCACTGGCCTTGTCCAAGGAGACAGAGAGGCTGATTCAGTTGGAGCACAAGTTTTGTGCGGGTGGTTTTCAACCATTCCCGCGTTCTTCGTGGGAGGAAAGGGCGCCAAACTATGGGTCAGTAGACCCATACAAGTCTGCTGATGCCCGAGTAATTGAACAACTCGTTACAGGATGTCGATGGCAAGGAGTATATCGACTTCATCGCCATGTTCAGCGCAGTCAACAGTGGACACTGCAATCAGGAGATCATGGATGCTGTGATGAAGCAGATGCAGAAGCGTAAGTGACCTGTGGCAGCAGACTTTAGCCGAATTCGACTGTGTCCAATGATGCAACCCTGTTGCTCAATGTTCGAGCGCTGACTTGTAGCTCAACATGGCAGTGACGCTCAGCAATCTCGCCACACACACTGCCAGCTGGGGCCCACTCGCGCAACGCCTTTGCATGCGCTTCGGCTACGATAAGGTCATCTCGGGCACGTCCGGGTCTGAAGCAACAGACACAGCTGTCAAGATTGCCCGCAAGTGGGGAATTGCAACCAAAGGCATACGAAAAGAGGAAATGCTCGTCTTCGGCGTTGGTGATAGCTTTCACGGCTTGACCTCTGGAGTCTGGAATTTGCAGAATGGGACGGCGAAGCGCACTGGATACGGATTGGACGACACTCTGCAGACGAATATCAATCCAACGACCGGGAAGGTGTTGCGGTACGGCAATATCGAGGACATAGAGACTTGCCTGAAGACACACCATGGCCGAACAGCGGCGGTGATTATCGAATGTCTGCATGGTGGACTGCGAATGGACGTGGAAGTGCAATATTCGAGAGCAGTCTACGACTTGTGTCGTAAGTACGGTATCCTCTTCATAGCGGATGAAGTGCGACAAGGTGCTGGTAAGACGGGGAAATTCCACTGCTTCGAACACTTGGGTGACGACGTTCATCCGGATATGGTCTGTATGGGCAAGTCGATTGCTGGTGGTTTCTACCCGTGCTCGTACGTCTTAGGCACCAACGCTGTCATGAGCCTCGTTGGCACGGCCGAAATGGCGTCAACGTTCGGCTTCACTCCCATCGGCAACGCGGCAACAAACGTGACGCTTGACATAATCGACCGGCCTGGGTATATGCAGCGAGGCGAATATTTTGGGAAGTGGTTTCAGCGTTTGGCAGACAGGTGGATCGAGGAGTATGAGTTTGTGATCGAGGGGGTGGGATGTGGCATGGACATGTGTCTCTACATCGACGAGGATCATTCAACACAGCGGGTTACTGCGAGGAAGGTGGCTGCATTGTGTGTGCAGAAAGGCCTGCTCGTCGTTCAACAGAAGAACCGGGTAAGGATGAGTCCGCCATTGATCTTGTCCGATGAGGAGATGGAGAAAGCAATGGGGATCCTGAAGGATGCTTTAGATCAGGTGCTGCTGTATGAGACGGTACCGGGAGAGTTTTGGACAGGTCCATTGTGACACCGTGGAAGAAGTAATAACGAGTGTACCGTATATAGTGGAAGCAAGAAAAATGATGCTCGATTGTACCGTCATGGTTGCCTTGTGGCCCACATTCGGTGATTGCCCTACACCACCCGCATACTAGAGCTTCAAGCTCCAAAACCCTCACTGGCATCGACTCAGGAAGGCTTCGCAACGCATGAAGCAGCCTCGCCCGTACGCTAACGCAGATAGAACGGACACATACTTCAGCTAAACAGGCGGATCAGGAAAGGGAAGGGTATTCGGATCGCCCACCCAGTAAGGCTTTGACGCAGACCGCATGTTGTCGGCAGTGAGAGATGATGATATCCAGATGTGCCTGTTGATCTCGAAGAAGCTCAGTGCAGTTCCGCGCCCTCGCGAACAGTGACGCGCATCTCCGACTAGTCCCTCCTTGTCCTAGCGTGAGTCGATCTGAACGTCGCGACTGCCATCAGACGCAGTCAAGATGCGAAGCGACCTGTCACACGAGTACCACAACCAGCTTGTCAAAGCTATGCAAAGGAAGATCGTCTCGGATCTGCTGCAAACAAGATGCAGTCCGACGAGATGGGAGCTGCCTCCACCCGTCCAGATTGACTTTCGCGTGTACCTGAGATCTCGACGTCACCAAAAAGCTCGATTGACATGCGTGCGGACCACATGTCTTGATTGACTATAGATGCTGACAGCTCCTGTTCTCAAGCATTGTACTTCACCTTCTTGCCAACTGCTATATATCACAGCTCCGAGATTGACCGTTGACCTCCGAAGTCCGAGCTCGTCTTCACTGCCCCTCCTGCCACAGCCCTCGCCTTCCGACTAGCCTGAATAGATCACACACCAACGATCAAAAGATCATTTCGGTACCCGAAAAGATGGCAGCCTCGTCTCTCCGAGCCCTGCGGCCCCTGACCCGCCAGACCGCCTCCCTCCTTCGCCCCATCCAACACCGCAGCCTCAACACCGCCACAGCGCCCGTCCTCTACTCCGCCCACGCGACCGTCGTCGGCGCCCGCACGGGCCACGTCTCATCCGAGTCCCTCAATGTCGATCTCACCATGGCCAAAGCCCTCGGCGGGACGGGCGACAAGGGCAAGACCAACCCGGAAGAACTCTTCGCTGCTGGGTATGGCGCGTGCTTCCAGTCCGCAATGAATGCGAGTGCGGCTAGTCTGGGGATCAAGATGCCTACGAAGAAGGAGGATAGTGTGGTGGAGTCGACGGTTCATCTCGTTGGGGATATGAAGGGGCTGGACATGGGGTTGAGGGTGGAGATGAAGGTCAAGGTCAAGGGTTTGAGTGAGGGTGATTTCGAGAAGGTTGTGGCGAAGGCCAAGGAGGTTTGTCCGTACTCGAGAGCGACGCAGGGGAATGTTGAGACGAAGATCGTGACGGAGAGGTGGGAATAATGAGTTGAGCGCGAATGGCGATTTGGGTGGGCTGCGTTAAGAGGCTCGAGCATAGCCATCTTGGAGAACATCACGAAAATCAGAAACCGCGCAAGCAGAACAGCATGCAGACCGATGAAATGAGTTGAGGATCTGGTGTCTATGTCATGGCTCAGAAACGCCAGCCCACACGAGGCTCAGCATGCCCATCGTCTCGGACGCGTTCTTGGCTCGGTCGACCTCGTCCAAGACTCTTTTCCTCAGTTTGTTGAAATCCTTCTCCAGTTCTGCACTGTCTGGCAGATGCTTTGTGTACAGGTCCATGATGATCATCGCCACCTCGACACATAGACTCACGAATCGTTCGTTGGCGTTGCTGATGTTCACATACACCCATCTGACGATCGGTCCCAGCGTAGTCTCGTTTCGATTCTCGAGTGCATTTCGCAGAGCGGATCTGTAGCGCAGGTTGTTCAGCAGTGTGAAGACAGTCATCCTGTCCTTGCCGGCCAACACCATGTCGAGTGCTTCGCCATACCGCGTCATGTGCAGACTCTTCTCCCATGGTTTTAGCTTCTTGGGTTTGCCTCTGTCGTTCCCCTGTATGATGATATCGGCGTCCTCACCATCATAGTCTCGTCCTCGGAAGCGCTTCTCCCAGCCTCGACCTCGTTTCTTCGCTTGTTTGGCATCATGCTCGGCAATCTTGCCTGCTAGCAAAGCGTCCATTTCTTTCTGCCGAGCCTTCTCTTTTGCTTTCTGTTCGCCGGACAAGCGCGTCTTGATGCTGAGGAGTCCGGAAGAGGTGCCAACTGCAACATGCTTGTCGTCTCGATTCGGTCCGGATGTGACGACGCAAAGACTGAGTATAGGTGATGGATATTTTGAGCCAGCGACAACGTTCCAGCCCGTCGTTTCGAATACTTTCATATGGCCGTCTAGGGCGCCTGTGACGAGTCGAGTGCCGTGCGAGGCCAGACATAACGACGTGACGGTCTTCTGGTGGTTTGTGAGTAGTTGCTGTGGTTTGCCTGCAACTATGTCGAGGATGGCGACTGATGGACCGGCTGCGGCCAGTAATGTTCGTGCGTCGGGCATTGGCAGGACCGATTCGATGCCAGCACTGTGTGTGAAAGTCATGACTGCGGAGGACACGCGAGGATCCCACAGCTTGATGGTTGTATCGTATGAGCCAGACACCATCAGGTTGCCGCTGAGGAATGAGCCACACCGCACATAGTCGGTGTGACCTCGTAATATAGATTCGGGCTTCTCTGATGGCAGGTCCCATAGCCGTACAGTTGTGTCGTCGCCGCAGGACATGAGTGACGTCGGTTCTGAAGGGTGCCACTTGACTGTATGTATGGCTTGTTTCGACTCTTTCCATGTCTTCAGGATTGCCCTCGATCCAACATCAAATACTTGTATCGTTCCCGTCTCATCTCCAGCAGCAAGCACACGTCCATCTGGCCGAAGTTCGCCGCTATATGCTGTGTCGCTGAATCTGGTAATGGTCTTGACCAGCTTCCGCGTTCTATATGAGTACAGTTGTATACGGGCGCCAGTACTGACAGCGAAGAAGTCTGAAGGAGTGGTCGCTGCATTGGCAGGCGCTGGCGGCTGTGCAATATGTGTTATGGCATGGTTGGAAGGTGATGTCGTGTTTTGCGGTGATTTGAAGCTGCGCCAGTAGGATTGCTCGGGTGTGAGTGCCGATGATCGTGAGGGCAGTTTGGCCTGCTGTACAGGCCGTACTTCGGCAGCCATAATGTGACTGCTACGCCTTGTGTAGAAACTGCAGAGGATGCACTCTTGACCTTCTGAAGAAGTTCGGACGAAAAGTCACAGTGGAGAAAATGCCCATTGGCTTATCGATAACGAGATGTGGGGCGCTGCATGTACGATCCCGGCGTCAAGCCACCTCGTTGCCTTTCTTCCTTTCAGGCCGACTTGAAGTACTCTGGCTGCATAGAGGCGAAGCAGGCCGGCCGCTTCTTGGTAGAGACAGGATGGCCATCATCAAGAAGATGGGTCATTTTGACTAGCTATCGCTGGTCTCTGCCTTAGTTCCGAAGCACAGACTAGGATTCGTCGTTGACGCGCTCCGAAGGTGACCTGCAGATATATTCCCGTCTTCCTCGCTCGGCGACTGCAGTGTACCTAGGTAAGTATCGTGTCTGCACCTTCCCCGTTTCCCAAGAGTTCCTTCTCAAAGACCACACTTCTCGTCGGCAGCGACGCCTCAGCGCACGATGCGAAATTGCCTTCTCATGATCAATGGCTTATCACTCACTCGTTACTCGCTCATCTGGACTTCCATCTCGCTGCACTCAATCTGTCAACGATAGCATGACGTGCGAGGAGCTCTGCAGCTCGCCTCATAATCCATGAACGAACCCTCTTCTGCATAACCAACAGCTAAGCTCCAGTCTCGCTCGGCCAACAACCCGTTGATCGTTCATCGTTCGTGGCGATCATCCGGTACACCAGCTCGAGACGCTCAAACGTCATTCTTGAGGACGTTGCTAGCGTTGCAACGAATTCGCACCGGAACATCTCGCCTGTCTCGCCAACACAATAGATAGGCCGTCGTAGGAGGAAGCCTATCAGTAGCAGCAGCTCAACAGCTCATCCGGTAGGTCAAACGACTGTCACTCTCTTGATCCGTTCCTGCAATCTTTCGAGCCTCGGATGGCAGTCGCTGTTTGGCATGGCCTAACTCCTCGTCAGGACACCCAACGTCGCCATATCCATCCTCACCTGGAGTCTGATTCAGCCATCGGTTCCAAACCCTCGCAGACCTACCTGACCCGACATAAGCCTCTGCTCCCAGTACGAGTTGTCCGCTGCACGCACCCAATGACGGTCTCTGTGTCCCTGATGCTTTGACTGAGGGGAGGCTGCGATACATTATGTGTCTGCACAAGGCCGCTGTGTGGGCCGAGTAGATGTCGAAAAGAGCATGCTTGACATGTCGCCAGTTGTACGCGTCTCGGGTAGTAGGTTCGGTGGTCAGATCTCGATTGAAGGCCCCTTATGCAATCAGCGATGTCTTCGAAGAAATTCACATTCGGGACGCCACGCTCCCTCGACACCTCAAGGGAAGCAGTCTCAGAACAAGGCAGTGTGCCGAGTGACGGACCGTCCGTCTCAGAGACTATCGATACTTGCTCCGAAGCATTCGAGTGCTGTATCGTGGTGGACCTTTGTGGGAGGTATGCTGACGCCTCCGGAGCCGCTTCTGGAATGCTGCTGGAGAAGAATTGACACGCTTACTTAACGCGTCATATTGCAGACAAACCTATCTGGCCACGTGCTTGAAGTACCCAACGGTCAGTAGTGATGGCGTCAAGCCCCCGAGTCGAACTCGTGAATACATACAAGAACAACCCGAGATCTCAGACATGTCGCCGAGCACTGTCCGATACTCCGAACCACGTGCTGCGACCAACAACTGGTTTGCCATATTGGTCGGATCCACCTCTGTCCAGACACTCTATGGCGTGTGTCGATGTATGCAGGTTGCCCGGAACGATCGTAACCACGTTGGTCATCGCCGATGCCGACGGTGGTCCCACGCGTCGGTTGGGGCAGAGCCACGGTCCAGAACCTGCCTGAACAGGCCTGTCGTCGAGGTGACAGTCAGCGATGTCTGTCGAGCGCGCACTTCATGCCTCATCTCCGATGCGAATCCGGTCCAAAATACGCGAAGGCGACCAGGCCGTTGGTGGATACGAGGCTGTCACCGTGTCGGGATGCCAGGACCTTCCAGAACTCGAGCAATGGCCTTCTCCGAGGGAATACACGGCGGCAGTCCTCAGCACGAACATGCAGCGTTGTATCCACACGTGCAAAGCTTGTTGTATTGCCTTCATTGTAGATCTGATCCGAGCAGGAGCAGGTTCTCCGCTTGTCGACGGGTACAAGGCTCCGGCATTTTGGGTGCGGCTACTGGCCTCCAGGACCCGTGCGTTGTGTAGGCTTGGAAGGCACATGGCTACCACTCCTGCGCGATGTTTTATTTCCACTTCCAGACGACCAGAGGGTTGAGTGCAGCCACTCCCCTTCTCACCTGGAATTCTCGCCACACTGTGTTGCTCGCCACCATCGGTAGCCGCCTGGCCAGCGTGTGACATGCCTCAAGCGACACCGCCGCAACTTTCCCGCCATACCGGAAGGACCGTTCTGGCGAAAGGGACGACATGACAGGCGACAAGACATCAAACAAGCTGAGGCGGTCGTCAAGCACGTGGAATTCCACGTGGTATCAAATCTTGCGAGTTTCCACCCGCTGGAATGTACCGTTTCGATCAGGCGCATGGAGGCTCGACAGCCCATGTCTCAAAGGGGCATCTGGGCGTCTTGACAGGACAGAGACCCTTACGAATCTAGACGTCGGTTCCTCGCTACGGCGAGGTGTGCCCAGGCAAGGCTGCTACCTGCATAGTTCGGACTCGCTCGGAGACTCACGCACAAAGGCGCCAACACGATACTGCTCCGGCAGCCCCGAGCTTCTCAATCGATGGACACAAGTTCAGCTCATTGATCTCTGGGAAACCCTTTGACGCGGACAACTGGCTATAATATCGCCACAAAGTGTATTCTCACACTACAGTCTCTCAAGCTGAGTAAGTACGCCTCAAACCAATGTTTCGGAGAACGAATCCTCCCAAAGATAGGCCCATAATGCCCAAATCTGCTGACGGCCTGTCACCCTGTACCACTCACATCCATGCTCGGAACCGCATCTGGTTCTAATCGTTCGATCCAGATCAGTTCCCTTCAGCTGTCTAGGGATTGGCCGCTAGACTCAAGTTTTGTCTAGTGCAGCTGTCAACAGCATTTGATATCTGGATTCAACATCGATTCGTCTACACGTGGTAGATTTCCATCGACGATCACTTCCGAGAGAGGTGCAGCCACTTGCTCGCTTCGACACGAGCTGCCGTAGCCAGTGTGACTTGTGCTTGAGCAGCACATGATATAAAGATGGCTGTCCCTCCACGTGGTTGAGATGAGAACCAGCACATCAGCATACTCCTTCAAAACAACAACAACAAAACATTCCGCAAGTCTCCTACAAGAGTGTTGCCAGACTTACAACACCAACTCATCTTTCATCAAGGATCATCCAAACACCGCCTTTACACAGCACTACCTCGACCTCGTATCCATCCACCACACAGAGACCAACTATCTTGATTCCAACCAGAAAACTCCAATTGAGCCCGGCACTCAAATCCGTCCGATTCAAACCACACGTATTCGCTCAAAATGCCCCAATCCAACCGCCCAAGATCCTCAACCGTCAGCTCCTTCACGAACGCTGCACTGTCGTCATTAGCATCACCCAGGCCCGCGCGCAGAATGGCCAAGCCCACTGCTCCGCCGGTGATGCCGCCACGGATTCCGAGGGGCTATGGGCTCTGAACGAGCGTGCGAGCGGGCTGGTACATTTGTTGGCGACGGAGGCTTGCATGGATGCATGGGACGGCGCAGGAAAGCATTAGCGGCGGACGGGGCCCAGCTGCATTATCATGAAAATGGGCCTGGCATGGCAGGGCGTCTGATGCATGTGTGGGGCGGCGAGGGACTTTTATCCGTCGCAAGAGTCATCACTATGGCCTGGCACGGCGTTTCAGATACCAGAATCATGTACTTTGGACGAGTACAGTATGCAGCTGTAACCTCAATGGAAAACATCTCCGAATGATCGGCGATTTGCCTGATTTCTTTTCCCTTCTTTGGCGTAGACCTACGCGTCGCAGGGAGGTGGTGCAACGGCGCGTCTGGCGGAGCTTGACAAGGCGGGAGGACTAGAGATCCTGTGGTGTAACAAGACCAGGTGCCCATACAATAGAATGATTACTATTCAACAACCGCGCGAGCTTGAAGCTTTTCTGTTGGCGGAGCTGAATTCCACCCAGCGACATATAAGTATTTCAATCTCGCAGTAAAAGACTTGGGGTATCATTGCATTCTAGATAGGGTCAAACTGATGCCCATTTGAAGTATTTTCTTGCTCTGTTTCTCCGTTGACGCCTTTGAGAACGAGCAAGACTGTCCTTGCACGGTCCGCGTTCGCTCTGAGAGCTCTTTCTTCATCAGGAATTCACCACTTGTTCGGACTCGAGGACTGATCACTTCTTCCCTTCCAGCAGCGCCCGGAAGTCATCGTTACTCTTCTTGGGTCCGCCCTCGCCATTCGCGGTTCCTCCGCCACCACTATCGTTGGCGTTGGCCTTCCCGAATCCCAAACCCGTTCGCTGCCCCAAATGCCCACCCTTCCGCGCACCAGGCTGCGCCGGCCGCCGGACGACTGACGACGGGACCATCCCGCCCGGTCCAGCTGGCGCCTTCTTCTTCTTGGCTGGCGCATCCTTCGTCTCCGCTGTCATGCCCTTCAGCTCCTCCTGCGTGACGACTCGAGTCTTTTTGCCCTCCACGAATTCGTGCCCGTCGAGCTCGAGGGCGGCGATGCCGGCGTCAGCGGCTGACTCGAACTCGATCAGGCAACCGGCGTGTTCGGTGCGGAGCATGACTTTGAGGACTCCGCCAATCCTTTCTGCGCGGGCGCGGATTTGAGCTTCGTTGATCGTGTCGGGTAGGTAGGCTAGGGCGATTGTGCGGGTGCGTTGTTCTTCTAGGTCGCCTTTTGTTGGCTTCGGCTTCGGCTGTTGTGCTGATGAAGGCGCTGCGTTGCCGTTCAGAGCAGGTGAGACGGAGCGGCCGCCGTTGACAGAGGCAGAGGCCGAGGCAGATTTGCCACGGACCGAGTTGGGCTTGTCGTCCTGGGCCATATTGACTTTGAGCTTCCGACCTTGGAAGTCCTGACCGTTCATTGCTAACGCAGCAGCTGCGGACGTCAAATCGACGTATGTGATGAAGCAGATTCCTTTGTTTTTGGACTTGACCTGAGGGTCGCGTGGCATACGAGTCTTCTCTATTTCGCCGTACTGGCTGAAGACTTCCTCGATTTCGGCCTCAGATGCCTTGAAGGGTAGCTGTCCAATGAAGATCGCACGGCCGCCGGCGGAGGAGTGAGCGTTCTCGCGTTCCTTCTTGATAGCAGGATTGGAGATTGCGACAGTCAATTCAAGCTCATCTCTCGTCTGGCCGTTGAGCTCAAGCGCTGCGTGAGCTTGCGAGGACGTCTTGAACTCGACGTAGCAGAAACGGCGATGCTTGTTTGCTTTCAAGGACGGAAAGCGGACACTGATGATCTCGCCGTATGGCGTAAATAGATCGCGGATATAGCTCTCGTCAGCGGCGGGCGGATAGTTGGTCACGTAAAGCGTGTTGCCCGTGTTCAGTGTCACTGACAGTGTGGCGCCTTCGAAGTCGACTTCGTGACGTGATAGAGCGTATTGTGCTTGGTCGGCTTCCTGAAACTCGATAACGAAGCTGCGTTCTCCTTCCTCCTTGACAGCTTTTAGGCCCATGATTTGCCCACATTTGCTGAAGAATTGTCGGACACGGGCTTCAGGAGTGCTGACGGGGATGTGTTGGACAAGAATGCTTGCGTGCTCTCTGTCGCGCTTCGGTTGCGCAGCCTCTTCTACGGAGTGCGCAGGAACGTCCTCGTTTCTTGGCCGCTTGGTCGCATCAGCGTCATCTTCCTCATCATCACGCTTGCGTTTTCCGATGTGCAAATTCTCAGCGACTTCCTCCGTACGCTGCTCGACGATAGCTTCGATCGGAGCGGCGGCTTGCTGGGCAGCAGTCTGTTCTGCGGCGGCTGCTGCTTCGTGCTGTCGTCGTAAAGTAAGCTCCCTTTGTATGCGATCGATTAGGATCAAAGCTGATTGCAATGTCTCCGCATCCTCATTGTCTTCGCAGTGATTCGCGAGCGCCTCGAGCAGATATTCAGGATAGTCGAGTCCAGCATGCTGGAGACCCTTTTTCAGGACGCCGACTGCGGCTTCCGAAGAAGAGTTCAGATTAACGCCTTCTCTAGAATCTCGCTGGAGCGAGGTGATATGAGTGGAGGCTACCATCTCAAATTCATAGTAGCGCAACCAGAAACGGTAGGATCCGCCATACGACTCGACAGCGTCGTCGAACTGCTGTCTTGCGTTGTCGAATCGACCCTGACCTTTGAGATATTCGATGTACTTCCGCTGCAGACGAAATTCAGGATCAACAACAGCTTGACCATCGAGCTTAGCTGCAAGCCCTTGGACAGTCTCAATCGAGGTGCGAATGCCCATCTCGGCCACGTCGTCGTCTTCTTCTGATGCATCCTGGTTTCTAGTCCTTCTGACAAGATAGCCACACCACGCCTCGTGAACCTTCAACAGCTCCTCGGTCCCTGCAGCGTCGAGCATACCAGTCCTAGTGGCACTCTGTTGAATAGCTTCAGTCTCTTGGAAGGACTCTTTGGCGAGTTCCGAGGCGAGCAGGAGACGTTTCCAGAGCATGCCGGACCATGGGCAATGTCTGGTGGCTCGGCGAAGCAGATCAAGTAGGCCTGGGCTCTGTCGTTCTGCCAGATAGTCTGCATGCTCTTCCCAGATAGAGAGCACGGATGGCAGCCGCAGCTCGATTCGTTGGTACAAGGCATTGATCATTCGAGCGCTTGCGGCGGCATCTTGAATCGGCTCTCGTTGCCTATCTTTCTTGCCAAGCCTGGAGATCCTAACCTGTTCGTTCTTCTCCCACGCAATGTATTCGACAGAGCAGTTGTATTCAGCATACTTGTCGCCCGATTCAATGGCTCTGAGCAAGTTGGCCTCAAGAACCTCTCTCGCGGACCAGATAGCTTTGACAGCCGCCGAGTCTCGCAGTGTTCCAGCCATGATCTGTTCGTAGTGGTCGGGGGCGAAGTTTGCAGAAACGAAACTCGAGAAGGCTTGGAATGTGGATTCCCATTGGGCGTGAGGAGCTTGAAGGCGAGATTGGAAGAGGTCGAGAACGAGAGCTGCTCTATCCTCGTCCATCTTGCTCTCAAAGTCAGGATATCGCGTCCGCAAGAACTTGTTCCATACTTCATGGCTGAGTGCCAGGTCATGGCCCGTCGAGCTGGCTGCATCCTCCCAGACGCTCATGACTTGGTCGACATTGAACAGCTCTCGACCAAGCATCTTTTCTTCATTCTGGGCAGCACTTGCAGCTGGTTCGTTGGCCCAGTTGTAGCAATGCAGAAGCCAGTCACCGTAGGTCTGCCACAGACGGACGCTGCCGTATTCTTCCTCGACAGCTCTTTTGCATAGTTCCATAACGGCAACTCTTGCGTCGATCGACTGTGCCAGCATGCTCTCGGCGTGTAGCCAATCTAGCCAGAGACTCTCTCCGACAGCGAAGAGTTTATCTGCGGTTTCTCTAGCCTGACGTAGTTCGGGGAGGAGATCGTAGTCTGCAGGATTGTTGCGTGCATCGGGAGTATCAGGTGGGTAGGTATGATCCATGAGACCCTGGTGCAGTATCTTGATGATCTGTGTATGAGCATCGTACGAGGCCGAATTCTCACGAACCAAGGCAACGAGTTCAGCCAGAGTCTGCTGGCTTTGTAGAGGAAGTGATGAACCGGCATAGTCGCTTCTCATGAGCTGCTTTGGCGTCTCGACCATGTTGATATCGAAGGACAGCCGCTCGGCAGGCATCCCAGGACGATGTGATCCATTCGAGCTGGAGCTATTCTTAGCTGGTGGTGGCGTAGGTCGTGCCGACTGTTGCATGGAAGCCAGGTCGGATAGGGTATCCATCGATGGAGTCGAAGTACTTGGATTGCGCAGAAAGTGCGGCTGCGTCGAGTCGGTCGGCACTGGCGATATCAGCGGAGACGAATTGACAGGTCGTTGACCTGGGCTGTGGATATGTGCCGGAATGCTCGATGGCGGCAGAATTTCTCGCGCAAGCGGACTGCCGGCAGCACCTGCTCTGGCGGCATTAAACGGCACAGAAGTTCCGGAACTCGTGCGCTGTGCGAATTGATGGGGCGCTTGTGATCCTGTCGAGGACGGAACAGGAGGAGCACTCATAGGTGACTCGGTGCCAGACGGCGAAGTAGTGAATTGATGTCCATTTTCACAGATTCAATTTGTGTTGTTGCCTGCGTCTGCTATCCTTCACCTCTTCGCGCCACCGGCCTTTGCCCATAGTACGTGGCACCTCCGATGCGGCCCGGCGCTCCAAAGACCCCGTCTACTCGCAGGTGGAAGATTGTTTCGTTACTAAATTGCTGTGGTGAAGAGCGTCGATGCCGTGGAAAGATGTGAAAGTACGGAAGGATAGTCCTTTGCCAGGCAACGATCGAGCTCAGAGGAGGGACTGGTTTCGGATGAGGAAGACAGAGGGAAGGCGACGCTTGCTGTTAGACGCGCAGGTTGTAGACAGTCGCGAAGTTGAAAATGAAGGACAAGTCGATCACGAATTGAAAGCCGGAGCAAAGGCTAGAACATCCACCAAACACGAGACTTGAAGATTGCCGGGCGATGATGATGCCGCCCTGCAGGTGCGAGCCCCGGAAGTTCAGTTCCGCGCCGTCATTGACTAAGCCCAAACCACGCCTAGAGCCGCCTGGAAGATCTAGCCAATCATGCCTACAGTCAAGCACTCCACCAGCCTTCAATATTGAAGCTCGACAGCAGTGCAGTGAATGCCATCAATCGTGACTTTGAATCGGCATCGGTCATTCATGATTGCTCAGACTTGGTCAACTCTATTCATCAACTTCATCACCGAGTCGCAGTCATGACGGTAACCATGTCTGCCTCCGGAAGCCTACGACGAGGTGAATATGCGGCCCTCTTGCAAAGACTGTGATCGTACTGACTGCTGGTAGCTCAACATGCCGCGTGCTATGCACAGCTCTGCGCCTCCTTCAGACTTCTCTGCCTCTCAAACCCTCGACAATTCAGCACCTCCTTCGCTCACAATACCGACAAGACTGAATCGGTCGAGGAAAAGCCCCGAAAGAAGACTGAACTCCAGACGAAGGTCACCAAAGAACCCACGGCGCTTGAACGTGCCGCACAGGCTTTGCGCCAGTCCAAGGCAAAGGCGAGGGATGCCGCTGGGCAACAGGCACAACCTGCGACTGGTCGATTGGCTGACACCAATGTCTTTGCTTCACACCAGGACATCGATAGGGAAGAAGATGATCCAGATCAGGGCGTCTTCGAGGGACGAAGTATCGCAAATATTGAGCGTGCCCTCAATCCCAAACCAAACGCTCGTGCTCGATGGCAAGCGAGGATGGTAGCGAAACACGTCCGACGTGGTGGCCGATTGACCAAGGAGATGCTGATCGCGAGGACGGAGAGACAACATCAACTACAGTCGCATTTCTTCAAGACCTCGCAGAAGAAATTGAGGCCGCTCGCTACTCAGATCGCCGGCAAATCTATCGATGAAGCTATCCTGCAGATGCGGTTCTCAAAGAAAAAGGTGGCTCAAGATATCCACGCCCATCTCATTCATGCTCGAAACGAGGCCATGGCTGTCAAAGGGATGGGCATGCAGGTCAGGACCGACGTTAAGCCGACACTACCCACCGGTGCCGTGGTGTTGGATCCGAGCACAACGCCTCCTCAAGATCACGAGTTGCCCACCAAGGCTCTGAGGAAGGGAGAAAAGGTGAGCCCCACAGATATCTACATTGCTCAAGCATGGATCAATCGCGGCAAATTCGGCCGAGAGCCGGAGTATCGTGCCAAAGGATCTATGAACATTCTTCGACCACCGTATACCGGTCTCACAGTATTACTGAAAGAGGAGAAGACGAGGACGAGGGAGCGCACAGAGAAGGAGGTCAAGGCTATTCGCAAGAGGATTGGCAAGAACCTTTGGACTCAGCTTCCCGATCGACCTGTTACTCGACAGAGTCAGCATGTTCTGTGGTAAGCCAGGAAGGCGATGCAAGTATGGCAATCGCTTGAGGTGACGAGGTCTTTCGTCGTCCGCAGGAGAAAGGTTGAACTATGAGTGCAGTCTTGCCCTACACTGCACAGGAAGTAATCACGCACGGTGGGTGAGAATCATGATGATCAAGCCATTCACCACTGATCGGTTGTTGTGACCTTGGGAGGCAAAGATGTCATCAACCATTATCACCACAATGATACCTGGACATGGTTACTTGTGGTCTTAGGTGCATGCTTGCTGCCAATCATCTCCACTGGTGACAGGGTCTACTGCTGTCGGATATGCACGGAGAGACAGTAGCTGCTCCTGAGGCGTTTGCCATGACAGATGCAAACGAAATCCGTCAAGTGACGCCTTATCTGTTGCCTTTTGGATTTGGTATACAAGGGCAACCAGCACTCCAATTCCAGCCTTCCCGAACAACAATAAACAGATCCGGCCCACCACCGCAACTTCTCAACCTCGCATCCTCTTTCAATCCACCAAGCACACAAGGCAAGGATTTTCCTCCTCGCGCACAAGCATACACAATCAAGACGACTGGCACTCTGTCGATCTCACGCATACGACAATCACCTTCGCCATGCCGAAAGCTCTGCCGCCACCCGCAGGCTCGCTGAGCAGCATCAACCGCCGCGGCGGACATGCGACAATCTGCGAGCCCACACCGATCGACAACGACCCAGTCCCATGTGACAATCCCATCCTCTCCGACGATCGCCAAGCATCTCACACTTCTTCGGTCGCAACAAGCGTGCTACTGCAACCATTCCCGTCGACTGCTTCCCTCTTCAATGTCGCACCCACTATCAAGAGCGAAAGTATCGTATGCGCAACAGTCCTGGAGCCGAAGCTGCTCATCAGTGCGATCTTATCATGGTCGTGATCGAGCGAATGTCCGAATACACTTGGACCGATTCCAAAGACGGCACAATCTGGCCCCTGTGGGTTGGTTTCGAGCTACAACTGTGCAAGTCCGGCTCCACGCCCGATCTCGAGCCTCCCTTCATCGATCTCGCCCATACTCCCCAACCCGAAGAGAACCATGTCGCCAAGACACCCAAGCAGTCGCCAAACAAGAAGCCACCAACCACTCCGGCTGGCAAGTCTCCAGCTGCCAAGGGCACAACTCGCACTCGCAAGACCTCACCTCTTGCGCCTGTACCCGAATGGCTCGCCAAGCTATGCTCCAAAGACGAGTCCGGGCAAGACTTTGCGCCTATTGGTGACCGACGTGGAGCTCGCTATGACTTCGCCGGCCTTGAGCAAATCGTCCGAGCCCTCAAGACGTGGTGTATTCAGAACAACGCTCGCCTTCCAGCCGTCGAAGCTCTCCCTGTCACCATAGGCATGCTGTACGAGGCACAAGTCGACTCAGTCAAGCACGAACTTAATGAGGCCAAGCGAACCGCCAACGTCGCAGAGAGCACGTACAGAGATGCTGTGCGTCGCAAGGCTCGTACCGCAAATGCATATTTGAATGCTTGGGAGGCGGCCAAGATCGATGTTCAAGACCAGCAAGCCGAGTTGGCGAAGGTGAAGGAGCATGTCCAAAATGCCAACGAGACTCTACCTCAGAAACGTGTGCACAAGACTCGATCGCCCAACAAGGTCTCGCCAAAGAAAGGTGCTACACCTAAGAGAGTCGCCAAGCTGAAGAAGATTGTCAAGAAGAAGGCGGTGGATTTCGAGATCTACGAAGACGGATCATGAATGATTCTGTACATTGACATTGATGTAGACGAAAGCTACGTTTTGCGATGAGAGTCAAGTATGCCGTACTATCGCGGTACGCTTCATCGCTGATGGCATGGATGTTGGTCTTTTGGGATGCGATGATGTTAGCTTTTTGGAGTGCTGCGAAGTGCCTGTACATTATGGATGAACATATTGCGACATCACGGGTTCTGCTATTACTATGGACATGAGCACAAGGACTTGGAAGAACATGGTACACTTAGGACGAGCGCTAGATCTGTAGATAATAAGACTATTCTGTGAACTGTTGGCTCTTTCTCTCCAAACCATTGCTGCGATTCGACGACTGCACTTGCCATCCTAGAGGAGGCACTGCATGGCAGCGGGTGGCTCTTTCCCCGCCGAATCAGCCAAGCCGGCGAAGAATTCCGGGCGCATGATGAGGAGATGCTTGGCTTGTACTTACCGCTTCTCGAGGTCCTACATCTGTGGCGTTCGCTTTACCACACTGCTTGTCTTCGAGTCATTTGTTACCACTGCTTCGAAGTCTCTGAGCATTGCGTCGTCTTGCTACTGCTCGTTGAGCTAGTATAATTCTGCACACTGGTCCCACGCGGCTGGGACTCGACTCGACAGCTTCCCGCTCTAGACACCAATCGGCAGTCGATCTATCTTGTCTGAACGACAAAGGCAACGAGGCAGACTCTCCTCCATCGCGCTAGCACGGTCTCCTTCGCACCGCACGAGGACAGCTTCGAGTCACCTGTACAACGAAGCGCCGTCTGAGGCCACGCAGCAGACATGGCCAACGGTTTTTCTCTGGTGCCTGGTGGCTCCGGTGCTAACTACACGGGCATGTTGACCCGCAGCATCGTCTTCACTGGCGCGCTGCTCCTCTTCCTGGGCACCACGGCCATGACCATCGCATCCATCATAATACCGAACTGGATTTCATACGAGACAGTGACTGTATGCTCTCTCTCTCTCTCTCCCGATTCAGTCATGTCCGCCGAGCTAATTGATCTATAGTCGGAAGGCACAGCGCTTCATTGGAATCTGGGCCTGCACCGCCGATGTTCGAACACCAATCTCCCTCCGTTCTATACCTCTGCTCCTCATCCATTCTCGAGATCAGAATGCGTCGAGTTCCCTCGATACAGCGAATGCCGCGGCGAAGACCGCTATTTCTGCAGCATGTGGCGCAGTGTCGGCTTTCTGATGTCGTTCGCCGTCGTGATCGAGGGTATGACCATTGCGGCGTTCATAATCCTGCTCGCTGGCGGTAAGCAAAGGAGAGAAGCTGGCTGGGGTGCCTTGACCGTACTAGTCCTAGTGGGGTCGGTGGTGCAAGCAATCAGCATGGCCCTCATGACATATCTATTCGACACAGACGACCAGTTCTTCCCAGGCTGGTACTTGGACAAGAGCTGGAGTATGTGTACGGCGTCATGGGTCATTCAAGGACTGTGCGCTTTGGCCATTGCCGTGGCTGCGGTTGTGCTTCCAAGCGAGGGCGGTTATGAGCTGATCCCTGACTCGGCATGAAGTCACAATTGATTGCAATATCTATCGAATTGAGTTTGAGCGTTTCGTGGCAGCATCACTTTCTTTCGGCGATGCAAGCGAGCGAGCAGCAACTTTGTACGCAATGGCGTTTACGGGCGTTTACGGGCGTTTGAGCAGGCAGCCTGGCCGCCTTTCTTTCATTCACCGGTTCTCACTTGCTGCACATGCAAAGGAATGACATCGAGCAAAGCCTGTATTACTGAACTTGCGATGGGCTTCGACGATACTTCTTTCTGGAATGGGCGAGCGATTCCAGCCTGGATAATAAGGCCAAACCTGAAGTATTCCAAACATCGAGCACACCCCAGCGACAACTCCCAGCAGACCACGGGCTCGACATGCTTCAGCGATCGCCTATTTTCTCGTACTTCTGCGGAACCTCTACGCTCACGTCATGCACATCCACCTTCACCCACTGAAGGGTCAGTACGCCTTCGCCCTTCGCTAGCTTCACTTTCTCATCGACCGTTATGGTTAGCCGGAGTCTCCCTTGGTCGTCCTCCCAGATCTCCTGGTTCCGCTTCTGGATGCCACCAACGAAGTTCGGAGGATTACTGATCTGGATCTCATGATATACTGTCGCCTTCCGACTCCCTTCTTCATGCACATAGTATCGGCCGGTGTACCCGTTGGTATGGCGAGCATAGAACAGTGCTTCGTCGGCAGTCGGGTTGTTGAAGCCGGCAGCATATGGTGTCATGGCCTCTGAGCTTGTGACGTGTGCGGACATGTAGCCGTCCGGGGAGTATACAAGGTAACCCTTCACGTCCTCGCCGAAGGGATGAATCGTCTCGCTGGCGTTGGACATCGTTATGGACACACTGCGCCAGGTGCCGATAAGCTCGTCGTGGTAGGAAGGCATGGTCAAAGGCTCTGGAAGGTGGACGTGGTGTCTGTTGATGCTGAGGATTGGGGCTCCCAGCGTCGAGTGTGTCGAGCCCATTCATATATGGCTCGCGATTGTATGACACCTGGCACGGATGGTGTATTGCTTCCCGAACACGGAATCTCGTCCGGGTAGCATTTTGCAAGCGCCTTGCCGCACGCCATTCCACTTTCATACGCAGTTGTTCAGGCCACCACAATCCGCGTTCGCGATCTAGGAAGACGCGAAGTCGCCGAACTTATGAGAGCAACACTATAATCTTGCTGTCTGCAGCAGCAGCAGCAGCAGTGCCACTATCATACAGTGCTACTGATGAGTAATTGAGTGTTGATGGGTTTCCAACAATTCCGCAACCAGCGCCAAGGAGTCAGCAAAGGAGCATTCCACACAATGAGAGCCTCTCCGCGACGGCTGGTTGGAGTGACCATACCGGCTCGAGCTGCCTGGACCGCCATCATGACTTCCGGGTTGCAACACAAGCTCACCTCTTGTTCGCAACAGGTATCCTCAGAAGCAAGCGGCCCGAGATGACTAAGCCGGTTTTGGCCCACTGTACGAGGCCAAGACAAGGCGACCAGGAGCACACCCTGACCTCCGCCATTTGCCCGTCACCACTAGTCGTCTCTGTCATTGGAGCTAAGAGAGCCCGAACACTGTGAGCCCGGGAACGGCCGAGACCAGGAGCGAGATGACGAAGCCCGCGACCTACAGACCGCTGAGCTCAGAGTTGCGGATTGCGAGCTCTCCGGACGACCTTCGTCCGTTTGGCTGACGATAATGATGCTACGTCTGATGAATGGTTGGCAATTGTGACACGAGAGGGTGCCGAGGCGATCATATGGTGGTCCGCTGGTCTCTGAGCGTATGCGGGTGCGCATCACCGTGCCAAAGCAGCTTCTAGAGGGTACGTCGGTCGAAGATCTTACTCTGCTCAACGCGAGATCACTGGAGGGGACAATGCTTGATAATCTTGTCGAGAGTCAGACCTGCTGCATTGTTCGGGATCGGGCAGCGCAGGTAGGGTTGAGGTGAGATCATGGACGGGGTGGGACGCGGTGCCCACGAGGCTGTATATGTTTTCCAATGTCATTTGTGATCCACCCCCAATCCCAGGCTTTCGTTCCACTTCCTACTTGTTCAGGTCTCGATCTCGTTGCTATCGATTACTATGTACCGTGATGGCTGCCTAACACAGGATAGTTGTCAGAAGCTCGCCCCGCCTGATGGCTACTGATGCTACCTTTGGCATGGCAAGTCTATCGTTGCGCAGACTGTTGGTGGACAAAACGAAAAAAGAAATCGACGACAAGACCCTTACTTATACATCTTCAACCGAGCGATGATCCGAGACAACCCGATGAAATCACTCCAGTGACTCGCGCTGGAAGTATTCACTGTTCTTCCCACCATTCGGTGTATACTGAGCAACGTGCTGTACATGTATACATAGGCCCCTACTACCCAGAGACGTCTGCTTTTGAGGCGGGATCTGGCAGGTTGCAAGCAATATTCAGCTCTGGTATTGAAGTAGCCGAGTCTCACTAGCATCGAAAATTGCCTGATTTCGTTCGCAGCCGTTTGTCAAGTCGATGGTCGTGACTTCCGAGTTGACAGCATGCCCTTTGAAGTCAATGACACCAGGAGCCGCCTCTGACCTTGACTCACGCGATCCAAAGTTACTTCCTCCGCCCGGGTCAGTGAAGGGATTACTTCGGTTTGCGCCGGACCTTCTTCTGAACGGACAAGTAGAAGTACTTGCCTAGCCTCTAACTTGTTCCTCTTTCCTACACGACCAGCACAATGATGATAGAAGAACCATCATCGCATCACTCGTCATGCTATGGTAGCGTCCACTGCCACCTAGTGGGGCGAGATCGTCAGGCGGCGGACGTAGTGATCGTCTGGCAACGTGCCGAACCCGCCTTGGCCTAAAGCGGCTCATCCCCGAATGATGTTGAGCCATCAAGACTGCGGTCATGTCGAAGGAAGGTCCATTCACGCTCGACGAGTCCTTGTTGCGCGTCGGTACCTGGAATCAAAGGACGGACTTCACATCATATTGCTGGTGACATGATTGACGTCGGATCGCGGACGTGCAAGGTTCTATGCGAGTGAGTGCGTAAAGACTCACCGATACGTTTCAACGCACGACATCATGGCTTGTTAAGATGACGAGGTATGCGAGCCGTACGTACTTCATGGTCTCCTCGTGAGCCCATACGCCGAAAGAAATGCTGTGCCTGATGTGCCGTCTGTCATGCTGATAAATGCAAGCTCCGACAGTCTCGGACCTTTGCTTGGAGATATTGGAAGCATGGAAGCTTGCGTCGATGTGCAGGACCTGATACATGATGAGTTCTCAGGGCGAACGCATCCTATATTTAGGATTTTCGTAGAGTTGCGGCCTTTAAGCTCATGCACAAGCTTTCTCTTAGTGCATTTGGCAGCTTCCAAGCACCTGCACCCCAGCTTGTCGGGCGTGACTGCTTCAACGTTGCAACACAACGTCAACATCATCGGCGCTGTACCTCGTAGCTCCGATCTCGACAACCACGACCTCACAAACAACTGCCATGTCTGAGTGCATCACACGGACGCGTCTGTGGGTTCTGTCAGATCCAACACGGGGAGCATTAAACATCATGCTGGGCTCCTTTTGCGGAGGCCTGGAACCGCCCCTACCTGGCTGACGCGTTCCTACCAATTTCTCTGAGAATTGCGTTTGTCCTTACCTAAGTCTACCGAGCAAGAGCAACGCACGAAGGAGCTCTACTCGTCACGACTCTGATTGCATCTTGCAACGCGTACCTTTCACTCCTTCCAGCGGATATGACACATCGGCAAATTCGGATGATTCCCAATAGTCCGGTATATTCGGGCTCTGGTCGAATGTACGCAATGGTAACGTGGTAAGATCACTATTTCACGAGCGATTTTGCAGCTCAGCATCAGCACGACGTTGACTTCATCAAGCTGCAACCAATTCTCGGGATCATGCACTGCGTGCAGGATGGTCTTTTGGGATAGCCTTCACGAGGAATCGAGGCCATGCACGGACCGACCCCACAAATCTAGGCTATGGCGATCTTTTCGTGATGGCTGTGAATACCGAGTTCCTACTGGCCTCAGGCAGAAGGCATTCCAAAAGACTATTCCTTTCCGCCAACAGCGACGTTTGACTCGTAGTGGCTAGCCGTTTACGAGACAACCCAAAATGGAGGCTGGAAATAGTTCAAAGTATCGCTGGGAGCAAACAAAGATTATCCAGGAATGCGGATATATTGACCGTCGTCCAACCCTACCTCAATCCTTTGGCACAGCAATCCTTCTCCCGGCACCGCAACTCTCACAATGGGAAAGAAACAGAATAGTACCACGACCGGAGAGCCGAAGAAGCAGAAACAACAGAAGGCACCTCCCGCGCCAGAGATTCCGTTCCACGAGCAGCTGGGCAAGCAGTTGTCGGAGAAGTTCATGACCATTATCGAACAGCATGATCGGACTCTAACAAGATACTTCGAAGAGCAGAAGCCTCAGTATGGGCATTGTGTACGAAGATGCTCGGAAGAGAGTTCGCTCAAGGAAGTCATCTACACGACGACCGATATCGCCACCGCCGTGTCCAAGATGTCGCTGGTGAGGGACGGCGAACACAAGAAGGCGCCCAAGCAGAAGACGAACTTTGTCCTCGACGACCTGAACTCGACGCAGATCATCGAGCAGCTTCTTTCGCACTACGGGAGAATGACACATATGGGCGTTCGAGACCACTCATACGAGTTCTGGCTCAACCCGTCGAGAACGGCTGTCATCTCATACCGGTTGTGCGGCAAGGTCGCGGTCATCAGTGGCGATCCTGTCTGTCCAGTCTGGCAGTATCAAGATGTGCTCAAAGAGTTCGGCAAGTGGTGCAAGTCACACGGGTATCAGTACGCCATAAATGGAGCAAGTAAAGAGATGGCTGTCGTTGCCAAGGAATTGGCATGGTCGACAATCACTATCGCCAAGGAGAGATGCCTGAATGTTCAATCCAACCCTGTGCTTACTGGTTCTGAGGGCAAGAGAATCCGGACGCAATGCAAACAGCTGATGAAAGCTGGCACACAACTTGGTATCTACAGCCCGCAACATCAGCGAGACTCTTCGATCGAGCGAACGATAGCGCAGATCTACGAGGACTGGAGAGCGGAACGCAACAACACCACAGGTCCTCAGGCATACGTCACTGTCTTCGATATGTTTGCGTTATCACGACTGATGACCTTCATCTATTCATACGACGCACAAGGCACTATCACAGGGTTCTCAGCACTCAGACAGCTGAAGGCCGGCTATCACATCGATCCATGCATCACAATCTCTACAGCAGCCCGAGGCACCGTGGACCTCCTGTTGATTGCTTCGATGGCCCTTCTGAGGGAAGCTGGCATCGATCGACTTGCGCTCGGCGTTGAGCCGCTCGACGAGATTGGTGAAGTGACTGGTATGTCAAGGACACTGGAGACCCTGACGAGGAAGTCACACAAGCTCGTCACTGCTGAGCTACCTTTAGGCGGCAAGAAGGGCTTCAACGATCGTTTCAGGCCAGACGACAGCCTCGAAGAGCCATTGTTTCTTGTCTATCCGAACTCGCCCAGCGTCCGGCAGCAGGTAGCTATGGCGCACTTCTCGAACGTCCAGTTGCACAAAGCTCTCAAAGCGCGATACCACCGGGAAGTCGATACCAAGATCAAGGGCTATTGGAGGCGGAGACAAGATGGGAGAATAATGGAGAGTACCGCTGAGGTCAATGTCGTAGTGGCACAGTCAGTTACTGTCGCTGCATGACGTCCTGTAATTTCTGTGTAGCACTATTAGCAAGCGAATTCGAACGTTGTCATACCTTAGCCGTCTTCGGCGTACTTCTGAGCTTCGTGATGAGTCCATTGGCCGAAGCTTTGGGCGGTCTCTTTGGCTGTCATTGCTTTTGCTTATCGTCAGACTCTGGCACAGAGTGCTCTCGCCCCATCAAATAGCAGCCAGTGCTATCATGACGTGGCAAACAAAGATTATTCCAGCTTCCTGTCCCTGGAAGGCCTGTGGAGAGAAAGGAAGAAGAGGGCCGAGGGGAGCACAGCTACTTATACATCTTCAACAGGCGAAGATCCGGGGCAAACCGAAACAAACACGCTAATGACTCGTTTAGGAAGCAGTCACTGGTCGTCGCCTGAATCAGAGGCGGCTGATGCCTGAAGCCTTCGATTGGACAGATGTCAGAAGCTTCGTGCTGTCTTGCAGCGGCCTCACTTGTCAATCAAGCAGTCTGACCAAACACTCTTCCACTTGCCCGCGGTTGCCAGTTTCGTCACTGCAAAATGAACTTTGCCCGAAACGTGGACTGGTCGACTCGATCAGCTAGAGGCTGCACCAGTACCACCAGACACGTATAATGGCACGCGACCTTGGGATCTGGGGATGACGGCTAGATCGGAGAGATTCAGGCAGTGTCGGCGGCGTACGGAGGCTCAGACGCCGTTGTATACCGATCCAGTCACTGGTCTGACAGGGCAAGTCGTGATGAAGACCAGCGCTCCCCGAAGGCATTTGGTCGTGCCATGAACCAGCTCGTCCGTCCCGCCTGCGACTTTTGCGGCCGCTTTGTCACCGCATCGTACGACCAATCAGACTTGACCTTCTCCGTCGCGGGGCCCTCAGCTTCTGACAACATGAACACAGGCAGCCTGGGCATAATCGTGATCACGCACGCCACATTTTGAACTGTGCTCCCGATGAAGGACACGCAAGTAACGACTCAGCCACACGGGTGCGACTCAGCAATATCAAATCTGCCTATTCGGACGAATCCTACGAACCCCGACTACCAAACACAGCAATGTCGGGCCAAGCCTTGGAGCACCTTACGAAATCGCTGTCTATGCAAGATTCCCGCATGTATACACCGGTGATCGACACAAGGATTCTTGGGGCCAAAGCAAGCTACTCCGGCTTCCTTCTGGGCAATAGTCGCACGACCTTCATTGTTCGAGATGGATCTGTGCGATGTGTGCGAGTTCCAGCTGCAAAATTAATCAGCGCCCGCTGGAATACGAGAATCAAGCGAGATCCCGGAAGTCTGGGCGCTTGGTCCAAGCGAGCTGGCGAAGAACCCCAGCTTTGTTGACAGAGGAGATCTACAAAAGTTCTCTTGTTGCCGGACGAACATAGACGACGCTGTCGACCACACATGATGTTCTGGCAATGTTCCCGCAATGCATGGCAGACCCGTCCGACTGCACTTCCTCCCCACCTTCAACAACGACAACTCCCTTCGTGATAACCTTCTATCGCAGTCAGAAGCCAAGTCGCATGCTGCAAGGATCTCAAGTACTCGACGCAAGTCGCCGAACAAGCGATCGAAACGGCCGGCTCTTCGGCTCAATGTTGCGACCAGGTTTGCGAACGGCGCTGTCCTTATGCGAACGTCCCTCAACACGGTCCTTGACCCGTTCCTCGACATTGCCGGACCATTGGTCGTGTCGGACAGGAAGGCACTGCAGGCCTGTGAGAAATAGGTCCCGTGACCTTGCTCCGACAGCAAGCTAACAAAGACAGATCTGACAGCGAACATGGCAATACGCTCGCCCGATCCGTCCGCCCAGTCGTTTTGCCCAATCCGCGATGTCCTCCTTCCGAAATTCTCCGTCTCACCGGCCACAGTTCAAGGCATCCTGCTCATAGTCGACGTCTGGCACGCATCCACCGCCGCAGACGACCTTGAAGTCAAGCTCTCACGCCGGCGAACCACTCTATTGAAGCTCATGGCCGCGATCGTGAACGATCCCACGGTCTTTGCACAACAGCACGTGGCCATGACGCTGTCCACGCTAGCCACAGCGGAGCACCGGGCAGGTGACTACTTCGCGAGTCAATGCCATTTGAAGGGGCTTGTAACATGGTTGAACTTCCATGGAGGCTTGTCGGCGCTGAAGAAGTTCTCGTACAGCTCCTCGGTCATGCTGACGGCCACGATGGTGACGCTTGACTTCCAGCTCTTTCAGAATGAGGAGCAGGTGGAAGCAGCGCTAGCGAGACTGGTGTTGAAGAGAGGGAGGCGCTGTGAACGACTCGCGCCGTATGCCAGGGATACGGAAGGGTATGGGTCAGGAGCACACGATATTTCTCGTTCCCACCTTGCTACTTTGTACCTACTGAATGGCGTGCTGCAGTGGGAAGATGACGCCTTTGTTGAGCGCCTGGTTGATCAGCTTCCGACACCGGGTGAGCCAAACAGCAGTGTTGGCTTTGGGGCGCTATTCTGGCTGGTCGCACGGGCAGCGAACTCCAGAAGCGACCTGCCGAAGGGCGTCCACCCACAAGCGAACATCATCGAGTTCGTCCATCTGCTTGCGCTCACAACGACGGAAGTGCGAAGGCAGGTCGCGGAGATGATGACGGCCAACATAGTTGAGGACTATGGAGGAGGAACGGAGCGCATCGAGATCGAGGAACTGAACGACGAGGTCCGAGAGGGCGCGATGAGGGTGTTTGGGAGTGGAACGGCTTCGGAAGAGGCTGGAGTTGGCTTGGCAAGGACGAACTCCCAAGATACGGTGATGCACGGGATGGAGGAAGTGTGTCCGCACAGTGCAGCAATGGAGTCGTTTCACTACGACGTCAGAGGTTTCTCTGATCGGGACAGCCGCGAATTGCGTATGACGGAGCGCGTCAGGCGCTGTCCGATGCTGCTTTCTTGAGCAAGTCTGCATCCGCCGCTAGTGGCCGAACTCTGAGACCAAGTTGTCCGCGATATATTTGATACCCGCAGCCCGATAGATGTCAGCTTGGGCCTCCGTTGTCACACTCGTGTTGTCCGCCGCCAGCAACAAAATCTCTGGCTCATCACCTGTATACGCTGGCCATGTTGGGTCGCCAGCTGAGAGATGATGATTTGGATCTAAAGTAGCAACGAAGCTTACCCACGCCCGCTGCATTGCCCTTGCCAGATCGCTGTACGTACTGTCTGTCTGATTCGCCATCCAGTCGTTGCCGAACACAAAAGCAAGCTCAGAACCGTGATTTGCGCCTACCCAAGGGCTCAGTCCTGGCCGATAAGAGTCGAACAGATAGCCGTAGGTCGTTGTGTTGGACGCGGCCCATACCTCATTGGCCAGACGTCGTGGTGCGTGAATGTTCACGTCGCCTTGGAAAGCTCCACTCCTCCTGAATTGAGTGCCGAATCCAGCGGGAGGCGGTCCGCTTACTTCTGGCTTCCGATGCCGGGTATGTCGGGATACAGCGCCGCTAAGATACTTGTGGCGTTCTCGGAGACTTCCCAGGGGCCGATGACGAGGTCGAGAAAGTCCTGAGTAGTATTTACGCCTCGGGCTGCGAAGGTCGTGCTTTCGTCCTTGTTGCCGCCGAGGATGTATGGGACGTGGACGAACTTGCCTTTAGCCAGCTGGACCGTCGCGCTTTCTTCGATGAAGTCGCCGTCGATGACCTGGACGAATTTGGGGCCGGCTTGGGAGTAGATCGATGTTCGCGCGGGGACGACGTCGTTGTCGTTGAAGATCTCATAGAGAGTGTCCGTGTCCACGGTTCGAAGACAGGCTAGTGTGTTCTGCGCTCCCTGGCAGCCTGTAGCATTGACGATTGCGTCGTAGAACGGCTGCCAGTCATCGGCTGTCTGGTAGCGGTAATAGGTCGACGGAGCTCCGCTTTGACTGATTGCTGCCCTGAAGAGCTTGTCGTCGCGGCCGCCGTATGCGATAAGTTGTGTTCCGACTGAGTTGCCGCCGGCGCTCTCTCCGAAGATTGTGACTTTTAATGGATCGCCGCCGAACGCACCAATGTCTGCACTTGATTAGAAAGGATTGCGGAAGGTGAACGCTGGACTCACTCTCTTGGATCCAGTGTAGTGCTAGCCGTTGGTCCTTGAAGCCGAGGTTCGCAACACCTTCATCTTTGATCTCGTTGCTCCACATGTATCCCCAGCAGTGCAGTCTGTAGTTGACGCTTACAGCAATGACGGGCGTTCCCATTTCTTGGGATTGCTGAACGAAATTGGAGAGGTTGTAAGTTGGTTGTGAGTTCGAGCCAGAGCTGAAGCCACCACCGTAGATCCAGACTGGAGAGCGTTAGGACGTCGTTGCCAGGCGTAGGAGTAACACACCTGCAACAGCTAGACCTGCGTCTTTGGACAGCCCTGCAGGTCTGACGATATTCAGATTAAGACAATCCTCCGAGGCGCCCTCGGATTGGTTGAGGCCGAAGCAGCTTGGTCCATAGCTGGTAGCAGGTCGGACGCCGTCCCACGATGTGTTTAAAGGCTGTGGGTTCTGTAGTCGTAGGTCTCCCAGAGGCGGCTGTACGAATGGAATGCCCAAGAACTGATCTTGAGAAAATTCAGCACTATAGATGCCGCTATAGGTGCCGTTGACGACTTTCACGGTTGGGGTTTCTTGTGCTAATGCGTTTGATGCTAAGAGTAGACTGATGACTCCAAGCAATGACCGGCGAACCCAGTGCGAAGCCATGTTGGTAGAGGATGCATGATAGGGAAACCCCTGCGGGCATCTTCAGACTTATAGATTGAGATGCTTTGTCGATGCTCGCTATCGTACATCCATCTTTGGAGCCCAGAGTAGACGCTGCGTGGAGCGCTTCCAGGGCCGTGCAAGTTGAGACCGATGAAAAGCCTAGTGCCTCGCTGATCCGGTGTTGCTTATCCAGGCGGGTCTTGATACAAGCTTAGGTACATCTCCGATCTGAGCTCAGGGTCGGAAATGTTCCATTGAGGCCCATCTCGGCATAAAATGTTGAATGGTGTTTGTCGGATGATGGAGCAGACGAGTCATCGTGCTGTCCAGGCTTGAGCATGCTAGCTCTCATATCCTTCGGCGGGCGATAGATATTGGAAGGCGCTCAACATTCTGAGCGGCCAGAAGCGCCGGAATATGATGCTTCTTGTCGCAAGGGCCGTGCTGTCGGAACGGTGAATCTATGGTCCGAGGATTCACGTGACGTCAAGAATTACGGTAAACTTTGATGTTCATCGCTACTACACAGCATGTCAGGCATCGAGCTCTACTGCGTCGTCAACTAACGCATGCAGGTAGCCAGTTGTGGATTTGTCGATTCGTTGTGTTGTGCTGTGGTGAAGCGCACCAATAACACAAATCTTGAGCATCGCTATAAGTGGGTTAGCGTCGTGTTCAGGCACCGGACGAGCCAAAGTGTTCGTAAATTAGGGAACTAGGCTACATCTGAGCACACAAAACACGAGCCACAGCCGTCCATGACATAATTTTGCGTCCCGTCGCCTAAACTCCGCCGAGATCACTTTTGTTCCTTTACCATCATGCCGTGCTTCTTCCCAGACGTCATTCGCACTCGAGCCTTCTCTGTCAGCAGCCCGCAGGCAGAGTCTGAACACTGAATGGGCGCCAACTGATTCAATTCGCGACTTTCAACCTCAAGCCGCGACCGTCCCCTCGAGAAACATCGCATCAGCGTTTGTGAAACTCCCGCTCGCCACATCATCCATCACTCCTTTTGTCCCCGCATCCTTCTTCGCCTGCTCATAGCTGTCCTTGCTATCCCACTGCATGAGGCACGACAAATGATAAGCGCTGTCCTCCGGGTAAGGCGTGAAGCTGTGGAATTTGCAGCTGTAGGGACCCCAGACCTTCTCCGCCAAGGGTATGTGGGAGCTGGTATAATACTTCATGTCGAAGTACGTTCCGGATTTGCGTGGGTAGAGCACGAGGAGTGTGAAGCTGGGTTGGGCCAGGATTGGAGCCATTGCTGTTGCGGCGATGGTGGCGAGGGAGGTGTAGATGTGGTTGTTGTAGACGTGGTGGTTCGCAGCCGGGTGATGATTATAGAGGTGGTGGTGAGTCGTCGGGTGGTGTTCGGGGATAGGTGAGAGGGGAGCTGGGAGGAAGGCCGATGTTTGAGCTAGCATGTAGTCTGCTTTAAAAGTGTTGAGGTTTATATCGGTGGATGTTATGGTGATGTTAGTCATGTGTAGCGCGAGTGTAAGGCTGGGTTTTGTAGTCAGTCGTCCGACCTGATCCGTCCATTGCCTACAGAAGGGGTTCCGGTTCTCCTTCGGCGATTTGGTCGCCCGATGCGGCAGTGCTTCGGATCGGCATAATTCGCCTCGCCTATCTGCTCTGCAACGGATGACAAAGAGGTCGTTCAATGTACCCCGGACATATCGTGAAATGCTTAGGGCATCGAACGCTGAAGCTAGTCTGTGATCTGTTGCACCTTGTATGTCGGTCAAAGTGGAGGCTCTGCTGGCGTGGCATACGTCCGTGGCGTCGAGAGTCTTGGTGAGTACTCATCGCCAGCGGCGGACTTGACAGCACGTGGAACGACTTGCCGATGACAACAATCTGGCATGGGTTGCACTGATGCCTAAGGCGTGGCTGAACGCGGCAGGAGGTGGGCTTGGCAGAATCGGAGCCGATGGTGTTCGCGTCAGGACTTGGTATATGAAGAGGCAGCAAGATGTTCGAGGCCGTTTACTCAACCAGTTATTCTCATTGCAACCTCAACTCAGATGCCAAGCCTTTCGAAGGTCCTCCACCCTTTCAAGCGCAGCTCTGTCGACGCCATGGCTCCGTCCATTCCTCAGACAATGAAGGCGATTCAGTTGACGGGCGTGAGTGTGCCACTTGGCCCCACGAATTGACACTGACGATGAAGACAGTACAAGAAGCCCTTGGAGCTCAATGAGGTCCCTCTGCCAAAGGTGGGCGAGAATGATTTATTGATTAAGATCGGAGCTGCAGGCTGGTGCCACACGGAGTGAGCCAGACATCCTCAAGCTAGACATAGCTGATCGAAGAAGCTACCAAGTCTGGGAGGGCGTGTACAAGTCCGAAACGCCGATCATCCAGTCGCACGAACCAGTCGGCACGATCGTTGCCATGGGTCCAAAGGCCGAGAAGGCCGGCAAATGGAAGATTGGACAGCGAGTTGGGTATCTGCTCTTCCGCCACCAATGCCACACTTGCGCCGCCTGCAAGAACTACGACGAAATTCGATTCTGTCAGAAGGCTGATCATGCGGGCCTCGATGCCGATGGCGGTATGGGTGAATATTCGATTGGTGATGCTGATAACGCGGTACTGCTACCGGATGAAGTGCCATTTGAACAAGCTGCGCCGTTGATGTGCGCAGGGGTAAGTCCATGCATGTTTGGGTCGACGCGACTGACAGTTACAGGCGACCACTTGGGGAGGTCTCGAGCGACTGGAACTTCCACCAGAATCATATGTCGGAATAGTCGGCATCGGCGGGCTGGGTGGCTAGGTGTACAATTCGCCAAGGCAATGGGTTTCAAGGTCGTCGCTATCGATAGTCGTAAGGAGGGAAGGGCATTGGCGGCAGAAAACCCTCTCAAGCCCGATCTCATCGTTGATCCGAATGAGGAAGGTATAGCTGACAAGCTCAAGGAGTGGTCCGGCGGACTTGGCTTGAACGGCTTCGTGGTCTGCACCGACTACATCGACGCAACTAGCTGGGCGCTGCCGCACCTTCGGCCACGCGGCACCCTGGTCGAGTTGGGCCTACCGACCAAGAACTTCGAGTTCGAGCCGTTCAAAGCGATATTCGAAGAGCTCACTATCAGAGGCTCGCTTGTCGCCAGTAAGAAGCAGACGGAGGATATGCTGAGGACCGTGGCGAAGCATGGGATTACCACCAAAATCAATGTTTTGACACCAGAGGAGGGAGTGAAGCTGCCGGATCTGTACATGGATCCGCATCTCAAGGGCAGGCTCGTGGTGAAGTTCGAATAAAGTGCCCAGTCGGGGCTGCAATTGCGTAGATTCTAACTATGCTGTAATAGCTGGTGACTGTCGATGAAGTCAATGACCCTGTTGTTGAACTTCTCTGGTTCGTCCATTTGCATGAAGTGGCCACCGTCACTCCAGTCCTCGTCCACAAGCTGAGGCACGTGATGTTTCCATCTCAAATCAGCCGCATTGAACGTGCAGTAGAAGCGGACCGCCGGAATGTCGAAGACTTCATTGTAAGCCCAGGAATGAAACAGTGTTGCAGTAGTGACTGCATTCATACGCATGTGCTTCGGCGCACCGCCCATGTGATCGAGGATCCATTGTCCCTTGTCCTTGTCGAGCTTTGGACCAAGCGTGCTGGCAAAGAATGCCCGGAATTGTTCATCGTCTTCGTGCATGCTGGCCAGAACTTTGCGCTTTGCCATTGATACCTCGCAGTGTGGTGGTATGAAGGGGCCGTCAGCGTAGATGATTCCCAAGACCATATCGGAGTGCAACCGCAGAAACATGCTTGCCACCACCGCGCCCAGGCTGTGGCCCAGAAGAACGACCTTGGCAATATTTTCTTGCCTCACAGCGGCATGGACCGCGTTGGCGAAGTTCTCGACACAGTAGTCGTAGCCCAGTGGAGCTTCGCTTCGTCCATGGCCGGGTATTTCGACGACGATAGACCGGTAGCGATTCATCAGTGGTTTCTGCTCCGTCCAAAAGTCGGCATGACAACACCAGCCGTGGATGAAAACGAGGGCATGGTCGCCAGTGCCGTAGCTGTCGTAGACGATGCGGACGCCGTCCAGGTCGGCGGCCTTGTTCATGGTGGCGGTGATGGTGCTGGGAAGAGAATTGACTCACCTTCAGAGTCTAGGCTATTTATGTGATTTTCATCCTTCCTTTCCCGGCAATGGCGTACATACGACATACTTTGATCAAGCTCCACACGAATCTTCTCATCGCTGCGCACTGGGATGCCTGACACCGAACTTACTCGTTCTGGAGTGTAGTGCGCAAGTTGGCGCCAGCTATCACCTAGTCAAGCAGGAGCGACCCTGCTGGACCGGGTCGGAAGGTCAATACCTGACATAGGCAGCGTGATCTGAGGATCTTTCCCAGTGGGCTAAATACATGTGATAGCAGCACCGCATTTTAGATTCATCAAGGTAGTGGCGGCGCCGCGCTCCACGACATGGGCGCACAGTCCAGATATATCTCGCAGAGCTCACATCAGGGTCAGTCACCGTATCGTCAGGTTCATCGTCATGAGGCGCTCGGCGGGCTGTGCGGGAGGTACGCGTCCAGCAGAAGGTCTGCAAGCTCTCAGGCATGCATTGTGCGGTCGCGCGAGACGGGACCACGGCCGAGCGCGTTGTGGCCGAGAATCGCAACGAATGCAGAGACAACCTCTTTGCATATAGGTGTACACGGCGTCTAACGCTACTGATGATGTTGGAGGGAAGCTACCTGCGGCTGAAGGAGCTCTACGCAGCTGTCCATCTTCGCAGCATCTACGGTGCGGCAGGGCTATCACAACCGCAGACCAGCTTCGGCCGGGTGTTAGGTGCTTCTTCGACTGCCGAGTCAGAGCCTGCTGCTATCGCTAGACATTGCACCTCTGCCCGTCACTGAACAGACGTTGGTCCACAGCATGCGTCAACCGGCATCTCTGATACGAAATGCTATCACGTCGCTGCGCCCAGACCACGGACGACGAGTACGCAGGGCAAACTCGATTCTCAGCCCTACCCTCTAAATGCACTGCATGGTGACTACGCCTCTTCCCAGACGAAAGCATTCTCTGCCCTCTACATGGACAGGATAGACTGCTAAGTCGGAAGTACAATTGACCTGTCGGAAGGCCGATCTCCTTGTATAGCGCTGTCTCTCACGCTTGTGCGGATACAAACCGTCGGGACATTGCATTGCGCTCGCCGCTGCCAACCAGCCGTGTCAGTCACACGGCAACAGATTCTAGGCTCTGGCAGTCCTTCAACTCATGGCTCTATCGCATCTGCTATCTGCGATGTCCATTGTCGAAAATTGACTCGACGCCAAAAAGACCACGTCGCTAGGCTTTTGGAGAGGACTGATCCGACCTATCGCTTATATTCACGGGCTGCTTGATTCGTCCGGTCACCACCTGGAATGGGACCTACCGTACTCCCAGCGACAGCGCTTGTGCAAAGTGCTGCAGTAGACCCTCGTTATCGGTCGACAATCATGCAGTCCCGGCTCCAGCTAATGCACACGCGTAGAAGCCGGCGAACCATTGCAATGGCTAATAATGTACCTTCCCGCATACTATCTGCACACCTTTCCTCAACATCACCGACATGCCTCAAATCGCCGACCTGCTGCTCTCCAAAGTGGGAGCAGTCTGCTTACTCGCCGTCGCTTTCTTGTATCTTCTCATAACCACCGTCATCAGCTACCGCCGTCTCAGCCATATTCCTGGCCCACGCTTCGCAGCCTTCTCAAAACTATGGTTCATATGGCTCACAGCTCAGGGAGATCAATACAAGACAACAACGAAGCTCCTGCACAAATATGGTGAGTTTGTTACTGCACATCGACAACGCTAATGACCAGGCTCTCCCGTTCGGATCGCGCCGAACATGGTAATCCAGGATGACCCAGATTTTTATCGGCTGTACAACACTCCGCGATCGAACATCGGCCGCGGTCATTGGTACGCGGGGATGAAGTTCGACCCTCGCCTCGATAACGTCCTCTCCGAGAAGGATGAGAAGCGTCATGCGCAACTTCGCGCCAAGATGATGGCAGGGGTAGGTCAGATCCTGCTCTATTGATTTCGCTGACGTTGCAGTACTCTGGCAAAGACGTACCTGACCGAGAAGCCAACATCGATGCCCGTATCATGGACCTGGTAGGCCTCGTCAGATCGTATATCGCGCGGTCCGCCCCGATCGACATGGCCGAGAAGCTCCAGTTCTTCACGCTTGACACGCTGACCGACATCGCATTTGGCGGACCCTTCGGCTTTATCACCAACGACAAGGACATGTACGATTACAGCGCCACTTCTGCTGCCTTCTACCCTCTCATGGAGTTAGGGACAGTCTCGAGACTGGTCCACTCTCTGCTGAACTCCCGCCTTATGCAATACCTTGCTGGTCCCAAAGCTGGCGACAAGACCGGTCTCGGTGCGATCATTACCATCGCGGCTCAGCGTGCTGCCGAGCGCTTTGCCAATCCTTCGATCAAGAAGCAAGACATGCTCAATTCCTTCATCGCCCACGGTCTGACGCAGCTGGAGTGTGAATCCGAGTCGACCGTTCTCATTCTCGCTGGATCAGACTCTACTGCCACGACTATGAGGGCAACCTTGATCAATCTGCTTACCAATCCGCCAGTCTACGCCAAGCTCCTGTCAGAGATTACCGCAGGTATCGAAGCAGGAAAGATCTCCTCCCCTGTCATCACGAACGCCGAAGCCATTACCCTCCCATACTTGCAAGCCGTCATCCGTGAGGGCCTGCGCATTCAATCCCCACTCAACGGCATCGCCAATCGCGAACTGCCACCAGAAGGTCTGAAGATCAACGGCACGTTCGTTCCTGGAGGCACGGAGGTCGCACTTCAAGCGCACTCCATGATGACGAATCCGCGCTACTTCGGCCCAACGTCTTACGAATTTATCCCTGAGCGATGGCTCACTCCAGAGGAGGGTGGCTTCAGCGATGCAGAGTCGATCAAGCGAATGGACAAGGTACTGGAATTGAGCTTCAGCAGTGGACGAAGTTCGTGCCTCGGGAAGGGTATTGCGTTGATGGAGCTCAACAAGTTGTTCGTGGAGTTGCTCAGGCGATTTGATTTGAGCTTGGTCAACGCGAAGAAGCCCATCGAAGTAAGCTATTGCAGCCAGTTGTTCATCGAGAGGGGCATGTGGGTGCGAGCGGTGGAGCGGGAGGTTAAATGAGGAGGGCAAGAGATCCGTCGATACTACGATGGCCGAGAGTTGTTGCTGGAAGATAAGGGTGCTCGACGGCGGCGTTCTCGAAGGCACATTGATTCGAGCAGAACGTTAACTTTCGGCGAATGCATCTCATCGGACTCCAAGTTTCGTTGCTCTCACTCTGGTCTGTGTTGCTGTCCGGTGATGTTCTAGGCAATGGTAGACTGGTTCGCGCCGCGGGTGATGGTGCAGTGCGCTTACAGCCGCGGTTTCATGCTGTTGAACGCGTACCTCGCAATCTTCCACTTGCCGTCCTCATGTTTCATCACGAAGAGTTCTTGATTCAAGGCATCCTCGTCCCTGCTCTCCTCGATCCAGGCTTTCTTCCCGTGAGCTGTTGTTCGAGCAAACGCCCATTGCTCCCCAGCCATCACAATCTCCTTGAAATCAAATTCAACCTCCAAGCGCGCGTCAGCAAAGAGTCGTTTGTACGCTTCTCGCAATTGGGTTTGCCCGACTGCGGCTCGACGCCTGGCGGCATAAAGACACCATCAGACGCGTACTGGGCAAGGACATCCTCCAGAGAGCGCGTTCGAAGCGCGGCGCCGTATGCATTGAGAGTCGTTCGTATTTCTGCCGTCGCGGACGCCATAGTTCTGACTGCGCGTAGCCTCTACCTTGAAGTGACTCGCTATATGGACCATCCGAGGATGCTTCTTGGTTCGGTGGCCCCGCGACAAAGATATACTTGTTGGCTGTCGTCCACTCTTGAAGAAGTGGAGCTCGCTTTCCCGCCGTTGCTAACCATCCTTCATCCTTCATCCCCACTTCCGTCTGCGTGCCAGTGTCTCAAGACACTGCCAGGAGGTCACAATCCTTCAGAGGAGATCTCCAGTTAGCATAGTCGCAGCGGCGCATCATATTTACGCAAACGGGAGGGAAAAGATACTGTTACAGGCCGTCGACAGGCCAACGCCTTGGACGAGACCGGTTGACACGCACATCAGCAGGCTGCAAAGAGAAGGACAGGGCGAATATATCTTCCGCAGACGAATGCAAATCTGTGTGGTTAGCGTCCCTAGAGAAACGTGCTCGGGGGGCTAAGCGCCTATGACTAAGGGCGTGTCACGTCTAAAAGAGGCCCCAAGGAGCTGCCAGCTGCCAAGAGGGTGTGATGCGACCGGATGACACGCTTCGTTGGACATTTAGGAAACCGGTTGACTGGCTAGTTGTCCTTCGTGAAACGCAATCGAGTCAGAAGATATTCAATCGTGCCAGAAGGAATCGGTCAGATCATGGGCGCGTTACTAACTGATGCATCTTCGCTATAGCTCTAGGTATACCTAGTGTCCAGCGTGTGCGCGCTGACACGTGTGAAGTGCCCGCGGTCGCTCACCGGTAATTCCTCAGTCGCGGGAAAGAGACTTCCTTCTAATGACACGTGTAATAAGGTGTTCCTTGCCATCTCAATCTAGTAAGTCACCAAAACACGCATCTCAATGCTCTCCCGCGTCGGCAAATTCTCCGTTCCTGGCACGGTAAACGAAGTGTGCGTGGCGGCGCCGACCGCAGTAGCGTCGCTGTCGGCCGTCTTGAATATCAGAACATCGTGCGGCTGCTGTTCATGCATGTAATAGAACTGGTGCCCGTCATTCCTCCGGGTGAAAGGGCTTTCCACTTTCATCACCTTCTCCTCACCGTCCACAGTGTACTTTCGCTCATGTGTAACGATGTGCTGGTCGGAGTAGGGTATGGTGTTGGCGTCGGACACTGCCAGGGGATCCCTACGGATGGTTTTGAGTGGACGCCAGACGTTGAGAAGCTGCCACTTGCCGTCCTTCAGAGAGGCGTCCTTTCCAAATCGCTTGAGATTTTGCTCCACGATCTCCTTGGAGAAGTCGGTGGAGACGTCGATGTGGCAGCGGTATGCGGGACCGACGTAACCTTGCCTGTTCTTGTCGTCGGTCGAGAGGGGCGCGTTGCGGACGATGTGATTGTAGATCATCACGTCTTTGGCACCGACACTGTACCGTTAGCTTGTTCCGGGGCGAGTTCGGACACTTACGTTTTCGCGATGAAAGCCTCCATCTCTTTGTAATGAAGGGTCTTGATTGCGTCCTCATTGGCGAAGTGGTCTTGCGGGACTGAGTGGTGCACGTATTGGAAGCCATTCTTCTCGAGGGTGAAGTCCTTGACGTTCGGGCGGACGTCCTTCACGACGCCTGGTGCACGTCTCGGAACTTAGGCTCCTGGCGGTGGATGGCCTCGATCGTGACAGCCTCATCACCGGCTTCTTTGGTGTAGAGGATCTCTGTCTCAACATCATGAGGCTCGGCAACGATGGTCAAATGCTGCGAAGCGGTGGTTTGCGTTTGGGTAGCCATTCTTTGTTGAAGATCAATACGAAAGGGGGTGCGATGAGAGATTGACAGCCAACTGGGCTCATGCTCGTCCTTTCAATGTCTTGTGATACCCACCAAGGTGCCAAGTTATCGCAACTCAAATGACAGAATTTCGGCTAGTTCCTAGAACCTACCTCGTACTTGATGACCGGCAGACCTGCCGATGTATCGCTGCCTGCCATTTCATCATTGTGTGCACAACTTCGGATGCGCTTGACGTCCAGTGCTCCCACTACTTTCAGCCTATCCAGAGTGCTTCCGCCCATCCTTTGACGCGCGTATGGAAACACGTTGCGGGTGGCAAGACCTCCAAGCTGCCTGGCGGTGCCATTTGCGTGAACATGCCGCGTTTGTGTACCGCCTCGTTGCGGCAAGGTCTACGATGTCAGCTTACACTTCGTATAGCAGATCGAGGGACGCCTGACGGGGAAGGTTTCGGGTTTGGGCTGTTGCGAGTCCGAACGAGGTGATATGTAGATTGTTGAGATAATGATGAGGCATCTTGCCTGTTTCCGCATTTTTGGGGGGAAGGGCGCGGAGATTGCGGGCATATTGATGCCTAGACCAGCTTACATAATTGATTCGTGGCTCGAACCTTTGCGTCAGCGCCTGAAAGGCACCAGCACTCTCCTAGTTCCTGTCTCTATGTGGTACCTTCCGAGGGCAGTGGACATACGATGCATTGCGCGTCCAAACGCTCAGCCCAAGACGATGCTGGCAAGAGCAGCTGCCAGCAGCGTTGCTACTACTCCATGTACGAACGAACTGAACGTGAAGGCCATTGTTGGACAGCGTGAAGTCCATGAACGCACCCTCCGAGGTACGTGTTTCCTACTCACCAATGCATACGCGACACCTGATCCAAGAATGGCGCTTCCTTACCTTATGCCATGGGCTTGTGCCCGCCGTGGCGATTCTCCCAGACACTGCTCGAAACCTAGCTCACGAATACTGGGAGGACTTTGAATCCTTGACAGACTTCCCCATGGCATTGAAGTTGACGAGCTGCGCATAGCCCTTCGTGCCAGCGCTTGTACCTGCCCCCGAGAACATATGCGGCTACGATTTTGGCTGAAATGATTGAGCTTGAAGGCGGGTAACGACGATTCGGCGTCCATCTCAGTAACTTGACCAGCAACGGATGCGGCGATCGCGTTAGGCTGATTCGCATCACGAGACGACAAACAAAGGCCGCTCTCCCCTTTCTCGCCGCCACATATTAGTGGCCAGCAGTATGTCTCGACAGCCATATAGCAGACGACCCCATTTCCTTTGGAAGGCCTCAGTCACTTCCAGACCCCAAGGCGACCACGGAGTCGTCCAAACTATGATCATGGCTCTTCCGGACACTTCGGTCCCTCGCATCTGCTCGTGAGTCGTCAAACAGCCTGCAAGATCCGACAGAAGGTCATCCAACACCAAATCCGCCGTTGGAGTTCGCTGTGATTCCCTTATAATGTTGTCGCGCAGCATCGGGTCCGGAATCAGATCGATCCAGTGCTTGTGTGGCTCACCGCGTTGCAGAGATGTCGGTAGCAGACTCAGCGGGACTTCATGCAGACGTGAGCTGCCGGAAAAGTAAACGAGCTCTCTCTCCAGGACATCACAGTCATCATCGGCCCAAATCTTCGAAGGTTGCTCAACAATGCGGTCAAGAATGCTTGCGTTCGTCATCGCAGCACGCTTGAGGTTGTATTGTACGAGAGGCATCAGATGGTCGGAAGTCAACGGGAATGTAAGCTCTGGACCAGATGCACCGTACCAGCGGCGCACACAGGCCTTGCTACGGAATCCTTCGTGGAGCTGCTGGATCAGCGGATGGAGTCGGCCATAAGGAGTATCTGCTGCCTGCTTTCCTTCGGGACGGTCTACCGAGACCCACGTGAGCTCGCGAAGTCCATCATCCTTCCGCGCAGTTCTGGCGACGGCGCGTTCGTGTGCTTTGCGGCGGCCTGCTCTGGACCATCAGCATATTTTTGCGAGACGGCCAACCCGTGGAGCTCAGACTAACGGTAGCTTCGAGCATGCAGGCGGTTCTGCAACTTTCGTCTCTGATGGGCGTCTCTGAGTCCGGACCAATCTTCCTCCCTGGATCGGAGCTAACAGGCATCAGCAGTCTGCATGTATGGATCCGGACGACTGGTGGCGGCTTGGGAGTCTCGTCACTGCTGGCGACGCAAAACACCACTCTGTCCCAATTTTACGGACCTTCCTTTGGCACGTACCTCGTGTAGCTGCATCGTAATGACCACTGTCGCCCCAGGATCGGGCTGTATATGCCTTCTGCCAGATCTGCAGGGTAATGGGGTCGCCAAAGTAATCGATCTCACTGGTGGCGATGGCAAACCCGATACGAAGTATCCGAACTGAGAAATGCCATTGGATGTGCACTGTCATTCGAGGATCGACAGCGTCCCAGGACAATCCTATATATGCAGACAACTGATGGTGGTAGTCCGCAGTGGATGCAGCTCGTTAGGCCTCCCCATATGGTCTACGCGCTAATGCAAGTTGCTGATGGTCTTGATTCCCGATCCAGCGTTGCCAAGACATCTTCTTCAGCCTTGCTGTGCACGATTCCATCAGATGCAAGCATACGGATCGCGAAAGGCCCGACATGGCACACGTTTGAATCAATGCGTTCATTGCTTCGAGACGACACGCGGGTTCTGCTATCTCTGATCCTGCCCTAGTTTCCGGAAGGCTCCCTTCGCCCTTATAAGAAACGACTGAGCCGGCATCAGAAAGCATTCGCCTCGATCGACACACTGGGATACGACTCTCGCGGCTCTTCTCTGATACCAGCGATTCTGAGCTCTCAAGATGGGGACGACGCCGCCGTTACTCAAATACTTTCGCTCACAACTTCTAACACAGCTGCCGCAGCCTAAGAAGTCGTTCGCAGGCCAGACCGTCATCATAACAGGCTCCAGTTCGGGCCTAGGGTTCGAAGCAGCTCAACATATTGTACGGCTCGGTGTCTCGAAGTTGATAGTGGCTGTCCGAAACCTCGATAAAGGCAGAGCAGCAGCGGAAAGCATCGCAGCCGCTACTGGACGCCGAGACGTGATCGAAGTCTGGGCGTTGGATCAAGCAGACTACGCTTCTGTCAAAACCTTTGCGAATCGATGCCAGAAGTTGGAAAGGTTGGATGTGGTTGTGGCAAATGCTGGCACGCACTGTCACGGTCCATTCAGCCTAGCGGAGTCTAACGAGAGGACGATAACAGTCAATGTCATCAGTACTCTACTCCTGAGCCTACTGCTGCTGCCAAAGCTCAGGTCTACCGCCGTGCAACACAAATGCAACACGGTGCTCACCTTCGTCGGGTCATTCGTGCACTGGATGACGGAATTCCACGAATCTAAAGCCAATAGCATTCTCGAAGAGCTGCGTAATGAGAAGGCGGCCCGCATGCACGAAAGGTTCGCGCCTCGCTAGGTCTCCGCGGTGTTAATGCTCATTTGTACAGATATGAAGTCTCGAAATTGATGCTACTGCTCTGCTTCCGCCAGCTTGCCACCGAGCTGACGCAGCCCGTTGCCGGACGCCTCACCACATCCATCGTCAACCCTGGATCTGTCAAGACGCCCATGGCGCGCGCCAATCCCGACTTGTTGATCCGACTTCTATACCATCCGGTATTTAGATCGACTGAGGTCGGGAGTCGTACTCTGGCTCACGCCGCTGAAGGCCACCTCGATACCCAGGGTCAATACCTCTGTGACTGCAAGCCAAGTCCGGAACTGTGAGTGATGCTTCCCTGGATCCTTGCACGGGGTTGAGTCGGACCTCGAGACTGATTGTTCCATGCTCAAGAATATCTCCCTTTGTGACCAGTGTCCGTGGCCGAGAAGTCCAGGAGAAGGTGTGGACAGAATTGACTGCCGAGTGGGAGAAGATCGCGCCCGGGGTGATGAAGAACATCTAGCGCGACATTGTCGGGACATCATCCGTGCAGCTGCTCACATGAGGACCTAGGAACTGGATATCGCCTCGCAAGCGATGAGGACCATGCCATCAGAGTCTTGCAAGGCTGTGGAACGCCCTTCTTGTATCGACCTGAGATTGTGTCAGCACGGATCTTCCATCAATACGTCCGTCCTCGATACGGCTCTTCGAGAGGTAGACTTACATGCTGTGGACCCAGCTCGTCAAGAGACATGACACCAATTAATGCCAGTGTCGTTTCAATCTCGTGCTTCAGGATCTCCATAGCCTTCTCAACACCCCGTTGCCCAAACACCATCGGATACAGGAAGCCTCTTCCTATGCCAACAGCGCGAGCACCAAGAGCTATTGCCTTCACAATATCCGAGCCACGTGTGATACCGCCGTCCACAAAGACCTCGCATTCCTGCAGGACCGCTGGGCAGAATTCACGGATATCAAGCAGAGTCTCCAACGCCGATGGTGCGGAATCGAGTTGTCTCCCGCCATGATTACTGAGCCATGGATGCACTCCATACTGGTGACATAGTAGGGCGTCCTCCCAGGTCTGTATGCCCTTAATCACGATCGGCAGCGTTGTGAGACCTCGTAGCCAGGCGACCGCGCTATCGAAGGTAAAGTCGACGTAGACCGGCCTGCGACGGTAAGCAACAAGGCCGAAAGGGATAGACTAACAGTTTCACTCACGGCCGCGCGATCTTCGGCTGCTTCTTGAAGCCTTCGCCGTCGTCATCCTCCTCAGCAGCATCTCCATCCACTCCTTCCTCCGCAATCCTCGCTTTGAGGTCGCCCTCTCGCTTACCTGCCAGATCGCATCCACGGTCAGAGCGAAGCCCTTGTACCCCAACTCTATGGCCGATCTAATCTCCGCCTCGGTCTTGCTCAAGTCTGCCATGCATAGATCTGCCAGTAGAGCACTTGATCTGGCCCTCTCACGGCAGCAATGTCCTTTTGGGTTCTCCCTGCGTTGTTACAGACCCAGTGAAGAAGCCCTTGCTGATCCGCAGCTTGCGTGAGAAGTGTGTCGCCCTCGGGATGGCAGAGCTTGGCTCCGCCGGCGGGACACACGAAGAACGGCGCAGAGAAGTCGTTTCCGAGAATCCTCCGGCGGGTGTTCGGAGCGGATGGGATAGGGCGCAGAACTCGAGGTCGAAGCCGTACAGTTTGCCATGTTGTATGGTTGCGAGTGATGGAGTGGTTGTCCTCCGCGCCAGTGCCGAGGAAGGCGTATGAGGTGGTGGGCAGCAGTACCTCGGCAGCGTGGGCAAAGTCCGCGATTGATATCATGGACGAGAGTCTGGGCCGCTTTCGAGGTCGTGTGCCAATGACTTGGTCATCTCTCGGTCTCGTTAATGGTGCATGGACAGGTGATTCTCGTCGCGTCGCTATCGAGTCTTCGTAGGACTCGTCTGCCTCATCCGCAACAGCGCCAAGTCTTTGCGCCTCTGACAGATACTTGTTAATGGTACCCGAGGCGTGTATAGGCTCGTAGGCAGCTGTTGCATCTCGTCCGGCATACTTCAGCATCATTGCCGCTCCTCCCGGATGTGAATCAACGAACTCCGTCACGTCATACACTTCTCCTGAGATGATCAACCAACAGCTCTGCCGCGTAGAGTGCTGGCGGACCTCTGATCTGCAGAGTAGCTGTGAGTGGCTTGTCAAAGGATGACATCGGCTGCGAAAGGGCAACGACATACCTGCTTATTTGCGCCGACATTGCTGCAGCGGAGCAGCGCTGTGTGAGTGTCAGACTGAGTCGAGCTTTCGACAAAGTGCCATGCTACACGAATGATGGACAGAATGCAGCCAATGTGTTGCGCTGTCCAGTATCATCTGCGAGATCCAAATGAATTGTGGACGTATTGCCGTTCACTCGAACACAGACACTGTAGGTACACTATGCGGGCCGGTGGCCCCCGGAACGAGTACATGGCCAGCCCCCTGGAGATCTTACCCCCGGGCTTGGTGCAGGCCCGACCAAATAATCGCGGGGGCGAAATGCCTAAATCCGAGGTGGCGTCCAGATAACGGAGGTGTCTAGGTACATTTCCGAGTCACCGGCAATACTCCTCCGTTCTCTACCTAGAGACGTTCCTTGCACATTGCCGCATGATAGCGCGTTGCCGAGCATGTGGTCAGGTCTGTTCGGTCGCTTAGCGGCGAATGTAACAGCTGCAGATCTGGGTCATTGCGAAGCCGACGAGCGCTGTTGCCAGACACGCTGAAAGGATGGATTCAATCTTTGCACAAATCGCCAAGGAGGGCGTGAAGTTCGCCCCTGGCGACGAAGAGGTGTGACTTCGACGAGGTGGTTGAAAGACCCTGATGCTGACTGCTTCAGATCTGGCGGGAGCTCTATGAGCCCATCTACGATCACGCACAGGGCATTACGGTCATCAGCGACCAACGATATGGTCCAGCCACTCGCAATCTTCTAGACATCTACGTGCCACCATCAGCCTCGCCAAAACCAAAGTCTGGCAGGCCAGTCTTGTTCTATGTTCATGGAGGCGGTTTCATCTCCGGGGATAAAGCGTGGAGCAAGAACGTCTACGCCAACATCGGGCACCTCTTCGCTTCCCAAGGCATCATTACTGTTTGTGTCAATCATCAATTTGTGCCTGATGTCCAGTACCCCGGCGGCGCTGTCGATATGCAATTGGCACGTGAGTGGGTGTTTCAGAACATTGGCTCAGCAGCATTTGGATCAGGGGACATCGACAAAGTCTTTTTGTTTGGGCACTCCTCAGGCGGCGCACATATTGCCATGAACCTGTACGCCGCTGGCGACAAGGACCGTTACGACGAGCTATCGAGGCGCCGTAGTGGAGATCCGGCAGCGCTATGGCCTCCGGTCGCTGGCGTGATCTATTTGGATTGCCCGTTCTGGATGGACAGTCGCAAGCCCGGCCGGCAGTACAGTCTTGGCCACTACTATGGGTCTTTTCAAGACGAAGTGTGGTACCCAAAGTCGCCTTTAGGACTCTTTGAGCAGCTTCCAGAGTCGAGTCCGGCACTCAACAGTCAGTGCTTACCGACATTCCTAGGGACAGTCGAGTGGGAGGTACCCGAAACGAGCGAAGCGACCATGCGTTTCTTTGAGGCATATCGGAAGAAGAGCCAACCCCCAGGATCACTGCCATTGATGCGTGTGTTTCGGAAGCATAATCATCTCTCAGTGGTTCTCAGCATCGGTACTGCGGACACAAGCGTCACTGATGCTTTGTTGGAGTTCATCCGAGAGACTATTGGCGGCCGTCACGGCGGGTTGCAGACTGTTCAGTCGTAGGTTTCGTCTATGAAGCCTGAATACGACATGGTTGCTGATGAGGCTTAGCAATGAGGACATGGCTCCTGACAATGGCTCAAGGGGAAGAAGGCATGGCGAACCGCATCTGTAGCACTGAATTACGACATGAGACTCCACAAGAGCTGACAGGCATCGACACTGCGTTACCGTGCACGCACGTGAGCGAGGTTTGTCAAGGGAGAGCGCTCCGGAAGTTTGTGAACGCACAGAGCGTCAGAGCCTTAGCGTCAAAGAACTTTGGTGTACTCCATGGATCGCGGAAGCGGGACAAAATTATGTTTGGAAAGTCTTTTGTAGCTTGAAAGATAGTGTATTCGCGCTGCATCCAAGGCAGACGTATAAGAGCTTCTGAAGCGAACAGAAGCTGGATCTGTAGTTGTTCTGCAGCGCCAGGGGTTGCTTAAGTCTCTCAAAGTGGATAGCGGAAGGACTTGATGTTGAAGTCAGTCAAGTCTGCAAACTCCTCATTCTCCATATGTGTCTCCTCCCCTGTAGCAGCAGACGTCAGCATAGGACTTTCCAGGACCGAGACGTGGTACGAGGCGGCAGTGCATACCTTCGACACGTGCTCGAGCATCTCTCCGCTTGTTCCAGATGTAGTGCAAGCCACCATATGAGCTCAGAAGAATGGCTGTCAACACCAAGAAAGCAAGCATGGTGTATTTCGCAATCGGATAATCAGGCGCGTCAGAGCCACGAAACGTCTGGGGACCAATGAGGTTGCCCTAGAAAGATTAGCGATCTTTCCGTGCTTCGAGGCGATCAACTCACGACTGCGTAACCCAGTTGGTATGCGGCTCCGAAGGCGAACTTCTTCGTCGATCCCGCGACACCTCCTGTCATAAATGTGATGATGAATAGCACGCAGATAGGGACTGTAGTATCCGGTGTTAGCTTGGAATACGCGGGCGTCTCGTCGTCACTTCAACTCACATTGCAAGAGAAGAATGTAGCCACCGTAGCGGGCTTCATTGTATCGTGCCGGGATAGCGAGCATCATGACGGTACCGATGATTGCAAGTATGAGAGTCCAGATACCCGCTATGGTGCGGTTGGTCTTCTTGGCAATGAAAAGAGCCAACACCGTGCCCACGACTTGGGCACCACCAACCCCCATGTTGAGTAGGGTCGTCTGACTGACACTGAAGCCGAATGCCCGGATGATGGTGGGACCAAAAGCCGTGACACCACCATTAGGCAGGCCAGTGCAAACTAGAAGCAGGAACACGCCGTAGAAGCGAGGATCCATGAAAGCCTCTTTCAGCTGCGAGGCGTTGAACTTCCAGACCTCCGTACCGGTCTTGTTACTTCGCACACGCTCCAGCGCCATCACTTTCTCGTCTTTCGTAAGCCACTTGGCTCTGTTGGAGAGGCTGGCAGGAAGAAGAACAGCACAACGCCTGTCAGAAAGGTCAAGCCTCCGTATAGCACGAATAGTCCTTGCCATCGGAAGCTACCGGCCTGGTAGATGCACCACGAGAAGAAACCACCAAAGACTTGGGCCCAACCAGAAGTGGTGTACCAGATCGCGACGCGCGTCACCTGTTCCGTCTTGGTGTACCAGGAGGCGGTGATCATGATGACTGCTGGCGCAGTGCAGACCTCGATAAAACCGAGAAGGAAGCGGACAGCAGCCAGCCCTGCGAAGTTATGGCAGACACCATGCATGGCAACAACCAGACCCCAGATGGTGCACATCACGGCTAAGTAGCGTGCCAAAGGGAATCGCTGCATCAGGAACGTTGCAGGTATCTCTCCACCCAGGTAGCCGAAGTACACGATGGATCCGAGCCAGGAGTATTGAGAGGCCGTCAAATTCGTGTCCTCCCTGCGAAGACCGTCGTTAACACCAGCATTCTCCGGACAAGGATGAGACAGCTCGTCTGAAATGTACACACCTAACACCCATGATTGCTGCAAATGAGAGCGAGTTCTTGTCCATCAATTGCAGCAGATACACCGTGAACACCATCGGCATGATTCGCCAGTCAATCTTCCGGAGCAGGCGTTTTGCTTCGGCGGAATCAGGATCGAAGTCAATGTGGTTCTCCGCCAGCAGATTCAAGGCTTTGTCATGCTTGCCAACCGCAATCACCTGGCCGGCCTCGGAGTCGACCTCTTGCTGACCATCTGTTAGCTCATGCCACAACTGCTGTGCACTCTTCGTACCTTCGCCATAGCGGGTGTTTTGCTGGTGGAAGGTTGCTGTGTGTCCATGATGGCGATCGCAGCGATTGACAGTGGACCGGGATGAGCTGCTGCAGACGCACACGTGGGAATGCGAGGTTCCTTTAAGGCATACCTTTGGCCGTGATCATGGGCCGAGACCCTTCCCCTACCGTGGCCGAGTCCATGAGTCTACCTTATCTCTGGGTCCTCCCCATCTAGCGGACTCTTTCCAGGTGGACTGGTACGGATGTCTGGTGTGCTGAGGTCCGCGGGTGTGGGCAGAGCTCTTGGCCGCCGATAAGGTTATCTCGGAAAAAGCTCTCTGCATAACCGAAATCTGGGGAGGTACATTTCCGCGACGTGTCGCCGGCTCTATCACAGTTGGTTACCGATGCGGTAATGTTCCATCGGCTGCAAAAGATGGGCCGCGTCAACCATCGTAGCGCATCGAGAGTCAAGGGCTGGGCCGCTACATGATAAGAACAACGCTCGAAATCAGATCCACGGCGCGTCGTCGTCCACCGTGACGAAATCACAGCAGCTTGCGTGGAGACGCTAACCTGTTTTGTGTGAACACCAACACTGCATCTGCAGAAGATTATGGCTGAGAAACTCGTACCAAGCATTTCCCTTGCAGGTAACATGTATAGAAGTCGCACGCATAGAGCAACGATTGACACGAGAACCAGACTTCGACAACCGAAAGGAGGACATAACCAGGCAACTGATCGAGGCAGCAGAGACTGCGGGATTTTTCACGCTTATCGACCATGGTATCTCAACAGACGAGATAGAACGCGAGTTCGACGTATCGAGGAGGTTCTTCGCTCTTCCAGCAGACGTCAAGGGGAAGACTCCTCACGAACGGTCCACGAACAACGGCTGGGAGTACAAAGTTTGTGCCTCGCGATGCGACTTCTTGAAGCCGTTGCTGATTCCGGCAGGCCCAATTGCGACCAAGCACTGGCACATATGACGAGAAAGAGTCTCTATGGCTCTCTGCCACCTCACAGTGGCCCAGTGACGAAGATGTTCCCTACTTCAGAGAGACTACGCAAGCATTCATCGACAAGTGCAGAATGATCTCGGATCGCGTCCGTGAGTCGCACGCTCAATGACTCTACCGCGCGGCACCCTCTGACACAGCCTAGTCTCGTGCTTCGCCACCGCGCTCGGCTTTCCAGAAGATCACTTCAGGATCGCAAACGATCCAACCAAGCCCGATTGCCTGACGCAGCTCCGTCTCATACACTATCCCGCCTCTGAGGATGCAGTCGGAACATGGAGGGCCGGCAGCCATACTGACATTGGATGCCTAACGCTGTTGTTCCAGCGCGAAGGTGAGGACGGCCTCGAAATTTGCCCGGGCCGAGAATCGCACTCCAGCTTCGCTATGGGCGACGACTTCACTCCGCTTCCTGCCCACACCGGACCCATCGTTGTGAACATCGGGGACATGCTCAGTGAGTCTTTGCTCGACTGTCACTCAGATTGTCTGACACGTTCGCAGTGGCTTGGTCGGACGACCGACTTAAGTCGAATTTCCATCGCGTGAGGGCTAAGGAAGTCGGTAAAAGTCCTTCTCGATACTCGATTGCCTATTTCAACCAGTGTCGTCGGGACTTCGTCCTGCAAGGACCCCTGAAGAAGTAGTAAGTATCTCATCAACTTACTCATGTCCGAATCAGCTAACAATTTCCGCGAGTCCTCCGGTCACAGTCGGGGAGTACTTCAAAGAAGCGGTGGAGAAGAACTTTGCGCGACAACAGCAAGTAGTTGCGGTCTCTTGAGTCAGTAGACCTCAAAAGCGTTATAGAGCTGACTTCTTCTGGAGATACATGTAGCATAAGCTTCAACGACAGCCATTGTCATGCTATTTGTGATTCGTGCCGTTTGAGCATATATATTCATAGGAGTTCCTACAATGGATAGAGCATCCACCGAATGTGATACTTCCAGTATATCTGCGCTTGTCTTACCATCTCCTTCATGCGACAGATACACCTTCGAGGAGCCGACGAGTTACACTTAGTCACACATGCAGGTAAAGTGTCAAGCAGACGCGGACCACAAGCCCTTGTCGCTTCGGATTGAGGATGGAATTTCGAAGTGACGTATGCCTATCGATAAGGACACGGGCCGAGACACGAATCACGAGATGTGCCCTTGCCCAAGCTCTCCATCTTCTGCAAGCACTGCAATAAGCTCCGTTCATCATCTCCCGTCAACTCGATGGCGGAATATACGCGTCAGTTGCGATTGCGGCTTCCATGCCGCGCCCGAAGCCATCCGTGGATGACAGGAGACGCGTCTCCCAGGCTTGCAGCTCCTGCAAGAGCTCTAAGATCAAATGCGATGGCAAGTCTCCGTGTTCGACGTGCCTGAAGAGGGACATCGCGTCCGCCTGTCGCGTTGTCGCGTCGACGGACGGCGACGCAATGGCGAACAACAGAAGCCCGCACGACGCCGCAGCCCAGCAGATGTCGCCGCCGACGTGTCCGCGTCCTGTGACAGCGGAATTGCGCCTTCACCAATTAGCATTGTTCTTGACGGCGAACCACTGACCGGAGCGTCCACTCCTGTGAGACCACGTGCCAGGATCTCCTCAGCTGTTATGCATGTGCCAGCCGCAAGTTTGAGCGCGACGCAGGACGACATCGTCGACAGCGAGACAGCCTCATCCTCTTTCCTGCAGTATCTAAGGGAAACTCTTCGGACCTACGTTGGCTCGACATCCTTTACAGAGGCGAAGAACAACGAGCTGCACTTGTACGACGCCGTAGATGCTGTCGCATTTCCGCCAGATTATGACAGCACAGCTCTGCTGAGAGCCTACCACGAAGCGGTACGCAACTGGGGCGTCCTTTGGCTTGTTATCATGGTGCTAACATGAAACAGACGAGTGGCTTGCTTGACCTGTTCACTCCTGTCGAATTGGAGCAACTTGACGGACCGGGCCAACACAGAGAAGAAGATACCCTTGCTGCCATTAACGTTGCGCTGGCGATCGGTGCTCAACTGCACGAGCTTTCGAATGCGCAGTCGTTGTCGACGTTTCTTTTCCACAAGGGCCGCCAAACAGCATTTCAGTCGATGCTTACGAGACAGAGCCTATCCATGGTTCGGCTGTTCACGCTACTCGCCTTCTACATGATTGGAGCATGTCAGAGAGATACCGCCTCGATGTATTTGGGCATAGCAGCCAAGGCTGCGGCTGTACTCTCTTTGCACAGAACGTCTGGGCCATCGAAGGGAGAAGAAAGCTCCTTTAGGTACGACCCAAGTAGATGTGCGGAAGGGAGACTAATGTGGACAGGGCGCGAGTTTGGAACAGTCTGCGCAACGTGGATGTTCTGTCCAGCTTCATATTCGGTAAGCCTAAAAGCCTTCCGGCAGTGAGGCAGAATTCGAGCCAGACACACTTGCCATTCGCATACGAGCACGACAACGAGCCAGCTGAGTTCTCAGCTATCGTCAAGAGCTGCTCACTGCTCGAAGACATCGTGGACAAGCTCAGCTGTGGCAAGATCCTGCACGTTCCGACAGCCGAAAGCCTCCTCCAGCAACTTCGGAGTTGGAGCCGGTCTCTTCCCACCAGGCTGCGTAAGATCACGCTTTCCAGTCATGCCGACAGCAACCATCTTACCTCGCCAAGTTCAGATCAAAGAGACTGGCGACAGATCTCCGGAGCACTCCATGTGTCCTGTATCTACTACTTCTCAGTCATACTCATAACACGACCATTCTTGATTGCATACCTCCTTTCGCGCCTGAAAGGCCGTGCGCCGGACCAGCTTATCCCTGACCCTGACGAAGCGTCGGATGTCGCAATCAAGAACAGCACGGTCTCAAAGATGGCTCAAGTCTGTGTGAGCGCCGCGGTTCACACGGCGAACACTTGTGCCGCCGCACAGCAGCATGGATATTCTTTCGGGAACCTTTGCCTCCTCAAAGCGTGGAGCTTCGGCGCCGGCCTGGTACTAGGTTTCAGCAAGTTTGCCGGAGAGCCGCGCAAGGATATAGAGGAGGCCTTTGAGCAGATCAACCTCGTACTGGAATCGATCGCAATGCAGAGTCCTCAGGCCCGGCTGTACCGGGAGACCTTGGAAAGCCTGCGAGACTCTGTTGCAAAGTGGCATGGTCGTATCAGGAGCGAGATCAACCGCACTGTCAAGCACTACATGGACGACATACTTGCTATCGAGGTTGATCAGCGCCAGCTACCATGTAGTATGCAAGGATTACCGAACGCCGCGGCATACGAAGACACCGGAATCTTGGCGGAACAGACTTTGCCACTGGATCCTGCTGTCATGGGAAACCTGGAGCCTTGGCTGGAACCCTGGCCTGGAAGCACGCCTAGATCAAGTACAGAGGTATTGCGCCACCTCGGGTTCGGCGATATCTCTGGTGACTATGGCAGCTACGATGACACTCTGTTCAACTTCGAACCCTTTGAAAAGCTATTCTACAGCGTTGAGTAGGGAAGTCTTCTGAGTCTCCGACTCTTCCACACCACGTACGACCCGCTCGTTCAGCCGGCGCACTTGAAGACTGAGCCTCCATCCACACTGTCTCTTGGTTAGCAATGCCGCACATGAAGGGATGCTTGATGCTTAGCTCGGCATTGCAAACATGCCAGCAAGTCAACCGGGGTCGGGCAAATCGAAGCACTCGCGTCCGCGGCGACTTACTACAGCTCTTCGCCAGTGATGAAACTAGCTTTCTCGCTCGCCAGGAACACCACGGCCTCGGCAACCTCCTCCGCCAAACCCCATCGCTCCATCGGTATGGCTTTGATCATGTTTTCCGGATAAGTGCCTATCTTGATCTGATGATCGAGCACTGTGCGAATCAGCAAGTCTTCGGCACGGCACGAGTTAGCTTACAAGGCGTTCTGATGTATCCTGGGCAAACGGAGTTGACGCGAATACCGTCTCTGCCATAGGCGCAGGCATCCGTGCGAGAAATCCCCAATACGGCCGCTTTGGAGGCTGCGTACTGTTCGACGTTAGGCTTGCTTGCGCTGTTAACATCACCGACTCACAGCGCCGACGTTCTCATGCGACACTCTGCCGAAGATTGACGAGATGTTGACAATTGCACCACGTTGTCGATGTGTCCCAAATCTGCAGAAGTCAGCTCCGGCAGCCCAACTACGAGTCATTGCACCTGGATTGGAGGACCGGCTCCTGCTTGAGCATCTGCCTCAGCTCCGCTCGCTCGCAAAGCCAGACGCCTCTCTGGTTGACGTTCTGCACACGATCATACGACTCCACCTCGAGCTCGTGCGTTCTCACGCGTGGCTTGCTCGAGATGCCGGCGTTGTTGACGGCATAATGTATCGATCCGAATGCAGCGACAGCTTCTTGCACCATCCTGTCCACCTGCTCTTCCGATGATACGTCGCACATGATTCTACAAGTCTTGATGCTTGCGTCCAGGCCCTCAAGCTCGTTCGACACAACTTTCAGTCCATCTTCGTTCACATCAACAAGAACAATCCTTTTGCATCCATCGGCCACAAATGTGTGGGCGATTGCTCGCCCAATGCCGCTGGCCGCGCCTGTGATCAGAGCAACACTGCCTGTGTCAGGAATGTTTGCTCGATCGATGTATGCGTGCGACGTACCCCTGAAGATGTCGAGAAGCCATCCTGCTGCAGAATCGAATCAATGTCACTAGAGATCGTGGCGTTCATCAGAGGACGCCCTGGGAGGGCATTTCTGGCTGGGCAGTGAATGCCTAGCATTTTGCCGAGCCGAGCACCATGCCAAGCCTACGATCTTGGGGCGATTACGTGAGTGATTGGGGATCCACACACCCAAGGCAAAACCCACACGTAACAGTGCTCGCAGCCGGTCCGCAACTTCTGAGGTCCACTCTAGCCTCGGTAGCGACGCGATCATGCTACCCACGGCATGAGGCTGCATAGGAATGCCGTATTGTTCTATCGCATAACGAGTTTCGAGGTTGCAACATTCAAACCAGCCCGACGACAGACAATGGCGCCCGAATCATTGACTGGTGCCCGCCAGACGCAGCCTGAAGCTAACACATTCGAGAACGCGGCAAATCTCTACGGATGGCCCCAGGAGAATGAACGGGGCTACCGTATACAAGAACGGCCCTATGGATCAGAGCGACCCCTCAGAGTGATTCACATCGGAGCCGGGATTTCGGGGATATGTATGGCAAAGTTGTTACCAGAAACACTGAGCAACGTCTCCTTGGTCTGCTATGACAAGAATGACGATATTGGCGGCACCTGGCTCGAGAACAGGTAAGGATGCTGTTGACAATCAGGATGCAAGCTAATCTGGCGCAAAGGTATCCTGGATGTGCATGCGATATACCATCTGTGAATTACCAGGTCCGTGCCTTCCATGTAAGTCAGAGTTCTGCTGACGATGTGAGCAGTTCACCTGGGCTCGAAATCCGAAGTGGTCTCAATTCTATTCTCGGGCAGACGAGATTTGGCAGTACTTGAAGGACACTGTAGATGCGTATGACTTGACGAAGTATATGAGACTTGAGCATGAGGTGCGTGGAGCGCAATGGGACGAAAAGGAGTCGGTTTGGAAGGTGTCGGTTGTCAATTTGCGTACCAAGGAGGTCTTCACAGATACTGCCGAAATCCTGGTGAACAATTCCGGTGTTCTGAAGTGAGTCAGCTGTTGCATCAGAGAGAGTTGGCTGACTTGGATTAGCGATTGGCAATGGCCGAAGATCGAAGGATTGAAGACTTTTAAGGGCAAGATCTGCCACACAGCACGCTGGGACAATACGATCAATCTGAATAAGGCAAAGGTTGCTGTGATTGGGATGGGCAGCAGCGGGATTCAAGTCACTTCCGAGATCGCCGACAAGGTTGAGCATCTGTACACATGGGTGCGAAGTCCAACGTGGATAACGGCCGGCTTTGCGCAGAACTGGGCAGGCCCGAATGGCGCAAACTTCGAATACAGTAAAGAGCAACAGGACGCATTCCGGCAGAACCCTTCAGCATATCTCGAGTACTGCAAGAAGATCGAGAGTGAGCTCAACCAGAGGTTCAAGTTCATCTTGGCTGGAACTCCAGAGGCCGCCGCGGCGAAGAAGTTTGCCACGGACCAAATGTCTGCACGTCTGGGCGGAGATGCCGAATTAGTTGACAAGCTGATACCGAAAACGTTCAACGTTGGCTGCAGACGTCCCACGCCGGGCAACGGATTCCTCGAAGCACTCGTCAGGCCGAATGTCACGGCGTTCACACAAGGCCTCAAAAAGATCATCCCGCGCGGTGTCGTGAATGAAGACGGAACTGAGCACGAAGTGGACACTATTGTTTGCGCCACTGGGTTCAACACGACGTGGGTGCCTCGATTTCCCATTGTCGCCCACGGCAAGAACGTCCAAGATTTACTCGCTGGGCGGCCTCTGTCGTATCTGTCCATAGCAATGCCGGACATTCCCAACTACTGGATGGGCGTTGGTCCCTACGGACCGTTGGGCCACGGCTCTTTCATCCCTATCATCGAGCTGGTAACTCGCCATATCCTCAAAGTGGTAAAGAAGATGCAGCGAGAGAACGTCCGTTCACTGGAGCCACGAAGAGATGCGTGCGAAGCGTTCACCGAGCATGCAGATCTGTTCTTGAAACGCACTGCATGGTCTGGCCAGTGCAGGAGTTGGTTTAAGCAAGGCAGACTAGACGGCGCCTTATCGATCTTTCCGGGGAGCAGATTGGTTTACATGGACTTACTGGCTGAGCCACGGTACGAAGACTATAGGATCTCGTATGTTGGAGGCAACCAGTTTGGCTTCTTGGGGAATGGCTTCAGCACAAAAGAATTTGATGGCAGCGACCTGGCGTACTACCTGGGGACAGATGATGCACCCGGTGCACTGCTTCCAGAAAACACCAACAGCACTGCGAAGCAGGTCGATACGAAGGCCAACGGTGTGGCAGTCAGCACGACTGAATTGCAGTCCGACGTGCTAGCCCACTGATATCGCGATTGGCACACGAGTTGTCGACTCCAGCGTTGGAGTACATTCGCGCTCGTCAACGTCCGGCTTGCCGGAATCGGAAGCAGATGGCAAAATGTCATGTGGCCAATCAGAAGTATTGCTATTCTCAGTGGCTATTCACGTATCCATATCACCCGTAGCATTATCCTAATCACTTCCTCCATTCACTGGTATAACCTGCCCAGTCATGAAGCTCGACGAGGATGATAAAGCAAACAACACTGCGTCGGCAATATCTGTCGCGTAAGCCATTCTGCCGAGGGGAATCCTCGACGACAGGCTTGCCGCCAGCTTCTCGAGATCTTCCTTGTTGCCCGTCGCATTCGTGTTGCCCCGAGACAAGGGCGTATCCGTAACGCCTATGGCTACGTTAATGGTTGCTTCAGGACCGTCATGTCTCTGTGGACTTACCAGGCGCAACGGCATTTATCCGCAAACTTGGCCACTCCTTGGCCCATGACCGAGTCATGCCGAGCACGGCATGTTTTGAGGTGCAGTACGCCGATAGCCCTGCGATACCACGCAATGAAGCTCCGCTGGCAATATTGACGATACTTCCGGCCCCGACTGTCCTTGACGTGTCGGGCAGAAGTCCTTCGGCATTCTTGGCTGGTTGTTTGGTCATCTTCATGATGGCTTCGGTTCCCATGTTCCATGATCCAGTAACGTTGATAGCCATGATGCGGCCGAAAAGCTCGTCGGACGCCATCTTTCCCTCCGTTGGGCAGATTCCGGCACAATTGACGAACCCGTCCAAGTCACCAGAGATCGAGTCCATGAACTTCTTGCAGCTTTCTCGCTGTGTGATATCGCAATCATCATGATACTGGAGTCCACTCCTACCTTGAAGGACCTCGGGTACCTTTGCAATATCAGCGACATGGACTCGTGCGCCAGCGTCCAGGAGAGCTCGAGTGATTGCAAGGCCGATTCCTGAACCGCCGCCCTGAGCACGTATCAGTATCTGGTCGCTGGAAGGGCTGCCGCGCAGAATCCGCGGAACTCACAGTTATGGCTATCGTCTTTCCGGAGAATGAGACGGAAGTCGTCATGTCGGCAGTGAATCTCTAAGCTGATGTTGACGGACGGGCACTTGAGATCCAGACTCAGAGTGAATGGACCGTGGATCGTTGGAGAGGGCCATCACCCGACGTGGTTTGCCTGCCATGCCCGCCATTTGATCCATTGCGCGATTCTAGCGTCAAACGTACACGGTTGTGCCGATGGGGTGGTTACGCGATTGTCGGAGGCAAGTCACGCGTGGCGCTTGATGGTGACTAAGAGCTTCCAGGTGAACCCCGGGCAGCTGTGCCGCAACGTGGGGCAAAAGGCGCCTTCCCCAACTAATATGGAGAAAACGGGGAATGCCAAGAAGCCAATCTGCCAGGGTCAAACACGTTCACGTAATCGTCGTGCCCAACGTTGACTGTACTCCTTCCTCCTACACCCAGCGCTACGCGAGGATCGAAATGACCGGCGCAGATGCGTCTAATGCTGTATCAACCGCCATAGCGAAACGGTACGCACCAATCGTATGCCCTCGTCACGATGAGTCACGGAACTGACTTACAACAGACGAGCGCGCAACCGGGCTGCACAGAAGACGTTCCGGGAGCGACAAGCTAGGTATGTGAAAGAATTGGAGCAAGCCGTCGGCAATACGACCGTCCACAGCGATGTAGCACTAGATTTGGCGAATGCAGAAACTTCACGGCTCCGGGAGGCATTGCAATCCAGCAAAGCCCGTGTATCACAGCTCTGCGATGCCCTGTCAGCGGTGGTTAGTGATCTCGAAGCGGCTCTTGCCACGGCTGGTCCCAATGCGAGCGTCGGAATCGATCAGTCCATTGCTCGACTCAGGGAAGAAGAGGATGGCGGAAGGACGCCCGGATTCCCGCCGCCAGGGTCTTCGACTGCAATAGAGCCCAATTACGATAGCGGAGCCCAGGCAGCTTCTCATGCTGTAGCGACTCAACCACGGGAATGCGAGACGGCGACGCTACCCTCTGGCGCGCTCAGTAAGTCGCTCTTCCAATTTCCGATAAGCCGTTCGCCGCTGCCCGATGGGGTCGACACCTTGACGATGGCAAGCAAGGACCTGGCAACAACAGGAAGCCACTATTCGAGCATGGGCCAGGTCTCGATACCAACTGCAGCTCAGATTGCTTTCCCAGCGCAGAATGGGCGTCAAGCACAGCAGTGCTCGGAGCTGCAAGCTTTCCGCTAGATTTGTCGCAGCACCAGACCTTGTTTCCAGCCGACTCACCAAATGGCAGTCTCGATCTAGTCACGACCGGACTGTCTTTCCCACCAGGAGTCATCAACTACCCGTCCGTATTCTCTGCCCATCTATCGATCATCGACTTGTTCGCGAAGAAGAATCCGGCATACGAGAATCGGGTCACAAATCCCGCCGCGTTTGCGAAGCTAGTTTCCACGATGGTGAACATGTTCGTCCACACGTGCTGGCCAGAAATGTCGCTCTGGTGGACATACATTCAGTCTGCAGCAGTCGTCGAGAAGCTCATCCGATGGTCTTTGGACGCATCGTTAGAGAACTACAAAACGCTTCCGGTAACGCACAGGCCAACAGCATTGCAAACTTGCACGGCGCACCCGCCAATTATTGACTGGGCCTTCTTTCCTACGATCCGAGACCGGCTGATCGAGTTGTACTCACACTCATGGGTTCTTGACGACATCGTCTGCAGACTCGTCCATTCCTATGTGGTTGAGGCAGAGCTTACGCATGTTGTGACGGGTCTAGAAGGCATGCCCTCTCAAATAGGATACTTTCGAGTATGGGACATTGTACGCACCATTTCGGCCGAATCCAAGGCGCAATCAGACTTCTGGACCGATTTCGACAACGATACCTTTGGAGAGACTGCAGATCCATTTGAACTGGACTTGACCGAAACAAGTCATTCATGGACCAAGGTACCGCTCGAAAAGATCTACAGGTCTCGAGAGGCTGCGTGGAAATTGTTCAAGCTGCTTCGTATGGAAGACCGTCGTGCAATCAAGCTGGATCCGGCTTTCGCGACTGCGCACCCAGAGCTATGTGATGAACCTAGCATCATTGCTTCCGGACTCGATTGCACTCTGCAGGGCGACAGTATGTCTGTGCCGAGACCGAAGCCTCTGACGCGGGAAGCAATCATTAACTATAAGATGATGCTTTGGAAGGCCACGATGTAAGAGGGTGGGACCGAACACGTAATCGCTTCGACCGGACTTACAGTACTCTGCACCACATGGCTCTTATCAAAAGATGCTTCTTCCGAACCCGATGCGACATGCACGGTGTGTCGGCTCCCATCAACCAAAAACATGCGGGGATGCGAGGCAACAATCCAGGCCGGGCGCACGACGGTTCTCGGACGACAGCATGCAAGTACAAACGCCTTTAGAGGCATACCCTATGCACACGTCACCAAGAGGTTCTGTCAGCCGAGTCAGTCAGCCTGGAGTCACTGGCGCCAGAGCTACTTGCTACTGAATGGGGACCGCGATGCCCACAGGCCAGCAACGCTGGTCGTGCGCGCCGATCATACCTCTATGCCGGCACCGACGCCTCGGACCAGATCGAACAATCAGAGTTCAAATGCTTGAACCTTAACGTTTATGCGCCGTCAGACCGGAACGGGCCATTGCTCCCTGTTGTTGTATGGATTCATGGCGGCGGGTTTGTCTTTGGCGATGCGGGCCCGGAGTATGGTAAGTATGCGACGCCTTTCAAAAGGCTATGTCTGACAGCAAGCAGACGGATCTGCCATGGTCGAGAAGGCCACAAGCATTGGTCAGCCGTTCATCTGCGTCACGGTCAACTACCGACTAGGCTTCTTTGGGTTCCTTAGCTGCGAAGAGTTACGGAAAGAAGCACGGGCGCCTGATGGGCTCTATCGACCAAATCCAGGTCTGTACGACCAAAGACTGGCATTGGAATGGGTGACTATTTTCCACAACCAATGTATCGTGTGCTGATGAAACCAGGTCGGTGAGCACATCCACCATTTTGGGGGTGACTCGGGCCAAATTACGATTGCCGGTCAGTCTGCGGGTGGATGGTCCGCGCTGGCGCATGTTTCAGCAGATGTCAACTTGTGCCAGCAAGCGCTGGCGATGTCTCCCATGATCATATCCTTCAAGACCGAGGCCGAATGTCAGGCCGAGTTCGACTGGCTAGTTTTCAACGTTGGGATCAGGGCAGATGCGTCCGCGAAGCAGAAGCTCGCTGCTGTTAGAGGCCTGTCCGATGATCAAATGACCGCTCTGCTCGATGGTGCAGTTCTCATACGCCCTACTTGGGACGCCGACTGGTTCACGGCGCTACAGCCATGGCAACGACTTGATGAACTGCATGCTTTCCCCAGCCACATACGTGCAGTCATGATCGGCAGCACTAAGGATGAGACAGCGGCAGCCAGAGCGGCTTGGTCATCTCTCGCGCCAGGAGATCTGGGCGAGACGATACACACATTGTGTGGCGACGCGGGGCTTGCTAACGAACTTGCTTCTGCCTACTCGCTGGATTCCCGGGATAGCCAGACGGCGGCAGACGGCCTTGTTCAGTTGACGACCGAAGCCTTCTTCGCCCTCTCATCGGCGAGACTAGGCGATCTTCTGCCATGGCTCTACGCATATGAATTCGCACAGATCGACACTTTCACGGCCAGCGCGTGTCCGAATATGGCATATCACTGTCTTGACCTACCGTTCCTGTTTCGACTGCCGGCTGTGGCTGGTGACCAGGCTGACCAGGGCCTCAGAGCAACGTCCGATGCGCTGACAGAGGCTGTGTCCACTTTTGTGCGCGGTATCGCACCTTGGGAGCTCTACCACGAGAGTAAGCGCAGGGCAGTCTTCGATGGCAAGGGCGTCACACTGCGACAGGACACTGGGCGCGAGCATTGGCGCCAGTTCTTCGACACAACTGTTCGTGCGCGCCTGCTGGTTGATCTCGGTCGGAGATTGATGACATACAGACTGGATCGACGCACGCAAGCTCGAATACAGTAATTAGTCACTAAAAGCAAGTTCCAATGACAGGATGCACGAATGCAGTACCTCAGACTGGCGAGATCTGTGCCCCGTTTGCTCCGGACCTCAGATGTGTGGGGAGATATGCCAAGATTGCACTGGAGAAGTGGCCCGCGCTATTACGTGTGCGATCGTACTCCATGGACGCCAAGAAACGCCAAAGGTGCCACATAGTTGGCGCGCTCCAGCAGTTTGGAGCCGAGTACCCGGCAGCAGCCCGTCCCTGCAGCGTGTCGACGACTGCTGCCTCCTACAAGCTGGTCTCCCCACAGACCAGCAACACCAAGGACGAGAATGTCTACCCCAGGATGGGTGTTACGTGTGTGCCTTTCCCCGGATTTGTGCATCAACTTCGTCTGGTTGGCATGATGGTTCTCGTGCTTATAAGCTCTGAAAGCTGCTCAGTCAAGGGTTAGATCATCATTGCGCATGTCTGGACTTGTTCACACCCACCCGCATACCAGCATGGCTTCTCATGACCAGCCCACAGCATACCAGCACGACTCCAAGCACGCCGAAGAGCAGACAAGCCACGTTGATGAAGATGCGCTCCTCACCGGCAACGATCCTCGCATCAAAGCGATCAAGAGGAAGACCGACATCAGAATCTGCGGTCTTCTTGGAGTGCTGTATATGATGGCTGCAATCGATAGAGTGTAAGTGTTCTTTCCAACATTGGATGGGGAGCGAAGTAAAGACTGAAGGTTTCGGAGTTGTCTCTGATGCCTGTGTCTCGCACTCCGGTTCCGTCTTCCTCTCCAACCTAGTCCGGCACTTCTTGTTCACGTCTCGATCCAAGCTGACATAGGACGAAGCAACCTTGGTAATGCAGTCGTTGCTGGAATGGGTGTTGATCTGGACTTGAAAGGGAATGCATACTCGATCCTCATTCTTGTGTTCTTCCCTTTCTACATCGTCTTTCAGGCACCGATGATCGCTATTGCCCGAAAGATTGGACCCCGTCGCTTCATCACATTCATCGTGGTGGCATGGGGTATCATCACCGTTGGACACGGCCTCGTCAGCACCTGGCGTCAGATGATCGCCCTTCGTTGCGTCCTGGGCATTCTGGAAGCTGGATACTTCTCAACCTCGGCATATCTTGTCAGTACCTGGTATATTCGAAGTAAGTGCAGACGTATCGATATGACATAATGATAGGGACTGACTAGTGACCAGGAGAAGTCGCGAAGCGGAACTCTTCGTTCTACCTGATCGGCAGTATGCTTGGAGGGTTTGGTGGCATCCTGGCGTATGGTGTAAGTGGTTCGGCCAAGCGCAAGGACAGGACTGACACAAGGTAGCTTCAGCAGATGGACGGCGTTGGCGGTCGAGAAGGGTGGCGCTGGATCTTCATCATGGAAGGTAAGGATTGACCAGCCTTCCGTTGTGAATTATGCTGATGCCGGCCAGGTGTAATTACTGTCATCCTCGGATTGCCAGCATACGTGATCCTTGTCGACTTTCCTGAAGAGGCGCCGAAATCCTGGAAGTTCATCAACGAGGAGCAGGCCCAGCTGGTTGTCGCTCGTATCAACGCCGACCGCCGTGACGTGGACACTCCGCCTTTCAACTGGAAAGAATACATCAGCTATGGCAAAGACTGGAAGATCTGGTTCTTCGCAATGAACTTCGGCTTCACCTCTGTCGTCAACTATGCGGTTGCTTACTTCCTGCCAATCGTGCTGCGGAACGAACTCGGCTTCTCCGTTGCGGCGGCACAATGCCTCAATGCTCCCGTAAGTAGTTCCCTTTTCGGTCATTCCGCGCTAATTGGTAGTGCTATGTTTTCGCCATCATCCTGGGTGTCTCCGAAAGCTACTTCTCGGACAAGTACAACATCAGAGCTCCGTTCTTCCTGTTCAACTGCGCCCTGGAAGTCATCGGCGTCTGTGTGCTCGGCTTCGCGAAGGGCAGCTATGTCAGGTACTTCGGCGCATTCTTCATCGTTGGGCCTGGGTTCGCGAACATCCCATTCAGTCTTACCTACCAGGCCAACAACATTCTCGGCCAGTGGAAACGAGCTTTCTGCTCAGCGACTATCGTTGGCGCTGGCGGTATTGGTGGGATTATAGGTTCTCTGGTCTTCAGAAGCCAGGATGCTCCGGCGTATCGGTATGTGGGCTGCGCTCCGTTTGAGCTCAATGCTAATCAAAATTAGTCCAGGTCTGTACGCCTGCTTGACCGCTGTGGGCATCACGGTCATTTCGATGTGCACCACATCTGTGTACTTCTATTCTGCGAACAGGAAACAAGCCCAAGGGAAGAGGATAATCGAGGGCGATCCACAGTTTCGCTATACTTATTGAGGTGGCAGAACAGGTGCGGACAGGCGAGCAGGTACTCATGGATACAGTCGCGGATCTCGCTGCATGAAGATAGTGACGACAGTGACGAGAGGAACGCTGTCGTAGCCCGCGTGGTCATGGATCCCCCTTCTTCAAGGGGCGAAGTGTGCGCGCACGCATGCTTGAAAACAATGCGATCCTGAGCCAGAGCAGACCTCTTCCAACATCCTGTAATGTCGCGCGCTCAGTTGCTGCCAGTCGGATTAGTGATAAACTCCGCGGCTTGGTGCAAAATCCTCGTGAGGGTTCGGGCATGTGCTTCGCTGGCGGCCTCTTGATTCTGCTGACATCACGACGTCCGCGACGGTTGTGGAATTGCAGCGAAGGTCTGCGGGCCCGGGCTGAGCGAAGGATGTGAGCGTGTGGCCTTCCGATGGGTATGCTCTGTGGGACACCATGATGAGCAGAAGCCGGTTCAGTGGTCTCAAGTGTGGTTGCTCGTATCGATAAGGTCCGGATAACATCGCTTGGCGGCAGATCCTGCTGCGATGTGAGCTATTAAGGCTTAACTCCGGGCCGCAACCAAGGGGCAGTCGTTTCAGCAATCCGGACGTCGGGAGAACTTCAACTCGACGGTTGTCCAAAGTCTACCTTCCTTCCCCTATCTGTCATCGATGAGCCGGAATCTGTCACTCGCTTAGTCTATTCTGCCAATATCACAGAAAGTATCCTGACGCTCGCATTGGCTGCTTATCAAGGCCCACATAGTGTCCCGCTGTCATGACAAGACTCTGTTCTCCCTTGCCGCCTACGGACGGCAAAACAGCATGGGCGCTAGAGAGCATCACGCTTTCCGATATTCGTCGGCCGCGAGGTTGGGAATGAGGGCAAACATTGTCACCTTTGGGAGCAGATTACCAGGCCATCCAGCGTGGCAAAATAATGGTCCCTAGCGCCATTTATATGCCTTGTGTATTCGCTGATCGAGGCAACCCTGTTGCTGACATTCCTAAGCGCGTTGCGTCCTCTACCAGACGTATGAGAGTGCAGGTATATCTCGCAATACACGCCCACTGATAGAATTCTCTTAGCAAGGCTCAAGTGATCATGGAGATGATTCGGCCTCGATGGCTGCGCGACGCCGAGGATGCGGAAGGACTGCTAACCACGGAAAAGACGGCACGGCACAGCATCTTGAGTACGTTGAGTCGCTGAAAGTGGCTCCTCCAAGTGCTGACAATGAGCAGATGCCTCCAGAAGCCTGTTCAACTTCGAGTACAGCAACATCAAGTCGCCATTTGCCCAGCCGGCCTCACTACACGAAACTTCCTACCTTGACGGGCTTCGTGGAGTTGCCTGTCTCTTCGTCGTCTTTCACCATGTCACGACTGGCTTCTATCCTTGGCTTGAGATGGGCTACGGCGCGCCAGATGGATCTCTCAACCCAGGAGGAGAACCTCTCCCAAACCATGCCTTCCTCTCGCTACCATTCCTTCGAATTACGCACGCAGGAGGCGCTATGGTCGGCATATTCTTCACGATATCCGGATATGTTCTTTCGATCAAGTCCGTGAAACTAGCAAGGGCCGACAACATCACAAGCCTATACGAGTCTCTCAGTGGTAGTACTTTCCGCCGAGGACCCAGACTCTACTTTCCGATGATCACAGCCAGCCTCATCGCCATGATTGCAGCCCAGCTTGGCCTGTGCCGGCCATACTTCTACCTCTGGCATTACTCCGTTGCAGATGGTATTTTCTCACAACTCCAAACCTGGTTTTTGATCAATCTACGCTCCATTTCGTACTACTCGGGCGGCAACGGTTGGGAACCCGTGCTCTGGACAATTCCGGTCGAGTTCAGAGGAAGCATTCTTGTCTTCGTGACCCAGCTGGGTCTAGCCGGCCGGTCTCCAAGGCTGCGGTTGGCTTTCCTCGTGGCATGATGATCTTCTGGATGTGGTACCAGAACGTGGCGGAGTGGCTGTTTACTGCCGGCATGCTGTGCGCCGAGGTCCATTTCTGGCATACCTCAAATTCGATCAAGCTTGCGGCAGACAGTCCTCGCAGACACGTCGTCCGGGAAGTCGGCCTTTCTGCGATTTTTGTCGTCAATCTATACCTTCTCGGAACGCCAGATCCAGGACATGGGCAAACCGAGTCCTACGGATATCAGTCCCTTACCACAACCTTCACGCTGCCACAATATCGCGGATGGGCGCCAATGTCTTCCGATAGCTTCTGGCCTTGTATGTCGGCCATTAGCATGGTTTTGTTGCTGGACTTCGCAGGCCCAGCTTCCTATCTCCAAAGGCTGTTCTGCACCGGGATATCTCAGTGGCTGGGCAAGGTCAGCTTTTCCATGTATCTGTGGCACCATTTCGTGATGCAGGTGGTTTACTCGCCAGTGCTGAAGGCTGTGACGGACGTGTATGGTATCTCTGATCCCTGGCTGCCGAGTTATCAATCTGGTGCCGCAGTGATTGGAGTTGGCTTGCTCTGGTTGCCGGTCCTGGCCTGTGTGAGCGAGGCGTCGACGCGTACACTGGATGTGTGGGGCATCAAACTTGCGAAGTTGATCATGCGTTGGTGAGAATGAGTCAAGCATGCTGTACAGCATACACCGACACAGCCTTACTCTGCGTCAGGAACCAAAACAAATGCAACTATGAGACGGCTTGTGTCCAACGAGTATAGTGATCATCCACAAACCCTTCAATGAGTCATGTGTCGCTTCATCTTAAGTGGAAAACGGGGCTTCCAAGCCGAGGCCTCGCCCGGAGCGTTCATCTGCCTGGAGTTTTGTGCAAATGCTTCTTCGCCTTCTCCTCTGTCGGAACGTTCTGCGCCAGACGGAAGCCAGCATGGAACATGCTGTGATGTACGTATCTGCTTCGCTATGAGTGATTGCTGCCCGCGATGTCAATGTTAGATACCTACAATGAAGGCTCAATAAGTTGACCGGTGGTTTCCACATGATATTCGTATGGCCAAAGGAGAAGACGGCGATGGCATCCCACCGTGAATGCGTTGAGAGCGCTACATTTCGACCTGCCGTGCTAGGGTCACGAATCAGGGCTCGGTGCCCGCGAGATACGCCAAGTTGACCTTTCTCCGCGCTACCGGACCAGCGTTACGGCTATGGAGCATTGTGTGCTTGCTGGCCGGCATTTTCAAAGCAGGACGTAGCCACACTTGTGGGGTAGATGCCTCCAGCCCGCCAGCGAGTCAATAGAAAGCTTGGCCAGGGCCGAGAGTCGCTAAGGAAGGGGCTATGGCCTTGACGACAGCCAAGTTCCTTTAACTCATGGCACTTATACATTTGACGAAAGCACACTTAGTTCGATCGCTTCCCAAGTTGTTGACCCTCACATGCAGCTAACGAAGTCGATGCGAGCATTAGCCTTATTCTGCCACTCTGAGATCCCGCTGTGAGTAGGCTCTGCGCGACGGTGGAAAACTCATAGCACTTTTCGAGCTTGGCAAGAGTGAAAAGTTTCGACAGCGTGGCTGTGGGCTGAGAGTGACCGCCAACGTCGCAGTGGGGATCTGGAAGCGCGATCAAGAACCCTGCCATCACGAATATCGTACGATTCGTTACTTTCGTGGTTGTCGTCATCAGCGTGATTGAAGCCTCTGCAGATGAATTCTTGGGATGCTTCCCGTGTAGGTAGGGATGGGCTAACGCAAGCCCTGCGTGGACGGGAGCAAAGATCGTGGAGAAAATTTGTGCCAAGGACACGTCCAGCTCCGTCTTGCCGGACATGCAAAAGCACCACCTCATTTGCGAGGCAAATGGAAGCATAGCCACCAAGTAAACAATGCCAGACGGCAGACTTGGACTCCAGGATATAAACCCGAGTATTCATGTGTTGCAACAATTGTGGCTCTACATTGCGCGCCTCGTTGCACTTATAAGCGAAAATAAAATTTTGGTAGACGACAATGGCTACTCCCACAATTTATGTTGTTTACAGTAACAGCACATCGCTATGGGGTCAACTCGCATATGGCATTCGTCGCATGAGTGCGTCTACTGTCGGTACTCCCTGTGCTGCTCTTCAGCTCACACACGGCGGTCTCAACTCTAAAGAGCGATCCGATTGGGAAGATGCGAAGAAAAAGATTCCCGTGAATCTGCAACAACAGCATTACGACGAGATTCCAGAAAATGCAAGTAACGCGATCCGCCTTGGTCGCAGCACCGCTGAGGCCTCACTCAACCCAGTATGAGTCTAATCTGTCTCATAGCTCAAGCGCTTTATCGAAAGCAACCGATACGAATACCCGTGCGTCGTAGGCGCCACCACCGATGGCCGCTTCCATATGCTTTTTGCTGACAGCGAGCTACCTGACTACGCGCAATCTCCTAGCATGTTCGTGAAGACGTTGCAGGTGAGAGCGACGCAGGCGGGTATCACGTGGAAGTGAGGATTGTCAGGACCAGGACGATGGAACATAGTAGCTATGGTTGCGATGCAGACAGGATGTTTTGCTACGAAAATTTTGACCTCATTGTCTCTTCCATGGCCAAGGAATGTGCTCTTTCACGTATTCGATGGCATTGCCGCACTCATCTGCATTCGGGCATGACAAATGCCCGAGCTCAACAATACCACAGACCCCACAGACGGGCAGACCTTGTTGATATACGTCACCGTTCTTATGACAAGCTGGCTTTGGAATTTTCCACAGTGGCCAGCATGAACTTCCCGTATGCTCTGCTGATCAGCAGATAACAGCCACTGCTTCTCGAAAAGGGCGCCGAGAAATTTATGAGGAGGGCGCATTCTGCACTGCGATTGCGAAGAACATCTGTTGCATTCAATGTATCACTGCTTCGATTCTTTTCTCGGGATTTGATCACGATGTCTGTGCAGAATGCTTCTCGTCCCGTGCGCCAACATCAACAGCACTGCTATTCCCACTGGAGTCAATGAACTCGCCGTATGCCCTCTTCTCCAAATCATCTCCAGTCTGACCCATCTTGCGGGCACGGCGGCGGAAGAAGATACGCTTGCCCCATTTCCATGCTTCTATGCCTGCGAAGAAGAGAATCGCCTCGACGAAAACAATGCCCCACTCCCAAGAAATGCCTGTATGCTTGAAGACGTCGTGGTTGAGCACCTTCATAGAACGTCAGTGGTAGGATTCGACGGCTCAAAGAAGGGGAAAACTCACAGGAATGTACAGCGTCGGAAAGATAGTGACAAATCCAGCGATGACAGCCCAGAACAAGAAGGGATTGCGCCAAACATCGTACATCCATTCTGTGAAGTACCTCTTGCTTCCTGGCTGCATCCGGAAAAAGCTGCGCCGCATATTGACCATCTCCCAGGCGAGGAAAAGAGCGAACCATGTGAGAGATACGAATGTGGTTGCTCGAGCACGGAAGACAGTGTCGCATTGTGAGGAATATGCGGTATTGCAGCCTTCGCCAAGATTACCATCGCCGAAGCCGAAGACGACGAGGAGGAAGGAAGCAAGGCAGAGTGCGGCCATCCAGAGACCGTACACGAGCTACATTCGTCAGCGCTGTAATCGAAGGGCGAGGGATTGGCACTCACCATATCAAAGCAGACCTCCCAGGTGAAGACCCCCACTTTCAATGGCATCGGAGGCCTCTCAAGAATGTCGGGAGCCGCAATTTCCAGGCCCAATCCCATGTCAGGCATGCCAGACGTTATCATGATGACCCAGAGAATCTGCACGGGTGCCAAGGGAAAGACTGAGAGACCTGTGCGGTCTTTGAAAGCCAGACCAATGAGTAGTGTGCACGCTTGAGCAATGTTCTCGGCCAGAAGGTGTAGGATGAACTTTTGAATGTTGTCGAACATACGTCTTCCTTCTTCAATAGCGTTGAGGATGGAAGCGAAGTTGTCGTCAGTCAAAACGATGTCCGCAGCGTCCTTGGCCACATCCGATCCTGCCATACCCATGGCGATTCCCACATCAGCAATCTTCAAAGACGGAGAGTCGTTGACGCCGTCGCCAGTCTGAGAAAAAGTCAGCGAGTCGCCCTGTGCTCTCTTCAGAAAACTTACCATTGCCATGAAGGCTTCTCGACGGCGGAGAGCTTCAATCATGCGAACCTTAGTATTGGGAGCACACCGAGCAATCACCAGAGGTAGGACTGGTAGCTGATCGATTTCTGTATCGGTGTGCTTGTCGAATTCCTTGGCTGTCATGATCATACTCTTTGCAACGTCGGCTGATACCTTCGTCATGTCTGGAAGAATGTGTACCTGCTTGGCGATGGCGCTGGCCGTTCCAGGGTGGTCACCAGTAAGCATATGAACTTTGATGCCAGCGCGATGGCATCGTTTCACAGCTTCAGCAGATTCGGGTCGCGGTGGGTCGTAGAGGCCAATGAGGCCACGAAAAGTGAGATCACGCTCAATCTCGTCTCGGGGAGGAGGACCATCGCGAGATGCCCGCCGGCCGCTGCGGGGATCATACTCACGGGAAGCCAGAGCAAGCACACGAAGACCTTGCGAAGCGAGAGCCTCCATGATCTCCAGAGCTTTCTCTTTCAGCGCGTCCGAGAAGTCGACAGTCTGACCGTCATCCCACACAACCGAAACGCAAGAGTCCAGAACTCTCTCGACGGCTCCTTTCGTGTAGATCTTTTGCTCCTGGGTCTTCCGATCCTCAAATATGACGGACATTTTCTTCACATCCGAGTCGAAGGGATATTCGCTGACCTGCTTATACTTCGCACTTTCTCCATCAACGAGTCCATGGCGATTGCGGTCGAAACGGGAGGCGAAAACCTGAAGAGCGATCTCAGTTGGATCGCCAAGTGCTGTCCAGTCCCCATCATTGTTCTTGTGGACTCTAGCAACATTGCACAGTCCAGCGACCGCAAGGAAAGCTTCCAAGTCCTCGTTGCCTTCCAACAGAGTAGTCATAGGGGTGGATTCATCCTCACTGAGGGATTCGCTCTCGGGAAGACCTTTTGCAGGCAACTCGGTAGAATGCGCGAGACTGCCAGCTGTTGGGTCGAAAGGGTTACTCGAGATACCCACAGAGTAGGTGCCACGGCTGGGAATCCATGCCTTCTTCGCCACCATCTTTCCTTGGGTCAGAGTGCCAGTCTTGTCAGAGCAGATATCAGTGACAGCCCCGAGGGCTTCCAAGGACTTGAGGTTGCGGACGATAACGTGCCTCTGTACCATATGTTTGGTGCCTACTGCCATAGTGATGGTCAGGACCACGATAAGTGATGCAGGAATCATACTGAGACCAGTGGCAACCGCGTAGATAATGACTTCGGAGCGATTGGAAAAGTCGTTGGCGGCCAAGACGATAATGGCGCACACGACGGCGATACCAAACAAGAGCAGGGCCAAGCGTGAGAGCTTTCTCTGCAGCGGAGTGCCGATATTGACTCCGAGGAAGGTCCCGATGAAGTCCGTCACAGTCAAAGTCCACGCTTCGGCATGGCGTAGTGGAGAAGCGGTACCGTCGTCCTTTCGTTTCACAGGGCGACGACGAGATTTCTCTTGTCTCAGACTTTGCGCGATGGAACCGATCTCTGTGTACATGCCCGTGGCGTATACTATCCCTCGCGCTCGGCCTTTGGTAACGGTCGAAGAGCTGTAAACAACGTTCAGTCGATCGCCAGGTCCGGTATCCTCGTCGAAGATGGTCTCCTCGTCCTTGGCGACTGGCAACGATTCACCTGTCAGAAGAGCTTCATCCGTTTCGAGATTGATAGAGTCAATGATCCTGAGTACTTGTTAGCAAGACAATCTCCATAAAACGGCGTCGACGAACCTGAGATCAGCCGGAACTGTATCGCCAACTTTCAATTCCACCAGATCTCCCACAACAATCTCGGCTGTAGGAACGTTGATGGTGCTTCCGTCGCGGACAACGTTAGCAGTGGGAGAGCTCAAGGAGCGTAGAGAGTCCATCGTCTTCTCTGCCTTGAACTCCTGCAGAAATCCGACAATGATGTTGAGTGCGATAACGGCAGCGACCACACCGCCTTCAATCCAGGACTTGATCGCGAATGAAACGACCATGGCCATGATCAGAACCAACATCATAGCGTTGGCAACCTGCCGAATGAAAATTTTGATCGGTTGCACTCCAGGACCATCGTCGAGTTCATTGCGGCCAAATTCATTCAGCTTGTCGTTGGCCTGCGACTTTGAGTAGCCATTTTCGGCGTCGGCGCCCAATTCCTTGACCAAGGTCTCGCGGTCCAGGGCATGAGCAGGCTTACTCATGGGCTTGTTGCATTGACCAGACACGTGGTTCTGGTTCTCCATGGCGTCGATATGTCAGAGTAGGAAAAGGAAAAGACAGAATGTGCGCCTAGAGTATGTCGCGCCATCATATACGATGCGAACTCTCGGTCGGACTCGGCTGATGCAGCGGTCAGCGGAGCGAGAGCAGTCCAAGAATGCCTCAGCGGCTTGGCGTCGGCTATCAGGCTCGAGGAGGCGACATGGTGACGTGGGGCGCAACACGTATACATCCGCACTACCACTCATGGTGCGCTGATGGGCGACAAGTCTGCCGCTTCGGATGTGCCACCGTCACACAATGTGTGGCAGAAGCTTGGCAGGCGTCCGTGATGTGGTGTAAAAGCGTGCACGAGCGGAGCACGGACCAGTAGAAGTCCATGCAGGAGAGGCAAGTGCACGTACTTCGATGAATGACGGCTCAATTCGCGACAAAGGCGATGTTTCGTGGTATCGCGGAAGAAAGTTAAATCTTGCAGTAGTCTGATTCACGATCGCCAAGCTTGGCAGGTCCGTCCTGCCGCAATCCTAGTCGAGTGCTTGGCGCTGCAGAATTTTGTGCGTATCCCGGGCTGGTACGTCTTATCATCGTGAGAGAGTCTTCTCATCGCCATAATACATGGTACATCCAGGAGACGGGCCGAGATGTACTCCATTCTTGACCATTACTTGCATTCATATTTGGAATCCGTGCTTGCGCATTGTCGCACTGAGATAAACAAAGCGCCCCGAAATAGCCCTTAACGCGAACTGTGCCCATGTGCCCGCTTCGCAACCTTCGCGCATCATCAACATAGTCTCGTCTATGCATCAGATCACCGCCGAGCCGACACCGGCTCTGTCACTGCCAGTCGCCGCTAGACCCTGGCGGGTGTCAGTGTCGCAACACCCACACTGTCCTCTCAACGTGGCCGCTTTCGATGCCTTACGTCTAGCGTCGCGTAGATCTACTCCAGCTGCAGCCTTCTGAGCTTCGATGGCTTGGAAGAAAAGCTTCCGCACACGCGCCATGCGACGGCTTGGCCGTTTCATCAGCCGGGAAGACGGGCTTCCCAACCTTGGCATTTCTATCCAACTTCAAAGCTGCAGTACGACGAGCGGCTAAGCCGCCGAAGCGTGCTGCCAAGAAGGCTTGGCTTGACGCCGGAGTCAACGCCAAGCACACGCCGGAGAATACGTCGCGCGTGTGCGGATCGCGCATGTGAAACATCCCTCGACTCTTGGCCGATTATCATATACGGAATCTCAACACAGTCTCCTGGCCTATCGGCGGTCCGCTCGCATAGCATTGCGAACATTTACTGAAACGCCGGCCGCCCCAGTACTCATGATCGCTGATGTCTGTTACACCCAGGCTTGCGTGGAGGTCGGGATATGTATTCCGGACTATCAATTTTCGACTTACGTGGCAACGATATATGGAAACCACGCTCCGCGCCAGTTGCTTCGTCAAACAACCGTGAAACTTATGTCAACGTGTCCTTGCGTTGACGGGCGTCTGCGTTTCCCAGCGCTTTATCAGCGTCCAACTCCACGAACAGCGACTACTCTGACCACATTGTGTCAACAGCAGGCCTGGCATGAACACTTTGTCGCCGATTCAATTCCATCTCTCTCTTTACAACAATCCGCTGGCCGGTCATCCGCTCGCAAGCATCTCTTAGAGCGAATCTACTGGAAGGTCTCCGAGTACCTGCAGAGCAACAGCAGCAATGGCGATCCACGTTGACCCAAGCACCCTCAATGTGGTGATCTCGATCCTGGGCTTCTTTGTCCTTGCCTACGGCGCCATCTCAATCAAGATCAAACAAGTGTGGTACTTGGGAGAAGCTCTTCCGGCAGTCGTCTTTGGTGCTATGCTCGGTCCCATGGCAGCGCGTTGGCTCGACGCTCGCATGTGGGGGATGGCAATCATCGGTCAAGTTCCTGCGATCACTTTGGGCATGACCAGGCTTGTTATTGGCATTCAGCTTGTCATTGCCGGCTTCCAACTACCAGCTCGATTCATGCAATATCGATACAAGGAGATGCTCATTTGTCTGCTTCCTGTCATGACAATCATGTGGCTATGTACAACGGCCTGCATCATTGCGACTGTGCCGAAACTCACTTTCCTTGCGGCTCTGGTCATCGGGTCCTGTGTCACTTGCACTGACCCCATCCTGTCGCAAGCCGTCGCGAAGGGTCCTTTCGCCGACAAGTACGTCCGTCGCAATTTGAGAGAGCTGATATCTGCCGAAGCGGGAGCAAACGATGGTTTCGGATTCCCGTTTCTTATGCTTGCGACATATCTTATTCGCCACGCCGAGTCACCCGAGCTTACCGCCGAGATTGCCGAAAAACAAAATGCAGTCGAAGGAGGCGCAGAGCTTCTTCAGCGTGGACTTGAACTATTTCGACGAGCCTCCGAGAGCGATACGGTAGAGATTGGTCGACTTGGTGGTGGTGTTGGAAAGGCCCTGGCCAACTGGGGTCTGGAAACCTGGCTCTATGCTATTGCCATGTCGGCGGTCTACGGCACTGTCGTGGGCTGGGGCATGATGTATGTCACAAGATTCGCGCTGAAGAGGTATGATCTGCTCCTACACCAACGGCTCGAGCACAACTAATTGCCACAGACGCTGGATCGACGGCGAATCTTACCTCATGCTCCCGACAGGTATCGGCTTGTTCATCATCGGCACTTGTGGAATGCTGGCCACGGATGATCTCCTTGCCTGCTTCATTGCTGGTACATGGCTCAACTGGGATGGACAGTACCTCAAAGAGACCGAGGCTCGCCACGACGAGGTCAATAGCGTTGTGGATGTCCTACTCAACTTCGGAGGCTTCATGTATATCGGTGCTGTTGTCCCGTGGGCCTCTTTCCAAGATCCTGACGGCACTGGCGTCACAATACCAAAGCTTCTTCTACTTGGTATGTCCGTCATGCATCAACGTGATTCGGTACAGCTAATTGCTACCAGGCATCATGATCATTCTCTTCCGGCGCATCCCTGCCATCTTCATGACATACAAACTCATGCCTAACTGTGTACTGGACTGGAAGGAAGCTTTGTTCATGGGTTACTTTGGCCCTATCGGCATAGGCGCAGTATTTTATGTTGAGCACACGCGGCATCTCTTTCCCGAGCCAGGTGAAGCTTTCACAGACGAAGAAAACAACCTTACCGCCGCCATGGTCCCTGTCGTGTACTGGCTAGTCGTCTTCTCCATCTTCTGGCACGGCCTCTCCATTCCAGTACTCAACATATTCTACAAGTGGCGAGGTATCGAGCCGATTCAGGATGAAGATGGTCCCGCTGTCGTACATCGCCTCAGCTCGCACAATCCATTGCCCAAGAACAGCAGCGTGGACGACCGGCGTCAGAGCGTTCTCCTCAACAACAGGTTCAGCAGATCTTACAACACTGCCGAACTTGATCTGAATGCTGTTGAGGGCTATCGACGACGCACACAACAGTGGTACAAGCAACAAGACGCAGAAGCATACGCAAATGACAAAGACGAACACAAGAATGGAACGATTCAGTGGACAGAGTCGCCACACTACAAGCCTGCCCTGCGTCGGTCAGACAGTGAAAAGCCAGGGCTACCACTGGACCCCAAAGGCCAAGCCGCGTACATATGAAGACTGATTCAGCTGGTAGTAGATTGATCTGTGGTCGACGCTCGGACGGCTCTAGAACGTCCAGAGTCGCTGTCGTGAAAGCATCCACGCAATTTTCGGCACGAACGATCTTCTGTCTCCCTAGGATATCAGCTACTGCTCGTTACTCTTATCCACCACCGGCAGCGCCGTGCGGAGGACTACACAAGAATATAGATACAAGAGGGTTTCACCGATAGGGACTACCTGTCATTACGTTCATTTGCCCTTCATCTTCCTTCTCTCTTTGTACATCACTGCAACTTCCTCGTCGGCATCACCAGTTGTGACGCTGATCTGCGACATTCGGTGAGCCGAGCGCTTCGCTCTTCGATAAGTCTCGACGGCACAACGGACATCTCGGCCGCCAGAAACCCTCCTGATGTTGCGTGTCGTGTACGCGAGCCTCGCTTTGCCATTCCGAGGGACGACTACGCCCAGTGCGGTGATCTGATGTGCGCCGGCGTTCTCGATGACGAGGCCGTCGCTGCAGAAGCCAACTCTCCAGGCAATGAGAGTGGAAGGCATGGTTACACCTTGCCACGACGCGGATCGAGACCGGTGGCTGCTGCTTGGAATTATTGGATCCGAGGATATCAAGACAAATAGGACAGATTGTGGCGAGGTCTGGGAGCGCGACTGAGTTCCGAATTTGTGTGGTTGACGTGAACGAGGAGGGCCTTCTAATAGCGGGGAATCGGCTAGTCGAGAGGGGGAAGTGCAAGTGATGGCTCGAGACTGCTTCGGATCGAATGTCGTTGGCGTGAAGGACGGGGCCCGGTGGAGCTATATATGTTATACTCGGTGTCTGGCTGTGGGAATGGCACGCACTGCCCGCAGCCGGGGCTGGGTCATCGCTGCTTTGCCTGATTGCGGTCACATCGTAGGTGGCGCGACCGGGGACGATGAATTGCGGTGCAACTGTATCCAATTCGGCGGGCGTGAGAGGGGTACAGCTCCGCTGGTAGGCGTGATTCGTCGGAGTGTGTCGAGTTGATGCCAAACGATTGGGGTACCAGTCCTTGACGTTGGGGATCCTGTTGCGGCATTTGACTCTATCGATGCTAATCAACACACAGCGACGGTCTCGGGACCGCCTACAGGAAAGGGCGAGAGAAGCCAACGTGCAGTAGACATCACTTACATTACGTGTGACACCAAGATGATGGTTGCAAGTGCACCCAGCACTATGAAAACATTGCGGAGTCGATGGTCGTTCGAAAGATTCTCAGAGTCAACGTTATCTGATCTGGCAACGATCATAGTACAGCGCGATAGATGGGGGGTGATGGACCAGTCTTCAGTGGGTGTATATGTGAGCAGGCATATATATATGTGAATGGGTATCACCACCACATGTCAGGCGCATCCCAGACCAAGCCTAGCACGACAGCTGTTCAAACAGCGCGCGGCCCTGTCTACCAAAGACTTCGCAGCCGAACCTCCAATGCAGCGCGTTGATCGTAACGACCTATATCCTCCACTGACTTCACACTCCAATGAGGCAGCGGCAGGACGGAGCGCCAAGCAGGAGCGCGCTTGCCAAGATCTTCCATGGTCGATCCGACTGCTTGATGCCAACGAATTGCGGCAAGCCGCTAAGGATTATCGCTTCGGCGTGGCTATGGAGTAAGAAGGTGACGTAGGCATGAAGAACTTCCCACCTGCCAAGTGCGGAGCGATTCGTGAGTAGTAGAGCTCTGCCCTTCTCTTCCGTGGAAACGAGTCGCAGTGGCCAACGATGTGCCTATTGACCATCCAAGGCTTCCGTCGTCATGGCATGAACCGGGCTGCGGGATATGCCGTACGCGGACAGCAGAAGCCACGGAAGCCGATGCAGCCGTCGACGGCAGGAAAGGACAAATTAAATGTAGCAACTGCCATGTATTTGAAGTCTCGCGGCATAGACTTGCCTTTCACCACCCTGTGTAAGCAGAAATTGACGAGTCCCAAAGAGACACCCGACTGGACTTGTTTGTCGGGGCACGCGACTCCCAGTGACTCCTCAACGGTTCTTGTACAATGAGATATCCATCGAGATTTGCATTCTACTTCAGAGTGCCAGTAGTACAAAGAATTATTCGTTCACGCTACCACCCACATGAGTGACGCATGGGTTCGGCCTTGGCCCGAGAGATTGATATTTAAAAGAATCAAGCCGAAAATGACAGACGCAAACACCCTCGAGCTGTCCAATCTGGGTACGGCACAGGCCGCCTGCGGACTCAATTCCCAAGTGCGAGACAACAATGATCTGTACAAGATTTGCCATCATGGATTTGAGCCTCAAATTGTATTGGTGCGAAGCTCAGAAAGATGGCGCGTTGAGGGCCATGAGGCACAGAAGACCAGCAACGAGACCAGCTGCGGGAAGAGTAAAGACCCAGCCCATAAAAATGAAGGCAATCTGTCGCCAGTTGACAGCCTTGAGATCATAGTTCATCAACGCAACTCCAATGGCCGCTCCCGTAAGGCATTGTGTGGTGGAGACAGGTAGACCGAGGCGGCTGGCCATCAAGACGGTGGTAGCAGCACCGAGCTCGATAGCAAAGCCGCGAGTAGGCTCATTTGAGTGATCTTGTTACCCAGAGCGCGAATGATATGGTATCCCATGAACCAGAAGCCAAGGCCGAGAAGGAAACCTCCGATCACCAAAAGCCAGACAGGAGTCGGAGATCGGGTGTTAACCTCGCCAGAGTTGTATGTGGCGTAGACAGCCGCTATAGGTCCGACCGCGTTGGCAATGTCGTTGGAGCCGTGAGCAATGGACATGAGCATTGCGGACAGAACTTGACAGTATGTCCAGAGATGCTCAACACGAACATCGTAACGATTGGCTCGAGAGTGGATGGCGCGAAGAAGGTCAGAGTCGTGGCTGATAGCGTCAATAGTAACACCACGTAGAAGAAGAAACTTGGTCCAATTCCACAGCTTCTTGGGGTTGAACCACGACATCTCCTTGACAGGGACAATCCAGCGTTGGTAAGGAGCGACATAGCCAGTCTTGTTTGCAAGCGGCGTGCCTGCACCGCTGGTGCTGGGAGATGGCGAGTCCGACATCGCTCCAACATCTTTGTCGGTTTCGCCCAAAGTCTTGCCTGTGACGGCGGGCTCATCCGTGGCACGTTCGTGATCGTACTCCAGCTCGGTCGCGTTGTGAGTAGCTTTGCCTCCGGCAGCAACTCTGCCATAGCTGTCGGCATAATAATTGGTGACGTACTCGGTGCCCTTGCCCGGGAAGTAGAGGTGAACGTTTTCTTTGCGGAGCAGAGGGCCCAGAGGAATGTGCCACACGCGAAGACGGGTATCTTTCCGGATGAGCTTTCGTTCGAAGAAGGGCACGAAGAAGATGTAGCAGATGAGAGTCATGCCAGCGAAGACGCCGAGGATGATTCCAACTGCCGTGCCGGCCCCGAGTGCATCCAGATCCGATCCAGGTGCCTCAATGGTGATGAACAAGGCCAGAATAGCAGAAGTGAATCCAAAGTAGACTGGAATGAGACGCATACCCCACTTGAAGCTGTCCTTGCGTTCAAGTACAGAGTACTTCAATACTCCGAAGTAGAGCGCCGAAAAGCAGGCGGCAATCGCGGGTGCAATCGCCCAAGAGGCCGCAACTTGTGACACGCTACCTCCGGTCCATTCCCACGTGACTGCGGCTTGAGTAGCGAATCCGACTCCAACAAGAGCGCCGACAATGGTTTGCGTTGTCGATACTGGCATGCCCTGGCCGGTTGCGAACATCAACCATGCGGCGCTGCCTACTTCGGCACAACCCATAGCCAACATGAGCACGCCTGGTCTACCCTCGAAACGATCAATGTCGATAATGCCATTCTTGATCGTACTCGTGACACGGGCGCCAAGCTAGACACTATCAGCCGTTATTTTCGGTACTCGGAGAAGGTGCTCACCACGACAGCCCCCAAGAACTCTGTGAGCATCGACAAGAACCCGACCTGAGGCATACTCAGTGTGCGAGCAGCGACCGAGGTAGCGTAAGCGTTTGCGACATCGTTTGCCCCATTGCCGAAGGCGGAGAAGAAGTAGGCGATGAACGTAATGGCAAGAATCCAGTCATATGGTGCAGTTGCACTCGACTGGCGGGCCAAAAGCGTGTTGAGAACCATGATGTTCGGGATCTTGCACTGCTAGCTGTTTTTCTGCTGCGTTGGAATCATTTGACAAGTTCGCCATTGTCCCAGAATGTCCATATATAGCATTGTCTCATTTCTGTTGCTTCGAACTCGAGTTCTTGGGTCAAATATCGCTGAAAAGCATGTATCGTGGTTATCGAGCCATCCCGAAATGTGCTGCATCGCACGTGTCCTACACGAAGTAGCGGACTGGCTCGCTGGATCAGCTTTGATGACCGCCGAGAGACTCGAAGCCTCGCCGAGTTCTGGGCAGCTCTCAGTCCCGTAAGCGACAACCGGGAGTGTGAGTGCAAAGTATTGCTCGTCAGCTCGTCCAGGGGCGGTGGAAGCTTGGCCAGTGTTCAATGACGCGTGAATGGCGCTCTGGGCAATTGAAATTATTGTGATTGGCTGGAGGGGCGGAAGGAATTCGCTTGCCAAGGTCCATCTACTCCACGCCGAGCCTCCAGTCGCTTGAGAGCCAAGAAAATTTTGCTTGCGTCGGGAGGACGGAGGTGGTTTGTGGATGCCTCAGCCTGTGGCCCATAAGTCGATATTCTCGCGAAAGGGAGAGCCCGGGCGGAGTCGCATGATGAAATGAAGAACGCTGTCGCCATGGACAAAACATATGAGCATCGGTGGGTCATATCTCTTCCGTTGCTCTGATGTGTTCGGTGCAGCCCGCCTTTCTGCAGCTTCGGAGGATTCTTGAATAAGCTGAAGGAGCTGGAAGGACAATTGCGACCCGCAGACGTAGTCAGGTCCTGGATGCACACACAGCGACGGCAATATTGGCTTTTGTGCCACATCGTCGCATTCGGAGTCTGATGCCATTTGCAGTGACGGAGACGATAACACTTATGCCTCATCGTCGTGCTCGGAGTCCGACTCCGTCTGCAGCGATGGCTACAGCGGAACTTCAGCCTCATGGACGTAGTCGGAGGTTGAGTGTACCTTCAGTCGCTTCCAATGGAAGTAAAGAGGTGCAGAGCTCTAGACATTGGGGCTCTCGGTCGTGTCGCTCGTGTCCGGGAAGCCCTGATATCCTTCGCTGCAGCGCAGCCACCAAGGCTTGACTTCATCGGCGCATTCTTCCTGTCGCGGACTTGAACGAGGAGATTCACAGCCCGCGCGTGGAGCTGCCCTGCGCTGACTGAGTGTCCTCAACCAGGCTCTTTACAGGCCACGCCAACGGGCTCACGCAACCGAATCGAGGCGATGTGCTGGATATCGCGAGCAAAGCGTGTCTTGTCGTTTCGCCGTGCAGACCTCGGGTTGGTCATCAGCAGCGATACCAATAGGCGTATCGAAGCACAGCCTTCCGGTTGCGCCTCAGCCCATTCGTGCGCCCATAGCTGCACGTTCTTCAGACGTGTATGACCAGAGATCGCCTTGAAAGCTGCCTTGAGCTTTCCGAAGGCATAAGCCGAAAAGGGTTCCTGTAAGTCCGGACAGCTCTTGAGTGAGCCATTGGCGTCAGGGATGTTCTTGACATGAGGAACCCGCTGATGCGCACGACGTTGCGTTGTAGCCCGATTATCTGTCGTGCGTGATAATTCAAGCTATTGGGGAGCAGCTCGCGAAGCTTATGCTGTCAAGACCGTGGATGCTCTGCGAGACGTCGTCGTCGGACCGAAAACGCGAGACCCGCTAACCCGTCGAGAAGGCATCCGGACCGATCGACCTGTCGGGATAGGATCCAAGATCGGATGACCCATCGGGACAAGGGGTTGATGCCGAACCAGCCGTCGGCCCACGTCTGTGATGGTAGTGCGCCGCGCTTCCCAATGGATATCGCGTCGCGGACCTTTAGAGGGCGAGTGAGACGGAGGGACAGAAATTGCAGGTCTGGGCGAACAGCTCGAATGTGGCTTGTCAATTGGCGGATGGCGCGGGATGTTGTTTCTTTTGGAAGGGGTTTCTGATGTTTCTATGCTGTTGAGGGGTTTTTGGTCGTTAGCATCTTCGGCCGCCCTAAGGTCGGACCATGTTTCTCTCGGCAGTTGACACCGACCCAGCAGGCTGTGCTCGTATTCGCGTTCCGCCGCTTCATGGTCCTGCATAGTATCTTGCAGTTGCTACAGGCTCGTCTGTCATCGTGCGAGTGCGGAAAGCGGCAAGACTCGTTGCTTGGATAGTGTGCGAGGCAGGATCAATTGTGGCGCACGATTCGAGTCCAGACGTTTCCGCCTGGAATGTGTGCGATATGCTGCGAAAGGACGGGGTTGGGTAGTCTTTCCCTACTTATTCACGCCGTCGATTTGTGTGCAGGTTGGTTTCTGCGTGCGAGGAACCTTGATGTGTCCTACTTGTCCGTATTTGCACTTGCGCGGACAGCGCCCACCTCTGTTCGCGTCCTCCTTGTAGCCTTCCTTTGCCAACAACTTTCAGGTTCTTCTCCCTTGATTGCTCTTCCTGCCATCGTTTGCGGGTTTTCTGTTCGCCGAGGAGGACTGCGAGGATTCGTGGTGCAGCGGTGGGTTCGAGATCGCATGATATGACGGTGAGATTCTTCGAAAGGCAGTCTCACTGTGCTTATTGCCGGTGTGACTGGCATGTGATGTCAGCGCGTATTCGATTGACGTCCTCTGCCCGTGGATTTCGCGAACGAGGATCCTTGTTCTCAACACCTTCCACCCTTCGGAAGAAGCTTACCGCACACGTATCGACGGCGAAGACGACTAGCCTAGAGCCGGCAATGTGGCGAAGAGGGTCATCTGCGGCAGACTTGTCCCTTGCGACGCGGAGCAGGGTCGGGAAGGGGCCATAGGCGCGGATGGAGGCGTGATCTGTCTGGTCGGCAGAGGACGCGTCTTCCAGAGCAGCGGCGACGGAGAGGTTGTCGACGTCGAGACCAACGCGGCCATCTTCGACTCTCTGTTGTTGCTTCGGCCGAGCTCAATAACGAAGGCTTATACTCTGGAGATAGCGATGATCTGTGGTATCTTGGAGCGCGTGTTTTGATCTGGAAGTTACCCCGCACCATTTCTTGACGCCGCCCCGCCCCGCCAAGGCGGAGAATCGTTGCGTGGCGTCTCAGGTTGAATCCGGAACCGCAGACCTCGGAAGGGCTGCAGAGGAACAATTGCGACCACCACATCGTCTTCCACAGACGGTGCCCAGACGATAACACCGATATATGGACATGAGAATACGCATCTCTCAGGTTCTACGCCTCACGGTACACAGAGATGTGCCTGCCCGTCTTCCATTTGGATGAATGACTCAATCGGTATCTCAGCTGCTCTTCATTCTCGCTGCAGCACACAACGCTTGCTCGGTATGACAGTCTGCCAGGGTACCGCCAGGGCAAATACGGCGACGGAAAGGGTCAAGTTGAGTACTACAAGGGTGACGAAAATGGCGAAAACGATGTCATCATGTTCAGACCGAACCGCAGGAAAGTGGTCTGTAAACAATTCAATTTCGGATACTGCAGCTTCGGTGGAGCCTGCGGCTTCAGCAGTGTCTGGACAGCGAGGGATTCGTGGCCGGAATCGCTGCCTGCAGCATACGTTGGGGAAGCTGCAGTCGACGAGAATACCACATTCGTCGATCCACTTCCGTACTCAGGGCCTGTGCTGAGATCAACCAGTCTGCGCAACGACCCAGCGACTCCATTCCCTCGGCATAACAATGACCTGCTCAATATATCAGACATCATCATTCTGCCCACAACTTCAGAGTGTTCCAGTCGCAGACGCGACTACCTACCCGATCGCAACATGCGAGAGCCAGATAGTCGCAATCCACGAAAGATGCTCGAAGATCTTGAGCAAGCGTTCCGGGTACAGCGCGCAGATGAAGCGATCAACTGGCGGCTGTGTGTCATGGAAGCCTTGAAGTCAATGTTGAAAGCACTGAAGTTCCCATCGCATACCCATACCACGCTCTCTCTCTGCAATGATCGAAAATATTGGCATCACCGAAAGGTGACAGTCACAGAGGCCAGCGGATCCTTCAACAAACAATCCTTCAAGCTTTCGGTGGAATTCACAGCCCAGCTAGGTGTAGGGATGCCTCTCAACGTCAAAAAGTCGCTCGCCTGAAGCAGGGTCTCGTTGTGGCTTTGCTACTTCTTTACGCAGAGCGCACCGAGGGCGACGTGGTGCGATCGGTGCGTGCAACGATCACGTTTATGAGTGTTGTGGATTGCAGCCAACGAGACCGGAAGGTTGCAATCCGACTCACGCTGGCGCAGAAGATGGATTCTGATTACAGAACGATCATTATTCTCATGATGTCGCCGCAGTCCAAACCTTTGTCAATCTCTGTCGTGGAGATTGATAATTCGCCCTCGGAGAACTGGGTTGAGATCTGTCAGGGACTTGCTACAACGAAAGACTCCATCAAGCAGACTTACCCACTGGTCGGGCCATACCTGGACAGTGCGCAGAATCCGGCGCCCAACATAGGGCTTCGACCTATGCTTGACGCCCCGAGGCTGCCATTGCCCGATAGAACGATCCCCTAACCGTATACCTATCTGCATGCCGAACCCAGGTATGGGCACTATCGACAGACAGACCTTCGTCGACCGACTACGAAGCATGTCTTCTCATGACTGGAAGCAAGCAGAAGCCCAGTGGGAGACTCTCATGCATGTCTTTTCTTGCATCCAGGGTCCGCCAGGTGCAGGAAAGATGTACGCAATGCTGCTGGATCTGCTGCTGAAGGAGCCTTACCTCCTGAAGGAGATCATTATCGTCGTGCAAGGCTACACGAACCAGTCCGTCGACCACCTCGTCGAACATCTGGACCCGCTGTTCAGAGGCTCGATTCGTCGCCTTGGGAACCAATCTCGCAAGCCAGAAGAAATGGGCGGCTTCTCTATACGAAGCGCTCGGGCCAAATACAGCAACAGCCTTCCGAAAAGCAGCAAAGAGCTTCCTTTCAATAAGCTTGTGACAGTCACGAACAACGGATCCGACATGACAGCTGCGGCATCCAAAGCTGTGCTGCTACTCGATTTCCTTCAGAACGGCGAGATGTCCTACGAGGTCGTCGGCGACTTCCTGAAAGACCATTACCCCAAGATATGTGGGTCGTTTCAAACGCCAGAGAAGAATTACCACCAGTCCGAGCGACACAAGCAATACGCGGGCATGCGACCGTGGGTAAAAGAGCGTCTGAGAGCTGCCCCTCTGTATCTTTTTCTTGACTGGCTACAAGGGAAAGATTTCAGCGAGGCCATCCTGCTGGAGAGGATGCTGAGTGCAATCAAGTCAGAAGAGGACACGCCTCTGTTCAAGAATGCTCTTCAGGAGGAAGCAATCAAGGCCTGGGAAAACGCCAACAGCAACAACCTCTCCACGATATGGGACCTCAGTCACCAAGCCCGCATCAATCTTGCTGAAGGATGGGTGGCTGAAATTGGTCTCAACCGAATTCGCGATAGAGCGATCGAGCTAATTTTCGTAGCCTTCTGGCGCCATGCTCGGCAATAGTTCTTGAGTGATAAGGATGATGCGAGAAAAGTCGCTGCTATCGGAACGCGCGTCATTGCGTGCACGGCTTCATACTCCGTCATGAGGCCTGCACTGATATCAGAGCTTGGTCCAATAATTTTCCTCATCAACGAGGCCGCCCTATGGCCGTACACAGCTCAAATGTGTCAATACCGGTTTGGTACGGTACAGCAGATGCTGCTCACTGGCGACCATGCGCAACTCGGCCCTCAAGGTCGAGGAGAAGGGCTGATGCAAGCTCCTTTTAATAACAGTATCTCGGTATTTCAGGACTTTTTCATGGACGCAACGTCCAGCAAGACAACACTCGATCTCGAACACCGTTGTCCTCCTCCCAACCTGGGAGTTGTCAAGTCTGTCAAGTCATCGGATGGCCTGCCGCCGTATCCCCACCTCACGGCTGCTGCCTCCACGCATAAATATTCAGAACTCCCGGGCATGGAAAGCAGATTGCTATGGCTCGACCATCGTCATCCTGAAGGTGGCGGTGATGATGATGGCCTGACGGTTCAAAGTGATGTGGTGACAGCATCACTGCACAGAGACACCCACAAATCTCTCTCAAATGCAAAGGAGGCGGAAATGGTCCTGGACAGGGCCGACCTTGCGATCATCACACCATACAATGGGCAACTTAATCTCATTCTTCGCAATGTGTCAAAACTCCGCAACATCCAGCTCTGGTTGTCGGATGCAGATCGAGAAATGCTGGTCGCATCCGGTTCATTTGACGAGAGCGAAATGGAGAAGTTACCTATCTCACCATTCTTGACCCTGGAGACCTATCCGAGAGGCATCGGTGCGCATGGTATACTGTATCCCATGCGCAGGCCGGAATTGGGCTATAAACTAGCCTAGACCTTCCTAGATAAGTTAGCAGTATACTATGCACAGTATACTATACGCACTTTAACTACAGGCTGCAAAACAGCTCGTTATTAGGATCTTTCATTTTGTAAATAGTAAAGACTGTGGAACTGACTATCCACTTTAATTTTAGACTGATCAGAGCTGTATTAATAGTATACAAACAATATAAAGTTTCTATATATTAGGAAGGCTTTATAATAAGGATTATATTATTAGTATATATCCACTACTAGGTCTAAATAGTATAGTAACTTAGACTACTATCTATATATAAGCCAAGACTACTCCACTGTAAGATAACCAGGCTATCAACTTAAATTCTACTATCTATTTATTCCTTATCCTCTTTCTTTCTCTCTCTCTCCTTCTTCACCTCTCTCTTATCTATATACTACCTTTTATATATATCCTCTCTCTTCTACCCTACTATTCCCCTCTACTAATAGTTATAGAGAAGAGTGTAGAGCTAAGAGTAAGCAGAATATCTATTCTTCTTTATTATCTTTATATATATATTAAGCACTACTATATTATTTATATAGTCTTAATATATTTAATCCTAATAAGTTTATTTAAAATCAGTATATAGATACTTATATCTTATAGACCTTATTGTCACGGGGTGACGGTGGGAGGGCGGCAGGGAGGGCGATAGCAGTGTCAGTGCAGTATTCAGACTATCAGAGCTATATACGAACGGTCTATGAACCAGGTAGCGGGCAGGTAGAACGACAGGACGTAGCTCGAAGAGCTACGAACAGAATCCAGGGAAA